GCTCGGCCACGAGCCATTTTGGGTTAGATATCCACTTCTTTAATTTCCAAGATCAACGTACGAATCTATAAGTTTTACCATACAAATACACAAATACATAAATACATAAATTGATAAATACGGGAAAAGTCCCATGTTTGGTCTGTAAAGCGAATCCCGAGTGGATCTCTAGAAAAATTACACCCAAATGATCTATTTGTGGTCACAAATATCGGGATTCATAGTAACGGCCGAGCCCTCCGAGCCCGGGGCCGTTTGTCGTGCCAGCTGACTCACAGGTGATGGTTCCTGGGGCAATGCGGCCTCTTGAGATCAAATCATTTACTGTGTTAGGTATCCGCTTGCATCGCTGCTACATCATAGATGTAAGGCGATTGTGCCAAAAATCAAGGGGCATGTATTTTAGTGAAGAAGATTAATACAGAGAGGTGTTAACTAGATTAGGTTTCGACGGCGATTCCCTAGCTCACAATTGGTCCAAACTTACTAAGGTACCCATCTTCCAGGGAATGAAGTGCGGCTGAAGGCGAAGGATTGAAAAGTTATGACCGTGCCAGCGAGACGTTTTTAATGTAATGGGCCGGTGTATTAGTTCGTGGAGAGCTATGGAAGACCTAACCGAAATCCAAATCATCTTTCATTACGGTACGAATACAAAGCATCGGGGTTCATGTTGCTCGGGCTCTACCTCTCTGCCACCTAATTTTTGACCCATGAGGGTCCATGTGGCCATGATTCCGTCAGATCGCATTCCTAATGGGGCGAATGATTTCGCCCGGGCGAAAAGTAAGCCTCCCATTTATCCAATCAGCAGCGGCGTAGAAAGGCCCAGACCTGCGGCTAGCCGACCCTGTGTCGGAAAAAACCCCGATTTGTATCTCACATGGTATCTCTCTTGGTATCCACTATGCTATCTCTCATGGTATCCACCATTCTATCTCTCATGGTATCCCACATCGCCTTTCTAAGCCACCCGTTTTCATGTCTGTAAGAACCAATGGACTCACAGTATCTATCCGACTGACCTGATTCTCGTCGCGGCTGCAGCACCTGGCAACAAGAGGCCTTAGCGTAATGGGTAAACTATCCAGCCCCGACCATACGCTCCGTTTACTCCGGGCTTTGCACAACGTCGCCGTCCTTTAATCTCCTGCCGGGCAACGTGCGTGGTAGGTTTTATTATCAATTTAATAATAAATATTAAAATGTCAAAATAATAAAATACAACAAAAATACTCATAAAACACAAATAAAAAATCCAGCGCAAGAGGACATTTTAGACTAACTCCAGATCCCCAACCGCCCCTCTAGATCCCGGATGATCCTCACTTAGCGTGAAATTTTTCCATGGAACTCCACAGGACCATTCATGATCTACGTCTCATTCGTCCCCCTTTGCTTAACTGCCTTGACGACGCGTGGACAGTCAAATTAGGATCGACAGTTATACGATTTCTTTGTCGTAAATGGAGACGAAGCCAGAGTGTTGGGTTGGGCCTCAGTGTATGCAATTTAACCACTGAGTACTTCTACTATTTTGAGTTCCGCAATAGTTTGGTAGAGATAGAACGCGCCGAGCCGTCAATTACGTTAAGGCTAACATGGGGTTGGAGGATGATAGATAGAGCGAATAGATAAAAGGAAGAGACTGAAAGGGGGGAGTGAGAAGTATCTTGTAAGCGCCCGACCGGGCTAAGTGAGGGAGGGCCTGGTTACTATAAAGGGGTGCCAATCTCGGGGAAGTCTTGGTTGCAAGTGGAAATGTGGAGAAGAACTTGCTGAACACCGGCTCGGGAGGATGACTAACTGCACTCGGCGGGTGCAGAATAGTGGTGGTCTAGGGTGATCGGGCGCGAGCGGCGGTGTGCGTTAAAGTTACTGGAAAGGCGGCCATTTCTGAGCCAGAAGCTGTTATTTTCGCCGTCGTTTTCACAAGCCCATATATTCTACTTGTACAGACTGCTCAAAGCAGCAGTGGTTAGAAAATGATATAAGCAGTTATAGATTAGCAAGTGACAGACTAAAGTATTGTTCTCGAATCTAATTGGGAAAGAGGCGCTAAGTAGATAATAGCTTTATATGTGCATAATTCTGACCGCCTTCCAACAACTACGGTTGTGTAGTGTAATGGTTCATCACTCCAGATTCTGATTCTGGCGATCCCGGTTCGATCCCGGGCACGACCTTATGTTTTTGTGTCTTTATTTCACATCTACCTCCTACACATAACATGCTTCTATGTCACTTACTCAGAGAGAATAGTTGCCCTGTGATTAGGTTGCCTATTTGACAGGCCATGTGAACGGCCAGGGAATTAAGGACCCCCTGTCGCTTTTACGTTGGCATATTGACAAGGATGCGTCTAGAGACGCTAGACTTCTTCTTGACGTTGGGATGGCTTTCGAACGTAGGCCAAATGGTACACTTAGGCGAAAGCCTAAGAATCCGGTATATAGTCTTCTGCACACTCTTCAGGGCTGTTATGCCAGTCATCCGAGCATAGCTAAGAGTATCTTCAATCGACTGTTTACGCTCGAGGTCCCTAAATATCACCTCGTTTGGATCGTCCCCTCTTTGCCTCCTAGCATTCTTAAGCCAACTCTTCCATAGATCCGCATACTCTCAACTCTTCTGCGTCATGTAGGAATCTTGACAAGATTGCCCTGCTTTATAGCGAGCGGTTAGAAGTGTGGTCTGGAACAGGAAATCTCAGTTCGCTGGTTTATCTATTATGGCAGTAATTATGTAGCTTGCACGCATGTTATGGCCGATCGACTCAACAGGAAAAGTGGTATGTGGCGAATGTGGCCAGTGAACTGCTTGATTACCTGTGTCCGTTTCTTCACCTTATGGATAGACCACATTGTGGCGAATCCCAATCCAAGATGACCATATTTGATACATGGAGCGAATGTACTAGGCAGGAAAAGTTGATGGACTCATTTAGGTCCTCACGGGTGAATAGATATCTATAAGTAGTGGTATAGCGGTATAGCCTGCCCATAGAGGCGAACTATTGTCTGGTCTTGTCAGTGAGTCTGTGAATTATTCACCGTGTCTGTATGTATAAGGGATGGATACAATTTATAGCTGGTGTCGAGGATGGAGCTATTGGGGAACACCCCGATTACAACCTGATGTTTTTGAGCCATTCTCAGGGATATACGCAATCATACCTGAGGATTACGAAATTCACTATGCTGAACTTAATTTTCATGCCTGAACCTCAGCTCGATCTTTATAACTGGTGTGATTGATATCTTAGCTCAATTTACACGTTCTCCCAAAGTTTGCTATGTTCAATCTAGTCCCCCACTCATCATTGGAGATCGCTTAGGCGGAAGATTATTCTACATAGAGTCACCTCGAGTTCCCATTTGAAAATTCTGTGGCAGACGGGTATGAGTAGCATTGGAGTGTGGGGTCAGTAATTCCCCTCCGTTTGCTCCCAGGTGCCAGCGATTGCATGTCTTATGGAGAGAGAGAGGGGAGGGTGGGGGCGGGGATCTAGTTTTCTTCCTTCTCCATCCCTCTCAGAATACAGACCTGAACCCCTCAAGTGCTTCAAATCTTCTATTTGCCGGCGAAGACCATGTAGCGCCGTCTTCCCCTGGACGACAGCAGGATCCAGTTGTCGATAAATAGGACATGTGTTGGTTAATTACATAACGTGTTTTCCGCCGCTTTGGCACTGGGGAAATCAAATTGCTGGGGCTTTGAAACTTGAATGTTTACTATCAAGTGGTTTGAACTTATCTACATACCTATCAATTGATGTAATCAGGTGTGTGTAAATACATGTAATGTTCACTGTCAGATTTCCGAGTCTCTCAATGTGGAGAAATATATATTAAGACCCACGTGTGTTACAACTATGTACTCGGTGGTTTCAGCCCTCCCCTTACACATGTAAATTAACATCAGGAATGAGCGTTGAATAATCTTGGAATATCCGACAACGGAAGTTACATGCATCAATATTTACTCCGGGCTTTAAACATCTTATGGGTTGCTTAGATATGCTAATGTTATAGGTCATCTCATCAGGAGCATATACGCATTAAATGGTGAAGTTATAGCATACCTCCGAAAGGGTTTAGGCTGGTACCAACATCCGAGATGTATAAAGAGACTCAAAAATGCTAAAATCATTTTGAGGCGCTCCTCTCTTCAACCTGATGATCTCCGCCTTGGTATAAACAAGTTTGATTTCATAAGCTGTAAAGGGCACTTGCGATCATCAACTTCGGTTGTGTAGTGTAATGGTTCATCACTCCAGATTCTGATTCTGGCGATCCCGGTTCGATCCCGGGCACGACCTTCTTTTTGTTTGGTTTTTTTGGGCCCGCTAAAGATTATAGGTAACTTTTGTGGGGAAGAGAATTAGTCATGATATTGTTGTCTAGGTCTATAATTTAAAATAAAGACACTTTCTCAACAACTACGGTTGTGTAGTGTAATGGTTCATCACTCCAGATTCTGATTCTGGCGATCCCGGTTCGATCCCGGGCACGACCTTTTCGTTTTGGAAATTTTCCATAACAATTTCCATCTTTTATAATTGAAATTTTGGTCAGCTACTGAAACATACCCTTTTGCGTATAATTGCCTATCCATATACGGTCCTCCCCTTCTTACGGGTATCGATGCTGGACCAAGGATCGTCCCAAGGCTATGTGTTGGTTCTACCTACTACTAGGTACTAGTCATGTTGATCTAAAACTTTGGATGCTTGCCACCTTGTCTAGTTATCTGACTACTCTGGCGTGATACTGGTAACGTTGGCAACTTTCATACGTTCTCAGATTGGGTCAGGTACTGTATAAGTGAAAGCAGGCAAACCTTTTTCTATTCGATTCGATTCAAAGGGCGACATTATCTCTAATGCCTAGATACAGCACTTTTGAGGGACCATATTCCCTTTACCGTCTTATAATATACAAACGCCAGGCGCAGATGCAAAGTAGACATACACAGAGGGGGAATCCTTATGATTTTATTCATTCAAATCCAATCCAATCGCCCTCTCCGTCGTCGGCGTCGGCGTCGGCCATTTGGTCGTCATCTTCCTCAACTTCACCTGCAGTCATGGCTAACATTGCGCTTGATGACTTCTTCTCGCCGAGAATAGGCTTAGAGAGAAGAAAATTGAGGTCGTAGAGGTTCTTTTCAGTCAAACGCTTGAGGTTTTCACGAATATCATCAACGGCTCGCTGGACAGCGCGAAGTTCAGGGGCAAATGTTCCCGAATTTTCCTTGAAGTATCGGCCGTGGCAGCTGAACAAAGACTCAATCCACAGCAAGTTAAATTCAAGATGAGGGGTTTCATCGGCTGCATGTGCGACAAAGCGAAGCAGGCGGGGCAAGTAGACCGTTGGCACGGAACGGACCACATGTGCAATATCCGAAGGTGGGATCGACTCGTAAACGGCACGGATAATCTTGGATTCGTTTAAGCGGAATGCCATGACTAGCGCCTTCAAGTAGGTGTTGTCTTCATCAATTGTGCCAGTCGCGGCGGCATTCTTGGCGGCTTCCACCGTGGCAAGAATACTGGAGGGAGTAATCGTGATGTCAAGATCAAAGGGATCAAAGACAAAGTCGTCATCCAGGCTGTAGATGAGAAGACCCTCAGTAGACGCAGCGCAGAAGGCGCGGCCAGTTGGGGCAAAATCGACCGAGGTCACTCGTACTTCAGGCCGAGTAGTACGAGCACCAGCATCGCCACGTTTCGCACCAGGGAGCGTAGTATCAATGCGATCTTCCTTGTCAGACGCCTCTCCGGTTTCATCAATAAGGGCACGAGGTCCAGCCTCGGTGAGATTACGGCTGTTCAGGAACTCCTGAGTACCATCTAAAGACAAATTCACCGAGACCGTATACTTTTTGATCAACGAGCCCGTACTAACATCATACAAGCAGATGTACTTGCTGTTACCACCGGCCAAGATACAGCTACCGTCTGCGCTGTAAGTGATACGGTTGAAGGACTTGGTTCCAGCTGCATTTGCGGCAGTTGTGCGATCGGACACTTTCCGGCCACCAGATACGTCACGGCGTCCATCAACAGCACCTTGTTGAACAGCATCCTCCACCGACCAGAATGAAAGCTGACCATCCAGGGTTGAGGCCGCAACCTGTTGACCGTCGGGTCGGAAAGCCACGCTGAGAACATCAGACATAAGCTGAAGAGGCTCGCTGGTTTGTGTTCGGCCGAAGATACTCCAGATTCGCACCGTGTGGTCCCAACTGCCACTGACCAGGTGGTTTCCATCCGCAGCAAAGCCAAGAGCGGACACGGGACCCTCGTGGCCAGAAAGCTGATCAAGCAATTGGCCTGTCTGCACGGACCACACATGGATATCGAAAGAGTCTGGGGAACCAGCACAGATTACCTCTCCACTGGGGTCCACTGCTAGAGAAGAGAACGACAGTCGGGAAGGTGCGGTGAAAGTGCGGAAGTTACGGTATCGAATCAAATCCCATGCTCGAATGGAACCGTCCAGGGATGCCGTAAACAGAACGCTTCCCTTCTTAGCGAACTCGCATGCAGTTACTCCGCTAGTGTGTTCGGTGAAGGTCACGATACAGAAGCCTGATTTCACATCCCACACCTTGATCTTGCCGTCGTCGGAGGTGGTCACAATCTTCTGTCCATCCGGGGAGTAAGCTAGGGCATTCATAGAGTCAAGATGACCCTGCTGCTTCAAAATATAGGATTCTGACTGCCACTCCCATACCAGCAACTGGCCGTGTTTGGAAGATCCGAAAGCAAGCCATTCTCCAGACAGGTTAATTGTGACAACATCAATGTTGCTTTGTGAGACACTGAATGAAAACGATCAGTTAAAATTGAGGAGCACAGAGAAGACAAGGCTTTTACAAACCTCAGCAAATTAATCATGTTAAACTCGGGCAAGTCATACAGCCCGAAGAGACCGTTAGAGAAGCCAACCACCAGCAGGTTAGAGGGTGCGTGGAATGAAGCGCAGTTGACTTTCGCATCATTCTGCATGAAGAAATTCTTCTTTGTGATTCTCCAACGAGCCTCGTCAATATCTTCATCGGTCTCCGGGTCTTTCTTCGTCACATATTCCCAGCGGAAAAGGGCTCCATCCTGGCTAACGGTGTAGATGGATTCCTGGTTTGCGTCAAAGTGTGCCGTCACTACGCCCTGTCGGTGGCCTGCAAGAGTGGTGGGCTCAAATCCATCCTCCGGGTTTAAGCTCCATACACGCGCAGTCAAGTCCCGGGATGCGGTAAGCAAAAACCGGGAGTCACTCGACCACTCAATATTTTCAATGGAGTCAAAGTGTGCGGCAAGGTCTCGGTGCAGAACGAACGGTGCAAACTCAATCTCGCCATTAGTTTCGGTTCCAGGGGTAGATGGGGTCTGCCAAATTTGCAAGCGTCTGCCCACGCCTACTGCGAAATGCCGACCAGACGGGGAAAATTTGAGCGAAGTGACGCGCCCCTTGAAAGAGAAGTTGTGGATGGCGATTCGTCGTTGGAAATTGGTCAAAATTGCCCGACCAGTTTCGTCAACGGTCAGCAGCAGGTTTCCTTTCGGGGATAGATCCAGGCGATCGATGTTGGTGCGATGCGAAAATGGGAGGGTATAGGAGGTGTTGCTGCAAAAAGATAGTCAGTAATCAAGAATTCCAAATCCTTTATGATCATTGACCGCATCGTAGCAGTAGAAGCGCACTTACTGTACGAGGTCAAAGACTGTGACCCGATTGCCTACGGGCGAAAGTAGACAGGTGCCATCGGGAGTAAAGAGCAGATTGCCCTTACGGTAGACCGTTCCCAAAAGATTGGAGAACTATGATTTCAATGGTTAGACAAGCTGTATCTGTGACAAAGTTTCAATGCTGAAAGGTATTACTCACCTTGAAATCGGTCTTCATTTTACCACTTTGCGACAGCTTCACGGTTGCAAAATTTCAAGCTGATTAGCGGAAACCATGCGATAAGCGTCGCATCATTAATTTATCCGAATCCGTTCCAAAAATGGTATAGTGTTATGCGCTAAACCCAGATAGGAAAGGGCCAGCTCTACTCCAGAAAACGAAAGGAGATTCAGGGGGGGGGAAAGAGCAACTGCTGGTCAATCAGGTTCACATCCCCTTTTTACTATCTCAAGCTTTTCTTGGGGGCTTTGTCTTTTCATCTTCCCCTCTCTTGAGCAGTCTTCTTTTTTTTCCTTGTCTTCATCCTTTTCTCCATTCTAGCCCACTATGTCGACAACCGAGACTGCCACGCCTATTGGCATTGCCAATGTAAGCTATTTTCCGCGAATCTCCAAAATGGAAGTTGATCGGATTGGGTGCTAATGAATATGTGCCCTTGTATAGCTCCCCAACCAGCGGTATGTACCCGATTGAACTGAGCCGATAGCTTGAATTGGCCTAGGATAAACAAACTAATTGATAACCATCCAGACACAAGATTGTCGCGAAGCGGGGTGCGGCGTTCACAATTATGGTTTGTCGGAGCTTGCAATACCGAGATAGAGGTCATTGTCGACTAACCACCATTATCGATAGGTCGCTGGAGAGTCTGGATTGGGAAAGACCACCTTCATCAACACTCTGTTCTCCACCACTATTAAAAACTACGCCGATCACAAGCGCCGTCACCAGAAGCAGACTGATCGTACCGTCGAGATCGAGATCACCAAGGCCGAGCTTGAGGAGAAGTTCTTCAAAGGTGAGGCTCCGTGAGGGGGTTTGTTTTGTACAGTCACTGATTTATTATCTATTGTTTAGTCCGCCTGACCGTTATTGATACCCCCGGCTTCGGTGACTATGTCAACAACCGTGACTCCTGGCAGCCTATCATCGAGTTCCTGGATGACCAGCACGAGTCTTACATGCTCCAGGAGCAGCAGCCCCGTCGTGCGGACAAGATCGATATGCGTGTGCACGCCTGCTTGTACTTCATCCGCCCCACTGGACACACCCTTAAGCCCCTCGACATTGAGGTCATGAAGCGCCTTAGCTCGCGTGTCAACCTGATCCCCGTTGTCGCCAAGGCCGATACCCTGAGCCACGCCGATCTTATTCGTTACAAGGAGAGAGTGAGTGCAGGCTAATTGATAGTATTGCAGTCGACAAACAACCCGACTAACCGTTTCTTACTAGATTCGCCGTGTCATCGAAGCCCAGGGAATCAAGATTTACACACCACCTATTGAGGAGGATGATGAGCACGCCGCCACCCATGCCCGCAGCTTGATGGCTGCTATGCCCTTCGCCGTCATTGGTTCCGAGAAGGACGTCAAGGCCAACGATGGCCGTGTCGTCAAGGGTCGTCAGTACGCCTGGGGTGTCGCTGAGGTCGAGAATGAAGACCACTGTGACTTCAAGAAGCTCCGATCGATCTTGATTCGCACCCACATGCTCGACCTTATCCACACCACCGAGGAGCAGCACTACGAGGCCTACCGCGCCCAACAAATGGAGACTCGCAAGTTTGGTGAGGCTCGGCCTCGCAAGCTCGACAACCCCAAGTTCAAGGAGGAAGAGGAGAACCTGCGCAAGCGTTTCACTGAGCAGGTCAAGGTCGAGGAGCAGCGCTTCCGCCAGTGGGAGCAGAAGCTCATCTCCGAGCGCGACCGCCTCAACAAGGACCTAGAGGCCACTCACGCAGCGTATGTTCCTTCTCAATTGGGCTCTTGCTTTCTGCTATCAAATGCTAATTTCCTCCAGGATCAAACAACTCGAGGGCGAGATCGAAAATCTGCAGGGCTCCGGCACCCGCAGCCATGGTCGCCGTTAAGATGGAGTTTTGGGCAACAACCTTTGTCATTCAAAAAGGGAGTATGCGGGCTGTGCACGCTCCTTCGTTCTTTTTCATCTCTTGAGTACCCTACGTCTTGCCGATTCACATGCTTGGGAGGGCGCAAATTCGTCTCAAGAGGCTGGTCCGTTTTGTTTTGTTATATCCATTTACCGCTGGTAGCTAGCGATGGTGTCTACATTCTTGATAATAACCCTCCTATTTTCTGTAGCGCGGGAAAATACAGATTAATCATTCCTTCTGCAGATGAAGACATTGTGTAGCCTGTATCTATAGTTCCAAGCTTAGTAGCTGTTGTTGCATGAAGTATAGGGCCTCGGGCCCAGTTTGGCCGAGCTCCACATGCATCCGCATTTTCTCCAAGCTTCCCCCCACCACTTAGCAGCACTTCTCTCCAGCGACTCTCTCGTCATGCCCGCTAAAAAATTCCCGTCTCGACACTTACATACCCTGAAAACGCATAATGGTAAGACTTGGCGTACTGCAACCTCAGGGCTTGACATAGTACTAACGCCAATTCTTCTCACAGCCCCCGTCAACGCGGTAACCTTCTCTAGCTACCCCGGGACATACATACTCACAGGCTCCTCCGACCGCGCTATTCACTTGTCGCGTGCCGTTCCAAATAACGCTGAAAACTCTGCACAGCCAGTTGAAACCATCGCCCCTATCCAACGATACGAGGCTCATGGTTACTCCGTCCTCGATGTGGCCGTTGCCGCAGACAATGCGCGCTTCGCCAGTGTAGGAGGAGATCGCCAGGTATTCCTATGGGATGTCGAGCAAGGCAGCACAACTAGACGGTGGACTGGGCATACTAGTAGGGTTGAGGCTGTACAGTTCGCCGGCGAGGGTGATTCGGTCGTCGTCACTGGTATTGTCCTGCCCCCAGTCTAAGTCTTTATCAAGTTCCTTGAGATTGCTGACATGTGTTCCGTCATTTCTAGGTAGTGCAGATACTACGGTAAACCTCTGGGATACCCGATCCAAAGACCACAAGCCTATACAGTCCCTCACCGAAGCAGGTGACACTGTTTCGTGTCTGCACGTTCACATGCCATCATATTCTATAGCCAGTGGCAGCTACGACGGCCATGTCCGAGTATACGATGTTCGCATGGGCAAAACAACTGATGATGTTCTTGCACACCCGGTAACGAGTATCCGGTGCTCGGCAGATGGCAATGTACTTCTTGCTTCTACGCTGGATAATTATATCCGGATGCTAGATCGCTCGAATGGAAAACTTCTTGCGGCGTTCGGTGGGTCAGAAAAAGAAAAAGACTCTTTTTCACATGCTACCAAGCCTCTTCATGCTTACCGCAATGATGAGCTGCGAGTCCGCTCTGTCTTTGCGCAAGGCGACGGGGTCGTTCTCAGTGGCAGCGAAGCAGCGAAAAACGACACTAGTCTCGGTGCCGCAGTATTTGCCTGGGATGTACTCAGTGGAGAGGTTGTTGCGACGGTGCCGATGGGCGAGAATGTCAAGGTCGTGAGCTGTGTGGCCTGGAATGAGAATGGCTATTGGGCCGGTGGATGCTCGGATGGTAAGTTCTTGATTCTGTTCGGACTGAAGCCGATTTCGTTTTGTTTTTGGCTAACTCTTTGACCAGGTACTGTCCGGGTCTTTGGTTAAACAAATTATTAACCAACGAATGATCTCCGTCACCCAACGTGTGTGCGCTATCCCAGTCTCCGCATCTAAAGCCATTTTCGTTGATGATTCGCGGCATAATCCCCTATTCAGGACTCTGATTCACTCGACTTGAAACTAGTGGGGGTGGCTCACTATATTGATATTGTTAAGCTCCAAAAAGTACTCCATGCCCATGCCGACACTCGAGGACTAGGTTTCAAGAACAACATTCGTATCGCCATTTACATATCAAAACGAAAGCTTCATCCGTTACTGATGTGCCTGCCTTGAGATTGGTCATCGATGTGACTCATCATCGACCTAATGATCCATTCCTCTCTGAAAATACTACACTGCCACCATCGCATGCCACTTTAGATGGCGCATCGATCGTCCAGCTTTTCACAAACCTTGGCCGCTCCACAATATGATAAATCATCTACAAGGACTATCTAGAAGGCAATACAGGCGAGCCAGAAAGCATGATTCATGTTGGTGATGGCCGATTCTTCGTCTCAGCTGGTCAACGGATGGTCGCAACCCTGAAATACCCCCATCCGATCAACGGCACCGGCCGCATCCATTGGCTGGCTTTGCACACATGCTCATATATGATCCCCATGGTTTGCTTATTGCCAATGCCATTCTGGCATGTCCCGGGGACCTTGACTACCATACGGGTGAAATCGATTATGATGATCGTTATATCTGGGCCACATTATCTCAGTATCGACCGAATACTACAGACACGATCCTTGGCATCGATTCTTGACATTGAAGAAGGAAGCCCTCTTTCGCACCCATGATCATAATGGTGGCATTGTGCACGATATGATCACCGAAAACATCGGAGCTGGCGTAATGCCACAACACAATATGGTTCACGAAAGTCTATCCTCAACAATTCTTCTCTTTCCCCGGCTTCACCAAACCCAGATCTTCTGTAGCAGATCCATTATTGCAAGTTTTTGGTCATCATGCATTACCGAGTGCCATGTCAGCCTGGTTTGGAAGATAGAACGCATAGAAGTGCGAACCTTGGGACTGATGTGTACCTTGCATGTATATCTAGCTATGCATGTATATCTAGCTCTACGCCCCGGCCAAGATACAAAATTAATTCACAAAGGAATAAATAACATTGAATTGGTGGCTGTCGTAGCACCAGAGTATCATATAGTCGAACGAAAAACGTCACATAAACAACAGTGAAAGCTAGTCAAAGCGAGTCAAATTGGGCATGAGGGATCGTGTAATCATACATACATACATACATACTTAGCTTTGCAAACTGCATACAAGAAGAGAAAGAAAACCAGTCGCTTTTCCCCGGTTCACCCTAAACAGTTTATGATTAGGGTGAAAAATCAACTAGGCACACCATCCATGCAGCTAGATAAAAAGAAGAAAGAGAGGAGGGGGAAGAGTACTGTCTTATGCAGTGTTCTCGGTATCCTCGCTTTCCACTTGCGCATTCTCACCCCCTACAACCTCATCATGCATCTTCTCCGCCTCCAGGGCATCGATAGCCCGACGCAACTCATCCTCTCCAACAATAATCGTCCCCGCCCGCGCGGTACTCAAGAAACTTATCTCCACCGCATCAGCTGATAAATCCAAGTCTGGCTTCAGGTGATGCGTAGCCGCGGGCAAGGGCTGATTTGGTGTGGGGCGTTTATTTTTGTCCAAACCACCGAGGGCTAAGCGTGTCCCGAATGTATCAAACAACTCGGTCACAGACCCAATAATACTGCTCGAGTTACCGCTGGCAGGACTCGAGCTCTCATTCGGAACACGTAAGGAGTGATTATCAGTTGCTTCTGCGAGTCGGCCTGCAACGCCGCAAACGATACCGGAAGCTTCGAGAGGCAAGTCGCGTAGGTCGAGCATTATGGGGATAAGGTAGTCTTCTTTTGAGCCTAGGAGGAGGCCTGAGCCATCTTCGTAGTTTTGGTGTGAGGCTGTCGGGCTTGCGAAGCGGGGGAGTAGCCGCTTTTCTAGGAGGAGGGATGCGGCGGGGTCGAGCGCCGCTAAGGTTAGAGATAGGAAGCGTGGTTTGTCAACTAGGAGAGCGGTGGTGAGAGCGTCACGGAGAATGGACATGGAGCTTGCTTCGCTGTTGTATTGGTGGTGGGCGGCGCATTGGACGAGGCGTAAGGATTCATCCACGAATGGAGAGATTTGGCGTTTGCGCAGATTCTCAAAAGTGCGGATTTGGAGCTCGGCGAGCGTTGAGGGGGGTGGAGTGACAGGGGGTATCATATCGCTGAGCTGTTTTTCAACGCATGGAGTTGTTGGGCTGAGAGGAGTGTTGATAAAGGCCGCTGTGGCATTTTCGAATTGGAAGCCTCGGCTTTCGAGGGTGGATATCACACTTGCTTTGCTGTGAAATGGAACGAGGATATAGTCGGAGAAGTAAGTTGAAATGAAGAAGATAGAGCTAGCGTGTCCGTCAGTACATGGCTTCCTTCATGTGTGTATATCAATATATATATGGATATATATATATATATATATTATATTTATGTGAGCACATACATTCCTGCCAGCGCAAGTGGACTAGTCAATTCCAGCACACGCTTGCCAGCCACAAGACCCTGGCCCAGGACTTGCATCGCAATATAGTCATTGTCACTCACAACCAACCGCGAACGAAGTTGGATATCTAACTGGTCAAGCTTGGTGAATGTAGGATCGAAATACTTCTCGACGAGAGCTCTGGGGCAGATCACCGAGACTTCAACTGGGGTGATGGAAACATTCAAAAATGCCGGCTGCCTGTACTCGGGGCCATCATCAAAATCGGCGGACTCATTATCATCGTCATCCTTGGGATCTTCCTCCAATGGAGCGATTTCATCGTAGATCAGTCTCAACACGGACTTGAAGAAATAAGGGTACAGCTCCAATGGAATATGAACGAGTACCAGGCGCTCTTCCTGTAATGGGGTGAATAACCAAGCTAGAAAATTGGGCTGAGGCTCCACTTACCACAAAGTGGACCTGGGCGTCGATCAGAGTCAATGATTGATCCATTTTTGGTGGCAAGTGGCGTATAAAGGGTTGATAGAGGTATAGAGAAAGGCAAGAGGACTCGGAAGCTCGAGAATTACAGTGCTTTGAATTTGCATGGATTCTTTTTGCACGATTTCATGGCGTTTCCAGAAATTACGCCATTGATGCAGCGACCCAGAATGTTTAGTACGTGTTTAACGCCATCGGAACCTAGAGGTTGCATCAGTTGGGATTAGTAAAGAATTAACTGGTCGGAACCAAAAAAAAAAAAAACCACGATGGGAAGAGAAAAGATGAAAGGAAAGGAAAGGGAAAAAGGAAAAGAAAACGAAAACCTCGTGACAGCTAATGATTTACCAAATCTCAGTAAAAATCACTCTTTATCTTCTCTTATCATCCCAACACCAACCCCGCGCTAGGCGCCGCTCCCGGTTGCCCACGGACCTTATGTCATGCATTTTCTCGTACCTGAGTGGGGAAAAACCCTAGTACCTGTGATGCAATTTATATTTGATCTGTTCCTTACCCAATAAGATATGATTTATATATCAATCGGCACCTTGATCGACCGGAAAGGAGCACTGGCCACATGTGCACCGGAGGCGAACATACAGTGATCCTCCAGGTGCACTTAGAAGACTTTTTCACTATCTCTACAGAGCTGTACAGCCGACGACAACCGGCTCTGATGTCCGATAATGGCAAAATTCGGGCATGAGGCCCCGCTTTGCCCTCTATCAGCTCTTGATTGCGGTTGGTTCTCGGCCGGAACGCCGATCTGCGATAAGGAACGTGAGCTGTTCAGTGGAGTCCATATGTGAAACGAGCAAGCGCTCATACCCCCGATATGACGTGGCGACTATCATGGGATGCAAGAGTCTAGAAATCGGTTTTCTGGGCCAGAGCGTCACACACCAAGTTCCAATGGCTGAATATATGATACTATTCAAATGGCACTGAATATAGGGAGGGACGGCGTGGGAAAAGGTAGGAAAATTACCTGGAGACAGATTTACTCACCCTAACCAACCGACGTCTACATGTTTAGGTGGAACACACCCCTTCAACACGAGAAAGGCTGTTTATAGCCCAGCGATCTTATTTGTATCATGGAAGATGTGAATATTCACACGTTTTCCAAGCCTGTTTACGATCCCCTCGAAGCGATCGGGCGGTATGCGGCCCCTTGCCTGCGATGGCAGAGAAAATGCCTAATTAGGCCATTCATCTACATGCCACACCAGCCAGCCAACTGTTGGAATGTGTTAGGAGTGAAAAAGAGAACTCCAAGGTACAGTTTAGCCTAGAGCGGCTGTATGCAGGGCTTTGTTTTTACGGTCCTTGAATGACGCTGAAATTGGCATTGCACCAAGCATGACACTGGACAACATTGCTCCCGAACAACATTGCTCCCTAGCGCAGATCAATCGAACATTGTTAAAGGAAGCCATGTCCGTTTTTCTCTGCTGAACAACACCGCCGCCGACACTCGTTTTCGATTCTTATTTTTTTTTTCCTTTTCGGCCACCCTCGCCTCAATCGGCTTGCATTGCTTTGTCGGAGGATTTAGGTATCCCTCTGATTGCAAGTTCGATAGTCATTCGTTATACGACTACAATGGCAAAGTTTAATTTTCTTCTGTTGGCCAGCTGGGCCGCCAAGTTGGTAGCAGCCAAGGATGTCTACCTCGACTGGAACGTCACTTGGGTCAATGCCTCTCCGGACGGCTTTGAGCGCCCGGTAATCGGCATCAACGGTCACTGGCCGTGTCCGCAGATTGACGTGAACGTTGGTGATCGTCTTATTGTGGACGTTTACAACGGCCTCGGAAATGAGTCCACTGGAATTCACTGGCACGGAATGCGCCAGTATGGCACTGGTGTCATGGACGGATCCACCTCTGTTACCCAGTGTGGGATTCCCCCGGGACAGCATATGCAGTATCATTTCGACGTAAGTTGAGAGTTACACTTCGATGACATCCTGGCATCAGACTAACACGTTTGGCCAGATTAATCAAACTGGAACATACTGGTATCACTCGCACACCATGGGCCAGTATCCTGATGGATTCCGTGGACCATTGATTGTTCATGACCCCAAGCCCCCATTCCAATACGATGATGAGTTTACCCTTACTTTGAGTGATTGGTATCATGACCAAATGCCGGACCTGCTCGCCAAGTACGAATCACAGGCAAACGAGGCAGCCACCCACGGTGAAGAGCCGCTTCCTAATTCCGCACTCATCAACGATTCTACCAAGACTAAGATCAAGGTTAAGCCGAACAAGACTTATTTGGTGCACATCGTTTGCGTTGGTAATTGGCCAGGCCACGTTTGGGTATTTGATGGACATGAGATGACTGTGGTTGAGGTGGATGGAGTGTACACTGAACCCTACCATGTAGGGGACAAGAACGTTCGTATTGCCACTGGACAGCGTATGAGCGTTCTCATTCACACCAAGTCGGACACCAGCAAGAATTTTGCTATCTGGGATAGCATGGACGTCAACATGATGTTCATCTATGAGAACCGGTCTATTCCCGCGGGCTTTAACCCCAATGCTACTGCATGGCTTGTTTATGACGAGTCAAAGCCACTGCCACCAGCACCTGTAATCAATTCGTTGGACTTTGTGGATGATGTTGCTTTCATTCCGGCTGATCACGAGCCTCTACTCGAGCCGGTGAACCATCAGATTATTTTGGATGCCTCCAATGCCACGATCAACGGTATGCCTCGCTTCACAATCAACAACCAGACCTACCTCGCGCAGGATGTGCCCACTCTGTACACTGCCAACACAGTGGGCGCGGAGTTTGCATCGAATCCTGCAGTTTATGGACAGGTCAACCCTTTCGTGGTGAAGCACAATGAGGTTGTTGAGATTGTTATCAACAACCATCACGAGAACCTTCACCCATGGCATTTGCACGGGCACCAGTTCCAGGTTCTGCAGCGATCTCTCGAAGGTTACTTCACTGGACAATACTTCAAGAATGTCTCAAAGACTCCGATTCGTCGGGATACAATCATGCTTAACCCCCATGGACACGCTGTCCTGCGGTTCCGTGCTGACAACCCTGGTGTATGGCTACTTCACTGCCACGTCGAATGGCACGTCTCAGCTGGTTTGATGGCAACCATCATTGAAGCCCCTGAGACTTTCCCGGAATCCGAAAAACCCCCTCCTCAGAGCCACTACAAAGTGTGCGCCGCGTACCCGAATCCCATTTCCGGGAACGCCGCTGGTAAAAATGGATTGGATCTCTCGGGTGCAAACACCAACGTTCCCACTGAAGAGTACGGCGCCTTGTATCCCGAACATGTGCCGGCTGTCAAGACCACAAATACAGCTAATGTTGCACCTGCTGTACCGGCTGCTGCGCAGGCTACTACGGCGAACGGATCTGGAGCCCATCAGCCTGCTCCCCAAGTCCCGGCCCCTCAAGTTCCCAAAGCCGCTGCTCAAGCTCCTAAGCCCGCTTCTAAGCCTGCTCCCGAGCCCGCGCCAAAGCCAGTTGCTCAAGCTCCCAAGCCCGCTGCTGAAGCTCCTAAGCCCGCTGCTCAAGCTCCCAAGCCTGCTCCCCAAGTCCCGGCCCCTCAAGTTCCCAAAGCCGCTGCTCAAGCTCCTAAGCCCGCTTCTAAGCCTGCTCCCGAGCCCGCGCCAAAGCCAGTTGCTCAAGCTCCCAAGCCCGCTGCTGAAGCTCCTAAGCCCGCTGCTCAAGCTCCCAAGCCTGCTCCCCAAGTCCCGGCTCCCCAAGCGCCCAAGCCAGTTGCTCAAGCTCCCAAGCCGGCTCCCCAAGCGCCCAAGCCAGTTGCTCAAGCACCTAAGCCAGCTCCCCAGGCTCCTAAGCCAGTTGCTCAAGCTCCCAAGCCGGCTCCCCAAGCGCCCAAGCCAGTTGCTCAAGCTCCCAAGCCGGCTCCCCAAGCGCCCAAGCCAGTTGCTCAAGCTCCCAAGCCGGCTCCCCAAGCGCCCAAGCCAGTTGCTCAAGCACCTAAGCCAGCTCCCCAGGCTCCTAAGCCAGTTGCTCAAGCTCACAAGCCCGCTCCTTATGCACCGGCTCACCATGCTCCAGCCCCGGCTCCTGAGTATGCTGCCCCTCATCATGCTCCAGCCCCGGCTCCCGAGTATGCTGCCCCTCATCATGTGGAAGCTGTCCCCGCCTACCCTCCTTACGATGAGCCCATCTACGCCCACGAGCATGATTCCGAGGGCCCCTGGCCTCAGCCTCATGTGGATGAGAGCTACGGTCAAATTGGTGATGGATACGATAGTCGCCCTCCAACCTACGGGTACACCAAGGATACCAAGGGTCCCTGGCCTAACTCTCACAATGACATGTCTCAGGCTCAAGTTCCCGATGGACCTGACGGCAAGCCTATCATCGCTCACACCGACGATACAAAGGGTCCTTGGCCTGCTGTCCAACAAAACAACAACTACGTTGAGGATGGTGGTCACATCATCCGTCCTGCGCCAGATTCTGGGTAAGTTCCTTCTCTTTCATGGATGTCAACATTGCTAAGTTTTTTCAATAGACTCAACGATCTCCCTAAGGACTTCCAATACTGGGGCCAGTATGAGTAATAGACCAACTTATTTGCATGTCTTACAGGCTTGTACATAAGCATTGTGTTGCTATCTGAATGTCAGCAACTAGATCAGTCTTTAATCTAATGTCAGCAATATACGATTCTTGTGGCTTCTGCTTTCAAAAACAAATTTAACATGTCAATGATGTAAGACCATCAATACTCTCTATGGATGCGCAATCCCCAGCTACCCGAGAATGTACATAAAGGGTACCGTCTTACCACTGGAATCTCGGGCTTCCGCATGCAGCCACGCATGGGTGCAACATTCCACATCTTTCCCCTCTTTCCCCACAGAGTCCTAGTTACAAATGTATCTTGCTAGAGTAATCCATCATCTAAGTAGATATCCATCCTACTAGGTACTCTCTTACGTACTCTTCATAGGTACTTCAATACATCACTTTTCAGGAACTAGACATTCAGGATCCATAAATGCAGCTCTTACAACTTTGATCATCTACGATTAACCTGAGGGATTAAAACATGTGGCTCCTTTGATTGAATTCTCATAATTGGACTTGTCATTTCGTCAGTATAGCGTACCCAAGGCACGATCCGATCTGTTTCATCCAGGAACGCCGGATCCGGGAGCCTACCCCCTCTGACCCCCCTTGTTCCCCGCCATTAGCAAATATCTCAATCCCATTCAGCCTTGGACTATCCTTATTCTCGGACTCGGTTAACACTAGTCCCGACGTTCTCTGCCCGTGGATCTTGTCAATTCTCCACATTTACTGTTTTCATGCACATCCATCTACGTTCATGATGCTTGTAGGCCCGATCCGGATATCTCTGTTCTCAGTATTAGTTCAAGTTAGAATAAATTCAAGTCACCTGCTGTACTATTACGAATGAATTAATCTTTCAATTTCGTTGCGTCTTAGTCAATCCTATAAATCGATTTTCTATCTCAATATTCCAGATTTATCGCTATTCACCATGACGAAATGGATGATGGGAGACCGTTTTGATACGGTATTTCCCCACAAAGGATCTATCAAGGCTCTATGGGAGACAAAGTGGAAGTTTTGTGTGAGTATACAGCTATTCTATGCAATCTATGCCTTGAGAATAGACATAGGGCTAACCTTGCATGACACATACAGTGCCAAAAATCCATCTACCCATTCCACGATGGCGCTTTCGAGGACTTTGAGCCTATCTTCGAAAAGCTGATTGCAGTGAGTGATGCTCTGATCTATATCAGTGACTCGAGTGTTAACAAAACAGGGCAATATCAACGATCCCTTCACAGACGCTTACACCAAAGCCTTCCTGCCAATAGTAGACGAGCTCGAGAAAGAAGCCATCAAAGCCCTCGAGTACGACCACCCTGACCGCGCAGCTGACCTCTATCGCCGCGCATCAGTCGTCCTCCGGATCGCGCGCTTCCCCTACGTAAGCCCAACAACACGCCCAGACAACGCAATCAAACGCGCAACATTCGACCGCCAAAAGGACCTCTACCTGAAAGCCGCATCTCTCTGGAACCCCATCATCAAAGAGGTGATAATCCCACACACGCACCGCGCCGCAAATGACGGTCCCAATATCCCGCTATACATCCGCGTTCCGGCCGAAGCAAGCGCTTCGAACCCCGTTCCTGTTGTGCTCCTCATGACAGGACTGGACGGTTATAGGCCTGATAACAGCCAGCGGACGCATGAGATCATTAACCGGGGCTGGGCGGCGGTGATTTGTGAGATTCCGGGGACGGCGGACTCGCCGGCTGATCCTGCGGATCCGGAGTCGGCGGATAGGCAGTGGACTGCTGTGTTGAAGTATATGGCGACACGGCCTGAGTTTAACATGAGTCGGGTTGCGGCTTGGGGGCTTAGTGCTGGTGGGTTCTATGCTATTCGGGCGGCTTGTACGCATCGGGATCAGCTTGTTGGTTCTGTTGCTCATGGGCCTGGGTCGCATCACTTCCTTAGTCCTGAGTGGTTGGCTAAGGTGAATGATCATGAGTATCCGTTTACGTGAGTCGAGAGTTATACAAGTTTGGATTGAGTTGATGCTGACGTTTTGAATGTAGGATCACGGATTGCTGGGCTGAGAAGTATGGCTATTCTAGCACGGAGGATTTCATTCAGAATGCCCAGAAGAAGTTCTCGCTTGTTGAAACTGGTGTTGTTGACCAGCCTAACTGCCGCCTGCTGCTGCTAAACGTTTGTCTTCCCGTACTAATATTGATCTCAAGCTGACATTTGCTCTAGGGCGTGAACGATGGTGTTGTTCCGGTTGAAGATTCGCTTGTCCTGTTTAACCACGGCGGTCCAAAGGAAGGTCGCTTCTTTGAAGGCATGGTGCATATGGGATACCCGAACAGCCTGCCGGTTTCCTACAAGTGGCTGGAGGATGTGCTGTCTCCCAACAAAAAGGAACTTAAGAACTAGAGCAAATTTTGAGTCTTCGGTGTATGATTTTCATAGTTTCTGTCCTTGTTAATTTAATTCTGGATTATAACTTTTGCTACATTTGATCAGTTTCACTGCGTATCGAACTCGATGGAACCAACTATTGAGTAGAATGTCCGTTGAAAGGATTAAGTATCTCCATGAGGAATCTCAATTAGCTCGCTTGAATTTTGGTTGTCTGAACTGAAAAATGAGGTAGATATCGAACCGCCAAACGCCCGTAATGCACGCAAGGCTGCCCTTGCCTTGCGTCACGCCCAGATGGGCCGAAAAGTAAACCAGAAAGTCGTATAATGCACAATAATACAGATATTTAGTCGTCATCAACTCGGGCGCGCTTCGATCCACGATCCTCCTCGGCTTCCTGGATTCCGTAGCGTTTCTGACCTGTGGTCACATCGGCAATCATGCTGTCAATGCCGAATGGGTCCGCGGTGTCCTTTTCAAACTGAACGGGACCTTGGCGCTCCTATTAAATAACACTCATTAGCTAGCAATTTCTTTCGTGAAATTGAAGATCTGCTCACCTCGGCATCAGCAGCACCACGGAAACCTTCCTTAGCCCGTCCAAGAACCTCAAACCGATTGGTCTTCTGGAGCTTGCTCATCTCACCCTCATCGGCTCCCTCATCGTCGGCATCAGCCTGAGCCCGAGGACGATAGATACTGTTGATAGCGTCCTGCGCAGCGAACAGCGGCTTATCATAAGGGTTGTCTTCGTTGAAACCGGCATTCATGCCGCTAGTCTGGTTGAATAGACGCGAATCCCACATGGATTCGGAGCTTTGGGTTGGCTTGGCCAATCCAAGAGCCACCTTCTCGGAGATATCACGGTTCTGCTCGCGCGCCATAGTCTGAATCCGACGCTCTGTTCCCATGCGGGACTGACGAAGCTGCCGCTCATTCTCCTGTCGCCGTTCACGACGTTCCCGCTCGCGCTCCCGAGCTGCACTTTCGTCTTCGCTCGGGGTACCAGACCTCGAGGAGTAAGAGGAAACACTGCGGCTGGCACTACGGGAGCGAGACCGGGCTCGAGAGTCACGACGGCTCGGCCCAGCACGCTCCTCGCGGGCCTTCTGTGCCAATTGTCGTAGATGCTCCTCCTTTTGAGCCTTCTCCTTCTCCGCCAACTTCTGCTGCATCTGAGCGCGGAGTTGGACCTCCTCACGAGCATGACGATCAGCCGTGAACAAAGCTTCAGCAAACTGAGCGAACTTGTCGTTAATCGAGACATCCTGCAATCCACGACCATCCGCAGCCAAACGCTTATCCAAAGGAACAGTGTAACCCTTCGGGTTCTTCCAGTTCGACACGGGCGGGGGAATCTTCCAGGCTTCTTGGTCTTCGGCCGTGAGCTTCCTGGTTGGCGAGTGCATCACGGGAGGTGGAGGAGATGGCGGGCCACGAGGGATCTTCTTGTGCTTAAACTTGGGAGGTTCCATAGGATCCTGCTGTCGTTCCACGATCTTCATAATACGGTCATTTTTTTTGCTATTATCGCCCATCTGGTTCGCCGGCGTGTATCGGACAAAAGTCGGCTCAGCTCTGCTTCCGCCCTTGACGTTCTTGGGCTTCTGTGCGGACGCAGCTCCCTCCACCAGGATAGCCAACGCATTCTTTGTCTTTTCCATCTGTGCCTGAATATCCTCTTCGGAGGGTCTGTCGAGAGAAATTTCTCCCATATCTACCCGCTGCCGTAGTGGAATCAAATCTTTGAATGAGGCGTGAACGATGTGGTTATCGCTGTGTCCGCGGCGTGCGATCGCATCGTATTTGACTTTGCCCTCGGCATCGACCTGGACTGCAAGCGCATTCGATGTTGACGGTGTTCCCTTACGACCCATGTCGAGGGGGTACTGTGCCACTAGAATCTCCGGGAACGCGCCGCCGTCGCCAAAATCCTCGGGGGCTCGCGGTCGCCATCCTGTGCGGTTTCCGTAGGGAGGGGGGCCAGTTTTCTGGAAAACAAAAAAAAATTCAAGTCAGCTTACAACGGAGTTGAATCAATCTGTAGAGAGCTTACCCGCAGGACGACTTGAGTTTCGTCGAGCTGGTCGGCGCCCACCACACGCGGACCACGAGCTTGTGCATGCTTAGGTATCTCTTCCTCCTCGCCAGTGTATTTGGGCTTGGGGAGGGACTTAAAAAGCCCCGACGCAAGAGAAGTCATTGTGAGACTTGAGAGCAAAGCGAAGCTGTCAAGTCAGGGTGGTTGGGTGTGATGAAGATCTCGAAGTGATGCGCTTGGCTTTTGGGGAGCTGCGCAAGAGGTGTACTAAGTCCGCCCTACTAGTCCCTACTGTATCTCCCTACTAAAGCATCAGCATTTTACTTTTATTTCTATTCTTGCTCTTGCTTTTGCTTTTGCTTTTGCTTTTGCTTTTGCTTTTGCTTATAATTATATCTTGAGCTTCAGAATGTTTAAAAATCTTCAAATATGAATAACCAGTCAATTCTTATGTTTATAAAAGCTCTTGTAGATAACACGAGACAATATTGTGTGGCGACTGTCGAGGACAGAAAATGCAATACAAGTACAACACAAGCAGATACCTCCAAATGATCAAGGCTCATACCTGCTGGGTATTAAAATGCTCAGGCAGAAACTAAGTGTGCGCGCATGGGACAAGAAATTGCTTCTTTATCACCAACATCCACATAATGATCACAACCTTGGAACGTGTACCAAACTCGTAGTCGCTTTGGCAACAAAGGTGCAGGGTCATAGAATCCCATGAGGTGGAACTAGAGCATCCAGATCAGTATATCACAGAAGATCAAATTGTAATAGTACAAGACTTACTTTAACGGTTTTGCCAGGGATATTTAGTTGACCGTCATCAACCAGTGCAGCCACCGGAATCGTCACATCAATGAGTCGAGACTCGGGGAATTTAGCCAGCAGCTTCTTGTTCCCCGCGGCCACATATCCGTATTCAGCCTTGGTAATAACTAAACCGTCCTTCTTCGCTTCCCGATCCTGCCGTCTTTGTACTTGATCGGTCATAAGCTCAATGGCTTCTAGGCTCTCCGCTCGCTTTTTAGGAAGGAGCTTCTTCAGCTCATTGTGACGACGAGCCGCCGCTTGACGTCGATTCTTTCGATCGCGTGGTCTTATGTAACCGAATTCGACAACACAATAAGCTAACCACGGGACAAGCGTAGCGAAGACCGCAGCATCCTGGTTAGCCTCACTCGCAGGACAGAGGATGACAGGAATATTGAAGCCTTGACCAAGGCGGTTCCATGAGAAGGTCATGTGCACACCAGTTTGTGCAATACCGACACCCAATCCAACAGTGGTGTACTCGCCAACCCGCCGGGTTCCCTTGACAGTCCAGCTAGGCGTGAGGTCTAGACCAATAACATTAGTAATCTCGAGTCGCACCGCGCGAGCCTCCTCCATCCTCGGCATGGGAGTGTATCCCTCGCCGCTCCACTCAGATCTGACAGGGTCATCGGCTGGCTTGCCAGAAAACACATTTCGACTATATTTCGCGACAATGGCACCTCCCTGGGGGGAAACGTTCAGGTATGTTTCCCACGATTCTGCGGCACGATAGGCAGCCGCCTTCTGTTGTAAATTCGCAAGCTCTTCATCATCGTCATCATCCTCTTCAGAAGACCGCGCTTTACGTTCAGGTACTGAGATAAGACCGATTTGAAAGTGGCTCAAATCCCCCTCTGTGGCTAGTAGGGTTTCGGGACTCGGGCCAAGGAAATCGAAACGATCGAAGAGGAAGTCGGGCCACTCCCATGAACCACTTGACCACGAGCAAAAGGCCATTTTTCGTTTCGTGATCGGTTTTATGACTTGAATATCAAATACAGGAGGGGTTTCAAACATGGAGTGTTTGATAGTGTTAGATGCTGTGACTTGAAATGGCGTAATACCTGGCATCGGCTGAAATTTCCGAGCTATCGTGGTTTTCAAGGCAGACTCGGGAAGGAGGATACCCTCGATAGTAACAGACGAGTCTCTGAGGAATGAAAAAGGACGCCAAGTTAAGATCCCCTTTTTACTTGCCAGAGTCCTGAAGTTGGGGGCAATGGTGGCACCAAGATGTATCGCCTGGGCCTGGGCCACTAAAAGACGAGGACCCGGTAGCTAGAACACAGTTAGCAGAAGAACCTCTACAGACCCAGTAATTGAGAAAAGTTTACCTCCAGCTCGTGCTCTGTCCCATCGAGTTCGAAATGGTAGGGAACCTTTGGACGAGCCATACCACCGGTGACAGCTGCATTAAATATCACCTCTCCAAAGTCCTCTTCTTCGGTTATATCAGCCTCTGTCGATTGGTCCTCTTCCTCGTTGTTGCCCTCATCTGTGGCTAGGAATCCAGGTAGAGGCAGGGGAGTCTTGAACTGATATGTTGCACCAAAAGATGTCAATCTTGGCGATGGAATGTGTATAGACACCTCTTCCATCTCCCGGTCCACTCTGATAGTGTCGGATGCGTTTATCCCAAAAACAATCGTGCCCTATAGTGCCACCAGACCATGTTAGTAAAAGGCTTGTTCCAGGTTATAAGGTATCAAAGCAGTAGACACACCTTAGATGCCACCAGACTTTGAACAGCTTTCCGCTCACGCTTTTTCATTGCGTCCAAGAACCATCGGCGAAACTCTTCGGGGGCCATAGCCTTGACACCCACATCCTGCGTTTCCGCCTTTCCCCCACGACCCATGCTACCATAAATGCCCCATTCACGTCTGACACCCTCCGCCCCCATCATATCATACACAACACGCTTCTGGGGGTTGATAAGGGCATCATAAGCCTCTTGGATCTGGGTGAAATGCCGCCGGGCGGCATCACGGAGGTGAGGTGGTTGCTTGTCCGGGTGGAAGCTAAGAGAAAGGTTGCGGTACGCGGAACGAATATCGGCCTCGGTCGGAGGGGGGTTTGGTGATAGGCCCAGTAAGGCATAGTAGTCGATCTCTTCGGGGTATTCGTCTGCGATCATGCTGTACTCTGCGTCGAGTTCTTCATTCTCCGCACTCGCGCGAAAGCCTCGAGCCGCGGTCGCGGCCTCCTCGCCAAAGAGAGCCGACATCGAGGCTTGTTATTTCCCAGGGTGATATCTAGAAATTTAGACGCGACGAAGCTCCATCTGTATGGTCTTGGGCGAAGGATGGTGGTGCGACGGAGCTAGGTTAAGACCGCATCGGAGAAACCTTCCGGTCCCCGCAGGCCCCGCAAATCGAAGGGAGACTATATTGGGCTTGGAATGAGGATTGTCAATTGGAAAATTTGTAGATTTTAAGTGTCAAAACTTAACTGGACATTTGAATCCAAGGGTGTACTAGTGAATTAGTCTCGATTCCGAGGTAAAAGGTGTCGGAGAATAGTTGGTGCCTGAGGCAAGATATGGCCTTCAGTTGCTACAAAATGACTCCCAACTCATTACTCGTTCGAAAGCCCTGATAATTGAATGATGAAACAAATCACTTACTATGTGCTCCAGGAGTTTGTCTTGACTTTCGTGTGTTGTCAACCGTCGCTAAGTCACATACTAAAGACTGCAAATTTAACTAAAGAAAACGACTTCAATACTTGTCTACCAGTTATTAAACCGTTCCAACTAGTGTAGTGCGGGTAGGTGACGGTGGGGACCAACAGAGCCTCATTCCCCGCTATTCCAGGCAACCTATTTGTTTCAACCCTTCTCCTCAACCAACCCAACAGTCCGCCAACATGAAAGGACCGGATCTGAAACAATTGGGTGAAAAGCCACCGATATTCCGAATCAACCTTTCACTCCCGCCGGCAGAACGATATGTCGCCTTAGCAACATTATACCGTGACAGAATGCGCTCCTTACGAGGCATGTTCGACGAGCTGATCACATCCATTTCTCCCAAAATCCCAATTCGTCTAATTCATAAAATTGCTTGGCTCTGTCTTCGCAAACTTCACACGCGAGAAGAAACCGAGGAACTGCGTGGGATCAGCCGCGCCACCGACATCGACATGTACCTTCTCATCTGCCTGAACACGGTCCTTGATCTACTCATGGGTTGCACGAGCGGCGGGGTACGAGTGAGATCTGGCACATCTGGGACGAAAATGCTACATTTCAGGACTCTGGATTGGGGAATGGATCCGTTACGCGACCTGATCGTTCAGCTGGAGTTTATTCGGGATGGAGATCCTAAGGTGGTTGCGACAAGTATCTCTTATGTTGGGTTTGTTGGTGTGCTCACGGGTGTGAGGCGGGATTTGAGCGTGTCACTTAATTTCAGGCCTGTGCATGATACTACGCGGAACTGTGCATTCTATGCCAATCATATTTTTGTGCTTCTTGGGTTGCGACAATCTATCTCCTCGCTACTGCGACAGTGTCTCTTACTTCCGGAGCCTGATGCCCGTGGCAAGAAATCACTATCTTCCAATCTGGCCGATATCGTTGCTAATATTCCTCATATTCCTACAACGGCAGCTTATCTCATCTTTTGTGATGGGTCATCAACGGTGACTATGGAGAAAGATCACCGAACGGCAGTTGTTAGCTCTTCGTCGGCGTTCATTGTCACTACGAATCATGATCAGCAGCCAGGTTCGGCACCACCGGAAGTCGTGGCTAATGCAAAAAGAAAGAATCATATAGGCCTCTCGCTACTTTCAGACGAGGTGCAGGACTTGGCAGATCTAATTGAGGACAGCAATGAGCGCCGTGAATGTATGCAATCGTGTTGGGACCGTGAGACTCGAAAACAAAATGAAATTGCGGGTCAAGCGCCCACGAGGAAACAAGCCCAATCCTTTGCTGAACCATCTGGGCCACGGTCATCATTGCGCTTGCGGAAACGGCGAGAGGAAGAACAAATCAAGGAAGAAGCGGAACAAAGGCGCATTGCAGCGCTGAACCTTGATGATGACTCTGGTATTGCTGTCACGGAGATTCAAGTGCTGAGCTGGCTGACGACCTTCCCCGTTTTAAACGAAACAACACATTATGCTACTATCATGGACCCATCGAGGGGGGAGGTGGCTTGGGTCAGAAAATATGATGCCAGCGAATGGGATTGAGGAGAGAATAGTTGCTGAATATATAATTTCAAATCATTTTCGCTTTACATTCATATTGTTACGATACTGAATTATGCCTTCGTCTCAGTTACTTGATATTTACCAACGAAATAGACATATGCTTCCCGCCTACAATCGAGGTAGTCACACCGAGGACCAAAACCGAGAAGAGAGAAATATCATATTCTATAATACAATTCAGAAACAAGATCATTTCGATCTCGCTCAATTTGGTTCGTCATTTGCAGATTCACTAAGAAAAGCCGCAACCAAGGTAATAAACCATCACATCAAGTCATAAAAAAGGACATCCAAGAAGAAAATGAATATCAGCCAGCCATTGGCGTCTTTAGTCCCGCTGAGCTCCAAATTCCGAGTATATGAACAACCCCAAATAGAAGTGGGGGAAAAATGCAGAAGGAATGAGAGTTTTCTTGTCTATGCCGCTCACAGCAGGAAATAAGCTGCCGCCCATCGTATAAAGATAAGATAATTGCCCGCTATTAAAACAAAGAACCAAGAATGAAATGGGAGGTCAGCGGTCCTTGAGCCAGGAAATGCCGCTTTCGGAGATAGGGGTATCGTCTGCTCGCATGGCGTGGAGGAGCATTTCTCTTGGCATCAATCCGTAGAATAGATCTTCATCAAGAACACCGAGTGGTTGAGATGAAGGAGCTGTGCGGGCTTTTATCTCAAGGGGGAGGCCGTCGACTGCGAACCCGATTTTATCTGGAAACCGAATTCGGTCGTTTGAGCAATCGATCATTAGTGTCAGGCGCTTGTGTATGGAACTTGCTAGATCCATGGAACCGTCCCAGTGGCGGCACAAAAGCTGGACAACACTGAAAGCCCCTCTGATTAAAGGTATGCAGTCTGGCAGCTCTGTTACTAAGCCTGCTGAACTGAGTACATCCACGGCGGATAGAACCAAGTAGCCTATGGATGGGCTGAGAAGTGTCACATTGAGTCCGGATTTGTCGGTGGTGGTGTATGGGATGACTGCCATGGCGATCCTTAAGGCTTCCACGGCGTGGTATCGAGCTCGGTGGATATACTGGACCAGGATTTCGGATCTGAGGCTGGAATATCGGGCGTGTCTGTATAGTTTTATCAAGGCGGCGTGGTAAATCATGTGGATAGAGAGGAAAGCATCCGCTTTCTTTGCTTGGACGGCTCGCTCTAAGTTGACTGCGGAGAACACCAAGTGCTCAGGAAGTCCTTTGATCCACACTTCCGTGCGGTGGGTGATTATTGCGTGGAATTCCTCCGCAAGCTGAGCGTAACCATCTGATGGAGCGTGTGCTAAGCGGAAGACATTCAAAGATACGTCGCCCCAGATTGAGATGATCTGGATTAAGAACGCCATAGGACTGAGAGCCGACCGATCATCATCTGTGATAGAAGCCTGGTTGAGAACCGGTTGGAAGTACGGCGCGGTTGCGTATTGCTGCGCCTCGTATATCTCCTCGCGGCATGGAAGTCGGATCAAAGCTGCCTCTGACGAAATGAAGGTGGAAGTCGCGGAAAAGAAACTCGAGACACGCTATGATCATGTCAGCCTGTTATCGTGTAGATTTCGGATTCCCTTACATCTAGAATGTATGCGACCCAATACGTCCGACGTCTGCACTCAATCAATGCCTGTGGATGAAGTCCATAGTCACAAACTTGATTCTGGTCCACGACAACTCCTCCAGATTCAACGTTATATCGCAGACCACTAGCGACCCGACCTGCTGCGCCGATCGAGTCCCAACATCCCACTAATGATCCAGTGGCGTAGTAGAGAAAACTCATGATTAGGTGGCTTTGAGCAAGCTGCAAAGATAATGTATGCTGACTCTTTTGAATAGCAAAACGTGCGATTCGGGCATACCGTCGAAGGGCACCCATTCTGTCGGACCAGTCAGAGAACATGGATCCCAGCGCCAACATCGCGTATAACAACATCTTGTCTTCGGCCGACTTTGTATGGCACGATTTTAACCACAGGACAAATCGAGCGTGTGGGAATATGTGGTACAGTTCATTGACCGATGTGAGGTAGGACTCGACATAGTATAATGTCATTTCCGGATCACTTTCGTATGGATCAATGCTCCAGGATTCTGCAAGGGGATCATCAGGATTGGTATCACGAAGATCTCCAAAGATGTCTGAATATTCTGGTCGAAGCGTCCCCGTATGCTCCGGGGCTCTAGAGGCAGAATCATCACCCCCAGGACGTGGCACCCTATACATCCGTGACCGGTATGCTCGCTCTGCGTCTGTCATTGTATCGTATGTGCCTTCAACGGATGGCGTAGGCAATTGGCCTTCGGACCCTGGCGATTGCCCGCCTGTTCCAGGAAGCGAAGTGGCACTATTTGAAGCTCGAGGTATATTGTATAGGGAGGGAGAAACATCGGAGGCTGCATGAGGGCCAGGTGAAAAGCCTTCTCTCATCTCATATTTATTCGGGGGTCCTGTTGAGCTGGATCCTCTCATAGATCCGCGAGACCCACGAGGACTTTAGTATGGTCAGCGTCAAATCCGTATGAACAGCTTTTTGGTCGCAAAAAATACGTACGCACTCTCGAACCTGCATTCACGTCCGGATTTCTGGCATTGATCACATTTGGGTAGGTTCGGTTGGCATTTGATTTTCTTTTCCCGACAGGTTAGGCAGGCCTGTGCTAGTCTTTTCCTGGGTTTCCCAGCCTTGGTGATGCCCCAATTAGCATTTACCGGAATACCACCAATCAACTTCGGGACGTGTGTTCCGTCGGCATAAACATAACAAATGCCCTCTCCCTCGACGTATCGTTCGTCGATTACATGCGGAAGCACAGACTGGGCTTTCGTTCGACTCGTGCTCTCGGGAGATGAAATGTCTCCCACGCTTGAAGGGGTTTCGTGATATGGCGCACCATGGTAAGGCGGTTGACCGTGGAAGGAAGCCGATGACGGGTCACTTCGCGTCGCCGTGTGATGTTTAATATCTCGAGGGCTATGCATAGTCACCTGTGACAGCGACGGAAAGGTGCCTGTCTGCGGCTGGGGAAATGATTCTGAGCGTCCTTTGGCTCCTTGGGCAGGGAGTGGAGTAATTTGTGAAGCTTGAGCTGGTTCATGCTGGCGAAATGGATACGAGTATTCACGATGGTCGGTTCCAGTAGAAGTTCCGAATGGCTGGTAGGCAGGAGGCGAGTTCGGGCCGGTAACAGGGGTCAATAAGTGTCGCACAGAAGGTAATTGCTCGGTCCTTTGAGGTTGCGAATGGGAAGCAGATTCCGCTGGGCCAGTCCCTGCGTCGGTATTTTCTCGTCGTAAAAAGGGATCTGTTCCAAATTGCAAGTTTGCTGGTGCACGTGGTGGTGGAAGCTGGTATGGGTTATCCCCGGATTCTGATTTATTAGCTGGTCGCTCCGGGTCCTCTGCTGATGGATGGTCGTTGGCGGGTAACATACGGCCGAAGGGTCCAACATAGTAACCTGACATGACTGGCGGAAGAGTGTAGGTCGAGTGAGTACAAGATCATCTACTTGAGTCGCACAATTGATGTCGTTTATCTTTCCGCGTTCTCCAAAGCTTCTGCAAATATCGTGACAGATCTAGGGATTGTATTCTCTTCGATGTTGGTTGAAGGATCCGAGACTCTTGGTCTGATAGGCAGGCACGGTATCTGCCCAAATTACTGTATCTTAGCAAATATATTCGGCTTCACGCCTCTGGTATTTGAACAAGGTTTCTTTACTCACCTCCCCGTTCACTAATTTCAGGGAATGGATTGTGGCGTTGAAGAGGTAATCAGAATCACTGAGCCGAGATCTTTTGGAAGTATCGAAATGAATCGTCAAGGCCGTGGCTAAGTAATGGAATCCGCGGAGGTCAGAATGCGGTGTTGAGTCCGTGACTGGCACTGAATCAAGGCAGAGTAGGCTTAGAATAGTTCACAAACGGCCATAGAAGTCGCAATGTCAGGCATGTTCATGATCCCAGGGTGGCTGCAGGATCCCAGTGACTTGCATAAACAGCAGGATACGAAAGAGCGGGGAGTCGCAAACATCAATGAAACTCTTAAAAAGTCGCGGGATCCGGGCCGATTGATCCAGGATATCAAAGTTCTGTTGCAAGGCTGGTTGTAAGAATCGCTGGAAGAATCCAACGAATAGAATAGATTCTCAGAAAGGAATTTGCATATGAGATTCTCATCGAAACCCTCGGCACACAGGACACAAGTTAGCAAAGTAACCTGATGTTTTGCCCTGGCAGGGAATCCTAGGGAGTATCCTGGCGCTAAAGCAGCAACGAATTTCGATCCACTAAAAATTTAAATTGATAATGGACTCTGCCCCGCGAGAGTACGTTTGCTTTTGCTTTTAAACCCCTTGGCAACCTTTCCTGAATAAGCTCACGCCCTTATCCTGGGGTTATGGGGCTAATTCAGAAAGAAAAAACGAGAAAAGAAAAAAAAGAAACAAAGGAGAGAGGGAGGGAGAGAGAAGGAGAGGAAGAGAGAAAGCGAGAGCGAGAGAATATCAAGAGGGGGGTTTCACGATTAACTTCCCTAAACACTGGTAAAGTACTTACACAAAAGTACTAGCAATTTCAATTTAGCTACCTACGATCGACGTGGGATCGATCTATACTCTTCTGGGTTGCTCGGTCCGCATTGTTTCCTTCAAAACCCCAATACCAAAATGAGACATCTGGACCCCTCGTTTGCTCTCGGATATGGGCTTGCAGGAGGCTCTCCTTGGTGAGCGCCACACGGGCAACGGCCGAGGTGCCACTTTATTAGACCAATCTATCCTTATAGGGCCTGAATATACATATAAAACTAAAAAGGAGAAGATAAAAGAGAAGCTATTCCCCACTGTTATTCCGGCATTTCGGACTTCGACATCCTTGACCGAAGTCCGGCATTTGGATGGCACTACCCGTGGGACAGACCCCGGGGTGGGGGAGGATTTACCAAATATCCAGTCCATGGACGTACGGAGTACTTCGTAAAAGTAAGTAATGGAAACTTGGTTGCCCCACCCTGGTTTGGGGTCATTTGAGTATATACCAGGCTCAGGTTGCCCAGTCTATATTAATATTAAATCATTAATTCTATCAAGGATCAGGGATGTAAGCCCAAAGTCGGAACTGTATTACCGATGACCAGTCTTATGGCAAAAAGGATCATTTCCCTGCTTATGCATCCAAGGCGCGTATTCGGGATTTGGTTGTCTCTCGATTCAGAGCAAACGGAAGAATACGGTTCATCGATCGGTTGAAGAAACGCTCGGCGGTTGACCGTAGCTTAATCCTAGGAGCTTTTTTTGGGTCCGGAAAGACGGCCGCGAGTATCCCTGGTGGATCGACCTTGGGTGTCTTCGGCCGACGGTGGCGCGGGCGACTAGATGCCTAGTCAGGGAAATCCTCCTTGGGCCGGGACCACAGGGCTTATCGTTCTCGAGTTGTGATGATCGCTGGATCGAATGTTGCAGGTGGACCATTGTGGACACCGACTTCTTTATTTATTTGCGCAGGACCGAGGCCCGTTGTTTCTATATATCTCATTTATTGTGGCCTGGTTTTTCTGGGTTTGGAATCCAAATTGAGAGTCATGACCGAGATCCTCTTTATGAATTGATTGCTGAATATTGGGTCTCAAGTGGATAACTGGAATATGAATCCACTTCGCATTGCTCGGAGCAGATTGCCTAGGTTGGAATGTGCAGATTCTGCGGTCTCACCGTATACAAGTAGGAATGGCATACACGTCAAATCTTACTATATTCTCTCTACTCTGGGGTGTGTACGGAGTCAGTATTAATGTTCTAGATTTTTCTTTTTTCTCTTAACAGAGCCTAGCTATATTGGGTAACCCTGGTCTTTCACCGATAGGCCTCCATGGACAACCCCAACACAGTCACTCCAACGGTGATGCACGGAGTTGACCACGTATCTGTGTCTTAAATGCATGGCGATCTGATCTGCACGCCGTCATCCGGGATCGTCGCCTATTCGGTCTCGAATCTCAGTTGCTTCAAAAAAAAAAATTTTAAAAAAAACTTCAAAGTAAATTACACAGACTTTGAGGGTAGACCCGGTGATCGGATCTGTTCTTAGTTACTCCAACCCGGCAATTAAGAACTAAAGTCCCATCTGGTTTTTCCACCCGGACTCGCGTCTCTCACCATGGTTAGGGTATAATCACGCCATTGGCTATTCTATTACATGGGACCCAGTTTTCCTCCGAACAAATACCGACTGCAACGCTCGGAAATTCTTGGAATTCTTGGAGTACAGAATGCAAACTGTTGAGATAATCCACATGGAAGCCTATTTCGGCAATTCAATTGAATATAATTTGCTCAGTATACGTATTTACTGTTTACGTTTACGTTGACAGTGACACGTTACCTATGCACTTATCCACTAGTTAGGGGAAAATTCAAATCTGATTCGGAATAATATAAAGCAGAAATTAAATTTCAAAATTCAAATTTCAAAATTCGAAGTAAATGAACTGCGCTAGATATGTTTTGCATCCGTGTTGGATACCCCTGAACCGTCGAATTCGTGTTAGGTGAGACATGCGTGTTATACATGGGCAAGTCGCTCGGGATCTGCAAAGGGAGACTTTTCCTATTTGGGATTGAATCTGTCAACATTGAACTACTTCCTCGGCATTGGCTTAGAATCCATATACATTTAATGACTTTTAATGGGCTGATCCGGATCTGTATAGAATCGGCGGCTTTTCGGGAGATAAATTTCCTCCGTCTGAAAGGATCTCGGTTACGGTTAATTCATGTTACATTGGAGGAAACCTTGCTCGTTTTCGCATATTTTAACTCCATAGTGGACTCACTAGCGAAAGTCGCCAGTGCGCAGTGCGCAGTGCGCAGTGATTTTGATTTTGATTCTCATTCCTATTGGATATCATTCACCTTCAAAACAACCTTGGAAAGACATCTCAAACTTTCTCAAACTCAATTCCAAGCTTTTTTTCAATCCCGATCGGCACTGGCATTTGAAGTATTTTCGCACGGAAAGTCCGCGCCGCCCGGCGACTGACGTACCTCTGTCTCCACTTAGCCCAGACCTCTCGCTAGAATCCATCAGCCGCGGACCCTGTAAGCTTGGCGTGATCTTGGGATTCGGGCACCGAATCCCTGCGTTCATCTGCCTCTTTCCCGGCTTTTTCTTTTGTTCCGTTATGCATAACTTGGATCAAGATCGAAAAATCCCGGTCCCCGTATTCGGCTTGAAATAGTTGTCCCAAGCGACCCGCGTATATCATGGGGAAACCGGCGCCTGCCGGCAAAAGTCAAATAAATTGAGTCTTCTAGCATGTGAATCCAATTGCTCGGTAGTTCGACATGCAATTTAACATGGTTTTCTTCAGCCTCAATGTTATGATCACCATTTGATCGGATCACCAACTTGACAGACTTCAATTTCGTAATGGAAGTACAAAGAGTCAAGCTATTTGATTTAACGAACACCGTTCCTAGTTCAAATAATCAACAAATTTGGCATTCGTCAAAAGTACCCCACAACCTCGGATCTACGTTCAAATCTGATCCTGCGGTATTCCGTCTATGATATGCAATTGACTTTCACGATGCCTAGGTCGCCGAATTCAAGTACATGTGAAAAAGTACCCCTGTCTCGCCTACCTAACCGGTATGCATTGCGAAGACCCTATTGATGGCTTTTCTTCTCGCGTAGGCATAATACTATATCCCTGTGGACACTAGTGCCTACTAGGTTAGGTGAGCAGACGCCCCGTCTGGGCAAATCCGTCTCCATCCGCTTACGTTTAGTGCTTGATTTTGTCTTGCGTAAGCTCTGCAACTGTAATTTATTTACTAATCTCAAAATTGAGCTCAATGATTTTCTTTTCTATGTGTCTCGCGATTTTTATCTGGTAGACCGCCGTTGTTATTAGTGTCTTGCATGTCAGTGGAACCGTGTGGTCCCAGATTTCAACTCCATGAGGGATCGGCTAATTTCTTTGTCTCAGAGCTTCATTCACAATCCTAGCAAATCCCGAATGAGGAACACGTGGCAGATACTGCTTTGTTGAGGTTTGACTTAATCCTTGTATGTATGTCTCATGTGCTCTGCCTGTCGGATCCCATTCGAATCTTCACCGGGAACAATATATCGATCCACGTGCTGCATTTCTGATGTAGTAATACAAATGCTTCCATAGTTGGTATGAAAATTTTCTAGTTATAAATGTACCTAGGTGCACCTGGCAATGGAACCATTTGATTGGCGGTACTCCGTACTGTTAAGTGCTTAAAATAACAGCAGGCTCCAGAGCTCAGGAGTAGACAAATCAAAAGTTGACAATCAAATCCGAATTTCCAAAGGTGCCATTCTTGATAGTCAAAGGGAGAATTCGGAAAATTTAGGACTTGATATTAATTATGCAGCAATGACCTTAAGATTAACAGCGAAGACCCGAATCCCGTAGCATTATAACCTTTAGGCCCGGGTAAAGTCGCACCGCACGTTCCTCCAAGATTGATACAGCTGAAGCGATCTTGAAGCACTTGTATGAAATGACTCTTACGTAGAAGCATATCTACAACATTGAACTCACCATCTGACTATGTTACTGCAAGGAACCTTGGAATACAATGGGATCATTAACATAACCGTCATATTATACTCCGAATCAGGACCCATGGGTATTGCAAAAAGGCATTGATTCATTTTTGCTCTGACACTACCATTTTTTAACCGTGAAAAATAACAGAGAGGCAACGCTTACTCCTCAGACAGAGTGTTGAGGAAAGTCTCACCAGCGCGAGCGGGCTTGCCACCCTCAACGCTCTGCTGACCGAGCTTCTGCTTGGAGTAGGCAGAGGCGTAGGGGTTGAGGCGGAGCATGACCTGCTTGTTGCGCAGAGGGTTCTTCTTCTGCACGTTGACACGCTTGGTGCGGGCCTCACCCTTGGGGGCCTTGACAACGGACTGGATTTCAGAAGAGTTGATGAGGCGGGTGATATCGGCGTTGGAAACCAGGTTGGCGGGCAGGAGGTAGTCCTTCTTGAGAGCCGCGGGGGTGGTGGTGGTACCGTAGACCTGGTCAAGGGCCTCGAAGGCGGAGGAGGACCAGACAACGAAACGACCGAGGTGACCACCAGGGGCGAGCTGGAGGAGGTTGAGGGAGAAGACGGAGGAGGTCTCAACACCGGGGATGTTGCGGAAAGCACGGACAAGCTCCTTGCCATCGGTCTCGGGGTTGTAGACAACCAGGGGACCACGGCGCTGGCGGTAGCGGCGGTTACGCAGCTTACCCTTACCGGCGCGGAGCTTGCGGGACTTGGAGACCTTGACGAGCTCCTCACCGGCACCGAGAGCCTGGAGAAGGGCGATGGCGGCCTTGGTCTTGGTCAGGGCAGCACCGGCGAAGGTCTTGGACTCAACGACGAGGGGAACCTCGGGGACCTTGGCGACACGGTGACCACGGGCGAAGAGGAGGGCAGGGACGGAAGAGGCAGCAAGAGCCGAAGCGGTAGCGAAACGCTTCTGGTTCAGGTTGATCTTCTGGTGCCACTTGCGCCAGACCTTGGTGGGAGCGAACATACGACCGGAACGGCACATGTTACCGAAGGCAGCCTGACCGGCACGGTGAGTACCACCACCGGAGACACGAGGAATACGAGCAACGGCACGACCTGTTCAGTTGAAGATCATCTCGTCAGCGATTCGTTCCTTGCTCCCATCTGAGCCCTTTGCCTGGCGAAAATTCTTCAATTGCCTCCATTGACCCCACTTCAATATGTCCCCAGCAAATTCAAACTCGCATCTTGAAAACTGAAATTTTGATCACGTACCGGTACCCCAGGACTCAGCAGAGGTCTGCTCACCAGCCTTCTCGCTGACGGCGTAGGGCTGGCGCTTGTTCTTGGCCATGCCGGTGTGCACCTGCCTGTAGAGAAATCATCAGCATTTCGCCTCGGATAACTAATTTTCCTTCAATTGATGGCGTACTGGACAATATCCGGACGGATAGGAGCAGAGAAGACCGAGGGAAGGGTCTGGGTAGCCCCGGAGGGCTTACCCTCGGCGGTAGCGATCGAGACGGTAGGGCGGGAGGCCATTGTTGTCGTTTCGGTGTCGTCGTTGAGGTTGAAGACTAGAGATTTCCCAGTCGGGCTGTCCTGTGGATTTTTTCGCTTACTGAGCTGCGCCAGTCAGTGCGGGAGAAAACCCTAAGCCCTGATTAACCATATCAAGACTGTGGGGCCGCATCCAATTACATAAACATTTACGCCCCACCTTTACTTTCCTTTTTAGGATTGTTGACACCTGATCTCCTGATCTCGTGGAGAAGGCCCGATCCATCATACACTTCTTTGTGGTTTTTATACTTCATACATCATTTACCTTGTGATTGACACACTTCAAGACTGCAGAAAGTAAAAACAAAAAATAATCGGCTCATGCTAATCAGCTCTGATTATATATTGTCGACTCGAAGTTGAGTTTACCTTCCCACTCTCTCTACGTCTACAGCTATACCAGAATTCAACAAAGTTGGAGGCAGTATGAAACAAGTTGAAAAGGTTGACATAAGTCTTCGAATTTGCCTAACTCCATCCAAATTGGCTCTCACATCTAAGTCACATCACATAAAATATACATGATGAAAAGGACAAAAATGATGCATCAAAGGGTAAGCCGTTCTAGCGGAAACGAAAATGCAGATGAAAAAGGCAAGGTATGCAACCAAGAGACTAGGGAAGAGTGACAAGAACACCCGAAACCAGCAGGTGTTGTGCGTATCTAAACGTGGTGAGAACCGTGAGAGTCACCGATGCTGCGCTTGCGGAAACGAAGCTCTGACAGGGCACGAGCTCTCTTGGTGGCAACAATTGACAGTTCAGAGCTTTGGCCTGCAGTGCAGGATGTTCCAGAAGCCATATCCTGAGCGGCAGACCACACACCCGAGGCACAACGTTGGAAGGAGGTACCAGAAATGCAGTTCCATTCACCTTCATCGCTGCACGACCCACTCAGGGCACCCGAACTAGACGAGCTGGAGCTGGAGCTGGAGCTGGACGAAGGAGAAGCTGGGCTTGCCGAGGTGGCGGAAGGAGCGGATTCATAGGCAGACGAAGTAGAGGTCGGAACAGGCTGTACGACTTGAACGGACGTAGGAGCACTAGTTGCTGCAGCAGAGGTTGTCGCTGAGCTCGAGCCAGAACCGGAAGAATCCGAGCCAGAATTGGTACCGGTGGCAGAGTCACCTGCGCTGGCAAAGGTGGGAGTGCCGGTGCAAGCTGCAGCACCCACCTTGGCCAGATTGGAAGCCTCACCAAGGTACTGGACAACATCGCCAGGTTGTGGGAAGCGAATATCAATATTTTCCGAGGTAGTGCACCCGTTTATGTTGGCGACGAACATAGGTGGAAAGCTTGAAGAACGTTTCTCAAATGCCTTGGCCTCAACATTGGATCTCTTGGAGGAACTGCCACTCTTCACGGTGACTGGAGCACAGTTCATGTACATCTCACGGTTGCCGATGCGATTGAACCAGGTCCAAGCGAGAGTATACTTGCCAGCATCAATACCCTCAGGAATGGTGAAGTTGAACGAGTACGGATCGACCATGGTGGCACCTCCAGAGAGGTTGCCATCAACATTAGCTGGGCAACCACCCTCAAACGATGTGATGACCTTCCACTCAGTATCCTTAGAGGGCGTCAGATCCGTGGTGAGACTGATCTGGCACGAGCCACCACCATGAGTCGCACTGCCCTCAAAGGTCAAAGGCTGCGACTCTCCGATAACCATCACATTCTCCGAGGTCACCGTGTAAGTGTCCGAGCGCAACTTGCAGGGGAAGTCGCTGCCATCGGCGGCCAGAGGAGAGTTGTTGAGTGTGTCCTTTCCGTAGGGAACAGGGCTGGTCATGATCATATGGGCATTGACCAAGGAGGCCCCCAGCATGGCAACAAGGATAGATTTGGCGTACATTTTGTAGGAAGAAAGATATTTTAGGGGAGAGGATTGTTCGACAAGTATATTGCAAATGTATGATCTGATTCGTACCAGACGAATAGGATCAAATGGAAAATGATTGGAAGTTGGTAGTCACGAATGTGTAGAAAGGACTGTAGGGGGCTGCCTGCGCCAGAGTATTAGAGATAGAAGAAGAAAAAGTCATGGAAAGATTTAAAGGGTAGGGGAGGATTTAAGTGGAATAAATTGAAGTGAAGCCATATAGAGAAGGGTACGTGGAAGAAAGACATTATTGACATGGCAAGGTGAATGGTTCATCATTCACTAAAATGGGACCAAATTTCAAAACGAGGAATCAAAAGAACAACCTACTTTTGGTATAGCAGCCTGATCAAAGTGAATGAGAATGTCTTTGTTTCAGGCTATATGGTATCAAACCAAAGAACAACGAAATGAATGTAGGAGTCTGCCACAGGCGACTACCAGACCAAAAGGTAGAGAAAGAAAAACAGGACTAGCCTGTTGTCGAACTGTGAAGTGAAAAGGAAAGATAGAGATGCAAGAAGGAAAAAGAAACAAATCTGTAGAATAGGCGCTGAACAGCGTTATATATCCCGCTCACCCTCAAACAAGATCCTCTGCGTCACACATTGTTCTGGCAGGACCCTGAATAGACAAGGGACTCCAATCAATCGGATACTCGCTAAGTTTGATCTTCTCCACGCCTAACCGAGAAAGTGCTCGACAGATCTCATTTTACCATATTCGAAGACAGGTCGCGAGTGGGGAGTGGGACTACGAGAAAGCTGGGATGTTTCACATCTGCTCCTTCCAACTTGCAAACGCATAGATCGGATGCTGACTGGTGCTGAAGAACTAGTAGACTCCAGCCAGTCAGAGTTGAGAACGCGGAATCCCCAGTCCCTACGATCTGCTTGTTCCAACCAGACTGGGTTTTAACCGCCGCACGGACCGATGCAAGGTACCCTCCAAAACGCCTCCCCTTCGTCAAGAGGCCTCACATCGTGTCGCACCATCTATCTTGGGTTCCAGGGGTGCCATGTGCTTGGTCCTTCTGATCGGCGGGATTGGCTGCCGAATCACTCCTTGGCGTCTGGTTTCTTGCCAGCGGGTCGAGCGCCAATCAATTGACGGAAAAAGCCGATATGTCACGACGATTTTGAAAGTGATGGTTACAATGGATACAACGTTACCTCGTTTCAGCGTTCTGCTTTGCTATTTACAGTCTCACATACTTATTATATGTGTAATCGGTCCTTCCAGTGGTTCCCGGTCGGTATCGAGACCCGGCTCATGAAGAAAACATATAATACCGCTTGCATTGGGAGTTGGCGGTGTTCTATGAAGGAATACGGAGGCGTAGAATCGCTCTGGTAGCATATATGACCTCGGGTGTTCCAAGGAGAGGACATACCTACAAATGCTAATACATGGTACATGGATTCTCGGGAGTGCATTATGGGTACATTCAAATGTTATTTAACGTCTCAAAATATTTTCCAGATGACCTTGGAGCTTCGTATGTAGAGTGGCGCTTGGTTGGCTGTGATTTCTTCATTTTTTCCAATCTTGGGAGATTCGTCTCAAACGCCATATTACCCACTTATATATTACTTCGGACTGGGCGACAGGTTTGAGCCTTGAATTGACGTCTGGCGGCGTTATTGACCTCGAATATTACGGCATAGAATACTGCAAGGAAGCCTTGTTTCGATAACATAATCAAACATATGACGTTTTACAGATTGATATAATAAAAGACTAAGATAAGAACAAAGAAATAGAACCACAGCAAGCTAAAAAGCGCAACGGAGGACCATCGTATTGGGTCTGTAAGTTTTGAATTGGGAGATAGAAACAATCGATTTAACCAGGGGGAAGGGTGCTGGCATCGACAACATCGGCAGCATCCTTCTCGATCTCTTCGCTCTGCTCCGACAGGGGAGAGCGAGGCAGGGCCATGAGACCGGTGCGGGTGGACTCAAGGATACCGAAGGGACCGATTAGCTTGAGGAAAGAATCGATACGGCTGGGCTTAGCAGACCTATTTCAGATTTAGATTAGTAAATGTTTCCAGTGAATAAAGAGTCGAAGTCACGTACACTTCCACAATGCAGTTGTTGGTGCTGATATCCAGGACCTTACCGCCGAACTGGTGGGTCAGGCGGGTGATGGCATCCAAGTGCTCGTGCTTGTGGCGCAGGCCCTGGCTGAGCGGCAGGTTGCGGGGGTGGTATCCCACAGCCTGGTTCTGACCCTTGCCCATCTCCTGATCACCAGGTGTGGTGATCTCACGGTGGTGCTGGAGCAGTTCCTCGAAGAACTCGGGACCAAGGATAGAGACCTTGGCGAGGAGCAGCTCGCGCTGGACCAGAGCTGACTCGGTGTAGTCCAACACAGCCCAAACAGGGACAAGGTCATCCAGCTGGCGGCGAGCCTGCTCGACGACACCGACCTGGCCCTGCAGGACAATGGTCATGCGGGAAAGATCCTCGACCTCAGTGTTGCAGACAACCAGACTGTCAATGTTGAAACCACGAGCAGCCAGGATACCGGACACTCGGGACAGGACACCGGGCTCGTTCTGGACCAGGCAGTTTAGGACGTGGCGCTTAGGAGGGTTGGAAGGCGGCACGGGAGTCTCATACAGAATCGACGAGACAGCAGTCGGGGCATCCCATTGGGAAGTAGTCTCATTGACCGGCAGAGGGAGAGGTGAACGGCGGTGCAATGCCTTGTAAGCCAGGGCGGAGGTCGAGCTGGACGAGGCACGGATGGTGGTGAATCGGGGCAGAGCGGCAGCGGTGCGAGACCGAGCGGCAGATGCAGTCGACGACAAAGTCGACGCTGACGCTGTAGTCAGCGCCAATGAGTGCCTGAAAGCCATCTTTGGAGTTCAAGAACACCAAAGGTTGTGCGGTGAATCACCTAGACTCTCCGGGTTCTTTTTGCTTTAGCTCCGACCTCGGCCAGCGCTGAGTCACGTAACACTAGTATGGTTTGGGATTAGCCTCTCATACATTAAAATCACGTGAACAAGAGGGATTTCTGGATGCGCTTTTTGTGGTATCAAGTACCGCTTGGGGAATTCCAAGTCTTTGGTTTTTAATTCTTATCGGTGGCAGTTCTGCGCATCTTATTTTGGGCTTCACAGGTTCCTTCGACCAGTGAGTGCTCAAAAAGTTCAAATTGGCTTTATCGCACTAGACCTCCTGGCCCAACCTCCTTCCCGCAATTTATCGGGTACTTTTTTATTTCTCTTCTATTCGGTCTCTCACCGCCACCTTACCTCCGTATCTCATCATGGCCGACGACGACCGCCGTGTCAAGCGATCCCGCTTTGATCAAACTGAGGCCGAGCCTCGTCGCTCCCGTTTTGATCGCCGCTCGCGATCACCATCCGCCAGACAATCAGAGTCCACCCGTACTCGCAGCCCTTTGAGTCGCGAAGCGCGGAGTCCCGCAGGAGATGGAGCTGCAAAGCCAGCCGTGGCTGATCCTGCAGCAGCAGCAGGTACGTTTAGCAATGCGCCAACAATACATTGTGCTTCAATGCCAATTTCATGACGCTAACTTCGTGATTTGTTCTTGAATAGCTGCCGCGGCCGCAAAAATTAATGCCCAGTTGCAAGCAAAGAAGGGTATCCAGCATGTTGATGTCCCTCCGATCCGTTCGGTAATCATATCGTTTAATGGCTATGGTCGTTGCGTAAGCTAATTTCTGCACAGACTGATAGCCCAGGCACCAAGTCCGAAAACGCAGACGGCTCCGCAAAAGACGTCTATGTCACCGACGGCGACTACATTAAAGACATTGAGATCAATGATTTGCGCAATCGCTACACCCTGACCAAGGGTTCTACCCAGCAAATGGTAAATAACTCCTGTTGTCAGCTCGCTGATCCTCCAGACATCCCTTTATTTCAAGTCCAGGTAACACGCTTGGCTCTTGGACTCGGCCCCTTTTGCTCCCTTTGATCTCATTTTGTCTATCGTGTGGTTGGATGAAGCTTACTCAAGACCAACTAAACGCATAGCATCTTACACTCCCTCTGTTGCATCTGCTGACCTCCGCTGCGTGACTAGATTAAAGATGAAACTGGCGCCGGTACGCCTTCTCGTATTATGTTGATGAAAACGCTCATTGCTTACTCTTATACAAGATGTCACCACCCGAGGAAATTATTACCCGGATAAGAACATGGCGACTGCCGCGGTATGTGATGACTCTTGAGTCAACGAAAGTCGGTTGCTGATGATGTCGACATAGCACCCCCCTTTGTACCTTCATGTCACGAGTACCACCAAGGAAGGTCTCGAGAAGGCCATTAAAATCATTGATGATCTCATGCAGAAGGAATTGCCTAACCTGATCGATGAGCGAAGATTCCGCCGACGAGAGCCCGAGCAAGTGGAACGGGATGAGTATGGTCGTGTATGGCATTGAATTCCAATACATCAACCCAAGAAACCCTGCTAATTATCTACAGCGCAAATGGCCCGATGAGCGTATTCCAATTGATCTCGAACCCATTCCTGGTTTTAACCTGCGCGCCCAGGTTGTCGGTCAAGGTGGTGCATACGTCAAGCATATTCAGCAACAGACCCGTTGCCGTGTCCAGATCAAGGGTCGTGGATCTGGATTCCTTGAATCCAGCACTGGCCGAGAGAGCGATGAGCCGATGTTCTTACATGTCGCGTGAGTAATATCCATTTGTAATAAGGACCACAACTAATAAAATATCCCAGTGGACCGGATGCAAATGACGTCCAGGCTGCTAAAGCCCTCTGCTTAGATCTTCTGGCTAACGTCAAGGAGCAATACCAAAACTTCAAGGACAACCCGCCACAGCACAATTACGGTGGCTACGGCCGCGGTGACCGCTACCAGGGCGGCGGCGGTGACGGAGGTGGTAGAGGCGGCAGTGGAGGATATGGTGGTGGCGGTTACAATCGTCGCAACGATTACCAGCAATCACAACATCAGTCCCCTGCTGCATCTGCCAGTCCGATCGGCCAAAGTGCTGCCGGCGCTGGTGCTAGTGCTACCAACATGGCCGATTATGCTGCTCAATACGCCCAGTACTACGGAGGAACTGACCCGTACGCTGCTTATGGTGGGTATCAGAACTATGTGGCATACTACCAGTATTACCAGCAAGCCGCTGCAGCTCAGCAACAGCAGCAGTCATCCGAGGCAGCTCCCCCTCCTCCGCCAGGTGGTGAAGCTCCTCCTCCCCCTCCTCCCGGATCCGGATCCCCTCCTCCCCCTCCCGGCGGACCTCCCGGTGCTGGCGGCTACAGTGCGGTATGAAAACCTGAATATTGGAATATGTTGGCTGTTGAATTTTTGACTGATGAGACTTGTGCAGGTGCCTCCCCCACCTGGTCTGTAGTGCTGCAGGACGAAGATCAATCTTTGCCCCTGACAATTTGAAAATAAACGGCAAGTTTCGTTTTGATTTTGAAAAAGTGCAGAAGGATACAGCGATTTGAAGTTTAGTCCAAGTTTCCATCGGTTGTGATATTTTGCTAAATAGCAGTCTCTTTTTCTTGTAATTTTTCTCGGTGTCCTTTTACAGTTTACAGGTTTTTCCAACACAAACCAGACGACATATAACTCTACCTAGGAATATCCCCGCTTTCATTGAAGAAAAGCGGAAAACCTGTTAACATATTATTGTTCTTTCGAGGGTTATCTGTGCTCATCTTCTTAGGATTCTAGGCAAGAAAATCCCCTTCAATTAATCTCTATTGATTCAGTTGTGGAGATGCGATATCTCAATGTGGTATCGATGCATGCTAGTATCCAGATAGAAAACGCCCCAGTTATGCCAAATCAATAATCATATACTCCAGATGCAAATGCGTAGTCAGAATCCACTCAGCAACAAAAAAAAAAAAAGACTCATAAAAGACAAAGCTGATGCGCAGAAAACGCTTGAGCCCGTGAAGATCAGACATATCCCTCGTCAATCATATACGCTGAGGAAGAAAGCATCTTCCTCTTGCGTTTCCCTAAAGCCACGCGGCCCTCTTTGCAAAAATCACAAGCATAGTCACACGGTGTCGAGTCACCTAATCCACCCCTGGGCACCTGCGAAGAAGGCGGCTGCTGCGACCCCATTTCCTCCAACTCGAAGTCTCCAAACAGGTCCTTAATCAGATCATGTCGACACCGGGTCACACTTTCACAGTACCGCACAACTTTCTTGAAGCTATCAAGACGAGCTTCTTGATTCTTCATCAAACTAGCAACGATATGTTTCGGTCCACCACGATTCCGCATGTTTTCCGTATCCCGGTTCATGCGATCGAAAATGCGATCCCGCTCTTGCAGGTTGTAGTACACAAGAGAAGCAGCCGCACGGCCATCACGACCTGCTCGACCCGATTCTTGAACGAAGCCTTCAAAGCTGCGCGGCGGTGTCCAGTGAACGACGAAGCGAACGCCGGAATTATCGATTCCCATTCCGAACGCATTCGTGGCGACGATTATTGAGAAGGTAGGTGCTGGTTTGCCGTTACTCTTTGGCTGATATGGTGCAGTCCACAGTGCTTGAATGCGAGTTCGGTCTTGTGGCGCGAGTCCTGCATGGTAGGCTACGGCGGAGATGCTCTTATCTTGGGATAAGCGGCTTGCAAGGTGCTCTGATATAGCACGTAGTCCGACATACACGATGCCTGACATTGGTGGTAGGTGGGCGGCTTGAGCGCCGAAGCGGGATTCCCGTCTCTTTTTGATAGCTCCGAGGTATTTTAGAAGATTTTCGACTTGGTATTCTTCATCATCGCCGGGGTCCTCAAGGTACCGGACCTCGTAGTGGATGTTGGGGCGGGCAGATGGGGTGTTGAAGAGCTTGAGATTTGTGGGGTTTAGATCGAGCATGTTGATGATATCTGTGCGAACTCTCGGTGTGGCCGTGGCTGTAAGTGCTGTGATGGGAACATCTGGATCGACTAAGTTCTTTTTGAACCACCCTAGGTCTTGGTAAGCTGGACGAAAGTCATGACCCCATTCACTGATACAGTGAGCCTCGTCGATGGCGATGCGAGCAAGTTGCCCCTGGCGATGTACGACTTGGAGATTGCTCCTGAAGCCCTTGTTTTGACACAGCTCAGGAGTCACGTACAAAAGACGTATACGCGGATGCCCTGAGAGCATATCATCCAATATCACGCGGCGTTCTGATATTGGTGTGTTGGAATTGATGCTCGAAACAGCTACTCCGAGGGCTTGGAGAGCATTAACTTGATCCATCTGTCTTTGTTAATTTACGAAATGAAAAGGCCTTGGACAGAAGTTTTACCATCAAGGCGAGGAGAGGACAAATAACGATGGTCACTATGGAGTACATGTTAGAATCGAGTTTTGAGAATTCACAATATTTACTCACATCCATTGTTAATGACTGCCGGTAACTGGAAGCATAGACTCTTTCCGAAAGAAGTAGATGCTTGAAGAAACACATCATGACCTTCAACAACTGCTGAAATGACTTCTCGTTGAAGGGGGCTAGTGGGTCGTCAGTATCGGTTCGAATTTCGTGCCCACGAACCTAGGCGGTGTTGACTAACCGGAATGACTTTTTGCGAAAAACACGATGCAGGTAAAACTCGAGATCTGGCCTACGACGCGTAAATGACCCTCGATCAGCCATTGGGCCGCAAAGTGATAGAAATGAGCTGCACGTGTTGATCGCGTCTGTGGAGTCCCGCAGACGCGAGTTCACGTGATATCAAACGGTCTATCTAACAGCACAAACAGTACTTTACACATTATCTTCTCTTTTCTTCTTCAATCATTCCAAGAAATTACCTGTTCATACAGCACTCGAAAGAACATACCAATTCTAGAACACCACCAAGGCGTTTCTATACACCTATACAATATGCAGGAGCCGGCCACTGCAACGTGGGGTCTATATATCAGTGATGCCCAATACGAGAAACTCAGAGCCGGCTTTGAACCTCAGGATCAGGATGACAAATGGCGAGTCTTGGTCAAGGACCAGAACCAGAGCGGCAATATCTCTATCCACATTTCTCGAAGCGGGTCGGGCAAGGAACTTTACATACTTGTTGTGAAGCCAAGCGACAGCAGCAGTGGGGTGAAGATTGAAGCCATCACCTGGGAACAGAACAAAGGTGGAATTGGCATCTCGGAGTCGCAGGCCAAGAAGGAAGTAATCATAATAACCAGACGCCTGCTGGAGTGTGAGTTTGATGCGCTTCCGGAGTATGATGTCTCGGATCTGTGGAATCATCCTGCTGCTCAGATAGGCTCTAACTGAGTAACGTTTCTACCTTGACATCGAATACCTAGGCCACGCCAAGTTATCCAATGTAAATAGGTGAATATTGCATTGGCATATATGGCACGAGCATATCTAGAAACAGTCGCAAAGTTCGGTACGAATTGGATAACGAAGAAGTCTTAAGTTACAACAATTTGCGCTAAATTGAATCAGTATATGGTGTATAATAATGTACAAATATCAAACAGCTCCACCAGTCTCCGTATTATGTTACATTTGTCGTGGGTTCCGCGACATTTGCTCATCAATCACCTCTTTCACGGCAAGTACATCAATTGCCTTGCGCTTATTAGGCGACCAGAGCTGTTCAAGTTGCAACCAGACTTCCATAACCTCTTGGGGTCCATAGCAGGTTCCAAAAGCCCGTAGAATGAGAATAATCATGCGTCGTCCGACGAACACGCCATTCTCGAGACGGGGTGTCAACTGTTCAGGATTCTGGTAATTGAGATCGCCCTCGTTGAGAGAAAATGGGCGAGATGTGAAAATTCCCTCTGCGTCAAAGCTAGGATTCGCAATGTCGTTATAGGATTGGTCCTCGGAGGCGTCCTCATCTTCGAATTCGTCTTCTTCATGGACGTCATCGTCATCAAGATCGGCTTCGTAGGTTCGGTTTTCGATGGAGCCAGAGGAATGTGGACTTTCTTCTGGTGTGGTTGAGACTTCCTCTCCTGCAGAGGGAACTCCGCCCGTAGACGGCAAACTCACGTAGAACTCATCGGGCTTGGCAGACATTTCGATCGGTATCTCGGCTTCCACATCCACGAATTTCAATGGATTTTCCCAGACTATAGCTGGAGCATTGCCGTAAGATCCAGAATGTCTCGCTTTCGAGTCCCGCACGGCCTGTATAAAAGAAAGCCAGGTCAATCGGAGCTTCTCTGCTGTCCACCAGTTCTTTCTTCGGCGGCCATGAAGACCAAATCCTTCAAAGAGATAAAGATAGATCAGGTGACGAGGTGGAACTGCAAAAGTCTTTTCCATGTCCCGTAGAACGTTCATGAACATGTCCAGATCACCAGTGACGCGCGTGCAATGCTGAAGCCAGATGTAGAATGTTCGTGTATCCGGTGTCATGGGAAGAGAGTCTTGAAGGGCATGGTGATAAGCAGGTAGGCTTTTCTTGAGAGCCTTGGACTTTTTAAGCAGGCGACCAAGCTCCCTGGTTTTTGCTCGGTAAAATGTAAACTCTGGCGAGAGACTCGGAGAGGTATCTTGAGAAATGCCAGTACTTAAATCCTTTTTGTGTTGGACCTGTGCTTTGAGCATCCGTCCATACAACTGCTCCGCTGTCTCAATATCACCAGCCCGAAGAAAGGATGACATGACACAGTTCAGCACGACAGTGTCAACTAGCTCTCCTGACCTGACAAAGTAATCAAACGTGTCACGAATCCCATCCAAATCTCTCCGCATGCCGCATGAAAATATTTTCGAGACTAGTCCAGAACGTGAAAAACGAACTCCCCTTTTGCTCATTTCTTCCTCCAAACGATCTGCCACGATGAACTGGTTGGCTTTGATGGCAACGTCGAATAAAATATTAAAGACCACGTCGTCAGCCTTGATCCCAGCAACATGCTCCATTTGCTGCCAAAGGCCAATTGCGTGAACTAGGCGTCGTTTGGACACCCTCCCGTTATTGCTTCGACCAGCCATGTGAATTGCTGTAGACCATAGTGAGCGCGACATTGGAAGCCCTGCGGCAACCATATCGTCCACCAAGGCAAGATAGCGACGGGCATCTGCCCAACGTCGATTCTCAGGTGTCGCAAGTCGCCTCAAGAGGCGGCCGCGTGAAATTTTGGATAAATATGCCACACCAGGCTCTGGAAGGTCTCTGTATAAACGAAAAAGAAATTGAGTCGTTGCCTGCTCTTGGCTGGGCAGTGCTTCGACAAGCCTAGCAACTGATGGACTCTCAATCATGTCGCGCGTGTCGTCCACTTGTCGGATAAAGGTCTGTTTAGGTAGTACAGCCTCCACGGCATCTTCCAAATCGTATTTATCTCCGAACAACCGCTGGAATATGCCGGAGACGGCATTTCGCACTCTTTCGTCTCGCGTGAGGGATGGGCTCTCCTTATAAAGCTCTGTTGCTGCCTCTGAATGTGTATCGTTGATTATTTCTTTCGGGAAATCTGTCAATCGACGGACGTCCGGTATTGAATCGAAAAATTGTTCTTCGAAGTACTGTTGCGATTTGCTGTCCGGAACCTGTGGTAGCCGGGGCAGCGCGTGATAATTATTCTCCTTTGCTCTCTCTCTTGCTTGAAATGTCAAATTGTGTTTCTCTTGGGTATCTTCCTCCACCGGCTCCAGGCCATGGCAAAGCCATGACCTTTGTCGCGATTGCTGGACTGGTCCTGAGAATTCCCAACGTCGCCGTGCTGGGCTTTCACCACGGTCCACCCCCTCTCTGCCCCTGAACCTTCGTAAATTAGGTTCTGATGTCCTCAGGTGTAGTGTAGACAAGCCTCGACCGCGTGGTGAGTGCTCGTGACAGAAACCTGCCAGGACAAGGGAGCCAACAAAAAGGTCCGCTATCGACGCGACGGAAGGACGAGGGCGCCGAGTAGAGAAGCTTCGAACGGAGGAGCGGGGGAGGGATGGTTTCGGATGAGACATTGAATGTGGTCGGGAGAGGAGAAGCTCATCCAAGGCCTGCTTGGAGGGATCTCGCAGGCCCGGTGAGCTGGGGAACCTATTGGGATGAGGCATGAGATGACAGACATCGTGGCACTGGATTAGCCATGCACGTCGCAAGGAAGGGCCCAGGCCACTGGCACGAGAACCAAATAGATTGCTTCGCGGCCTCAAAAAGCGAGACAGACAGGGAGAGAACGAGAGGTTGATCAATGGGTGGATGAAGGTGTTTTTCTGATGAACGGACTTTCTGGCTTTGCAGCGGAGCCCACGCTGGCCAATCGGAGCCCGGCATTGTCAATCCCATCTTTTTCGAACTTCGGCACGTCTCAACCTCTTACATCTTTATCTCAGCCCGCATTCTCCTCCCCAGTTGCCCTTGAGGGCTGTATTTCGGGTGTTTTTCTTCTCACAGATTGCCTACACGCTGTTTCTGGCGTGTTCCCAACCATGGGTAAAATCAACCTCACAGCACTACGGGTGCGACAGACAGCGATCAACCAATTCGCCAGCGGAAAGATCAACAAGTTACCACAATGGGTTGATGTGGTCGGCGACATTCCTCCATCTGAGGTCCTAGTTCGTCACCTTCCTCAGCAACACCAATTGGTCCGACAACGAGTGAAGTCCGACGACTCCAAGGCGGGGAGGCATACCGAGTTCGAAGTTGTACAGACACGCCGGAAATCCAAGAAGCCCAGCCGACTGTTCCAGCCGGTTCAGCTTAGATATGAGGAAGATGAGCTGCGAAAACAGTTCTTCAAAGATCACCCTTGGGAACTTGCCCGACCTCGCGTGCTTGTCGAATCCACTGGTAAAGACCATGAAAGCTACAATTGGAAGCACCTTCAGCAGCCCGGAAGGAGGCTGGATGGTGAGAGGTGAATTTTTAATTACTATGTGCCCTGCCATTGATCGAGTACTGATGTTTCTCCTAGTGTGGTTCAACGACAGCTTTATCTTCTGGAGAACGTGCCCGATATGACCGTGAGCGCCGCGTACGACATCGCCCGCCAAGAATTCTACAAGCTTCGTCTGCAGGAGGATATTGAGCGACGGGTTGCCGCGGAGGAGGCCGAGGCGACCGGTGCCAAGTTTGGCCCAACCTTTTTGGAAATTGGTATGGAGCTGGAGAACCAACAGTTCGAGAAATGGAAGGAATGGGCCAAGTTGGAGGCTCAAGTTCTTGGTCAACGGTCAGCTGCGCTATCCGGTGCCCCTGAACTTGCATCAGAGAAGGACACGGAGCAAGATGCTCAGGCTCTTGATATTGAGCAGTCTGAGGCTGAGCAATAGATGCTCATCATTTGCATATCTGGCTCTCTTGTTCTTCGATACTCCAGATTGTCATGTATATTATTTACTGTTCATTTCCTTGTTGGATGTAGTATTCCCATAGTTTTAAGCATACATGTCTTGTTTCACTTGATTCGAGTCGCCTGTTGACATTCAAAATATTATATCCTAGACAGTATTAAATATATGTAGTTACTTCTCATGGCAATTGCTCCACGTACAACATAAATTAGCACTGAATTCGGGGCCATGCGTATATTCCTGCATATGGGATAGGGTGTGCAAGAGTAATTTGGACACGTGGAGAAATTTCGCTTCTTATGTGCAAACCAAAATTATACTAGACTATAATATCCCAGCCCATTCAAGGTGGGCCAACCGTTGAAACACGAAAACACCGTTGATCGCACATGCAAAGCTCGGGGTCCGCTTCGTCCAATCACAGAACTTCCAGCCTCTCCAACTTCCCTTTGAATCTGGACTTGACTTCAAATACACGTACACATACTCCGTGTTTTGCCTGATCGTCTCGGATCTGCGATACGTTCCTGCAGCATTCCTTAGCTTATCGTGGTTGAACCTCCGCCACGAACCAAACATTTCTTTCGAGCCTCATTGCGCCATTCCCGCTCCTTGGTGATCCTTACCTTCAGCCTTAACAGTTGACGTTGTCGATCAACTGTCCTGTTCGACTCCATAAAACCGAAGTCATCCTCCGTCCAACCTACGCTGTCGCGTTGCCCCGAAACCCGAGCCGACGCAATCATACCCACCCTTCGAGGCCCACTTACTCGCTGACGATGCTTGGCTTGAATGTGCTTGCCGCCTGTTGGTAACGGTTAAGAGACAGGAGAATTCTTTGATCTTTGGCACGCTTGCAATTTAAGGCCTGACCTGCGTCAGCAACAATGTCTATGACCCGACCCGAAGACACAGTCCGTGGCCCAGGGTCACACCCAGACCCGGCCGAGGAAGATGATAATAAGAAAGGATCACACGACTCCCTAGTACCTCCGCCACTGTCATACAACGAAGGATTCCCACGACTCGAAGGGGATGGGTCAAGGCCAGGCACAGCCATGGGTGACGCGCCCGGTAGTTCTGGAAAATCATCTGGCCCTAAACCGTTATCACAGGAGGACACTATTGAGTTAGCAAAACGGGCAGTGGAGAGTGGGATTCAGGATACCAAACGGTCGCTGGCAGGAAGTGAGGCTGTTACCGATGTCGTGAAGCCCAAGTTGACCATTGACTTGGGCCATTCGCATATCGTGCGGATACCAGAGCCTGTAGTGGATATAATAAAAGACGAGGTGGAAAGGTATGTCATGTTTTGAAATGCCAATCTGGAGCTACGACTAAACCGAGACAAGATGACTGACTCTGCATAGACTTTCTCTTTCCAACAACCATCTATTTCATATTCCATATCGCTTTGCTGAATGTTGTCATCTCCGGTACCTCAACATCAGAGCGAACAACTTCCGTGAATTTCCAAAAGGAGTTCGTGCAACCGAGCTTTCCCACTCACTATTCCCTATACTGATCATCTCAGGTTTACAAACTACCGTTGCTAGAGATTCTTGATCTCAGTCGAAACAAGATCGGCTTATTGCCCGACGAGATTGGCAAAATAAAATCCCTGCGAGTGTTGTCTATCATGCAGAACCGGCTTGATGACCTGCCAGTAGGGTTGTCAGATATGAACAAGCTGCAAGTTCTCAAAGTGGCAGGAAATCCTTTACGCTCTCCACTTCGACGAGTCCTGGAGGGATTGGAGGCGGAGATGGCTCCATCGGCAATGTCCGATAACGAGAAGGAGGTTGCCATCACTGCAGAGTTGAAGAGGTTTCTCAAAACTCGACAGTCAGCGAGTACTCCGGAGCCAGATCTTATTGCCGACCCAAGGTATGTTTATTCAATCCCATTGAAGTATCAGGCTAATCGTACCCAGCGGGAGCCCATTATTTGAAACACCAAAACCGATCCCAGTCAAACGTAAACTAAGTAGTCGATTTCCTGTCATCCCGAACACTGGTGATAGTTCGGCATCATCGTCCAGATCTCCATCAATCTCTCGGGGACCAGGAGTGCCGAGCAAAAGCCATTATCGCATGGCCTCGGGGCAACAGAGTGGCACATACCTTATGGACAGTCTCCGACGACCTAGTGTGACACCCCATACTGCCAGTGAGCGCATTCGAAGTAACAGCGAAGGTATCATCCAGGCGTCCTTCGCAGCTCGCAGCAAGCGCATGGGGGTCATAAGTCGCAAAAACACGGATTTGGGAACCTTGGATGAGACACGGCCGTATAGAAACAGCCATCTGCGAGGTCTCAGCCATGGCTCTGTCCTTCGAACCCGCCCGGCAGGGCCGACCCCTGCAAGTGACAGTAGCTCCTCCAGCCCCAGCAGCCCTGGAGACCGCCGACACCCACGAGATGGCTGGGTAAACCGCATGTCGAGTCTTCCTGAGCAAAAAGGAGAAAGGGCCTCGGCCGACCCAGTCATCGAGAGTGCCAAGGGGATCTTGTTCTCCCTTTTCCAGGTTCATTCTCACATATCCACATTGATTAATGTCATCCAGCGCGATGACACCCGACGCCACAGCCTTGAACTTGTGTTCTACAATGCTTCAAGTCATGTTGAGCGACTCAATGAAGCTCTTGAGAATGCAGAAAAATTTATCCCTGATGACTCTGATTCGAGTCGGGTCCTGAACGAAAGTGTGAGGCGAGAGTGTGAGACATGCATCACGGCCTACACACATGTGGGCACCCAGCTGCGCAATAGCGCTTCCAAAATTGTTTCCAATGGCGACTCACGGTACGTGCGCTCGCTCATGTTGATGATGTTTGGGGGCTTGGTGGAGCTACGGAATGCTTGCGCTAGCCTCAATGTATCGCTCCAACCGATTCAAAAACAAATTTCGGTTTCCAAGCCAATTCCCGAAATAAACAAAGGGTCTTTTGCTCAGGAAAGGCCCCGGCCTTTGGTTACTCCTCCGAGGGATGCTGTAGCGCCTCCACGACGATTGCGCAGCGATACCACCATCCGACACCCGCAAGTTCCTGTCCCTCTTATGAACCATGCAGCCGCCAATGGATCACCTGGCTTTGCAACCCCGGCTTTCAACTATGCACGCAGTCGATCTAGTAGCCGGACAAACTTGATTAACAGTTCTATACCAACTTCACTGGCCACGCCTCGCTCTGGAGAGTCATTCCCTCCTATGCCCATAAGCAATGGTCCTCGAATCAATCCCTTAACTGGATTAGATGAGATTGAAGAAGAACGAGTCTTCGAGAAGATCTTCCATCAGCTTACTTCGGCATACAGCGCGGCACTTCAAGCACTCCCATTGGCTCGACGGCAATTATCCCGATGCCTTGAAGTGGCTGAGCAATCCAGGGAGGCCGAGGGTATTCAATTGCTGTGGACGAATCTCATCCGTCGGTGTCGAACCTGCCTCGAAGTATCTGAGGCACTGGGCATGCGACTATCCACCATGAAAGTCAAGGAACCGAATGGCGGACTACGGAATCAGCGCGAGTTCTGGCAGCTGTGCAAGGCTTTCATGCAGGCCTTTGTGGACCTTATAACAGACATGCGGGAGGTGCGCAACTTGCAGATTCTCCCTCAAGATATCATCATTATTCTACGACCAGTCCAGAAAGCTAGCCGAGAAGCCGGTCGTTTGATTGAAGCATCTCCCTGGTCTTTCCTTGCAGATCCGGCGACAAATGCACCCAATCACCTGTACGGTCCGGCGCTGCAACCTCCCCATGCCCAGCATCAAACCTCCGTCTCAACATCCGCCCTCCCCACCCATCCACAATATCTGGGCGCAGGAATGTCTCCTCAATCCGTCACTGTTCCCTCCACCCCCCTCAGTGCGGCTCTCGGTCCCGCAGCGCAAGCAACCGTCCCCTCCACCCCGGCTAGTGCATACAGTGACAAGTTCTTTGAGGGCGATGTCTTTCAGCGCGCAGACTCTCTCCTTTCGATGCAAAACCAAGGTCCATATTATGCTCGTCGTTAGATTTCTTCCCCCTCTGCGATTCTTGAATGCCCCTTATGATGATGAGTTACCATGCACGCATCGACTTCGACAGAACACTTCTAGCAGTGTACATCTATCGTCCCATGTGTGCGCTTTTGTCTCAAATTAGCGGAACTATGACATGTATTTCTTCCCAAGAATATCAGATATATGACGTGCTTTCTCGTTTTCGTTACAACGTACAATTATATTCGGCTTCAATGTCCGCGGGATCAGAGCTCTTACGTGAGTCCCGCGCTCTTTATCACAATCAAATAGCTTTAGTTTAAGGAGATTATCCGATCTGGAAACTTATTGATGTACCACATGTGTTGACAATGCCCGATGCCCTTTGATTCTGTTTCACATACAACCCGCAAATTTATAAGATGAACCACTAGCTAATGAATAAACCTCGACTGATCCAAATGTACCAGCCGTCACTTTAATCATAACAATCAACAATGCTAGGAGCTCAACCCGCCCTCCCTCCAACCACAACGTCCCGCACAAAAGCAAACATCTCTTTCTGCTTCGTCGCGAAGACACTGTGACCCGCCCCCTCAAAGAAATGATACGAAACACCCCTCTCAGCGGCCCAGATCCCTGCCACCTCTCCCCTTGACCGGGTCGCAGGCGCGGCATCGTCAGCATGAAAGGCTCGACTAGGTCGTTTCTGAAATCCCTGCAATCCCCGCCAAGTCATATTCTGAATCGACAATTCCACCCCGACATGATTGATCAGCATATCCATCTCCCCATCATAGATATGCAGTGAGATATTGTGTTTGGTGACAAGCAAAGGAAGAATTTCATACTCTGGCGGCTCAACGAACTCACTTGCCGTCAGCGTTGCAAGGATGGTATCGTTGCAAGCGGAGTATGTACCGCTATCAGGGATATGTAGAGCTTCTTGCACGTCGTCTCGACTGAAGTACTCTTCCAGCAACGGGATGTAATCAATAGTTGTGCAGCTATGTGTGAGGTCGTACATGCTGAAACAGGCCGAGTTGTTGCCTTCAGTTCCATGGGAGTACATGTAGTTTTCAGCGGTCGAGAATGTGGCGCAGGGACCGTAGCAGGAGGAATTGAGAATCGAGTTGATGATTTCAGAGGGTGTAGATGGATCAGTATCACAGGATCCGTCTAGGATGCCAAGATTCCCTTCATCGCGGCGTTTGAGGCGACGGTAGTTAACAAACTCTGGGTTTCCTGGGATCTGGATTTTGGCGATGGGAGGGTATGTGCGTGCTTCCTGGAGGACGGTATCGAAGCCGCAAACTTCATCTGTGAGAGCGAATGCTGAGAGGATTTTCTCCGGGATGTTTAGATGGGATTTTTGGGAATGCATGTATGTGCTCATTGCGACGGAGGACATTGCTGCGGCGTTGCCCCATGATCCGTCGCCCAGCGACATGGAGTGGAGGTTGATTGGAAATGAATGGTTTTGCACCAAGGCAGAGGCGAGGTATGGCACAAAGATGCCCGCATATGACTCGCCCATCAGGTGGACCTTTTTCGATTGAAGATGTGGGAATTGTTTGAAAAGTGCATGCAGCCATACTACCAGGTCCGCTGTCACTTGTTCATTGGTCCGGACGAGAGAGCTGGCGAGCGAGAATCCCGTGCCGACGGGTTGATCCACGTAGAGGACATGGCCCAGCTTCGTCCACGAGTATGGGTTGGAAATGAGGCGAGTGGAGTTACTAGCGAAGGCAATGGGTCCGTTCCCCGTTGTGAGGCCTATCAGGGATGAGCAGCCGGGGCCGCCATTTAGCCAAACTAGGTTTGAAATGTTAGTCCCCTGGGATGGCAGTACATTTGGATCAGACTTACTGATTAGGTTCTCATCGTATGCAGGCTCTTCGGCTTCGAACAACCAGAAGAAGATCTCGTTGCCTTGTCTTCCCGGAACCGGCAACCGGCCAGCCCAGCTGGTTGGTAATGTGGGGCTATCTGGGAGAGAGGAAACTTGGAATAGAGAATTGGAGGATGGGGCATGGGATAGGACGGTAGTGGGAATTGCACAGAATACCTGAAAAAGGTAGTAAAAAAGGGCGATGTTCATGACGGAACTGTCTGTGCTGTACAGACTGACCGTGATTTTGCAACTTTGACAATCTTCTAACCACAATGGGAGATCTGCTATTTTTCAGAGAAGTCTAAATAGAATCCTCATGATTATATATGAGTTCAAGATCTGAATGAATGAGTTTCTACACGGTGAAGGGTCTATAGGAGGTTGGAGTGGTGGTCATCCTTTGAAGTTCCTTATTTGGGTTTCTATAGAGATTGCGGTACAACTAGTTCTATAGAACCCCCGATTTGGACACCTAGATCTTAGATCGGAAAATTTCCGGCTGAAACTGACTAATTCACTTGATTTGCATAAATCGATCAACCTGATACAATCTGAATGGTCCGCCTGCTATGTCTGCTAACTGTACATTGCGTAGTTGTATAGAGTGGGTCATCTACTGTCGATCATAACCGGAATGGGCATATCGACACCTCGAACTTAAGGTATCAAACCATAAACCGAACGCAGCTGCTGACTCATCGATCTGCAAACAAGTCATCTTCATACAGTAACTCCTCACCCGAGTCAAGAGAACAGATTCAAAGGTTCTCTGACCAGTCCATATGTATTCCCATGTTCATCGCTTGATCGCTTGATCACCTAAAACAAATGGATCAATGGATTGCCAACTTGACCAAAAGCTGACCAAAAGCTGGTCAACTTGCCAGAGTGGCTCCCCGATCAATCCATTCCCTCACGTGGCCAGTGCGTCCCCCCAAAAGTGAGGCGTTGGGATCGATCCGGGAATCGAAAAACCCCTTGAAACCCTACTTTCCCCTTTTTAGGTGCTCATTGTGCGGTGTGGAAAAAGGTGATCACTTAACAGAATAGGGGCATGATCGAAGATCTGGGTCCATCCGGGTAGCAGCAGTGGAATGTGATGGTTGCGTCCACCCGAATCCGTCATTGGTTTTCTTGAAAACGTTCTGTGCTTGACTATATCAGTGACAACCCGGTCGCCTTTCCAATCCTTGCTCTTTCTCTTTTGGTCTTTTTGCTCTGTTGATGTTCCTACCGTGATCTATCTCGCCTGTTGTATAAAGACAATCGAAATCTTACCGCTTCCCGAATGTCTTGACTTGCTCCACATGGTGATTCAATATTTTACTTTTGTCTCTGGAGATATCACTGGAATCAAATCTCTTTGAAAACTCTTCATTCAACCATAGGAGTCTCGACCACGAGGGCCGATCGCCCGCAGATCCAAGCTTCCTTGGTGGCTCCACAGCAATTGACAGCTCACTTGCATCACTTCGTCGGCAACGCGGATTGGCTGCCTGCCTGAGGCAAACAAGGCGATCGAAACAAAAGGTAAGTTTGAAAAAAGAGTTGCATAAAGGGCGTTTCCGTTGAGATCATGCTTCCTTGCAAGGTTGGGTGAAGTCGGCGCAGGGCGGTTCGCCACCGGCCTTAGCCCAAACAAAAAAATATTGTTCTTATCTAACGATTAGCAGAAGCTTGGGAAGAGATCGTCATTTTTTGTCCTTTTCGTTCTCCCCCCTTTCCCTATGGATCTCCAGGGGACCAAGGAGGCTCGGGCCCAAGAGGAGGGTGCCGACGGCCCGCTAGACGCTTATGGTGGAGGTGGCCGGTCCAAGGAGTATCACAAGAACGAGGGGCGTGATGCTCACGGTCATGATAATTCTCCTAATGTGCGCCCACTTCGTCGTCGACAGTCCCCGTTCACATATCCGCACGGGACTCGCCAGCAAACCGCGCTAGCCCCTACCGCGGCGCCACGGGAACCCTCACCATCCCCAGAGGCCATCGTCATTCCCCAAGCACTGGGATTAAGTTCCCGGGAGCAGAGATTACTATGCAAAGCGCGTCGACAGCCACCCGTGACCAAGGCAACGCTGAGTGAACTCGATTTGCCCTGTATCATCAGCAACATCAATCTCCGCATGGATGCCAACTTCGATCGCGACCTACATTTCAAACCCGATTTGGATGGCGAGAAGGGGAAGCGGAAACGGAAAGAGGCGACGAACTACTGGGACTCGATGGCGACGGAGATTGCGATCTATGCGTACCATGCAGCTCACCCCGATGAGGAGCAGGGCCGGGGAAGCTCCCAACGCACCTTTGAGCCCCGATTGCCAGCCATGTTTGAGACCCTGCAGGAAGTCATCAAGACCCTTGTTCCAGAGCGAGATCATCCCAGCGTCATGCAGAATCTGGAGGTGCCCTTGCTGATGCAGCAGATCCGCAAGGGTGTGCTCGATATGGTGGCGCTAGCGACGTGGATGGCAGCTCTGCTCAAGACGCATTGTGCACCGATGCGGGACGAATGGGCGGATCGGATGGCCGAACAGATTAGCCAAGGGTCCCAGTCTCAAGACCCAAAAGAGATTGTGAATGGGCTTCAGACCCTCTTTGCGATACTAGAGGCCATGAAACTGGTACGGCTCCACCGGCTCCACAACTTAAGCGCTCAGCTAACCAAACTTAGGACGTGGCCAACCATCAAATACGTACATTTCGCGTGCTTCTAATCGAAGATACAGTGCCATTCCTACAAGAGTACTTCGAGGGCAAGATCAGTCGTGGCAATTTCCACGTGGAACCCGCCCGGCTCTGGTACCTAGATGCACGAAACCGCGCCCAAGAAGAAGATGAGAACAAAAACCCAAGCCAACCTGACGACGGCCTCAAACCTCTCGAGGCTCTTCTGCGCGGCATTTCCGACCAACTCCTTCAGTTCACACCCCCCGCCGACTTCCCCGAAACCTTCCTTTTCGACTCCGACCGACTCTGGCAACTCCGCGCTACCATACAAAACCTCATCAACCTCGAAATCGCCTGGTATATCTTCGAGTCCTACGTCCACACCCAAAAGCGTTACCTCTCCGCCCGCGAGGAAACATACACAACTTTCCGCTCCCGTATCTGGTCTCTAATGGAAGACGGCCTCGACCCAAACGGCCACGTCCCCAGCGCCATTGACAACGACCCTGACCTCCGCGGCGGCGCCCACTGGCTACAAAACATGCGCAGCATTGCCCTCGAAATCGCACGCTTCGCGTGTGCGGCCTGCTGCCTCGATTCCGTCGTCGCAGACGAAGTGATCACACCCATCGAAGCGGCCCTCGAATGGCACCTCACTAACGAATCGGATCTTTTCCGTTATTTCCAAAATGGGATGCGCGAGAAGATCCTCGCTGCGACGCTTGCGTCTGCAAGGAAGTTTATCCCTCTTTCGCCGCTGGCGATTTGTGAGTCGCAACGTGCCGTTCCGCAGCAACAGCCCTCTGCGCCACTCGTTCCGGCTGCGTCTTCGACTGCTGCGACAGCAGCGAGTCCGACGAGCTCGGGATCGATCGTGTCGCCTCCCTCACCGCAAGATCATGATATCGAGCGTATCGGTATGCGTCTTGCGCATATGGCTGTTTTGCATTGGCGCGTCTGGGCTCCATTGCTGTATCTCCGGGATGAGATAGCGGATTTAGCCCTCGACACCCCTGCCTTTGTCTAATACGATCTGCGGAGTGTTTTCTTGTACTATGGTGAAGCTGAAGTTTATTTCGTTTCCCTTTCCCATTCCCTGGTTGATTTTTCCTTTCTTTATTGATTTCTGCTTTTCTTGATCTGCTGTTCAGCGCCTGCATTGGATTCATCTGGCGTTCTCCTACCGGCACCGCATCACGAACCGGCGCTAGATAGATATGGGGGGCTTCTTATTGTGCTTTATAGGATTTATTACCGTTGGGATATAGAAGGCGCTATGGATTTGGATTTTGATCTTGAATTTCGGGCTGTTTTGATCTACTTCCCCGCGCGGTTCTACTGAACTGTATACCAAAATCAAAATGAAAATGAAAATGAACATCTCTAGACATCAACTTCAATATGACCGATTTGGGAAAAATGTGAGATAAGCTATCGACGCGTGCGGTGGCGGTCTGTGCACCCGGCAGATCAAGATCAACATCGAACATCAACTTCCGGTCAACCCCTGGAGAATTGAGAATTGAGAATTGAGAATTGAGACCAGGGTAAAAATAGTCTTATATCCCCACATTCCATTCAATTCCGATCCGATCCACGGATCTCGATTGCGTCCAAAAAGGGAAAATAATGCGCGTCTCCACATCGCTCTTCGCAGCGGGATCCCGGTCCCGGTCTGCAGTGAAAGCTCCAATTCTGGGATCAACACCAAAACCAAAATCAGGAAGCGTATCAGCACTGATACCATCTGAATCCATTCCATGGCTGCGATCGCTGAAATCCACAGATTTGCAGCGCATCGCGCGCGCAACGGGGATTAAGTCTTCTGGCACGAAAGCCGTCTTACTAGAAAGGATCCAGTGTGAATTGCGAAGTCACGTTCATGGTCATGTCCAATCTCAAGCTCAAGATAGAAGCCAGCATAAATCCCATTCAGGCGATGAACCATGGCGGATCTTGAGTATTGATATGGGGATTCGGAATTTGGCATTTGCTTTTTTGACTGTCCCTTGTCCTTTTTCTAGGACTACATCAGGTTCTTGGAATGAAAGTCAAGATCAGGAACAAATACAAGTACAATTGCAACGCCCATATATACCAGAGTTACAAGCCTGGAGACGTCTATCCGTCTCAGATGGCCTAGACCTCTCAAATCTACCAACTCCAACTCCAACTCCAACTCCAAGCTCAGATTCCGAATCAGAATCTCTCGCAAAAGACAAAGGGAAAGAAAAAGAGAGTTATTCCCCAGATACATACGCCTCAAACGCCTACAATCTCATAAAAACCCTTCTATCAGCCTACACCCCAACCCACATCCTCATCGAGCGCCAACGTTTCCGCTCCGGTGGAAGCAGCGCAGTTCAAGAATGGACACTTCGCGTTGGTGTCTTTGAGGGAATGATGCATGCTACCTTGCATACTTTACGTGTTGAGCGTGGGAATATAGGGATTGTTGAAGGTGTTGAGCCTAAGAGGGTGGTAGGGTTTTGGGATGAGATTGGAAGAACTGGGGGTGGAAGTGGAATTGTGAAGCTAGCTGTTAGTGCTAGTGAGAAGAAACCTAGTGCGAGGGAGGTGAAGAAGGCAAAAATGGGCATTGTGGGTGGTTGGGTGGAGGGGTCATTGGAGGGTAGATATGGGAAGGTGATTGTTGGGGAAGATGAGGCAGTTCGTGAGTTGGCGGGTGCTTATGTCCGGAAGTGGAAGGGGGAGAAAGGGAAGAAGGTGGATATAGGGAAACTGGATGATTTGGCGGATTGTTTGTTGCAGGGGATTACATGGTTGGAGTGGCAGGTCATGAGGGAAAGACTTGTTAGGGAGGGATTGCAGGCTTTAGATTGTACGTGAACATTCATGCATGAATGTGATAATTGATGGTTTACGAACTCCACAAGATCGACAAGATCGACAGGTCCACTCAATCTTTGTTAAAAACTAGTAGAAGGTCATCTAAAATTGAATCAACTTGGTTTCCAAATTTCAAAAACAAAAACAAAAATGTCAATTCCCAACGCGGGGAGCAAAGCAATTTTGTACATTATGCACATCTTCTGCATCAGTGCACACCTTAATAACAAACATCAAAACCAACGCAGGATTGTAAGCAATTCTAAGCTGTAAAAAAGTCCAAGATTCAACCAGGGCTAACAGCCAACACTAATACGAGAAATTTCCGAGTCCGAATGAGAATAAAAAAGACATCTCATTCTAGGGAACCAAAAAGATGGAGTAAGAGGACATGGAATCCAGAAAGTTGCCACTTGAAAAAAGCAAACAGGAGAACCATGGAAGAAAAGAATCAAAGTATCCACAATGAAGATGTAGATAAAGATCTGCGGTACTGAGACCCGAATCGAAAAAATGTACAAATCCCAGCATGCATGCAGATGCAGATGCATGAAAGAAGAAAGAAAGAAACCCAAAACACTCAATCATCGCGGCTCATCTCGACTGGAATCCGCTTAGACATAGCGGCGACGGAAGCTGTGGGGGTAGTTTCCACTTGGGGTACCGGAGGGAGAAACAGGGCCGCTGGCACTGGCGGAGGGCTTGCCGCTAGGAGAAGGCTTGTAGCTAGGCCAAGCGATGGAGCTTGTGGCGAAGCCGGAGGGAGTGAGGCTGGTAGATGGGTACGGAGCTGTTCCATTGCCGTAAGGAGGACGGGTGGCTGACAGAGTGGCAGTAGGGATGGGCGCGGTGGTCTCGGGCTCAATCTCCGTGGTTGTGGGCTGGGCTCCTTCGCCGTTACCGCCATTACCACCCTTACCACCGTTGCCAGAGCCTCCCTGGTTGTGGTTCTCGCCGGGAGTAGAGGTGTGGGCAGCGTTCTGGAAGGTTAGTGGGGGCTTGGATGTTGAACTTGGGCGTGTACATACCACGGTCACAGTCTCAGTGGCGGTGACAGTCACGGTGACTGGGTTACAGGCACCAGCGCTGACGGTGTCAGTGGGAGCCTCAACGACGGTAAGTGTCTTGGTAGTGGTTCCCTGCACGGTCGTAGTCTCCTCGGGCTTTTGGCCATGACCCTCCTCATTGGGAGCGGTGTAAGCAGCGGTCTATGGAAGTTAGTAAAAAGGAACAAGGCAGATTGGAATGAACGAACCGGGTAGACAGTGTGGACATCGGTGATGGTCTTCTGGATAGTAGTGGTAACAACGCTGGTCGAAGTTCCAGATCCAAGAGTGTAGGTGAGAGTGACATCAGTGGTGGTGAGATCAGTAGTAACACCAGAGGCAGCCGACTGAGAAGCAGAGGCAACAACACTGGAGCCAACAGCACCAGTGCCAAGGGGAACAGGCACGGAGCTGGAGACACCAGGTGTGTAGGCGGGCTTGCCAGAGGGAGAGTGAGGGGTGAGAACAGGAGTAGGATAGACAGTCTCGTAAGTGGTTGGAAGAGCGCTGGTAGGAGTGGTGCCATTGATACCACGCATGGGGTTCAGGTGGCGGGCGTGAAGACCATGATGGGCATCCGCATTTCCCAGAGCAGCCAGGGACATGAGCGCAGCCATAGTGAGGGTGTTGAGAGTGAACATTTTGAAGATTTGAGCTCAAGGACAGTCAATGTCGGGTGAAGTTGAAAAGCTGGTAAAAGTGAGAGACTCGTGAAGTGTTGTCTGAACGAATGTGAAGCTGTGAAGTCAATTCACAGATGGTAACGAATGTTTGAAAGAAAGAAAGCTCTTAACCAGAGAGTAGTATGAAAAGAAAGTGAGCTACAAGCTTAAAGAAGAGAAGAAGGAGAGAAAGAGAGAAGTTAGAAGTAAATGAATGGGTGATTTTAGGGATTGGTATTGGTATTACCGGTTCAGATGAGCGGGGCTACTTTCAAGGATAATAAAAACCAGGAAGAACGTGTACATGCATAGTGGAGATGTGGCTGTTGTTGACAGTTGGTACGGAGTATAGAGTGAAAATACTACAGATATCTTCCATATGGCCCCACTAAGTCTCAGGAACCGAACTATGATTGGATGGACCAAAGAACCAATCAAACAGACTTTGGCCATTAATCTCACTCTCGTCTAATCAAATCCCCTGAGATTACTATCTCTCGTCACTATCCGTCACTGGCGCTGTGGCGTAAGGTCATCTAGACAATCATCACTAGGCAGCACATTTCAGCTGTGATGACATATAATACAGCCAAAGCTCCAGGTCAGCAAAATCATCATCTGGCTAGTGCGACATGGAAGAAATGAAAATTTCATTCCAAGTGGGGGGAGAATAAGATTCCAGTACTGGAATGATAAGATCGTGCGCCCGAGCCCTTTTACCGGTGTTTCAGGCGGTTGTAATCGGCCTGTAATATAGATTACCAGGTACACCTTAATCTAAGTGTTTCATATAGAAACCCCACTTGGAAATCTCAATCCGAGAGATTAAACATTCACCATTTACCAGCCCGTCCCATAATGACGATAGACAGGGATTTCGAATTCTGGACCTGTCCAAACGGCTCCAAATGAAGTTCCAGAACTACCCTGGGGATGACGGCATTTATATTGGTTCTGGAATCGCTCTTGTCCCTGGAGCTAGACACGACCCGTGCAATTGTGGGACAGATTTGATTGCATCGATTACAGAAGAGATATGGCCCCGCCACACATCCGTGCGACTCGACCTGCTCATCTGGGCCACTCTCCTACTAAATACCTCATCTAAGACTCTTCGCGATACCCGCTTTTGGTTAGATATATCAGGTCGTCGGTGTTATGCGAGGGACTTGCTTACCCAAAACTATTTCGTCATTGACAGGGTTTGCTCATGTGGAGAAGCTTTCCGCTCTGAAACATCAGGGACTTCGTCAACAGGATTGGGGATAGTACCTGTGTACCCACCCCGCTGGTTTGAAGAGACTGCCAAATAAAAGGGGAAAAAGAAATAAACAGTGGAGAAGGTACGTTGGCGGCATGAAAATATGGGAAGAAAATATAGGAAGAAGATATGTCGATGGAGAGAGGGGAAGAAGTTAGATTCGAAATCTACCATAGGCATCATGTGGTTGCTCTATCAACGTGGCTTTCTATATCGGAATAAGACAGCATTTACTTCAGCTCCGTTAGAGCTCAGGCATTCAGATAAGTTTCTGAATAAGCTTTCACTTCTACTTCCATCTTATTCTCCGGCGACAGCTTCCTTGTAGGAAGCACTGAGCGAGGCTGGGGGAAACTGAACGTACACTCATTCCTTCAAAATTGATACAAGAATTGATTAAATAATACCTAATAGTGTGATTTGCCGAGGGGAAGAAGGATCCTTGTTAGTAATCCCAACGTGCCTGGGGTAAGTATTCCAGTTTTAGTTTATCTTTTCATATTCAACTCATGTATCAGGATTCAAGTCTAATTCGCGATCCCAATCCCATTTAGAAGACCCATCCTCTGATGGAATTGGAGACATGGCTGGAAGTGGATATGTAACTGAAATGTCAGGATCCCAATCATTTGCTGCTTTGTCATCGGGGCTGGGTTCAACGGGGACTGAAGATGAATATGAACATGAAGGGTTTTGGTAGTCTGGACTTTTCGTTTGTGATTTCGCAGTTAGGGTTGTCAAGGTTTGCTGAAAAACCGGGTTCCGAGCATCCATCATGGCCCAGTAGTCCACGACGTATTTTAGTATAGTCAACTCCGTCGTGGTAAATTCGTCCATGCGTGGCTGGTTCCGCAGAAGTATGTCGCTATATCTTGGGCACTGTTGGATGAAGTTTTCTAAAGCGCTTGTCTGTTGAACCAAGGATTAGTGGAATCTTATATTATAGGACGTGCTGCGTACCATGATATGTGCATTGTCCCATAGATCGGACATTTCCAAAAGATAGTCAAAGGCCGGTTGCAAATACTCTGCTGAGGTTTGACGGATGGAAGAATCATCGCAATGCATAAATAGTCCATGGACTGTGCTCGCTAGCACCATGCTGTAGCTGTAGACTGAAGTGACAGGCATGTATCCAGCAGCCTTTGCTTCCACGAGGACCGTGATCAAGGACCCGGCGTGAGACAGGCATCGTTTACGGGTATCTTCTACCCACATTAAGGGCATATCAGGGTGTGAACGGGAACCAATCTTGAGCCCGATGAGGAAGGGGTGGCTGAGAATGCAATGGGATAAATGGTACAAAGTATGTGACAGAACCATATGTGCGATTTGCTCACGGTCGGGATTCGGGTTATCACTGTGTGGCTGCGCTTGGCCCGGCGCACCCAGAACGGGACCGTTTTTAACAGCAAGCTCCTTCAAATATTCCAGATCCCGATGAATCATGCAATATTCCGAGCCAGAACTCCAGGGCAATGATGTCTCAGACTTGCTCATCATATACTTGGTAGTCCGTCCCAGACAGGCAGCCAACCCAATACTGATCCCGAACATCCCTGAACGAGGCGAAAGACTCCGAATCTTCTCGTTGAAAAAATCGCTTAGCGTAATTGAGGGTAACCGTTTCCTAGAGCGATAGTGTGTTGGCAAGTTGAGAAGACAATCCGAATCGTTGATCGCGGGTGGTCGTTGAAAGGAGCAGCACACGAAGCGATCTAGCAAGTATAGCGACCAGAAGAGATTGCGACGCTCGTCGCGCTCGAGCTCAGGAAGATTTGGAGCCGGTTCCAGCATCATGTCCAAGTCCTGAGCGATTCGTACCGCCATCCCAATTTTCACCCAGGCAGGTCGGCGCCGGCCCGCTAACACATCTCAGCACGCCAATCACTCCAGATACCTATGGCAAGCCTACTCACCGGTCGCATCGATAACAGCCAATATAACCAGAGATTGGATCACATCCACGTCATCGCTTTGATCTAACGGGTTGGAGGATGTTGTGATCAACTCCCATGAGCACCGAGCATAGCTGTCGATCGTACTTTGTTTCCTTTCCATCCATTGTGAGCGCGACGAGTAGCGAGTGGCGGATGCAATCAAGGCTAGTTTGAGATGGAGAGGGACTCGGCCTTCTTGCACTTTTTCGTGGAAGAAGGTGGCATTGAAAAAGCCAAAGGGTTTATTGTGGCAGTGTCGGAAGTAGATGTTGCACGCTTCAAGGAACACTTTATCTGGAGCGGACTCGCTGCATCGCGTGAGCTTTTGTCAGGGGTATCTGTAGGCCAATACTTACCTTGAAAGAGATCCATCGGGCGCCATCAGACCACCTAAATCAAATGACAATTGTTCCAAGGAGAAAAGAAAGACAACTTGGGGTCACGCTCACATGTGAGCCCCACGCCCCACATTCCACGCTAGTCCCGCATTGAATGTCACTTTCCCCTTTGGGCAGACCGCTTTCTCAAACAGCTTGAGAGAGTTGATATGACAATCGTTAATATATTCAAGTCAGGTACAGTAACGATTCAAGGCTGACGGCTAAACATTTGTCACTGTCAGCTGATTCGTGAAGGTTCTGAATGTTCGCGGCACCTGTTATATATGATCGCAAATACACATGTGGGCAGACAAGGTGTAAATTTAAGAGCTGGGATACAATATGCGCAAGAAAAGGGATTCCCAAGATTTGCATTGGAGAAACTTCAGATGTTATCTAAAAGTAGCACTGAATCGAAATGCACGTTTCCAAAATTCCTGGATTGCCAGCCTTATCACACGCTTTCCGGTTGTTCTCCCGGATAGAGTTGTCGGTTGATACCAATAGGTATGGGTCTCACCTCGAAGTCAGGTAGTGCTCGTCTTTCACCAGGTGGACGGATGTGGTCAGTGTTTATGTTATAAAACAAGTCATCGATATCACTGATCCACAGATTTGGTAAGCGATCAGGAATCGCTGCCGTGGAAAGTTTCTGTCTCAACCATGGGCCATTGAGTCTGCAAATATCTTTACCTGGAGGAGTCCTGGAGAGTGTAATTTGTATTCTGTCCCAATTTGGGAGGACTTGAATGCCAGCTAGACCAATGATATTGACTTCGAGGAGTAGGACTGGGCTGTAGACTAGTCGATAGCCGGCTAACGCCAATACAGCATAAACGGTCATTGGTGGCTTTCTCGGACGCTGCTCACCGGCCACCTCAACAATGTCTTGCAAGGCGGTGATATCAGCGCTAGAATCAACGCTCATAATACCAGCACCGGTATCGTCCATGAATGAAACTCCACGTGCTGCTGAGCTCCAGGATCCGGAGCGCAAGGAAAACCTAAATAGAATCATTAGAATCAACAAAGTAGAAGTAACGGAATGATATACCTTGATATCAACGGGGCTGCCGCTCCCATATTATTTTATAAGCGTTGGGAATTGGCCTGCGGGTCTAGGTCTATTGACCTAAACTCATATCTTAGAATTGTTGATATCACCAGATCTTCGTTAAGCTTACCCCTTCCACCCAGAACCCTTCATGACCATCATGCTGCTCGTTCAACCTTAGAAATTCATCCCAGTCAAGAGGTCTTGGCTCGCAAAGTTGAATTCCATGCGACCAATACGTCACTAGACCTTGATTCTACTGCAATTTGCCCTTTTTGCAGGCCATGATTAGCCCTGCAAGATTGAAATGTATCTGTTTGTGCTCGTCGCCACCCCTCTGGAGATGATCTAAAATGCCGAGTAGGCCCTCGAGGCGTTGCACAACTTCCCAGCTTCTGCCCGGGAAGTTAGACAATCTCTTATTAGAGAAAGTTAGCAACCGCACATAGAAGTTAAATATGGTTTAATAAATACTCCTTCAGGTCCTTTCTTTCTTGTAAATGCGTCTTCTTGCTTACGAAGAGGAAAGGCAAGATTCCATCCTGGATTCTCTCATACCATCTCGGAATCTGAGCTTCCAAATCACTAGAACTTGTCAGTATATCTAATACAAATCTCGCTTTGCCAATGAGGTACTTACTCAGGATCTAGACCAGGCTCCTCGGTGTTCGAACGCCAATCTACCGGAACTTTAGTCTGGTCCATGATAGAATCCCCTTTATGCACCCATCTCTTTCGCTCGGGCTTCGGTCTCTTGGGCCGAAGCTCCACTGTTCCAACGTAGGATTTCTCAGGGTCCCCAACCCTGTTCTTAACGTGGTTCTCTTTGTTATCCTCGCTTGCATCACCGGAATGTATACCTGGGATGTTTAATAGCTTTCCCTGCCCGTCAACAAAAGGTGTTCTCTTTGCCAGAGACTTCTTGGTGTCCTTCTTGGCGGGAGCCTTCGAAGTACCCTTTCCTTTGGGCTAGATCTGCTTCTCGTCCACTTCCGCCTGGTGCTTTTTGGCTGTGGCCCCAGGCGGTTGTTCTTTTGCTTTTTCCTTTGCCTTTCGCTTTTCCTTGTCCGTTACCGAACGGGTTTTGTTTCCTCTCGCCGGCATGCTGGTTGATAAAAAAGTAATCTTTAAAAGTGTTCAGGAATGATGGAGATTCTAAGAATTGGTGATTTTGATTTAGGGGATCGGCCCCGTTTATAAGCTCAGTGGCAATATATATATATATATATGCCACGGCTTTCTTTGAGTTGTATTGACCATGGTGTCCTCAAAAAGACCGCCTTGCAGAAAGGAAGAAAGCTTGCGATAGATCAATGTTTGAAGCCAAAGCAAAGATGATGTGTGAAGATTTATCGAAGTGAACAAAGGAAGTTGAAGATGGTTATCAGAAGGGGAAAGAGACGGGCGATGAAGATAAAGGAAGGTATATCTATAGAAGATCCACGTATCTCAAGTTTATCTGAGGAGACTTCAAACTCCAACATTGAAATGGATTGATCCTGGTGTGTTTCATTCGAGTCGCGACCATAAAAGCCCAACACTGCAATACATGATTCATTCACATCAAAATATATAACAACCCATCACAGACTGCAACCCAAAACTTAGACACACTCTGCCATAACACTAACAAGAGTGGCATCATCCTCAAAGCATTGCTTCTCAGTATCCACATCAACACTCAGCGACAAATCGGCAGCATCGCATCCAGAAGCAGTGTAGGTGTTGAACACAGCGGAGGTGCCATCCGCACAAGAGCCAGACTCAATATAAGCGGTGAACGACTTGAGGGGGAAATCCTCAATGTTGACACAAGCTCCTCCGTAAGCGTTGGCTGCAGTAATACTGGGACCTGTGCAGTTGGCGTAATAGTAGCCTGCATAGCCAATAGTGGGGGTTGCAGTTGTGGCAACCGCCAGGGCGGCGATGAGGGCAATTGTCTGATTATGTTAGTTAGGATGAGGAAATGGGATAATTTGACATGCCTTGGACATCATTTTGATTGGGAGGAATGTGTTTTATGTGAAGTTTAGGTCTGTTGGATTGGATTATATAGTTTCTTGTCTGTCTGAGAGAGATATGTGCATCTTTTTATACTAATTTTGGCCCCAAGATGAGAAAATTAGTATAGGATGAATTCGGAAGGCGTTACGACGCTCTAACTTCTTGAGATTAGCTCAGGAATTCTCTATTCCAGATGAGAGATAGTCAAGCTCTCTTGCAGAGTGTTCATGGCATTACGTATTCATCACGCAGTGAGATCTTATTTCTGCAAGGCCTAATGTAGTTTGTGTTGAAGAACTCCACTTTGACTAGCCGGTTGAAGTTAGAGTCTCGGCTTTTAGGGTCTATTCAGTCGGCTTACAGAAAAGTGGCGTATATGGATTTTGGCCTCTCACTGGTTTCCTTGAAGGCTAGAATAAGGTTGAGAGTTTCTAGAAAGCCACCCGTTGCTGGACTTGAAGCACGGGGCGAGTATAATTAGTAGATAAGTATATGAATTTCAGTGCTTGTTAGAACCCTGCGGGAGGTATTTCGGCAGTTATTTTTCTTTTCTCTCCTGAAACACGGGATTTGTACTAGCGGGTGACGGGAAAGTAAGATCCATTTGCCGTTTTGGGAGTTACTCGGAGATGCCGGTTTCCACACTAGCTCTAGACAAGTGTCCAGTCTTACTCAATGGACATGATTCCTCCGGGTCCGGTCCTCTGCCAAGACACGCAGGCTTTCTTGGCAAGTTATTAAGGGTCGCGCCGAGGCAGAGAGTAGTTTAATTTGGTTGATATGGCAAAGATATTCATCCTGTCTTCAAAAATGTTGACGGTTTCTCCGGTCAAATATGCATGGCGTTTGGTTATTTTCATATGTATCTTTATATTATGTTACATTTGAAGAATTTCCGTGCTTATATATTCTTAGGCGTGCCATACTCAGAACTTGGGCTCGGAGATACTGGCTACCCACCACATGCAGTGATGTGATTGTGGCTTGTTAGATATGCCCCATTATTCAGAGCTTACGAATCTTCACCTGATGAAAATTCCTTATTTTTCTGTTTCTGATTGATGAACCCTTCCATTGTTGGCAATGATCTGGCACATTGAAATGCTGAACAAATCAAATGGCTTCATAGAACAAGAAATCTCGGCTTACATCCATGCACAGCCAGGGATAACAGCCCCACGCCCCGCAACTGCCTTCTCCCCGAATTTTTCAACATACCACTTCCGGCCCCACCGCGCATGAGGTAGCATATTAGCCACCGCGTTAATGACAAAGAGCACGGCTGGCAACGGAAGCGGGATACCCAGCAGTTCCACAATCCAAGCGGCAGGGAAAACCCACGGCGCGGCTTGGAGAGGCGGAGCAATACTCTTCCCCGACAGCGGGAGAACTGCAGTACCGACAAGCATAAACCCAAACCATTCAAGCCACTCGAAGACGTAGTGAGGGTACAAGATCGTGCGGAAGACTCCCTCAACCGGTGGAATAACATAGACCCTGTGAAACTTGTTACCATCAGAACCACTGGAGTCTACAACGACGGTGGTGATATCCGATTTCTTGGTAGAGCGCTGTTCCGCTGATTCTCTTCGAAGGCGGAAAAGCTCTGTCTCGGAAAAGATGTTGCCTGCCATTCCCAAAGAGAACATGATCGCTCCAATGAAAGGGAGGATTTGCACAAGGGCGAAACTGGCTGATGAGGGATCCAGTGCCGGAGAGCCGTCAGTCCGGAACCCAGCGATTGGGATCGCGTACCCACTCAACCAGCCTGCGATGCAAGATGAGTTCAGCCAGTTGAAGCCAATAGCGCTAAACATGATGAACACGTGGATAGGGGACATGCTCGGGGCTGAGAAGAATGGTGAGATGACTGCACGGTTCAGATAGTGGGTACAGTAAAGCGCGGCGACAAGCTGATTGGGAACTGGCAGTTCGAAGAAACTTGGTGAGGTTTGAGAGAGGTTGTAGATCAGGTTGAGTGGACCGACGATCTCCATGATGCACCACGCTACCCGGCCGGGTAGGTTGAAAATAGAGCTTTTCATGGAAGTTTTGCCGGCTGGATGCCATGATAGAAACCATTGGACGACCGAGAACTGGATGTTGTGAGCGCGCGGCTCATTTGCAGGGGTATCAAAAGCTTGGCGGCTTGTTTACTTACGATGGGAAAGTACTGGAACACGGTTGCCACACCAGTGTAGGCTGCAGGCGTGGGGGGTAAAAAATCCTGGATGGACGACAAGGCACCCCAGCTGGTAGAGATGATGGCCCCCATGATTGAATTGTGGAATGGAAGAAAAGAGGGAAGCAAGGAGCTACAGTGGGGGAAACTAAGGTTGGATTTAAAGTTGTACGAGAAAGTGATGTAACGGTCCTAAACAGGAAAGCGGTCATAATGGCTCCAACTCTATCTATATTCATAAAGACCTAATCGGATGTATCCATCGGCTGCGAAGGTGCCTTGCGTCCAGTTTTTTCAGCTTTGAACGCTTCAATCTTGGCCTTAAGTTCGGTGTCTGAGAAAGTCAGTTTTGTGTGCGGAAGAGAGACAAATGACAGGTCTTACCGGGTATCACGTCCTCTATGGTCAAGGGGACACGATTGAATGGGTCGTTAGGGTCACTGAGTAGGTGCGATCGGATAGTAGCACGGTCGATCGACATCCGGGAGCTGGGAAGAATGACAGGGTCTTCCATCAAAGTATACATAAGGGGATCTGGCAAGATTAGCATGCTTCGCATAAAAGCACTATCGCTAAACATACCCAAGAACTCGTCGGGGATCTCGCCCAGGTCTTCCTCTGCTTGATCATCAAGCGCCTTGGCCTCCACAACTCTCTTCTGCAGCTGGCTCCAGCGACGAAGCTCTTCTGGGGATTTCAAAGACCACTTGCGTAGAATGTCTGCCGCCTTATCAAAGTTCTCTGGCTTGTAGGACCGGCCATCGCGAGCAACCGCAGTGATGAAATTCTGTTTGGGCATCAAGTTCAGATAGACGTCGATGATCTCACTCAGGAGAGCACGAGGGTTAAATCCATATTCCTGAAGGTTGTCAACACGCAGATTGGAACTCTTTGGTCCCACCATAGCATCGAGGTTGTAGTCCAACATGTCAGCCAGACGCTGAACAATCTCCGGCATGGTGAATGAATCGGCCAGGGCATCGGTAAAGAGCTTGAGCATGGAGACTGTCACGTTGGTCAATTGCATGTATGATTTAGCACTGCGTTGGGCAGTCGCGAGATGCTCTTCTCGCTCCTGTCGTGTGGTCTCTTCCATTGTGTTGGCTTCTCGAGCCAACTCCTGTTGGGTGGTATTGATGGTCTTAAAGGCACCGAAAGACTCGTCAAGCACGTAGGTCACATCGTTAAGAAGTAGGTTCACGAACTGAACAAAGAATTCCAGATTTTGGCTGGCCTGAATGGACAACTTCTCCCGGTACAGGGTGTTGGGCCAGATGCATTTGATGATCTGGAAAATTTCAAAGCGAATATTGAACTTATCGAAGAATTGGGTGTGCGTCCCAGTGTGTTCTGCCTCGATGTAGAATTTCATAACTGCATGAAGAAGATACTCGTTCGCAAAATTCATGGAGTTGAGAAGGTCCACCAGAACACCACGGGCACCACCAGGGCGGTCCCATGTACCACGGAACAAGATGGAAACGAGGCCAGCCTTGAGGTATGGGTTTTTAATGTAGCTGGAGCTCTCCAGGAATGTAATTGCCAGCATGACTAGTTCATCTCCCTGGGTAGCAGTAATGATCTGTGGCAAACCCCACATGATAAATTTGAAGTTACTCACGATACCATCAAGGAAGTACTCGGGCAAGCATTGGAATATCTCGGGCTGTGTCTGGGGCAAAGGCAAGGTAAGTTTCTCTTTGGGGAAGTTCACACCCGAAACGAGCCTCAAAAGCCAAACTGTGACATAGCGCATGAACAGCATAGAGCGTGCTTGCCATTGATCATCAAATAGCACGCCTTGTAGACTATACTTCAAAGCCAGTCCAAGATCAAGCTTGTCCTTGTACTTTTTCAGCGCCTGCTCGAATACTCGTAGCTGCATGGGGTTTCCAGACCACCGATGTCGCTCAAGTTCAAACTTTGTAATAGTAGACTCCATGTGACGTAAATCCTTATCGAGTTGTTCAAGCTTGGAAGTCAACGACTCACTGCCGTAGTGGTGCGCGGCCACTGTTAAGAAAAAGATCTCAGTGATGAAGTTTGATGTTCCCTCGGCTTTCTTGGAATAGAAGGCATCTGAAACGTGCTGGTCCGCATTTATCTTTGTCTCGTCTCTCATGTCAACTCGGGAACCCCGGTGAAGATACTCCGCGTCAATGCGATCGATCTTGCTAAAGGAAGCGTCCATGAATGGCTCACAGAGCTGATCCAGACATGTTGTGATATTGAACATGAATCCGTCCGACGAGACCTTCTCAGGATCAACCTGCATTGCCCGACGTTTATGGTTGATGTTTAGAGCAGTGGCAAACCAGTCAAGAACTCGATCTCTAGCCTCTTTCGAGGCACGAATCATGTGGTTGATGACATCCAACAAGTCGGAGCTAACCAATTGCTGTGTCATGCGAAGAGATCGCTGAGCGTTCAAGATGTATGCTTGATCGCGAGTTTTGGGGCTCGAGAAATATGACAATGTAACTTTCGGTTGCAGGGGTGAAAGACTGAACCATGGCCCTAGGAGAGTGACCTTCTCAAACTGCGCTGCGTCCTTCGAATCGTTAAAGGTGTCTGATTCTGTGATTGCCGCTGCGACGGTGGGATGGCGAACGAGGTTTCGCAGGGCCTGTAGATATTGTTAGTACAAGCGTACATCACTTCGAATGAGGTGTCAACAAACCATAGAATAGGGCTTGTAGTCGTCGTTAATGTCCATTTTGGACAAGCCAGCGCTGAGCTCCTCCACAGCAGCAATGAAGGCGGGCTTGACGCTCTCGTCTTCCTCAAAACGCTTAACCGCTTCGCTAATGAATTCAAAATCAATACCCTTTTCATCCTCCGGGTCTGTCAGTAGGTATGGTGCTAATGGAGAGCACTCCGGGGAATCAAGCCTGCCAGAAAGTCAGCGTCATTCACAACCTCCTTGGACATCTGTTGGAACACACCCAAACATCTCCGGCATGGTAATGCCAAAAATACAATAGCTCATGCAAAGTCGACGTGCCTCACAGAGCACCTGGAATTTGGGATCATCGTCACTAGACCGTCGGAATCCCTTATATAACTTCGTAATACGCTTCCAACATGGCAGTAGGTACTCTAACGGACGCCCTTTCTCTGCCTTGGAACCGGCTTCCAGGAGCGCTTGGTCCAAGTACGACGCGCGGATGCGCAGCTCTTTCCCATCACCCTCCAACTCGCTGCGCAGTCCCGGGAGATAAACCCTTGGGCCATGGAGATCTCTTTGGCCCTCATCCAAGGTAATTTTGAACACAGCACTTAAGATCCGGTCTTCAAATGTCTCAATTGTTTCGACTTTCCCCGGTGGTGGGGTTCCCGGAGTAGACGGTGCGGTCGAGCGTGGTCGTTCCAGACCAGGGGTAGTGGGGGTGATCTTGATCCGCTTTCCCTCGAAGCGCTGGGGTGTCTGTGCGGTGGACGGTGAGGCAGGCCTGGATGAGACTGGCGACCGTGCGGGGGAAGCGTTGGCGGAATTTGGTGGTGAGGCAGATGAGCCTTCACCAGGTGCAGGTACTGGGTTTGAAAGCTTAGCAAGGCGTTTGTTCCGGATCTAATCGTGAGAAGTGGCATTAGCGACTGCGGAGTTCCAAGGATGGCTCTGCGGAATGGTGTTCGACAAACCTTGTCCGCGTCAGACAGAGAGTCGGACATGCTGGCTCTGCTCTGTCAAAATGTCTCGTTGTCACAGTCTGGAAAAAAGCCGCCCGAGAGGTAGATTTTTTCCGTCTCTTGACAAAGCTGGAAATGTAATGGTAATCGTGGTTGAACGTTTGAAGTGATTGTGCGGATGGAATTGTCAGGGCCAGTTCAGAGATACAGTGATCCCGCAGGTGACCAAGACGTTGGCCCAGTACAGGCTGGTGATAGACTCTTCCTGGTATCGGCTAAAAGCGGTCACAAGTGCGGGGAGATATATGGGGTGAGGCTGGATGTTCTACCATCTTTGGAGATTATGTTTCTTCACTTAGGATGAAGCCCTTGACTAAGCATGCACAATTTCCACCTCACTAGCCACATACAACACCGTCAAATCTGAGTTGTTTTTTTTGGGTTCCTGATTATGGACACAAAACTTGTAAAATTTTACGTAAATAGAATGAATATACTTTGTATGAAAATCCTGGGCCAACTCGGAACCCAAGTCCACCTGGGCAATGATGCATTTGGAATAGACATATACATAAAACTAAGCTAGCAAAAAGAACCCAACATTAGACGCCATCCGTCACGCATGTCGATCAAAGGCTAATGCAGAATCCAGTCTGATTCTTAAATCTTTCCTCTAAGGGATTCCAGCTTACGGCAATTCTTCAACTCCATTGCCCGGGCCTCCTTCATCTTGTCCACATCAGGGAAGAACCAACCCTGAGCCTCTTGAATCCTTCGGTCTCGCAACTGCACTTCACGCTCGCATTCAAACTTGAGTCCTGACACGTAATCCACTTCCACTCGCTGGTCTAATTGTCGGAGTTTGCGGGGACTTAAGTCCTCCACATCTAACGGGTTAACGAAGTAATTGAGATTAAGCTTAGGAGTTGTGCGGCCCATGGTGTGAGGAGGCTTGGCTGTATCATATCGGTAGGAAGGACTGGTCGGAGTAGAGCCGGAGAACAGTGACGAGAGGAGAGGAAGGATGAAAAGAATGAGGAGAGGCAGGATTTGGCGAAGAATGGACCATGCGTCAGGAGGAGCTTGAGGTTGCCCTGAGTTGGTTGCGCGAGGTCGTCTTCGTGGAGCAGCCCCTCCGAACTGGTGCACACGGAATCCTGGGCCACCGCCCATGTTGAAGACGAACTGAGGGCCTCCTGAATCATGCTGTTAGAAATGTCGAATGAACACCTTTTATGCAAGGACCTGAAAACGTACCGAATCCACCGCCGAAGCCACCGCCACCACCGCCGAAGAACCGATTGAACAGCTCCTCTGGGGAAATCTCATCATCGAATCCACCTCCACCTCGCGAGAATCCTCCACCACCGAACCCTCCACCACCGCCAAACGGTGAGCCACCACCACCAGCGGAAGCGGTGGGACCGGGGTTAAATCTGCTATCCGGGTCTCCTCCAAATTTGTCGTACCGAGATTTCTTATCAGCATCCGAGAGAATTTGGAACGCGCGCGACACCACTGCCAGAAGGTTAGGGACGGGAATTATAGCAGATAGACCTGATCTTCCACTTACTCTTGAACGCTTCATCCGCCCCGTCATATCCGTTCTTGTCCGGATGTGTCAGCAAACTCTGCTTCCTGTACGCCTTCTTGATCTCGCTATCTGTCGCCGTGCGTTCGATCAAAAGGATCTCGTAGAATGCCGTAGGTGCACATTTTCGAATTCGCAACACAGCGGCTTTCTGGTCGGGAGTAAACTTGCGATCCTGGTTGCCCTGTTTATGTTCGCGCGACCGTGCGCCATCGCCTTTGGCGTCAGAGCCGGATGCCGTGGCCGGCATTATGGATAGCGGAGAGGGTGGAGGGTGAGTCGCGAGTTGAGGTCAAATCGGCGAGGGGTGGACAATTGCCGATTGGCGTAAGACGCGGGCAAGAGGCGCCTGATTCCCCAAGAGGCAGACAAAGAAGTCAAGCCTGGATAAACGCTCAGGGCTGTGAATTAGAGCACTCGTATTGGTAGAGTGAAATGCGGATGAAGTGGGAGACTCGGGGGGGTCAAGCGGAAAAAGTATAGTCTTAGGTGTCTTTGCCAAGCGGGAACGACATGCGCTTATCCGTTGGTTAGATAGGCACAAATCTCCCCACAGCAACCAAACCCAGGTCTGCTCCATATTTTCGCGCATATCACAGCCTTGGACTGCTTTTTCGAGAAGAAGAAGAGTCAATATTTGGAAACAGCTTCGTTCAAGTTTATTTCAATCACTTATTCACCATGGCGAAGGATTCAAGCATCGAGCAAACCAAACAGACGCTTGTACAGCGCTTCCGAGCATGGGGTGGTAAGTATTCGTTCAGCTCCAATAAGCTTCAAGCTTCTACTTCTGCTACAATAAATCTTACGAAGAATTCAATCTTGCTGACGCATTCCTCTATCAGAAAACTCATTCCCGCCGACTCTGCTCGCCTCGCTCATCACCGCGCAACATGCCCGCCCATTCCAGGTCTTCCCTATGCTCTTCACTCCTGTCCTCCTCTTCACCAGCTATGCGAACCTCCAAGGCTTCAAGACCGACACTGCCGGTATCAGCGCTGCGTGGTCAGGCTTATACTTGCTCCTCGCCAGCCGACGACGCCAACCGATGATGAAGAAGTTCGGAGTTCGCGGGGTGGTGCGCGGTGGAACAATGGCTCTCTGTCTGGTGAATATGATCGGTGGTGGACTTGCATACACACTTGGAAAGCGCGAGGAGGAGGAAAACTCATGAGAATAAACTTTAAAGGACAGGGAAGCTCGGCCCGGGGTGTACGATATATGTTAACAAAAACGGCGATCTGCATATCGGAGACTCCGGAACATCTTGTTGTTGAGACGTGCATGGTTAACATGCGACAATAATGTACGATATGTTTCCATGAATTGGAAAAAAAGTGATATCCAAGTGACGGCCCATCAGGGCCACCTTCAATTTCTAGCACAGTCGAGCTATGTAGAGTTCTCTGTAGAATATGGCTTCTCAGATGACAAGAATTGAAGCACATTATCCGGAACCAGCCACTCCAAGTCTTGAATTTCAGACTGAATCGCCTCACGTGCTTTCGTAGAGCTAACCGACTGTTGCCCTGGCTTCCTCCCTTCAACCAGCTGAATTCTTTGCGCCCATTCTTTCCGCCCACCCTCGTTTTCCCGATCCCCACGGGCGAGAGCAGTCAAAAAGGCCCTCTGATCCTCTACACTTCCCCACTCATCACTGGGCCTCAATGTAACCCGCAACCGATGTTGTGAGAAAAGTGGCGCCAGCGGCGCCAATGTATGTTCCGGCGGGTAATATTTCGGGTTAAAGATACGGATCAATGTATCATAGCCAGTGAGATGGACCTGTTCAAGCGGAGCAGGGTAAATCCCCGAGGCCTCAATCGCTGAAGCCTTGTCAATAAAGTATGGCTTTTTGGTGACTCCAATGTCAATGGCGGGGATACGCTCAAGAGACGGAGTGTGTCCTTGAGCTGCTGTGCTGGTAGCCAGGTGGGATCGTAGATCATGAGCAAATAACTCCATCATGGCGAGCCGATCCTCGAACAAGGCTGGTTTTGAAGGTTTATCCGCATTTTGCGTAGCAAGTAATAGTAGTAGGCGGGAGTGTGGGTCGAGTCGTTCTAGAAGTGCAGAGCTGGCGATGCGAAGATGTGCACGGGTTGGTGGGTTGAATGACGAGTCGAGCACATATAGGACTTTTGGTGCGGGGCCATTAGCGGGGATGGTTGTAAGGACTTCAAATTCCCGATTTGATGCAGTGAAGCCTTTCAAGAGTGAGGTGTAGTTCGTTCGCAAGCTGCGAAACGAGGCCATGATGGATATGGTGCATTAGATGAAAGTGTACTCCGTAATCGAAATGATATAACTGGCGATAAGACCCACTTTCCCCCATCTATTGTGATCTACTCTTCTAGTGACTACCTACTTTCAATTGGTTTCATCAAACCATCCTTTATTCTCATAGAAAGCCTAGCTGGCTGAACATAAGCTAATACACCATATTGTTCATTTGCGATTCTATTGCGCGGCATTGGGAAAGTCAACCCCGCACCCCGGCCGAGGCCTCCGGGATGGGCCGATCCCATGCTGACATTTCCAAATCACCTTGAAAATCCCAACAAAATAAGCAATTTTCGAACACTGCTCTCATATAAGTAGCACTGGAAAACAAATCTCAGAGTTCGAGGCCATGGCGCAACAGATTCAGGGCAAAAGCCTCTGGGGACGATCCCTATACTGGACAATCTCCATACTCGTCCTTTCAATGTTCTACAAAGCCTACGTGCACAACATCCTATTCATCACACTCGGCATAGGCCGCGAAATCCAACCGCTTGAAGATTTCCCTTGGGTATGCACTCGACAATATGACCCTCTCCTGGCTGGCTGCGAGGATATGTGGTTAGATCACCACGACCGAAAATTATACGCCGCATGCTCGACTATCGAATCCCGTCAGGGATGGAATCCCGGTGGAAACAAGTATGATGTCTCGGCACGCTCTCTCACCGATCACATTACGGTGTTGAATATTGATGATGTCGACCCCGATTCTGGACTGTCCACTCCTCGTCAATTGAAAATCAGTGGCTATCATAGTCCATTAGATCTTCACGGATTTGATGTGCGGCATATTGGGTCCACAGTGCGGTTCTGGTTGATTAATCACAAACCCGCCATCGACTCTACAGGGGAGATTTTGGATCCCTGGAGTTATGGGGCGAATTCCACGGTCGAAATATTCGATTTGAATAAGGATACCGATACCCTTGAGCATGTTCGGACTATTTACAGCGATGCTATTATTTCGCCCAATAACTTGGCTGTTGATGCTGATGGAGTGGGATTCGTGATCACAAATGATCACAAAGGCAAGACTGGACGGTTTCGCGATCTGGAAATGCTATACGGTACTGGAAGTCTCACTTATTGTCGATCCGATACTGCGAAGTGTAATATCGCCGCGAAAGAAGGATTCCGCTTTCCAAATGGCATTGCAAAGGGCCGTGATCATCTCTACTATGTCTCGCATTCTGTGACGGGGCTGGTGACTGTTCACAAATTGGAGAATGATCAATTGAAGCACGTTGATACTATCTCGACGGGCTATCCGGTGGATAATCTTTCATTTGATGAGGAGGGAAGCCTCATATCTGCTGCTATACCCGATTCGTTCGCGTTCGTAAAGTCTATCGATCATCCGTATGACTTCGTTGCGCCAGCGACGGTGTTGTCTACCCCCATTAAAGGGAAGGATGAGAAATGGGAAGTCTTGAAGATTGTGGAGGATTCACTTGGGGAAAAGCTTCCTACATCCACAATTGCGGTTCAAGATACACGGACACGCAGTTTATTTCTGGCAGGAGGATTCGCTCCGTTTATTACCGTCTGTCGGAGAACATAGTTGATATTTGTAAATAAAGTTTTTCTATGGATAGAAGGTGAAGATAATGCAATTGTGCCACATAGTGCGTCAGCAGAGGTATCACATTTGTCAACGTCTCCATTGCCAAACCAACAGAATCGGAAGCCACAAGTAGATCATATGAAGTAAAGACGATGAATGAAGGCTGAAACTTCCACTTTCCATTCGCGGCGCGACCCGCGTTACAGGCGAGTATTGATCATCTCCATATGTTCCATTCAGAGTGACATGTGCCGAGATAGTCCCATCTTCCAATCGAATCCAAGTTTCAACCTCATCGGCCAGGGTTTCCTGAGTGAGGAGGATCTGTCTGCCACCTCGCACCGCATTGCCATACCCACCATAACCGGTATGCCGACCATAACACATGTTGAGCCCGTTGCCGGACAGATTCTGAGCAACTGTTTTCCCGTCCCATTTGAAGCACCTGGGTGAGCGGTTAGAACGCGCTGAAGGAACCGTAAGAATTTTTCACATACCAGTCGTTTTCGTGGTCATGGCCACTGAAAGTAGCCATGAGACCCGAGGTATCTAAAAGGGCTCGCATAAATGGTGAATCCTGGCCAGTATAGGGACTAGCTCCGGATCCCTGCTGAACCACCGTTTCTCCGTTCAGGCCAGGGGATTTGTGGGAATCAACCCCATTGTCTTGATATACTCGCATAGCATCGGCGGGAATATGATAGAAAGCCAATGATGGAACAACCTTCCCATACTTGTCCTTCAGATTCGATTTTGTCTGGTTGAACCATTCAACCACCTGCTCGCGTCAGCGTCCATATGAAACATTGAAGCGATTGGATTAAACATACAGACTCGTCAACCCAGTCAGGCCTTGCGATCGAATTGCGTTTGGATACTTGGTTGGTTGGCTCGTGTCCACCTTTTGAATCAAAGAACCATAGCAGAAGCACAGGTGTATCACATTCGGATCCACTGTGTGAAAACACTGGCAAGTAGTAATTTGTGACTCCAGCCTTTGAACCGGAGACCAAGCTCTGGGTCAGGCTATTCTGGTATTTCTTTTCCTGGTCGTATATATCCTTTCGTGGATCCAGATTGATCTCGCTGTCATGGTTTCCATAAGTCGAGGCCCACAGATACTTCCCGTTCACCATGGGAGAGACGACTTGATCCAGATACTTGCTGGAGTTGGAGCTCTTGGTAGCTTCACCGGAGATCAAATCTCCATTTATAACCACAAGCTGCGGCTTCTCCTTGAAGAGAACATGGTCCATGACCTTGTTGGTAAGGACATCTTTATTGGAATCTAGAACCGAGTCAACATCGATAATCCCAAGGATTCTCGAACAAGTCTGTATCTCTCACCTTCCGCAAAATGCAAGTCTTCAAAAACACTTATTTGAAATGTGCCATCTTCAGTCAACCGCAAAGTCCGATCCAGTGCCGAAGCCTTCTGATTCTGCAATCCCACGGACCGACCAAGAACTCGAGCTAACATATCTGGAACACCAGCCATCCACAAAACAAGACAGAGACAGAGACATGCCAGGCGTTTTATCTCACTACGGCGCAACAGCGTCGCAGTCCCAGTCCTTCTGAAAGCACGTGGTGCAGCAACATCTGGATTGGACTTGTAGTCAACATCATGTTCGTCATCGATAACCGCCGCCTGCAAGTCTTCTTCAGGAACGGTGGGCGGGTTGCCGGAAACGGCGATGGACAGGGAGTGCCAAGCTGCCGCAACTCGTTTACCGGTCCGGGATTTCTCGTCCATTTTTGATTGTATGATTGTACCTGGCTCTGGAGGTTAGGTGCGATTCCGTAGAGGTTGAGGTTGGGTGAAGTAACATTCTGGGCATCATATTCAGCTTGGCAGGTGCATGTGCAGTCCCCGCTTTCTCAGGGTCTGGAATGTGGGGATTTTTGAGTTTTAATCCGTAAGCTTTACCCGATCGCGTGAACCTTTTATCGTAAATCTTTTCCTAGCTAGATTATTGTTTTGATAGGTCAAGGCTTTGTTGTCAGAGTTGCGAATTTTTGTCCTGCCGAGAGAATCTATTCGAGGCAATAGTCAACGGGTATTCCAAGCAACAGGTACAATCACGTGTATTTCACCATTTTAATTTCTGCCAATCGTAGGAAGTATCGGACTCGATACCTAAGGGCTTGGAATTTATTCCAAAACGAAATGGCAAGCCTGTAACGGGGTCAAGAACCACTGCTGGAGAGAAAAGAAACCTACTGTCAGCACATATGGGTGCACTTGAACATGAGAAGGGAAACAATCGCCGCAGAACATTAACGGGCCTGCCAACGACTTAAATGTTCAATTTTTATGTTCGACTACATTTGAAGGAAATTGTACATGACAGATATGAAAAGTGACTATGTGCATGCAACTAAATGTGCACTGCCGTTTCAAATGCTTTGAACAGAAATCCCAGTAGGTTAGATGATACACTCAAGCATACTGCATCACCATACCGGCCTTAAGAGCATCAATGTCCTTCTTGGACAAGGGGTCCTTATTACCAAAAGCCTCTTTCCTGCGAGCGGCAGGGGTGAAGGTAGTGATATCGTAGGTATCGCCTCCGATCTTAGGCCGCCCATAGTCTTTCTTGTACTGCGACAGGGTCTTCTTCCAGCCCCAGGGATCACTATTTTTGTCATCAGACGCAGGAAGTTCGAGCGCCTCAGCCACTGATCTTTGATCCTCAAGCTCGTCCTCAAGATCGGACAGGCCTTTGAGTTCAATATTGTACTTCTTGGCATAGGCAAGGACTTTTTTGTCGAGCTCACCGGCATCCATGCTGTGATCCGGGCCGATGTCTGTGAGAATGAAACGAACGAATGCCCCCATGACCACGCCCAGACTCTTCACTTCCGATTCGGGCTTTAGCAGACCTTCGCGATCCAGTATGGCTAGCATCGTGGTGAACATAACACCAATCAATTCCATAAAGTCTTCCACACCTTGAACATCATCGACCCTGTATCGGTTTAGTACCAAGGAGCAACATGGAATGGAGAGGAACTCACTGGAACAAGGGATCGGCGACACCCTTTGCGAAGAACAGAGCTGTGGCCTCGCAGATAGTCCACTTCTCCTTCCAAGTCTTTGCTTCCTCAAAATCAAGGACAAGATTCTGCCCCACCTCAAGAACACCGAAACCATAGTGATCGTTCGATATGTACATCCCAAATCCGTCTGGGCGACGCAAGCTGGTCATGATTCCTAATGCAGTTAACTTGTGTATGCTTGCATTAGTGACAACCCATGAATGCTCCGGAAGCTCCGCAGCGGGCTTGAAGCAGACGCAGGTCTCGCCGTTGTCGCAAGGGACCTTTTTTTGCTATTGTAACCTGTATTAGAACTAGAAACAAAATTGAAATGCGTTCTCGACTTACCTTGTCCGCAACATTTTCTTCTTTATCTTCATATTTGTCTTCGTCTTCCTCGTCCTCATCCTCGTCGTCCCACTCGTCGTCCTCATCGTATCCACTGTCATTAAGCGGCTTGCAAAGGCAAATGTAATCATATGCGTCAGGTGCCTGAATCTGAAAGTTGTATGCATCGTATGCATTGGCAGATCCGGAAATCTTAGCCCATCGCTTGTTCCGTGGAGGTTTGTCGACCTTATCCGCCTTGGCCACCTTGCCCACTTTGGTGGCGCTGCCTGACTCTTCAGTGGCTTTTTGCTTAGGTGGCATTGCAGTTTCAGAGCGAGCAGTGTGGTAACGACTTTGTGGAAGCAATCAAGATGATGAGGTAGAATCAGGACTCAGACACTAATTGTTGATAGGGGACATCCAAATTAGGTTAGTCAGATCAGAGCGCGACGCGCACCTCATAACTCCGGCAGTACTTTCATCGTAATGATTATATTGCCCTCAATGGTTGATCTTTACAGTTCAGTAACATTTGAATACATAACTATTGAATGGAATACTCCAGAATTGGTTTTGTAGATTTGGCGATCTGGCAAGATCCTCTGCTAGCTCTCCTCTCCCGTCAGCCCCATTTTGCCCCTTTCCCCTCATTTCCCCCGCATGACGCGCAACCCTCGTTGTTCGTTCGTCAGTCATGATTAAGAAGGCTATGCTTATCGTTTGGACAGCGAAAGCCGGTAGAGAATCATTTCCAGCTTATCTAGACACAATGATTCTGCTTTCCACTGCTACGGAGGCAAGTAGCGGCCCTGTGGTCAGATCCCCAAAAGCACGCAAAAATGGTAGAATTGGTAGAAAATTCAAAATTACTACAGGGCAGAAAATAGTTATTCGCAATTTTGAGAGCAAACGACTGTGCATATGTTAGATATGTCGGTTGCCGCCTAGTCTAGGTTGACTAGAAAGTAGGTCCTTTAGACTCCAAAGTCCTAAGAAATTGTGTTAATATTATTCTATCTCTATGGACATTAATATTACTACAGATATCTTTAAGGGTATATAGGTCCGCTTAAGAAGGGCCTCGATTCCCTTTAGTTGGAGATTCATCTATGGGTCAGGCAGTCAAGCTTTAAATGAGCCTAGATAAGTATTAGTACTGGATAATACTGAAATTATGACTATTCTCCTATGGAATAGTACAAAAATAGCAAAAGCGGTAAATCGTCCTCATATAATAATTGATCTAACCACATGGCTGCTCTTCGCTTCCGTACACTGCCCTTCTCATTCGTTACCAGCCACGAACCTCACCTGGTTTATCCAGCTAATGGGGGCTTTTACTCCGTACAAGGATCCTAATCATTGTGAGAGATCAACACCTCGAGCAGCAACCACCGTCGCCTAGGCTTTATTGTTCATACTTGCATCTTCTGGACTTTCTTGTTACATGTAACCTTCCATATCCTTTTCTTCAATCTCAAAATTTCTCTTCAATCCTTTCCGCTTTTTGCTTCACTCATCGTCATTCTACATCTGTAGACTACGCGTGTATAAATCTAGATGTTAGATCATGTTATTTAGGCATAAATACCATGTAGGATGTATTCAATAGGCTCGCAAAGTCAATGATCAAGTTATCTTCGATATGTTTCTGATTCAATTCTCGTTTCCAGCCTTTGCAAGAATTGCATGTAACCCGTTAAGTCCCATGACAAGATATCTTATCAATGCCGCTAGAAATCGTAATATATGACCAAACATCAATGTGAACTCAAACAGGAGAGTTTCGTTTGCAGAATAGGCAGGATTTGGAGCTTGGCCAGAACCGGATGATGGGATGACAATTGGAACATTCGTTGGACTAGCTGAGGTTTCATCTTCGACAGATGGTGCTGGCTCTTTTTCCACGTCCTTGGCTATCTCAGCATGCTGCACGAGGGTAGCACTTGAGCTATCTGAGTGGACCGACACACTTGATTCTGCATGCCCAAGATCAGGCCGTTTTTGCCCGATGATATCCTCCACAAGTGCCACGAGAGATTCGCTGGGAAATGCTTTCAAGGTATATTCGCTTTGATCTTCACAGTACGTTCCGGCACTACTTGAGCCTATCGGCTTTGGATCTGATATCTCTGTAGGCTGTTAATGCAATTGAATACTAGAGTGGAAAGTTGTTTTAAACCCACCTGGCACGGGATGTAGATTTCTCTCCACCATAGTCTGTTCAAGATTGAGAACTGTTTTTTGAAATGATTCGCCGGTCTCGAGTTTCTTCTTTGGCTCTATCAGAGACCTTGTGCACGACTTTCGATTCCTGGGCGGGTAAACAATGGATTGTTTGATGCGGTCTCGCCACCGATGCATCTTTGCTTCGATTCTAAGATCGAGATAGAAAGGTTTGGAGTCGTGTAGGAAAGCGACTGCTGAGTGAACTGTCGGGTGGTGGAAGACTTGTTGCTCCAATTTGTTCTCTTCTAGGTGCCAAACAAGCCGTCTGCAACGGCTGCTTCGTGTTTTGCTTTCGGCTGATGTCTCTGCCGTAAGTCGTGTGCCGGTGAACTTCCACCTTGACGCGTAAATAACATCTGAGTTCCTTGACAAGCTCCCCACCCCCGCATTGACGCCAATTGGTGTTCCAACATTAGGATTCAAAGTTGCAGTTGCGGAGATTTTGCGCTCTCGTCTCTCGCCTGTCAGAATTCGAGGACCAAAATACTCTGTCACTTCCAGGCTGGGCGGCCGAGAGTGAGGGTCTGGTGGATCGACTTCAGAAAAGTCCATGGTGATTGCTGCTTCTGATAGCTTGCACTCCGCCGGCTGGTGAAAAGTCAAATCCACGTACATGACACCACATTTTCGATTATGAACTTGGCCCCAGCGTAATTTTGACATGAGCAAACAACAGTCAACCCGGAGGTTATCTACCTTGAGGTCACAGAGACTGGCGCTCGACTGGGTTTCACAGAAGTCCACATATCGGAACCGTTTAGATGATGAGTGACTGAAAACCATAATGCCGTTGAATGTGTAAGAATTTAAGCAGCGAGACCAGTAAGATCCTGGTCAAGCCGTTGATTTTTCACCAGGCTTTTTTGTCATCAGAGGGTGAGACCAAGCCACACGCCAAGCCACACGTATTTCCCCTCATCTTGTCGCTACGAAGATAATTCATATGCTGAGCGAATGATCATGATTCCGCATAGACGAGAGCGTCCTTCTTCACGAAAGGGATCTTCTTCCGATGAAAAGACCTCTAGCGATAATCTCTCTGTCATATCCAACGTTTCAGATGAGCAAGATGAGTGGGCCGATCTATCTGATCCAGATTTTTCTCCATCGAGCGATGCAGCGTCAAGACCCAGGCCTCGCTCCAGCTTCAGTCATAGATATGGAAGACCGAGATCACATCGATCGAGACATGCAGCCCCAGATATATCAAAGCTCGAAGAAGCGACACGAGAGAATACGATATACCCTGTCCGTCGCATTAGCCACCAAAACACGACATTCGACGGATTATTACGATCCGGGGATCAAAAGGAAGACATTACCGTGCACTTAAACTTTGATGGGGCCATCGATATTTCCGATGATCTGGCATACTTGTCCAGATTGAATCGCTTGGGGCATTTCAAAATAGGAGTCGCTTTCTTTGAAGATCGGCTAGCCTCACACGTCGACTTCTTCCCAGTGGTAGCCGAATACGCCGACTTCCTCCTCGAGCAATGGGCCTTCGAAAAGGCCGAAGAGTTTGTTCAAGGTCGGCTGGACGATTCTTCGGTCACTTACTCAGATGAAGAATTAACGTTACTGCAATTGCTGAAATGCTTTGCAATGATTTATACAAAGGGTGCGTTGTTAGCCGCGCTTGAGAAGGTCAAGGAGATGTTTGTGGATCTCGATGAGTCGGATCTACATGAATGTAGTACAAGAGGACCGCAGAAACTCGAAGCAATGGAGAGTAGGGCCTCCTGGTCAAAGGGTAGACCGAAGAATATGCCAAAGCATGTTTCCCAGCATGTGGTACGTGATGCGACAGAGGATACAATCGAACATTCATCAACAGGTACCACAGAAAGTACATCGAAAAAAGTACAAATGAACCCGTGGTTCTATTCTTCTATTGGGCTGCAGGTATATTTGATTACTTTACTTCACTACAATAATGTGGCTGATTTCATTCCAGATCCAGGCGACCGAGCTCTGCTTGAGAATCATTACTTTTGCGTTTACACAATCCAGCTACCTAGGAACCAATCATTTTCGAACCCTTTTGAATTGGAGTGTCGCAGAAGGAATGCTTATATCTTATAACTATGGAGTTGGCGTCAGAGTTCGGGAATCCAGAGGAAATATCCGAGACATGTTCAGAGTAGAGTCACCGAAGGTACAGACATCTCGTGAACTTCCTCCATTCCAACAAACCCCTTCTGCATCGGTGCAAGAAATTCCTCAACTTGGCCCCTGGTACAGATTTCTGGTCGAAGAGGGGTATTTATGGGAATCACACAGATTGCTGAAGTCCATCTTATCTCTTACTGCAGACAACTTCGGCTACTACCGTCTTGATGGGTCCTTTGAATGGCTTTTTGAGCTGGAAAACTTACAAGACGCAGTGGATAAGTTTTGCGGGGGAAGTTACGACGAGCACCGAGATGAGCAATTTTTCTTCGCGGAGTTTGCTAACGCAACTGAACTTGTGCACTTCCTGGACATCCAGGGCGACGAACATGTCTTAAATATCCGAGATCGATTTGCTAAAAAAGCGAAGTCGATGGCAGAGAGACTTTTCTCGGACCATTGGGAGCTGATAAATAGTCGCTCATACCTCTATTGGCTGATTATCGACGCTAATCAGAGACATGAAGCCAATCAAAAGCGGATTCGGAACATTCAAAAACAGCCAATCATGACAGAGACACATCATACATTGATAAGAGATCCTACTGAAGAAACTGTCATGGAAAACACAAAGAAGCCTGCTGAGACTGACCTGAAACCAGATGACCGGGTGATTGTTTTCGAGGTGGTTGAGGCCAGTGCTACGGATCTTGGGGATTACTACTTGAAGGCTATTGCACTTTCCATGCTTAGTAGTTTTCATGTTTATCCTGACCATGAAAAGGCGTTTGAGTTAGCACACAAGTTGGCCTCAGTCTATCTTGATGAAGTTGGCAACGTTGGTGCCTATGCAGCCTGTCTAGCCTATGAGACTATGCTGCTTGGTCCACAGAACTCCTCAGAATCGGCTAATAAGCGGCGCAAGGAGCTTTATCTTAGCCTCAAGGATTTTGAAGAATTGCATCCTTCTAGATTTGACCTCAGAGATGGCCTTGCGTTTCATCCTGGAATCGTTTTCCTCGATTCGCCCGTCGTTATTTGGGACAAGATGCAAGCCCTTCATCAGCTTTTACTGAGCATGAACCGCCCGACAGGAGCTCAGATGTCTATTTCAAACCGATCTCTTGTTGAGCGACATCTGCCCGAGAATCATTACCGCTTGCCTGTTGGGATTCCTCGCTGCTCTGGATGCGCATTTTGTAATTTGGAATCATCCTGGGACGACCATTTGCCAAGCTTTCACGACCCAATGCGAACATACGAGAATGAATCTCGGATGCCTGATTCACAGAAGCCGTCTCCTCAATTTCCTGTACAACGTGCTACATCTGCGCCTGCGACCAATCCTCCCCAGCCAAAGAACGTGCCGCACTTGGACTTGAGGCCTCAGCGACAACCTTCGCCGTCGCCAGAGAAGAAAGAAAGGCCCCAGGATGATGCTGCGAGGAGAAAGGAAGATATGCTGTCCCAAAACAAAGCTGGTCGAATAGGGTCGAGGTTGAGGGTGGTCAAACATCCGGAAAAGGAGCGCAGACCTGCCAGTACTTACCCAGATCCGCCAGCACCTCGCTCTCCGAACACACCACCCAAAATCCTCGAGCATGGATCTAGCAAGAAGATTGAAGTCTTCATTCCTTCGTGGGTTACGTATGAAGCAGGTGCCCCTCGCCTCTGACCACGCCTTGATTCGTGCTAATTCTATTTTCAGTACATGAAGTCACATCTTCGTGACATACTTTCCACTGATGAAAAACTTTCTCGATACATACTGAGGGACTTGTATCAATTGTTTGACGCCAATGGAACCCTGCTGACAGATTCAAACTGGGCATCTAAAGTCCAAAAAGGCTCGACGGTGGAATTGAGACTAGATGATGATGCTCGGCGAGAAAATATGGAAAGTTTTGGAGATAAACAGGAGAATAACGTACCACAAGAAGATGCTGGTTTCTCCACTAAGGCAGCTGACGGCTCAGCTGTCCACGATACGCAGTCGGGCCCAGCATACCGGCCTTTTGTTGAAGATGACTTGGAATGATCACGCAATTAGTAGCGAAGACGATCTATTTTTTCCATATAATTTGCGTATCCGTTGCTATAAAAACAAATACAGTATTTGAAGAAAAACAAACAACATTTAATTCTTCGTCTATGCGCATCTAGTGCTGGCTGGCGTGCTTATGAATGCACCTTACAGTCCTATTCAGGCCGCCCACGGGACATTTGGGCAGTTGTTGTACATATTTATGTCCGGATGTTGGTACAACTTGTAAGTATCGAGCGCAGAAGTCTAGGCTTAACATGGTGCTTCCAGGTTTGGTTCACTTAACCCCATACTACAACAATTTCTCCTCCATAATTTGATTCTCATAAACATACAGTATATGGCCCATCTCAAAGAGATTTTCAGTACATACGATTATAGAATGTGGAAAACAGGGCTTGCCGTCCGCTCATTCATACTGGCATAACCTAACTTTCGTGGAACCTACGCCTATTTACTATCGTGCTTTCTGTACTACTAGGTTAAAACCGCAACACCCTAGGAGGGGTCGAAATCGAGGGGGTGGGAAGCGCAGAATCCATTTCTCCTAGCTCGCTGCGACCTCAAAGCAGCAGGTGCGGAGCCAGATTAGGGCAAAGTGGGCATCACAGTGGGCAAAAGAAAGGGTTAGGAAACCAAATCAAAGACTGCTCAAAACGCCACACAAAAAGACATAAGGCTCTCCGGCGGCCTCCAATTATACGTCTATCTTAGTGCAAATGCGTTCGATGCGTCTTGGGTTAAAAGCACTTCCTATATAAACTCAGCGAAGTAGACTCGAATAATTAAATTGCCCCGAGGGATCATAGACACCGTAGAATGTACTGCTACAATGTCCGCTCTTCGTGGACGAGAGGAAAAACATGATGGATAAGATCTGTGCACGGTCCGATCTCAGAGGAAATTAGGTTGGATTACAAGGCTCTCTTGTCTCACTCGCTAGCGATCCACTACGTCGCTGGAATATTGCATTAACTAGGCCTTCTTAGGTAATTCCGTCATTGCGACGTTGAACCAGAGCCGGTGGACGACGAAACAAGTGGCTAGAATTGACAGACATGGACAGGCGGCGAAGACGCTGTTTATGATGAATCGAAAAGGCCTTTGATCACCGAGAAATTACGAATAAAGACAGCATGGCCAATATAGCACGACTGTCGAGGAAGCAGAAGAATTGAACAATAGGAGCGCCTGTAGATGTGGAACGTGGAGAAAGCAGGTCTTGGGCTTGATATGTAATGTGGGGTTTGGCTCGATTTTACAGGAAATCATGGAAAACTACTTTGCATGAGCGATCATACCTGTATCAGAGGCCCTTTCCTTTTGTCTCTAGTCATTCGTTACTGCGTGGAGTTACTGGAGTACTGATATGTACTATCGAAGCACCTACATTGCCCAGGCGATAACTAGCTAGGTAGCATTAGGTCGATAGAATATCATCATCATCACATCATCATCAATCCCGGAATCTTATGATATCGTCAATGATGCTCTCACCTCTGAGCTACAGTCCAATTCTCGGCTTTCGGGCAATTGACAAGATAACCTATGATGAGTTAATGAGATTGAGAAGAGCATTGAAGACCACATTTTCCAGATTGATTGCTTAATCAGCAAGTTTGGTAGGATTCAGAATGATTAGAAGTGCCAGATGACCTTGGGTTAGATACAAAAGAAGAAGACGATAAATGTTTGTACGTGATGATGACCGCATAACATATCAACATTTCAAGGCTCTGATAGTGCGTATTCTATACCTTGATTACTACTGCGTAGCTTCCAACGTCCTAATTGGGATCCAACAAGTCTAACAAGTCAATGAGAAAAGATGTTGTAATTGGCAAGGGTTTGATCGTTTGCCGATAGCATCTTATTCAAAAGCTGATGGTAGATATCCTCTATCTTTCGGCTTCTTTTATTGAAGACTATTTTTGTCTCATCTCCAAGTCGCTCATCTTTCTATAAGCAGTCACGCAGGGCAAGCTCTCACCAATCTTCGTTATGGACCGAAAAATTCGCTTAGCATATTGTTTGTTCCAGCCATGGATAATAAGAGTTGAGGAAAAGCTTGAAGCAAAAGCCTTGTTGTCATCAAAACACAGAAGCGGATGGATGTCTCTCGTCCAGTTCTTGCGGTTGGTAGGACTAGCAATCCTGCTCGATTTTCCATATGATCGGGAAACTGTTGCATGGATACAAAGCATGATCGATCTCGATATCCAAATACGCGAAATTGTTCAACGCGAAGTCTTTCTAATAAGGCAATGCGCTAGCATAAAATTTCTAACAGCCAACGGAGAATTTCATCTCTGGGGGCCATATCGCCATAATGGAGCTATTGTATGCCAGCAAGAATAATGAAGTGTTCTATCAGTAATTCTTCCGAACACGAACAATTTTTACGGTGGTAAAATACCATTATATATTTTGTTGTCGTCTACATAAAGTTTTGAGATATTTGAACAAATAGCTCATTCTTGGCTATTTAAGGTCGTCTATTTGATTGGGAGATAATCTAATTAAGATAAGCTTCGATGCACACTGACGAACGTATGCAGCTTTTTGCAAGAAGAGGAAAGTATGTTGAATTTACTATGCTTTTGACACTATTCATCATTCAAACAAGCTCTGGCACCAATAAGCCAAGAGAAGGCAATGTATTGATAGTCACGTGCGAACAGTTTTACGCTGCTTATCGCACTTCACCCAAAGCAGTATAATAGAGAAGTTGTAAAAGAGGATGGCCTCATGTCTATAGTGCATTCGAAATTTACTCCACTGAGGGAGCTGTGTGCAGATGCCAAGACGTTACCCATTTTAGATGGAGGATCGTGGCCCAATGATGCTGTTCTCTCGCGCAGCTTGGAAGGTCAGTGCGTCGTCGCAAGACGGGGGGCGATTCTCACCCACTCTCACCCTGCTTCTCACCCTCACTATTGCGCACTCACCCTTCTCACCTCTGGTCGCGCGATGCTAAAGCGGCTCTCACCCATTTCTCACCCTGGTGGCAGCCACCGAACTACTGGCCGCATTTAAGCCACACGCCGGTTATAGTAGTATGGTGGGTGACCACATGCGAATCCTGACTGTTGTATGTTTTTGTTTTATTTACTCTTGGACCTGCTGTTTACTCTTTAGTCCATTCAGGCCCATTGAAGGAACCGAATAAGTGGGAGCAATAAGTAAAGTCTAGCTGATGATCACGTCCATGATCTGTGACAGGGGATTTCCATCGTTCGCCAGTATCTGTTCCAAATCATATCTGATCGCTAAGCCGTTACCCTGCTCCTCCGCTTCGCGAAAGCCTGGCGCATAGTCATCCACTAGATTGACTTCACCTCCTTGGTAGATTTCCACGAGCGGCCTTCTTCCTATAGGAATAAACCCAAGATATATTTAGCTAGTAGGGCTTCTTTCTCGCGGGTTAATTCGGTGATACAGAGGTAGACTATATAGAAACTTTGAAACTTATTTCCTCTAGAACTTTTATCCTTTACCGTGCTAGAAGATAAGCCTAGTTTTTTGAAAGGTCCCGAAGATATTTTATACTATAAGTTCGGGACCTTTCAAAAAACTAGGCTTATCTTCTAGTGCTTAGGATTGATAGCTCTTTCTTAGCGTTAGTACATATGTAGAGAAATAGAAATTCTTCCAAATTAAAGACCTAAATCACGAAATTATTAGTCGGCTATCACCTACTGTTCGATCAAAGCTCGTTTCTGTTAATCCGCGGCGTTGGTCGCGAACAAAATGCCTCCATGCACGAGAGGCGGCATCAAAATCTTCCGGGGCCACGGGCTCTTCGTGTCGGCGAATGAAGGAGGGGATGCCTCCGGGTCACCGGCTGTGCTATCTTATAAGGGACATGATCGAATGGTGACAATTTCGAGGGTTGAAAAGAAGCGAGGAACGCGAGGGGCTGGAGTGTATTTAACGGACGACTTTGACACATACCCGCCCCAGTTTCCACCAAGGCATGAAATCTATCTTTCCCGTACATACTATTCTCAAACACACGACACCTGTCTTATATTTGCCACCTTTGAATCTTCACTCGCAACTTTTGCTGTATAGGCTTAATCTTCAGGTGATAAATATTCAGGTAGGTGAAGATTATCCGGACTGGCCTAAAGAGTGCCGCTAGAGCAGCGAACCGCTCACGCCCGAACCGTGGGCGCTAGGTGACCACCACCTTAGACATGCTAGTTTTTTGTTTTGTTTTTATTCAATTTCAGATATTCATAAAACTTGCCATTGCCACTGGAGATTCAATTTTGCCGGCAGAATTCGAATTTTACTATAAAAGCACATCGTAATATTAGACGGAGTTTGCCAACTCTAGCCGACTATAGCTCAATTGAAGATTTATTTTGAAGCTTTGGCTATCTCTTTACGCGGTAATCGGATAGAAAAGCTAGTATCTATAGTATTCTTGCACTGCACGTTATGCTAAGATTATCAGTTCATGGGTCTATGTTCAAGTACAATGTTGCTGGGAGCTTTGAACGGCTAGGGATAAGAATAGATCACCACGCCAGTTTAACCATGACGTCGGCAGTCAGTGAGAAATAAAAAAATCGATCCAAGATCGACGATACAGAGGGTAATTGGACAAGCGAGTATACGTGTCAATATGGTACTTTTTGCGTGGCGTGGAGAAGAGAGAGAGGGAGAGCTATCAACAGAAAGGCTAGAATCGCTAACTAGATGCGGAGAGCCGCAGATGAGCGCTACGCGTACTACTGGAGTGGGGCGAATACCCCCTCTTCTGGATTCAGGCACTTTTTTTTCTCATTGTCCAATGAGTATCGGGCGCATCGCCTTGATATGCGTTGCTGTGTTCCCGCATGAATCATCTAATCTGCGGGACATGGCCTAGGCCTCGCCAAGACTGGGAGTATTTCGCAGAAATACCCCATCAAGCTTGTTAGCCCCCTCTCTCCTCCACGCCACACAAAAAGTACCATATTGACACGTATGCTCACTTATTCACCTAGCTCCGTAGCTTCGATCCTCGATCCTTGATGACTATTCGTGTGTGGGTGCGATATACAGGGCTTTTGTTTAACCTACTTTGATGGGCCATGTGCGTTCACCTGTCCTCTATATTTCGCCTTTCTGTTGATAGCTCTCTCTCACTTCTCCACGCCACGCAGAAAGTACGATATTGACCCTTGTTCTTGCCTATCCGCCTACTTCCGTAGCTTCGATCCTCGATCCTCGATCCCCGATCATCGATCATGGATTCTCGATCTTCGATCAAGAGGCATGCCGGGCTCTAATTTTCCATTAGATTCTACCTTAGATTCTACCCTTTCTTTCGAGTATAAAAGACACCATCGCTCCAAGCCCTGACGAGCCACCAACAGCGACAATTCAGACGCTCTCCTTGCACTCTCTTCTATTCAATCGTATTAAATAGCTCATCATTTTTGCAATATTTGCTCTACCCCTCTCATTTACAAACCCTTGAGCCACCCTAATCACACAAGAGGACACCCCTGATGTCTAGTCAATATTGCTCCGTGATCAAGGTTCCACCTGAACATCAAAATCATGAAAGTCAAGGTCCTATCTTCGGATCTTTTTCTTTGTCAACCGAAACACAGTGTATTCCAAGACATCCTCATTACGTCGACAATGAAATGATCCTCTTCAAACATAAAGGAAACGATTTATGCTTGCGCTTTCTGAGTGACTGGAAGAAAGTGGAAGAATCTATGAGTGTTCACACTGATGTGTGTCCGATCTATTTCCCCTTCAGTCTGGAGCTTCAGTTTGATAAAGAACTGGAAGCTCGGCTTGCTCATGACTTACGAAAGTGGCCTTATTTCCAGCTTTTGAGCCCGCATATCGCTCAAGTGGGAGTAGATATGTCACGCCTTTGTTCGTTTCAGTCAGATCTGAGCTATGAGCGAAGAGTCTTGCTCCACCGACATTTAACTTGGATTTTCATCGTGGATGAAGTCTCTGAGAAACTTCCACTCTACAAATTACATGCGACTGCCGGGAAAGTTTACCTGGAAAACTTCAAAAGCATCATGAGAAACGGACCAGTTGAGGACATGATGCAGTTTAAGGGTTCTTGCCCAGATGAGCTGATTCAAATGGCTCTTGATGCACAGTGTATCTTTGCTGAGGATCTGATGCCGCTCAAGAGAAAATTGCTGCAACCTCATCACCTGCAGGCATGCATCGACGCGTTTGATCTCTACTTTGACAAGCAATATGAAGAAAGTCAAAAGTTTTGCACGGAGCAAACATCGCAGGAAGTACTCAAGACGAGAGGCTTCACAATCGGCGTTCTAGTGCCTTTCCTTCTTTGTATGACTTCAGCGCACGCCGAACTTTACAGAGCTGATGACCCGTGTCTCACTCAAATTGGAGTTCTTGTTGCTCTCTTCCACGACATCATGGGTTTATTCAAAGACCTCGATGCACTCAACAGAGAACAACCAGATGACAGCTCTGCTTTTCTGAATCTTGTTCGGTTGAGCATGAGAGAGCATGGGTTGAGTGAAACGGAGGCCTTGCGCTTAAGCGCACAAAGACTGAATCACTTTTCCCACTCCTACGAATTTTTCATCAACAGCTACGCTCCTGCACTTCAGCAGTTCTACCGTGAGAACTTGCGATTTTGTTTCAACTTCTATGACTACCATCTTATGGGGATTCTGGGCAACCCAAACAACCGTTACGGCTGGAGTATAGTCTAACAGGTTTTATCGATTACTCTGATTCCCAGCAATTTGAAATTCAAATTTGAAATGACATCCATGACAGGTTTTGTGTAAAATAATCTGATTTTATCTTCGATTTCATCGGGATTTTAGAATATCACTATATTGGGACATAGCTCGTACTCATCAAAAGTGCCTCTGCAACCTCGTACAGTAAAACGGCATAATATATCCTACAGGAGTGCTAACAGTCTATTAGGCTGCAAAAGCCTTGATACTTTGTTATTTGGAGTAAAAAATAGTTTCCGGCTATTTAAGTGCATTGGAATTATATACTTAGGTTTTAGGTGTACTCTAAGAATCATACGATCATTTTTCAATGGTTGTCTCCAGTCAAGCTTGTATTGTCGATGATCTGTTGTTATTTAGCACTCCACTCTCATGAAGAACAAGAAGCTTGTAAGCTGTTGTATGTTACTACTACCTTAGTCAAGCCGATGAGGCTTGTATATATTTCATCGCTGTTGAGAGCTCTGGCATTTACTAAGAGCACATTTGATTCGGTATATATCGCCCAGGCAAAAGAACCAACTTATCCCATTGCTAACGGTATGTGGGACTTTTCGGCAGGCCTCCTTTCCAAACAAAAACCCATTTTTGCCTCGATCATACTCAACACAAACATTCACCCCTCGCATCCAGAACCTTTCCAATGGTATCCGGGGGCATATTCCCAATAGAATAGAGCTCGTAGTGAATGGTTCTGGGTGTTTTTGAGGCAATGGATGGCAGCAGTCACAATGAGCAATGAATGAGCGTTGCATGGACAATATCAACAAAGATTGCGATGTGACTCTGGAAAATGCCTCTATTCAATGCAAATGAGGATCAAATTCATAAAGGGTGAAAACTTAGTTTTGAGTCCCCCAGACCGAGTCCTGCTCATCTGGTCGGTAGAATACTTGACTAAAACGAAATATATAAGCTGAACACACAACACTAAATCTCACTGGTCTGTGTTGTAGCATCGGTTCTTGGGTCTCGAACGAAATATATGTCCAAGAAGGGTAATGAAACTTGCACGAAAGTCAAGTTGCCCGCACTCAAACTGTATCGATGTCCTTGTAAGCTCAATGTTTAAAGATTTCTCCTCATAAACATTGTTGCAACGGAAGAAAAGTGTGAACCTACATTAACCGTTTGATGAAGGATGGTGTATCAAGTAGAGATGAAATCGCACGGCCCAGACCAAGAATGAGAGCTGGAAGGATCGGGGCCGCGGATGTCTCTTCTCGATTCTGCCAAAGACAAATACCCCACTTGATATAATAGGTCAGGCAGAATGGCAGAGATACCAAGAGACAGAAGACTGCAATTTGGGTGGCTATTGAAGAAGACATGCTGAAATTTGTTCCAACTGGGTTCTTTGGCAGAGTTTGTAGTCAATAAAGTCAACTCAGGTTGAAGAAGCCTTTGGAATATGGCATGATGGACTTATATCAGCTACTACCAAGTACTCCAGCTGGCCCCCGCTGGCCCCCACTCTTAACTGCCTGACCTGGGGGCCTAATAACTACCTATTGAGACGTCATTTCGAAGCCTTAGCCGCCACGCATCAAGTGCCGTTTTGGGTTTTCTGCCATCCAAATAACTACTAGTGTGATTCCATCGCTTCCTCTCTCCCCATCACCCTTGTACTTTTCCTACGCATCATATATTCATCCTCAAGTTTTTGGAATTGAACAGTTCAAGGGAATACCTATCCACGACGCAGCAGCTGAAAAACAGCATGTGAGTATGGGGGCAGATACTTCATCTGTCTGGCGCTGATGCGGGGGCCAAATGCCAACTGTTCCTTCAGCCCCACCTCATCCTTGTCGAGGAAAATGGCCCCCACCCCCACTAACTTAGTGCTCACTCCACGACGGAGTAAGCGAGCAGACTTGGCTTGGACCAGGGTACGGGTTCCACAGGCGGGAAGGATTGATGATCCTAAAATTTTAAGCCGGCCTATAGTGACAGGACATTTTGCACGGATAACCCTTTTCAAATTCAGACGCTAGGAAGTGTAAGCTAAATAAAGCTAGACTGTGTATCGTTTCATGATGTAAATTACGAACACTAGAGGAGCTAGCTGCAAAGAAAGAGCCAATCCATGCCAGTTTTTTCGGAACCCAAAACCTGCAGTAATTCATCCCCAGTTTACTATGATACACCCAAGTTTATGCTGATACATATAACATAAAAGATGGTTTAAGTGTTCCCACAATTTGAATCTTACCTGTGCTACATTTTAAGACGGACAGCCACCTGCTTTCTATTTCTCATTGCGAGGAGACATCACGAATAGTGACTTTGCAAGGGAATCCCTGGGCCGGATGGCCCGATCCCTTTTGAATCATATAGACACGTTCACCAAACATCGTCTTCTTGCCGGTGGATGGATTCAAAGAATCATATTCGGCATAAGCGTCGTGGAAGTCGAATTGACGCACAACCATAGCAAGCGTAGCCTTGATACCCATGAGAGAGATATTCTGACCAATGCACTGTCGTTGACCATGCTCAAACGCTCTCCATCCTCCAGCTGGAGGGTACAAGGGATGACCCTTTTCGACAAGCCAGCGGTCCGGGATAAAATCGTGTGGCTGAGGCCAGAAGGCTGGGTTGCGATGAACGGCAGGGTGCACGATCCAAATCGCAAACCCTTCAGTGGGGAAGGATCTCCCATGTTCATCGCGGAGAGAAACGTTAGGCATGCCGTCTCTGAGACCGTTCGCGGGTGCAAACAGCCGAAGAGTTTCCTTGATAACGGCATGGGTGTATGGAAGTCGATTTATCATCTCAGGGTGTTCCATAAGAGCTTCATACGCGCTTGATGCACCAGTACCAAAAACAATATCATGTTCCTTGCGAACTTTGGCGAGCATCTCGGGGTGCTTGGATAGAAGATACAGAGAATAAATTATAGTCGCTGCTTCGGAATCGTGGCCAACGAATAAAAATAGGCGGGTTTGAATAGTGGCCCATTTTTTGAATTCTGGGTCAAGTTGGGCTTTTTGAGATCCAGGATGGAATGTCTGTTCCTGTGGTCTGGTTTTCATATACTCGGCAAGAACAATGTCGATGATCGACCTGGGGCGAGAAGTCGATGGCTTGATTTGATCGATTTCCCTCCATTCTTGATATCGCTTTTCAAGCTCTATTCCGATAAGATGGTTCATAGTGCGTGAATTCTGCCACTGTCTGTAGAATCGAAGCGGACTCCAGCGTTCAAAGAAAGTGCCTGTCTCGATACCGCACTCCCATTCAATTGTGTCTCGCATTGCTGCAGCAATTGGGTTGTGTTGCTCCTGGAACCTAAAGCGTGTGTTCCTATAAACTTGCGTCAATAAACAGAACAAGTTGCTAGTTATGCTCGAAGAGGACTCACAAGGTGATATTTCCGATGATATCCATAGAATAGCGACAGGTCAGTGGATCTAGTAGGAAGGTATCCCCTGCTTTGGCATGGCCCTTGAGCAATTGGACGTAGACCTTGGCCTCTTCTAGGATGCATGTCATATGACTCAATGAAGCAGCCATGCTGAATCCATGGTTGAACAGTTCTCTGGCGTGTTTCCAACGGGCACCATTCGTGACGAATAGGTTATCCGAGCCACCCGCCATTGGATTGATAAATGGTTGAAGGGCCTTTGGCTTCGGTAGATCATAGGTCTGGCATGCGTCGATCGCCATGGCGGGTGATGTCACAATTAACATAGGCTCGTTAAAAGGCCAAACATCGACATAGAAGCCAGTATCGAGGCCTTTTGTCTCTGCTGCAAAGTGGGCAAATAAGTCGGCTTGGCGAACATCACTTGGCCCTTTCTTGTGGAGCCCCGCCATCACGGCGAGATTTCCCAGGACTGGATTCCAGGAAGGAGTCGGCTACAATTCCCATTAGTATGAAGTATAATTGCTTGGCATTAGGTGCTCACAAATCCTTGCTTTCTTAGACGGTAGAAAATTAGTCGCATTTTGATGAGCTTGTAAAAGAGGGTCGTGAGGCAGATGGTTGCAATGCCCACAGCCGTACGGCTCGCAAGCGTCCCCCATTCTTTGGTGGCACCTTCCATCATGGGATTGGGTAGATAAAATGCAGCCTTGAGATTCCTATGCGTGCAATTGTAGATCAAGGTCGGTATGACGATATGTTGAGTCGGGGCATGTGTAGTAAAAGCTGAGTTGATGAGGAGCGGAAGGAAAGCTCTAGCAGGGCAGCCTGCAACTGTAAATCGCGACACAGCGCGTTTCAAACCCCTGGGTCGGGCGGTGTAAAACGAAAATCCCTGTCAGAGTCTGAGTTATTTACCAGATTCAGATTGTTTTAAGTGAATCACCGCTCCATTATTGGGGGCCAGCCTTAAGCCTAAATAGGTTAAGCGGGAGGAACAGCACAGATACAAACATTCATTAATCGCCGAATGATCATTGGTCAACTAAAAATAAAAATTCAAGTTAGAGAGGGTCTAGGGTCCTTGTACTTCTTTGGACTTGCGTGATGCAAAGGTATCTGCGGGATGATAATGTCACCCCGCTCTGCCCTTTTTCAGCCCGGGGTCCGCTTTCCACCGATGCTGATTGGTAAAGTATAATCACAGAGCCAATTGTGGTCCACATCTGGCGTCATGTGTGTAAATCTTGTTAAGTCTTGATTCTCAGGCACGACAGTAAATACTTCGTGGAGGTGTATAATACACCCGTGAATAGCTGCAAAGTAACTGTAGATCTTACTCTTTTTGGGGCCTTTCCAGTCCACTTTCTGGCCCCCCTACGGCCCGTGCTCCGTGCATGATTGGAAAAGTGCTTCCTAACGAAATTGGGGATATACACCCGCTGATACTACATAATTGACCTAAATAACATGCATTTAATCCGGCTTGTCAACTTGGGGGCCAAATGGTGGCAACATTTGAGAATACCTTCCGCTAATGCGGGCCAGAAAGTATGAATAACCCCGCCAGTGCGGCCAGATTGATGACTGCAGGATTGCTTTTAATGTGCAGAAACGCCAGATGCCCCGCGAAAAGTTTCGTGATTAACATCCACATTTCTATCATCCTTGGACTTTCTATCAATCAAGAATGGCGCCTCAGGATTCTGCCGGTCGAATCCCCAAGAATGGACTTATTGTAGGTTTATCATGAGATGAAGCAATTCATTTTATAGTGTATTGACCAACGTGCAAGGTTTCAATTTCAGTACTCCTTGCCCCTGCGATTTTGGGGGTATTTCTGCGCTTGTTCATCATCCTTCGCGTTCAAAGGCGGAGACCTTCACTAGATGATTATCTGCTGGTTATCGCACTCTGCTTTCTTCTGGCTAGTATAGTCATCATGTATACGAAAGTCATCGATGACTTGTATTTGATGTGGGCGATCGAACTAGGGATGAGAAATGTCACCATACCAGCCAATATCCTTGACGTCGCCTACAGCTCCCATGTGTGGAGTGAAATTTGTCTTTTGATGTCCTGGTGTTCTTTCAGTGCCGTCAAATTGAGCTTCATGGTTTTCTTCAAGAAGCTGATTAATCGGATGAAGACCTGGCAGATCTACTGGTGGGTCGTCTTCACCTACACGGTCTGTGTTCTGATCTACGGATCCTTGGTCTTCTTCATCAGCTGTCCCTACTTTTACAGCCCAAAAGAAAGTTAGTCGTGATCCGATCGAACGTTTCACTGAGGCCGTTATACTGATGATGGTAGACACATGTACTGTGGGGAGACATAAGGACATGATTGTGCAAGAGTCGATCTCGCTTGCAGTTCTCGATGTGGTTGGCGACGCTCTGAGTAAGTTTCACCTACGTCACAACCTTGTATCTTGCTAATGCAGTCCAGTTCTGGCCATTCCAATCAATGTCATCTGGAAGATTCGAGCCCGTTGGGTACAAAAGATCTTCCTCATCTTATCCCTATGCTTGACTGTCATCATGATCATACTTTCAATTGTTAGAGTATCTGGACTCGTGTACCACGGCATGATTGATACCGTTTGGGAGACCTATTGGCAATTCTTAAGTGCCGAGGTTGGCGTGTTCCTCGCCTCCGCCGTCTCATTCCGTTCTCTGTTTGTGTCTCAAAGGTCACATTCGGGTCCGAATTACTCTGTCAGGAAAATGTTCAAAGATTCCTTCCAGTCGCCAAAGCGACGCAACACTGGGTCACTCTCAGACTCCTTGTGGGACGCACCAGGAAACGAGATGGACTCACTACCAAACAACGCATTTACTGAGGGCCATATTGCGAAAGATGGGAACTATGTAAATATTCCACACTCGGTCCATGCAGGCGACATGGACTTGGAAGGTCAAGCTGAATTCGTCACCCAACCGACTTCTGCAATTGTGAAAATACCGCGGGACGAAAGGTCTTGACAGGACATTATTTGAACTCTCTACACCACGTTGCTCAAGTTTTAACACCTTCTCATTATGATTCACGACCCAGAAGCCTGTTCCCCACAGATAAATATGGCCCAAAATTCTACCCTGGGATTTTGAATGGTACTTTAGATAGCCACTAGCTTAGCTTTCTTGCCAATACATATCAGTACTTTGTTCATTCCTACCCCATTTCAACGCCAGGGGAAAATCTTAGTAAATTACAGGTTTACGAGAATTCAATTGGGGATACTGTCAGCCAAGGATCAACAAGCCTGAAAGAGCTCATTTTCCTGTTTCTTGTCTCTTCCATTCTTTTCTCCAACGGGAGAGTTTGGGCGATCATGAGGGGCGAATTTAGAAAAATTCCCATTCGGCGCCACAATGCACGGGTGTTTATGCACAAAGATACGGAGCACTTTCTCCAATGCCAACGCATCTTCTGCAACCCCGCGGATAAACGAGGCAGTGAAGTTGGGGGCCTTACGCTAATCAATCCGTCAATGAAATCATTTAGCCCCAAATTTCCATTCGAGCATCTGACATGCATAAGAAATTAAGTTTGATTGGTCAACCTACTGGGGCCAGGATCAATATGCTATGCCGCATTTAGACATCCCCGAAGCCACTCTGCCTGCATTTCACGCCTCAAGCGGCATGGCAGTTTACAAATTTCAAACCAATCACAGACTCCTTATCACTTGATTTCCATGACAGGAGAGCTGTATTGATATCCATGTTGTCTATTTTTGACTATTATCTCGCGAATGAGCACCACCTATGTTGGTTCTTTTCTGTCAGGCCTACACTAGTGCCCTCTGGACCTCGTGTTGGTGTCTATCATTAGCGCTTTCAACCAAAAGAAGTCTAAGTCCTGGATAAAATGTTATTTTAGGTATCTACGTCACATTCTCTAGTCCGCAAACATGTCTGCTGGACCAGTATGTGGAGACAAATCTCGAACCGCAATTATCAATTGGCTGGTGGTAAGTATTCAAGCGAACATTCAGTGGCATTGATATCCAGTCTCCGAGCAATAGGTACGTGGCCCCCACGCAGTATCATGAAATCGAGGCGTGAGTCTTTATTCATCTAGACGTAGTATAGCGCATATTGATTGATTATTTAAATCTTTGAAGTTACCACTTGGCCTTCCACCAAAAACCATCCAGCTCCAAACTTTGTGAACCAATCATCAAAGGATAATTCTTTGAATCCTTCGAAAAGCACACTTGTTTCATTCCGCGAACCTTCGACTGGAAAGATACAAGGAAGAAGTGCAGATCAATTCTGTGGACAATTACTCATCATGGGCCATAGTTCCGTGGCCGTGTGGTTGCTGGCCATTTGTCAGCAAGATTTGTTGACATCCTTCATTGCCATTATTTCTACTTTGTGTTTTGTGCACTATACAATCTGTACCATCTCATTCAACAAAACAACTTCAGATAAGCAAGGATTAAAGGCACCACCATTGGTGCCTTCTCTAATCCCCATAATTGGCAATATATCATGGAGAATGATATGGAATCCGCGTCACTGGGCGCTCAACACAAGGTAACTTGAACATGCGAATACAGAATTGATACACATTTCGCTAAAATATACTGTATAGAGAACTATTCCATCATGACCATCCTGTGAGCGCTTGGTTCATGGCCCAAAAAGTCTACATAGTCCAAGGGACGGATAACATGCAAGCGATGTTTCATCAGCGACATCCATCGTCTTTCACCCTTCATGTTTTTCTCATGGATCGTGTATTTGGTCTTCCGCGCAAGGCCCTCAAGATATATCAGAAAGACAACTCGGGCGGATACCCGAAACCTATCTCTCACAGCAAAGTGGAGCCCCAGAACCGGATCGAATATCTTCTCAAAAAGCTTGTGCACCGCTTCCTTCTTGGACCTGGTTTGCAACCATTTGCTCGGCGATTTCAGATTGATTTCGCCCAGCGAGTACAAAACCTTGCCGTCGGCAACGACTGGGTGGAATGGGATGACTTTGTTTCTTTCTATACGCAGGATCTTACTGCATCATTCCTCAATGCTCTCTGCGGCAAGTACTTACTCCAAAAACACCCGGATTTCCTGACTCACTTGTGGACCTTTGAAAACAACATCTGGAAGTTTGTTGTTGGCCTGCCTCGTTTTCTATTTCCGCGAATTTACACAGCCCGGGGTGAATGTTTAGCCGCGCTGAAAAGTTGGCACACCTGGGCGTCTCAGAATTTTGACCCAGCCGATGTTGACGCGGCGGGGGATGATCCGATCTGGGGCTCCAAATTCTTCAGAGATAGGAAGGAGGTTCTCAACCAAGTTGAAGGGTTTGATCAGGATGCCATTGCAACACATGATTTTGCTTTTATTTGGGGGTATGTGGTCATTATCCCTCACTTTCGAAGCGCCTGGAGTGACAAGAGTAAAGCTAAAATTTTTCTCTTTGTTCATCAGAGCGACCAACAATGTCATTATTTCGGCTTTCTGGACAGCTGTGGAGGCATTCAAGGATCCCAAGCTGCTCTCCCTAGTGCGAGAAGAGGCAAAGGCCTGCCTTCTCGTCGACCAACAGAGCGACTGTCTTCAGTTTGACATGAAAAAACTCCTACAGCAACCTTACCTCCAAGCCATGTATGCCGAAACACTTCGGCTGAGAATAGGCGGCTTTCTCGTACGACATCAGAATGAAGAAGACCTTAATATTGAAGGCTGGCGGATTCCGAGAAACCACTATATCCTGAATAACACGATGCATGGACACATGAATCCAGATATCTGGAGTAAGGGTACTTGTGAGAATCATCCTGTCGATGTATTCTGGCCCGCACGATTCTTGAAACCGGGCGTGGATGGTGTATCACAAGAGTTCACTATGGAAATGTCCAAGGGAGCCTGGACGCCTTATGGTGGTGGCCACAATACGTGCCCCGGTCGGCAGCATGCTAAAATGACGAACATTTATGCAACTGCGCTGATTGTATTGTCGTTTGACTGCGAGATCATTGCTGATTCCAAAGCCTTAGAGATGAGCATGCGAAACTTTGGCTTTGGGGTTGCGGCGCCAAGGGGAAATATACCAGTACGGATAAGACGGCGTTGAAACTCCTAGAGGTAATTCATTTATTTCATATACCTGGTGCTTGAATCGGTTGCAGCCTTCAAACTTTCTGGCTGTGATGAATGGGCCCTATCTCAGTGCTGCACAGATATCCTCTTTAGCCTAGAGCACAAACTATCATGCGGGCATGGTATACACAAACTATCACGCGGGCATGGTATATAAAGCACGGAGCTCATTTTTGAGCGCCTCATCAATTGAACTAATTAAACCATTAGAATCCCTTCATTCGGGCTCTTCAGATAGTGTAGCTCATTTCAAGTGATGCGATAAATGGTTGTACTGGATCAGTGGTGGTAAGATGAGGAAGGGACTATTGACAAAACAGGAGGTTAGAACTGAGGTGAACAGGCAAGCAAAAATCGATCTTCCGGACCTTGCAACTCATTAAACCAAAGGGCTTTTCCCTTACAACTGCTTGCACGAGCATGTAGAGCGGATATCTTCAGGTGCCCTCAAGGAAGGTTTAACGACTTAAGAGCTTCAAGATTGGGATGTCATTTGAGCAGCTTCTTGCGGCGCTGAAATTGCCAATGATGGATTTTATTCTTCCTGAATCAAACACTGTACCTCCATGTTGTAGTTTTTATTTGCCTCCAAATGCGAAGGTCCCCCCCCACTGTCAGGGCCTTGATGAATTGTCTACTTTGGGGGTTCTAAGAATTGAACTTAGTAGAAGGCCGTGGGCTTGATGGCCTTGAAGGAAATCCCGCTCGTAGGGACCTTTGGAAAGTAACGCGCGCCAGTAGTAGCACACCAGCAAGAGCTAAAGACGAGGCTTCACGTCTGAAATCTGGTCAGGCATCATCAAAAGGATGTTGGCAGAGAGGGGCGGCATCCTGGCTCTCGCTAGAAGGCTAATCTAATATTGAGGAGTCCAAGTTCCAGGAAAGCTCAAGAACAGTGAAGGTAACAGTAATATAGGATTGATTGGTCTCATTTCAGAGAAAAAGATGGAAATCCGATGTTGTTAGCATGTACTAATGAACGAGAAACAAAAATGACGCGCTTTTGGCGCGAATCCCATAGGCCATAGGTGGTTTATATTACGTAGGGGGTCCTGATAACTCATCAGGAACTAGATCAATGAGAAGAACTAATGTCTAGAGTTATTATCTGCAGTACGCTACATATATTGAAGCAAGAATGTGGCAAGATTCAAGATTTGTATTCGAGGGGGACAAACATCTATGGTTGCTAGTAAGCGGATCGAAAGGGAGCCACCCGTTTAAATCCCTTTTCTGATTGGTTAGAAACTTTTTGACGTCCTAATTGAGACTAGCTCAGGCTTCATAGTGGAGAGAGCTTCTCGCCCTTAATTCTGCCTTTTCTCTCTCTATACCCTTCAATTCTCCCTGATATTCAATTTCCTTTTACACCGAACGTTCTGATCTGAATTCTTCTCAGTGTACCCTCAACAGTGGTACTTCCTGCCCATCATACATGACGGTTTGGGCTACACATCAGCTTTTTTCCATGGTGCTTACTGATCGCGAGTTACTTTATGCGACGCCCCTGTGACTCTCCCGGCCTTACCTTGGTCAGTGGACCTTTGTTGAGTGCGCCATGGCTTAACGTCATTTTTGATTTACAATCAATGCAACATTTTAACGCACCGGAGATAACGGTAATAGCATCCAAACCCCGCTCTAGTCACCTTTGAAATAACAGCTAATGCCCCTAGTTATTTCAGTCATCCTCAGACCCCGCGCAACACCAGTCCCGGAAGTCCTTAATTCTCAAAATCAAATATTAAAGACCTTCCAAGCAACGCTCCTAATCTATAGCATTTGCGAAATACCTGGTTCCCGTTCTTCACAATAAATTGAAGTATCCCTCACCACATTTCCAGCAAAACGATTCCAATCGGGTTTAATAGAGACTCGCAATGGCATCCAAAACTTGGCTTATTACCGGCGCTTCATCTGGCCTCGGAGCCGCAATTGCTGAGGCAGCCCTCCAAGCCGGCCACAAGGTGATTGCCACGGCTCGCAATCCCTCTAGAGCAGCCGAAGCCAACCCGCAGATCTCGAAGCTCGGAGGTACTTGGATCGAGCTTGACGTCACAAGCTTAGATACCCCGAAGAAGGTCGAAGCTGCAATCAACGAGGCTGGTGGCTTCATTGATGTAGTTGTGAACAATGCCGGGTACTCGCTGCTGGGCAGTATTGAGGACATGAGCGAGACAGAAATCGAGGCCCAATTTAGCACAAATGTGTACGGTCCTGTTCGTGTATTGAAGGGCGTTCTTCCTTTCATGCGGGCGAGAAATTCCGGAACTGTTGTCAACATTAGCAGCAGTGCTGGCATTGATGGATTACCCACTTGCGCAATGTACGCTGGGTCAAAGTTTGCTCTTGAAGGTAAGTCTACTCTTCTCTGATTGATGGCTAGCCTTGGGAAGGCCAAGTACGTTTGGTGGGAGGGTTTGTTAAAGCGAAATACAGGCATGTCCGAAAGCCTCGCGAGAGAGCTAGTGCCATTCAATATCCGGGTGCTTGTCGTCGAGCCGGGTTCGCTTCGTACGAATTTCTGGACTGCCTATGTTGAGCCTGCTGCGGGCATGAACACAGACTACGCCGGCACGCCCCTGGAACAAGTTCTCCAGGCTTTCAAGTCAAACAAGGGGACACAGCCAGGCGATGCTGTCAAATGTGCCCAGAGAGTCTTGGATGTCGTGGACAGTACAGGCATGGGCGCTGGGAAAGGAAACCTGCTTCGATTACCGCTTGGCCCGGACTGTTATAAGCGCTTTCAAACTTAAATCGATAATTTGCAGGACAACTTGCTACAGATGAAGGAGATTGCGCACTCGACTAGCTACTAATAGACCGCATGTCTGCATTTAGATTGGCAACCTTGAATGGAAAGTATGAATTTCACTGAGGATTCTATGGAAATAGAAGGGCATGCTTCACTTGTAATTCTTGATTCATCATCTCTAAACATTCGATTTAGAAATAGTCTATGTAATTGAGGGGTTGATAAGATGGCCATATACTGTTGCTATTCACCGCCTTACAGGCGTGGCCCGGAAGAATACACGCGCCGGTGCTCAATTAGCGCTAGCGCGGAAATTCTCAATAAAAGCGGAACGCGCCAAATCCCCTTTATCCTTTTTCTTTTCTCTCCATCTACAGTTTACATTTCGATGTAAATACATTGGGGCTCCACAATGTGGCTTGCTGAGGGTTACCCGATCGCTTCGGCCTTCGTGGGTTTCTTTCCGTTCCCGGCTCTGAAGAGTAAAGGCGCTTCTCTTTCCTAGACATTCTCTATTATGTGGTGCCCTCCGCGGGAGCCATAGGGTGTTGAATGGTGAGAGGGCGTTACATGCTTTTTGCTTGATGGTATTATAGTGACATAATGTACGAAGGCTTGCAATGAAAGTGTTTCAAGATCACCTGACTCGTTCCTATTCTACCTATTTGCTTCCCGATCTAAACCTTCCTACCTTCCAAGAACCTCTGTATGTCCTTCTAGTACCTGTTGATACATCTTTTCTACCTCTTCATGTTTCCCTGGGATCTTCCCTTGGATAAATAGCACATTGCCAAGGATCTTTGCACTGCTGAGCGTATTAGGAGGCTCATGTGCAGGCACTTGCTCATTCACTTCCAGGTCTCGTCGATGCATCATTTCCACCTCTGCATATTTCGCTTGGCTGGCAAGAACATTACCAAGCTTACTGACACTGGTAAAGGTGTCGGGATGCTCGCGTCCAAGCACCTTCTCTCGTGTTTGAATATCCGTCCATGCACCGCAAGACTTGAACCGGATATCGGTGCACAGGTCGACGGAGGAGCCAAATGGACAAGGTTTCCTAAGATTTCAAATGTCCTTCACGGTCAGTTTGTCAATTGCTTTGCGCGATATTGAGAGTTTTTCTTAGCATAGAAGGTCTAAGCCATAATAACTGCACATGTACTATAACATGCTCATAGTAGGCAGTGTAGTAGACAAGTCGGCCGAACCTATCATGAAGCCAGAGCCTCGAATGAGATATGATCATTTCAAGCAAGCTATTGGTTTAAGAACAAGTTTGCATCATGGTCTTATGGCTTTACTCGTCAAAATTTATCGTTCCCCTGGATGGATAGCCCTAGGGACATAAGGTTCTTCAAGGTACTGAATCTCTTCCGGCGTCAGCTTGACCTGGACACTCGCAACAGCCTCATCAATGCGAGCCTTGGTGTTCAACCCCACGATAGGGTACTCGTTGGAGTGACTCAGTGACCATGCGATTGCAACTTGTGCCATGCTGATTCCCTTCTTGCCAGCCAATTCTTCCACGCGGTCGATAATAGCTTTGTCGGACTCGGACTCGCGCGCACGAACGAGAATACTTAGCCCAGCATCGGTGTTTTCGCGCAAGGTAGAGCGAGAAGCCCAAGGTCCGGCGAGGGCTCCACGTGCGATGGGAGACCAAGGGATAAGAGATACGCCGCTGTCAAGACAATAAGGGATCATTTCACGTTCCTCTTCACGGGCAATGAGATTGTGATAGTTCTGCATGGAGATAAACTTGTGCCAGCCATTGCGAATGGCAATATTTTGTAGGGTCTGGAACTCCCAGGCGGCCATCTACAAGAAATGAAGTATTAGTGCTTGCTTGTTCAGATTGTTAAGAGTGAAGCATACCGAACTAGCGCCGATGTATCGAACCTTGCCGCTCTCGACTACGTCATTCAATGCCCTCATGATCTCCTCGCGTGGTGTCTCACGATCAAGCCGGTGGATTTGAAGCACATCAATATAAGTTCCCAGTCGCTCAACACTGGCATCAACGGCCTCCAAGATGTGTCTGCGAGAAAGTCCGACGCGGTTCAAGTAGTCACCCGCGTTCTGTCTCCCGGTCGAGAGAGGGGGTGGAAAGTTCCCCTGATCGTCCACACCAAAGAAACATTTCGTTAAAATTACCACTCGGGAACGGGGGATGTTGTATTTCTTCGGATCTGCCATGGGAGTACATATCGGCCTGGTAAAAATCGGTTAGAACTCGCGTGCGTGTTCCCGCATTTCTCTTCTTACAGTATCCCAGGTTCTGATGCCTTTCTTGTAGGCGTGTTCGAATAGTGGAAGAGATTCTTTTTCATTCATGACCCAGCCCTGCCATTCTGGGGCGCCGTATCCCATGGTACCCAGTATCACCTTTGATACCTTGAGGCCCGAATCCCCCAGTCTGTATCATATTGTCACCGCAGGTCAGCAATTGGACCTTTAAAAATCTTTGAAAGGTATCTGGGTCAATAAAACCAAGGTGGATGCGGAGAACCTTACCGTGCGTATTCCATTTATCCGGAGATTGTAGTACTGGTCAGCGAGAATTGTAGTAGACTTGTGACTTAGGAAGCTTCAAGGGTTATGAATCATGTAGATGAAAGAGGACTGCCGGTTGAAGGTGAGGGCGAGAATCCTCTTTATTCTTATCCCACACTACTTTTAGCTGGGATTACCGATGGGAAGCCTGACACGTCTTGGACGGAGTTAACTGATTAACTCCGTAGCACTAGTCTTACTGGATGATTTCTGGAACAACCTGCATTGGTGCGGCGAATGAGGAATCCTCATCTACTAATTAAGCTCATTAATAGCCCACTTCGGCATAACATAACTGCTGATTACAGTTTTCTGCAAAGGAGTTAATCGAGGGCAGATCCAAATTCTAGTATATTCAAAGGCCAATGAATCCGCGATCTGACTTATACTTGGGCCGAGGTCTGCTTCTACTTGAAAAATCCGAGTTAATTTCCCCAAGTTGGGTCTATAAGTTGATTTGTTTCTATCTGGATATATCGACCCTGAAATCGAGCTTTTGAACCAGGATCATCATTTGAATTCTATTGTTTGAAAAGTAACGGCAATGACAATTTCATTGAATAACTTAATAAAAAATAATACAACAGTCAGGATTCGCATGTGGTCACCCACCATACTACTAAATAGCCGGCGTGTGGCTTAAGTACGGCCAGTAGTTCGGTGGGTGACCCCAGGGTGAGAAATGGATGAGAGCGGCTTTAGCGTCGCGCGACCGGGGGTGAGAAGGGTGAGTGCGCAATAGGTAGGGTGAGAATTGGGTGAGAATCCTACGGACTAGCGTGATCGTCGCACGGGCCGCCTTCCTAGAAAATACCGATGGATAATTAGGTATGAGCGTAGGCTCGTGAAACAATAGTCTCTTGGCATCTGCACACTGCCACATTCGAGTGTTAATGATTGGAATTTATGGAGAGAAAATATGGGCACTCAAGATAGACATCGTTTTTTGATTTCGTTGCATTCGACGGAATCGTATATTGAACATCAAAAAATAGGCCACTAATGAAATAGGTATATAGATAGTCTCATTAAGAGGAGGCTACTGTAGAGAGCAGCAATAAATTTATACTAATGGACACATGATACTTTACTCGAGCATACCATCAACAAGCTTTCATCGTCTTATCCATGACCGAGGTATATTACGTAGTTGGTTATGCCTAACTTAACTTAGTTAACTTGACTTAGTAGGCCGTTGTTATATAGTTAATTCACATGTCACCTGATGAAATTATCACTTGGCTCACGTCGCGACTAAGCATTCCGTGTTATCTTCATCGGTTTCAATGAAGCGAACACGTTCTTCACCCCCCGCTTCACTCGCCTGCAAAAAGCAAAATAACATTGCTAGGGCAACTGATCTCACGGATGATGCTCTTCGTAAGCACCATAAATCTTATCAGCCACTCTCTCCATAAAAAGTCTTCGACATAATAATGCAAGAAAAAAACCCTAGCTTAGCCGACATTCTAAGCATTCCACCTCCTTCTATCCGCTCCTTATAGCGTTCGGGATCGAGTAGTCTGTCTAGACCTAGTGATGCACAGTATCGGGTCAACCATCTTCGGCGCGCAAACATCTTCATAGGTAATGACCTAGATGATGATTTACTTAGCGACATCCGGACCTATATAGAGATAATTTTCATGACACTGATACTGAACTTTATGATTGGGCATTCGCTAACAGTTTACTCTAAACCCCGACCAGCAGCTAGAAACTGAGCCTTCCTCTTATCAAAATTTTTTCGTCCTGCTTCTTCCCGTCTTCTTCTCGATAGGGCAGACGTCCCGGTATAGGGTAAGCAATTACAGTACGGACAAGAGCTCGTATTGAATTATTTGGTTTTTTGACCGGTTTCTGCCCCACTTTTCCAGCGTAATACCGACCACCTTGGTTCACCGCCTTTACGTAGTCCTATATGCCAAGCTGGAAAGGTTATATAGTAGGTTATTCGTAGGTTATATGGCAGGTTAGTTGGTATAGGTAATATTTATTCCGCTATAAATACTAATTATTGTACAATTAAGGCAAACTGCGAGTATTTTGCATGATTTAGCATTCAAAATCGTCGACTTTGAATACTGTTTTACTATAGCAGTCAAGATAGGTAGTTTTTGATTACATAAGCGCTAGATATTGTCTGATCTCTCTCGAGTATTTTTACCTTTCTGCCGGCTCAAAAATTCAGACCAATACCGAAAAAACGAAAGCGAGGTTTGTCCCTAAAAAGATTCGGTACCCACCCACTAAGCCTCATTTGGCACTAGTACTAAACCCAATGTAGCTCTTTCACTATACTGCGTACTTAATACTACCTTCTCACGCCCAGCTCTTCGTGCAATCCTGTATTCACACTCAAACTTCACTCCTTGTACAAGACAAATCCTACTTCTACTACCTTCCCACGCCTAACTCTTCGTGCAATCCTCTATTCACACTCAAACTTCACTCGCTTTACAAGATAACTCCTACTACTTCTACCTTCCCACGCCCAACTCTTCGTGCAATTTTCTAAACACACTCAAACGTCACTCCCTTTACAAGATAACTCCATCAATCCACCATGGAAGCCATCAGCGCAGACCAAATCAACGACGCAATAGCTCGCGCTGTGAACAATCGCAGCCGAGTTTACAACTTCTCTTTCGCACTGAGTATTCGATGGGAGCGAGACAACACGAATGCCGCTGCAGACACCGATAATTTCCAGGCGATCCTGAGCACACTTAATCTCGACCAAGCTGAAGTTGAGATCTTGGCTGAACAGGATCGGACTCCGGGCTGGACATTGAATGACGCAATTCGGTCCATTTTCCGAAGCGCAACAGAGGCACCCGGCAAATCCATCGTGCTTATTCACTATGCCGGGCACGGAGAGGTTAGAGGGGAAGAGCTCTGGGCTGTAGAAGGCCCATCCCGCCGAAGCATCAGCCTCCAAGATTACATCGATACTGTGGTGAAAGGACATGTCCAGTACTTCGACATCGCAGATACAGATGCTGTCTTCGTCCTAGGTTGCTGTTACTCGCATGTGGTAACGCGAACGTCAAATCCCGCGACTCGGGTTGTCGAAATTCTTTCTGCGAGCGATGAGCATACTCCAGTGGCCCTTAACCCACCACGCAATACCTTAACTGGAAAGTTACGGGGCGAGATTGCTCGGCGTAAGCGAGACGGTCACCACTTTGTGACAATTTCGGACGTAATGGCGACTATTCGAGAGAATAGCTCGGTTGTCAAGCCAACACATCATGTCAAGTTAGGGGTATCTATCTGCTTCCCTTTCACTGGCGTCACACGCATCGACCCGAACACGATTGCCCCTACGCTACGCGCAGTCTTTTCGGTTCGCATTGCCGAAAATATGACCCGGGAAAAGCTGCACAGATTTCTCACTTGGATTGAGACCCTCCCGCCTGGGTTCGCTATTGAGCTCGACGGGATCTACGCCACATCCTCGACTCTCCTGATATTTCAGAGCGCATATGCGCTGTTCACGAATCTTGCTAGGTATCACGGTGTCAACTTTATCTCGGATGTGACAAGCGCGAACCGCCGCAAACATCTCAGCCAAGAGGAGCGACAGAAAGTTCCTTCATCTAATTTGAAGGAGAACATCCCATTCTCTAAACGCCCCAAGCCATGAATTTACCCAGGAAGTACTTGCTGTTGTGGGATTTTGCGGATGCACTGGAGTTTTGATTCGTCATTAGTTAGCGGTATGAAAGGCGGTGAGAGACATGTAACAGCAGCACTGTGCGCGAGTGGATTTCTTGACTTGCGTTTATGAGTCAGCCAGTGGCATTGTAATTTTGTTAATACCATGTTATTAAGGCGAAGAAGTTCCGTTAGATGACAAAGCTTCCGATAAAAAGTCGGAGGATGATAACTAGTCGATATTCGGATATCATATCTTGCCATCGGAATCTCGCCTATGACGTATTGACTAGTACGGAGATTACGTCCCATGATCAAATGGGTCGCTGACTAACCAATAACATCCTCAAAAGCCATCCTGGGAGGGGCGATTACCTCCAGCATACGACGGCTTACACACCACACACAACAGGCTTTATCTTCTTATGTCCACTGTCTTGACAGCTAATAGCTTACAAGAGAGGAGAACTTCCTGCAATTGGTGACTAAGGGAGGCCCATTCACATTCTCGAGACTCCACTAGAGCAGCAAAGATTCTACCTGGCTGCAGCTATGGATGCAGAAAATACAAGGTCAACTCCCAGGCATTTTACCACACTCGCACCTAGGCGTCGGAAAACCAGGCTAGCCTGCAATTTATGCCGAGAAACAAAATCTCGATGTGATGGTCGTCAGCCCTCGTGTTCAAGATGTGTAAGCAAAGGAGTCAACCAACACTGTGTATATGAGAAAGAAACATTGAAAACACGAAGGTATGAATAAGGAAGCCACCACGTCCGATTTTGAATATGATTTAAACTATAACACTTTGACAGATATGTTGCGCTTTTGGAGAAAAGAGTGAGGGAACTGGAGACAGAAGGGCCCCGAGGCTCTTCTCAAGACGGCAGATCACCACATGATGTCGAAATAGAAGGTGGGCTCATGCACAGCCGCATGGTCTCCATTTTGGCTCAGACTACATGCGACAGTCACAGAGCTGACAGATTCCTTTCTTAGTTATGAACACATGCTCATATTCACCTAGTCCTCTTTCACAACAGAATCCTCGGACAAAAACCACACATCATACTTCAGGCACCTTTGCTGGATCATCTAACGACCCTATTGACAGGCTTGACGCCTTGGTGATGGTGCCCTCTCCAAGCACAACCGTATATCATCATGGCGGGTCGTCAGTTACATCTTTTCTCCGATCTATTGCACATAGAGTTGGGATGAATGAAATGGCCGATCAAAGGCTGCCACAGATCGACAGAACAAATAACTCAATGACGAAGGAAAATGATTCTACGGAGCATGACCCTCGTGCTTTTTCAATGCCAGCACGTGGGGTAGCAGATGGAATGATGCATCATTTTTGGACATACATTCATCCCATCTTCTCAATATTACATAAACCAACATTTTCGTCAATATATGAATCGCTTTGGATCCCGGAAGCCAACATCTTGCTGGTTAACGAGAATCCAGTTATATTAGCGATTCTGAACATCATCTTTGCCCTTCACTGTCAAAGCAGGGCAAGAGAAGATGCCGCTGATCACTTTTATGAGAAATCGAGAGAGTTATGCTCGGCAGATGCAGTTGACTTGCCTTCTCTTGAGACTGTGCAACTTCTATTGCTCACCGGGATTTATCTTCAATCTACAAAATATGCGAGCAGATGTTGGACTACGGTGGGTCTCGCAATCAGGTATGCCCAGTATCTCGGGCTGCACTTGGACTGCTCGAGGCAGATGGCTCGTTCTCAAGTAGAACAAGAGATCAGGCGGAGAGTGTGGCATAGTTGTGTTATGATGGACAGGTTTGTTTCCGCATTTTTTTCCTGTGGTGGTAGTTCGGTACTGCTACTAGTATGGCTGACACAATTATCTACACAAAGGCTCCTGTCGCTATCATTCAATCGACCGAGCATGACTCCTATGCAATGCCATGTTCCGTTGCCATTAATGGTCGACGACGAAAATCTCGACTCTAGGGGCAATCATCCTCATTATGACCACGTTCACCCAAGTTCTCTCATGGCTTTTTTCGTATATTCAATCAAGCTATTCGAAATCCTTAACAATACTTTGTTATCGCTTTATCCTAGCTCAAGTGAGCATTGTTATGTGCATGATCTTGGTCATTGGTGGTCGCGAGAACATCTTGATCGTTTGTCACCCCTAAATCGTGCTCTTGATGATCTATCTTTGGAGCTCCCGGCTCACCTTCGACCATATTGCAACGTTGGCCCCAATTGCAATATCCTGGGTAGCCAACTTGCGTGGCAGGGCTACGTTTTCCGCTGCAGGTACTGAACTTTGGATCTTTTCATCATACAGACTTTTAGTTCATTGTGAGTAGTGCGGAGGTGCTAATGACCGAATTAAATAGATTCTTATACGTAAAGGCGCTTATGCTCAGACCTGTCCTTTTGTCAGCTGCTGTAGCTCGAATGAAGCAGAAAGACTTTGAACCCCGGCCTGAGACGCCAGAAACACTCGAGGAGATTTCTGCTACACAAATTTGTTCCCTCTGCGTCGAAACAGTTCACGATCTTGTTCAACACATGTCAGACAGCGTCGGAATTGTCTCCAAATATGCAAGTTGGCGTGAGGTTCATTGTGAGTCGAGCGCCCATGTCCATGTTGACGGGCGAATGATTTCTAATTTATTTCAGATACTTTTATTTGCGCCATTGTGGTACTAGCCGCTCGTCTGTGTTCTTTCAAGAGTAAGCCTTTCCATCGATCTGCTTTGGATTCCTCATGGGGTCGGTGCTGGACAATTTTGGAGCATTTCAAACCCCGTACACAGTCGGTAAAAACAGCCATGGAGATTTTGCATTCCTTGGAACTCCGTGTTTCCGAGATGGAAGGTAAGTTTAGTTTTCCCAGCCTTTGTCGGAAACCATTGCTAAGATACATTGGGGTAGCCACTGAAGTACCTCTGTGCCCACTCCAGGAAATTATTACCAGTGCCGGCAACCTGTCCCAGTCTCCTCGACCTGCGTCATTATTTGAGGATCCTTTTACTCTCTCAAACTTCGATTTCAATGTCTTTGACGATCTCTGGCCACGGGAGCAAGTTGGTAATCTGGGGTGGCTTGCTTAACAGGCACGACTCCAGCCGGTGAAGATATTGAGCGGTAATTTACTACCTAGACATGATTTATGCCAAGTGAGCCTCTTTGTATATCATTTTTTTAGTAAATTGGTGTCTGCAATGTATCGGTTGTCATAACACCGAGTTCTACCACCATTGTTGCGGTACATCAACCTGCCTGAATGCACCCACACCTGGCTCTTTTTTTAATCAAGTAACGATTGCATCCGATTTCCATTCGCTTTTATTCTATGGAGATATTGCCTATATTGCGAGAATATCTACTAGCACGTCCATACCGGTGATGTAGACCCAGTCTTTTGTCTGAATCGAGCATTAGTGTTAGACCTTTTCAAACCCCGCAACGGGTCGAAGGTTGGAAACCGAACCCAAGACCATAGATCTGAGCCCATGGAAGTAAGGCCTAGTCGATTCGGAGACAATACAATGATAAGACTAGATCATCAGATACCAAGAGCAGATACGTATACTTACGAATCATTTTTACGTTGACTAGTTAGTAGTACATGGTAAGAATAAAAAAAAGCCTCGGGTTCTAAAGGGGCAATGGAAGCTCATTATTTACTGGTAATAATAGTATTACCTCATATATAGTTAGGTATAGTACAGGATCTTTAAAAGAGATCCAGGGAACACCGGTTGAAATTTAGAGCCGAAAATAGCCTATCGCTCGCCAACGCAAAGAATAACTACTTAGTTAGTACGATATAAAATATCCTATTATTGAGTTTCTGACAGATAGCGACCTTATAGCCAGGCCAGACACAAAGTCCCCTAGCGGCGCCTTGTAAGGCATGACTTGTTTACCTACCGAGTATCTCCAAACTTTACAGTAATTTCACAAAGAAACCCAAGTCGACACTTGATGCAGAACAAGTTTCCAGTCCAATCTAGTAACTTACATACGGAGGCGCTGTATTTATCTCGTAAATACTTTCTAGCAAGAACTCTCTTGAAGTTCAATTCAGAGAATCTTTTTTTTATGACTTCAATTAATTGGTGATTCCAACGTTTTTGAGCCTCCACGGCGAAATTGCACCGCTTTCTTAGTCTCGTCCCATAAGCAAACATAAGAATTGGGAAAGGAAGACATAGAAATGTTAGAAATGCCGGTATTGAACTCGCCCATTGGACACCCAAGCCCAGGAATATTTGCTTCGTAAACAACGGGAAGGCAGTCGCGAATGCCGCCTGAAGCATTGCGCTGGCCGCAAGCACAGATGCAGCATAGATTGTATACGCATCGATGAGGTAGTTTATAGATGTTTTGAAGACGGGAACCAAAACGAACCCGAAGAATGCAGATCCAACGATGTAAACAGACCAGTATATGCTTAGGTAACTTGTCCATGCGAGCCAGAAAAATTCGATGGGCAGACTAAAGCCCCTTCACAATGCTAGGGGGAAGTCGCGCCTCGGGAGCTGGATGACCGCTGTTCATAAGTCTAGTCTAGTAAATCGACTGTTGTCAAATATGATATAGCAGAGACCACAGGCCATGCCACAAGCGACACCCAGAAAGGCCAGCCCACCAAAACCTTCACCTCAACCCCTCAATGTATCGAAAACAATCGGAAATGCACCGAAGAGCAGGTACAGAGTTCCATAGATTATTTCCCATGAAGAAAGATGCAGCGAAAACGATGGGTTCTATCAAGAGAATCCATGGACGAGTTAAAGATTTCTGAAAGAGTGCGACAGGAGAATCACGACTTTGCTTCGAAATGCTGGTGAATATCTTGCGCGTCGTTGCGGAAAGATCTGCTGCCCGCATATTGAGCAAAACCGGACCATAAGTTTCAGGCAGCGTCAATGACCCAACAACCCAAACAGATCCGACAAGGACAGCTAGCAACCCCTGTGTCCATCGCCTTCCAAGTTTTTCCGTAACAAAGCCCGACATTATGGGTCCAAGAGTAGGCCCAAGGAACTGAGCTGATGCGAATACTGCCATTCCCAGCCTCCCATGGGCAGCTGAAAATATATCAGCAATCACCCCACCGGCATTGGTCATTGGTGAAGCGTCGAATGTGCCGCTAAGAAATTGACATGTGAGAAGGGAGGGCATAGTATTACTAGCAGCAACTGCCGCAATAAACACCGTCAGGAGCCCGCGAGTCAAACGAAATAGTATTTGTCAACCGTAGAGTTCGGATAGGGGGGCCCAGAGAACAGGACCTAGAGCAAAGCCGAAGAGGAAAATTGAAGTTCCCAAGACACATACTTCCTCGCTGCTTTGAAACTCGACATCAATCTGAGCGATTGATTTGGAGTAGGCTGATGATACGAATGAAACGGCGAATACCGACAGGGAAACAATGGTGGTAATGTACCATTTTAGTGCTTCAGACCAGTCTAATGGGATCTCCTGGGTCGTCCGGAATGAATGTGGTCATGTATGGAAACTGGTTTGTTCCTAGTCCATCGTACAAGTGACTTATTATGGAGGGGGAGAGAGGAGCTCTCCGAGTGATGGAAAATTCTCACATTAAGGGCATGGGATGTAATAAGCTACTTCGAAGACGACAAGATCAGTATTGTCCCTTTGAAGAATAGTTGTTGTTTTGAAAGCTCTATCCAATGAGAAAATCTTACCTCGGCCAATACCAATCAACAATCCACTGTGATATGATAGGCTTTCATCGGGAGGGACAGGAAGTTGATAAGTAGAGGAACATGCCAATTTGAAGAAATTATCAATATGAATGAGTCCCTAAGCAGCAACGGGCATGGCATTCCGGTCCCGATACCGCCTCTATCTCGCGCCATTGAGCGGCCGCATAAGGATGCCGGAAAACTCGGGGCTCCCTACGCGGTACCTAGAAAATAGCGTAGGGAACTCAAATGAACGTCATTCAAAGAGAATTATGTTAAAATTTGGATAATAGATGTAAGTCTTCAGTGCTCAGTTACCCCCAAATCTAATTTGTTCCCCAGAATATCTTCCAATTTTTCTTCCCCCCAAAGAATAATCAGCAGGGATGCCGGATTCTTGGACTCACCTAATCTCAACTAAGACGGCAAGCCCCCTGTGGACAAAACAATTCTTTAATTAACAATTCGATGGCCTCTCTACCGATTTTTCAGTATTAGCTTAGCTAGCCTAGTAAGATTGACAGTTCAGAAAATAAGTAGACGAGCGTCAGACGTAGTAAACAAAGGGAATAGTAGCTAATTAGTAAAGTAAAATATAATCTACCCGCCAGCATCCGAATTTGATCTGCTAAATGATTTCTAAAAGCAGCCTTGGACTTCCGCGAGTCAAAGTCCCACGGGACAGCAAACGACCAGGTGATCTCCTCCGAGTGGAAGGTCCATATTTATCTCCCCGTGCTTTATGATTGGCTCAGCAAAAGAATTTGACTCCGAGCTGCGGTAGGCCCCACTTATTTCAGTCTATATGTTGACGGCATGGACTAGTAACGGGGCTCAACCATGAAGTAAATCAGGAAAAGATCCAATGAGCTAACGTTAGGCAATCCGGAATAGTTCGGGTGTTCTGACACGGCGGTCTGCTTTCGGAAGTCCAATCAGACTACATTTCCATGGCCGACTTCCCCATGTGGATCTGGTAGATCATAACCGCCTTATCCGGGTAGGATATTTAAAGACGATCCGGAACCGTTGTACTTGAATTGATCGTTCCAAACCTAACATGAAAATGTCGACCCCGTTTAGAATTGATGTCCACCATCACTTTTTGCCTCCGGTATACGCCAAGGGTGAGTTTCAGGCCTTACAATACGAACATTTGCATGAGGCGAGTACTCACATATCTTTTACAACTGTAGCATTGCAGAAAAACGGAGGTGATCCATCTGGCTGGAAAACTCCGTCTTGGTCTATAGAAAATGACGAGGCAATTTGTCAGAAGCTGGAAATTCGCACAGCCTTTCTTTCTATCACAGCTCCTGGCCCAGATGTTGTGAAAGGACCCGAATCAGCTCGAATTGCCAGAGAATGCAATGAATGGGCAGCTGAACTCCGGGATCAAGACCCACAGAAATACGGATTCTTCGCTACTATTCCATCCCCGTTTGAAAACATTAACCAAGCTATCTCGGAGGTTGCCTATGCGCTTGATGTCTTGCACGCCGATGGCGTAACCTTGTTCACTCGGTATGGGGATGCAAACTACTATCTTGGCCACCCCATGTTCAAGCCACTATGGGCAGAACTCAACAGTCGCGAAGCTGTTGTGTTCATTCATCCCACAACTGGGGTGGACATTGGGATGATCAACCCACTTTTACCCGCACCGATGATTGAATATCCTCATGAGACGACCCGGTGCGCTGTTGATCTTATTGTCTCCGGGAGAATCCGGGAGAATTCTGACTGCAAAATTATCTTGTGCCATTCTGGGGGTACCCTCCCATTTATCGCGACGCGGCCGGGAGTTCTGCTCTCTCACGCGAACCTCTCCTCCATGACTCATGAAGAATTCCTCGGTGATGCCCGAAGATTTTATTATGAGATTGCCCAAAGCAGCTCGCTCGCCATAGAGTGTTTGATGAAGTTTGCGGATCCTGACCGCATCCTGTATGGCTGCGACTATCCTTACTGCCCGGAAAAGACCATCGACTTCTTCAAGAATGCCTTGAATTCAGCACCCCTGACCGAGGATCAACTTTCCAAGATCAACACAACAAACGCCCTGAAATTATTTCCCCGTTTGACGAAAGGAAATTGAAAATGTCGAATAATCTGATCTCTGTCATTACGCCAGTTCACATATACACATTATGGACATAGCTCTGTTTGAAATCATCATAAAGCCCAAAAACCTCGCACCTAACATTCACGAATTCTTGGGCATACAATACCATAGACAAAGCGTCTTTATTATTTGTAATTCTACACAGCCTATTTGACGTTTTTTTTTGACCCACGTAAGTCTTACAATAGCAAGACAATGTTGTTAGGCTAAATTTATATCGTGATGTCCCTTCGCTTACCATTCATGGAATGCAAATACCCCGAGTCACATATGTAAGATTATATTCTACTGCAGTCGAGTAAGTCACCGCACCAGAACCAAAATACCAAGCCCGGCGCGGCTTTAGGGCCTATTTCATTCTGAAAGAAGGTCAAGATGGTTCTAACCGTTTCTATAATTGATCAAAGCAACTCTCCTACAAATTATACATGTTTCCGTCACCGACCGACTGTTTTGTTTATCATTGACATTGATCAGGAGCAATAGGGTGTGTTGGCAAAAATTCACTTTACTGGAAAAATCAACCCAAACTGCCAGCTACAATCACTTACAGATGATTAGACATAGTAAGTGAAGTATATCCCATATCAGGTACTGTACTAGGATTTGGGATCTCCGAGCTTTTGTAATTGGCACACCTAGGGGATCAGAAGTTAGTGGTGTAGGGGGTGGGTGGTGAGTGGGGGGAGGGAACTGTGCTTACCTCCCCGTCGCTACTGATTGGCTCTAATCCCAGCTTTAGGACTTTTGCATAGCATCGCCCTACATCCATGGATCGGCAGATTCAACCGATGTCCGCGGCTCCTCCGATTCGTAGAAACCTTCTCCACCACAATTACAATACAATCAGAAAATCTTCCACGTACCCTCGCTGCTGCGTCCTTCTCGAAAGAACATCCTTCAAGCTGACTCGAAAAATTGTTTGTGCCTACGATATCCTACCAATGATCATCGTTCTCTCACATATTCGTCACTGATTCTTCCATCCATACCGAATATGCCGATTCTCAACGTCCCTGGTGCAAAATTGCATTATGAGACATTTGGCAAGGGTCCCTTGCTACTTTTGATTCCGGGCGCTGGCGGGAATGGTGAAACGTTCCGTCTGATCGCAAACAACCTTTCTTCCTCGTATAAAGTTGTTCTTTGGGATCGGAGAGGGTATTCCAGAAGTACCCTTGAAGGGCCCCAAGATTTCACCCGCCGCCTGTCCACGGATGCCAGTGACTCACAGAGACTCATTGAGTACTTGTCCCCAGATAAATCAGCTTTTGTGTTTGGGACATCATCGGGAGCCATTGTTGGCCTGGCTCTTTTGTCCAGATTCCCGGAAAATGTCCTGCGCCTCGTGGCGCACGAACCTCCTTGTACAGATGTTCTGCCCGCAGAGCACAAGGAAAATGCCTCTGGATTTATCAATGAAATTTACAATCTGTATCGAAATCAAGGTCCGAACGAAGCTCTGCAAATGTTCTTATCGAATTTCTCTGTTCCGAGCGAGAGGGATGACATGTTCAAGTGTATGGATGTCAGGCTTGATGCTGAAGTTCGAGCCAACAGTTTATTCTGGTTTGAATTTGAATTGAAACAGTACACTAGTTCCGCAGTCGACATTCTGAAGTTGCAAAGTCTCGCAACTAAGCTTGTACCCGCTGCGGGAACTTTGTCTGGGAATGGCGCGTCAGTGAGACCCATTGCTATTCTATCTCAGATGTTGGGACAAGAGATTATTTATCTACCAGGCGCTCATATTGGTTATATATCGAAGCCCAACAATTTTTCTGCCTCACTTTGCCGAATCCTTGGAAGCGAATAATTTGAATACAATCGGAAGGACCTGCAAGTTCCACTGAATGTTGTTCTCAATCTCATTTTAGAGGAGTGGGAGATATGTGCTGAAAAGGGATACGACGCAGCGAAGTGAGAGAAGTCACGCCATTTCTCCCGCTACTGGTTCATGCCTGCTTCTAGAACAAAGATTTTGTTCGTGGATTAGTAACCGAGTGCGATTCTTCTAGAAGAATCATTGTCCCGAACCAGCTGGGAATAACTCTATGTAGGATATAACTGTCATGAGCATGTCATTGATGACATCTAAAAAGTATCCTCCAACCTAATTTTAAATTTCTCGTCGATAACGTTCAGCATCATTGTCACTGCATGAGCCACCAATAGAAAGAGGTTGAAACTTCTTGATATATCTTTTTCTTCAAACATCAGCAAGACAACGGTCAAATCGTACCTACTGGAAGCCAGATCTCCGAAGCCAGAGAGAGAGTCTTGAAAGACAATTTCAAGGATTACAAGTGTTCATTATGCTCACAAAAATGACTGATGTGATACGAAAGACTACGAATTTCATGTAGGTCGGCACTTGGAAGAAATTTCATTGGCATGCCTCGGCGAAAGCGATGATTGGCATTTGGCCTTGCTGAATGAGGATGAATCAACCAATGAGATTAAGAACAGCGTAAAAATCAAGCAGCAATTTGCCAATAGAGATACACGCACGGGTCCTCAGACACTGGGCCAAAATCCCAAAGAGCCCACGGGTGAGCAGACTCACAACCCACCAACCGGACAGCGAAAATACTACCCCCGATACTGGCCCCGTTCGTCCCATGACAAGCCTCTAGGACTGGGGACAATACTGTCGAGTCCGGAGTATTTCGACGAGGATCATATCAAGATACCCCCGCCACCTCCACCGGCCCAAAGAATACGGACAGCGCCGCAAATCCACGAACCCCACAAACTCAAGCGACCTGAAGCTCTACCTTCAGGTGACGAGGAGAAACTCAGTGATGCGAGAGAACATGTCAAAAACCATCCTACTCTCAAGGTCATTAAATTAGATGCCGTGCCCTCCCAACACCATCTGCTCGAGCCTGACTATAGCCGCCGCAACGCATCACACGAAGTTGTTTCGCCAGAGGAAAGTTACAGTCACAGCCTTTACAGTAGCAAAAGATCTACTTCGTGCCTGAAAATCCTCGAGGTGACCGGGTCTCCGTGGAAAACAGCGACCGGCGCCGATGCCCTGAGTCCTTCTATTTTGATGAACGCCCCGAAAACTCTGACCATGTAGAAGAATTTGTGGAAGAAGCCGAAAAATACCAGACTACCACCGCCGGCTATTCCACTGCACAAATCCCCGTATCCCAGGAGACGCTTTTGCCAAAAGTGAGAAGTGGCATCGGTAGTGACAACGGTAGCCAAAAAAGCCGATCAAACAGCACTTGTGGCAGTGCCACCAAGACTGAGAAAGAAAGCCAAAACATAACCCTCACGAGGTTTGTTGAGGAAAGCTTCGCTGGCAAGTCCATCAGCATCCGCACGGGTGACCAAGGAACCATGCAGTTTAATATCACTGACGACTTCACCCGGCGAGCCAAGGCACAATCACCATCAGTACCCAACGACCACCAGCCACCAGATGCAGATGCAGATGTTTCACCAGAGCATCCCAACCGCAGAGTGACTTCTGACCTCGAGCCCAGCCCTTGGCGCGCGACTAGGCCTCTGATTGTACGGCAAGACAGCAATGGAGTGCAATGGATCGCGTTCGAGTATTTCAGGGACCGTGTAAAACTGGAATATACAATCCGATGCGACATCGAATCCGTCGATGTGGAAAGCCTCAGCCAGAGCTTCAAAATTGAGAACTGTGTCTACCCGCGTGCCTACTCTATAACTGAACCATATAGGGGTAATCGCCTAGCCTACGAGACCAGCTGCAATGCTATTGGCTGGGCACTTGCTAAGCTAAATTCGGCTTTACATGGAAATCGCGGCCTCATCCAGCGTGCTGTCGATAGCTGGCGGAACAGCGATCAGGACCCTAGGCTACGGAGCAGACGGTTAGCCAATTATCTATACGCATCCCTTTCCGCTCCATCGCTGACATCTGATCCAACGCCAACTCAAGTTGATGTTCCCGGAGAAGACCCGCGACCACAAAATGCCATCCTTCGGGACTAAGAGCCAGCCACCGGTCTCGAAGCATGCGAATAACATCTTAACGCAGACAGGCCAAAATGTCAGCTAGACAGACGATTATGCCCCCCTCTGCTGGCGATTCTTCACGTCGTTCACCAATTGAATCCCAATCTGTATCTAAAGAGCTCCCAGCACACGCTCCGATGGGACTGTCTGCGCCTCTGATGGCTACCCATGAATGGCTTGTGACTCACAAAGGAAACGGACCAAAATCTGAAGGTTTGGTAGATGACAATCTTCGCACCGTCGTGGACACAACTCAAAGGGGTCCCACCGAGGGGTAGGGGGATGCGGCTCGCTTCAGTTTGGGCCTTGAAGGCGGGGCAGAGTAAGTCACTGTGGTAGCCATAGAGAATCAAATTTAAAATATCCAGGTAGAACTAGAGTTGCTGTTATGTTTTAGAAACGACTATTGTGGAACGAAGAGCCACAATAATGGTGACGACGGGCCTTTTCAGTCGCGGCGGGCATGTCGATTGCAAGATTACTCCCTAACCTGTTCTGGTCAACTATCTTGTGTACTTCGACCACTTCAACAAAAATATTCAAGTCAAAAGACGGATCTACATGGCTTGGAGGATTGGCCTTGGAAGTTCGGCTCTAGGTTGGAGGAGACTGCGGCAATCTCGGAGATCGGAGGACATTGGACGTCCACGATCAAACTTTACATGCCTTAAAAACCACAGTCGCAAGGAACAATTTACCCGGACTAGCTCATGGTCATCAACCTGCTGCTTGCCCTGCTGATACCTCTCTGCTACTCTATCTATTTCCCCTTGCTACAGTATTATTTTACATCAATATTCTCCACGTCACAACCATTATCCAACCATATAGACACGATGAGCATTCCTTACCAGCGTGCGATGCCTCTGGGGGGTATTTGCGTTGATGGTGCTTGTTGAGAACTCCATCCAACCCGTCTTGCACAACACTGCGCCATCAAGCCAGACCAGCCAGTGGCAGTTCCCGCCTGGCATCTACACACCCAGACAATTCATCGCACAGCTAGCAGTCATCCCAGAAATCATTCTTTTTCAGCTGGGACCCGATGATGTTTCGTCAAAACAGACCTGCCGAGACATTTTGATGGATGGCTTGCGTTCTAGCCTCTCACAGGAGGGCCGTGAATCGACGCTTGCCCTGCCTGACTGGAAAAGTGCGACCCCATCCGAAATGACGCAGCAAGCCAAGAAGGTTGGAGATACCCTCCCGCAGTACGCGCTAGAATACAATTACACGTTTGCTGGCATCGCCGAGCTGAAGGTCTATAGTCCCTGCGAAGGCCATAAGTGGGTGCCCCCAGCAGGACAACTCTTGCGGAGCTCACGCAGCTCACCTATTCTCATGATGCTGTACAACGAGTGGTTGCAACAAATCACCTGTCTTCGTGATTCACTTCTCTCTTTCGAGAACTTCACGGAAGTCCAGCTCGATTTGTCGGACCCCGCTCACCACGGTACTCGCCAAATGGAGGGCATCCGAGAGTCATCTTTGCGCAGTATTCAGGCCCAGACGCATACCGACGCGGATATTCTCGAGGTCGCTAAAGTGTTGACGGCACCAAACCTTCCAGAGGGAGGCTTCGGGTTCCAATACTCTCAAGGAACAGTCCTCCCGGCAGTCTTATTCACGCAATCTGCCACTCGTCTGCTCCGATATTTCCCTGCCCAAGTTCAGGAACCCGGTGAAGAAGACAGATGTGTGCTCTTTGAGTGCCCAAACTCCAACTTGCAGAGCAACCTTGTGCAAACGCCGCAATGCAAAGCTTTCGACACCATATCGGCACAGGCTGTGAGCGACGCAATCACTGGTGCACAGTATCCCGGCTTGCAACGCAATATCCAATTGACTGGGAAGTTAAACAATGGAGAGGCCTTCTCTCTTGATCATGGCACGGTGCTTCTTCGTTCCTGAAGCTCCAAATCCAGAAAATGATTGGTACCTTCATGACCAGTTGGGGGCTTTTACTAACATATACCGTATTGAACATGGCGCTGTTTTATTTTATTGCGTGCGCGAGATTGATGAAGAAGTGGAAGCGGTTTTCGTTCTTTTGAGTTGAAGATCATTGGGGGATAAATGAAATGGGGAGTCAGCCCTTCTATTATATGGGTGCACCGCAGGAATTTTGGACACTGTTCGAACCCCCAAATGTCCAACTCTTCTTTTTGCCCTTTTTCCTTATTCTATTTTCTTTTGTTTTCAATTTCTTGCTTATTATTTTGGAGATCTCTTTTAGGGAGCTTTTCGATTTTTCAATTGATACTGTAGGAGACTTAGACTTCTACAAAACCCAATTTGGGTCCAAGGTCTGGACCCAAACCCCAATAATTTTGAATCTTAGACCCAACTTTTTACATAAAAATGCATAAAAATGCCAAGGATTTCCTAATTTGGATTGTTCATACATACTTATACAAAAAGTTGGGTCCTAATGGGATTTTTGGGTCCTTGGCATTGCTAAGATTGGGTCCAAAATTGGGTTTTGTAGAAGTCTAAGGAGACTATGTATTGAAGAGGGGAACGCTCGTTGGCTGTACGCTCTGACGACGCACGAATCGGATATACTCAGCAAAACCCACCACGACCGAAGGTCGCCCTCGGCGAGCAGTGGATCCCTCGACAAAGGTCAAAAGTGAGAGATGTGTAAGTGCGTGTATTCTGTAACTAGTGCTAAGTTCGTATTAATATGACCGTTTCCCTTACATGACGAAATGTGACCCGTAACGGTATGGTAATCCGTACAGGGACCGAGTCTCCCCACTACAGTATGTAGAAGACCGAGCAGAAGACTCAAATTTTCCAAGCACCGCGCAAAACACGCGGCGGAAAGCCTCTAGTGTAAAATTGAAACAGGTTAATCTTTGTATTTTCATATATACGGAGTAGATATAGATGGATAAGGACGAAGCATAAATAAGTAGTAATTCATATCAGGCGGCGATATGGGAGATCCAGAAAATCTCTTTTAATTGGTGCGCCTACCAGACCAGGGTATACGTCAGCTGCATAAGGGATGCTAATCGCTAATAAGTGATAATGAGGCGCCTCTAATAGATAGTGGTCTAGGAGGGCCAAGGACGGGCCGTCCCCACACAGCCGGAACCTTGGGGCTTTCCGCGGACTACGACGGCATTACCACCAATATGACGTGGTGTATATGTAGATATGGATGCCTGTGCATGAAAACGATAAGCCTTGACCCCTTATTGTGACAGTCTAATGCGATGAGGATGAGATTGGGGTGGGGGCAGGGGAAGTCTCGTTAATCGATTACCTGTACAGTATATGCAATGCAGCTTACATTACATCACGTCATAGGGTATTTTCTTTGTCTTGCGACTTGCCCATTCCTGCAAAGATAACTCTTCACATTTTGCCATTCATCAGATTGCAATTCATCTACTGTGCATCCTCCACTACTTCAACCGCCAAGACCGTACTGACTGTTCGACATATCTTGGAGCTGGATGGTTCTTGCTGTTAGTCTTCCTGCTGCTGATGTCTTTACCATGACCGCCGCAACCTCTCCGATTACTGCCCATTCATGTCCACACTGCGATAAAAGCTTCAACCGAAGTATGTCATGCTCCAAAATCAGAAAACTCAAAAATAAAAATCGAAGCGAAAATGAGAAAGTATGTAATATGCGCATGGCTTATCATGACTCTAGGAGACCTGAAAGAACGCCACCGTCGACGCTGCGAAAAATCCATCAACAAGGTCCCGACCACCAGGAAAAGGTCGTGTCAGAGCTGCATCGCCTCAAAAGTCAAGTGTGACTGGGCCCACCCATCTTGTACAAAATCTCTTAATCAATCACAACAGCGCTGTCACTCTGACTCATACCGCAGGCTCCCGCTGTCGCAATCGACAGATTAGGTGCGAGTACAAGCTTGACATCCCGACCCACCCATCACGACGATCTACAACCGCCTCGGTTCCCACTCCCTCGGACCCAGCCCGTCTACTAATGGCCGGCGAGTCGATGGCTGGCGATACTTTTGACTCCCAGCTCTGGTTCACAGAGGACCTTACCGGGCTGGCCCCCGACAAGACGGGGCTTTGAAACCCTCATGAGCCCGGCTCCATTCCTCTATGATCTTCAGCAACCCCCGTCACCTAGCTCATGGGGTTCCGGTTTTCGTATGGGGGAGGGGGACCCAATCGCCCTGTCGGTCCAGAGACCGACCAGCCGACTGACAACGGCCGCGGTCCCTCAGGAACTAACATCGCTGCAGCCAAGTTATCCTGGGAAGGACCTAGTGCTAAACCCGCTGGCCACCGACACAACCCTGTTTCGGCCATCATTGCCGCATAACCAAAGTCCAGGCTACATGCCACAAGACCTGGTCGATATACGACAGGGGCTGCAGATCATCTCCAACTACCCGGCCTGGATGCTGGCTAAGACCTCGCAATCGCCCTTCATACATCACCGACTCGCCCACGGCTCACGCCAAGGTATGCCTGAGCCTATCGCCGTAGCACTGGCGTGCGTGGGCATGAAGCTGCCGTCACAGGGTCTTGCGAAGAACTTTGTGTGTAATACTTTCCGCGATCAGCGGCAGAAAGTAATTGCCCAATTAGTGAGTTTGTTTCCTTGTGTTGAAATCAAAGCAGGATAACAATGGAGGCCAGCCAACTTCTCCCCAAAGCCTTGAGGATATCTGCTCGTACCTCCACGCTTTGTCCATTTACCAAATTGAAGGGCTTCTATCTTCGAATCGATATGAAGCCCCATTTTCTTCCGCCGAGCTCTATCACGAATATTTAATCAAGGTAAGCTCTTCTATTGCAGCCAGGAGCTGTGCTGACTATATACACCAGATGATGCGTCGCATGAGCCAAACTCATCGCGCGGTTCTTCTAGGCAGTAGTTCAGAGGATCAATGGGAAACATGGTTTGTCAATGAGACATTTCGACGGATATTTTATCTAGTGTTCCTCGTTCACCACCTTTTAGGCGCCAGCAAGAGTTTAATGCCCGCATATTTCGAGCCGCTGCTGCCTTTGGTCGATCTGCGACCGCTGCAATTGCCCTGTGCGGAGGAGATGTGGAATGCGCCGGACGCAGAGGACTGGGCCCGAGCCCGCCAGCGCGTGGATCAACAGCAACCGAACAAATTGAGTCTGGGTGAATTTCTAGACGCGATGACTGCGGGGGGTGCTTCGCCAGATCAGTCGTCAAGAATAGGCATGTTGGGCGAGCTGCAGCGACTGATCATAAGCGTGGTGAAGAGTACCTGCACTGCGCAATAGATTTGTTACGCATTTGGGAGTAATGTAGATGCTGCTCTATGAGTTAAGAGATCATTGAGACGCTGCTTAACAGAGAATACTCGGTCAACTATAACATATTCAATGCTTACTAGATGAACCTAGTTTATACATAAAAATTTACGAAGTTTTCGAGTTCACGGACTCTCTCGCCAGCTATCTAACCAGCCCTCAATCTGGCCTGCTCTCCTGGCCGCATCCTCCAGCGAGACATACCCCGACTCATCCCTATTCGCAAAGCTGATCAAGGAATGCTGCACTGATCGCGCCCGAATTGGCACCTCCATCTGCGTTTCCGACCAATTCCACGAGACCTCATCCACCTCGTCCGTGTCGAACTGATGAACCCTGATGGTCACCGGCTCGCCATATGCGTCTGCTTGCAGCGAGATACCAGCGTACGCGGTCAACCGAATCGTACCCGTTTCTCCGGTCAAGGTCCACAACAGTGATGGATCGCCAGGGAAGGGCTGGCCGCGGAGGAAATATGCGACAAGACTGGCATTGGCACATACATAGGAGGATCCAGGTAGAGATCCTTTATTCTTCATTAGCACTTAGTGCTGAGATAGTGACCGTCTTTATGTACTCACCATGCAGACTCAACAAATCAGGTACGTCAGATTTGATCGACTCGACGATCGCGTCTGTCTGGGGATCTCGAACGCGGATATCCGGACGCTGGATCTGAAAATGGGCATCATCTGTTCCGGGAATGATATCGCCCACGACGGACTGGATATAGTCGATAACTATCAAACAATATTAAAATATAACCATCAAGTATCCTTCAAACCTACATAAGGACACTCATAGTTGGTGACAGAAATAAGAAATAAGACTCTTACCATGTCCAAATCCAATCACAATTGGATTTCCCCCAATGTTTCTCTCAGCAAAATATTTTAGTCCGACCGGCAAGATTTCTCGATCTCTTGTGCCCCCAAACATTCTTACCTCGGTACTGAGAAGCTTACCCACCTTCCCCGAGGCAAGGACTTCTTTGACACGTAAAATCGGCGGCGCATAACGTCCCTGTAATCCTACCGCTACACGGCCCCCACCGAGAGCCGCAGCAGCAACCAACTCATCTATTTGATTCTTGTTCGATGCGATCGGCCATTCAATATAAACATCTTTTCCGGAGAGGAGACTGGGCAGGATCGTTTCCAAGTGTTTATCCACCCGGGTATTGCAGAGGACAAGGTCGATAGCAGGGTCCGCGGCGAGGGAGGCAGGGTCGCCGTAAGGTTTTACAGAGGAATCAAGATTGAACGTCGAGATGGCGTTCAATGCTGCGGCAGAACTGCTGTTGCAGAGAGCATTGATGGTGAAGAGGGTTTTACCGGTCGGGGAGAGGAGGCAGGGGAGATGGGCGGCAGCTGCCCAGTTGGTGGTTGCGGAAGCAGAAAGGCCAATTATGGCGGTGCGAAGGGGAGGAGACATGTCGGTTTGGAATTGGAGATGTTTCAGGATTGATCTATCCACTTGAACAGATTTATAGAGCGGAAGATGGATAGAGGTTTTGTATGAAATCAATGACCCTTCATCTCCGAAGGATTGAAACTATGAACTATGACGGTGACCGTCTTACTCCGATAGTACTTTCTTGTTTTCTTTGCTACCCACCCTTTCTCCAATATATTAATAATCCCAGATAAATAACCAGTTAACAAAGACAGACAGACAAAAGACTATTAGTAATTGTCTCCCTACCTACAGTCCCATCCCGAATACACAAAAGGCCCATACATCATGTGGGTCCGCGCATTGTATGGATTACAAATCACCTGTCCCACGGCGGGGGGGGGGGCGAGATTGGGGGCAGTCTCGGCCTCGGAGTAGGCATAATACGTCTTCGCAGTGAGACTGCCCAGATACGACATATTAGCCTGAACTTCGAAGAGTCTATAGCTGGAGGCAATTTTGCTATCAGCTAGACTAGATTGAATGTTTGCCTTATGTAGAGCTATTCGACATGGTTCTGCAGGAGCCGTCTGCCGGCCGCTCTGCGCATATCTACCTCACTTGAATCTTCTTTTGTTAAATTGAACAAGGTTGATTTGAAGCCTTGTATGCCTGTCCGTAGAGACTGACCTTTTTCATTTTCTTAGAAAAATGTGACTTGAATAGTGAATATATAACGTCTCAACAATAAAGCCAAAAAAAGACTTTCAGTGTGCCAGCATATCAAGGAATCAATAAGGCTTGACTCCTGCAAGTTTCAGAACAGTATCTGTCAATTCCGGCTTCTCAAGGGGCTCATCTCGCTCGCCGGGGCATACATTGCCGTTCCTCATCGCTTTGCCTTGCCCAAAGATATTGCAATGAGGCCAATGGGTAGTACCCTCCCATCGTTCAAATATTTCAACCTTCTTTTGCAAGTCCTCGGGAGTCGCAAGACTGCGGGGCGTGTAGGTTGCGTAGATAATGGTGCGAATAGTATCAGTCTGGGGCAAAGATGCATAGTGCACAGTTCGCGAATCCCAAATTATCAGATCCCCAGGCTCGGCATCGACCTTGATCAACTTACATCCGTGCGCCTCGTACCAAGCCAAATCATCTAGCGTAAATCCGAACCAGTCGAATTGACCTGGTGCATCTGCTGCCTTGGGCTTCGGCGGGTGTTCCTTGAAGTATTGGTCAAACAACTCTGAACTACCCTGAAGAAGCTGGAGGCCCCCGTCCTTAGGACCAGCCTGAGAAAGATTGATAATACCCTGAGCACATGAAAGTCCCTTTCGAGTAGGAGACTGATCCACATGAGGCCAGGGTTTCCATTTCAGGTCGGTGCGGCCAGGCAGTGTGATATTAACTGCATCAAAGGACACAAGAAGCTCATCTGTGCCCCAGAGCCTTGCAAAGGGCTCAATGACCCCCGGCTCACTGGGAGAGGAGAGACAAATAGATTAGTCGTGACACCAAACAGGAATTACCCAGTCGTAGTTTGGCGTAAACTTACGAACGCGCTTCCCAAACCCATTTTTCATGCGCTGCAGAGTAGTTCAACACCATACCTCCATTCATCATTACCGGCAGATTCTCCTCCTTCCAGGTCGACTTGTCATTGATATCGAATCCGAAAGGGAACTTTTGGAACCAGTTCAGTGCAGCTTCCCGGTACGCATTGGCACGCTCGCGAGGGATGGCTCCTTTAATGACAGTGTAGCCTTTATTGAAGAAGTCGTCACGCCAGTCACCATAGGAGTTTTTCTTGGCTGCTTGCTGACTGAGGATCTCGCTTTGACCGCTAACATTTGTATCGGAATAGTCGTGCTTGATGTTGTGGCTTGTTTTGAGGTAGCCACTGTTGATTGAGTCTGGGTTTGCGGCACTGACTAAAGCCATGGTGAACTGCTTATGGAGAATAAATCGAAAAGATGGACTTATTGGGGTAGATATAAATGCTCCGTGTAGATCAGGAGCAGAAAGATGGCGTTATTTGAATTTAGCCTTCTTTACTGAAAAGAGTAGAAAAGGTATGATGGAATTTCTCCAAAATGAAACTCCACGGCACTGCAAGATTGCCATTTCGACCGAGCTACAGTTTCCGGGAATCCAGCGCCGGCAATTGTGGGGCAGAACTCCACGGAGTTTGTGTCTCCAGTCAACGCCGCCCTCTATCCGGGCCCACCAGTTTCCGTGGAGACTTGGGCGAGGTAGCTGGTGGTCATGTGGTCCGAATCCTGATCACAATCAATTAAATTCCCGGGACGAATATGTAATCTTCATGAGGACGCTGCATTCCTGCTACGTGAGACTTGAAACAGCTTGTAAATACTCTTTCAAATCCCAAAAGTCCTTCTTGTGACGAGGGAATCATTGGCATTCAGTCCTATAAGGACGGGCTTAGTAAACGATGAACTGAGACCTAGGAAGACCAATATCTACAAAAGTGAAAGGAGACCCAGGGGAATAATGGATAGCATCTTGGAAATTTCTACATATTTCGCCAGAATTTCCAGACTACGCAGTAGGATCTTGAATTAATAACTTACAGGATATTATTCGAGCTACACAGACAGCCTTCAACGATCATTTTAACAGCATTATTTGGATAGCTTTAGTGCTGAGATGAGAAGTAATATCCTACATAGTGGTGTTATCCTCAGAAGAAAATCAGGACTGAAATACCCCCGTGGCTTTTCAAATACAATGTTCCAAGGATCTTTGACCAGCGTGGACTTCAATTCAAATACAAAGAAACGTAAGCACGCAATATGGCTTCTACGCCCACTCGCGCTGCTCAACCGTTGTTGCACTCTTATGCTCATCGTCATCTGCACGAGCAAGATTCTCAGCGATTTCGGGCTCGAAAATAGCTGCCACTTCCTCCAGAGTTCGTCCTTTGGTTTCCGGAGCAAAGAAATAAAGTACCACCATGACGGGACAAAGTACCGCAATATAGACAATGTAGTAACGCCAGGTAATTGCGTCGAAGGCGATAGGATTAACGTATTGGTTGAAACAAAGTGCCACCGCGGTGCTCATCCAATACAAACTGACATATTTGGTACGCAGGTGAGTGGATGCAATTTCAGAAACGTATAGAAGCGGAATTGGAGTGAATCCAATGTCGTAAGATCCAAAGAAGCAGAATATGAAGGCTATGACTGCTGTGCCAGAGTTATGATCGCCTGTCCTCGCGTACGTTGCAGAACAGGCTGTCAGCAAAGCCATGAAAATCGCCATACCTCCAGCTGAAGCAAGAAGTAGCCTTTTTCGCCCCAGACGCTCCGCCATAAGAGCTGCTGGAACAGACATGAACAAATTAAAGACTTGCAAGCCTCCGTTGATGGCTAGTTGCTGACTAGAACTTCCAATGCCGACAGTCTTGAGGACCGGAGCAAGATAATAGCTAATGATGCCGTTACCCACCCATTGAGAAGTGAGTCCCAAGAATAGAGTCAAAAAAGATCGTCTAAGATTTCCTTGGTTGGAAAAGAGCGCCAGCCAGCTATAGGCTGCCTCACGTTCTTCTGCTTCCACTGCAGCCAATATTTCACGATGTTCAAAATTGATTAGGTCATCATCAACTGCTCCATTTGCATGATATTGCGCAAGAACCTGCTTGGCTTCGTCTCCGCGGCCCTTCAGCACCAGCCAACGTGGCGATTCAGGCACAAATACCATGGCTGTAGACTGCGCAACCGGCCAACAACATTGCAGTATTACGGAGAGGCGCCAAGTCCAGGAGCTTTGAATCGAAAGAGCACCGTAGCTTGCCCAAGCAGCAATAATTCCACCAACATAGAAAAAGGTGTTGGACAATGCGGTGACCTGCGGTCTTTGGCGTGGGTGACTAAGTTCAGCGACGAGGGCATTGGTCGACACAATGACACAGACATTGAAAAAGCCGAGAATCGCGCGGGTGACCAGGAATGTAACAGCACTCCGACTGAAAGACTGCCCAATGCTGGTGCCGATCATGGCTGCATTGGCAATGAGGATGGCTGGTCGCCGGCCGATGAGATCAGAGACATAGGCCGCTGGAAAGAGAGCAGTAATTGCACCAAATGATTGCGCTGCAATCACCAGACCCTCCATTTGGGAGCCCACAATGTTCAAGTCCGTGAACCACCGGTCGTTCGCGAGGAGTCCGTTCACCAAAGAGGCATCATAACCAAATCCCACACCTCCAAGCATGGCACCCAAGAGGAGGAGATTCAATTTGCGGAGTCCTGGGTCCTTCCACCACTGTGCGTGTGTATTGTTGCGCAAATCAGAAACTGTGGTGGACATTGTAGTGGATGTCAAGATAAACAATGAGGTTGCAATGAAGTAGTAGGAGAAGAAGAAAAAAAAGAAAAATCTTTTGGCCTCTGTATCTGACATCAAGGGACATAATCCTGCCTTTAAAGGGCGTATAACTTTGTAGCGTTTCTTTTCCTGCACTGTACATATTCCATGAATCCCCGTGGGGTAAAATTCAGAAATATGGGGGTGGGCCCAGAGCCCAGAGTCCAGAGCGGGGCTAAGCGAGGCGAAATCCAGGAACTCCGTGGAATTTCCCCACTGCAACTCGTACGCATTTGCAGATGATTTGTTTCACTTTCAACTGACACGTATCCTCCCAAAAGCCAGTAAGATAATCTGGATCTCTTCAAATTGCGTGTGTAATGAGTATTAGGGCTGATACTATTCTCAGGAGCGCAGTGTTGGAAGCAGAAGTTATCGTTTTACTAGCGACTTCATCTTGCTTATCCTGACTTTTCTGCAGCTGCAAGGAAGCTGCAGACTTTTCGATTGAGGAGAAAGCGTTAATTAATATCTTGAATATTAATAAATTACAAGGCTTCGCGGAAATACCATGCCACCAACACGCAGGCAGAGACCGAAGGCCGTGAGATTCCCGCCCCTCCATTTATGCGCAGCTGACGACTTCTAGTGTGATAGCTGTTGGCATAGGAAGGTAGCATGATCTAGTGCATACATAGCGGTACTTAACACTAACCGTAGCAAATACAGATCCGCTGTGATAACAAACGAGGACCATGCCGCAACTGCGAGACGTACGGTGTGGATTGTAAAGCTACCCGAGCCGACGGATCTGTTCTGCGAAGAGTGCAGATGGAGCACACAGCAGATGAAGATGAGCATAGAGTCACAAACCCGGCAGCACCATCCTCTGAGGCTTTTGTTCGTCAACGGTCCTTTCATCACGCCGACAACCAAAATGACTACTTTTCGCCTATTTCGACGGCCACATCTAGCAACCCTGCTATTCACACATATGCTAACCACAATTCTGATGCTCCTTCCACCCCATTAGTTACGTCGCCCACCGTATTTGGTCTATCAAATCGTAGCTTGGAGGGTGTTGTCACGGTCGAGGCGACTGCCGTGCCACAGCGATCTAAATATGCAGGCAAGATCTCGACTCAAGTTCTAGCAAAGTCTGCCGAAGAGTTGTTTCAAGATGAGGAGATTCGAATTCGAGTGATGGAGTTTTTCTGTCCGCTTATGAGTTTCGCAGAAGACATCTCTATGCCTTTGTCCACATTCTACCCAACCGTACGAAAGGACATTGCCGACAGGCATGTAGAAGGTAAGGCCCTTCGCCGCTGACATCCTCCAATCTGCATGACCTAACCTCCTGTCCAGCATACTTTACATCCATCAAATCTATGTTTCCTGTTCTATCGCGAGGTGACTTCATCCCGTTGTATGAGGAATTTTATCATTCTGGTCACTCGACGAATGCTGTGTTTGTCTGTTCGCTTTATATGGTGATGGCTCTGGGCTCTCGGAAGGATGGCGGATCAGGAGACTCAAATGATCTTTTTGCCGCTGGATGGGAACTATACAGCCGTGTCATCTCAACACCGTATCTTCCAAGTGTCCAAGCTCTTCTCTTGATGGTCTGTTGATCATGCCGGTGGAGATTCCTCAGTTTCACACTAATACGCCTTATAGGCATTGGAATTAATGCATGGCAATAAAGATGGTCAGGCCAGTCTGGCAGTAGGTACGGCGGTGCGCATTGCGCAGTCACTTGGCTTGCATCGACGCCTGGCAGCACATAAACACCCATGGGAAAGGGGATTTGTTGAAAGGGAGTACAATCTTCGTACGCGCATTTGGTGGGTGTGCTATTGCCTGGATAAGTAAGTATCGATGCTCCAACGTGGGAGGGAGGTTTTTTTGACCGACTAATAGAAAACTTGCGTTTGAGACTGGGCGACCTTCTGCGATCAATGATATAGAGTGTGATGTGGATTCTCCAAGAAACATGGCCTTGACCCCCGGATCCGCCACGAGTTCTGAAGATGAGAATTTCTTAGACAATTTGGTGGAACTATGCCGCATTCAATCGAATATAATTTCGAGGCTGTTCTGTAGGCCTATCATTCAAGATCAGGACTGCAGTCTGATGGGAGAGATTGAGGCTCTCGACGAACAGCTCCTGACATGGAAGGAAAGACTCCCTTCAGCGGTGCGGATTGACGAACAGCTGGCTGGAATGCAGTCTAGTGCCATATCCATCAAATTTGTTCTGCTGCATTGCATGTATTACAACACAATGCTTGTCATTCATCGTGCGGCACTCTTTGGTGAGGCTCCATTAGAACCACATCAGCGTGCCCAGCTACGAATGATGGCCGCTGATGTTGTTTGTTTGAATTCAGCACGTTCACTAGCTCAGACAGTGAATGGTCTGGTTAGCACACCCTACAGTTGGCCAATCGTCAGGTACGAACAAGTTTTTAGGTCACTGAGATTTCAGGGATAATCGCTTACCCGTTTCATTAGATTGACGACATCCTACATTTTGAATGTCCTGTTCACACTATACATCGGGATCATGAAGAACCCAGCCCAGTGGACCTCTGAAAGTGACATTGCTCTGATCAAGACTCTGCCAAACTGTTTCTCCAAGGGGAATTCCACCCCTTTTGCAATATCATCATTTGACAAGCTCTGTACGTCTTTGATAGGTGCAATCACTGTCATGAGGCGACGGAGCCTTGCAGTACCGAAAGCTGCAGCAGATATTGAACTTCGACCGGAGCATTCGGATTTTGAGGGGAATCGTGTTGAGACTATGAGTGAGGAAGAAATCAACCAGGAGATGGATTTTCGCTTTGGGGATTTCTTCGGATTGTGTGGCAATGCCGACCCTCTTCTTTCGATGCAGATGTGGCCCGTAAGCCTAGATCAGACTACCGATGGAGTCGAATTTTTCACTAGTCAATAGTCAGCTTTCTCTTTGCCCAATTAAAAGTAGCTTGTTCTCTGAAGTTGAAGTCTCCGTGATTCCCACTTTTTCCGCGGAGTCCGAATCATGCTTCCGTCCGTGGAGTACAGTCCGATTGCATAGTACTGAATCCGAATCATCCGTTATATTAAGTGGACAAGAACTGCACCATGTGTAAAAACACCGGAAATAAAGTATTTCTCAATTCCTTCTTTCTGTGATCTCGACCTAAATTTCACACCATGCCTCCTCCAGTTTTCATCGCGACCAAACCGATCGACCCCCCAACCCTCGGCCGCAATAACTACCAAGGCTTCCGAAATGGCGAGAAAGAAATCCTTCCTAAGGGTTGGAATGGCTATCGATCGCGTCCCCTGCCATGTGATATCCTAGTTGAGCATGATGTTGAGATTACAGTCCGCGACGGCGCTCGACTTTACTGCGACATTTACCGATCCCCTGACAGTGGCCCTCTTAACCAGGTGCCTGCACTTCTCGGTTTCAGCCCTTTCGGCAAAAAGTTCAGTGGTCTTATGATGTTGAATCTGTTTACCCCATGGAACGTTGGGGTTCCTGATGGTCACCTCTCCGGACTCGAGAAATTCGAGGCTCCTGATCCCGCCGAGTGGATTCCTCGTGGTTACGCGATCATCAGCGCCGATACCCGGGGTACAGGAGACTCGGACGGCCCAGTGGTAATTATGGGGACTCAAGAAGGAGAAGATGGCTACGATATGGTCGAGGCATTGGCGAAGATGGACTGGTGCAACGGTGCCGTCGGGATGGTTGGTAACTCACATCTCGCCATCACTCAGTACTTCGTGGCCACTCAGCAACCGCCGTCTCTGAAAGCTATCGCACCTTGGGAGGCCTGCTCTGATCTGTTCCGTGAGCAGTTTGGAAGGGGTGGTATGTGGCATGGAGACTTCTTCGATTACATCTCGAGCGTTTTCATTCAAGGCCGCCACGGCATGGAAGACTTTAGAGAAATGTACAGACGCAGCGGAGGGCTACGCAATGCTTATTGGGATGATAAGCGCCCTGACCTATCTAAAATTACTATTCCTACCTATCTGACTGGTAGCTACTCCAGCAATGTCCATGTCATGGGCTCGATTCGCGGATGGCTGGAGATTGCTGCAAAAGATAAATGGTTTCGTCTGGGGCCCTGGCAAGAATGGCACGATCTTTGGGTTGAAAAGAACTCCACGGAGGAACTTCAGGCTTTCTTTGACCGGTATCTCAAAGGGATCGAGAATGACTGGGAGAGCACACCACGAGTGCGTGTGACGGCCCTGAAATTCGGTGAGAAAGATCCGGAGTACAACATCGTGGTTGATGACTTTCCCCTCCCTAACACAACCTACCGCGAATTCTTCTTCTCCAGTAATAAAAAACTGCTCCTTGAGGCACCCCAAGAAGAAGGTGTCTCTAGCTACGATTCTACAAGCATGCAGGGATCTACCTTCCGACATGTCTTTGAGGAGACTACCCGCCTCATTGGTCTTCCCAAAGCCATTGTGCATGTCTCCTGCAATGAGACCGATGATATGGATGTATTTGTGATTATCAGGAAACTTGACAAAAATGGCAAGATTCTTATGGCACTGAATGTGCCTTGGTCTAGAGCTCCTGTCAAAGCAATGGACCAAATTCAAGAGAAGGAAAAAAGTGACCTGATTCTTTACCCTGGTCCTGTTGGTATGTTGCGGGCTTCTCACCGTGAGACTGAACAGTCGAAATCGATCCATCCGCAATACCCCTTCCATCCTCATCAAAGAGAGCTTGCTGTTCCCCGTGGTGAGGTTGTTGAGCTCGAGATCGGACTATGGGCCATGGGTATTGATTTTGAGGCTGGAGAATCACTGGAAGTCCATGTCCTGGGGCGCAATCCCACGATCGCAGCTTTTCAGCCTCTAGTCGGGGTTGGCAAGAGTGGCGTCAATGAAGGCCAGCACCATGTTCACTTTGGGCCCCAACACCCCAGCCGAATTATTTTACCTTTTGTTTAAGTAGACTTTGATGTTGGATACGAATCAAACTTCTCATATAGAAGCAAACAGAGATAATCCAGATTGTAGCGAGCTAGATCATTTTGGTCAGTTTTTATTTCTTTGTGCTTCCAATCAAAACCTAAAATTTCAAGTTGACTAAAAGCTCACTAGATGATCGTTGCCAAAGACGATTTGTAACCGTCTCGTCTTGAGCTTCCGTCCAGCTCCTACCTTGATGGGTCTCTTGGAGAAGATAGAGATGGCATCATACATCAGAGAAATAGGAAAGAACCAAAAATGAATGCCACTTGTATCCCAACCCCACTTTACTGTCTCTATCCCCCGGGGTGGTGAGGTGAATACCCGCCAAGCCCCGCTTTCCCCACGGTGATTACGGGGCCTTCATCTCAATTTCCGTGGAGAATCGGAGGGTTAGTGGAGCTAGCTCAACCAGCAGTAATCTGGATAGAAACAAATAAGTACTGATATAAGCGAGCCAACTACATTCTCCCTCTTAATCCCTCCATCAATCTTTCCATCATTGTCAGATATGCCTTCCACTGAAGAGATCGAGTACTTCCCGACGCCTGCCATTACGACAGACCACCACTACACGCTGCCGAGCCCTTCTATCCAGATTCTGAGAGCGGGAGTCGTACAAGTACAAGATCACCGCCCACTGCTCTCCGATATAGTTTTGGAGAAGCATACCGCGATTCCGACACGGGACGGCAGTATTCTCTATGCGGATATATACCGACCTTCAAAAGCGCCATTAGGCACTGTGCCAGCTATCATTGCCGCTGGTCCATTTGGCAAAGACGGGGGTCCTAATAAGTGGCATTTCAATCAATGGCCCTGGCGTTTTGGATGTCCTAGAATCGCTACATCAGGGCTTGAGAAGTTCGAAGGACCCGATCCTGGCTACTGGTGCTATCATGGCTACGCAATTGTTCATACCGGCAAGTACTTCTTTAATAATATTAACTATGACCTGCGGGCTGACTGGAATAGACTGCCGCGGGGTTTGGGAGTCTCAAGGTGAGATGACTTTGATGCCGTCGAAGCTTGAGGGTCAAGATAACTACGACATCATCGAGTTCATTGCAGCTCAGGAGTGGTGCAATGGAAAGGTTTCCATGGCGGGAAATAGCTATCTTTCGATGACACAGTATTGGACCGGTGCCGAGAATCCACCTCATCTTGCCTGCCTGGCGCCATGGGAAGGCATATCCGATTTATACGAAGATCAGGTTCGGCGAGGAGGTATACGAAATTTCTCTGACTCGGGCTAGATGATTCTTTTCTAAGTTCTTTTCCTGATAGGCATACCCAATCCTGGTTTTATCGATGGCATGTTCCGTGGAGATGTAGCATCAGCCACTGGAAGTAAGTCGATTGACTTCAATGCTATGTGCTACAAATATCCACACAGAAACTCCTTCTGGAATGGGTTCAGAGCAGAGGTCGAAAAGATCAAATGCCCAATCTACATGGTGGCCAGTTGGACAAATGCGCTGCATACCAATGGGACTCTCAATGCGTGGCAAAGACTTGGCAGCCAGGAAAAGTGGCTGAGAGTCCATAACTCACATGAGTGGCCAGGTGTGTTTACGGATTAGTCATGTCGATCTTTCTTTCTGACATAACATTTGGTAGACTTCTATGATGAGCAGAATGTTTTGGACCTGCGACGCTTTTTTGATTACTACATGAAGGGAGTGAACAATGACTGGAAATATACCCCACCGGTGCGATTGAGTATTCTGAATCCTGGCGCAAAAGATATCGTGAACCGACCAGAAAGTTCGTTCCCTCTGGAGCGTCAAAGTCCATTGAAGCTCTATCTGGATTCCACATCCCTGAAAATGCAACACAATCTGCCGGCTCGACCGGGCAACACAGCCTACGATGCTTGTACCGGGCAGGTACAATTCAAAATGCCAATCACTTCGACCATGGAATTTACTGGATATATCAAACTTCGGCTATGGATGGAAGCACGTGGCTCGGATGACATGGACGTATTCACTACGCTATCCAAATATGATCCCAAAACAAACCAGGTGCTAGAAAGTACCTTGATAGATGTTGGGCGGCATCTCGAGAACCCGGAGAAAGAACGAGAGGATCTTCTTCGTCGCCATCTGGCAGATAATAAGGACTGCGAGAATTATTTTGATTCTGGCCCGATGGGCTGTATTCGAGCTAGCCATCGGGAACTCGATGAAGCCCAAACCACGATGTTCCAGCCGGTTTACCTCCATCAAAGAGAGCAACTGCTGCAGCCTGGCGAAATTGTACCACTTGATATTGCTATTTGGCCCTACGGCATGATCTGCAATCCAGGTGAAGAGCTCCGAGTGACGATCTCTGGGGCGAATCCTAAGGAGCATCTCCGCCCTACCGATGTTCGGCCTCAGTTACGCAACCAAGGGATGCATGTTATTCACACTAGCGGGGAACGGGATTCGTACCTTCTGCTACCCTTGATCCCAGTGGCGAAGTAGTGGGGGCAATGAAAGAATAGTCGCGTGCCAGGAAATAGATGCATCAATCGCTTGACTGAGACAACGGAAATCCCGTTGGTTTGGTCTCTTACTGTGCGCTAAGAATTAACCGGTCCGGTATATGTATGGTAGAGAGTAAACCAAACCTTTCCGCTCTTTTGCCTACTTAGAGAGCACTTCTGAAACATTCACCTCTTTCTCCATACCTGGGATTTAGATGGGCAATTATTTGTTCTTATGAGTCTCTACACCACTAGCCTTGAAAGTTACTTATGTCATTTGGGGGCCGTGAGACCTTCCCCTCACTTGGCAAAGAAATGTATATAAGCCAGCAATCTTGCCTTATTTTTTGATCATCAGCAAACTTGAATCCTCATTTTGCCATCATGGCTACCCTCACAGACCATGAAGTCGTCTACGGCGACAAGAAGATTCACTACTTGGCAGCTGGCCCAGTAGATGGCCCCTTAATTCTCTTTATCCATGGATGGCCAGCTACGGCTATCACTTGGAAAGCCCAGCTTGATGCCTTTGCTGCCGTGGGCTTCCGAGCCATCGCTCCCGATATGCCTGGCTACGGCCACTCGACCGCCCGTCGAGTCGCTGACGATTACTGCCTGGAAGCTATTATGGAGGGCATGGTGGCCTTGTTAGCTGACACTGGCCGCAAGGCAGCTATCTGGGTAGGCCATGACTGGGGTTCTATTGTGGCATCAACGGTCGCGATCCAGCACCCTCAAACCGTCAAAGCTCTCGTGAATATGTGTGTGCCATACTCAACGATTGAGCTTGGTTGGGATCAGTTCCTTCCGTTGGTAAACCGTGAAATCTATCCAGCAGACGAATATGAGATGGGTCAATGGGATTACATGAAAATGTACGAGGAAAACTTTGAAAAGTCCATCGACTGGTTTGATAGTGATATTGCTGGATTCTGCACGGCCATGTTACAAAAGCCAGGCCCACGGCCGGACCGGTATGCCCCTGACAGGTTTTCGAAAGTGCGGAAGATCGGGTGGTTTAACGGCTTGCCAAAGCCGCCGAGTGTGGAGCAGCTTGGACCCCCCGTTCTTCTGGCGGATGTTGCCGACTCTTTTATCAAGGATATGCAAAAAACTGGGTTTTGGCCAGGTTCTGCGTATTATCTGCATCATAAACGCAATGCGGAGTATAATGGAAAGAAGGAGAGAAAGTTGACGCAGCCGGTGATGTTTATCCATGGACTATGGGATTTGGTGCTCGATACAAAGTCATCTCGCCTGATCGAGCCCATGAGAGAAAATTGCTCGAACTTGACAGAGGTCACTATCGATGCGGCACATTTTGTGTCGTTTGAGAAGCCTGCCGAAGTGAATGCGGCCCTGTTCCGATTCATATTGAATTCGCTTCCGAGTGAGTGGCCCGGATTCTGGAATAGTGGGTATACTCAGAACAAGTCTTGAATTGTGGTTATAATTATTCTTTATCTACAGCTAGTTTTGGTACATTTTTAAAGAAAGAATCTTCATTATTTAGAGACACGCCTTAGCTAGGATGGCCATACTTGATTCGGGATGATCCCTGAGTTTCGTCGTCTCCGAGACCACCTGCACGAATATAGAGGGTGCGTGCACAGGTAGAAGAAATTAGATGAATGCGTATTTTACTGAATCATGTTATTAATTCTTTGGAATGGATACTACAGGACTGAGTGCTGAAGAGAGCGCCGCGAAAGTTCTTGACGTAGCCAGATCGCAGTGGACTATCGGGGTCATGTTAATGTCGGTGGCTAGCCGCTCTACCAGCCGTCTTTAGGGCAATCCGGACACCCATTCAAGCACCTGAATATTCCTCACCTGAACACATCGGCTGAACAACATCCAGTGGTTAAGTGGGACCAACTAGATGCCCGTCCTATTATCAATTGGCCAAAGGAGCCGAACGACTTCGACCTTTACGAAAACATACTACATGATACAGTTTTACTTTGCAGAGTACTCCGTAAATAGTGGAAGAATAATAATATTCACATTCCGATTCTACTTGTTGGTAGAAACTAGTTCCGTCTCCAAGTCCAAAGCCCCGAAAGGCAAAGGACGGGATCCGAACAAATTGTTGAAATAATCGGCACCTGTTGGTGGCACCCATGTTGAAATCGTTAGTCAATGTTGAAACTCCGTAAACCCGCTTTTTGGTGCCCTCTAATCAGCAAAACCCGTTGAAACCCGTATGTTGAACTTTTGGTATCATCGTCATAACTCATCATAAAAAACAACTCCCCGTGCCAAAGAGGCGGCAGGTTGATTGCCGCCTCCATTTTGATTAACACATTATGGGAAGGAAAAGGAAAAATTTGTCACAGTTTACTGTGCGTACTTCTGGCGGAAGAACTTGGCGGCGTTGACCATGTTGGTCAAAGCGGCCTTGGTCTCGGGCCAAGCGCGAGTCTTCAGACCGCAGTCAGGGTTGACCCAGAGCTGCTCGGGGGTGAGGTGAGCAAGCATCTCCTCGAGGCGAGCCTTGATCTCCTCCTCGCTGGGGATACGAGGGGAGTGGATGTCGTAAACACCAGGTCCGATCTGGGCGGCGAACTTCTCGTCGACGAAGACCTTCAGGAGCTTAGCATCAGACTTGCTGTTCTCGATGGACAGAACGTCAGTGTCGAGGGCGGCAATGGCGTGGAAGAAGTCCTGGAACTCAGAGTAACAGAAGTGGGAGTGGATCTGGGTGGTATCGGCGACACCAGCGGTGGACAGCTTGAAAGCCTGGACGGCCCACTGGATGTACTTCTCACGCTCGGTACCAGCACGGAGGGGAAGACCCTCACGCAGAGCAGGCTCATCGACCTGGATAACCTTGACACCGGCGGTCTCAAGGTCAACAACCTCGTCACGCAGAGCAAGGGCGAGCTGCTGGGCCTGGACGGACTGGTGGACGTCGTCACGGGGGAAAGACCAGCGCAAGCAGGTGATGGGGCCAGTGAGCATACCCTTCATAGGCTTCTTGGAGATCGACACGGCGTACTTGGACTCCTTGACGGTCATGGGGGCAGGACGGCTGATGTCACCAACAATGATGGGAGGACGGACGCAGCGAGAGCCGTAAGACTGGACCCAGGCGTGGGTGGTGAAGACGTAACCAGTCAGGCGCTCACCGAAGTACTGAACCATGTCGTTACGCTCGGGCTCACCGTGGACGAAGACGTCAAGGTCAAGCTCCTCCTGGATCTTGACAACATCCTTGATCTCGTTCTCGATGAACTTCTCGTACTCCTCAGCGGTGATCTCACCCTTGGTGAACTGGTTGCGAACACGACGGATGGTCTGGGTCTGGGGGAAGGAACCAATGGTGGTGGTGGGGAAGAGAGGGAGCTTGATGTGCTCGGTCTGGGCAGCAATACGGGTAGGGAAGGCAGAGAGACGGTTGTGCATCTCGGGGGTGACAGCAGCCTGGCGGGCCTTGACGGCGGGGTCGTTGGTGCGCTTGGAGGTGGCACGGGACTGCATGGACTTGGCGTTGGCCTCGAGCTCAGCGGAGACAGCAGCGGGGCCCTCGGTGACGGCCTTGGCGATGACAACAACCTCGGAAAGCTTCTGGACAGCGAAGCTGAACCAGTCGCGGACCTCAGCATCGAGACCCTTCTCAGACTCAAGAGTGTGGGGAACGTGCAGAAGAGAACTGGAGGTAGCGACAATGACGCGGTCCTTACCAAGCTTCTGGATGGCAGCCTCGACCTTCTCAATGGCGTTCTTGAAGTTGGTCTTCCAGATGTTACGGCCGTCGACAACACCGGCAGAGAGAGTCTGCTTGGGGCCAAGAGCAGCGACAACGGCATCAAGCTGCTCGGGGTTGCGGACAAGGTCCACGTGGATAGCGTGCACGTTCTGGAGGGAAGACAGGACATCAATGTTGTGGACAATGTCACCGAAGTAGGTGGCCACGGTCAGGCGGGGGGCCTTGTCACCCAGGTTGCCAAGCTGCTCGTAGGCGGGTTTGAAAGCGGCCTTGGCCTCAGCAGCAAGGTCGTAAACGAGGACGGGCTCGTCAATCTGGACATCCTCAGCACCGGCAGCCTTGAGCTGGGCAAGGAGCTCAACGTAGACGGGGAGAAGGTCAGCCAGCTTGGTGATGGGGTTCACACTGGCACCACGGTCGGCCTTGGCCAGAACCAGGAAGGAGACGGGACCCAGGATAACGGGGCGGGTGACAATGCCAGCGGCCTTGGCCTCGAGGAACTCGCGGACGGGCTTGGGGTCAGAACCGAGCTTGAAGACCTGGTTGTCGGCCAGAGCAGGCTTGACATAGTGGTAGTTCGAGTCGAACCACTTGACCATCTCGAGGGCAGGGACATCAACACCCTCCTTCTGGAGACCACGACCCATAGCGAAGTATGTGTCGAGAGGGTCAAGGTTGTACTTGCTGTAGCGCTCGGGAATAACACCGAACAGCTGGATGTGGTCAAGGACCTGATCGTAGAAGGCGAAGTCATTGGAGGGAATGGAGTCGACACCAGCCTTCTTCTGGAGGTTCCAGTGCTCCAGACGGAGACGCTTGCCCTCAGCGAGAAGGTCATCGCGGGAGATCTTGCCACCCCAGTAAGCTTCAGTGGCCTTCTTCAGGTCACGAAGCTTACCCATACGGGGGAAACCGAGAACGGATCTGTGGATGATTATTAGCAATTAGGAAGCGCGCAACACATGAGTAGGATAGACATACGATTGAACCATTCTGACGGATTGTGTGTGAAAGGAGAAAAGAGTAGACGGGTTCTGAGATGAAAAGAAAAAGATCCCGGAACCTTTGAGTTAAAAGAAAAAGAAGAAGAAGAAGGAGGAAAAAGCGAGAAGAAAAACGGAGGGGGATGAGCGGGCCTAACCCCAACGGGATGGAGGGGCAGAAAGTGGCTTTTCCTTACTATTACGTGGAGCGAAACAGGGGGCTAAGATGTGCACGGTCTTTAACTAAGGAATTAAGGAATTATAAGGAAAGTGGGGTGGATTAACGAGTATCATTGGTAATGTACCAGTATTTGAATGGTTATACCATTAATAGTCCTTCTCCACTACAAACTTAGCAGTATTGCCTCCGTGATCGGCGGGGATCACGCCATTATTTTTGTCGGGGTGATAAGCTTCGATAAGGGGCTTCTTCGTCTTTACTGCGTATATTGTGTACTCATGTGGATTCATCACGCAAAAAAATACATAACAATTCCACTTTGCCACTCTGGAGTCAAGTTCGTGACTCACAATGGGGACTCAAGGGAGACAGAATAGGGACAGAACGGAAACTCAGGGCGGAGCAACATGCAACCTCCGACCGATTTGCTCAGATTTCGACTGCATACACAGATTCGATGGACCAATGGTATAGAACCTGGTTGCATAATACTCACCGAGATCACATCTTATAGATTGGGATACATGGAAATACACAAAGTCACCAAAGTCGTTTATCGGAACCGTTCGGAGATTCAGTAATGCCGATGATGATACTCCGTAAACAATAAAAGCTGCAGGGTACACCGCCCCTGGTGCAGGGAGATGGCGGTCAATACATGTGTAGAGAGATCACAATAGACTTGGCTAATGAGGAAGGAGCCAGAATGGCACTTTCTGTATAACGAAATGGAACACCGCCACAATCCGCAGATCATGATGATCATGTTTCTTCCGCTTCCGCAACCTCATTGAAATGACGTTTCTCATTTGCCCTCGTTGGCGAAGAGAGCGTCCTGCTTCGCCATTGGATGCTGACTCCTACGAACGAGTTCAACACAACGGGCGGATCCTTCGTCAGGGTCAAGGTATGCTTTGAGGCTTTGCATGCAGAGTAGTTGATTTGGCGCTAAATAAGGATCACAGGGCCATCGGCTTCATTGCAAGAAAACCAACCGGAGAGCTTCTCTCACAGACTTCGACGTCGACTTTCGCGGGAATCCAAGAGCTCCAATGATGCCCGAGACTATAGGAAATTCATGTTTCCTTTCCCGCGGAAATCATCACGATCCGCCTTGTCAAAGTCACACCAAGACCCCACAGCTCTGCATTATGGAGGCAGCCTGCTGAGTGAGAGAGGATACGACAGTGATGCGCAGTATCTTACAACACCAAGACGTGACCTGTTGGGGAGATATCCTGCCAGTCGAGGCTCTCGCCGAATGCCGCTGAGCGATTTGATTGAACAGAGCCAGGAGCGCTCAGATGCTGAACGCTGGGCTCTCTTCAACGACCTAACAGTAAATGAGTCCCAGGAATCTGCTTTCGGGATGCATTTCATCCCAACGCCACCGGGCACTCTGAGAGGCCCCCCGACTACCTTTCACACGGCCCGTGATATCAATGAATCCAAATACCAGCCAATGGCTCCTTCGACTCTTAGAGCTGGGCGGTCTCAGGGAAGCCCTATTATGAACATGAATTTTGGGAGATCCCTTCCATCTTTGTCTTCAACCCACGAGCCTGGAGCGGCACATTTTGAACACTCGCCCGTTCTGAATGTCTTTGAAAACTCCAGCGGCCGGGATATCATGTCTGATTGGAAACAATTCATGAAGACCAGCCGGGATAGATGTAGACTGGGATCGTCAGGGTCACTCCCCACTCCATCAGAAAATCTAGTGGTGTCCAAAACGGGACAGCCTTCCATTTCAGCCAGGTCCTTTACTGACCCTCACTCGATACATCTCGGCGAGTTGGGTATTTCGAATCGCCTTGTAACTCACTCTCAGACATCTCAGGCAATAACATGCGATCCATCAATTACTGAACTAGTCCACAAGCACAAAGGGGTCCTTGGGGATTTTTCGCAGGAGAACATACCATCTTCCCGTTCGGGTGCTTCGGCCAGCTCTAGAAATGAGACTCCAAGAAATCCAAACGGTCAGCGCGATACATCTTCATGTTACTCACAAGCCAGTCCATCTTCGGGAACACTATCAATTGGGAAACTGTCGTTCAAAAAGCTCACCGGAAAAACCCTTAACCCAAAACCAGCAATGCAGGAGATCCTCATATCTGACAGTGAAACCGTGAATATTCCAGCACCTCGAAGCACGCTTCTAAGCAGATTCCAGGAGCATTGTGACTCTAGCAACTTAGACTCACCTCACTTTCAGAATCATGCCACTGGTCTAGTTTCCCCACGGAAAGTCAGCGTCGGATGGATGTCTGGAGGCCGCCGCGTTGGCTATGGCTATAGCCCTGTACCAGGCAAAGGCGGAGGTTCCCCGAAAAAGGATATCCAAAGTCCCTTGCAGTTGACAGAAGTATCCAGCTTGAAAGCGGAGTTTGCAGCGGCGAATGGGGCATATGAGTCACATGGACTTGAACAGATGGCGCAGTCGGCACCTCGAGATTACATCACTTCATCCCCCAGTCATCTGCGTACACCTTTATACGATCTTGCTGATCCCGAACCTATCAAGTCTCTGGAACCCAACGAATACGCAGCTGCACCCCAGGTTCGAGCATACCTGAACCGGTCCAGTCAAGAACAGCTTCAAATTACTTCTAATGAAGACAAACCCAGGGTTCTTTGCGCACCAGAATTGACACCTACAGTGCAGACCGAGTACTGTCAAGTCCCGCGGAGCTCACATTACACCAGCAAGGGAGAGAGCAGTGAAAAAATTAGTCGTCAATTGGCCCGACTGAGCCGGTCCGTAAGCACAAGATTCCGAAAGCAGAATCAGAAGACGGGACTATATTGTATGGCTCATGAAAGACGAGAGTATAACCCTTCCGATGAGACAGAACCAGAATTTCTTGACACAGATCATGGCGAGAGCGAAGATCAAGCTCACCAGCTTCAACCTAACATTTCCCGAACTGCACGATGGGCAAACAGAATTTCCAGATACAGAGAAAGCAAAAGGCTCTCGATCGTGCGTCAGCAAGAGCATTCACAGTCTTCTTCGGGTGCTTATGAGGATTGTGATTCAGCCAGGGTCAGCCTCAAGCGAGCTTTATCCACGAGAAGCAACACGACGGACGACGCAGATCATCTTGGAATTCCCGGTTCTTTTGAAGGGAGCCGTTGGGCAAGTCGGATCAGTCGTCTGAAGTGAATCAGAAACGGAAGAATCATGGGGACAAGCTCGTAGATGAGGGTTTTGACCCGGCTTATATTGAACGCAACACATATTATTAACCCACAGCGACGAGTTGGTGTTCGATTATGGATATGAATGTATTAGTCTTCCGGAAAGAGAATGTCATTAATCGTACAAGAGGTATCAGACCAAGCGCCATTTAGTATACAGTGCAGTAGCAGTAATAAGTAGATTCCCAGCCCAACAAAATCAAATCAGACGATCATCGTATCACCACGCACAATCTACCGTCGCTGTCGCTTCATGCTCTTGTCACTGACAGCACTGAGAACGCTAGCAGATCTCTTATGATTACCATCGCGCTTAGTGGGTGTGTCATTAACACCGCCCTCATCCTTCTCAGCATCAGCAGTTGACTCAAGCATACCGTTCCCGTCCTCCGCTTCAGTCTTCACTTCCGGATGACCATTATCAGGAGCAAACTTCCTCTCCCGCTCTGCCTTCGAAGCCTCCAGAACCCGGATCTCACCGTCGACTTTCTCGGCGACTTTGCGCGCGTCCAGCAGCAAATTGACGGATTGGATGAGGCGCTCGAATTCCCTGCACACACGCTCTGTGGGCATGAATAGACGGACTGGGATCTCGAGCTCGGCGAGCGCTGCGGCAAGTTTGAGTGTTTGAACGTTGGATTTAGCTTGTGTGAGCTTCTGAGCGCGGTCGCTGCGGAATTGCACGCCTGCCGTGAGGCGTTCGTGGTGATGGACGCCGTAGCGGGCTTCTTCGGCTGGTGTGAGGGTTCGAATGGGTTGTGTTTCGCGGGCAACGACAGCGCCTTTTTTATTCGCACCGCTTGTGGTGGGTGTCTCACCGCGGCTCATGCCGTTATTAGCTTGGGTAGGTGTTTGGCCTGCAGGACTGGCGATGGCGCCGCCCTCGGGTCCGAGAATGGAGCGACGTTTCTTGCTCTTGTCTGCTTGAAGAAGAGTCTGCAAGAGCTGGGAGAGACCTTGACTGGATTGGTAGGCTGTTGTGTTGCCGACGCTGATAGGGACTTCAAGGCGGGAGTAGAGCTCTCGGCGTTCGGTGATGAAGTTCTGCTCGTTGCTGGTGATGCGCTTGAGTTCTTCAAGGAGCATGGCTTCTTCGCGGACTTCGTCTGCTGTGCGATTTATTTGTAGAGCGGCGAGTTCCTTCCGGTCTCGTTCACGGTCTGGGTCGAATTTGAGCATTCTCTCGTGTAGCTCGAATTCAGCTTCGGACATTTCGGATGGTGGGTGTTCGATTGCGAGAATTGTGGCGGCAACAAAGTAGTAGCGTGCTTTCATCTGCTCCATCGTTCGATAGTGTTTGACTGGCACGAGCGCGTTGGCGTCGGCTTCAGACTTGGCTCGGGGTTGGTAGTCGTAGCGGTCGGCAATGATAATCCAGCGCAAGTCGTATTCATGTGCCAGTTCCATCAGATAGTCTGTCTCCTCACGGTCCCAGTCGTTGTTTTGCAAAGAGCGGTTGTATTCCTCCTCGGAGTATTTCTGTGGTATCCGTGCCTTGATGTTGTACTTGGCGAATGTGTATTCTTGCTCCAGTGGCTTGGATGGTTCCTCCTTCTTTTCCTCATCGGTCTCTTCATTTCCTTTGGTTTCATCAACATCCATCTGGGTTCCTTCGGGGGCGGGTGGACGAGTCGACTCATGTTTCCGCTGCCAGTGGTTCAGGACTAAGCCATCAGAGCGGGCACCGTTGGTAAAAGGAGTCATGCGCCTGCACAGAATCGCACGTAAGTAATGTAGCCATACTCGAAAGCTGCAGTGTACATACCATGGCCGCACGCGCAGCTTGTTCATCCATTTTGGACGCCCCTTGTACTTGTTCTCGTTGATAGCGATAGGTGGCGCGCGTTCACCAAGTAACGCGTATAATTCACGGGTGATACCCTCTGCAAAGTAACCCGTTAATAATCTAACCAAGCTTCACAGAGTACATTAACTAACCTGGTCGTTTTTCAACAACTTTCTGCTTCTTATGCGGTCTAGGCTGGCCCTCAGCGGGCAGGTCCAGCATATCTCGCACGTCGGCGGCAGCCATGGTTATCTGGTCTGTAGAATATCAGATAAAACACAGCAATCAGTACACCAAGGAGGAAGATTGGATCAAAAAAGAGCAATCACAGATGTCAAATGATGAACAAGTCGACGATGAAAATCGCGACGGACAAGGGAGACTGACGAAACCAGCAGGCGGTGTGACCCGTGCGGATGCCAGGTTGTTGATTCTAGACAATTAGGGAGGTGTGAGTTCCCCATTCTAAGGTTAAGGAAGCTAAGGTCTTTGATTCTCTCTTCTAGCCATGGCTATCACAGCTCCATCATGGCTTGCTGCCATGACCATCTTCTCTTTCCTCTCACTTCTCCTCCCCACAAATGCCCTGTACTTCTACGTTGATGGCCGCCAAACAAAGTGCTTCTACGAGGACCTGCCCAAGGACACCCTGGTAGCAGGTATGATCACCACTTCTGTTCAATTCTGATGGATCGCAATTTCAATTCCATAATTCATGTCTAATTAATACTGTCGATAGGTGACTTCTCAACCTATGTCATTAACCCCCAAACCAACGTCTACGCAATCGACCACAACCTCCGCGTCATGATCACCGTCGACGAGACCTTCGACAATGACCACCGCGTTGTCTCCAAGCGCGAACATCACTCTGGCCGCTTCACCTTCACTGCTGCCGATGCTGGCCAGCACAAGATCTGCTTCACGGCTGACACCGACGTCCAGACTAGTGGATGGTTGTCCAGCTCCCAGGGCGCAGTCAAGGTGTCCTTGGACATTGCCATTGGCGAGACCAGCAAGATCGAGACTGAGGATAAGGACAAGATGAAGGATATCGTGCAGCGCGTTAAGGATCTGAATAGTCGATTGCATGATATTCGGAGGGAGCAAGTTTACCAGCGGGTGAGTATCATTATCCCCTTACTACTTCGCAAAAGGAAACATCAATTCTAGTTTGTGTTTGTTAGGAACTTGCTAATAGAGTTTCTAGGAACGTGAGGCTGAATTCCGTGATCAGTCTGAGACTACCAACTCTCGTGTTGTCCGCTGGACTCTCATCCAGTTGGCTGTTCTGTCTGTTGCGTGTGCTTGGCAGCTCTCGCACCTACGGTCTTTCTTCATTAAGCAGAAGTTGACCTAGGTTGGATGGGAATGAAAACAAAACTCGCCAATTTCAATTTCTTTTATTACAGCCCTTTCCTAACTAAAACTTGCATTTGGTTTCCATATAGCCCGATTCCATTTCAATTGCATGATGTTAACAGATGTTGTGGCTCGGCCATGAAATTGTCTCCATGATACAACATTGGGTTTACATCTCCGTTAGAAAGGGGTGTGGGGTGTTTTGGACCGTGGTCAGCGCGATGTCGATTTTGATAATGGATGTAATGACAGTTTATTTCTTTCATGTTTTCCTTTAATGTACTTGGTCACCTGATGAAATGTCATGGACGCTCAACTCCAGGAAAACAAATGCTTCCTAAATTGACAACATATGCAAAGGCCCTTTCCCGAGAATTGGGGTTCATCATTCATTATGTCCAGGGGCAAAAGATAATAATAAGAAATATAAGAATGTAAATGCCCAATATGCTGGTATATGGCAGTGAAGAGAAATGAAGACTGGCCCGAAATCAAAAAAAAAACGCCAAATGATCCATGGTGAGAGGATGTCTCTCGCCAAATGATGTCATGCACCATATGAAGTTGCAAGCGAGACAGATTGGGCCACGCAAATAAGGATAAATAAGAACACAAAGGTCCTTTGGGTATATGACAGCCCTTGACGCAGGGCCATAAGAAAAGGCATAAAAGTTGTGTGCCGATTAGACAAAATCGGGTTTTTACATAGTCACCATCGGAACTGGGTCGCCAGGACTACCGCAGAATCCGAGGATCAGTCGTTCAAGGTCGGAGAGTTTGTATGGCTTGGTCATGTAGCCCTTGATTCCCACTCTAGAGGCACGGTTCAACGCCTCGTCGCTGACATCCGCGCTCACAGCAAGGACAGTAGGAGGCGGTGCCAAATGCAATGTGCTCAAGGCATCCACATCCATGGAGTCAGGGTGATTGGGTGTATTTGGAGATGCATTGCTGGAACCAGAGGACTGGCTCTGGTGATTGTCAACCATCTGAAGGATCCTGGAGGTTGCCTCGTAGCCGTCCATTTCGGGCATCCAAAGATCCATGAGCACAATGTCAATGGGTCTGATGTCGTGAGAATCTGGCCGAGCAGACTTAGTGGATGCGTCCACGATTTTGGGGAACTTGGTTGAGTTATTGGCAAGATTAGATGCGTTGATAATATCTTGTACGATTTGCACAGCTTCTCGGCCATCGGCAGCTTCAAGTACGTCGCGATAGCCCAGCTTACGCAGCATGTTGACCAACACACGTCGGTTGATTCGGTTATCCTCTGCAACAAGAAAACGCAAGGGGTATTTTTCTCCAAGCCTCTTGTCGTATGAATCCTGAGAGATGGCGCTTGGATTGAGTTGAGGTCTTGTCAGAGTATGAGGCGAAGTAGGACTCTGTGACGACTTTTCATCCGAGGTGCTTGGAGTGGGCTGTTGAAGTCGCTCGTTTTGCAGAAGAGAGGGTGAGCTTGGTAACGTGGGTTCCCAGATGAAACTACTCCCACTACCAGTTCGCGTGTGTTCGGCGAAAAAGGGGTGGAGTCATGATTCGATCATTGGGAGTCCCGAACCCGCACAGAGCTTCACGCTGATTCACAGGAACCCGAATCTGGAATTCAGAGCCATGGTCGGGACCGGTAGTCGATGAACGGACACAAATCAGATCACCTCCCATTTTTCGAGAAAGTCCCTTGGCCACAAGGAGACCAAGGCCCAGTCCATCTTTACTCCGGGTTGTTGAGGCATCTTCACGAGCGAAGGGCTTAAAAAGATTCGGTAAGAATGCCTCTGGGATCCCTGAGCCTGTGTCTCGCACACGAATTAATACGTCGTTATTCTTGGAGTCGATAGTCGCGCAGACAGTGATCGTGCCATTGTTAGTGAACTTGATAGCGTTTAGGAAAACACAGGAGATCAGCTTAGCCAAGTCTCGGTCATCAGCTAGAAGAGTATCGGGCAAGGCTGGGTCAACAGACCAATCCACGGTCTTGGTTCGAATTTCACCGTTTGAGGATCGAGATCGGATCTCAATCTTCTCGCCAAACTCGGTCGCCTTGCTCTCGGCGGAATCCGGACGGCCGCCAACATGAAGAGACTCGTTAATGACTAACCGAAGCAGGTCCCGTAGTTTTGTGAAGCGCAGAGCTGGGCCCCGGAGATTCATATTAATGCCTTCTAGAAGGAGATTCGGGGCTGATCGTCGAACTGCAATTGATGGGCGTGGGTCTACCATACTGGCCATCACTTCTTCAATCTGGCGGGCTGGGGTGGTGGCTTGGACGATCTGGTCACTCTCATGGACGGCGTTTTTGACTTCTTCACTGCGGGGAGACAATTCCTGCCGTGAAGAAGCCGCACGAACTCTCTGTCTCCGAGCCGGGCGTGATGCGCAGGATGCCATATCCAAAGGAAGACTCCGCCGTCTTTTATACGGATTCACAGCAATATTGTTTCCTTCGATGAAAACACTTGGACGACTTTCTGCGGGCTCACCTAGCGGAGCGCGAGGGAAAAACCCATTGTCTTCCTCCCGTTGTGGTGTGGGTGTTTTTGGGACCTGCATGTTGAGGTCGTAGGCGTGAACAACATTATCAGCGGCTTCGACGGCACGGCGTGCGCTATCCTGAACCATCTCAATGCCCTCTTTGAGAGCCTGGAAAATGCCCCCTGATTTGACAGGGGTCTTGCTTTCCATGGCCTCTCGCACGGTGGCATGCATCACATCAAGCATGCCTACCACGCCTTGCATCGGGGTTCGTAATTCATGGGATAGGCTGCGAGCGTAGGGTTTGAGAGGTTGAGACGTGAAATCAGGGGACGCAGGAAGAGTGACAGTTGCTGTATTTTGAATGGCTGTGGGAATTGGTGGAAACGCTGAAATCTCCTGCTCCGGGAAGACGTTGTCCTGAAGCAGCTGCGCAACGATCATGTCCTCCAACGAATGCAAGACTACCTCTAGGAACGACCATGACAGGTTTCGGTTCCGGATACCCTCTGCCGACCACATTAAGCCGAAATAAGCCAGACATTTACCAGCGGAGAAGAGTGGGATAGCCAGATACGCCTCTGCAGGAAAGGGTAGCTGATCGTCGGGAAAGGAAAGCAATAATTTCAGGTTTTCGGGTATTAAACACGGCCTTTCATGGTCCATATGGCACAGAGGGTTTCCGCCAGCGAAATACCGGTTCCGCTGCAGTCCGACGTTCTGATAGCCGTCGTTATAATAAAATACTGCACCGAAGAGCGACGCCCGGCGCCCACCCAGTTCGGCCATGGGCTCCCCGCCATGTACCCGACGAGCCACAAAGGCATATTGTGCTTTACTGATCGATGTAATATCCTCCATGAGCCGTTTCCAGAACAGCTCGGTATCGGATGTTCTCAGACCCTGCTTGAGCGTGACCAGGTGTTCAATGGCGGTGGACTGGTCGACGTCGTGCCAGCTTCGGCCGGACGTATCAAATTGCATGTCCCCATCTTCCGGTACTATAGCGAGTCCATCGTTAAGACATTCGGATTTGCAAGAGGGGAATGGCATGGCGGGACGAGAATGAAGGGTATTGGCATCTGGTTCTGACGAGTCGGTCATGATCCATATGGAATTTTTGATTGGAAAGGTGTAATGCTCTGGGTGTGTGTCTCTGTTCCTTGTTTTAATATATGTAGGACACACACCATGGAGAAGGTAGAGGTGAGGTTTCGGAGAAGGGAGGGGGATCAGGAGGGGATTTTCCGTTGTACTGGGGCCGGGCGGTCTAGACAAGTCCACATGGGCTGAAACAGGGGAGTTTGGGTCAGGAACAAAGGGGATGATGAAAAGCAATATATAACATTGAACTATATAACATTCCTAATTTATGAATATGTTATGTGTTTATAATACTTTGATTCCCTGAAATTTATTTTCAATCTTTCAAAATTTTCATACTTTTTTTTTCTCTCTGCTTCCAGAGACGCGGAGGAGAATCGACCTGCACGATCGGCGGATCTAGACTGTGCATCGGTACTTCGTACCGGGTACTTGTGCGACCGAAGCATGGGGCGTAAATGGGCACGTACTAAGTACAAACAATGCATGAACACCCTTGTCAATGGCATAAATGTCAATAATCTCATGAGTCGGTGGCTTGAATTTCCCGAGATTAACTCTTGTTTGTTCAAACTAAAACCCCAACTCCGCTAGATACGTAGAAAGGGGTCCAGTCCTTGAACCCTCAAATAGACTAACCTTTACACTCGCACGATAATATTCCCAAGCTCTGCTCCGTGCGGAGTACCTTAATTCATTTTTTCTAAAAATAAAAAATAAAAAAATTCAATCGCCGCCTCGTGGCTTTTATGGCTTTTGTCTCACCTGCACCTCTGGCTCAGTTTGGATTATGACCTTGCCTAGTTTTGATCTGGTCTAGTGGATATCTCAATCCTGCTAGACCACAATGCACAGAGCGGCAAGTGATACATCAACTATTGGCTGGAAAATTGTACCGTATGCGGAGTACGGACGGTGGTTTGGTAATACAATTCCTGGCTTAAGGCCATGGCTGATTGATCTAGTAGCCTCTCCACTGTGCGGGCACCCGATGCACGGCACAACCCATTGCACATTTCTGCCATCACGCACTTCCCAACCTGCCTCTCTTGCTCTTTAGTCAACCACCAACAGACTAAATTTACGGAAATGGCGGTAATAATCTCCGCCATTGCGATAACAAAGCTATTCTTGTACCGATTGTAAGCCCATTTGGGCTGTAAAAGCTGCGGGTCAATGACGCCACCGATCTGGCCGATACAGTACTATTCTGGAGACCCCAAGCGAAGGCCGTGCCGGTGCGTCAGTCAGGGTAGCCGAGCGCCAGGAGAGGAAGAAGATATAATAGATAACGACGAAGGTCCACAGCATACATACGACGTATAGTCCGGCGAGCGCTACTACAGTGAAGAAGATAATGAAGGATACGATAATCCCGGCGTGATAAATCCTATCAACAATGAAGTCGGCCGTGGCATAATCAGGAAATTGGAAGGGTAAAATGCATTAATTGCACTGATCTAGAGATCACCGCTAGTCGTAGAGTAGGAGATCCTAGCATAACGCCAGTAAAGCCCGCTGCAGCTGGCGGGATGCTGAGAAGCTGGTTTCTTGGGAGGCTGGTAAAGCCAAAGCTAGTAGTGAGAGTGGGTAGGTACCACTGCAGTACATAATTGTCTAGATCAATAAGCATCTGGGAGAAGGTAAAGGACCATTGGATAGGTTATTCAAGTGAAGCGATCATCTCATGCGTGCTGAATGCTAGTTTAGCCACTTGGGGGGGGGGGGCACAGTCTCCCAGCCGAGCTTCGAAGTACTCCTTCCTGTTCGCGCGGACTAAGCCATGCATTGCTCCGGCGACTTAGGATAGTCAGTTAGCACGAAGAAGATGCCATCTGAGAATAGAATTGTGTAGACGAGCACTGAGAAATCTAATAGCCATGTAACAGGGCGAGCCATCTCTTAGCTAGGATAACACAAGCTCAGCTGAGTTGGAATTCCTGGGTAGAAGCCGGTTTCGAAATTCGCAAGCAAGTTCTAGAACCGTTGGGCAGTTTTTGACGGTTCCGTGTGCACAGCAGCCTGGCATAATAGCACAATGCCCTGGAATAAGAATAGACGTGTCCCACCATTTTCAAAAGTTGGTTACTTGATGCCTCGAAAATGATATAAGCGATATATCACTGTTAGTATAGACATTTGATACTGTGAAGGAGCACTTGGGACATATTAATTTAATTCTCAAGGCAGTTCTCAGGGATCAATACAAGCTTGACCGTATATTTAAGTCTTCCTTATCAAAGCATCTAGACCTACCTTCAGTACTAGATGACTATCAATATTTCAAAACGAGTAAGAAAAAAATGATTATAAGGATGATTGAACAAGGGATCTTTCATTCAGCCATGTCTTTATCAATCTCGATTTCAATCAATCATGGTCCTCTAGCGTGTACTGACATAAGAAGGGTCCCGTACTCACCTTCCATGATTTCAATAAGGATCCTTAAGGAAAGATCAAAGGGATTAAAAGGAAAAGAAGAATAAAATAAGCAACAGCTATGTATGTTGCTTGGTCATTCCAAAGAATGTGAACTATTCTTCTGTACCGACCGTCAGTATACCCTACGAACCCAAAAGTGAGAGTCTGGTCCTACACAATAAGAAGTGACAATCCACCCCGACTGAAGAATAGCTTGTACAAACACATTGCAATTTGCCAGTAGAGATCATACACTAGACAAGTGATCCACAACTCTAAAAATTGTGTTCCAGATTAGGCACTGGTGACGCGCTTATCCCCCTTGGCCACGAGAGATATATTCACCTATTTGTCTCCTTTTTGTGTTTATCACCCCTTGGTTTCTTACATGAACGCGTTCATACCATTAGTCCTACCCCTACCCCCAGCCATCTTCGTAACTTGTCTTGTTCTCTTTTTTTTTCAAAAAAAAGGGAGAAATGAGTATGGCATTCTATATATACATATACCTTCTATATCAACTGGTACTAGATTGACTCAAACACTTATCCAGACGTGCGTTAGTAATAGGTCTTGTTCTAGCATCTCAAAGTTAATGGTTAATATCTAGACTGGTAAGTGTAATTTGCTATAGTAGATACTAGTATTCTAGCCTCTACCTAGCTGCCTCAGGTAGCTCCCTCGGCATATACTCAACTTTCTAAGAACCGGTTATTTAGTACCCAGCTAATATGTACAGGGCTAAATAACATTTGAAAGCACTAAAATACTATAAATATTCGTCCAATGACTTCAGACTGAGTAATCATCAATATGTTTTCCCCGCACGTTGTGAAACCGAGGTCAATCCCCACCAATTGCTCGTAAAAAACCAGACCATAGAACTCAATCCTAAACCTTGAATCAACTCATATACTCCAGAGCCGAGTGTTTAAATTCCGACTATTATTTTTATCTATTTCAAAGGACAAACAACGAAATATGACCACCATAACGCCTTTTACGATAGCCGTCCCCGACGAGCATATCAGGCAGCTTAACCAGAAGCTCGAACAAGCGACTTTTCCCGATGAGCTCGATGCTGCGGGCTGGGACATGGGTGTTCCGCTTGTTGATATGAAGCGACTGGTTACCATCTGGCGGGAGAACTTTGACTGGCGTGCCCAGGAAAAGAAACTTAACGATCAACTCAAGCAATTTACAGTGCCTGTCACTGTAGATGACTTTGGAGATTTGGATATTCATGTTGTGCATCATCGATCTGGGAACCCGCGTGCCATTCCTCTACTTTTTATTCATGGATGTATGTATTCACTTGTCTGATACAATCGAGACATGCGTTGCTAAGCTCTGTATCGTTAGGGCCTGGAAATTTCCTCGAAGTAACCAAGTTGCTTCCATTGCTCACAAAAGATGATCATGGTCCCGCATTTGATGTCGTGGCACCGTCGCTTCCTAATTATGGATTCTCACAGGGGGTTCAGAAGGTGTTTCCATCATTGATACCAAGTTGGCTAGAAGCTGATCCATGTTCAGAGAGGATTTGGCTTGGCCCAATACACCGAAACCGTTCACAAAGTGATGATAGCCCTAGGCTACGATAAATACGGTACATATTCCATACCCAAGACCTCTCCTTCTCACCCACCTTCCTGATAAGGCGTTGAGCTTGAACGAGAACTAACTTTTCCCAGTCGTCCAAGGAGGAGATTGGGGCAGCATTATCGCCCGCACTCTAGCAACGAACTACTCGACACACATCTCAGCAGTCCACCTAAACACAATCCCCGTATCTCCACCCTATCCCTGGCGCAACCCACTCCGATTCCTCCAATCACTCATCAGCGTCCCATTCTCGGCCAAAGACCGCGCTTGTATCAGCCGGACATTCGAGTATGTGACCAAAGGTAGCGGCTACATGATACAGCAGGCTTCCCGGCCCCAGACACTCGGGTATGGACTGCATGATAGTCCCGTTGCGCTGCTAGCATGGATATACGACAAGCTGCACTCGTGGTCAGATAGTTATAGCTGGACCGACGAGGAGATCTTGACGTGGGTGAGTGTGTATTTCTTTTCGACGGCGGGACCGGCGGCTTCTACTAGGATTTATTATGAGGCTTTTGCGCCGAAGCGGGTGACGGTGAAGAAGTGGGTGGGAATCTTTGACATGTTTGAGACCCCGGCACCGGCGGGTGTGCGTTTTGCAGTGGCGCAGTTTAAGGGGGAGATTATGCAGTGGCCTTTGGCGTGGTATCGGGCTATTGGGAATGTGGTTCAAGAGAGCGAGTTTGAGTGTGGAGGTCACTTTGCGGCTTGGGAAGCACCCGAGTCGATTGTTGGTGATTTGAAGAAGTTCTTGGGTAAAGATGGGGCGGCTTATGCCGTGGTAGAAGGTAAAGATGGCTATTAATTCTCTGCTGAGATTAGGGTATATAAGATCGTGGTATAGTGTGGCATTGACATTGATGACGGGGCTTGTATTATCGTGATAGGAAGAGTATAGTCGCGAAGAGTGATATCTTGCAAATCTAAATGTCAACTGCTCTGCACTCCATCCAGGCCGTCCATGGCACCCCGTCACCTAGAGAAAACCGCAGACGCCATACTCTGTCTTGAATCCGACAGAAAGCCCAAAATAACCAGCTCGAACATTGTGATCCCCTTTAATCCTGTCGTCCCTTGAGTAGCCTCTGGGTGACCTTTCCTTTCTCAATAATCCACACCTGCGCACCCCATCCTGATAACGCATCTCGGTCAACGGCAGCCAGTAGGGCTTGCGAGATGGTCTCGAAGAGATCCTCGGGTTCCTTTAGAGTCACAACGTTAGCTCAATTTCAAAGACAGTCCAACAAGAATTAGTAACATACCATATCCGGCTCCCACAGACCCTCACAGGTACCGAACAGCTGTTCGCTAGCAGTTCCGCTCACAATGAAGTCCTTGGCAAAATCGATACAGCCAATGCTGTCAAATCCACAGATGAATGGCTTTCCGGTTGTCTCATTAATACCAGCCAGCACAGGGCTGACGAAGAATGGACCGAAACGCTTCTCATACAACGATGAGCTGACCAGGTTGGCCAGAGTCTGGGGTGCGATATTGCGTTCCTCGCGCAGGCGATACATGTTGACCTTGTAACGAAGTAGATCGGATACGGTATTGACGTCGGTAGCAAGACCAGTTAGGCCGAGGTAGGTAGACGGGGCGTAGTTGAAGACCTTGGGGAAGTTGTTGGAGATGGTCAGGGCTTGCATGCCCAAGCGGAGGTCGCAGGCGATGGCAACACAGTCCTTGCCCACCATGGCGACACAGGCACCACCATCTAATAGTCTGTTAGCATATGCATATATAGTTTGTCACCAGGCAAGGTTTGATCGTACTGATGTCGAAGGGAGAGCCCTGATGATGGGAAGGAGGTTAGCTTCAAGGTCCAACGGCTAATAAATGAGACAAGGGAACCCATCTCCATACCATTATTGCGGATTTCTTTTATTCAATGTAGAATGAGATAGATTTTCTGAAGCTCTCAAGGGAAGGATGTGTAGAGAGAAGAGGGTGGTGGAGGGACGTGAAGGGTGAGTGATGGGTGAGAGGTGTTGATGATGGGGAGCTGTGAGGTGCGCGAGCTCGGATGACGCCGCCGCACCGCTGCCTGTTTCGTCTGTGCCCTTTACCTTCGACTACTTTCTTCTTTCCACTCAACACCTTTCGACCTTTTTAGACGTCTTCATCTTTGTTCGTGGAGTTGTCTTTCATAGATCGTTAAGACTGTCTCTTTTCCACCTCGTCCGAATCTTCACAAGCTTTCTCACAGCTGGTTTTACTCATCCCCGCCCGCGCAACGATGAGCGCCCACGTTGTGGTTATCGATGCTACAGCTAAGAGGGCAACAATCAAGACAACCCCGGCCAAATACTTGACAGACATATTGCAAGAAGCTTGCTCGAAGCTTGGATATAACTCAAGTCAATATGGACTCAAGTATGCTTTGATAGACCCCGCTGATTTATGATGATGCTGACCCTTCACTTTTTCTAGGCATAATCGCAAACAACTGGACCTATCCCTCACCTTCCGCCTCTCCGGCCTTAGCTCTGGAGCAAAACTGGAGCTTGTTCAAGCATCCCGCTCCCCCTCCGTCGTTACAGTTGGTCTTCAACTGCCAGAATCTGAAGCCCAGGGTGCTCCCAATGGACGCATACAAGACAAGTTCCCAAGCACAACCACTCTCTGGTTGATTTTGCGCAAGTTCGAGGCCGGAGTCGCAGGAAACGGACAAGTACGAAATCTCACGGCGCGCGGGGTACCTTCTACAATTGACGGCGACTGTGGCTCTGGGCGATTATTCTACGAGAGCCCTGTTCTGCGGATTTTGGATCGCGAACTTTCAAGCTTCACGGATCTGCAAAAATCACTTGCCCAGTTAGGTTTTAATAACGGTAGCGTGTTGATGCGAGTCGGGTTCAAACGAACAGAGGAGCCATTAGAGGAAGCTATGGTGAAGATTGCTGAATACTTCAAGTCAACTGGAGATGATACACCAGTGCCATCACAAACCCAAACCCCTCCGGTTCCTGCCATCGAGGAGACCACTGCAGCATCAGAGCAAGAATTTGCTAGCGAACCAAATGTCCCGAATAGTGTACCCATAGCAGCAGCTCCCGAGTTGCCGACATCTACCCGATCTGTCACTGTCTTCTCTCCTCCATCCGGTGACACCCCGTTCTCCGCACAAGCGCCATACAATGAAGAAGACTATATCCCCTCCATTGAGCATGCCACGGCTCATCAGCGTCAACTAAACCAGTCCTCCCGTCCACATCGTCTACCAACAGACGCTGAGATCGCCGCCAAAGCTGCTGCAGAAGAACAACGGCGCGCAGATATTCGCGAAGTAGACGTCAAAATCCGGTTCCCGGATCAAAGCCAGGTAGTCGCCAAGTTCGGCCCATCAGATACCGGCCAGTCACTCTATGACTTCGTGCGCAGCTGTCTGGTGCCAACATATGCAGAAGTAAAGTTCGCATTGAACGCTTTCGCCAGTGCAGCACCAGCTCGTGCCGGACATGCGAATGTCATACCGGAAAATCAGACTCTGTTGATCAAGGGTCTTAAGCTGGAAGGAAGAGTCCTGGTTAGTTTTACATGGGCTGACAATGCAAGCTCTGCGACCCATCAGCAACGAACGGACATTTTACGTTCGGAACTCCGCAGCCAGGCCCAGGAAATCAAGGTTGAGCAGCTACCGGAGCCTGTCCAGGAGCCTTCTAAGGCGACAGCGGAGGCAGGTCCTAGCGGCAGTGCGGACGCAAGTAAGGTTGGATCACGAAAGAGTGGCGGTGTGCCTAAGTGGTTGAAACTGCCTGGAAAGAAATGAAATGGACTTGCATGAACTACTATGAGTGAGGTGATTTGGATGACCATATCATGATTATAAATCGAAAATCGGTCGACTTTCAATATTTATTACTGCTTCGGCATATCGATCGTGAGACAGAACTAATGCATTGCATGGAAATGATGAACGCAGCCATCAAGAGCGACTTCAGTATATAGTGTACATACTGGTGTAGAAAAGAAGCCGGCAGATCGACATGGTATATATGTCTATGGGTATCCGAGACTGCAGATAAAGCCGGTGGAGTATCGAAGACTCCATATTAATTATAAATCTTCGACGCACGGAATCCACAGACAAATGGGCATAATCTAGCATGATCCACCCAGATCGAGACGTCTACAAGGCCTACATACTAAAAAGGACAAGCACAAATCATGAATTGGAACAAAATTTTCATTATGGTTTCTCTTCCTAGAGGGGAAGGGATCCCACTTTTGCCATCCCCATCATCCACCGGTAGTCACAAAAAACCCCCGTGGTCCAATTCCGCGAGCCATACGCCATTCGGCAGTCTTAATGATAAGCAGCCAGCGTGAGGATGAAACAAGACTCGGGTAGTTTCAATTTTTTCGTTCGTTGCGCGCGCCAGGTATTCAAGTCGTTACACGAAAGAGAAAAAAGGGTTCACGTTATTGACACATTTAGTGACCAGTGACACGGCGAGACTCGGCGATGACCTTCTGCATGTCCTCGACCTTTCTCTTACCGCGGGTGAATGTGCCGAGCTAGAGAAAATGTTAGCTTTTCATCTTAGATTGTGTTGAGTAGAGTTTGACTATTCAACTGCTGAACATGTAGATCGTGGAAGTGGTGCTAGGTTTTGGTTTCAGGATTGGAAAGAGTGCGCAAATGTGCCACTGCAAGGTTGACGAAATCTTCCTTGTGGCAAATTTGCAAACCACTCCAAAATTCCTCCTGAATCCAGCCATATACCATCCCAATCGATCATACCAATCCAAGCAACGAGCATTCAAAACTCCAGACGGGGTAGTGAGAGGTAGACGTACGCGCTTCTTAGCGAGCTTACGGGCACGCTTGTCCTGAGCGTTACGCAGCAACTCAATGACACGGCGCTCGTAGGGGGCAAGACCGACGACCTCACGAGCGATCTCGCGGACGAACTGGGTGCGGCGGGAAGACTGGCCCTTGGAACGGCTGATCTTGGTCTTGGGGGTGTTCAGCGCGGTGGTTTTCTGCATAACGTAACCAAGTCAGCTGGTCTGATCCATAACAATCCAATTGCTGAGAAAGTTGCATCTCCGGTGTAGTCTGTCTGCTGATATCGGTTTCTTGATTTCGGTTGTGGGTCGAGTCGGGTTCAAATCGTAGTCAAAAAGATATGTCCATGTCGATCTCCAAATGCCAAAATTTTCCATCACACATTCTCTTTTCATATCGCAGTGTTTCCTTTTCCTTCTCTTGATTCCACCAACGTGCCCTTAGTGGCACTCGCTATTCTGGCATTCGCAGGACTGTTTTGACCGAGAACCAAGACCGATTCGAAGAAACCGATAAGAGAAAAACAGAGATCCGAGAGCTTCGGGGATTTGCAGGTAGGGAATTCAGAACACACGTACCCGGCCGTGGTTGGTGCCGACGATGATACCGGTACGTTCCTGCGCCATCTCGACGGTTGGTGAGTGAAGGGGTTGGCGGTGGTTGTCGAAGAAGGGAATGAAGAAAGTCGTGTGGAAATCCCCTAGTGTCCTTGGAACCGCACATTTGCGGGTCTTGGCACGGACTCTGTGTGTAGGCGAGTGACTAGGGCTAGGGCTATTATGTAATACAGTCTTGTGACTCTAAGCCTAGATTGGCTTAGCTCCCGAAGTCCTGATTCTGTGCCTTGATGCCTTGATGCCTTGATGCCTTGATGCCTTGATGCCTTAAGCAGACTGCTTAGACTTCCTGGCCCGATGTATTTGCCATTAATTGTAGTAGCTTAAAGGTTTTGTTTTTCTTTCTGCAATCAACACTCTTTTGCCGCACAGTAAATAAATAAGAAGTTCATGGTTAGCAATAGAGAGGTGTTCCTCTGCACTGATGTTTATGAGTAGTAACAATTGGAAGCTGGATGTGAATCTTGAAATCTTAGAAATACATTGCGAACTATGTAGTCGTTAAATTCTATGGTCGTCCACATATTGCTGTTTTTTCTTTTTCACATCACATCTCATAATGCCCCGTAAATGGTGATCACAGCCTCACACCCATCACACCATCCAGTGCCTCCTCCCAGCTCTCCATCAAAGAACCACAGAAAAGTTCAAGATCCGACATGTTCAGAGTGGCATTGAATGCTGCCTCAAGCTCTTTGCTGTGCGGGGAGGATGAAGGGCCTTGAACGACAACGTCTACCATCGTACTCAAGACACCTGATCTAGAGATGCGCTGCTTCAGGGCCCGAGTGTTTGATCGAACAAGCTCAAAGACTTGCGGCACCAGATCAGCGACCCGCTCCACACGCTCCTTGGGCAACTTGACAGACTTAGAGGCCTTGCGAGAAGCCAAGGTAGCCAGTTGCGACGCGGCCTTGAGAGTCTCGAGAAGGGTGAAGATGCTGTGAAGATACTCCCAAGTTGCAGCGGTTGGGTCATTGGGTAGTAGGTAGACTCCTGTGGAGATGATGAGGCGGGAGACCTGGGACTCGTTCAGAGTCAACTCGATCTTCTTCGAGTTCAGCCAGTCTTCCAGTTCTCCAAGTGCTTTATCAGCTTGCTCGGCGGTGGTTAGCTTGGACCCAGCCATATAGGTCGCCACCTTGAGCATCTCGGCATGGATCTTAGATTTATCCTTCTCGGCCTCGGTCTGGTCACTGGCTTCTGAGATGGACAAGGCATTGAGGTCGGGTAAATCAGCTTCCCGGGTCAATGGCTTCTGGATGGAAATACCCTTCAGCACACTGAACAGTTGATCAGTAATTCTAGCCGAGGCGAACCAGTTGGCCTAAACTAAAATCAGCATGCTACTGGTAGATTATAACTAAGGACGGGGTATGATGACTCACCTTTGGAATAGGTCCCAGCCGCACCAAGTTCTCAAAACTGTGCTTGCCAGGGAACTCGCAGTCCATAAAGGCTGTGTAATCGCGTCCGTCGTAAGTTGGGGTGTTTTTCATTGCTGGAAATTTTCAGTCCATCAGTAAGAGAATACACGCAATGCCAAAGCTGTCAAGAAATTTGTGGTCTTACCAAGCTCCTCAAACCGAGTCGTTGGATCCCCGCCCACCAGTCTCTGTGCCTGTCGCACATGCAAGGCCATCATTCGGCGACAGATACTGTTGGACAGTCGTCGTCGGAGTTCAACGATCTCTTCCACATTTGTGTAACTTCCTTCGTCCAAACCACGGGATCGGAAGTTCATGGTAGTAACGTCAGCATTGCGGAAGAAGTTGAGACCCTGAACAAATGCCGCTTGGGGATCGAAATCCTTGCGCTCTACACCTTCTGTCGGCGGTGCTGAGTGAGGGTGAATTGTGGAAAGTCGCGTGAAGAAATTGTGAGCCACACTTTCATACTGCATTTGCTTGACAGACATCTTGTTGAATGTGCTAAAAGCAAGGGAGCCTGCTCCGAAGAGAAGGTAGATGCGCACCAGAAGTAGAAGCGCCTGGTAGCTGTGGGGCGAATCACGAAGAAGACGTTCAAGGATTGCGGTAGCACGAAGAACAGAAGCGTGAGAAACATGCGATTGCTCGTTAGTCTCACTTAAGATAGCCATGGCTGCAAGAATGCACAGATCATCTGTGGATTTGCTTTCGATGGTGGAAGATGACCCATTCGTAGCTGTTTCTGCCTTCTTTACCTCACTTCCACCGGTAGAAGTTTGGTATAAATTCAGACAGCGGGTAACGAAGTCTTCAATTAATTCCTGCGAAGGTTTGCCTTCGGCGCCTGAAATGTTCAAACAATATTCCAGCTTGAGAGCATTAATAGTAGCATTGACAGCCTGCGCAAAGTTAGACTCTAGAGCAATGGATGGTACAGTAACTTGAACAACTAACATCTTTACCCTCTACCTTGCCTTCAGACATGTATTTGAGCATCTTTGCCATGGCATTTTTGTTGCCACCCAGGATCCGTCGAAGGTCGTTAAACGCATAAAGCTTTCGCTTGTGTTGGTCAATGTACTGCTGGCAGGCAGGCAGCAAATTGTCTTCGAAGGTCATTTCACCCTTTTCGATGGCAGATATGATTATGTCAAGGCGAGTCAGGGCTGCGTTACGAGACTTGGGTTGGAATTCCATGAAACTCTCAACAAATTTCTGGATTTCAGCGGCAGTTCTGTGTATAGTGTCAGTTCACTATTGGTGACACGGTGATGCTGTAAGACTAACCCAGGGGTATCATTGTTCTGCACGGCTTGGATCAACAGATTCCAGATGTTCCAGTCATCAAGCTCCCCGAGAGCTTTTAGCTTCTCCTCTTCATCGGGAACAGTGTAAATATCTTTCACGAAAGAGATCGCATCGTTCCATAGCTTCGCCGCTCCCAGGTTTCTGGCTTTGATGCCCAGGAAAGTCCTATCGCCCTGGCAGATGTTCGAGTTGATACCCACGTTATCACTGTCCAAGATCTTCACAACTTCATCGAAGCGCTTTTGAGACTCGAAAATATTGACTAGCAGCATCACCTCCTCCGACTTTTGAATGGCCCGGGGTTGACTTAATAACTGAGTCTATGAGCACATCAACCAATTAGCTTTTTCCAACCTGGCCAGATTGGAGTCGCTAAGTTATATGAATCCCCATGTATAATTCAGGAATCTTCAAAAAAAATGCTTACCGGATCAGTGGGAACATCGGCAGCCGCTTTATTTATCATGCGGTACGCCAATGTCCCGAACAGCTTGCGGTCCATTTCTGAGCTTTTTTCGTCGATAGCAAGCATGTGGCTGCAGAAGATAGCCCAGAAATAATATTTCCGTTCGCGAGGAAAGTTCTTTTGAAGACTCATAGTAGCCTAGCATGGAAATAGCAGGTAGTCAGCTTCCACACTCCGGTTACCAAGTCAGAGCTTCTCAAACAACATACCTTCTGCGCAGACTTCCAGTCATCATCTTCGAATGCAAATGTGAACCATCTCAATTGGATCTCCAGGTCCTGGGGCTTCGCCTTGGCAGCCTTTTCCCAAAGCATGCTCCGAGTGTCGGCATGTCCGTCCATCTTTTGCAGAGTCTGGAACAAGATATCGAGGGTGTCAGTATCGGTAGTGGGCGGTTCGGCCTGGCAGAGCTCAAGAGTTTCCGTGATACCACGCTGGTGGTGAGCCTCATCTGCCATGCGGAAAAGAACGTGTGCTTTCCATGCCTGTCGCGAGTGTGGTAAGCGGGGGATCTCAGAAACCAAGCCTTTGGGTGTTCTGGTGCGGGCATAGGGATGTCAATTGAGCGAGCAGAGGGCAGACGTACCTTCAGAAAGCGAGTTTCTTCACCTTTCTTTATGCGCTTCTCGATTAACTGCAGGGCCTGTTTCAAATTCTGCCCGTCAATAGCATCTTGGATCTGGTTATTGCGCCGAAGGAACACAGGGTCTTTGGAGGGTGCCATGGTGGTAAGCTCTTGCTTGGGCTTGATTTATCCCACTCAGCTCACAGAGCAGTCCGTATCCTGTACTGTGGACAGCCTATCAGTAACGTGAGAATGAACGTGGGATAAGTTATGCACACGCCACCGAACGAGAAGCGGTCAGCGGGGAGTTCACGGATAATGCCACTTTTGGCGGGGAAGCATTTAAAGGCGGTGAGGATAGAGCAGCGAAGACATTAGGCATGTTTGAAGGTGCATTGTTTGTAATTTCACAAATCTGTCAGCGTGTCTTATGGCATCGCAAATTTTGAATTCAAACATTGTTTTAAACCTTAGGCAATGTCTTCAAAGCTTCTAATAAACCTCGTCTGAAGGAAATCTCAAGTCTAGGCTAATGCTCAGCTACAGCACGCATAAATATATATCATGTTGAAGGGGTTAGTACAAACAGTAAAACCTGGCTAACGAACATAGGTATCTAAATTCTTATGATTTGACCAGCGCTGCTAGGATTTATATTGCTTGCATATAGAAGTAGTATACCAGAACCAAACTTGATGATCATAGAATGTGCAGGTCCAAAAGTTTAACAGTGATGGTTGATGTAAACACGCATAATAGTAAGTGGGTAGTATACATGCTCAAAGAATATTCTACAAATGACACTTGAAGCCATATACAAGGGCTAGTGCTGAGAAGACAGAACCCGATCGCCCGAATTATTTCTGTTTCTGTCCAGTTGCTGCCTTTTTTTGATTCAACTGGTAAAGCTGTTAGTTATGTGATCGGTGCCATATTCGATAGGACTTGGCCCATTCTGAAGAAGAAGATATGAATTATAAAAGATCGAAATGGTGTTTTATGGAACTTACCCAGTTTTTCTTGCAATCCCGATAAGCCCTAATACCAGAAATTCGAGTCAGCAAAGGATGGTTCGTAATCATGAACACCAATCGTGAGCATGGCACGTAGGGCCAGCCGAAATGGGGCCCATGGTCTCGGAACGGTAGGAAGAGCTAGCATACTGGAAGTAGTCACCACACATTTCGCGATCATATGCATTGCGCTTCAGGCACTTGAGACTTCGATCCGCGAAGTCCTGGCAAGGATCATAAAACTCGCTTGCATTTTTACTGTAATCCAAGTCAGCGGGCACAGAAAAGAAGAGGAATAAATCTGGATAGAATCTAGTTATGTACGTAGGAGGCTATCACACACAGTAATGGCCTCTTTCCATACAGCCATCGTATAGATAGCTACGCGGCTTGAACTTACTGAGCAAATGTGCGCTCGGCATTCTCCCACGCCTTTTCGTGGGCCTCTGGCTTGGATGATTCCGACATGTGTGAACGTAGAGATGGAAAATTATTTTTCTCCGAAAGGATCTTGATAGATCAATGCCGAGGTGTGCTGTTGGAAATAGGTTGGAAAGAGCTAGAGGTTGATTGGAGGGAGGTTGTAGCGTTTCGCCGGGCAGAATTGCGGGTCCGTAGTCTTGGCATTGAAATTGTATTCCGCATGTCTCCTTTTAACGGCCATGACTGAACCAACAACCTTATTATATAGTTGTCTAGCTTATAACCTAAAATCGGAGATTATTGTCTTCTGGGCGATTGGGGAATATTCAGTGGTGTTCCGGCCAAGGACAGGGCAAGAGTTGTTGACCTTGCCATTTTGTTTGAATTGTTGGCATTTAAGTGAAACTTATCTATTTACTACTTGCTCCGATTTGGCCTCCCTTGTAGCTAACATCATATGAAACTATATATTCATTAAATTGACCATCGATGTCATCTAGATCAACCTGCAACTCCGTAGTTGATACGATAAAGGTCCAAATGACTCGTTCCGTATCTTCGACCGTTTTGATCATGATTAGAATGATAAGTGTTGCAATTTTGACTACGTAATAGCCAAAATGACATTTAACATTGACAGTATGGACTGAATGCTTATATTTCAGCTTACCACACCTTATAAGGCAGAAAATGAGTGGAGTTCCCGAGGGGCCGGCCCGCCAAAATTACTCCGTTTTATTGCCACGCCAGGCCAACTGATTGCAAGACCCGAGGCGCTAATCTGCAGGCATTATAGGAGTGGGTATATCACACTATCACTGCAGTTAGTGTGCGCTTAGGTGGTCTGAAGTCTCCTTTTATTGGTCCTACCACCCAACGGCGCAAGGAGTCTGGCCGGGGATAATAGTGGTGTTTTGGTAAGGGGATTGAGATCAGGAATTGCCTAATGGCCCCCTGAAAAGGAAAGAACTTACGTCTTATTCCAAGGAGAAAGTTAAAGACCCAGAGAGGGTATAGTGACAGGAAAGTGAATATATTGTTCAAAACTTAAAGCTTCTAAAAGCAACGGGATAGTTGGGTTCAGAATCACGTGAATAGAAAACTGCTTATTTGACTATATGCCTGAGGCCACCAAATAACACGATTGTCCTGAGTTCCTGCATTTCTCATCGCCACAGTTTTCCCGGCCTTGGAATATCGTGGCCCTCTGATACAACTTATTTATTCGCGAAATCCTCCTGAACCTGCGCTGTGGCCCAGATTTCAGCTTTTTGTCTGATTGTGGGCCTTTCACTTGAACTCTTTCTCTGACCCCCACCGCATAGTGACAACTTCACGCCCCCGCTCGATAATAACTCAAAACATAACTCGTCAATGTTGGAGCTGCACTTGCAGTGATAGGAAATAGAAATATCCAGGACATCAGCTGGCCAACATGGCGACTGCAACCAGTCTAGAGGCCGAGTCCTCGGGGGTAAGATCCGACCTTTCTGCGAGTGTTGAAAATATCAAGTCTGACGCGTCTATAGCTTGTCAATACCCTCCAAGGCCATGTGGATGATATCCGTACCTTACTACAATGTGGAATTTGTATACGCCCGCTATACGAGCCTTTCACTATCGCCTGTGGGCACACCTTCTGTTATTCCGTCAGTTACTTCCTCCTCCGCCATGCATATGTTATTAACATCGAATAGTGTCTATCATCATGGTTTGCAGGTGGAAGATCGAAAAGGACATGTCCCGATTGTCGAGCGCCCGTCAAAACGCAGCCTGCGCCGGCCTACTTGGTCAGTCTATCCGCCCTAGCCTCTTGAAAATTATTATCTGACATGTTTTGTTTTAGGTTCGAGCTGTCGTGAAAATGTTCACCAGTCATGCGGAGCTCTTGGATACAGAAGAGACTACATCGGAACACAAAAAGAACCACGACGAGGAAATAGAGAAGCTGGACAAAGACAAGGCAAACACAGACCCGCAAAAAGGAGGTCTTTTCGGAGGACTTTTCGCGACAAAACCCGCCCAACTGAAACCTGTCATCGACATAGAAGATGGTATCATGCGCTGTCCAAATTGTTCTTGGGAACTTGAAGACGGCCAGCACTGCGCGGGGTGTGGGTACACCTATCGGCCGGATTCTGAGGGCTCAGACAACAGTGACTCGGAATTGTCCGATACCGATTACGATTCTATCTTAGATGGAGATGATGAGGACGACGACGATGAGGATGAGGATGATATAGACGAGCCACAGGTGACGAGATCTCGACCGCCCAATTATCCATTCCACGCATACGACCAGCCTACCTTGGGTGCGTTATTCCGCGACTTGCACCCTCATCCGTTCTATTTCACCGCGTTTAGACCACCCCTCCCCGGCGGCAACCAATCGTCTCCTTGGGACCCACCGCGTCCGCCGACCGATTACGCTTCTGAAGAGGAAATGGAAGAGGAGGAGGATGACTATTACGAAGAGTCATTCATTGACGATGAAGAACATGAAGAACATACGCAACTCGAAACAGAGGCATCTGATTCCGATCATACTACAGTGATTGGTAGGGCTCGTCCTCGCAACCCCAATTCATCTATCGTACAGTACCCTCAAGTGCATCGCCCTGCTTCCGCCGCCGAACTAGAGGATTACGACTGGAACAGCGAAGATGAGGATGGACTTGCGGAACTTAGAGGACAATGGGTCGATGAGAATGAATCCTCTGAAGGAGGATCCGAAGTCTCAACACGGGACCGACCCGAGCAGGAGAGTCAATCATCCGATGACGAGGACGAAGAAAGCGATGAAGAAAGTCGGCGAAGGCTGAGGGAGGCCTATGGGTTTGGCGTAGCCATACCCCCTATCCGTTACCCAGATTATGGGAACGACGAAGAAAGCGAAGAAAGCGAAGAAAATTCCAGCTCACCTCCAAGACCTAGAGTTTCAAGGACTAGAGGCTCATCTGCTCAAAATGCCATCGCTATTGATGATTCGGATGAGGAGGAACCCGTTGGTCCCGTACGAAGAACAGCCCATAGACGGCAAGCACGGTTTTCCCCGTACTGAGCTCCCAGTGTCTCATTTCTTGTTTCATTTTCTGCATATTCGGAATGGTCTTAATAGCGCGGCGCTTCGGATGGGATAGAAAAATGGCTTGGCGCTTTGCTTGTTATCTGCAGGCTTCAACCTCGATTGGCGAAACGGTTCTTATAGTTCATCGCCGTGCTTTATCCCTTCACCAACTCATACCCCAACATACTGTCAATACCTCACTTCTTCATATCGCTCCATTTATAATATCTTTGGCAGACTAGCGGATTGAGTAAGGAAGGAAGGTTAGAACGGTGTCTTATTGGGGCGATCTTTCAGTATTTCATAGTCTTCCAAAGTCCTATTGGAGCTAGTTGAAGTAAATATTAGCTGGAAGCGTAAGCTACAGCTTATCTATGGAAAACCTCGAGGTCTTGGCAACATTGTTGTAGTACATGAGTCATCTGCCATATACCCCACGCCCACAACTTTCATTACTTCTGTTTCAATACTTTTCACTTTCTTTCATTTTCCATTCAATAATGGCATCGACTCAGACCATATCATATGGGCACTGGAGTAGCCCGCTCACTGCGGAGCGTCTAGCTACAAATAGCATAACATTGCACGAGCTAGCAGTGAATGTAGGCGATAACCTGCGGCTGATCTACGACAAGGTTCACTAACGCACCACAGGAATCAAATGGAGCCATCTACTCTATCGAATGTCACCCAACAGAGGATGGTCGCTATGCAATCGTCCAGCATCTCAACGGCAAAAGCCAAGACGTGCTACCCAAAACCTTGAGCGCCCACGCAACAGTCCAAGAACTTGGCGGTGGCTCCATCGCCATGCGCCATGATGGACAGGTTCTATTCGCAGACGAAGAATCCCGCAACATCTACCTGTTGGATTCAGCGGGCGAAACCAAAATTGTTCACCGGGCTATTGAGGGAATTCGGTATGCTGACTTCTGCAGCCACCCCTCCAAGCCGGAGTGGATCCTTGCGATCAAGGAAGACCATAGAGAGGCTACACCCGAGACGCAGGCGACGCATGTTCATAACATGTTGGTAGCTATCAATATTGAACTGGGCACGGAGACGACGATTGCTCAGGGAGATGATTTCTATTCTCATCCTAAATTCGATCCTTCGGGGAAGTATGTTTCGTGGATTCAGTGGTCGCATCCTGATATGCCATGGACTGGGACGGTGCTTTATTATGCTCGGTGGGATGATGGGTCTTTGAAGAATGTTACCCGCATTGCTGGTAAAGCTCAAGAAGAGAGTATTGCTCAGCCAAAGTGGAGTCCAGATGGACTGTTGTATTTTGCGAGTGATCGCACTGGCTTCTGGCAGCTCAACTCCTTTGACGTGAAAAGCGAAGAACAAAGTACTTTGTCATTGAAGACATTCGAGAAAGCTGATTTCGCATATGAGGAATGGGAGCTTGGATGGTATGTGCGAGTACTGCTTTGACCTTTTGCTGGCAGTTATCTGACGTATGGGCAGTTCCACGTACATCTTTCTCGATGCGCAAACTATAGTGGCAACAGTCATTACCCACGCTACCGCCAAGCTCGTTCTAATCGATATAGCCACCTCCTCTGTTCGTGGCCTTGATCTGCCATATGTGAACATTTTCGAAATTCGTCGAGTCTCAGCAACTTCCTTCGTGGTAGTGGGCACTTCAACCACCTTCCCTGAGGAACTTGCATTGATATCAATCACACCAACATTCAAAGCCGAAAGAACCGTTCTCACATCAACGGCAACATTTGAACTTCCGTTTGAATATGTCTCTGTCGCAAAGGAGCTTACAGCCCCTCAGAAACACGGCCCATTGACTGACGGCCATGTTCACATGTTCTATTTCCCACCTCGCAACCCCAACTTTCAGTCCAACGGTCTTCCCCCTCTACTGGTCTACGTTCACGGAGGACCCAATGGATCCACAACTCCGGCCCTAGACCTGGAGATACAATTATGGACCACACGCGGATTTGCAGTATGCGCCGTGAACTACACAGGATCCACCGGATTCGGACGAGAATACCGAGAACGACTCTCAGGATACTGGGGCCTCGTCGACGTAGCCGATGCCGTCAGCGCAGTGGAATACCTCGTTGACGAGGGCTTAGCCGATAAAACCCGTGTTGGAATCTACGGAGGAAGTGCCGGCGGCTATCTAACGCTGCGAGCACTGCATATGTATCCCGATGTATGGGCTGCAGGAGTTAGCTCCTATGGTATTAGCGACGTGCGAGCTCTTCAGGCAGACTCGTATAAGTTCGAAAGTCAAGATGTGGATCGGTTGCTGTTGAGCAAGACTGCGCCACAGGAAAGGGAGCTTGAGCTTACCAAGCGCAGTCCGTGCAATTTTGCAAATCAGATACGGGGCTCTTTGCTGCTTTTGCAGGGGACTATTGATATGGTTGTTCCGGTAGCGCAGGCAAGGATGATGGCGGATGCTATGCGGGCTCATGGGAGAGTTGCAGAGGTTGTTGAGTTTGAGGGTGAGGGACATGGATGGGTTGGACAGAAGGCCATTTATGAGTCTTTAACACGAAAGGAGGAATGGTGGAAGAAACATCTGACTTGATTGTCTAGTGTACTTGTGATCTCGAACTACCTAGTAAAATTGAGATGTTACCATTATTTCGGATTTTTTCAAGTAAAAGTGCAAAAAATCTTTGTTATCGATTTGTTTATGGTGTAAAACCAGGACCTGTGAATTACTGTATGCAGTTAGTTTTGCCTTTTGTAGTTTAGCGCCCCAATACCTCGTTCTGTAAGCTCCGTCTTCAGTTGCGCCGGCATAAGAAGCTCGCCCTGCCCTTAGACCTGCTTTGCTTTCTGACATTTCCTTTCACCTCCTCTATCTTGCACTTATCGCCACCCCCTTTCTCGTCGCCTCGGCCCCACCCCCCATTTACGTCTACTTCTCGGCCCTATTCTACGCTAGCAGCTACGCAGGAGTAAGACCTCTGAGATAAGACTTCCCTCCGCAGCAGCATATTGTGATGTGCAAGCAAGTTTACCACGCTTTACCCAAGCCATTGAAGCTTAGCTTACTACGAAGCTGTCTAGAATTACTCCTGCACGTGTACCTCGCCCGGCTCTGGTACTAGTAGCCTTTTTAAACGAATGTAGAGTGCTAGCTGACCCCTAATGCCGTGTGGACAGATAATTCGCCGCCTCTAAGTTTATATTGCGCAGCCCTAACGTCACAATTCGACCCGCGAATCGTATAGCCTATTCGTCGATATTATCGGTCTCCAGTTCTTCTTTACCCTATCAGTAGATAGATAAAAGCACAGTTCAATAATATCAACTAATAGCGAAAATACCGCAATCGTAGGCGGGCTTGAGTAGCCTTTCGGACAGCGCACCTACTTATTATTAATACGGGCATCATCCCTTTACGATAATATTCTAGACAATAAAGGTCCCACTTAGGGATTACCTAGCCGGTTATCTTATGGTAATAGGTTCCTATTCCATTCAGCTTATCTTCTACTTTACCTTCAGTCATACGAGTCGGGCTACACCAGGCACTAGCCGAGATTCCGGCTAAGCTAAGTACGTATCGAAGAAGAGCCCTTTCTACTTAGAGTACTTTAAAGGGAGTGAATCCTTCCGCTATTCTACTTTTATTAAGCTCTATATTCTTTTTCTGCTCTATATTTCTTCTATAACTACGGCACCATTTCCGCCGCTCCGCCTATATCGCCGGTTCCTAATACTTAGAGTTAACTCTCTTGTTATTAATAGCGAAGTGCGTTATCAGAAAGACTATATAATTAGGATAAATAATAAAATCTTCAGAATCTGATTAGGATAAATTCAGTATATCTTTCTATCCCAGTACTAATAGCTATAAAGGTGCAAAAACTGAATAAAAAAAAGACTCACACTCTCGACTAGGATGGCCTTTAAATAGCCTCTATATTAACGCTCGTGAAATTTTTTTATATCATTTCGCGCGGGTCTTATAGCCCTAAGGTAATTTTTTGGGCTAGGTTCAGCATATAACAATTATCTAAACGACGATAAATCTAATGACTAATTAGAAAGGACAGAATTTAGAGAGGAACACGCCTAGTACCTCTTAAAATAGTAAGAGTATATTCCGAGGCCCTATGAGCTCTATTGACTTTGAAGCAGGTTTTGCTAAGAAATAACTAAGGAGATAGGTACCATACCCAAGTAAAAGTTTATAGGAAGAGGCAATTCGCCACAGGATACTAGGTGACGTCAATCTATTTCCCGAGTTTATCTTAAGTTCATAGCAGATATAGAAGACATTTATAAGGGACTAATAGAGCGAGCTTTCTCTAAGTCAATTAAAGAAAGAAGTATTCAAGTAATATTTAGTCCCGAAGAATAAAATTTCAATATCGTAAGTTTTATTTTAAGAGATAATTAGGTAAAGCTTATAAATCCAGGACATAGGGACATAAAATTCGTTATTTTAATATATACCATTTAGAATTAGAATCTTTATTAAGATATTATAGTAAGTATATCTAATAAAATAGAAAAATAGAAAGCATATAAAGAACATCTATAAATTCTATTCTAAATTCATTAGTTATATAATCATTTATTAAAAAATTATTATTCATAAAAAAATGATGATTCCTTGAAAAAAAAAAAAATTCTGGATTTGGACCTCGGCCTCGAGAATAAGGACTACAGCGAGCAGCTAGTCAATTTAACCTTATTTATATACGAAGATAATTCATATTTCTGAATAGGGCGCTTATCTTTAGATAATTTATCTTTTAAGTATATTACTGTTAATTATTCCGTGCGCTCCTCTCACTGCAATTCATACACTTTCAGTTCTTCTTACGCGACAGCCCTCTCATCTTATCGGAATTAATAAGGTAGGCATTAAAAGAAGTTCCTCGGCAAGTCTCAACTATAAGTTTATTCTCTTTTATTCGCTAGGGCAGCTATCCAATAACACAGATTTGGCAGACTCGATCTTCTGATTGCCGTATCGTCGATTATATTCAGCCTTCACACATTTATATTTAGGATACGCTTCTAGCTCGAGGCTATTTAGCTTTTAGATCAGAGAGACGATAGCGGTTATCATTATCTTAACAATCCGAAGTTAATATAGATTATGTTTCATGCCGAGCGGAAGCTATTCACTAGAAGCCAGAGATATTTTAGGATAGCCCTTGCCCTATACCTTCAGGAACAATATATGATCGCATCTATTATTAAGGGAAGGCTAGTTGAGATCTACAGACGGCTACTAATCTACTTATCAGCGCATTCCGTTGCGCTAGGAAAAGAATGTTGATAAAACCGACGACGTCAGCCAAGGGCTAAAAACAAAGAATGAACCCCCTCCCCCCTAACCATAAAGCCTATCTAGATCACTGCATACCACCGCATACCACCGCATGCCACCGCATATCAATACCGATATATAGAATGATATACATAAACAGCAGCTAATCCAGGTAACACTTAGTATGCGCCAATGCTTAGATAAGTCAGTAGATCGATAACTAACCTGTGGTCTAGACATTTGAAACAGACGTGCGGGGGAAGTATATTCGCAATAACCCCGAACGTCTAGAAGAGTGCGTAGTCCCAAAAGTCAGCAAGGGCGCAGATAAAGAGACAGTAAGAGAGCAATCTAAATAACACCAGGCGGGTAGTCTTTATTAAAAAGTATCATTTAGCCGTATCGGCTATTAGTGGACGCAGTAGTAAGAGCTTCTATCCGCCCTAAGTACTATATATAGCCAGAGCATATCTATTTTGTCTTTAAATAAGACACATGGCCCATAAGATACTTATTCAGCCAAATATAGCGGCAGCCACTAATCTACATTACTCAAGTAGCGGATGACTGAAACGGCAGAGAAAGGCCGAGTAAATCACAACCATTAATGGATGATTTTGTTCTATGTTTCCTCTCTCGTTAGCAGCTGCACGGGAGACGAGTCTTGACTAAGTTACCATTTGTTAAGACCGACAATAATATCGCGCCGGAAGGTGAACAGAGTTGTTATTTCCTACGAGAAGGAAAGGCTCCAAATTGCGGAATTGTAATCGGCTTAGTGATTATCCCCAGGGCAAGCCGGTACGTGGCTACCAAGGTTCCGCGATATAAACTTAGTAACTGGAACAGATTCAAGCTTGATCACAAATGCCTCAAAATCCCCCACATGGATGCTTACTCTCGAGAAAGTCTCTTTTTTAGCCTCGCTTAATGAACTCGATATTGCACTGCATGCAGTTCGCCGAATCATAGCAATGTTTTCAAATCCTTCGACCCCCATTTATCAGATAAGGGATCCGTTCCCATAATTCTCATATGATCCTCCCGAGGTCTTGCCGAGTGGGGTCTCCATAATCCTTCCACATTTCCTATCTTAGAGCCTTGAGATAAGATTCGTGGAATTAGATCCTCGGAAATGCAGGAGAACCAACTGACATGGATGACTGCACTCCGCTCGGGTGCTTTCGAAATGGTAATTCCCGTCTCGTATTGGTATTGATTCTTAAAACAGTACGTAACTCCAAAAACTTCACGATACACACCCCCTTGAAAATACTTTCAGAAATCACCAAATTGAACCTGTGTCTCCTGAAACGGATACTTCCAAGCCAAAGTTCATCGCCTCCAGTCGGTGATAATACCCGGTCATTCGAAAAATGTCATCACTAGAAGAACCGCCCTTCTTCAACACCAGTCCTTCCGAATTGACTAAATCAGCCTCGGACTTGATCGATCGCGTCAACAAAGCCACCAACGACCTTGTGCGATCTGTATCACCGGAAATAGCATCGTTCGATAATACGATCATCCCATTCGCAAATATCGAAAATGAAATCAAGGGAAAAGTGCAATACATGGCTCTTTTCCAAGCCGTATCTCCCAATCCGGAGATACGCAAGGCGTCTTCGAATGCTGTCAGCATAGTTGATAAAGCCTACCTTGGCCTATTTCGAGACCGATCATTATTTGCGCTAGTCCACGCGGTACAAAATACATGTCCACAAGATAGCATCGATGCTGAAGACCGGAAGTATCTCAAAAACCTCCACTCCTTGTTTTGGGATAACGGGATTGGCCTAGAAGGCAGTGCCAATGAGCGATTCAATGAGATTTCAAATAAATTGGTGGAGCTACAAGTCGCATTCATGGAGAATCTTGGCTCAGATCCCGGTCATGCCTCGAAGACTAGGGATGAGCTTGTCGGTCTGGCGGCGAAAGAACTGGACAATTTATCGGATGGGATTCCGTTGAAGAAATCACAAATCAACATGGTGCTCTCGCGTTGTCAGAACAGTGATACTCGCAAGGAGATCTTTCTTCGAGGCCAAAATACGTTCCCCGAGAACGCCAATCTACTAAAAGAAACCGTCATCCTTCGAGATGAAGCAGCCAGGTTACTTGGCTTCAGTTCATTTGCAGCACAAAAAGGAGGCAACAAGATGCTCAGTTCTCCTGAATTGATTCACCGGATACTCGACGAACTTGCAGATCACTTGCGTCCGATCGCACAGAGAGAGCTGGAAAGAATGAAACACTTGAGGGAGGGCTATGATGATTCTTTCTATCTGTGGGACTTTGATTACTACCATGATCTTCTCCTACGAGAGCAATACAATGTCGACCATGAGTTGATATCGGAATACTTCCCGGCTTTGTTTACGGTCGGGAAAATGCTCACCGTTTTCGAAGGTATATTTGGTTTATTAATCAAAGAGATTAAAGATATACCCCAGAAGAGAGTTTGGCATCCGGAAGTTCAAGTCTTCCGTGCTCAATGTGCAGAGACATTGCGGCTTCTAGGATTTCTCTACGTGGACATCTTCCCCCGAGCAGGAAAATACAGTCATGCAGCCAATTTCAATATCTATCCAGTTAGTATTCCACCCCTGAAAGCTTTTCAAGCTAATGTAGAATATAGTCCTATAAGCCTGCACAAGGAGAGAAGCCACCTGTTGTATGTACTGCTCTAGTATGCAATTTATCCCAGCCGTCCCCGGGAAAGCCGGTGCTTCTGAAGCATCGGGAGGTCATCACTTTGTTTCATGAGCTTGGTCACGGTAATGTTTGATTGAGTCTGTTTATATAATGTATGCTAAATTTTGTTTTAAGGGATACATGATCTTCTGGGAAGGTCCAAATATGCAACATTCCACGGTCATCGAACGGTTTCAGACTTCAGAGAGGCACCAAGTCAGCTCCTTGAATACTGGTGCTGGGTCCCTGAATGCCTTCAAATGCTGAGCTGCCACTATAGTGACTTATCTTTGAGTAGCAACGAATTGACATCACCAAAGGAGGTTTCTTCCCTTCCGGGTCATCTTGTTCGGAGTCTTTCTGCAGCGAAAGAAGTTAATCAAGCCATCTCTACACTAAGACAAATTGCATTCAGCAAGTTTGATATGCAAATACACCACCCAGAATCCCATGGAGAGATTCTTTCAATGAACCTGGATGAAATATTCAACTCTTTACTGCAGCAAACAACGCTTTTGAGTGGGCCTGAAGACAATTTGAAATGGGGAAATGGATTTGCAACTATACCCCATTTCATGTGGGGACAAGAGGCAAACTACTACTCCTACGTATAGTAAGTTCGGCAGTTGCTTCTCCTTATCTATTCTTCCATCCGAGTTATATTAATATCTATCTTAGTACGCGTATGCTCGCAGCTGATATGTGGCATTCAGCGTTCGCGAGGAATCCGATGAGTCGAGAGACCGGACTGAAATACCGAGAGCTAATTCTAGAGCTTGGTGGAACAGGAAATGAAATGGATGCCGTGAAGAAATTTCTGAGAAAGGAGCCTACAGCAGAAACATACTTGCGAGATCTAACTCTGTCAACATAGACAATATAGTTCAAATTTTCTCTCATCTGGTGCCAGTGTGAATTACTTGTAGTCCTCACCAGTCCACTCCATCCAGGCCAGCATAGAGCGTTTTGCAGATCCCCACATATCTGTAGGATGCTGAATCTCATCTTTTGACGGACAGAAAGACTCCAAGCGTTATTCTGATCATTATTGCCATTTGTTTTGGGTATCTGCGACACTTTCTCTCGGAACCCCCTGGGCTACGCAGATACGGTTCAATCCAAGGCATCCAAGCAACGGGGGCCACTGCCACGGTGTTTCACTGCCAACTTCCGAATAGCAGTTCATATGCCGTGGAGACCTTTCTGAAAAGGGCAAATGGGGTATCTGAGGACGAATACTTGGCTAGCGTGCGCCACGAATGGAACATTGCCTCTATTCTGAGTCACCCCAATGTTTTGCCAATACTGGATATTTTCACTGATAAGGGATCTTGGCACACGGCGATGCCATTCATACCGATCACATTATTTGATCGAACATTGGGAAACGGAGCCGCTTTGACTATAAGCGAAGGAAATTGTATGGAGGGAGTGGCGTACATGCACCAGCAAGGGGTTGCCCACTTGGACTTGAAACCCAATAACATTCTTCTTGATGGCGACCTCGTAAAATGATTGATTTTGGCTATTCACAGTATTTTGATCAGCCTCAAAATGCAACAGTCGAAGGTACATGCAGTTCTCCCCTACCCGATTCCTCCCCGAGCCCCCAAACCTAAGCCAACCAGGCTTATTCGGTTTATTCGGCAATACCGGAAAAATTCCTTTGCAAAAGAGCACTTCCCCAATATGTCAGGTTTCAAGCTTCACGCTGCTCAGGTATGGGCTGCTATTTAGATTATTAGGTTGATGTACTAATGTAGCCATTAGAGTACATGTCATTGTTGACTAAATGGCCCAGATTCCGCAGACTGGCTATCGGATGCATCGTCATGTTCTTCCAGCAGTTTATGGGTTGCAATGGTTGGTAGACTCCCTTCCGTATTAGATCGTCACTGACCTCTTCAGCTATGATCTACTATGCACCTACAATCTTTGCTCAGCTTGGCCTCAGCGGTAACACGACTTCCCTCCTCGCAACAGGTGCATGCGGGATTGTGAATTGTCTAAGCACTCTGCCGGCTCTATTCTTTATTGATAAAGTTGGGCGCCGTGTTTTGCTCATGGCTGGCGCCACAGGTACATGTATCTCGCTGGCTATTGTGGGTGGTACCCTAGGCGGTTACGGGTCTAGCTTGCCGGATCACAAATCTGCTGGATGGGTTGGTATTGCATTCATCTATATCTACGATATTGATCAATTTTCCCTACTCTTTTGGTGAGTTTAGCTCCCTTAAGCTAACACATTTGATAATTGGTACAAGCTGACCCGTACTCTAGCTCCAATTGGTTGGGTACTACCTTCGGAGTTCTTTAATCTCCCCATTCGAGCTAAAGCCATGTCCATTACGACATCTGCCACTTGGATGTGTAACTTGTGCGTTTCATCCCTCTTACATTATCCTGGATTGTTCTAACGAGTATGAATAGTATCATTGGGCTTGTCACCCCGGACATGCTTGATTCCGTTACATATGGTACCTACATCTTCTTTGCGGTTTTCTGCCTCCTGGCACTAGGATTTACATCTTTCTGTATTCCCGAAACACGTGGAAAGGTATTTTTATACACTGCCACTGTTCCCCAGACTAGTTACTGACCCTTTCTCAGACCCTTGAAGACATGGATCTCATCTTCGGAGACACGACTGCGCACGAAGAGAAGAAGCGAATCAAGCGTATAAAGGCACTTCTTCGCGGTACTCCTATTGTGGATGACGATGATGAATTCTTGAAGCCGGCGGATCAACAGGCGGAGATTGTGGATGATGTATAAGAAAATTACCGTAATCGAGACTACAAGCAACAGGGAACTGCAATAGAAAAGATACTCAGCCGGTCGAGATCCGGTACTTATGTATGCAAGAGATCTAAATGGTAAAGTACATATAGAAATTGACTCCAAGACACCACACCCCGAATGACACGCCACAACTTGCCCTACACCTCGCGCAGAAAAAGATGCAAGGTCAAGTTAAAATCCGTAAACTTTTATACATCGGCCTCTGCATCAACGAGAGATGCGAACGGGACCTCGAAGACCACTGCACCGTTGCGACCATCCGATGGAGTAGCCTTTTCGTAGTTGTTGGCAAAGTGCTTGAACCGCGCTAGTCGGTGCTCCTTGCCAACCGCTGCGACAATGCACAAGCCCCGGGGTTCAGGGCCGGTTTGTGATCTGGAACCCTTGGATTGGGGCTGTTCTGACTCGGGGCGACGCTCGAAAACGGCGATATCATTAATCACACCCTTGATTAACGGCTCTTCGGAAACCGCGTTCTGCTGGGAGTTTCCTTCAATATCCATGACATCGACACCAGGGGTACCACTGGCGAGAGATTGGTTGAGCTGCTGGGAAGGTGTATCGGGAGCTGACAGGCCAGAAGTACCAAGACCCACCGGGCCCAATGGGATGATAGTCTTCTTATCTTCTGGGATGCGCCATGCGCGGATAGAACCATCCCAGCTACCACTCAGGACGATGTCAGTACCGGGAAGAGTAGCGAGAGCGGTAATCCAGCGAGGCATGGGGCGCATGTGCCGGGTATTATGAGCAGCGGTCTCTCTGTCGACCTCGGGAGATAATTGTTCCAATGGCGGGATAGGGTCCAGACCGTGTGCCAAGTGAACTGTGTAAAGAGGCTTCTTCTTATGCATCGACCAGAGACAGATAGATCCACAGTCAGAGCCAGTGACGAAATGCGCCGGCGGAAGAGCAGCAATACAGTCAATGTTGCTCTCCTTGTAAGGTGCCTTCTTCGAAGCACCACCACGGAAGACAAGTTGTGCCTCCTCGACGACCTTCCATAATCTCGCTGTTCTATCTCTTGCACCAACGCTAATAGCCTGATCAATCGTCATTGCCGCCACTCCAGTCACATGGTCTTGGTGACCAAAGAGTGTTTCAACATAGGCGTGGCCAGCTCCGCTAATAGACCAGGTTTTGATGGTACGATCGTAACTACCAGTGAAAAGCTGTTCTCCGGAGCTCATAGCCGAAATGTGGCGAGCAAAGGCGACACTGCTGACAGAATCACGGTGCTGAGTGAAAGTCCTGGTTGGAGTCAAAGTCTCCGCATCCCAAATAACAAGTTTCTTATCCGCACCACCTGTTGCAACGAATCTTCCCGAGGGGCTGACAGCAACAGACAAAATGCTTCCAGTGTGGCCTTGTTCTTCACCGGTTTCAGCAACCTTGCGCATGCCTCGAGCGTACTTCACCTGCTTCGGCTTCTTCCGTTGCGGTCGTGGGGGTCGTTTCGAAGAGGATTCCTCGCCAGATGCCTCGGGAACACTGGGTGTTGCCAGTTCCCACTTAATCAGGGTCTTGTCCTTCGAGACAGTGTAAACGTATGGCGCATGAACGGCGATTGAAGTAGTAGTCTGGGTATCTGCGCGGAAGAATGAATGAGAAGCTGTGGAAAACGAGAGTTTAGCGGCAATTTGTCGGAAGGCTCGTCCTTTAAATTCGTCCTAAGTTATCACAATTAGTCGCAAACTCGGCCCGTGAAGAGAAAAGTTACACATACCACATCCTCCTTCAATCGCTCTGCGATCAAGTCTCGATCGATCTCTGCGGCATCAAATCCAACTTCATCGACTTCTTCCCGAACGTTATCCAAGTAGCGTTCTGCGAGTTTCAATCTTCGGTCTGCAGCCGTTTCGCCATCGTCCGAGTCCGATTCAGACTCTCCCGAAATTACCGAGTCAATTTCGGCATCTTCGTCCAAATCACTTCCTGAAATCGATTCCTCTCGTTCGCGAGGTCGTGAGGCTTTCCCTCCATCCTTCTTTGCGTCCACGCCTCGTTTCTTAGTTGCCGGGGGTGCAGGGCGGTCGTCTCTCTTGCGCTTGCGCTGCGAGGCAGGCACAGTAAAGAAAGAAGACATGATGAATCCTTTAAAAGATTGAGCCCACAGCCTTCAGTAGTTCAAAATTTGCGGGTGAAAATACCCTAGGCGAGAAACGGGACTTGATGGTTGTCCGATGCTGCTTAGATTCAACTTTTTTTTTCGGGGAAAAAAAGGCGGCCAAGCGGCGGCTGAGTCAGCGTAGCTGAGAGCTCCAAGGCGACAAGCTCACCGCGCGGTCTCATCACCTTCAACCAACATTCCACTTCATCGCCTTTTTGGAACTCGTCTTGATTTATTTGTTCATTTTCTGACATACCGCAAACATGTCGTTAGTCTATCCTTATCACCACCCCCCAAATTATCCCCTCGTCTCTAACTGATCACGCTTGCTAGGGACGTTCTCTTGGGTATTACTGGCAAGGACTTCGTCCTTATTGCTGCATCAAAGGCTATAATGCGAGGCCCAACTATCATCAAAGCAGAGGATGACAAGACCAGAAGCCTGAATAAGCACACACTTATGGCTTTCTCTGGAGAGGCAGGAGACACTGGTCAGTATCTAGTGGATCGGTGATGAGATTAGACGAGACACTGATGTCCTGTCACTTCAGTTCAATTCGCCGATTACGTCCAAGCAAATGTTCAACTGTATACGATGCGCAATGACACCGAGCTCAGCACCCCTGCTGTAGGCAATTTCATTCGAGGAGAGTTGGCTCGCAGCTTGCGATCACGAAGCCCTTACACAGTCAACCTCTTGCTGGGTGGTGTGGACCCCACCACTGAGCAGCCTCACTTGTACTGGATTGACTACTTGGCTTCGTTGGCACCCGTACCATATGCCGCCCATGGTTATGCCCAGTATGTGTCACCGGCAATATCCAGCCATATCTGAACCATTGAACAAACAAGTGCTAACAAGCGCAGATACTACTGCCTCTCTCTCCTCGACAAACATCATAACCCCAACATTTCCCTCGAAGAAGGCATCAAACTCCTTGGGATGTGCACAGATGAGCTCAAGCGTCGGCTACCGATCGATTACAAGGGAGTAAGTTCGGTCCATTTCCCCACCTAATGTGCTATATTCATGCTTTAATCTATAGGTTCTGGTAAAGGTGGTGACAAAGGATGGCGTGAGAGAGCTTGAATTTGATAACGATAAGATCGTTCGGGCTGCTTAATGGTTGACATGCCTGGGCGTTTGTTGTATCATATCCTATGACGTTTCACATTGCTTTACGGGATACAAACAAATCTCAACATTCACTCGTAGCACGTAAAACTCAGATAATTGTGATTCGATGTATTAGCTTTTTTACAATTATCAAGCATATTAATCTTCCTGGTTGATATCTGGAAGAGCTATCTATCAAATTCCATGTTTGACATGTTTGCATCATCTTCAACAGCTTGCGGAACTGAAGAACTTCGGCGTTTCATTCCTTCTCCTCCTCCTCCTCCACCACAACACTCCTGTCGCAATGCCTAAGAGACTAGCAGATCTTCCTCTTGGGGAGAATTTCCCAGGGCCGCCGGCATCGAAAAAGCCGCGCGTGGAGGACGAGAGTGAAGATCACATCCCCAACGGCGCACCCGCGCAATCAGAGCAAGACGATCGCAATGGTGCCAACATCCTAGCAGCCGCCGATAAAGCAGGGCAGGAGCTGGACGGAGACGCGCAGGATGATTCAGGTCTCTCGGATATTGACGACGATGCCTCCGCGCTCAGTGCACCCAAACGACAAAACCAGCCGATGGAGGGCTACGGCGACCTCTACCTCGATACGGTCAACAGAGGAGTACTGGACTTTGATTTCGAAAAGTTGTGCTCCATCAGTCTCTCGAATATCAACGTGTACGCTTGTCTCGTCTGCGGCAAATATTTCCAAGGTCGCGGTCCCAAATCGCATGCGTATTTTCATGCGCTCGAGGTCGGGCATCATGTCTTTGTCAATATGGGCACCAAGAAGGTCTACGTGTTGCCAGAAGGATATGAAGTCCAAAGCAATAGTTTGGATGATATAAAATACGTGGTGGATCCGCATTTCTCGAAGAGTGAAGTAATCAAAATGGATAAAGAGGTCCGCGACGCTTGGGATCTCCATGGTGCCAAGTACAGACCAGGTGAGACAGTCTGCTTAATTAGACGAGATATAGATCACTGATCGTATCACAGGTTTCGTGGGTATGAACAACATCAAAGCCAACGACTATATGAACGTGGTGGTTCAGCTTCTGGCGCACGTCCTCCCAATCCGCAACTTTTTCCTCCTCCACGAGTTCCCACAATTGGGCACTCCGCAACTTGCCCTTCGCTTCAGTACACTTGTACGCAAGCTATGGAACCCCAAAGCATTCCGATCTCATGTTTCTCCGCACGAGTTGTTGCAAGAAATCGCCCTGCGCTCATCAAAGCGCTTTACCCTCAGCCAACAATGCGACCCTGTGGAGTTCTTATCATGGTTCCTCAATAATCTCCATCTGTCCCTGGGCGGTTCCAAGAAGCCATCCAAGACACCCACTAGTGTAGTCCATGCAGCCTTCCAGGGCCGGGTACGAATTGAATCACAGGCTATCACGGCCCACAGTGACACTCAAAATGCACGTCTGGTTTTCACGGAATCTGGCGAAATCAACAGCCAAGTCACCCCATTCCTCATTCTCACACTGGATCTACCCCCGACCCCTCTCTTCCAATCCGCAAATCGGGAATCTATCATCCCACAGGTCCCTCTTACCACACTTCTCAACAAATACAATGGCATCACCGCCTCCGAGAAGATGGCCCATCGTGTCAGACATCGCCTCCTCCATCCTCTACCGCCTTACCTCCTCTTCCACATCAAACGCTTCAACAAAAACCGCTTTGTGTCGGAGCGAAACCCTACTATTGTCACTCATCCCAGCCCCCGCTCCCTCGACATGTCACCTTACGTGGAGCCAAACCCGGAAGCCTGGCCCCCAGGAGAACCAATCCTGTACGACCTCGTAGCAAACATCATCCTGGATCCCTCCATCGCAGCCCCCGGTGCTACTGAGGATGCAGCTGACAAGGGTGTCAATGCCGCGTCTGGATCATCCTCCGGAGCTGGTGGCGGCAGCGAAAAGGTCTCCTGGCTTGTCCAGCTGCACGACAAGGCCATGTCGGCTGATAACACACGCCATCAAAATGGTGGTGGTGCGGAACAGCGTGGACCGGAGTGGCTTGAGATTCAGGACTTGTTCGTCAAGCGTGCCGAGAGTGAGACTCTCTTTACGCGCGAGGGATACCTGATGGTTTGGGAGCGCAGAAAGGTCCCTGGCCAGAAGGGCAAGAGCCAAGCTGCCAAATAAATGAGGATGAATGAACCTGTATTATCTGCTGTTGAAAATTTGGGGAGTTTGGGTTGGGGAGGGGTTGTTCGGCTTGTTTTATAATACCTTCTACACAAAGATCTTTTCCGTTTGAGACCGCCGTTCTCGATTTCCAATTAGGCTGTCTCAGGTCCTCCGAACCTTCAGTTTTGTCTGTTTCATGACCTGAATTATGTAGCAACGCTCATTCTACAGGTTTACTAGACAAGAATATGACATGAACATCCGATTTTATGCCTATAAAGTACCCCAGCCACAGAACTTTCTCCCAATTCTCATCGTTGAACCCACCAGGAAACCCCACACCCCGGCTCTTAACGCAGCTTGCATACCTCTCATGAGAACTAGTCTACCACAGTACGCAAATGCATCAGACCAAGATCTTCCACCGCCCCATAGCCCGACAGGGTATAGGTCTGAAGCTTGGATTGTAGAAGGATGTAGAGCAAGATAGGAATCGGCCAAAGAACGGACATAGAGTGATTCGAGTGGCGAGAGAATGATGGTGCTTAGGATTGCCGCAAGGTGTGAGGCAAGTGAGTCTACCGGGTGAGCAGATAGAAGCGTCACTCTATGGGCAATGGCGGGTTGACTCATTGATACCAACCCCGGTGCATGCGTCATGGGTGGCAGTGCCGAGCCAGAAGGAATGTCAGCTTCGGTTTCGAATGGTTCAAAGTTCACATGTTCTTCATCATTGGGCTCCTCGACGCCGTCGGGGAGAATATTCGGAACGTTGGAAATAGGAGCTCCCTCGGTAGGGACAGGATCCATATGGTGGTCAGCCATGGTCTCTTGCATCATATTTTGAGGTTGGCTTTCGACAGCAGCGATGTCTTGGCCTGTAGCATAGCTTGCTCCTGCGGCGATGGTAGATCGATCTTCATTTTCAACTAGTTGCGGTTGCTGGGCGGCTTGTTGCTGAGCTTGACTCAAGATCAACGTCTCAAGGAAATCGGCTATTGACCTGCGGTCCATGGCAGTTGCTGGGTTACCACGAGGGAAGAAAGGTGGAGTACGCTGAATAGGTGCCGCGGTTGGGGGCCTTTGATTACGGTTACCCAAAAGCTCCAGCTGCATAGTGATGATGTCGGAACTCTGGTGGATTAAAGAAGCTCTGACGCGAGGTGAGGTGGGTGGAGACGTTTCCGGGGATGACGGCCGGGAGAAAAGGGTATTTGAGCGGGAATTTTGGCGGGGCCTTGCTGGACGTTCAACAGGTTGGACATTGCTTGACTGGCTCTGTGAGCGTGATCCATTCGAGGGCGCACTTGTTCGTCCAACGGTGGCTATTTCTGAATAGAAGTCATTGCTCATCTCTCCAGGGGATTGAGACATGCGATTCTCATTTGTGAGAACTTGATTCATATCTGTACCCAGCTCGGCATCAGGTGTTTGGTTGGGATCCTCAATAGGCAGCGAATTTGGCGACGCAATGGCGGCATCAGCCCGAGCGATAGTCTCCAAAGGTCTAGCTAAAGGATCACGCGGCTCAACTCCAGCGAGATTAGCCCGAAGCTGGACTTCCTCGAGCTCATGTTGTAATGACTCGATCGATTGCCGGAGCTGGCTTTCAATACTTCCTGGATCTTGGCCATCAGTTCGCGGCTGATCTGGGGTTTTACTGGACAAAAGCCCGAATAGAGAAAAAACCCATCCTCGCAACGTCAAAAACTCCTGTTTGATATCTTGCGCTAATGTAAGTTTCACACGACGAGTTTCTTCTTCGGATCTGCGTCCAAGGGTCGGTACGACCCATTCGATGAGATTTTCTTCATAGGCAACTCGAATTGAAAGCTCATCTGCGAGGGTAGGTTTGGGAATTTGGCGTCGGATTAGTCTATAAATACGCTCCTCTAGTTCGGGGCGCAGGTAAAAGGCGTAGGCAAATGTCAAAACTCCGGGGGAGGTCAAAAGTTGCATGACAAAGCCCCCGACAGACGGAATGGAAAAGTCGGCAGGGAGAGTGGGAAGTCGGAATAAAGATGCCTCGCCAAAAGGAATCAGCATTCGAAGACTGGGGATGGCGTTTGCTGGTACTAGTGAGAGCGTTTGAAGCACAGAGTACATGTATGCCTCAAGGGACAAGATGAGAACTGAATGTTTTGCACTGCAGCTATCGTCAGAATCCGGCATGTAATTGCTGACTTGGAATCAACCTACACGGAATACGCGATCCCAAAGAGAGCACGAATACTTAATGACAGACCACCACTACCTGTCAAGCCTAACACATAATCACGGATCATGACAAAGAGGCGCTTGAGGGGATTTTCACGAGCAATAGCCAGTGTGCTAGAAGCTGCCCAGGCAGGCATACCGGCACAATAAAAGCCGAGGATTCCCGTGATATCTCGCTCAGAGCGTATGACATCCAATAATGGTGCATGTGCATAATGCTTGAATGTCTACATAGCCAACGTTAGAAATCAGTGTAACACAGGTGGCGTTGTGCGCATCTTACCATAATCCGTCCTGTAAGGGATGATGACCACCATGTGCTGAAAAACACAAATAACTGATCCAATGTAGTAATGACCAAGCCGAAGTCATTCTCAGTTGCAATTTGGTTCATCTTCTGCTCTTCGTTGGATGAGCTGGCATTTCGGTCTTCGCCACTGACAACGATTCCCATGGTAGAGAGAATGTCATTTTTCGCTCTGCGAAGCTCTCGGCCCAGGGCTTTGGACTCTGGATTGACATGATGCCCTCGTGCGTCGTATTGTTGCATGTAATTATCGGAATGAATATTAGAAACCCTGCGCACTGTATTTGAAGGGTCAACAGTTGCTCTTTCTGGAGGTTCATATGGTGATCGGCCCTAATAAACGGTCAATTTTTCCGGAACATGGGAGGTAGATTAGAAAACGAAAGGAAGCAGGCCAAGATAGAGATAAGTTCAGGTGAAGTGTTTCATTACATTGACAAGGGACAGCATATCACAAGTAACTATCAAGTGATAATTTCAAACAAGATGGGTTCCGCGTAATGATATCAAGCAGCAAAACAGACAAATGGAGATAGGTCACAAGGTACCACGTGAGACATCAACAGGAGAAATTGTGCTATAGAACAAGATATGAGGGATTCAATAGTAAAGGAGCTTACCAAAGCGAGCCGGTTCAAGTATGCCTGGCGGCCCATCTTGAAGGAAGAACCGAAGTGTAGCAGATTATCACATCATCTCACCACGATAAGCGTATTCTTTTTTCTCTTCTGCTGATACAAGAAAAAGATGAAGAAACAAGAACAAGAGTCGAAGTGATGAAACCAATCCACGTGTGACGGTGCTTCGTGCACGGACCATGTATTATCTTATCGCATTGCAAACAGTGCAAACACCAAAAAAAAGTTGCCCGAGCTTTTCGCGATTCTCGTCCTGGAGAAAGCGCATGGGTTGAAAGAGCTAACAGGCGCAATTCTCAATAATGTCGAAGGCTGTTGTGAAAACCACCTTCGAGGCGTCCCGGACCCTCCGCCCCATTTATACCGGTGGCAGTACAGCGCTTGATGCCAGTGGTCGCATTTTGCTGTCTTGCGTCGGCGAGGATGCTTTGATCGTAAATTTGGAGACTGGTGACCAGCTCGCCAGTCTGGAAGGCGTGAGTATTGCTGAGAATGAGAAACTTTATGAAATTGCTGACCAGGAATCGTCTTTTAGGATGGAGAAATCATCACAAGCTTGGCCCGTATGTCTGGTTCTCAATTTTCGGAGATGAAGTACTTACGCAATCTCTAGTTACACCCTCCGCATCGCACGCCATTGTTTGCTCCCGGTCTATGTCGATGCGCATCTACTCCCTTTCTCCTTTCGAAGAAAGCTCGCAATCAATTGAAGCAAAGCTTCTCCGAACTCTCAAACCCCACCCCTCCCCGGTGGTCACAACTACGATCGATCAGACCGGCACATTGCTTGCTACTGGTGGCGCTGACGGGTCGATTAAGGTCTGGGATATCCGAGGTGGATATGCTACACACACCTTCCACGATCGCGGAGTCATCTCCGCACTCTGCTTTTTCGAGGTTTCCTCTTCTGGAGAACAAACCAAATCTTCGAAGAAGTCCAAGCGCAAGGATGAAGATGAGGACATGGATGATGCTACAGAGTCGACGGCTGGGTTCCGTTTAGCCTGCGGTAGTGATGAGGGCAAGGTTCGGGTCTTCGATTTGCACAAAAGGAAGGCGGTTGCGACGCTTGACTCGCATGTCTCCCTGGTGCGCAGCCTTTCGTTTTCGCCTTCAGAGAACGCATTGCTGTCCGCAAGCCGAGACAAGACAGTCATCATTTGGGATGCTCGCACTTGGAAAACCCGCAGAATCATCCCTGTTCTTGAGAGTGTGGAGGCTGCTTCATTCATCGCAGACAGTGGCCTGTGCGTGATTGGTGGTGAAAATGGTAAACTGCGGGTGTGGGACTGCAACCGGGGTAGCGAAATCACCGAGGAACAAGAGGCGGGCGAGGAATATGAAAGCGTTATCTCTATCCAGTACTTGCCCGGCCTGTCCTATGTTATGACGGTTCATGCAGACCAGACTATCCGCATGCATTCGATTGAGCCGTTGTCAGACTATAAGCCAGGAACGCAAATGCCTGCTTTGGCAGTCACTCGCCGTATCTCTGGAAATGACGACGAGATCATTGATTTGGCTTTCGTTGGACCGGACCGATCAATGCTTGCTCTGGCCACCAATACTGAGAGCATTCGTGTGGTCTCTGTTGCTCCATCCGAAGACAGGCCATCAGCCGAAGGCGAGGAGTTCTTTGGTGCCGATATTGCCCATCTCGAGGGCCACGAAGATATCATCATTGCCCTTGATGTAGATTGGTCTGGTCACTGGCTCGCGACAGCTGCCAAGGATAACACTGCTCGACTTTGGCGTCTTGACCCCAAAAGTTCATCTTATACCTGCTTTGCTATCTTCACTGGACATGCCGAATCTTTGGGAGCTATTGCCCTGCCTCGAACACCACCACAAGCTAGCAGTGGTGCTTATAAAAACCCGCTTGACCACCCGCCTGCATTCATGATCACTGGTTCTCAGGATCGCACTCTGAAGCGTTGGGATACTGGCAGACTGAGCCCGCTCAAGGCCGGGACCGACAAGACACACTCCCCCAAGGCGATTTACACCAGAAAAGCACACGAAAAGGACATCAATGCTCTAGATATTGACTCATCATCTACTCTGTTTGCCTCCGCATCCCAGGATCGGACCGTGAAGATCTGGGATGCTGACGAGGGTACCCCAATTGGTGTTCTGCGTGGTCACAAGCGTGGTGTTTGGTCCGTCAGATTCGCTCCTCGGGACACGCCCGTCATCAACTCTGATGCCGGAACCAGCACATCTCGAGGACTGATCGCCACAGCTTCAGGTGACAAGACTGTCAAGCTCTGGTCTCTGTCCGACTATAGCTGTCTTCTCACATTTGAAGGCCACACTGGAAGTGTGCTGAAGACTATTTGGCTGCCGCCTCCACAAATCTCCAAGGCCCAAACTGATGACGATGAAGAGGACAAGGCCACTAAGAACGCTATCCAAACAAGGCCTCTTATCGCCTCAGCAGCCGCTGACGGTCTGGTCAAGATCTGGAGCCCGTACACTGGTGAAGTAGAGACTGTGCTGGACAACCACACCGACAGAGTCTGGTCACTTGCCAGTCCCACCCCGTCTGGCTCACGCTCCGACGTCAAGCCTACCTCCTCTACATTCAAACCCCCCTTCGCCCTCGCCTCCGGTGCCGCAGACGCCACTGTCACTATGTGGTCCGACACCACCTCCGCCACCTACACCGCCGCCGTGAACGCCAACTCCGAGCGCGTCGAGCAAGACCAGCAGCTGCAGAACTACATTCGCGCTGGCGCCTACCGTGAAGCTATCACGTTGGCACTCCAGTTGAATCACCCTGGCCGACTGCTCTCGCTCTTCACAAGCGCCATCGATTCTGCCGATGACCCCAAACTCCCTGAAGAGGAGCGCAAACTCGCGGCAAACAGCTTGACTGGTAATCCCTCTATTGACGAGGTGCTCCAGTCGCTCGATGCAGTGAACCTGCGTACCTTGCTCCTGCGTGTGCGGGACTGGAACACCAATGCGCGCACCTCGCGCGTTTCTCAGCGCATTCTATATGCCCTGTTCCGGTCGTACCCTGCTTCTACATTCGTTGAGCTGGCGACCCAGTCTTTCCGTGGCAAGAATGGGCATTCTTCCGCCGGATTGAAGGATATCTTGGCTGCGCTGGCTGCCTACACTGAGAGACATTACAAGCGCGTTGAAGAGCTTACCGATGACTCTTATCTGGTGGAGTGGGTGCTAGGTGAGATGGATGGTGGTGTTGGACTTGGCGGGTTGAAGAGTCTTGATCTGAACCAGGCTGATGAAGAGGAGCACGAGAAAGATGTGATTATGTTGGAGGGTTAAATCTAATTTACATCTTGTGTACATGACGGGCGCTTTGTTTATGGGAGTATCATTGGGGTGGGATCAGATAAAAGCCATCTAGTTTCTCATAGAATTGAAATTCTTCTTTGTTCATTTTGCGTTTTATGTCCTTGTATTGTATGGCTCAGGGTATCTCTATGTATTTTGGGAGTCACGGCTGGTCTGTTCAACAGACCATATACAAAACTTTGCAATGTAGTCATTCGTCACGATTGAAGTTTAATCATCCCGACGGCTTCGGCGCGAGTCGCGGTCCCGATCCCGATCCCGGTCATGTCGAGATGAGTTGGAGGAATGCCGCGAGCTGCTGTGTCGGTCATCTCGAGGACGCCGATCTCGGTCACTTTCACGATCTCTGCGGGAATCTTTATCATCATATCGGTCTCGTCGACTATCTCTGTCACGTTCGCGGTCACGGTCACGGTCGCGGTCACGATATGACCGATCATCCTTCCTACGGTCATCCTCATCATATCGGGAGCGTCTAGAAGAATGGCGGCCACTCGAACGGCTTCGATCACGGCGAGAGGATCCACTCCGACGATCAGAGCGATCGTCGTCATCATAATCACGCTTGCGGTACTCGCGATCCTTGTCTCGTCCACTCTTCTCTAGATTGCGATCCCGTCTTTCACGCCAGTCATCCTTGTCTGGTGGGGCAGCGGCCTTTTTCTTCAGCTCCGCAAGCTCTTCTTCGGTCATATATTCACCGGTCTTTTTGTTGCGCATTGTGATAGGCATGTAGACACCCTCGGCATTGCCGTTCCCATTCTCTTCGCCTTGCTTTCTGGAGGCTTTACGCATAGCGGATTTTCCCCAGGCTCCGAGCTCAGCTTCGGCACCTTTACCACCTGCAGAATCTTTGGCTCCGATTCCCAGGAATCCAGGGCGTCTTGCTGGAACAAGAGGCTTCTTTTCTTTGTCCGTCGGCGCAGAAGAACCATAGTTGCCACGTCCAATAGATTGACCATCTTTCCACCCCATTCCTCGTAATAAAGCGGCACCAAATTCTTCAACCGGGATAGCGTTGTATTGGTCCAATGTCGCTGACTCAGGACGAGAATCGACGTCCGTTCGGAAGTGGCTGGTTTCGTCATAGCGAGAAGGCATCTGTTGCTCTTCTTCTCGAGATTTCGAGGTCTCGATGACCAGGTCTGTCCTCCGCTCTGTCTCCCCAGTTGTTTCCCGAATCAAAGCTTGTAGAGCGATCTCGTCGTCCGTGAGAGGTTTGCTCGCAGCCGGGGGAGGTGGAACCGGTTTCAAATCTTCCATGGGCTGATCTCCTTCCGCATCAACATTCACTTTGTGTTCACCCCGCTGCGCAAAGCTAAGCCCATAGGCCATGCTGGGCCCTTCGGTTTCAACCGCACTTCCAGGAGCTTGTCCATTCCTTTGGGCCTCTTGCATAGCCTGGACTTCGGCTGGTAGCAAGTTCTTTCCTTTCTTCGCATTGATACCAGTGCGATCGCGCCAGTTGTTCTTGCTTGTAACGGGGATCACCAGCGGGCCCTGTTTCTTGACAGCTTCTCCGTCCGCGGTGATTGCGTCGCCTGTAAGAGTGTCGAACCCAGACACCTCCTCATGTGCAGGGGCGCGCTCATCTTCGTCTGAGGAGTCATCGTGCCCAAGTTGGTGTGGTCGGCGAGGGAGGGATCGGCTCTTTCCTGCTGGGGAGTCGGTGGAACGAGGCCGACTTGGTTGTAAGTTGAAGGCTGTCTTTTTGGCTGCGCCTTTGGAGCTCGAGGAAAGTGAAAATGGGGTAGAAGAACCACCATTGCGGTTTCCGGGGGCCCCTGAGGAAGACATCGTGATAGGGTCGGAGTGTGCTGTGAGTACGGGCTGGCAGAGCGAATTCGATGCTATATGAAAGCTCCAATTAAGGCGGTGGCAAAACCGATATGGGCTGGTCAACTGGGGAATTTCAATTTTCCACGTGACCAACATAGACCTAATTAGGCTTGGATGTATTGCTTCAAGGAAGTACAAGTCAATTTATCACCGATTTCCCACAAAATAGGTCGCTAAGGACACTTTTCTCCGGGGTATTGTTTGTAAAGCCGATGTGGAATATCCAAGGGCATGATTCTCATACCACCAGTTAGACTAAATCAGTGCCGTCTCAAATCAATAGAAACAGAAAACTTCCAAAATTTGAAGACTTTCGGCCCTCCGAAAGTAAGTGGGATGGAAAGTCGATAAAGCCATGCTCAAAGGAAATCCAATTACGATATGGGCTACGTGAGCGTACCATGTTTTTTTTTACATACACACAGGCATGAATGGGGAACGAGAGAGCTATCTTCAGTTAAAAGTCGGACAGATATCGCCAATCGTATTCTGGATAACGAGTCTTGAAGAGGATCAGCGGCCGATTCGTATATCCTAGAACTGCAGAGCACAAGAGCTTTCAGAGAAGGGTGATCAGCAGGGTTCATCTGAATCATGATGTAAGCTAAAAACATAATTTTTTTGTTCTTCAGGAGACATACGATACTCAAGATGCGAAACGAGATTGCGGGGGTAGCCTCTCTGGCAGCGATTCGAATGGGTTGGCGAACGACAATCTGATTGAAATCAAGAGAAGGAAAGAATGTCCTATGAGATTCAGAGAGGGAAAGAAAGAAATAAGTTTGATTATGACTTGGATTGACAGTGAAGTATTGAACATTCCTTGGGATTGGTAAGGTAGAAGGAAGGAGCTGAGTGAAGAAGAATCACCAACAAAAATAATCTTTACTTCATCTGGTTTTGAATTACAAGAATACCAAATGTCTGGCTCGGAATGCTAAATATTTAAACTAATCATACAATTCATATTCGTCAATTCCTGGGTTCTAACCCTAAGCCCAGAGTTTTTCGCCATCCCTGAATAATACATGCCCAAATCAAAAAGGATGATCACTGGTAATAGGGAGCCAGTGTCATGTCAAGTCCATTACTTAAATGAACGCGCTAGAAATTTCGGACATAGGATAGCTCGCAAACGGTGACGAAATTGAGGGGGCTTCGAAGGAGTAAAAAGAAAAAGTGATCAAGGTGCGCCGCCGTCCGGACCACCAACAGAGGTAAAAAAAAGTCAAGGGTTAATAAATCGGGGTACGGGGTAAAGGGTTAAATATGTACAGTCGAAGAAAAAGGGTAGAGGGGTGTGGTAGGGTGTGGTAGGGGGTTATGACAGGAGCGAAGAAGATCTATGGAAGATGCTTAACCACTCGCCGTCTGGGCAGGCGGTGCGTGTGGGCTCTTGCTGGAGCCTTGCACGCCGGCCTGGGCGCTGCCGCTGCGCTGAGTCTGAGGGGTGGCACTTCGGCTGGGCTGAGCAACGGCTCCATTCATTGCAGGTGAACTGGTAGGAGCAACCCGAGTCTGCTGGTTGGTTTGTGGGACACGCATCATCGGAGAGAAGCCTTGGTTCTGGGGGACCTGCATTGCTGGATTGCCGTTAGGCATACCAGGCTGCTGAGGAGTCTGGAAGTTTCCATCATGCGCTACTTGGTAGTTGGCTTGAACGTTACTCATACCCCCCGCCGCAGCGTTCATGGCTGCTTGCTGGGACATGCGTTGCTGCTGGTACTGATTAAGTCGATCCGTAGCCAATTTGTTCACCTGCTCTGCAGGAAGATTAGGGTTGGCTCGTTGAATTTGACTTTGGAAAGTGCTGATGGTTGGGACTACGCCACTTGAAAGAGGGTTGGGCTGACCCATGCGAGGAGAAGGTGTTGACACTCCCTGAGGTGTACCACCATGGAATGAGGGACTCTGCATTCCTCCTTGGGCTTGCAGCGCTGCTATCATTGCAGGGTTGTTAGGGCCACCGTTAACGTTGGGCATGTTGTTGAGATTGGGGGAATGAGATCCCTGAGGCGCAAACTGCTGGTTGTGAAATGGCGGCTGTGCTTGCTGGGGCTGGCCCGGAACTTGCTGTGTCTGTTGTCGAGATTGCAACACACGCTGCTGTTCCTGGAGACGATTGGCTTCTCGAATCACACGTGTATTATCCGGTGATGTCTGCATCGCCATACCAGGCCTTGCGCCCACGCTTTGTTGCATTTGGCCTTGAGGCATCATTTTCATGGCCATGGCATTGGCAGGTAATTGACCATTAACCGGCGCTACTCCTGCAGGCAGTCCCTGAATCGGCTGAGTCCGGGCTTGATTGACGCCAGCGCCAGGAGGCATACCAGCAGGAACCCCATTTGGTGTTCCACTAGACATGCCGGCATTGGCGGAGGGTGGCAAGCCGTTAGGCGGTCGTCCTTGCGCATTCATGACTGGCTGTTGCTGGTTAGGCAATTGTCCAGTACGTTGAGCAGCGAGACTGGCTCTCTGCTGGGCAATCATCTGCTGCCGGTATTGCTCCTGTCTTTCTTGCAGCTTCATTTCCCGCTCATACTTGAGACGGCTGAACTCAGCAGGGGTTGTGATCGGGGGTTTGGGCTGGTTGGCCTCATTCGCCTTTCTCAGCGAAGCGAGATGAGAGGCATGCTGCTGCTTCTGAAGCATTGTCTCTCGCTTCTTAGCCAACTTGCGCATACCATCCAACAACGCCAGGTGTCGAGAGGATCTTCTCCTGTCTACACGCAGAGGCTGGGTGGTCCGACGGCGAACGGGTGGCTGAACTTGCCCATTGTTGGCTTGCGCCTGCGCCTGTTGTTGTTGCTGAGCAGCCTGCTGTTGGGCAATGACAGTGCGCTGGGCTGTTTCAAGCCTCTGGTGATAAGCTCGGAAGTACTGGGTCTTGGACATGTCTGCTGGAAGACCTTCCAAACCAACCCATCGTTCAAAGCATTCCCAAGGCGTTCGTCTCTCAGCTCCAGAAGTGAACAAAGACGGTGATGTCAAGCAACTTGAAATAAGAGACCAATTGTAAGAATACTCCTTGACCAAACGACGGAGTTCATCATCTTCAGACAAAGTCCATTGTGAAGATTGACGGGACTCAAAGAAACCCACAGACGGCATAGGATGTTCGGTTGGTGGTCTGAACGAGTGGCCCGGGTGAATGCGATCACGGATAGGTTTATTCTCCGGTCGGAATAGGGCAACATTAGTCTGCTCTGGAGGAATCTCAGTAATGCGATATTCCGAGTCGTAACCATATTGAGAGTAGTCGTAACGACTGCGCTTGCGGGGCGGTTCATTATCACGGAAGGTGATTCTTGTTGAGGCAAATTTAGAAACAGGCAGTAGCTCAGTTTTCCAGACCGAATCAGGTGGTTGCTTGAAAAGAGGCGATTGAGTCCCCGGTGTAATCCGCAGCGGTTCATAGAGTGGCAACTCGCCTAGAAGCTTCTCTGTCGCCGGGGTCATGTCAACGGAGAAATTAAACTCATCCGAGCCCAATGAAAAGATAGCAGCAGGAGCGACAGTATCCCGAAGGTCATGTCTCGGCTCTTCATTGAAGCCATCACTCACTGATTCTTCCTCCGCAGATGGTACAAGATCTGGGGTGGGGTGAGATGCTGCAGCTTCATCGCTCATATCTTCCGGAGAAGCACCTCCTGTCTTCGAGGCATCTGGTGCTGAAGTTGTCGGTGTAGGGATTTTCGCGTTGACACGGAGTAAAGTTCGGTGTTCCTCATCAGAGTTCACATACTCCGCGCACCAATCAGCGCAACTTTTGGCCGCAGCAATTTTCCATTTTCGTTCTTCCCGGAAATCTGTCCGCATCCACTTCATATGATCTAGAAGGACATCCCAATGAGTTCCTTGACGGGCAGGTTCTGGAGATCGTTTCATTTGTCGGAGGGGCCACCGGTTGGCGTTTTGCAATGAGTATATGCGTCGCAAGGTACGGCAATTCATTTGCTCTTGGTATTCCAATGAATGGTTTTCAGTGCTCAGCGTTTTATGAGCAGATGAAAGAAGCGTGCTCATGTTAATTCCTCGCGGGGGGGCATACGCCCGATTCAAGAACAATGTGAAAAGGTAGTCTTGGTCCTGGTTCAACTTGGCAACGGCATCGTCAGATTCCCCATGCATAAGATCCATAGATTCAGTCTTGTCCTGCTGCGGGGTCATGTTGGGGAAAACAACAGTTGCAAGTCGAGTCCTCTCCTTCTCGCGCTCCTTGCGATCCTTGAAACGCATTCGAGCCACACTATCAGGGGTGTCATGATCGCTGACAGTATGAGGTGTTCTCGGTGTTTCTCCCAGAATTTCCGAAACAGATTTGTGTCGAATTGCCCCTGATGACACTCGAGTTGTCATTCTTTCGGGTTGTGAGGTACCAGGCTGCGTTGGCGGGACAACTGCTGGTTTCTTGTTCGCCGATGCTTCTTCAGCATCACCGACAGGCTCAATTCCTTCAGATGGGTGTTCAGTGGGTGAGAGATCAGCTGCACCAGCCGTTGATTGGTTTTGAAGTCTCGTGTCGTCTGCACTTTCAATCGGTTCCTGGTCAATTTCCATGGAATCTTTGTCCGAACCGACATCCACACTCTCTTTAATGGCCTCAGTTGAAGACGCCTCGGTCTTGGATTCGTCTACGGTCTGCATTGACTGCGCTTCCTCCATTCGTAGTTGCTCATCGGGGGTCGATGGAATCAAGCTTCGAAGCGGTTGTATGGATCGGTCATGTTGAGGACTCGGTTGGCCGCTCTTTCCAGCTTCTGCCGCCTCTTCTCCAGGACTAGTGACGGGAGACGCAGTGACGGGTGCAGGGGTATTATTAGGGTATGGGTCGATTGAAGAGGCTGGGGAGAGCGGCTGGTCTGGATTCGACGGACCTATAGTGAGAGAAGGTCGCGACTCTGGTTTCTTTCGGGGTAGAGAGGTGGGTGGGATCTCCAGTGAGGGAGTGGTAGTCGTTGCGGCATTGGCAGAAAACTGGACCTCTGCTCCATTGTGAACTTGGGAGCTGAGAGGTGTTTCTGGGATGGATGCGCTTGGCTGTTCGACGATCTGTTTGGACGGCGCCGCGACGATTGAAAGCTCTCCTCGGGATGCCTGCGGGCTCGTGACGAGCACAGGAGACTGCTCGGAACTTGTTAAATCCTTAGCAACAGATGCGACGGGCTTTGTGGTTGCTGGCAGGACCACAGCGGGTGTTCCCTGTGAACTGGCATTGGTCGCGATTGAAAGAGAGTTGCCATCTGATGTCGGTGACGGAGTGATACCAGGAGCTTGTTGAGGCTTCGTTGCAGTTTTTGCCGGCGACGCGATCACTTTCTTGGTGGTATCTCGAGTGCGCGCATGGGCAGGCGACGGTAGAGTGGTTTCATCGAAGTAGCGACCTCTGCGCCAGCGGTAAGTACCATACCATTGGAGTATATAATGAGATGTGTGTATGAAGTTTGGAAAAGACCATTGGACAATGAGAGAGAGAGATTGGAGAAGGGAAGGAACTTACTTGGAGAGGTCGTTGGCGTCGAGGAATGCCTGTTCTTTTTGATGATAGAGAGAATCGGCGGTCGCACCCTCAAATCCCACGGTCGCATAATACAATTCGGTCAGTTTTCGCTTGCGCGACAACAAACAGTTTCTGGGCTGGTATTAGTCCCCAAACAGATCCATAGCACTCATAATAAGGCAGAAGCTGATTTTCAAAATTAATACTTACGCGATCTCATCGTTCTTAGACCGGAGAAGCTCGTCGCGGAGCATGAGGTCTAACTTTGGAACACAGCATCCGATTAACGCGGGAAAAAAGGGAATGAATTGACCAGGGTCATTCAGCTCGAAAAAATCGCTGTTTGAGATGAAATAGGATGTGGTTGTCGCGTGAGGCGATGGGGGGCAGGGAAGGGAGGACTTTTCAGTACGGGTTGGCGCGGGAAAAAAGGGAAGTCGTCGGCGAGTGCAGGTTCAGTGTGGTTGAAAGTAATGATACGGTAACATGGTTACTGAGAATGGTGGTTGGTTTTTTCTATAGGAATGCTTTTTTTAATATGAGAAGATATAATATACATGTAGGTTAACAACAAGTGAAATGAATAGATGCATAATAGGTTCTTTATAATGGTCGTATAAGGTATATTATTATCACCTCTAGTCAAGTGGATGATGCTTATGTTCTTTAGTTTCAATGTGTTGGCACTTCTGTGATACTGAGTCAGACGCGTATTGTGTATTAATACACATTCCATACATGTTCTGTTTGCGGCTCAGGCAACAAGGCAACAACAAAACAAGGAATAGTAAGGCCACAAGGCAGTAAGGCACAAAGGTATCAACTTTATCAATCAAATTCAGGTATCAAGGCATCCACTTTCCTATCGATAACCAGAAAAAAAAAACCTCCACCAGCTCCAGCTTTTCATCCCCATACCATCAACCCTTTATCCACTCCAAAATAACCCAAAAATGGCCAAGAGAAAGAGAAGTGATGCCCCCAAGGAGGAGGCACCCGCCCAAACCCCTTCCAAGGCCGTCAAATCCACAGCTACTCCATCGCAAGCTCCAGACGCAGCTGTGACCGTTCAAGTGATCACGGGCTCCTATGAGCGGGTGTTGCACGGTTTCACTGCCGGTATCCCCGCATCTTCCCTCCAGTCCAAGAAGGCTGCCTCGAAAGAATCTGTCGCCGATATCCAATGTGTCGATACCTTCTTGTTCGAGGCCCATGGATCCGCTATCCGTTGTCTTGCGCTTTCTCCCCTGCCCAAGCCTACCGACAAGGGCGATGCGCAAAAGATTATTCTCGCCAGTGGTTCCACTGATGAGCGTATTAACCTTTACTCGATCTCCGCTTCCCCACCCGTCTTTAACGATGACTATCCCTCGGTGCCGACCTTAGCTGGAAACAAAATCCTCGAAAACCCAAGAAACCGCGAACTTGGATCATTGTTGCACCACACCGCTAGCATTTCCGCCTTGAGCTTCCCCTCCCGAAGCAAATTGATCGCCGCTGGCGAGGATAACAATATCTCGGTATCAAAAACCCGTGATTGGTCTGTCATTTCGACCATCAAAGCGCCACGCCCCAAGATCTATGGCCGACCCAGTGGTGACACAGCGCCAGAGGGCTTTGCTCCCGCGGGAGTGAATCACTTTGCTGTGCACCCTAGTATGAAGCTGATGCTGAGTGTTGGAAAGGGAGAGAAGTGTATGAGACTGTGGAACCTGGTGACTGGTAAAAAGGCCGGTGTCCTGAATTTCGATCGCGAAATCCTACAGAGTGTAAAGGAGGGCAAGTGGAGCAAAGGAGAGGGACAGCGCATCGCATGGAATGCCGCTGGTGAGGAGTTTGCGGTGGCTTTCGAATGGGGTGCGGTGGTATTTGGAATTGACTCGACTCCCAAGTGCCGAGTTGTCCCCGCTCCACGTAGCAAAATCCATCAGATGAAGTACGTTTCACGACCCACAAATGGAGATGACACAAATGGAGATGAAAACGATGACTTGCTGGCTGTTTCTACTGAAGATGGTCGTGTCATGTTCTATTCGACTCGGGAGCTGCTGGAGGTAGAGGAGGACGCCGACTCGACCATTCCTCATGCAACTCCAGTTGCTCAGCTTGGTGGCAAGCAAGCCGGGTTCCCGGGACGCATCAAGGATTTCGATGTATTGAGTCTGGAGGAGCAGGTCAAGGAACTTCGCGATGGTGTTCTGGTTGTTACAGGTAACAGTGACGGTGTGGTCCGAGTCTGGAGAGCTACTGGCAATGATCTTACCCTGTCCAAGAAGTCTAAGGGCTCCAAGGCGGAAGATATTCCCCAGATCGGCAGTCTGTTGACTACCTATGAGACTGGAAACCGGATCACCTGTCTGTCGTCCTTTGTGATGTTGCCGGCGGAAGATCCAGATACTCTAATTGAGTCTGAGTCTGAGGAGGAGGTTGATTCGAGTGATGAGAGTGATGACGAGTAAATGGTCGTGTCCATGTTTGCCCTTTATACCCACTGTACTGTTAGACCAAAATAAATCATAAGGACAAATCAAAAGTTTAAAAGTTTTCGATATTGACAACAAACATAAGTATTTGCTGTAGAATATATCTTGACCAACATTTTGAAAATAATGTTTGACAAACATTCAAAATGTTGGAATATTTCAATCTCGCAAAAATAAATTTTGTCGAAAAAACTTTATACTACAGTACTATATGTATGTAGCAAGTCTGGATGTGAGATGAGGCCTTAAAGGGTTTCCAACTGTGCGAATGACTCATGAGAGCCACCCACCGAATCCACAATTGCTGGATATTCAAAGGAACCAAAAATTTTATTACAATCTAATTGTGTTATTTGAAATTACATAAGATATTTGATTGAATTAAAGCAAGCTTATATGCTATAGAAATATTAAATTGTAGGGAAAGTCAGTCACCGCCCGCTCGCTCTCCACTGCACAAAGCCCCCCACCATTACATTCTTCCATTATCATATCGCCCACCTGCAATTTTCACCCGGCTCTCATCACTCCACTCTCCGCCACTCCGCACCACCTTCCACTTCTTCATCCTACACCTCAAGACGCAAACGACCGTTGGGTAACGTTTGCGATTCGAAAAATCTGCAAATATGGCGACAAATGGAGATTTCTCCGACGAGAGCCAGCCTGGCTCGCCCATTTTGGACGGCAACAACGCCCAAGACTTTGACGACCAAGAGCCCCTTGACAAGCCTCTCAAGTCTTCCATGAAGAAGTCCGATGCCGTGCCCCAGAAGCAGCGCCCTGAGCTCCCCGAGCAGCCCGAACCCAGCGCCCTGGACCTGTCAAAATTGACTCCTTTGTCGCCCGAGATCATTGCTCGCCAGGCCACGATCAACATCGGTACAATCGGTCACGTCGCTCACGGAAAGAGTACAGTTGTTAAAGCCCTGTCAACTGTGCAGACTGTCAGATTCAAGAACGAATTGGAGCGAAACATTACCATCAAGCTTGGTTACGCCAACGCCAAGGTCTACAAGTGTGACAACCCTGCTTGCCCTCGGCCGACCTGCTACCGGAGTTACGGTAGTGAGAAAGAGGTTGACCCGCCTTGTGAGCGGGATGGTTGTGAGGGCCGTTACAGACTCGAGCGCCATGTGTCTTTCGTTGATTGCCCCGGTCACGACATTCTCATGTCTACCATGTTGTCTGGTGCCGCCGTCATGGACGCCGCTCTGCTTCTGATTGCCGGAAACGAAACTTGCCCCCAGCCGCAAACCTCGGAGCACTTGGCTGCTATTGAGATTATGAAGCTCAATCACATCGTTATTCTGCAGAACAAGGTCGATCTGATGCGCGAGGAGGGTGCTCTGCAGCACTACCAGTCTATCCTGAAGTTCATTCGTGGTACCGTCGCTGATGGCTCGCCCATCATTCCCATTTCTGCCCAGCTGAAGTACAACGTCGATGCCGTCTGCGAGGCTCTGATCTCCCGCATTCCCGTTCCCGTGCGCGACTTTACCGCCCAGCCTCACATGATGGTAAGACTCGGTTTCCTGGGAGATACTACAGAGATCATGTAACTAACAAAATTCCTCGTTATTTAGGTCATCCGTTCCTTCGACGTCAACAAGCCTGGTGCCGAAATCGATGAGCTGAAGGGAGGTGTTGCCGGTGGTTCTATCTTGAACGGAGTCATCAAGCTCCAAGACGAGATCGAGATCCGTCCTGGTCTCGTTACCAAGGATGCCGACGGAAAGGTTCAGTGCCGTCCTATCTACTCCCGCATCGAGTCTCTCTTCGCCGAGCAGAACCCCCTCAAGCTCGCCGTTCCCGGTGGTCTCATCGGTGTTGGAACTCTCATCGACCCTACCCTGTGCCGTGCTGATCGTCTCGTTGGTTTCGTTCTGGGTCACCGTGGTCAATTGCCCTCTATCTACACTGAGATCGAAGTCAACTACTTCTTGCTCCGTCGTCTGTTGGGTGTTAAGACTGCCGATGGCAAGCAGGCGAGTTTCTCCCTCCTTGAATGTTTGTATTCCAGAATTCTTGCTAACTGTTTTCGCAGGCCAAGGTTGCCAAGCTGGCCAAGAACGAGGTGCTGATGGTAAACATTGGATCTTCCGCTGCCGGTGCTCGGTAAGAAACAAATAACATGGAAATTGACCTTCAGGATTGGTGATAACTAACAACCTCTCTAGTGTTCTCGGTGTCAAAGCCGATGCCGCCAAGCTTGCCCTGACCAGCCCCGCATGCACAGAAATTGGCGAGAAGATCGCCATCAGCCGAAGAATCGACAAGCACTGGCGTCTGATTGGATGGGCCAACATCGTTGCGTAAGTTTCTGACGAACTTTGGATCCCTGGAGACGGAACTAACTCGATATAGTGGTAACATCCTGGAGCCTGTTCAGCAGTAAAGCTGTGCATTTCAAACGGCGTCCAGTCTTTAGGTACCAGCAAGTATAAGAGTCTGTCGTTACAAAGAGGAATGAGCAAGGGAAGCTTTGCTTCACTCTTAACGACCAAACTCCGTTTTGCCGGGCCTTAGCGATTCGCGATGTATTTCGTCCCAGAAAAGTTTTAACGGTCACGACGAGTCGGAAAAGTGAAAGTATGACATTTACAGATATCCCCGACTTAAATAGAGGAGGTTTTCACAACCCTGCCCCGTCTCCTTGGTGCAGAACTCGCCCCCACCGTGTTTTGAGATGCCTTGAGTGTCTATCAGGCGGGTGGGGGCATGTTCTGGACTGGATGTATGGAGTGTCAGGATACGAGTCACGATGAAGAGAAGAGGTGCTTCTTTTTCTTGTGTTCTAGGGAGTTGTATTTGAAGAGGTTTTCTTTGTTTCATCGATTTTGCGTCTGCATGGACAAGCCCTATGTAAATCGCTATAGGTTATGGTCAAAATGTAGGAAACGAGTAATTGTTTGTTCAAACTTTGACCTTGCGTGAGCCTTGAACTTGAACATAAACATAAAAATCTTTTAAAAATCTTTGCAACAAATTAGAAGTAGAGTAAAAGACTAAATTCTATCATTGACGTCAAAGGTCCTCCGTACAGGGTTTGTCCCTGCATTGTTGCGGCCCCAGGTCGATCTGACTAAGGCAAGCCCCGACAATAACACCTGTAGCTTTCTTTAACCCTCCTTTCTCTTGACACTTCCACACGTCTCAAAAATGTGGATTCTCGAAGTGAGTTCTTAAAGAGAAGATATTTATCATCTTATCTCATTCGATCTATCGGTTAATTTATAAGTTCTTTGCTGACATGTGCCTAGCAACTCGCGCGTGTCCTTGACAGGCCGCTCTTCCCATGGAAGAACGTGCTTGTGGGCTTCTCCCTGGGCCAGTTCCTCCTGGAGAGTGCGCTTTCATTCCGCCAGTACAAGGTTTTGCAGCAAACAACTCCCCCTAATGTTCTCGCCGGAGAAGTCTCTCAGAAGGTCTACGACCAAAGTCAGGTATGGGATTGTACAACGCCAAAGGGTGAATGCGGGCTCACATGAGGATTCTTCCAACATAGGCATACGGTCGTGCCAAGTCCAAGTTCAGTTTCATCTCGGGTCTCTACGGTCAAATTCAAAATCTCGCTTTCGTCTATGGTGATGTCCTCCCCAAGCTCTGGGGTCTCAGCGGCTTCGTGCTGGCGCGGTACCTCCCCGGTCAATTCCAGGGCGAGATTTCTCAAACGCTCCTCTTTATCTTCGGTTTCAACATCATCTCTACTATCCTGTCGCTTCCTACCTCGTACTACAACACGTTTGTGCTTGAGGAGAAGTTCGGGTTCAACAAGCAGACTGTTGGCTTGTGGGTCACGGACATGCTCAAGGGCCAGATGCTTGGAATTGTCCTTGGAACTCCCATCATCAGTGCTATCCTCAAGATCGTTCAGAACACCGGCAACTCGTTCTTTTACTACCTGTGGCTATTTGGAGTCTTTGTTCAGATCTTCGCTATCACCATCTACCCTATCGTCATCCTGCCACTGTTCAACAAGCTGTCCCCTCTGGAGCCTGGTGCCATCAAGACTGGTGTTGAGGACCTCGCTAAGAAGCTGAAATTCCCTCTCTCCGAGCTGCACGTCATCGACGGTAGTAAGCGCAGTGCCCACAGCAACGCCTACTTCTACGGTCTGCCCTGGAAGAAGCACATTGTCATCTATGATACCCTGCTTGAGAAGAGTGAGCCGGAAGAGGTTGTCGCCGTTCTGAGCCACGAGCTTGGTCACTGGAGTCTGAGCCACACCACCAAGCTTTTCGGTATTGCCCAGTTCCACATGTTCTACATCTTCGCGCTCTTCTCTGTCTTCGTCAACAACAAGTCTCTCTACCAGTCTTTCGGCTTTGTCAAGGAGCAGCCTATCATGATTGGTTTCCTTCTGTTCTCAGATGCCCTGGCACCCATGGATGCTGTTGTCAAGCTCTTGATGAACATTCTGAGCCGGAAATTTGAGTTCGAAGCTGGTAAGTCATTCTAAGGCCCTTGTGTGATATACATAGCATTGATACTAACGTTATTGCAGACGAATTTGCCCAGGGCCTTGGATTTTCCAATGAGCTTGCCTCGTCGCTCCTCAAGCTGCAAATCCAGAACCTGAGCACCATGGATGCTGACTGGATGTACACCAGCTACCACTACTCGCACCCCATCCTCACTGAGCGTCTTGCTGCGCTAGGGTGGAAGGGTGGAAAGGTCACCGACCTCAAGGCCAAAGATAGCGAGAAGCCTGTCAAGGCTGCTGACCGTGAGCTGTAGAAGCTCAAGGCCACTAGCTTTGAACAATGTCGACGTTCACCCTTCGTATACTTTATTTTATATTTACAATTTCACGATGCAATCTCTGAAAGTTTTAGCCAACGCGATGAGATATAGAAAATATGGAATGATTTGTTCCACGAATCCTTAAGGATCCCAGTCTATGTTGGTAGTAACGACACTTTTTGTCCAGATATGAAATGCATGCGAATCACAGATCCAGATCCGGAATATTATTTACCAAGAACATTAGACCAACAGAACTCCGACCCAATGCGACAACGCCTGACAGCTGAAGAAACCAAAGACAAGAATGAAGAAAAAAAAAAGTAGAATCACTCCGACTCATTTCCCTTCTGCGCCTTTGCCTTCTTCTCCTTCTTCATTCTCTCCTTCTTCAATCGCTTCCTCTCCTCCTTATCAATAGTCGCCTGTTCACCCTCCTGCTCCTGATAAGCCTCGGCCTCCATCTCAAACGCAGGCTCCGTCATCTCCATATCATCTCCTCCATTCTCTACCTCTTCGCCCTGCTTGCCATCCACAAGTCCGGCATCCAAGTAATCTTCACCAGGATTCTGCTTAGCGAAAGTAAGATCCGTTCCCAGGACTTCGCCCGCCAGACCAGCCTGTACGCGCTTCAGGTTGTGGAGAATCAGGTTCGGCGCAGCGGCGGTCGTGCGCGAAACAGGTCCATGCTCGCTGATATTGGCATTAGGTTGCAGAGCGGGGTCTGTAGCTGCGCGAGTGAGGTACGCAGCGAGGAAGTCGTGTGCAGCAGATTGGCTAATGCTTTGCGTACTGTGGACAGTGGTTGGCGGGAGGGCGGAGGGGCCTGGGTTGTTCATTTTGACGTATTGGGCGGTTTGAGCGTAGAGTTTTTATTTGATATGTCTTGTAGAGAGTATAAAGCCCTATGGATTAAGGTCCTTATGGTCGGTGGTAGGATAAGAGCTTCTTATAGTAACTTTTTTTTCATAATTGCGGAAAGAATTTCGGTGGCACTAGTCCTAAACGGGTATGCTCTGTAGGTCTTCAATTGATGATCGTTCTTTGTTCATACTACATAGTAGTAGTATGTATCACTCATAATCAATCTAGATATTTGTACAAGTATTGAAATACTTGAAATTTCGTTTTATAATCTCTGTAATTCATTCCCTTATGTATTTGCTCCTATTGTCTCCCTCTAGGCGGGTCCGTGCCTGCGGCTCCGCGTTTAATTTTCTTCGACTTCCGAACATCGCGCAAGCCAGCAAGACTTCAATCCTCCTCCCAACCACCACACACCTTCTCACCGAAGTCGCTCTCCCCCGACTCCGGTTTCTCATCATGTTCTGTCTCCGTTCCAGGGCTGTGCCCTCCCTCCGGGCCCCTGTGTCTAGCACAATGAACAGGTAACGAAACCCAGAACAACCCCCAGCACCAACTCCACGACAACCCATTGCTGTCCATAACACGACCATAAGCTACAAAGTACGAAATTGAATCCACAACTAACACGCCTTTTTTGTTTAGAATCTCTCAATTCACACAACAACCAACATCCAGATCATTCTCCTCCCTCCTCTCCACTCCAACCCGCCACTTCCAACCCATGCAGCGCTCGTTCCCGACTGCCATTGCCACTTCCACTCCCTCTATGATCACTGCGACTCCATCCATCACTTCTCTTCTCGCGCAGTCCCTTGGCCACAGCGTCGGGGGCCAGACCCGCTCTTTCTCCGCATCCGCTTCCCTCGGCGTCCGCCGCGTGACCTTCCGGCCATCGCGACGTGTCCAGAAGCGGCGTCATGGCTTCCTGTCTCGGAATAAGACACAGAAGGGTCGTCAGACTATTACTCATCGGCGGTTGAAGGGACGAAAGAATGTTAGTTGGTAGATTTTTTTTGGGTTGGTGTGTTTATACGGACTAGATCCGGGTGTCGTTTGGCTGGATGCTGGGTTGAGATAGATGAGGTCCTTGGGACTGTGTTATAGGTCTGATTTTGGCCTTCAATTGTATCATAATTACTTTGCCTTTCTTTTTGGTTATAAGGCTGTATGAGAGTATATTTCTGTTCAATTCAGCATTCTATTCTTTATTTTGGAACGCTAAATTGTATCGTTCGTTTTTGATATGTAGGTGCTTAGTCACTCTTTTAAGTAATTTGAGTAAGTTCTTTGTAGCAATATTTTGGCAATTGCATGTCTTCCAGGTTTCTATACTTTCTTTTGATCTACTTGTTCGTGGAAGACGTTTACTCGTCATCTTCGTCGTCACTTTCCTCTTCGGATCCGGACTCGTCATCTTCGTCATCGTCATCCTCGTCTTCATCATCTTCATCTTCGTCATCGTCATCCTCATTCTCATCCTCGGCACCCAGTTTGAAGCCGTAGTCATCCTCGAATTCCTTCAGAGGCTGGACTGTGGGCGTGAAGCCGACAGACTCGAAACCTGATTTGATGGGCTTGTATGAAAGTTAGTAAAGACGAATCATCCTATAGGAGAGAGAAAGCTTACCTCTTCCAGAACAGTACCACAAGTTACAACCAGGTTAGCCGTCTTGGGATCAAACAGCGGCAGAATGATATCCCGCAGAGCATCCTTCACCTCATCGACGCTGATATCGCGCACCTTCTTGAGCATCTTCTCCTTGTAGTCTAGAGGCAGGTTGCGCACGACTTGGCGGATGAAACTGCCCTGGGCAGCGTTGGCAGCAGTCATCTGCTCGTTGGCGAAGCTGACGACGATACTGCTGATGGCACCTTCCAGCATCAATGGGTCAAAGGCGCTCGCGCCAGACAGGTGGTCTTCGACAATCTGCTTGCTGGCCTCGAAGGCCTTGTGTGCGTTGGGGGATCGGTACACGTCAAAGTTGACAAAGCCCGTGTCAATGTTGTGAGCGAAATTGGTACCATAAGCCAGACCCTTACCGCGGACTGCCACCCAGAGAGGACCCTCGACGGCGTTCATGTAGGCGCTGGCGACCAACAGGGAAGGCAGCTTAGGGTGATCGTAGGAATCAAGACCCCGGGCAGTAGCGTACGCGAACGACGAGTCAACGGTAGGCATGGGGACAATGAAAGACTTGCCGCCAATTGTCTTTCCTGCATCACTCAGCAGTTCGCGGCGGTTGGTGATGGGTTTGAGATCGGTGCTGCTACCCAGGCGCTCGGCAAACGGTTTCCAAGCAGAGACGGGGTTCTTGAGCTTCTCGAGGTCCGCAATGACGACTACGCGGACATTCTCGGGCTGGAAAAGAGACTTGCGAATCTCCTCCATCCGGCTCACGATTTCCTCAGGCTTTTCGGCAAGCAGCTTCTTGACACGCTTGAGGTAGCGGGCCTTGACCAAGGTGGATCGAGCGCGAGTGATAGATTCTTCAGCATAATGAACCATCACATGAACTGCAGCGAGCATGTCATCACCGCTGCGCTTAGAGTCGGGCACGTCGGCCAGAAGTCGGGAGGTAATAGCCCGCAGTCTTTCCACATCAAAGATGGTGTTCCAGGACAACTCCTGGACCCAAGCGATGGCAGTTTCATATTTCTCCAGTTCAACCTGGAAAGAAACACGCAGCATCTCAGAGTTGCCAAGCGCTCGGGCCGCTTCCATCCCGTAGCCGACAGTGTCCTTCTCCAGCTCAACAACAACTTGCTCGAAGTCAATAATTTTGCCATCCCGTTGGAGAGGAATGTTGAAGAAAGCCTCGGTGAAGATGGACAGTAGGGGACGCAGTTGGATAGGAACGGACTGTGCGGAAAGAAGAACAGACAGCTGCACGAAGCTGCTGGGGATATGTTCGAAGTGCACGTAAAGGGGCAGGTCCACCTTGCTGGCATCACTATCAATGAAAGTCTGAAGGGCATTATCGGGACGTCCAGCCTTCAAGGCAGCACCTGACCGAGCGGTCACAGTTTCCATGAAGTGGATAGACTCAGTGGAAGGAATCTCGAAATCAGCTAGCATTTTCGTTGGGATTTCCTTGTCGTTCTCTGCCTTGGCCTTTTCGAGCTTGTCTGCGAGATCTTTCAATCCTTTCTCGCCGAGACGCTCTTTCTGGGCAGCCACTCGTGCCTCTTCATCATTCTTGAGTTTGTCAGACAGCTTCTGAGAAGGGACACCCAAGATGGTAACGTGGTTTGCGTCTGAAATCCACTTCTTGATAAATCCACGCCATTCATCCTGCGACCACTTCTCGAGCACGTCATACTCCTTCAAAGATGCAACATCTCGCATGGTAGAGCCATCTCGCTTTCCGAATAAGAAGTCGGTGATAACGTACTCGGCAAAGGACGATGCAGAGCTCTCGGTGGCAAATTTCCAGGTACGGCGTTGACGCTCGATACATTCCTTCAAGTATTTCATATCAAGGTCCTTCTCCATTGCCTCCTGCAGAATCTCAAAGAATCGCTTCTCCACCTGTTCGAGCTTCTTGGTCTCAACACTAGTCATAGTGAAGCGAATTTCGATATTCGGGTGCTCCTCTGTTGCGTAGTAAACAGCACTAGCAATCTGTTCCTTCTCGACAATGACGTTCTCCAACAGAGACGCAGATGATCCAGCCAAGTATAGAAGAGCAACATTGAGCGCACCAGCTAATATGAGTCAGTTATTTCATTCGAGAGTAGGTAGGCCATAGAGAAACATACATTGAACTGAATCATTGCAATCCGGTCCCAAAAATCGAATCTCAATCTCACCAAAGGACTCGTCCTCCTCGGGAAATTCAACTCTCTTGATGACAGACTTCTCCAAAGCTGGAGTCTGCTTAGAATCCACCCAGGGTCTCGTAAAGGGAGCAGTAGGGCTCGGAATGACGTCCAAGATTGTATCTTCAAACTTATCCAAAATTTCCAACATGTTGTTCTGATCAACCTCACCAGTGATGACCAAGCAAAGGTTCTTCGGTTGGTACATCTCACGGTGAAACTCCCGGATTCTCTCCGGACTCAGGACACGGAGTTGCTCCATCATACCACCGGTCTCATACCGGAATCCAATACCAGGGGGATATGTCAATCGCTTAGCAGCCAGGTCGATCAGTTCGGCTGCATTGTTCTGCACACCCTGCATCTCCGAGTAGACCACACCAGCATCGTTTCCGGCGCCATCAACGTGGTGTACTTCGGTATAGCAGCCCTCATCAGTCAGGGTCGGAGCAATGACATGCTCCAAATAGACGGGTAGGATGCGCGCAAAGCCCTCCCAACCAGCAGTGTCAAGGGTGTACGCTGTGTGATCAGTGGCCGTCCAGGCATTGGTACTGGAGTATACACGAGTGGCTAGCTTATCCAGGAAACCCTTGTAGCGGTAGTTGCGGGATCCCATAAAGCAGAGATGTTCCAGAGTGTGAGGAGCGCCCGAGTCATCGTGGATCTCAGTCGCGAGCACAAAGTAGCCGTTCACCTTAGGGCCTTTCTGGTCGATAACAACCACCCTCATGCCGGTACGTTGAGACTCATATTCTGTGAACTCACTCGGTGAGTAGTCAGGTTTGAACTGCTGCAACAGTTTGAAGTGAGACATGTTGATCAATGGTATTAGCCCAATGCAAATATCTCGCCTAAAACTTGACAATCTAGCTTTCTGTTAGCGAATTTTCTTCGACACATGGTGTGTATCCTTAAGGCGGCGGTGACGATTGTCCCACCACAGCCCATGACGATGAACCCCACCGCGGGGTGTTTGTGAGACAGAATTTCTCCAAATAGCTTCGAGGAGGAGGAGAGGGGAAATATATGCACCGAGTCCACAGTATAGAAAGAAATGCTGGAAGTAACGCAAGGAGCCAGAAGCACCAAGGCCAGCGAGGTCTGTGAACACGCATTGCAGAGGGTCCTCCCACGGTAACATGTGTGACATGGGCGGGGCAGACAGAATTTGAGGGACTGAAGTCATGGCAAAGGGGTCAGAGAACAACTCACAAGGATCGAGTAGTTTGCACCCGACTCAATCCACGTAGGCACAACCAAGACACGGTGAGTTTGAGCTTTGGTTTCTGGGAGCTGAAGGGGAAGTTTGGGTCCCGTTTCCTTACAAAGCGACTGGGGTTTTGTTTGCATATATAGGAATTATTTTATCAGCAGCCAGTCATTGACGAATCAACTTGGAGGTTTTTTGTTATTATTATGGAGATTTTGGGGCGCCCTGGGAGAAACCTATGATCGTATTCTCTGATTCTCTGCTTTTTCAGTCATTTAGCCTTTGCTTCTCTTACAAGCTACGTGGGGCGGTGACGCCCAAAGTCACGCGGTTGTTGACAGCTCGCCTCCTCTTGATTTGACCTCAAGTTCGAACATTGTATTCCGCCAATCTCAATAATTTAGCATTATGTCGCAAGTCTCCGAGGGTGAGATATGCCAGGCGGTCCTGGGATTCGTCACTGAAGGAGTCTACCCTGAGGAGAAGGTGGTGGCTGCCAAGTTTCCGGCCGCAGCTCTGTCGAAGGAGTTGGAGTTAATCTCACAGGCCCGAGAGCAAATAGAGGTAAGTGACTCTGTGGAAATGTTTCCTGTGCTATTTGCTAACAAAACGACCTAACAGAATGAGATCAGCTCCCTCAGCCGCGAGAACACCTTCGATGCCGACGATTGGATCATCCAAGCAAAGCAGCTGCACGCGGACATCGAGCGCTCGAGAGTCACCGCGCGAGAAGTAGTCTACCAGCATGAACAAACTAAACCGCTCCGAGCCAAAGTGGAGGACGCCAGCGCGAAAGTGACTTTGATTGAGACGGAGATCGCCTTCAACCAAGCTGTGACAGAGACGCTGGAGGAGGTGCAGCGACTATGCCAGCAATTGGAGTCTGGACGTGCTATTTTGGGGGCTGGTCAGATCGCCGCCGCCATTGAACAGCTGGAGTCTACCAAGGCAGCCATCCAAACCGATGCCCCATTTTCGAACACCAACGTGATGAGCATACTTTCGGGGGAGGTAGCGCGACTACAGGATGAGATTGAGGAGGCATTACATCTTCGCTGGAGCGAACAGGTGAAGATTGATCGCTCAAAGGGCGAGTTCCGCATTGTTGATGACAAAACTTCTCTCGAGGAGACCATTTCGTCGCTCTCACAACTGGGCATTTTCTCATCTGCCAGCGAGAAATTCCAGAATGACCTTACAACGACAATCATCGACCCTATCCTGCTGCCTCGAGCAGATGGCAGTAGTCGTGCTGTCGATGTGACAGAAACAGGCATTCTTATTGAATCTGCGTTTTCCAAGACGACTGTTAGAGAAACGTTCAACCGCATTACGAATGTCCTGAACTACTTGAGGCAAAATGTTCCATCTTCAATGTCGGCTACTCTTCCTCAAGTCTTGATTCCTGCTGTCGCTTCGAAGGCCATATCAGGATGGTTGTCTTCCGCCATTCCAACAACCTTGGATGGTCTGGAAGACTTCGAAAACACATTAGAATGTGTTCTGGAATTCACCAAGACAATTCAGTCCTGGGAGTGGAGTGGCCAGGAAGAGCTAGTTTCTTGGGTAAATCAAGCCCCTCGACTGTGGTTGACTCGACGCCGAGTTGATTCGCTTGATAGTGTGCGAAAAGCAATCGCTGCTAGCAAGGGTACTACTAAGCAAGTGGAGAGAATCGAAAAGGAGAAGGTTTCTCAGGCAGATGAGGCTCTTCTAGAGAATGCCACAATCGATGATTGGGATGCAAACTGGGATGACGACCAGGAAGAAGCTCCTCCAGCCTTGGCGACTGCCCAGGTTGAAGAGGATGAAGAGGATGTCAGTGCATGGGGCCTTGACGAGGAAGATAACGAGACACCCGCCAAGCCAGAAGTGGCTGATGTGCCTGAAGATGACGAAGCGGACGATGCTTGGGGATGGGGTGATGATGACGAAGAGGAGAAGGGCGATGAGAACAAAAAGCCTCCAATTATCACAGAAAAGAAGCCCACCAGTGGAGAAAAACCCAACCAGTCCTCGCATCCTAAAGAAGTTGTTCTTAGAGAAGTTTACACGGTCACCGATATTCCAGACTCTATCCTCGACATCATACTTCAGCAGATCTTCGATTCCAAAGATATTGCCCAGCCTGCGTGAGTACCCAAGCCTACCATATGCTTTCAAATACATTTAAGCTAACGAACGTAGGCATTCTAAATCTCGTGTGGCTTCCTCTGGCGCTGGTCTGCTTGCACTGCCTACTTTGGTCCTGGCCATGTTTAAGGCCACCTCGTCGTCCTTTTACTCGCTGAAGCTCAACTCAGGGCAAATGTATCTTTACAACGACAGTCTGTATCTCGCTGGCCGTGTTAGAGAGCTTATAACTGAGCACGAGCTTTCCAGACTCAGCCCCGATGTTGAGGCTTTGGAGAAGTTTGGGAAAATTGCTTACAGCAAGGAGATGCAAACCCAAAGCACAATTGTCAGCGACTTACTCGATGGCACCCAAGGGTTTGGACAATGCTCTGAACAACCCTACAAATCAGAGTGTGAAAATGCTGTGAGTGCGACAGCTGACCGAATTCGCGACGTCTACAAGGAATGGCAACCCATCCTATCGCATTCCGCACTGCTCCAGTCTATTGGATCTCTCCTGTCCACAGTGATCGGTAAGATTATCATGGATGTTGAGGATCTTGGTGACATCTCCGAAGACCAGTCCAAACAATTGGTCTCGTTCTGCAACCAGATCTCCCAATTGGAGGACCTGTTTTTGCCTGAACCTGCCGCTGATTCCGAAGCCGTTCCTGTCACGGCTGTTTATGTTCCAAACTGGCTTCGATTCCAATACCTTATCAATATTTTAGAGAGTTCGTTGGCAGACATCAAGTTCTTGTGGGTAGAAGGCGAACTGGGCCTAGAATTCTCCATGGACGAGGTTATCGACCTGATTATCGCGCTATTTGCAGAGTCTGATTACCGCCGAAGAGCCATCGCAGATATTCGACGGGCACCTCGATGAGATTTCGTTTTAGAAAATATAATAAGCAGCCATTAGTTGAAAATTACTTAGCTATTAAGTTCTTGGACTGAAGTTGTTTATCGTAAAGTTGCGCTTTACCTCCGCACTCTGCACTAATGTGCCGCATCGGCTACCGTAATTTTTTCTCATCTTTCGCAGACTTGCTCAATTTGCGACGGCCACCAGATTAGAGTCCTCAATACCAATCTTGGACTAATTTTTGCCCATCATGAATGACGAACAGACATCATCTGCCGTTGAGGCTACGCAGAGACAGGTTCGTGTTCAACTTACCAGCAAGCAAGAAGATATTGCTCTGCCTGAAAGCACCGGTCCCATTCTCGTTCCCACCGGTATGTATACTCTACCCATTACCATGAGTTGATGGTTTAAATGAGCTGCAGATACTAATACTGAATTCTCTACAGGCCTGCGACGTTATGCGCTGTCAACATTGGTGAACAACCTTCTGTCAAGCGAGAAACCGATCCCGTTCGAATTTTTGATCAACGGTAAATTCCTACGGACCTCGATTGATGAGTACCTGACTGCCAATGGCATCTCCTCCGAGACTACCCTGGAGATTGAATATGTTCGCGCTTTGATTCCCCCACTGCACATTGCCTCTTTCGAGCATGACGACTGGGTTAGCGCTACCGACGTGCTCTCCGAAGCCTCACCTGCTGCATCTTGGGCGTCGGGCGCCAAGTTCTCCAAGGGCCAGGAAAGAATTTTGTCTGGAAGTTACGACGGTTTGCTCCGGATATGGAATATGTCATCTGAGATTATTGCGACCTCGCTTGGCCCAACCGACGGCGGACACACTGCATCCATCAAGGCCGCTAAATTCGTGTCACCAAACCAGATTGCCTCGGCGGGTCTCGACCGTACAGTGAGATTGTGGAAGTACACCGAAGATGCGAACGATTTCGCTGGAAAAATCACTCCTCAGCTGGAGCTATACGGCCACAAGTCTGGCATCGAGTCACTGGCTGTGCACGGCTCGTCCAACCGCCTTCTGACCGGTTCCTCGGATCACACTGTTGGTTTCTGGTCTACCAAGAAGGCCGACGCTCCCGCCGCCCCCGAAAGTCTGCTCCCATCCAGCAGTGCCCGTAATTCCAAGCGTCGCAAGCTCAACGCGACCATCTCCGTTAGCACTCCGCAGCGCGGAGCTCTGGCTCTTATGTCCGGCCACACAGGACCTGTGTCCGCAGCTATCTTTGACGCAAAGGACTCTACCGTTGGATATTCCGCTTCCTGGGACCACTCCGTTCGCACCTGGGATTTGGTCACTGCTGCTTTGGTCGACACTCGCACCACCTCCCACTCGCTTCTTTCCCTCGAGCATCTTCCCGAGCACAACTTGCTGGCCGCCGGAACCTCTGCCCGCCATATCGCCCTGATTGATCCTCGTGCCTCTGCCGCCACCGTCGCCGCGATGACTCTGCGCGGTCACACTAATGCTGTCGTGAGCTTGGCTCGCGACCCGCACAGTACATACGGTCTTATCAGTGGTAGCCACGACGGTACATGTCGAATTTGGGATATCCGGTCAACCAAGACCGATAAGGATGGTGTTGTTGGTGAGAGCGTGTACTCGATTACTCGCAAGAGCCTCGAGGAGGAGGGCAAGGCTGAGAGCAAGCGTGTTGGTGGTGAAGGTGTCAAGGTATTCAGTGTCTGCTGGGACCCTACGGTGGGCATCGTGAGCGCGGGTGAGGATAAACGGATCCAGATCAACCGCGGCGAGGGTGTTCTGTCTTCAAAGTAGATTGCACATATGGGATTGGCGTTTTAGAAGTGGTCTTGTTCAAAAGTTATGTTCTAGTTTTGTTTTATCGAAGATTTCGAGCCATGTTCCTTCCACTTTATGAATGTGGATAGGTAGACATCAAGTTTATCTACAATGTCGTATATGACTAGGTTTCCTTTGATAGAAATAAGCTTTGAGCCACTTTTGCTACTCATCTAACCTATAATACACTGATGACCGGCAGAATATGCACAAGATATGCTCGCCAGTATCAAAAACAAAACGCCAGTCCTATGCCTGTCATAGAGGACGCGACCTTCCCATAAAATCAATATGTAATCACAAAAAAGAGCCATCGGTCTTATAGACGACGCTCCATGCGGTTCAACCGAACAGGGGTTTTAATCTGATATCATCTCATTAGCCCATGCTCTCTCTCCATATGCCGATCGATAATGCGCAGCTCCGCAGAGCCCCGAGAACCGTAAAACTCACCTGTGTGCGTGTCCGCTGTCCTCGCACAGGCAAACCGAGCGCATGGCGACGACCACGATAAGTCCCCGTCTCTTTCAGGCGTTTAATATCGTTCAGGACCTCTCGGCGCAGATCGTTCTCGATCTTCATATCCGATAGCACAGCGGTCAAGTCGAGGACCTGCTTGTTGGCCAGCTCGCCGACTCGGCAGGTTGGGTGAATATTGAAGCGGGCGAGTAGCCGGGAGGAGGTATGGTCCCCAATTCCAAAGAAAGAGCCAAGGGATTTCTGTTGATTTAAGTTAGTTCTTGGTTCGTTGGTGCGGTGGAGGCATTGCTTGCCTTTAGTAGGTTCCGCTCGGGGAAATTGACGCCGAGGATAAAGACCTAGGAGATGGAATTGTGAGTTGAAAAGGTTGAAGCAGAAAAAGGAGAGCTCTTACCATCTTGGCGGGACTGAGTTGGCTGTCAGTTGATCTTTGCTGCTTGTTGCTTGCTGCAGTTGTTACTCCGGGATAGATTAGATAATGGCAAAAATGTTTATCCGTGAAATTTAAGAATTTACCTTGAGAGAGGTGTACCTATCAAGCAGATCAAACTTATTGGCATTTGGACTTGGGGTAATTGATATAATGACTGCAGATATACATAGATCTAGAAGTCTACTGGAATTGTTTCGTGGATAATTTTGACTACCTATACTATTACATAGGTACTACTCGTACTCCTTACAGTACAACCGACTAGCCAGTCAGGAGGTAGTTAAATCACTCCTCTTAGTCAGAAAGTCCAGACCGAAGAACACCAACTGGTAAATGAAAATCTTTTGAAAATTTGAAAATTTCCCAATCTTATGTTACTGTATTATGACCAAACATGACTTCATTAATCATCACTTTTACTACGTAATACGGTCCCTTATTACAATACCAAACATCGCTACCTGATGTATACTTAGACACACAAGCTATTAAGCTGAGTGGACCCTGTACCTTAGAGGTACATGATTTGCCTCCTTCCCACAGACGCAAAACCTGCCCTCACTTTCTTCTTCTGATCCATCCATCATCCCTTTTTTTCACAACTCCACTCCATCCCCCTCTTTTTTTTCATTTCTTGGTGCTGTTAAAGTTCTTAGAAGTGGGAGATTTGCATTTTTTTGTCCTTCACTCCCTGTGTCTTAATCTCAGTCGTTTACCCGATCCTTTTTTTTCTTTCCTATCAAGTGGGAAGGCAAAAAAATAAAACTGAGAGCAACAGTTCTATCTTCTACACATCTCTCTATCTTATTTTAAAGGTATCACGAACTTCTTTCTTGCCCGAGTCACTTCCGGTACTTGAATTCGTGCAGCTGAAAGAAAAAGCTGTGCGCAAATATCTTGGCTTATCCTGCACCTCAAAATATCTTGAAAAAAACCAGTCAACTGATCCAGACTTCCTCTTCTCCCAGACAACCTCAAAACAATCGCAATCATGGCCGACGGTCTCCAAATGGGTAACCTCTCTATCAACGAGTCTCAGCATGCGCCCCAGGGCAATGCCCCTCAAGCTCAGGGTCGCTCTGCCTACATCCCTCCCCACCTGCGCCAGCGTGGTGGTAACGCTCCCGCAGCCGACGCTGCTGCTCCCGCTCCCGGCCCTGGCTTCGGTGGTCCTCGGTACAGTGCCTAAAGTCAATCACCCTTCAGTACAACCACTAACTTCAATTTCCTTTAGCAACGGTCCCCGTGGTGGTAACTGGGCTAATGCCAATGCCCCCGATTTCAGCCCTCGTGGCCCCGCCAACGGTAATTCTAGCTGGAACCCCCAAGGAGAAATCCGGCCCTTCAATCCCCATGCTTACGGATACCCAGGTCAAGGCAGCTCTTACGGTGGTGGTGGTGGTGGTAGCTACAGCGGTGGTGGTGGTGGCGGCGGTAGCGCTCCCCGTGGCTCCGGAGACGGCCAGTGGCGCGACGGCAAGCACATCCCCGGTCCCGCCAACGCTCGTGTTGAGCGCGAGCTCTTCGGTGTTCCCAACGACCCCTCTAAGCAGCAGACCGGAATCAACTTCTCCAACTACGACGATATCCCCGTTGAGGCTTCGGGTAACGATGTTCCCGAGCCCGTCAACACCTTCACCAACCCCCCTCTTGACGACCACCTCATCTCTAATATCAAGCTGGCTAGCTATGTCACTCCTACCCCTGTGCAGAAGTACTCTGTGCCTATTGTCATGAACGGCCGTGATTTGATGGCCTGTGCCCAGACTGGTTCCGGAAAGACTGGAGGTTTCTTGTTCCCTATCCTCTCCCAGGCCTTCCAGAACGGTCCCTCCGCAGTTCCTGCCCAGGCTTCCAGTGGTTTCAGCTATGGCCGCCAGCGCAAGGCTTACCCCACCTCCCTTATCCTTGCTCCCACTCGTGAGTTGGTCTCTCAGATTTTCGATGAGGCCCGCAAGTTTGCCTACCGTTCGTGGGTCCGCCCCTGCGTCGTGTACGGTGGTGCCGACATTGGCTCCCAGCTGCGCCAGATCGAGCGCGGCTGCGATCTGCTCGTTGCCACTCCCGGTCGTCTCGTCGACTTGATCGAGCGTGGCCGTATCTCCCTTATCAACATCAAGTACCTCGTCCTCGACGAGGCCGACCGCATGTTGGACATGGGTTTCGAGCCCCAAATTCGCCGTATTGTTGAGGGTGAGGACATGCCCCGTGTTGAGGACCGCCAGACTCTCATGTTCTCGGCCACCTTCCCCCGTGACATCCAGATGCTTGCTCGTGACTTCCTGAAGGACTACATCTTCCTTTCGGTTGGTCGTGTCGGTTCCACTTCCGAGAACATTACCCAGAAGGTTGAGTACGTTGAGGACGCCGACAAGCGTTCCGTTCTTCTGGACATACTGCACACTCATGGTACCAGCGGTCTTACTCTGATCTTCGTCGAGACCAAGCGCATGGCCGACTCTCTCTCCGACTTCCTCATCAACCAACGTTTCCCTGCCACTGCTATTCACGGTGACCGTACCCAGCGTGAGCGTGAGCGTGCTCTGGAGATGTTCCGTAACGCTCGCTGCCCCATCCTGGTCGCTACCGCCGTTGCTGCCCGTGGTCTGGATATCCCCAATGTTACCCACGTCATCAACTACGATCTGCCCACCGACATTGACGACTACGTTCACCGTATCGGTCGTACCGGTCGTGCCGGTAACACTGGTATTGCCACTGCTTTCTTCAACCGTGGCAACCGTGGTGTCGTCCGTGACCTGCTCGAGCTTCTGAAGGAGGCTCACCAGGAGGTCCCTGCTTTCCTGGAGAGCATTGCTCGTGAGGGCTCTGGCTTCGGTGGCCGTGGTGGCCGTGGTGGTGGCCGTGGTCGCGGCTCCTCCAACGCTACTCGTGACGTGCGTCGCTTCGGCGGTGGCGGCATGGCTGGTGCCGGTCCCTCTGCTGGCTTCGCTGGCACTAGCACCTACGGCGGCAGCTCCTACAGCGGCGGCGGTGGCAGCTACGGCGGTGCCCCCTCCTACGGTGGTAGCAGCGGTGGTAGCTACGGTGGTAGTGGTGGTGGTGCCTACGGCGGTGGTGGCGGCGGCGGCAGCTACGGCAACCCCTCCGGCCCTACCGGCCCCTCTTCCTGGTGGTAAATCTGTCGTGGTCTGATGACGAGGCCGTCGGGTCTGATTGACTCCTCATTTCTCATTTCCTTATTGTCTCTCCTTGACGGGTACGATCAGAACGAACCTTGGGTTCTTTTCTTCTTAGCTGTTTCTCAGGGACGGCTTTGTCATGATTTGCCACGACTTTCCTACGCGTTTTAGATTTTCATGTGCTTTTCTATTTTCTATTTTCTTGTTGTTTTGCTCTTGCGTCTGCTGTTCTGTTTCACGGTTTTCTGTTATTTCCTGTATCTGCTTATCTGCTTCCCATTCTCTTCTGGGCTCCCAATTTAGCCTTGTTTAGACGTGGGGCGTTCGAGCAGTCTGATCTCCTTTCGTCGCTCTGGGTTCGACCTTTTCGGAGCAATCGGTGATCGGTTGCATGAACATGATAGAATGCGTTGTCTTTTCTGTGTCCGCTCTCATCAGATACCCCTTTTATGTTCGAACGTTCCCAATCGACGGGAATACGTTCGAATGACGCGTTCGCGCCGAGCGAAGAGCTCTCTCTTCATCTCTTCGAAAAAGTGCTTTTTCTTATATCTGCATCACCTCGGCGCTGTTATGGCTGCATTTTCGGAATATGCAGCATAGACGTCTGACAGCGTCGGTATCTTATGGCGGACAATTCCTTGCGTATCTTTTTGCTCCTTCCGCGTCTTGTTCTGCGGTCACTATCGTCTTTTCCAGAACTCAAACCCTGCGCTTCTCTTTCTCCGGGCTAATGGAATGGTTGTACGGAGTACATTGAGACGGGCTGGTTATTTGCTGTTTCTGTGTTTCTGTGTTTAATCCTGTCAATGTACTTGATCAGGTAGGCTTCGCATGGGGATTCTTTTGCATTTTGTATGGCGTTCTGACCTGCAACTGTGCATGTCCTCTGGTGGTCCGTGAAGGCTGATTTTCAAAACCATGTCTCTTGCTTTCTTTCCTCTTGCATCATTTTTCTCGGATCCAAGGAGGATGGGACGCTGTCGACGCTGATGAATGGTTCTCGCATGGTTTCACGTTATGACGAAAAGCACAGGGGCCCTGGAATCTTCGAAGCCGCGAGAAGGAAAGCCCTCTTAGTTAAATGCTATTTGAAAAGTTCTCCAGTTCATTTGTATTCGTGTAGACCATTTCGCTATACTTGGATATAGTATTGTACTTAAAACCTCGAAAATGCTGTAAATTATGTATACTCCGTACACCATTTTACGCGGATCCTGGATGCGGGTAGTTATCACACTTAACGCAAGATACTTCAAACGCTCATTCGTCCCTTCCCGTTTCTTTCCCTGTCCACACCTTCTTTACGCTTTTCCTTTGTCTTTCCCTATCCCCCTTTTTCTTTATTCCTCTCGATTCCTCGGTTCCTCGATTTCCCAGGGTCTATCACTTCCACCTCCGCATCTTCAATCTACTCGCGCCTCCTAGGGGGGGCGATACAACCGCAGAACCCTCGATCCTCTGGACCTGGACTATTCGTACACAGCGCTATTCTCGATCGCAATCCTCACACAATATGGACAGCTTCGACCCCACATTGGACGAATCAGTCCCGCCGTCCGAGGCCGCGGATGACCAGTCGTCTCATGGTATAACCGCCAGCGCGACGGTCGGCACACGGCGCCAAGCGAATGGCACGATCGGCTCCGTTTACTCGGGCAATAAGATCCGACATCTGAAAAAGGAAGATGGCATCCCGCTATGGCGCAAAGACATTCAATACCAGTTCCTCAAGCTCGTCTTCGAAGATAAGACACCTGCCTTCACCCGATACCCCGACGGCAAGAAGAACCTGGACTTTGCCGACATCTATATCGACGCTATGGCGAGGAGCAGCAAGACGAGCAAGATTCTCAAGGATAAGCTTCAGAATGATAAACCGGCAGCCGTCAGTATGGCGATGATCTGTCTGTTGGTCAATTTTGGTCGCATGAACACCACCCTCAACTGTAAGCTTTGTTCTGAACATGTTGTTTGGTTACAATACTGATGGTTTCATCTCTTTATTAGTCTTCCCCGAAATGCGTGCCCAGCTAAGGACCTACCACTCAATCCCTTCGCTGCAAGCTCATCAGGACACCAACGCCTACAAACAGCTGCAGGATGCTCCGCGCCTGAAGTCCATCCTGAAGGGCGCCTCGGAGGATGTTGATCAGCCGAACACTTTGGACAAGATCAAGCGCTTGGCTATCCCTCGCACGAACCCCGTCAACCTCATCTTCGTTTTGGCACAGTATGCGCCTCGAGTGTCAGAGATGCATTTCTTCCCCCCGCGTGACTTCTTCGATCTGGTGATGAGGTCCACATTGAGCAGTAAAACGCGAGCCAAAGCCTTCCTGTGGCTGATGTGGTGGTACTTGGAGAGCGATTTCAGCCGTGAGGCTGCATTGAACAATCCGTTTGGTCCCGGGCTGGAAGGAGAAGGAGCCGATGGTTTACCCTTGAAAGTGCCCTTGTTTGAAAGCTTGACGGAGGAGCAGGCCAATGAGGAAAACGTGGATACTCCAGAGGAGCTGGAATTTGGCGAGAAGAAAAGACTTGAACGTAAACGTGAGTATTGTCCCTGTCCGGCGCTTACTCCGATGTTCTGACACGGTTCATAGGCATTCTTGAAGAAGATGAGCCTCTTCCCAGAATTATAAAGCGCCCAAAGAAAGGTATGTTACTTTGGTCACCTTTGTGCTACATTCCTTTCTGGTGTTCTAACCATCTGTGACATCCAATACAGAGTACGGTTTCGACGAAGAATCCTTTGCGGGAGACTACTCTGGCTTAGGAGGCCGTAATTCCGCCATGTCCACACCTCTCCATCCCTCCGCAAAACGAAGCTTGGATGATGACGACGACGAATTAACCCCTGGCTTGTCTCGACCACGCAACAAGCAAATGAAACGAGACGAGTCTCTCAACCGAGCTGTGGGTCAACAACGCCTCATTTTGAAGACCAGGATGGAACACACACCTAATGCCTCCCCTGCTCCTTCCGGTTCTGGGCTCATGGACCGATTCATCCCGGAGCCTATGCTCACACAGTCAACTAGTCGTCGACCGCGCCCTTTGACGCAGCACCAGATTGCCGTAGAGCAGAACCGTCGACAGCGGATTGAGTACTTGCTTGCCAAACGTCGAAGCAATGCATACCGTGTGCTTAGTGCCAAGCGCAACAGCGAGATTCCCTTTGGGCGATATGGACGTCTGCTCCAGAGCCTACCAGAAGGGTACGACACCGAGGATGAAGAGGGCTCGTGGGGCAAAGGGGGTCTTCTTCCGAACCCTCAGGCCGAGGATGATTATGGCGAATGCGCCAACTTCTTCTTGTCTGTCGTCCGCAAGGCTACCCGCCGTCTGGATCGTTGGGACTACGAGGACGCCAACGGACCGAAGAAGGACCGTCAGAAGGAGCGCGAAGACCGTCAGAGGACCAAGGCGGCCATTGAGGCAGATCTTCGCGCCGCCAGCAATCGGTCTCGTCCCCGTCCTTCGCGAGGTGGTGCCGCCGCGAAGCGCAAGTCCACCGGTCCCACGTCTACCCCCACCAACGCCAAGAAGTCCGCAGCACGCCCCAAGGGTGGCAGCCGCCTTGCGGGCGAGTATGCTGGTGGTGATGAGGAGATGGACGGGGAATTGGACGATCTCGACCGTGAGTTGCTGGGAGAGGGATCTGGCGAAGAGGATGGACCGCAACGCGTCGGCTATCCTGTTGATGGAGATTCATCGGACGACTCTGGGGATGATGATGACGTTGTTGATGGTGATGAGATCTCATCTGCTTACGGCGGACCCAATGGCTATGCACGACACCATAGCTCGTCCCCGGTTCCCGGAGCTGGCGAGCAACGAGGTAGGGACGAGGATTAAAGAGGATTTGGAAATCAATTTCGACTTGTTATGACATTCTGTTTGAAATGTTTTGGGAATTTTGGGGTCAACTGTGATTATTCTGGTTAATATAGGGTTGATTTTCGTGCTGCACTTGATCCCTGCACTGTACACTTGGGCGAGAGCCCCAATACATCAAAAGGATTCCCTAGTTATTTTTTAAATATTTATTCTAGCATGAATAATTTCATTGAGAGTTCTGGGTAACCAAGTGTTCAAATGTCGTCTTGTAGTGTATGTATATATGGAGTACCCCCTTCATTACTTGGGTACACCGCAGAATTTTGGACACTATCCTTCTACTTCACTTTTCTTTACTTTCTTTTCTATTCCGCTATATGTGAATTTGCAGAGCCTTATGACGGTTGAAATAATCCGGTAGGAAGAAGGTGGAATACTGAGTAGAAGAACGAGTAAGAAGCTGAGTGGGGAGATGGATACCAGGGAGAAGACTGAGGAGACAGGGTAGGAGATATGGTAGGAGATATAGTGTAACACTAGGTAGGCGCCACGCGAAAAGCGCGGCGGAAAGCCTCTCGTAGTGTATGACCTCAATACCCCCACAGTTTTATACAAGACCCATCAATGGAGTCCACAGAAGATCATATGATGGATATGTTTCGAGTGAACATTTGAGGTATGCAGTAGCGAGGACCTCGGGAGGTCTGAGTGGTGCAACGACAGTGCAGTGCAGCGGAACCCCATGTTTTACGACGCACTCATGCATGGTCTGTGTCATACTACATCGTATAAAGCTGAGGTCCATGAGGATCTACGGAATTCAGGTTGCCACATCGTCTCCAGTTATGCATGTGCCATGTGATTGCCCCCCCTTTACAACATATAAACATATTCCCCCCTCTTTTGTACTTCTGAATTCTCGGTTGTGAAAACTTTTACTTTTACTTTTACTTCTCTTCTCTCTTTATATTACACAAGCACTTTAAGTTGGACTTATACTGGAACCAACGTCATTGTCCCCGGGAATCAGTGATTCTCCACTTGAAAATCAAAGCCAAATCAGATCCAACAGATTTGCAGGGATTCTCTAAGGTTTTCGACTAAAAGGCCCGAAGACCCTTGCAGTCTCTGACATCTCCCAACACTATTCTTTACCCAACGCAATCCCATTGTTCTTGTTTCTGTTCAAAGCTTAAAGACCGGAGGTCGGACTCAAATATACGTGGTAAAGATATCATGTGGAGTCGGACAATTCAATAAATTTCGCTAATTAACTCCCAGGCGCGTCGCACTTATTTTTCAGCTCAATTCCCTTCTTTTCATCTTCACCGAAAAGCAGCAGGAACTCAAAGTGCAACCTTATACCATTGGAAAGTTCTGACTCCCGGAACTTGAAGTTTACCAACCTACCTTAACCCCCCGAACCTGTCCTTCCACACCATCTACCACTCAACCAAAATGGTAGAACAACCTCGCATTCTGCGACCTCGTCCGCGTCGCGTATTCGAAATCCCCACATCCAACGACTCGTCCGGCCCCCCTACACCCGCCGAAGCATCCAATGCCGACCTACTGAACCCCAACCTCTCCAACTTTCAGGAGAGCACATCCACAAGCGTAAGCCGTACAGGCTCAATTCTCAACCTAACCTCCTCAACCCTCTACGGAATCTACCAGCCGACCGCATTCGATAGTCTCCGCGATGAGTCCAGCCCCTGGGGAACGGAAGCCAACTCACCAGCAGCCGATTACCCGCCCGAACCATCACAAAGCGCCGCCTTGAAAACCGCCATCGAGCCTCGTCCTTGGGCACTGCGGCGGACACGCTCGCGGCTCAGCCATGGCTTGTTCCGTGGTGTCATATTGCCGCAGGCTATGAGCAGTGCATTGCTCTTGGGATTCGGCATTGTCTACGGGGTGATTACTGTGCATTTGCATGATAACCACTGGATCACGCCCGTGAAGCTGGAGAATATCCATTACTACGATTCCTGGCAGTATTTGGGTATCTGGGGGTTGGCGGGTGTTGCCTTGGGGAATGTGCTCCCTTGGTTGGATAGTTGGCGGGATATCGAGTCGGTGCGTGAGGAGCAGTCGAAGCGTGCACGGAATGAGGATGAGAGTGAGGATCGTACTCCTTCGTGGGTGGCTGTTGCTCGCAGCGTTGGTGCGTTCGTTGGAATTGCTTTTGCCATGGTAAGTGCATACAATTCGATCCGTGTTTTTGTTTTCGAGTCAGATGTTGATTCTTTTTTCTCGAAATTTAGCGTCGTCTTCCCTGGGAATCTACGACTCAGGCTTCACTTACCCTTGCCCTTGCGAACCCCGTTCTGTGGTACCTGATTGACCGTACCCAGACTGGCTTCCTGCTGGCTACTTTTGTGGGTGTCGTTGGTATGAGTGGCGTCCTGGGCTTGAAGCCTGAGTTGATCCCGGCATCTACTGGCCCATCGGTGGGCGCTACTTTCCTTAACGGGACTGGTTGGGAGAATTCATTGGGAGCAGGTATTACTCAGGAGAGTATCGCTGTCCGTACCTGGGTTGCGAGTGTGATTTTCTGTGCATGTGTTTGTTTTGGCAACATTGGCCGCCAGCTCGCTATTGGAGCCAACCACAGAGAGACCCTGAAGTCGTGAAGCGGAAGATTGAGAGAATATTGCTGAATTGATAGCTTTTCTCCATCTGGTGAACAAAGTCATGTCGGTACTGTAGGGAAATAATTGCTTTGTAAAAATAACGATACAGAAACTTTTTTCTTCGAAGGAAAATAAAAATTGTAATGGAAAACAGCTAAAATATAATATATCTCACTCATACAATCTAGCTCAAACATTCTGAGACGGAAATTTAATGACCTGAAAAAGGTATTAAAAGTGTTTGAAGATTTGTAGAGTCAATCATTGCAGTTCCTTCCATGAGACCCGTAGGTCAGGCAGGCACTGCACCCAAGATCGACACTGTGCGTACACTCGATCTCCATTCTTTATACGATTTCCATACTTCATGAGACGAATCCTCGTAGGAACGCTTTTGAAAGAACGTGATTTTTTGCGTTGTTCATGAAGAAGAAAAGAAAAAGAAGAGGAAAAGGCGAACGTAAAATTTGTTTTTAACCTCCTCGATTCATCACGTGAGAGATGGATACCATGACTCAGCCCGATATATCATTGGTTAAAATCTTGGTAATCTGGTAACTATTCCCCACCAACATGTGGTAACTTTTTACTTTGTATTACGTATCTTATACGAGCTGTACTGTACAGTCCGATTGCGGCCATGAAAAAAGACCCCGCGGCGGGGATCAAATTGTTTCCTTTTTTCCACACTTTCAAGCTGAATATATTGCACTACATTCAGGTATGTGAAACAGTTTTACTCTGAATTTCATTGGAAGCTCAATTGAGCTTTGAATTGCTTTTCTAGGTGCTGACTTCTTTTCTAGTCGACATCATGTCTCAAAAGTCCGGTAGGCGCTTGGCCTTGATATCATTCCCCGGAATTGAGGGTAGTATAGTTGAACTGATTTTTTCAATTGGGCTTTTGATATAGCTATCATCTCCGTCTATGACAAGACTGGACTGCTCGACCTGGCCAAGGGTCTGAACCAGCAGAATGTCCGTCTACTTGCGTCTGGCGGTACCGCTAAGATGATTCGTGAGGCCGGATTCCCCGTTGAGTGAGTTTTGAGGTCGCGATCGGGCACATCAATACAATCCTAACGCCTTCCACAGGGATGTCTCCGCTATCACCCACGCCCCCGAGATGCTTGGCGGCCGTGTCAAGACCCTCCACCCTGCTGTCCACGGCGGTATCCTTGCCCGTGACATCGAGTCCGACGAGAAGGACCTCGCCGAGCAGAAGATCTCCAAGGTCGACTTTGTTGTGTGCAACCTGTACCCCTTCAAGGAGACCGTCGCCAAGGTCAACGTCACCATCGACGAGGCTGTTGAGGAGATTGATATCGGTGGTGTGACTCTGCTCCGCGCTGCGGCCAAGAACCACAAGCGTGTGACCATCCTGTGCGACCCCAAGGACTACTCCGAGTTCCTGCAGGAGCTCGCCGCCGGCCAGATCACCGAGGCTAGCCGCAAGCAGTACGCCCTGAAGGCTTTCGAGCAGACCGCCGACTACGACTCTGCTATCTCCAGCTTCTTCCGCAAGGAGTACGCCGGCAACGGTGTGCAGCAGGTTTCCCTGCGCTACGGCACCAACCCCCACCAGAAGCCTGCTTCCGCTTTCATGGCCCATGGCAAGCTGCCCTTCAAGGTCCTGAACGGCTCCCCTGGCTACGTCAACCTTCTCGATGCCTTGAACGCCTGGCCTCTGGTCAAGGAGCTGAAGCAGGCTCTTGGCTTCCCCGCCGCCGCCAGCTTCAAGCACGTTTCCCCCGCCGGTGCTGCCATCGGTGTTCCCCTCACCGAGAAGGAGCGCAAGGTCTACATGGTCGACGACATCAAGGACATCGAGACCTCCGGCCTTGCCCAGGCCTACGCCCGTGCCCGTGGTGCCGACCGCATGTCCAGCTTCGGTGATATCCTCGCCCTGAGCGACATCGTCGACGTCCCCACCGCCAAGATCATCTCCCGCGAGGTCTCCGACGGTGTCATCGCCGCTGGCTACGAGCCCGAGGCTCTGGCCATCCTCTCCAAGAAGAAGGGTGGCAAGTACCTCGTCCTCCAGATGGATGAGAACTACACCCCCGCTCCCGAGGAGTCCCGTACTTTGTACGGTGTTCAGCTCACCCAGCACCGCAACGACGTCGTCATTTCGCCCAGCAAGACCTTCAACAACATCATCACCCCCAAGGAGCTCAAGGCTCTCCCCGAAGCAGCTCTCCGTGACTTGACCGTCGCCACCATCGCCCTGAAGTACACCCAGTCGAACTCCGTCTGCTACGCCCTGAACGGTCAGGTCATCGGTCTTGGTGCTGGTCAGCAGAGCCGTATTCACTGCACTCGTCTTGCTGGTGACAAGGCCGATAACTGGTGGATGCGCTTCCACGACCGTGTCATCGGTATCAAGTGGAAGGCTGGCACCAAGCGCGCCGACAAGAGCAACGCCATTGACTTGCTCTGCTCTGGCCAGACTCCCCGTAGTGAGGCCGAGACCATCGAGTACGAGCGTGTCTTCGAGGAGGTCCCTGCTCCCTTCACTCAGGAGGAGCGTGAGGCCTGGCTGCAGAAGCTGGGTGAGGTTGCTGTCTCTTCTGACGCTTTCGTAAGTTCTCTCATTTCTTGACTGTTTAGAATCAGTACTAATATTTCTCTTAGTTCCCCTTCATTGACAACGTCTTCCGCGCTGCCCGCTCTGGTGTCAAGTACATCGCCGCCCCCACTGGTAGCCAGAACGATACCCCTGTCTTCGAGACTGCTGAGAAGCTTGGCATCACCTTTGTTGAGCAGGGCATCCGTCTGTTCCACCACTAAATTGGCAGTGGAATCAGTGTTTGATATACGGTATTTCGGATTTCAACACAAAAAGAGATATCTGGTTATGATGATGATAGCTTTCTTGTTTATGATTAAAATTACATATTTTCATTCTACTTCAACCATAGATCTACCTTTCCTATTCCCAATCGCAGAATAAATGGTTTAGTAGATGCCTGTGGAATGCTCATATGCATGGATGTTCATTCCTATGATAAACAACTTGTTACATCCACTGCGTTCTCGCCATGAAACTACGAATAAAAACAAGAAGAACAAGAAAATGAACAAGACCAAGCATAATCCAACAAGTACAACCCATAATCCCAACAGCTTCATCTCCATCTTCACCCTCATCCCCATCCCCATATGCATCACTCCCACAGAAACTTCCCTACAGCAAAAGCCTGATTCCACTTGCTAGTAACACTGTCCGGCAAATCCTGCCAATCATTTGCATTCGCAGGTAATTCCCCTCTCTCCCTCTCCCCCAACTCAAAGAACCAAGCCTCCATAGCAATAAGCAGCGTCCTCGGCAAATCCATCAACATCCACCCCTCAGGGTCCTTATAGAACCCCTTCGCATGTGCAAGCAGTGCAGCAGCAGGTTTCCCCCATTTCTCATCACCAGGATCAAGACGACAATACTTTGGATCCAGCATCCTATTCCCCCGTCCAGGCGGAGCATCCTCCAACAGCTCGGCGGCTGTTCGCAGATCCAATATCTCGTGTAGATTGCTTCTGCTGGTCCAGGGGGGGTTCTTGGTTGCCCAGTGGATGTGGCGTTCTAGTTGCCAGGCGATTAGTCTTTTGGGATCGCGGGTATCCCAGTTTGGTGGGATGAGGAGCTCGAATGTGTCTGTTTCTGTTTCCGAGTTTGGGGTTGGGGTTGATGGCTCAGTGTCTGATGAGCTTGAGGTTGATTGTTCTTTGATGTGGATGTTGAATGTTTTGTTAGATAAGACTGTGATTTGGCTTTTCTTTAGGGCTATTTTGGTGTGACATTTTTTGATGCTTCGGTTCTTGCGGATCTTGTACTGGTTGAGATCTTGTTTTTCGCGGAGGATTTTTATGTTGAGATTTTCGATTGAGGTTTGGATCTTATCGATTTCTTTTTCGATTTCGTTTTGGTAGTTTGGTAGGGCCATGGTGGGATGTGGTTGATGGACTATGGGGAAGGAAGAGGGAGATGATTTACTGGGAACACTTGGAGGACTTTTATATCAGAGATTTCCATCAAATGAGATGATTTTTTACATAATGTTGCTATGTAGCAATCAATGATTGTCTACTGTTCCTGACCAAACATCTTCATCATTCGCTGTGCACCATCCTCCTTGTACATGACATTCTCGAAATTCAAGCTATCCATGATACTCTCGTACGCCCGGGGTCGCATATGAGCTTCATATGCAACAATGGCACGTTCCAAAGCTGCAGCATCGTGCACATTACCACCGACCCCAGCCAGCTCAGACGCAATATGCTCAAACAACACCAAAGCATCCATCATAGCATGATTGACACCCTCCCCATTCGGTGTAGTCACATGCGCCGCATCGCCCAATACCGCAACCCCCGGCGTGCGCGTCCACAATTTCTCCCCCGTCTCCTCATCTCTCAACGCACCGGGTAAAAAGAGGTCCTGATCAAGTCGATAAAGAGGCCAAGGCCGCCACGGACCTTCAGCTTCTGCCACAAAGGCACGAAGGTGCGGAGCCCAGCCGGCATAAAGCTTGTTCATCGTTGCCCGGGCCTTGAACATATCATGTACATCGGCTTCACCACCAGACTGTATGAATGTCTCGGGCTTTTCAACGCCCATATACACACGGTACGAGCGGTCAGACATTTGCTGGATGCACAATGCGAGGCCTGCGCCCATGGCAATGGAGTTCCCGGCACCGACCATATCAAGCGCAGCGCCGTACTGTGGATTCTCCTGCGAGATGCGGCCTTCGATGAACATTTTCCCGGAGTATTGGGGTTTTGCCGGTGTGATCTATCCGGAAGTTGTTAGTGCTAGATACTTGATTCATTAATCCATCGGGAACTCCAACACAAACTCACCAGCTGTCGCACTTTGCTCCATGCCCCATCCGAGCCAACAATGAGCCTGAACCCAGTCTCGCTCGAGCCATCGGTAAAGCGTAAGATCCAGTCCGCCGCTGAAGCTGAAGCAGAAGCAGAAGTAGGTCCATTCCCATTCTTCACAGCACGCTCGACACTCCCAAGCGCCTTATTCCATCTCACGCGATGCGCGGGAATGGAATCCAACAACAGCCGACGAAGCTGTAACCTGTCGATCTCAGGACGATCATTTCCCTCGCCGGCGGAGATACGGTTCTGGCCCTGCGAATCCTGCATTAGGATCGTTGTCGCGTCTCGACGGGCCAGTTTCTCGAACTCGGTGGATAGACCTGCGAGTTTTAGGGCTGCTTGTCCTCCTTCGACTGTCAAGTCTAGCGTTCCTCCTTGGAATCGGGTTGTCGTGTTGGGGGAGGCATCGCGTTCGAAGACTATGTAGTCGATTCCAGCGCGTTCGAGGAGACGTGCGAATGTTAGACCGCAGGGTCCGCCGCCTATGATTGCTATTGGGGGCTTGGGCGTCATCTGGGGTTGGGTTCTGACGTGGTAGAGTCTCGATGTGGTTTGGTGAAGGGGGCGGAGTGCACTGAAGAGGTGTCTTGCTGATTGCATGCTTTGGTGGAATCGAGGTTATACTGTATACCGTATACCTGTGGTCTATAGGTCTGTCGTGTGGAGAGCTGAAAGACTTGTGTGAAGGAATTGGATCTGGGAACTTGCAACCTTTAAATATTATTTCCCTGTCATTGTTTCCCTGTCATTGTTATTCCTACTCGGCTTTTAAGGGGGTTTAGAACAGGTCCCGAGCTGCAGATAATTTAATTGTCGGTGATTTATCTTGCACAGACTCTTTTCGGGAGTTGGTAATTCCCACAATTAGTAGAAAGAGGAAATTATCGGGAGTTAGAAATCTCCGAAGTATAGCCTATTTGCCACTTCATCTTTTACAATCCACAGCTGAGAAATTTTTATGACTTGATTCCAAGGTCTTTGAGTTATGACTGCTGTATACAGACACAGGAAATTCACCCCCTTCACACGGAACAGGAACAGAACCCCCATAAGTGAGGCCGAAGTGAAGACATTCATCGTGTTGTGTTGCATGTGACATCTTGACCAGGCTGGAAACATAAGTCGCTTGTTATCGATTGTGATATGGTCCCCCATTGATATACATCAACGCCCGAGTTGTCATTAGAAAGATCACGCCCAGTCTTGGTTTCTTGCAGGCCATGCAATTCCAAACGTAGCGTTCCTCATGTTCTTTGATCTCAGCCCACCAATAATTCTGGCTTGCGAGGAACTTGCGCATTTTACATGCCGTTGGATGATGGCTGGGCGCTTGAATGTCCTTTGTGTTTCGAAATTTGCATATATCGTGTCGCAAGAAAATATCACTTGGCAAGCTCATTCCTCAAATCGAGACATAATATGAAATTCTCCCCGCATGCCATGACGGAAAAGCACACGCTCTCTCCTAAACACAGACGAAAGAGACTTGAATTCCCTTGGTGTTTCGGAGTCTGCATGTATCGTGTCGCACGAAATTATCACTTGGCAAGCTCATTCCTCAAATCGAGACATAATGTGAAGTGCTCCCCGCATGCCATGATGAAAACTCACACGCCCCCGTCTAAACACAGAGGAAAGAGAGCCCCCCGTGTCAGAGAGAAGAAAGAAGAGCCGAGTTGTGTCCGATGGAGGAAGGGGAAAACGCGCCCATGGGGGGACGAAGACAAAGAAGTCCCACGGCATTTAAGAGTTTTAAGTCACCATCTGCAGCTTGCGAAGGCGCGTCAAAAGTCGCATGCCCAGATACAAATCATAGCACCCTTAGATTGATGCCATTCCATTTCCGTGGGAGAGAAATGAGAGGTGGAAAAGGGATCTTCTCAAGAGAAGTGAACCAGAACGAAAAATCCCTCCCCCTAGATTGTCTCCAGTAACGCTCCGTTTGCGGAAGACGCCGTGGACCCTCAAATCTAGGTTTTTTCAGAAATGCAAGTGCAACATGCATGAAGCACTGTCTCGAAGTGACTGATCCAACGAACTGATCAAGCCGTTTTCTGAATTGCCCTGGCGCAGATACGCTGCCAACACTGTTAAAGAATGTCAATAAGGATGAAGAGGACAAGCTGAAGAGGAAAACTCACAGCCTTGTCGTAAAGTTGGTTAGAAAGATTGATCACGAAACCGAGTTGTCGGAGTAACGTGAAAGTGAAACAACGTGAAATGACTTTCCATACTGCAGGGCCATCTCGAGATGTTGATCTGATGAGAGAGGACCTAAGGTTTATTTTTAATATATATTCAATATAAATATAATTAAGAATAAACTTTTTTTGGTGTTTGATGGATCTCGGGGTGATGAGAAAGGGAAGTGGAAAAACTAAGGATCCGAATTTTTATAGGCCGATTTCAGGCACCAGTTCGATATCGGACAAATAGAAGGCGTATTGATTAGATTATTGAATTAGGCATCGGTTTTACTTTTGACAAAGAAAAAGCGTAGAGTCATACTTGATGGCATTTTTAACAAAAACCAATTAGATTTAGGCATCGATATTGCCAGCTATTCAGCCAATGAGAGAACTTGATAACTACTGTAGGAGGCAGCTTTTCAGACCCACTTTATCTTATTTAGGCATCAGTTACGATCTCCACTAAACGGAGTAGGCAACTCTGTTTCACTACAGATTTCATTATTCTGAATGAAGAAATCAGTTCATTGACATTAGCGACTCATTCTATGGCGTTGTAAGTGCAGATAGTATCTTACCTTTTAAATGACGTATTCCACTTTACCACTACTATCGATTATTGTTGATTTGGCTGTGCAGTGAACACATAATGGCATTGATTTTCAAAAAAAAATTAAAAATTAAAAAAAAATATTCACTTGTTTTCATCCTGTCCATTTGAATAAACTAACAGCCTTTGGGGCAATTCAAATAACAGATTGAGTAAATAAAACATACCTATCGATAGCCGTATAAGTCGTTGTGGTTCGGTGGAATAATATATATATCAACCTCTGAGTACTAGAACCAGACTTGAGGCAATTACATATCAAGAGCGCATCAAAAAACCCTGCACAAATCACAATAAAACCCTGAAGTATTTTACTTGATTTAGGTGCTCAGAAGCCATTCGAATACAAAAGCTCGTATCCATAAATGCGTAGATTTATATCAGGATGTAGGCATCATGTTTAATTAAACTGTATTTTAATCACGTACCCCAATACCCACCAATTTAGCTACCTAATGCGAGTCTAACGGGTGTATACCCCAACTAGCTCCTTTTACATGTGTAATGATTATATCGTGGGGTTGCCTACCTTCTCCAATCCCACCAGGTCTTAATATGCCCCAGACGCTGATGAGGCTGAAACTTCGTCTGACGTGTTATTCCCAACGCGCATACCGTATTCCCCGGGGCTTCAATTGATGACATGAGATTCCAGGTCCACATGTGCCCACATCATGCCATGTTCAGGCGCGGGTGACGCTGGATTCAAAATGACTCACGGATGAAACCCCAGGAGCGGACATCAGCACAAATTTTTATGTACTCCACAACCCGAATAGGTGTCGATCATGTAAGGCTGAGCATAAAATGTGCACGACCCACGGATCGCGGATCAAACGGCAGAATTTTCTCGGAGTCGGACTACATTAATCCCGCTTGCCCCACATCGAGTCACAAGGTGAGCTTTCGGTGATTCGTAAATTCCCGAGATAGTGAGTCTATGCTTTAAACATCTGTGCTGGAGATAGGGGATAAAGAGGATAAGCATAAAGCTCAGGCTGCTTGGATTACCCGCTTAGGTAATGATGATCTCTCCAGATTTGTAGATTCGTGATCTCACATGCGTACATGGAAGGTTCCTTGGTAATTGATAATCTCGGTGATTATCGATCGGATATACTGCATCTATCCACGAGCTGATTTCTGGATTAGGTAATTCCTGTCATAACATATATTCAAAGCTCACAGCTCCAGACCCAACGATGACATACTTCAAGTACTCTGTATACTGTTTACTAATTCTTCCTATCCATGTTTACGTATTGACAGTCTTCCGGCCATTAGGACCTCTTGACCGAGGATGGTTGATGTCATGAGTCAAGAAGTGGGTCACTCGGACGAAATTGACAGCAAAGACCGAGTGAGCCGCATAACCGCCTTGATCATTACTAGTTCCGAGCATCCGCATGCGTCGGTGGCTCGGATTGACCAGGGAAACCAGCATCCAATTAATCCGTGGCTGCACCTGGGCCAGTCGATGAACGATCAGACGGATGATTAGATTAGAGAGTTATAATCGAAGTCTAAGTTGACTAATGCTATTTTGTATCCGCCTTTACTCAAGTTGCCAGCGAAAACAATGTAATGTGGCAAGGGGGCCGGGTTTTATCCACAATTCAATTGATCTTTACCTGGGCGATACGAGTTGCAGCTTATCGTATTCGGTTGACTAGTAGATTAAGGTAGACGCCTAATTGATTTTCTCCTTGCAGATAGGCTAACGCCGGGTCTGGTGGGGACGGGTTGGAAAGAAATGGAAAAAAAAAAGGAAAAAATGGAAAAAATGGAAAAAATTGTAAGCAGATTCTACACCGATTTGGAAATTGGGCTGAAAATGGATTCCACTGCGAGAATATCCACTGCGAACCATGAATGATTCACGATCGCCGTTGACTATTTTCTTCGGCGGTACAGCCAAGCCTCAAGGCTTGGCCTGAGGCTTGGCTGCGACAGTAAATTAGGCATTCGGAATTCCACGGTGAGACACGCAGTCATAGAATGCTGGAATTTAAGCATGGCAAGATATGGCGAGCGTCCTAATGTACGTCTTTGCCCTGTCCTGCAAGGAGCACGACGTGGCTCGGAAACAAGGCAGACAGAAAGGAGTCAAGATAGCTAAGACAGGCGAAATGACAGGGAAGAAGACGTGCTGTGACTGGCCCCCGCGTGTCACAGCCCCCCTAACTGCCAATAATTGCTGGTTTCCTGGGGAATGCTGCTTTCGCAGCCGCATGGCTAGAGTGGTCCGTGTCCATGGCATATTCCTAATTTAATTAGAGCTTGGAGTACCCTGGGTATCTGGATTGGTCATGAAGATATAGCTGATACGCTGAACATGGTTATCTGTAAGGCGAAAGGGTGTTAGGTTTTGATTATAGGTGATTGGAAATCATAACCGTACCAGAAAATCCGTAATCGGAATTAAGAACAATCCGTGTCCGCGGACGAAGTATTGGTCATCCGAAGTCATGTGGGTCCAGGGTCTGACTGGATTGAAAATTGGCGAGAAACGGACTTAACCGATGAGTCAGTTATGGACTTAAATGCGCTAACTCCAATTCCAAAAATTTACTAAAGATGAGAAAAATAGAAAAAAAATAGTTTACGAATTAGATACTGTTTAATTGACTATAGCGGTATACATAGCGGTGTAGGCTGCATACATATCATCTGAGCGCATGTATGTAAGGCTTTGAGGCTTGGTCATTCGTTCGACAAAACAAATAATCAAATAATCAGAAATCCAAACCCAAAATCAAAGCTGAATAATGCTCGGCCTCGGATCCACAAGGTGGGGATCCTCCGATCGGGTCCCGGACTTTAGCTAACGGATACACGGGATAACGAAAGAAGGAAAAAAAAAATCTTGGGCCTTTCCTTTTAAAGTGTCATTCCTCCCCCCAGGGTTAAAAAAATTACAATTACATGAAACATCCAACCCCATAAATTAACTTGGGATATAACATATCAAGAACCACCAAGGTTGATCTCGATCTGGTTTACAACATTTTAACTCGCACTACCCACACCGCTTCCCTCAATCACCAATTGTGACTGGATGAACACACGGTTGAGTCACCACCTTGGCAGAAAGTACCTACAGCTCTTATAATACTTTCCTGCCCACAATGGCTTCCTCTCTCACCAAGGAAACTTCTTTTGCCTCTTCCGACTCCCCCTACTTCACATCCCTCACCCGTCGCCGCCAACAAAAGAAGATGAGCATCACTCAAACATACTACCTCGCTCACACTGCCCGGAAGAAGCTCACCCATGAGGCTTCCCGGGCGGACCACGACCTCCGATTGCTGGTCGGTCACGCCAACCTGCTCGACTCCCTTATGCTAGACCTTGCCGATGCTGAACGGGAACAAGAACGCTGGTTTAACCAGACCGTCAGTGGTGCTACCAAGGCTCAAGAAGAACCCCGACACATCCAATGGGCCTCGACAGTGATCGAGGAACCCGAGGAATACGATGAGGATGCCTCTGACCTCGATTCCGACGTCAGTGACAGTGACACCGAGGATTCGGACTTTGAGGACGCCGGCTTTGCCGTCAACGTTCCCGTCCGCCGCCGCACACCACCCGTTGGTCCAATGGAGCCCATCTTGATGGAAGAGGACGACGACACAGACAGTGACTTTGAATACGACGATGTGGAGGACCTGGAGGAGCTCAGCTTGACTCGGTCGCCTTCGCGCCAGTCTCCGCCTGAGCTTCTCGCGGACTCGGATGGCGAGTCCGAAGAAGAGCTCCTCCCTCCTTCCCCGCCCCAACCTACCTTGGAGACCTTCCATGAGAAGGATGCTACCTCCACAGAGATCTCGCTGGACCAAGCCCATCTGTTCGAGTCTGGGTATTACGTTTCACAAGAGCAGACCATCATCGAGGCATACTGATGCCTTTGTCATGACTTACTCTGTATACCATCTGCCTTGATTTCTGTGATACCCTAATGCTCATGACCGTGATGGCATTTGAAGCGATTTATTTTTGATTTTTATTTACGGCGTTTTGTTTACCTATACGGTCGCATACATACATTGCATCTCTCATCTCTGCTACTGAGTAGCTTCATGTTTCCTACTTTTATTCTTTTTCTTTTTTTTTTTTTTTTCTTGGAAATCGGGCAGCTCTCCCTATCACAGGTCGAGACTACCCAAGCGGGGGAGACATGGAAAATTGTGATCCCAACCGGATGTACATAGACGGGGCAAGACCTCCGTATCAATCCAAAATACTCAAGTTTATCTTCCAAATCTTTTCGTACATACATATCCACTTGTACCAACCACATTGGCTCCACGGTGCATGTGACCGGTCGATCGGTCTGAGCGCACTCACCGCTGCGATAGATCAACGCCAAGGGACGATAGTCTCCGATCAGCGCGGCTAAGTCGGCATAGTCGGTCCGCTACGGGTACTAGTGTCTTCAAAGGGCAATTATTGGTATTGGTGGGGTCATTCTTTCTCACGGAGAATGGAATCGCGATAGAAGTATTGACATATCCGATTGGGATCAATAGTCTCTAATTTATACCGATTATGGAAGGAATTTCGGGATCTGCAGGTTGAAGTTCAAGGTCCGTTATCTCCCTAGCGTGCCCCGTGCTCTGTACCTTAACTATGTGGTGATCACCCGTCTTCTTTTTCCCGCAATACCCGCTGGAACCTTGGAAGAGATTTACATTAGCTGCAGAAGTGGGGTTGGATCACCTGCGCACTTGCATACCAAAGGTCGGGCTCTGCTTTCTTCCTAGGTTTCTAAAATTTTTGTAAATGTACAGTACACTGTTTCCACCTTGACTATGAAGGTCCTCATGGCCATGGGTTCCCTGCGTATTTTTGAACTATATTTACTAAATCTGATTGTCCGACATGCGAACGGGCCACTGACGTTGTGGCTTGACATGGAATAGGTACCTGCGGACATATCTAGATAGCAATTTTCAGCGGCTTGACAGTAGATCCTTAATGCTACATGTACTGTTTATTTCTCATCACCCTAACTCCGTATAGTAATGTTGTGTTTACTTCTGCCTAAGGCGTGATGCTATCGATAAGCTCACCGCCTTCTACTTCGGGTCCAAACCCCTCGCTGCAAGCGTCACTTCCATTCTGCTTTCCCAGTATGAAACAGAACAGCTACCTCGTGGCTTGACATGCAGCTCATTCCTCACTTGACTGGTTGCCCCCACATTTCACCCTTCAAGCTTTCCCTTCTCCAACCGAGACAACTTCAAATCAACCCATCCACCCGATACTAGATAAAACAGAATCAAGGGAAAGCTTAAATCGCTCCAAACCAAACACCACCAAGCCTGCCCCTATCCACCTAGCCATCGGACCGATTCCCAACTCGTCCATCGGCAAAATCCGACTCCCCCCGCACCATGTCCGCCCCTCCAATCCCCAAACCATCCTTTGAGTCCGATGATCGTCCCGATTCTATGGCAAGCATGACTCAGTCTTCGACGAGCCCCGGAGGAATCGCATCCAGAGAACCGCGCGCGCGCAGTCCGCGCCGGAAATCTATACAGTTCAACGTTGGCTCGGCTGAGGCGCAGCTTCCTTCGAGGTCGTTGAGTTTCAAGGAGAAGCGGAGATCGCAAGGGGATGGTGTGCCGATCAGAGATCCAGAAGTGGAGAGGGAACAGAGGTTGTCTGTCAGTCGGGGATTATCTCCGCCGCCGCCGAAGTATGTCCTAGATTTTCCCCCTTTCCTTAGCCTTTCCCATTTTCTACCGCTGATCTAGCGGGCGGCTTGCTGACTTTCATGCAAAGGACTTATGAGCGCGGTGTCTCGTTTGATACCTTTGATAATCGCGATGCGGCGGATTTCTCCTTGACAATGAATTACAAGCATAAGGGGTACCAGAGTACACGGCGGAGTCGGACTTTTCTGTGCGGGACAGACCAGAATGAGTATTCTGAGTTTGCGCTGGAATGGCTCCTGGATGAACTTGTTGATGATGGTGATGAGATTGTTTGTCTTAGGGCTGTGGAGAAGGATTCGCGCATGGCGAGTGATGCTGCGATTGAGGCGCGGAAGTATCGACAGGAAGCTGAGCGATTATTTGAGCAAGTCATTCAGAAAAATAGTCAGGATGAAAAGGCGATCAGTCTGGTTCTGGAATTGGCAGTGGGGAAAGTGGAGGATATTATCCAGCGGATGGTGAGTTTTGTCTTGAGTCTTTGATGAGAATGAATTCTAACTTGTCTAGATTCGCATATATGAGCCTGCCATGCTAGTTGTTGGAACTCGTGGTCGCAACTTGAAAGGCGTTCACAGTCTACTTCCCGGATCCGTGTCTAAATACTGTCTTCAGCAATCACCAATTCCGGTTATTGTTGTGCGTCCATCGCCGAAGCGCGAGAAGAAAAAGAAGAAGCGCCGTGCAGACCCCACCCGACGAAGCTATAACCATATCCTGGAGATGAGCGAGCAGCGAGGCGGCCGGATATTTGACACCAGTTCTAGTGCTGAGAGTAGTGGCTCGAAGCTGCCTGACGAGGAGGCTGCTGTCGCTGAGGCGCTCGGGCTGCCTGCAACTTATTCACATGAGAATTCACGGAGCTCTTTGTCTGTCTCAGACCGTAGCAGTCTGAGCCATGATGAACCTGAAACGTCTCCTGTTCCATATTCCCTCGATTCTGTCATGATGAAGAGCCCGATGAACGGGAGTCCCGCCAGCTCGGAGGAAAGCGTTGTTACGACTGAGGAGACGAAGAGATCGTCCTCACCTTATCCAAGAGGTGAAACACCTTCTCCCACTCCTGATCAGGAGCAGAGCTCGTCAGATGAGACCCCATCAACAGAGCCGGAGAAGGAGTTCTCAAGAGCCGAAACTGGTGAATCGCCAGAGTTTAACCCTCGAGTTTCAATTCCCATCATTCAAGTTTCCGACAACCATGAGAAAAGTCCACCACCATCCACCGAGTAACACAGTTACTCTTGCATTGTATTCGTTCTTGTCTGTCTTGTCTTGGAGCATTGGTATACCTTCAACATCATGCAAAGCAACGCAACCTTGCATTGTTCATGTACCAGGTCCATATTTTGATCCGATTATACCCTTCAGCGTGCAAATACCCCATTTCAACCGTTCTGTTCTGTCTTTCTTTCGTTCATAGCCAACCGTCAATATCATACTGTTAGAAAATGGCAAGATATCCAACCAGAGATCCTATTCAACCTTGAATACCTAGCATACATGAAGATGAAGATGAAAAACTTAGTATTAACCACATGGTATAGAAGAGAAGAAATCCACACAAATGAAAGAAACATTCCTCCTTCCATGGATCTAGGTCAGAGCAACTATAGAATAAACCCAACTGGTCAGAATACCACCTACCGGCATTACATAACAATCCCAGTAAGATCTCAGTTTCCCCGACTCCACTATCCATCGCATCCATTCCTACTATCAGTATGAATACCAATACCGAATCGAGTAAAGCCTACTGCTTTCCCACATCCCATCACAATTAAGCAAAAAAAGGAAATAGTAGAAAAAGGATGTGAAAATTGTACACTATGAAGTGGATCGAAAAGCGGTCCCTTGGAAAAGGCAAAGGAAAAAAAGAGAAAAAACCGACCCAGTCGGAACATGCAAGGGTGAGACTGCGAACTTCGTGTGTAGTAAAGTGAAGCGCAAGCGCAGATGGGGAGCAAGTAGTGGGAAACATGGAAAAAGGTTCGGGAAAGAGTTGGCGTGAAGGGCAAGAGGAAAGAAGAGAAGGGAAATCTTTTGTTGAAAGCAGAAAAAATGGAAAACGTTGATCATTACTCCTAAGGAATCTATGCTGCGTTCTCGCCATCCTTGGATGGGGTTTTTGAGGGTCGGCGCTCGGTCGCGGGCTGCGACTTGGTGAGGACGGGAGAGGTGTGGGCGGATGGGGGAGAGGTAGCCAGGTTGTCCTTGTCTTCCAGGGCGGCGAGGGCACTGATGAGAAGTTAGTGAGATTCGATTTCATTAGGATATTGGGCGAGGCTTACCTGAAAGCGTTGATGGAAGAAGCGGCTTCCTTGTCCTCCTTCTTGCCGGCAGGAGGAGTACCAGTACGGCTGCTAGCGGCACTATCATCACTGCCGCGAACGAGGTTACCACCCGGACCCAGGTTCTTGCGGCCGCTGCTGCTCCGTGAGCCGAGCATGCTGGACGGTCCGAATGACATGGGTTGGTTGGTGTTGCGAGTGGAACGCAGACGACGGAGGTCGTCACTGCCAACCTTGCTAGATGCGTAGTCGGGAGGAGGGGCTTGTTGACCGTATCCGAAGCCACGGGCATCACCGCGGCCCATCTGGGGACGACCACCACCGCCTCCACGGTTGGCCTGTTGACGCATCTTCTCCTGCTCAGCGGCTTGCTGAGCGCGGGCAGCCTGTGTTCAAGTTAGTATAAGGCCACATGAATCAAGAACAGTTGTATAACATACCTCCTCACGAATCTGCTGGATAGTCTTAGGACCCTTGTCGGAATCCTTGGAGTTCCAGCGCTTAGCACGCAGATCAATAATATCCTGGGAATTTGTTAGCTTTATTCCAGTAAATAACTCGGATTAAAAAAAAAAAACATACCATAAGCATGAAACGCAGACGGCTAGGCAGGTTGGGTGTCTCAACCATAAGAGCAATGCGAGCGAAGTAAGCATCCATCATAGCAGGACCCTTCTCAGAAGCATCCAGGCTGGAACCGATTGTGCGGAGGAGACTGGTCAAACTCTCCACCTCAGCCTCATCGGGCATACCCTCGTAATCAACAAGCTTCTTCACACACTCGTGCATGATACGCTCAGTCAACATGCCAAGCTTGTACAGCTCACCGATGAACTTCACGAGACCGAGACCACGACGCTTGGCGGCAGCAGCAATGTAATATTCATCAGAAAGCATCTGAGTCTCCTCAGAGGCGCCCTCGGGCTTTTCGGGCAGGTTGACCTTCCAACCACGCTCGAACTCCTCTTGACAGCGGTTAAGCAGGTACTTGCGGAAGAGATTGCCACCGGCAACGACGTTGCCGTTCTTATCGCGAATGTTCTCATCCTTAATTTCGGGGCTCATGCTCTCCAGCATGGCCTTGGCGAATTTGGCGTACATGGAAGCCCAGTGAGCTTCATCGGTCGCCTTCTCGAACAACAGTTGGATGACTTGACGGAGAGTGCGGCCATCTGATTCATCCTTTGACTGTGCAACAATGTCCAGAATCTGGACGGAGATACGGTCGAACTTCTCAGGGGTCATCTTGTTAAGAGCAGCCTTGACCTTGCGCTGCACAATATCGGGAGTCATGTAACCTTCACCTCCAGGGGTGGGACCGGCGGTAGCTTGTCCAACGCTGCGGGGCTTCCATCCAGTGGCAGAGACTTGAATGGCTTCCAGCTTCATACCAGCAGTCAGAGGCATGGACTTGTCATTCTCACCCTCCTTACGAGGGTTCTTGTTGCGCTTGCTGTCCGCGCGGCCGCCCTTGCTGGAGTTGCCACGGGCACCCGGGGACATGGGACCCATGGTGCTCGAGTGCTGGCGGATCATGCCCGGGCCAGAACCCATTCCGCTGCCCATGCGGGGACCGAATTGGTTGAATTGGCCACGGGGACCACCAATGGCAGGGTTACCGGGGCCCATGCTGTTGCGACCGACGGGGATAATACCAGATCCCATGGTGAATCCATTGCTGCTGGGATTGCGAGAGTTCTGACGGCTCCCCATGCTGGGGGTGCGAGCGGAGCGAGAATCGGCGTCGCCAACGGTATCCCGAATGCGAATGTCCCAGTCAACAGACGGCTTGTCCTTGTAGGCATCCTTGAACTGAAGCAGGAAATCGTTCTCATAGTGGAATCGGCGACCCTCAGGGGCGCTGGAGTTCAGGGCAAGGTTGGGAGCGATAATAGAGGAGGGGTAGATAACCTTGGCTAGGTCTTCAACAAACTTGGCGTTTTGCAAAGACTTCATGGCAGCGCTGGGCTCGGATGTCTCGGGCTTAGTATCCAGCTTCAAGCTGGAGGGCTTCTTAGTAGTAGCGCTGGCGGGCTTGCCAGGGGGACCCATGTCAGACGAAACAGGAGTGTTGGCACCGCTGTCAGCAGGTGTCGACGACTCAGTAGCAGCCAAGCCACCCTTCTTGAGGGAAGCAAAGAGGTCATCGTTGGAGGTGGTCTCGCCCTTGGCGCGAGCGGCCTCACGAGCGAGCTCGCGCTCCTCAGCCTCAGCCTCGGCCTTCTTCATGTTTGCCTCGTAGGCCTCAAGATCCTCGCGTTCCTTGCGCTCCGCAGCCTCCTTCTTCTCCTGCTTCTTGCGGTTGTAGTCCTCCTCAGCAGCACGTTCCTTGGCCTCAATTTCAGCCAACTCGCGCTCAATAGCGTCGAAGTCGGGCTCATCATCGTCAGCTGGGGCGGGGGCAGGTGCCTTCTTGGGCTCCTCAGCAGCCGGAGCAGGGGCTTCAGTAACAGGAGCAGCCGCGGCAGCGGCAGCGGCAGGGGCGGCCTTGTCCTGCAAGCTCATATCTTGCAGGGCAGCGGCAGCAGAATCAGCATCTGCGTCCTTCTTTTCCTCTACCTTCTTAGGCTCCTCAGCCTTGCGGGAGGCCTCCTCGGCCGCACGCTTCTGAGCGGCCTCATCCTCCTGGATCTTTTGGCGAACGGCATCCTTCAGTTCCTGCTTCTTCTCCTCATCGGTCTTGACTCCAACCTTGCTGTCAGTGCGAGCGTGGTCAGAAGCGCTGGTGGTTCGGGGAGGCGGGGTCGCTGTAGGAGTGGCCACCTTCACGGGAGAAGGAGTAGCACGAGCGGGAGAAGCGGGGGTACCGAAAGTCTTCACAACACCACTACCGGGGTCTTTGATGACAATTGGGCTCTTCTTGGCTGAGGGAATAATGAAGTGGGGCTTAGTAGGAGCGGGGCTGTTAGAAGATCTGCTGCCAGCTTGAGCGTGAGCAGCCGGAGCACCAGCAGGAGCCGGCTGGCCAAGGCTCGATCCGGGACGGTCAGTAGAAACCTGGGAGGGAGTACGCGAGAGAGGGGTAGACTGCGGTGGGGGTTGAACGGGGTACTGGCCCTGCATGAAGCCGGGAGCCTGAGGGTTGTAAGGCATGCCAGGACGGGGTTGGGGCGACGGAGGAGTCATATATTGCATCTGTCCTCCCATATAGCCTTGGTTGTAGTAGGCATAGTTGGGGTCGTATGGAGGGTAGCCCTGGTGTTTGTACAATGTTAGATATTGTTCGAAATTTCCACTTTCAGGTGCGAGATCCAGGGAGGGGAAGGGACCGGGACCTGGGTTGGTCTGACGCTTTCCCCTGTAGTTTTTATGATTGCCACGCCGGGCTGGGTATTTAAATTGACGAGCAAAGGGTGGATTTCTCACAGTTTGGGGACCCATGTGCTGTCCGTAGCCGAAGGGCTGTGGCGGCATTTGCGGGTGGGCCATAGGAACCTGGTTCATCTGGGGAGTGGTTGGGTGGGCGTTAGCCAGCGCGGGGCTGCGGTTGGCTTGGTGTGGGGAGTTCGGGAACGGGGCTGCGAGCGGACGGCCTTGGTTGGGGCCATGGAACTGAGGGCCCATGTTGGGTCCGCCACGGGGCGCGTTGTGAGGTTGACGGAAGTTCGGGCCCGGTGAGTAGGGCATCTGTCCCTGGTATCCAGACTGGGAGTATCCACGTCCGCGACCACCCTGAGGGTAGCCGCCACGTCCACCGCCCATATGGTTGCTCATATCACTGTGGGTAGACTGCGAAGATTCGCGACGCAAATGTTGGGGACCGGGGCCAAGGGGTGCCTATGAAGATGGGCGCATCTATATGAGTAACTGATCACAACATGGGGAGAGAAGTTCGGGGAGGGGAAAGAAGAAGCCAGGATTCGATTCGCGGGTTTTGTGCGCATCACATGCGGCAAATTTTTTGCATTTCTCTCTCACTCAAATTCTCTCACTTTTTGGCGAGGAAATGTGGGCCATAAACAAGGAGTGTCAACTTACGTTATTGTCACCAGTCTCACCAAAGCTACCAAAGTTAGGAACGTTGCCCTGTGCCTGGTAAGTAGATGGGGGACGACCGCCGCTTGAAGCGGGCTGTGGGATAGGCGATGGGGAAGTCTGCGGTGAGGTAACACGTGGGTTGGGCGACGGGGCACCCAGGCCAGAAGACTGCGACTGGCTGGAAGCAAGAACAGCAGGATTGCCCATGTTGGGCGAGCTCTGCTGGTTCGCGAAACCGAACTGGAGGCTATTGGGACGGCTTGCAGGGCCGCCGTTGGGCATATATCCGGAGGTACCGGCAGAGGTGATGGTCACCGAAGGCTTTCGGGAGTGATCACCTTGGGAAGCAGGAGCGGTTGGGGCGCCATTGACGATGGTCACACCCGAGGCCTGCTGGGCGGGTTGGTTTTGCATGGGTTTGCCGTTCACAGGAGATACGGAAGTCGACTTCCCATGTTGCGCTGAGCCACCCACAGTGACGGGAGCTGCGGACGAGTCCGTCGCAGCTTTCTTTGTAGCGTTGGCGTAAGACCTGGCTGGCGCAGCCAGGGGGGAAGATGCGGGCTTGGGAGAGGTGGAAGCGGTGCTCTGGCCTGGTTGAACGCCCGACTGAGAAGGGATCGAGCTCATTAGACAGGTATGTTCACGTTAAATCACGCGATGAGGTCGAAAGGAGAAGAAAGTCGTAAAGGTGACGAGTGATGTCAAGATGTGGAAGAGGCTTCGTCAAGTCCACATTCACCTGGGGCAACTGGGGATTAGAGATTCGTTCAAAAGGAAAAAAAAGTCAGATCAACTGAATGAAATGACGACCACAAAAAAAAACGCAGCTTGTAAAAAAAACAAAGCAACGTGTGGTCCACAAGGGTTTTGTTGGATTGTTCAACACGAAATGTGTGGGTGTGGGAAGGAGAAAAAATCCAAAAGGAAAAAAGTTGTTTCGGTGGGAAAAAAAATATTGGTGGTTTCGGGCTTTGTGGAATATTATGAACACAAAAACTTCATTTGAACTCAACTAACCTGGAAGAAAGAGAAACTAATTTCAAGAATTCTGTAGAGAATCCTATGGAGGGAAATCAAGGAGAAAAAATTGAGAAAATGAATAGTTGGAGGGGAAGTTATTGGTATCTACAAACTCCGCCACCAATGACATGACGATGTAATTTCTTGCCCTTAGAACCTCTATACAAAGTACCAGAATTTCGATCACTTCTAGCTTGGAAACTTGTTACTCATTCTATGACATTTTGATAACTATAATGACACTTAAAAGGGGTGACAACAATACTAAAGAAACAATGAAAGTGGATCTTTTGGTATAACTTAATGCTCCGAGTCTCTCTCGCCACTGGACTTAACCGGATACTGAGGCTATAACCGTATACTAAACCTAATTGGTCTTTCTATCTGACAAGGATGCTTAAGGTGCTTTGAGTCATAGTCTGTGTCAGACTAAATGACTGTACTTCCAAATGTACGTCGGTAGGTAGGGATAATCTAGTACCTTAATAAAAGGGATATGCATTCCTAAGATCGTCTTTGTCCCGGCTTCCGCACCTTGCAGCTACACCTTTCCTTTACCTGCAAGTCTAATTTTTTTCGATCGGATTGGATTGTGCTCTGCACCTCGGCTACTGAATTTGTGTACATTAACTTTGTGAAAATGAATGAATGGGAGGTTTCGCAGGAGCCTCCAAGCTTTTCATTTAAAAGCAACGCATAAATAACACCCTTCCCATGGGTTTCATCAAGATCCACCTTCTATGTTAAATGTTTCTCCCTGGAATGTGGAAGCTTTTTCATCAGATGGCCTTTGAACGGTCTCAGCTAGAATCAGTTATATCGTTCATATCCCGTGGTCCGGGATGCATGCTCCGAGGAACCGGAGGAGTCATTCTCAGGGCCCAGCCATCCAGAGGTCCATTTACCGCTGGTGCGACGAGCTGGACGTGAACCCAAATCCTCATCATCGACAACATCAAAGGAGTTATCGCTCTTGATCTTCCGCAGCGGGGCCCCATAGGCAAGATCATCATCATCTGCGTCATCACGCTGAATCGCTTGCTCCTCACGTGCCAGGGTCGACCGCAGATAATCCAGCACCTCTCTCTGGTGAGAAATGTACTGCGCCTTATCGATACCGGTCATAGATTGGATTTGGCGCTGGAGGAGAGTGCCACTGGCTGAGAGATCCTCCTCATGGGCCTCACGAGACTTTCCAGGTGATGTCACCGACCCAAGTGCGGAGCTGAGAGCGGAATACCAATCTCCAGGGGCTGAGGCCGTGGCCGCTGCAGACGGGAGATTGAATCGCGACAGTAGAGACTGTGCATATGCGGCGGGCCCTGACGGGGGCGGTGGGGCTTCCTTTTGTGGAGGGAGACCTAGCACCTTCACCCGAATCATTTCCATGGCCTGGTAGAAGTATTGCAGGCCGAGTGTCTTGGCTCGCTCATGGCCGCGACCGATAAGCTCCTCAATCTCGTGTTCGTGGTGGGTCAGGAATGGATCGACATAGTCTTGATAGAGTAGGCGGGCACCCTGCGTTTGTGGGAGGACGAGATAGCACATGAAGAACAGACGGATCCAACTGTAGAATGGAAACCTGGGGTATGTTAGTGAATGAATCTATAGGAAAGATGCCAGAGCATACCATCCAATGATGAATACCGTCCAGGATTCTGCCAGCAGAATGACGGAGAGAACCACCCAGTACATCAGCCATGGTGCAAGTTGTGAGGGATCGGAGGAGCGGAGAGCCTTGTAGGATGCAAAGACGGGGAAGAGAATGGTGATGACGGAGCTATCGGAAAGTCATTAATGTGAACAAAATTTGCAGATTCACACAATCCTGTAATACTCACGACATCAAGTCCGCAAAGATTCCAAACATGGTGGTGAGAAGTCACGGACTCGCGCGGGGGGGGGAGGGTTTCGATAAGAAGTTTTTCAATGCAGCTTCCCCTCCAACCACAGGCTGAAGGGTTACAGGTAAAAAACAGACTTCACAACAGTAGAAGATTGGAAAAAGCTCCCTGATCTGGAAGAATCACAAAGAAGGGGAGTTGTGTGAAAGGGGAAGAAAGAGTCTCATGTCGGCATCCATATCAGCTGAAGACCCGCAACGGGTAAGAAAGTCAACGGTTCGTCTTGACGTCACGAGGGAAAACATGGGAAATTGGGGAAGTTCTTGTTTCTAGTCAATCCGATCATATAGTCCTATTTAATTTTCTACTTTTCTTCTTTTCTAATTTCTTTTTTTGGTTCTGAATCTTCTCTACAATATACCGATCAACCTGTGGAGATCCGATCGGCCCAATCATCCGATGCCCAAGGCTTTGTATAACCGAGCAAGGGGCGCTATTCCCCCACTACATCATTCGATCCTCTTCACCGCATCTTGAATCTTGTAGATCTGCGGTACGACCTGAACCCTGAATCCGATCTCATCCAATCCCTGGACCTCAATTGCGACATCGGGAGCTCAGCCATGTGTATCGCTTTGATCTCCACCGCCCACCCGAACTATTCATTGATCGTTATCGATAATAGAGATGTACGTGGGCCCACCTAAGCGATGACATGCATACTAACTGGGTCCAGGAATTTCTCCACCGTCCGACTTCAGAGCCAGACTGGTGGCCAGAGCCATACTCGTATGTGCTCGGATCACGCGACCTAGCACGGTCAACCCACGGCACATGGATGGGAGTGACAAAACAAGGGAAACTGGCTGTCCTCACCAATTACCGCGAGGATAAAGCCTGTCAGGCCATCGGTCAATATAGTCGCGGAGTAATCGTGAACAATTGGTTGACCAGCCCCCCGAAAGAGCAGACCACCCACAGCTTCGTACAGTCTATGGTGGCTAGCGAAGAGGCGAAACGAGTGGGTGGATTTAGCTTAGTATGTGGGCATATAAATAAACCATTGGCTATTGTGTCCAATCGCTCCTCCGACATGGATCAGATCGCCTGGGTTGCGGCGGAAAAGAACCAAACAAGAGGTCTCAGCAATACAACATTCGATGACCGATCATGGCCGAAGATCGTCAATGGCGAACAGCTCATGGCTTCTTCGATTCAAGCTCATGCCCAAGCTCAAGAAGACGAGGACGCATTGATTGAGCGTTTGCTCCAGGTGCTCAGCACCGATACTTTGCCTCGGTTACCCAATGAGCCCAACACTATTGACACTTACACCCAGCACCTGCGAAAGAGTATTTTTATTCCTCTCATTGGAACGAAAGACGATATCAACCGAGATACAGAAATGGTCGCTGCAGCTCAAATCGAAGACGAAGTAAACATGCCAGTCAACGGCGCAATAGGCCCTGACTATACTAGCGGCCCATATGGGACTCAGAAGCAGACTGTGCTACTCGCAAACCTTGACGGGCGGGTGCGATACTTTGAGCGAACATTGTGGGATAGGAATGTGGACGCTGTACCCACTGGACAAGGCGATCGGTCTTTTGAATTTCAGATCGAACAATAGGTAAGTGTCATGGTTTCAGATTGACCATGGATTGGATGCTGCGATCTGATGACTTTGCATGGCAAAAGGGGTTGGATGCTTGTTCAAGCTGAATTTTTTTTGTCCAATCTCCAATTTACATACATTATCGAAATGAATTGAACATATTTTTTCTCTTAGAGAAATCTCGATCCGGAGTAGACGCTCCGCCTTGTTTCATCCTGATACGCCGCTCATCTACTTGGGGCTTTTCTGTTCGGCCACCACCCTGAAGAGGAATGGTCGAGTCCACCCTTCTCCCGGAACAATTTATGATGCTGACTAGGGCTGATTTTCCACCCATACATGTCGTGCCTGGTCGCGCGCCGTAGAATGGCCGAAATGACCGAAATGACCCTGAACCCCTTGTGGATCCTAACGTCAAATTCCACCCCACTCCACGGATCCACGTCAACTTTTTTCATTGTTTTCTGCCTAGCAAAAAACTGATATATTCAAGGAAATTAGATTAAACTATGGTCAGCAAACTCTTTCTGGCCGTTCGTGCTAACTCCTGTGGTCATTATTTCATTCCAGGGTTCTTCTAGCTCAGACATTGGACCCCTCGCCCCCGCAACAAATATACAGGTCTACTTATCAGGTCAATCTCCGTCGGAACACCTACCGTGACCAGTCTGTGAGTGGGATTCAGCGAAGTGGTCTCGAACGCCGGATCCACCTGTATCAGATGTTGTGGTAGGCCAGGCCGAGCTCAATGGAAGGCTTGATTGCCCCTGACAGGACTATATAACATGACCCAGCATGTCCTCAGCCTTAACTTTCGTTTCATTGTATACATTCCTTTCTTTTCGAATATCAAGACTGGTTTCTTGATTCGTCATTCTTTTTTCTATTCATTACATTCCTTGATTCCTTCGTTCGACCAGCTCGACAGTCATTCTCTTTTCTTTCGTTCAAAATGAGACTTACCAACTTGATTCTGGCCGCAAGTGCCGCTGGTTTAGCTTCTGCCTATCCTCGTCCGAGGGACGTTGTTCCCAAGCGCGACAGCATTGCCAAGAAGCGCTCTTCTGGCTTTACCTGTATGTGGGATATATGCATGGCCATCGAGAGAATAATTAACTAATTGCATTTAGGGGTCGGCGTCAGTGAATCCGGTGCAGAGTTTGGTTCTGCTATCCCTGGAACTTTGGGTACGGACTATACTTGGCCCACCACATCTAACATCAAGATTCTGCGGGATGCCGGTATGAACATCTTTCGGGTTCCCTTCTTGATGGAGCGTCTGGTGCCCGACAGCATGACTGGTACTCCGGCTGCCACCTACCTGGCTGATCTCAAGACCGTAAGTAATGGAATATTCCGACCTTTGCATGTCATTTCTAATGGAAATGAGATAGACGGTGAATTTCATCACCGACAGCGGCGCTTATGCGGTCCTTGATCCCCACAACTATGGAAGATAGTAAGTGACCTCAATCAGAGTTGACCATACTGGTTTGTATACTGATTCAATTTTAGCTCTGGAAGTATCATCGAGTCGACCGCGGACTTCAAGACCTTCTGGAAGACAGTGGCCGCCGAGTTCGCCGACAACGACTTGGTCATCTTCGATACCAGTAAGACCCCTTCAACCAGATACCCTCACAAGTACTGATACCCCATCTCTAGACAACGAGTACCACGACATGGACCAGACTCTGGTTCTTGACCTGAACCAGGCTGCCATCGACGGTATCCGTGCCGCAGGCGCTACTACCCAGTACATTTTCGCCGAGGGCAACGCTTGGACCGGTGCCTGGTCGTGGACTGACAACAACGACAACATGAGCGGCCTCACTGATACCGAGGACAAGATCGTCTACGAGATGCACCAGTACCTCGACTCGGACAGCTCTGGTACATCCGAGACCTGCGTCAGCAGCACCATCGGACAGGAGCGTCTGGAATCGGCCACCGCGTGGCTGAAGGCCAATAGCAAGAAGGGTTTCATTGGCGAGTTCGCTGGTGGTGTCAACTCGGTCTGCGAGGCTGCCGTTGAGGGCATGCTCGAGTACATGAGCGAGAACAGCGATGTCTGGATGGGCGCTGAGTGGTGGTCTGCCGGTCCTTGGTGGGGATCTTACATGTACAGCCTGGAGCCATCCACTGGCCCCGCTTACTCGACTTACCTCCCTATCCTGGAGAAGTACTTTGTCAGTGGCTCTGGCTCTACCTCTTCGACTACGACTGCCGTGGCCGTAGCTGCCTCAACCTCGTCAACCTCCACTTCGTCCACCTCCACCTCGACTACCTCCGCCTCGAAAACCTCTGCTTCTACCTCTTCGACCTCCACTGCCGCTGAGCTTACCACTACCCCTAACAGCCAAGTCGAAGCCACCAGCCCAGCAGTCGACTCCGTAACCACCTCGATCGTTACTGCGTACACTACCGCGTACACTACCTCCATCGTCTCCGTCGCCGAGCCAACTACCGTTCCCGCCACATCTAGCGCAACCACCCTTGTCGTCGCCCCATCCACCACCCAGTCAGCTTCCAGCGCTTCCTCGACTGGAGCTCTCGTCGCGCACTACTACCAATGCGGTGGAATTAACTGGACTGGTGGCACCACCTGCGAGTCTCCCTACACCTGCAAGGTGCAGAACCCTTACTACTCCCAGTGCGTTTAAGAGTTTCTGGTGCAGTTGTTGATACAAAAGGGGACGGGTAGTGTTATTGTGATGGATTGGTGAATACTTTCTTCTTCAAAGGCATGTCCTTTTGTATATTTTGTCTGCATACTTTGACTCGATCATCTAAATTTACTTCCATTTTGCTCTTGGTTTCTTTGGTCAATTTTAAATACATATGGGTAGTTGCTAGGTGGGATTCAATAAATTGAATAAACAAGGCTATTGAGTTGAGTAATGGCCATTAGCAGAGACAAGAAGTCTACGGCGCCTGAGACGGTGATTCTGTTTGAATAATTGTCAGAATTACAAAAGGCCATATCATTGAACATGCTGGAATATCTCGCCATGAATGGGCGCCAGATTATGGTCCGGGATTGCAAGTTTAGCTCCGGCATCCTGCTTCTTGCAGATGCGGCGCGACACGAAAATACTGGAAATTGAAGTAATTTATCGTTGAACACGGCCTAACGGCTTAGTGGGTGAATTGAGCGTTGAACAAGAACTCAAAATTGACCAGTAGATTGTAACATTATTTGGTGATCAATCAATATGAGTCAGCCTACCATGAGTACATAAGGGGAAATAGATATAGTTTCATTCAACCTTGGAACACGATGAAATGACCGGAGGGAATAAATTAGATTGATCTATTATGGATTAGACTGCAACTTTACAGTTGACTAGTCATTTTAGACTCTCGAACAAATCCCTCACAATCACTTGCCGGTACATCTCTGGGTCTTGCTTCAAACAACCAACGTGTATGCTCTCATTGAAGTGGACATGCTCCACAGAGAGCCAGTATTTTAGATCACTGCGAATTACCTTCCCTATCCGATGATTCCCCTGCCTTGACCAAGCTTTGCTCTTTGGTAAGTTTAGGGCTCCGCAGGCAAAGCGCAAATCCAATGAGGGGAATCGTCAGACAGATTCCTGCAATGCATAAGAGGCGCTGGGTGTGCTGATAGGCAAGGATCACATCGTCCCGGTCAGGAGTACCAACAGGATTCGCAGCCGCGAACGCCAGTGGGTATTTGTAAACAGATGCTGCGAGTGTCTCATTTCCCAGTCTACGGCTCAGCTCTCCTGGAAGGGCTTGGTTCCAAATGGAACCGGAAATAGTATTTCCGAGAGCACTTCCAATGTTGTAAGAAGCAAGGAAGATACCTGTGATAACAGCAAGATCTGGAATATTCGTCAGCATGAAATCGCCTCCCTGAAGCCAAGCCGTCAACTACTTACTTTCATGCTTGGAGACTGCCTGAATGCTTGCTTGGGCAGGGTAAGGGAAAAGTCCACCAGCTATTGACTTGAAAATCAGCATTTGCATGGAGTCTACGTATATATTCAGTTGACGTACCAATTCCCAGAAGAATCTGGCCACCAATCACACCTGAGTGGCTTGAGTGTCCACTGCCACCACGGAAATGAATTAAAATACCAAAGGCGACAGTGAACAATAAGGTGCCAAAGATGATGAATGGCTTTAGTTGGCGGACCTTCATGATGATGAATCCAAGGATAGTCCCGGTAATCACAGATACGAAGCTATACAGTGAAGAGATGCGTGTAGCACTGAGAATCGACTCGTCAAAGCTCACGTAGAGTACCGTGTACAAGAAATCACTCTGGAGATTCCATGCTTGAATAGGGTTAGATATGCCTTGGACTTCGGGGTGAATCCTGCGTACCTGTGTTGAGCATAATGGCAATTCCAAGAGCAGCCCATACGCCACGGTTCTTGAGATGCTGGTAAACTTTCAGTCGTGTGTAACCTAATAGAGCTTGAATCTGCACTACATACCTTGAAAGGGAGCATTGGGTACCTGCAAGTGTTTTCCCAGTAGACCCACACTGGAATGATCAAGACACCGATGACCAGTGGAGCAATAACCTTCGCTGTTCCCCAGGCTGTCTTGACACCTCCGGCAAGCGTAAAAGGCACCAGAATGCAGGCAAATATGACAATAGTCAGAAGTATGCCAATGGTGTCCAGGTGCCAGAAAAGCGCGACTGTGAATTGGCGAGCTCCGAGGAGATCGAAAGAGCTCTTATATGGTTCCAATTGACCAGATTTCTTTGCACGGCGGTTGACGATCAGGAGGACAGTCAGCAATGGGAGGGTACAGACAGGGTAAATTATGGAGAACATTCCAATACCCCATCTCCAGGATGTGACTTTTAGAACGGCAGCGGTAAGGTTACCACTGATCCATGTATTAATCTATCCGTAGAATGACAATTAGAAGCCTCGCTCGTACATAGGTTGTCAAAAGAATACTCACGATGAAAGGTAGAGCTGGAATGTAGGAGAACAGTAGACGGGAGCGTGTAGAGGTCAAATCCGCGATAAGAACCTCGACAAGTAGCATGATGCTGGTATATCCCACCTAAATCTGGTCACAGAAATTCTCGAGTATACTTGAGTCTAGATTCCCCTTACCTGGTAGATTACAGCTCCTGCGCAGAAAGTCTCTACGTTCTTCGCGCACGCCTCGATCACCGTGCCTACGGTGTAGAAAATGATCGAAACAACGATAAGTTCAATTCTACCGAAAACATCCGCAATCTTGGCAGCGGTAGGCTAGGTAGAAGATAAATTAGCTCCGTACATATCTTGAGGCTTGGAAGAAGTACCTGAGCGGCAGCGGCGATGACAGCACGGAGGACATTAATGGTTGCGAGAAGACTGTGCTGGCCAAAGCTTTGGGTAACATAGGGCTGTACAGGACCGTCATGATCAGTTTCAAGTTTCTTTTTTACCTCGTATTTCTGTATTAGCGAGACTGACCTGGTATGTGAACCGCACCGTTCCATCTAGACCGTAAACGTAGGCAATAAGGAAAACACCGACGAACAGGCAGATGCGATCAATGAGGCGGAAGTGCGAGTTGATAACCTCAATTCGACGAACTCCAGAGCTGCCCTCATCAACCAGCCGAGAATCTTGGATTGGGGCTGTATGAGAATAAGGGTCTTTTTCCGAGTTCTCCCCGAGGCGGCCGCTACCGAGGCTCTCCGGGACGATGGCCATCGTAGACAATAACGAGCCGAGAGTGGAAATAGATTTGAAAGAGAATCCAGATGGGCCTTGTGGTGGGATGATTTGATATCCTTGAAGCTGTAGAATAACAGGAAAGAGAAAAGTGAAAAAAGGTTACTGGAGTGATTGATAAAAAAGGGTCTTACATCTTATCAGATGGTGTAAATATCCGGGGAACCAATCATATTCATTTCCTTTGCCCAGACAGTATTAGAGTTTGAGCTAATTCTATGACATTGGCATGTCTTGATTGGGACTAATGACTTTCGTTTAGACCAGGGTTATGTGAACTTGTGCAGCGCTGTCCTTCCTGTTTAGGCTTAAATCCACCCATAGCATATTGGAACTTGCCAGTCAAAGCAAGACCGCCAAGATAAAATCTTGAAGTTTACTGCGCTCGGAGTCCAAGCCAGGTTCGCGTCCTTCTCCGGTGGTACGATCACATTTCTCGGTCTACTAAGTCGATATTTTCACACAACGTTACGAAGTATTCCTTTGATTCCTTTGAATTTGGAGCAACTCTACGAGTGCGATCTATCGAAGCCGCACTACGGCTTCACCTGCTGGAATGACTTCTTCACGCGCCGCTTCCGGCCTGGTATTAGATCGGTGCATAATGTCAACGATCCGTCCGATGGTCTGTCCATGTGAGGCAAAGCCCTTTTTATCGCACTCTGGGGTCAAGCCCAGCGATAATTTCTGGATCAAAAGTCAGCCATACTCCCTGAAAGATATTTTCTCCAGCAGCCCGATATCGTACATGGCTTTCAGCTTCATGGAGAGCTCTGTCTTCAGGCCTACCTGAGCACGACAGCCTACCACAACTGGCATGCTCCCATCTTCGGCACCATAAAGGTATTTAGCGTGATTGATGGTACCTATTTTGCCACCCCTCCTTGGGTCACGGGGTTTGCCAAGCCCGGAGGGCAGGCAGATCCACTTGTCATGGACAACACTCAGAGCTACTTGGCGCACGTGAACACGAGAGCCATTATTTATATAGATCCAACCAACTAAGACTGGGGTTTTTTGCCTTTGTTGCAATTAGCATGCATGAAGCATCCTCCTGCGCAGCCAATGCGGGACTTGTCTCTAGGAAGAATACCTTTGTTGAGAAAGGCGAGGAACTCGAAATATTTCACTTAGGGGGGTCATCTACGGAGGTGAGTAGCGGTCATGAGGACAGAACCTTTAAAATCACATAAAAATGGCAGATGATCATAAATACTACGAAGATACTCTACCCTATCAATTGGGTATACCGCAGACTTTTTGGACGTACGTTCGAAACCTCCACCAAACTTTTTCCTTCCACTTCACTTTTTTCTCGTTCTTTCATATTCCAAAATATGGAAATTTAGAGAGCCCTTTGATCATATCACTACACTGGTATAAAAGAAGGTAGGAGACTAAGTAGGAGACCAAGTTCGACATACGTTGGTACTCCCGTGACTTGATGGCATGGTGGATTTAGCTGTGGATGTAGATCGATTTTTTATGATCTATATGATGAAATCTCCTGCTCATTCTACAGGTATTGCATGAATGATGAAATGTATAGCATAAACATAGAATCATGATAGAAGTGAAATCGTGACATCATCTAGGAAATCGCCCAAGTCCTCCCCTTTAACATTTGACTTTGTTGAGCGAGCTCTACATTGTTCATCCGCTGTCATATCTTGTAAACCACATTTGTCACACTGGGCTTTGTAGGATTATCTGCTTCTTGTGAAGTGACCCAAATAAACGCTTAATTCCCATCCAGGGTGTATTGATCGGACTGTCCAGTCCGGTATACAGGAAAAGATCGTATATCCAGGCTCCGAATGTACAGCCTAGGAATGGAGCTATCATGGGAATCTGGAAATATAATTGATCAGTAAAGGTCATCTTGAATCTGAGATTGAAGAGATTCCAAGGAGGATGCAATACCCAGAAATAATAGTTGCCCGCCTTCCACACCTCTTGCCCATATCCAAGCATGTAGGAGATGAGCCTGGGGCCAAAATCTCGCGCGAGATTAATTGCGTATCCAGTTTCCCAGCCAAAGCACGCACCAATGCCGAATATTACGAAGAAGAGTGCTAGGGGCGTCAAGTGGCCCGCGCCAAGGTTGTTGTCGTCTTTGAGTGCGAATATCATAAACATCAAGATGGCGCTTGCCAGAAATTCTGAAAAGAATTGTCCTGTCTTGGTCATGAAGTCGGCGGGATACGTACAGAATATGCCTGCCGTTGCTGTAGCCGAGTATCCAGGGACAGTACGGATATTTGGTCCTCCTTCATAGACATTGATGGCTGATTTGTAGTTGCCATATACAATTGCAGCGCCGCACATGGCACCGAGGGTCTGCGAGAGCGCGAAGATGGGAAATTTGCGCCAGGGAAAGCCTCTGAAGACGCAATTTGTGAAAGTCACGGCTGGATTGATGTGAGAGCCGGAGGAACCGCTGACGTATACTCCGAGCATGACACCCAGTCTGTGAAATGGCCGGTATCAGAATACTGCCAAGAGGTAAATAGCAAAAGACGAAAGAAAGGGACTCACCCCCAGCCCCAGGATATTGATTGATAATTCCCCTTCTGGCCATCGCTAAGGAGGACTTGTGCGACGACTCCGTCGCCGAACAGAATCAGAACCATGGTGCCAAAGAACTCTGAGAAAGCATCACGACAATATGCCCTGATCTTGTACCAAAGTAGTGATGGCGGTGGAATGGTGGTGTCAGATTCAGCAGCCAGATCACGAATAGCCGCTCCCTCTTTGTTTTCAAGACAGAGAGAGATGCATCCACTCTCATGACTCTGCGCTAAACATATCTCCTTATGCGTAGTGGGCATTGGCTCGAATGCAGTGCCTGACCAAGAACCCATAGTAGTTCGACTTGACAATGAACTTCAACCTCGACTCGCTTAACTCGACAAGATAAAGAAGAAATCCGCGGTCTTTCACGATATATCAACGACCAGACATAATCGTGTAACCTCTAGAAAATGTAACTCAAAAACAAAAGCTTTGTGCAGACCACTTCGCGAATCGGCTCAATTGGATAAGAAAAATGCGGTCTTCGGACGAAGCGTATTCCCTTTCCTAATCCAAGTCTTGGGTTTGCAGCGAGTATTGAGTTGGATACAAAGACAGACAGTCTTATGGCTTAATTATACGAGCCTACAGCCAGATGGGATACTCTTCCCATTTCCTCTGCCTAAAGGAGTAAGAAGGGAAAAGTTGATACAGCCATTATTTCCCCGTGCGTTTGTTCGGCAGCCGTTTGACCGGGTTAGGCAGCCGGAAAACGCCGGTCAATGTGGCATTTCTTTTTGCATTATTGATTTGACTTTGACTTTTCTTCTCGTACCACCGCAAATTGCGTGCCATTCCTACTTGCAAATTTTCCTGGTATCTGCCTGCTGCAAATGCGACACAGGAAAGCTTCTATACTTCTATTACCCATCGTCAGCTCAGTCCCAATTGCAATTTCTAGAAGATCGAACCGTGATACGGAAGAGTTTCTCACTCACAAAGGGGTTGGGGTAAGCAGTTTCTGTTTCGATACTGGCTTTTCGATCTATATCAGAAGGTGATTATGGTTCCTGACCGACTTCCAAGAGCTGACGGTAGCATTTAGCGCTTGTTTTTCTTGTGACTATGACACATGTCCGCTCGTGTGACTATCTTCAATGTATTTTAGTATCACTTCGGCCGATCAAGGCAGTCATGCTTGGAGCGATAAACAGGAATAGCGACAATGATTGTGGAAAGGCAAAGAGACTTGTCCTTCGTATTAAATTGGTTATTGCCGCAACACCGACAGGACCGAGACCGGAATGCCAAGACTGATGTTGCAGGTGTCAGAATTTCAATTCCAACCTGCCGAGTTGCATTCTGGACTGACTGAGCTGATTGGAGACGATATCTCGTGCTTGACCCGGTGTACTTGTACTGGACATATTCCAGAGAACTACTAAGGGTTCCACATTATCCAGTGGAACGGGACTGGGTTCTCGAATTTGGTCAATCTAACAGACTTGTTGATGGTAAGCCCCCGCATTTCCTCCGGTATTAGTCTGAGCAATGAACGTTGCGCTAGTGGGCGATGGCGGAACTGACGTGGTCACACAATGCTCATTATTGTCAAGGACCGTTTAAGCATGATTCTTTTGTTTATATTCAGAAGTATCGCCAGTATATGTGGAGTGGGTTTCCAAAGGCGATGAATGTCAAAACCGAAAGTATAGGGAAATGTGAGATATGCACATGTGTATGCAATATAGATGCAGACATACTAAGTACGATAACGTCCTTTCTGTGCACTGGGTCACCTGGTCAAGCCATTCTGCGGTTCATGGCACTTCGTATCTCTCCCCCCCTGGTTCTCATAATTCCACCAATCCTCTTTCGAGAATTCAACTCACTCACCCCCCACTATATCGAATCAGAGCCCGCAGAGCACGGGGACTTGGTGTCACAGACATTGTTACTTAAGATACCTTCCCTCTCCCCTGATCTTCAACAGTGTTATCTTTTTACTATTCTTATGATACCCCTGGAGGCTTGAATTAGGAGAACTCTAGGTGCTTTCATCCCTTACTTTTCTCACTTCTGATGAAAGTCATTTCATCCAACTATGCAAAATTCAGATATCTTCGTCGGGTCAATCGACCAGGGCACAACAAGCACCAGATTCCTCATCTTCAATCGAGACGGTGAGCCCGTTGCCTCGCATCAAGTTGAGTTTAGCCAAATTTACTCTCAACCAGGGTAATTGAACCAGACCAGAAGGGGAAAAAAATACAAAGAGCAAATGACTAACTTAATGATCCCAACCAGATGGCATGAGCACGATCCCATTGAGCTAGTCTCCTCCGTGGAAATATGCATCGAAGAAGCAGTCCAGCAATTTGAAAACAAAGGCTACTCTCGCACCAGCATCAAAAGTCTTGGAATAACAAATCAACGAGAAACAACAATAGTCTGGGACCACGAGACCGGCGAACCCCTCTACAATGCTATTGTCTGGACCGATACCCGCTCCCAGTCCATAGTGACCGAACTAAAACAAAAACCAGGCGCATCCAACCTCCAATCCATTTGCGGATTACCGCTGTCAACCTACTCATCCGCCACAAAGCTACTTTGGATGCTGGCACATGTCCCAAAAGTGAAGCAGGCGTTCGGTCGCGGCACACTCGCGTTTGGTACCGTCGATTCGTGGCTTGTGTACCGTTTGAACGGTGGCGCGCAAGCCAACGTTTTCGTCTCGGATTCGACAAACGCTTCACGGACTATGTTTGTAAATTTGGAGTCGCTGCATTATGATGATACGCTCTTGGACTTTTTTGGCATTAAGGGGAAGGTGCACCTTCCTAAGATTGTGCCTTCTTCGGACCCGAATGCTTACGGCTCGATTGCCACTGGTTCTCTTGCGGGAGTTCCGGTGATGGGTTGTTTGGGGGATCAGTCTTCTGCGTTGGTTGGGCAGAAAGGATTCTCGCCGGGAATGGCCAAGAACACCTATGGGACAGGATGCTTTTTGCTTTACAATGTTGGCGATAAGCCGGTTTTCTCGAAACACGGTCTATTGGCTACAGTTGCCTATCATTTTGGAGGGAAGGCTGTCTATGCTCTCGAGGGGAGTATTGCTGTAGCTGGGTCAGGGATTAAATTCCTGCAGAACAATTTGGAGTTCTTCAAGGATGCCAAAGAGATTAATGACCTCGCCTTGTCGGTGGATGATAATGGGGGGTGTGTATTTGTTACAGCTTTCAGCGGGCTATTTGCCCCGTATTGGATTGACAATGCAAAGGGAACCATTTGTAAGTATTCCATTTCCCATGGAATCCTGGACTAATTTACTAAGCTTGTCAGTTGGAATTACTCAATACACTCAAAAGGGCCACATTGCCCGTGCAACTCTCGAAGCGACATGTTTTCAAACAAAAGCCATTTTGCAAGCAATGGAGAAGGACAGCGGACAAACCCTTTCCGAATTGGCAGTTGACGGAGGAATGAGCAATTCGGATCTAGCCATGCAGGTCAGATCAGCGCGATCTGTCCTCCCAAAAGGCACGGTACTGACATTTCTTCTTCCAAAAGACGCAAGCAGATCTCATCTCGATCCCCGTTTACCGTCCCCAAATGCGCGAAACCACAGCCTTGGGCGCAGCAATCGCAGCAGGCCTCGCCGTGGGTCTCTGGCGAAACTTTACTGAGCTCCGAGATATCAATCGCAGCGGAGGAGCAGTCTTTGAGCCCCAAATAACCCACCAGGAGAGTACCAACAAATTTGGAGAGTGGGAAAAGGCCGTCCGAATGTGTCGGGGGTGGATTGGAGCAAATGACACTTTCAAGGACACCGGTAGTGCCAATGAAACGAGCGAGAAAAAGGCGCCGACTTTCGTGCCTAACCTGAATATGGGACAGTCTGCTTCAAATTATCTCAAGCATAACCATGCGTCTTCATTGCTTTCAGAAACTGTTGCTGGTGTGGGTGTGACATCGAAGGTTAAAACGCGTTCCCAGAATGGAGACATGGAGATCCCATCTAAGATTCCGTTGGTTAGTATGTCCGGAGACTTGGATAGTGCAGACGAGGAAGATTTGTTTCTGGAGTTACGGAAGGTGGAGATCTTGCAGAAGCTAAAAAAGATTCGAAAGTTAAAGTTAACTTATTATTAGCTGAGTGATTTATCAAGATATCAATAGTAATCGATTTCTCGAGAGCGACTATTAAGCATAAAAATTCAAGCAAGATAATAGTAGGCAAGAAACAGCAAGAATAGATGATGTTCAGTAAAGTTAAGGGTTCACTTTCAGATACCATGGATAGAATTGTGTCCTGGCATTCCCGTAGCCTTCCTAGTTCCTTGCGCTCTCGTTCCAAAGATGGTTTGCGAGCTCCCACTTCAGGTACATCGGGACCCATCTAGAAATGGGGATAGGCGTAGTACGGCGAGTGTAACTCGGAGGAGCCTACGTTAGCGGGTGCCTATGACCCCGGCAAGAAAGCTGCGCAATGGATCTACCACAACTATCTGCTGACCCTCTTTTAATGAAATCAAAATATGTCTTTCTATTTGATCTGATTTGATTTTTGTACAGTTTTGAAATTAGTGACGATGCCATGGAGATCTCAAGATGATCCTTAAACAGGAGGATCCATCTGTCGACAACACCCATATGCCTATTAGATGCCTTTCACTTATTTTTTACTATATAGTCTAAACTGTAGTAATTTCCAGCACATACGACCATAGGGTGTGGAGAACAGGGCTTCCCGTCCGCTCAGCCGTACTTAAGCCACACGCCGGTTAGTTAGTAGTATGGTGGGTGACCACATGCGAATCCTGACTGTTGTATGTTTTTGTTTTTCTGTTTAATTCTATTTTTTCACGCTGTTGCAGCCCTATTTTTTGAATCGCCTAGAAGAAACCATAATCTTCAAGCGCCAAGACTATCTGTAGGGCTACCCTCCCCTATAGTGAGAGTGACTTCTATCGATGCTATGTTAACGTGTGCTTCCCTACGAGATTATCGAAAATCTCCTTTTTGAGATACATCGAGTATTCTAAGTTGGCTTTGAATGGTCATAATTCGAATATGGCAGGGTAAGTTCATCATTCATTCCATCATAATACTCATTATGTACACTATTTGAAATTGACAGCTGGCAGACCTCTTTCCTCCAAAGCAGTCTGTATGCTAGTTTGCATGGTTTTGATCGACTCGGGCCATGTCATTGTATCTTCTGGTCGAGATTCTAGCTGACACTCTTGTCGTGAATCTTTGTCAACAAGCAACATGAGCCACCGTACCACAGACACAGCTTTATTGACATCGTTCTCGTCTAATACTACCCGTCGTAGGTATGTGCACAGCGCGTCAACATCATCACCGTATGGGCCTTCGGCCTTAAAGGTAGAATGCCAAGCGCTGATTGAGTCTCGGAGATCGTCCAAATTCGATAAGCCCTCAGATGTGAAGACAGGTCGATCGCAGGGTTCGGGTTGATTGTCGGATTCAGGCTTTTTCTGCAATTCGGGCTGTTGCACTGGTTCACTTCGTTTCTCGAGTTCCTTCTTATTTTCGGATTCGGGCTGTCTTTCAGGTGGCTTCTGCGTAGGCACCGAAGAACGGCCCTCCTGCGTTGGTGTTGTGGAAGATGGCAATATGGCCGTCGGATCTGGAGTAGACTTCGCGGTAGTGGCAGACTGTGAAACAAACCCCAATTGCATCAAGGTCCTGGTAGACCCTGTCCCTGGTTTGGATGAACGGCCTGGCTTTTTTAATGGCGAACCAGCCCTTTTTACCCCAAAGGATTTGGACGGGGTGGATCGCGTTGAAGCTTCAGGAGCTCTTGATGCCGCAGGTGTGGACTTGCTGGCTTGCTGGCCGTAATGAGCAAGTACTTCCTTGCGAATATCTTCTGGTAATGCCGCCAAAGTGTCTGGGTCTAGCTCAGCATGAGCGGATTGATCTGTGCCAGCAGACTCGTGCACGTCTGGGGAATGATCTTTTGTTTCCGGCGGAGCTGGGCAGGGGGCATCTGGCCGGTTATCATCTCGAGGCTTTGCCTGGGCTGCAAGCTTTGATCTGATGTCTCCAGCAGGTGCAGGGATGGGTTTAGGTTCTGTTTTGGGCATAATGAACTGGGACCCGGATAGATTCAAAGGCTTGTGCGCACTGTTGCTGAGGATCGGATCGACTTGAATTCGAGAGCTAACTTTTTGAGGGCTTTCCAAATCATCTGTATAATCACTCGCGGTGGGTCTTCTTTTAGAAGGTGTTTTTGGCTGTTGTGATTCGCTGGCCTTGAACTCTGCGGGCGGCTTGGGCTGACTTTCGCTGTCGACAACGGGAGAGTTGGAAGAACCGCATTTAATTGATCGAGGAGATTCAAGTGGTAAAGTAGGAATTGATGGGGGTGGTTTTGAAGGAGTAGCTTGATCTTGTGTATCTTGCCCGCCAGTCGTGGCCTGCATTTGCGAATTGTACCAGCTTGTGCTGGACTGGTCTTTGTAACCTGAGCGTGGAGTGCTTGCCTGACTGCTCATGCGGCCACCACCGAATTTCAAAACTTTTTGAGCCTGACCCTCATCTACAACTCGGAAGTCATGCCAAGGTAATAGACGGCCTGCCTTGATACTCTCCGTGACCCAAGCTGGCTTCACAATGCGATACCGCTTGAACTCTTCGCATTTCTTTGGCGTCAGGGAGCTCGCAATGATGTGTGTCGCAGCAGTCTTGCTATCCAAATATTGAAGGAACCCACCTCCATGACTGACAATCAGACGGTGGAGATCCTGCAGGGAAGGCTGGGTATAGCCATTGACGTGCGCGACAATCCCGCGGAAGATAGGTGGACAGTCTTCGGACGAGGCTCGGATTTCCGCGTCTAGGTTCTGCAACTTCATCTTCTTGCGTCGCATGTAGTCCCCAAATCCACCAAAGCTGGAGGCTTCATACTCCTCGCCTGTTTCATCGTGGAAGTCATCTATATCCGGTCAATATTGGATGGAGGTTTCAGACCGATATCCAGTGGATCTTACGATTTTCTATGCGCTTGCGCATGGCATCAGAATTGGAATTTAGACGAGAGCCCATGCTGGGCTAGTAAGGATAACCGCATATATGGGAAACAGTGATAATCTGATATCCGAGGAAAAGACGCGATCGAATCACGCGTCACATGGCAAAATCCAGAGAGTTCTAAGGCGGTATCTCCAGCGGTCAATTGAGGCAAATTGAAGAGGCGGTGTGAATGAGGGGTAGAATATGATTGGTCAAAAAACTCAGGCAAAAAATCAGAAAAAAAAAAAAGATTGCAACAGAAGCTTCGGCGATCTCTGTTGCTGCTTTTGGATCCGCTTTTCATTTTCTTCTTCTTCTTTCTTCCATCCACTGCCTATTTCCTTGGTGGTTCATTCCATTCACTTATCTTACCCTATATTCTTGCCATTTGCATTTCTCATTTCTATCAATTCATTCAAAATGTCGGCCGTTCAACCTGTCGCAGTTTACGCTCTCCGGGTTCCTCCCGGAGCTTTGATTCCTGCTGTGCCCAATGCTGCTGCTTCGGTTAGTTCAATACTTCATGAAGGGTCGCAACACTTGAAACTAACTACAATCATAGTTCCGTGTCAGCATGGCTGCTATTGACCCTGATGAGACTCCCGAGTTCGAGGATGGCGACTCAAGCAAGCCCTCGCGCGCCACCTTGAAGATTGTTCGCGCTCCTCCCGGTCTCGACCTGGATGAGGATGATGAGGACGATGAGGACTACAGCGACGTTGAGGATGACGAGGACTCCGATGATGAGGAGGTCAACGGTGGCCCCAGCGACAAGGAGAAGGCCCGCCTGCTGAAGAAGGCTGCCGCTCAAAAGGAACTCGAGGACGCCATGGATGAGGACGATGAGGACGAGTCCGATGACGGTGACTTCGACCTGAAGGCTGCTATCTCCAAGCTCATCAAGGGCAAGGGTCCCGCCGGCGACGATGACTCTGACGACGAGTCTGAAGAGGGTCTGGACCTCGATGAGAGTGTCATCTGTACCTTGAGCCCCGAGAAGGTAAGATTTTATTTATCCTTTCTTCCGGAAACAAATGACTAACGATTTGACTAGAACTGCCAGCAGACCCTCGATATCACCGTGTGTGAGGGTGAGCGTGTCTTCTTCAAGGTCACTGGTAACCACACTGTTTTCCTCACTGGTAACTACGTCATCGGTCTTGATGAGCGTGATGATTACGATGAGGAGGAGGATGATGAGGATGACTACGACCTTTCCCCCGATGAGGAGGAGCTCGACATGGAGCAGCTCCTGGCCATGGATGGTGAGGAGAGTGACGACCTTGATGGCATGGACGACCCCCGCATCACCGAGGTCGACAGTGAGGAGGAGGCCCCTAAGCTGGTTGAGACCAAGGGCAAGGGCAAGAACAAGCGTGCCGCCGAGGAGGAGACTCTCGATGAGATGATTACTAAGAGTGCCAAGAAGGCTGCCAAGGAGGAGCCTGTTCTCACCAAGGCCCAGCAGAAGAAGCTGAAGAAGAACAACGGTGAGGCCGCCGCTGTTGAGACCGAGGCCAAGAAGGAGGCCAAGACCGATAAGAAGGTTCAGTTCGCCAAGAACCTTGAGCAGGGTCCCACTCCCTCCGGTGACAAGCCCACCGGTACCCTCGGTGTGAAGGAGGTCCGTGGTGTCACCATTGACGACAAGAAGCTCGGAAAGGGCGTTGCTGCTAAGAGCGGTAACACCGTCGCCATGCGCTACATCGGTAAGCTCGAGAACGGCAAAGTCTTCGACTCCAACAAGAAGGGCAAGCCTTTTACCTTCAAGCTCGGCCGTGGTGAGGTCATCAAGGGCTGGGACATCGGTGTTGCCGGTATGGCTCCCGGTGCTGAGCGCCGTCTCACCATCCCTCCCCAGCTTGCTTACGGCAAGAAGGCCCTTCCCGGCATTCCCGCCAACTCCAAGCTGATCTTCGACATTAAGCTGTTGGAGATTAAATAGACTTCTCACGTGTTTCCCCCTTTGTCTTGTACCGTTGATTCGTACGGGTGTTTGGTTCGATCGGTTTGATTGCATAATTTCCTGTGATATCCGGCTTGTTTGTGTTTTTGCCCTGATCGATTTGATCTGAGGAATAAGGTCATCACGAGGAAGTTGTCTCCTTTGCATGGAAAAGTGCCCGATCTTGTGCCTGTTTTTGTATCTGCGTATTTTTATTTGAAATCCTACACCCTTTGGTTGTTCAATTCTTGTGTCCTGGTGCGTAGTTTCCCTAGTGGCAATCTTTGCATAGCTCGATCGCTCTTGCCGCTTGCCCTAACCACTTTGTAAATTCTGGCCCTGGATCAACTTGGCCTGCACAAAGCTGCAGTTCTTATCGAGTCTTGTATTCTCAACATCGTATTGCCTACCACTATCAAGCTCTGGATGTTCTCATAGCAGATACCCCGTTCCTTGATCCAGCTTGATTGTGATCAGCATGACAGTCTCTTATAGAAAGAAAGTGAGATCTCGAAAGAGCGTCTTTAGTCTTTGGCATCCGACCAGAGCTTCTACCTTGAACAACAAATGCTGTCCTTTTCCAGATTCTCCCATATCCGATACCAGTCCTGTTTCTGAACCCATCATCCCCGCCGAACCAGGCAAAGACCGACTCAAGATCCGACTGACGCGGAGTGGCTCCAAATTGTTATTGCTACTCGGTCTAGGGAGCTCCTCAAACAGTGAGATCATGCTTACTGCCCATGTGGTCGATGCAGACTTTCTGATAATCAATAGGTCCTAAGACGAGTGTGGAATCCGGCTCATGCGAAGAACCCCAGAGTGCAGAGCTACGAAGCCTGCCCCCCACAACAGATCAGAACAGCCCCGTTTACATCACTGGAGATACTTCGCCAGAATGCCGATCGCCGATCACTCCTCCAGTCAATGTTGAACTCGATACCCGGAGTTCACCCCCCTCGGCAAGATTTCGGCAGAACGGAGAAGGCGATGACGGCGAATGCATAATCGACAATGAGCAGCAAAGTACCCCTAGTACCAGGCTCGTCGAACGATTCTCCCAAAGGCTCTCCATGACATTTGGCAATCCCACGGTGATTCGTCGTACCCATTTTCGTTCAAGGCCGATTATCCCCTTCTCAGAGTCCCCGATATCTCATACGCTAAATAGGAAGCAAGGAGATGGAGCAAATGACAACTCAAGTCCTTCAACAGCACCTAGTAGCAATGGTTCTCCACTCGGACACTTTACTCCTCTCACTCCAGCAACATCCGCGGAACCGTCGCCTTCGAAAACGATATACAAGGCTCCTTTGTCAGACTTGACCTTTCTTTCCGACTCTATTACTGATGCGATCACTCCTCAAATCATTCCAGGAAGCGAGTCTCCAACTATCACACCGTCCATCGTGACTGTGGAAGCAGCCTCTGTGGCCAAGGTGTTTTTGGAACTTTATTTCAACTCAATCTTCCAGAACAATAATCCACGTGCACAGCGCCAATATGAGCTGGAGCAACGCATTTACTCGTTCCAGCTTGCACCCAATGAGCAAATCGCGGCAAGATGCAGTTGGTTAATGCAGGAGAACGAGTATTTGCGGAAGTGTCGGGCTCTCAAGACCAGCATGCGATGCGTCCGAGGTGAGCATGCGATCTCAGCGGCTGGCTATGAATCTATCAAGGTTCTTGGCAAGGGTAGTTTTGGGGTAGTCCGGCTGGTACGCGAAAAGGTAATCCGGAAAACTTCTCGCGAGGAAGACTGTTCAACCACAGAGGGAGCTATTTCCAACATCCAAGGCCGTCCCATCGACATGCTAAATTCTGCTCTCGATGGAACTAAACACAGCCGTCGAAGGTTCATGGTTGGAGAGGACAAGGATTTTTATGCCATGAAAGTGATTAGGAAGTCTGATATGATACGGAATTCCCAAGAAGGCCACATCCGAGCCGAACGAGACTTTCTGGTTGCCTCTGAAAAGTCTCGCTGGGTGGTTCCATTGATCGCAAGTTTTCAAGATGGAAACTTCTTATATCTTGTCATGGACTATATGGTCGGTGGAGACTTTCTGGGGTTGCTGATTCGGAAAGACATACTCCGTGAAGATTGGACGAGATTCTACGTCGCCGAGATGATCATGTGCATCGAGGAAGCTCATCGACTGTCCTGGATTCATCGTGATGTCAAGCCGGACAATTTTCTCGTTTCTGCCTCTGGCCATTTGAAAATCTCTGATTTTGGTCTGGCTTTCAATGGCCATTGGTCCCATGATCAGTCCTACTACTACAGCCATCGTTATTCCTTGCTTGATAAACTTGGCATCGTGGTCACCGACGACTCTGAAGACCAAAAGAATGCGACAGAAGCGCAAAAGGATCCAAAGGCTGCTTCCGATCCCCATAGCCTGATTGATTATTCCAAATACCATGTGCCCTCCAAGGATCTACTAGACTGGCGCAACAACAGAGAGAGGCGGCGATTCGCCAAGAGCGTCGTTGGAACTAGTCAGTATATGGCTCCTGAGGTGATCAGAGGTGAGATGTATGATGGACGATGCGACTGGTGGAGCCTAGGGATTATCTTATACGAGGTGAGTACTGCCGATGAAAGCCCTGGAATCATTTTCTCACATCATGCCACATAGTGCTTGTATGGCTTTACTCCTTTTGCTTGTGAGAACCGCCATGACACGAAGATGAAGATCCTGGTAAGTCTGGTGGCATGCCCCATTTTCATCATCAAAGCTGATAACACGCCTAGCATCATGCGCGGACTCTCCAATTTCCCCGTGAAAAAACAAGCGACAAAATGGTGTCTCAAGAGGCCGTCAATCTCATTAGTCGAATCCTCCAAGAGCGCCAGTTCCGTTTATGTGCTCAACAATACCAAGCCAACGACATGCTAGTTGGCCGCCCTGTCACCGCACAGTTCCTTTACTCCATGGATACCCGATACAGAGCCATTACAAGCTATTTTGTATATCCGAACGACGCTGCTGACATCAAAGCCCATCCATTTTTCAGAGGGATTCGATGGAATGAGCTTCACATGACCCAGCCACCGCTTATACCCAGGGTGAGGAATTGGGAGGATACCAGGTACTTTGAAGATTGGAAGGGAATTGCCAATATCGACGAGACAATACAACAGAGTGACTTGGAGGAATCCGACGAAGATTGTGATGAAAAGCCAGACTATGCTCCTGAACAGCCAGTCCCAGGTGCGACTGCAGCTGTGGCCGAAGCCGCCACCAAGAAGGCCCAGGATGCCGAGAAGCGAAGAGAGAGAAAGCGGCCTCGTGACAAGATCTTGAGAGACAAGAAAATTGGCAAGGCAGCTTTAGAGATACGCAAAAAAGGCGCTTTCTTAGGTTATACATACCGTCGATCGAAGGGGCCGGCTGTGGCTCTGATCACTGACCGTGGACGACAACCATTCACTAGAGGAGATTTGGCAGGGCTTTATGCTTCATGAAAGTGTTATGAGCTCGATGCGCCGGTCGGAGAAACAATCATCCCCCATAATTCAACTATTCATATACGTCTCTCGTTCCAGGGTTTCAGGATGACTCTGTCTGGATGCTTTCTTTCTTGTTCGCTTTATATCCTTAGCAACAATGTCAGGTATTACCAATGACCTGATACAATGGCAAGATAGCTTGTTAGACTCACGAATCGCACGGAGAGTTCCCCTAACTACAAAGTAGGTATCGTTTCTACGCTACAATATACGTCCTTCATATTGAAGAACATGATATTTGATTTACGTTAAATATTGCATGAGATGGAGTCCCACTGAACCAACCTTGGCTAGCAAACAGATGAAATTATGGGCCCAGGAGCAGGAAAGGGTCCGACACTGTCATTAAGGCTAATTGCAGATAAAAAACAAGGGGATATCATTTTTGAACGAATGGGGATAAAAAATGTAAAAACGGATTCAGAAAATATAACCACCCGAATCAAAGCACCGGCGCACTCATCGAGAAAGCAGAGTCAGTGACTCTGTCTTCGGGCTTCATGGTACCGTTAAGTAGGGGGCAAAGCTTCTTATTCGTCTTAATATGACCAACCTGTCCACAGTTCGCACACTTGCGCTGGGTACCAGTCGGTCTACCATCTGCAGGAGAATCGCCCGAGCGAGATATACCCTTCTGCTTCTCACGAGCAAAGCGACGTTCCTTGTTACGGTTCAGACGCGTCAGTTCGGCCTCGATGAGTTTGCGGTTGCGGGCATCGACCTCGGGGTCACCGGTGGGTTGGAGGGAATCCAGTTTGGTGGTTAGAGCCTCGGTGCGGTGGCGGTGTTGGATGTAGTGGCGGATGACTCGTGGGTCATAGACCAGCTGCTCCTTCTGCACGATCTCACCATTTGCCTCCTTGAATTGACGGGTGATGCGTAGTGCCTTGCCCTTTTGGCTGTTGAAACTCATCCGACTGAACTGACTGGTTGTTTCATCGTCACGACGGTTCGGGGCGGGGGTTGGTGCCTCGGAACGAGGAGTTGGCTTGTTGAACTCTTCTTCTTCGCCTTGGTCAACGTCGCTTTCCTGGTCGGAGTGCTCCACGGTCGATGAGAGACTGGCTTTTTGGGCATCCCAGATTCGACGGATTGAAGTCTCATATGATCTTTGTTGACGTGCAACGTTGTAACTGTGACCACCAAGCTCCTTGAGTCGCACAGCATCTAGCTTGTCCTCCACACTCTCTCCGATGGCCTTGAAGCCACCCTTCATCGATGTCTTTATGAAATTGAAGCCCTCTCCACGACCGGTGGGATCACCTTCTCCATGAAGCTTGAGCATGGCCTTGCCTTGAGAAGCCAACAAAAAATTGCGGCTGGCCTTCCAAGGAGCCATCTGCTGCTCAAAGCTCTCACTTTCTTCATCGTCGTCATTATCATTTGTGTTCTCGGCGTCGCCGCCGAAGCCAGTGTCGTTAAGGTGCTGTTGACCAACTTGCATTGACTCAAGCAGACAAACGTCCTCAGGCTGAACCCATGATCGAATGGTATCTTGATCTGGGAGAACAGAGTCCAGGGGTTTCCAGTATTTGGTATCCTTGTCGTGCTGAAGGAAATCCTTTACCTTCTGTCGATTTTGCATATCTGTCGTGCCGGGAATGTGAGCCGTCACATCGCAGATTGCTAGTCGTTCATCGGCACTCTTTTTGAGCAGGCGGTACACAAGCATCTTCATGCGATTCTTTGCAACAGTCGTAACCTTGCGAGAATGTGGGCCAGGGATATCGACAGAGGGGAATTGCTGTCCAGCAACGTAGAAATTCTCGATATTGCGCAAATAGTATGTACTGCCCTTAGACTGCGTGGTGTTTCGGACCACGAGAAAATCGGTGGATTTAGCTTGGTGTGGGAAAAGTGGTGCCCTGTACATCGAATTCGAAATTGCAGGAACAATATCACCGGGATCCACATGCCCGAAAATGGAGAATGGACTCTTGTCCTGGGGTAGCAAAACAGTTGTCTCACCGATCTCAGCTCTTGGACGGGTGGGATCGTCTGGGTTTTTCCTTCTGTAGTAGTTGATGAAACGATTGCACATGCCAAAGTTGGAAAGAGTCATAGGAACCTCTTCGGAGTATTCCACAAGCAGAACATTCGAATTGTCTCCCATGGACAGTTGGCTTGTTGAAGAGTATAGGGCTTTTGCGTCTTTGCCCTTTTGTTGTTTGCGTTTGATGTGTATGGGGTTCTTGAACCAAGAGGTTTGGCCAGAACGGAAGACTAGAGCGGGTCGATGGAAAGATCTTGCCTCTGCTTTGCCCAGTTCCGTTTTATAGTACGGCCACTGTAAACGCAGGGCCGGCATGGCGTGTTCAAGCGTGACATTCCCAAGCGTGCTCCGAATCTTATTCTGGTGGTTTTGCTTGAGCATGTCATATGCTTGATCGTTCGAGATGTTGTAGCGCTGGGTGAGGCGACGGGTCAAGTTGGAGTCAACTTCATCTCTGGTACGCGGGACGATGTGTTTGGGCTTATGGACAATTGATTCTGGCTGTAGCTCCTCGACAAGGATGTTGGGATCGTTCATATCAATGGTGACCTTCTTCGCAATCCGCTCGGTTGCTTGCTCGGGATCATCCAACAACGGAATATCGAGGTGCGCTAGGGCAATTACATCCATGGGAGTCGGACCGGTCTTACGTTTCTTGGATGGATGATTTGCATCGGTGAGCCAATCATCCTCCTCGTCAAATAGATCAGCCTCGGGATCAGCGCGCGGCTTCTCAGGCTCCGTGGACAGGTCTCCATCCCGTATCTCCCAATCCGCACACATGGTTCGAAGGTCATGCATGGTAAAGCCACCAGGCAGTGTTTCATCTGCCTCTCCATCGCCTAGGTCGAAATCTTCTTTGTTTTCTTGTTCTTCCTCTTGGGCGGATTCGGTGATGAACACGATTCCCAGGGACTCTTGATCAAGGCCACGTTTGCTAGGCTGGCCAGTTCTAAATACTCGCTCCTGATCAGGGGCAAGTTCAATGTTGACCTTGGTTGGAAGAACTGGTTTGGGTACCTTCACCGGCTGCTTGCCCCGGAAATAGGCCTTCTTGTGTGGGATCAGGTCCAGCCATCGTGGTAGAGTGTTGCGATCGAAACTGGGAAACAAAGAGTGAAGAAGTTCCTCGTTGTTCTCTGGGGGTGCTGGCGGGTGGTCTGGTCCAACTCCAGACATCGCAAACAAGGCCTGCTGGAGTTTCCAGGCCCGAAGTGTTGAGGGGTCCATCTCCTCCGAGATAACGCTGACATCGTCGGGGAACTCGTTTTCATCCACCACTGACATGGCCTGGGATTGGGGCTCGGGCGCGAGCGGAAGAGGCGGGAGCTCAACTGGCTGGATGGCTGAGATCGGCTCTTCATCTTCGAACAAGTCCTGCATGTCCTGAATGTGGCCATCCTGGCCCGCCGGCGGAGGAGAACTGGGCCCCTCTCCAAAGAGATCATCAAGATTGTCTTCCTGACCCTGAGCCCCACCGGCTCCTTCCCCAAATATGTCGTCCCCGTCTCCAAATAAAGCTGCGTCGTCGGCTTCGAGGTCTGCAAAGGAGTCCGGGCCAGCATCGGTGGGTGGAAGTCGCGTAGAGGGTGCTTCTTCTTCTTCGGGAAGCTCGTCATCATCAAAATCTTCATAATCGATAGCGTCGTCTGCTTTTTCACCGACATCCAGGTCTCGTGACAAGAAGTCAAGTTGTGGGCCACCCTCGTAGTTATTCAGTTGTCGCATCACATTTTCAAATTCTGTATCCTCCGGTATATCCGGAGCTGGGTTTGTAGAGTGTGGCATCTTGGATAGCTAAAACACGGTCGTGTTGAGTAAAGGCTGGTGAGGAAAGACTGGATAGCGAGTGTTTTATCGCAGAAAGGATGGCGGCGCAAGCCGGTAAAAAGATCAGGTCAGGACGCGCGCATTTGGCAGCTTATCCTGCATCCACAAGTGAAAGTGAATGAGTGCACCTGTGAGAGAGAGGAAACTACAAAACCGAAAGGTATTGAGTGCTGGATTCCAAGGTCGCGAAAGTGACGGGAGGTCAAGGCGGAGAAGGACTGCTCCACCCAGCTTTATCGCTGAATCAGCCGGGACTAACCTCACTGACTTTGAAGTTAAACAGGAAACAACGTTCATGCGTACTTACCTGGGTACCTACTCGGGTACCTAATTTGTCGGTCTTTGTATGATCTATTAGTCATCTACTATTTTCTCTCATTTTTATCTTTATACAGGTATATAAAGCTTGAGCACTATTGAAGCCCTCAATCACCCTCAATATATTTTGGCCGTTAGTACCCCACAATGCGCTTGCTAGTATGTACTAGTATTACACAAATATCATCGGAAAAGGTATATGATCAGTTGAAACCCATAAAGTTGCTTAGCTGTTAGATTTCTTTGCTTATCTCCAACATTCAAAATGTCGAAAATCCTTTCAAAAAGTCTTGGGAATTACTGTAGGAACAAGAATAGAAATTGACAGTCATTTTGCAGTTATTGGAACGACATTTCATCAACAGGCGGTTTGGCCGAGTGGTCTAAGGCGATTGACTAGAAATCAATTCTCTTCGGAGGCGGAGGTTCGAATCCTCCAGCCGTCGTTTCATTTTTTCTTTGCCACACAGCCGATGTGGAACTTCTCTTTGCCCTTTCATAGAGTGCGATGAATTTTTTAAGAAGAGGAATTTAATTTGACCAGGCAATAGTACCTAGGTCCCCAATACAACACCACCATGTCGACCTTTGGAAGAGTGCAAACTAAGAAGACAAGAAACATATACATAGTTTCATTGAATCAATCTAGTCTATGCCAGGATATCATTTGAATAATTTACAGGTACAGTACATTAACTAGACATTCCGTCTCTACCCAGTCCCCAGCGACCAACCTCGCGCATCGCTTCATCGCCACCCTCCACCAAACGGCCATTCGCATTGGAAGGGTTGGCATCGCCCAAAACACCGGCAACACATTGCCAGCCATTGCGTCCACCACCCCAGCGAAGAACTTCATTCTTATATCGCTCGCCAGCGGCCCGGTCAACAGATGCCTTCCCAGACTGGAAGACATCCTGCCAGATCTTGTTGGCAATGGCACGGTCGAAGATGTAGCTGTAGTATGTGCCGCCATAGCCGTACAGATGACCGAAGAAGCCTTGCCAGGATGTTCGGGGTCGGACGTCTTCGGGGTCCGGCAGGCTTGAGTGCTGGGAGAAAACTTTGTGGTAGATCTCGGTGGTATCAACGCCATTCTTGATAGCCTCAGTGCTGGGGATGGAGTGGTAGGCCTGGTCAACAAGAGCCATGAGGATTTGGGATTCGTTTTCAACGGCGCCGTAGATAGAGCCATGGGCAGTGCGGTCCATTTCCATGCTGCGCATCATGCTCTCCGACAAGGGCTCGCCGGTCTTCCAGTGCCTAGCATAGAGGGAAAGAACCTCTGGAGCGGTGGCGAAGCTCTCCATCAAGACTGAGGGAAGCTCGGCGAAATCGGTCGCGCATCGGGTGCCAGAGATAGACTGGAGAGGAGTCTGTCCAAGGATAGAGTGGACAGCGTGACCCATCTCGTGGAACAGAGTGCGGACACTCTGCTCACTCAAGAGAGTTGGGCGGCCTGAGCCATTGGTTGCTGGTTCTTGGAAGTCACATACAAGAGCGATTGTCGGCAGTTGGCGCAGGGTGTTTGTTTGCGGGTCTACCGCTGTCGCCATACCATCGTTCGGGTGCGCAGACTGGTCCAACGATGCACATTCGGCGATCTCTTCAGCGGAGATCTCACGCGAGCAGCGCAAGGTGAAATGTGCTGGATTTGGGTGTTTTGTGGGCCGACTGAACAAATCGCAGTATACAACTGCGATATGCCTGTTCGACTCATCTACTACATCCAAACGGCGAACGTCCGGGTGCCAGGTTTCACCAGCAGCCGTTTCCTGAGGAATGAGACGAACACCGTAAAGTCGGTCAAACAGTCGTGAAAGTCCTTGCATGACTGTTCCCAAAGAGAAGAACTCGGGAACAATGCTCAACTCGCGAGATCGGCGAGACTGTGAGTATTCCAATACACGCTTGTGAACATAGTAAGCATGGTCCCACGGCAGAAGAGAGCTACCCTTCATTTGCTGCAATTGAGACAACTCCTCTTGCACAGGACCATGGTTGCTTGAGATAAGCGACATCAAGAAATTTGATACGGCTTCGGGGGTCTTGGCCATCTTATCATTCAGGGTCATGTGAGCAAAGCTGTTGAACCCCGAGATCTTTGCCAGTTCAGCTCGCTTCGTCAGAAGTTTCTCTAAGCGGTGAATTTGGCGCGAGCTGGACGTCCGCGTTGCAAGATAGGTTTGTTTCCTGACCGACTCATCGTGCACAGATCGTAGCACAAGCCGAGGAATGACTCCCATAGTCGGAACTGGCGCTTTATTATTCCACCTCTTGACTTGCTGCACTACGACGGGATCTAGTCCCTGGAGAGCGTTTGCGTGGAACGTGATCTGAGATCTGGCCGGTTCTGCGCCATTGAAGAAATCGGAGCCAACCTGACTGATGTCGTTTGAAAGATTCACAAATCGCTGTCGCTCACTTGGCGGCATATGAATTGCAGATGTCGTAAAGTCTCTCATGAGAATCTGGGCGACAATAGTCTCTGCTTCTGACCAATGTGATGTGACCTCGGGTTTAGCCATGGCCTTGCTAAGCTGCTCGTGAAGGCCCGTGGTCGTGTTCAACACGTTCATATATTCGAACATAAGAGCGTACGCCTGCGTAGCTGCTTCTTGGATTTGTGGATCATGGTGGATAGTTCGAATAAAGTCTGAAAGGTCAATAACCCGACATAAGAGATCGCTAAGCTGGTCTAGATTCCGTGCCAATGCTCGGTACTCGTCTAGAGTCTCGGCCGCTAGAACCTTAGCAACAATAACCTGACATTTTTGCAATGACGCGTTTGCAAATGCCCTGAAACCATCTGGGCTTGTCAAGTATTGATTCTGAACCAACCCGGCTCGCTTTGCAACATCCGCGGTTCGCTGCTGCGAGAACTCCTTCCAAAATGGCTGCGAGTCAAAAACACGGCGCAAGGTTTCATCATCGGTGTTCTTTCTAGGTGCAGTATTATCGGTAGGGATTTGGTTGATATGAGATCGGGGGGCTTGCGATGCGGCGCTTTCAAAGGTTCGGGTTTGGCGCTGCACGAGACATTGTCGGCATGTCCACGGCCGGCGCCCAAGAGGGCGAAGCATGATATGAGGTAAAAAGATAGCGCAGAAGATTCAATAATGAATAAGGATATCAGGAAACGAAGAACCAAAACCCAAAACCCCTGTAAGAGAAAAGCTGGGGTAGAAATGAGCTTCAAGGAGACGCGGGCAATGACGGAGTTTTCTTAGGTTCCGCCGAGCCGAATAATTCCCGTTCTTGGCTTTGAACCCGACTTTGCTTCAACCTCCTTCTCCTACTATTATATCCCCACACACAACCCCAGCATGTCGTTCCGGCCGATCTTGCAGCAGGTATGTTTTGCTATGCGGTAGCATCTGATTGCATCCGCGTAATCGGACCAATGGCGAAAACTAACTCGTGTCCAGCGGGCTGTGGCTCCGATCGCAGCCACCCTCCTCGCAGGAGGCATGGCTCTGTACCCCAAGCAGACAGCTTTCGCGGAAGACCCTCGAGAGGTTAGATCACCTATACTTGAATTTACCATATGAAATATAATACTCGAGAACAAGCCCATCTGACACACGACTGCTTTCCCAAAACAGAGGAAATCCATCTACGACGATGAAGACTTCCCGTCTGCCATCCCCGAACCCTCCAAAGCCACACCCGTGCTCGAGCCCAAGTCCGAGGCCGAGCCTGCAGTCTCCAAGGCCATCTCCCTGCCTTTCTTGCAAACATCTCCCTCCTCGCCTACCCCGACAGACATCCTGACCTCCCAGGTTCGTCAAGCCCGTCTCTTCCTATACTCGCACTCCCTGGCCGCGGAGAACGGCTTCAACGACTTCTTGTCCCGGGCCCTGCACATCGAAAACGCCTTTACCAACACCGTTGCCTCACTCGCTCCTTCCGCTGATTCTGGCGAGCGCCTTACCCCCGGCGGTGTCTACGTCGTTGTTGCCGCCATGGCCGGCTCCATTGTGTCGCGCAACCGCGGCATCTTCCTCCGCACTCTGTCGCCGCTTACCTTCGGTACCGTTGCTGCTTACACCCTCCTGCCTGTCACCATGAAGAACGTTGGCGAGCTGGCTTGGTCGTACGAGAAGAGGTTCCCCGCTATTGCGGATAAGCACATCGCTTTCCGGGAGCGGGCGGAGCACTTCTGGTACACTGGTATTGCGCACAGCGGTATGGCCCGCCAGATGATGGAGGATAAGATTGGTGAGACCCGGAAGAAGCTGGAGCAGTTGGTGAGCAAGGGTCACTAGATTTTCTTTTCGCTTGGTTTGATACCATCCAACCACCATGTTTTCGGTGGGTTGAGAGGGTTTCCATCTTGTTGCATATGTACGTTTAGAAGAATTTCGTTAGATCCGACGATATAATCCGGACCAGTTCCCTTTGTTTGGAAAAAAAGAAGCGTATGCAATAATACTTGGATGTTTCATTTCGACTAGTCCCAGCCGTGGAAGGTTGGGGTGTAGGTATAATTGCTAAGTATTATGTATCGACGGGTCTAAGCGATGGTATAACCATTGGTAATCATGGTCGCAAAGATACGCCAGTATACATAGAAAGACTAATGCTGATGATCTTTAAAGCGAGTAATGCTCAATAATTGTAATCGGCATTGTAGCCTGAAATGAGCCTACTACAAATGGGCAATAGCAATTCGACAATAAAGCTTTTCAATAAATGTACACACAACCACCAGCTCTGAAAAAGGAGACAGGGGTCGGCATTAAGCAATAAAACGTATTAAACATGAAGGCCAGGGAAAAGACCCTCGCAATCAGACAGGGTATCCTGGGTCCTATGACATACACCGAACAACAGGACGAAACGAGTGAAACAGGATAACAAAGGAAACTCGTGCTTTACCAGGCGGATCTGAAGGATACCCGCGAGAAGCACGGGAAACAGTCATCTGAACCTGGTTTATGACCGGGCGGAAACACGACTGCTCCCCGACTCTGAAACGATCACTACAATTTCAGGGCCGGGTGTAGATGTCTTGCTGGGAGGGTTGGGAGTGGCCCGCCGGGACAGTTGGGATAAGTCTCCGATAAGCCTGCAAGGTAGATCGTTAGCACGAGCCTGGAAGTAAGGGGGTCATGAAATAGGGAGGCAAGTCTGACCTGCGATGCTCATCATACCACTCCTCGTTTGCCGATCGAATATGCTTAAGCTGTTCCTGAATGCTTGCCATCTACGATAGTTGATTAGTGTTTGTATGAATAATATTGTGGCTCATGTCTCATGTAAAAGGATGGAAATCGGGCAAATCTGAGGAGTAAGAAGACTTTAAACGGGGATCTCCCACCGTTCCCTCGATGGATGAACCAAGGTCCTCACCTTCGGTTGTGGCTGGACCTCCATCTTCAGCTTGTTCGCCCTCATCTGCTGATGCCCACCGGCTTGTATTCAAGCCCGACGAGGTGCTCATATCTTTCTCTGCGTTCGCATTGCTCATGGTATTCGAGTTGCCCCCTGATTTCAGAGTAGCCAAGTCCGCCTCGAGCTCACGCACTCGTCGCCGACCAGCAGAAATAGTCGATTCGAGCTCACCAAGCTGGTTGAGAAGAGCCATGTTCTTGTCAATTTGATCGTTCAGGTTCTGCTCGCCGTTGGCAAGTCTTTCTTCGATAATCTTATTCACGGACCGGGTCTGCTCTAGCTCTTGACTGGCAGTGGTGTGCTTCGCCTTCAAAGCGGCAACCTCTTCTTGGGACTGTGAAAGCTGCTTCAGGATAGACTCCAACTCGGAGGTCTTGCCGCTAGAGGTGGCGAGAGACTTTTGAAGCTCTCCGACTTGGGCAAGCGCAGAATCGTGCTTCGCTGCAAGCTCCGAGTGCTGAGCCTGCATCTTGGCAAACTCTGCGGCATGTTTCTCCTGGATCTCCCGCGAGGCGATGGCCGCAGATTCCTGGAAAGTCACATGGGTCTTTTCTGAAGCTGCCAGCTTCTGTTCCAGCTCGGCCACCGTGGCCGCCAGACCATCGAGACTAGATGTATCCTGCGCAGCTGCCTTGGCCTGAGAGAGTTGCTCATTGACCTTAGCCAGGGTCGCCTCATGGATATTCTGCAGATCACCAAGTCTAGCTTCGTAGGATGCGTCGAGCTCAGCTCTCAGATTAGCCAACTTAGTCTCCTGGAGGTTGAGAAGCTCCTCAATGGCTCTTCCATGTTCGGCATCGGCCTCGGCAGTGAAAGCCTTATCGGCAGCCTCATTTTCAACCCGCATCCGGGCCATTTTCGCTTCAAACTCCTTCTGCAGCTTAATGATCTCCCTCGCATGAGAATCATTCTTGGCAGCGGTGGAAGCCTCCAACTCCTTAAGCTCAGCCTGAGCCTTGGCCTGGGTTTCCTCAATCTGCTTTTGGAGCTTAGCAGTCTCATTCTCACGAGACTTAATGTCATCAGCGTAGTTGTTTTGAGCCGCCATCAATTCAACCTCGAGAGATTTAACGCGAGAAGCTTGGGACTCCAACTCTCGGTTTTTAGCCAAAAGCTCGTCGTGCTCTTGCTGAAGGGCAGTCAAAGCATCTGCGTTAGAGCCAGAGGCTTCCTTTGAAACCCGCGCCAACTCGGCGGCGTGCTCAGCCTTGAGGGCCTCAATAGTTTGGGCGTGCTGCTCGGACACGGAAATTGTCTTTGCAGTGTGCTCTTCGAGAAGTCGAGTAGCCTCGGCGGCCTTGTCTTCAAGGCCCTTCAGCTTGTTCTCCTTCTCGACATCCCTAGACTGAGACTCGCCCTCGAGATTCTTCAAACTGCGGTAGAGTTCCTCAGCTTCGGTTTGCTTGCTTTGAACCTCCTGCTGAAGAGCGTTAATCTTGCCAGCCCCACTAGAGACCTGTGGCTCCAGAGCTCCAACCTTCTGACGAAGGGCCTCGATTTCTTGGAGGGCAGACTCCCGCGCTGCGGCATGACCTTCCAAAGTCTGTCGAGACTCGGCCAGAGCCTTCTCAGACTCCTCCAGTGTATGCTGAAGAGACTTGAGCTCAAGCTCATGCGCAGCCTTCAGGTCTGAAATGGCATTTTCGTTGTCCCCCTGCGCAGCAGCCTTGGCGGACTCCAATGCATCACGTAATTCTTGCAGTTGCTGAGCGTGCTCAGCACCAGTGGATTCTGCAGCGGCCTTGGCAACGGTAAGCTCTTCTTCGTACGAGGCTGAAAGGGCGCTCAACGCTTGTTCGTGCTCGAGCTTCACGTTTGCAATGGCGGCTTCGTGGGCAGACTCTAATTCCTTGACCTTGGCACTGAGTGCATCAGCAGCGGCAACCTGTGCATCTTGAAGGTCTGCTTGAACCTTGGCTAGGCTCTGTTTGAGATCTGCGATCTCCTGATCCTTCTCGGCTAAGGAGTTCGTGATTTCCTCTGAATCGTTCTGAGTGGTGGACTCGGATTCGGCTATCTTGGCTTCCAATGAAGCAACTTGCTCGCGAAGGGCTAAAGTGGACTTCTCAGCAGCATCCTTCTCTGCCTTGATTTCCTCGTCCTTGGCAGCACCCAGCTTGCTAAGCTCAGCCTTCAAGTTGTCAAGCACTTGGTCGCGGCCCTCTAATTCACGTTCGAGGTTGTTGAGAGCCAAAGCCTTGTCCTCGGTCAATTGAGCCCTCTGCGTCTCGAGGTCCTTTTTCAAAGCCTCAATTTGCCCCTCAAAGGCAGTGACAGACTCCTTGTAGCCCGAGAGCTCCTTCTCAAGAGCTTCCAATTGAGCCTTGTGTGTTTCCTTGAGTTCATCGAGAGCAGCGGCCGATTGATCGTCTCCTTGAGCAATAGCTGACTGCTTAGCGGCCTCGAGCTCTTTCTGTGACTTCTCCTCCAACTCTTTGCGCTGCGTCTCCGCCTCATCAAGCCGAGCCTGCAAAGACCCAAGCTGCTCCGCATGAGCTGAAGCCAATTTCGCCAATTCAGAAGAATGCTCTGCCTGAATTGACTCCGTGACACTGCTGTCCTTGGCGGCCTCCTCTCCAGCAGCGGAAAGTTGGGTCAGCCTCTTGTTAACCGCATCAAGCTCAGCCCTGAGGTTGGCGACAGTCTCCTCGCTCTCTGAGAGCTTCGCCTGCAGGGCCTGCAGTTTCTCCGATTCCCCTGCACTCCTGGAAGTCACCCCAGAAATGGTGCTCAAGCGCTTGGTCGGGTCTCTCGTAGAAGGCGCCGTAGTACGAGCGGTGGTGGTAGTGGCGGTCGTTGGGCGGGTTGTCGTAGTGCGAGTAGCTGAGCTCGAGGAGGTCGGTCGAGCACTTGGAGTGGTCGAAGATGTCAGCTTACCGACTGGTCTGCTGGTGGAGGTAGCCGTGCGGGACGTAGCAGTGGAAGGAGCTGTAGTCTTTCTCTCCAAAGCCGGGCCAGCGATACTGGATCTGCGGTCGAGGGTCGACGTGGACTTCAACGGGGCCCGCGTAGAGGGAGTGGCAGCCATAGAAGTGCGCTTGGATGTACCCAAGATGCTGCGCCTCTCATCCCCAGAGCTTGCGACTGATCGGGGCTTTTCATCTGCAGAGCTACTAACAGACGCACGAGACCGGTGGGACGACGTGGTAGAGGTACCCAAAGGCTTCCGCGTGGCGGTGGGGGCGGTAGTAGTAGGCCGGGTAGGAGGCTTGTTCAGTGTGCTGCTCGTACTGGTGCGAGTAGTTGGCGTAGCTCCGGTCTTCGACGCGGTCGAAAGCGGCCGCTTGGCAGTTGTAGTGCCCGCAACAGGACGTTTGGATGGCGTACCAGCAACAGTCTTGGTAGGAGAAACCGGAATGTTCTCTTTGGATGCCTCGGGACTAGACTTGCTGGACTCTTCACTTCCGGAGAGCATGGTCGAGTCTACAGGGGTAGCTGGAGGCGCAGCCTCGGCATCGGTCTCGATATCAGCCTCGACGTTAGCCTCAATATTGGCTTCAATGTCAGAGGAAACAGGGATTGGTTCCTCAGTGGACGCCATGTTGTCGGATGGTAGGAATTAGGGCGAGAAAATTAAGAGTGGACCGAGGGGTAGGTGTATGGAAGACGTTCGAATTTACAGAATAGGGGCCTATAAAAAAAAGAAAGCGATCAGCACATTTAAAGTATAGCCAAGCTTGAGTATCCGACTATCAATCCCGGTATGTATTCTTGGAGCATCGAATCTTCCTGTAAGAAGATGCTGGTAGCTCATGCTGCTGGAAGCTGCAACCTTTCAAGCTCGGCAGAGCCGGGTATAGGGGACCTCGGCGTGTTGCAGCCATTGGTTTTCTCAAATGACAAGAAGCAGCTGCTCTCAAGTGCAAGGACCCAGGATTGACAGGATCGCATCCATCAAGTGCAACTGAGGAGGGAAAGGGCGGTATGCAGCAAAAGCAAAGGGCTGTTACTTACGCGCTGCGCGCAGATTTGATCGAGAAGCTTCAGGGGCTTCTGGGCACCGAGGGACTCGATGGATGTACCTCAGTACAAGGGAATAAGGTAGCAGCTTAGCTGTTACAATGAGGTAGAGATAATCGGCAGAAACAATGTAAAAGAATGGAAGGAGTATCAAGAAAAGAAAAGGAGAAAGCGGGAAAAGTAAAAGCGGTGGAGAGAGGAGGGGGAGGATCGTCGTTGCTCCTTTGAATTGGGATCTTTAAGTCTGAAGCTTCAGATCTGAGGAAATGGTCTGTACTTGGAGCATTTCACAGATACACACTCTTATCTCAATTTTTTTTATAGAAAATACATTTTAATAACCATATAAAGGTGTCTGTTTGTTTGAAAAGGAAGAGTTGGCGGCAATGCCGATCACCATATTTTAACCTTTACCCCAGTTTCAACGGCGTGAAATATAGAGACAAGGCTATTCCTAGGTTGTTTAGTTTTGATTAATTAATCATTTGTCGTAAATCATATTAATTCAAAAGACTCCATGATGATCGAAAAGGACCAGAATCTATGTATAGCGCGTCCACCCCCTTTTGTTGACAAAACAATGGTTTCCATGGTTCATGCAACCCGAACCATCGGAACTTTAATTTCTATACACATCTACAGAGAATGTTTAAGATATACATATGTATCATATCACGGCTAGAATTATGTACCTAATATACTCCCGAAGGAACCAATGACAAGTTATTTACTGATGCAGACCCCGTAGCCTATTCCAAGCCAAGCTCGCGAGCCTTGCGCCTCATATCACTCATAGTATGCCGCAAGAATTGATCAGCAAAGTTCGTCTTGATTAATATAAAGCGCTCATTTGGATATATTGCTGCAGAAATAATTAGCACCATTCAAGGAGACCAGATACTATAGATAAGATCGTGAATAGACTCACATTCAAACTGTTCCCAAGCGTCACGAAACCAAGTTTCTTCAGACTGTGTCCATCCGTTCATCACTCGAGGTTTCATTGCCTCAAGTATCTGTGCGCCCGCAGGTAAGAAAATTCTCATCTGGCCCGCCTTTAGTGCTTGCTTGAAATGTTTTGCCCGGATTCCCAAGCGCCAGGACCGTTGTCGCTTAAGATCAGATGAAACATAGCCTCGAAGGGCATCAATGCGTTCTGAGCAATCAACCAGAATCCCAAGGCTATCTTCAAAGGCCTTGGAGGCTGATTGGCCGACCCGATTATACGCCCTAAAGCTCAGAATGACCAAGATGGCCATATGAGGTAGCAAATAGCCCTCAAAATCAACAACCAATTGGCCTGCCAAGTCGGGGTCATATTCGAGGGGCGATAGCTCTGCGAAGTTCAGGATGGCTTTAATCTCCGTAAATGTAGCAGCGCGGAGATTGGAGACTTTCTTTTCCAGGTCTGCTGGGAGATCGTCAAGGTCCCTGTAGAGATTCCCCCAGCTCACGATGAAATCGAGAGCATCTTTGAACGATGTTGGCATAGGGCCAAGGACGTAGTCCGTCAATTCGAAGGCGCGCCCCAAAAAAACCATCCAGTCTTCACTCGAACGGGTGTTTTGAACCGTTTTCACCAGCCATTCTTTCAAATCGGGATCTGGCTCGGCAAGGCCCTGATAATTTGGCAGTTCCACTATTCGAGGCCCCCTACGCCTCCTGCCTGGCCGAGCCATGGGCAGTGTCATATATGATCCATTACTGGAAGTTGGAGAACTGACATCTCTATGTCGTGAGCCCCGCCTTGCCACTTTTTGAGCGACATACAGGGGGGCTTCTGGCTGAGGTGTGCTGCCGTAACTTTCCTCTTCCTCTCCCTCTTCCTCTTCGTCTTGGCCTTCTGCTTGCCTGTCATCTTGGTATTCCTCTTCCTCGTCATTATGATTATCCTCTTCTCTATCTTGAGATCCGTACTCTTCTTGAGATTCGTACTCTTCTTGAGATTCGTACTCTTCTTGAGATTCGTACTCTTCTTGAGATTCGTACTCTTCTTGAGATTCGTACTCTTCTTGAGATTCGTACTCTTCTTGAGATTCGTCCTCCTCCTTTACACCCTGACTCTCCTGGCTTTGAGAATCCTCGGGGGGTGACTTTGGTTGCTCTTCGTTGGGTTCTGGATATAACTCTGGCTCGTTCACGGGGATTGAATTGGGTTGCTCTTGGTCAGGCTCAGTAGATGGCTCTGACTGTTCTTGATCATGCACGGGAGACGGCTCGGGTTGCTCTTGGTCGGGCTCCGGAGAGGACGCGGATGTATGTTGATTGTCGTTGGACTTTTCTTTCGCAAACCTGCCCTGCGAGTTTCGAATTGAATAGCCTTTCATCGAGCGAGTTTCTAAAGGGGGTGTTGTAGCAATTTCCCATATGTCCGCCCTCTCCTCATTGTGGGTGGTGTGCCTTCGAGGCTGCGTGTTATTGAGCACATCCAGGGAATTACTTGTAGAGTAATTGCTTTTGCGTCTCTTGGCCGCGCGCACCATCACGAAAAGACACGAGTCTTCGGTAGGGGGAGGGGTATGACGCGCTGCTGCATCGATCTCTAATCGCGTGTAGGTGGAGAGCTGATAAAAAAGGAAGCTCGGGTGGAGAACTCCGCCACAACTCGTCATTCCTACTTTCCCCTCCATCCCACTTCGATCGGCTTTTTTTCACCAAGCACCATAACTACCTCACGATCCATTCAATATGGATCCGGTCGGTCGTTCTGTTCGTTTCCTGGCCAAATTGGATCCCTCAGAACCTCACAATTTCATCACACCATGCAAGAAGATCAACGAGTCGAAAGATGTCTCGGTGTTCCTGGTCTCAAAAGCTTACACAGATATTATGACATTCACTTTTCAATTAAATCGTTCGATGTTCCCTACGAAATTACCGGACGGTGAATCACAAGCATGGCCTATAGGAACAGATGGCGTCCAGTTCTCCGCACCCATTCGACAATTGCAGGAATTACTCTCCAAGCTCGAGGATCTCATACAAGAGGTTCCGCCAGACACTGGGCCTCGTCGATTTGGAAACATCAGCTTCCGTAAATGGCATGAACTTCTCGCCGAACGCGCATCCGGTCTGTTAAGAGACTGCTTGCCCGCGGAGCTTTTGGACATGCCTTCAGCAGACCCGGAGGGACCTACAGCGGAGGCAGAACTTACGGCATACTTTCTCGGCAGCTGGGGAAGTGGGCAGCGGTTGGATTATGGTACTGGGCATGAGCTGAGCTTTTTGGCATTCTTGGCAGCGATCTGGAAGCTTAATGGGTTCCCAACCTCTGACCCGGGCGTTGAAGAGAGAGCCATTGTTCTCGGAGTTCTTGAACCGTGAGCAAGCCTTGCACACCTATCATTTGGCGAAAACATCTAACGTTTTTCGCAGATACCTTGAGCTTGTCCGGACTTTGATCAAAACATACACACTTGAACCGGCCGGATCCCATGGTGTATGGGGACTTGATGACCACTCCTTCCTTCCCTACATTTTGGGCTCAGCCCAATTCGCTCCAGCCATAGATGAGACGGACTTGACCCCAGAAGAAGGGTCATTACCTGATGCTCCTGACCCCGGTGGAGTCGCCAAGGCGACCAGCGTAGAGAGGGAGAGGAGAACCAATTTGTATTTTTCGGCCGTTGGATTTATCTATGATGTGAAAAAGGGACCATTCTGGGAACACAGCCCTATGCTATATGACATCTCTGGCATCAGAGCCGGATGGGGCAAGATTAATAAGGTGGGTACTACAGTCCGACTCACCCATGAAGCGAAGCTAATCCTCTATCGTATAGGGCATGCTGAAAATGTACGACGCTGAGGTTTTGTCAAAGTTCCCCGTTGTACAGCACTTTCCCTTTGGTTCTCTGTTCAGCTGGGCTCGTGACCCTAACGCAGTCGCACCCCCGACCACTGTCCACTCAACATCTGGCCCACAAGCGCGACCCAATGTGCCAGATGTAGGTCCATCGACGACGACCCGACCAAATGTGGATGCAGGCACAAGGGCACCCTGGGCGACTGCAGGAGCGGGTTCTCGTGTGCCTTCTATGGGATCTACAGCAGCGCCATGGGCAGCTACACGAAGGGATATGCCTCCATCTTCAAACACAGCTCTTCCTGACGCCTCTCGCTTACCCCCGGGCCCTATGGCTCCTACCAGAGCCCCTTGGGCAGCCTCAAAAGCTCCTCCACCAGGTGATGTGCCTACCAAGGCACCATGGGCTAAATAGAATAAAACATGATACCCGTCATAGTTTAACACGCAACTTGCTTACTTATCGATAAGTTGTACGTTAAATTTCATAATTGTTTAGTTCTTTGCATAAAAATAAATACATGAACGCCTGCTGGGGTATCACAAAGAAAAACAGTTTCCACGTTCGATCCTATTCTGAATCAGACCCATAATCCACCAGTGCTAGCGGTTGCACAGCGGACGCCTTTTTGCCATTTTCTGGAAGCTTTTCTGGCATGGAGATTGGTATGTTTTTGGCCGATGAGTCAGTCGTATCACTATTCTCAGTCTCGCCACGAAGAGCAGGAATCAACGAGACGGGCTTCTTTCGTTTAGTAGTCGGTTTCCAGGTACTTGGATCATCACTGGCGTCTTTCAAGAAAGGATCAATTACGGCGCGTGTGTTCCCAGCCAGCTCTTTGCGCAAGGAAAGCTTGTGTTGAGCAAGCTCAGCAGCCTTGGTCCGCCGAGTACTGCCCTTTTTCCTCTCACGCGCTCGCTCTTCGGCTTCAACCGTACTCTTGGTTGGTTGCTCAAACATAGGACGTCGGCGGTTAGCCCGCGCAGCCTCAATTCCAGCAATAGCCTGGTCATCACCAAAATCCACCATCCCAGCTCGCCGTCGATCCTCCTCCGTCTCATCGACCAGATCAATACCCAGACTCATCTTATCTTTCAAAGCCTCGCGATTCGTCTCCAACTTTTCCAGCCCCTTTCTCTCCGCCCGAAACGTCCGTCTCAGCCTTTTCGATTGCGCATAGGGATCATCCCAATCCCGATCCTGTCTCTCCTGCAACTCCCGAATCCGACTCGCCTCCGCGCTCGCCTTCCGCTTATCCTCCGTCTTCCCCTCAATCTTCGCAAATGGATCCTTCTCCGCAGGGTCCGGCCCCAAGCCCGGAGCACGAATCGCAATCTCCCCAGGCTGCAATGGTTTGTCGTCGCCGGTATCTCGTTTCCGCCCACCCTCGTGAACGACATATGCCGTGTTTTGCGGATCTGTGCGAATCTCAATCCACCCACCGCATGGAATGTGTTTCATGCGAAAGCTGTAGATCGGTGTAGAGTAATAATTTCCGATTTTCTTCTTCTCGGCGTTGAAGCGCACGCCTTGGCCGATTATTGTCTCATGCGGCTTGCATGTTGTGCACCATATTGCGAAGGGAACCTCGAAGCGTACGATCAGAGCACCGGTTGTGTGTAGGTGGCGCGCGCGTGCACCGAGGGGGTGTTTGCCGGCCAGCTTATTTGCGGAGGTGATGCCTTCTTGATCCGGCGGGACATATCTGGTAATTACGTTAGTGGTCGCGCGTTTGCGGGGGTTCTTGGGTTTGAAAGTTTGCGACATACCGTCCCATATCTAAATTCACTTATTAGCCTTGACATTTTGACACGGCGGCGCTGGGAGACTCACTGAAGCCTTGCATCTTGAATGTGGCGGTTGGCTACTGCCGGTAGGCCACAGTCCAAATTTCCTATCACTCGAGGCAGTAGACTTGTATCGCTCAAATATAGAAGATAGCTTCAAAAGCTCACTAGAACAAGTGAAGGACGCGGGGTTTTCGGGCCTGGAGGGGCCGTTGACAGTGTCGGACGGAGGATTCCTTGGCGAAAGCAAGCCCAAGCTTTTGCCCGGAGATAGCGGGGTTAATGCAGTCAGAATTTAGCCCATCCACACCGCCTTATTTTTGATGTATAGCTTCTACTGATACTTTTCTTTTGTAATGAAAATTATTAATTAGAATATTATTGAAATACCCATTGAATCATTTACTTCAACAAAATTCCACCATTGGACTCAATCACCGACCCAGTCACAAATTGATCCCGCATCAAGTAAATATAACTCTCCGCCAAATCCTCCGGCCTTCCCACAGTTCCAGTAGTCGACTGGTCCTTAAATGAATTGAATACCTGCTCCCGCATCCCCTCGGGGATTGAAGCAAAAAGCTCTGTGTTTACAGCACCCGGAGCAACAGTGTTAACTCTCACAGGTGCCAAATCCAGCGCCAATCCACGAGCAAGCCCCTCAATTCCCGCAGATACAGCCGTAACGACAGACCAGCCCGGTCCAGGCTTGCGGCCCCGTACACCACCAGTCAAAGTAAACGAGCTTGACGGCGAAGACTCAACATACTTGGGGATGAACTTGGCCATCACGATTGGAGCGACAAGGCGCACATTCATGCCCTTGTAGGCCGTTTGCGCGTCGGTTTGGTCTAGAGGAGGTACATTGACTCCATCTCCGGCTGTAGTGACGATGTGGTTGAGTTTGTGCGCCCCGTTGACTGTGGCCACCTGGAAAAGAGTCTCCAATGCAGTGTCAAGGTTGGCGGCGTCGGAGAGGTCGCAGACATGGGTGATGATAGTTTGAGTGGAGGTTTGGGTGGGATAAGCTGCTTTCAGGCGAGCAACGGCATTGTCAAGCTTGCTTTGGTTGGAACTGCAGAGAATGATGTGAGCACCGTACTCGATGGCAGCTTCAGCGACGGCAAAGCCGATTCCTGAGCTGCCACCGAGGATCAGAACTCGCTGGTTGGCGAGCTTGGAGGTATACTTCGATGTGGACATAATTTTTGGTTGGTGGACTGTACACTTAGAATTGGACAGTATGATTGATAGATTGAATCATTATTTACATTGTTTGATCAGGCCGACCTTAAGTAAGTAGAGGCCGACCTGAATTAAGCTTCGCTTGCTGACCAATATGGGTTCTGCTTAACTATAGCTAAAGGTGGTCGGGTGTGAATTTTGACGCAAAAGCCGACCGGCCCATGGATCTACTCCGGAGTTAGGAAGGGAATGGTAATCCATTACATGGTCTTGGGTTCCCCCTTAACTCCGTCTATTATAAATTGTTGAAAATGTGGCCGCATTAATTGATCCGAAAGCCGATTCTTGTTACATCACGCGTCTAATGGAACACGAATCGACAGCACTAGAATACGACCAAAGTATATTTAAGGTTAAGAACGCTCAAGCCTCCCCTTCCTCAGAGGATCCTGCTCTCAGTAGTTTTAGCATTATATGATGAAGATATCATGTATTAAATTTGATTCGATAGGATTGTTGGATTCTAGGGAGATTTCTGATTGTTTTTGCGTGCAACACTTATTTTATCGATGTTTCTGCCTTAAGGTATGGCTTTTCACCATGGCCAGAATGGGTTTCGAGTTTTTATCATGATTTAAGCTATCACTTTTGTTTTTACTACATAGACTATAGAACAGGTATAATTTTTGGATTTTAGGCGGATTTCTGATCATATTCGTACGATATTCAATTTCTTATAGTGATTTTTTACTGTGTAATCTTCAAGATATCTCAGGGTTAAAACCGGAGCGTCGCATTTGCGTAATTTCGCGATGTAGAATTTGGATCGTTTCTGTGTGCAATAATCATTTTATAGATGTTTCTGCGTAATGGCAGACCGAAGGCAGTAAGTCTGTTGTTATGCTTGCGAATAATTGCATCTTTGTTGCTAAAGTACCAAGTCCCCATCAGAAATATCTTCCCTTACTACTTCAATATCACAGAAAATGAAAACACAGACAACTAATATACTTAGCTCCTTGGCTTGCCGGTTTTGTCCAGCCCACGCGATATTGATGTATAAATGCAAATCTGAGTGAGGGTGGATAGAAAAAGTCCTTCACAAAAAAAAAGTAAATCATGAACCAATGGCGGGGGTCGAACCCGCAACTTTCAGCTTAGAAGGCTGACACGCTACCATTGCGTCACACCGGCCAGTTAACTGTTCACACCAGTACTTTTAATTTATAACCCCACTCCTTGGATCACCAGATCACCACATGTCCTTCTTGATCTATCTTTATTGACATTTAATCCCATCCTTCCTAAGATCATCCGTCACTCCTGCCCGAAGCAAACCTGAGGCAATTCTGTCATAAATTTTGACAATTCATTGACATAAACAAAACAAAACAAATTCCAGAATTGATGCGCTTCAAATCTTGGGACCGAGGCAACACATTATTTTCCGATCTATTACTAACTTGATTCCCCGCCGATCGGCCACTGTTTCCTGGCAATAATGTCTATTTCCAAATGTCCGAAAACTTGGGCAGGGGTCCACTTGGGCCGTGGTGCCTTGGAGCATTGCATCATAACCCGTCTAGCTACCCTGATCTAATACCGCACTACCTCGTGGACCTGACGATCGCCCGATCGATCGGGCCATCGCTCAGCTCGTCGGAGTTACAATCTTGTAGATCTTGAGTTACTGCGCCGCGTCAAATACAATCTATTCGCCGGATCGAAGGACGACCGTGGATTGAGTTCACTAAACCCATCTTAATTCTGGCTTGAGGGCCCGCGATCTAGCCATGGTCGGAGAGCATGCAACCCTTTTAAAGGAACGCGTGCCCTCAGGCGCACGTCGGCCAAGTCGACCAAATCACTGAGAACATTAAGCATCATGGAGAGTCCCGATATTCCTGACGATCGACCACATAAACCCTCATCGGTGCTCACCTCGCCCACCATTAACCTCGATGACTGTGCTCCAGAATATCCCGTGTCGCAGTACAAAGGCAGCAAGGAAACTATCAATTCAACATATGGCGAAATGCCTGGGCAATGGTGAGAAAGAATGTGACGACATACTAATATTTCGCGCGAGTGCGCTGACCGGGACAGTCCCACTCCGCCCAACGATTCCAGCGATCTCCATACACAACCTCCTTCAATAAAAACATTTCGCCGCAATTTCACGATCAACGATTCCAACCAGACCAAAGAGCTGCCTCTGCTACAAGTGAAGAACCCGCACGAGGGGGCTGAGGAATTGAACCCCGTCGACGAAGATTACGAAGATGGCTCCTTCGATTTGGTTGCTCCTTACGAGGGCGATGGGGCCCCATTGCACTCGCTTGAGCGCCAAGCGGATACGATGTTTTCTTCAGAACATATGTTATCCATTCTCACCACTCCGCGCTATCTAGCACGCTTTCGAGAGTTTTTGATTACGGAACGACCACAGTCAATCCCCGTATTGACGTACTATCTCAATGCCAGCAAAGCTTTGAAGGCGCTGGAGTATGCCAATTCGTTAATTAGACTGTCGGTGCTTCTCCCTCCGGCTGGAATCGAGGCGGCACAGGAGCCAGTGGAACTCAGCATAAATCCGGCGCTTGAAGCTCGTGTACAAGATGGGTTAAACGCCCTAACTGCGGAGGAACTCCCCGCTTTCATTACCTCTACATGCATCAACATTACTAGCAAAGTTGTGGAAGAGCGTGTTCGAGGAACTCTGCCGGAGAAGTTCCAAGGGACTGCTGATGCACTGGGTGAGGTCTTCTGCTTGACGGATCCGTCGCGGCCAGATAACCCGATTATCTTTGCTTCTGGAGGTAAATATGCGATGCTACAGGTGATGAATTGGTGTATATTAATATTTGATCAGAATTCCACCGCACCACACAATATGGCATGGATTACGTATTGGGACGGAACTGTCGCTTCTTGCAAGGACCCAAAACCAACCCTCACAGTGTTCGACGTCTCCGAGAGGCGGTACAGGCTGGCCGGCACCACTCCGAGCTTTTCCTCAACTAGTGAGCTTTCACCGATCACATCCTCTGCGCAAGGCTAACCAGCAAACAGTCGCCGTGATGGATCACCATTCATGAACCTTCTTCAATGCGCCCCTCTCTGCGATAGCCAAGGCAAAGTCCGATACTTCATTGGCGCCCAAGTCGATGTCTCAGGCCTGGCCATGGAAGGCGCCCAGATGGAGTCGTTACAAACTCTTACAGCACGAAAAGATAGGGAAGAAGCCGGAGAAGAAGAACCACAACAACCAAAATCCGAGTTCCAGGAACTAGGCGAATTGTTCAGTCCCCGCGAACTGCAGAATGTCCACGCCTATGGCGGCAACTTATTCCAGCCTATCGAAGAGAGAATTAACCCGACAAATAGCCGCCTATTCATACCCGGCAGTCCAGATTATGAAGCGGAGAAGCGCCTAAGTGAGATCCCACCCGCTCTATCAGCAGGCGCTGGATCTTTAACCGGCGTTTATAAGCATGTGCGTTTCATGCCCTTGAAAGATCTTGATTATAATACTAACAAAGATTAGTACCTTCTCGTCCGACCCTACCCATCCCTCCGAGTCCTCTTTACCTCACCTTCTTTGCAAATCCCTGGCATGCTCCAATCGTCATTCCTTTCACGAATTGGCGATACCGGCGAGAAGAAAGATCACATTGTACAAGCTATGCAGGATGGGCGTAGTGTCACGGCTCGGATCAAGTGGGTCACCCGGTTCAGTGAGAATGGGCGATACCGCTGGATTCACTGCACACCTTTGTTGGCGAATAACGGGGGAGTCGGCGTGTGGATGATTATTGTTATGGATGATGAGGAAGACCACTTTGTGCGGTGGAAGGGGAACTGGCCCACGACGCAATAGGAATGGCAAAGTGATTGTCTAATTTTTCTTGTATATACTAGGGCTCTGACACGATGTATTTCTAACGATAACTTCATGTATATTATAGTTAATTTTATCTCCTGGATATCACAGTATTATTATGGTGTAATACGTTTATTGCGATAATTTCTAGACGGACATCTTGAATTGCTAGTCTAACACCTCAATCAGATATTGTTTGGACCTTAGTATATATGGTGACTGTGTACAGAGGCGTGTCTCTGGTAACAGTATAACTCGCATTTCCTGTTACCCGTTCATCTTAGTCCTCCTCTACCAGTACCAAACTCTTCTCATGCGATCAAATACCAAATAAGACTGTTGACCAGTGTCGATAAATTGCCGCCTTGGCTGTAACGATTTTACATATCTTCACTCGTTTACCTCCACGTCACCATCCAGCCAATGAGCCTTAGCCTTCAAACACCATGATACAGCACGGCGGGGAATGCGAGAAATGTGAAGAGAACGGCCACACAATCTGCTGTTGCAAGTTCTGCGTCAAGTGCGGCTGCATGAGCCATACCATCGATAAATGCAATGTGAGGCAGTGTTTTCGATGCAAAGGATTCCATATTCGTGGACAATGTCCATTGAAGAGAGGCAGAGGAGGTCTGCCTCCCCCTCGAATGGCAATGAAGGTGTCTCTCAATACTTTATAACCTCGACCAAGTCCCGAAATTCCAGAGCAAGTGAGTCTCTACTGTCTGTTTATCTTAGTAGTCATACTTTAAATATGTTAACTTTTCCAGTCATCCACACCACCAGAACGGTCAGATGAATCTGCTCCTGCTCCTGCCGTTTCGATTTCATCGAAGCAAGTATGCAAGGATTGTATGCGTAATGGCTTCGACGAATATCTCTGTTGGTTTTGTTCCAAATGTGGTAACTTGGGTCATAAAAGAGAGGATTGCCAGGTTGCCCAATGTTGTCGGTGCAAAGGGCGACACTTGAGTGGTGAATTTCCTTTAGGGGGACAGGGTATTTTCCGGGGATGTTCGAGGAGCTCATCCTTTATGGATTCAGAATCATGCACTCGGGCCAATATCGAGAGCAGATCTCCTCGATCAACCCGGGGATCTCAGATAGAAGTTTGTCCCCCTACTCTGATATCTCGAGAGCAAGCATCTGATATGTTGTGCTACTTCAACGAGAATGAAAAACACAAAGCTAATCAATAGTCAAAAATTTCTAGTATAAGAGCTCTTACTCAGAGCCCAGAGTTGAAGAAGACTCGAAGAAGCTCGAAGATCTTTGCGCTGCATATGCGACCGAAGCTTCAATCACACTTGAGAATATCGGCCCGACTAGTCGCACATTAATCCTCGGGCATCTGATGTCTCGGGTGGAGAATAGATACAGAGAGCGGTACATGTCTTGCCTCAAGTCAAGTGACACTAGAGACGTTCTCGAGCGAGCATTAGCTCCAGCGGTCCGGGGTATTTGTGAACATGGGAACTTCACTCTACCAAGGTATGTACGAAGTCTTTGTCCTACATCTAAGGTCACTTTTTGAACAACCCACATTACTTTGATCTCAATTTGCCGTGATCCTGCAAATCTCAAATGCTCTGGGATTTATCTGCATATGTTATGGCGCAGGAGTCATCCTCAAAGCTTTTGGCTCTACATTGGCCAGGCGAAAAATCTCAGCGAGAGGATCAAGACGCATAAGAATGTCTACCACCGACGAAACAATTCATCTTTGCATTATCATGTTTAGGACTCATCTGAGCATATGGAATCGGTCGTTGCAACACTCGCGATTTACGACACCCCAAGTTGCTCTGAGGGGCAACTTCTACTCAATCTCTTAGAAATGTGGATGTGCCTTGTTTTCCAGACGCTACCTTCGCTGCGTTTGAGAGAGTCTTTGCCTGAATGCGTAGATATAGGCTGGTCAGGATGTCATCTCAATGTTGCGCTGCCTTTGTGGAAGGGTTTACAGTGGTTGAGGAGTATAGTGTCATGGAGAATGCAACTGGGGGTAGAGTTTGTTTTCAGCAATACCTGCAGTCTGAAGATCGGAGTATTCGTCAATGGGCAGAAAATGCCCGCGACTCCTTCAATGACATCCGAAACTCCCCGGACCCGCTTCTTCGAAAATACTATGATGATCTTCGCCAAGCTCGACTCGTCAGTTCGAGTAAGACCTGGCAGGGGAAGAAAGTCGATCGCTTGAAGCAGTACTTGTCAGGGACAAATAAAAAGGTGCAGGTATCCCACAACGGCGAAATTTGTGAAATAGGATGGGGATATACCGATTCACGATTTCACAGAAATCCAAGCTGGATCTCAAAGATGGCGACGAGGTCTTTTTTCAATTACGTCTCAACGAGCTTACGCATCCCAGAGCTTACGCTCAGGTTGCACGGCCAAGTGATCCTGCAAGCCGTCTAGCAGCTTCAATCAGCAACAGTGATCGGGTCAGAGGAGGATTTCATGTCTTCTTGCAGACCAAGGGCTCCTTGAATGTCAAGAAAATGAACTCTCTGGTCGATGCACTGGAAGGTTATTCTTTGGAGGAAAGCCGATCTTTTATTGGCCGTTGGCATACTAAAAAATCGACTTCGCATGGAGAGCAGGCACGAGTACATGTTTACACATAGATGCAATGCTCCAATACCTCGTCCGCATTTTTCTATTGCACAATCGGCTAGTTTGCGTGCTCGCAATCCAATAACCACATCTTCTTCATTCTTGGTCTTTCTCTCCGGTCGTGGGCCTGCACTTTTCCTGTGCAAAGAGTAGCCAGTTCTTAATTTCCTCTTTGATCTGATCCCAAAGGAAATCTGGTTCTGGGTGTGGTTGGATGCAAGTGAGGATTCCCCCTGGCCAGTGTTGAACGGATCTCGGCATCATGTGAGTGATCAAGTTTAAGGGTCCAAAGGGTTGGGGTCCAAGAAATGAATGATTCAATTAAATAAACGGGCACTTGAATTGCCGAAAAACTTTGGCCAACCATGTACTAGTGAAAGCTTCACTACTGTACATAGCTTTGGGGGCGGAAGAGAAAACACAGGAGATATTTTGAGTTCTTACAGCCTAAGTGGGGGGCGTAGCACTGCAGAATCCGCTAATTAGCCTTACTATAATCTGGCCTCGTGCAGGTCACTGTCTTCCGGACTCCCTCGGCTGCTAGGGTGAGGGAACGGAGGTAGGCTGATTTGATTTGATTAAGAAAATCGCACAAGTGTCTCCATATCCTAGAAGTTTTGCAAGGTTCCCCTCTCTTGTTTGGGGGCTAATTCACAGAGCCCCTTGCTTTCATACTATTCATCTTATTCTTTTTCCAATTCACCTCAGAATCCGCCGCAACCACGCCATCAACAACTGGCTGCTTAACCAAAACTTTCTAGATGGCATATACCATATTTCCGTCACCAGGACTAGAGCATGGCAAACGTATACTTACTGCGGTGATCGAGCAGCGCGCCAAAGATGATGCCAGTGAGCCCTGGCTATCGGTCCCGGTAGACGAGACGAATCTGTCTATGGGTTATAAGGATCTCACCTTTTGGCAACTGAACAATGCGGCTAATCGCGCTGCGTATTGGATGAGTGAAAATCTCCCCACTGGCGAGCCATTTCAATGCTTCGCCTACACTGGTCCAAAAGATCTCCGTTATCCAATTTTGGCTGTCGCAGCAGCCAAGGTACAGAAGGTGGTAAGTACTCATGGCTTGCTCATAGATTGACAATAGAGTTGACGACGACTAACCAACATAGATGGTACTGCCGTCCCCATTGGTCACTCCGGAGGCCCAGTTGCAAATTCTTGAAAAGAAAGGCTGTACGCTTTATCTTAGGCCCGACGAAATGACTGAACCTGTAGCAGGTATATTAAAGGGCACCTCGCATATCAAGCCTATCACTATACCAGCCCTGGAATATTTCTTGAATGACACAGAGGCTAGCCCGGTAAACTACTCAAAAGTCATGGGCAGAAGGCAAAGATGACCCTTGGTTGGTTTTTCATACTTCTGGAACAACAGGTATGATAACGATATAGCACACTGAGAAATCGATCTTAGAATAACATCGAAATCTGTCAATAGGAAACCCTAAGCCTGTTACCTATTCACACCAAATGATGGCCGGAGTGGAAGTAGCAGCTTCTCTCCCTGATATCGAGGAGACTCATATACATCAATACGCCCAAAGAAGATGGTATACGCCTTTGCCGTCACTACATGTAAGCTATCTTTTTCTATGGATATATGTTCCCTAAATACTAACATGCTTAGTTTGTTGGAATGCTTATGACGCTATCTATGACGACCTTTGTCAATATGATAGCTGTGATTGGCCCTGTTGGACCCCCATCTCCAGCTACTGTCACGGAAGTCCTCCGTCACGGACGCGTGGAGGGAGCCCTGCTTCCTCCAGTACTCATTGACGCGCTCTGTCTCTTCCCTGACGGCCTTGAGGCCTTGAAGGACTTACAGTATGTTCACTATGCTGGTGCTTCGCTGTCTACTAAGTCTACAGAGCTCCTTGTTCCATATACACAGGTGGTACCATGTGTTGGTAGCACAGAAGCTGGCGGTTACTTCACAGCTATACATGGCCAAATTAATGCCTGGGACTACCTTGCCTTCCAGAGACATGCGGGAGCCACCTTTGAGCAGCGTTTAGGTGACCTCCACGAGCTTGTATTTATCCGTAACCCGGAATGTGCGATGCAGCAGATATTCACAGTATATCCAGACCGCGACCGATTTGAGACAAATGACTTATGAGTTGAGCACCCTACTAAAAAAGGTCTATGGAAGATCATTGGCCGGAGCGACGATTATGTTTGTTTCTCTCATGGGGATGGATTGCATGCTTCGCTTCTAGAGCCTGAAATTACGGCTCATCCCGGTGTCAATAATGCACTCATCGGAGGGCATGGCAGACAGTCACCTGTGCTCCTAGTGGAATTTGTTGAAGGTGCGGAAGACAATGGGACTCGTGAGGGGCTGCTGAAGAGTCTACGACCATATATTGACAAACTTAACGCGCGATGCCATGCCTCCATTCGGATCTCGCCAGAAAAGGTGATCATTGCTTCGAAAGACAAGATGTTTATTACAACTATCAAGGGAAGTGTGGCGAGATTGCAGACGTTGCGCTTGTATGAGGATGAGATTGCTGCACTGTTCACTTAGAAGCCTTACGAAGCAACTTATGCACATCGTTAACAAATATGTAAGCTCTATGCCACCACTAGTATTCGTTTTGTTTGGATTCTCGTTTATAATGTGGCCACCTTGGTAATATCCCAATGTAGAGATAGTATTTATTCTTGCCAAACGCAAAGTCCAATAGAAGCAACTGGACCTAAGGCTCAGTTTTACTTAGTGAGTAAAAAGCGGCAAGGGGTGAGCACTATTTCGGAAAGGGATATCAAAAATTGCCAGATATCATCCGGTATATATTAATAACGAAGTGGAAGAATGCATACCCCAAAACTTCATTATATAACTCCATTTCCTAGGTCTTGTTGCGAATGGGAGATACCAAGATCCAAAATAGGATAATTGTATAATTCTAAGCAATCACTGATATATGGTCTGTTGTATTACTGGTTGTTGCTTACAGTATGTTACAGTAATATTAAAACGTGGGGAAGAAATTTCTGTTCATAACGTCAAAATGCTCAGAATTATCATCAATTCCCAGCATGTTAGCTCAGGGGAAGAGCGCCGGGCTCATAACCCGGAGGACCCTGGATCGAAACCAGGACATGCTATTCGCAAGCTTTCTTTTTTGGATCTTTGTCTTTTTGATGAAAGAAAACTGATCTATTCTTTTGTATATCTCTTATTTTACTATAATAGTGTAATATGAGAGTCATGGTTGATTGAACTCGAATTTGGAGAAAAAAAAATTTTTGGCGAAAATTATTTGTGTGATTGATCGGTTCTAAAATTCCCGGGATATAAATCCAAATATCAAAGAACTTTCATCATCCCAGCATGTTAGCTCAGGGGAAGAGCGCCGGGCTCATAACCCGGAGGACCCTGGATCGAAACCAGGACATGCTATTCGCAAGCTTTCTTTTTTTGGATCTTCAACTTTTAGTTGAAAGAAAAATTGATCTGTTCTTTTGCATATCTCATATTTTACCGTAGTAATATAATATGAGAGTCATAGTTGATTAAAACTAGAAGTTGGCCTAAATTATGCTAGAATAAGTTACAATATTTTATGCTTTGATAAATTTCATACATGTAGTTGTACCAATATAGCTTTTTTTGAGCAAAAATATTTTTGGCGAAAATTATTTGTGTGATTGATCGGTTCTAAGATTCTTGGAATATAGATCTGAATATTCAGAAATTTTCATCATCCCAGCATGTTAGCTCAGGGGAAGAGCGCCGGGCTCATAACCCGGAGGTCCCTGGATCGAAACCAGGACATGCTATTGCAACCTCCTTTCTTTTTTTCTTTTCTTTTTTTCTAATTTTCCTGTACCCTGCCTCATTTCTGTCCTGAATATATTTTTTCTAATTAGATCATACTTTCTGCTGCTCTTCTATTAAATCTACATCCTAGGGACTTTGACTTTTACTATTCAGCTATACAGTTGATCCGGAAATCGATGTCACCACCTTAACTCTTTCATTTCTACTCCATACTCGAACCATTATGCCAAGCCCCACTAGTCTATATTCAAGGACCGGAAACTTCTGAGATCAGCCCCTGAGAGGCTTATATGGGGATACTAGCTTTTGATGATACTTGTAACGAATGAAAATTGTAAGCGGGGAAAATAATCTATGGAATTAAAAAACGCGTGATCTCCTACCAAAGTTTATAAATGTTCTGAGCACCGGCACGCTAGTCAGTGAAAATAGTGTGTGGTATATCTAAAATGAGTGTGGACGAAGGCTGCGTGCGTGGTGAAGGAGTGGAGATGGGCAGCGATCTCACCAGATCGCCAGGCTTTCTAGTCACTCTAGGCGATTTGCAGAGAAGATTCCACGAGGTTCCTTGAGGTTTACTCTATTTTAACGATAACTCATTTACTACCGTTCATGCAAGACGACAGAATTTGAAGGATATTCTTGCACTATAGTTCTTTAACGTCGAGACCTCTATTCTGGAAGTATCCTCTTATACTTTGTTCCCGCGCTCCCATCTTATCAACTCACCAGTCAAGGAGTTATCAAACTCCTGAACTAGATTATCTGCGCAATACTACTGATACCGCCGAATAAACGCTTTTAGCTTAGCAAAGAACTCTTGGACCAGGTTTAGGTCGGGCGATTACTGTAGTAGAATATAGTAGCTTGACCTCTTTATCAAGGTATATTTGCTTAATCCTCGCAGAATGATGAAAGGATGCATTATCCATAATAAGAAATGACTTAGGCTTAGCGCATTTCCCACAGTGTTGCAGAAGTTCCTCAATATACTCTTTAAAGAATAAGGTATCTGTCGAGCCTTAGAATACTCGGGAGTGAAATTTCATCTTATATATACTACTTCAATCAAAATGGTGGAAACACAACACATATCGTAAGTGGCATCGTTCCAAGCCCACTCTCAATAAAAAATCAAATCAGTGCATACCTTGATGATGGATTTTTCTTCATATCTTACATTTACGGCCAGTATTACTGAGTCAATTCTAAATCGCCCGTATCTACAACCTTGACTAGGTCTCCTTGTAAGCATTCTACGTCACAATCATCTCACGCTGTAACTCGTCGCACTTTAAGGTACTTATAATCAGGCATCAAATCCCGAACCGCCTTCTCAATGAACCCACCCATCTCCTCACCAAACTCAGCCTTCCACTTCGTCGCCTCAGCAGAAACATCAATATTAGCAAGCGCCTTATTCTTCACGATTCCCGAGGAGTCCTCCAGCGTGTAAAGCATGATAGCAGCGGCCTTCTTATATATATCCTCCTGGCCCTTGTCACCTTCCATCGTTCCATTAACCAATTTCTGAGACCTTTTCTCTTCTACCTTCGAGCCCCATTTAAACTGCATAGACCCCGAGTCCAAGCCCGCAGGTTCGCAGAACCGCATCACACTCTCGGGGGTGTGGATAACATCGTTCGCATCCATGATCAGTGGTGTGGTCGGGTCGCCCGGTTGCTCCATGCACCAGTCGTACAGCATGCGGGTCCAACGCAGTGACATGTTCGTCATTGATGCGCCCTTGATTCCGTCATCGTCTTTCATTCCCAGTATTGAGATCTTCACCATAGCACGGTACATCGAGGGCCACGCTAGTGCTGGATGACGGATGACGAATGTCAATCTCCAGGTGCGCAGGTACTCGTCCGACAAGACTGTTTCGTTCAATGGGGAATACATCTGTGAAGCCCCATAGACGTCGGGGATATGCGGTCGGAATTATGTGAAGTGCTCAGGGCTCTCAGTGCCATGGAGCCTCTTGTCGACGAATCCTGGGTTAGAGATCCAGAAGGCGTGCTCCTTGGCGAACATGACCTTGTTATCCTTCTTCGCGCGCTCCGAGTATTCTTCTAGCGTGTCGAGGCCATGCTGGAAGGCGGATTGCACCTCCTGCTTCTCTTCTTCGGTCCACTGCTCTATAGGCTTGTTGATACGGCCATCCGGGGCAGCAGCCATGAACGCCGGAGTAGAAGAAGTATCCACCCTTTTTGTTTGTGAGTACATTTGGCTGGTTGTGCATGTTTAGAATCTTTGCAAGGAGGTTCGAGGCCGTGCGGGGTACACTGATGAGGAGAAGGCGTTGAGGAGAGCCTGTGGTGGCTTTATTAACAGTATCGTTGGTAATGGCCATGCTAGCGTTGATGGCGATTAAGCTTAACTCAGACTCGTGCAATAGGCTTGTGAGAAGATGAGCACCTTCTGGGGTCGGATGGCGTGATTTAAATAGTCACATTGTTTATAAGATGGATGGACCTAGCTTCTACAAGTCTTGCACTCGATAGCCTGCTTATTGGCTTTGAATCAGCCTGGGCATGTCCAGCTCGGGCTTTGTCGCCTTTTACCACCACCGAAGCGTGGGGTCGTTACATGGAAGCCCACATGATGCAGCCTTGCGATTGGGTTGCACAGTGCACTCTACGGATCGGCGATGAAAATTTTCGTCTATAGAAAGAGGTGTTAAAGCCTTCGGAGCTTCTGGCGCGGAGACGATCCGAGTAGTATATTCTGTTGTCAATCTACAAGCAGTGGAGATTAACCACACACCTAATTCATCCCACATTGAGTTACAGCCAGAGCATAGTAATCATATGTAAATGGAGTAAACCATTTTCAAGAAATAATGGAGAAGGAAATAGTGATGAGAAAATACCAAAAGAAAAAGATATGCAAAAAAAAAACGAAAAAGAAAAAAAGAAAGGAGTTTGCAATAGCATGTCCTGGTTTCGATCCAGGGACCTCCGGGTTATGAGCCCGGCGCTCTTCCCCTGAGCTAACATGCTGGGATGATGCAAGTTCCTTCATATTTGAATTCATATTCCAAAAGACTTTGAGACTCAGAACTTTATCACCTTAGCATCCCTAAATACCACTTTTGTACGGCCTATACTTCTTTAAACCTATTTTAAAGCCAGAATATTCCTTCTGTCTATCCATGCGATTGCTTTGAGTTAACCTACAAGATCAAATATTCTGTATATCGCGTGACTAGACAACTTCCTGATATATATATTTTCCCACACGCCACCTATGATGAACTGACCTGATTCCTCTAAGACTGTTTGCCTTTAGATATTGCTTGGAAGGTGGCACACTCTGGACCTCGGGAGAGCTGTGGGGCTACCAGTGGACATATAACTTCGTGGATTAACTCTAGATTATCGCTTGTTCATCCTCTTCAAAATATCTCCCTCCAGTCATGGTGCCCTCATTGAACTTCAATGTTGGGAATTAACACGACTAAGGTTCCTCTCGACTTTGTTGTGTCAGAACCTTTCTTACCTGGTCCTGAGCCCTCTCAGTAGGCTAGCCTAATTGATTTGTTTTGTTTAAAATTCTCAGTGAGACAGAATAAAAAATCCGTTACAATTTGAAGGGTTTCATTTGAGACGCAGTAATGATTTTATATGCATATAGTAGACGTAATGAGAGTATGACCAGCTATGATCGGCTGTGGCCAGCATCATTCCCATAACTCACTGATAAACAATCATATCCATACCACCAGTATAAGGCATAGTAACCCTCCGGAACCGACTACCAGGCGCATCAACATACGCAAACAACTCCTCATACCCAGCACTAGCCTTAAGCGTATTATCCGCAATAATCATAGCTCCAGGCCGGAAATGCGGTTCTACCAGCTTCAGCGCGGGAAGAGCAAGAGGTGTCCAAACTAAGTAAAAAGTAAAGCAGTCAGCACAATCACAGAACGAGGCAAGACATATAAAGGAAAAAGAACATACTATCCAAAAGCATGAAGTCGACCGTTCCAAGGTCCTTGCCCAGTGTCTCCCGTAGATCACCAACCCGCAGATCAATCACACCCTGAATCTCCTCTCCAGCCTTCTCCCAGTTCTTCCGTGCCTCAGCAGCCTTCGATACCTCCTTCTCAGTGGCGATAACTATGCCACTAGAGCCACTCCACGCGGCATTCTGAGCCGCAGCGAGCGCAAGGTAAATGGTACTCACGCCGAAACTGGTTCCGGCTTCGACGATAGTCGTCGCGTTGATGCTGCGCAGGATGTGGTAGATAAGTTCGCATTTATCCTGATCTAAGGCGATGAACTTGTCACGCATAATATTGTCGAATTCATTTGTCGTTTGGCCTGGGAGGGAGGTCCATTCTATTTTGGATTCTTGGCTTAGGGATTGGGAGTGGAGATCTTTGAGAAAATTGAGGAGGTGTGGGGTTGCTGTGAGGGGGGTTGGGGGTGCCATTTTGGAGGTTCAGTTTTGAGCTTGGTTTGGATGGGTGAATGAATGAGGATTCTGGATTGATATATGGGTTATTTGTAAGAGACAGTGTTGATCCTGCGGGTATAAATTTGGTAGATGATCATGTAGGTGAGTCAGATTAAGTCCCACTACGGAGTATGACTTCCCCATGTAATGCGGTGCACGACCTCGGACCCGCTCGGGCAGTTCTTCAACTGATTTATTTTACGCACTTTCGCACGTGTCTATAAGCTCTGCTTCGCTTTCTTACAAGTTAAGATTATTGATCTGTTGGAGGATACAGCGCCATACGTCCTTGAAAAAGAACAGTAGTCGGTGTCAGAACCCGGAGTAGGATTGCAGATGTAGATGTAATGGAGTCCGCGGAGATAGTAGAACAGCACAATATAAGTAAATTAGTCGATTCCGCGGAGAATGAAAAATAACATTTATAGTCTAAGTTTAAACATTACCAGATCGAATTATAGTAAAGAACCTCTCAAACACCCTCCAATAAATCCGCATAGCTATTCAGCGACCTCCCAATTAGATTAACCATTTCCCAAATATAATCCGCCGTGAAAAGGCGCGCCCAAAGACGTGTCACCGCCACACTTAGCCGAGTATTCGTGGCCAGAAGCCAATCACGAGAAACGCCATGCTGCACCTCCATGACCATCTCAATTACAAAGTCCCTTAGGCGAATCTCTTGCTCCGTAAGCACGGGGTCCGGATCCGGCCCCGTTACCGCTTCTAGCCACTTGGCCAGTACAACGGCACATTCGAGTGAGCACAGGGCGTGCTGATTTGACCAGAGTGCGACCTGGGAGTGCGCCACGTATCCGATGCCGAGCTTGACGGGTGTGCTAAGGGCGTGAGCGCAGTGTAGTGCTGCACGGGTGAGGCGGTCGCCGCGCTGAACGGAGAGGTTGTCTTTAAGGCTCTTGGCTATTTGGACGGAGTCCCAAGATTGTAGGTGCCGAGTGGATCCACAGTCGGCACTTAATCTGATATATGCTAGCCGGAGCAGGGCTGCTGACGTGAATGATAAGGGGCCATGGGGACTGAGAGGGTCGACTGATGACTCTTGATTCCGTTCCCAGCACTGACACCATCGTTCTAGGGCTTGCTCGAATATAATAAGATCTGATGTTGGGGCGATAGATGAGTTGAGGCGGTTGTTGAAGCGGGATACGTATAGGCGGCTCGTTTTTGTCATCATCCATATATCCTGCAGTAGGGCGTGGATGAGCACGTAGCCACCGAGTGTCGAGAAGCGTTCCATATCGCCATGAGAGGTAAATAGTGCTGCCAGCGCATCTCGAAACTTGGGTTCCCCGGGACTTTGACTGCGAGCGAATTGCCAGTCATCAGGCCCTGATGCCTGCCATTCCCTCTCGGTGCATGGCAGGTCCAGAGTGATCTCTTCAGTGAGGAGGACTGGTGGAATATCAAAGACAATGGTGTGGATGTTGAAAAAGCAGAAGATAATGAGCTTGGTGCGCTTGACTTGCTCGCGAAAAACCCAGCTCGCCCAGGTTCCGTCCTGCTCAGGAAGTCGGTTGAGGCCCCCTTTCCGCAAAAGTGCCCCCAACGTGCTTCGAATAGACAGTGCCTCGTAGTAGGGCGGGTCATTTAAGAACCACCCCGAGACGGATATTAGGAAAAGCAGAGACTGAATTGTTTCTAGCATGTCGGTACCGTTCGGATCTGGCTCTGGTAGTTTTCCTGAGTGAAACGTCCGTCGGACGTATTCCAGAGTGACCGGTTTGGCTATTTGGTACAGCCGCAGACTGGTATCTGGCTCCCGGCAATAGCGCGCACCGAGAGCAGCCATAGAAAGGAACAACGGGGGAGGCATGGACTCGACATCGAGAGTTGGCTTATGCACAACTGGATAGTGGTCGTGGTACCCAATCAGGTAACCGGTTAAACATCGGGATAGTGCATGACGAGAGGGAAGAGATGGATCTGGTACTACATTGGAGTAATCCGCTAAAAGGTGAAGAATCTTTTCTCGACACTGCGCTGTCACAGGCAGAAACCCCGTGGGTTGTCTTGCCTTGTTGGCGGGGGATTGATACCCCTCAGGCTGAAGAGACGGTAGCTGCGCACCATGCCGTGGTAGTACCGAGCTCGACGGTGTAGAAGCCGGTTCTGTCGGAGGACCCCTGTCGGAGGTTTGTTCATAATCCGCGACAGGGGAAAACTGCAAAGGTGGAAACAACGGAAGCGGCTGGAACGCCGGTGAGAACGGGTGACTAGGCAGTGGAACACTATCCAGGAACGAGGTGAAATCATTGTCATCGTAAGCGCCAGCGGGATAACCGCCCATCGAGTACCCAAATTCGGACCCCTGCAGAGGCGTGATGCCAGTTTGCCTTGTGGAGGAATGTCCCGGGCCAACAGTTGAGCTTCGATCTACAGACAAGGGATCCGGGAATGGATCTCTCTGTACTGGTATTGGACGATTAGAATGTGCATGGTCTGTCACGACTGATGCTAGAGCATCTAGCCCATCTAAATTTGAGCGAACTGGAGACGGAGATACTGTCTGATGGCTCACGGGGCTCGCCCCTGGTTGATGGGCAAGCCGTTCATGACGGGCGAGCAAGTCTCTATACCGAGATTAGAAGTGAATCATATGAGGTCTATGCGACATACTTGCGAGTGAAGGCTTTTGGGCACTCATTGCAGACATACGGTTTCTCCTTGGTATCTGGTAGGTGTTAGTGGCGAACGGGGCACGAGATTGGAGAAGTATCCATACGAGACCGATCGTGGCGTTGGAGATGCTCTAGACGGGCAAATGACCTGGGGCAACGATGGCACTGATAAGGCTTGCCCTCCATGTCTTCATTGTGTGGCGTGCAAGAGGGGACTTTACTTGGGGTACACGGAGCGGACCAACTCCGGCTACATCATGTGCGCGACATCAACTTGGATACCCGACGTTCATTACGGAGTACTTATGATTGAATTATCCTGGATTATTTTGGATTATTTTGGATTATTTTTATGCTCAGATCGAAGATCTTTCTTTTTTCACCCACAAGCTCAATGTTAAAATTCAATTATGTAAACTCGATTATTCTTATGAGAAAACGGAAATCCTCCCAACTCTCCAAATTGGAGATCGCCATAAGTGGAGAAATGGGATTAGTCAGAACGGAGTCAAGTCCGCTCAATCAGTTTTCGGCTAAAAAGAACCTTGCATGAGGATTCGAATAACGTCGAATGATGCAATTAGTGTACACCACTAGATCAGATTCAGATATGCAGAGTATGCCAATATCACAAATCACCCCCAAAATGCCTGAATACGATGAATAATATAGAACACTCTGAGTCAATCAAATTGGAGAAACTCCAAGGCTCAAAGCCTGCTAAGCAGTTTCCCGGTTTCTCCAGTTTCTCCAATTTTATTAGTTTTATTTTTCATGCTGATTCTACACTTAAATGATCTGCTCTGTCCAATTCATAGATCCAGAGCAAAAACAACCGTTTCCCCGAATTATCTTTATATGGAATCGGATACATCTGTCGCTAAATCGGCGCCCGTCATGAGCAGACGTGATCCCAGCCCTGACTCCTTAAGATCGGAGATTGAATATCTCTATCTCGAATTAGAGACCCCGCTACCTACTCCATGCATTACATTACCTCCAGCTGCGGGTCAAACTGCACCACCTGAAGCTCCAAGCTTGGAAAAGTATACTTCGCCATTTCTGTGGCCGAAATGGCGTAAGTGGATGATGACCTGGATTGCTTGTGCGGTTACAGCGCTGGCTGGTTACTCTGCTGGTGAGGTTAGTCCAGCATCCGAGGAATTGACTAAAGAATGGGGGATTAGTGCTGTGGTTTATAATCTCAGTATTACAATCTTTTGTATTGGATTTGCCCTGGCACCTATGATTCTTGCCCCATTCTCCGAGATTAATGGTCGTCGACCCATTTTTGTTGTTAGTGGTGTTGTTTTTGTTGGTATGTTCTCTCCCATACTGGATATGCGTGATTGCTAATGGTTGTTCAGCTTGTTTGATTGCATGTGGTGGAACTCACTCTTTCGCTGGATTGTTGGTCGCTCGGTTCTTCCAGGGGTGTAGTTCTTGTATGTCTCACTGTTACTCATTATGATCACAAAACTAACATATTACCCAGCGACGTTCTCGACTATGGTCGGTGGTGTCATTAGTGACATTTTCCACTCACATGACCGAAACACTCCCATGGCGCTCTTCTCTGGCGCTGCTTTGTTTGGAACAGGTCTGGCACCCATTTTATCAGGTGCAATCGTCACACATACCACCTGGCGCTGGATCTACTACTCGCATGCTATCGTGTCCAGTGTCTTCGTGGTTATCATCTACTTCTTCTTCAACGAGACCCGCGGAAGCGTCCTACTAAGCCGCAAGGCCAGTGCCCTGAACAAATACTACGAGAAACTCGAACAAGCCGGACATTTCGGTGTCATCACATTCTCCGAAGATCAGCCCGAAGGAAAAACCATCCGCCGGATTCGATGGAAAGTTGAAAGCGACGAACAGCGCGCTTCATTGTTGACTGCCGTTCAAATCTCAGTATCTCGACCTTTCCGTAAGTCTTCAACTATACATCTACAAACCTCCACTAACAGATTCCAGACATGCTCTTCACCGAGCCCGTGGTATTCTTCTTCTCTCTCTGGGTATCATTTAGCTGGGCCACTCTCTACCTCCAATTCAGCTCCATCCCACTCGTCTTCCGCACAAACCACCACTTCAACGTCGAACAAACCGGCGCCGTCTTTACCTGTAAGTGCAATGTGATCCAAAACCAGTCCGAAAACCTCTTAATGTCTAACAAAAATCAGCTCTATGCGTCGGTGTCATAATAATCACTCTAATAAGTATCTACCACGATAAAATCGGCAGCATAATCAGCGGAAAAATACCCCAAACTGCTGAAGGCCGTCTCTACTTTGTCTGCATCGAATCCATCCTCCTTCCCATCGGCCTCTTCTGGTTTGGTTGGACCTCTTATCCATCTGTGCCTTGGATCGTACCGACCATCGCCGTCGGCTGTGCGGGAATGGGTATCTTTTCCATTTACCTTGCGACTTTCAACTACCTAGCGGATACGTACCACCGGTACGCCAGTTCGGCAATTGCGGCGCAGTCATGCTGTAAGTTTCCAGTTTTCAATTTCTTGCATGAGAACTGGACTAATTTGTTATAGGTCGGAACTTGCTTGGTGGTATCTTCCCGTTGGTTACGAGTGCCATGTTTACGAATCTGGGATATCCCGAGGCTTCAAGTCTTTTGGGTGGAATTGTAGGTTTGATTCTCTCTGGATATGGGATTTTTGCTAATCTGCATAGGGACTTGTTCTTACTCTTGTGCCTTGGATATTGGCTTTCTATGGGCCCAGGATTCGGGCGCGTAGTAAGATGGCTAGTGTAAGTATTCCCCTACATTATAGTGGGTATTGGCTAACACTGCATTCTTCAGGAACTGAACAAGTGAGCACAAGCATATTGAAAATAGAGTTCCGGTAATAAAAATAGATTAACTTAGATGATCCTTTGGGTCAATGCAGGGTCAACGCTATAATGATCCCTACAATGAATGACTTTACTACGCTTAAATATGAGTATGCATGAGTCCAAGTTTCCGATGTGGGAATATTGTGTATGCAGGATGCAATTCTGTTGGAGACATTATCATGTCTACCCCAAAAGAATGATTTTGATCCATAGACCAATGAAAAATCCAATGCAAAGCAATTCCTTGGGCAAATGATGCTATCCTTCACCTAGAGTACCCCTGGGATCCTCTGGAAGGCTGTGCACGAGCCCTGGGGCGGTGTGATGCATACCGCTCATCATCCTCACTATCACTCTCCATCTGATCCAGGATGCGATCGATTTCATCGCCTGCGTGAGATTCCAGCCCAAATCCGGAGGGCCTGAGCTCGAAGGGCCGGCCAGTATGGGGCCTGTCGCTCAGTGAGCTTTGGCTATGATGATCACTTGCCATCCCATTGGAGAGCGAGTGGATCGACTCATTTAAACTGAGTTGCGAGGCGGGGGGCTGTAAAGGGCGTGGGCTGGAGCGGTATCCAGAGTTCTCTGGACTGGACATGAACATGAGTGTCTCAATTGCGTCTTGTTCCATGGCCGTGCTTTGAGAATGCGTGCGGGACCTGTAGGCCTCGTGCTGTGCTGACAGAGGCATGCGGGCAGAGGGGGGAATGTGTGGAGTCTCGGACCCTAGCACGAGAGGGGACCCTAATGTTTTGGTTATAGAAGGTTCATGAACCGAATGATGCCGTCGATGATGACGGACATATGGGCTGCGCTCGACTGGCTTTGTGCTTGTATTTGGATTAGGTCGGCGACGTCGCGTATCCCCAGATGATATGATATCGACGGGAGGCGCCAGTTTTGGAATTTGAAGAAGTTTTCCAGAGGAGACAGCTGAATGAGAACGGTGATGGGAGAAGTTGCGAGGTGTAGGTGTTGATGATGAGGGCTGTGGATGGGATGTTGGGGTTAAGCCACGTGCTGCACCGTTTGGTATTGGCGGTATTGCCGGAATACCTGATGCGAGACTTTCTAGTCCTTGAATCGCAAGTTGAGTATTATTGTCACGCGACTGTCGAGATTTCTCTATCTTGGCAGCAGCATATGATAGACGTGTACGGATGTGGACCGACAGCTAAACGCGTTAATATTATACTCCAACCAGGATGAGTGTACCCTACCTGTGCGATTCTATTTCCATGAGCTGGCGAGCCTGTGCTCTTTGAACGCTGCCGAGCAGCCCCCTGGGTATCGAACTTTTGTGGCGCAAGACTCGATATGGACTTAACATCCCCGGTTGCTGTCCTTTTGTGACCGGGAGCAAAGTGTACCCCATTCGCCGAACCCGACCCCGAACTCCTTGGGGACTGTGGCGGAGACAAAGAGCCATTGCTCTTCTTCTCCGAAGTATAACCGTCTATTGATCCATTCCAATTCACGGATGATTGGTCCTGAGAATCCGAGTATGTCTTTGGGGTTTGTGCGTCTTCGGAGGGCTGCGAATTTTCGATTTTTATAGATTGACTGGAATCGTGTATGGAGGAGGAAGGAAAACTTGACAAAGAATCTGTGAAAGTGCTCGCAGATTGTGGCTCCGGTCGACGAGCATCGGCCGATGTATCGCTATCGCGCTCGGATGACTCAACATATGATGGAAAGGCGCTGGTCTTGTCATGAATACGAGCATTCAACCCATCTATTTGCAGAGACAAAGGTTGAGGGGACCGAGGAACCTGGACCTGTTCGGCGCGGGTTGCGACTCCTGGCGCTCGTGACATTGAAGCCACAGACCCGGTGTTCGCACTGGCCTCCACATGCGGAACCCCGCGACTAGACGGAGCATACTGAGGGTCATTCATGGCCAAGCAGCCAGCTGTGAGTGGGACGGATTAAGCCAAAAGTAAGAATAAGGAAATCCAAGACAACCAAAACGCGACCCTGTAGCAATTGCGAAATTACGCGGCCACGAGGGGATCTAAACAGGCAAGACGTAGGTAACTTGCGCCGAGCCACCGCATAGAGACGGAGTACCGGGAATGTCCAACGTGAAGCGACCAGGATGCACCAGACAGACGGTCAGGATCTGAATAACTTCGAAGGCGGGCGTGTACAGTGACGCTGGTGCGGGTACTAGGAGTATCTGCCCGATCCAGTGGCGATCGACCAGAACGCGCAGGGTTGAGCACGGGAAAACGGTCAACTGGCAGCCTCTCCACTGGGACCGAAACAATAATCCGGGGTGAATTGGCGTGAGGGTCAAATTAAAGAATGAAATTGTGAAATATGAATTAGATGAAGAAGAATAGTAGAAGCCAAACACTGAGAATTCCTCCGGAATCGCTGGAGCGGAAGTCAAAATGTCGCCTTCGGCTTTCCTTCTGCGGCGACGCGTTCGAGACACGGTCACGTGCGCCACTTACGGAATTGATCGAATCAAATTAAAATCGTATACTGTGAATGACGAGGGTATCTGAAGTTAGCCAAGTGGATGAATTATCAAGTAACAGAGAAGTATACTCGTCGACTTATGCCCTCATTCATGTATGTTTGTGCCGCATTTATCAGGCTGCTGATCGACAAGGGTACTTCCTACGTGGGCACCTATGCCTTTAGCTACTAACAGCAGGAATATGCCAATTAATCTATAAGGTAAAGCCAATTGTATGAAAGATTTGGGATCTTGAAATATATGCACTGTATATATTGTGTTCTTGCTGGTCAACAGCAACGACCCATTCCATTTTTATAACAGCACTGTTTCCTGCTATCTTGGATTCAACCAAGCTTAAGGACAGCCACTGGAAGGGTAGTTACAGCTGCTAGTCTCACCACCTCCAGAGATAGAAACGCCAGAGAAAGTAAAGTCCGAACAACTGTCACTACCACACAGAATATAATAATCCATACCGTCATCGGTAGCAGTGCCAGTAACATCGATGAACGAAATACCGGAAATAGTCACTCCGTTGGTTGGGTCACCAGTAGCACCACCATTCAAGTAGTCCTGCTGGATATCGATACCATAGTCGGAGATACCAGATAGGGTGATGTTCTGGTAGATCACATTGGTAACACTACCAGTAGTATCGGCGTTACTCTTAATACGGCAGCCGTTCTCGCTATCCACGACCTGGGAGTTCTTGAATGTCACAGTATCGACGACGTTGTCACTCTTGCCGCCGATCGAGCCGATGCTCAGACCGTGGCCACCGGAGCAGTAGAGGTTGTCGATTACGATGTTGGAGCCACTGGTGACGGCGACACAATCATCTTGGTTGTACACGACTGTGTCCTCCAGAGTCACGTATGTGCTCTTGGAGATGTCGAAGCCATCGGTATTGTGGGCTGCTGCCTTTCCGTCGGAGGCAGAGTTGGCGGAGTCTCCGGCGGTGTTGTTCAGAATGAGGCCGGAGATGGTGAGGTGTTCGGCATCTTCGATCTGGAAGCAATGGACGGGATAGTTGACGATGTTGAGATTGGTGATCTCTGAGTAGTAGACGTCCTTGACGACAATGAAGTGGTCGGGCCTGAGTGGATGGGTCAGTCTATTTGTTGTTTTTTGCACAGTTGACCTTTTCTTACTTGTCTTGTCCACCGTTAGAGCCCTCACCATCCCAGTAGGCCTCTCCGTTGCCCTCAATTACGTGACCAGAAGCACCGGTAATTGTGAGGTTGGTTCCGGAGATAACAATCGGGTCAAAGTCATCATCGAAAGTGTCTCCAAAGGTCTATCGCCTATTAGTAATTACTTAAGCGTCAAAAGGGTGAAACATACGGTAGTACCAGCGAAGGTGACAGAAGCACCGGTCTGGAGACTCGACAGGTCAATCGTGCTCGAGGGCGGGGCGTAAAAGTCGGATAACACAATGTTGGTGCATGATGCGACGGCAGAGGACAGCGAAGCATATTCGCTGATCACACAGGCAGATCCAGTAACGGAAGCCGCTTCAGCTGAAGACACAGAGACCGCGGTAGTCGAGACAACAGCTGCTGCGGTGGTACTGGGGGCCTCAACCACGACAGTAGAAGAAGTGGAAGAAGTGGAAGAAGTGGAAGAAGTGGAAGAAGTGGAAGAAGTGGAAGAAGTGGAAGAAGTGGACGAGACAGGGGTAGAAGAAGATGCAGGCCGAGTAGCTTTAACCAAAGTAGTTGGTGAGCTCGAAGTGCTAGTTGCGACAGGCACAACAGGGATGGTGTTGGAGGTTTCAACGGTAGAAGCAACAGTGGAAGCAACAGTGGTAGATTCCAATGTAGCCTGGGAATAGTTAGTTGGCTGCTCTCTCCACAGCAAATATTCCTTCAAGAACCTACAGTAGAGTCAGTTGCCCAGGCAGTATCGAGACAGCTGCATGCACTAGACATGTGCTTCACATTGTAGTTACAAGCAGAAGCAAAGCTAGGAAGGCCGGTAGTGGCAGTCACAGAGCTAGCTGTGAAAGTCGCACAGAATCCAGCAGCCTCGGACCTGGAGGCAGTGTATGCAGAAGCACAGGCATGACTAGCGGGATTGTTGCATCCCAAAACTAGCAGCGGAAGGAAAGAAAGAACTAGCGCGCTGCGCATAGTGAAAAGAATGAATGAATGAAAGAATAAGTGAGTGACTAGAAAACAAAATGAATGAAGATGAAGCTTGAGAATGGTCTACGACCTTGGGAGGGAACTAAGTACTCTTATACTATCGTATCCAAAGAATGATCTAGCTCAAACGTATGAACTGGGTCCACTTTCCAGGAAATCAGGGGAAAATCTCCTAGATTGCATGGTTAATATCCGGCAAAACCTCGTCTTAACCCACAAATCAGATTGTTCGTTCTTGGCGCCGCAATGTGTTTTGGTGTTTCATATGGCTAGAATCACATTAACCCACCTAAACTGAGCTCCAAGCCTATTACGGTAAACTATTCCGACCAGACCACGTTTACTCCGTACGCACGTTGCTATTTCCCGAGATAAAAAGCCCGACGGCACCACGCTAGCTAGGGGCCGTCGTTTCATCTTGATGGGGGAACTAAACAATGGCGTTTCGGAGTCATGCCTAAAGCTAAGCGAGCCAAGGAGTTTTAAGACTTGTCTGCTAGCTCCTCGGCTAGTATAGCTAGTGGCCGCCAGTGAAACAACCAGATTTCTTGGCCCATTGACAGCCATAAGACCCACTTAGTACCGCGGAACGTGGTCGTCGAGGACTTTGGCATCAAAAGTGGAGAAGGTAGGGATACTTAGTGTGCTGTCTACGTAGGCAGGTGGAACGAGAGCAGTGTGGCTGTTATTTGGTGAACTTGCCGAATTTGCCGGTACTGGACATCATTGAAGGACATACAATTGACTTTTTGATCTAACGCCGTCTATGCAAGGAAAAGATGTCCCGTAGTCATGACATGTACAAAAATTAAACACGCAATCATCTGCGCTTCTTTCCACCACCACCGCCATCTTCATCGTTCTTTCTCTTCTTGCCCTCCTTGCGCCAGTAGTCATTCTTCTCTCTCTTCTCGCGGGCAGCCTTCTTCTCCAGACTGTCAGCAACCTTGGCGCGGTAAACCTGGCGCCGCTCTTCCTGCTTAGCAGCACGCTTGGCCGATTTCTCATTCCGCATAGTAGTCAACTTCTGCATGAGATCGCGGGCCTTCTTCTCTTCACCACCAAGAACGACAGCACGCTTCTGCATGTAGGTCTTCTCCTTGTTGGCCTTCATCTTGGTGATCTGGGAGTTGTAGGGAAGGTCGGCGGCTAGCTGGCGGGGCACACGTAGCGGGTTGAAGTGACGTTCCTGTCGCTCGATCTTGCGGTAGGCTGAATCACTGTTCATGGGGGTAGGGATTCCCTGGTCACGGCGGACCTCACCGGTCAACCGCATACCCTGCCAACCGCCAGCTTCTTCGGTCTGGTCGAGCAGGTTGGTGACAGGGTTGTAGTAGCGGTGCGGCTTGATCGGGTACCAAGCGCGCAGGAAAACAATATCACTCATCAAGATTTTATCCTCGAAAGTAGCACGATAGTAGCCGTCGGGCTTGCTGAGAGCTCGCTTGATCTGACCACGGATACCAGAGACTGTACGAATTGAAGCACCCTCGAACTTGGCAATCTCCAGGGCAGAGTTGAACATGTCTTTGATGAAAGCGGTGTTCTTGAAAATCTTGTACGGCACACCGGTGAGTTTCAACTTTTTGACAATCTCGGTGTGCTCGTCCACGGCGAGAACCACACCAGTCGCAGCAATGCGGAATCCAGGATTCTTGTTGGAGAAGGATTGGACACAGCAGAAACCGGTGTTGGGGGCTACAAGGGGACCGTAGAAGACACCGGTACAATGCATGTGCTCAGGGGTGTACTTGAGCAGACGGTTTCGTGTCCGACTGTCCGAAGTACTGTAGATGGGCATGGACTGGAAGCGACGCCAACCGAGCGAGAAAATCAAGGGATCGTTGCTCTTCAAGATCTTCTTGTGCCAACGGTGACGCTTGATGCGAATCTGAACATATCCGAAGCGATCCTCGGTAGGAGACAGTCCTCCGACGATAACAGGGAAACGAGGGCTGAACTTTTCAACGAACTCGCATGGCACGTTCTCCAGAACGATTCGTGCATAAGTACCGGCCTTGTAACCCTCAGCACGAGCGCGAGAGGCTGGGTCAAGGTTGTCGAACTCGGCGCGGTTGATATCGACCTGCTTCTGCATTTTTGCTTTCTGCATATCGTACCAGTCATCCTCGCCGAACTCCCCATCGCCACCATCACGATTCCCGTCTTTGGCATTTCCAAAGCCCTCGCGATCTTCTTCCTCGAATCGAAGCTTCAGCTCCTCTTTCTTCTTCGCGTTGCGCTCACGTTCAGCTTCCAAGTCTACGGGGCCCTCGGGCTCCGCATCCTCTTCATCATCGTCATCGTCCTCATCCTCATCACCATCCTTGAATCCGTCAAAGACCTCGCCTGACTCCAAGTCCTCAAAGGCTCCATCACCTTCATCATCCGAATCGTCATCGAAATCGTCCATATCGTCATCGTCATCGTCCGAGCCACCACCGCCAAGTTTGCCGGTAACGAAACGCTGTTTGAGCGACTCGATCAATTCCTCATCACGCCACTTGCGCTCAAGCTCATCGTAGTCGTATTCAGGAACGGCGCGGATATCGGCCTCATCGTCTTTCTCGTTGTTGGTCTTTTTGAAGAAGTCGTCGGCTTCTTCAGCTTCGATGTCTGATTCCTCCGATTCATCGCCGTTGTCTTCGCCACGCCAGATTTGCACAACATCGGCAGGGGCGATAGAGTCGTCATACATCATGCGAGACAGATCACTGACGCGGAAGGCTGGCCGCTTGCCATGGAGGGCTTTGGCGTTTTCCAACATGTTCTCCTTCCAGCGAGCGTTGCCCTCTTCATCCTCATCGTCTTCATCGCTATCCAGTTCCTGGTCATCGCCGGAGACAGAGCCAATATCGGAGTCACTGTCGGCAAAAGCGACGTCATCGTCCTCACCGTCAGTGTTTGCGTTCTGTCTTTTCTTGAAGCTATCCTCGAAGTCTGCTGGCGCTGATACGTCGACTTCATCTTCATCATCATCGTTTTCGTCAAAGTCACCCTCGTCATCCTCATCAGAACTTTCCTCATCTTCACCGTCTTCGATTTCCTCGTCGTCTGATGCAGCTTGGACGCGCTCAGAATCAGCTAGTCGAGCGTGTCTCCGCTGTTTGCGGCCAGTGCCTTCATCCTCGGCATCCTTGGAGATCGCCTCACCACCACGGAACAGACGAACACCCTGGTCAGCCTCACCAAGCAAGCGACGCTCGCTCTGTAGACCAACCACGAGCTGCTCGCCTAAGCCCCGGTTCTCGTCATCTGACTCCTCATCATCTGAGCCCCGGTTGAAAGTGTTTGTCCTGACATCAATGTAGACGGCATCTTTGTCGACCAGCACACCACCCACGTCAGACATGGGAGCAAAGAGCAGCTTCTGCTTCTCGCCCAGCTTGCGTCGTGAAGATTTTCCAGTTGCTTTGGCGATTTGCTGGTCCATAAAAGGAGTCGGGCATGGATCCGGCAATCCTTCGATACCAGAGACGGTCAAATCGCCCACACCAGGCACGTGCACTCGGGCACCATTAGCCGGGAAGTTGGTGCCTCGGAGATAACCGTAAAGTGCAACGGTACGGTCACACTTGGGGTTCTCTTCAATCTTGGTTGGGGGTGTGATGTCCAGAAAGCGATCTGCCAGTGCGTAAGGGTGGGAGTTACGCCAAATAAGAGGACGCGGGTTCTTCATGACTGAGAGGAAACGGGAGAGATTGTGCACTTCACGATCGGGGTAACGACCGTTGATCACACCGGAAAGATAGAAGAGTTTGGCACCCTGGTAAAGCTCGCTCCAGAAACGGTGCTTGAGGCGCTTTTTGGTCATCTTCAGTGTGCTCTGTTTCTTGAACAGATCCAGATGTGTCAAGATACCAAAGACATTACCCGGCATACCGCTGGTAGACAGAGCATTCAAGAACTCCATTGTCTCCATTTCGAAGCCGTAGTTACCGTCAATCATGAGTAGGACGATATCCGCAATCTTGGAGACATCAATCATGGCGGCGAGAGAGTCGGAGGGACATTCGAGGAATGTGAGACGCTTCTTCTTGGAGGTAACGATGGTCAATGGACCCTGGGGTGAGCTGAGGGTCTGCTTGGTATAACGACGAATCAACGACTTGATGAGGGTAGTCTTTCCGACCTGTATATACCCAAAAAGGCTGTTAGAGCTTTGATACCGCATTTGACATGGACTGGAGGCCATAACTTACACCGGGGGGTCCAACAACCGCAATGACCGTCGGAGGAGCCTCCTCGGGCATGCGATCGACCTGGGGGACATGGAGTCTCTTTTCCTTGACCTAGAGAGCAATCCTGATTAGCTTCCGCATGGAAATTTTGAGGTGCTGTAAACGTACCTCCGAGGACCGCGCGGCCTGCTTGTTGAGCTTTCCAGGGTTGGAGTAGGCAAAAGCCTTTGGGTTCTTTCCTATCGGTAGAAAATGATGTCAGTAAGGTGTGGGCTGGACAATCGAGTCGCCATGCAATCTCCGAGGATTTGCGGAAGCGCTTCAACGTACCTTCATATTTCTTCTTCTCCTTAGCCGGCCGATGCGACCGGTTCGCTTGATTGTCCGCCATGTTGCGCGAGGAGGTCTCAGACCTCAAAGCTGTTCTCTGTTAAATATCAGAGAGAGAACACTGGACAAGGCGACAGCAGCAATAACTCGGGACTCTCTTGGTCCAAAATTATTATTTCGGGGCGGAAATATGTGGAGCCGATCAAGAAAAAAAGCCGTGTCTTGATTAGGCCTAGCGCGAGATGAGCTCAGACTTTAGGACACCTCAGGCATAAAGGCATCAAGGTCTAGGCAAATCCACTATCTTATCAGCTTATCGATGACCGGGCCGGTCCCAGACGATAAGGTCTGACCCCTCATATCGGCCCGATGCATTAATACTCTTCCAATGCTGGTATTGGAATTGGAGCGGGGTTGTAAACGATTCAATCTCGTAATAGACTGGCATGTCCGCAGCTGAATATGTTTCACACATGTGGGCCACTCAAACCTGATCAAGACGGGTCCGGTTACCGTCTATGCGGGGGCGATGGGTCTAGATAACGGTCATCCGAGTATATATACACCTGTAGAATCCCTGCCCTAGAACCACCCAAGGATTCTACTTAGCCCTCCATCAGAAATACCTGAGTCTCCGGACAGGAAAATTAGCCTACTCCGTGGTGCTGTACCATTCACCCATCTACTTGCATAATGGCTTCTCCTCTTCAACCTCCCCCGGCCTACACAGCACCCCCGGATTCGGGGATCCATGCGACATCGCAGCTCTACCAATCCATTTCAAAGACTGCACTCGACTCTGCTGCACGTATTTCCAAAAAATCATTCACAATCCGACCAAAGTCCGGTCAAGCATGGGTTGTCCCCGCCGGCCACATCTGTCGCTTGACAACCCCTGAAGGCCCTCAAGTAGGCGATCTGAACATCTGGAATGCGAACAATCCCCGTGAGCGAATGTGGGCGGCGCGAACTCGGCAAATTCATGCCTCCCACGTCTCTGTGGGTGACCGTCTTTGGTCTAACCTGCCGTATCTGCGGCCCCTGGTGACGATCACAGGCGACTCGCTGGGCGGCGGGCAGTTGCATGACGTGCTAGGACCGGATGGGAAGCGGAAGTCGGAGGTTGTATTTGGCACTACACAGTTTGGGGGACGCGTGCATGACCTTATGGGTACTCGATGCGATCCTTATGTCAATCTCCTTATGGGTGGGGAGACATATGACTTTCACTGCCACTCCAACTTGACACGTTCGGTGGCGCCTTACGGTTTGACAGAGCTGGATGTTCATGATGTGTTAAATGTGTTTCAGGTGACGGGATTGGATGAGGAGGGAAAGTACTTTATGGAGACCTCACCAGCGAAAGCGGGTGAGTACTTTGAGTTCTTTGCCGAGGTGGACGTCTTATGTGCGCTTTCGGCATGCCCAGGTGGTACGTATTATACATCAGGAATAATTTGAGGCAAATGGGGGCTAATTTCTAATTTCTTCACAGGCGATCTTTCCAACTGGGGCTGGGATGATAAAGAGGGCGGTATGGGGTCGACTTGCCGGCCACTTGGTGTTGATGTATACCAATTGGCTGATCCAAAGGTTCTGGACGGGTGGAAAGCACCAATTAGCCCGGCATACAAAGGCCTACATGGGATGAGAATGCCCCTCCGCGATTAAGACAGTGTTAGGGAATTGCTTTATGTACACCATAAAGGATTAATTGTTCTTATTCTCCTGACTCAAAAGCCATGGGTATCCTCTTGATGAACTAAGACGCGGCGCAGAATAGCAAATTACCGTGTACACAAAATAACTCTCTGATTTGAACAAATATTTTTGGTAACTTCTATAGTCCTTATAGAGGACCATTCTCATTAGTGCGGCTGATCCACGAAGTATGTCCACAAACACCTAAAATCATTGGAAATAATCTGTATTTCACGCCTCCTCCGATATGGCCAATCTTATTGGTCTAATGACAATTAAAATCAATTCTCCGAATAGTATGGCTGGTCTCTATGACTCAGCGCAAGTGCATATTTATCACATGACTATGCCCCGCGTTTGGAGACGCACGTCATCGGGGATCATGCGCATAGTTACATCAGCGGGTGGAATTTGAATAGATGGAAAGGATACAGGAAACCAAGTCTCTTAATTTAAATAGGCAGTCAGACTCAGGCGCGAGTGACGGAGAACGTGGCTCAATTTATTTTATTCGTCATCACGTATCGTGAATCGTGATCAGGCATCCATTTTGTTTAATTTACGAACCAGAATTATAGCCTCGGAATCCGGTAGAGAAATCACGACATTTCAACGTTAAGCAACGCGGAGTTGATGCGGTGCAACAATTTGAATAATCGAGGGAATCTAAAAGTCAAAAGTCAAAAGCAAGTTAGGCGCAGGGGCTTGAGGTAACAAGGTCCTTGGTAACTGGATGTCGTAAGACCAAGTTAGGCCCCTCTTATCAGCTCACGCGTATAAAAAGCAACTTTCCCCCTCCAATTCCATCTCCACCTTTTCTTATCTCCACCAGCCTTTTCGAACTTACCCTTGTCAACCCACTGCACCTCTCTACTTTCCACTGAAAACCCACACTTCGCTTTCAATAATGCCTCAGTACAACGTACGTGACTATTTATAAATATTGGCCTTGAAGGCTTTGCTGACATTTATCCTTATCAGGTTACCTTGAAGGAGGGTGCTCCGGAGGAGGAATTTGAGAAGTCGGTCTCGCCCAACCATCTCTTCCATGAAATATTATAGAATGTTGTATTGATCCATTTGTGATAACAGGGCCAAGTCCGCGGCACAGGAAAAGGGCGGTACCATCACGCACGAATACAGTCTCATCAAGGGCTTCATGTATGAACTCCACTTTCCCCGCAAATGCTTTCCCGTCTACCCAAGCGCCGAATCTACCCCTCCTCAACCCATTCACAAGTCCAAACACTAATTACCGATCCTGGCAGTGTTGAGTACCCAGAAGATCACGTGGGTACCCTCGAGTCCAGTGAGCATATCCACGTCGAGCAGGACGGTGAAGTGAAGACCCAGTGAACTATGGGACTCAGCCCGAAAGCCATGCAGTCATCCGTGGGACACCTGCGAGGGCCCTAGGCCGAATGACAATCCAACCGGCGATGACGAGATAGCGGGGAGTTTATTGCTTCAGAGTGATAATATGATACTAGGGATACGCTTGACCCCCATGCTCTATGTGATATCATTTCTTTTAGCGACTTCAGATGACTGGCAAAGGGAAGCTGCAGTCAGAGACGATTTATTACGACTACTACCTTCAATATGAACTTAAATGCAATCAAGATGTATTGTGCCCAATCGTAGCTCTGCCAGGAGTTTGAGCTAGAGTCCATGTGCTGTTATTTGACTGGTGGGTTTCAGTAGACATCGAGCTCTTGATTGGTGGTCGCGAACCGTGGATACCCGTCTTCATGCTGCTGATAAGATTATCTTGGATATTTGATCATTCAGGAACACCGTGCCCACCTGGGAGTGAGATCTTCTATCAGGAACACGCCCTGAGTGAATGTGTCTGATAAGGTAGGTGTGGTATATCTGTCTTACTCTCCAGTGTAGCCCTATCACTAACATGAAAACCCATGTCTTAATTAATGATTACTTGTCTCTTACTCTGAGTATCTTCGTGAATTAAAAGAACTGGTAAAAAGGAACGCCTAAGGGTAGGTAGTTCTCAAGCTGAAGAATTTAATAGCTCTTAAGCACTGCATGGCTTGTCAGATATAACGAGAGTGCGACTGAGAAAATTCATCATGCATATAGGGCTGAAATGTGATCTGCAGGAAATGTAACTACATAGCTGAAGACAGCAACATGACTTAATACTGCATATGAGCCCAGCATTGTCCTGCTGTTCCTCCCTGCAGATTCGGGGATGGCAAGCTTCTTGCCGGCTCACTCTTGTAGAATAGTTGCCATACGATTCAAGAATTTGGAGGGCCGAGTAAAAAGAAGTAATACTCGATATAAATGCATACTAATAATGGAAAGTCGAAGGATCATATCAGTTGAGCGGACATTATCCGCCGAAGAAAGAATCTATACAGTCCGAGCACATTAAGCTTATCGCGCCGATGCCGGCGATAGCCTTATCTAGGCGGGGCTCGGTGTCCTCGGCTTACCGTACCTGGCCGTATACACCGCCAATTCACGAAGAATTGTACGGAATTCGGCGTATTAGACTGTATTAGTAACCCCTCCAAAGTGTATCTGCGCGCCCTTCATTGACAAGGTTGCAGTTGTGTCGCCAACGACCACGAATTTCATTGCTTCACGGGGTCAAATTAGATAACAGAAATCCACTTGGTGCATCGTGTCTGACTGAATCGCCTAAATATTCCCAAAAGGAGCCTATGATGTACATTTCAAGCTGTATTGATGAGTCATTCGTTCCAATCGGAACCGCGCCGGGTGGATAACGCTGTTGTAAATTCCACCGGAGGCACCGATTCGCCTCCGTTCCCACTCTAACTCTGGCGTCAATCCTTTATATTCTTTCGCAACCCCGTGAACGTCGAATCGAGTACTGTACCACTCTCAATTTTCATATAGCCCGCCGCGTTAGTGCTTGGCATAGCTCCCCTCGCCGCTTTTCGCACGAAACACTTGTCGCATTATCACCGCAGATTACCTTTCCTACCCGCACCGAGCCACTGAGTCGATATGAGCCCACCCTCTGCTGTGGATGTCGAGATGAAGGGGGTCACTGACACCTCTGCGGTGCCGATCCCTGATCCCTTGACTGTCAATGGGGTCCCTGGATGGCGTGAGAAGATGGCCCAGATGCCCACTGGTGTTGCGCCGGCGTGCAGCAGTGATATGTTCAAGAGCCCGGTATGCTCCCAACGACCTCCATGATACAATACTTGTGGCATTTGTAAAGGGACCGGAATTTTTGGATCATGGCTGACCAATCGTGCTATCTGCGGCTATACAGGCTTGTTATACTAAGCCCAAGGCGAAGCGTTTTGACCGTGAGTCTTGGATCTTTAAAAATGCAGCCAATCGCTTGGATTTGGCTCTCAAAGCATTGGGGGTGGTTCTAACTAGTGTTATACAGACTTCTTGTCGCTCGAGGCTAAGTCTCGCAAGGTTGGTACCCCCGAGTACCGTTGAGGACTTGCAAGAGCAAGCGATTTAATGCAATTTCCAGGCCTCGACATTGAAAACCGCTGCCAAATACTTGAAGAACCCGGGTACGAAAATACTCCGGAATATTTAAATCGCAATATGAACTAAACATTGCTTCTAGGCATGCTGTCTCTCGGTGGTGGTCTGCCTTCTTCTGAATACTTCCCAATTGAGCACCTCGATATCAAGGTCCCCACTCCCCCAGGCTTCACTCCGGAAGCTACCCAAAAGTCAGGCACTATTTTGCACTCTGGAAAACACGATATCAAGGAAGGAAAGAGCCTGTACGGTACGTGGATTGGCCAAGAATCGTTGCTTGGATTTCTAATTGACAATTGGCAGATTTGGAAATTGCTTTGAACTATGGCCAAGCTACCGGATCTCCTCAGCTTCTCCGGTTCATTACCGAACACACCGAGGTATGTTTAGTTGGTTCGTGAGATAGCAAATGCTGATGTTGTTAGCTCATCCATAACCCCCCTTATGCCGATTGGCAATGCACCTTGACCGCCGGTAGCACATACGCTTGGGACACTGCTCTCCGTTTGTTCACAGAGCGCGGTGACTACATTATGTTGGAGGAGTACACATTTGCCAGCGCTGCCGAGACAGCTTGGCCACTTGGCCTGAAGGCACTACCCCTGCCCATTGATGAAGAGGGTATTGTTCCAGAGGCTATGGACGAACTTCTCAGCAACTGGGACGTCAAGGCCCGCGGCGCACGCAAGCCCCACGTTCTCTACACGATCCCCACCGGCCAGAATCCTACCGGAGCTACCCAGTCTGCTGAACGCCGCCAGGCCGTGTACAAAGTCTCCCAGAAGCACGACATTCTCATCGTCGAGGACGAGCCATACTACTTCCTGCAGATGCAGCCCTACAGCGAGGGAGCTGCCGCGCCTCCTCCACCCGCAACTCACGAGGATTTCATCAAGTCCCTTGTACCCTCTTTTCTCAGCATGGACGTTGACGGCCGTGTGTGCCGATTGGAGTCCTTTTCGAAGGTTGTCTCGCCCGGTTCTCGAGTTGGTTGGATCGTTGCCTCTGAGCAGATCATTGAGCGTTTCGTTCGCAACTTCGAGGTCTCCTCCCAGAATCCTAGCGGTATCTCCCAGCTTGTCCTCTACAAGCTGCTGGATGAACACTGGGGTCACTCTGGATACCTTGACTGGCTGATCGCCCTGCGTATGTCATACACCGAACGTCGTGACGCACTGCTACATGCTTGCGAGAAGCATCTCCCCCGTGATATCGCCCACTGGGTTGCCCCCGCCGCGGGCATGTTTGTAAGTATGCACTAATCCCTCTGAATGACAATACTAACCTTGCACAGCACTGGATCGAGGTTGACTGGCGCAAACACCCCGGCGTCGCCGCTGGTAAGACCCGCGATACTATCGAGGAAGAAATCTTCCTGTCTGCCGTAGACAACTCTGTCCTGCTTTCCCGCGGAAGCTGGTTCAAGGCTGACAGCTCGGCTACCATGGAGAAGATGTTCTTCCGCGCGACCTATGCCTCTGCTTCTAAAGACCAGATTGACGAAGCCATTTCCCGCTTCAGTACTGCCCTGCGCCAGCAGTTCGGTCTGTAGACTTTGGCGAACTTTCACAGCACTGGTCTAATCAACTAAACCAGAAGTGTCTGGCGCAAGCAGTTGGCCTTGCGTCTCAATAATTTCGGTAGAATTCCCATATGTGTATATAGTGCTGAGTTTTATAGAAATCGGTTCCTTTCACCGGTTCTTCGGCATTTATCCCATCGCATTTTATGTCTTATGAACTTTCAAATTGACATTTTTAGGAAAATGGAAAATTCAATTTTATAGCCAGAACAAACGTGATATTTGCTCAAAAAAAAAAGAAATGCCAATTACCTAGATGGAGAAAGATGTAGAGAGCAAATTTCGCCAACTAAAATCCACCAACTCCCCTCACTCGCTTCACAGCACCAACCATACCCTTCGCCCAGCTGAAGCGACCGGGATCAGTACCAATAGATCCCGGAGGAATCTCTCCGGTAGAAGGATCATGCCAGCAGCCATCTTCAATGCTTGCAGCACCGTATTTGGCAGTATTCTGGTTCCGATCAATGACTTCCAGCCACGCCTTACAGACCAAAGGTGAGTCAAGCATGACGTTAATTTCTTGACTGTGGTAGAAGGACTGGGTATCCAGGTTGCCGTTTCCTGAGAAGAGAAGATAATCAACATGCATTCAAGAACAGTGGAGAGTAACAATGACATACCTTGAATAGCAACCTGCTCATCGATAATCATCAACTTGATATGGCAACTCCGCTTCTTGAACGAATTGTGAATAGGTTGAATCTGATCTTTACCCACGTAGTAGTGCACTTGCAACCGGGCTTTCTCTTCTGCCGTTTCGAGGGAGTTGTATAGCCTGTTCGCGATCATTTCGTTCGTCCCGTTTTGGAATGGGAGTAGTTCGCCCGAGTCATTGTATCCGAGGCAGAGATAGGGTTTGACGATGACACCTCGACGGATTGCATTCAGGAGGGGTTCAAGGAGGGGCTCTGCGTTCATGTTGGGGGTTTGGATAAATATTGAGTGCTTTGCGTTGTTGATTGCCGAGACGAAGGCTGCATCTTGGGGGTTGTGGGTGCTGTTGTGGTTTGGAGCTTGAGATTGTTAGGATAGTATTCATATAGCTCGGCTCCGGTCGAAATTACTCACATCCGTATGGTTCTCTGTTAACCAAAGCCATTGGGAAGGACTCGTGCTGTGGTAGTAAAATGTATGGTGTCATTTTCGGGTCCTGGTCTGCATCAGGAGCGTTTCCGGTTGTGTCAGGTTGAATCGTGGTATCTGGTGAATAGTCAATGGATATTGCTTGCGGTAATTGCTTATTTTCAACTTACTTAGATGACGAGTCACGGCCTGAGTTGGTGTCTCATCTCCACGAGGGTTGATACTGTGGTTAACCCTCTTTGCCTCGCCTTCAAAATCGACATCCCAGTGGGGAGACGATGAGGTATTCTCGGATAGATCTTCAGGTGAGCCCTCCGTAGGGTCTAGCTTTTGCTCTCCTTGATGACAGGGGATCGGGGCACTCTCAGCAGGAGAGTTCAAAAGAGGCAACGGAGGATCAAGAGGCTTGTCCCAGGACAGGAGAGCAGCGTCATAGAACGAATCGACGATAGGTCCTTCGATGTGAGAGAGCATCTCCAAATTATCATTGTCCTGAATATTACTGCTCTGTAACAGACACATGCGCCGATCTATGACAGTAAATTTCGAGTGAAATGTGCCGAAAACTGGCCGATGGAAATTGATCACTTTCAAATCCACATTTGGGATCTCATGCGGCGCAGGAAGGTTGACTTTTTCGGACGTCCGTTGTTTATCATCTACGTCAAGATGATTTTCAAAAACCTGAAGCCAATCAGCATTAATACCGAGTACATATCATCCTGTACATACCTGCTTCGGATCTCCGCGATCATACACCATCTTCATCACCACCTTTGTGCCCCGTTCACCAGCTCTCCTGTTCAACTCCCGGATACCATTTGTAACAAATGTTGCAGCGTCAGAATGAATCCAAAAGTTCGTACCCAAAAACACCTCATGTTGAGCGCGCGCAATGCAATTTCCCAAATGGCGACAGAGATCCGGTAGCGGCGCCACAATGGTGAGGGGAAGAACACCTCGGCTCCCCATCAACGGCGGCGAAACCACTCCCGTACTGGGTTCTTTATCTAAGGAGCCAAGTACATCGTGATAAATCTAGAGACAATTATTAGTTTTCGGGATGACAAGACCAGGAGCTGAAATCCAACCTGAAGAAACAATTCACTGGGCTCTGTGGTCCCCCAGTGTCCACAAGCTAGGGCTTTCTGCACAGGGGTCTTCTTTTCAAATTCCTCAATCTCCTCCTTGGATAGTCCATGCGCTCCATGCCCCTTCAAATGGGGATGCGGAATCTCATGGTGATCGTATAACTTTTTGAAGATCGTTCCAGCGGTCTGGGACGGATCCTGCGCTAGCTCCGAAGTGACGGTCTGCGACTGTTTCCACAGTCCATATACCTTAGTAGTAACCATAATGATAAGTTTGTATAGAAAATGGCAGAGAAATCAACAAAATCATGCGTACCGCGAACGCCTTTTATTCAAATTAGTGGACGTGACGTAAATTGTAAGCGGGGTGTCGCTAATGAAGCTGACCTCACCAGTGGCTGGATTGATTGGCTGATAGATGATGGTCAATATTGATAGAAAATTAATTTGACTGCCTACAGGTAATATGACGTATTTTATTGTGCTTGGGCAAACCAGTTGCTTGAGATTCGGCCTTGGTCCTCACAGGGCTGAATGACGTATCAGTGTCCCCACAAAGCTTAGCAAAGCTTGTTTGGGGTTTCTTGTTTGCAGGTTAGTGATTTACTAAAAGGTTACATAGTTTACAGGGATATTAAGAGGCAGTTGAAAAGTCAAAAATCCAAGATAACTATTAGGTGGGGATGACTTAAGAAAAGTACAAATTTTAGTGGTTGGGTTATAATGACTTTTAGGGGAATGGAATTAACAATTGACATCCGCGTGGTCGAGTGGTAAACACTCACCAGCTGCACCAATGTTGTGACCAACTATGTACCTGGATACTTGGTTGGGGTTGTCAATTGTACCAGGAAATATCAACTCAGAGGAGACCTTCCGCAGCCAACACAGCTGCAGGAGGGAATCCCTCTGAGTTGGTGTTTTTTGTTTTGTTTTTGTTTTGTTTTTCTTTTGTTTTGATTTAGTTTTTTTTTTTTTTTTTTTTTTTGGGAATAATATCTTAATGTATTATCTACTAAACGATGTATCTTATCAGTTGTTAATCTTGAATCAAGTATGGGAGCGTTAAAATGGTCGGTTGTTTTATGGATGAACTTATGGTTGATGCAAATGAGGCTATTCACAATGTACCCTCCAAGTACTCGGTGAGAAGAGGCAAAGTTTGAGATCCCTCGTTCGACTCCAGCTTATGTTGATTTAGTATTTCTAGCAAACTGATAATTCCTCAACAAATTCTTTATCGACAATATCCAATCAGACCACCTTGGAGAAGAACTGGTTCTCTGGCCTGTCTAAGCCAAAGTGCTCACGCAGTGTAGAGCCAGTATAATCATTTCGAAATAGACTCCTTCGCTGTAACTCTGGAATCAACTTTTCCGTTACCTCCTCCAAACCCTGGGGCAAGAACGGAAAACAACACGTAAACCCATCAGATGCCTCCTCCTTCAGCCAAACCTCCATCTCCTCTGCGATCTCACTCGGCGAACCAAGAAACGTCAACCCCGAATATCCTCCATAGCGTTGCGCAAGCTGTCGCACAGTCAGCCCCTCCTCCCGAGCAAGCCGCTCTACCCCCTCTCTACTCGTCTTACTCGCATTTGTCTCCGGTAAATCTCCCGGTAACGGACCATCCGGATCAAACCCACGAGCATCAACCCCAAGCGAAATCGACAAAGACGCAATCGCACTCTCATAATGCACCAAACTATCCAACTTCAGCCTCTTCGCCTGTGCATCCTCCCTACTCTCCCCAACAATTATCATAGCCGCAGGTAGAATCTTCAACTGCTCCCTCCTCCGTCCAGCTTTCACAACCCGATCCTTGATATCAGTATAAAGCGCCTTCGCAGCATCAATATCTCTCGGACTGCAAAATACCACTTCTGCCGTCTCAGCCGCAAGTTGTCGTCCAGGCTCACTCTGTCCAGCCTGTACAATAACAGGCCACCCCTGCGGCGGTCTGGCAATATTTAACGGTCCGCGAACCTTCAACTCCTCCCCAAAATGATTTAAGACATGCATCTTTTCCGGATCAAAGTATTGTCCAGTCTCAACGTCACGCGCAAACGCATCATCGTCAAAACTATCCCATAATCCCGTAACCACGTCGTAGAATTCGCGCGCACGCTTATATCGATCCCCATGAGCCATATGTTCATCGAAGCCAAAATTGTGGCTGGATTCCGGATTGCCGGTTGTCACTATATTCCACGCTGCGCGTCCATTACTAAGGTGGTCTAGACTAGCGAAGCGTCGGGCGACGTGGTACGGTAGATCGTATGTAGTGCTCGCCGTAGCCGCGAGGCCAATTTTCTCTGTGACAGCTGAAAGTGCGGAGAGCAGGGTGAATGGTTCGAATGATGTGACTGTGTGGCTGCGTTTGAGTGCCTCGACGGGCATGTTCAGGACGGCAAGGTGGTCGGCCATGAAGAAGGCGTCGAATTTGGCGGCTTCGAGCTTTTGGATGAATTGAGTGAGGTGTTTAAAATTGAAATTTGCGTCTGGGTAGGAGCCTGGGTATCGCCATGCTCCTGTATGGAGACAGACTGGGCGCATGAAGGCTGTTAGGTGGAGTTGGCGTGAGTCTGTCATTTTGATTTGCTTTGGACTCAATTTTGGAATGGATTGAGGATTTGGGAGTAACATCGCCTTATATCTTGATCGTCCCCGCATGTTTGTTGTATTTATAAGCCTATTTATAAGCTTTGGCTTTTGATGATATGGCGTGCTCTGTTTAGGTTGCTCACGCAAGCGATTGCGCTGATTTCATTAGAAGCCAAGCCCCAAAGCCCCAAAGTCCCGTAGATGAAATGACAAAAGACCATAGACCGACCATAAACGATTCTCACCCTTGAGAGCCTACTAGTATAACTAGACATTCATTCATAGTACTACATACTGCAGATGTAAATGGGTACGAATGCGAATTTGATCGTCTGGACTCTGACCAATATTAGGGTCTGACATACTCATACGGTGATTATCAGATACATGAACGTTGATATCATGATTGTATCATTATACATAAGCTATAATGCTAGTCTTATCTAGTCCAGATGTCAATTGTTCTATAATTGATGCATTATAATTTGTGGGCTACAGGTCTGCATAAATTGACGCCTGATTATTGAGGCAATAACTGAAGCCTCAGGCTTACACACACGTGACTTTTCGTCTCGCCGACCGTTGTGAGTGACCGGCGACGTACGCTATGCACATATGAACCCTTTCAATCTATCTCATCAGATGCGGAACCATTTCATTTAAACAGATTTCAAATTATTTTATTACTGTCATTTATGGGCTTTGCAACAGGCGATGCCGGCAGGACACCGCATGAACCCTTGTTGTGACCCTGTTAGAAGACAACGGAGCTGCTGTGCTAGTAGGCCTAGATAAGGAGCCTTAGTGATACCTAGGTAAGTCTATTTGGTCTTATTTGCATTGTGTTTGGTCTTTATTTAATGTTGTTTACCTTCTCCCATCGTCCCTCATTCGTCTCTCTACCACCACCTTTTGCATTGCATTGCAACACTGCATGATCACTCAGGGAGGACCATGACTGACTGTATCGACCAGCTGCAGCCTGTAACTGGTGATTTTGGGCTTACTTTAACGGATCGCGAATTCGTGCTTTGCCTGTTAAACTCACCAAGTCTGTCACTCACGTCTACAGAGTCCAGACAGACATCAGCTTGTGGTGAATACTTTAGCTCTGAGCCCCAGCCCGCCAAGGTTGAAACTCCGACAAATCCGAAAACTCCAACTAAGTAAGTGTTCGTTCAAATCAAGTTGCTGGTTAAGTCTCTAATGCTTCTCGACTTAGGAAGCGTAATCATTTGCCCCAGATCAGCTTTGGGGATTACGCTCGTGATCTTGAACCCAACCAGGAATTATCAAGTGGGAATAACCATAGCCTGTCTCCGGATTCCATCTCCGAATCAAGTCCGTTGCCATTTCAGGTTTTTGACTTGTTAGAGGTGCCCTTGTCTCCAAAGTCCAATCTTTCACTTCCAAGTCCTGCAACCCCACCCACCTCTTCTGTCTATTACAGTGAAGAAACCGATAGCTGTCGTGCCGAGTCTCCCACCCCCGGAGGTCAAGGTCACTTGGCTGCATCTCTAAGAGCAAGACGCCAAGGTCGCCTGTTTGCCCTTTCATACGAACAGCTCATCGACAGCTCCTCGTTCCACCTGGATCAGGATAATATCGTTCCGAGATTGATTCAACCCTTAGACAGTTGGGACAATCGTCGACCTCTGTGGGAAAACAACACCCCGATTCACATTCGAAGCAGTGACATCGAGGGGCATATTTCCTCTCCATCCATACCTACCATCTCCATCTCCAACTCTACCAGTCCTCCGCTGAAGTCTCACCCAGCTTCAAAATCCACTGAAGATCATTCTCAGCCTCGAAAAAGATTTGCCAGCAAGTTCAAGAATCGCCTGTCTACAATTTTCGGTGATCGTCCTAAGGTGGCCCCCCAAAGCCGTCGTTCATCATCTGCGTTCTGTTTCTTGTGATTTTGAGGCTTTGATCCTTCCAGGAGCATCAAAATGGATTCACGTGAGTCACGGTTCTTGGATCCATCGTCTGCGATGGCAGCGATCACTAGACACAAAGCCGAAGCCATCAAACTGGCTCGAGAGCAAGGAACTGCCGTGAAGGAGATGTGTCGACGTGCAAAAACGGAAATCCCGCCATATGAATTCGAAGAACTGATTGGTAAGGGTGCCTATGGCCGCGTCTACAAAGGCCGAGAGATGCCATCTGGTCGGCTGGTCGCTATCAAGGTCTTGGATATTGATTCAGTGGACTATAATTCTTCGCCTGATTACAGAGACGAGTCCATCAAGGATTTTATCCACGAAACCAAGGTCATGAAGCAGGTCAAAGAATCCGGTGCCAAGAACATTAATGAGCTCATTGAAGCAATCTCTATACACTCCCAACTTTGGTTGGTCTGTGAATATTGCCCTGGTGGAAGTGTGCGGACATTGGTAAGTGATCCCCGGTGTATAGATGAACAACTCTGATTGCTCCTGCAGATGCGCGCAACAGGTGATAAATTAGAAGAGCGATTTATTATCCCAATTGCCCGAGAGCTTGTAGTTGGGTTGCATGCCATTCACGAAGCCGGCATCATTCATCGTGATATCAAAGGTATTTGCTTGCTATGCTTTCAGTTACTACCCGATGACTTACTGACCAATCCATTAGCGGCGAACATTCTGATTCATGAGGAAGGACGGCTGGAGATTTGTGACTTCGGTGTGGCCGGAGTCCTGCAGTCACAGCGAGATAAACGTTCAACTTGGATTGGCACTCCTCATTGGATGCCGCCTGAGATGTTCGCAACCCGCGGCCCAGCTCCTCAATATGGCAGTGAAGTAAGTGGCCATTCCTTAGTTTCAAATCCGGCGTACTCATCCATTTAGATTGATGTCTGGGCATTCGGCTGCACCTTGTTTGAATTTGCCACCGGAAACCCACCAAATGCAGGCCTCCGAGAACGTATGCAGATCGGACGCCAACTCAGTCGCAAGCCTCCCAAGCTTGAGAGCGAGGAGTACAGCGATGGGCTGAAAGACCTTATTGCGTATGCCCTGGACTCCAACCCATCTACCCGACCTTCTATGGCAGATATTCTAGCCCATCCCTACATTGCTGGCACTGAAGAGGAATACCCCACATCTTCGGTAGGTGAGCTTGTCAGGAATTACTACCAATGGTCTCAACGAGGAGGACAGCGTATCTCCTTGTTTCATCCGGGAGGTGCTGCAGCTGCAGAGCTTCCAGGCACAGAGGAGTCGGAGGATGATTGGAACTTCAGTACAACGGATGGCTTTGAGCGCAGATTCTCTGTCATCGACCTGGATCAGTTAGCTGCTTCCTTGGCCGAAATGGAAGAGGCAATCAGCCCCACCACGCCTACTCCAGAGTATGACTTTAACGACGACCCATCGGAGGGTGAATTGAACCCAGAAGACAAGGCCAACTTTGATGAGCGTGTCCGCCGAGGTGCTGTTGCGATGGAAGGACTTTTCGACGAGGAAAAACCAATATACAAATACGAAGCTAAAAAGGATTTCGTGCCCATTGAGCCCCCTCAGCCGACATCTGACCTGCCTCTTCGAAGCGAAACTGACCGGTCCTCGGTGACGTCCACATTCATCGATATCGATATCGGCTCGTTTGATTCTTCTCACTATGCAGCTGGTGCACCATCTGCACAGCCTTTCCAATTAGCTGATGCGGGTACAATTCGTGCAAACCGATCAAGTCTTCGGGGTAGCCAAAACTCCACCGATGGTAGCTCGCAGTCATATGTCAGTGGTGAAGAGAGTACAGAACCACAAGTCGAAGAGTTTCAGCCTCAGTCAGGCCCGCGACCCCCCACTATGGACTGGAAGTTCCCGGTGTTTGTGAACAAAGACGATGAAGATGAGGATTCAAAAGAAGAGGAACTGGACCGGGAATCACCATCGGAGAGCGTGAAAGAAGAAATGTTCCAGGATGAAAAGCGGGCCACCATGGAATGGACGTTCCCTGTCATGTCAGACGAGGGACCAAATGAGCCCGGTGCGGATCAATACGACACTCTAAGAGCACCGCTCCCCCCTCTACAACAACACCCAACCGAAGAACCAGATGACTCTCGCCCCTCGACATCCGCCTCTAACGTCTCCAGTGCATCTGAGTCAGACTATGATCCCTTCCGGTTTGACCGTCCCACCACTCCTCAAGATCCAAAATCCAAAGTCTCCAGTCGAGCCCAATCATTTGACTCGTCCCATAGTGTGGACTTGTCCCATAGTGCGGCCTTGCCTCGTTTCTCCGATGACAACTCTCTATCTCTTGATGGACCTGGACCTGACGAGGAATCTCACCCTCTGTGGGATGAAAACACTGAAATCATTGACCCTAGCAATATCCCACCACTTGATGTTCCCATACCTCGCGATGAATCTGACGATGTTTCAACACCGGTCTCCGAACCTGGCTCTCCTGTCTACGAGGATCCACCCACTATACGGCCAGATGTTCTCCCTCGTGCCCCCGTTATCAAAGCACCTGATGGAGCAATGATTCCATTCCCTGTCCTTATTCCACCCAGTGCGGAAAGTTTGACGGAAGGTGCCGACGATGGTGTTGTCACTGCAGAACTTCAACGACTGCTCGATGACTTTCTCGATGCTCTGTCTGCCACGGGACAAGCACTTTCTCAATATGCGGCAAACCACCCGCCTCGAAATGCTTAGCCAGGCAGACCCATTCTGTCACATTTTATTAGATGCTTCAGTTTGCACGCTGTTTGATTCGCAGAAGATATCAATATGAAAGCCTATGATTCCATGTTTGTGTTCGGCGTGCATTTTTATGTGTCAGCTTTGATGTATGTGTTTAGCCAGAATCAATACCATATCTGCATGTCATCGTCTACCTACAATTTTATTCTGAATTTGCTTGTAGACGGTAAATTGCTATTTTACACGGTCTCTAATACGAAGGCACGAAGGGGGCTACAGTGGCACCTGACTCGTAGTCAGGTATACCGGGAGCCTAAAATATCAATTAATGTGCAAGCCTAGCAACCTAGCAACCATTCTATCTTATCTGTGGATCTGCATCTAGTATGTTCACGAATTCTGCCGTGGATATCAAGATTATCTTGCTGGTAAAAGATATTAGAGGATTGACCAACCTGGAATTGAACCACTGGCAATTCCAAAAAGCTCAAAAATTGCTATGACACAGCTTTGGTTAGTATAGTCATTGAGTGGACTGTTGTTTGTTTACCTTTAAATCGTCAATCACGTCCATGACCTTCTTCAAATACGTCCCCCCAACACTCTTTTCCTCATCGGAACACAGTTCTTTAACCCACCAATATCCCTTCCTGTCACCATGTTGGGTGGCTTTTCTAGCAAGAATGGACCGGCTCTCTTCTCATTCCCCTCGACACGCTCGGCGCCATCAACTATGAAGGACTGGAAATACTCGTTGATAGAGGCGAAGCGCATGTACCTGCAGAAGCAGTACAAGCAGTGTGCAGCCTATAGCATGAAGCTTCTGAGCACCGCAAAAGGACCAGTTCGTGCTTTCCAGTATCCTTTCATACCAATTACTGACAATTTAAAATAGATCGATCCGGTGTGCAAGACCTTCCTCACATTTTATGCAGCAATCTCCTACGAATTCTTGGGTCGTGCTGCCCATCTCTACTCCGCAAACAAGGTGGCTCTTCTTCGTCAGGCTTTGGAGAGCTTTGTCGAATGCGATGCTGCTCTGCCTCCCCTAGTTAATCTGCCTCGCCTTGCCAAGCTTGAGGTGCATGACATGTCGTGGTCATCGACTCCAATTAGTGTGGATGAATGTCTTGCCCTTTTTGAACCCCCGAAGGAAGTGCGTTCTGACCGTGACTCGATTATGGATAACATCACTCGCATGATTGATGTGACTATTTCGCGACTGGATGATCCTTTTGTGGATGGTTTTGATGAACTTGATGAGTTCGTGCTATCTTGCTCCCCGTCGCGCATCCCTAGGCCTATCCAGGACCGGTCCAAGGAAGACCTTCTGGCGCCTAGTCCTCTCCGCATCCGCAAGTTCTCAGACGAGAAACCTCTTAAGGAAAAGATCGCTGAGAAGAAGGTCTCTGAGAAGAAGGTCGCCAACAATAGCTCGCCCAAGAAATCTCCCAAGAAGTCTACCCAAAACACTGTCAGGCTTTCAATGTCTGGAGATGAGAACAATAGCAGTGGCAGATTCCGCCCCCCAAGACTGCCACTCAAGGTTATCCCGTCTTCTCGACTCAATGCCAACATGTCTGGACTGCCCTCGCCCAAGTCTGAGCTCTCTAGTCCAGTCTCGCCCTCCCTCCTTTTCTCCCCCATTGTCACGGGATTCCCTACCCCAGACTCCACGCCACCAAAGGTGACAACAATTCCCATCGAAAACCTCTCGCCCACTCGCGCCGCCCAAATTTTCCGTTCAAACCGTGGCATTGCGTTCCTCCACGAGCTGGTTACATCTAGCATCTACAGCATCCGACAGCAGATTCAACAAGTTAAGCAGTTCCAGGAAGTCCGCCGTGCCCGCAATTTCCAACGTGCTTCCTCCTGGACCTTTGACGCCATCCTCGCTGAGAAAAAGGATAGCGACTCCGACGCCAATCAGGGTTATGAGCCAATAATGGACGAGTTTGGTCATATTATGTTTAAAGAAACGATGGATGAACGCATCATTCGTCTCCGGGCTGAGGGTTGGGAGATGGTTGGATTGCGGTCGCCTCGGAGCACATGGAAGGGGGCGCGATACTACCAGGAATTCTGTGCTATGGTCATGAACGAGCGAGACCTGGACTCGTGAAGAGGAGATACCCTGAGGACGAAGTGGACAAATGATTGTGATGATGATGCAGGCAGAACCTTGCCGATCCTTGTGCTGATATGATACTGAGATATGACAAACTTGTGCTCATTAATACGTCTGATGATGGCGATGAATTTAATGCCAAGCTATCTAATGCAAATTCTCAATAAAATGCAATCACAAACTCCAGTTCATCCACGGATGGTAAGAAGTAGACACTTTACAGCCCCTTGCTCAACACCGATCCTACTCCCTCGCCAACTCCACCCTTGCCAAAAGTCCCCCCAATCCCATTGCCGAGCTGATCCTGGAGCTTGCTCAAATTCGAATCTTCGGCGAGTATCTTGGCCGTCAAACTCTCTGTATATCTGAATTAGCACTCTGGCGCGAAGAAAGCAATTTCTCATGACAAAAACATACTCTTAAGTCCATATGATACTTTTGTCTCACCCATCGCATACAGGACAATTTCCTGCAGTCTTTTCTGGTACGGGTCCAAGGTACCCGAAACCCAGGCACCAAGTAGCACAAGTTGCGAGACGAGGTAAAGGAGGAAGTAAAACATGATATAGGATGGGAATTGTTTCGAAGTCGATACAGTCTGCTGAGTTGATTATATAGGATCTCTTAACTTCTTTTCCTGCTTCCATCATGCTGACTTTATATGTAATGCACGCGCGGGCCTGCAGGGTATGACGTCTGGGCGCTGGAATATGACGCTGCTGTGCCACATTTAGTGGAAGTGGAGATTATAAAATCTCCTGCCAATCAGAGTTGCTGTTTGACAGTAAACCCCATTACTGTATGTTAATCTATGCATGCAGGCTGTACCACACAGTTGATTATCTTGGACTGATTAAGTAAAGGACGTCATGGAGCAGAATTATTTGCATTGGTAAGAGCTGGGTTCGAACGTGCGATCTTGTGATCTGCCTTATCTCACCGAGTACAAAGGGGTACATTACGAATAGCCTCATCTGCATCACTCAGGAGTTCAACAACAAAATGACTACCACAGTACTACACTCCACACAGGATTCTAGATATACATATCTGACTTAAATTTTAGATCTAGAGAATATATAATATAAGCCAAAAATATTATCAAATAAACAGGACATCAATCTTAGGGGGATAGGTAACTTGCTATAACCGCCCACCTTCTGGTTCCCCACTCTACATTACATATATGGTAAGTAGCTATGGCATTCTCTTTGTCAATCCTGTTTTACCCCAAGTGCTAATGATTACAATCCTATGTGTATATGTACTTTATATACATACATAATAGGTACTTTGCCTTTGCGCATACATAATGCTTAGCTTAAGACACATCACATATTCTGTCACAGCCACATTTGATTACTTCCTGCAGATGTGTACATTGATTGGATTGGACTGTCCCCTACTGTTATGCCTTGGCGGCGAATTGCCCAATTCACCTGCTGTTGGCTGCAGAGCTGTGCACACGTCTCTCAAGGCTTGCTGTATCGTGAAGCCAAATTGATACGCTCTTATGCTTTGTTGCAGGTAAAAGTTGGATTCCCAAAATGTTCTGTCCGTAAGGCAGCAACCTTAGGACAATTATACGGAGATCAACAGTGGCGGTGCACGCACGCCAAGGATCCACTAAACCCTACAGCCCCAAATCGTTATCGCGCGTCTAGAACTCTTGATCCCTTTTCCCCTTAAAATAACTTCGCTTTCCTGCTCATTTTTCCAAGGTCCCAAGATTTTCTCTTGCTCAATCTTTTTCGAGTCTGCGACAGTCCCTGGAACGGTAAAGATCTCCGTGTTTCCCCTGATTTTCGCGCGAGAGAGTCGTGACTCGTGGCATGAGCCCACTCACGCCCCGCCTTGTCCCTTAGGCTAATGAGATTGCTTTTTTTCTCGTTCGATTGCTAAAACTTACAATTTTTAGATTCCTCCGAGTTAACCGAATCCTCCACACCTCCTGGATTTTTGAAATCTTTACGTCGCCCTATACCAATCCTCTTCTCGCCCCGCCCTCTCCTCCGCTGCGGGGTTTACCAGCCCGCTTTTGCTACCTGACCGGGTCCCTAGCATCGCATACCACTTTCAGTCTTCAAGGGTACCTGTAGCCCCTGCTCCACATCATGAGTTGTGAGTCAATTCAGTAGACGTTGCTCCTGGACCATACGGTGCATCCGGGCCCCCGGTCGCGCTTTGTTGTTTGAGCGGGTCACATTTGAATGGCCTCAGGGTACCTTGAACTTCAACAAATCAGTCATGTCTCTTTCAATGCTCTTGCTTTATGCCACATGTTATCTGGCCGACTCCGTTCTGGCCCTGTTCACCCTCTGGCGCTATGGTCTGGTCAATGCATATCCCCTGTTCGAGTCGTGTTGCAGCTGGTTGTTTATCGCCAGTTGATCCACCTGTGGCTGGATGATGAGGCGGTTTGCTAATGTTGTTTTACTTTAGTCGCAAATATGTTCAACAAGCTGTCCGGGCAGCCAGAGAGCTATGAGAAAAAGTATGCCCCCTGCGCCACTAACAAAATACCACCTGCTAACTTTTCAGGTCTCTGTACAAGTTCGGACGGACCCTTGGTGCTGGCACCTACGGTATTGTCCGTGAGGCTGAAGCTCACGACGGAAAGAAGGTCGCAGTCAAGATCATCTTGAAGAAAAATGTCCGGGGAAACGAGGAAATGGTCTACGACGAGCTGAAGATGCTTCAGAAGCTCTCACATCCTCATATTGTTTCATTCGTGGACTGGTTCGAGTCTAAGGTCCGTGTGCACCTTCCAATGTGGAGAATTATAGGATCTAATGACGACTCAGGACAAATTCTACATCGTGACACAACTGGCCACTGGTGGTGAGCTGTTCGATCGGATTTGCGAGTATGGCAAGTTCACAGAGAAGGATGCTTCGCAGACCATTCGACAGGTGCTTGATGCTGTCGATTACCTGCACAAGCGAAACATTGTCCACCGTGGTGAGTCTAGCCAAAAACTTTGGAACTGGCAGTGGAATTAACAGATGATAGACTTGAAACCTGAGAACCTCCTCTATCTAACCCGTTCTGCCGACTCTGAGCTAGTCCTGGCAGATTTCGGTATTGCCAAGATGCTAGACAACCCATCGGAAGTTCTGACTAGCATGGCGGGCTCCTTCGGCTACGCCGCACCCGAGGTTATGCTTAAGCAAGGCCACGGAAAGGCTGTTGACATGTGGTCTTTGGGTGTGATTACTTACACCCTGCTGTGTGGTTACTCACCCTTCCGCGCCGAGAACCTGAGCGACCTCATCGAAGAATGTCGCACAGGCCGGATCATCTTCCACGAACGCTACTGGAAAGATGTGTCCCAGGATGCCAAGGATTTCATAATGACCATGCTTCAGGCTGACCCCAGCAAGCGCGTGACATCCGAAGAAGCCCTCAAGCACGAATGGTTGACCGGAAAAACTGCCAGCGACCGCGATCTGCTGCCCGAGATCCGTGCCTACATTGCGAAAGCTCGTCTCCGCCGTGGTATCGAGATCGTCAAGCTTGCCAACCGTATCGAAGCTCTCAAGGTGCACGACGAGGACGAAGACGAAGACGATATTCCTAGCCCGGTCGCCATGGCCGAGCAAAGCGACGCCACTCCAGGCTCAAACGGGGATGCATCCCCCGGCCACACCAAGAAGCACAGTCTTGGCAAGATTGCCCGTGGGGCTATCTTCCGTGAAGTTGTCTTGGCCAAGGTTCGCGAGGCCAAGGATAATGAGGAGCGTGAGAAGGTTGAGCGGGAAGCACGCGAAAAAGCTTCTCATTAAGGCAATGTATTGTCATGGCTTTCATTTATTTTTCCTGCTTACATCTTACTCGATGCCTTTTCATGTCTGTACTTTGCCTGGATCTGGATATAGTTACTTGATTCCCCATATTCAATGCAGTCTACATGTAATGCACTTAGACTGCTTACATGATGTTGATTTTGATTTTTCATCATAGCCAGCTTTGTAAATGACTTAGAGGCTTTCTGCCACATATTTCGCTATACCTACCCAGTCTCATACCTAGTCTCAGCATCCTACTCAGAAGATTTAGCAGGGCTCTCCAAATTTATAAGTAACTAAGTCGAAGGAAGAGACAAGAATTTATGATTATGCTACAGCTTAACATTAGCTAATTCCCCAGGAACACGATTATCTCTTATTTGAACAAGAACAGCGCAGGTATGTTTAGTTAGACGCAGAAGATCATGTAAGCAGGCTAGACAGGTGCGTATAGTTCCAGCAAAGGTGCGTGCAGAGTTCCTGAAGCGGTTAGACCGCATCCACACCTCTCCACTATCCACAGAAATGATTATCTTTGTCTTTCGCGTTATCTTTCCACGCACCTCCAATGAGTGGGTTGTTTCGAAAATCATCTTGTTTACATCTTTACATCATGGCTCAAATTCCTTACCGCTTTAGAGATGAATCACATCATGACTTTTGTTTTTGACTCTCCAGATTGTTCTGGTTTTACTCAGGTCATGTTTCTTTTGGCAAACAACTTGAGATGAGTCTGGTCATTGTATCTGATGTCAGCTCCACAGTCACGTGCAATTACAATCTTATCTTTCCCCGCCTGCATCACCAGATCATTGCTATCACTTCACTTTTTCGGCTTCTTTTTCTTCGCGTCACTTGTCTCGATACCACGCCAAGGTTCTGTCTTAAATCTGGGACGTCCGGGCTTTTGCCTATTGCCGTCTCGTTTGGCCTTCTTCTTCCCGGATTTTTGATCTACCACCTCTCGCGCCAAGCTCTCCAAGCTCGCAACCATGTCGCGTACTTTCGCGAACAAGCGTCTGAGCAAAGTATGTTCTCTTGAAACCCCAAAAATAATTATTTGTTTCCGGTTTCTTGGCTAGGAGGTCTTCTGGCTAACGATTTTGTTTCTTCTAGGAGCTTCTTAAGGTACTTACTCCCTTTTCCATGATTGCATGATGGACACCTTTCCCGCTATATGTTCCGCGCATTCGACTCGGATCTCACTTATACTAGAAAATTTGGAAATTCGAAGGGCATGTCTAATACTTCTTGGGCTGGTAGATGCAAACGCACAACGCACCTGGGATTACCATTGTCAAATCCGACAGCCTTGAAGTCTGGGAGATGGACATCAAGGTTTTAGACGACAACCCACTATACAAAGACCAGACCCATCGCCTCCGGCTGCACTTCTCTGCCAGCTATCCCATCGGTAAGTGAAGTTACTTGTGCATGGTCCACGCGAATCGCATGTTTGAAAGAGTGTTCAAACTAATGTTCTGGTTTCTCTTTGCAGAGCCCCCGGAGGTCCAATTTATTGCGCTTCCATCCAGCTCCGGCACTCCCCGCACCATCCCCATTCACCCCCACATTTACAGCAATGGTATCATCTGCCTCGATCTGCTGAGCCGTTCGGGTTGGTCCCCAGTGCAGACTGCCGAGAGCGTCTGCATTAGCCTCCAGAGCATGTTGACTGCCAATACGAGCTCACAGCGCCCCAAGGGTGACGACGAGTTTGTGGCCAATAACCGTCAACGAATCAAGGATATCAAGTTCGTTTACGATGATGACAACGTCTGAGGGCATGTTTCTTCTTTCATTTTGGTACCGGTAGTTCTGGATCATTCTATTCTAGAGGCGTTGCGGATTCTACGGTTTATACTGTCCTACGATCAATGAGCTTTGCAAATTACGGGAATGTGCATACATGAATCTCTTGGGTTTCATGCACAGTTTCCCCCTTCCTCACTTTTCGTCTCATTTCGTCCGTGCATTTTGATGGCGTTGGTCATGCATTTTCACAGCGATTCATAGTTTGTCTAATGATTCATGGTCTTGGGCTTGAATATTATTACATCTTCAAATACTCCAAGATGATTCAGTCCCACGGATCCACAAGCCTATGAGATTCATACGTTACCAAGAAGTGAACTTACACATCTTCCACCAATCAAAAACTTAGTCTATCCAGGGTGATAACACAAGTCAATGCAAATCTCTAAGGAGTACAACCCAAGAGCCTCAAGGAGCCAACTAAACGCGCACACCAAGACCAGCAGATCATCAGCTCACCCCCACATAAGCTTCAATCCAACCGAAATAACCGCTAGAGCCGAAAAAAGTAACAAAAGTCCCCGGAAACCAACCCCTTGGGATCCTCTCCAATGATCAGCTGAGTAGACACCCTAATCCTCTGATCATATTATCCTAAGCCTTGATCTGATTGGCCTTGTCAGCTCGACGTTACTAAATTCCTGATACAAATAGCCTGGGAGCTTGGACAGTCCTTGCATATCAGACGACCCCGGACCATTTTGTATGGCATCAATGTAAAAAGCTCACTTGGCGATTCGCTCTGTTAAATGTTCCCCCCCTGCCAGCATTCCAGGTTCAAAGTGGTGAAAAATTTCAGCCCTGGTTGGAGGGATCTGCGCACGCGAAGCTGTCAGGAATGTAGAGCTGTCGGGAATTATCCGATAAAAGCTCCGTCATTTTTGGTAGATAAAGTGGAGGTAGGAGCTCTAAATGGTTCGTTGAATTCAATATTTTATACTATTTTCATTCTATCCATCATGGCTGATACGGATAGAGGTTTACGGAGATTGAACTTGGGCATTGCGTTGATGTTGGCTGCTTCAGCTACATCAGGGTATAATGCTAGTCAGATCAATAGTTTGCTTGTCTTACCTGAATGTGAGTGTCAATGGGCAGTGAAGGCATTATGTTGAGTGCTAATGAGTTGGAAAAAAATATAGTTGCTGCTTTTTTGAAGGGTTTCAGTACCAACGCAGAAGGTCTCATCATCGCCGCTGTTTCGCTAGGTTCCTTTTTAGCCTTTATTCCTGCCTCATACGTTGCCGACAGACTAGGCCGTCGTCCTTGTGTTGCTATCGGTGCCACACTTGTCATTCTTGCTTCGATCATCCAGGTGGCAGTCAAACATCCCTGGGTATTCTTCGGTGCCCGTGTCGTCACCGGAGCAGGCGTCGGGTTTTCACAAACAGCTGCACCGTTGCTCATCGCCGAAGCAGCCCATCCCCGCCAACGAGCAGTCCTTACCGGTCTTTATAACGCAATCTGGTTTTGTGGGTCGATCACTGCTGCTGGCATCGCGTTTGCTACACTGGGTATCCAGAACAGCTGGTCATGGCGGGTTCCATGTATGCTACAATGTCTGTATCCCATCTTCCAGTTAGCGGGACTCTGCATCATTCCCGAGAGTCCTAGGTGGCTGGTTTCCAAGGACCGGAAGGGCGAAGCGAGAGCCATGCTTGTGCGATACCATGGAAACGGAGATCTGAGCAGTGCGCTTGTTCAGGAGGAATACGATCAGATCTGCAGCAGTATCAATGCTGAAGCGGATCTGAAGTCTTGTTCCGGCTGGAGTGCTTTCCTCAAGTCTCGAGGAGATGTTCATCGTTTGTCAATCTGTATCCTTATGGGATTTATGCAAGAATGGACTGGAAACGGTACGTTACTTGAATGGAGTTGAACCATGGCATCAATCGCTAATCCTCATCCTCGCAGGTGTCACCTCTTACTATCTCCCTCCCATTTTGGCTTCAGTGGGAATTAAAAATGCCGCTCACCAAGCAGCAGTGAACATCAGTCTTCAAGTCTGGAATCTGATCTTCGCCGTTGGCGGAGCCAGCACCTCAGACCGATACGGTCGCCGTGTTCTCTGGCTCAGCGCCACAACACTAATGATGATCTTCCTATCCGCATCAACTGTCATGACGGGTTTGTTCTCCGAGCTGCACATCATCGAAGCCGGTATCGCGGTTATCCCCATGCTGTTCCTCTTCTGCGCCGCATACGACTTTGCATATATGCCTCTATTCATCGCCTACCCAGCCGAGATCCTTCCATTTCAACTTCGCGCCAAGGGTCTTGCTATAACCCTGACTACCGATTCGCTGGCATGCTTCTTCAATCAGTACGTCAACCCAGTAGCGTTTTCTGTCCTGCGCTGGAAATACTTCACCATCTATATTGGTTGCCTGGTTGTGTTCCTGGGTGTGGTATACTTCCTCTTCCCAGAAACGCAAGGACGGTCTCTGGAGGATGTCGCGAGGATTTTCGAAGACGGAAAGGTTATTCAGGTGATTTCACCTGTTGACTCCGAGGGCGAGGGGGAGTCAGAGAAGTCTTTTGAGAAGACTTCTTTTGCGGTCAAGTCGGACCTGTGAGCTGTTACTATATTGCTTAGTTGAGGCGTCTTTGTACACGACTAGTCAACGTTCCTGTCTCTGCTTTTGTTTTGCATTTGGTCTGTCCTTTTACAATCTGGCATCTATGTACCACATTATTGTACTGGTGGTTTCTGACTTGGGAGCATTAGAGTAGAATTAATCGCGTATTTAATTTTACATAATTTGAGCTGAAACACCCTGAATTCCCTTGAGAAAGATATCTGTAGATGGTGAGGCTTATTTTCCATTGACTCGATTGACGTCAGCTGGAAAAAGTCCTGATAAAACAAGGGATTCGGTGGCGCCAGAGCACAGGAATGTTGGCAAACCTTGAGACCGGAAATAAAAGTCGATTTCCCGCTCATGACAACAGTGTAAAACCTTAAACTGTCGCGAACCAAATGGAACAAGAGTTGAATGTGAGCGTTCGCGATCTACGTACTTTTGATCTCACCACATGGTGTTTTGATGTCTCAAGGGATAATCCCTCCATGATCAGTGAGTCAGGAGTAAAAAGACGCATCCAGTGGATATTGCGTGCCATTCATGTCGTCATGTAAACAACTAGCTCAACTCAGATGTCGGAGAATTCGAGGTTTCCTTGGGTCTGACTAACGAAGAATGCTTCATCCACTTCACCGGTTAGCAATAATCAAGGCTGAGTTGATCATCATTTATAGAAAAAAGGAAAATCTGGAAGTGAAAAGCACTCCTTTATACTGGTGAAAGACTTCAAGAGGTTGAGCTAACTAGTAACTTGAGTATATCACGTCGAAAGACAGGAATCATTTTCAAATCAATCCACCGATTCACAAGGGAACACCCACAAACTCATTATTATCTCCCCCAAAAAGTAAAGCATTGAACAAGAATCGCAATGAAAGGGTATTTCGGCATGGGGTATTCAATAAAAGAGCAAGTAAATAGAGAAAAGAGATAGGAAAGGCCTGCTAGGCCCTGTATCCGTAAGGACCCCGATATCCTGGGAAGCAAGGCTAAGGGCTAAGTGCCACAATAATCAGAAAGCTACACCGATAGCAGCTTCTTGGAGTATAACGGGCTCAGCATGGCGCGACGAGAACGCACGATGCTGCGGCCGACCTTCGTAGATGGTGGGGTGGTAGGATTCTATCTCCTTTTCTCTGTTTATAGAGGGCTTGTGCAGGGATGCTCGCGGAGTAGAGCTACCAGTAAATGAGCTGGAAACGGAGAAGTTGGACGGTTGTGCTTTGGCCCCACCAGTAATGGTTGTGATGGTTGATCCGACAGTGGTACCACTCAACGTGCGAGTTCGTTCCCATTCAAATTCGTTCTCGCCATCGTGGGAGATTGAGTTGGGTGGGGGGCCTTTCTCTCGGGAAAGCCATTGGGAGACGCGGTCGGGAAGAGGGACTGAGGCGATGGTCTTGCGATAGTCGCTTGGCGTGAACGAGGGGCGGCGGAGTGAAGATAGCCGAGATGGGAATGTGCTGGAGCTGGATGCTGAGGGAGAGTCTCTGAGGAATGAAGAATCCATTGGTGAGTACTGGTCTGTTGAGTTCTCTGGATCCCTCCATGTGACTGGAGTCTGGGGAAGTTCTTGCACTGCTCGTGGTGTCTGGGTGTCGCTGGAGTGGTCGGACAGGATATCGGTATCCAGCGTAAGCTTGCTCTCTTCCGAGTGTGCTCTGCTATGTCCTAGAATTGGCTTTTGGAACGGTACTTCACTTGGCTTGACTTGAACTGGAGTGACGATGGAGAAATGTGGCACCAAAGAACTTGCACTGTGAACAGGCTTCGGGGACTTCGTTTCGATTGTCAAATCCATGTTTCCGAGAGAGCGACGATCCCCTGAGCCAACAGGCTTTCGAGACACGGTAAATACGGAGGCAGTTGATAGACATCGTTGGTGGCGGATACTCTGCTGCGAGAAAGCTTGGGGCGGCACTGCCAGCGTCGGAAGTAAACAATTGTCATCCAACTGAAATGAATCAAACGAGGGTAGATCTGACAGTCGGTTACCCGACCGATGAATAATCAGGTCAAGAGGTTGGTAGATGGTGGTAACAGGCTGATGGAAAGATTCAACTCGACGAAAGTCCGACGGGGCACTGATTGTCAACCCGCTTGGATGTCTCTTGCGAGATGTAGTGACACTCGCCCGGGTGGAAGCCCGTGAAGCCAGGTTCCGACTCTCCCCCAGCCACGACGACAAGGAGTGCGAGCTCCGAGTGTGATAAATTCGCGGATTGGGGAGATCATCGTACACTCTCAACTTCATAGGGGGCACAAGATGCGGTTGAGTATGGCAAACCTGCATCTCCCGCTTAACTGTAGATTCAACGAGATAAAATGTTAAAATAGTCGAGACACCTGATGAATCCGAAGTGCTTACCTTGATTCCCCACTGGGAGATCCTGGCCCTTCTCACTTGGTGACAAAATTGACCAGCAGGACCCTATCCAACCGGTGAATAGCGACCCCGCTTGCTCAAAAGCTGTCATGGCGACCAGCGCTTGATTGAAGCTAATCCATCACCTTTCCTGAAGGTGGGTAAAAGGGAGTGGACGGGGATACAAAGGAAGGACTCGTAGAGAAGAAACTAAGAAAAGAAGAAACCAATCGACTCAAAAACAAAGAGTCAAAACTCGTATGACAACCGTCCATGGGCATCCTCTAGTGCCCGTGCGCCACTTGCTTTGACTCGTCCCTGAGTGAGAGAGTGTGCCGCTAAGGCCCGGAGCTATACCGGACAGAGAAACTCATCCTGACATGCTTTAACGTACATAAGAAGACGGGTTGGGATCGTCTTAGCGGAATCAAGTATGAAGATCCTATTCGCCCGTTTGAGTGGAGATTATCACAACTTTGTGCTTATCAGCTGTTCATGTAGAAGAGTGGGGTATCTACGGTATCACACCTTCGGGCGCGTATGGATATGCTGAGTTGGCTTTCTCGTATCTCATAGGATTTGTCGAATACCGAGTATAATTGGTTGCTTTAATGTTTCGTATACATATACCCAACCTCCCCAATTCAAGTACTCCATTTCAGTAAGGTTCGCTCGCAACTTCATAAAATCTATGGAGTACTACGGAGTATAGAGTTGATGAATTTCTTTTTGAAAAATACAGAGAGTTCTCAAGGGTCTGCTTTCACCTGAAAGTCTATAGACAGAAAATGGGTTATGGCCTGGTGTGCTAGGTATACCCGCTTTCTGTTTTTAGTGGCCACGTTCAGTCTTTATTCCTCTAGGATGATCGCTTCGAATGTTCAATTCTAGGGTGCAGCGGTCAGATTAATTTTCCTTAACAACTACTGACTTGACAGTCTTGGTTTGCCACTGGTGGCTGCAGAAGTACCTGTGTAGCATAGTATACAGCTAGCATACAGTCGGCAAGCGAAGCCCTCGAAGCCCTCGAAGCCCTAGAAATTAGTATGATTGGTTTCATAAGACCACTTACATATTTTCTGGATTTCAGCTGTCAGGCACAGATCCCATAGCCTAATGCGGCTCCTAAATAGGGCTTGAAGCTGAAGAATTTGTTCCTGGATGCCCGATATTCCAGTGCAGAGTACGTCTAATTCGTTGACTTGACATTGCTTTGTTATGTATAAAAGTGGGGCAATCACATCTCGGGCGCCTAAACAGACATATTCGGCCGTGTTATTTCATCATTTCAGGGACATGCGCAATATAGACTATCTATTGGTTCGGTTCATGGCACTAGTGCTTATACACGTGTTCCGGAAATAGACTGCGGGATAAACTACGACACCGTGCGTAGGCTTGAGCTGAAAGACTTGGAACGAATCGAAAATATGAAAGAAGAATTATTTGCCCCACACATCATTGTCATCTTCCAGAGCACTGTAGGCCCATCGCGTGGCAGCTTGATCATGGACCGGCTCGGCTTGGGTTTCCTGGGTCTGGGCTTCGGGTTCAGTCTCTTCTTCGATTGGTTCTCCGGTTGGTCTCCTGGAAAATTTAAAGCAGGGTCAACAAGGTCAATCCAATGATACTTTCTAGCCCAATCAATCAGTAAACTTACTCAAAGTGTCGGGTTTCTCGGGTTTCAGCCACCCAGGCAGAGCCGGTTTCCCGTTGTACCTGAGCTCGTTCTTCTTCCTCAGCTTCATGGTTTTCCACCACGAGGTCGACAAGCTGGCTGCGATGTGACTGGTGGGAGCTTGTGGAGCTGGCGTTGCGCTGCAAGGGACCTGACCCACGGGAGCTTTTACTGGAGGAATTGGGATCTTGCCTGCTGTCGCTGCCCGACGCTCGGCCTTTCCGGTGCGTGCGGGACTTTTTAATCTGCCGCTCACTGGATTGATTGGAGCTTTGATAGCTCCTGGTTCTCGGTAGCCGTTGATCCTGGGGGACTTCGTTGGCGGTGATGACGGGGTACTGTCAGCAGTCCAATTAGTCTCTGGTGCAACGACATGGAGTCGGTAGTGACTTACATTCCAGTCTCCAAATTCCAGCGCCCGCGCATTGGTGAACAAATGTTCATCATCATCGTCTAACGTAATTTCAATCTCACTATGGGATCGGAATCGATCGGCAGAGCTACGACTGCCTCTCTCGTTGCGACGAGCACTGGAGCCACTGCCGGCAAGAAGTGGGGTGCGACTGTCCGCCTCCCCAGGCTTGCTAGCTTCACCTGGCTTCGGTATCCAGTATTTTGCTTTTCCTCCACGTTCATACCGCATTCCATCCATGACTCGCTTAACTCGTGATTCTGACTCCTCATGTGCGATGATGTTGTCACCTGAGTCGAAAAGCCGGTATTCATAGTTGTCCCCACGGAGCGTCATCTTCGTATCCTCGATTAGATCAAGAGGACCGAATGCGTCTCGAAGTGCATATTTCACTGGCATTCGAGCAGCTGAGATGCTTGGGTCGGCATAGTCATGCCATGAGAAAGCATACCAGTGCGCTATGGCAAAGAAAGGCATCTCAAAACAGAGCAGACTGTCCTGAATCGCTGCGGCAAGGTTGTCCGGGGTGTACCCTGCAACACCATTCCCAAGAGCCCCGAGCCATTGCAGAATCGACAAGAAGAACCCTTGCCAGTATGACGCAAAGATGATGAGCTTAACACAGAGAAATTTGGGAACAGGGCGGAATGGCAAGAGGTCATCGTGTAAACATACCCAGAACATCGCCAGAGAATACAGACTGAGGGTGACGCTGGCGTTGTATACAAGGCCGGTCCACAGATACCCTGATCCGATATCCAAATATCCCTCATGGTATGTATCAGTAGCTTTCATAATAATTGATGCCAGAGCTAGAATGGGCTTCAACCAGGCATATTGCAGGATGCCACGCTTGACAGCCAGGAAGGTATGAGGATCCGAGATATCGACCTTTGGCAAGAAGTGATTGAGCGGCCAAGCATGCGAGACCGGTGGACGGCCGTGGGCCATAATGATTACCGCTCGTTCACCCCCGAGGAAGTTGATGAGCAGCTGGAAGAACGTGTAGATGGTAAACGCCTATCAGTCACCCGTCAGCATAACAGCATAACTTCACCCTAACCTAGGATGGACGATATACCTCATAAATATCACGGATAGGATCAAGAAACTGGGCTGCAATCAGGGATACAATGCTCGTCCAAGATGCTGCCGCGAAGATTGGCACCCTTATCTCGATTAGCATCGCTGTTCAGGACCCCTGAGCCTTCCGAGGTGGAAGGCATTGGGAGGCAATACTCACATCAAAAGAATACGAACGACATATCTCTGTAGCAATGGCTTTCGATAGTTTTTCCTGTGATAACGTGAGTAAGTAGCTATCGGAGGTCTAATCGTGGCTGGAACTCGTACATTTGGAACCATATCGACCTGCACACGACGTTGAGACGTTAGCTTCGTAGTAAATCATACAAGACAGCTCCTGAAGGTATCTACTCACACAATAGAGAGTAGTGACGCTACTAGAGCTGAGACACCGGTGACAATGATGATCGCTTGAGCTAGGCTGGAGCCTGTTCCTCCGCCGGCGGTGGTCTTCATGGCCAGGGACGAGTATGACAAACGCGGATAGTAGTGACCGCGATTCTAAATACAATAAGTCATTTCGTAAAATCGTCAAAGGCGTAAGACATGGTGGACTCTGCGCGCACAGGGAGAGCTCGAGTAAAATGTGGACAGGAGGTGTACCGATGACGATCATTTCTCGTGACACCGCCTTAAGATTAAAACAATCCCGCATTTCCAATAGGCGCGACTTCCACGCTCACGAACATTTCCTTGGATCCTGGAATGATAAAGCTCATTTATTGGGCTCGTCACTTGCGAGTCAACTTGTCTCGCTGACAATGCTCACGCCATCTGGCTTTACGGAGAAATGGCCACTACAAGCTTGACGGCTTCTTATCTGACGCCGGACCCAAGCTTCAATTGGTCCGTTGGATATGGAACTCTGACACGAGTATTGTTTTAACTAATTGAGGCCTAGGTTTTTTCTCCTGGAGCTTATAGTCTGCTGTATTCTGTGAGTATCCTTTTGCATTTTTGAGATTGAAATGTCACTAACGTCATAGTGTTTTGTTCTTCCTGCTCTACTTCAATCGGCTATTCGCGACCCTTCTATCCTACGCAATACGAGCCTACACCTGGCACTACTACAGAGTCTATGTCGATATCAATGCGCTACAGATCTCATTATTGGGTGGCAGAATATTCTTCAAGGGCATTCGATATCATGGCGTGAACGAGACGATCTTCATCCATGGGGGGTTCATAACATGGAGGTACTGGAAACGCCCGGTGGCACGCACCGACCTTTCCGACGTTCAAGAGGAAGCAAGTAGCCATGGCACATCGGGGAACGGAGGAAATGGTTCTGCGCCGGGCGCCAGTAACAGAAAAGCCGACCTCGGAGAACAAGGTGGAACCGAGAAAACAATTGAGCTTCCCTGTCGAATTTCAATAAAAGTCTACGGCTTGGAATGGTTCATATACAACCGAACCCCGGCCTACGATAGTATTCTTGCTGGCTTCGGATACACAGACGGGTGGAACGATGACGAAAACATTGGACACCCCCAATCTGTCGCACGGCCAGAGCGGACCGACACAACGTTCTCAATGGAGTCTGGGCGTGGTAACAAGGAAAGCTTCGACGGAGTCTGTGATCGAAACACGGGGGAAAATCTGGAGTATCAAAACTCTAATATTCCAAATGCTGGACTCTCGGAGCCGGTGTCGAATTTGCTTGAGCTCTTGCCAGTAAAACTTGACTGCACCAAAGGGGCGATTGTGATGGGAAATGAAAATACCCGCTCTGTCTTGACAACTACCTTTGATGGTGCAACGGGAAAAATTGCTGCTTGCAAGGCGGGTCCCTTAGATTTGTACCGACAGCTCTTTTCCTTTCGGCTGAAACACCCAGTGATCCAGATGCGGCCTAATCCCGACTTCAAACAGACACAACTGGCTACCGCTAAGGTATTGAGCACCGAAGAAGATGCAGAACCTACTCCAAAGGCGAAGCTAGGGAATTATTTCAGCTATCGGTTTCAGAGACGCAAGATATGGCACAGCATTCGAGACCTTGTTCCTTACTTCCAAACCTCAGTGGAGTCGTTCAGTTTGGGAAAGAAAGCTGCCAATATGCCTAGAAGTCAAGCGGATTTTCCGGATATTCGCTGGGCTGGGCTTTCCCGATATCTGGACGAGGATAGCGAGGATGATCATGAAAAATGGAACTCAGTCGAGTATGCTCGATTTTCCACTATTCTTGACGGTACAAGCCTGGACTTGACTTATTTCTGGGATATTCCTGGGCGTGTCAGGCCCGAACATATGGTATTCGCCCAGGAAATGGACACAAACATCAACCATGCCCCTCCTCCACAATGGGGAATTGATCTTAAGATAGACGGTGGAATGATCAACTACGGACCCTGGGCTGACAGAGAGCGGATTGGCCTGCAAAATGTTTTCTTCCCCAATTTTTATCGGAGTGCAGAATCTGCAGAGCCACTAAAAGCCGGCGAGTTGAGACAAGGCACTTCATTCAAGTTGCGTATTGAAATCAGCGATGAGCTTATACTCCGTATTCCCACCCGAGAACAGTCGAAGGACTGGCAATGGAAAGGCCGTGCAGATACCGTTGGAGGGACCAAACCGAAGAAGCAAAGCGAGAAAGGCAAATCACGCCCCAAAGAAGGCGAAAAGGGCCATATTGGCCCCGATATTCGTCCTTTTGGGTGGCTCTCTCTTCGCGTGGGTCCTGAGTCTACCATCACCTATACCATGGACATGGCAGCAACAAGCGCAGGGTATCGAAATGAGCTTGCTCTTGAATTGCGTGACTCCAAGCTGACATCCAGCGTAAATCATGGGCTACTATGGCAGTGTCCACGACAGTTTGTCACTTGCGACTTGTCTAATCCCCTCTGCTGGAACAGCCTACGGTCGTGGAAGTTTATCGTTGAAAGTGATGGAATGGAGCTCTTCCTCTTGCGAGATCACATTTTTCTCTTAACTGATCTCGTGAGCGATTGGGCATCTGGGCCACCATCCGAATATTACACATATGTTCCATTCATTTACAATATCGACCTTAGCTTCTCGAAACTCGAGCTACTGGTCAATGTGAACGACCGAAACATCATCAGCAACCCCTCTGATCGTGAAGACAATCGATTCATTGTCATCAAGGGCAAACACTTGACGTCGAATGTCATGATCCCCTTGAACAAATATCAACCTGAACAGAATACAGTGGAATTCAAGGTTAATCTCCAAGACGGAGGTGTGGATCACTTGATTCCTGCATGGGATACACACCATGCCTTCTTGCCAGGAACTTCAATGGCAACACTGGATAGCCTGCTTATTGATGGCGCTTATACGTACTTCCTTTCAACGTCCCCAGAATTCACAGATACTCTGGTACTTAACATTGATGGTGCTTCGCCGCGATGTTACCTCTATGGTTTCTTGGTCAAGAGCTTCATGGCTATCAAGGAGAATTATTTTGGCGACGAGATGCATTTCAAGACCCTAGAAGAATACCAAGAGCTGGCCTACGCAGATGAACCGCCCACGAATCCCACAGGTATTAACCCACACCGAAGATCAAATGACATGGATGTCTTGGTCCATATCACTGTGGACAGTCCTTGTGCTCTACTCCCTGAAAACATTTACGACCACTTGCAATGCACACGACTTCGCGCTGCTTCCCTTGAGGCCGATTTGCGATTCACCAACTACTACATGGACATGCAATTATCAATTAGTCCACTCAAGATGGATCTACAGTCTACACAGGAAGATGGCTCGACATCGGTATCTGAAACCCAGCTTTTCATTGACGGAGTTTCAGTCTACGGCCATCGCCTTTTCGGATTGCCTCCCGCAGAGCCAACCTACGTGTGCAATTGGGATTTTGAAGTGGGTAAGATTATAGGTGAATGCTCTGCGGAGTTTCTGGCTTGTTTGGCCTCCAGTGTCAAAAGCTTTGATTTTTCGTTTGACAATGAGGAAAACTCCTTGCATCCACTATTTCCGCCTATTCTTCATGACGTGACCTTTTTGAGAGCGAAGATTAGCTCTATCCATGTCACTGTCTTATTGGATCAAACAGCTCTCGTCCTTGGTTCTAAGCCACTGACAATCAACTTCAACGACTGGGCAAACACTAAGTTTTCAAAGCGTATGAATTTGTGGATGCCTGACTTGACTATTGCTGCAGTCGATCGTCAGTCGGCAGCAAAGGCTTTCCGGTCGTCTGAAAAGAGGGTAGATCCTCTCGGCATTATTCAGGTGACGATAGGATTCAAGATGGCACTTCGGAAACAGGACATCACCGAAAGCAGACGCTTGCAACAGAATCATATCCAGGTACATGATCAGCGAACACATCGAGCACAGTGGCTACTCTTTGACTGGGAAGAGATTGGTCCGATTTCATCTGTCCCTCACGGCGATGGTCTTTCGGTTCCAACAATCGCTATACCCTCGATGCCTGAGCCTATGCATCAGAGTTTTGGCTCCGCAAACACCTCGTCGTACAGAGGGTTCTCAGGAACTCATCTTGCTGGGAGTGCCAGAAGCTTTCTTGTTCACTCTGAAACATCAAGCCTCAAAAGTAGAAAAGCTCAAGACAATCATTTACAACGTACCGCGTCAGACTCAAGCTCAGAGTCATTACGTCGGCCTGTCGCGCCTCTCCGTGATGGTAGCTGGAGCACTATGCATGCCAGTCGAGCCAAGGATAGTGACAGCTATGGCTTTTCCACTCCCAGAGCAACCTCGTATTCTCCAGCAGCAATCAGAGATACAAACCCTTGGATATTACCGCGATTTTCGTATTACAAGCTTTCTTTGGACACATCTGAGCTACCGTCAACAACCAGCTACGAGCGTGGCGACAATGAAGAAGATACATACCCGACCCCTCGTTCCATGTTCTTGACTTTTGAGGATGACCAAACCACATACACCAACCTGGCGTTGGATCTACCTCTGGGCATCAGAGGCTTTTGCACCCCGAGATTTCTGTTCAGTCTGTCTGCCTTGCTGGATGGACTGGAGCCAAAACATCCGGTCCAGATCATTGATGCTCTTCAAAAAGACGTCATCTCCGATATTGTAGGCTATGACAAGTCTATGAGCCAGCCGAAGAAAGCACTTGCTGTTGCTCTCCGTATTCCTTCTATCCAATTGAGGCTAGTAGATGTTTCGGAATCTCCGAACAATAAATACATCGAGCTTCGCGATGAATACAGCATTGAAGTTTACCACCTGCGAGCCGAGTTTCAAAGACGTGTTCAACGGCAAAAGGGTGACCTTCTTGAGGGTCTCAAACAAGGCATTACTGTGCATGCGGCGGCGGATCATCTATCGGTTTCTGTTGAAGGCAGTCGAACAGACTCCTTCCAGGAAAAGGCCATTTTTAACTGCAACCTGAGTGATATGAATTTCTGGCTTGTGACGTCCCCTGATATTCGCTCAAATTTGCAGATGCGAACCTTCAACACTGTTACGTCCGCTAAATCTGTCGAACGATTGGCATTCCTTGTCGGCCGAGCCACGACTATGTTCGACTCTGTTGCATCGGCCTTCCAACATGTCTCAAATGCGAGTACACAGCGCCTGCAGTATCTCATCTATTTTGTAACGCGGTCAGCCACCGACATCCCGGACCCAATCTTCCTTGCACGCATTTCCTATGTTCTTCGGGTTGCATCAAGCCATTTGCGCCAACATGACTCTTGGAAAATCATCTCTCGCATCCGGAATATCTACAAGAATCTTCCAGTGCATCAGCGGCGTGAGCTGGAACGTAAATGTCTTGCCGACAATCTTCCATTGCCCACCAACGCTAGGTCCACTGTCTTTACTGGTTTCGACCAGTGGCGGGCATGGGACCTAGCACATGTTGAAAAGAGTTATGTTATGCGCAAAATCTGGTTAAGTCCCGAACCGCAAAAGGCCACTAGCAAGCCCTCGATGTCCATCTCTTGCACAGTGAAGACATTCCGGTTCTCTTTAGACCCTGGCCCAAGAGGAAATGATTTTATTGTCGAAGACCTGTCGACAGTGACGACGCTTGTGCCTGAACACATAGTTCAAGAGGGTGGTGCGATGAAGCTCAAGAAACTCATCACCACACAGGCATACTCTTCATCCTCTGCTCTTCATTTACGATGGGAGATTCTGGATCTTGTTGAGGGCATTATGAAAGTCATGTCAACAGTCACACTTGAGTCCAAGCCAGTTCAACCCTCGCCCAGCGATGGGGAAACAGAGTCAACAGAGTTGCAGATTGTCTTAGGCACGGATTTCGGGTCTATTACCCTGGATGGTATCAATGTAAAGCTTGCTCTGGTCTCCAAGGCTCTACGGAGTTCCATTGTTCACAGCTCACACGGTACCAAGATGACGCGCAAAGAAAATCTCGCTCTTTTGTTTAGTGCGGATGCATGCTCATCCGAACTCTTGAGTCATTCTGGATCGCTCGTGCTGTCCAGAATTGCAGATCCTTACTTTTATTTCTCACTTGTCTCTGATGAAGACGAGAAAGAGTGTCAGAACGATTGGAGGGTAGCTGCGTCATGCAGAAAACTTCGTTTTGAGATAAAAGAGGATCCTGTCAGTCTTGCGCATGTGGCAGATCGTGTGATTGAGGATGAAGTTAAATACATCCGACAGCTTGGTGACAATTGCAAACTTCCAAAGCCTGCAACGCCTGAAGTTGAAATTCCTCCGGCTTCTAAAAAGCCCACCCACAACCGCATCAATGTGGCCATGTTTTTGGATGACTATCAGCTGAGATTCAGCCTCCTTCCGTCCCTCACATATGTCATTTCTGGCGACGTAGCCCGCATGTCGGTAATGCCTACACAATCGTCACAGATCGAGGTCGACTTTGATGTCAAGCAGAATTCTCATGTGTTCCTGTCAGGTGAAGGCGCCAAGTCAAGGGCGCTATCAAAGCTGGATATCCCTCCAACCAACGGCCGGATCCTTGCAAATCTATCATCTCCCCGTAAGGAGCTGGAGGTTGACTTGACCATTGAACTAATTCGTCTTGAGGCCAGTGCCGTTCGAAGTCTCTTGGGTGTTCTGACAGGACCTGATGTAGCCCATCTGCTGGAGGACCTCAAACAAAACTTGGACGTCCTTCAATCTCACCTGGGCGATGCCCTTTCGTTAGAAAAGGCAAATGCAAAACCGAAATCTACCTCTGACGAGACTACGATTCTATACAAATCTCGGCTTACAATGGCTGGGTTTGAGATACATGCTGTTGCGCCTGGTTTGAATGGAAAGGACTACAAAGCAGAAATGGTGTTTAGTCTTGGAACGATGCAGATGAGCATCCAGAATGGCCTGGATCGAGGTTATTCCATGGAGTATCCAGAGTTCAACATTGATGCTTCGCAAATCAGCTTCCTGCTGCGGCGTCTAGAGAGGACCAAGGCCAGATCTTATGGCGGTTTCAATTTAGCTGTCAAACTTCTTGGAACCTCAACTGTTCGTGAAAACGGTGAAGTTATGCGAGCCTACCATTTCACAAGCGATAAATTCGACATTGAGCTCTTTGCTGAGACAGCTGCCTTGGTTGTGGATATTGCCATTTACACACAGGAGCGTATAAAGACATTGGATCTGTCCCACGAAGCCAAACGCCTACGCAGACTCCGGCGCCGCCACCAGAAGGAAACAAGTGACACACACACTGACGTTCCCAAGATTCAGGTAAATGACGATGCTGCTACGCAGGTATTCCTCAATGCACTATTTTCGTTGCACTTCCGGGATATCCAGGTAGCATGGAACATGTCATCTCCTCTCTCTGGTCGCACTGGTCGCCAACCCGAGGACCTCGTCTTCTCAATTCAGCAAATCGAGCTGTCCAATAAGAAGAAGAACGCAGCCAGGCTTCGGATTGAGAACATGCAACTCCAGATGGTTCCAATCCGTGCAGATCGGAAAAAACGGTCGCTGAACTCCGCACTCATGCCTCAGCTAGTGTTTAATGTCGCCTATCATTCTATGGGGAAAGAACTCTGGCTTGTGTTCCAGGCAGCCGGCAAATCGCTCGACATTCGTGCGACATCCGAGTTTATCATCCCAGGCAATATGATCCGGAACTCCATCGCATCCGCAACGGAGGCTTTGCGGGAGGGCAAGGCTGCTTGGGCTACGAAGCCATCTCCTGATCCGGAGAACGGACAACGAAGCCAGAGTCTCTTTGGGAACAGGCGACTTCGATCTGTTGTTGTGGATGTCGATTTCGCCGGTGCTACAGTTTCGCTACAAGGAAAACAAAGTCAAGATCCCCAGACTTTGATGGCCGCCAACATGAAGGGTGTCCGACTCTCTGACGCGAAATATGGCGAATACGTACCAGGAGATTCTGCAACAACGGCGACTTTGCAAGCGCCGGGGGTGGCTTTCAAAGTTCATTTCGAGGATAACGGAACCGACGATCCAGCGCTGAATGCAGAGTTGAAGGTCGACCCATCCACTAACGTCTTGTACCCGACGCTTGTGCCCCTGATCAAGCAAATGACTGCTACGGTGAAGGAAATCATGGGCGAGAAAGATCAGCAGAGTAGACCACGACGTCCATCCGCCGCAACAATGCTACAGCCTCAAAAGCTCATGCAAGAGCCCCAGTTCAGTGCACCGGATCCAAGTTCCATTCTTGGGCGGTGCAAGGTCAACCTCGGATTGTTGTTCTGCAAACAAGAATTCAGTCTTAGCTGTCAGCCGATTGCCAGAGTGGCAGCAACGACACGGTTTGAGAGCGTCTATGTAACGGTCAACACAATTCTATCCAACGAGCAGGGCCGTTTCCTAGCTCTGTCTGTGGCATTCAACAATTTAGAGGCCTCGGTGAAGCATGTGTATTCTAACGAGTCTACGGCGAGCTTCAAAGTTCAGTCCATGGTGCTATCTTTGATGAACAGCAAGCACCTTGGCCGAAGGAGCGGCGTGTCGGCCATTCTCAAAGTGAGCCCCATGAAGGTGATACTCAATGCCAAACAGGTGCAAGATTCTCTGTTGTTCCAAGAAATTTGGCTTCCATCGGATGATGAGCCTAGCTCCGGCTCAACTCTGCAGCCGGAAGAACCGCATGAACCAGAGGCTCAGGCCTACATTGTTCAGCGTTACCAGAAGGTGGCTGCGGCATCAGCGTTCCCCTGGAACACGACAATTGCTATCGAGAAGCTGGAGATCCAGCTAGATCTGGGATCAACCCTGGGTAAGGCGCAGTTTGCCATCGATAATCTGTGGATCTCCTCCAATAAGACCTCGGATAACGAGCAAAGCCTGTGTATCAACTTCGACTCCATTGGCATCGAAAGCAAGGGCCGGATGAGCGGCGTAGTCGAAATGCGGAAGCTTAAAGTTCGCACATCTATCCAATGGCCAGAGTCCCGTGAGGCCGGACAGACACCTCTCATTCAAGCCTCTGTCGCTTTCCATCATCTCCAAGCGAAAGTTTCCTTCGACTATCAACCTTTCCTGGTTGCCCATATCGCTATGTTTGACTTTTTGATGTATAACGTTCGGGAACCCTCTGGTGAACAGAGTCAACGACTCTTCAGTATCCTGGAAGGCGATGAGGTCCAGGTGTTCTGCACAGCCTTGACAGCATCTCAAGCCCTCGCGCTCTATCAGGCCTGGCAGAGGCTAGTCCAAGATAAGCAAAGCGCGTACGAGGCATCTCTGCGGGAGATTGAGCGTTATCTTCGTCGCAAATCCTCTGCGGCTCCTAGTCAAATAGAACCACGCGCAAAAGAATTGATCAAAAAGGATGACGATTCAGAGAGGACGCCGATTCAACTGCATACTGGTGTAGTAGTTAGTATCCGCCACATCAATCTCGGCGCCTTCCCCAGCTCCTTCTTTGACAATCAGATCTTCAAGTTAGAGGCCTACGACGCCCAAGCCCGCTTCTCCGTCTCACTGGAGTCTGACAAAATCCACAGCGCACTGGGCTTGACGCTTGGTCAGCTGCGCGTGGCACTTTCTGGAATCAGCCGACCCAGCTCCGCCCAACTGGAAGAGCTCTCTGTGGACGAAATCGCGCAACGAGCTGCCGGGTCTCGTGGTGGCACCATTCTCAAGGTACCCCGACTGGTGGCGGGTATGGAGACCTGGCAAGTACCAGGGTCTCGGGAAATCGAATACATTTTCCACAGTTCTTTCGAAGGCAAAGTCGATGTAGGCTGGAACTACTCGCGCATCAGTTTCATCCGTGACATGTGGGAGTCGCACTTGCGCGCCCTTGCCTCGCGGCTTGGTAAGCCGCTCGCTCCGTCTGCGGTGCGGATTACTGGTGGCCCTGGCAGCAGTACCGAAGGTGGCGGCGAAGGGGCGGAGCAACAAGAAAAGATCACTGCCGTGGTGAATGTGCCACAGTCCAAGTACACATATACCCCGTTGGAGCCGCCGGTTATTGAAACGCCACAGCTGCGGGACATGGGAGAGGCAACGCCCCCGTTGGAGTGGATCGGGTTGCAGCGTGATAAGCTGCCCAATGTTACGCACCAAATCATTATTGTGACTTTATTGGAGATCGCCAAGGAGGTAGAAGATGCGTATGGGACGATTCTGGGAACCTGATCGACCATGGGTGTACCTTTGACCTAGGGAGTGTACTCTTTTCATTTTGTTTTTACTGGCTTTCTTTTCTTTTAGGCACTTGTTGCCATGTTGCATTTTCTTTTGTTGTAATAATACCCTTGCGTTTGATACCTACAGCCTTGAAAGGACCTTTTTGATTATTTTTATGTACATGAAAGCTAAGCTTGATTCATTCGTATTCGAGATTTCCCGAGGTATGTAGCTTGATTGTGGCATCCATGGATATACCTCCCGAGCTTGGTAGCTCTGATTACATAATCATGGGGATGCTCTGCTGATTGGATAGGAATGTCAGAAGATTTTTCATCGTTGGGCATAAGAATTTTGACCATATGACCAAGCTAGCCCTGTCTGAGATAGATTACCCTGTAACGTACTTGTGGGTTAATATATGTATTATTAATCCACTACAGCCCACCACCCCGCGCAGGCGGTGAGATAGCGGGGCTAAAGGTGAAATGCAAATTCTTTCTTGTTTTTCTTGTATTTTTTTACAGTAATTTATACTTTCATTGGGATTTGATTACTGTAAGCAGTGTCGGGAGCGGCAAATTTAGAAGGGTTTGAGCTAGCTTTTACTTTGTGAGTAACAAGCTGTAACCACGGATGCTCTCGGATAATGAGGTTGAGTCAACACTTTCCTATAGAATTGATTTCTACTCACGATTAAAGGCTATTATGAATCATATAGAAAAATTGAGTCTGGTCAGAGGGATAAAAAACTGGAAACTAAAATTGAATTGAACTTGGTTACTCCCAAGGGCTGAGCATTAAAATCTGGAAACGCACACAAACTCAGGAGCGGGGCACACAAAGTCCCCACTCTCGCTCTCATTTTTTTTCTCCCACTTTTCTCTGCACCCCTCCTTCCTCCTTCTTCTCTTCTCCCCATCCCTTCTATTTGGAGCAGTTTGCACATAGGCTTGATTGATCTGGTCCAACGGTCCCGATCAACAGTGTGTGTTCTTGCTTCTTTATCTTTTCATACATTTGCCTCTAAGGCTAATTTGAGAAGACAACCGTCAAGATGGTTAAGTGAGTTATATCGTACCTCGATGTCGCAGATTTTGAATAAGGCGGCTAACATCAAGTTCTCTTATAGCTTCACCATTGAGGAGGTGTGTACTCTATCAAAAATATACTACGCTTTAACCCAAGAGGGGATGCATATTCAACACCCCCTCTTGGTGGCATGGTGGCATGTTGAGTCGTTCAAAAACTAACCGCAATTTCTATTTAGATCCGTGCCCTGATGGACAAGCCGGCCAACATCCGGAACATGTCCGTCATTGCTCACGGTATGGCTTCCTTGAAAAATGGACTCTGAAAAAAGAATCAGGTTGACTAACTAGCTTCTCTCTAGTCGATCACGGAAAGTCCACCCTGTCCGACTCTCTTGTCCAGCGTGCCGGTATTATCTCCGCCGCTAAGGCTGGTGAGACCCGTTTCATGGACACCCGTCCTGATGAGCAGGATCGTTGCATTACCATCAAGTCTACTGCCATCTCCCTGTACGCCTCTTTCCCCGACCCTGAGGATCTCAAGGAGATCTCCCAGAAGGTCGATGGTTCCGAGTTCCTGATCAACTTGATCGATTCCCCCGGTCACGTTGATTTCTCGTCCGAGGTCACTGCTGCTCTCCGTGTCACTGACGGTGCCCTTGTCGTCGTCGACTGTGTCTCCGGTGTCTGTGTCCAGACCGAGACTGTCCTGCGTCAGGCCCTGACCGAGCGTATCAAGCCCGTTCTGTGCATTAACAAGGTTGACCGTGCTCTTCTCGAGCTCCAGGTCTCCAAGGAGGATCTCTTCCAGTCCTTCTCCCGTACCATTGAGTCCGTCAACGTCATCATCTCCACCTACTTCGACAAGACTCTCGGTGACTGCCAGGTCTACCCCGACCGTGGTACCATCGCCTTCGGTTCCGGTCTGCACGGTTGGTGTTTCACCGTCCGCCAGTTCGCCGTCAAGTACGCCAAGAAGTTCGGTGTTGACCGCAAGAAGATGCTTGAGCGTCTGTGGGGCGACAACTACTTCAACCCCAAGACCAAGAAGTGGACCAACAAGGGTGAGGATGCTGAGGGCAAGCCCCTTGAGCGTGCCTTCAACATGTTCATCTTGGACCCCATCTTCAAGATCTTCGCCGCTGTCAACCACAACAAGCGTGACGAGATCGACACCCTCCTCCAGAAGCTCGACATCAAGCTTGTCGGTGACGAGAAGGACCTCGAGGGCAAGGCTCTCCTCAAGCTTGTCATGCGCAAGTTCTTGCCTGCCGCTGACGCCCTGCTGGAGATGATCTGTATCCACCTGCCCTCTCCCGTTACTGCCCAGAAGTACCGTGCCGAGACCCTGTACGAGGGTCCCACTGACGACCGTGCCTGCATTGCTATCCGTGACTGTGATGCCTCCGGTCCCCTCATGCTGTACGTCTCCAAGATGGTGCCCACCTCCGACAAGGGTCGCTTCTACGCCTTCGGTCGTGTCTACGCCGGTACCGTCAAGTCCGGTATCAAGGTCCGTATCCAGGGTCCCAACTACGTCCCCGGAAAGAAGGAGGATCTGTACATCAAGGCCATCCAGCGTACCATTCTCATGATGGGTCGCTTCGTTGAGCCCATTGATGACGTTCCCGCCGGTAACATTGTTGGTCTGGTCGGTGTCGACCAGTTCCTGCTCAAGTCCGGTACCCTGACCACCGACGAGACCGCCCACAACCTGAAGGTCATGAAGTTCTCCGTCTCCCCCGTTGTGCAGCGCTCCGTTGAGGTCAAGAACGCCCAGGATCTGCCCAAGCTGGTTGAGGGTCTCAAGCGTCTGTCCAAGTCCGACCCCTGTGTCCTGACCATGATCAACGAGTCCGGTGAGCACGTCGTTGCCGGTGCTGGTGAGCTCCACCTGGAGATCTGTCTTAAGGATCTTGAGGAGGACCACGCCGGTGTTCCCCTGCGTATCTCCGACCCCGTCGTCTCTTACCGTGAGACCGTCACCGCCGAGTCCAGCATGACTGCTCTGTCCAAGTCGCCCAACAAGCACAACCGTCTGTACATGACCGCTTCCCCCATGTCCGAGGAGCTGTCCCAGGCTATTGAGTCCGGCAAGATTAGCCCCCGTGACGACTTCAAGCTGCGTGCCCGTCTCATGGCTGACGAGTACGAGTGGGATGTCACCGATGCCCGTAAGATTTGGTGTTTCGGTCCCGACACCACTGGTGCCAACTTGCTGGTTGACCAGACCAAGGCTGTCCAGTACCTCAACGAGATCAAGGACTCCGTCGTCTCCGGTTTCCAGTGGGCCACCCGTGAGGGTCCCGTTGCTGAGGAGCCCCTCCGCTCCGTCCGCTTCAACATCCTCGATGTTACCCTCCACGCCGATGCCATTCACCGTGGTGGTGGTCAGCTGATCCCCACTGCTCGTCGTGTCTTGCTCGCCTCCACACTGCTTGCTGAGCCCGGTATTCTCGAGCCCATCTTCAACGTCGAGATCCAGGTTCCCGAGCAGGCTATGGGTGGTATCTACGGTGTCCTCACCCGCCGCCGTGGTCACGTCTACTCTGAGGAGCAGCGTCCTGGAACCCCTCTGTTCATGGTCAAGGCTTACTTGCCCGTCAACGAGTCCTTCGGTTTCCCCGCCGACCTGCGTTCCGCCACTGGTGGTCAGGCCTTCCCCCAGTCCGTCTTCGATCACTGGGCTGTCCTGCCCGGTGGTTCTCCCCTGGACCCCACTTCCAAGCCCGGTCAGGTTGTCACCGAGATGCGCAAGCGCAAGGGTCTCAAGGAGGTTGTTCCCGGCTACGAGAACGTAAGTTTTTCACTTGAATATCCTTTTGATATGGAACTACTTGCTAACACTATTAATAGTACTACGACAAGCTGTAAAAATGTTAATTGGCCAGTTTACCCTTCTGCCAGTCAACGCGAGGAATCTTTTTTTATGAGATTGATGAATGCAATACAATTTCCCAGTTCAATCAAAATCCATGCCTAACCCGGCATGCTTCCGTCACTTTTAGAACCTGCGCTCTTCCCTGAATATCCATAACCTTGGATATATTTTGCTGGTGTCTGAGTAATTGCTTTTATGACATTTGTTTCTTTGTTTATCTATTTGCTAGTTTAGCTTACCAGTTTGTATATGAAAAAATCAACATGGTATGCTAAACAAAGCGTTGGATCTGTTAAGAGTAGATTGTAAGCAACTGCCATGTAGACATTACTTCCCTACTAGTTACCAGGGTATATAGTTTACAGTAGATGCTGAGGCAATATGTGTATGAAGTATTCAATCAAGCTAAATAAACTTAAGCAATTCGTAGATTTCACGTTGTGAATATGTAGCTTCGAATCTACACCTACATTTGCCACTCCGTTTCTGTATAGTCACGTGACAGCTGCGCGCCTTCGCGTTTTCTGAAATTCTGTGCTCCCAGAACCCTTTTGGTTCCAACGACCCCCCTTATAATGATAGGAGGTTTTTCTTGATTACAGTGATACCCATTTTCAATTGAAACTCATATCATATCTTTAACAATACCCCATCAGCATTGGAAAGTGCTGGTATTGGTTGTTTGACGGTCTGCAGCTTACCGTCAACTCCGGAACCCTGCGACTAGCGACACCTCGAACTTCAATTCTGCTTGACTTTTAAGTCCCACATTTGTCAAGTCCTTCGCCACAATGCATTTTACCGATCCAGAAGCTGCAGACGTGAAGACATGGGTGGTAAAGAAGTTGGAGGACATGTAAGTTCACCTGGAGATATGCCCCGTCAAACATACCTCCTTCGCTTCGGGAACCTTGGCTGATTTACGACCGCGATGTTTGCAGTTCCGATGCGGACTCTGACGTCCTCGCCGACTATGTGCTTGCGCTTATCAGGACCGATGCGCCAGATGACGAAATCCGAAAAGCCTCGGTGGAAAACCTGGAGGACTTTTTGCGAGAACGTGCGCTTTACACTTTGATCACGCAGTCTACGAGACTGATGCTGACACCTACCAGACACTCAACCGTTTGTTGACGAGCTCTTCGCCAACTTTGGCCCGAAGCCGGCTGCCCCTGTTCCCCAATCACAGCCACAGCAGCAGCCTCATACCTTCTCTGCAACCGCCCAGCCATTTAACCCGCCCGCCGGCCCTAGAAACGAGTACAATAATCGGAAACGCTCATTCAATGAGGGATTCCAGGGAGAACAAGGACTCGAAGATGGCTCAATTCAGAACCGCGCCTTTAAGACTCCGCGACGAGGTCGTGGAGGTGGAGTTGGTCGTGGCGACTGGATGGGTGGGGGCGGTCACCCTATGCAGACCGGGCAGCAATTCCCTGGTCAGCAGGGTGGATTCCCTTCTATGATGCCTGGATTCCCAGGCTTTGACCAAAATGATCCTATGGCCGCTATGATGGCTATGCAGGGAATGGGTTTCCCTCAGATGCCTGGAATGCCCATGCCTGGAATGCCAGGTCAGCCGGGTATGGAACACCTAGCTAACCAGCGCTGTCCTTTCTATGATACCCAGGGTATATGTTATCTAGGTGCTGCCTGTCCTTATAAACATGGCGAGACTGGGGGAAAGAATGACGGTAAGGCTAGTTGCTTTTGTTTATGTGGATACTGGACTAATCTATTTAATTAGAATATGACCCGAAGAGCGCAACACTTCCGAATGACTCTTGGCGGGGCGGCGAGCGAGGCCGGGGTCGTGGGCGCGGTAACCACAGCGGGCGAGGACGCGGCCGATCCGACTTCTCGTCTGCTGGACCCAATGAAGACCGTTCAATCACAACAATTGTGGTCGAACAGATTCCAGACGAAAAGTTCTCAGAGGAGGCTGTGCGCGAGTTCTTTTCCCAATTTGGCAACATTGTTGAAGTCTCGTTGCAGCCCTACAAGAAGCTTGCTTTGGTTAAATACGAAACTTTTGCCGAGGCCAAGCAGGCATGGGCCAGCCCGAAGGTCATCTTTGATAACCGATTTGTGAAGGTTTACTGGCATAAGCCCAAGTCGAACGACAGGAACGGGGAATCCCAGCCTGAAGCGCCAGCGTTCAATCAGGAAGAGTTTGAGAAGCAGCAAGAAGAAGCCCAGAGAGCGCACGAGGAGAAGGTGAAGAAGCGAATTGAGACCGAAAAGGCTAAGGAGGAACTCGAGCGCCAACGCGATGCGCTTGTGAAAAAGCAGCAGGAAGAAAAGGAACGCTTAATGCAGCGTCTCGGCGTCTCAAGTGACAGTCCTGATGCTACTAAAGCCAAGTCTGAAGACCCAGCCGTCGATGAGAATGCGAGCGAGGAAACCAAACAACTACGCGCACAGTTGGCTGCTCTTGAGGCAGAGGCACAAAGTCTCGGTATTGATCCCTCCGACCCCTCAGCTTCATTTGGCCGCGGCGGATACCGGGGTCGTGGTGGTTACCGTGGTCGTGGCGGGTTCCGTGGCCGTGGAGGTTATGACCCCTCATACCGTGGTGGTTTCCGGGGCCGCGGTGGATTTGCCCCTCGTGGCCGCGGTGGTGTGTTGCGCCTAGACAACCGACCACGACGAGTTGCCGTTGCGGGCGTCGATCTCCACTCCGATAAGGACGAGGCACTGCGCCAACACCTGATTGTAATTTATACCCTAAACCACCAGAAGCGAGAATCGCAGCTAACATATATTTCAGGGCATTGGCGAGTACGATTCCATTGAAGCGAACAGCACCCCTGGCTCTATCATCGTGACCTTCAAGGAGCGATACCAAGCCGAGAAATTCATGTTCAGTCCTTGGAATATTCCCAATGTCGGCGAGGTGCAGCTGTCATGGCTCCCTAACCCTCCTATCACACTGCCAACCACACCATCAACAGAGCCAAAGAATGGGTTGGCCGATGATGACCAGGACACAGTTATGGATACCACTCCAACAGTGACTGCCCCGCCCCAGCAGCCACCCCGTGATATGGACTATGATGTTGCGGAAGATAGTTGGGGTGCATAGTTTCCTTTTATCTCATGTACCACTTGGACCTTGTGAATAGGCTACATTTATTTCCATTTTCTTGAGACGACTTTGATCTCGATCCTTTATATCACTCCATTTTGCTAGAATACTACCAAATTTGCGGTGTCAATTCCACCATATACCCATCCTGTAATGGACAGTCAATACCAAGAAACCAAGCTACAGGTTATCAACTCACCGGATCAGCAACCATAGCAAACTGTTCAAAAAACCACGCATAGTTTCCATGAATCTCCCCCCTCCCAACCTCCCTCTCAGCTTCCCACTCACTCAAAGGCACAGACTCCCTCGTACAAACCCCAATATCCTTCAAAATCTCCACTCCCCCACCCCTCAACCTCTCCACAGCAGCCCTAACATCCGGAACCGTGAATCCAAGATGCGCGAACCCCAAATGAGGCGGGACATTACCATTCGATATTACTCCTTCTATACTACTATTATTTTCTGTACCATGCACATGGATAAGTTCTAACAACCCATTGGTTGTTGTCAGGATTGGTGGTTGTGCTGTTTTCTCTGCCCAAGTTGCTACTTCTTTTGCGCTTGTGTCTGGAGGTGGGTAGCCGAGGTAGTAGATTGTGAATGGGCCTGCGTTCATGTTGAAGACTATGCGCATGCCGAGGAGGTCGATATAAAAGTGGAGGGAGCGTGCGGGGTCGGTGATGCGGAGGGCGAGGTGGTTTAGGCGGTAGTTTTTGGTTGCGGGGTCTTGGATGGGGTTGAAGGTTGATGTTGGGCCTCCGGGGTTGAAGGATCCTACTTCTGAAGCAGGGATGGCTGTGAAGGAGTTTGTTGGCATTTTGGCTATAATTTCTGGGATGGTGTTGGGTTAAGGGAGGCACAATAGGTAGTACTTTCAAGTTTATATGTACTGCGCTATATGGGGTAAGTGGGTAAGGAGTGGGGGTACTAATGAAACCAATTATCTTACAAGTATGCACTTGACCTTCAAAAAGTCCTCCAGGAGTAATATAAAAGTATCCTATATTCAGCCAATGGGCCTATATCGTATTCAACAAGAAGTATGACAATGATATGTGATGAAAATATGTGCGAGGGTATCTTGTCGAAGCCAAAAGGGATACACATGAAGTAAGAAAAAGGAGACGAAAAAATAGCTAGTAATATAAAGGCATAAGCTTGAAGAAGGCTCACTCCACTGAAACAATCTCCACGCCGTCAGTGGCAGATGCAGAGATATTTGGTGAGATGTTCTTGTGGGGATTTTGCATGCCGAGGATTTGCCATGCGCGACCCATCATGCCATGGCCAAGGCCTTGAGGGAACTCGACAGAAGCTTTGTGAGCATGTTTCGGCATGCGATCACGCAGTGCGCGCTCACGCTTAGCGGCAGCCAGTCGATCTTGTTCGCGTTCATGGTTGACAATGTCGTTGCGCCATTCAGACCAGTGCTCGAAGTTCTCGCGCTGCCGGAGCACTTGGTACCGAAGTCGAGATTTGGATGGGCGCCATGCAGTACGATTGACACTGCCATCTTCTTCATCTTGGGAGACCATGGTAGATTTCAGGTCCGGGACACGGGATTCCTTCGTCAGCTTGAGCAGATGAGTAAAGACATCTCGGCTCTCCAATGCAGTACGCTGGATTTTCTCTTGCTCTGCCGTAGGAGTCGTGCGAGTGAGAGGAGCGTCTAGCCATGCGTACATGTCTGTTGACTGCTGTACAGAGTATGGGTCCAGGTGGTTAGCACGGCGGCTCTCCTCCCGTAGATAACGCACAGCGGATTGGAGGCTTTCAACTTCAGCGCGAAGAGACTCGTTCTCGTGCATTGCAGCCAAAGAAGCTTCGTTATCGATGACGAGCCCACCGCCCGAGGTCGTAACACCGGCGGTCCCAGAAACGCGCTTCATTCTTTCGAGGCGATTCTTGTACTCATCGCGCTCTGCTTCAGCGGTTTGGAGCTCTTTCTTCTGTCGCTCCACAGTCCTCTCCAGATCCGAACTCATAGCCTGGATCTCTTCAATCTTGGCTTCAAGATCCTTGACCATAGACGCCTTCTTGCTTGCCTCCTTCATGCGCGATTCTAAAAGTTCGATCTTAATGCCTTGCTCTTCAAGGGTATTGTCCTTGACACCAAGAGCAGTTGAGACTTCATGAACCTCGTTCTTGAGGCGGCGAATTTCTTCGTCGGCATCTGGAGAAATCGTTTTGTTGGACTTCAGCTCCTCTGCTCGCGCAATCCAAGGCAATGGGCCCCTCTCGAATTCGGTTGTTCGAGACAGATCCGTCGAGATTGAGTCAAGCTCATCGAGCTGGCTAGCTAGATCGCGCAACTTATTCACCAGCAAGGAGAGCGGATCATTCCCTTCTGTAGGATTGTCCGAGCCTTGCACGAAAGCGGTGGAGACTTGCGACATGCTGTCCAAGATCTCTTGGAGAGTGTAAGGCTCAACACGGCCTTCATCACTCGTCAGACTCAACACGGCCTCACCCAACTTTCGTGCAAGTTCCGAGAGGCCCCGTGCACAGTCCTCAGTCCTCTTGAATGGCTCGTTGGCTTGCTCGGAAAGCACCAGAGACCTCGAGCGTAAATCTTCCAAAGCTCGATGGATCTTGCTCATCGCTACCTTGTATCCACGAGCCTGAGAAACAAAAGCATCAAGTGTGTTGAAAGCAAAGGTGGCTTCTTCGTTGCTTGCATCGACTTCGCCACCCTCACTGCCTTCATTGGCCTCGCCGAAATCCTTTGGAGCAGGCAACTTGGACTGGATGAGGGCCTTCAGGCGAGCAATAGCCGTAGCAGCATGGTCGAGGTATGACTGAGATAGGTTTGCGCGCACGCAAAGCTCACCAGCAAAGTTCTCCGGACTCGAGGGAAGAAGAGTCTCTGCCAAATGCGCGAGAAGAGCAATAGATCGTTGCAATTCTACAGAAAATTTGGACATGTTGACTTCGTTCTTCTTCAGATTCTCGATCCAGAAGTTAAGCGTGCGCTCTACGGGCTCCATTTCGAATAACGCGGCCTTGGTGCTGTTAAACTGCTCTGGCGTGCAGGCATTGATGTAAGTCACGAACCGATCGCAAACAGTCGATATCCACAGAAGATGCTCAGAGACCTCCAACGCATTGAATATTTCCTCGTGGCTCGAGATTGCCGATTGCTCAGCGATGCGCTCACGGATCGTGCCATTCATTACAGTAGCCTTGAAGCTCACGCGCTGAAATCGAAGTAGAGCTAGGACCGAATTTCGCTCTCCCTCGTAGTATTCAGGTAGATAAAGCTTCACAATCGAGAGGTGCTGTGCGGCCTCTTCTGCTTCCATACGCTTGAGTTCAACGTCAATAGACTTCGTCTGAGCCTTTGATACCGAGGCATGTAGCTTCATATTCAGGTCCATCATTGCGCGAGATCGTGTCGTGAGATCAGTGGCTTCGGCTTCTGAAATCTGTTGAGATGCCCGCATGTCTTCCAAATCAGCTTGCAGATTTGTTACAAGTTCTCTGAAACGAGACAATGTATACTCCAAATCTTCAATGACTTCATCTTGTTGAGTGAGCTTCCGGGATTGTTCGTTGAATACGCCATCCCGATAATCGATCTCTTCCTGGAGTTGTTTCTCAGTCTCGATATGGGTATATTCCAACTCGTCGCTGATCTCTCTCAACGCCTCCAAGTCTTCGATGGCAGCCTTGAGCTCACTGATTTCTTCCTGGTAGCGCATATTTTTGTCGGCGAGCTCTTCAATCATCTCCTCCGCACCCAGAGCAGTCTCTAGCTGTTGCTTAAGGTCATCCACGTTGGTCTCTGCAACTAACAGCTTTTCCTTGGTAGCTTCGAAGTCGGATTTGACGGCAGAATATTCCTCAAGGTCTTGTTCTAGTTCTTTGATCTGGTCTCTTAGATCTGACTCTTGCTGCTGCGTCATATCTCGGAGCCGTATGAGTGCCTCGCGAAGGCGTTCGTTGGTCTTTTCCATTTGTAGCCATCCATGGCTGGATCGCTCTTCGGGGCTTGTCACTTGGCTGAACTCTTCATTCTCCTCACGGAGAACTTCAACTTCTAACTGAAGCTCTTCCATTTTCGACCGAAGCGCTTCACATTCATGCTTGAATGCATCGGATGTCTCCTCTGCCATCTCCCTGTCAAGTGACGCCATTTCCATGAGTGATTCATGCTCGGCCTGCATCCGCTCAACTTCCTCAAGACGAGCCTCGGTATCCCTGAGTTTCTTGCGCAAATCCGTGATTTCCATTTGCTGGGGTTGGTACTTCGCCTGCAACTTCTGGATGATGGATTCGAATTTATCACGCTCAGACTGCAGTTGCTCGAGGTCTTTCATCTTTTCACGGTCATCAGACCGCTTTTTCTCCATCACGCGAAGCTTTGTTTGAAGTTCTTCCAGCTCTCGACTGACAGCAGTGCTATGAGACTGGCGCTGAGTAGACGTCGCAGCCCCGGGTCGGGGAGCTGTAGGGCGCGTACCAGCCATGGACTGTCTAGGCGGCTTAGCTGCAGGCGGGGCTACCATCTCTGTATCCTGCGGTCCATCTTCAGCACCTGGGGAATCAACATCCGTTGGCTCTTCCGATGGTCCGCTTCCGCTCTCTCCTCCATCTGATGTTTTTGTGGGGGCAGCCTGTCGCAAGGAGGGTCTTTTCGACAATCCAGGACTTGACACATTGGTCTGAGACCCTGGTCGCGATGATCTGGCTGAGCCAGATATAGAAGCACGTGAGGATCTGGTGGCTCCCGAGATTGAGGATGGGCCGACTGAAGGGCGGGTGGTAGGTGCCGGCCGGGGTCGATTAGATGCCACGGAGGATGTGCGCGAAGTGCCACCTAAAGAAGGACGAGCAAGGGCGCCCGAAGATAGCTGTTTTGTAGGTGACTTGGTAGGGGACTAAATATTAAAGTCTGATAAGTACTTGCGCGACATCATCAAGAATCGTTACATACCCTCAGAGATGACCGAGGGGCCACCTTCGGAGCCGGTGTAGGAGTGGATGCATTGATGCTTTGTCGTTTAATTGCACCTGGTGGGACTCCAGGTGGCTTTTTCGCAGCTGTTGAAATTGATGGTCTGCCGGTGGTTGCATTGGTTCCGGCCCTGGCCCTTTGTTTGCTCTCCCGCGGAGCTTGCTGTAGAACCTCAGCCACAGCTGTCGGTCGAATGAACATGCCATAACCTGCTTCACAGTCAAAGTAACGCTCCCCTTGGACTGCGCCATCATTCTTGCCCGTGGCATCCGTCAATTCAACGCCAATCCAATCTCCGACTGCGAAGTGAGTGCTACCAATGAAACGCACGGTGGCTTGTCGTCCGTCGGTCAAGGTGATCACCGAACCAGGTGATATATCTTGACCAGACATGGTGGGGACAAGGATCAAAGACCCACGATGCGCTTAAACGGTGAACGAGTGTTTGTCGAAGTAAGTTGGGAGAAGAGGGACGGAGCCCTGAGCACTAAAGGAGTCCACGCGCCGATCTATTGTATTGCCTGAGGCAGAAATGATGACATACTATACATAGTACAAACTAATAACCTTCAGTCTTTTGACCTATCTCCCAATAATTGAAAGTAATATGAAGTGTTATTTTCTGAATTGTAGATGTCTTTAGCAATTAGAATGATAATCTATTCTCATTTAACATTGCAAATCTTCAAAAGAAAACCGTGATCGTAACCGACTGGGCCAAGTATGTACAGCAGTCAGGTTACAGATATACTAGGATCCTTTTAACTCTATAAACAAGACATTAAATCGTTGAACTCGTCAAGCTAAATCCCTGAATAAGATCCTCTCATGACTTGAAGACCTCTGGGAAATGAACACGCAGTTCCTCAAGGCTCGAGATCAAGTATTTCGATGCCGGGATGGGCGGAATTTGGACTCCCGACTCCACGAAATGGGCGACCGACCAGCCTCGAGCCGCTGCATGTTTGCAGTTGAGATACGAATCATCTATACATTCGAGATCAGCAAAGTCCTAGAGAATGTCACATCAACCGCAATGTGTTGCAATTTCGAGGCTACTAACCGACAAAGTAGCATGATTCGGTGCTGGGGGCTCCAGCCTCCTTCTCTGCCTTCGCATACATATCCTGGCTCGGTTTGCAAACCAACGGCAGCTGACCATAGTCACAATACGTAATACCCTCAAATAGGTCTTCAACGCCCAATAACTTGACCACCTTCTTTCCGTGATTAACGTAAGCATTAGTGAGCAACCAGGGCTTCACTTTCGTGGTGTCCAGTGCCTCCAGCAGAGCGCGCAGTTTGGGATTTGGCTTTAGGATTGCTTCCAGGGGGAGGGCATCATCCACCTCGTAGTTGAACTCGAGTGGGTCAATCTTGTGGTGGCGGGTTAGACCTTCGATGGCAAGACCGTACTCCTTATAGTATTTCTGGTGCAGCATATGCGCATCGTCCGGGGTAAGATCAAGGTGCTTGCAGAAGAACTTATCTAATGCGCAATGATAGTCAGAGTCATTTTCAGCAAGAATGGTATTTTTATGACAGGGTTACCCACTGATCAACTTCTGCATCTCATCGTGAATATTGCACTCTGCGCAATGGTCAGTATCGGCTTATCTCATTCTGGAGTCATAGTTCCGTGGTGATCAAACCTTTGGAGTAAAGCTGAAAGAGATCGCATCAGATTAGCCAAAAATTCGTCCACAGAAAATTTCAAATTTGAGAGTCGATTTGCTCTTAAGACTTACACAGTTGTCAATGTCAAAGAAGAACACCGGCCGTGAGTCACCTCCATTCACCCCGTTCACTCCATTGGCAGTCATGGTAAAGTATCGATTTGGTGGAAGGAATGTAGATGTGCGAGAAATTGAAGGGTGAAAAAACCGACGAGCAGGTAAAGAAAAAAATGAGCGATGCATTGGAGAAAGGAAGTCGGGGTCCCAAAGTAGACCAAAGCGTTGGGGAATTATCATTGGCAGGGCGGAGTAGCGGAGAGAGGGAACTAACTTACCTAATCTTGACTTAGCGTGTAAAGCACATTTCGTCGTAACTTTTTTCTTGTTTTGCTTTGCAATCTGAAGGTCTTGGAGTAATCAAAAGTCTTTGCTTCTTGACTTGCATATTAACTCAAAGTGATATGAGGTTAAATTCCCCTCTAGTTATCACTTCTTCCATCTCTAAGCAGCTATTAGCTTGATCTTGATCTTTGATCCCTACCCTTGCCTTGGATCATGGGGACAGCATATGGGACTGCGACTCACCTTACAGCAGGACCGATGGCAGCCACAACAATAACATCCGATGAGGTTTTGGAATATGAGAGGATTTTGAAAATTAGCGACGAGATTTTCTCGGGATCACACCCGCGTCTCAAGGTCCCTGAGAAGTTTGTGCGCAAGCCAAAGGGTCAACTAGGTCAGAATGGCCAGTTAGCTCCACAAGCGGTAAAACTCAAGACCACACCTTCAGAGCCCATACCTCCATTGGATACATCGCGCAAGTTCAAACCTCAACAGACACTCACACCTGGAAACACGGCATTCCCCGCGACCGCGAGTGCAACGCCAACGGCTCGCATGGCCGCCAAGCCAGCATCAGGAATCGATCCCATATTCTTGACAAAATCAGATGATCTGGTCAGGGCAGAAATTCAATTACAACGACAGAGAGTGGAAAGAGCACTGCGTGATCAGTTGGAACAGAAAAAGCAGGAATCAAAGCAGAAACCCACAGTTCAGGACACAAAGCCGAACTTTGATGTTTCAGATGTGCTGCATAAGGCATTTGATATTGTGAAGCCTGTCTCTCTGAGCAATCCATCAGAAAAGTCATTTGATGAGAATTCCTATTACTCTAGTAAAGCGCCTGACTCGCCGCCTCCCGCTGGCGATCATCAAATACCGCCTCCCGTGGTCCCGGCTCCCGTACTGGGGGCCTCAGCAGGGGCTCCAGTGGATCAATTTGCAGATGAGTTGCAGCGGCTAGAAGCTCTGAACAGGACTGGATCCGATCAGGAAATGCAAGATGCTTACTCTGTTGCTGACCCTCGCATCTCCCATTCCCAGAAGCAGCCGCACCGAAGCCAACCCCAGGCCGCTCCCCGACAACATAAAGCACCTCAGGTTGATCCCCTGGAGGAACCTGAATACTCGCCTCCTGCCCCAGTGGCCCCGCCGATCGATCACAGGGATTACCAGCGAGAGGCAGCCAACAGCCATGGCAGAGCTAGATACGAGCAGCCTCGCGACGTACAAGCACCTTCCACTGGGAACAATGGCACAGTAGTCCGAAACCATATCACCTCCCCAGCAGCTCCTCAACCGTCTCGAGTCTCGCCCCTGGCAACCCAAAAGCTTCCTCCGGTCCAGCAAATTCGGGATGATCGATTTGACAATGGATTAGAACGGGTCTACTCCGATCCTGAATCTGGCCGGGCCAGTCCCAGTGGCCCAGCTACGCTTCCCGTGTCTCGAAAGCGGAGAAGAAACGAGAAGGGACAAGACGTTCGTGTGTCTTACAAGAGGCAGAACGCTGACTCTACTGTTACCTACATTAAGGAGGAGCCGGTTTCCCCGCCACCTTTCACTGATGACCCTGCAATTTCGAGAACTCGTCCCCAGGAACAGCGCGTTTACATTGACATTTCATCGCCGGGATACAATCCCGTAATTGAGCGACGCGAGCCGGCAGGCCGGGCAGTTTATGAGGTTGACCAGTATCGCGATGTCCCCGTTGAACAAGGACCACCCCGGAGCATGTCCCGAGTGAGCATCAGACGTCCAGTCCACGAGGATCCCACCCTGCGACGAGTTGCCAGCATGCACTACGCTCGACAGCCTGAATATCCTCAAGAATACATCGAACACGACCCCCACGGCAGATCGGCATCCTACGCACTGGTCGAGAGGCGTGTACCAGATCATTCCTACTACGAAGAGGTTCCTTATGCATCACGTTACGTCGAGGTGGACCATCCACAGCCCACCTACAGAGGCCAGTATTACGAAGAACATCAACCCGTCCGGGCTATGCCTCCTCCCCCGCGGCGATACGTTGTTGATGAGCATGGCAATGAGTATGAAATGATACCATCACGAAGAACACAAACCATGGCGCCACCCCCTCGTCCTGCATCTCGAGCTCCGGCGCCACAAGGCGAGATCTACGACGAGCGAACCCCTATCCGCACTGCCAGTGTTCGTGCTCCCTCGATTGTTCAAGATCCTTATCTTGAAAACCGATACCTTCAGGATATGCCACCTCCACAGCCCGTCTACAGACGCGTCACTTCTGACTATGTTCGCCCCGTCACCGGTGAGAGACAGACGTACGTCGCGCCTTTGGAAGGGCATGAAACCTTCTCCCATTCCCGTGCTGGTAGCGTGCAAGTTTCCGAATATCTGCCTCGCCGTCCAAATTATGTAGAAGAGCATCCTATTCCTCAGGAGAGGATGATTCGCACAGCCAGCGTGCGACCCCAGCCTCAGCATCGATATGATGAGCCTCATGAAGTCATCCAGCGCGTTGGAAGTGCTCGCCCTGCTGGACCTCCTGGCCGTGAAGTCGGCGTCTACTTGGATGAAAGACCCGTAGGCGATTTTGTTGAGCGGCCCTATTACGTCCGAGAACGACGTTATTACGAAGGTGATGATGGAAATCGCAGGGCGTTGGATGGAAATTCGGAGTCTGTGCATCGTGGTCCTCAGCATTACTAAGGCGCTTCGGTTTTTAGCCTTTCTTTCACCGTGCATTTGCATTTGGCGTGTTTGATCTATATTTTAACTCATACAATGTTGACTATTTGAAGCCACGAACTCCGCTTGTTGGTTCAATTACCTTCCCGATAATGTACAATAAGGTAATGTCTTATAAAAGCATCCATTATGACCATTCTTTGTCTGCAAACCAGTAAAGTCATATTTTCACAGCCAATATCCGCACTATCCGTGTCATCTTAAATCTCGTGTTCTGCGTGTAGTCCAGCTGCCCTCGCCGTCTCACCATGTCTCGTAAAAAGTTCTCTGTCAAATATTCTCCATGCACCGTACCATAACTGTTCTGTTCAAAACTTCGAAGGCTCACCTCCCCCGATAGAATTACGATCATCCTCACCCCGCATCAGACTATTTCATCAAGTCAACATTGGATTCAGCTTCGAACTCATATCATCATATGCAGGTTCAGATCATAATTCAGCCAAATCCAGGGGAGGATCACAATGTATGAGCTTCCCAGATGAATGTGGAAGAATCTTGTATCGAGAACAGGCCTTCGCCGGTGATGATTTTTTGGATGGTGACCTCCAGTCTGTGGATACTCAAGTAAATGTCAGCAGTAGAGGGCACCATTTGAATCAATTGAGCGATACAATTAGCACTTTGCCATCCAAAATAACCTTTCTTAATAGATTCAAATTTAAAATGGAGATTTTCAGACAGTTGCGCTTTCAAAGGTTCTTCGTACTCAAGATAGACACGAGATGATTGTTGTGTGCAAACTCCAGATATTCTCACGCGGGCGTGTGGATGGCCATGCATCTCTAGGGCCCAAGAATATGCATATGATCAGCTTTGCCTCGCATCAGAACGTTCATGAGCTGGTCAACATGGTTTGGTTCAGGTAAAGAGAGTTTTTGTCATCATATGCAAGGCTCGGGTCATATTTCTGCCAGTCCCAAGAAGGATCACGATACACGAGCATTTCGAAATGGTGTGGAGGTGTATCTAGACCGATTCCTAGCGGTGATTGCATTTTTGGTGATGATCTGTGATCTTGTGAAGATCTATAGGAATGTCAGCAGTCCAGAGAGCAACACCTTACGGCGATTGCGTTTGAATCAGTTGAGCGGGGCAAATGGCCATTTCCTACCATAGATTCCTTGCCTGATAGATTAAACATGGACATTGCCAGACAGTCAAGCTTTCGTCTTGGAAAATATAGAGCCGGGAGTTGTTGTACGAATCCCAGACCTTCTCATACCGCTTGGACTTGTATCGATGGCCATGTATCTCCAAAACCCAGGCATGCATGATCATCATCACCTCGCATCAAACTAATTCATAGGTAAACGTTTAATTCAGGCCGATTTCGTTGTGATCATATGCAAGTTCAGATCATGGCTCAGTCAAACCCGAGGAAGGATCACAATTGTTGTGTGTCAATAGTCGTGCATGTTGAGGAGAGCGTGCCTGGCGTTCAGACTAGTATCATCGGATCTAGAAGATGGTTACGAGTCAGCATGTATATGGCCAGAACATACTTGAACTGATAAGCAATGGGAAAGTCTAGAAACATGTGTGGTGTTTCAATCAGGTCTCAAAGATGGTCAGTATGGTTAATCCAGGCTGTTGGCTGTCTCCATCTTCCAAAGAAAGGTAACTTACTATTGTTAGAGATTCAAATTATTCTTCATAAAGACGAGGACTCTGGAATGGTATAAAATAGAAGAGTGCTAATTCTTTGAAGGGGAAAACGGATAAGGTTGGGTTGGAGAGATGAAAAATGAGGAAGGAAAAGGGAAGAAATAAGAAAGAAGAAAGAAGAAAAGAGGCAGAGAGGATCTGGTTATTGACGTTTGATATTGATGTATGTAAACAACTTCACCAAAATTTTCTTCGCAAAGTAGATAAATACACATCCACGACATCGTCTCTTGGGCTAGTTGTCAAATATACAATATACCTCAAGTAATTATCCAAGTCTGTTCTTCCATCCTCTTCGAGTTGTAGTATGACCTATCTCGTAGGATAAAAAATCCTACAGAGCACTTTGAATGTCTTATTTTCCTGTACATATTTTATTTACCAGCCAATTGGAGAGTGTAGAAATCAATTCCAGCAAGTTAAACCAACTCCAGTACAAAGCAGCTCCAAATTAGTTAACTAGTACTCCGTAATGTTCAAATAAACTTCAAAGTGGAGAATTCAACAAATGAGAAAAGACTTCATTGGCTCGATCCCGACATCGGCCAAGGTAGTCGTAACCCGTAGACCCTCATTCTTCCTTGTACCAATCATGATGCATATACTACCATCTGCAGCTGAAAAAGGCATTGGATCGTCGTCGGGGTCTCTAGGGGTTACTCCGACCACTGCTTTGACCGGTCAATATTTGATTTGATTTTGCAATTTCTTTACTTTTCCTGCTTCAAATACCTCAGAACATGTTGATATCTGAATCAATTGATGGTATTTTTTTTCTAAAATTTGTATAATCAAGGAAGTTCACTTGAACCCTTATACCTCGGTGGATCACCTCCAACATGGGCCTCCACAATGTACAGGGGGAAAGTCTTCAGCGCATGATTGCCGTTCTTGGCGCGGTCGCGTTTCTTGTGCAAGGATATAATCAGTCGGTTATGAATGGCTTCACTACTCTGCCTAGCTTTTTGGCTGCCATTCCCCAAGTTGACACTGTCCACACCACAGGCGCTCAGGCGTCCCATAATTCCACGATCCTAGGTTGGTCAGATATATGCTTTTTGCGGAAATTTACTAACTATGCATAGGACTTGTGGTGGCTATCTTTGAATTGGGTTCTGCAATAGGTGCCCTTTCCTGCCTGGCTATTGGTGATAGACTTGGTCGTCCCAAGACGATGCTGGTAGCCGGATCTATCTGCACGATTGGTGTGGTGATTCAAGCATCCACTTATTCCCTTGCGCAGATTCTAGTCGGCAGAATCGTCACTGGTACGCCGGTCCTTACTGAAACTTATTGATTGACAAGCTAACATCATAACGTAGGTGTTGGAATCGGTCTCTACACCGGAACTGTTCCGATGTACGTGAGTGAGTCGTCCAGTGCCCCAAAGCGAGGACAGCTAGTATTGGTAGAAGGTGTCTTCGCGCTGAGTGGTCTGGCCATCGCATCATGGGTCAACTTCGGCATGTTCTACACCACAGGCTCAGTCAGCTGGAGATTTCCCATCGCTCTTCAGTTGGTCTTCATTGCCATTATTCTTTCACTCACCCCATGGCTTCCGGAATCCCCTCGATACCTAGTCAAAAAGGGAAGAATAGAAGAAGCGAACGCCATCATGGCAAGATTGATGGGCCTCGCCGAGGATGACACTGAGGTGTCCAAGGAGATCGCTGTTATTCAAGCCGCGCTTGCAAGAGATGCCGGACATCATGAGAAGCACTCCAGCAATCCTTTCTCAATGAACGAGAACAGACATCTTCACCGACTATTAATTGCCGCCAGCGGAACCATGATCACTCAGATGACAGGTATCAATGTGATCGCGGGTTATTCTACATCCATCTTCGAGGAGACTCTTGGTTACTCAGGCAGCGACTCCCGAATCTTCTCCGCATGTCTACAAATGGCTTTGGCGCTAGGCGCATTGACCGCGATTTTCCTCGTCGATCGAGTCGGCCGTCGTCCGTTGATGATTTTCTCCACGGGCTCCATGCTTATAGCCCAAGCTGCCGTTGCAGGCTTGACATCTGACCTGTCAAAACCGGCCAACGGCAAAGCGGCTGTGTTCTTCTACTTTTTCGCCATGTACTTCCTCCCCATTGGCATGTTCATTATGCCGTTCATGTATGCGTCGGAAATTGCCCCTCTGTCGATCCGTCATATCGCTGCGGCTGCAACGGCTGTGTCTAGCTGGCTCTTCAATTTCATGGTTGCTGAAGTCACACCGGTTGCGCGTGAGAACATTGGTTGGAAGTACGATATTGTATATGCTGCGACTAGTGCGGCCGGCTGTGTTCTCATCTACCTGTTCTATCCTGAGACCAGAGGTCGGTCACTGGAGGAGATCGATGAGATCTTCCGTCAATCCAAGTCTATTTGGGATCCAGTTCGCGTGGCAAAGAAGCTACCTATCGGTCTTGATGTGCTGGAAACCATTGACCCTTCTACGAATGAAGCTTCGCCACGTATGGAGGTCGCGTGATTTTAACCACTTTATAATTTGAAGTGATGCAAATAGATGTAATTACGCAAAAGATCGGGTTCTATATCACCATGAGATCTTTTAAGAATCATGTACCTTCAAAATACGCCTAGCTCTCCTAGTATGGCTCATAATTATATTTCTAATTCCTTGACTTCGGCATTTGACGAACTATGAATTCTCCCCTAAATAAGCTACAAGTATTAGTCTGATGATCCTGTAAATGATATCTCAAACCTCAGAAACGTGAAGACCATGAAAATTTGATCTAAATCGACTGTTACACAAACTTCGTCCATAAACACGTGACTGTTGGCGGATCCATATGGAGGACTTTGGGAAAATGCGGGGAATCTATCTGCTCAAGTTCTGTCAACCTTCCTCGATGTTGGATAGGCTCAAGGCTACCCAGCTCAGCCCGACACACTGTATATCAGAACATCTGATATTTGAAAAGCCATGACGAGCCACCCCAGAGTCTCCTCACTTTACCCAGGGGAAGTCCACGAGTCCATAGGTGGATACCCAACAATATACCACTACCAGCCAAGCCAAAAACAAGATGAATCCTCGAAATTCAATCCTTTGATTGTGTGCATACCTGGATCCATGCATCTAGCCCGAATATTCTACGGCGGACACGAAGGATCAAACCCCACAAACTTCCTAGCATACCAGCTCAGCAATCTTGGATACAATGTCCTGTCACTATCATACCCACTTGAAACAACTCCCACAATCATGCCGCCCACCGGTGCAAACTTCCGGATTCAGGATTGGGGCTATCAAGCAGCCATGACAGCTCAGAGGGTTATCATTAACAATGGTCTGCCGATGTCTATCATTTTGATTGCGTGGAGCATGGGTGGCCGGATGATCGTCCCTTTCAACATCTGGGCTGAAAAGAACGGCTTGCATGTTCAGCAATTCATAAGCTTCGCTGCCACGCCTGGAATTTCTAGTATTCGTTCCCCGGCACCGGGGATGGCCTGCAGTGAGACAGGATACTTTTGCATCCCCAATCGGTTGGATGGTTTCTATCAACAACTCAAAATGATGGAGGAGTGTAACGGTGGTGAAACGATCATCCCCAAGGAGGTTTTCTTACGTGAATATGTTGGAGGGACACCGATCAATTTGACGGGCGTGCGGTTGAAGTATGATGGAAAGGGCTCCTTTATTGAAGATGACTTAACGCATGAAGAAGAAACGGGTGTTTTCGATGTGGTTAATCTCCCATTTATCACGGCTCTTTACCCCACTGATATTGTTGATGCCAGTCATGCTCTAACGGACAAGGCAACCTGGGGCTTCTTACTTAGCTATCAACTGGAGGCTATGATTGGAAAATCGGCGCTGCGGAAGATTCAAGGGACAGCGAAGTGGCAGCAGCTAATGGATTTTGTTCATTCTGCTCCAGGGCGACTCTGTTTTCCTGTCCCGGGTAGTCATTTCTTCTTTGTTGGAGAGAAATCTGCTCTTGAGGTGGCAGAGAAGGTGGTCGAACTTATTTCTGTTGCGAAGGAATTTCAAAAAAAATTGTCTGATATATTATCGTAAAATTTCAAAACGGGATCTGTCAGCGGCCAAGGCTTTTTTCATTGCTAATGGAGTCTACTTTTCTATTTAGTTCGGGGTCCACTAGAGCAAACATAGGCATTCATCAAGTCAAATGGGCCAATACTTGAGATATCAGACAGACCACTCGTTTGTGTATTGATTTTCACTCCATAATTTAACATGATTTAAAAAAGGATCGCCGCCAATAAGAAAACTGCACATCTAAGATCCAAATTCCAGAGTGGCTGATGCACTAAGCTACATATGTAAAGATGACTATTTAGAAAACTCGAAATTCCAGCTCTTATCATCAAATTCCACCCAGCTGCATCTCCTGGCTTATCTGTCTTGCCGTCTGTACACCTGAAATCCATCGATGACTCACATACACATGTACATTGCAGAAAGTAGTCTTTTTTGTCTATATATTTATTGAGTCAACTCCTGCCACCTTTACAGTACTCCCTAGTCTTTCACACTTCTGAACTTTCTAGTAAAAATGGTTCACGTGAAGCCTTTCGCTCTCGACAACTGGGGTAACTATATATCCGATCCGGATGAAGAACGGGCATTCCGCTGACATTAATGATAGTTCGCCAGTTCAAAGTAAGTCTTAGCCCCTCGACATTAGACATGGTGACTTATGAACAACTAGCCTTTGGCCAGCGCAAGTCTTCACGGTGTGTTCTCAGTCTAGTCCCATCTATTGCCATGCCTAACATCTGGTCAAAATTAGATACATGTGTGGATCCATTATCAGTGCAAGAATTGTCGCAATTCCAGGCCTCGGACGCGTTCACCAGTCCCATCAATGCATCCAATGCTTTGGTATATGGTTCAGTTCTGGGCACTTCCGGTCTTCGAGAGAAGATCCTCTCCATATATGTCAATGACGTGACCGATTCCACGAGACAATTATCTCTTGCTGTCACGCAGGGCGCTATTTCAGCCAATTTCTTGGTCCTGGATACACTTGTAGGCCCAGGGGATCATGTTATCTGTCAGTATCCTACATATCAACAGCTATACGACGTACCTCGCCGAGCCGGTGCCGAGGTATCGCTCTGGCGCACTTGTGCAGAGAAAGGATGGATCCCTGATCCAAGCGAGCTCCCGTCCCTGGTCCGGGAGAATACCAAGATGATAATACTCAAGTAGATTTACCCCCTGTCTTCTACAAAAATTGCTAATATCCATCAGCAATCCTAACAACCCGACCGGTGCATCAATCCCATCTCAGGTCCTAGAGGACATCATCTCCTTCGCCGAAAAGCGAGACATAATAATCCTCAGCGACGAGGTTTTCCGCCCTCTCTTCCACCGTGAAACAGACATGCCACCTTCAATCATCTCCTTTGCGGGACGGTATAAGAAAATCATCGCCGTATCCAGCCTCTCGAAGGCCTACTCACTTCCCGGTATTCGAGTTGGGTGGGTTATTTCACCTAGCACAGATCTAGTACACCAGGTCACCCTGGCCAGGGACTATACCACCATTTCCGTCTCACAAGTAGATCAAGACATCGCGGCCTACGCGCTCGATGCGCACGTGCGACAAAAGATCCTTCAGCGATCACTGGCTATATGTGAGCGCAACCTTTTGACTCTAGAGAAATTCATCGCTGCCCATGCCGACCGCTTGCGTTGGGAGAAGCCGAGTGGTGCATCGGCGGCATTTGTACAGGTGGTAAATCCCGAGAGTGATGTGCCGGTTGATGACAAGGACTACTGTGAGGGGCTTATTCGAGAAACGGGATTGTTGATTGTGCCAGGGGGTGAGACATTCGGGACGGAAGATGGGATGGACTTTAAGGGATATTTGAGGGTTGGGTTTGTTTGTTCTCCTGAGAAGTTTGAAGCAGCGTTGGCTATTTGGGACGGATATCTGAATCGGGATTAGGTCTAAGATCTTTCGAATCATCTTGGATTTTGCTTGGTTTATGATTTTTTATCTTCTGAGAAACGACTTTGCGCTTGTCTGGAACATGTCATACAGAATGTCTTTTGAGTGTTCCTTTGATTCGCTGAGACATCAAAATCGGTTCTTCCCCGGTTCAGCGGGTTTATGATATTATACTTCCTAGGTATTAGGTAGGTACGGTACGATAGATGCATTTCCATGGTAATAATGCGCCCGCTCATTCTTGAAAATATAGGGTTAAGGGCCTAGTAAATCATTGGAGGTGCCAACGTGCCAACTGGTGTCGGATATTCAATAAAGATGCCTCACTGCAAAATTCCCAGGGTTGAAACCGGAAGTTGGAAAGATAACATTTGGCGTTTTTAGATATCCAATTTAAGTACGCAGCGCATGTAGGAGGGGTGTGCACGATTGGTGTCGCCATTGGTGTGATTAGCTTTGGGGTAAGGCTATGAGTGTCGACGATCACCAGCCTAAGCTGCATTGTCGCTAGCGACCTCCACTGGGGCCAAAAAACTGGGGATGCAGCACGACTGTACATCTGTAGTCAGCTTTCAAAGTGACCTTCACGGTCCGTCCAGTCGGAACTGATTTCAAGGCGTCGAGTCTTCCTGATTGCGTAGGGGAAGTCAATGACCCACAACGCCATACGAGAGAATGACGTCGACCATTTCAAAGTATGCCTGTCCTACACTTCCCCTCATGTTAGCAGGGCACTTGGTTTTTACTGTAAAGGTACAGTGACACAAAATCAAACAATGCATTGTGGCCCGCTTTTGCAGAACAAAGACCGACCAGTTTTGTTTTCCCCGTGGAGGTGGCACATGGGATGGGGGGAAAAGTGGAGGGGGTACGTTTTCCTTCCAGGCATCAGCGTCAGCGGCAATAGGTCTCCTCTAGATCCACCTTTACTTTTAGAAACCCCTCCAAAGTACATCAGGTCGGTGGCCGTGTCCGGGCCAGCCGGGGCCAGGACCTCCAAAGTGGATCGGTCATACAGAGGACATATTCTCCCGCGACCTATTAGAAGCAGGATCGGTAGGATAGGTTGGTGTTGGAGACACGGAAGGACTCGGATCCTTGACTTCTGCAATGAATAATCTGGATCTGCCACCAGACGCAACGGTGCCAAAGCCAAGCAATTGGGCCCCTAAAGTCCCACCGACTTCATCGAAAGGTACTTTTGTTTCTCTCTCCTGCATAGTAATGTATGATACAGTCACGTGATTATATCGCCACTTGACTCTTGAGGCAGCATCTTTACTTAATTTCTTGTATACTTATATCATACTTTTTACTCTATTACCTGCCACTTATCTGGTAAGATTATTGAACTTTGGACCTGTCAAAAGTACCATCCGAGACTACAGCCAAGGGAACCCTTGGTCATTCTCCGGATCGACCGCATTCTTTGCCAGCGAGGCAGTGCTAAAATGTGGATTCGTGTGTACTCCGTACAACTTCCCCTTGAAAGAGAGGGACAGATTTACGAGTACGGAAGAAACATAGAAAGATAGCAATACTTATTTCTCAAAGGATTCGTAAAATCTACTTATAGAATTGAACGTCACTCCAATCATCGTAATATCCTCCATTAAACCATCTTTACCATACAAGTAAATGACCCACACAAACTGACGACACATCGATTCGATCTTCAATTTCCAATTAGTTATTATTCCTTTCATATGATTCTTTGGAAACATTTTGATTATTGTTTATTGAGATCTGTACTATTTACTCCCAGGTTTCGTGGATCCGGTCCCTGCTTTTTTTCTTTTTTTTCTTAATTTTTTTTTCTTGTTCTTGATTCCCCAATCGATCGATCTTCGTTCCCACCATTCCCGAAACGCCCACACAGCGCCATTCCTATCCCTGTCAAGAACGGTCTTGATCTCTCTTCCCACCCCTCTCACCACCACCATCCCCTTTCCCTCTTAACCCCAAGTTCCATAGGGGTGAGAGAGAAGGATACCACCCTAACACCCCTCCGGTCATGCACAAGATCTCCAACTTTACGGGCCAGGCCCGTCATGGTTGGGAACGAATGACGCCAACCTTCGGGATCACTAGACCTCATACCGACATGGCCTTTCGCCGGCCGCATGGTGCTCCGCCGATGACCCCTCCAACGAGTATCGATCCTACTGTCAATCTGTCCTTCAACGTTCCCTTCTCCTCCACCTTGGCCGGCCCCGATGTCGAGGATGTGCTCCACGCCAGTCCCGCCGCCCTGCAGCGCTGGACTTTTCCTGAAGGCACACCCGAAGGTACTTTAGTGCATCAGTTGCCAGTTCACACGAGCAATGTCGAAGGTCTCCGGAGATTATGTCGTCAGATCACAGAGACCAGTGGTGGTCGCATCGAAGCCACCGTCACATCCTCAGAGCCCAAGGCCGTACCATCGCTACAAAGACGACCCAACGGTTTAGTGACTAATGTTTGTGTCACTGGCGATGGTGAGACTGCGCGCAAGATGAGAGCGAAGATTTTGAACGATACCCCGATCATGCTGGTATGTGGATGATTTTTCGAGTTTTTTTTTTCACTCGGTTCTTTGGAAGCTCCGCCGATAGAAAAAAAGTATCCCTTGCTAATGGCTGCGTTTTCGATTTATCAGCGATGTGCAACGGTCGACATGGATATGCATCTGATTATGGATGGGTCAACCAAAGGCATCCGAGCGAGCGTTCTTGAGCACATGGATACCTTAGCCGCCTACACCGGGACCGATATTTTCTTGCTTACACCCAAGCTTCACGATGCGGACAGTGCGATCGTTTCCTCCTATGGCTATGCGTCTGATAATGATTTGGACCAACGCTTCCGAGTCGCTATTTACGGTGACATGGAAAGCTCGGAACATGCCAAGACACGAGTTCTGATCATGATTGATCAAATTGTGGGTTTCTCAGTGCAGGCTGCAGACCAAGTTAGCTAACAATCACATAGCTCAAACGCCATGTTGATGCTATCAAGCTGGAGCTGACCATGCACACCTTGGTGTGTGGTCGCACCCGCAAGAACATTAAGCTCATTGAAGCTGCCACTGGCACCGCCATTTATTTCCCTCCCCCGTTTCCCCGAATTTTCGGATATACCCCTCCTGGTGCGAACCGTCGGAGCGAAGATGAAGTGTACATTACAGGCGAGTCGCCGGAGCAGATTGCTCGGGCGAAGCAAAAGCTGCGGGAGCTAGTGATGGGAGTTAAGATATACGTCAAGGATGTAGTGGTTAACTCGAGCAAGATCGACAACATTTTGCTTGATCGATTGGACAAAGTTCGCAAGGTGATGGAGATGAATGGTTCTTATGTTCTTTTCCCACAGCTGGGCAGCCAGCGCGGCCTCGTTCGGATTCAAGGCACTGAGGTCTTGCATGTCGAGCGGACCGTTCGGGAGATCATGGCTCTGGTAGGACAATTACACTGCATTATGCATGAAAGTAAGCTGACTTGTTCCAGGCCGGGCAATTCTACAGCGCTTCTTGGTGGATCATCATGCCCGACCCTGCCCAGGGTGGCATCCGGGCCCCTTCTACAGCCGACGTTCGCTCGATGCTCTCAGATATCTGCACCAACTCGGAGGCAGAGGTTAGCTTTGATAACCTGACGTTCACTATAAACGGTTCCGACGATGCAGTCAAGGCAGCTATGACTGTGGTCAACCAGATCCCATTCGTCACCCGGAGCCAGTACCAAATGCGAGTCAAGATTGAATTGGCCAACGAGCATAAGGAATTTGTCAGCGGCAAGAAGAATGGCAAGATTAACAAGATCATGGGCCAGAGTAAGTTTGTTCCTCATTTTGGCGAGGACGAGACTAACGAGCAAGCAGGCAATGTTCAAATTATCTTTGACGGTTTCAACGAGTACAATTTCTACATCGATGTCTGTGGAAACCAATACGAGTCTACAAAGAACGGCCTTGACCTGGTTGAGCAAGAGATGCCTGCTTCCATCTCATTCCACGTGCCGGACCAATACCACAAGCGGATTATCGGTATCGGTGGACAGCACATCCAGCGTATCATGAAGAAATACTCGGTCTTTGTCAAGTTCTCCAACGCCATGGACCGTGGTGGAATGGGCAAGGAGGATGATGATATTAAGGTTGACAATGTGATCTGCCGGACTCCTGCTCGCAACGCCCAAAGCCTGGACCTTGTCAAGCAGGAGATCATGGATATGGTCGAGAAGGTTGATGCCGAATATGTCTCTGAGAGGGTCGTTATCAACCGGCTATACCACCGCGAGTTGTTGGCTCGCATAACCGAGATCGATGAACTGGAGAAGAAATGGAACTGTAAGATCGAGTTCCCCAGCACTGAACTTGCCAGTGATGTTGTGAACATCTCCGGTCCTGAATACCAGGTTCCCCAGGCAGTCGACGCCCTGCTGGGCATGGTACCTGAAAGCCATGAGCTTCACTTCCAAAGTTCCGCCGAGCTGCGGGTGTATTTCAAGTCGCCCGACTTCCTGGCGGATGTTCGTACCAAGCTCAAAGAGCAGTACGAGGTCGACATCAATGTGGACACCAGTGCCGACCTTCAAGACCAGGAGGACGGCTCTGCTTCCCCTGATCCCGCCCCAGAAGATCTGGTGGTTCTCGGCTACACCCGAAACAACGCTGGTGGCCTGAAGGACGCCATCGACTTCCTGATATCCCGTCTTGTTGCCCACGGCCTCGACGCCAACACCGTCAAGGGTGCGATTCCGCGCCCCAAGTCGGATTCGTTCGAGGAGTCCCTGCCCTTCTTTGACTCCAAGTTGCTGCAGCATGCCCCAGTCCCACTCGTGACCGACTCTCCTACGCGACCCAGCTTTGTCGACGAGGCCAGCGAGCGCGGATCGATCTTCGAGCGCCTCCGCAAGCCCGGCAGCATCTCGTCCTTCTCCTCCTTCATCGGCCGCAAGAACCACTCCGGATCACCGGCCTCGTTCTTCAAGCATGCCTCTAGCAATGCTTCGAAGGCATCGCTTGTTTCGATGGAATCCCGGGACAGCGGCTACCGCAACCCGTGGAACGACTCTGGCGTGAACCTCCCCGAGGACGACTTGCCCGTCCTGGGGAGCTCCCACAGCCACAAGAGCAGCAACAGCAACAACACCAATGGCTGGCCTGCACGCTTTGACACGAAGTTTCCTTTCGGTACGGCGCCCGGAGACATGACCCCCAAGCATGATCCGCGCGCCTCTTTTGACAGTGGTCGCCCTAGCACTTCGAATTCTACTTCTGGATACCCGGCCCCCATTGGGCCACCGCGTTAAACCCAAAATATCCATTTACAGCAGTATACCCTTTTGGTTGTGATTTTGTGATTTTGTGATTTTTATTATGTTCCTTCGATTCCCAGCGTGTGTTTTTCGGTCTATGTGTCTTTTCTTTTCTTTTCTGTTTCTCTGATTTATTGATTGATACCACGGAACGCAAGCAACGAAGGCGTCAGAAAAGAAAATGAGATATCCAAGATCTGTGCGAGATAGAGCGGGGAGATTTCCCTTGCCCATTCTATGGTTTTTTTGTTTTGCAATTTGTTTTGACCGGTTGAAGTCAACGTGATACTCCCATCGGTCGGATCTGATTCGTTTTTTCACGCCTGATTTCGGTTGATGCTTTCCATTTTGTTGATGTTTACTCTTTTGATATCCCCATCAATAAGATTTGACCTTAGACGATTCCAGATAAGTATACGATGTCTGAACTCTAGAACTTGCCAAGGTGAATGCCCACGATACCTAGTGGATTTTCTGTCCAGTCCACGGTATATGTAGCCTGGAACCAGAATGTATTGTTAGAGGGAGTGAACACTTTTAGAAAAGTAAACGCCAGAGCAAAACAGTGGAGAGGGTCACCTGACTCCACTCTACTATACACAGTCCAGAATTGTTTTCCCATCTGTATGAGTTCCTGCTATGGGCAACCTTCCTCACCTGAATCATACCATAATTCTCGTTCAATTTATCCATTCTGAATCCCCACGGTCTGGATGTTTTGCCTACTGACACCCGTCGGTCAATGTAAGCTCACTTGCCCCGTGTCCTCGCTAGACTTAGAGGGGTTAGTCTCATTGGTAGCCGAAATATCACCTTTATTTCAGCAGACAGGGCCTGTTTCCTTTACACCTTCTATTCCATTAAAGACCTCGCGCAATGGCGAGGACCGAAGGCTGGCACCAGGCTTCAAAACCACGATGGGTTGCGCAACGGTACCGAGACCATACGGATCATCCTGCAATTTTTATTTCAAACAGGCCAACCAATCCTGATGTTGGCGATTTAGCTCCTCTTCCAAAACTCGCCATCCAGGTTTACAGCACTGTTCCCTAAATTTGGACTCGGAAGATGAGTTGATCACTCTCTGTCGATATCTCACTTCCGGGATTCATAACTATCCCCATTTATCGTTTGAGATCTACGGCCTCCAGCCCGATGTATTCACCTGCGTTGAGCATCAAAGACGAGAAATTTTTCACTTAAGGAATACCCACCTGGGAGAAGATTTTTTCCCTGGAATTGCGAAAGTGGCGCATGACCGCTACATTTCAATTTTGCACGGATTTCTCCTGGTCATTACCTCTTATAAATTTCGTAATAAGGGAGGGCCGGATGATTATGAAGCTGAATCCGGTCCGTTGTGGGTAAATTTCAACCGGAGTTTCCAACTCAGAGCGATACTGATCTCCCGTCCCGGGTTGAGAGCTTTTGGCCACAAGGATCTCATATTTCAAGAATGGGAAATGAGTGCCAGGTCTATTCAGAAAGAGAAGAACTTGTTGTGTACAAATGCCGTAACATGTATCACCATTTACGGGACATATCAGACCTGGTCGACGGAAGTCACTCCGATACGATGGGGCTCAAATTCGATTACGGTCTGACTGAAGATGAAGGAGATTCATTCTTATCCAATCAACCCCTGGAACTGGATATTATTGAGTCATTGCAGAAAAAAGCCGATTCATTGACTCATGAGGAATTCAATATACAATCGCCTTCCGAGGGTGCTGTCACTATTCCATCAAATCCCGCGTCAGTGGCACTAAAACCAGACCTTCAGTACATTATTCATATCGCTTTCCCTCATAAGCAGCATGGAATAGAGGTTATGCTTATCGCCCAGGCATTTACTGCTGTGGTCGTCGAAAACCCTCCTCAGGGAAAGACAATCAGCTTTGAATTCTTTTCAACAGATCAATCCCTACCTGCTATCCTAGCATCGCATCGGGATCTCATCAACTTCCAACCCGGGCTTGCTATAGGAGCGCTTCATCAAGGGAGTCGGACTTTCCCGCAGGCTCGGCATCATTATGATGTCGAAGTTCCGTCGGACAGGGCGCCATACCGCATCTTTTTTGTTATCATCGACCGGCCAGATTTTCTCACTGGACCTGGTGTACTTTTCTTCCTAGCGGATGGAAGCGAGATGACAGATGAGGCACAGAAAGTATGCATCGATGCTGGTTTGTCTGGTTACAAACGTGGGGGCCACGCATCATATCAGGTCTGGCGGAGAGCTGGAATGACCGAAGTTGCACAGAGATTAGCAATGATCTCCAAATGTACGCATCTAGCTGATCTCCCAATGTATGCTTCTAGCTTCGAATGAAAGCTAGGCGACAATGTTGGACTCTTAGGCTTGGCTACGCCTCATGATTCAACGCGTTCTAGCTAGTACTTTTCCTATCGTGCCAAATTGGCTCTAGATAGACTCCGTGGAGAGGCATGCTCTTCTGCTTCCCGTCCCTTCCATTCCTTCTTTCCTTTTAGTACAGGAAAGCGAAACCGAGGAAATCGAGTACATCTATTGATCCGAGTGGGTTCGTATATGCTAGTCTGAATAATGCACAGAAGGCTCTTACACTTTTTTACTTTTGAATTCTGATCCGTGAGGAGATAGTCGGTGAACATGGCGATCTGATGTGACGTAGCAACGAAACGTGGGGTCAACCCCTCATACTCATACTTCCAAAATCTATTCCCATGTGAAGACTTCACTTAACCCCATTCATAACCAGCAATCAATCCCAAGAAACTAACTCCTGGATAAATCAACCGCACAAACCAAACTTAAAAAATGTCATCTTACCCTCGCCCAGACTTCCAACGCAAATCACTCAACTGGAGCACCCTAGACGGCCCTTGGTCTATCATATTCGACGACAACGACGAAGGTCAACACAACCAATGGCAAAAGTCACCCCTCTCAGAAACCACAGAGAATAAAAAGCGCACCATACTCGTTCCATACGCCTTCCAAACACCCGCCTCGGGAATAAATCTACACGAAGTCCATGAAGTCCTCTGGTACGAGCGATCCATCACAGACATCCGCACCGAACCCGAGAAAGCATCGGGAAACAGGCTTCTCGTCCGATTCGGAGCCGTGGACTACGAATGCACAGTCTGGATTGATGGGAATCTCGTAGGTTCGCACCGGGGCGGACATGTTCCTTTTGACGTGGATGTTACCGATGCTTTCCCTACGGGGATTAAGGATGCAAGGCTTACGTTACGGGTACTTGATTCGGCAACGGATTTGGCGCAGCCGCGTGGAAAGCAGTTTTGGGGACCTGTACCCGAAAGTATCTTTTATACACCTACGAGTGGGATTTGGCTGAGTGTTTGGATGGAGAGTGTGCCGAAGATGAGGTTGGTTGATGGGAGTGGAGGGACGGTGTTGAGGGCTGATGATATTGATGGAGGGAGGATTCGGGCTCACGTTGCTGTTGTCGGGAGATCTTCTACGAAAGCGAAAGGGGAGGGGAAGAGGTCAAGTATGGAGATTGAGGTTTCGATTGAGGGGATGACTGTTAGTACGACGAGGGCGGACATGCATGCTAATCGGAACTGGGCGGAAATGGAGGCCAATGTGAAGATTTCTGAGAAGGATGTGTTAGCGTTGAAGAAGAGGAAGGAGAAGGAGTTGGCTCATCTTCAGGTTGATGGCGCGTGGAATGATGGTGTTGCGTTGTGGGCGCCTGAACATCCGATTCTTTATGATTTGGTCCTTCGGCTTTTTAACGAGGAGGGGAAGCTTGTTGATGAAGTCGAGACTACGACTGGAATGCGCAGTTTGTCGTGGACGACTGGTGATGGGACTTTTCGTCTGAATGGTCGTCCCTACTTTCAGATGCTTTTATTGGATCAGGGATACTGGCCCGATACGGGGCTCACGCCACCCTCGTCTGAGGCTTTGCGTGCGGATATTGAGATGGCAAAAGCACTCGGTTTCAATGGCTGTCGGAAGCATCAAAAGGTTGAGGATGCGCGGTTCCAGTACTGGGCTGATCGTTTGGGATGGCTTGTCTGGGGGGAGATGGCGAATGCATATGAGTTTGGAGCAGACTATGTTGAACGCATGGATGCTGAGTGGGCGGAGGCTGTGAAGAGAGATATCAATCATCCTTGCATCGTGACGTGGACGCCTGTAAACGAGAGCTGGGCTTATACGGATTTGAAGGGGAGTATTGAGCAAAGAAACCATATCAGGTCTCTTTACTATTTGACCAAGTATGCTACTCAAGCGTTGTAAATGAAAAGTCACTAACATTTCTTGGCAGGTCTCTTGATCCCAGCAGACCCATCAACGACAATTGTGGCTGGGAGCACGTTCTTACAGATCTAACAACCTACCACGACTACGCCGACTCCTCCGAGCTCACGTCCACATGTTCAAAAATGGAAGGCGGCATCCTAGCCCCCAAAGCCGGGCACGATATGTTCACAAAACCCATCTACTCAGGCTTCGCAGGCCACACACTTCTCGATCCCGGCGCCCAGCACAAAGCAGGTGCCCCAGTGATCTGCACGGAGTTTGGAGGCGTGAACATTGCGCCTGCGAAAGACGGACAGAAGGCCGGTGAGCGGGATTGGGGGTACACGACAGCGGCGGATGTTGAAGACTTCTTGGTGAGATATGAGAAGCTGGTCATGGGGGTAGTCAAGGGTGGACATTCCTGTGGAATTGTCTACACACAGTTGTGAGTGCTTAACTCCCTAGACGATGTATGAAATACTGATGGTTGTTCTAGGTGTGATATCGAGCAGGAGGTTAACGGTCTCTATTCATATGACCGCAAGGAAAAGGTGCCCGTTGCGCGGGTGAAGGCTATTATGGATGCTGCGAAAAATTATTACTATGATCATGTTGGTGTGCAGACACATGGAGCCAAGGGATGGAAGAAGCTTCTTGAACAGGGAAGGCATGCGCTTCATCGATAGATCGCTCTAGCTGCCCCCGCAGGACCGAGAACTGGACTGTCTCCTCTTTGGGAAGTCTTATTTCAGGCAAATGGCCCCCTCTGTCTCTCTCTATAAGCAAGAAATATATAAGTTTTTCACGGGTCCGAGCAAAGGCTACCATAGATAGGTACTGCGAATGATTGTTACTGTGATTATCCGTGGATGAGCAAAACCGTAAAGCAGAATCAAGTACATATTTCTTAAATCTTGGAGGCTTTCAATGAAAGCTCATGTACAGTCTGCTATATCTTTACGGATTTTCTCTTTATTTTGCCTTTCTCTCTCCATCTTTGTCATATGTAACAATATGCGATTCATGGCCATATATTGAGACAACCTGCTTGTAGAAGTTGACAACGCAAAATATGGCTACCAAACTTGTGTTTTATGGTCTGTCAACAAGCATTTGCATCTTAAGGAATGGAATTCCTGGTCTTGATTTTCCCTCTATATGGTCTATCGAATGGTATGATATATATCTTTGGGAGACCGAATGGCTGTCCGGTTCAGGCTCTTCTCATCGACCTTTTCTGTGAAATGACTATTATTGTTTTTAATGGATCTACACTCACAAATTCAATCTTGTTATCTTAATTGATTAATACGCATCACCTAGAACCTGAATCATCTCTTCAGATGATGAAGTTTTTGATACTTGCTCCGAGCTCAGTGCTACTCCGGCTCCGCAAATCCCTCGCACGAATCGGCGTGAGCATCAACCCAGTGTGATTGATACACTAGATCATTTGAATCCTTACGGCCGTTATACTAAAGTTGGACTACGGGTTCTTCCTGTCTTGAAACTTGGACCGCCAATCTTATGGCTCTATCATGGAGAAATGATCAGCATAGGCGTGAAGATACCGATGCATGCTTCTGAAATTGGACCTCTCTGACAAGTTACTATGTGTCTCTGCAGGCTGTCCATAGCGGTCAGGTCTACACCCAGTTTGATGTTGTACATATATACAGACTGTGGATATTTTCAACAATTGGTCGCTTTTCGGAAGATTCCTCTCCGGCGTCCAAGTGGAAGAAACCAGTAGCCTCTTGCGGGCCGTTGCTTATGATATGCTCCTCGAGAGTAGTCAAAACTACGTTAGCTTGCCCCAGACAATTGGCAGGATCTACCATCTTGGGCAGACGGTGTCACAGACAGGTACCTTGCACTCTCTTCAAAATTGATTTGGAAACTAATTTCTAATTTATCCAGAAATCGTGCATCAAAATCCAGAAGAGCTATTACAATTCATGGTGTCGCTGAGGAGGATCCAAGACTACGTGGGTCGACTTACTCGTGAAAATAAGTAGCAATCCATATATTTCATTAACGCAGGCCTTATGGCCTGACATATCAATTCGCTGAATGCTTGCTGTAGAATAAGGGATACCTTTCCCACTCATAACGCCAGAGATGCCGAGAAAGGTCTTGAAAAATAAACATACGCGCTGAACAGATGCATATTACAAAATTAGATGATATGCGCAAAAGGGCGAAATTCACATATTGGCGAGTTCATGGTCAATCTGCTGGTCCAAGAATACACGCTTCTCGCCCGTAAGCGAGGTCTGGAGGCGTTGTTCAACGAGGACGCGGACTGGGAATGTTAGTCATTGCAACATGCATTATCGGGTGAGCATGATTTACCTTGTTTTTTGGTGACTGTGTCGAGATCCACTTCTGCGAGGCAGCCACGGATAGCCTCGGTGATGGAGCTTTCGTCAGGACCAGGGGCGCTGCGGAAATCAAATGCGGTGCTGGCTGGGCGTGCTGGTTGTTGGCCCATGGGGCTACGTGCCCGTGCTAGGTTATCGGTGCTCTGCATGAAGCCCAGGCTGTGACGGCTAGCGTGGCCTGGGTTTTCCAGGTAACCACTCATGTTACCCATAGACATATGGCGAGATGCAACAGCCGCGGGGTGGGCGCCCAGTTGAGGGTAATCGGTGTAGCGTGAGAAGTTGGACATGTGTGAATTGCGGTTTCCAGGCACATTGCCACCGACATATGGAGCTGGTGACTGGGGTGGCATGTACGGACTAGCGTGGCGACCATGGCCCGGGAAACCGGTGAGGATTGTAGATGCAGGCTTCACGGATGAGTACTGTGAGTGCATTTCATCCATCTCCATGTCATCCACGTAAGGACCAGCAGAGTAGATCTTTTCCGACACGGGTTCTCCACGTCGACCAGGCAGGTTGTTAGCCATGGCGTAGTCGTCCCACCGTTGCAGTGGGATACTGCGAGGATCAAATCCTTCATCTTCCAAAGCAATGATCCGCTTTGCTCCCTTCTCGCCAATGACCACGCGAGTGCTACCCCAGGTGAAATCATCCTGTTTCCAGAACGAGTAGAGGGGCAACACGAAGTTGAAAATTGGGAATGCGAGCAGATAGATGATCATCCATCCAATGTGTTGCCATTGGCGTTTGATGATGAAAATGAGAGCTTGGAGGCCATACATACCAGCCAGCATGATAATCGAGATCAACGGGAAGGGACCAGTACCACTGGCGATCAAGTATACCAGATAAACGAGGTAGACACACGTAGCAGGGAGAATGAGTGTTCCAATGAGATCAACGAGGACGACAAACCGCATGCTGAAACAACAGAAGCCGCAGAGATTTTCGAGGAAAGCCAGTTCCGCCAGGTTATGGATGGTTGAGTTGATCCAACGACGTCGCTGTGAGATAAGCACACTCCATGACTCCGGAGCAGCTGTGTTTGCATGTGCACCGGGGAGGAACTTGTAACGCATTGTCGGGAAGTGCTTGGTCATGAGGGTTGTCAAGAATCGATCTTCACCTAGTGACAACAAGTTCTTCTTGTGGAGTGTATCGATGTCAATATCAGCGTATTCTCTGATCACGTTGTCAGATATGATCAGCGGGCGGCCCTTGTCTGCAGTGCGAAGACGATACATGGTGAAACATCCCGGAAGACAGGACACACTGCCAAACAATGATTCGAATGATTTCGCCAGATGGTGCGAGATGTAGTATTCGTAGACCTGAATCATCGTCCACCATGAACGCTCTTCATTCGCCAAGCTGGTCTCACCACAGATGCCGGCAATTTTAGCATCTGCTGCGCAAGCGGCCACCAAGCGATTCAATGAATCTTCCTTGACACTGGTATCGGCATCGACCATCAAGCAATACTCGTATAGTTCCGGGTCCACACCAATGATGTTGTTAATCTGGTGGAAGACTTCAAGTTCCATGGGGGACATAGGAGCGCGATGATGCACGCGGTTCAAGAAGCGCATCAGGATAACTTGAGAATCTCGCTTACCGCGGTTGCCAGGTTTAGTCTTTGACTGCTCAGACTCCTTGCCAACCTTGACCACCACAATGTAAGGGACGACATTGCCTTCGAACTCGTACAGACCAGAGTAAACTTTAGCATAGTTTAGTTGCTCACTGCCTTGCCCAACGGATCTGAACGGTAGAGCCGGGGGATCCAACTTGGGATCCACACCAAGGATATCCAGAACAATCTTCGGCGTTGGTCGGTCGTTGCCGCCACCGACAATCATACCATCGCAGATAACGAAGAGGAGTTTCCTCTTGTTGTCATACTGTAATGCCGTCAAGGAGTCCAGGCCCTTTCGCAGAGAGTCTTCACCTTCGGTGTAGGCCGGGACTGAGCAAATCACGAACTTATCTTGAGGTGCTGGTCGTCGTTTGCTACCCAGCTGCAGAGCAGCCAAAAATTTGACCATAATCACGCAGCAGATAAGGATAGTGAAGGAAAGAAGGATCCAGTTGTTCACGGTGCACCGAGCATCCCCTCGGAAATCCACCTTGCCTTTATAAAAAACATAATCCAGGCACCTCGTCGCTTCCTGCCATTCCTTTGTGTCCTGCCACTTGTCTGTCACGTCTGTACCGGCGTAGTTTTTGAACAAAGTAGTAACGGCAGTCGGCAAGAATTCATAAGTGTCGTCACCCGAATACAAATCGACGGTGTAGAAGTAATTCGTCAGGTCGTAAACCTTTTGGTTTACAATGACCCAATACCGCGAATAATCATTGGCTTGCTTCTCGATAGTCGACTTTGACCAGACCAGCTCACCCTTGTAGTAAGTGGCGATCTTTGGCAAAAATTTGTCTTCATACCAAGTGATTTTGTGAAGTGCGGTGGTGTTTGATGGATAATTAAGAGGCCCACAGTCGTGCTCTGCATCTGAGTACACGATCGCGCTAGTGTCATTATTCTGTAGCGCAATCGATGTGTCGGTCACGAAGGGGTTACAGAATTGGGTGAGCGGCGGAGGAAAATAAGCATCCAAATTCAATCCGGCGAAAGGCTCCATATTCGTCGAAGTCGTATCAATGTCATCGTCGCTATGCTGGAGACGCCAGAACTTGCTGATATCGTAGACGCGACCATGAATGCTAACAAAGAAATTGTTGTCTCCAGTATGCCAGCTGACTTCCTTGTTATTCCACACTTTGTCCTTGTTGGGGCAAAGCAGAGTACCGAATTCAATGATGTAGAAGCAGACAAGGCCGTTAAAAAGCAGAATGAGAAATACCAAGACAACCTTCTCTCTCCATGCCATTCGAACATCCGGACGCTTCATGCGGCCAACATATCGGAGCACGAATGATGGGATCCAGAAAGTGAGTGCCCATACAAATCCTGCCCAGAGTCGACGGCTGAGAGGAATAGTTTTCTTCTCAATGTGCTTGGGATCTCCGTATTCAGCATCTCCATCACCCAAGTAACGGCCCATGTCATCGTAGTAGGCAATGTCTCCCTTGTTATCGTCGCCCTTGTGACCAAGACCATAGTCACCGGCACCACCAGCCTGGGTGTAAGGCATGCTTGGGGCAATCGACTTTGGACCGATGAAACTTGGGGCGACCATAGCGGACTGATTCATCATAAGATCATGCTGACTTCCCAGGAGGTTTGATGACTCTCCGACAGGGTTTCCATCGGGTGTGATGCCTGGTTCATACAATGCAGCACCATATCCGAAGGGGTTCATCGGGCTCTCATCTGGTTTGAGATCGAGCATGGTTTCGGCTTCCCACCACGCCCCTTCTCGCATCCAGATACGCTGGTGTCCCAAGACCGCATCACCATTGCTCCAACCTCTCTCGAGGATCCAGTTCTGAACACCATCCTGGCCTTCGGTGCATCCCAGCCGAGAATACCGATCGACAAACTCTTCCACATCAAAATCTGCGGTGAAATCAAGCTGCTTAATACGACGATTGGCCCACTCAGGAAGTCGCCAATCACGCAGCTGTCGAGAGACCGTACCAGCTGACCAAGCAGGGTTTGAACTGTTCAGCTGTTCGGGTAGTTCATCAGTGGGATGGATGGAGAGATGGTACCAAACACGACTACTCAGGAGCGTGGTCGCAAGATCGAAGCGACCACGTTTCCCTAAGGAGATACCCTCCCCGTCGACAGGGAAGAGCAATTGGCGCAGGAACGAATCTGCCTCAAATTCCAGTCCAACTTTCTCCAGGACGCCTTGCCGCCTGTCCAGGTCATGCTCTCGTTCACGAGCGGCAGAACCTGTGATTCCGAGATCTGCCTCCACCTCTGAAATGGCAGAATTCAATTCGGCCATGACAGATTGGCCGATGGGTGGGGCGGGGATACCGTCTTCTTTCATTTCAGCATTGATGCCCAGGTCGTCGTCAAAGACACCTCTCATGGCGACCGCCTTTCCGAGGGCTGGACGTGGAACATCAATCACAGTCAGGCTAACAGTGTCTTCGTTAGCCAAGTGGGCGGCACTGGGACCACCGACGCTAGAGACATTCTCCAGGATATTTTGGATTTCGACCGAGATAGCATCGTTCGCTTTCACAATGATCCAGTCCACGAGAGCTTCGTAGACACCGGCGATCAGAATTTCACGTTCATCGGTAGAGCATTTATGCAGAAGAACCTCGGGATCAATGCCCAGAAGACCACCTACTTCCTCGCAAGTGTCTTCTAGATCTTCCTGGTCCACCATGAGCCCTGCAGCATTTCCAAGTTTGAGCAGACCCGCAAGCACAGAGAGGAGATGTCGCTGGGTGGCGCCCTTGATACCAATAGCCTTCAGATTTGCACGAAGATCCTCTGCCGCTGCGGTATCATCTGCGGTCGGTAGATAGGATGGAGGTACGTAGGTGCCGGATCGGTTCAGAAGAGCATACGATGCAGGCTCTTTTAGATCCAAGAACTCCCGCTCGGCCGGAGTAGATGCGGAAGTCAACAGATAATAGAATACATCGAAGGCACGGTAGCCTGCCTCTGCTGGCACATCTAGAAGACCCTTGGTCACATTGATACCAGATGTTGACAGAGCAAGAGACAGGCCAACCACCGTGCCCCCAAGAGTCAATGTATAAGATGCCGACAAGGATGAATGGAGGGAGTAAGATGGATTAAAGGAGGTTGCCGCCGCAAGGAATGGTCGCAAGGTAGCCAGCGCCGTATATCCAACTTCGGGGGTGGAGAGTGGCAGAGCTGTCAGGAATGGTTCTAGCAATGATGGGGTAGATCGGTGAAGAGAGCTGTTGACAATTAGCAGGATACTCAATTTCCGGAGACTGGGAGTCGGCATACCAAAGAAGAATACAACCATCCTCGGCTCGTCTCCGAGCATGTTCCCAAGCCCGAATCGCCAAATCACGGTCAATTGTTGCGCCACTTCGACCATCTGGTAGGACCGTAGCAGCTGTGAGCCAAGTATTGACAACCAAGCTAGTGCTCGCATCTAGTTGATATGGTTGACCGGCGGTATAGAACGAGTGAAGAGCATTGAGCAATGTGGTGGTTGAAACTTGGCTGGCATGTTGAGATACTGGTCGAGGCCCCGAAAGCCCAGCCGACTGGGTGGAGAAGACAGAATAGCGGTTCGTCATGGTGAACGCTGGAGAATTGTCCAGGTTGGATTGAGGTGTTCAAAATAGCATCAGGTAGGGATCCAGAGCTCTGTAATAAACCGCGTGTTCTGATGCAGATTAATGTGCCCTTGGGGTTGTCGCGTCAACAAAGGTGGGGAGCTACTGCGGGTGTATACTCCGGAGGAATTAGCGAGTGACTGGAGATAGGGACTCTGAGGGGATGGGAAGAAGTTGAGGTTAAAAACAGAGTCGACAAAACAATTAATGTCAAAGTGAAGTAAGCAAAAGCAGTAGGGAAAAGACAACGATAAGGGAAAGTGATGGGCGTGGGGAGAAGGTATTGTTTACGGGGATACATACACGATGAAAATTACCACTAGGGAAGTCCGGTTACATGCATCATGTTACAGATTGAGAAATACCGCCGATCCCCGAGCTAACTTGAGTGATCGTCCCGGTACTTGATATTACAATTAGAAGCTTTTTGGAGTAGGGTTTTCTTTCACGAGTAGGTCAAAAGAGACATTATATACGGGTTTAAATATTTCCTAGTGAGAATGTAGAGATGAATCGCTGACAGGACTTGGAAGGTAAATTTTAGTTTTGCACTATTGTTTTCACAACTCGTTTATAGATACTAGTACTCCGTACTGGTGTATTCTGAATAGGGGAACACAAACATTGGGATTTTGAACATGTCAGGTGGTCTGAGGGTTGTGCGCTCCGACCAATCATGATTGGTCTTTATATGTGGTGCACCCGAATGAAATGTCTTGCTCTTCTCCACTTCAGACTCTAGAACCCGCTGATTGAAACCAAACCCAAACAAGTCTTGGTCTAGTAAAAATACCTGTCTATATTTGGGATGTCTCACAAAGGAGAAACTTGCCACCCAGGGGATTTCGTTGATACCCTTACCGTTCCGCCACGAACACCCCCTAGTTTCACTTGGTCCACTCACAATCCTTGGGTTTGGTGCAGCGGGTTTTTTTTTTCTTTTGGATCTCTCTGATTCTGGCTGATTTAGGGTATTTTAAATATAGAAACGCTTATTTGACATATGATTGATGTCGGGAGCAAGGAGTAGAATAGAAGAGTTTTGGTCCCTGAAAAGACCCTGCACATGTGCCGAAGGGAAAAAAGCCTGATCAACAGGGATTTTTTGTGTGGAACAGACCCTGCTTATGTAATTGTCGGGTAGATCCGATTATTTACTTGCTACAAGGTTGTTTATTTATATTCAGTCAGTTAGAACTGTCAGGACACGCTTCATTATCAGAGGAACAATATTCACGTTGATATTATACTAGGGACTTCAATTTTATGACATGTATGGATGGAGTCAAATCGCTTATGAAAAGCATAATTGAATCGAGTCATGTTAGACGGTATTGGTATTTGTGTATTGTATCACTGTGGAGACAAGTGGATGTAGCTGATCTCCATAATACATAGCTCTATTCTTAGCGTGTGACCGGTAATAATACATACAACTTTTGCCCCAGATAACTCCAGTCTTATCTGTTGCTTTCTGTTTCCTGCCTTTTTTCCACTTTGACACTTGCACTTCTCTTCAGGTGTTGACACACCACCCCTCCTCCCCCCCTCCAAATTCTAATGTGTAGAACCTTCACTCGTTAAGGGGTCTTTATCATTCCTCTCGACATTCCCCGTTTCACTCATTCCGAGACGTATCAAACCAATCCACCTGGATCCAATCCCTGATTGACCGACTACAATCGTTTCTCTCCTCCGAGTGAGGAGGCATCGTGACATCAAGATGGCCGGCAACTTGAGCAGCGCCCCGGCGCACGCCCAATCCTCTCTTCCCTCGCTCCCCGCACATCTCCAGTCCGACACCCATCTGACAGCCCACCTGGCTAGTCGGTACGTAGATCTCCGGAGGGTCTGGGGTCGAATATCATGCTAATTCTCCGACAGGTTCCACGTTGGTTTACCGACAGCCAATCTCTCGTCCCAGGCATTGATCGCTCTAAATACATACACCTCGGCTACCAAGGGTCCTGATGGCACGAAAGAAGGAAGCGCGGCTGGAGAAGCAGAGGATCTGGCGCGTCGGGCCTTCACTCGTTTGGGAGCGCGTGGAGAGAATCAAGCAGTGGTGTTTTTGTGAGTGAACTCAAGACTTCCCTCCCATAACAATTCAATCTAATGCATGGATCAGAGGTGAGAGTGGTTCGGGAAAAACCACGCTTCGCTCACACTTGCTATCTTCCTTCCTGTCATTTTCGTCAACTCCACTCTCCTCGAAACTATCTTATGCAGCGTTTGTTTTTGACACATTGACAACGACCAAATCCGTGACGACCCCGACAGCTTCCAAGGCTGGTCTCTTTCTCGAACTGCAATATGATGGCGCATCTTCGGTCAATCCGACTCTGATTGGCGGTAAAATGATCGACTACCGATTGGAACGGAGCCGTATCTCCTCCGTGCCCACAGGCGAACGCAGTTTCCACGTACTCTACTATCTTTTGGCCGGCACCAGCGCCGCTGAAAAGTCCCACCTTGGATTTGATAATCCTATTCATATTACCACCGGAGGAGGCGCAGTGAGCCATAAGCGATGGCGGTATCTGGGTCACCCAACGCAGTTGAAGGTTGGAGTCAATGATAGCGAAGGTTTCCAGCACTTTAAAACCGCTCTCCGAAAGCTCGAGTTCTCTCGTGGTGAGATTGCCGAGATTTGCCAGATTCTTGCTTCCATCCTCCACATTGGACAGTTAGAGTTCGTTTCCGGTCAATCAACCACCACATATGCCGAAGAAAGCGGCGGTTATTCCCACGAAGGTGGTGAGACTGTGACTGTAGTCAAGAACAAGGATGTTCTTGACAATGTGGCGGCATTCCTGGGTCTCCCCGTTGAAGCGTTGGAGAATAGCCTGGGTTACAAGACTAAATCTATCCAGCGTGAGCGTGTGACTGTCATGCTGGATCCGAAGGGTGCTCGACAGAATGCCGATGCGCTTGCACGCACCATCTACTCGCTTTTGGTCACCTACGTGATTGAAACCGTGAACCAGAAGATCTGCGCCGCCGAGGATAGTGTGGCCAATACCGTTTCGATCGTCGATTTCCCCGGTTTCGCTCAATCCCCAGCTACTGGCTCCACCCTGGATCAACTTCTCAGCAATGCGGCAACCGAGTCTTTGTACAACTACTGCCTGCAGTCTTTCTTTGATCGTAAAGCCGATGTATTGGACCGCGAAGAGATTTCGGTGGCTGCGACGAGCTACTTCGATAACACCGACACCGTCCGCGGCCTTTTGAAGCATGGCAATGGATTGCTGAGTATTCTAGATGACCAGACACGTCGCGGTCGTACCGACAGTCAGTTCTTGGAGAGCGTTCGGAGGCGATTCGAGAACAAAAACCCGGCAATCTCCGTGGGCAATTCCAGCACGCCTGGCTATATGTCACAATCCCGAAGTGCGTTCACCGTCAAACATTTTGCGGGCGAAGTAGACTACTCTACTGCTGGTCTGCTTGAGGAGAACGGCGAGGTGATCTCGGGGGACTTAATGAACCTGATGCAGTCTACCCGAAGTGATTTTGTTCGCGAGCTATTTGGCCAAGAAGCGTTGCAGACGACCTCCCACCCCCGGGAGAAGACAGCTATCATGCAAGCCCAGGTATCTTCAAAGCCGCTCCGAATGCCGAGTATGGCTAGACGCAAGATCAACCAACAGGCGCGTCTTGCGGCTGCGGAAAATGTATTTGGTGCCGACAATGAAGAGGTCGGAGATAACGACAGCCAAGAAACGAGTTCCAGGCGCGATGCCTCCAGCCGAAGGAACGCACTTCTGAATGGTCCAGCACAAGGAGCGGCTGGTCAGTTCTTATCAGGACTGGAGATTATCAACAAATGTCTGAGTGCACCAAATCTGAACCCGTACTTTGTGATATGTCTTAAACCCAACGATCGCCGCATCGCAAATCAATTTGACAGCAAATGCGTACGGATGCAAGTCCAAACCTTTGGTGTCGCAGAGATTAGCCAGCGGTTAAGAAATTCGGACTTTAGCGTTTTTCTTCCATTTGCCGAATTCCTGGGCTTGGCTGAGATTGGCAATGTTGTTGTCGGAAGCGACAAAGAAAAGTCGGAAGTCATATTGGATGAACGACGATGGCCTGGCAATGAGGCCCGTGTGGGCAGCACCGGTGTCTTCTTGAGTGAGCGATGCTGGGCGGATCTTGCTAAGGTCGGGGAACGTGTGGTCCCTTCGTTTAAGATAGGTGGCCCCGATGCAGGCGAGGGGGTCTACGCAGATGCCAGTGGCAACCCGGACTCCAAGGTTCGTCTCCTCAACCCAGCCGACCAGTCTCCGGGTGCCTATATCTACGGAGACGAAGCAAAGCAAGGCTACTTTGGAAGCCGTGAATTGGATGGTCGTTCTGAAGCAGGCGGTTCGGCCTTCAATGCTGGCGATATGTTCCGAAATCTCGAGACCCGAGAGCAGATGTTGCAAAAAGGTAACGAGAAGAACATGGAGGAGGTGGACGACCTACCCGTCTCCGGCTCCCGCAAGCGTTGGATGTTCCTCGTCTGGATGCTCACCTTTTTCATCCCTGACTTCCTCATCAAGTGGCTTGGTCGTATGAAACGCAAGGAAGTGCGCGTGGCCTGGCGCGAGAAATTGGCCATCAACATGATCATCTGGTTCTGCTGCGGTTGTGCAGTCTTCATGATTGTTGGCTTCCCTGGATTAATTTGCCCCACACAACATGTCTACTCCAAAGGAGAACTCTCAAGTCATAATGGTAAACATGGTGCAACATCATACATTGCCATCTCGGGTGTTGTTTTCAAACTTGGCGAATTCATGCCCTCCCACTACCCTAGCATCGTTCCGGAAAAATCGCTCAAGGCTTACGCCGGCACCGACGCAAGCGATCTCTTCCCAATTCAGGTTTCAGCCTTGTGTCAAGGCGTGGACGGCACGGTGGACCCAAGTGTGCCATTGGACTATCGATCAAACTTGAACACCAGCTCTTCTTCCACATCTACAGCCACTGGCACGGATGTCAACTCCAAGTACCACGACTTCCGCTACTGGGTGACAGGCGATTACCGTCCGGATTGGTACTACGAACAGATGGTCATGCTAAGAGCAAGTTACAAGACAGGTTATGTCGGTTATACCGCTAAATACATCAAGGATCTGGCGGACAACGACGAAAAGATGATTGTGAGCATGAACGGCAAAATTTACGACATGACCTACTACATGGCAGGTCCTCGAGTTCCCCGCTTTCCTGAGGGCAAGAACAGATCAACCAGTGATATCAATACGGACTATATGAATACTCTGATCACTACTTTGATTCAAGAGAAATCGGGGTCCGATATCACGAAATACTGGAACGACCTTGACTTCACCACTGAAATGCGAGATCGAATGCAGTTGTGCATGGACAACCTGTTCTTTGTCGGGCATCTTGATACTCGAAACTCCCCACAGTGTCAATTTGCGCGTTATTTCATCCTGGCGATCTCAATCATGATTTGCGCAGTCATCGTCTTCAAATTTTGTGCTGCTTTGCAGTTTGGGAAGAAAAATCTGCCCGAGAACTTGGACAAATTCATTATTTGTCAAGTGCCGGCTTATACAGAGGACGAGGAGTCGCTTCGTCGTGCCATCGATTCCATGGCCCGTATGAAATACGATGACAAGCGCAAACTGTTGCTGATCATCTGTGACGGTATGATTATCGGTCAAGGCAACGATAAGCCTACTCCTCGAATCGTCCTAGATATTCTGGGTGTCCCTGAAAATCTGGATCCCGAGCCTCTCAGCTTCGACAGTCTGGGTGAGGGTATGAAACAGCACAACATGGGTAAGATCTACTCTGGCCTCTACGAAGTCCAGGGTCACATTGTTCCTTTCTTGGTCGTGGTCAAGGTCGGCAAACCCTCTGAGGTATCCCGCCCTGGTAACCGTGGTAAGCGTGATTCCCAGATGGTGCTTATGCGATTCCTGAACCGGGTTCACTACAACCTACCCATGAGTCCCATGGAGCTTGAGATGCATCATCAGATCCGCAACATCATCGGAGTCAATCCCACTTTCTACGAGTTTATCCTACAAGTGGACGCTGATACAGTTGTTGCACCCGATGCTGCTACCCGATTCGTTTCATCTTTCTTAGCTGATACTCGTCTCATCGGTGTCTGTGGAGAGACTTCCTTGTCCAATGCCAAAACATCCATGGTCACCATGATCCAGGTTTACGAGTACTACATTTCTCATAACTTGATCAAGGCATTCGAAAGTCTCTTTGGGTCCGTGACTTGTTTGCCGGGTTGTTTCACCATGTACCGCGTACGCTCCTCAGAAAGTGGCAAACCGTTGTTCGTCAGCTCGGAGATTATCGAGGCCTACTCAGAGATTCGTGTGGATACCCTCCACATGAAAAACCTGCTTCACCTAGGTGAGGATCGATACCTGACCACGCTACTGATGAAGCACCATCCCAAGTTTAAGACGAAGTACATCTTCCGTGCCCACGCTTGGACCGTGGCTCCGGAGAGCTTTGCTGTCTTCTTGTCCCAGCGTCGCCGATGGATTAACTCAACTGTACACAACCTGATTGAGCTAGTTCCGCTGCAACAGCTGTGTGGTTTCTGCTGTTTCAGTATGCGGTTCATCGTTTTCATCGATCTGCTGAGTACCGTTATCCAACCCGTCACTGTCGCCTACATCGTTTATCTGATTGTCTATATGGTCGAGGACACCTCGTCGATCCCATGGACATCTTTCGTTCTCCTGGGTGTGATTTACGGTCTACAGGCCCTCATTTTCATCCTCCGACGCAAATGGGAGATGATTGGCTGGATGCTCATCTACATCCTCGCCATTCCCGTCTTCACCCTTGCTCTCCCTCTGTACTCTTTCTGGCACATGGACGACTTCAGTTGGGGTAACACGCGTATCATCACAGGAGAAAAGGGTCGCAAGGTCATCATCTCCGACGAAGGCAAATTCGACCCCGACTCCATTCCAAAGAAGCGCTGGGAAGATTACCAGGTCGAGTTGTGGGAGGCACAAACTTCGCGCGACGACCGCTCCGAGATATCGGGTATTTCCTATGGCACTAAGGCGCACGCCTTCCCGCCTCATTCCGAATATGGATTCCCCGGTTCCCGGCCTGTTTCCCAAATGGATCTGCCGCTACTTAACTCGGGATCGCGTCTTTCCGTCGCGCCATCTGATATGCTCAGTCGCCATATGGATATGGATATGGGCATGGAGGATTTGAGCCACCTGCCCAGCGACGATGCTCTCTTGACTGAGATCCGGGAGATTCTGAGCACGGCAGATCTGATGAGCGTGACAAAGAAGAGTATCAAGCAAGAGCTTGAGCGACGCTTCGGTGTTAACCTTGACCTCAAACGCCCGTACATCAACTCTGGTATGTTTCTCGCATGTGTATGTTCAAACTACCCACTAACATTGTAACTCTCTAGCTACCGAAGCCGTCCTTTCAGGTCTTCTCTAACCAGGCTATATCAGCCTCCGGTCTCATTCCGATCGCACCAGTGACCTTGGATGAGACTAACTTATTCGAACATGTGTTACTATTAATGCCTGTTACTTGGAAGTATCCAAGGTTGTTTGAACGTTTGCAATTTTTTCTTTTTTTTTCTTTCAAGCGACATATTTGCATGGATGAGAGCTTTTCGAGCGAGCACATGGTTTGGCTATTCCTAACTGTCCGAACATTTTCTACGGTTCATAAAATAGTTATCGGGGGAACATATAGGAATCCGATAATACCGGTTCACTGGTTTAATTTAATTTGACTTCCTCAAGTTCCGTCGCATGTGTAACAACTTGGAAGGTTTTATTTAACCTGCATATTCCGGCATGATATCAATAGGCTGACAGTGCGCCACGCCAAGTGGGGTTGGCGATCGAACTTCTATTCTCAAGTTCAACAACCTTGGAAGTCCATCTCGAGTGAAAGGTCTCCAGCTGGTGCTTAAAGATTTAAATTCTCCGATCTCCACATCTCTTCAAACCCACATTCTAAGGTTTTTATATTCTTAACCGGCTCCCAATATATATCCACCGCAAGGCTGAACTGGAACCTTGGGACATCCCCACATCTACGATAAATAAACATTCAAGTTCAAACCAACATGACAGACCCAACCCCAAACCCAACCACAACATCTACACAAATTCAACCCCAAACAGATCCAGGCCAAGACCCAGATCTCGACCAACGCCAAAAGGAAGCCCTAGCAGCCTTCACAGCAACCCTCCACAGCGTAGGCACGAACCTCGAAGCACCGCTCCGCGAACGCGCCGCAATCATCAACTCTAACGCCCTTTCCCTGGAAAGACAGGAGGCTGAGCTGGCGGGTCATTCGGCGGCACTGGCGAAGCAGAATGACGGGTGGGAGAAGGTGGCCGATGAGACGAGGGCGGGGTTAAAGGAAATTGGAGATGTGCAGAATTGGGCGGAGATGATTGAGAGGGATCTGTTGGCTCTTGAGAGTATGATGGACGAGGTTGAGGGAGGTGGGGATGGGATGGATTTGGATGAGGATGGGCGCGTTGATGGGGATGGGAGTGCTAATGCAAATGCAAATGGTGAGGCAGATATGAACGGACATGGGACTGGGAATGGAGTCGAGGATGGAAAGAAGGAGAAGAGAAGGACTTGGTTTTCTTGGTGGTGATTCGAGCTATATTGTATATTCATGGATATCATTCAATGTTCCTGTTCCTATTCCTCCTCTTCCTCTTTCTCCTCATCCACGTATCGTCGCCATAGATCCAGTCCCATATTTTCATGTGAATCACGTTGCGAGTCTGGATCTTCGTGATCATCATGATCTTCATCATACTCACTCCATTCCTCCAACTGCCCTAGACGCACTAAATGCCTCATCGTAGGTCGACCATGAGGACAGTTCCACGGCTTATCAATGGTACCCATGTTGTGAACAACGCGCTGCATCTGACGCATCGTTAAGTTCTTTCCGATCATGATACTGGAGCGACATGCGCGCATCGCAAACATCTTCCGAACTTTGCTAGGTCGGGGAACGGAGATTGCGTGGTTGGCAGGAGACTCGGATAAGAGAGCGATCAACTCCTCAAGATCACGAGATCCAAATACTACCTCCTTGCTGAGAGGCAATGAGATAAGCTGGCATCGACGACCGATGGGCTCGTCGCCACTTTCATCGACCGTGACGATGAACCCGTTCTTCTCGAGAGCGGATCGATTCTCGAGCACGATTTCTTCTTCGACGGCTGTCAAGTCTAGTCGTTGCGGACGGACAAGCCGCTGGTTTTGAACAACGGTTTCGGCTTGGAGTCGTTCGAAATTGAACTTCTCGTCCGAAGCATGTTGGTCGATGATGAAGAGTTCGTCATGGTCATCGCTGGGTCGGACGGCAATGATAAATCCTAGGTTAAATTGACCGATGATACGCATCTGGTTGAAGTCCGTTTTGCTGACGGTGAGAGAGAGTTTGTCTTCGGCTGTCTTTTCATCGGTATCAGCATTATCGGCTTGGGATGGTGCTCTTCGGGGTTGTCTCCAACCCCGTAGCTTGTTCATTTGAGACCGAAGTCGGGAGACAGAGGCGTCGATCGTGCTGATGAGGTTGACGGTAGCGTCACGGTGCACCGCACCCTTGTTCATTTTGTTGGCCCGACGGGCGTTGTGTTCACCCGGAAGAACGGCTGTTTTCTCGGCCTCTTGGATCAGATGTTGAACTTTTGCTTCTTCTTGGGCTTTCTTCTCGGCTTCGCCAAGATCATTTTGAATACCACCAGCGGTTGTCTCTTTGCCAGTATCTTCTTCATCGATATCTGGTTGAGGAGCGCGATCATGGGGTTCATCCTGAACATCGTCTTGATCTTGAGGCTCCGGGGAAGGGGCTTCTGGATACTCAGTTTCTTCCTCACATTCTTCATCCTCTGCCTCCGCCTCCTCTGCTTCACCATCTTCATATTGCCCATCATCCCCGAGTTCTTCATCCTCGTCTTCATCCTCGTCCTCATCTTCCGCCTGCGTCCCCGGTGCCGCAAAGGCTTTCATATGTTTTCCAAATATGTTGGGCCTTGAAGGCGTATGAATTAGTCGCTTGCGTTTTGGGGGATCACCACTAGTGGAAGAGCCATAGTCAGAGGTGCGCTTCCTCGGTCGACCACTTCCTACCATTGATGTCACAGTATGGCCACCGATTGTGATAGTGGCCATCTCGGCCGGCATTCGACGAGGGCGCATGCGATCGAAGGCATTTTGAACCACATTTGGTGTTTCTTCGGATTCCTGAGTTCTAGACACCGAGACTTGTCCTACTTCAGACGGCTGAGATGAACTCTCATCTTCAGGAGTAGCTTGAACTGGTGCCGACGCTGGAGCTTCATCGCCGCTCAAAGCTCGACTAGGTATTAAATCCAAGATTGGCTCGGGCGAAGCGGCAACCGAAGGCAGTCTCGGTCGCCGTGGCACCGTTGTAGCTTTTGTAGGAGACGATAGAGGATCCAGCTGACTGGATTCATTCTGCGAGCTCATAAAGCGACTCGTACTCTGTACAGTTTGACTATGTGCTTCCGGTTGACTAACTCCAGACTCTTCTCCATTGTGTTGACGCGGAGTTTTAGGAGACGCCGACGCACTCTGAGCAAGCTGTCTTGCAGTCACAAAACCTGGCAAGGACGCTATCCCTTGTTGCTTGCTTGCCGTGGCCTTTAGCTGGGTATGAGGGACTGTCTGGTCCGCCGCCTCAAACAGCTGCGCCAGCGAATTCTTCAGCGACTCAATCAGTGCCGCAGCATCATGAAGCAGGATAGTCCGCTTATCCGGCGACACATTCACATCATAAGCATTGGTATCCATCTGAAAATCAGCAAAGATAAACGGCGACTGCGAGACATTAAACGATTTATACACTTCATTAAATGCCCTCCCAATTTGTGGCAATCCACAGGGCCGCGAATTCACAAAGAACATCTGCCGGTCAGGCGTCTGACGACCCTCCCCGAAAACAGGTCGTGAGATGTGTCCGCGAACCTGAATCCGATTTACCTGTCCATCGTCTCCGGCGCGTTTCATCGCATACGAAGGCTCGAATTCCAATTCCAGATCTAGCGGAATGAGCGCAGAGAGCGTCTTCGCACCGTAGACATTGGCAATGTTCTCTTTAGTCGTGCGATTATTGTTTGTAGAAAAGACAACCACGTTCTTCGTCTTGCCGACCGTGTTCCGGACGCTGAATCGAACAGCTGTGCTGATACAGGCATATGCATGGAGGAGGTTCAATACTTTGCCGTATTCCCGCTTGATATTCTTCTCCAGTTCTCGTCGGCGGACGGGAAGGCGTTTAAAGATTCCTTCCACAGATGCTGTGGTGCCTTTCTGACCTGCAACGATCTGGGTCTTTTTTAGTTTGCCCGATACCTCAAAATCAAGCCGATTCGCTTTCGGGGCTTGATGTGCTTGGGCGGTTATAATGTGGAAATCGGCGAGGGCGCAGAGGGAGGAGAGGGCTTCGCCGCGGAAGCCGAAGGTGTGGAGAGTTGTGAGGTCATCGTATGAGGATAGCTTAGAGGTATAGTGTTTTAAGGCTGGTTTATATCGAATGTCAGTGCTGAGAACAGCGTTTCAACCCTTGGGGCACCGCTCACCAATTGATTCGTGGTTCTCCGGGGAGATACCACTGCCGTTGTCTTGGACCTCGATCAGGTCCAACCCATTATTCTTGAATCGAACCTCTGAAAGAAATAGTCAATTGACCGGTATTCTGAGTATCCTCAGTGGCTACCCACCGATGCTTGTTGCGCCTGCATCGAGACTGTTCTCGACTAGCTCTTTCGCGACGGAGCATAGGTCCGTGATGACCTGGCCAGACTGGATTTGGTGAACCTGATGAGATAAAGTTAGAGGGATGAAATATATTAGTAAGCCACAAGAGATAATACCGAGCGAGCCTCGATGGCCTTAATGGTTGCCATTAGGCTGTTGATGTTAAGGAGCGCGTCGCACTTTACGCGTGGAGAGCACATGGTTTCTGCCAAGCTAAAGCTCCACTTGATCCACATAAAAGGCATGAATAAGAAGTATAGAGTACACAACACTTGAGTCTCTTGATCTGGAATTTTCCCTTCGGAATAGCATAATAATTGCATTGCTTGTGGGATATATGCCGAATGAAAAGAGACTTTCTACCGTCACTCCCCTAAAAAATCAGTAAAATGAATTTTATTTTTCCAATACATTCAGTCCACACCACCTTCGCAGGCGCCTTCCAACCTTAGATTTTCTAGTCTACCTAACCCAACCCAACCTCATATAGAAAATAGGGCTTAACATAAGGGAGGGTATCACCAACTCTCTCTCTCTCTCTCTACCCCTCTATTACTTGGGTACACCGCAGACTTTTTGGGCATACGTTCGAAACCTCCACCGGATTTTTGCTTTTTCCCCTTCTACTTCCACTTGATTGTTCCTCTTTTTCTCTTTTTTCCTCTTTCTTTTCTATGTCGCTATTCATAAATTTGGGGAGACCTTTGACTGTTAGATTAATACGACATGAAGAAGGTAGAATACTGGATAGGATACTGAGTAGGAGACTAAGTAGATGATATTTAATCAAGTAGTCATGGGTTGCAATAAAAGTAGCAGAGGAATACTTATACGATGATCGGGTGGAACTTTCGACATTTCGTCGGTTTCCTATCTTGGAGAAAGGGGAGTGACCGTAGCAGAGAAGGGAGTGACGGTAGAAAGTCTTCATGAAAATTACATATCACTTATCGCTTAGAACGCCCGGAAATTCTCAACTATGACACCAATGGATAACGCAATAATCAAAAGCGGTCGGGCAACAAAACAGGTGCAAGCAATGTCCACAAGTAGATAGCATAGCAAACCCAAGAGCTAACAATCTTCACCCAGCTGGCCCAGTAAGTCCGGCCCACAGGCGCAAAGTCGATATCGGTTGTGTCAACCTGCAACCCTTGCGCCAACAAGGTGGCCACCCAGGTAGTGGCGAGGAAGAAGATGATGTGGAAAAGTGTATAACTGTACTGTGTAGAACCACGTTCATCATCCTTGCTGCTGGTCTCGAATTCGTCCTCGTCGTCACTCTCATCCAATGCGCTAGCCGGCAGACTTCCGCTCTCGACCGCAGCTCGGAGGGCCTCTGCCCGCATTTCACGACGGCTGTTAGGCTGCTGGGTGACCAATCCATGCTCGTCATCTTCCAACTGTACGTAGCTGTGGCCACCCTTGGATCCTAGCGCAATACCCTGGGTAGCAGCGCGCGTGGTCGTGTATGCGATGGTGGCCATGGTGACAATGGCACCCAAAATGACGGTGACGGTCCTAGTACCGCTGGAGCGGATTAGGGGGTTGCAGTGGTTGTCATCCGGCTCCATGGACACAGCAGACAGGGTAAGGTAGGTGCAGTAAACCGTGACCATGGCAGCCTGGGCCAAGCCTGCCCGCGGGTTTGAGTCCTGTACAACGGGCTGCACGGAAACGATGGAAATAATCAGGAAAAGAATCAAGTTGACCTAAAAGCTGTTAGTTTCACCATAACCCGTTGAAGAATGAGAGATAATACCGAAATCGCAGCCTGGTTCATGGTGCACGAGCCCCGAGCAAAAAAGATGAACATCAGGATCGTCATGACCGTGGAGGCCACGTACATGCCGAGAGTCGATCCAACAAGTAGACCACGCCACAGGCGCGAGTCACTATCCTCAATCTTCTGCAGACAAAGCTCGGCCCAAGAATGCGCAAGATCTACCAGCAAGATCAGACCCAGAAGAAGGAAGAGCATGGCGCAGAAGAAAGCGATATAGTTGCCGTAAACAAAGAAGAAGGATTCGGGGATAAAGAACGACATGACAACAAATGCCAGCCATAGGATGACCTTCGGTCCCCAGAAACCATTTTGAAGGGCGGCGCGGGTATCCCGAGAAGACTTAACACCAAGGAGCAAGAGGGCGAGAATCAAGTGGAAGAGACCGAGAGCAAAGTTGATACGGTGCACCGCTACCCAACCGTGACATTCCTTGCCATCGCATCGAATTTCCATGTAATCGAGGGTTAGATGTTGTAGTTTCTTCAATGCCCATGGCGTGAGCATGATCCAGGAAGCAATTGAGTTGATCAAGAGGATAAAGGCATAGGCGATTCTCGTGGCCATACTATGCTGTAATTAGTGCCAACTCTCTCTGCGCTAGGCAGCCAGGATATCATACCTATTCTGAAATTTCCCACATGCACTGCAGACCGCAGAGCAAGTGGCTGCACCGCAACATGACCCGCCAACCGTGAGGATCTGTTGAGTAAAGAAGAGTCATCAGCGAAGAGCTTGTCGGTTGCGCTCGGAAAAGACCTTACCGTGCTCACGCTCGGTATCGCCAATAGTGGCAGAGATAATAGAGCGCCCATGGTGGGGATGAATGGGATAAAGTGACCAAGCAAACCAGACTGTGACTAGGCGCCTTGGTAAGTATGAGCTTTATGCAGTACCAAAGTTAAGACGACTTCGTGAGGAGGTTCCTGAAGTGGAGTTGACGATCCCCAGCCCGCCTTCGTCATGCCTGGTCACATGTCGCTTATGTAATCCTTGGGCGGTTAATAATCATCCCGCTTTCAACGTAAACTATGTTTGTTGACGAATTTACAACATCGGACGAATATATACAGGTAAGTAGAAGATACTGAGATACGGTGGATTGTAATTAAAACAACTTTGGAAAGTTTGGTAACCTGGAAAGTATTATGTACCTCTGGTGTTATAATGAAATCTGGGAAATACATATACTATCCATAACCTTGAAGATCTTTAGATTAAGATCAGCGTGGACGTGAGGTCTGGAGGCTGGATCCACAGTGGCAAAGCTTGGCCTGGCACTACGTTCATTGTAAATTGGCACACATCAATAGTCTGTTAACTTTTCGCAAAGTGCGTAAATTGGATGTCGAGCGCGTTTCGCCTATTGGGGTGCTTCGATTCATGGGCTCACCCAGTGCTTCTTCTGCCGCGTACCAACTTTCTGGTAAATCCACGGGCTCTCTGTACCGTCCAAGAGATCCTGAGCAATGAAATCTGCATTATCCTCAAGTGTTGTTTTGTATGACGACACTTGACTCAGAACATTCAAGTAGCCTCCAACCAGTGGTGTAGCCAACAATTTGGACGACCATTCAGGGGGTGAAGTGCTAGCAACCGAGAGATTTTTGGCCGATGCTTCATTTGCGAGAGGATACGTCCTTTCGCTCAAAGGATACATAACACCAGGACAGAGTACAGACCACTGAATACCCGATGGGGGCAGGGCCTGAAGCTTTTCCCAGGTGTGACGGTGTTGCGGGAACATTCGCAAACTAGATTTGAACCCCGTAAGTACATTACACGGCAGATGGCAAGTCCAATCTACTTACTAGTCCACAAGTTGGTATTTGGTGTTGGGAAGGTCCAATAGGCCGATTCCTCCAAGGAACCACATCCGCAAGGGGGTTTGGCGTGTTTGGCCCATCTCCAATGCGGCGGCAATGACTGCATCCACGATTGAAGGGAGATCACTCTTTCCCCAAGGTACCATGGAAGCATAGCCAGCTGAGTTAACGATAGCATCACATTGATGCTTATTTCCGGCCGCTATGATATCGGCGTGTTTTGTGGCATCGCCATGCTCCACAGCTAATAACTGAGGGATGATGCTAGGAGGGAGTTTTGAAGAGTCGCGCGCAAAGGCGACAACAGAGTGTCCTCTCGCCAAGAGTGCGGACAGGATGCGGGAGCCAAGTTTCCCGGTGGAACCCAAAACCAGAACCTTCATTTTGCAGCGAGCTCACTATGTCGTCGAGGACTTCAGGGGACGTGGGCGATGTGATGGGAAGGGAAAGAAGACGAAGCGATTTATACAGGGACAGGAATACACGGGATCCCCGGAAATACTTTACTTAAGTTGCACACGTCATAATGAGTTGGAAAAATTCTTATTGACAGATAAAATCAAAGCTATAGCCGCTAGTGTCCCCAATGATGGATATCCCCACTCTATCGCCGGAGCAACTTTTCGGAGTAACTTTAAGTGGGGGGGGGGGGGGGGGGAAATAGGATGTTGTCTCGATACCTGTCCGTCTCGCGATTTGTGGAGAGAAATATTTTTTAATGTGTGATCTCACCTGAGATACAAATGAAACAAGTTTTTAATTATATGTCAAAGGAGGAGCCCATGGAGTGCAAATTCAATTGGCGATGTCCGATGAGTGATGGGAAGACGTAAAATACCATTGTATAGCATTTGCATATCTTGGGATTACCGTGCACTCTAGCCTCCTTCTCCTGTTGGAATATTACAACGCTATCTCAAAGCCTAATTCATAAGACAACCGAAATAATTGGAAGTAAAGACTGACTTTCATGCGAGATTGCTGTGCGAGGCTAGAAATCGAGCAACTGCCCCTTGAGTGAATGAAATTGCGAAATACTTCCTTCCTTCACAACCATTACGAAGGTCCCAATATTCAATGTTTGGCCTAAAGCTCCAATACACGAGAGTGATCCAGGACCTGTTGAGCACCAGCTTGGGTAAACGACACAGTCGATCTAGACAAGAGTTAATATCAAACTTCCGCCGGACCATTTAAACAAATTGTTCAATACTCACCCATTCTTAGCATCAACTTTTTCGACAAGAGGGTATGGCCAGGACCCATCGCGCAGTGGATCTTGAGGTCCATAAAATCGAACTAGATCAATCAGCACCAAACTTGCAGCTTTCTTGAAAAAAGCATGGGATTAACTTACGGGCGAATGAAATTTTGCCCTTACCAGAGGGTGTTGGCAGCCAGCTGTGAAGTAGAAAGGTCGGTTAGACCATCAAATAATGAATAATGAGGTGATTTCTTACTTGGATGTCCCACTTGCGGGCTGCTGGGATTGAAGGAGAATGTCAAATGGACCTTCCTGGTCTTGATCTTCTCCGTAAACAGGGGTACCATCCAAATAGGTAAGGTTGGAGAAACTGCCAAGCGAATACTGGTTCAAGGAATTCGCTATCAGGTTTCCATCAGGGCCATAGGCGGTCAAACTCCAGAACCCATATTCTTTCAACGGAGGGCGGCTGTTGAATGTCAATTTGTATCCTTGATTCGATTCGGAACTGAGTTCCTCGTCCTCGGTGTATATGGGGTACAGGGCCTCCTCAAAGCTCAAAGCTAAATAGTTCACTCGAGAGGTCCAGGCCCTGATATCATAGCGCCCGCTATCAAATTGGAGCGGTTCCAACTTCCAGCCGTTGTCGAAACGTATGACATCTTCCCCATGTCCCGCTTCTTCCACTGTCTTGTTAGCTTTTTCGGCCGCCCATTTCAGATCAACCCCTTGGGACTGGTAAGAGCCACCCAGACAGCCGGCGCGCTGCAAAGCGTCAGAGACGGCCCAGTTCGGATTTTTACTGCGATCTAAATCAGCATCCTCAATTCTGCAAGTCAATTGCATAAGGCGCTCCGTGGCGACTTCGGAGAGCTCCTCGGTCAGGACGTTCGCATGCAGACGACGGACTCCGGCGAATGGCTTGTTCACTGTATACATTCCGATCTCGTTTTGGAGGCGATGCACCTCGTCCACATCTGACCCATTCTTGACTTGTAGCTGAGCCACTAATATTCCCCATGCAGTTGGGGAATACACAGATGACTGATAAAAGCCCTCCGGTCCATGATGCTCAACACCCGGCTTATTGCGCCGATAGCTTATGCGGTATCTTCCTTGGGTGGAGCCTTGGGTTGACCCGATATTGGCATAATTGCCTGCATAGCTAAATCGCATCCACAGTCAATCTCACTTGCTCTGAGACTGCGAGGAATCTCATCTACTTACACGTCATAGATTCCGAGAACCCAGTAACGGTCCGGAATGCCAGGAATTTCCACCACAAGGTCATCGGAAGACAAGTCGATTATTGCCGTTGACGAAAGAGTGTTCACATTAGGAAAGGCACCGGCTTTGGAAGCTGGAGTTGGAAGGTCCTTTGTATGATTAAACTTGTTGGAAGAAGTATGATTCAAGATTGGCAACGCGAGTTCAGCGAATGGGAGGGCTGGGTAGCCATACTTGCTCGCCATCTAGTTAGTTCCAATCCTTCAAGCATGAAAACGTAAAACATACCACAAGGGCAAATACCGCTGCTTCTTCCAATGGACTTTCTCCTGAAGTTTTTATTGGGTTGGCGGAGGCCAGAGAAGCCAACGAGGCCGCGAGAGCAAGAGTGGAAACCAGCGGTAACTGCATGGTGACCGGTGAAAGTGCTTGTGATACAGCTGACTATTCCTAGGACAAAATATGTGGGAAAATGTGCCTTTTATACACATTTGAATTCACTTTAAACCAGAAGTAAGGATTAGGCATGATCTAATGACTCCGTACCAAGGACCAATTTCAAATGTGATCACTCTCGTCAAGGTTATTGGTTCATCGTCTGCAGCTATGTCTCATACATACGTATTTTGATGCATTCGGGTCACACAGCGAAGAAAATCACCGCCACCTTTCAAATTTTGTAATTGAAATCACCCGAGTTAGCATAAGTCATTGGCTGAGTTATGTGCGATAGATCCTGCATATGATCGGTTCCAAGCGTGCTCAAATAATTATATCCTTTTTCTTGGCTTTATGGCGTCAGGCAGCGGAGGTAGCAGGTGCATGATATACTGCGTAGAGTCTTCAAATCGCACTCCAAATTGTTTCCTTTGCGAGCAGAATCACAGCACACGCATGAACTGATGACCTCATGAGTCATTTGAATCTTTGAGAAATAACGTACCGAATCAAATGGTTAAGCAGGTTTTTGGCGATGGATAACTTGCGATCATCAGTCAACAAATATGCGTCAACTGGAGATGCATGTACATGCATATATTTGCCCCACACAGCTAGCTCATGAAAGGGGTATGCTGGTCATCCAAGGAAGTGTACTGTATACCATGGTAAGGCTGGATCAAAAGATTGGTGCTATGTTCAAGGAAGGATTTTCCATGTTGATTGGCAGAGACTATGGTAGTTCAGACGAGGTGTTTCCTTCTTCATGAGCAGCTAACTATCCTGGATTGTATTTGTTTTCCCATCACACTTATGAGACCTCACTTGTTGCAGGGAATAAGCAATATGGCCAACTTGCTTGCATTGCCTCTTGTGATTGGTCGGGGAATCAAAACATATGCAGGGTTCAGCTCACCCAGAGATTACAGCATTGGAGAATGAGGCAAACGATTTCATCTTGCGTTATCTTCAATCTTGAGTGGTAAACGTGATCATGATGAAACCCAAATCTAACCTTTATATCAGGCAAAATAGAAGTACATAAAGACTATTACTTAGTGTTTGTTTGCCAAGTGAGGCAGATCGACAGACGCTAGATTCAATTTGAACTAGCGCCGGAGGAACTTTCGCGGCGGATCTTCAACTTTGGTCCAGTTGAACTCCGGTGTTTCTTCACGCCCCATACTTACTGCTGATTCTTGTCAATTTCTCGGCCAATGGACATGCAGATGCAGGACGGTGGAGGCCTAGAATCAGGTCCACCAGTTTTGCCCTTGCATCAGTTGATCACAGACGGGAATGCGCGCCAGTCTCGGAACCCAGACCGCAAGAGAGTATGCGATACCTGTATACGGTACCTTCTATATAACCCTTATAACCTAAGATTGACTTGAACTGACCTTGTTTCCAGAAAGAAAGTTAAATGTATGAAGTGTGTCTTACAAATTAGGTGACGAAATGTCCTAAACAATGCCTCTTCAGGTGATCAAAGACAGCCCACCTGCAGCCGATGCCTCGCTCGAGGCGAAACATGCACTTATTTGTCAATGCGACGTAAACCTGGTCCTTTGCGTGGCGCAATCTATGCAAACTCTTCATCGAGACTCCAAAGATCCAGTAATCTCTCTTTGAAATTAGCCGATCAGTAGTAAACCGATTACTCACTGTTTCACAGATCCAACTTTCGCGGTCGGGCAAAACACCACGAAACAGTCATCCAGCTCCTCGCCCCCTACATCTTTCCAAGAGTCACGTAGCACACCCCAAGTACCAGCTATATCTCTGTACGATTTTCTTTACCTTTATGGCAAGACTCAACTCACCATTTTCATTAACAGCATTGAGAAATACTTCGATGTTATTCAGGATGCAAACCCTATCTTCTCAAAGAAAAAGTTTCTGCGCGACTACCAGCTCTCACGATGTGATCCAGACCTCGTATCCACAATAGTTGCGATTACTGCGAAGCTAAATGGCCTCAACTCCCTCGCGGATGACAACAGTTTAGATGCTCAAATTGACCGGCTTTTGAGTTCCAGCCTACTAGAAGACGACATTATAGGTACTACTCCATCTCTTGATCAATTTCGCAAAGCCTGTCTCCTGGCCTTTTATGATTTCCACCAGTTCCCAGGACACCAGTCCTGGATGCGCATTGACCAAATCACACGCATGGCTTATCGCACGGGACTAGATCGACTTGAAAGCTTGCGCGAACTTCATTCTGACTGGGGTGCATTGAGTAATGACGAGATCCAAGAGTGGCGATCTGTGTGGTGGTGTATCTATCGCCTCGATACTTATTCCAATCTGTCATCAGGCACCCCAAATCTGATTGACCACCAGTTCGTAAACACATCTTTTATTCTTGACCAATCTTCAGCTGAGAATGTTCCTCAACAAGTACACTTGCCATCAGACTATGCAGATCTTTGCAGATTACTTCCAGTGTTTGCGTTGAGTCCAAAGACGTTTCTTCTAAACGTCCATATCCTGTCTATCGCTGCTATGCGGCAAACAGGAACGGCCATACGAATGCATTTTTCACGACCAAGGGATGATATGACCGAGACACTTGCCAATGTTCAACGCCAGCTCTCTATTCTTTCCTTATCCTTACCACCCGGGTGGTTCAATCCCGCACGCAACGCATTTGCAGACGAGTCCCATGACGACCATCATGCAAGACTGGTCACTGTTCTCCACCTCATGATGGCACGATTACTTCTCACAATCCTCACGTGTGCCCATACAAATAAAGAAGAGCCATCATTGACCTGGCAAGAAGTTCTCGAGGTCTGCCAGGACATCGCTTCAGTCATGGAGCAGTGGAACTCATTATTCTGCATCAAAGTGGACCCAGCAATCTCGTTCATTCCATTTACAGCACTCATTTTCCTTGATCTCCATAAGAAGTCGACCGCAGTGGCTGAGCCTACTCTCCTGTCGAAAATACAGTATAATCAGACCGTTCTTCGTTTACATCTCGAGCAGTTCGCAAGGACTTGGACTCTTCCGAGACTTCTGAATTGTAAGTACGGAACAGCCACGAATAACCCGCAATATCTAAATATTTGATGTCTAGTGTCATTTGCGAGTTTCAGCGAATCTGTTCCTGGCCCGCTGTCGTATCATCATATCTGGGTGATACTTTCACGGTTTGAAGCCCCTCTTCATCCAAGATGGCTTCATTTCCTTTCAACGGCACATTCTCACTTAGAACTTTTCTCTTGATGAACGTCATTATTCAAAGCCTAGCAACAGGCATCTTTATCTTCTATTTCCGGTGCCACTATCGGCATCTGGCTAAGGCGCCGCCACCGGGCGCTTAGGCGGATCTATTCTCTCTAATACATATCCCGAGATTGCATGTGAACAAATTGAGATTCGGCATGGCAACGCCTGATAGGTCCTTGTTTGATAGGCTCCAAGTGTTGGCCTAGTAGAGGCTTTCCGCTTGACAAAAAGCGCGGCGCCTGGAACAGCTACCAACTTTCCATACTTCGTTTACCGTTTGTCTACTCGATCTCCTGCCGTATTGATTGAACAGTCGAAGGGCTTTCTAAAAGAGCTCTCATATATATAGGCAACTTGCGCGAGTCACACAATCTCAAACTGACATTGGGGTGCCTCGCATTTGTAACGGATTGGCCCTTTTCCGCCCCGTACTGCCAAAGCGGTGGGGCCCAATGCGGATCACGTGCACTCAATCTGCCACTGATTTCGGCTGCCATGTTTACTACTAATACTAACATGTAACGTAATGCAGTTTAAGCAAATTGATTGAATTGACGCGGAAAAACTTCACTTTACATATGTGGATCTTCCAGTATATGATATTTTCTACTTCCCTTCCAGGGGTTTACGTTAAGGCTAAGTGAGGGGATACGCTAAACCATATAAGGCGATGCCGTCATGGTATTGATATACGAAGTATGCTCGTATATCAAATCACACAATTCCTGCACTTCTTGCATAATTTCGCGGTGCGTTGTTATCATAGTCTCCATTTTGCCCAGATGTACTGGAACCTTGGAAGCCAACTGAGTACATTGAAAATTGAGAGAACAATTAAAGTATTTAAGCATCCTTATCACCGTCGCTCGATGACGTAACGCATCTAATCCGCACACATATGCACCTTCGTCGTTTGAGTGTGGATAAAACGTTTCAGATACTCTAAGGCCTGCATGAAGCTCCAATAAGCTGACAACATTGCACAATCAAAAAGTCTGATCTAGATGTATGTTGACTCCCACGAATGCTTGGCGCTCCGGGGATTTACCGGGTCCAGTGGAGCGTCTGCGCCCCCGTTATCGTGGCCTCCCCGTAGGCCGATTACGACGCTTCTGAATCTTCACCTTAACTCGGCCCCCTCGTTCGTTGTAGACTCGGATCTTCCGGCGCTGCTATTCCACCTCTCGTCACTCCTTTATCGGCTCCGATGTCCTGTCGCTAGACTTCTTTTTCCTCAATTATCTCCCGTGACCGTGCGCCCTGATAAACGCGTGACCCCAATTCCGCACACCGGTTACACTCTAGCTCCCATTGTCCTTTCACGGACGGTCTCTGCTGGAACAGGATCTAGTGGGCCTTTGTCATAATGCCTTCTGTTTCTCCTCATACTACCGCTCGGATTATATCCGTCGTTGCGGGGACGTTGATAGCTCTGTCTTGTGGGACAAATGTATGTGACTTTCGGCCGCTTGGCTTGACAGCGCGATGGCTGACCGGCTGACGGATACTTAGTATGCATACTCCGCATGGGCACCACAGTTCGCACACCGATTAAAGCTTTCCTCGACTGAGGGTAACCTTATCGTGAGTCGTGGTACCTCCCGTCTATAAAGGAGCCTCAATGTTGACAGCTTGGCAGGGTGTGGCGGGAAATCTGGGCATGTATGCCATGGGTATTCCCATGGGTCTATTGACTGATGCAAAGGGACCTCGACTTATTACTCTTATCGGTTCGGTCTGCCTGGGTCTGGGATACTATCCGATCTACCTAGGTTGGTTTCTTGTAATCGAGTCGCAGCAAGGAATTGAATCTAACACCTGCTAGCCTACCAACACGGAGAAGGATCGGTCCCTATTGTTTTCTTGTGCTTTTTCGCCTTTTTGACCGGTACCGGTGGTTGCGCAGCCTTTGGCGGTGCTATCAAAGTTGGTGCGTCATGCATGATCCCTTATCCGATTAGGTAGAGGAGCTAATCTCCTTACAGCGGCATCCAACTTTGCCGAGAACCGCGGCACTGCGACAGCAGTCCCGTTGGCTGCCTTTGGACTCAGTGCTCTATTCTGGTCCAATGTGTCCAGCCTCATCTTCAAGGATGACACGGGTAGATTCTTGCTGCTTCTCGCCTGTGGAACCACTATCCTCCCTTTGGTCTCTATCCCATTTTTGCGAATCTTCCCCAGCCAGAACGAGCCCTATGCTTCAATCCCAAACCATGAACAATCAGGCGCCCCCGAGTCGCAAAGAATGCGCCGACCGAGCACTGTTGGAGAACACACCGAGGAAATCCATGACTCCACAGGTTACGACCACGAGAACTCGGCGCACGTGCGCAGTCATTCCGTCCACTCGAACCACCGTGGCGGAGCATATAACCACGACCAGGACGAGAGCTCGTCATTGTTTTCCAAGCCTGATGGCCGGCCATCATTCGATACACTAGACGACGACTACTTGGCCGCCATTGCCGTGGATGCCCACCATCCCGATATCCGCGGCCTGGCCATGCTCAAGCACGTTGAATTCTGGCAATTATTCCTGACCATGGCACTCCTATCCGGTATCGGTTTGATGACCATCAACAACATCGGAAACAGCGCCAAGGCTCTGTGGTTATACTACGACGACAGCGCCACATCCAAGTTCATCCAGGAGCGCCAGATCATGCACGTTTCCATCCTGTCTTTCGGCAACTTCCTCGGCCGTCTCCTTAGCGGCATTGGCTCCGATATCCTCGTCAAGAAACTGAACATGTCCCGCTTCTGGTGTCTCTTCATCTCTGCCCTCGTTTTCACCCTCACCCAGCTTGCCGGCGCCTCAATTTCCAACCCGAACACCCTCGTCGTTGTCTCAGGCTTCACGGGTGTTGCTTACGGTTTCTTATTCGGCGTCTTTCCTTCCCTTACTGCTCACACCTTTGGCATTGGCGGTCTCTCCCAAAACTGGGGAGCCATGACTCTAGCCCCAGTGCTCAGCGGCAACGTGTTCAACCTTGTCTACGGCACAGTATATGATCACCACTCTGTCGTCGGCCACGACGGTGACAGCGAATGTCCCGATGGTCTAGTCTGCTACCGTTCCGCCTACTTTATGACATTCTTCTCAGGTCTCTGCGGCATCGTAGTTTGTCTATGGAGTATCTGGCGCGAGTCGCAGATCCACAAAAACCGGAAGAAGAATGGACACCGGATCGCATAAGTGACTGTTCTCTTTGAAAATGGTTGGTGTGGGTCCTGCCGGTTATTTAACTATTGGGATCGCTCGCTATTATGCTGCTGCGCGGGAGTGCGCATTATGATGCAGAATTGCTGGCCAATATCTCCTGACCCTGGAGGTAAAATATACGGGGTTTATGTTGTGCATTCTCTTTGGTTTTCTCGCTTAGACTTGATACTCCTTGCATTTACTGCGAATATTTCTTTTGTCTCTTCATCATTCCAAAGCCACATTTTATCAATGGTACTTGACAGTTTCTTATATTGAAATTAGACATGATGTTTCCACTTATAAGGAGTAGACTTGGTTCATAGAAGCTTAGATCATCTGAATCAAGAATAGAGATGACCAACATTAGATCATTTAGCATTCAGCTATCGTCATCGAATACCACGCTAGCTCCTAAGAGATTAAAAAAAGGAGACATGAAAATATCAAATTTCAATAAACACTCGGCTCGTTGACCTGTCAAACCAGCCGAAAACAAGCACCTTTCGCCTCTATCAGGGCATCCACGAACGAAACATAAGATCCCTGATCGATATCTCGATCCACATTGCAAAGTAAACAAAAGACAGAGTTCATGTAGGTTTTTTTCTTGGTTTCAACACGGCTGAACCTTGTCTGATCTTCCCACCCCTGTGTACAAGAATCCATAGAAAAAGGCAGGGATAGAAAGAAAAGGTAGGGAAGAAACAATGTATTAGAAGCATAATCGGAGATTCCGTACACAAACCCGTGGCAAAGAGCAAAAATTAAAGGAGACCTCTTGTGAAGCATTCCGACAAGAATCGGAAAGGAAATTATAATCAACCATGGTCGAGCTTTTTCTGTTGAAAATGGACGAGACGAAAAAAAATCCAAGCCACCGGTGACGAAAGAGTCGGGAAGGGTATCAAAAAGACCAGGGAAGATCGGACAAGCCAGCAGCCAAGCTTATAGCGAACTCCAACTACTCGAATGAACGGCGGAGAGGGCTAATGGGGCCATGACAATTGAGTGGTGGGAAGGGGCATTTTTCGTTTCTTTAAGCACTGCTTGGTGATTTGGTCTGCGTCGGAGATTGCTCGGGTGATTGCTCTACCACGTCCGACAGTCGGATTCGTTTGGCGTGGGGCTCTAAGAACTCCCCATCACCAGATAACTGACGTTCTAGATCATTGATATGTCGCTTGAGCTCTTCCTCGCGGTGCTGGGACTCTTCGAGCGATCGGCGCAGACGAGACTCGGAATCGCGGGCGATCATCTCCGATCGACGCGCGCTAGCGTCACTCTGCTCGAGTTCTGCGACTCGTCCACGGAACAGCTCATTGATCAGGTCAAGCTCACTGACGCGGGTCTTCAGGGACGTGTTGAGGGCCAACAGGCTTTCATATGTCTGCGGGGAGTCGAGCTGACGATCCACGGCAGACGGAGAAGGTTGACGCAGCGGAAAGGAAGGAAGACCCGAGTTCAGAGAACCGTCCCCTCGAGTGACGCTATCAAACATGTGCTGGGGCGCGATGTTCGAGTTGTGCATGGAGGCAAAGCCGGGTGTCTCTGTTCGCGACAAGGGGGAATTTGAGCGATCCGAGTGTCCCGGGGACATCTTACGCGACGCGCGACGGTAGCCATGCGAGCCCATAGGCGGGGTTCCCACATCGGGTTGTGTCGCGAGACCGTTGGCATCGATAGGGCCGCCAGACTAATAGATCACAATGGGAGTCAGTAAGCTGAGAAATTTCTTATCTAGGGTCCGAAGACGACAGGGTGCAGAGATTTCTTATGCGCCAGTCGCGTACTCACCTTGCGTTTGGGGCCCTGGCCAGTCTTCACGCGGTTGCGACTTTTAATCACATCGGTCTTCAGGCTTATCGGACGAGGCCGCCCGTGCAGCTTGAGGAACAAGCCGCAGGCATTGCAAAGCACGGAGCCGGATTCGTCCCTACGCCACAAGGGTGTGGTGGAGGTGCCGCAGTTCTGGCAGACGGGCTGTAATTGAGTTCGTTTGTCGTCAGTCAATGTACTCGCCATAGTGGAAATGGGGAAATTAAGGAAAGAACAAGATGGGATGGGGGTGGTTGATAGATGATAAGATTGGGGAGAGATTTGACGGGCTCGATAAGGGAGAGGCGCACGGATCGGGTGGTTGCCAAGGCCCCAGTTACTTGCGTGCAAAAGATAAGGATCCCGATAAGCCCCAAATGAAAATCATGAAGATAGGGAACATGCGACAGGGGAATTAATCAAGGAAAGTTTCAAAACTTACAGGACTACTACCTTGTCCACCAGTAGTCGCAGCTGGAGATGAAGTCACGTAGGTCATGTTTGCCATGTTCAAATTCGAATTCCTGGACTCGCTGGGAGGAAAATGAGGGTTAGCCAATCGATTCGCGCCCATTTCTGATGCGCCCTCATTGGATCAGCAGAGAGGGGTATACAGCTGAGTTGGTGAGGGGAAATGCATTCATCCTTTAAATCGCAAGATAGGGACGTCATCATCCCCCTCAACTTGTTATCTGCTGTCCTCCATGAACGTACCGTAGATTGGAGGTGGGCGCAGACGCGACCGAGGCAAGTGCCGCCAATCCTGGTAGGGAGGCGCTCACAGAGACTGAGCCAGGGAAACTCTCTCTGTACTCCGAACTATTGTACTTGCCAATACTGCTCAGATCTGGCAGCACTGGTGAGAATGATTTGGGGAGGTCGTTATCGGTAGACTGTGACGCCGGAGTGTCGACGGACGGAGACTCGAAACGGGAAAGCTCAGAGGATTGATGAGGAGGCGAGCCAGGTTTGAGAGCCGGGTCAATGGGCGCCGCCCGGTAGAGGATGGAAGCCACAATGGAGGAAGAGGGCGATGGTCGAGGGAAATCCGGCCGAGACCGAATTGTACGAGGGAGAGAGTCGATCGGAAGGATAGGGCGCGAGGTATAGTAATCCGCGAAATGAATTTCGGTGAATTGTGGAAAAAATTCAGATCAACAGAACTCCAGGATGCGTGCTTGGGTTCATTGAAGACAATGGCAACGGGGAGTCGTGGGTCCTTGGTCGTCGGACGTTATGCTAACGAATACTCGCAGAGACTCGCCAGAGACAGCGATGAGGTTTCCTCGTGGGAGACCAAATCATCAGTAGAACAAGAGAATGACAAGTCAAGTAATCCTCACAATTGATACTGCGAAGAAAAGGGTTCAATCGCGATCAATGGAGTTGGAGGTTGGAGGATGCGAAGATGCAGAAATGGATCTTATCCTTCCCGATTGTTATTATCGCGTATCGAAATTATCACTTATCGTGCTGGGTACATGGGGCTGGGCACGGTATGGTGGTAATTACCATGAAATCTAGAGCCATTCAAGCCTTTTTGGTTTTGCTTTAATTCCAATTAGTAGTTATTGGAATGTGTTTTTATAGAATTTGATATCCTTTGAACCCTGCCTCCCCCATTAATGCCCCATTCCAATGAGGCATGTAGACTATCGGGTTGAAAAGGGTATTCGCATATAAGGTAAAGAAAACTTTATAGATAATTCGTTGCCTTACATATAGATAGTTGTACTCGTCTACTTACAGAATAGCATGAAGCCATAGACCTGTATGTGATGTTCATCATTACCTAGTATAAAATGGATGGTTCCAATGGGCTACGCTAATGGCCCTTTGTAGACAGTTGGTCAATTGACTATGTGGGTCAATACAGGACCTCATTTCCCGGCTTTTGGTAAACCTATTGCGATAGTCCAGTAAACCTTGGAAGACCGAACCACAAGCACAGCGTCAACCCCCTTTATGCGGGTGGGTTAGGGGAGGTGGAGACTGCGGCAAGTCTGTGGCGGTGCGAGTATTTGTATTACCGCATGTTACAACAATTAACCTGTGGCTTGAATTGTATCATTGGCCAAATATTGTAAATTACCAGTTATTAGACCCGCCTCCGGTCAAGCCCCTGCCTTTAGCCATGTCTGGCCATAATAATCAATCATGACGGGATGTGTTATTCCTCTGCCTACAAGTCCTCTCTAGACATATCTCATCTAATGGAGTGATTCTTTTAATTGTCCTTCGTTTTTTCCTAGCCCGTCGTTTTTTTGTCCACTTGGATTGTCTTTTTTCTCCCCCTTCCAGCAGACCTGTCCTTCACGATGCCAAAAAACCGCCCTGCCACGTCAGGCTACGCCCGTCTCGCCCAAGCAGAGGAAGAACGCGGCTACCTCCACGATGAGTCGGAAGATGACGAGCTGGCCGTATCTTCAACTGTGTCCACCTCAAACCCCCGTTATGCTCCTATTTCCTCCCGAGCCCAGATGCAGGCGTCCGGTCTCGCCACGCCTCCAAGTCATCGACGCAGACATAGTGGATATTCTCGCCGCGGCCGCCGAAACTCTGGTGTAGACATCAAGGCTATCAATGCGCGTCTGGAGCGATGGGCGGAGGAGATTGCCGCCAAATTCAAGATCAATCGAGTCAAGGGTAAGACCTACGAGGAAGAGAAGCTCGAGATCTACCACTCGGTCTTCCAAGCCCCCGATGGCGTGCGCCCAGTCTCAGCAGAGGCTCTTGACTCTGATGAATTTGAAGGCCAGCAACGAAGGGCACGGGCAGAGTATGAAGAGATCATCGAGAGTGTTCGCCTTGCAATTGAGCTCGGTGTGCATCCAAGGATGATCGCGCAGGGAAGTTCGGGCAGTTACTTCGCTCGGAATCCTGAAGGCAAAGTTGTCGGCGTATTTAAACCCAAGGACGAAGAGCCCTATGCGTCGCGAAATCCCAAATGGACCAAGTGGATTCACCGGAATTTGTTCCCTTGTTTCTTTGGCCGAGCGTGTCTCATTCCCAATCTCTCCTACGTCTCCGAGGCCGCCGCATACGTCCTTGATGCCCGCTTACGTACAAACCTCGTCCCCTATACCGATATCGCGTATCTATCCTCGAAATCATTCTTCTATGATTTCTGGGACCGGCGCAAGGCCTCGAAAGGAAAGAAGATTCTGCCTCCCAAGGCTGGTAGTTTCCAAGTCTTCCTTAAAGGTTACAAGGATGCCAACATTTTCCTTCGTGAACACCCCTGGCCCGACCAGATCAATTCAGGCTTCCGGGCGGAGGATGCTCCGAAGCGCAAGAAGCGGCCGTGGAATGAGTCTTGTCGGCCATCCGGTGTGCAATCCGACGATGAGGATGACGATGATGTTGGTCAGATGCCCACGCCAAACCCACGCGATGAAAGTCGTGAGCGTCGTTTCAATTGGACCGAAAATCTCAAGCAGTCCTTCCGGGAGGAGCTGGAGAAATTGGTAATCCTGGACTACATAATGCGCAACACGGATCGTGGACTTGATAACTGGATGATTAAGATTGATTGGGGCACTGAACAAGTTTCAATTGTGGCGGATCCTCCAAAGTCTAATGAGCCACAACCCAAGCACGACGAAGACGACCTCCTGCCCCCTCCACGCCCAGTTTCTGTCAACTCAAACGGATCCAACCCCTACCGGCGGCGAGAGACAATGATGGCAGTTAGCCGCACAGGAACACCCTTGGCTTCATCGGAACAACAGGCATCTATTCAACTTGGTGCCATCGATAACAGTCTATCATGGCCATGGAAACACCCAGATGCAGTATGTCTCCTCAACAGTATATACTTTGGTCAATGCTAACGCACCAAACAGTGGCGTAGTTTCCCCTTCGGATGGCTTTTCCTACCCGTTTCGCTGATTGGACAACCTTTCTCGCAAAAGACTCGCGACCACTTTCTCCCTTTGCTAACATCGACTGCGTGGTGGAGTGGGACGCAGATGGCTCTGCGCCGAGTCTTCTCCCAGGATGACGACTTCAAGGAAAGCATGTTTGCTAGGCAAATTGCCGTTATGAAGGGCCAGGCCTGGAATGTGGTTGAGACATTGAAGCACTCGGACCATGGCCCGCTCGAATTGACTCGAAGGACCCGGGTTTGCGTGTGGGATGATCTTGTAGACGTCCCTGTTGCCATCCCAATGCGAGCACCCTCCACCGACATGCAAAGACGCCAGGCCATGAATTACGACAACGAAGAAGAAGAGATGGACATTGGTGCGGCCAACTCTTCTCAAACACACCCCGATCACGATCTCCTAGGACTTGGACCGTCCCCGAACGACCTTCCTAATCCCAACCGGTTCGAGCTCTCCCGTGGTCAAACTGGCGGACGAGCTACTGACTATATCGGTAGTCCCGCGACTTTGAACGACGGTGACTTCTCGCGCTCAACTAATGACGGTGCCTATGCTAGGTCTTTGGATGGATGGCCTGACCACCCTGATCGACCGAACAAGCATCGCAAGCATGGTGGCTCTCTATCTTTCCGTATTCCTCATATCAACACTTTTGGCAGCGATGACCTCGAGGGTGACCTCGGATATGCAGCTGCCGAGGGCATGGAAGGCAACCAGCGCAAAGTTATTGTGGAGCGCTTGGAAGCTGTCAAGAGCAAAAACCCCGTTTTCACCTGGTGCTAACGCTTTACAACCTTGAAATTGGGTTTGGGGTTGACTTGATGTTTTTTTTCCCCCTTTCATGCCGCATTTCCATCTCAATTATTTAATCCGCCATTGTTTTCTTTAGCGTTCTTGGAGCCGCGAGTAGATCATTTCGTGCATCCTCGCTGTGTCTTCTTTTTCTTTCTATTTTGCACACACTTGCCAATGCGAGTGTTACTTTTCTTTTCGCACGCCACGCTCATGATTGGGGATTTTGTGTTGTATATAGACCATCTCTGGCTGTTCGGGTTGGGGTTGCGGCGCATTGACTGAGCGCTTCATGTAGCATATATGACGAGACTTAATTCCATGATACCATCGTCCGGATTTCTTTCATCTATTTCTAGATAATTGCAGCGTAGCAGATGTAGTGGTTTGGAAAATAACATGGATGAGTACAATAGATAAGATGCATCGGTCGAGGCGGTAGACATGGAACCAATACAATTGATCCCATCGAATAACAACTAAGCTTGTTCAACTCTCTGAAGATCAAAAACGCAAATACTTGTTCCAGCAACTTTACTCCCTGCATTGCGTGGGTGAGTCTGAGAAAGATAACCAGCCTTATCGGCGGGATCCTCTGCGCAGCAGTGAGGTCATGATCTGAACCTCCCGCAGGCATCTCTCCTCGAGCTTTCAGGTAGCAGCGCGGAAGCTGACAGGGACGCGTTTATGTCTCTTTCTTTTATTCCTTGATTTCCTGCGGATTGTGAACCTGCGTTCCATCGCTCTCTTCCTTACCCTCGGTCACCTGGTCTCGCCGCTCTTCCCGCATATCGAAAACCCTCCCATCGCAAACCGCATTTTACTCGCCTCTTTCTCTTATCTGAAGTGAGCTTGAGCAACCGGATCTCTTTTTCATCTGAGTACCCGAGTCACATTATTTCGAGGCAAGATGGCCTCCCGCGCGTCCATGCTCTTGGATCCCAAGGGCTACAAGAAACAACTTCAGCAACAGGGTAATGATTCCTTTTATCCTTTCCCACCCTACTCTGACGCCACGAAAACCTCTCTGTTACCGCCAGAAACCAGTCCGGTGTTGCAGATTGAGACTCAAGAAGAGCCACCGGCGTCTTTGTCGCTTTCTCCTTCACATCCCTCGACTTTGAACTCGCTTGAACCCCACGGCTCACTTCTTCCTCTCTCAGGCCCTTCGAGTACAAATATCTCTACGCGCCCTTCCGTCCCCTCCATCGCGCCACCGGGAACCTCCCCGGCTGTGCAATTTTCCGCCACCATTCCGCGCAAGCTGTCACCCAAGGACATGCCTGTGACATCGAGTCCCGCGCCGAGTGACGGGCCGAACCCGGAATCGAACGTGACCGTGATGTTCACCAGTGCTAAAGACGATGACAATGAGAGCGATGCTAAGAGAAGCTACCATGACATGAGTGAGGACGATGAGCGAGTACGTCCCCGCAGCATGATCGAGGATATTTACGGCGTCGAAGAACGCCGTCACCAACCGGTCAAAAAAATGAAGGTGGAGGACACATCCAAGCCCGGGACACCCAGTCATCAGGTCAGGAATACGGACAGTAGGGACCTGGGGGAGTTTATGAGAAGAGAACGGACAAATCACACCCCATCTTCAGCTGCCGTGGGTGTTGTGGATTTGACAGTGACCCCTCCGAATGACAACGATGATGACGACCTTCAATTCACGGGCATCAATGACCTCAGCACCCAGCGCGTTTGTTATGGCAAGATTGAAGGGGCTACGATCCAGGCCAGCTTGGTGCCAACCCCAAGTTCCATATCACATTTTCCTAATCAGTGGCCCATTATCAGACTCAATTTGCGCCGTGACCCAGAGGCAAAAGACTTCCGTATTGCAGTCGCGGATTCCCATGGCATTGTCTTCGGCTTCGTTGACCCAAGAACTGCTAAGGCCCTCTGTCCATTACTTGACCATCCCAAGATACCGCTAGACATCGCGGCGCGATTAGACCCCCGGATAATCTTGCCAAATGAGATCCCCGGGCAACCTATATCGACTACTTATCGGGCTTCGCTGATTTTGTATGGAGAGCGTCAAAGGGCACAGTATGTTGGCCAACATCTCAGTCAAAATAATATCTGGCTTGGTGTCCCCCCTATGGTGGAGAAGGGTACTCCGGTATGGAATCCCCACGACGAAAGGAGACGAGCACTGGCCGCAGCTGCAGCAACCAATGGCACTAGCAATCGTTCAGCGGTGAGATACGAGACCCGCACAGCAGAAGAAGTCACCGACACAGTGACGAAAATGTTCAATCAGCTCGTAAGCGCGGATGTTCCCAAGATGGACCCTCCTGAGAGTGTGGTAACGCCTCTTCTTGACCATCAAAGACAAGCACTGTGGTTTATGACGGAGAAGGAAAAGCGGCGCAAATTTGGGCCAGAGGAAGGTGACAATAATTCACTTTGGCGCCTCCAACGCGGCTCAAACGGCCAAGAGGAATACAAGGAGATCATCACTGGCGCTGTATCGGATAGAGAACCTCTACAGGTCTTCGGTGGCCTGCTGGCTGACATGATGGGTCTCGGGAAAACTTTGAGCATCCTTTCCTTGGTAATGTCGTCACTGCGAACGGCGTATGAATATGAGAAAAAGGCCCCGCCTAAATTCCTGACCAGGGAAGTCCCCGGCATACGAAACACCCGGACAACACTACTGGTGGCGCCCTTAAGTGCAGTGAAGAACTGGACTTTGCAGGTTGAGGAACATCTGAAACCAGACTCGCTCAAGTTTTATGTCTTCCATGGATCGAATCGAACCACCAAGTTGAAGGAGCTTGCTAATTACGACCTCATTATCACAACCTACAGCACAGTTCTTAGCGAGCTTTCACCGCGTAATGCGCGTCCCGGGCGTGAGAGTCCCTTCAGGAAAATGAACATGTTCCGTATCGTTCTGGACGAGGCTCATGTAATCCGGGAACAGAACGCTCAGCAGACCAAGGCAATCCTCAGTCTTCATGCGCAACGCCGTTGGTCTGTAACCGGAACCCCTGTTCAAAATCGCCTTGAGGACCTTCATTCCGTCCTAAGATTCTTGCGCCTTGCCCCATACGATGACGGCACCCATTTTAGGCAGTTCATCCTGAGCCGTTTCAAGAATGGTGACCCCACAGTTCTTACTAGTCTTCGGGTCCTCATTGATTCGTTCACACTGCGCCGGGTCAAAGACAGGATCAATCTTCCAGACCGAGAGGACCACACAGTTCATCTTTCTTTCACTGAAAAGGAAGCGCAACTACATGAGTACTTCCGTACCGAGTCCAACCAAATGATGGGTGTCCTTGTCGGCAAAAGCAAGACTAAAATGGGAGGCCGCATGTATCATCATGTGCTGAAAGCAATGATGCTCCTCCGTCAAGTCAGTGCTCATGGCAAAGAGCTCCTTGACCTTGAGGATCGAGAAAGGATCAAGGGTCTCAGTGTCAACGATGCCATCGATTTGGAGGAGAATGAAGCAGATGATGGCAATTCAGCTGTCTTGGAGAAAAAGGCGTGTGGAATGTACACGCTGATGCAAGAGTCCAACGCCGATAACTGTGCCATCTGCGGAGAGCATCTTGACGAGCCTATTCGTGGCGGATCCGGAGATGTTGATCGGGATGCACAGATGGCCATTTTTCTGCCCTGCTTCGATGTACTTTGTCCGTCTTGCTTCAATGCCTGGTCCGAGTTTCATGGCACCTCGGACGAACAAGTCCGGTGCAAAGCCTGTGAAGGCTGGATCCCAAGGGCCTTCACCATGCTGACACCGGGAATCCTTGAGGTGTATACTACCCGACAGGCTGAACAACGGTCCAATCGCAAGTACGGCAAGGTACTTGGCGATTACGAGGGACCCCATACCAAAACCAAGGCCCTGATCCAATTTCTCCAGGAAAGCGCTGATGAAAGCAAAGCTTTGGAGGGAGAGCCACCTATCAAAAGTGTGGTGTTCTCCGCGTGGACCACCCATTTGGATTTGATTGAGATTGCTCTCAAGGAGAACAATCTGGATTCTTTCACCCGTTTGGATGGCACAATGACACTCGCGGCCCGCGGAAAGGCCCTGGATGCCTTTGCCAAGGACAATAACATCACAATCCTGCTAGCCACCATCGGCGCCGGCGGTGTTGGACTGAACCTCACTTCCGCATCCCGGGTCTATATCATGGAACCCCAATATAACCCAGCTGCCGTTGCCCAGGCTGTAGATCGCGTTCATCGCCTCGGTCAAACACGTCCCGTGAAGACCATCCAGTTCATCATGAAGAACAGTATTGAGGAGAAGATTCTAGAGCTGGCGAAGAAAAAACAACACCTTGCCGATATGAGTATGAATAGAGGCAAGCTGAACAAAGCAGAAGATCAGGAGCAACGCATGCAAGAATATCGGGGCCTTTTCAAGTGATGACGACACTTCCGATAAACGTGCCTGGGGATTTTTCTCTTTTATTTTCAATATTTTTTATGTTTCACACGAATTTGCTGCTTACGAGTCGGCTTTCCCCGGCAGGATGGTTTTGACATTTCGTTTGATACCCGGACATTGAGGTTTTTTATTTAGTTTTTTGATTCTTGCATTCCCCATCTACGTATTACATATAGACGGGTTCCCAAGGCCACGGTTGTTTCTGCTTTTCGTCCCCAGTTTAATGGCCACAGTCTTTAACTCTGTCAGCTACCGCACTAGATTTTTCTTTTACCATGGTCTTCTAGATCCTTGAATTTCCAATGTTTCTTCCCCTCAAGTCTTAGTAGCACATGTTTAATAATAATTTTATGGGAGTAGATGAAATCCAGAGAAGCTCCAGTGCTTAATAGATTCCAAGGTTATACATACTGCCATGCAGTAAGCACTTGAAGATCAGGCATAGCATCTAGTACTAGTTCCGTATAATATACCGTACTGACTTGCTGGATACACTTCCTAGCATTGCATATGATTGTGTATGTATTCGAGTTTAGATACGGCAACTTCGTAATAGATACGTGAAAGATAACTAATACTACATATATTTGATATAAGAATAATCCAGAACGCCTAAGCGATATATAGTCTATGCATGATCAAGAAATCAATTCATAAGATCGATTTATAACATCAGAACCAAAACGCCATGAACCCATCCACCCAACCAGAACACCTAAAGAACAAGACCCTCATTTCTGATAATCTCTTTCACCATAAATCCCCACCGAAACAGCTCCAAGCACACTCTCCAACCGTTTCTTCAATTTCCTTAATTCCGTAACCTTCCCCTCCCTCTCGCTCTCCACATCTCTAAGCTGAACCTCCAGCTCCCGAATCCTCGCCTCCTGCTCCGCCTCCGAAGCTCCAATACCCGGTAACACCGAAATCAAGTACTCAATCTGCTGTTCTTTGATTATGAGATCACGCGCAAGCTCCCGTTGTCGACTCGCGAATGTGCGTGGGGAATCCGGCTGCGGGGGTTGGTTTGGATCTTCGCCTTCAAGTCCAACGCCTAGACCTGTGGCGCCTGTAGCTCCAGGTTGTTGTGGTGGTTGTGGGGGCGGCGATGCACGACCGGGAACTTCTGATGCGACTTTCGCGGCGAGGGAGGCGGGGATCGGAGGGGATGTTTCGTTTTTGGCTATCTTCGCTAGAGCTGGGACTGCATTCGGGACGCCTGGAGGTGGAAGTGCGGGACTGTTATCGTGATATGTGGTAAGGTAGCCGAGCGTTGCGTAGAATTGGGTCGCAAGCTGTTGGCATTAGTTTTGCGCGTATGGTTAAGCTAGGAACTTGGATGCGCGTTTCTTACCTGGTCGAGGCATGTTTGGAGTTGTGTGAGGATGTCTGCCATGATAGGTGAGGTTTCGAGAGTATTATAGTGTAGAGAAGTGTAGAGAAAGGAATAATTATGAAGTGGAAGAGAAGTTGGAGTGGATACCAAATGAACGAAGGAAATGCGGAGATAAAAGCTTTGCGGTGAAGCGCATTTACTCCTACAACAATGCGACTCATATCCAGACCTTCGCTGTCAAATTTATTCCAAAGCCATGCGAATCCAATAAACTTCTCTTGTCTATTCTCCACCAAATCCAAGAATGACATAACCCAATTTACACGCCGGCTCTTCAAGCTCCCCTCCCCACCACCTCCGCCCTCGCAAAACCATAACAGTCTCGCCCAATTCCTAACATACGCCACGCGAATCTCCCTTCCCGAAACCAGCACCGTCTTCGTTGGAACCCACTACGAATATACCGTCCTTCAAAGCCTCCGCCGCTATGCCCTCGCACTCCACCGCATCGGCGGCCGCGATGATGCCGGGATCGACCTGGTAGGCACCTGGCACCTCCCCACACATGAAGGCTCGCGTGCTCTCCGCGTCTTAGTGCAATGCAAGGCACTAAAGACTAAGCTGGGGCCGAACCTGGTGCGCGAGCTCGAAGGAACTCTCCGACAGGCACCGGTGGGTTGGCGCACGGGTCAAACGGTGGGGGTGCTGGTTAGTCCGCGCGAGGCAACGAAGGGAGTGCGGGATACGTTGGCGCGGAGTTCGTTCCCGCTGTTTTGGATGATGGTAGAGCGGGATGGGACGCTTAAACAGGCGCTTTGGAACGCGAGGGCGGAGGCGTTGGGATTGGGAGCTCTTGGGATTGAGACGAGGTATGCGACTAATGGCGAGGAGCTTGTGAAGGAGGTTGCGCTTACTTGGGATGGATCCGATATTCCTGATATGGATGCTGTTGAGCTTGGGCTGCTGCGGCATGAGGAAGAGTGGGTTAAATCTTGGGGGGAGGAATTGAAACATGTTGATAGGAACGTGTTGATGGATACTGTTGAGAAGGTCTTTCCAGATGGTTATCCTAGTGAACCAGATGGGACTTTGGCGCAGGTACACCAGTCGAGGGTGCTTGAGGCATTGCGAGAACGGGGAGCTGCGCTTGTAAACTAATGTATATTATGTGGATGCCTTGACGGCCATCCGAAAGAATCCAAAATTTCAAATATCGGGACGATCATATCATTTCATTGAACACTTCAAGGGTATAAAAACTCCGACCAAAAACAAAGCTCCTACATAAACGCCAGCATATTCCTCATCACCCCTGTACCGTCTGCCAGAAGTAATTCGAGTAGAAGAACCGAGAAAACTTCGGGTCAATATTGACGACATGCACATCTCCCTTGCGACTATTGCGAATCACAGCACGCTTGAAATTACCCGCCTCATCGGGTTCGATATCGATGCCAAGCGAGCGGTAGATCTTAAGTCGTAGTCTATGACACTGTTAGCACCCTGCAGAGTAAAGGAACAGACTGGACATACATCGTCGCATCATCCATCTCACGCTCCCGGCGCGTGGCCTCGTCACCCTCCAGACCCTGTGCCTCTAGATCTGCCAATCTCTCTTTGAGCATTTCAAGTTCACTTTCAAGACGTTCGCTCTCAATTTCCAGCTCAGAGGCGGCCTTTGCGATCCGGAACTTTTTCGTGTCCAGCTCGACAATCTCGGCGGCGTGTTTCCCCGAATCATGGACGGCAACGGCTTCTTCGTAGTGGGCGTTTAGAGATTTTAGGTTGCGTGACAACTTTCGCAATGCTGATTCAGCCTCACGCATGCGCAGGTCTCGCGACTGTTGGAGGGTGGCGAGCGAGTCATTGATGCGCGTGACGGCTTGCTTATCGGGTTGGATGTTGAAATTGCCAATAGTGTGGTGGATGAGCTGAAATGGGTTAGAATATTATCAAAGGGCATATAAAGATACCCAGAATCACATACCGTTCCAGGATCCTCGTCGAGCAACATGGTGGCGGTTTAGAAGATTGAAGTTGATCTTGATCGAGGATGTTTGGATGTTTGTTGGGGGAGCAACCGCCACAGCGGCACAGCCACATGTTTCTCCGCAAGTGACGTTGGCGTTGGCGCAACTTTCTGTCCTCTAATCTCCTCTTTGCTTCCCATCTCTAACTCAGACCTAAGACATAAATCCACCATGTCAAATCTTCCATGTAGGCTGCCTATGCTTCCCATTCACGTCGCTGTTCACTGACCCTGTGCGCCACCAGATGCCGCCGATGCGGAAAGGTCTGTTGCCTACTCGCAGAATTCCATGAATATGCGAACTAACTCAACTGCAGCCCGTTGAAACCCGCAGAGTTACAGGTTCTGCGCACACAATACGAGAAAGAAGGCGACTATGTTGGCATTCAAACCAAGTTCAACTTCGCTTGGGTATGATCAACCACCGCAGCCACACACTTCCGTGCTAACCGACTCTCCGCAGGGCCTGATCAAATCCAACGCCCGCCCCGACCAACAAGAAGGTGTCCGCCTCCTGTCAGAGATCTTCCGTGGGGCACCTGAAAGACGACGAGAGTGTTTATACTATCTGGCTCTAGGCAACTACAAATTGGGTAACTACGGAGAGGCTCGTCGGTACAATGATCTGCTATTGGAGAAGGAACCGGCCAACTTGCAAGCGGCTAGTCTGGGGTCCCTTATTGACGATAAGGTTGCCAAGGAAGGCCTCATGGGCATTGCGATTGTAGGAGGCTTAGCTGTGGCGGCGGGACTCGTGGGTAGTCTGATTCTGAAGGGAGCCAGAAGACGGTGAGCGTTATTCCCTGCAAGGGTTGGGATCTCGATCTTGTCGGGTCCTTACGTCAGGGTTTATGGGTTTTTTGTATAGTGTTCAAAGTCTACTTGCCTTATTACCTATTAGCTTGGTTTGGATTGTGTATTATGCGAGCATGGTGAGGCGTTTGAACAATGATTATTCTGAAACGAATTTATATGCTTCTTAATTGTACTCCTTTCTGCCTCCTTACCACTTGCATTAACTTCCGACAATAAGGCTGCCTAAATTAGCATGAATGTTTCTATTTTCATGGTGCATAGAGATCAACCTAGGCTCGCTTAGATTGAACATAATTGACGTGAATGTGGAGTCAATGTATTCTAGTGATATACTTAAAGAGGCGAACTTTGGAATAGTGACGTCGGGACAACTTATTCAACTTGCTTGCTTTTGCTGGTTTCCGACTTCCTTTCTGACAACGCGACCTTTTTCGGATCGCCTGTTATTCTCATAAAGCTTTCATTTTTCGGCTGGTGTCTCATAGCCCGGACCCCGCGATTTGAAGGTTAAGGCCGGTGACAGCTCCCCGCGCACCTTTTAAGGCTCCAACCTTAGAACCTTCGAAATCCCACCAGTCGACGCGCCGAGTCGCGTATTTTCCGCTGTTTTCGCCAAATTCTTCGTCTATCTTATTGTGCCATATCTTTCATTTAAGATATGTCTGACCTTTCAGGTGAACGCCATGAGCGCGTCTACTGCCATGCGTGTGGTGGGGTCTGGGTAAAAGATGACGATAGTGACGGTTTAACATGCCGGTATTGCGAGTCGGACTTTACGGAGATCGTACGCTATTATCGCCTTCTTTAACAGGGAGCTCCAAGTCTATACTAACTATGACTATCTATAGATTGAAATACCACCTGATGATGTTCGCCCAGAGCCCACTATTCCAAACGCCGCGTTGGGAGAGGACAATACGGACAATACGGCCGATAATTACGGCATGCAGTCGCTGGCCAGTCCCTATACTTCTACATTTACTGATGAACGGCCTACATATACTCATCACACCTACCGTTCACCCGATGGCCGCTTTACATTTGACACTACCACCACTACCGTACGTGGAGGCACTGCACGCGGGCTTTCTTACTCCAACCGATCCACAAACGCCCCAGGAAATGCTGGGGCACAGACTAGCCCTCCATCACTTTTTCGTGCAATACTCCAGCAGCAGATGGAAATGGAACCTGAACCCCGTCCCCGAGAAAATGCTGGTACGCAAACTAACTCTCCACCACTTTATCATGCAATGGTCCAACAGCAGATGGAAATGGAATCTGGGTCTCGTCCCCGACCCCATTACCTCCCACCAGACGTCTCGACAGGCTTTGATCGCGCTCATCTCCCAGGAGGATCTGAAGGCATCCCACAGCGTACCTGGGATTACTATCAGGTCCCTCCTGATAACATCCTCAGATTTTTGATGGGAATGCCACTGGACAATAATCAGCCTGGATCTCAATCAACGAATGCCCCTTGGGATATCCCTATGACCCCTATGAGGTTGCTGGCCGCAGTCATGAATAGGGGAAACGCAGTCTACACAGACGAGGAAATGCAACAGGTCATTGCAAACCTCACTGATGAAGGACCAGTAATTCCGGCCCCAGGTGCATCCAGCACGGCTATCCAGTCCCTTCCCAGGAAACGAATGGACCGACAAATGCTGGGCTCGGACGAAAGCTCTGAGTGTTCCATCTGCATGGAGAAGGTCGGCTTGGGATCCGAAGTCACCGTGCTCCCATGCAGTCACTGGTTCCACTTCGACTGCATTGAACAATGGTTGGCACAAACCAACACTTGCCCGCACTGTCGCCGGAGTATCCCAACCTCTGACAGTGAGTAAGTATCGCCAGAACCGGGTCCCGGAGACCTTCGCAGCTGACACGAAATGTTCCAAGTACGGGCCGTACGAATGAAAGCCCACGCGGTGAAGGCACCCGCGAAAGCCCGGTCGTGATACAGGACAGTCCCGAACCCGAAAACCCTCGCCGACGTCGCCGTAGTTCCCCATTGTCGCTTAGCGGTCGGTCCTCTTTCTCCCGGTCGAATCGAAATCCACAAGCCCCCGCTTCCCCAGATCCCAATATCTCTAGTACCAGGAGATCCAGTGGGTCCAGTCGTAATGAAGGTAGTCGGGGAGGTTTCCCAGCGTGGATATGGAGTCGGCTTGGTGGTGGCAATAACTAAGGGTTTCCAGGTGTGAAGCTGTCATTTTCGGAGATTCGCATTCATCGGCAGCATATTTTCCATTTGTTACATTTTTTAAGATCTTCACGTTTTCATGCCTCAGCGTTTCTTCATGCCCCATACCCCATTCGCCTTTTGTCTTTATCTTCTTTACTATGCATAGAATGCCTTCAATATTATAACAGAAGGTCTTCACTTCCATTTGTCTCTTTGTGTACCTGGTCACTTCTATATGTTTCGTATTACGTACTGATGGTCAATACCTTTGATCTAGTCTACCCCTCTTTTACTTAGGTACACCGCGGACTTTTTAGACATATGTTCGAAACCGTCAATAGCAACTTAGCCCTCTAGAATCAAGTCTCCCCAAAACATTGCATCCGCTGGTATCCCTCTAGCCTCAAGGAAAGCTTGTGGGATATATCGATACTGAATAGTAACAATGAAATCTTATTGTCCTAGAATGATACATGTCCCTGACCGCATGTTCAGTATTGTTTCTTTGTCCACGATGCATGCGATAGCATCCAAGTTGAATAGCGTATTCGTCAACTCGACGTTAAAGGAAATCCGAATTCAAGTAACATCTATATTCTTCTAGGCGTATGAATGTTTTCTAACAGGCAGTCCTGGAAATCTTCTTGGACTACATATTTTGAGGGAAGAGAGAAACGGTCAAGTATGAAAATCGTGGAGGCGATCGGCAACTGCAGCCAGGACCATACATAATCGTCGACAGTTGGATACTGCTGTCGGCCAGGGAAGTAAAGGGCCACATCAAGGTAACCGGGAAACAGACAAAAGCGTCAAATCTGTATTCCGAGAGGTATGGGGGGGAGAGAAAAGAACGAGAGAGAGGGAGAGAGAGAGAGAGAGAGAGAGAGAGAGAGAGAGAGAGAGAGAGAGATCTAAGAAAGAAAGGCACGCGCTGGAGCAGATATTCCATCCAGCATTCTAATTTCTTTCCTACCGGGTTAGTTGTATAGTCAAAGGCTCTTCAAATCATTTGTAGCGGAATAGAAAGAAAGGAAAAGTAGAAGGGTACTGTCCAGAAAGTCTGCGGTGTACCCAAGTAATAGGAGGGTAGATTGGTTATGTACGATAGGTTTAGCTAGATGTATTTTGGCATCTGGTTTGGATTCGTCTTGAATATGTACCTGGGACCTGGGCAGATACATATTAGTTATCTCTCATATAATACCTTTATCCCGCCACTCGGTTCCATGCATATTCTACCTTGAAAGGACCGGATAAATCAATTTCTACAGGAAATTGCACAAGAATGTAGGAAGCAGTCGTGCCCACGAATTCACCCTAACTCCATTTCAAAGCATCCCTTCAAGAACCTCAGCCTGCCGAGCTGCCCAATATTTTCTCTTCTCGTACCAAGAACTGTCAATGGGGATGGGATAGTCGTAAAGGGCTTGGTTTTTATAAACCCACTGTAGGTTTGATGTTGTGGGACTATGCTCTCTCTGACATGACATATTGATACATTTCCCAACAACGGTCATTCTCCTCCTCCATGATAAACATACGCCGGCGGTACGGGTATACTGGATCATATGCCACTTGGAAACCATTCTTCGTGGGTTTGTCATTAGGCAGGTCATACCCGCACCACGTACCGGGGTGCCATTACATCAAAGGACTCACTTGCATAGTTGTTTCGCCAGGCAAATAGAAATGCTTTTGCACGGTTATTTTGTCAGGGATATAAAAATCAACAAGGATACCGAGCCAGTTCTCCTTGACTGAATCTTGATCTTGGTTTGCAATGTTCTGTTTCATCTTCTCATCAAGGTCGGAAGCATGGCCTTTTTCCTCTTCAAGGATTCTGTCAATTTCTTCTCCATCAAGATATTCTTTGTTAGAAAAACTTTTCAGTCGTTGCGTGTGTATGTTTCTGCAGCAAACGTGGGTCATTCCCGCCAAATCGAACTCCCGTACGCGGTTGAAATACTGCAATATCTGGTGGGCATCGGCTTCCCCTCGAAGCTCTTCTACCATCAAAATCCACTCCAGCACCCATATGTAGGCTGATTCATTGAAGTTTGCGGAATAATCAATGACCTGAGCCCGTGGGAGTTGAAGAAATGGCGGGCAGCCACCTGGAGAGCAGGCACAGCGATAAGTGTCGGGGTTCCAAATTTCCGCATTGTTTTGAAGTAGCTTCGCAATGAATGCAAAGTCAATGGATGTTTGGAATGGATCCCAAGCCTCATATGGCGAACAATATCCCAAGTTGTTATATGCCGTGTGTAATGCCGACTTTCCTTGGGCATTTCGAAGATTAACATTGCAGCCCTGGGTCAGAATTTCCTCGGCTACACCATACTCACGCGTCCGGATAAACCTCATAAGTGGTGTAAAGCCTTTAGAATCAAGATGATCAACATGCTCGAATCCTGCTTCAAATAAGGCAGTTGCAGATGCCTTATTATACGATGCGTGAAGTAACGTCCATTTTTCTCTGGGGCCTGCTTCGTTTATTTTGACGTGTTTGTCTGCCCCCAGCTTGAGCAGAGTTTTGAGTCGTTCAGGCTGAGATTTTCTCGAACCCCAAGGGCTGGTGATGAGATGGTTTAGTTCACCTTGCAGAAATTCATGAGAATAATCCCCATACACACGAAAGTATTCAAACACCTCAATTATCACATTCCATTGTTCCCACATCAGAGCATGGTGCAAGAGACTAAGATGCTGATCTTTCAATGGGTTTGCTCCGGCTCTTAGAAGAATCATGACTGACTCTAAACAACCATAAGCTGCAGCATAGACCAACGGTGTGTTGCCTTTCTTGTCATGGGAATCAAAGTCTGAAGATATCTCAAGCAGCATCGACAGAATTTTTGGTCGTAAAACAGCCACGTGGATTGCATTTTGTCCAAAATAATTAGTCCCCTGTGTGGACTGAAAGTTCTGCAATAATTTGCAGACTTCAGTTGTAGATCCGGAAAGAATGGTGTCCATCAGTAGAGTCTGATCCCAAACACCTGCACGATACCAGATTAGATACAGATCGGCTTGTATTTTGGTAGCACAGGACATATGCTTACCGTAAGCATTTCTGGAGCATTCCACAAGGAATTTGAGTAGAAATGGCTCTTCGTCCCCAGTGGCAGATGCTGATTAAAGCCCTGGAAACGGATGAAACATTAAGACATCAAGAGGGCCAAAGTCTTTGCAAGATTGGGTGTCTGCCGAGCAATCATAACCCACAGCCAGAAGCTCTCTGAGTAATGTCAAATGGAAGCCCATTGAATTCCATCTAGCAACCCAAAAATAAATACTGTTTCCATTGGAATTTTAGTATACAGACTCAAACACACTTTGGGTTAGAATATTTGTGAGCTTACGGTAGTCTTGTTTCCTTCGGTCCACCACAGGCATACAAGAGTTTCAGGAAGGCAAGCGTCAAATCGATTTCAGATTTTGGATAAATGAGAATTCTCTGATGTCCGTTAACCAAAGTGGTTCGAAATTTACAGAGCTTAACATACCTCTATCCAAGTTGTTCCATCTGGGAAGGTATCCCACAGAGAGGCCTTCCCAGAACAGAACAGTTGCAGCAGCTTGTCACACGATGATTGGATATCAGATTGATGCATGCGGCATTTGTAGAAATTTTGGAATCCAGGTGATGTGTTTTTAACCAGCTGTTGAAAACGAAGGCTAGGAGAGATCGAAAAGCCATAATTTCCCCAAGAAATGTCCAGAGCCACTTGAAAAGCCCAGAACAAGCCAAAGCGCGAGAGCCCCATGAAGTAGGAAAACTGGCGTTTCCTGTATTGCTTGTGATATGCGAGATTCCTTGAAATGCGCGAAGGAGTGTTTTCAGCAAGTATCGCAATTCCACTACCAGAAGGAACAGCATTTCCGACAGCCTTCATGTGAGCGGAGTATTCCAATTGTTTTCGCGCCAATCTCGCATTTGCCATCACGCCACCTGCAGTGACGGCACTTTGAAACAGCGGCAACTTCTCAATGTAGTTCGAGACTCTAGTGACGATCTTCTCCATGGCCTTTTCATGTTTTAGGCTTTCGAGCGCTTTGCAACTCCTGACCATCTTTGAGTCACCCTCCACTGGGGTCACCTTTGTTACCAGATCGTCAAGCAAGATCATTTGGGAATAGCACTCATCGATGATCATCTGGAGCATGGACGCGGGCTGTGCGTGAAATTGGCCGTGATCAATGTGGAGCTGGAGTAGTTGCAAAGATTCTATGAAGAATAACAAGTGAAGGCTGATGAAGCGAAGCATTTCCGGCGCCTCTTGGATACTGCGGAGATAATTTTCACGCGGTCGGATAGCTTGGTAGTGAAATCTACCAGTTGGATGGTAGACGCGATTGCGCCTACCACAGTCAGTGCTTCGGCCATTATAGTCAAAGGAAGAATCCAGGGAAACGGGAGAGTGGCAACTTAAACATTTTAGGTGAGATGGTATAGAAAGCTCTGGTCGGAGAGGAAGAGGGGTAACAATCGCTATGGCCAAAACATTATTGTGTTGAGGCTGAGCGAGCGCGGGGCTGAGACGAGGCGGTACACTTGCATGGGATTCGAAGCTTTAACGTCCAATAGAGCGTGAGAATGTGGTGTGTTTAATGGCCGACACATGATGATGTATCAGTCAAGATAAAGAAGTCATGAGTCTGGGAAGCTGTGTCCTGATCACTTTGTAGAATATGTGACCTGTCACAGAGATAGATCTGAAGAAGCGAATATGGAGGGAAATAGCGAACAGAAGAGTGCACCTATCAGGTGACTTTCTTCGAGATTTGGCACCGGGCTAGTATGAAAGATCAAATTTCGAATTTCATTTCTATCGGGGCGAATACCGAATATATGGTTCTATGTAAGCTTACTAGTCTTGCTAGCAAGCGACCTATTCTTGCGAGCAACCTGTTCGCATAAATCACGCAGGATACCAGCAAGCCACTCAAAGTCACTCATGTCCACAAATACCTGACCACTAATACGGGTCCACAGCCAAGGCCCGTGCCGGAAAACAGGCACAAAAGTGTCATATTTCTTCATGAGCGTTTGCTCAATGAATGAACCGGCAAGTGGCGCTTCCTCTGGCGAAAGTGTCACCCATGAACCTTGCGCGGGAGCCCCATCATCCGCCACAAGGATCGGCAAGCGGATTGTGGTCATACAGCAGTCGCGCATACGACTCTTCTGGCCTGGCTTCAGGTCGGGTTCTTGCAGCACATCAGTACCGAGAGCTCCGGCGATCATGTCAGCGGCTTCGTTGACGAGATTGTTGCAATAGGACATGATGGCTTTTTCGCCGCCGCAGACTTCGCGACGGAATCGAAGCGCCGCGGGGACGCAGATGTAGGCGGAGTCGTCGGTTGTGGCGACGAATTCGAATAATTCTTCGAATGGGGTCTTGGTTTTAGGTACGTTTGTATCTTGGAGTACTGAGGCGACAACCCCGGGCGATGTGGGTGCGGGAATAAAGCCCCATGACGTTGGTAGTGTTGTTCGGATCAAGTGCTGATTGCGTTTGGGGACATATAGCACGGCCGCACTGCGGGGAGTATAGAGCCATCTATATCAAATTAGCTTCCCTCCCCGGAGTAAATGAACAGACTCGTCACCTACTTGTGGCAGTTAGACACGAGGAAATCCGGCTGCAACTCCTTCATATCAAGAGGAATCATTCCGACACCGTGTGCACCATCGATAATACTCAACATCCCTTCTTCACGGCAGATCTCCACAAATCGTTCAAACGGGAACCGGACACCCGGGTTACTGACAATAGCATCAAAGACTGCAGCACGTACTTTCAGACCCTCTGCGCGAGCCTTGCGAACCACCTCGCGAAATCGGCGCACCAACTCATCCTCAGTGATGGGATATTCAAACGGCACCTTCCGAGCCTCAAAAGGAGAATATTCTTGCAATGATACAATACCCATTTCCACTGCGCCGTATACAGGCGCAAAATATATCAGGGCCTCATCTTTTTGGAAATTGAGGTTATAAAGCACTGTCCACACGCCTGTGGTGGCATTTTTGACAAAGACACATTCATCTTTCGGGGCATTGATAAGCACGGCAATCTCTTCACGCGCCTCTGCCAGGAGCTCTTGATGATGGACCCGGATGTAGGGGTCCGGTCGCTTATCTGCGATCGCTATAAGAGCACGTTGTACGTCACGGACTTGAACTGGGTTAGCGCCAAATGATCCTGATATGGATTAGTATGTTGGATGACTGCGGGAACAGAATACTGACCATGATTAAGGTTTCTGTAGGAGGGGTCGAACAGCCAATGCTTGAGCATTGGCTTCCCAAATGGTGTGAGTTGATTCGTCGCAGTCATGATCCTCGTATGTTGAAGGAAATAATATACTGCGCGTGTCGAAGAAAGAATGGAGCCAGAGAAGAAATGGAGTCGAATTATAGGGAAACGGCGGAACAGATATACCTAAGACGCACTGACTCGGTTACATCTCAAGTTTGGATTGATGGGAGTCGAAACTTCTTGATTTCCGAAAAGCTTGAGTCACATACCGTGAGCCAATGGACGATCGAAATTATATCCGAAGTTCCACATTGATCATTCAAAGGGCGTGGGTTGACCGCTGCGGCGTTGCATTACTTGATAGCATGCGGGGTGCCCCACTTTGGCCTGGATTCTTAGCAATAGATATGGTCCAAGCCACATTGGATCTTCACTGCGATGAAGTAGAAGCAGAAGCAAAGGTAGAAGCAGGATCAGCTCTTGACTCGTTTGTTAGTCATGTTTATCGATTTGCATGTCGAATTTGGGGGAGATTGTTGCTGATAAACTCATACCGATGGTAGCCGGTGGAGCAACTGGTGCGGAGAAATCAAAGTAGATAAGAATAAGATATCAATAATAATATAATGATACAATCCCTGGGAAACACACTGAAGAAGAAGAACCTGATCACTACTGTCTCATCGAAATGAAAATCCAAGAACTTCAAGAACTGTCAATCAATCACATGATACGCAAGGGGTGATATTCATGCCTCAATATCTTTACCTCCACCGAATGTCCCTTCGCAACCCACAGCCATGTGGAACTGCGACTATGCCGGCTGCAATAAACCTGCCGTCCGCCAAATCGGAGGATGCATCATCTGTGACCAGCATCTATGCGCCACGCACCTAAAAACAGAATACCACAAATGTCCAACATGGGAGGTAAGCCAATCAGACAACAAGGAACTAGGGCCCCATTAACATATATCCAGGACAGAATACTATATTTCCCCGCCGCCAACAAAGCAGAAAAAGATGAGATCAACCGTCTTCTCCTGAAAATCAATATTCCAGCTCTTATATCCCGAGCAACCGCTCTCCGCAACGGAGTCCCATGCACAGTCCCGCATAACCTAACATACGACCATGAAACATGCAGAAAAGTCATGGGCGGCATGAACTACCACATCGAGATCTTGTTCCAAGATGGTGTAAGCTGGTTAGCTCGGATCCGACGCTCAAATGCCACCTCCCCGCCACCGGAATTGCAGAACTACATCTTGCGCAGCGAGGTCGCGACGCTCCAATTCCTGCATCGTATCAACCTCCCCGTACCGATGGTGCATGATTTCGATTCTGACGAGAGGAACCCCGTCGGCTTACCGTATATCCTGATGGAGAAATTGCCCGGCCAGAGCGTGGGAAGTTCGCTATCTTCGGCCTGGACTCCCGAGAAGAAAAAGAAGGTCTTGAGCCAACTTGCGGATATCTATATTGTTCTCCTTAACCATCCTATGGATAGGATGGGGTCGTTTAGTCATCCTGGATCTACGCGCATAGGTCCTTTTGCTGTGGAATCCTTGACGGATCGTCAGGGTTCTCTTTTGAAGACCACCGGCCCTTGCTTGTCTATACAAGAGTACTACAAGAGGGGAATCGACCTGACGCTGGATCTGATTCTGAGACAGGAGATCTATACGAGCCGATCCGTTGATGCCTATTTGGTGCATCGGTTTTTGCTGGATAATGTCGCCAAGGTCTTCTCGTATAATGATCTTGATGATGGGAAGTTTTATCTTCGGCATGCGGATGACAAGGGTGATCATATTCTTGTTGATGAGGATTTCAATATTACTGGCATCATTGATTGGGAATGGGCGTATACGGCGCCTAAATCGGCGGCGTTTAATTCTCCCATTGCTCTTCTCCCGGTGGGTGAGTTTTACAATGGAGCCAATAGACTAGGTGATGACGAGATCGCCTTCGCAGAGCTTCTGAAAGAAAAAGGGCACCCTGATCTTGGGGAAATCACACGATGCGGACGTCTTCTGCACCGCTTTGACTTTTGCTGCGGGTATGACATTTCAGATTGGGATGGATTTCTAGGTCTATTCTTCGGTCTACTGAAAGGACTAGGGGACAATTTTCTGAAAGGTCTTGGCGATAGCACGCATCTGAATTGGGAGATTTGGAAAACAGAGGCCTTGGAACGGTATTGGGACGACGAACGGCTGCAGAAGCTCATCGAAGCCACCAATTTCTTTTGATTAAAAATTAAATCCGGGTACATCAATTGAACTATCATATGCCCACGGGTCAGTAGAAGTGGCGAGCAGTAATACCTTCTCGACAGTAGTTTTCTTAAATGCTGGTCCATTACCAACGCAAACGCAATTCCCGGCGAGGACTAAGATTTAGTCAGTATTATCAAATCTTCATGAAGCAGCTTGACTCACGTTTTACAAAAGAAGACACATCAAATAATAAAGAAGAATTCATTCGAAACACCGAGTTCGGAGAGCCGTCGGGCTGGATATCAATTCCCTTCTCCAGTAACAGTCTGTGTACCCCATTGGCATCGAGCCAATCACCCCCACCCTCATACACCAGCTGCCATGACCTGGACGACTGGGCAAGCTGTTCTGCTGAGTAACTGAGTTTTTTCGGGTACATGGGACTAAGAACTGTCGTCCTAGACTCAAGCATGTCACCATAATCATCATTCATAGCATTATAAAACCATGATACCAGCCTAGCACGTTCTGGTTCGGTTACTGGTCCTCCGAAAACCTGACGTATTCTCGCGGAATTATCAGGCGAATGAACGAGTAATTTGTAGCCGTTGCGGCAACACTGTAGCACGATGCGCTGCGAGAGAGTGAACCGTCCTTCTTTCGCTATATCGCTAGGCGATATGGTAATTGGTGGACTTGGGAGTGAAGTAAGTGGTCCCATAGATCCCGAAAAGGTGAAATCAAACGGAAGTGCTTGATCGTGAGATGGCGGTGTACGCGGTAATGACATATTCGTCCATGAGGCGAGCGACGTCAAAGACGGAGTTGTATTGCCTGAATACAAAACAGGATCGTGGCGCGCAATCTCCATGTCAAATTCCAGATTGACCTTCTCTACTGAACTAGATGGATTCGAGGTCTTCTCTTTATCCTCGGCAACGCTCTGTTCAGTATCAGAACTGCCTTGTTTGGCCAGCGACACGCATTGTTGAGTAATTGACTGTAGAGCTGAGGTAATGCGCGGACGGCCATCCAGAAGATTCTCGCTCAAGAGCAGAGTACTGAAGGAGAGAAATGACTGGCTCAGCTCCTCGATACCAGATTCGAGCTCTTGTACGCGCGCCTGTAGAGTATTGATCGTAGTCTCCTTCCGCCGGCGGTAGGTCTGCTGAGCTTCGCGGAGCTGTTGGCGACGTTTCTGGATATGATGAGCTGACACAAACTCATTTCAGTTCTATCAAATCACCCACCTCTGGGACATGCTCATCAACGTTGGTTCGTGGACGTCCTCGCTTTCGTGGTGCGGTTGGGGGTTTTACTTCGGCCATTATTGTACTTATGGCCACCAAAAAAAGACGAATCGTACTTTTGTCAAGATCTACAAGTTTGAGCGTGATAGATGATTTAGAGAAGTTTGGGAAGAGTAGGGAAGTGATGACAAGTGTAGTTGATTCATCAGCCGGATTGTTGAATAATCAGAAAATGGCTTCAGGCCGAGGCTTATGTAAGGGGCTATCACGACGGATTTGTCATTTGACCAGTTACCCTGATAGGTAATAGATCAAGTATATACGTAGAAATCCAGAGAGACAGTGGATATAGTAAGCTACCAGTACATAGTAAAATATGATTCAATCATGTACATACCAACTTAACTCGAAGTCAGTGCTCCTGACTAAATTGTACAGTGAATAGGAAGTCGAGGGTGTTCACGTAGCAATTCTCTCTTTTCTCACCATTATAAGTAGAGTTTCCGGAACTTATTTTCCATGCACACCTTTTTCTGACTCTTCACTTAATTCACTTAACAACATTAGTCATGAACCCAATAAGCTTTGGAGTTTGAGACTTTTCCTTTTTCGTTAAAACCATGAGCGCCGCCCCCAATGCAGCTCCGGGCCATGCCTCTAATACGAAACATCTTCCAACTACCCCAATTGCCTGGCTTTGCGGACTAAAATCACCTCCAATGAACAGCAAAACAGTCGCTGATTTGAAAGCAGCAGTGCACCGACCCGTCTAGCACTGGAACTTTGATACCCGAGAAAATCCCGGGGGGCATTGCAGAGTTCTTGTTACCGAATGCACAGAGGTACATAGGCATCGTAGGGCCTTTCCAGTCTGTTCTGGCCTACAGGGAGAGGGCAGCTCTATCATCTTATCTACGACCATGCCTGTACAAATCATGGATGAAAGTCGAATTATCCCACATGGGGTGTGATACCGGTTAATTCCTCAAATGCTCTGCTAAGAGGGAAAGATTGTTGGTCAGGTCCACGACAAAGCTCTGGAAACTTACCTTGCCCCTTCGCTCCCAATGCTGATTTCATTTCGATCTAAGGTAATCCCGGCACTGATTACTAGTTCTGTCAACGCAGAATACAGAAGGGTAATCATCTGAATGAAATATGATGTTGTTGTTCTGATTTCCTGTTAAATTCGACCACAATTTGTACTTCCCAGGCTTTAGATTTTGGCTCACTTTTCACTGGCGTTCATTTCTGCATGTCTCCCAGCTTTGATATTGGCTTGCCCTTCAGGCTTTGATGTCGGCTTGCGTTTTTTCCGGCTTCGACATTGGCTTGCCTCCTGGGCTTTGATATCGGCTGGTTTCCCAGCTTTGATATTAGCCTATGTTTCCCTAGGCCTGATATTGGCTGGTTTCTCAGGCTTTGATATCGGCTTGTGGTCCAGGCTTCGACGTTGGCTCGTGCTTTCCAGGCTAAGTATCGATGCCAGCATGATTCTGGCTTTGGCCTTCTTTGACGAGATCTTAAAAGCTCTTTGTACTTGAGAATTACTAGTGTGTACTTTGGTAATTTCTAGTGTATTTCCCCAATTTGAAATTTGAAATCCTGTACATACTAGGTTCGAGCTAAGTAATGCCATCGATGATATTATGTTTCTAATCCCATACTCTTTTATCTATACCTGTAGCAGAATTTTCTGGACGTGTGGTATATTGTAGATGTCATAGTGGCAAGTACTATATTAGATGCCGTGATTGGTATACAACACGCTACATAGTAGTCTAGAAAGTGTGACAAATCTTACTTAGTATCTTAGCTACCAAACTTCATAAGGTATTTTTGATTATTTAATTGCCTCGGAATGCGTGGCTACAGAGGCATATGTAAATTGGGTACTTGTCTCGAAGTCTGGAGACATGCATTATTAGCTAGATTAATCACAACCCTTGAAGTACAAATAGACAATAAGTTCAACACTACACATTCCCTTCTCTGGTTATCGTCTTTTCCTTCGGCGACATTGAATGATCCACATGCAACAAAAAGACATCACGAAACCACTCTCTTCTTAGTCCAATTCCATGACCCAACTCCATGAACCTCAATACCACAAGAAGTGACCCCTCAAACTCTCCAATCCATGAAAATCGACCTATCATAACGCTCCAATGCTATTGAATTGCCGAACACGAGCCAGACACCTGGGTTTGGGGAGGACCAACATCCACCAACTGCGCCCCACTCACGGTCGTCACACTATTATCGATACCATAGAAAGTACACTCCACACCCCCAGTTTCCAACTCGATGTGAGAAATACTCAGAACATTCGCTAGAAAGTTGAACAGGTTAGCCACTCAACAACATAAGACCATCAGCAGGCTTGACGACACATACTAATCTGCGTAGCTTGACCATTAACAGGGAAGCTTTGAGCGAACTCAGCATTCGCGGCCCCAATGAAAAGAACCTGCACAGATTGTTGATTTCCACTTTGTCCTTCACTTCCCCCGGAGCTAGGCGGAGAGGTAGGAGGCGATCCGGATCCCGAATTCGCCGAGCAGGATCCAGAAGTCTGGGTCTGGGGTGGGCCAACATCAACGGTCTCGGCCCCGGTCACGTCCGTGACACTGTTATCGATACCATAGAACGTGCACTGGACATTCGCATCGCTGGACATAATGTGCGAAATGCTCAGCACATTAGCTATTATTGAGAGATTAGCTCATATCCTCCAGGAGGGATTGGATTACAGAGTACGCACAGATAGAGACGGTCGAGCCATCAATAGGAAAGCTCTGCGAGAACTCCGCATTGGCTGCACCTATGAAGGTGATCTCGACATCTTGGGTTCTCTTCAAGGGCCTGCCACTCGAAGCCGTAGCAAGGGCAAGCAAAAGGTTCAATCCTGTCAGGAGGTGCATATTGTGATGATGGGCTTCGAGTTTAGGGTCAAGGAATCACTGATGCTTGATGGTTTGATTTGATATGATTCTGAGATACATGGAGGCTACACATGGACCCTTATATACCTTTTCTTGTCCTATCCAGGTGATGTTTTGGCCATCGAAGGTACAAGTCAAGTACATCATCGCCTAAAATTAATCAAGGCAATACGAAGTAGTAGAGAAGTCATCGTGAAAAATGGTGACGTCCGTGATGTTTGATCCGAGACATTACCAGATTTCCAAAAGTGAAGTAGATAGGAATTGATGTTTAGGCAAGATTAGACGTTGGGTTCCACGGTTAAGGAAGACTAATTATAGTTTTGCCCCAATTTGGTCGTCACGCGGGGTAAATCCGTATCCAGGCCCACTGAGACATCGGGTTCATTTTCTAATTGTAGTAAATGTAAGGGACAAATCTATGGAATATCCAGTCTAAAGTTGGTCACTGGTGGGGACTTGGGAGAATGCGAAAGCGAAAATACAATCCAATGAGATTCAATAGTTCTAGTCGTGATTGCCGAGCAAACTATACTTTTTTTGGATGCGATTGGCTCTCTTGCACCTTTCTAATGCTGAGCGAATAAAAACCCGAGGTCTACAGAGGTTGGAACCGGGGACTTGCTTCTATTGGCAAGAATTGCGATTTTGAAGGGTGGAAGCATTTCATCTCGTACCCGGGCTTGGCATACTAGACTGGAGCTCAAGAACAGTCATACTACATTCAAGCTAGATAGAAGATTCAAAGTCGAATTAGAGAAGAAAAAAACATTCTAACTCCTAGACTCCCAGTAGAGAACAGTAGGCTGACATGATCTTGCATAAGTGCATAATATTGTTCTGCAGGGGAAAGAGGGACCAAAAGTACGGAATCTTTACCATAAATGTACTGGGGTCACGCTAATAAGTGCAAAGTATTGAACCAGAAAGCTGTGGTGAACAGACATTACGCACACATGCAGCGACTCTTGGAAACACCTCTCCCAGACTTTCAAGTCTTCAAAGTATTTGGAACAGACTTTTCATTGTCTCGAGCATGGAAGATAGATTGAGAATGATTCAGTCCGACTTCACTATCACCTTACTACGTGTCAATGGAAGTAATCCAAGTTCTACCAGAGAATAAAGGGATGAAGACCGAAATGAATATCAAGAGATAAGAAATAGAAACAAGTAGAGCCGAACCCCGCAAAAACACGCTTTTCATATCCCATGCACAGAAGAAACCAGATTTCGAATCCAATGAGTCAATCCCTTCCAAACAAGGTGTTTTTCAAGACGCCAGTATGCGATGGAGAAGTACAGCCACCGAGGCGTCAATCCACGTTCAGACAAATACCAAGGCAAACTCGGTGCGAAATCGACCTTGGAAAATCGCCACCAACGAGAAAATCCAAAAAGGATGAAAACCAAGGAAGCCTCAGGAATACCCCCAAGAAAGCCTTACCCAGAAAGGAGACAAATCGGGTCAAAACCCGAACAAGCATTTTTTGAAATGTTTAGAAACGCAGGTCCCAGCCAATCTTGGGACCCAGTCGAGGAAGCTCATCGGCGACACTCTGCACGTCCTTGTCACCGCGACCACTCAGGTTCAGAACAATGTTCTGGCCCTTTTCCATGGTCTTCGCCAGCTCCATAGCACCGTAGACGGCGTGAGAGGTTTCAAGGGCGGGGATGATACCTTCGGTCTGAGAGAGAGTGCGGAAACCGATCAGGGCCTGGGCATCGTCGGCGGCGATGAAAGTAGCACGGTCAGAGTCCTTCCAGGAGCTCAGCTCGGGACCGACACCGGGGTAGTCTAGACCGGCGGAGATGGAGTGGGTCTCAGCGATCTGGCCGTGTTCGTTCTGGAGAACGTAAGTGCGGACACCGTGGAGAACACCCTTAGAGCCACCGGAAAGGGTAGCGGAGTGGCGAAGAGTGTCGACACCGTCACCACCAGCTTCAACACCGACCAGCTTGACGCTAAGGTCTTTGGAGAATGGGTAGAACATTCCGACGGCGTTAGAACCGCCGCCAACACAGGCGACCACGGCATCAGGGAGCTTTCCAATAGCCTCCTGCAATTGCTGCTTGGTCTCGTCACCAATGACGGACTGGAAAGTGCGGACAATGAGAGGGAAGGGGTGGGGACCGATGGCGGAACCGATAATGTAGTGGGTGGTGTCTAATTCGACAACCCAGGCACGGAGAGCCTCGTTCACGGCATCACGCAGGGTGCGGCTACCAGCGTCAACTGCAACAACCTCAGCTCCGAGAAGCTTCATGCGGAATACGTTAAGAGCCTGGCGACGGACATCTTCGGCACCCATGTAGACAGTGCACTTCATGTTGAACTTGGCACAAACAGTAGCAGTGGCCACACCGTGCTGACCAGCACCGGTCTCGGCAATAATGCGAGTTTTTCCAAGACGCTTCGCGATCAGGACTTGACCAATTGCGTTGTTAATCTTGTGGCTACCAGTGTGGTTCAGATCCTCCCGCTTTAGCCAGATGTTGGCTCCGCCAACGTGCTCGGTCAAGCGTTCAGCAAGGTGCAGACTGCTGGGACGGCTCATGTATGGGTAGTATGAGCGGAACTCCTCCCAGAACTTGGGGTCGTTCAAAGCCTCGTTGAAACCGTGCTCGAGTTCGGCAAGGCAGTCCATGAGGGACTCGGGGACATACTGACCACCGAACTCACCAAAACGGGAAGGAAGCGCCGATTTCTCCTTGGTGACATTCAATGCCACGAGCTGGTCAGCCAGACCAGGGCCAGCGGGGGTGTCAGCCTCGGTGATGACCTTGGAAGGCTGTGTCTCAGCATTGGCGAGGACCTTGTGGACGGGGTCGACGAGGTTGATCTCCCTGACGATATTGCCCTGGGCATCACGCTCCAGCTTGCGGCCAGTAATGCTGGAAATGTACTCTTCAGCAGCCTTAGCAGCCTGACCAGGAGCAGCATTGCGCACGGTGGTGATGATTTGGCTGCCAATGACGGCACCTTCAGCAACCTCCTGGACGTCGAGGAAGTGCTGGCGAGTGCTGAGTCCGAATCCGAGGGCAGCAGGCACGTTTCCAGAGTATTCGTGAACGCGGCGGAGAAGCTCGGGGATGTTGGCGCTAAGCTTGCCAGTTGCGCCGGTGACTCCCATACGGGACACAACATAGATGAATGAGTCGGCAATCTTGCAGAGCAACTTCATACGCTCGTCGGAGGTAGAGGGAGCGATCAGAGGCACGTAGGAGAGACTAAGCAGGTTAACTTTGGACTGAAATTAAAATTAAACAAAAGCACATACCCAGTGCTAGCGCACAAGTCGCGGAACCGGACAGCCTCCTCTGGGGGCAGGTCCACCATGATGAAGCCGTTCACACCGGCCTCTTTGCAGTCACGAAGCATCCGCTCGTCACCGTAGCGGAGGACCGGGTTGTAGTAGCCCATCAGCATAACAGGGGTCTTCAAGCCACGGCTGCGGGCCTCTCGGACAAAGCCAAGGACGGTTGTAACAGTCACACCATTCTCAAGAGCCTTAGTATTCGCGGTCTGAATGGTGGGGCCATCGGCGATGGGGTCGGTGAACGGGATACCGAGCTCAATGATATCTGTATTTCGAAGAAAGCTTGTCAGTCGATGTGAACCCCACTACCCCGCCATACGTCGACTTGAACATACCGGCACCACCGTTCTCCAGACCGAGCATGATATCAACGGCCTCTTCAACAGTAGGGTAACCAGCTGTGATGTATGCCACAAGCGCGGACCTGCGCTGCTCCTTGCATTTCGCAAAAGTGGCCTTGATGCCTTCCATCTTGTAAGAATAAGAAGCGCGGAGGAGCGCAAACGATGGGTTGGGGAGGAAAGAGAGAAATGAGAGATGAGAGGAGGAGAAAAGGGAGAAAAGGTTAAGATAACAGATTTGGTTCCAATTGACCCGCTTTTGCGTATGTCAATTCAAGTTTGTATGGAATCCTGCTTTACGTGAGTCATTGGAATTGAATTTCCAGGGTCACCAAGGCGAGATCACGTGGTGATAAATGAGATTGGCTGGATCACGTGCATGTATGCCCCACTTAGGCTCTCTAAAGGATATCAGATTCCTCTATTCTCCCACTAGTTCTCGATTCTGTATAACCTCAGATATAGAGCTTATCTTCATTCAGTTCGATTCCCATCTATGAAAATATATGGCCATAGACATAATCATTTATTTTTAAAACAACGATAATATCACGCTACACAAGGAGCCGCAGAAGTCAGAAGAATGAGAATAGGAAGAATAATTATTCAAGATTGAATCAAAATCACTAGATACTATAGGGCAAGTAAGCCCATCCCAAACGCCACATCAATGCAGATCAAAAACAAATGACAACCCTCAGCTCAAACAATGAAAATTCACAAAGAAAAACTCCCAATTCCCAGCTAGGAACGAATGCAACAGAAACAGCAAAAGCCAAATCCATTGCCCATCATTCCCCAAATACGCCGGGATCCAAAGAAAAAAGAAACAGTATCAGCAATAGCCGAGTCCAGATCTCCCATTCCCAGACAAACAACCAAAAAAAAGCCAAAAACAAAAACCAAATCTATCCCAAATCCGTCCTGCGAATGCAATAAAGGAATGACTGCAGCGCCCATGCTATGCCAAGTACTCGTACAATAGCCCAGAATATTTGTATGCGAAAGGAGAGGAAACCAAAATGCCCGGAGTGTGCAAATGCAACTCAAAGGAAAGGACAAGACAAACACCGTCTAAAACAATGGTGAGGGGCATTCAGGCATAAAGTGTAAGGAGAGACGTAAATCGTGAACCAAATAAAAATCAAATCAAAGCGGTTGTCAATCTGTTCAATGGAGGTATCCACCGTAGGACGGACGGCGTCTGGGCGTGGAAAGGAGTGACGTGAAATGAAGGAGGATCATATCTTCAACAGAGCAGAGGGGAAATATAAAATAGAAAGAGATAAAAGCAAAACTAAACGCAATCAAAATAGATCAAATAGGAAGCGGGATTCAATCAAGAGGATCATGGACCCGGGGCTGTCTCGTGGAGAGGGTAGGGGTCCATGTAAGTGTAGCAGGCGCTAGCGCTAGCTGATGCTGTTGAGGTTGGAGCTCCTAGACCGTGCATTTCCCATGCTGATCGCGGGGTGGGAGCGACCAGACTGTGGGCAGTGTGGGGTTGACAGGTAGCTGGATATGAATACCCTCCCATTCCCATTGATGTGTATGGCTGGCTGACAGAGGGCATCATGGCGCGGAGGTCGGGAGCGGCTGTCAGCGGGGCACATTGGTCCGGTTGTGTGGTGTAGACTGGGCCCATGGCTGGGGCGTAGTGATTCACTGGACCGGTATCTGAGACCGAGCGAGGGGAGGGAGCAGTGTGAGCCTCGGTGCCGGAGTCGGAACCAGTGCCGTGGCTAGCGTAGTTTGTCATAGGGGTTTGGATGACACCTGCGGTGGACGAATAGCTTGCGGACTGTACGATATTAGTAAGATTCATAAATACGACCAGTCTGGGACTTACGTATTTGCCAATGATTTTCTTTAGAGCAAGGCTCAGGATTCTCCACGGGAAGACTTTGACGTCTTTTTCGATGTTGCGGGGCTTTGGCGCAGGGAAACCCATGATGACTTTGAAAAATTCCTCGCTTTCAGCCTTGGCCTTTGAGACTGTGAGGGGACGGAATCCCTCCAGGTTACGGCGAATGCGATTTTTCTCCTCGACAGTGAAGCGAACGTGGACTAGAGATTCGAGCAGATAGATGGTATCCACGCTTGTCACGTAGCATTCATCTTTGCCCTCCCAAGCAATACAGCTAATGCAAATGCTGTTGGGGGCTCGCTCCTCGGGAGTCACGGGCTTGAAGTCGGCATGGATGGTGCTTCCGGTCTGGGACCTCCCGAACTGCACTAGTCGGCGCTGGGCAGTCTGCTCCTCTTTGCTCCAGCCGTGGGCCATGGAGTCCAAGTCCCCACTGAGCTTGAGAACTGCCTTGCTCGGGTACATGGCATACGGATTGAATGCTTGGCTGTGTCCAAGGCCAGAGGACTGCTGCAGAGTGGAAGTACGGATCAACTTGGGATTTGCCCGTGCTGGAGAAGGACCCCGGTGCTGGGTCATTCCATGTGACATGGGCAAGCTCGAGAGGTGACGATCTTGACCGAGTGTGACGAAAGAGGGGCTCCAAGCTGGAGTGAGGGGAGAGGGAGCACGAATGGCGGACTGGGGATTGGCGGACACGGCAGGGTATTGGGACGTGCCAGTCCGAGGAGATGCAGCATAGGGGGCCGCGAAACTTGGAATAGCCGGCAGAGATTGCAAATATGGAGAGAAGGAGGCAGATCGGGTGTGGCCATGGGTATCGCGATAAGAATAGTTCTCTTGAGGCTCGATCTTGGGAATGACAGGTCCAGTCGGTCGCTTCACAGACGCAGCAACAGGGTTGTCGGAGTAGGAAGAGAACTTGCGTTTGTTTGAGCTCGAGCTGGTAGAGGAAACTGATTGAGGCACATGCTCATAGGTGTAAACACCCACTTGGAGTGTTGCAGCCGGGCAGTCACTCTGACCCTCCATGACAACCTGCACAGGTACGGCGAGGGAAGGAGATCCAGTAGAGATGAATTGAGGAGCATCTGCCGACAGGGCGTATTGGAAGGCGGAGGCTGAACCCTCGAATCCCAGGAAGGTCGGGATACATTCACACTTCTGCGAGCCAAAGACCACATATAGTGTGCCGTATGCAGAGCTGTGCAGGTCATAAGGGGACTGGATCTGCACAACCACACGAGTACCTTCGCACCCACGCTGGGGGCTGTAATTGACAATCTCTGGTAATTGACGGGAACGAGCATTCATTAACGGAGACTGCGACTCCTCGTACGAGCTGCTGTACTCGTTGCCGGGAATGTACGGCACGCAGTCTGAGATCTGACTAGCCTGGTCGGCCATGGGAGAGGGGACAAGAGAGGTGGGCATGTATGGAGATTGACCGTAAGCGGAGAACGAACTAGCATCATGCAAAGACCGCGTGGAAGCGTAATCTAAGATGAAAGTGTTAGTTTCGTAGTTTCTGAAACTGATCTAGGATACATACCAAGTACAGCGCCAGCACCGGGCTTCTGGAAGCCAGACATAGACAAAATAGGCTCAGACTTGGCCCACAGGCCGTCTGAGAACGCACCGACAAACTGCGATTCTTCAGAATCCGAGAAATCCAAGGACTCGCCTAAGATCAGAGGCGTTTGGAAATCTGGGTCGAACTGCAAGGGAAAGAGACAAAGTGTCAGCCGATAAAGTTCCAGGTGGAACGTTAGGGGGAGTCATCAAACAGACGTCAGAACTAGGATTGGAGGCAAAAAAAATGCGGGCATCCAGGAATCACAGGAAAATGATAAATCTCACCAAAACGTGTGTCTTCGAATAAGCCAGCTTGAACGTGTTGCAGCAAGTGCAACGAGACCGAACGTCCTTAAGAAGCGAATGAGAGGGAATTTATTGATTTCCCACGAAGAGGTCGGCAAGCACACAAGAAAGGGGTGCAATCCGAGACAGAAGCGAAAGAGAAGCTAGGCAGTCTCACAGAAAAGGCGACAAGAAGCCTCGAATCACCATCCAGGATTTGGCGGACTAAGAGGTGAGACTAGAAGGCTAGCTGCAGCAAAGAACTTCAAATCACGATGTGTGCCCAATATGGATCATAAACCTATCGCATGGGAGAACCAGGTTCAACTAGAGCCACCGCTAGTTTGTGGATGAGGAGATCTGAAATAAAGGCGTGGGGTTTGATGGACGTTGACTGGCGAGGTTTTGGGAGTATTTTCTATTGTATCTTGACAATCCCCGTATCTTCAAGTTGTTTCGGGAAGACTAGACGTCGATTGGGCAAAGATGAACTACTCCAGCAATGAGTATGAACGATCTTTCTCTTTCTTGTTGATTGAATATCGGAATGATGCATAGAGGAACTCACCGAGTGAATCTGAATCTGAATCAGAAATGAAAAAGAGGAGTGATTTCCCCGTTCGATGTTCGTCTAATATGCAAGAATTTGGCTAACAGTCCAAGAAATCTAGAATAGAGTCCGATGTCAATAACAAACACGCATGAACCCAATAGCGGGACCCGGAACGACCATCCGGAGTCCACAGCTCTCTAGCTTCCCTATAGCTCATTGATCTCCCAATCTCTATGACGCTCGTCATCTCCCGCAGATTGAAGCACGACCAAGCTGCAAGGAGATGCAGCCCAAAGAGGAAAAGATGCAAGGCACGGGGGAAGTGAGACCGTGGGCGAAGGGGAAAGTGGAGACTAACCTTAAGCTGAGCAATATGATTCCCCTTGTCGGTTGCGCTGAGACCACCAAACAGATAAATTTTCTCTTTCAGCCGAGACAATAGATGGGGCGATATGCGCTCTAGATCAATAGATATAGAAGTTGTTTCCAATCCCCGAAGTAGATCCCTGGAAGTCGGGGAGAGATCGATACGGAACCAGAACAAACGGGGTTCCTGTTGAAGAAATGACAAACGCCCCAAATCTCCGAGAAATTGGAATCTGGTATTTGATTTCCCTCGATGCGATTTCCTCCGATAGAATCACGTTGCAGAATCAAGGGAGTAGCGAATCACGGGCGCAAGGTGTTTGGAATTAAATATTAAGAATATTCGGAATATAACCGTTTTTGGGTTTTCCCTTTCAAGGGCGTTGTCTCTGAATCCTTTTATAGTTAGGTTCAAATGTTCATTCAAATATTGATTTCGATTTTCGATTTTGATTGATTTCGATTTCGATTTCGATGGAATTCCGTGTAAATCAAAACGTAGCGTAGCGAACGTGAGTTTTCGTTAAAACGAACGTAAGAGCGAACGTGGGGGGGGTGGAAAGCGAATGTGGTATCAAGTCATATCGAGGGGGGAAAAGGGAAAAAGAAATGCAAGGATGTCAAAGGGTTAAAAGGTGAACGGTTTTTACTATAATTATTATTAGTAGCAAAGGTCAGAGTCCCAATCGCTCTCAGTCTAAACTGTTCAGGGCCACGAGCGTGTGGAGTCCTTTACGCTTATCCATTTTGGGAAAAAGGCCATTTGTGATTTTTTACCTTTAGAATTTCGCGCCTTTTATTTTGGGATTTTTGGATTATTCTTTTTCTTTTTTTTTTTCCTTTTTCTGTCCCTTTTGGTTGTAAAACCCACTAGTGGGAAATCGTGGCGGGGGATGTGATGTCGAGGGAACTGGGGCACAAAGCGGAAATCAGATCGTCACACGGAACCAGGGTCTCGGGGGGAAACAAATCAATTTGGACTAAAATTCGTTTTTATTTTATATATAGAGACCCGGCTGACGATGACTGCACATGTACATGTACGACCATAACAGTATTCAAAGCCTATAACTCGGCTACTAGTTACGATCCGACCGGTCCGGATCTACTTGGATCTGCCCTGAATAATGAATACGAGTATACATTTTCTTGAATGAACCTTGGAACTATGAGAGAGAAAAAATCAAAACCGAAAGTGGAATATGTCGGGGGTTGTGGGTCAATACGATGAGCGGGATAAACACCAAACTGGCGGCTTGCGCCGCGATGTAAAAGTGGATCCTGTATTAAGTAAGAAAAAACCAGTAAAACAACAAAATCAAGTAAACTAAGAATTCTATCTCAGTGGTTGGGATGTTTTGGTAAGGGGGGCTTTTTTAAAAAAGAACCACGGTCATAGTCATTTGCTTTTCCAGCCCCCACGACTAAACGTGCAGAAATTAACATCCAACCCCCCTTTGCTTATGAAATCAACCAATCATTACTATCACCTCTTACTTCCTGCAATTCCCATCCAATTAAATCTCTTTGTTCCCTCTATCCGAGGCTTTCTCTCGTTTGATGCGTAATTAGTTCCCCTAACTTAGTCTCGGAAAGGAACTCTGGCCTAGCAAGGAGAAAGATTTTGAAGGGCAACCAATGACATGTTCAAATCCCCCTAAAATGGGGCAACGCCGCAAGACCCTGCGTTTCCAAATCTTTCTCCAGAGATGCCAAGGGGCTCCACAGCACTGTCCAGTCAACCGGCCCGGTACCATTCTTCAGCCCTCGTGTCATTATGCCATCATGCATTGAGACGCTTCACACGCACATCCGCATTTGCATTTGCACTTCTATTTCCCTCGAGGCTTCCTACCCGAGGGGAACACGTCGCTACACATCTTGGCTTTAACCCTGAAATCGCCTATTTGAGGAAAGACAGAAACCTTCATAGGCCGTCTGACCTGATATTGACCTAATCAGGGCTTCCATAAGAGTATTGGGGGAAAAGACAAGTACCAGTACACAGTGGGCTTCGTAAATGATGGGCTAAACATAGTACTTCCTGCATCTCAGGTGACCTGGTGGCCTGACAATGCAAGGAAATCCAACGCTGATTGGTCAAAAGACATTACACTATCCCCGATCGAGGATCTCTGCCCAGCCCGAGCTCCCATGTTGTGTTTTCCTGATCCCTGGTCTAACGGGACGGTATCATCAACCACCCGTTACTCTGCACTGTTACCCTGGCGCCCGATTTCTATTTCCAACAATAAGCTTTGTGAGAATTCATGATTCATAATTTCTGCTAGGTTTTTATTTCACTTGATTTGACCTGATTTGACTTGATGTGTTATTCCTATCGGCCCTGCCGATCGTGCTGCCCCAGTATAGCTGAATGATCATCGCGGGACAATCCCGAAGTGACTCCATACGCACGGGTGTACTCTCTAGTTACGCATGAAATTGTAAGAAAAGTCTATGCAAGTGTGCAAGGGTGTCAACGCTGGATAAAAATTGTATTGTCAATGAGGTTGGGACAGGGGATCAATGCACGTAAGGATCGGATTCGCTGATCCCCCTCCCCCTTCATTCCGATCTCTTCAACACGCAGCTAGTTAACGGTTCCGATGCATAACTCCTTCCAGAAAATTATAAATTATATAAATTAAACTCTTCCGTACAGTAGCTTGCATATACCAGCCACCACGATGTTGAGGACCACAAAAGATATGTGGATGTATGGATTTGCTGACTTGCCGAACTTCCGAAGTTCGCCAACAATAAAAATGACATTTTAGCCCTGAGCTCCACGATTCGCCACGTTCAAGACATGACTCCATTCCCAGGGTTATTATGGATTAATGGGACCTGAACCGGAGCGGGTTCAAGCGACTGTGGATCGCTGATCAGCAATCTCTTGCCAAAGCTTCGATGATCGCCAAACAGATAATCAACGGCTTTGATAATTTGGATAATTTTGAGAAGGTTTGATTTCCAATATTCATGACTTCATTTCCCCCTACAATCAACTCCCGTAAGGAGATGAAAAAAAATCAACCCTGTCTATCAGATCGTAATTATCCCTTCTCAGTTGTGGCCAAAGCCGCGTTTGTCAGCCAAGTGGATCGGGAGATACTCGGTGCTTTTTACTCCAAACGAGCACAGATCGTAAGTATATTGAATCCGGTGACATAATAATTTATTCAGCGACGGAATGTTATCTTATTTGAAGGAAAGAAAAGAAAAGAAGAAAAGCAAAATGCCCGATTCGTTCCACCATCGCGGATGAAAATTCAGGGTTTCGGAGCTCCAACTTTCTGGGAGATTTCTCCGGATTGAGAATATAGACGTCTGCCTATTTGCCAACTCTTCACTTTCTCCACTCTATATTAAGTGCTCATAAGTAGAGGCAATTAAACATTTGCTATTACGCCATAAACTTTCAGTAGTTCACTCTTTTGTACTCTGTACTCGAATTTCAAAAATGCAATAAATATCCTCGACTCATTTCTCTAGGAACCTTGCATGTCAATCAAACTTCGTCTAAGTGAAACATCCTCCTTCAAAGGTTTATCCCCACCGGCAAGGCTGGGGGGAGGCGAATTGGACCCTTGCTACAATTATAAATTTTCAATCCCGGTGAGTAGGTATGGATTCCGTGGTTCAAGCACCTAGCTCCCGTGCCACTGTGAATTGATACCCAAATTCCCACATGCTTCGTTTCTTTCCTGGTTAGTGTGGATCCCGGATCCCCCGAGGCTTCTCCTCTAAGCCACAGCCCCAATCCTAATCCTATGGCCGCCGAGCCTCAGATATTTACATGGTTCTTGAGTACCGAGAAGAGCCATGGAGAACAAAACAAGGTTGTTGTCCGAGGCCCTAATTTTTGTTCCTTTTGCCTAGTCATCTTCTCTTTGGGGTAACTTGCCGATCGCAGATTCCCCGATTGGACTGTTTTCTGGGGGCATGGTAGTTTCTCCGGGACTGAGTGCCGGGTAACCATTAAGAAGCGTGCATTTCTCATGGTACTCCATCCTGTTCTTGCGTGGTAGCTTTAAACTTCCACCACGGAGTAAGTATTTCGTGCTACTCCAGTAACGTCAATGGCTTCGGATGGAAGTATGAAAACCGGAGTGTTAGTTCGGCTAGCGTCCGTGGACGGACCACACTATTGCCTAGCAGACATCGCCCCATTCACCGGCCCCTGTCCGGTTCTTCTCGGTTTCTGGCTTCTTTCTCTCCGGGACGGGGAGACGCATGCTAGCGTCTTTGCTAGAACAGCGGTCAGGCTTATCTTGATAGAGTGACCCGAGCGAATGAGTCTAATTCTAATAAATTATATGACTCCTATCTACTGGGAATGAAATTAAAAGAAACACGCGTCTCTCCGTAATTATCTACTAGCCTCATACGCAAAAGACGGAAGCCATAATACACTACTTGTCAACCCAGTTCTTTCTTTCTTTTACCTGATCTCCTAAAAGATACAAGGATAACAAAGAATCCCCTCGAAGAACCTAATCCCTGCGCCCTCCCGCTCCCCGATCCTGGTGACTGCTCCCGTCTGCTGTTTCAGTGTTCCAAAGATCATAGGAAGGTTTCACTAGACTATGATTCAGGTTATTCAGCTCATGCGCTTTCCCCGACGATCACAACTAATATAAGTATGGACTGGTGTGAAGCATCCTTTAGCGCGAATAGTAGCAGGATAAATCATCATACCCTCCACACATCCACCTACCTATATATGGAGCTTGCTCTGTAGATCTTAGCTTAAGTCGTGAGCACTCGGCTTGGATATCCTGGAGATCGTTGGCGGCAGCCTGTGCAAAACGACTTCCCTGTAGGGTCAGGTTCAAGTTGGATCTAAGTTTATTGGATATTTTATTTGACATCATTCGCCAACATTGAAGGTTTCCAAGGTTCTTTGAAGCGTGTGGCTGTTGATGGCTCAGGGGTTGTGAGACAGATTTCGCTATTTTTAATCCACCAAACCTTCAATATTCAACGTAAAGTGCACAGCATTGATCTTCAGAGTTGGAGTCATTATATCTGTTATCTAACGAAATTTATTCTCAAGTTTTCAAACAATTTAAGGCTATAGAGAGGATATAATAAAATAAAATATTAAAATTCATAATGTAGGTGACGTTAACCTAGGTGGTTAGCACGAGCCATCTGACACGGTAAGATCGACAACCTGCAGGTATATATATATCTACGCGGAGAGAGTTTGAACACGTTCAACAACATTTAAACCTTGTATTCAATTACCCGATAAAATGTTTGATCTTTTCTGTTGTAGGTTGATAAACTCTTCGATTTCTAAGGCATTCAATAGCTTAAATGGATTGGCGAATTCCAATTTTGGAAGGTTTTAGCTCGCCTGATCATCCACTCTTGAAACCGCCGCCGAACTACGACCGTTTCAAGTTGATCCACCCCAATTTTTGCAGGAGAATAACACTTGAATAGAATGAATTTATCTACAGACCACAGAATGAATTAATGCGAAACTATTCCGCAAAGGCTAAAACAAGAAAGTCAATTCCATGGAGGCCGATATTCCGCATTCAAATGTTCCGACCTGTATTTGATGAACAACATTTGCAATCTCGAAATCTCGCAGCCCGTACTCTGTATTCCGTTTATTCCGGCTTATATTGGATCAAACACTTCAAGTTGAATTAATTATACCTCCCACCTGTCTTCAAAGTTGCATATATATCATAACTAAATAAAACATCGAATGGAGCATTTTACACTAAAACCGATCCTCTATAAACAAGGTGGAGTAGGGCAAGCCACGGGCTAACAAATAACAAATGACAAATCACAAAAACTCCAATTGTTATTTCGGGGACATGCTCGGGACCTCGACGGACCCATCCGCTCTCCTGGGATTTGTTCAACTAATTTTCGTCCTTGGTAAACTGCTATTCTCGTTCTCCAATTAGATCAATCCATCGAATTTCCTTTGTCGGATCCGAACTTATTTTACCCACTTTCCTAGATTATTTCTCTATTCTGTATTTATTTTATTTTTTAATCTCATAATCTACGGAACTACCTTCACAGCTAGTCAAAACCAAGATAGTTAACTTATCCAAGTGGAGGGAATCCACATGTTGTTCCCTCGCTTCCGTGCTTTTGATCCTGATTTGCCAAGTACTGTTCACCCAGGTGTCCAAGCTCTGCCAAGTTCAGGCAGCAGGCAATTGACCATTGAAATTTGCGTTGAGTTTGAACCTCGGCTTTGACAGTTTCAATCCACACTCAATGCTACTCTACCGATTTGGCAGGTGTCTTTAAAGGTGTTCTCTGCTTCTTCTAGAGTTCGAGTTATGTAAGAATATTTACCGTTGGTAGAGCTTAATGAGTGACTACCGAGGTTTTAAGTTAAAATAAAATAAAAGTAAAATACGAAAAGCGAGAAGCGAAAAGCGAAAAGCGGAAAACCAAAAAAAAAGAGGATTTTGAAATTCCATTCGCTTCTCTCGTTCCCGTATCGCTCTACTAGTACCTACCCAATAGAGATGGTTATATGCACGACTGGAAGCTAACTCAACGCCATCACCAAAATAGCTAGAAAACATTAACGACATCATCGATCACTTGGCCACGTCGGAACGTAACCGAGCCAACACGAATCGGAGACCCTGAATCAGACCCATAATGTAGTGTGCTCTTATTGGGTGATAACAATGCCGCTAATTCACCAGTCGGTGTCTCCTAAGTACGGCTGATGTTAATCCTTAATAGGTAATGGTTGAGTTGTCTCACGGGTAATCGAATAGACTCGGACCAGAAATGGGATCATCGGAAACAGGATCAGACTCAGGTTTAGGGATCGGATTCAGATTTAGACTCGGCATATCTGTGCCCGTGCCTATTTTTACTTTTCCCTCGATTCGAGCATACCGGTAGGGCAGGAAGTGGATTATCAATCATCACAATGGCCTGTAACGGTAACAATTTGATAACCCGCTATTGTGGCTGAGGTGAAGCTTAATGCTTAAAGCAAGAACCCGACAGAGTGGAAAATATTGAGAGAGAATATAATTTAAAACCTAACAAATCAGGCTCTGCAGACGTCACTTTTACTCCCCTGTCAGTTCGGTTCAGTTCAGCTCGCCATGTTGGTTGCTGACTGTTATGGCCTGATTTGTAAGGCCCCCAGAAGGAGATGTGGATGGCTGTGTAATAGGGGTTACCAGGTTCTGGCGGTCTGGCATTTTCTTTTTTTAGGGTTGGCTAGCAATCGATGCTACTGTAGCAGCTTATTCGTGCGGTGCATGAGTTGTGAGAGTTACTGGGTGAGATCACATGCGGGTTACCGCTTTGGAAGGGTTGACTGCAGATGTCGGCATGGGGTGATGCCCAAGTCAGACCATCTTCGTTACATCTTATGATTTGGTAAGTTGAAAGAATTTGTGGTATTTCTAACAACAAGCGTCTAGACCATAAGGGTCTAAGATAAGCTAAGCTGAGCTTTCCATAACAGTAAGAGCATACAATAAGAGCATACAATAAAAGCATCGAAAGGTCGATCAACAACACAGTGAAGACACAGCAAACAGAGGCAGTAAATCAACACCATCATGAAGACACAGCAAAACAAAGGCAGTAAATCAAACATAAGAAATACAGGATAATATCGGCTGACAATGAAGCCAGGCACGAAATAGAGTGAATCTCCATGAGAGATATGAGTCTCCGAAAGGCCGGTCCATCAGTACATGCGTGTACCGACGTTCAACGGCGAATTGACGACAAAAGAATGACGTCTAGAAGAGGATTGCACTCTCATGGATGCTACGGTTGTAGCAAATAGGAAAGAATGGAGCCCAGAGGGCATACATCTCAGGACGAATGTTCCGGAAGTGAACGAGCCATCTGGCGAAGAATGGTTCCGTGTGGAAGGGAGTTCCACTGCGATTCTCACAAATCTGCGCCATGTCAGTGCAATTCCAACCTCAATATCAGACCTAACGACATAAAAGTCCACCTCATACGTACCACATGGTACTCTCGAATCATAGCAAAGTGCTCGGGTCCGAGACCGAGGTTAAGCATGGTCTGCTCGGAGATTCGGCGAGCAGCGAAAGTGAACCCACGCGAGTATTCCTCACGAGTCAGGCGGCCGACACGCAGCAAGTAGCTGTTGGGCTGCAGACGAGGCTCGCTGGCATGAGCGACTTCAATGAAACGAGTAAGTACATCGGCTTCCCAGGCTGCCAGGAGCGGGTGATTAAGGTTCTTGAGACCTCGCTCGAGTTCGGCGACCTCGCTCATCATGTCGGCGACAGAGCCTGAAACGCGATCCATGCTTGTGGTAAGCAGGTTGTTGGTAAAGCTCAGAAGTCTGGCGCGAGGGTCTCCGCGCTGCATTCTTGTCAGTATGAATATATGGTATGAATAAATAGGAACGAAGCACATACAGAAGGACGACGAGGCGGCGCGAGCGGGTTGCTGAATGGCTCCCCCACAGGAGTTGGGCCAGAATCGATACCACGAGCCCTGACTGGGTGCAGTTGGCTGAGAGTAGGCAAGTTCTTTGCGATGGGCATAACGAACTTGTTTAGTGGATAATGGAACAAGAGATGGACTGATACAGGGAAAGCAGTGATCGGGCTTCAATCAAAACTGGGGAGGGGATGAGTGAAGGAAAGAATACCGAGCAAGTGAAAGGTAAACACGTCCCAAGTGGTAATGAATGAGTCGCTGCGATGAGTCGTCGGAATGAGTTGGTGGGGATGATGTCGTCGATTAGTCGTCGATTGCTGTGGGTTTATGGTAAGCCGCCGAGATTTATACAGGGCAAGCGCCCTTCACTTGAGCGACGGCAACACCGAAAAGCTCTTAATCAGTAGATCCAAACCCCAGGAAGGAACGTAATATTCAATTCAGAATCTTGCTGGTATTTACAGCTTGCTGCTCGAGGTCGTTCCGAACTCAATCACCAATTTTCCAAACTGTGTGCCCTGCTTCATGTCTTCAAAGAGTCCATCAATTGCAGCCAGATCATCAATTTCGACTTGCAGCGTGCGAGAGACAACAGGATAGATGTTCTTTGCTTTGACATAGCTTACCATATCCAGGAACTCTTTACGAGAACCCATGGTGGAGCCACGGACATCAATGTTCTTTAACACTGCTTGCATCGAGAAGGGCATTTTCGGTGAAACCGTCATTCCATAGATGGATAAAACACCACCAGCCTGCCATATGTCAGGATCCGTGCGGAAAATCACAGAACGCAGCCCAGAAGTTAGGAGTCTTGACTCACCTTCAGCAGCTTAACTGCCTTCTCAATGGAATCACCACCAGCACCATCGATAATGGCATCAAAGTTTGCCTTTCCAGGTGGAAGCATACCCAAGAGCTTCTTATCCCATCCATCTTCCTTATAATTCACACCTCCGGCGGCACCTAACTCAACAGCCTTTTGAATCTTCTCCTGGCTGGAGCTAGTCACAAAGACATGCGCACCACGGGCCACTGCAAATCGCAGCGCCATCAAAGCGACACCACCACCAATTCCAGTAATGAGAACAGCAGCACCATCCTTTGAGTTCCTCTCCCCAGCCTTCGTCACAAGAGCCCGCCAAGCAGTCAGCCCAGTCAATGGCAAAGCAGCAGCTTCAGCGTCAGAGAGATGCCCCGGAGCTTCTTCAACTTCCGACTCATCAATCGTGATGTATTCTTGCAGAGTACCTTTATTATAAACCTTGGTTCCGCCCATGATCCGATAACCGCCTGCATCCTCAGGACCATCGGGTGAATCTTTCCATCCCACACCAGGATTCAGGAGGACTCGCTTGCCCTGCCATTTGTCTGTACTTGAGACGTTGGGCCCGGCTCCGATGACGACACCAACTCCGTCGGCCAGGAGAGGCACATCAAATGTGAGACCTGGGTACAGATGTTGTCGCAGGAACAGGTCGCGGTGGTTCAGCGACGCGGCAGTGAGCTTTATAAGGAGTTCGCTGCCCTGTGGGGTTGGTTGTGGCAGGGTGCGCACCGTGAGAGGGTAGTAAACCTGGCCGGGCTTGCCAGGTTTGCCATCAATCGGGGCGATAAACACTGCTTTGGACATGATCTTTGGGAATGTTAAATTGGTGAATTGGTGCTCCAAGGTTGTTTATGATAACAAGTGCGGGGATGCTTGTTCTTATCGATAACCGAGGATCTAGGGACAGTATGTCTTGCACAAAGACCGCGGCAATCGGCAGTCCAGGTGGAAAAGGCCAACTCTTTGAATGATCACACCTAGGACTCAACCAGGGGATTATTAAATTGGGATATAATATGATCAAAGATGGAGTTTATTTTGTGAATTGGGCGAGATTGAAAGGCAATGACTATGTGAAGCGGGGCAAGCCTTTCCAAGTCACGTTATATTTCCCCGAATTGGAGTATGCAACACTAGCTATTCCTAGAATAATGCGTTTTTTTCAAATAACGATCAATTGGAGAATCAGAGTACAAAGGTTAGAACAAACAACCTTGGGATATTTCAGTGCAGTGCAGTCACATACATGACATGGATTTTCGAAGTCGAAGATATCCTATTTTCACCTGAGTGGCGTTTGCTAACTAATCGGGAAGCTGCAGATCACAAGACAAATATCTGTGACTAGTTTTTCTACTTCCTCTCGTGAACTCCAATTTGTTGGCCAAAGCAAAAAAAAACCAAGAAAACCAAGAAAACGGTCAAACCAAATGAGATACTTAACTCAAGTCAAAACAATAGAATGCTACTCGCCGTGTGTATATTCCATAGGAATCGCAATAATAAGGTGCCCGCACCTAGCTTCCTCACCCCTGTCACTCCTAGCCCCAATGTCCACCGAAGACTCCGAAGCAATATCATCAGTCACGTTGGGAGAAACATAGTTCTCAAAGCGACAATCATCTAGATGACAATGAGCATGACGGCGAGTCTGGGTCTCAGCCTCAGCCTCTGCTGCGGCTGCAGCTGCAGCCACACATTGTGTGCAGTTACATCTCGTTTGGACAGGTCTCACACGGGCAGTTGGGGCCTCAACCGGCTGCTGGGCACCAGGAATAGGAACAGCAGTGTGTTCGCACACCTGGTGGTACTCCTGGCAGTATAAACAGTATACCATCCGTGGATTGGCAGGAGGATCCCGCTGAGTCTGACCAGGTCCTGGAGTCACCGTCCTAGTCGTGGGCGTGGGAGGCACAAACGCAGCATGCTGAACAGTGGCCGGGGCAGTAGCGGGAGGCTTGCATAAATTGCAGGTACACCTTCTCACTGGCTGAGGTTCTGGATCCTCGATCAAGCCGATGCAGCCACAGAAACGAGTAAGTCGGACCGAGTTGCGCTCAGTGTCTCCATTGTTGCTGGGTGGTGAAGTTCTGAGGGGCTCGTACTCGCGTCCACATCGGGGACAGCTATGTCTAGCAGGGGAGAGATCTGGTGATGCACGTCGGGTGGTGGTCCCGACAGGTTGAGGCATGATATGCTCGCCACGGATGTAGCCTTTGCGAAGAGGCTTGCCGGCCCAGTACCACTCGTAGGGAAAGTCGGCTTTGACGGTATACTTCATCCTGGGTCGGTGTCGGGTGCCGGTAGACATACTATTTGTCCTGAGAAGTGGGAATTTTGAGATACGCTAGATTGCTGTAAAGTATAGAGTTGAGTAGAATATCTTGTGATAATAAAGAATATACTGGAAGAGATGATGCTTTTATATGTTTTGACTTTTAAGGTGTATCCTAGAGATCTGGATAGTATACTAGTAGTTAGTCTTTGTCAATTTGGAAACTCATGATGTCTAGTCAGTGAGTCTCCATTGAAATATGATGAGACAAGCAGACGCAGTCGGTGTACCCTGCAGGTGCCACAAACCCACGTAACTGGGTATCTACACGTCAAAAAAAGGCTCTCTATGTATCAAAAACCTGGTAGAAGAGAAAGAAAGAAATTTACAAAGCCACCAGAGACCAGTCTGAAATCCAACGGAAGCTATGCAGGTTGAATCCTTCAACGGGTGGAAATCCAGTATGTAACGCGGGGTGGCTGGAACCATACAGCCACATAAGGAAAGGGATGAGTGGTTCATACTGGTTCTAGCAAGGTATGCAGGTATCTTATCTTGTGCTTAGAGAAGCGCAAAAGAAAACTAAGAAAAACGACTCGTATCAGCGCAAGGGTGACATGAAAGACAATTCAAGCCAAATCCAACCTTAACTAACCGTTTGAAAGCAGCTCCATCCAATGAGGTAATGGGCGTGGTCTTAATCAACCATACACACCAATCCTTGTTATTGCCACAATTTAAAGCCACCGCATGCGTTACGTAGCCACAGACAATTTTTGGATACTTTGCGTCACCAAATCGAGACCCACAAACATTAAGGAGTCCACTAAGGAAATGTATTTTTGGTAGTCAGATAGGAGAATAGAGAAAACCCCTTTTCAAAGAGCAACAAAGAGACAGAGACAAGACAGTAATTGTGTACTTCAATGATGGAGTAACAGCTCTGTGTGTATTAAATACTTCAGTGATTGAAGTACTGTATTGAATACAAGTTTCAGGCACTGAAATGGTGGGTAAGCACGCGACTCCACGGCGTTCATTACCGTGTATTTACAGTTCCAAGTTAGGCGTGACTTAATGCCACGCGCCCGCTAAATCATTTTTGCTCTAGCAAGCGAATTCGAAACTCGATCTCTGTTTCTTGATCTTGACCTTCAACCTCGTTACAGGCGCTCGCATTCTGCATTCCCTCTCGCAACTCCCCAGTTCCGTCGATTGATAGCTTCTAGAAGTTATCTTAACTCCATCTCTTCATCCTACTTGTTTTGCGTCATACCGTTCGCATCACAATCTTCGCACTATCCACGCCACAGCAAAGTCTCGCGAACTATTCTCGAATCGGCCGTTTTGTGGGGGATCATCCGTCCAGAACAACCTTTCCATAATGCCTACACCACTCCCATCCAGTTTCGCTTCCGCCGCCGCCGGCAACACCCAGGACCCCAATCGGAGAGGGGATGGAAATGCTGGAGAATGGTACGCAGTCTTGCCCTGTCCTGCTCTGGATGCTCCCCTCCCCGACATCCAAGCAACCCAAGCGTCACCGTGGAACCAAGGCCTTCTTTGAAATACGGTCATCTGGCGGATGCTCAATTCGCCACCAACGAGATATCCGATGCTAACTTGACTTAGGTCTCGATCCCGCATCAACGGAGCCACCCAGACCTTCCGCCGCCCTTCCGTTGCTACCAACCCTACGCACACTCGGGAGAGTAGCCACGCAGCATCTGCCTCGACGCCTACCGGAGCTTATATTCCTCCCCATATGAGCTCAAATACCTCTAGTGCACTGCGGAATGGAGACGCTCGATACTCCAAGGACCAACTCATAGACTTGTATAAGGCACAGCGGGAGTCGGGCTCCTTGAGCAAGAATGTAGAGGACTACTTTGTGGCCGACTGGGATCCTCACATGGAGCCCACTTTAGTGAACGGAGCGTGGGGGAAGCGGGATGACCACAAGACCTCTGCGGGGCCCGAGGTGTGCTGGGACCATGGTGGTCAAGCTGAACCGTTGGGCCTGAGTGATATGACGGAGAGTGAAAAAGAGGTGGGTCCCTTATTTCGGTTTGGGTTAACTGTCAACTAACAAGAAAATTCTTCTAGTTCTTCACCGCGTCCGTGAATTCCCCTCTCAAGCCCCCACCAACCAACGCCCAGAAAGAAAACGCCGGGCCAGCGACTGGAGGTCGCAAAGGCTCAATTTCATACACTCAGGGCCACATTAATAACTACAACACCTCTTCCCCCACCCCCAGCCGACCGGGTGTGAGACGCCGAGAGACGACGGGAGATTCTGTGGGCAATCCCATGTCTCCTACTACCTCCAACTCTCGGTTCTTCCGTGACGAAGCGAATACCTCGACTCCTCCTCCCGCACTCCTTCGTCGTAAGACCGATTTCCGAGAGCCGGGCGTGAAAGACGAGAAATCGAAGGACGGTGCCGATTCTCCTTTTGGGTCTTTGAAGCGTAGCACGACCAACCCGATGAACCCCAATCCGTTGAACACCGCTGTAGGCCCGAGTTCACCCTGGGGTCCGGCATCCGCATCAGCAAGTGCCAATTTCTCCCCGATGGGTGCCTTTGGAGCTTTCTCCCTGGGTTCAGGCTCTGTTTCTGCCACAACCCCCACGACTGAGAAGAAGCCTGGATATGGAAGTCTTCGGGGCGAGAGCAGGTTCAAGGGTCTGCTCTCGAAGGACAGCTCGGAGGATCTTACTGGCTCTAGTAAGGAGAAAAACCTGAGTGGTCTCGAGCGACTCGTGGAGGACGATGGCGGCAAGCGTGCACAGTCCCCATGGGGTGATGCGGTTAAGAATCGTGTCGGCCGGAGTGAGACTAATCCATTCGATGAGCCTCGCAGTGGCAGTGCCGCCCTTGGTGGTTCGCAGGATGTTGAGGCACCCCAGGATACTGGATTTGGTGCCTTCGGCATGACCTCGAGTATTCCCGGTTTCCGAGAGTTGATGCAGAGCCAGGAGAACTCGAGAAACCCGACCCCGAGTTTGCTCCAGGGACACGAACCCACCAGTCCGACCAATACTAACCCCTACCAAAGCCCCCATGGCGACCGAGGAATGGATCCGGAGGATGTGGATACTGATGGATCGGATATTCAGCATCCCCAACACCCCGGACTCAGCGGACTCCGCGATCCTTCCAATCCGTTTGGATCAATGAGACGGGCTGGTTCAGGAATGGACCTGCCCAGTGTCGACCGCAGCCAGAACTCGAGTGTCAATGCCAACCGACCTTTCTCTGGTTTGGGTAGCCTTGGTGGTCTTCCATCTCTTGGTGGAGGTTCCGCCTGGCCCTCCGGGGGAGCCATTGGTACGCCGACCAGAGAGCGGTCTGCTTTTGGTGGCGGTGGATTCGGTGATCCTATCTTTGGTACCATGGGTGACCTTCAGTCTCCAAGTCTGTCGACTCTGGGAGGCGGTGGTCTCTTCAGCCCGCATGCTGGAATTGCTGGAACTGCAAGTATCGGTCGGGGAAGCAAGTTGGGTGCCCTCTTCTCGTCGACCATGCAGGATGAAGGACGGCCAGACTCTGTGGGCTTGGGTGACGGTTCTGGTCAACCTGATCCTGGTTTGGTAAGCAAGCCTGGATCGAACTCAGCATCCCAGACTCCCGTCTCCGCTGTTGGTTCCCTTCCAGTCAACTTCACCCAAGATCCCGCATTGGCCCAGACCCCTGGAGGATCTGTTCCTGCCGCCCAACAGCGCCAAATGGTCATGCCTGACCGCATGCGCTGGATTTACCGCGACCCGCAAGGCAACACCCAAGGACCATGGACTGGTCTTGAAATGCATGATTGGTTCAAAGCTGGATTCTTCAGCCCCGATCTGCAAATCAGGAAACTCGAAGATGGAGAATTCGAGCCGCTCGCACAGCTGGTGCGCCGCATTGGGAACTCTCGCGAGCCATTCCTTGTTCCCCAGATTGGCATCCCCCATGGACCTGAGCCCAATGCCACCCCATGGACTGGCACTGGCGGCGCCACCACCCAGGGCTCCGCTCAGCCTCCTTTCCCCGGCAGCTTCCCCAGCTTTGGCACCACTTTGACCGCCGAACAACAGAATGCTCTTGAACGACGAAAGCAAGAGGAGCAGTACCTGATGGCTCGCCAAAAGGAACACCTTGCTCAACAACAAGCCATTATGAAGCAGATGGGAGGTTCAAGCAGTTCAGCCTTGCCCCCGCTCCAGCATCAGTCCAGCGCCCATAGCCTACACAGTCAGCCTAGCTTTGGCAGCATTGCCTCCCCTGGCGCTTATCAGCCCTCTCCCATCCAGGCTCCGCTGCAGCAGCAGGCCCAGGGAGTCCCTGGCTTCTTTGACGGTGCTGCGCAGCTCCGACAAGGCGGATTACCCAACATTGGACCTGGTATGCTCGGTACCGATCTTGGTAGCGGACAGGACCAGCTTCCCGCCCTCCTTGATCGCTTGAACATCGGCCGCCAGGATCCATTTGCTTTCGGTGGAGCCTCCTCACTCGGTCGCCAACCTGACAGCCTTTTGCACTCCCAACAGGTAGCATCGATGCTCCAGGATCGCGCTCAGCTCCAGCAGGAGCAGGAGCAATTTGACAAGGCCAACAACGCCAATGACCCATTTGACCAGGAGGCGCGTGAAGAGCGACTTCGTCAGTTCCACGCCTTGCGGGCCCAGGAAGGTGAATTGGGTATGCGCACCGCTGAAGGTCTTCCCACTCACCCCGCTGCCTCTCAGCAACTTGAAGCTGAAGCTGCTGCTGCCGCTGCTGCCATGGACGCAATACCAGAAACCGAAAATGTTGGCGAGGAGCCTACTCTAACCCTGTCTCAGCAAGTCCAGAAAGCTGCTTCTGCCCAACGCCAACAGCAAGAGGAGCAAGAGCAGACACCTGAATCCGTGTGGGGAGTCAACAAGATGGACCAGGCTATGCCTCAGCCTTTCCCACCGCCACCCTCGGCATCCCCTCTGCCCGCCCCAGCTGCTCAGCGGAACCGCCAGAATGTCGCCGATGCCCTTGCTGCTGGATCTCGTTCTCAGACTCAGACTCCGATCGATTCTGCGCCCACTTCTGTCGCACCCTGGGCCAAGGATGCCAATGAGATGCCCAAGGGACCTTCTCTGAGAGAGATCCAAGAAGCCGAAGCTCGCAACGCTGCTCAGCGTGAGGAAATTGCCCAGGCCACGCGCCGTGCTCAGCTTCTCGCCGAACAGGAACGCCTCAGCCAAGCCCAGGCCCAGGTTGTCCCTGGCCTTCCCTCGTCGGCTAACTGGGCCAGCAGCGGATCTCCGGGTACCCCTACCTCGTCTGGCTCCGCATGGAACACCAAGACTCAGCCTGCTCCCACCAACACCGCCGCGAAGAAGACTCTCGCTCAGATCCAGAAGGAAGAGGAGGCCCGCAAGCAGCGCCTGGCCGTTGCCGCTGCCGCTGCTGCCCAGACAGCCACTCCTAGCCCTCCCGCCTCTGCCAGCAAGCGTTACGCTGATCTTGCCGGCAAGGCCCCTACTCCTTCCGCCGGTGCTTCTGCCACAATCCCAGTCGGTTCTAGCGCCTGGACCACCGTCGGTGCCAGTGGCAAGGCCAAGGCCCCTCCCACCGCTCCCCTCGGTCCCCGTTCTACCAGTGCCACCAGCCCCCTCGCCTCCGTTGCCGTAGCTAAGCCTCGCCCCGTCACCACTACCCGTCCCGTGACCCTAGGCAGTGTCCCTCAATCCTCCAACCCCAACCGGGCCGTCGAAGAGTTCACCAAGTGGGCCAAGCTTGCCCTAGGCAAGGGTCTGAACACCAACATCAACGTCGACGACTTCGTCCAGCAGCTCCTCTTCCTTCCCGCCGAAGCCGAGATCATCTCCGACTCCGTCTACGCCAACTCCCAGACTCTGGACGGCCGCCGCTTCGCTGACGAGTTCATCCGCCGCCGCAAGCTCGCTGACAAGGGCGTTATTGACCCTATCTCTCCTAACGCCTATGCTACCGAGCAGACCGGTTCTGGTGGCTGGAGCGAGGTCGCAAAGAAGGGTTCCACTGCTACTGCTGCTGCCGCCGCTGCTACCCAGCGTGAGGAGGAAGCGAGCAGTGCCGCTTTCAAGGTCGTTGCTCCCCGTAAGAAGTCTAAGCGGTAAAGGTGTGCGTTCCAGCCTTGCATTGTTTCTGTACTTGCATCATGCGTTTCTTATGACTTGGAATGTGTTTTGAGAGGCTATCTGCTTTTGTGAGTCTTCATTTACGTTGACACGTTCGCGCGCCTATCCGGCGACCTGTCCTGTTTGTACTACTACTTAGGCATACTCTCTATATGTATACAACACATGCAGCATTCGAATGTTCATTGGTGGTTTTCCTCTATGCCAAGTTTTTAATGCTTCCTACCTAACGTAACTCATCCATGAGTATATACGATAAGGAGTTGTGTGGTAATAATTCCTTCTAATTATTTAGATCAAAAGCACGGCATAAACATGGCCCGGTACTTTAATCTAAACAATTTCTACTAGTCACCATACATGCTAGTAGAAACCTTTAAAGAAACGTTCGGAAATCTTGGAAGTATCTGCATATTATGCTGAGTACAAGCATTGGAATCAGAATTTGTTCGGCTACAACGAAATATTTTATACTCTAATACCAAAAATGGGTAGATTTGAGGGATGACCGAAGACGCGAAACCACAAGATCAGGATCAAAAAGGAAAAAAGATAACATCAGATACAGCCGCACGGAAGAGTATATGCAATGGAACAAAGACAAAGATCAGAGATCATGCAGGGTCGGGGCTAGCTTGGAACGTAAATAGCGAGCCTAGCCAGCCAGCCAGCAGCCAGCCAACCCACGCGCTTCTTTCATTCACCCTCAGCGCGAAACAAGAAACAAAACCCGAGATATCAGAACGCACGCTCCACGCGGTACAATTAAGCATCGATGAGCTGATTCTCGGTGGAGTTATCGCGGGTATCCTTAGCGGGCAGCTTGCGGGCCGAGCGGGCGTAGAACTCGTCCAGGACGCGCTTGGGGACACGGTTAAGCAGCTCCTTGGGGTAGATGCGAAGCAGGTTCCAGGCGATGTCGAGGGACTCGTAGATGGTGCGAGACTCATATGGAGACTGGCTGATGAAGGTGCGCTCGAACTTCTCGAGGAACTCGAGGGAGAGCTTATCTTCGGAGGAAAGGGCTTCCTCACCAACGACGGCTTTCATGGCGGCTGTCCTATTGTTAGCGTCGAATATGAGCGCTTCGGATAGGTGATTGACATACCGGCATCACGACCAATAGCGTACTTGGCGTACAGCTGGTTGGATACATCAGAGTGGTCCTTACGGGTGCGGCCCTCACCGATAGCGGACTTCATCAGACGAGATAGAGAGGGCAGCACGTTAATAGGTGGCCAGACACCCTTGTTGTAGAGTTGACGATCAATGAAGATCTGACCTTCCGTAATGTAGCCAGTCAAATCAGGAATGGGGTGAGTGATATCTAGACAAGTCACTATTAGTATCATAGTACCCGCAGGAATAAATGAGTATCCTACCATCGTTAGGCATGGTCAGAATGGGGATCTGAGTAATGGATCCATTGCGGCCCTCAACACGTCCAGCACGCTCATAGATGGTCGACAAATCCGTGTACATGTAACCGGGGTAACCACGACGACCGGGCACTTCTTCTCGGGCAGCGGAAACCTCACGCAGGGCATCACAGTATGCGGAAAGATCAGTCATGATAACCAAGACGTGCTTCTCGAGCTGGTAGGCGTAGTATTCGGCAGTGGTCAGGGCCAAACGAGGAGTAATGATACGCTCAATGGTGGGATCGTTGGCCAAGTTGAGGAACAGAGTGACACGCTCCATAGAGCCGTTCTCCTCGAAGTCGCGGGTGAAGAAACGAGCAGTCTCCATGTTCACACCCATAGCGGCGAAAACAATAGAGAAGTTATCGTCGTGTCCATCGTGGACGCCCTTGGTTGGGCGGTTGACCAGACTGGCTTGACGACAAATCTGAGCAGCGATTTCGTTGTGGGGAAGACCGGCGGCAGAGAAGATAGGAATCTTCTGTCCACGAGCGATGGAGTTCATGGTATCAATGGCAGAGATACCGGTGGAGATCATTTCTTCGGGGTACACCTATGGCGATGTCAGCTCGGATCTTCCGCGATAGATTTAGTACATACTCGAGAGTAGGGGTTAATAGGCTGGCCGTTAATATCAAGGTAGTCCTCGGCCAACACCTTAGGTCCCTTATCGATCGCACGTCCAGAACCGTCGAACACTCGACCCAGCATGTCCTCGGACACACCCAGCTTCAAGCTGTGGCCAGTGAACTCGACTTTAGTCTTGACATTGAGTCAGCCAATTCCGTTCCATGAATGTAAACTTTTATGGAGTTATACCTTCTTCACATCAACACCCGAAGTACCTTCGAACACCTAGCAAATCGACTCGTTAACACTAGCTCGTTAGGGGGCTCGGGGGAGTTGGATATTGTCGCACCTGCACAACGGCTCGACTTCCTGTAACAAACAAACACTCAGAATCAGTAAATGTTCCATCCAAACGTCATGAATGGTGTCCAGGAGCAAGTGAGCTTACCTCGGGCCTCCAGCACTTGGCCAGAACGCTCCGTGCCATCGGGAAGGGTGAGGGAGACAATTTCATTGTAACGAGGGAACTTGACCTGTTTCGCAGATATATGATCAGTATATGTTTCCCCAACGATATTCAAAGGGCCATTCATGGGTGGCAGCTCACGTTATCAAGGACGACCAGCGGTCCGTTAATACCTCCAATGGTGTTGTAGCGGATGCGGGGCTTGATGGAGGACATCCGGGGGTCGACAAAATCGGCCATGGTGGGCAAATGGGATCCTCCACAGACAAAGTGTCAAACACAGCAAGGAGAATGGGAGTGAAAGCAGGTGGGGTGTAGCTTTCCGGGGATAGGTGGAGGGCCTCGATTCGAAGGTTGGCCAAGCTGTCGACAGCTCGGGCGGTGACGCGGCACGTGATGGCTGACGACAAGCCAGTTATCAGTAACTTTTACGTATCTAATATTGTCTGACTAGTATCGAAGTGAATATTAGGATACGTAGTTGATTCTTGAACAAGTTCAATTTTGTTCTAAATAATCCCATGGGAATAAAATTGGCAAAGCGATGTCATCAGGTCATGAGAAAAAGAATCAGGGTATCAAGAGGGGATAAGAGGAGAGCCAGAAGGGCTGTCTAAAAATATCGGGATCCAACAATGCCCATTTTGCGTCCCATGAAAATGCAAGAGTGTAATAGAAAGAATATAGGTCATGCTCACTCAACCTTGGCTTGTGTGAGACTCTTGGGAGTTTTGAGGTTGTTGGACAGGCGCAGGTCCTTGCTAAATCTACCCTTTGAAGGGTACCGCTTGAGCTTGCGACGGGCAACCATGACAGGAGAAGAGGAGTTGGAGAGGAGGTAATTGGAGAATGAACCGAGAAGTACACTATTTTGATGGTCAGAATTAATTGGAAATTCAGAGCGGGTTAACTTACCCCTTCAGGGCGCTCTGGCCTCGTGCGCCGACAATGACAAGAGTAGGTTCAAGCTCGTCAATCTAAACCAAGGTCAGTTGCTATCACGAAGATCAGTCAAAGGAATACTCACAGCTTCAGTGATCATAAGCTTGGGGCTTTTACAGTGGATAAGCTCAACTGCGATGCGAACTTGCAAAAGTGTCTTTCGTAGCAATTTCACACACGTATTGGACACTGCTTCAACCGCTTTGACTCGCTCTGCCTCTGCAAGGGGCGATGCACGAGCATCGACAGAGCTCGATTTGCTAGTGGTCCCTGGACCAAGGCGGCCCAGCAGATTGCGGCTAGAGTTTTGGGTAGCTTCCTTTGTCTGGGTACCCACGACATCAGCAGCATCTTGCATGGCCTTGGCCCCCTCACCAACCTGCACAGACGGGGTATTGGCATCTTCATGCACCGCGTACAGCGCATACAGGGTGTCACCGTCTCGCAGAACGGCTCCAATAGTCCACTCCAAAGCGTAGACCGATTCTTCACTCAAATCAGTAGCAACCAAGTATTTTCGTTGGCGACGGCGCCCGCCATCGGCCTCTTCTTGGAGACTCGCAAAGTCGCCACGAATAATTGTGCGAATGGATCGATTGGGAACACGGTTGTCAATGGCAGACATTGAAATGCCGAGTTGCTGTGCACGGTGAATGTCATCTCGCTCTGCTTCATCCTCCGATCCATAGGGTGTACCAGCCACCGATTGTGTAGCCGGCGTCGGAATGTCATAACTTGTCCTAGGGTGAATAACCGACTTCAATGCTGACTTTCTAGGCTTCATTCCCCCGTTGTCGCCGGGTTTGGAATTTGATTTTTCTAGAGAAAGATTAGTGTGAAAGTCAAATTTGCAGTTAATGAAGGGCTCAACAACGTACGCTCTTCGCTGTCCTGGTGCTTGTTTTTTGGTTGAAAGTCACTATGACTGATAGAACTGATATCTGTTGGTCTGTTCTTACGACCGCGCGAGTGAACCACTTGTACACCAGGAATATCATCCTCACTTGAGACGTCGTCGTCTTCATCACTGCTTTCAATCAAGTTCTTGTCACTGTCAAACACATCTTTGGCCAGACGCTCTCCAGGCTCCTCATCCGCAGGCTTGACGTAATCTGGTAGTTTGTGACTGCCAGATAGCTTGGATAGAGTCTCTTCTGATTTGCTATGTCCCGAGTCGTAATTGATATCGGTCGGCTTTTCCTCGGGCGTCTTAGACTGTCCAAGCTGCGAGACCCGGGTGCCCGGAGAAAGTGATCTACTAAACCGCGCCCCCGCAGAAGGAGACCTAGAGTCCACAGATGAACCACGTCGACTCGAGCTTCGGCTTGAGTCTCTGCCACGAGTGAAACTCTTAGGAAACAAGCGCGACTCCAATCCTGACATCATTGCAGACATCGCACTCCGTCCTTGTGGTTTATGCTTCTTGGACACAGCATTCTCTGGGCTTGTTGGCGCAGTCGCCGGCCTTGAATCCTTCTGCCCAACAGATGCCGGGTCGGTCTCTCTGGTAAATTGGTCAGATAATCTCCGCGGCGGATCGTCAGGGTCGGCCCTGTGTCTTTCGGGAGAGCTCGGAGCGGACGACATCACGGATGAGCTTATACGGAGGGGCGAAGATATGAGAGGTTCGACTGGGCTTCGATTGCCACGATCTCGTGAAGATAGGACAGCCCCGCTGACAGTGCCCGCACCCCTTGCAGACTGCGGGGTGCTGAGCAAGCTCTGGACGGCGCGACTCAGCGACGGTTTCTGATCTTTGTATGAGGCTTTCGGCGGGGAAGGAGAGGATCGTTGTTCGAGGATAGTTGAATGAATCTCTGGCGCATTCTCTGGTGGTAAGGGGGAGATGCGTCCAGAGTGGTACGACATCTCGTGCGAGTCCGCCTGCGGCGGAGATGATTCAGATTCCTGTGGGGAACTTGGTTTTCGGTTCGACCAACAATATTGCCGAACCACTGGATGGAATGTGGAGCGATCGACTACCTTATGACGATTATGCACTCCGCAAAATCTTGAACATGTTTTATCAGCAACAGATCAGCACGATCATGGAAGGCAGGAATGAAAGTATAAGCTCACAAAAAGTGGTGCGATAATGGGTGCGATTTTGTGCAGGTAACACTGATATATGCACATCAAAGAGTTGAGAGAATGAGCCAGAAATTATCATAACAATTGAGTGACCTGATGCCTCGGACGTAGTTTCCCTGGCATGAGAAAAATTGCAATGACTCCATACCAAGCTTCCAAAGTTCTTTTTGGACCCATAAAAGGGGCATCATCACAATATTTATGCCCAACGGGCACATATGTCAATATACAGGAACTAGTGGCGCTAGCGAATGACAGAACCGGAGGTTTGACATGAAATTGTTCTAAAGCACCCCAGCATTTGCGATTGAAATAGCTTCATACCACTTGCACTCCATATAAAATTATATATCTACGAAGTAAGATTCCGACCATTCATATAGGTATAGGTTTGAAGTTAGCTATCCAGAATGCTCTAACATGATGAACAGATATATGAGACTGAGTAAGGGGCGGATTAGGAAATAGGTCATGTGCACGGGAGACTAAAGTCAAAGGAGACAGGATAGGTAAATAGTATAGAAGCTTTAATTTCTAGGGGAGCTTTTCGCGCGGCGAAAAGCCTCTAGCAAAGTGTAGAGCCATTTTATCAGTCACTGAGAACTTGCAATCAGACGTAGTTGGTTCTCAGGTCCCTCATCAGGAATTGGCGCCGCGGCTTTTTCTGACACGGACGACTGTCGTAATGTCTCAAGACGCTTCTGTGACAGTGCAGCATACTTGCAGCGCTGCCTGATCTGCGCGCCATATTTATAAAAGAAAAAAGGAAGTGGCATGCACAACACCGACACAAACGCCGGAATGGACGAGGCCCAATGAATACCCAGACCCTCATACATATATGAACTGAAAAGGGGGAAAACGGCTCCAAATGTGTATCGGAATATAGACATGCCTGCCAGAACAGACGCCGAGTAAATGGTGTAGGAGTCGATGAGGTAGTTGACAATCCCCATGTATATAAGGAGTAGCCCGAACCCAAACGGAACCAGGGCCGCGACACTGCATAACCAGTGGATGGATGGGGAATTGGTCCAAGCAAACCAGAAAAGACCAATCGGGATTGCCACCGCAGAGGACATGCAAGGGGGAAGGCGAGCCTCTGGCGGGGCAAATCCATTGTGTTTTTCCTGTGTTCGGATGTATCGCTTATTATCCCACACGGTGTAGGCCACGCCGAAGAGCACGCCGATCATGACTCCCAGGAAAGGGAGACCTCCAACGCCAGCATTCCAGCCACGGATGTCCTCGTAGACAATGGGAAGTGCTTCGAAAAGCATATAGAGCACGCCGTAGATCAGGGCGGCGTAGAAGGTAAGAAGAAGCACAATGGGTTCACGGAAGAGAAGCACCCAAGGCCGAGAAAAGACTGTCTTCAGTCGCTTAGAGATAGGGATTTCCCCTCTTTCGATGTCGAGTTTGCTGCGGTAGCATTTCCCTGTCAAGAGCGATAGCTTTGCCGCTCGTTTTCGGAGTAGCACTGGCGCATACGTCTCGGGGACAAGAATCGCCATCAGGACCCAAGCCATTCCTGCACAAGCAGCTAGGAAGCCTTCAACCCATCTCCACCCTGCATTCATTCCAAGAAAGCCACCAATAATGGGACCAAGGGCGGGACCTATGAATCGATTAGATTCTGAACACGATTGTCATGCTGGGTAAAGTATACCTAGATACGGGGTCGATGCAAACAAAAGCATTGCCAGTCCTCGTTGTCTGGCAATGAACATGTCCGAGATAACACCTCCAGCATTTGTAAGAGGTGCAGAACCGAACGCTCCCCCGAAGAAACGAAGGACCAACAACGTGTGAATATTCTGGGAACCTGCACACCCTGCAGAAAAGGCCGAAAGAGCGAGAAAAGACACGAAGAATGGGATCTGCCGGCCCACAGTCTCACTCAGCGGTGCCCATATCAACGGTCCAACAGCGAACCCAAACACAAAAAGCGACAGACCGAGAGTCGCCACCTCTCTGCTGATATCGAACTCATCAATGACACCCTGGATACTACCACTGTAGGCAGAGGAGGTTAAGGAAATCACAAAAGTTGCAATAGCCGTAGCGAATGTGACTATAGCCTTTCTTGCCATACTGAATTCCATGGGATTCCGAGGATCGACGGTCAACCAACGCACGACGTACGGGTCATCGTCAGTTCCCGATCCATCATACTGGTGATGGAGCACCTCATTAGTGATGACTTGCTGATCAGTCAACAAACGCCAAAATGGAATATAGCTCTGAAATTGAAGATCCTTAGTATCATCCGAGCGTGCATTGAAGTCTGCGACCATGATGGTCCAATGTGAGGGCTTTTCGAGGTTCAGGCCCAGAAACCATGAGATTTACAAAGAGCAAAACTCGCAAATATCAACAATCACATTCGAACAGTTCAACGCTTCAAAGAGAGGAAGTTTCGGATCTTTCTATTTACTTATCAAAATTCGAAACTCAACTCGGGATCTCGGCACGGGAACCAAAGCATAGTCTCCACTAATTCCCGGATTCGGCCATTTGTGGTTAGCAAAGTGGAGACTCGAGGGACCGATTCGTTCGGCAATTCGGTGCATTTCGGCGTTTCATGATTACAATGTCGATGACTGATGCTAAGCAGTATAAAATGTCCCCACCAATCCATATATACTGAGCCAAATTTATGGGATTCTCAATTGTATCAATTAGGCGGGAAATCAAGTTGGCTACTTGATCCTCAAGTATCGTCCATCGATTGATGCGTTCAAGTCATTCCAAGGTTTGTGTATGGATCATGAATCGTCTTGACATTTGAGTTTACTAGGCCAAATTGTGAATCTGTGACTGATGAATTGAAAGGCAAAAGAAAGGGAAAAGAGAAAAAAAAGAACCATCATAGCAGGAATCGATTCGCAAGCAAGTAGAACGCTCAACCTGGCTTATTACTTACTTTTTAAGGCCATAGGAAGAACTTGTTATATAGGGCACGTTGGACCACTGGATCATCATGCCATCCACAGAACTTCTTCCGCATTTGATCTATTCAGCCTTATTATGAACACCTGAGCCTTTTTCACCCAGCCAAACACCTCTGTCCACTCAGCATTCAACTAGTCCTGCAAACAAATGCTCTCCAAATACGCAGAATGTTTATACTGTATTGATGTACATACCTTGTTCCACTTGGTCCCGACAAGTGGCTCATTCGCAGGATTACTGTGGGTGCCTTTCATACATTGTATGTCATTGGAAACCTCGGGACAATTCCAAGTTCTGTTGTCGGCTTGAAACGCCTGCGCAATACATTCCTCCAGCCGTTTGATATTGTTCTCCCGGGGCCAGACGGTGCAAACGGCCAGACAACATGGGCCCTTGATCTGCGTCTCCGATTGGACAGTTCAAAGCATACCCACATGGTGATCCTTCTCTCCGCCTTACACAATTGTCGTAGGGAACATTGCGGTTGCGCTTTACTGTAGTCTATGTAAATGAACTTGGTTTCAGCTATGCGTAACAATGCTGGGGTCTCGTGAACCCGACGTTGGTGCTAAATCTCTATTAATTAACAAGTGACCGGTCGTGTTGACCTATACCTTACTGGTATTTTTCGCCCGGGTACTGTAGAAGGCTCTCTAATATTTTTTTTTGGTCCTGTACAGAGTACACCGTTGGAAATCATAGAAGGCATAAACCACATAACAGATTAATGCAAATTTAGCGGGTATTGCGGGTGTAAAGGATTGGAAGGATTGGAATCCTTGGGTTTCTGGTAATTATTTCTTTAGCCGAGTTGCGTTAGACCGGCTCGCTTCTTCGTTATCGGGTGGAGACTGTGTACGCCATCCCGAAAGCCCCAGGGGTCTCCCGTTTCATTCGGGAGATGTGGCATGGGGTAAAAGTACAATGCAGGCTACAAAAGGGACCGGGACCGAGTGCTCTTTTTTGTTTTCTTTTTTGTTTTCATTTTTGTTTTGGCCTGGTATTAATCAGTCAGTTTCTTCATTACAACAATGATACCTCACAGTATGGAGAAGGAAAAGAAGTTTCGCGTGATTATCGTCGGTGGGTCAGTTGCGGGTCTGACTCTCGCCCACTGCCTGGAGAGAAGCAACATCGACTATGTTGTCTTGGAATCGCATCATGATATTGCACCTGAAGTAGGTGCTTCAATTGGAATTCTTCCAAATGGTGCCCGCACCTTAGACCAGCTGGATTTGTTCGACGATATCCTGGATATAATCGAGCCTGTAGAGAGGGCCATAACTTGGACGGAAACTGGGAAAATTATCACGGACACTGACGTCCCTCTTTTGATGCGTGAGAGGTCAGAATCTCTTGTCAACCTACCTGGGGACCTAGGTTGATACGTGGCTGGATAAAGCTGATACTGTATAGGCATGGTTACCCTTTATCATTTTTCGATCGGCGAACCCTGTTGGAGATTCTATATGACAGATTGGGAGAGAGTCAACATCGAATTCATACCAACAAAAAGGTTGTCAAGGTGGACCACTTTCCAACAAAGGTCTTGATCCACTGTGATGACCAGTCGGTGGTTGAGGGTGATATCGTCGTTGGAGCTGATGGTGTGAGAAGTACTGTGAGACAGCAGATGTGGGACCACATGGAGTCCATTGGACTGGAAACGGAGGTGAAGAAGGAGAAATCCCGTATGCTTGATCACAAACTCTGTCTTTTCATATACTGAATGCTTTTTAGTCATGACATCCGAGTATTCGTGCATATTTGGAATTTCGACCGCAACTCCAGGTTTGGAAACTGGAGTAATGCACCGGACATATGGAAAGGACTACTCGTCACTGACCATTATCGGCAAAAACGGTCGTGTTTTTTGGTTCCTGTTTACCAAACTTGACAGAGTCTACTCTAGCACCGAAATACCTCGATTCAGTAAAGAGGACATGGAGAAGCAGCTCACTCAATACTCTGACAAGCCAATCAGTGATACAGTTCCTTTCTCCGCAGTTCATAAAAACGTGGTGACCAAGAGCTTCTTAGCTCTGGAAGAAGCCTGCTACACGCAATGGTGCATGAATCGATTTGTTTGCATTGGAGACTCTGCTCACAAGGTATGACTGACTTGACTCGAGAATGCACTAATCTCGGCACATTTTCTAACACAAAGACGTAGATGACTCCTAACTCGGGCCAGGGTGGCAACTGCGCAGTGGAAAGCGCTGCATCACTAACAAACTATCTAGCTAAGTTGACCGAGAACTCCAACGGAAAAGTTCCCCTTGAAGAAATCAGAAGCAGTCTGAAGGCATGGCAAACAGCACGACAACCGAGAGCGAGAGAAATTAGTGCCAAGGCAAATGATCTAACCCGACTGGAAGCCTGCGCAACACCAAAGAACCGACTGATTGGATTGTATCTACTGCCTTACCTGAACGACTATATCATAAACCGCCAATCTGCATCACTCGGCGGAGCAGAAAAGCTCGATTCTATCTCACTACCCCCAAGAGCACTCAACTGCACGATGCCACTTCATCTTAGCCCATGGAAGTCGGACAAACCCCCAGTTTGGAAACGATTACTGTGGACTTCTCCCCTGGCTGGATGCTATGCAGCCGCAAATACCACCATGGGAGCTGTGGCCGAAGGAATGAGACCACATCTGATCTCATGTCTTCGCCAGGGTTCCTGGACGTCTAGCAATGGAGAGACTCTTAGTCTAGCCAGGTCGTTGTACAGCATTCCTTTCTTGGACAGAGCATTATCGCCCATGGTCACTTGCTTCCTGCCCTCTATCAGTGGGTCTGATGCAGTCTCTTACTCCCAAATGTTCTCTTTTATGGCTGATCTTGGTCCGGTCTACGCAATTTGGCTGCTTGAGAGCTATCGTCAAGGAAAATCCAGATTCGAAGTTATTCTGTATGTGAAAAGTGGATTGCACCTGGGATTTAGTCTCCTAGTCAGTCTTTTTTCAAATTTGCTCGGAGCTAATATTTTTTCTTCGCACAGGCCCGTGGTAGCAGGAGTTGCTTTCCAGTTGAAAGGAATCGGAAAGATTGCTCCTCTATATCTCGCATTCGAATACATCCGAGCCCCTCTATCTTTGAAAGGAGATAATTCAAACATCAAAATACATGCCTTGAAATCACTTTTACCCGCTATGCTGGCTGGCTACTACATCCCAACATTCGCCAATTTCTTTGCTTCGACTGTTGAATCTCGTCGCTCCTTCAACGCCATCTGGCAATTATTCCCGGTGGTCGTTCCCCTGCTTCAAATCCCATTCCGCCTTTTGACGAAGGCTGCATCCAAGTGTGAAGCAAAAAAAAAGACTGCGTGTCGGAAAACGAATATGCTCTGGGTCCGTTGCACGTATGGTTCTTTGGCTGCGATCTCGGGCTTGTCGTTCATTTATGCGCGGTGGGCTGCTCCTCCAGGTACTTCCTTCGCCAGTATCTTTTTACCCGGTCTGTTTGACTACACTCGACCTGTTTCCACTTTTGCTGAAGGCATTGCTCGGTTCCTACAGTATGATGAGATCTTGTCTATGGGTGCTGGCTTTGTCTGGATGGGGCTTAGATTCCGGGAGCTACAAAAATCTGAAGCACCTGTTTCGTGGTGGAAATCAGTGGGTGCTTTAGTAGGAACTACTATCACTCTTGGTCCTGGTGCGGCATTGGCACTGGGTTGGGGATGGAGAGAGGAGGTCTTGGCCAAAATCTCGGCCGCTGAGGATGAAAACTCAATGTAAAGGTATATGGATTGAGGCCCTCCCTTCATCTGGACACAGCCAGTGTTATGAGGCTTGAAGACTGTTTCAATCCTTTATGCCTTGAAGTCAGTACGTATGGTATACAGCTCTCGCTGCATGCAGTTTGGAGAAAAGTTGTAATTCAATTAAGGGCATTGTTGAATAGATTGGTACTTCGATTATGTTCTTATTGAATGGAAGCAGGTATATCACCTTCGACCATTCTTTTCATCTAGATAACGTCTCGCTAGCGTGGGTATTCAGCTGATCAGTCTCGTAGAGAAACATGATGCCAGCCATTCCAGATGCAATTGCAAACCAAACTCCGAAACAGAAAAGATGAAGCACAAAGGATATGACAGGAAGACGGTGTAAGTATGGGACAGAGCTTAAGGCTACGCCTTGGACTTTTTGTGTCTGGGCTTCGATTCTTTAGACATCTTGCGAGCCCCAACCGCAGCAAAAACCTCCTCAGAAGGCTCATCAGCAGGACCCCGCTTCTTGCCGTGGGGCTGACCATACTTCTCTTCCAACTGGGCCAAAAATCCCTGGCCCCGCTGCTGCTGTCGCTTGGTGATCAAGGCCAACAAATCGTCCTCGCCGCCAGAGGCCTTTGAAGCCTTCGAAGCAGCCGCAGTCTTCTTCTTCTTATTCTCCTCAACCTCCTTCCCTAACTTCGCGGCCTCCTTGGCCTCCTTCTGCGCACGTTTCTTGCGTTGTTGTCGCTTCTTCTCGGGTTCCTGGGAGTATTTCTTGTAGTCCTGCACCTCCCCGTCCGCAATAGCCTGGTCAATAATAGTCCGAAAGCGCTCATCGTCGTCAAGGACATTGGAGAGCATCACCGACTCATAGATCTTGTCAAGATCACCTTTGTGTTTTTCATATGCCTCTAACAAATCATGCTTCTCTTCGTCCGAGTTCTGGTATTTCTTTTGAAAGTCGGCAATTGCCCGGGTGTCCAGCATTGCGGAGAGTTGCTCGCGGTAGAATTCCATCCAGTCGAAGTCTCCATCTTCTCCGAGGACTTCTTCGGTGTTTCCAGTGCGATCATAGAGTTTTCGTCGTCGTTCGTCTGATAGGACGCCGTATGCTAGGGCGATCTGCTGAAACTTTTTGTGGGCTGCATCGCGGGCATCTTCGCTGACCTTGTCTTCAGAGAGTTAGCGCGCTGCAGAGTGAGTTGCAGTTGTGAAAGAAGCATACCAGGATGATGCCTCAGTGCACTTTTCTTATAAGCGGACTTGATTGCTTCGGGGGTTGCGGTTGACTCGACGCCGAGGATCTTGTAGAGATCTTCCTCGACCGAAGGCGGCTCTTCGGGGATTCTCTCGGATTTTGGCATAATTTCTGTTCTATTGGCTTATAACAGAAACAGGCTGGAGAATGTGTGTGACACTGTTGGTGAAAGTCAGATGTGGTGAAAATAGTAAGATTCGCGGTAAGGACGCGAATTTGACGCGCCTACCGCATTGGTCATTCCATGGTTCCGTCATAGGTAATAAGCTTCCCCGTGCCCCCCACTTCGACCTTCAACTCTTCAATTCTTCAACTCTTCAACTCTTCAAATCTGATTATTTACAAGTAATTTCATCCCTTTTAAATTGCTCAATTGGGTTCGCAATTTATCTTCACGCCTTCCTTTACATCCTACACCAAAATTGCTACAATTCCACCCACACTACAAGCTACATAGCAAACCACCACAACCACCACCATGACATCCAACGCTGCTCACAGACCCTATATGCGCAAATGCATAGTCCTAGCCTCCCAATCCCCACCCCGCCCAACCAACTTCCGCGTCGGAGCTATCCTCCTCTCCCGCGCAGAAAACGACCCCACCTTTTCAGACGACCGCATCCTCTCCACAGGCTACACAATGGAACTACAAGGAAACACCCACGCAGAACAATGCTGCTTGTCCAACTTCGCTGCAGTCCACAAAGCCTCTGAAGACGACGTAGGCTCCGTGCTCCCGGTTGAAGAGGGCCGCAAGCTCATCATGTATGTGACGATGGAGCCGTGCGGGAAGCGGCTGTCTGGGAATGCGCCTTGTGTGCAGCGGATTATACAGACGAGGGATGGAGGTCGAGAGGGCATTCATAAGGTTTATTTTGGTGTTAAAGAGCCTGGGACTTTTGTTGGGGAGAGTGCAGGGTGTCGGATGTTGGAGAGTGCGGGGGTGGAGTGGGAGTATGTTGAGGGGTTTGAGAAGGAGATTTTGAAGGTTGCTATGGCTGGTCATGAGAATTCGGAGGAAAAGGTCAGGGAGGCTTTGGGGGATAAGGCAGGTGAGGGAAAGGGATCAGAGGATGCTCGAAGGAATCCGAAGAAGAGAATGATGCAAGGGGAGAATATCATTTATTAGATGTCAACTATGACAATGAAATAAATGAGACTGTCTGCTTAATTATGCATACTCTTAACAAATGACAACGACTAACAAAATTGAAGTAATGTAAAGTCTCGCTTTGCTTCTATATACGCGTTACCACGTGACCCGTTGTCCATCTCCGAACCAACGTCATCTCAAACCGAATAACTTCCAACCGAATAGCTTCCAACATCCAAGAAAATGATCCAATGGCGACAGTTGATGATGTGGATCCCGTCATCTACCCTGCATTCTGTTTCAAGGCCTCACCAACGCATTTCGCCTGGGTGAAGATGGCAGTGGCAGATGTGCATCGACTACAGAAACCGCGCAACTTCGAGGGTATGTGATAAGACTCTTTTCCACCACCCGTACATACATCTGGTACTATTCTTCTTCATACATATGATACAGATAATTTCCTATACTAACTAACCCCCAAGGCCAAAAAATCTTCTTCTACAAAAATTACCCAATCCGCTTCGTCACAGTGGCAGGTGTCATCGTAGCCAGAACAGACGTCTTCCGTCGCACAATCCTCACACTAGATGATAGCAGTGGCGCCACCATTGAAGTCGTGGTACTACACTCAACCGATCCCAAGCACACAGAATTAAACTCAAATATCAAATCCACAACAACCCATGCTAGCGGATCTATACTAAAGACCCAAACTCAAACTGAGGGTGTCACAGGTAGTCAGGATGAGATAGATCCGGATCCAAATGCCTACATTATTACCGGTGGCAGCACGGTAAAAGACAAAGTTCTTCCAAACCAGCCAGTCCATATCAGCGCAACGGACCAAACAATTCTCGACATCGCGGCCTTGGTCCCTGGGACAACAATCAAAATAAAAGGGACACTGGGGTCCTTCCGGTCGATTATGCAGCTGCAACTGGAACGCTTTACGATTCTTCGAGACACGAACGCGGAGATGGCGTTCGTTTTCGAACGACTTCAGTTTCTTGTTGAGGTTCTTTCTGTACCGTGGGTGCTTCTTGATGAGGAAATTGAGCAATTACGACGGGAGGGAGAGGAGGGGGATATACGGGCTGCGGAGGAGAGGGAACGGGCTCGGAAGAAGATTAAGAGGCGGGAAGAGAGGGAGGAGAAGGATGGGAGGCAAATTGCGAGGAAGTATAAAGCTGAGGAAAGGAAACGGGAGAAGGAGGCGGGTGTTTGTAGGGAGCATGGACTTAGGGTTATGGAGGAGATTCAGGAGAGGAAGAGGAGTTACAAGAAGATGGATTCGGCTTAATTCTACATGCAGATATGGGCATTCTTCATTGCGACAGGGGAATAAGCATGTCCATTAGTTCTATTGCATATTTTCGATCGCAAACGCTTGTACTAAAGACAATGGGGAGAGTCGAGAGTCGTCAGTCGTCATAATAAACCGAGAGGTATCTTCATGCCATACGAGACGCCAAGCTAGGAAAAAATAAACAGAAAAATCAAGAATCATTGAACCAAAATAAATACCAACGTGTAACAAGTCCAGTCCGCTGTGACTCAAAATTGCGAGATTTCATCAACAACTTAAGCCACCTGCATAGTAGGTGCATAAGAAAATGCAGGTAAGACTCAGAAAACATACAAGATATCAGGAATAGTACTTATATTCCTTTGTGGGTCCACCGCCTTGTCCACCAAGCATGCCCCGGTAGTACTCCTCATCGGTGCGACTATTACGGTGCGATCCATGATATCGGGGACTATCATCTGCATCCGGGGCCAGAGAAGTCGGTGATTCCATATACAAATCGGTGGCTGAAATTCCCCCGTATCGTGGGGCATGCTCGCCTCTTAGCAGGTCATTTTCCGAGCGTCTATACCCATCAATACTGCGTGACGAGCTGCGAGATGTGCGCACACGCCCATTTGAGTGACGGTGGGGAGCTGAGCCGGAGCCAGTGCGCTGAGCATACGATGATTCCCGGGTTGGGGAGCGCGTTGTCGTGGAGATCGGGATGCGGTGGCTGGAAGTGGATGCAGATGGGATATCAGCTGATCGCGCGTTGAATGAGTCCCTGTGACTTCGAGAGTGGCCAGGTTCATCGTAAACTTTCCCACCTCCGGGGTTGGCGGAGTAAGGCTTTCGCTCGCGCTCGATTGGGGCTGGAGGGATAGTTTCGTCGTCATCAAGGATGGCGGTGGACGATGAAGCGGGTGGCGGTCGCCCTCTCTCGTAGGATCGGCTTCGCTCGGTAGAGCTGTTTCTCGTACTGCTGGGACCACCGCCATGGTCGCTTCCTAGAGGAGGGGATGCCTTTGGGCGGTTGGCTTTAGATCGCTCTTCATCGGTGATGCGAGGGAGATCGACGCCACAGTGTTTCATGATATGCAACTCAGTAGCCTCTCTTAGCTTCAAATCAGCGACCTCGGGAAACAGACGCCGGGGGATCTCTTTGGGAAACCGCTCCTTCTTGTCGTCCGGGTTATTGATCGGCATGTTGAGCACAGCCTTCTGTAGACGTTCATATTCGCGGTCTGGATGGGCTTGGATCATCAAAGTCGCCCATTTCTCGAATCCCTTTGGTGTCAGGCCGGGAATATCGGGTCGCTCTGTGAGATCATCCAGCTGAACAAGATGGTGCTCAGCTTTGACTTCTCGGAACAGCCTGGAGATCGAAGAGGTTTTGTCGTCAAAGATATCTTTCGTTGCGATTAGTATCTTGTCCGGAAGGACTACCATTATGACATACCTTGCCATGGATAGGCATCAAACGACACATTCGTGTCTGCGTAGAACTTCTGAAGCTTCTCCGGAACAATAACAATAGTGTTGCGTGGCGGGTAGTCCTCAATCTGAAAACTGTCAGTGATGACCTCTTGCGCAATAACGAGACCGCAATTTACCAGATGCATAGCGATCCCGCGCAAAAACTGTCCAAGTCTCTTCGTCGGCTTGTCATCTTCAAACAATTTCCCCCAAATCTTCTCCAGTGTCGTCATCTCCACAACTGTCGCATCGCGATCAGGTGGTTTAGGCCGAGACTCTGTTTTCACGCTCCCTTGACTCGAGATTGAACCAGTTCTGCGCGTCTTGGGATCTGGCGAGGGTTTTGAGCTAGATCGTGTATCGCTTGAGTAGCCAGAGTACTGCTCCGGGATCTCGAAGTTATTCGACATTGCGGTCGGGGGTGGGATAGATCCGCTTCGTTGCGCATTCGGGGCTGACGGAGATTCGGTCTGGGGCCGCAGTGGGAGATCAGCTGGCGGAGCCATCCAGGGCTGCTGCGCCTGCGAATGCGACTGGGGTCTCGGTGGGGGTGGGTATTGGGGTTGGTTATTTTGAGAGCCCTGGAGATCGTTAAGGCCGGACGCCTTGAGTTGCTGAATAACAGTGGAAGTGATCTGCGACAGGACTTCAGGGGAAAGATAGGAATTGGAGTTTGTATTGTTGTACACTGCTGAGCTAACAGCGTCGTTGATATGGCCGGAATTTGTGCTGCCTGGACGGGGTGGTTCAGAGTATTCGTAGCTTTGTGGAGCAGACGATGCAGGAGGCATCTGAGGATGTGGCATATTGATATGCTCGGATTCATAGTAAGAGGGATAAGGAGGGGTTGGCGCATAGCCATGAGTATCATTAGGATCATTCATATTTCCCATACCCTGGTAGCCCGGGTTGGGGTTTGACTGGTACCCATCGTAGGCCATGGATATCGCGAATGATCCAAGAGGAAATGTATTCTTCTCTGCTGACGCCAAGGGAACCAGGGCACATGCAGAGTAGAATCAAGTAAGAGAAGGAGGATGGGAGGCAGAGAGAAATTGCAGGTTATGGTGGGGGGAAACAGTGGGGAAGCGAAAAAGTGGCGATCTGAAACCAACGTCACCGGGTTCTCTCAGGTGCGACAACTTTCAAACTTGACAAAAATCAGGTCACGTTGATGTGGCGCTTTTAATCTATTCAAGTCACTCAAACCATGCACACTTCTCCGTCACACAAGATGTCATATTATGTTTGGTCGGGGAACGTCATTGATCGACAAACAGTTTAATTAACTCCATCTTTTCATAGATTACGATTTTTCTTAGCCTATCAGGATAATCCAACGCCCCGTTTCACGTCCTAGGCCATGCAGAAGGCATGCAAGGAGGTTGATCGGACGTGTTGTTGACCTGTGGGTCCGGTCACCCGGTTCCATAATTAGATCCATGGGTTGTCAATATCAACCCGAGTTTCTATCATTTTCGATTTTGGTGGTTGGGTTGGGGCTAAGCCAGGACACAAAAACGATGATAAATCACGGCTAGATTATGTTAGCAAGGCCAAATTCGATGACAGCAATATACTTACATAAAGTGAGCGCAATATCCTGCAGGCCAAATGCTCGGATACTACCTCCATGGGGTCCAAATATCTCAGAATCCTTAGCTTGAAACTCATTCACCACGACTGCAATTCAAAAGAATTAGTATATGGAATGCATAAGAGACGGGGATCTTACTAGACAGCTGCAAATGACCTGCTCCGCAAACAAAGGGAACACCCACCCCAAAGGCGATCACCGTAAAAATAAATAGTCCCTCTCCATTGCCTGTTGAGCTACATGGGGTTTTATCAGTCCCAGGAACTCCGATGAGCCACATGATAGGAGCAAGAAGAGCCCAGCCGACCGTAGTAGGATACCTCAATCCAGCCCGATCACGTAGCCATCCGGCTAGGGGCCCTAGGAAGATAAAAGGCATCTGGAAAGATAAAAACATCATTCCTACTGCTAGGCTTTCCCAGCCAAGGGCATCCTGGCCGTGAAGAGTAATTATCGCGTCAAAGCTGGCTAGGAGGGAATAGTTGATGATAGTATTTAAGATACCAACGACGACACGGGCATCCGGTAGCATAATTCGGTAGAAGCCGTGCTTAGGGGTCTTTGCGCGAGCATTCTTAGTAATAGAACCCAAGTCAGTGGTTTGAGCATCATCAGGCAGTAAATCAGTATTCTCCCCATTGGATATAGTGATATCCGATGAATCGAAGGCCGAGGAAGTGGGAGGGCTAAATGGCTTTGGAGCCTCAATCATGATACACCACATTACCGTATCAAGCACAAGGTGACCCAAAGGGACGGACCATACGGCCAGTATCCCGCTACCTCCAAAAGTGCACCAGAGACTGCAGGACCTGCGACAACGCCAGCACCCACAAAGGACATGGAATATCATAGAGCTTTCCAAGATTCTCTATCTCCACGTGGTCGTTTAAGGTGGCAGACCCCACAATTAAGGTGGCAGATACCGCGATACCCTATATGACGCGACCTGCGAAAAGAATCGGAACTGCCTTTTGTCAGCTTCGATGGTATGCAGAGCATGAATTAGAACGCGTACGGGAAGGAGTCAAGCTCAGGAGGAGCGTTCCAACAAGACCTCCGACCAAGCTGATCAGTATTGCGGTTTTTCTTGTCGAGACTTTGTCCGCAAAGTGGGCAACGATAGGCGCAGATATGAGAGTTACAACCCCATGTAAACTAAGCAATGCTGTAGTTATATTCTGGGTCTGGGAGGCATTGATATGGAGTCGGTCTTCGACCATGTAACTCAATATTGGCACAGGGAAGCTATAGAGGAACGTGTCTGGAGATCATAAGAGAGGAAGGATGAATGGGGGACCGAAAGCTCACCACAGAATAAAGCGAGAATAATGACAAATAAGATAAAAGGCTTGAGGAGCGCCAGCCATGACCTATAGGCTTTTCAGGCATGCGGGAAATGTTTGAGAATGTGAAGGTAATGGATTAGTTTCACGTTTGAGATCAAAGATAGCATCAGCTGAAATTGATTTTACTAATGTACCGCTGCTACGCCACGGGTGGGATGTACACCTCTTGCCCTATTCTTGTTTATTTTCTTTTTCATTTTCTTTCTAATGCCAAAATCTTGCTGCAAAAGCAACGTTCGATATGATGTCTCATGCAGTCTGTACTGTAGCAAGTGAGCGTTTGACTTGACTGGGAAGACGATCTTTTATGCTCCGGGTATTCAGCTCTTCCGCAAACACGTTCATGTTGTACATTCCAGTACTTTCCAGGGCTTCCCCGAGAGTCAATTTCCACCTCTGAATATAGTGCAAAACTAAGTTTATTTTCAAAGTCTTGCCTCTGGAGACTTCCCTTATTATCGATCTTTGATTCCTTACTTGATTGGATTGTTACGTATGATATCAAAAATAACTAGTCTTGCTAAACACTTGACATCTATTTAACCATGTTGACCCTTGAAAATGGCCTCTTCAACACTCATTGCAACCTTGAAATGCCTAGAGAACTTAACTGAGATGTTCCTAAATAGCCTTGCATCCCATCTTACTCTTCGCAAATGACGACCGGGGTCCCGGACGTAATTCCTCGAATGCTACCACTGCCTATCATTCATCAGGATGATCAAGTCTCCAGGGAGAGCCTCAGATGTCAGAAGTTGAGCTTGCGTTTTGTGCTGCGCAATTGAATGACCCAGCTCTTGATACGCAGCCTCTACCCGGGTTGTCAGGGTGTCAAGGTATCCTCTCGAAAACGCAACCATGCAGCTTTACCCTTCCCATCCACACTCTACCAACAATTATGTCCTGGCTACCCTTGCAAAACGCCCCGGGAACAGCAATCCGAAATTCTAGTTTCGACAAGGCCAGCGTCGTTGGTCGTTTAACGGAGTGTAACAATTGGTCAATACTTAGAATCGAGAGCCTTCCGCCTCCAAAACGATTATGTTGGAGAACGCGGAGAGCAAAAAACTTCGCAGGTGCAGTTTTATAAGGGGTGTAGGGTTGGAGTTGATATTGAAGCTTAATGAGAGAATTAAATCCAGTTGAAGCATTATAATAGGGAAATTACTATTGTCCATGGCGTCTAACCGTATGAGATCAATCTTGAATTCAGCCCTTTACCACTTGGGTAATTGTACATTTGAGTTGGATTGCTGAAGCAGCTACTAATTCGTGTAGGTGATGTCGAGCTAACGCGCTGGAATGATATCTAGTTTAGCTCGAGCTCGAGCTCGATAGTGCTGACTCGATCTTACTCCTTACTACCTGCATGTCCGCTGCATGTGGACACGGCTCGGGCTGATCCCGAGCGGGTGTCACATAAATCTATTTCTCAGACACATAGATTGATCTCTCAGAACGCCACATTTAATCTTGGTAAAGTCTTTGCATGCATGATGCACGAGGATCTTACACCACAAGACCCCGCATATTTACCTGCGAGCACGATGTGATACAGAGAAAACCCCTCACGGACTTTGCTCCGTGTGCTTCAATATCCATATGAGAGGCTTTCCGTCCAATCTACTGCCTATGCGCAAGTGATGAAGATGTGAGGTTGATATTGGCGAACCGCGGTCAGGGTTCATTCTCAGTGATATTTAAGATGCCCGGGATCAACGTTAAAATCATACTATTCACTCCAAGTCCCACACAGATTGTCGGCAGCGATGATGACAGAAACTGCCTACACATTATTGCCCCATTCAAACACACCCAGTGAAGAGCGCACCGTGAGAAGTTCTTGCAATGACTCGTCATCCCCAACTCCATCAAATTCGTACTCTTCAGGATGCTCAAGACATTCAACCGAGTTAAGTGCCTGTATGTTGCTAGTCTCATGATTTTCCGCTTCTGTCCGCAATCCTCGGGCCTCTAAGCTCGGCAAAAGTCCTGGATATAATTGAAGACAACTGCCCAGGAGGTAATGTATCTTTGCACGAGATTTGGATTCGGCAGGAGATGTAGTTGTTGGAAACCTGCTCAATCAAAGCACAACCTCGATATTGGATGTCGCGGTGAAATTACAGAATGCACGATACGTACACGCTGCAGACGAAATAGACATGAAGACTCTCAATCAAATTTTTTTACCACATACTTTCATCGACTGGTCTACAAGTAGTTGTGAAAAAATGGGATAGGAGGAGGTCAAGCGAGGCCCTATCTTCACTGGGAAGCTCTTTCCATGGACTTTTCACATCTTCGCCAATCCTACCATGTATTTTCCGGGTACAAGCCTGCAGTGGTCAAAGTGAAGACATTGACTCCTCTGGGTCTCAATGGCCCCGATAGTACACCAATGATATACCAGATGAATAGCATCTACGTGGATGGACTCGAGAAGACTATAGATGATTCGCGCATTCACGAACGCGTGGCGCATGAAGGGCTTAGTACTGGCTCTGGGGCTTGATCAACGGGATGATAGAAATGCTTGAAGCTTCCTACGAACTCAGGAACGTGTCATCTAAGTTTGCTAGACATCGTCACCAAAAAGGCTGGCCATTTTTATTCAGTTTGCATAGCGGATTCTAGCATCCGACTTGGGATGTCTTGTGTTCTGAATGCACACAGATCGTAGATATATTTGTTAGACACGACATAAGATCAAGTTGATTTCTCCTAGAGACCGGGGTCGGAAACTTTGATGTCATTGCCATGCAGCCATCCACCATGGAACGAAAGATAGATTAATAATTGAAAAAAAAAAAAAAAAAAAAAAATAACCTGAAACATTCATGAAATCCCGGTCGCAACCCCACAAGGAAGACCGAGTAACCAAGCCCCGAAACCGAAACACAGCCTCCGCAGGAAAATGAACCATCACAGCCACTCCCAGGTATCCATAACACCTTCAATGGGTGAATCAGGAGCTGGCGCCGGGGCAGGGGGAGCAGACTGAGGCCTCTCTCGCTCAACCGGTCGGTAGCCCTAAACGATATTAGCGCTCGTTCAGACCTCATATTAATTCAACAAACCAACCTGGACCCTCCGGAAGGCATCCGGATCCGGCGCAGCAGACTCCTCCTCGCTGGTGAATTCGCTTTCGAGAGCAAATTCCGGATTCTCCAGTAACCGCTGCTTCAACGCCATCTTCTTGCCATGCTTCTCGTTCCCCTCGTCCTGAAGATGCAGCTTCATTAGCGAGATGCTATCCATGGATCTCAAGACCAGAACCAGAACCCACCCAAATCTTACGCTGGAACTGGAAAATAGCCATCTTCTCCTCGTCGCTGATTCCCCTCCGTTTCAGCGCAGTGCACTGATCCAGCGTGTCGATCCTGATTGGGGTGGTGGCGAACCCCTCCTCGCCCTGCTGGTCCCGGACGTACTCCGCCACATTCTTGCCTGGAATTAGGACCTTGGGGTCACTAGGCTGGGCGATGCTCATCTGACTCACCATTAGAGTGAGCGCCTCATCGGGCAGCTCGGCTTTGGTCAGTGGCCTTCCCTCGATCATCTTTCGGCTGGTGTTGGCGGGTCCCGGCTGGGCTGATTCCTGGCAGCTGTCCTGGCAGTCCTTGCAGGCCTACCATCAAACATGAGCGTCAGCAAGCACAAGAGCTTGAACATCGACAAGCAGGAAAGAAAGTACTCACGGGCTCAAGAAGCAGACGCTGGTTTCGCGCGAAGAACTCAATCTCTTTCCACTCGTTGCAGAACCGACACTTGTATTCCAAATTTGGGGAGCCGCTGCAGTCAATACATTTTGCAACTTTTTGGTTCACAAGAACTTTCAACCCCCGAGAGTCAAGCGCTTTGTTGAGAGCGGCTAGCTGGGCCGTCGAATAATCGCTTTGTAGGCGAGGATCTCTACAAATGCCGCAGGTGATTCTCAAGGGTGTGTCAGTGTCAGGTTCATGCATATCATTATGTGCTGACCACTTACATCTCGGGAAGGTTCGGGTCCAGGATGCTGGGAACTTGTTAGACTTGTTCTCAACGGTGGGGGTGGCATATTGTTTTCTTACTCGGTCTTCGAGCTTAGGCCGTCCCCGCGGCGTTGGTTCTTGCTGATAGCAAGCATTGTTGATGAGGGTCTGCTAATGCAGGATGTGAGAGATCGATGGTGTTGGTGGTGAAGTTGGAAGCTTCTGTGGATAGAGTATGAAGAAGAAGAGAATTTGAAAGATCAACGTTCTGGGATTTCAAAGAAGTGGGAGCGAGATTGTGAGTGAGGTCTCTGCATCATTATGGCGATGATTGTTATTCTTATACTACAGGCGACGCGTATTATGCTGTTGAGTTTATGGATATAGTCGTGGCGACGGTGATGACAATAACCTTTACTACTAATCAGTTTGGCGTGAAGAAAGTTACTGTCAAACAGCTCACCAGTGAGCTTTTGTACCTTCGCGACGGTGACAACCATTACTATCCTGCTGTGAACATAATCCAATGAATAATATACTTGCACAATCTCAAGCTCGCGGGAAATCTCTCAGTTCTCCAAGTGATACTAATTCTCACTGTTGTAGACATATGATATTTGAAAGAGTGATATACATAGATCCTCTACTTGGGTAGTAGTCAGTTAATACAGAAAGATCACAATTGAAGTTCGAAATTTGGACAAAGGAACCACATAAATATATTCCGCTTGAATTTGTGTGTAAACCTGCGGGCCGGGGAGAACGCATTTTACCTGGAGGCATTGATATTAGAAGTACATAGCCCTGTAGTACTTTTCTGGATCCATTGAAGGTAGCTAATTGACAGAGTCATGAAACGGCATAAGAGAAAGCCTGGGTAGTTTAAGAGATATCAAAGACATACTATTTGAAGCAGTCTAAGGACTGCAAAGATATGACTATCATACAATGTGACTCTTACCAACAGGGCTATATAACCAGATTTGAGCCGGGTAGTATTCCCTGTGGATACTGCGGTGAATAGTGGAGCAACGCTCTAAGCCCACAGAAACAATTTGAAATCCTGGATTATTTCTCTATGATTATACATGTCTTCGTAAACAGAGTGGGCTGTACGGAGTACTCCGTATAAAGGGGGAATTTGCTCCATTCACCTCCTTTATCACAACACTTGAAAAGGGCTATTCTAAAAAAAGATAATGAAAGAGAACCAGACACAAACCTTCATTTTAACATCTCACTTAATTCAATACATTACCTTTATGCATTTAAGCGCACTGCATCTCCGGCCTAAATGATCATCACAAAGCTGATTGGCCCTCCGGACGGGAAGCAAAGTTTCCAGAAAATTCATTACACAGGGGCAATGACCATTCCAGTAGTCAACAATCTCCCCCGTCAGAAATAAACTAAGCCAAGAACAACTGCCACTTACTCCCCGCTTCATAATACAAGTTCAAGTCCAATCCAATCCTATTCGGTACTTAGATCAGGTCCATAGTGATATAGAGCATCCGTAGAAGGTTAGGAGCGCCGACTAGGGCCACGCGGGCTAGTTCCGTCTCCATAGAAGCATGCTAATGACCTTCCAGAAACGCGTAGTGTGTCATAGGAGCGTGCGTTACTTTGGTGATGGTGGAGTCGGGATTTACCTTGTACCTGCGTGATGTAGAGTGTTTGAAGGGGAAGTCGCCCCCTCGTGTGGTTTTGTGGGTATTCATCGTCATATTTGTGGATCGATTTCGGTTACTAGGGGGTGAACGTGCAATTGAGCGTTGCTGATACGCTCGTTGCTAAGGGTTGGGAGGAAAGGGGTGCACTAATGTAGGGATTTTGATTATGGTCTGCGTTTGTGGGTCGCGATTCGGTGGTTAAGTTGGTTAGCCTTCGGATGTTGATGCTTTTGCTTGATTCTAGCGGGACAGATTTTCGTTCCGGAGAATTTGGAGTGGGTAAGGGGCACGGTGGGAGCCCCTAAGAAGCGAAAACAAGGCTGTGTGCGGCCTAGAGTTAAGGGGTAAATGTTTGGTTTTGGCCTTGAGTGGTCGCGTAGCAGTGAGGTTATTGATCTTGGTCATAAGCGATACTGGGATCTTCCAGAAGGTCTAAGGAATGACGGAGCCAAAATTGATGAGCAAATAGTTCCATTCCTGGTGCCTTGGCCTGGTGGCGAGGGTCGATCCTGTGCAACGCTGCTCTGCTCTCGGGTACAGGGAGGGACGGGCCTGGAACTGGTCCACGCGGTGGAGATTCCGTCGTCCCCCGAGTCGACGGTGTAGCGCCCGATCCACAGCGAGAGAGACTCGAGCAATGGAGATGCGTAATTAGGACCGCTTTTTGAGGGCAAAGGACTGTAAGCCCACTTAGTGCATTGTTTTGTTTTCTACTCCACCAATGGCTTTGTTGGTCTCCGTACAGACCGACTTGGATCTGTACCTGGTACGCGCGGAGTACCGGCTCCACCGGAAGAACGTGTGGCTGGTCCCCAAGCCATTTCTGTACCCCGTTAGTATTGAATACTTTGATACGCGTTTTTTGTTTTCATGATGCCCAAGCTTCTCCCATTTAGAGAATAGTGACTGGGTCTTGCATTTTTCTTTGTCTTTTTCTTTTTCCTTTTTTTTCTTCTTGGTTCTCCTGGTACACTGTAGGGAAAACCCAAAGCAAATGCAAAGGAAAGGGGGGGTGAGAGAAGCCATATTCTTAAATAAAGATGCGGATAATCATGTCGGTGGTCAATATTTAAAAATAAGGATAAGAATGATAAAAATGCAGTGAAATGGGGGCAACGTAATCCTGGATCCTTTGCGGGCCAAACGGCCTGCCCCAGGGTTCGTCGCAGTCTGACAGGTGCGATTCCTGCAGGTAATCAACATCATCAATGAAACATTCGTAATTTTACAATTTCTCATGAACCTATCAAAATTTAGTACAAATAAAATATACCACCCCCCCTCCCCAAAACAACAACAAAAGAACGATGGACAGATCGTCTTTCCCATGGTTCTGGCTCGGGTTCCTGGAGCTTCTCAAGTGGAGATCATATGGTCCGTACATGGTAAAGCTGATATGATTGTTTGTCCGGATGACCTCCGGTGGACAGGGATGATTGATCGACCGCTGTCACTACTTTCCCTAATTTCCCTAACTTCCCTATTATCCCTAATTTCCCACACGGGATGATTTCTTTTCTTTCGCCCATAGCACGAAACAAAGAAAATGAATCACGGGGCGCCATCTGTTCCCAATCGGCGACACTTCCGGACGTGACTGGAATGTCTAGGTAAGGCGTCCGCTGAGATGGGACCACATATGGGTCATATGCGTGATCAATGATCCCCATGCATCCAAAGCCAAGTCCCTGCTTAAGTTTACCGAGGAGACCTTTAGAGTGTACGGAGTACCGCGTACCTAGGAGACTCGTACAGTCCATGCGAACGCCTCCGTCCAGCCGAACCTAAATTCCGACCCATATGGCGAATAATCATGGAGAAGCTAAATCCGGACCAGTCGGGGATCCTCTGAAAAAAGAGGATGGCTCCTCCAGGAAAGCTCGGATCCAGAATCAGGTGGCGAGACAAGGTGCCGGGACAACGAGAAATCCATTTCTATTTCCCTCCAATGGCGAGTGAAACAGGGGAACAGAGAGCGAGTCCAGTTCTAGCCTTGCGACGAGTCCGACGTAGGACATGACATGTAGCATCAACTGGCGTCTCCTTGCCTTTTTATGATCGTGGTAGATAAAGAGCTAGAGATGACCTGTTCTAAGATCTGATAGATTGGTCCAGAAGCAGGAACTCCAACGTCATGTAGTAAAATTACGGGGTAACGCGGCCCAACCCCTCAACTTTGCTGGTTCGAATTAACGGGAGTGACCGCCTCCATGTCACTGGATTTATGCCCAACCTACTCTGTACGGAGTAATATAATTAACATGATCATCGTGATCAACTGATCCGTGGAGATATAATTGATTTTGGAAGTAATTAGAAACAAATCGTCTCCATTTAAATACGTAACCTACTAGTATTCTTGAAAATCAACAGAAAATGAGGCAAAAAATAGAAAAAGAAAAAACAAACTAGCAATTAAAAAACGTGAAAGTTAATGACAATACGATAATTAATACTTAAGAAATCAGGAACGGGGTCAAATGAATCCACTTATTATCCACTTGGGGGATAATACGAGATTCCTATTGGTTCCAACATTGTTTCCCCCGTTTTGTGGACATTCGACTCTAACTAGTAACTTATTCCATTTCTTCTTACACACTCATTACTCGTGATTATTACTTCTCAATAGTTTGGCCCCTCTCTTGTGCGTTTTATTTTCGATTTTCGATTTTCTGTCTACTTGGAGGGGGTTCGCTGCTGTTTATGATTTAACATTTGAATCTTTGATCTCCCCCTCTATATCCCTCTATCCCTCTTATCCCACCATCAAATCTACTACATACAACTTTTGCCCCCAAACCTTAGCAAAAAGCAGACCGGTGGACTGATCTGCATCGGTCTTAACGTGGTTTAATTTACCGTCTCCGTCTCCACGGCCCCGTCCTTAGAGCTTCGAGCTGTCAGCGCGTCAGGGGCTTTTTCTTCGGCCTCCGATCGACTAGGTGCCCACAACGGATTCTCTCCTATTCTGGGATTTCCTTTTTATTCCAATCACGCCCCGTTGTTGTTGCCCTTTCAGATCGTCTTTCCCCCCCTCCTACTACTTCCTACATCCGACTCCCTTTCCAACTACTCCGTCACTCCTTACTTTGCAATCCCGCATCCAACTGCATTAAATGGGAGAACCCTCCTTGCTCAACTTAACCAACTTCGACTTTCGGATGATGAGAATTGACGGCAATTGAATTTCATCTGAACCGTGGGATATTCAATCCGTGCCCCTCTCGATTAATAGTGAGTCAGGACCTGATGTCATAGGAATACTGCTCGACTAACTTCAATTCTAGTATACCTCTTCCATCTGCGGGCAGATCTAAGAGTCAATACACTATGACAGTCACATATGACTCCCCCTCTCGGGGAACTACCAACACATCAATGGCCTCCCTCGAGGATCGTTTCCAGGTGATGAAGGAAGTGGGTGATGGCAGCTTTGGCAGCGTGGCGCTTGCGCGCGTACGAACTGCTGGGTCACATATTGCGCGTCGAGGAACAATGGTATGGTCCAAATGACGTATGACGGATCGACACCTAAACATACTAACTGATTTCAACAGGTGGCTATCAAAACAATGAAGAAGACTTTCGACTCGTTAGGCCCATGTCTAGAGTTGCGTGAGGTTATCTTCTTGCGTACCTTGCCAGTGCACCCACATTTGGTCCCGGCTCTCGACATCTTCCTCGATCCGTTTTCTCACAAACTGCACATCTGTATGGAGTACATGGATGGCAACCTATACCAGTTGATGAAGGCCCGGGACCACAAGTACTTTGAAGGAAAGCATGTCAAGGGTATCTTATATCAGATTTTGTCTGGACTGGACCACATTCACGCCCATCACTTCTTCCATCGCGATATCAAACCCGAGAACATCCTCGTGTCGACCTCTGCTCCGAACGACTCCACGTTCAGTCGTTACTCCAACCTTGTGACTCCCCCCTCTACCCCCCCAACATATACCGTGAAGATCGCCGACTTTGGTCTCGCCCGTGAGACCCACTCCAAGCAGCCTTATACTACCTACGTTTCGACTCGCTGGTACCGGGCACCAGAAGTGCTCCTCCGTGCGGGAGAGTACTCTGCTCCGGTTGATATGTGGGCTGTTGGTGCCATGGCTGTCGAAATTGCGACACTGAAGCCACTGTTCCCCGGTGGAAACGAGGTGGATCAGGTTTGGCGTGTATGTGAAATCATGGGTAGCCCTGGTAACTGGTACAGCAAGTCTGGTGCCAAGATTGGTGGTGGTGAATGGCGTGAAGGATCGCGGCTGGCGCATAAGTTGGGCTTTACGTTCCCCAAGATGGCACCACATGCAATGGACACTGTTCTCCAGCAGCCCCAGTGGCCTGCTGCCCTCGCCGAGTTCGTGACATGGTGTTTGATGTGGGATCCAAAGAACCGACCGACATCAACCCAGGCCTTGAACCATGAATACTTTGCCGATGCCGTGGATCCTTTGCGGCCCAAGTCCTCGACTTCCTCAAGATTGCTCGGTCGCAAGCCATCCGACCGAAGCTTCAAGTCTCCGACCCTTACCCCCCACGACTCTCCTACCCTCTCTAGCAAGCCCTCGTGGTTCCGCAGATCTTTGATTGGACGCTCTGATAGTCCTGTCCCATCCGAAAATGACAGCCCTGTCAGACCTCCCGTTGTCAGTCACCACACTGTTCCCGACATCCAGCCAGCCAAGGCTCGCCCCTCCAACACCAAGCGGGCCACATGGGCCAACGGTGCTCCGATGCCTATTCTTCCTTCCATTCGTCCTGTTTCACCACTGTCAGCTTCCGTCACAGCGCAAGCTAACGCGACCGTGGCACATAACGCGTCGCTACAGGTTGAGTCTGAGGCTAGCAAGGCTAGCAAAAAGATTGGTCGCCAACTTTCCGTCAACTCCAACGGCAATCATTACTCAGATGCGCACCGCCTAGAGGCCGAACGGATACTGAATGGTTCTGGCAGTACGACACCGACTACCAAAGAGAGCTTCTTCTCTCATCTGCGTAAGCGCGCTCGCAGACTCTCTGGTCGGAACCAAGCCGCGGCAGCCACCGATGACGTCGAGGCCAATGCCGGGTGCATTCCATGGTCCAACCGTTCTTCCATGGCCATCGATGGTGCCAACGTTGACGCCAAGCAGCCCGGTAATTCCGATCTGAGCGAGCTTGATAAGGCGCTCCAGAGTGTGAAGTACTCGCTAGACTCGTCCACCCTTGGTAACGTGCCTGTGCATCTGAACTCAGAGTGCAGCATCACAAAGCGCCAGTCCATGCCCCAGACTACTGGCGCGAATCCCGGGCCCATCTCTAGCCGGACTCGGCGAGCCATGCAGATGACCAGCCATCCCGTCCACCGCTACGAGACGCCCGAGGAGGAGGATGAGCTTTTGGACGAGGTCTTACACTCGGCCAGCAAAGCTGCACTGCGCTTGGCTCAAAATCAGTCAATAACTTCTCATTCGCGCGCTCTTCCCAGCCCATATCCCACGCCATCGCCGACAGCGGCCCACCGTGAAAGCTACTTTGACACACCCGACAAGCACATCACCAAGCCTGATGTGACCTCGAACCGCCAATGGCCGACTCCCCCATATGAAGAGTCCGAGTGGAACAACAAGGCATCCTCCCACTACATCCCTTCCGGATCCAACTACATCTAAACTGCGATATACTCGACCATCTTGATAGGCCCTAATTCGAGACTCTTACACTCTGTCACCCTCTCTCACACACACTTCCTCTCTCTCTCCGTTCCAACACAAACGAATAAAGGAACAAAAAAATCTGGCAAAATGCGCAAAAATGGATACACATCTTCGGCGTATGGGTTTCGGTCTGTTTGTTTTTTCCATGGTGTGGCCTGGGTTTGATTTCCACGCAAGCACCGTTTGGCTTTGCAATGGCTTCCTTTCTTTTTCACATCTATTTACATCTTCATACCCCTATAGGCCTTTTTTTATAGATGGATCCGGCCTCGCATCCTGTTTTTCGGACATCCCTGGAGCCCTTTCTTGTCACTGTTTTGAATATTGTTGATTTACAGAGGGCGTTTGCACAGATTTCCCCTTACCCTTCATTGATACCAGCGCAAGCCGCATTATATACCACTCCCTATTTCTGTCTTGCATCCTACCTGACCATTTTCGACGAATATGGCGTGTCTTTCTTTTGTCTATACTTTTGTCTCTTGTACATTGCCGGCTACTGCCTCCATCCATCCTGTCCATCCTTTCCCTTTCCTTGACTCTCTCTCTCTCCCGCCGACTCTTCTTGGGTCCATGCCAGCCACTTGTTCACTCTTTCATGTACTACTTACCTCCTCATTTGACTGGCTGGCTTCCAGTTATCTATCCTCTTGTAATATAGAATCTTGTGGCTTATTGCCAATTACATACTCAACATGCATACATAATAGCGATCTTTTCAACAATTCCCATGACAGCCATCAGTAAAGATTAGAGTTTCGATAGACTATTTACAGATCTGCGAAATAAACATAGTGCCCTTTTCGGACTGTCTTCAGTTGGTTGAGTTGCAACCATGACGAAGGCCTGACAGATCACGGACATCGGAGGAACGATAACCCGCTCCATCGGAATTTCCCGATTAAGCATGCTCTACCTTGACTTTTTTCAACCTCGTGCAATTGACATTTAAACAACGTCAAATCCAGAGGTCTGGATAGTGATATGCATATCTGAACCTGCAAATTAGCATATCACCCTCCAAACTTTATCCGCGGTACCCAACCAGGTGAACTACGCCTACAGCTATCCCGATCGACGCTCAGTCTTCAGACCTCCAAGGTCCAAATCGCAAAAAAACCCAGTCCAACTCACCTCCACGAATTTTCACCAGAAGAGCACAAAGTGCAAAAGCATAAACAGACACATCCAAAATGTCAAACCAACGCCAGGCCTCATCGGCCTCCCAAACCCCCCACCTCTCTCCCGCCGAACTATCTTACCTCTACACCTCCCTCTCCCTCCCCCAAGACCCCATCCGCCCCGACGGCCGCTCACCGACACAATTCCGGCCCCTGAGTGCAGAATCCGATATCCTGCCCGGCACAAACGGGAGCGCGCGCATCGGTTTCGCAGACGGTACGCAGGCGATCGTCGGCGTGAAAGCCGAGGTTGAAAAGACAATTCTTACGGCTGATACGCTTGATGCGTCAGCGCTGCATGATGATGGGAATGAAGGGAGTGAAGGTATCTCTGCTGCGACAGGTGGACATGGGTCTTGGGTGCAGATGAGCATTGAGATTCCCGGGTTTAGGGATGATGATGCTTTGCCTGTTTTTCTGGCGGAGATGATGCGGGAGAGTCTTGTTGGATCCGTTGGGGGGAAAGATGGAGATGGGGTCGAGAGAGGGATGAAAGGGGGATTAAAGGGGAGGTTGGTTATTAATAAACGGTGGCATTGGAGGTTGTATATCGATGTGAGTTTCCCCCGGTGAGTTAGGTTGGACTATATGAACTTGAAACTAACACAGCTTCTATCCAGGTTCTTCTCCTTTCTCAACCTTTGTCATACCCGCTTCCGCTTCTTTCTCTTACGACTCATCTCGCGCTTTTATCTACCAAGCTTCCGAAACTCAAGTCCCAGGGTGAGGAGGATCCGTTCTTTGACGATGACTGGGCTGCTGCGGAGTACTTGTACCCGCGTCCTTCGGGATTCAAATTCGACCCTTCACAACAAGTACGTCCTCCGGTGACATTGCTTGTGATTTCAGTAGGCGAGAATGTCATTTTCGATCCCAGCCGAGAGGAAATTGCGGTCGCAGACGCTGTGCTTGCTATTTCTATTACGCGTGATACTGAAAGCCGGGGCTTGAAACTGCTTTCCATTCGAACCATTGATCCACCGTCGAGACTTACCCAGCCGGGTGTTCCCAATTCCGAAAATAGCAATATGCTTGCAGCGACCGCTCCGACCGAGAGTGTGGCTGTTTTGAACCCTGCCGCTGGTGAGGCCGAGGTTCCTGGTGTCTGGCGGCCCAGACGGGGTGGTATCAAGCGCAGCGTGATCTCGCGCATGATCAAGACTGTGCTTAAGGAAGGAGGTGTGGGTGAGGAGGTTCTGGAGGGGTTGGAGGGTGTTCATGTTGGTTGATTTTGATTTGATTATGATCGATATCCCTGTATCTAAAGCTTTACATCGATACCACTTCCAAATAATGAGAGGCGATTCATGATTCATAGAACCTCCGCATGCATGCAATAATGATAGAAAACTATTTTACATTGAATATTGTATCAATTGATACCTAACATCCAACCCTCAACCCTTATATCAGCACCGTCCTATATTTGATCTCTGAAGAAAAAAAAGACCAATCACCAAATCCCGAGCCACTTCTTGACGGGCCTCTTCTTTCCATCGAAATCAACATACTCCGCCTGCTCCGCAACAGCAATAGGACTCTGCTCATCAATAACCGGCTTCTGTCCCTCCTTCTCCTCCTCAGTCGGCTCCTCAAGCCCATGCGCAATCCGATACTGTCTCCGCTTCTCAGCATCCTCAATCCGCGCATGCCGCTTCTCACGCACGAGCATAGACTCGTGCTGCACATGCATGCGGTAAACGCTCAGAGCCTGAGAAATAGTAGAAAACGGGCTGGTGAAGAGAGCAGACCAAGGAGGAAGAAGGTGTGCAAAGGGAGAAGTCGCTTTGAAGTTTGTAGTGAAGGTGAATGTCGCAAGGGTAGTCAGGATGCTCTGTTACATGTGCATCAGTAGATGTTCCCGGGAATTATATTCATGTCGAGGAATAGGAAATCAAAATCAAAATCGAAATCCACTCACCATTGCGATCCAAACATGGATCCACCGACTCGTCAAAAACTTAAACATAACGGTTCCCTCAGGCGGGAACATGCTCGGGTACTGTTTCTTATTCTGTGCTTCGCGCTCAGCGGCTGTAAGACGCGGTCCGTAGTTCACTGGTTGTCCGGACGGGGTGCGCGCAGGGCTAACGAGACGCTGCGGGTGAGATGGGGGGCGAAACTTGTCTGGTTTTTCGAGGATGCGATTCTTTCTTGTTTCGGGCTTCTTATTCATTCGTGAGACCGCGCTGGTTGTGGAGAAGCTGGAGTTCAGACTCCGGTGTTGGAGGGTTCGGAGGGTCCGGGCTGTTGGGAGGCCTCGGGGGAGGAGGAAGTGGGGGATTGGGGAAGGCATTGTGAGGCCGTACACCTGGTGAGTTTGTGCTTGGGGTTACGGGGTTAGGATATGTATAGGCCTGGACGAGTGAGTTTCGGGATGTGTTTTTTTCCCGAACGGGAGATTTTCATATCACGTGATTTGAGGTGTTTGGATATTTTCCACGGGTTTTCTGGGTCATGCGTGGATTGCAGCACTCGGGCCGGACGGACCTGCAGCTCGGTCATACTCTGCCGAGAGAGAGAATATTGATCTACATGAATAAATTGTTCCCAAACGCTTTTCGTGTAGACCTCGGCTGGAAGTTTCGCAATCATCGGTCCTCCTAGGTCTCTCCACATTACTACGATGCGATATGGCCGTGCCGTGTATCTGGTCCACCGCTATTCTGTTGTGCTGGGCGACTCAATTGACTAGCCGATAACCCACAGTACCCACGCCTATCTCTGCCTCAGGATCCACAGTTGCCGGGTCAAGTTCTGTCCTGTAGACCGCGGACGAATGATAGTGGATGCATTTCGCAGCCTCAGTGGGCCGGGGAGAAAGGCCATCCCCCAGTTTTCCAACGGGCAGAACTGATTAGCCGCTCAACAAGTGCGTGATATATGCTCTGCTAGGTAAGTGAATTGTATCCATGGAATAATGGATCGTGACATAGTATGTATACATTTTCATCAAGAGCCTCCAGGAGTAAAAAATAACGGTCAGTCTGTGGCGGATGATGAGGGATGAGATCATTGAGGAAGCCCAGGTGGCGGCTGGTCTAGCCGCCGTCAATGATAATTCAAAAAGATGGTGCAGGTCATAAAACAATGGAAATCATCTTAGACAAGATCTGATCGTATACCATGTAAGATAGAAAGGATATGAGCTCACCGAGGACACAAGAGTAATCCCGGTTGCGCCCGTCTCGCTGAATTAGGCCAGTTCTGATTGGTGGATGTCCGGATCACGGGAGCCGACGGGCTCCAGGTACAAAATCGCAGAAAATCTTGCTTTTGTTTCTCCCGATTAAATCTTTTCTGTACACATCTCCTTTACAGTCCCTTTTAATAATTCCAACTCTTCACAATGGGCAAGGCTGCTGCTTCTTTCGCTCCTGGTAAGCCTTTATCCTGATGTCTCCCCTGCCAGCGCTGGAATCGGTTTGGGGGAAGTGATGCGCGCGAGAGAAAAGGGAGAGGAAGAGAGTGAAAGGGAGAAAGTGAATGAACAGTGGCTCGCGGTTGCCAATTCCTCCACGCGATGACTGGTGTTTGCCAGCGCACGTCGGCTTTCGCTTCACTGTCAATTACGAGACCCCATACTCAACTTTCCTCTCACTACACTACTCGTGCTCAACAACTACTTCCTTTGCCGCACGGGAACAACTCAACCGCGCCACCCATACAATCGGTTCCCGACGCTCGGTGTATCCCAGTCTTGCCATGTCGACCTTTGACGTGCTCTGCACGTCGACAGTCATGACATGGGCGAGACTGAGCTCACTGCCCAAAACATCCATGACACAAAACTCGAAGCTCAGGCTAACGCCCTTCCTCCAGGTGACGCCGCCAAGGGCGCCAAGCTTTTCCAGACTCGCTGCGCTCAGTGCCACACCGTCGAGGCCGATGGTGCCAACAAGGTCGGCCCCAAGCTGCACGGTCTCTTCGGCCGCAAGTCCGGTCACGTCGAGGGTTACTCCTACACCGATGCCAACAAGCAGGCCGGTGTTGAGTGGAACGACGACACCCTGGTAAGTTTGAAGACTGAAACAATTTGATTCTTGCAGTTTGCTAACCATGGCCGCTATAGTTCGACTACCTCGAGAACCCCAAGAAGTTCATTCCCGGTACCAAGATGGCCTTCGGTGGTCTCAAGAAGGCCAAGGAGCGCAACGACCTGATCACGTACGTCATTTCCCCTATAATTATTGGCTCCGACATGAACTAACAAGTGTTACAGTTACCTCCAGGAGGCTACCAAATAAACGATTTGATGTTCTTTTATTATTCTCCACGGCCATTTCATGTTCTCTCGCACCCCGTTTCTTGGAGATGATAGACGTCTGGTATTGGTTTTGCGCCGTGGGCTGATTTCCGGACATCCGAGTCACAGGGCTTGTAATTTTATCTGAGTTTACCATGAACCGCAATAGATTTGGATTTAACTCTCTTCTCATTTATGTTCTGCTCTGTGATTTGCAGTTTTCTGCAGGTACGAATCTAGAATCCAGCACTGTTTTAAGGGGTAAGGAATGGACGTACATGGAATCAAGAGTCGAGTGTGATACATTCTTTCCCTTCTTAATTGTTGTATTGATGTACTGTACTGGTATTAGGGAGTGTTTCAGACTTCTCAACTGAAATCGATTGGGCGGCAATGGGCGGTCAGGCACGAGTGCAAGTACCACAAAGGTACATGTTGGCAGAACAGAACAGCCAGCCGGTACTTCTCAAGTACTTGACAAGACACCATGATACGATGATCGACCTTGTGGCCCTCAACAGACTGGGATTGGTCCAGCCTCCCCCTGCACAGGTGAGGAGTTCATTCCCGCATTGCTTCTCGAGGCGCAGTTCTCTCCCTTATGTTCATCTCATGTTTCCTATGATCCTGTCTCATACTTAACTCAAATCTACTGCGTCTCTCCGCAGCTACAATACATTTCGTTTCCAAGACCTTACGCCTGCATCGCATCGCTCTCTGTCGCATCGCACGCTTGCCGCGCGGGGCCGATTGCTACTCGGCTTTCCACTTCTCTGATCCAGTTTCTCCGTATCGGCGCATGAGATCTGATCCCAGCGCTTCCACTAACCACTCTCTATCCAGCTTTTTACCCAGTAAACACTACCTCGCAGGACGTCGCTTTGCGCCGCGTCCTTGCGACGAACAACCGACTTGCAGCGCCAATCCCGGTCTACGCCGTCCGCCATGTTGGACGAGCTAGACAATGTCTTCGACGACCATCCGTCGCTGGATGCGTCGCTCGAGGACTTTGAAAATAACAGCAATGCGCACCGCTCGCCGCTGTTTGGCTTGCCCTCACAGCATTCAGGCTTCCGGTCTGAAGAATCCGACGATGAGATCGAAGAACCCCGCGCAAACGAGCGCTGGTCGCCACCTGGCGTGCGCCGACAGGAGCTTGTCCGAGGAAGTGGCTGGTATCGCCACCAGCCCTATCAGCGCAAAGGCAATCTAAATGAGCGCTTGGAGCTGCGGCCAACCATGGGCTTGAGCTTGTCGCCATCGCTGTCGCGCGAACCGAGCCCGCAGTATGAGGATGCGCTCGAAGACCCAACTAAGGGCAAATTGAATGATGACGATTCAGCTGATCTCACGGCCGCGGTCAATGTGCCCCTCCCGGTGGATGCAGGGACCCCACAAGCCGGACGATCCCTCAGTCCCTGCCCGAAGAAAGCGGCGCACACCCATGCTGAGGAGGAGGGGACGGGCTTTGGAGCGGAGAATCTGAGTAATTGTAGGCGCTGCCTTAATCTCGGTGTCAGATGCTTTTTGGTTGTATGATCTATAGACATGGAAGCACTAACTTGTTCTTTGCGCATTGGAAGATATCCGTTTTGCAGTGCGCGCTGAAGTCCAGCATCGCGAACCCATTGCTGCCCTGTGCGGCTATATGCGCAACAAGTTTGATCGCATCACCAGCACCAAGTCCAATACCACGCTGTCGATTGTTGTTTTCTTGATCTCTGTCGCGTTTATGCGCGCATTGTTCCTGCCCGGCCTGCCACAAGCGATCCCGGACTTAGTGAAACTTTCTGGGTTTGCGCGATCTTTTGAACCACTAATCTACTATTCGGAAAATGGAGTTCAGCAGATTGGCACCCTGCAAGAGACAGGTGTGGCTGTCTGGGATCTGAGTGAGTCGGTGCGCGGAACAAACATGACCAGTGCGCCTATCATCGTAGGCCAGCTTGACGAGCTATCCGACTCCCTGAAGTCACTTTCCCTAGAGTTGACACGGTTCTTCGCAAATGTCGACTCGGACATCGACTCCATCCTGATCGTAATGGACTGGGCCAAACGAGAACTGGAAACACTTTCCGCTCAACCACCGAGTACTTTACCGACAATCGTCTTCGATAACTTACACAACATGCTATCTCGCCTGGGCGCCCTGGAACGCACTAGCGAGGTCTCAGACGGCAGTGTATCCGCCACAACAACAACCACTGCTTTTGGTCACATCGTGATGGCCGTGTTAGGCCCAACATCCGCCCAGCGTACCCGCGCTACCATTACACGGACATTTACCGAATTCCTATCCGTGTTAGAAGAATCCATCAACAGCGAACTTACCCACTCAACCGCCCTCTTCGCGCTCTTCGAGTCTATCGACCGCCAATTCCTCAATCTGCAACGTACCGTCGTACGCGAATCAGACGCCCAAGAGCGCGCCGAGGGCGAAATGCTCAGCTCGCTATGGACCCGCGTCCTTGGTCCCGATGCAGTCGCAGTCCGCAAATACGAGAAGAATAAACGCCTCCTCGCGAACGTCCGCAGCCGTACAGTTGCCAACAAACACCTCCTTGTTGACCACCGCGGTCGTCTGCTGACATTGAAGGTCAACTTGGAGACTTTGCGTCGGAAGCTGGTAAGCCCTCTTGTCCGCCGCAATGACTCCGTCAGCTTCATGGGCGTAGACGGCAGTTCTACTGGCGCGGCAAGTTCCGGCTCGGCAGGGCGCATGCTTGGACCCGTTGAGTCTGTAATCGACGGCCAGATCCGGGGCCTGGAGGGTACATATGATTACCTCCGATCGGTCCGTGAACGACAGAAAGCAAAGCTTATGGAGATGGTATATGGATCCGGCCGGAAGCCATCCCGGTCCATGTTTGGCGAGCTTGATGGGCAAGATGACATTGGCATCGAGGGAGCATAGTCAGCCACTCGACTGGTACGGCCAGGCCTGACCTTCACGCAACTCCCTTCTATACCTAACTCATCTTCTCTAAAGAAGAATCTCTTCATCTCTCTACTCCTCTTTCCTACAAAAGGTAAGATGGGGTTGTTCTCAGCATGGATTCGGTGTCATTGTTGAACTTGTCATGTACTTCGGCGTTTGTATGGCTTCCGCCGAGTCGCTTTATGGAGTCGCCTAATGGCCAGGCCGGCAGGGCCACAGCGACGATGTATACGAATACGGTAACGGCGTTTCCTAGTCTTGAAATCCGCTGATCTGTCTCTTTCGGTGCAATATTTACGGCGAATCCGGAGGACGGAAGGCGGCAAGACAAAAGGATAGATTTGGAAGGTGGCTCATTGATTTCTATTGTTTTTTGATTTCTTTCTCTTTTCTCGTCTTTTGATAGGACTGCTGGCATCAGGAATGCATTAAATACGTATGTTCCAAAGTTCACCTGGGCATGGAGTTATAACTAGCTGTAGCTATGGTCATCCAGATTCAAACCTGGCCAAAAGAATCTGGAATTTCATTACAACTCCACTCCCTTCTACTCCACAATTCATCCAGCGATTCCAGATCGCATTCCGTAATTAAACCAACGGCTAAAATCTCATTTGCATATGCCCAAGCTGCATTTCGAAGGGATAGAAAGGAGGCAAATTCTGGTCACAACTGCACTGATTGAACCTAGTCACACAGTATAGTCGATTTGTCTTCCAAAATTGTGACACCTGAAGCGAAGAATGTAACGTTCAATGATTAATTGTACTACTGTACTTGCTCTCCACCTCCATAAGTTTTATGTTTTGCAGGGTGATCAGGGGTAAATGGCGTAATAAGCTTCTCGGCGAAATGGGATTTCCTGCAGGCCATCTTACGCGGCTCGAGCTATGGACTGGTTTGGAATTGGACTGTTGCTCTACATATAGATGATAGAAATACCTAGACAACATTGATATTGTCATTGTTATGACTTGGTCGCTCGGTCATATCCTCTTGTCTGGGTAGTTATATCCTGAACTCAGTGCTCCTTGATTTATCACTCCGATTTCCATCTTCCCTTGCATATGGACTGGATAAATATTGACCTTGTCATGAAAAAGAATGTTTATCCGTGTTTGCGGCTTTAAAACTACTCAATGCAGCAAACCGGACAGTCAATTTCATTGCGCATTCAAGACCCGACTCGATGTCTATGCACGCCATCTGCCGCAACCCCTTGCATCCCAGTCCTCGACGATCCCGCCATGCTTTTCGCAACCCTCGAAGGAATAAGCTTACGCGGCCTTGAGCAGCATCTAGTATACCTTGATCAGGGGGTAAAAAAAATGGATATCCCAAAGTCAATTCAAGGCTAGTGGCGATCATCGCGTGATGCTGATGGATTCTATAGCTAGGAGTGGCAGATCACATTTGTCCTGGTCATTTATGCAGTGGCTTTGGTGTACAGGAATGACAACATCATGCGAATCTGCAGGTCCTCGTCAGCTAGTTTGTGATGGCTTCCTGGCTTGCAGATTTGGGGATTCGATCTAGGAAGCTGACGACGACCGAGACATTTGGATATGTTCTGTGGTCTAGTTGAGGGAGCTGGGGGATAGGATAGGTGCATGGAGAAGGTATAAAAGGTGCTTCATCCCCTTTGAGAAGAAGATATCCAGCAACAGTATCGGTATCCTATCCTCAGGGCTCGTTCATATTCAAGCTTGCTTCAGTCATTGTCGGAAATTGTTTTCAATATGAAGTTCTCTGTTATCCTCTCGGCCTTGATGGTTACTGGCTTTGTTGGTGCTGCTCCAGTCGCCCAGCCTGGTAAGAATATTGCCATTTGGAAGATTGAAGCATTGAGTATTTTGACTAACATTTAGCTAGTATCCAACGGCATCGAAAAGCCTGGCCCTGCTCAGCCTCAACAACAGCAAGCGGAGCATCCTCATGGAGGTCACCCAAAGCGTGAGGTCTCACAGCCACATCCAGGCCCTCACGATGGGCACCCTCGTCCTCAAGGCCCCCAGGATCACTCTAAGCGTGAAATGACCACTGCTACGGATGGTCCCAAGCGCAAGGATCCCGCTCCCCAAAATGGCGGCCACCCTCAAGACCATAGCGGACACCCCAAGCGCGAAGTCGAGGACCGGGTTGCTCACCCGCCACCCCAGGACCCGCACAAGGAGCACCCAAAGCGTGAGGAGTCTACGGCCGAAGAGCCCAAGCACGACAGCCCGCCTCCTCATGGTGGTCAGCCCAGACCTCAAGGTGGAAACCCCCAAGGTGGACACCGCAAGCGCGAGGACTTTACCTCTGAGCAGCCCAAGCACCACAACAAGCCTTCTCACGGCGATAAGCCTAAGAGTGGTCAGTCTCCCCACGGAAAAGTTCAAAATGGGCACCCCAAGCGCGAGGAAACGACCACTGAGCAGCCTAAGCACGACAACAAGCCTTCTCACGGCGATAAGCCTAATGGTGGTCAGTCTCCTCACGGAAAAGTTCAAAGTGGGCACCCCAAGCGCGAGGAATCTGCTACTGAGGAGCCTCCTCATGGTGACCAGCCAGGCGGTCAGCCTCACGGTGGTCAACCTCAAGAGGTTCAGCCAGGCGGTCAGTCCCGTGATGGCCAGCCTCAAGGTGGAAGGCCTCAAGGTGGACATCCCATGTAAGGAGTCCACAGAGACAGGCTTCGTACCCTCGTCACGACGGGAAGGCCATGAAGGGTCCCTGTTGCAAGGCCAAGGTTTGAGTTCTTGAAAGGACCGATGCTTTGCTTGCTCCGTGGAAACTAGGAGTAGAAGAGTCAATGATCGTGAACGACCTAGAAGGATGGTAATGCGTGGAGACCCCTGGAGCAATGAACATGAATTCCATTAGACAATATTATGTACGTTCCTATTCTTCCACGGTCAGCTAGACCTAGTCCATAACAGTGTAGAATAAGAAAAGACAAGGCGTTAAATTGGGGACGGTGAGGAATGCATTATAAAGTAATTCTGTGAAGGGTCAGGTGCCAAATTGCCTAATTGGGAAGGATATGTGGACCACAGCCCTATATCGAAATGTGGGGATGGAAAAGTATCAATGAACAGTTGGAAAAAGATGAATTAACAAATCATATAGAGTATAGTGCACATAGAAACAGAATTTTGAAATAAGCCAAACACATCTCTGCGAAGGAAAGGCTCAGGCAAGATAGCCACCGAGCTATATAGACAGAGGAAAGATCAGATCGATTGTTCCAATTTGATCGGGTGATCTGTAGCTCCCTTCTTTAATTCATCTGGTCTAGGCTTCCGAGCCCAGATTCGTCGCCTATATACCATTAGCCATTACATATCTCCACTTCGACGAACAGTGAACTCACCCAAATTGATAGCCATGAAATTTTGGATTCTTCAATTCCGCCCGTGTCTTGGCCAAAAAAACCTGCACCTCACTAGGTGTCCATGGGATTGGTGCCCCGAAATTCGTAAGCAAATACATGCAGTATCCCTCCAGGCCTTTAGACCAATGCTGGTGATGAAGAAGACCGAGCTCCTTGAGCACAGGATCTCTAGCCCACGGACCAAGAGGAACCTTGTAAACCACTTCCTTGATGTCAACAAAGCCGGCTTTTTCCAGATCAGCTCGCATATGTTTCTCGACTTGAAAGGGGCGACCAGCTCGTTCGGAAATGGGGTACCACATATCTCCCCATTGATTGAGGATGCTGTCTTTGGGCAGGGAGTTATCGTCGCTATACACACTGATATCGAACTCGAATTGTTCGATCCAGCCGTCGGGTTCGAGGTTTCTAGAAAAGATTTTATGAGCCGGGTATCTACCTGGGACGGGACGGAAACGTACTCGAAGCATCGGTCATATAGTGTAGACCATCCTTCTCTGTCAAAAGATCCGAGCAAGTGACGTATGTAGATAAGATCGAACTTCGTCGTCCATGTCCACGGTTGGAGGACGTCGTCGACCTCGAAGACTAGATTTGGGGGGATCCACGTCTCAGGGGGTGGGTATAAGTCCACTCCACGAACATTTGCTAAGAGGGATCAATATTAGGGTGGGCGGATCAAAAAGATTGACTACCTACCATCGGGGTACATGTCGGCCACGTCGCTAGATGAAGGTTAAGGTGGTTCTCAGGATAGAGGTGTTGACTTTACATTGCCCAACTTCCTTTTCCAGTTCCGATATCAAGAATGTGCTAGACATATGTTTAGCATGGTTTTCTTCCTTTTTTTATTTGAAAGGGTAAGGTAGTTCTCACCTTAGGTGATTTGATAGGAGCTCGATGGAGCGGGTTGTCCTCGGTGTAATCCAGTAAAAGGAAGATAATGTGACTGCCATCATCAATAAAAGACCTGGTCAAATTTGTAATGTATGAAAATACCCAGTTTCATATGCCTCAAATTGCAGTTCATCGGATGGCGACCAGTAGTCCTCTGACTTCAAAGATTGGTATCTTTCTGTGTTATTTTTATCTCGAGAAGTAAAAGGGATGACGATTAAATTACCTTCGACCATTTACCACGCGACCCCTGGCGACTTCAGATGCGAGGGATGTGGTATCACTGAGTTGATCAGCGAAAGAAAGTATGAGTTGAAGAGGCCCACTCACGATTGCCAATCATCGTCCCTATACTCCCTCTCCATCGTATAGAAATCGGGATCCTATCAGGATTGCGAGTCAGTTGAGCCCCCTGAATGTTAATAATACTTCCATCTCTTACAATAGCAATTGCATCTGAAGACATAGTTGCGGTATCCCTGTAGAGGTGAAAGGTGAAGGTTGAAAGACGAAAGGATGGGGATTATGAGGGGCTAAAAGAGTACGGGCCTTGTTTCCTTCCCGATCCGAGCTCTTGCACATGGTGGAGCTCGGCTGACCGGCTCCAGCGTATAACCAACCTTCCAAGGTTTGAGGAAGTCTTTTCCTTAACGTTCTTCCCCGATATTTGCAAAGTTTATTCTATATTCATTCTTATTCCATCATTTTTGGTTTTCCGTGGCATTCCAAAAATCCCGTCATGACTCGCTTGGCACAAAAGTCTGACCCGCCAGTTTGGGCACTACTGTACCTGTCAAATGAAATATGCAAGCCGTGCATGCCGTGAAGAAACTTCCCACAATGGAGATGCCCCGCACGACTCTACATAGACTACAATTTACCAGCTTGGTCGCGACTTCAACATTTGAACATGGTTCGGTGAAGAACACCGTCACTGATTGGTTGCAGTAAATAATTGACGATCATCCTGCGCACCGTCAACTCATGCGTCAATTATCATGCACACGGGAACTTATGAACACAAGTCCTTCTGACATAGGTACCAAGCTTATCCTTTTCGGGCCATTCGGCAGCCAACGCATAGATAAGTCTCCAAGTGCCGTGCTAGCAAAAATTGTATCATAACTCGTAAAACATTACAACAAAACAGTCCTAGTCCCGGGCCAGAGTAAGTACAAAGCACCAAAGACATGCCAGATGTCCCGTGGATTCTTCAGACACAAACCCGCCCAGATTTTCCAACTTGAAAGAATTAGCCTTCATCGCGAAGGAAGACTAGAGTCCCTACCTAACAAATCCTAAAGGACATTCTGCTCTTCAACTCTGGTATAGCTTCGGCGTCTGAAGAACCGGCCCCCACTTCGCGAGTTCGATCGTCCGACCGAATAGCGCGCCTTTCGTCGCTCGTTTTGTTCTCCGCTGATCAAACCATCCATCTCATCGTAACCGAGATACTCTTCGTATCTGAGAGCTACTAGGACTTGGTTGTCATCGGGCTTGCCTCTGTTGAACTGCATAGTTAATTAGTCATCTGTTCAGTGTGGCTAGAAGTATATGATATGTACTCCGTACCATTCGTAAAGCTGCTGCTACGAACATATCTGCTAATGTGTCGGAGGTGAGAGTATCAAGTGGAATGGATCTGCTGAGGATACTCACAGAGGGCGAGAATCATTTTATGTATTTCTTGTGTTCTAAAAGTCAGCATTCATGGCGGTTAGTGAAACCCTTCCTGTTTGGGAAGGGGTAGCGGTTAAGTGCTTGATTCGAGGGCAGCCCTTTTCAAGTTAACTAAGATGAATTGGGTAACTATGTTCTTTTCCGTTTCAGTCTAATATTAACTCTGAAAGAGCCACTTCCTGAGTCGGTTAGTCGGTTAGTCGGCAAGGTCGGGATTGGGGGCTGAAAATATGCACTAACGCCCATGACGGATTGTAGATCTGCGCTCAGACATTAAACGGCGGACTATAAGTCGAGTGTTGATAATAACGTCAATTCGGTTCTTGCTTCACGCCTTGAGGTTCATTAGATACCGTGCAGTTCCGCCTTGATTATGGAATATTCTCGTTCTGTATCTTCAATCTACCCAGCGTTCTACTCGTGTCTAACTACTAGGTCCAAAGACGCATTGTCAGACTTTGACCATAACCTTGGAAGCAGCAATAGTGGATCTCCCCCCGCGATAGTTTTAGCCACATCTCACGGGGGAACCTAGTTCATGTCCCATCTTTCATGTCTGAACTTAATCGAAAAGCACTACTGCACTGTTTTGCACAATCGATGGACCGAGAGCGGCCGCCAACTCAGAGACAATCCCTCTCAAAGATTGTGGGTTATCCATGGGCATGTCTTCCCAGCCAACAAGGTCCTAGTTGAAGTCAGAAATCGTTGCTCTAATGAAGTCTGGCCTGTAGACATGGCACAAAACTTACACTCATCTGCACGAAAGTTCCGTGGTAGAGTAGATACCAATTTTCTAGTTTCAATGCCTTGGTTTCGTCTAAAGTGAGGACACCAGGCATTTTCAGAGAGAAAAGAGAAAGGTCCTCTTCGTTGACACCAGACTCGATTGATACTGGCTTTGAGTCTTCGGTACCAGCGGAAGACCGGTCTCGCGAGAGAGAAACATAAGGACGCTTGTCCAGTTTCTCGGTCAGTTCACCGTCTAATGGATCCCATGTGTACGATTCTGGATCTGTTCGAGGAATTAGAGGGCTGCGAATTGGCTCCAGATCAATTCATTTTTGCTTACCAAGAATATACTGGGGACGATAGTTTCCCTTGTACCGCATCTTTTGGCAGCTGTGAATATAATATCCTGTTACGGTCAGAGATGGAATCAACACATAGGAACAAGGACCAACCCATGTAATAGTAGGAGTACTGGTGCTCAATCGAGAAAGCAATTTCCCGTAGAGCGCTCAGCTTGCCAAACTCCCACTGCTCGTATTCGGGATCATAGCTGCTACAGGTTAGTGGGTTCCAGGTCGTAGCTTGGATTCTACTCACAAGACATAGACCGAGCTTACACCGCTCGGGACAAGGTCCAGCACCGCAACGGCGATTAACTTCCCATCCAAACGATAGCACTGATGCCACGAACCGAGTTTTTTCTCCGATTCATTGCTTTTGGTGATGGTAGCAGGAGATCGTTTGATCCCCGCACACAGGAAGTTCTTAAAATCCTTCGTTTTCCAGCGAGAGACGTCCTCGCGATGAACTGTTGTCTGGTACTTGACAAACAGATCGAATTTGGCCTGGGAAACCGAATCGCCCTCGATGTTGACCTCGAAGCGATGCGCTGGCTCTAGCGGCCGTTTCGTGGCAGGGTCAATGGGCCGCTTCAGATTGCCGTATTCGGCTTCATGAACAGCCGAGAGTAGATCGAAGTTACACTTTCGATGTTTCTTCTCCCTGCATGGATCGTCAGCTAGGATGATTTACCCGCACCAATCAGAGAAAAACACACTCCCGAGAACGAGGGCAAAGATTAGCCACTTTTCGTATATACTCTGGTCCCAGAATAAATCTATTCCAACGGTTGATGGCCCGGCGCTGATCACGACGGGGGCGAAAAGCCGAGGCTTCCAATCTCAGCGTGTAGTGCGGGCAGCAGGATCGCTGGAGATTCTGTTTGTAGTAAAGGGTGCCCGATCTAGGAGATGAGTCATGAAATTGAATAAGAGGGGACGATGAGTATGACGATGGATATGACAATAACATACCGCCTCCATCCCCGATCAATCAGTTCCCCATAGTGCTCGGGCCGCACGGCCACTGAACTGGTGTAGTATGATGCGCCTAGAGCATGACGTGTCAGGCCGTGGGTAAATGGGAAATTCAAATAAATTAAACAGAAGACTTACTGCCATCGCTCGATTTGCAGTAGCCACATGAGTTACGTTGATAGCCTTTTCATTGCCTGATTAGTAAATTCTCTTGACGTGTGTGATGTGGGATGACAGGCCCCCCGCCAATGTTGACCTCGAGAGTGTCTGCATCAGGACCAGTGGAAGCGCCACGGGGTAAAAGTATCCCACCTCAGTGGTTCGCTGCAGGGGCAAAGTGGGACGTACCTAAGGGCCGAAAGAGCGATAGCTGTCGCGCGCGTTCGGCGTCAACAGGTTCCATTTGGTAGGGCTTTTGGGTTGGTTGGCGGTCCGGGCGGGAAAAGAGAATATCCAAGGATGCGAGGCAAACAAATAAATAGTGGACTTGTGGCAAATGATGCACAGTAGCTGGCTGCGTTAGTTGACTTAGGGTGGGGATGAAAGGGAGAAGAGGACAAGGGACGTGAGAGATGATGTTTTGGCGGGGTTTGGGTATTTACAGCTTATGATTTGCATGTCATAAGGCTCTAAAAAAAGGTGTTTGGGATGATAAGTCCAATTATCTCATTAACTTATACTAATTTCTTACTTACTACTAGTTACCAATATTTCAAGATGATCGTAACGTGCCTGGTTACCAGATCGGCGGGGAATGTATTGAATCGCTCCGAGTTGCCCACTCGGTACCGGAGTTTAGGATCTTGGTACCCGTATGAAGTCCAGGGCTTTGCCACAAGCTACAGGAATTATTTTTGGGTATTAACCTTGGTATGGAATTCATTTGAGTGTTCAAGAATCAAGAATCAAGAATATTTTGATATAAATGATATATAAGACTAGTCACATGACTTTGGAGAAAAAGAAAAGAAAAAGGGAAAAAACCCACTAAAACGATCAAACATTGATATACCGAGATGCAAGCAAACCGAATTAGATCATACCACTGCAATTGACTACAGAGTACGCTAAAAAAGTTGGTACCGTAAATTAGTCAGTTCCAGAACAGTTTCCGGATTGCGCCGCCGGTTCCCTCTGCCCCTCCAATTGATTTGTTCTTCCACTAACAATTCCCCTTACAAGACCCTTTTCTAACGACCATGCCTCTTTCTACTCCTTCATCTTGGTTCCCGTCCCCTACGGGAATGAATGGGAAGACTTAATTACTCTACTTTATCTCCCCCGCATTTTCTTTCAAGGGAAAAAAAATTTCCTCCCCCGACCGCCCTCACCCGTTGTACGGACCTGGCAAAGCTTCTCTGAAAACGCTTCCACTTCCCCCCCCCCCGAAGACCCAGGCTCCTCGGGAGCTTGAAGCTTTTCCAAAATTATAGTCGACCCTGGACCGAATTCCTTTATTCCTTCCAATCATTGTGATCTCCTGGTCTATTTCGCTCTTTTTCTTTGCTATCCCTTTCGGTGTTACCAAGAAACCAAAAATCACCCCCATCATCCTTGGTTGACCGGATCGGGTAATTTTCGCGCATCACAATGGCTCAGAACCGTTCTATGGAAGCCCGCACAGGGCGAAAGAACCAACGTAAGTCTTTTTCCTACCAACTGCGCATGGGGCAGATCTCGCCCCATGCACCGTTTTACCTCTCTGGGTAAAACTCTCTGGGTAATCAATGCTGACCCATTGCGTCACAGGTTATGGTTCCAAAGGCGAACGTCTCGTCGCCGGTGTCGTCCCCCTCTCAAATGACAAGTCCAGAGTTCTCATGATTCAGTCACAAGGACCCGGAGGTTGGGTACTCCCCAAGGGTGGTTGGGAAACCGATGAGTCAACGGCATCACAGGCCGCGTGCCGTGAGGCCTGGGAGGAAGCTGGTGTCATCTGTACGGTGCAGCGGGATCTGGGATTGATCCCCGATATGCGACCCAACACTCTCCTGACGACCAATGCCCCCAAGGCTTCATACCAATTTTTCGAAGTCACGGTTGACAAAGAAGAGGCTGATTGGCCTGAAAGGCACAAGCGTCAACGAAAATGGGTCACCTATGCTCAGGCAGCAACTGCACTGGCCAATCGACCCGAGCTGCTGGAAGCCCTCAACCGCAGCTCTTTGCAGCGGTAATCACGGCCGCTCGTACATATTGTTCAAATACACACCCATACATGGACACTCGGGTGGGCCGTGATTGCTCCATACCGATGATGACTCGACACGACCCAGAAAAAAAAAGAGAGAGACCGGCGGCTTGTCGTTTGACTTTTGATTTTCTTTCTTTTCCTATTTTCACTTGCATCGCATATGCTGTGTGGCCAGGCTGCTCTCACCTGTCCACTTTCCCCGGAGTATCCGTCCTCGGTTTTTTTTTTTGCTTGTTGTCACCTCATAGACGATCTGCTGTTGTCCGCAGCGCGAGGCTCTGCAGTTCAAGGGCCTCACTGTTCTTCCCTTTTAGTGGTCAGGTTCATGGGATCTGATAATTCTTTGTTTCGGAAAAAGAATGGTCTCATTTGTCCCAAATGAACCGAATTTAGTATACTACAGTCCAACGATAACTAGCATCTGAATGTGAATCTGAACCAAGAAATTTATTCTCAATCATTGTGTAGATCTATCATGTCTATCTCTCATTTCTGGAAAAGTGATTTTGGCAGATCCAGGACCGTTCCCGATTAGGTAAAGCGCCGAATGCTCCTCCGAGAAGCAAATCCGCGATCTTCACCAAATGAACACATCCAAACTCACAACCTTCCACATCTCTCCCATCCTTTCTCGGCAAAGTCTCAAACCTACACACGCCTTTCTTTTAGACAAACTCCAGATAGACGCCTAGCTTCGGAACCAAGTGGCGGCGACCGACGCTGCCCCATTACAATGGAATATGACATGGTCGACATGGAGGAGCCCGCGGGCCCTCAAGTCACCGTTCGTGAGGTATGTTTTAACCAATTCACCGGACAGCCCAAGCCTCAAACTAAACCTGCGCTTTCTAGGCGGAACCTTACCGTGTCGACTTCCGACTAAGCTCAGTCGACCTCGCGTTCGCCAACTCCCTCCGCCGCACAATCCTCGCCGAAGTGCCCACCGTCGCACTCGATCTCATCGAGATCGAAGCAAACACCTCCGTCCTCCCAGATGAGATGCTCGCTCACCGTCTAGGCATGATTCCTCTCGTCGCAAAGAACTGCGACCAAGACCTGGAATACACCCGTGACTGCGACTGCGAGGACCACTGTGTGCGGTGTAGCATAACGCTCTCGCTGCATGCGCGCTGCGGAAGCGGTATCATGGCAGTCTACGCGCGTGATCTACAGGTCGTAGGCGAGCGTGTAAATGACACGATTGGAGATCCCGTTATCACTGATCCTGAGGGAAAGGGTCCGTTGATTGTTAAGTTGCGGAAGGGTCAGGAGATCAAGATGACTTGTTTGGCTAAGAAGGGAACGGCAAAGGAGCATGCTAAGTGGGCGCCTACTTCTGCTGTGGGCTTTGAGTATGATCCGCACAACAACTTGCGACATGTGGATTACTGGTACGAGCAGGATCCTATTAAGGAGTGGTACGTATCTTGGAAGTATTTGAGACATGGAGCTTTTTTTGGCTGACTATACATCTTCAGGCCTATCTCTGAGAATGCTGCTTGGGAGCCTGCTGCCAACCCTGACCAGCCCTTTGACTACGATGCCGAGCCAAACACTTTCTACATGGATGTGGAGAGCATCGGCAACCTCGACCCAGATATGATCATTCAACAAGGTATTATCTGCCTGCAGCGCAAGCTGGCTACCACCGTCTCCGTTCTTCAGGGTGAAAGCGAGGATGGCCACATCGGAGGCCACGATGACACTGATATGATGGGTGGCGGTGATGGAGATGGGTACGAGCCCCCGGAGGGTATTGATGGGAACATGACTTCATATGGAAACGGTGCTTCTAGTGTCTGGGGTGCTAGTGCACAGACTCCTTACGGTGCCACACCGTACGGACAGAGCGCGTATGGATTCTAGTGGAGAGTTGTGGGATGCAGGGCTACAAACAGAGGCTCGTTAGCATGCATGTTGGAGTTTTAACTTTCTCTTTTCGATCTTCTAGCTCATCCTTTCTTCGGCGGTTTGGCGGCGTACTGGAGTTTTGCGATACTATACCGATGCTGATGATCATGGTTTTGAGACCGCCTTGTTCATACATATATGAAAAAAAGTTTCTTGTATACGCTCCAAATTATTGTAAATATTTACAAGAGCTCAAATCCTACGCATAGCGGGAGGCAGCGAAGCAGCACGCGTTGATGAAACTGAGCCAAAATGCCTAGATTTCCATCCAAGGGCACATGAGCTCAAGATGTAGACATTATAATCCACATGCACATGTGCACATTGCGCATAGCTCAACGCTACTAGTATGTATTAGTAAAGACTAATCCCAAATCGGAAATCACAAACATATCTCAAAGTCTCCCCTTTGCACCTAGGGTAAAGCATCAATTATATTTTACAATCATCAAGGCTTATTTCCGAACACTCTTCCGGCATCGACATGTACCGAGCGTAGATGTAAGATACCAATCACGAATGATAGCCTTTAACGATATTTCCACATACACAAGCTTCTAATTCAGATTCACACTCTATACCCATTTCACAACGCGATTTAAAACAGTCCATCAATTTGATTTGATTTTTGTGGCGTTCGTTGTGATGCTGCTTGTAGCTTTTTTTGGCTGCTGCAGCGGTGATGCTTCTGGGATGCTTCGTGCTCTGGGTTTCGTTATGTGGGAGGTTGGGCTAAGAGGCGGGCCCTGGCGAGGTTGGGGTATCTCCAGGGCGTGCAGGAAAGATGAGAAATCTCATGAAGTTGACCTTGGAGAGGAGCACAATTTGATTATATGTGTACTACCGCCCGTCCGGTTACACTATATTGCATATTGTGACATTTACGGATTTGAAAAAGAAAATCTTGTGTATTCATAAAAGTTACACAGAAAGGTATCAAATCATTGAGCAAGTTCACCACGCATGAATCAAACCGGTACAATAATAGTTGAGGTCTAGCAGAAACGTAAACGCAAAAAGTATAGCAAAGTAGTATAGTCCAGTAATATTCCGAAGCTCAAATCGTTATAACAGGCGTCTTTGCGCTCAAGACAGCATTATAGTATTCATGAATGCATCTAGGATGACGAGTTATCGGCGCAAGACCAAGCAGCCGATCCACCGTTCTTCTTGTAGTCGTCAATAATGTCAATAACCGATCCGTATGTGCCCGCAATCATCAGAAAGGTTCCAGCCAAAATAACAAATACACACCAGCAGACCATCGCGGTCCACTTCCAGTTGCGATTAGGTCGGCTCCAGTTGTCGTAGAGCCACATGCCGGCCATGGGTTGGAAGCACATGGGGGTTCCGAGTAGAGCGCCGACGAGGGATACCAGATCGCTGAAGACGGGAATAGCGCTGGCGATGATGTAGGCGACGACTGAGGTGCCGAAGGTGCACGCGATCCAGACGGACCAGTGAATCATGGTGTTTGCGACTAGATGGCGGGAGCCTTGGAGGATGCGGATGAAGATGTATTTACCAGTGATCTAGGAAGTATTAGTATATGGGCCTTGCCTTGGATAGTAAGGACAATCCTACATGGACGAACAGCAGGGTGCTGGCGATTAATCCAGGAAGGGCGAATCCGTAGCTGACTTTCTTCACGATCGGTCCAGCGGAGCCCAGGGCAGGCGATGAGACGTATGATCCACAGTAGTAGTAAATTACAACACCGACGACAATGTAGAAGCAAGTGACGACAGACTGGCACAATATAAGGGCTCGGTTGTAGTCACGGGGATCGCGCATCTCAGATGCAATAGAGAAGAATGCTGGTGTTCCAGCGTATGCGAAAACCATCGTAGTCACAGCCGAGATGGCAGTGGAGAATGATCCATTACCAACAATCTTGTAGTCAGACTCCCATACTCCATTCTTAGGTGCCGAGGTTGGGCGATCTTGAAGACCAACAGCGACTGTAACAATCATAACTATAGATTATTAGAAGAACTCTAAAGGAGTATTGACGGAAACTCACTTGATGTAAGGATACAAGTCAAACCAACCCACGCAATCCACGAGATACGTCCCAGCGTCTGGATACTACCTAGAACGAAAGCTACAACAAAGGCAACAGCGACATACACAGCGGTACAAGTGGCGTGATTGGACACGGCATTCAAGCCGATGGAGATGCCCAGCATTCCAGAGCCCGCAGTGAACATCCACCCTATAGAAGGTCAGAAATGTTGTACCACCATTAATTCAAATCACATCAAACTTACAGAGAATGAAAGCTCCACCGAGAATAATTCGTCCCGGCTTGCCGAACAACAACTCACCCACATCGTCGATTCCGTAGATTTCTCGATGGCGAATCTTGAAATCACCAATAATGTAATCAGACCACGTTGTTATTCCGGCAATAACACATAGGACGATGACACCAGGTACGATGCCGAGAGCGTCAAAAGCAACAGGGATTGAAAGAACGCCAAGACCAATCTGGGTCTTCATCATGAGAACAGAAGTTCCGAGCCACCCAACCTAATTAGTTTGTTAGCGAGTGCGCCGATCAGCATGGAAGCAAAGCGTACATTGCGATAATTTGGACCGTCTTCTGTAATATCTCCAAAAACTGCATCATGGGCGAGAGCTTCGGTAACATCACCGTCATTGGATGGGGCTGGCGATATAGCGCCCTTGTCTTGTTTTTTCTCGAGTATTGACATTGTGATTATGTGGATATACGGAGTATGGAGTACAGTTGTAATAGAGTGAAGAAATATGGGGTTACATTAACTAGGAGGGAAGTCACTATTTAAATGTTTCTTCAATGTCTTAATACGGCATAGTACAAATTACCATACCAAGATACCCAGCCACGGAGCCACAGGAAGCTCTGGCGCAAGGGTTGATCACATCTAGATCTGTGAAACACTGTCGCCACAGAAAAAATAAATCTACATTGTAGTCCTGATCCGATTAATTGGTTCACTAGTCATTTTAATCGCTTCAATGAGTTCTCCATGTAACATCATGGTTATACAACCCCAGATTTCAATGATCGCTTTCCCCCGCAAATGGACGGCTTGGTACGAAAATCCCCACTTTTTAGGGTGCGGAGTAGTGATAATTACGTCGTTCCTTATGAAATCTCGCAAAGGACTTTCCTCCTTTCGGGCTTCTCGTCAATCAAACCATGGATTTGTCCATATATGTGTGGCCTAAAGGGGACAACTGCCTCTACTTGTCCTGAAAGAACACCCCCAAGAAAATATGGCGTTATGGACAGACAGAGATAGCAGAAGTATCCTATTGAGCCGTGACCTAATCCAATCTCAGCCCCATTGAAGGTTAGGTGCGCACTCCTGGTGCATTTCAACAGGCCACTCAAAGTTTACAGGCGTGCAGCCCTTTTCCGGGAAAGGTCCCGGTTTGGCGTTGATGAACCGGGTGTCATACCCGGATTGGGGCAACAGCCAATTATAGGACGTCGGATCGACAAGCCCCTGAACGGGGGCGTTATGGGCTTTTTTAGCCTGCAACTCATCTGCCAAGCCTTTTGAGAGTCACCTTCCAAAATGGATATCGCGCATTCTTATTTGGAAGACTATAACTTAAACCATTTACTCCACTAATTTACCCAAAGGCCTCGTCAGCATGGCATCCACTGTCGAAAAGACAGGAGAGTTTCCGAAGATGAGATTGTCGATAGCATATTTAGAGAGAATTGATAGCATGTTTATAGCATATTTAAAGATTATTCATATCATGTTGATGATAATTAAATGTTCAATGTCCAAATTTGAGGTTCCAACTTTCGATTACGCAGGGCTGACGGAAGCATCCATTCCCAGTACTCCAGAATATTACAATTTTCAATAAGATCATACGAATCCACTTTCAGTCTCCAGCCACGTCTCAAAGTCCTTCAACCCAGGATGCATCTTCTTCAAAGTGGAGATATCGGCTCCATAGCCCGTGTCATAAAACCACTGAAACATTAACCCGAGATCCTTCATCATCCACAACAAACCAGAAGAGAAAAGGCCAAACGTCAAAGGAACATCCCGACCCGTCTTCGCCTTGAATATTTTAGCCATATCATCAAACGTGATATCATCCCCCGCCAAAGAAAGTGATTTATTGGCCCAATCCTCCGGCTTGAGGAAAGCTTGAGCCGCGAAATATCCAATATCTCCCACAGATATCAACTGCAAGCGCTTCTCCTTGACCACCATCTTCCATGACGTGGTAAAGATTTTACCGAAGAAATCGGGCGTGAAGTTCTCGAGGAACGCGACGGGGCGCAGGATCGTCCACGCCATCCCCGTACCCTTGGTTTGTTCCACTAGGTGATGCTCGATATGATGCTTTGAGATGAAATGAGGAATCGGGGTAGGAGTATCGTATGAAGCGTCACCACCACGGTCCACGGATGTATAGACGAATAATTTCACATCGTGCTTGAGCGATGCGTCGACCAGCGCTTTGCCTTGCCGTTCTTCGGCTTCCGTCTCCGAGGAGCCCCGGTCCGGAATCTATGTTTATTCCATGTTAGCCGATGCACTTTTTTGCAGAATTTGGAAATGGCGTGACTCTACCTGCACACTAAAAACACCCCAGATGGGCTGCGATGTTACTTTCTGGGCATTCGCAAAGATCTCTTCCGGTTCATTGAGGTTGCCTTCGACAATTTTGATCTTTGGTGACTTATTCTTCAGCTTCTGAGCCCCCTTAGAGTTGGCATCGCGAGTGACGGCTAGGATTTCCACGTCCGCATTTTGTTGTAGGAGTGCAGTGATGACGCTGCCTCCTTGTTTACCGGTGGCACCGGTGATTAGAAGTGTTTTCGACATTATCTAAGTTGAATCAGAGGACTGTTGGAAATGGTGATAATTTGGAGATAGATTGTTATGCTTTATATATTCGATATGTGAAGGATATCTAGGTACTCCGTATTTTGATCGAAGTTGTAACGTTGGTAATCGGCGTCGTAATTAATAATGCTCGGGGTGTTCTCAGTTCCGAGTGGATCCGATCGGCGTCCCTGTATTGGCTGGGATTGGCTGGAATTCTTTTAACCAGGAACTAACACGGACGAAACTGGATTGAGCCATGAATGTCACTGGTCGGGAGAAGTGAGATTGTCATTATCTATCCCTACCCCGGACTCTTTGGACATACGTTCGAAACCACATGGTAGATGGGATGACTTCGATGTTTGTCAGCAAATGTCTCTATTCTTCTACGTGAAATCGATGCTATACTAATATAACCCAGTTTAAAACGTAAAAATTCTCGGTCAACTCGACATCAAGTCTTAATTGTCTCCTCATTGGCCCGGACCAACTGAGAAGTAGGTAGCCATAGATTGTTGGGGCAGCAAGAGGCAGCTGCTGCCTTCAACCTCTTACCAGATCGACCAATTGGAGGGAAGCACTGAAGCGCTAAACCGAGTGTAGTAAGACCCAGGGTCTAAGCCAAACCTATTCAGGTTTAGAAAGTAGTCAGATGTAGTTGATTGGAGTAAACAAATGAGAAAAGAGACACCCACTTTAATGAGGCTCTTGGCTTCCCTTGACTTTAATTGGAATAATGCAGTCTCACTTTTCTTCATCTTCCTTTCATATTTGTCTCATTCAATACCATCAACAATGTATTCACATATTGAGGTCCCCGGGAGCTCCGTGACAGCAGTCCACTGCAAAGCCCAATCAGACCTACCAATTGGTTCGCATCAACCGTGGAATCAAACATCGAAGTTAAACTAATAAATCCTCTAGTCGACCGCCTCCTCGAGCCCCAAACAGTCGCTTCTTTCCTCGGTTTCGCCTTTGGCAACCCCCTCCTAAACGGAACCCAACCCGACCCATCCATAACCCGCCTAACCTCCGACGAATTCCCCCTCATCCAACAAAACTTCCCCCCAGGCTCAACTGACCTTTCCATCCTCGACCGCGTCACATCCCGCATCGGCTCCGAACACGATAGCACCCGACTCTGCCTCGTCGGCAAGAATATCCATTCTCTGAAATCCCGCTTATGGGAGGGTATAATTCCACTATGCGATCAACGCTGGAAAGAAAAAGGCCTAGACGACCTGGATAAATTCGACTATGCTTGTCACCATCTTTCCGCTGTCGTCGCTGTCTTCGAGTACCTGAATGCACCTGTTGTGCGAAAATATCTTCGTGAAACCTTTAACCATATCTACGACCACTGGGCTAGTGCGGATGTGCTGCTGAATGCGCGCAGAGCACAGAATGGTCTGCCTGAGATTTCTCTCGCGAGGTTATGGACCATGTACATGTCTGTTCACTTTGAGGTTATGGAGCACCGCGCGCATGGCTGGGTGAGTGGACGGGTTGAGATGCTGCGTGCGACGCAGTTGCAGGGATTAAGAGATCATCAACTGCCTGCTGGAGTTGTGGCTCCGGATCGGTTGCAGTGGACGTTTATGGATAATTTGCATGTGCTGTTGGAGATTGCCATTAAGGCGGATTATATGGTTATGATTCCTATGGAGGGGTATAAGGGCTATGCGGAGCTTTATCCTGAGCATCGGTGGGATGCGAGTGAGGGAGATTTACATGTTGCAGATTGCGAGAGACGGGGGAAGGCTTATGCGGAAAAATTCAAGGCGCGGAGTCATCAGATTATGTTTGAAAATATGATGCCATGGAATGATGATGGTCGTGGGGAGAGGTCGGCTGGGGAGGGGTATCGGCAGTCGGCTGTTGCGCAGGTTGAGGCTCAGGATGAGGTGAGGAAGGAGATGAGGGGAATAATGGGGCATTTGCCGAGGGAGCCTTGGATTACTTCTTGTCTTCCGGGTGAGATGAAGAAAACGTCCGAGTTTGGCCTGACGATCTATCGGTTGACGTATGGGCAGTCGGAGGCTGAATGGACGGACTTTGTTCAAAAGCTCGAGGCGCATATTTCCGACTGGGGAGATGGACAAACGGGCTCTGATCTTCTCAAGCCGCACTTGCATCTTTGCTGGGTGGATGGAAAGGAACATGATATTGCAGAAGGCGATATCGAAGCGGCTAAAGGGTTAGTCTTGTTTCAAGCCTGCGGTTATGAGAACACATCTAACGATTCGAATAGACACTTCAATAAGACAAACGAAGAGATCAGTGCAAATCAAAATATGAAGATGCAAGACAACGTCTTTCTCGCCGTGGACTCAGATTCATTCGCCTCATACACCACAAAATCCTACCGCGCCGCAACGTGCCTAGTCATGGCTGGCGACTTTAGCGGTTTCGTTCTCGCAGTTGACCCAAAATTCGACGCAAAGGAGGGCATCGAACGACCCGACGAATCGCCCGGTTACACTGGTCAGATGCGAATTCTCGGAAGTCTCGTCTGGGGTGATCTCTATGCTCATTTCAAATCCCAATGTGCTTTACTTGAAGATCTCTGGCCCCTGGCAATTGACCACCCGAACCAGGTCTACGTTGGAGCAATCACACCGTTGCAGGTCTACGCGTGGAGAAAGCAGAACGCGGCGCGTTGGATTATCCTGCGAGAAGTGGTGGAGTATGCAAAGCGCAAGATGGGAGGAACACCAACATCTGAATCCGATGCACCGGCGTCTACATCGACGGCGGTACCACAGGCGACGCCAACACAAGCAACTGGATGCTCCGGACCTGATCAGACCCCAGAGCTGGATCCTGTGAGTGAAGGGATACGTCAATATATGCTTCAAAACTTCCAGCACTTTTTACGCCAACGTGGTGCAGATCGTGAGGCGGCCGTGGTTGATACAATGTTGCCCCCGCCTGGCAGAAGGACGGACGCTTCTCAGCTGGGACAGCTTTTGATTACCGATATGCAGAGACTAAGGCGACAGCAGGGTGGAGTAGATGGGAATGCTGAGGACGAAGATGATGACATACCGCTACAGTGTCCTCCACAGTAGACGATCAATAGCATCTTATTCCAATGTTTTTCATAACGAGTTCAATTTCTTATGGAGTACAATTTATAATGTATAACTTGAAAATAAAGCAGTTGTATTATATAGATTTCTGTCAATCAAAAGCAGATCGAATCCCGGATCCATGCAATGCAGAGTCCATACCCCAACGCCGTACAATAAGTGACCAGCATAATCTATGCACTAAAAATTACCGCTCAAATACAGAACCAAATATCCACACATCACTCCATCAGCTCAACAGGCGGCCGGGAAGTCTTAGGCGGCATCTTTTGCAACGACAAAACATCCTCCATATCAATATCCTCATCTACCGCCAGACTCACATCCTCAACCATAACAGCCGGCAAATTAGGACTATGTCCATGATCCTCAGGATTATAGATAATAGTGCTGCTGCGACTGCGCTGCTGCGACCCGGCAAGCGGCCAACTAGGCGTCCTCTGATCCGAAGAGACAGAAACCGGCGTCGCGGGATCAACACTCATAGCCTCCTGCTCCGGTTGATCTGTTTTCAGCATGGCGAGCGCATAGGCAAGGTCCTGAGCATGGACTTCTTTGTTTGGCGGGTCTTCGTTGCGCATCATCCAGCCGTGCGGGGGGCTGGGGGGCGGGGAGATGAAGAACAGTTTATCGCTTTGAGGGGCGGAGAGGAGTCTTGTTCGTTGCATCTCTTCTTCGCTTAGGATGGGGGTTGGTTCGCCGAAGTAGATTCGGGGAGTGGTGTGGCGGAGAAGGTTGTTGCCTTCTAATAGTTTGCGAATGGTGATTGCGTCTTTGTCCGTGTAGAATGAGCAGACGATGCGGCGGAAAGAGGGGAGTGGGGAGAATGAGTGGAGTGTGACCACGGAGGTGATTCTGTTGCGAATTTCATCGAGGGAGGAGGGTTGGAAGAGGATGAGGTCGTTGAGGTCGGTGATTAGAAGTGTGTTTGAGGGTGGCGATGGTTGGGAGAGTGGGGGGATGTTGTTTAGGTCGATAGATAGAGATGGTCGAGAGCGGGAATGAGTCGCTTCGATGGTTGGCTCTACAGAGCATGTTGGAATTGATACTGCAGCCATTTTGTGTGTATGGAGAGTATGTCAAGTGTGAAGAGTAGATGAAGGTGGGAGGAAAAGCGGTGGGCGGATAAGGTTGATAAAGGGGTCGATCCAAGGTTTGCCACAAGTCAAAGGTTCTAGATTTAGATGAAAGAAAGAGAAAGTATGAGAACTTCTTTATGGGTTTTTATGTTTATGTTTTCATTCGAAGGCGCAGTCAGGTTTCTTCCGTGTTTGCGTTTTTTCTACTCTGCACAGCCCGATCCGCACGAAACCGACTCGCCGTTCCTGGAACGATCCACTGAACTGGCTGAGCCCCCTTTCACTCTAAACTCATTTAGGAAATTTATTCGCCATTTACATGCGCCACACCTTAGGCGCCACATTTAGTTTGCCTTCAAATCTCCGCTCTGCAGGAAGGTACAACATAACCGCGTAATTATCTGGGGCAATCCCCTCCGCCTCACCACCACGATTATTATTTTGCCTGGATACGCGTGGGGCTTGGGTTCTCCGGGCAGTGCCGCTGCGGAGTCTATGCCACGGGAGTGGGACAAGTCGGCTATGCCCAATGCAAGGCTGCACTGTTTATCTTTGCGCTTCTTTTGCCAATTACAGGTCGCTTTTCAACCGTACATCTCAACAACTGCGCCACGTGATGTGTGAAGCTTTCATTGATATAAGGTCATCATAAAGGGCAACCATGTCAAGCAACTATCCAGCCCCTCAATAAGGCGTGAGATGCTGCAATATGTCCTTCCCCAGATATCTCGATATAGCTTGCCGATAAGCCCGAGGCCGTCTGGATATTGGTTGTACGATACGCCTCCGCAATGACCATCCCGTCCGGCGGTTTTTTGTCCGCAGCTAGTAAAGGTCTGGCCGCTACCTTATCCACATAGAAGCCGAGGGAAACCGTAGTCATGGGGGCAATGTACCAGGTTAAAGTCTAACATAAAAGGGTGTACATTGATTCCTAAACAATGTCGATCTAATCAATAAACAATCCTCCCGAAGCAATGATATGTGTTCCATTAATCCACCGCGCCCGCTCCTCACACAGGAACGCAACAGCATACGCAATTTCATCCGGCTGCCCCATCCGAGGGCCCACAGGCGTCTGATCAATAATCGGCTGGAGAATCTTCATCTGCTCCTCACCAGCCGCAGCAAAGCCTTCCGTCATGGTGGGACCAGGGCTGACCGCATTAACAGTACATCCATATTTTGGAGGAAGCTCCTTGGCCCTGTAATACGTTAGAACTCAGAATCTCCAAGAGAAAGTAAACCGGTCCAGGCACACTAACCAACACTTTGTAAATGAATCCACCATCCCCTTCGTCCCCGCATAGATCGTCTGATTAGGCGGTGGCCCACGAGCCGAGATACTCGCAATATTCACAATGCGGCCACTGCCCTTGGTAAGATGGGGCAGGACAGCCTTGGTCAAGAGGAAAGTGCCACGTCCGTTGATATTGACTAGGAGATCCCAGTCGTCGAGGGTTTGTTCTTCAAGAGGCTTATTCACGGCCAATGCGACGCAGTTAACCAGAATATCGATGCGATTCCATTTGGCTAGTGCCGCATCTACCAGTTTCTGAGGTGAAGGGATTTGGGACATGTCGGCTTCCACGGCGATGGAGGGTGATGGGAGAGAGGAGACTACTGCATCGGCTTCTGTCTTTAGGCCGGCGAAGGGGTAGTTGACCACTGTACTTGCTCCGCGGGAGGATAGTTCACGGACAATGGCTGCGCCGATGCCTGAGCTTGAGCCTGTGACTATGGCCACTTTTCCAGATAGAGTCTGGCTTGACATTTTGTGTATTTGTTTGAGCTTAGATAGTTTGTCTTCAAATGTTGTAGACCAGGATGTCTGACTTTGGCCGGGATGCGAAATTCGATGGTTGTGTTCCAGAGTGAGAAGCTTGGTCGGCTTAAATGCTTAAAGTGTCGAGTCTCAATGCAATATGTTACTTAGAAATATTGCCCGCGGGGGATCTTTCTTAATAACTGCTTAACGTGTCAACCTTAGATGCGGACATCCGTCCGTGGACATTCAACCCCACATCCCGATTGTCCTGGATGAGTCCTTCCCCACATCACACGTCCATGATTACGTGTACTAAAAGACCGACGACGCGAACATTGAAACATTGAATGAATAAAATGACAGAGATCTAGATGGAGGCCAATTATAAATCCGGCATGCTAAACGGACAACCCATATTGCCTTGGCATCTCAGCGTAATTCGTCCTTTGAATATTGTCTTTCTTACCACAGTAGATTACTACACAACTATGTATCTACCTAGCTATGTATTGGATTCCTGTATATGTAGTGACTGGGCACTTCTTCCCTTGGAAAGAATATATTCTATTTTGCGGACTTCTTAGTTCTTACGAACCACTTGGGCAGGCCCCACTATTGGCCAAATCTCAGATGGACCCGTGTCTGAGGCTCGGCGCTAAGCCTCAAGACCCTGAGAATTTTCTCATATCAACCACCAAGAGGAAATCTCGAGGAAGAGGGGATATGTATATCTTCACAATTCTCCTCCTGTCAATATCATGCAGACCGCTGCACGCATCGACTACCGAGTTACCACCTGATGAATGCCCCTATTTTCAGCCGATTGGCATTAATTTCGGGCTCGATTCCATGTTGGTCTCCTAAAGCAGTCTGTTAGAAAATGACTAACATGTTCAAATTTGATACAGAACCGTAGCCTATGCATATTCCCTAAATAATGTTAGCATGATAACAGGAGTACCGCTGGCGTACCGGAACGAACCTTTTGAAGAGTATAAAAACTCCACAGAAATGCTGCGATATGCATACTGGATACAAAACCAGCGCAGAATGGAACATAAATCCTGGGATCTTCCAATAGTATCGCCAGTGATCGATGCTATGTCGACAATGAAAAAATTTGTGGCTGGGAAAGTGAGCTTACCGTTTGAAACATCCGATTTCATTTGGGCTGAAGAGCTTTTTTGGAGATGGGAAATGATTCGAGAATCATTTTGCAACTTTATGTCCTCCGTTTTGATGCATTTTCAGTCTCAATCTGAGACGGAACCCGAAATTCCTTCTGATGAGTATATCAAGATAGGATTTGTGAAAGCATTTGAACACTTGAAGATCGCATCAAGGAAGCAAAATATTGAGATTGAAAGTGCACTCATGCTTGTGCCTGACTTTTTTAATAGCCACGTTCGGACGCTCGTGCAATATGCAGCCATCGAAGCGGGTGTTGTCTCTTTGGGGATCGAGAGTCCACAAGAGATGATCAAGGTTTATGATGAAATGTTTGATGATGAAATCACTGAAATCCCCGAACCCATTTCACCATCGAAGCCGAGCATTATGATAGTCGACTATGGATTGCGGTATCTTCATCTTCACACTCGGGGCAAAAGGTGCCAAACGAAATATGCAGTGGATACACTGAGCTGCTCTGGTATTTGGCGGTTCCTTTACTCCAGGTTTCTTACTCTTGACGGCCCGTTGAAAAGGCAGATTGAAAAGGGAGCGTCAAGAAATGATCTATATGTAGCTCTTTGTCGAGCCAGATTGTTTATGAAACAACCAATGGAGGAAGGGCAGGATCATTACGAAGAGTGGCCACTTGATCTTCAAGACTGGTGGATTGGTGAGCAAGAGGGAGCAGTTCTCCGCTGGGAAGATGTGGAAGCTGCTGAATCAGATTATATTGATGCATTGGCGAACTACTTGGATCAGGCTCTAGACTGCCTTCAAGGTGGGAGCTCAATTCCATCTTATTATCTAATCAAACAATGCTGATGACAGAATAGGACAAGAAGACAGAAACGCTTTACGCTCTAACCCCATTGATCGAGTTTATATGCTAGGAAACTTCTGTGATCGTCCAGTTGTGAAGAAGGCGATTCAGAAAATCGTCGGTGAGCATGTCAAGATCATTGGGGGCAGTTCGGAATTAGATAATGGGCTAGCCGCTAGAGGTGGTGCTCGTTATGCTTTCGTGATGACAGAGCCGATGTATGAAGTTTGTAGAAAAGAGAAGCTTGACTATGATGAGCTTTAATCCATGTCCGTCTTAACCAAATCAGGAACTCGGCCCAGCAATTTAATTTTCCCGCGGTCAGGTGATGATGGATCCAATTTTGCCCAACGATAACATCCGAACTTCTTGTCTTTAACCTTTCAACAACTCAATTCCATTTCTATTCACATAATGTTCCAACGGACTCTCCTCAGACAAGCTCAGGCCGCCCGCTCGGTCCTGTCCGCTTCTTCCTCCACATCCGCGCCATTGGCTCTCCGCCGGACATCACCGTTCCAAACACGTCTGCCCGCCGCTGTGCGGCCATTCGCTCCTCAACCCTTCTCCCGTTCCTACTCCACCGAAAACAAGGAGGCCGAAGCTACCGCTACCGAAGATGTAGAGGCCGAGGATCCCGTCAAGAAGCAGCTTGAGGCTAAGGAGAAGGAGATTGTTGAATTGAAGGTAACTACTTCTTACTAGCTTGACTTTTATCCTATAAGCTTGATCCAGTTACTCATACGTCACTTCCTCTAGGATAAATACTTGCGCTCCGTCGCCGAATTCCGTAACCTTCAGGAACGTACCAAGCGCGATATGGATGGTGCCCGCAATTTCGCAATCCAGCGCTTCGCCAAGGATCTCTTGGATAGCATTGACAACTTGGACCGCGCCATGCTGGCTGTGCCCGCGGACCAGCTCAGTGCTGCTCAGACTGCAGAGAACAAGGCTTTGCATGATCTTGTCGCCGGTCTCAAGATGACCGAGAACATCCTCATGAACACCCTCCAGAAGCACGGTCTTGAGCGCTTCGACCCCGCCGAGCAGGTTGAGGGCAAGGCCCAGAAGTTCGACCCTAACCTGCACGAGGCTACTTTCATGGCTCCTTCCAAGGACCATGAGGACGGTGACGTTATGTACACTCAGAGCAAGGGCTTCCGCCTGAACGGACGGGTTCTTCGGGTAGGTTTTTCTCGTGTAAAATGGAGCTGTAGCACATTTACTAACACTCTTCTTTATAGGCCGCCAAGGTTGGTGTTGTCAAGAACGCCTAAGTTCTCTCTTCGCCATAATCTCTCCTCTTTATTTCTTCCTCTCTGTACCATATATCATACGTCATGATCACGATAGGGATTGGCATTTGGATTCTGCTTGCTATTGGGTCCGGAAAACTTTTCTTCCTTAATATCTGCGACTTTCGTGGATCTGTATGACACACCCTTGTTGCATGTGACTGGAGGCGTCTGGATTGTCTCGTGTTGGGGTGGTTTATCCCCTGTTTTCAATCTCTGTCTCTGAAAACTCTCTCCTCATATTTTGTATATTACACTACATCCATGGATACCTAGAGGTATATCTACCTCGCAACGATCTCATTGGAGCTTTCTGGATACTCGTAAGGATGCCGCGTCAGAGCAGTCAAGGTTTGATTGATGACAGTGACTGATCTAAAATACATTCGGTGCACAGCACGGAAAGCGGAGTGAGTTCCATCTATTTTAGGATTGGCGCAACTCCGATTAACGGTTGGGAATCAAGTGAGAAGAGTATATGAAAGGTATAGTACAGTTAAACGGTGCCTGAATTATCTCAACTCAACACCCAAATCACCAACAAGCTTAGCCCGAACCTTGTCGTTCATCTCATTGGCCTCCTCGTTTGTCAAAGTCCGCTCCAAACTGCGGTAATTAATGCGGTAGCACATGCTCTTCCGTCCAGTCTTGGGGTGTGTAAACTCGTCAATACAAGAAACATCTTCAACAAGATCACCTCCGATACCACGAACAATTTCCATAACATCATTCTCATGGAAAGGTACTCCCCCACCAGCAGCACTGCTTCCACCAGTCACAGCGGCAGGAGGCAACCAAAAAGCAACATCCTTGTAGCAAGCAGGGTGCTTAGAGAAGGGCTCAAAGCGAGTAATTGTTCCAGCGCGGAACTGCGAGAGGAAGCGCTCATCCCGAGACCAAAAGAGACGAATATCAGGAATATTAAAGAGGAGCATGGCGATACGCTCAATGCCCAATCCAAACGCCCAGCCAACTCTATTAGGCACATCCGAGTTGATCAGCAGATCCTGCTTGATAACACCACACCCAAGAATCTCAAGCCACTCGCCCTGCCAGAAAACCTCCATCTCCCAGGACGGGCTAGTAAAGGGGAAGTATGCTTCAACCCAGCGCACCTTCAGAGGCTCCGGAGCGGCACCACCCAAGCTAGCAGCAGCAGCCTTACTTCCCTCCGTAAAGACCTTGATAACCATACGCTCCAAAGACCGCTTCAGATGTGCCGCAATAGCCTCAACCTCCTCTTCACTGTGATGCTCCGCCTGCAGCGGATTCCGCTGCGCGTGTAGTGTAGGATTCGGGTCCTCAACAACAACATCATGACGCGGAATCAAGTCCACATCAGCCATGATCTTCGCGGCAGTCTCCGCAGAATGACCAAGTGGATCAGTATCCGGTCGTTTCCAAAGCATTGCGCCCTCCATCTGATGGAAAATCGGGTAGTGACTACGATCAATCGCATCTCGGCGGTAAACGTCCGCAATTACAGTATACCCCACCTCCTCGGGTCGCGTTTTCTCATTCCGAGCAAGCTGCTGGAAATACGCCTGCTGGTGGGCGCTTGTATGTGTGCGCAAAACGGTCTTGTCGTTAATGTAGTACGTATCCGTACGGCTGCGGCCCGGGTGATCCGGCGGGAAACCCAGAACATCGAAGTTTTGTCTCGTAGTGACGACGGGGTTTTTTTCGAAGTGATTGCCGAATACCGGGGCAGGGAATTGACTTTCGATGAGCTTGCGGGTGATTGCTAAAGGGTGGTTTTCGTCGAGATAGAGGCGTCGGCCAACATGGGAGAGGATTTGGTCGGGGGTATTGGTCCATTCATCGGCGGGGTATGTTGTGCCTTCGATTAATTGGGATTTTCTTGTTGCCTGGGTCTGACTGGATGTTTGTGCACTAGCTTTGTTGGAATCCCGGAGAGCTGTCGTGGAGCTCCAGTCTCTCTTGATAGCTGGAATGGTTTCATGGAATGGGGAGATGCGCGGAATTGGGAGTCTGGGACGGGTAGCTGCAATGGACCAGCGGCCGCTGCTGGCACGCAGGGCGCGTCCTGTCGCAAATAATCGCATTGCTGGGACTTGGTTGATACTGCGTTCTGTTGGACCGTTGGAATCTCAAAAACATACCGGGCCGGGGAAATGAGTCGCCGAAGTATCACCATCGCCGCTGTGGACCTTGTCCTTTAGAATTTGCACTTGTACGCGATTACATGATGTGGTGAATATGTCAAGTAGCTAATGGACTATAATTAAATCTTAAATGGCATCCATTATAGTGAGTAGAGCATGCAAAAGCTTAAACGTGCATATTGTTCGACATACTGGGTGGGGACGGCCAAGGAGGATTTTAGCAATATGCGATATACGAGTGCTATGAGAATCCAGTACATAGCCTAGAATCTATTCATTCATTAAGTATAACATGCTCTCTACTTCCCTTGATAATATTGGCTACTTGCATTCGATGTTGATATTCATATAGTGCCATGCATACACTACGAAGTGCGCGTGCCCAACTAGGTACTAGCATGCATTGCCGAGCGCTTAGGTTAATTTAAAACTATCTTTTATATTGACTGGTAGAACCCTGATTGAAAGATCTTCTTTCTTCCAACTACCGTTTCATTCAACCTTGGAAGGTTATCGTCTATCTAGTACATCCGGCTTCACAAAGTTCAACCGATAGACCACTTGATCTGCAAACAGTAACTACCCACGAGGTCCACAAGTAATACTCAAGTACACCGCAGGCCAGAATAGTGGGCTAGCCAAGCTCATTACCCAATCTCAACCTAATTCTCCACCGATAATCGCATGGAGGGGTGAAACTTTGAACCCCTCGTCCCTCGGTAACCCGATCCTTGCGCCCGCCAGACATCCGTAATTCCGCCGAATATACCCGTAGGTACATCACCCGTAGGTAACATGACATCGGTATTCATCTTCCTATGAGCTTGATTGTATACAATCATGAAATGTCAGTTAATGCGGAACTACTTTATGCCTCCGATGGCTAGTGACAATGGTATGTCCCTTACAGGCATTCACCGGAGTAGCAGGAAAACCGATATTCTGATTGGTGTAGAACGCCAGGATCCTCACAGGCACAAGGTATGATTGGTCAAGATACGCCGCGGATAGCCATGGATTCGGCGACCTGATTTGTGTCCGGTATTTTGCGATCCAAAATTACGTCAAAAAAGGTCACGGTCGAATTGGCGATTTTCTTGCAAATTTAGATGAGCTTCTGTACATCACTTTCCCCTTATAATTACTTCTCTTCAACGTCCCTCCACGGGAGCCTTGTTTGAGAAATAGGAAGATATGGCAGACAGCAAATTAATACAGGCTCCTCAATCGCGAGTGGCGCCTGTGTCGACCTCCAAGTCGCAAAAAGTGCATTACCCTTTCTGGTTTGGAGGTTCGGCTTCATGTTTTGCGGCGGCTGTTACGCACCCCTTAGATCTGGGTAGGTGTCATTGCAATCTTGAGATGATTCCTTTGTTAACTCTTCTACAGTCAAGGTATTTTCAGGTTCCCCAAAGTTCAGGCCCAGACCCTGAATCGCCACCTCCGGACTCCATCGCTGATAATGGAATCTCGTCGCATTCTAGGTCCGGTTACAAACACGGGCGCCCGATGCGCCAAAGTCTATGCTGGGAACATTTGGACACATCGTGAAAAATAATGGTGTCACAGGGTTATACAGCGGTGTATGTACAGCTCCGTGACAATGCCCTGACTCGGTGATCCTATAAGGGTCACCCCGTGTTGAGATTACACAGGAAGCTAACCAGACGTCAATTGATTCCTTCGGATTATAGCTTTCCGCCGCCCTTCTACGACAGATAACATATTCCACCACCCGTTTCGGTATATACGAAGAACTAAAGAACCGCCTCACAAAACCCGACCCTACCTCCTCTACACCACCCGCCCCTCCAGGCATCATGACTCTACTTGGAATTTCCACCGTATCAGGCTTCATCGGTGGGTTCGCTGGTAACCCCGCCGACGTGATGAACGTGCGCATGCAACACGATGCCTCCTTGCCAATCGAGAAGCGCCGCAACTACCGCAATGCCTTCCACGGACTGGTACAAATGACCAAGACAGAAGGTTTCGGCTCTCTATTCCGCGGCGTGTGGCCGAACTCCACCCGCGCAGTGCTCATGACCGCCTCGCAACTGGCCTCGTACGATACCTTCAAGAAAATGTGCATTGAGAAGGCCGGCATGAAAGACAACCTGGGCACTCACTTCACAGCCTCGTTTATGGCTGGATTTGTCGCGACAACTGTCTGCAGTCCCGTGGATGTTATCAAGACTCGTATTATGACTGCATCGCCGGCCGAGAGCCGCGGCCACAGCATTCCGGTTTTGTTGCGTGATATCTGTCGCAAAGAAGGCCTTGCCTGGACTTTCCGTGGTTGGGTGCCTAGCTTTATTCGCCTGGGTCCTCATACCATTGCTACATTCATTTTCCTGGAGGAGCACAAAAAGCTCTACAGAAAATTGAAGGACATTTAAGCTGGCATCTATATTGGGATCTATAGAGGTTTGCACTTTTCTTTACTTCCTCTTTTCTTTCCTGGGGGCTTTTTACTACCTGATCTACACTCATCGTGCCCCGTATATACAACCTTGTTTCGTTTTTCCCCTCTATGACCATACTGGGCAGAGCAACCGTGCCCATACGAGCAAATTTGGCTTGTACATATCCTGCATTCTGAGGGGAACGTGTCTTACTACTGCGCCATGGTTGTATCAAGCTGTGGCCTATTGATTGGGGGCTGCATTTCCCGTGTACAGGGTGTTTGGATGTTGTTTTTCTTTGGAAATTTGAATTAACATAGACATAGATTAACCTGAATGAGATCTAGACAATTTTCCGCGAGTAACAATTTACGTACCACCAAGTTTCAAAGTAGTAAAAGCTCTCAGGAAGATGGGTTACTAAGCTCCCAAGCGCTAGACAAAAATCAGGGACTTGATCAGTCTAGCGAGGCAAAAGCGGAACTACGTTGGCACATCAACTAATCAAACAAATTTCTCTTTGCGAAACGGCGAGTTTATAAACACCCCTTCTCGGATAGCCAGAAGGTTTACATCAGGAAGAAAGGAAATGTATCCCCGCATGACCAGGTAGAGTACATTGATAGTTGTCGATACACCAAAAATTGAGCCCAAGTAACCAACACAAGTAGTTGTTGATTATTTACCGGTCAAGGTGGGCGGGGAAGTTGCCAGCCTCTGTTCATGGTTTCAGGTCGTTAGTGTGTGCAATGCAAAGATTTCCAGGGGTTGATAACGTACCACGCTGACCATCCCAGCGGTCGGTCCAAGCCTTGGGGCACAGAGCACGGAAGGCGTGGTAGAACTGGAAGTAAATTAGAAGCTCTTCACCTAGAAAATACGTAGAGGGTGAAATTACCTGCTTGCAGGGACGGAAGTCCTCGCCCTTGGCGTTGACACACTTGTAGTAGTCGACATAGTTCTGCCAGCAGTGCTTGGTCCTGGAGGCGAAAATTAGGTACAATCTCACGACAGTTATATGTATAGATAGATGACGTACTGGTTCATCTGGGGGAAACGAGCATCGTAACCTGTAGTCGCATCGAAAAATGTTAATCTTATGATGCCCCGGCCGATCGGAAACACCCATCGCGAAGTGTCCCGGGAATGCGTTCCAACGACAGAAAATCGATAATATACGTACCAGCTGCGATAATATTAGCCATTGACTCAAAATTTCGAAGATTGACTCTCCCACTACCGCGGGAGAGGGGGTTCGAACTTACCAGTCACGAACTTGAAGGGCTTGGTCTCTTGCGGCTCCTCGGGATCGAACTCAGGAATGGCACCCATTTTGACGATGTGTAGCTTCAAGCAAAGAACACGGAATAATCAACGGTGAATTGGGAGAGGGGAGAGGAGGGCGAGGATGGGAGAGGGCAGAGGACGAGTGGACGTTGGGTGATCGAAGCTGTGAAGTGCCGGGTATGACCGCGGGCGGTCAAGCGAGAGCCACTGAGAGTCTCGCTTTTCCCAAAACACCCGAGCCACTCAGAACGACGCTCTTGGAAAGCTCGACTCCAACCTCATCTTCTCCCACTTCTCACCCTATACTCCACCACTGTCCACCGACACCATGTACCCCTCTCAGGTTATGCGCATGCAGCCCTCTCGGGCTCTCTTCAACCCGGCGCCCGTAAGTTCACTGCCCCTACCTCGGGATCATACGATCGGGTTTCGGCTACTAACTCCTGTCTGCAGAAGGAGGGACAGAGCGGTATGCACCACCACTCCCTGGAGTCATCGGGCAACGAGCCGCATCAACACGCGGGGAGCTCATGACTGGAACAATTGTATTAATTAGATTTCATCTAGCCCACACTATCTCCCAACGTCTCCGCATGATCAAGAAGTGTCCCCCGGAGCTGATCCCTCTCGGTACGTTTTTTTGCCAGTACATGTCAATCTACAATGAGAATCAATTCGCTAACAACTCATTTGTTATTCAGGTATCGTCCTTGGGTATGTTCTCTCTTATACGACCTTATCCGATCTATCCCGTGACGAATGCATTACGCAACACAACTTTTCATGTTTCCCTCGCTCTTCCTTCTGCAACCCACCTTGCCCCATTGTCTTATAATTTCCTGCTACCCAGACTAATCTAGTTCAAACAGTGTTGCCGTCGGCGCCGCCATTTACGCGAGCACCAAGAAGCTCATGACCGACAAGACTCTGCGTCTCTACCGCAACAGCCCCGAGAGCCGCGAGCACTAAATGTACCATCATGTTTTTAAGCTCTGTGAATGCGATCCCAATTTTCTTTTGAATTTTTGTCGCTGTATTGTTTGAAACAATCCGAAGCCCAAAAAATATAAAATGGAGAGAAAAGACGTGCTCGGATCCGGAGCATGTGTACATAGTCCGGCTTCGTGGTGAATTTGGTGTGTTTTCCGGCAATAGTACTGTCGTTTGTGGTTCATAATCGTCATGGCCATTATCAATATTGCGCGTTTCATTCGGGCTTTGGCCCAGCGACGTCAAGCTGTTCCAATCCTTGCATTGGGTCCTGGGGCCGATTGCCTGCTTCTCGGGCTTCCTCGGCTGCTTGTCGGTCTTCTTCACTGACGGCGTGTTTGGCCAGATAGCCCTCCTGTAAGAAAATTGTCAATTAGCATCAATGCGACACATGCAACTTAGGAATTCATCTGATATTGTAGATATCCACGTACCTGTTCCCAAATAGCAGTTTTGCTGCCTAGGCCCTCGTTGGCATCCTTCTGTGGCTTCGCTGCAGCGACCTTGATCGTCCGTCCATAAAGATCACTGCCATCCATGTTGTCGATTGCCTCTTTGGCATCTTGCGGGAGGTCGAACTCCACATATCCGAAGCCTCGGTGAACGTCGCCAGTGTTCGGTTGATCTGGCTTGGGAAGGGAGATGTCGAAAACCTCACCAAATGGCACGAATGCCTCTGCGAGGGTATGAGCTGTGACAGCCTGGTCAAGGCCGCCGACATAAACGGTGCTCTTCAGTCGGTTGCTTTCACTCATGATATCGAGATTTTCGAGTCCAGGTCCGGGTCGAGGAAACGTGTTGGATTAGTCGAATGTAAAGTTATGCAGCTAGACAATTTGCAGCTTATGGAGTTGATGTCAGAGTGCTTGGTCTAGACGCAAAGTTGTGGTTGACTTCTTGGGTCACAATGGAAGAGCAACTGATATCACGTGCGGCATCCTCGGGGGTGTTTTGGCGAGTGCCTGATTGGGACTAGTGCATGTTCCCCGGTCCCTCCAAAGAGTCCAGGAGGCCACTTGGTATTGTCTAGTAGAGCATCGCACCCCCGTTGTCCTAGTTTATGTACAGGGGTGGGATTTGGATTTGTTGATCTTTATTGGATGACCGTCTATGATCTTTTTCTTTTTCTAAAAATTAATTATCTCCCCCCCCACTACTCTCTATCCACCATCGTCATGGTCCGTCTAAGGGAAATCCCGAGGACGGCCACCTTTGCCTGGTCCCCTGGTGCTGCATCTCCATTGATTGCCACAGGAACTCGGGCGGGTGCTGTTGATGTCGATTTCTCTAACAAGACTTGCCTCGAGCTTTGGGATCTTGGGTTGGACCGCCAGGACGCTAGTGAGGAGCTACAGCCACTGGCTAAGATCGAGACTGATGCTGGGTATGACATCCTGGCAGCCTTTCAAAGCTTGGAGTTATCACTTTTGCTAATTGAATTGTTTATTTAGTTTCAACGATCTAGCTTGGTCTGATTACGATGACACCAAGCGTGGTGTTATTGCGGGTGGTCTTGAGAATGGTGCATTGGATCTGTGGAGCGCCGATAAGCTACTTGCAGGATCGAGGTAGGTAGCATTTGTCTAGGACTCCTCTAGATGGCTATGGCTGACAGATTATAGCGATTCTTTGATGTCACGAACTACCAAACACTCAGGTGCTATTAAGGCACTTCAATTCAACCCTAAGCACTCGAACCTCCTGGCCACCGGTGGCGCGAAGGGAGAGCTCTTCCTCTCTGATCTGAACAACGTCGATAACCCATTCCGATTGGGCAACAACGCAGCCCGCACAGATGATATTGAGTGTTTGGACTGGAACAAGAAGGTCGCTCACATTTTGGTTACTGGTAGCAGTGCCGGTTTCGTGACGGTGTGGGATGTCAAGACGAAGAAGGAGACCCTTACCCTTAACAACATGGGCCGAAAGGCTGTTAGCTCCGTTGCTTGGGACCCCGCGAAGCCTACCAAGCTAATCACTTCCACTCCCCTCGAGTCAGACCCGATGATCTATGTTTGGGATCTGCGTAACTCGCATGCCCCCGAGCGTACTTTGAAGGGCCACGAATCTGGTGTGCTTTCACTTTCTTGGTGTGCCCAAGACCCAGACCTCCTCCTATCCTCTGGTAAAGATAATCGCAACATCTGCTGGAACCCGCAAACCGGCGAGGCTTACGGCGAATTCCCCGTGGTCACCAATTGGACCTTCCAGACCCGCTGGAACCCCCATAACCCCAACTTCTTCGCTACTGCGTCTTTTGATGGCAAGATCTCGGTTCAGACCCTTCAGAATACCCGGACCGATACGTCGCAGGCCATCGATGACCACAACCAGGCTCTAGACGGCGAGGACTTCTTCGCTAAGGCCCAGTCCCAACCCCAAGTCTCCAAGTTCTCTCTTCCCAAGCCTCCTCGCTGGCTCGAGCGCCCCTGTGGCGCTTCCTTTGGCTTTGGTGGCCGCGTCGTGTCCATCGGCCTTTCAGAAAGTGGCTCGCGTGCTTCTAAGATTAAGATTACTCCTTTCGAGGTTGACGAGAGCGTCGGAAATGCCACGGAAACCTTCGAGGCTGCTCTGAGAGAGGGTGATCTTCGGAGCCTCTGCGAGACTCGCATCGCAGGTGCTTCAACTGAAGAGGAGAAGGCCGACTGGACAGTCATCGAAGCTTTGCTCTCTGAGAACCCTAGAAAGGGCCTGGTCGAGTACCTGGGCTTCCAAGATCAATCAGCTGACGAAGCCGCCGATAGCTTGTCAAAGCTTGGCTTGGGTGCGAAGGAAGATGGGACCAACGGTACCGCCGAAAAGCCCAAGGCTGAAGCCAAGAAACACAAGCGTCTTCAATCAATGTTTGATGCTACTCCCGATACCGATAACTTCCTTTCGGAACTCACTGCATCGAAGGGTGCCCAGACAAACAACCCATTCCAGATCTTCAGTGGCTCGGAGAGCGAGGCAGAGCAGAAGATCACTCGCTCTTTGCTATTGGGAGAATTCGAGAAGGCACTTGATGTTGCTCTTCAAGAGGACCGCATGTCGGATGCCTTCATGATTGCCATCTGTGGCGGTGAAAAGTGCATCGCAAAGGCTCAGGAGCACTACTTCTCTAAGCAGACTGGTGGACCTAACTACATGCGTCTCCTTGCTTCCATTGTGGGCAAAAACCTCTGGGATGTTGTATACAATGCCGACCTTTCCAACTGGAAGGAGGTTATGGCTGCACTGTGTACTTTTGCTGACCAGAAGGAATTCCCTGACCTTTGTGATGCTCTCGGAGACCGTCTTACGGAGCTGGTCCAGAGTAGTAATGACAAGAGTGCTCGCAAGGATGCCTCGTTCTGCTACCTTGCCGGTTCTAAACTCGAGAAAGTCGTCGCTATCTGGGTTGAGGAGTTGCGCGAGAACGAGCAGAAGGGCATTGAAGATGATGCTGACAACTCTACTTTCTCTATCCACGTCCGCGCTTTGCAGGGTCTGATCGAAAAGGTGACCATCTTCCGACAGGTCACCAACTTCCAAGATACGGAGCGGACGAAGGAATCTGGTTGGCGTCTTGGCAACTTGTACGAGAAGTACATTGAGTATGCGGATGTCGTTGCTACCCATGGCCGTCTCCAAATTGCTCAGAAGTACCTTGACCTTGTACCGGAGAAGCACCCCGAGGCCGAAGTCGCTCGAAACCGCATCAGACTTGCTACTAGACAGATTCCGCAGAAGGCAGCTGCTACCACAACAGCACGAGGAGGCTTCAAGCCCCTGCCGCAGCAGCCTAATGTCTACTCGCCGCAGCAGACTTTTACCCCTGCAGCCCCGGCAGCTCCTGCGCCCCAGAACCCTTACGCTCCCACCCAGTCGCCCGTCAACCCTTATGCTCCTCCAGCACCGGCAGCGACGTTTGGAACTCAGCAGCAGCAATCGCCGGTGAACCCCTATGCTCCCCCGGCCGCCGCACCTGCCAACCCATATGCTTCGCTCTCCGGTGGCAGTGGCTACCAGCCTGCTCAAAGTATGAAGCCAGTGTCGTACGCTCCGCAAGCTCAGTTCGGTGGACAGCCTGCGGCTACGGGTGTTCCTCCTCCTCCACGCGCTAGCAATCAGTCACCCGCCAACACCATCACGACCTACACAACTGCCACCGGCCTTCCTGCATGGAATGATCTGCCTGAAGGTTTCGCGAAGCCTTCGGTGTCGCGTCGTAGTACTCCCGCTGCGCCTGCTACCATTAGCTCCCCATTCCCCAACCAGTCCCCTCCTCTCGCTCAAGGGCCCCCGCCCGCGGCTGGCCAGCGCGCACCATCTGTACCCCCTCCACCCAAGGCCGGTACTCTCCCACCTCGCGTGTCATCGCCTCTGACGTCGAGTGTTGCTCCTGGTCCCTCTCCGCCACCGCCAGTCAACCCATACGCTACTCTTCCCACGTCCCCACCAGTAGGCCACATGGCTCCGCCTGCGTCAATTCCCAGGGGACCCTCGCCTTACAATGCCCCGCCAAGCATGCCGCCGCCCTCAAACCGGTACGCACCCAGCCCGGCTGCTCAGGCCGCAAGTCCCCAATTGCAGAACCGTGGCCCGCTGCCTCCCCAGGCTGGAGCCGCTACCGGGGCACCATATGCCCAAGCCCCGCCGCCTAACCCATATGCATCCGTTCCGCCGCCAAACCAATATGCATCTGCCCCGCCGCCGCCAGCTGCTGCTGTTCCCCCTCCGCCTCGAGCTGCGGTTCCTCCCCCACCCCAGGGTTCTCGTCCTGGTACAGCCCAGTCTCAGGCACCCACTCCTCCCCCTGCAGCTGCAGAACTCAAATATCGTGAGTCAACACCTCGCGGTGAATAGATTTATTTTACTAACAAATTCTAGCTGCGGGAGATCGTTCTCACATCCCTCAAAACGCCTTGCCAATTTACGAGATCCTCAACCCTAAAATGCAATATCTTGAGCCTCGCGCACCGGAGAAGTTTAAGAAGCAAACTCAGAGGTCTGCACAGTCGTTGAATGTGATTTTCGATCGTCTGAACAACGAGACCTTAAAGCCTGAAACTGTGCAGAAGCTTGTTGGCTTGGCACAAGCCGTCGAGGCGCGCAGATATGACGTTGCTACTAAGATCCACGGTGATCTCCTGATCAACAACGGCGATGAACTCAGCGGCCTACTGGTAAGCATTCGTTTAAAAGCCCAGCACGCATTCAACTAACAATATAAATCGCAGGTGGGTGTGAAATATCTGATCCAGATGTCCTCGGCTACCTGGCGACCTGAGGAGGCTCCCTCGCAGTCGCAGATTATTTAGGGCATGATAATATGTACTCCTGGCCAAATATTGGCGGGCCAGGACTTGATATAGAGCGTTTGGACTCCTTATGTTATTTTTTCTTTGTTCATTTTACTATTACTGCGTATCTTTCCTTCACTTCGTGCTCGGGATCTAGTCTGATAAACCACGCTTGTGAGATCAAAAGTGCCTTGTTTTTCTTAATGCCGTTGACGGGTTGATGACTCGGTAGGTTAGATGTATAGGTTTCATGGCTAGAATAGATTACTATCGGATAGGGCTAAGGAATCATATGAGACTCACGTATGCACTATGTATAGAAATTTTTCCCCTTGCATATATGTGTCGGAAATTATCATATCCATTCCACTGCCCAGATGTACATTTACGCTATGTGAAGCCATGATATGAACAAGTCGCTGTTCTAGAACAGGAAGAAAATAACTTAAAAGACTTAAAAAGAGGAGGAGCTTTACCTCGAACCAGCAAACCCTCCAAGTCGACCAGTCCGACTAGCAGGGAAGTTTCTCGCACTCAACAACGCACCCTTAACACCACGAATATCCGCCTTGAAGTTCGCAATTGCCTCATCCTCCGCCTTACGAACCCCAGAACTCCCATCTGCTCCAGTACTGTTGCTCCCAGTATAAAGCCCAAACGAGCTCCCAGCAGCTGTATAATTCGGAGTCGAATAAATCAACCCATCAAGATAATGACCCAGATCGGTCATCTTCGACCGCAAGCCATCATCCAACGTACTCGATTCCTTCTCAGTGTCATCAATCTCCTTCAACTGGGACTTAATAGATTCCAACCGGCTCATGTGATTCGACACCGCGATAGACGGCGCATCTGCAGTCTTCTCTTCCTTTGTAGCGGACTCAAGCGACGACGATCCCGAGACATCGGGCGTAGTCTGAGTCCCCATATCTCGATGGAATAACTCTGTCGGATCGGAGGTTACACTTTCAGATTCCTCGTCTTCCTCGCTGTCTCTTCGGGCTGTGAGGTGGGGTGGAATTACAGAAACGGTTTTCTCGAGTTTCTCGTTTAGCTTTTGTAAATTCTCTTGGGCTTTCTCTGATAACTCGTGGCGCGCACTGGTGAGGCTTTCGAGCATTGGTTTCACGAGGTATTCGCTTGTGCCGTAGATGCTGGCGCCGAGACCGGCAGCGGCGTATAAAGTGTACAGGACACTTTGCATTGTTACCAGAGGAGGGGGCTTGGTGGGCTCGAAGAGGAATTCGGGGTAGGTGATGATTGGAGGCTCGTCGCGCTTTGCGATTGGGGAGGTGGCGGATGGTGGATGCTGTTGAGACATTGTGGTAGGTGGCGATGAGGGAGATGAAGATTGCGCTGTGACAGAGGAAGGTGTGACTTCCGTTTCACTAGCAGAGGAGGTCTGAGGCGTTTCCTGTGCGTTGTCCTCGGTTGCGCTTGCGTTGTTGCTGGTCGCCTCCAGGTTTCGGGAGACGCCGAGGAGTTTTTGGATTTCGTCAGGATTGAGCCCCTTCGATTCGAGGAAGGCTACTTTTCGGTCTGTGGAGGATTCGCGGATCGATTCATCCTCTAGAAATCGGGCTGCTTGATTGACCAGGTCTTCTCTTGAGGTGGATGCGGGCGCATCGTCGGAGCTCGGCGATGGGGAGGGTACTTGTGATAGAGGTTGATCGCCGGACGAACTAGACTGTCGCTGCCAAGAGGGAATGGATGGCTTTTTTGAGTCCGACATTGTGTTCCAGGTGGTTATTACAACCTTTGCGGACAGGAGAATGGATGGAAAGGTTGGAGTTGGAGCAGGTTCCCCGGACTTACCATGTGAGCCCGACCTCGGCTGTTTCGCTCGGTTGCGGCCGATCTACCACGTCTAGACGGAATTTGTGGACAACATTGAATTGAATTGTAATTCAATTACGATCTTGCAACCATCCCTTATATCTAGCCAAAATATTGATTGATCTTCACATTCGGCTTTCCCAGATTTTGACTGCCTGAACCCACGCTGGCCCCGGGTTGGTCTACACTGGATGGTTAGCTATCCTGGCTAAAACCTTCAAGGAAGCAACGCAAGACCAGGTTAGTATATATCAGGTTGGCAATGTACTGGTTTCACCTTGGCACCTGGGTAGCTGTCATTTAGTAGACCTATGCCTGATCTGCATCGGCAGCACTTAGAGTCAGGGACCTTAAGTAGTAAAAGCGGATACTGACAACTTGATACCTCTATCAATTAGGGAGCAGTAATGATTGTAGTGGTCTATATTATCTTGAAGAACTGGAGAAAGTTCACATAGGCTGGTATATATATATTTCTCCAGTTGAAACATGCATATATCCCGATGTCCAGGGGGATCTGGGCATGGCGATGTGCTCCAGGCGTGTATTCACCGCTTTCCTTGGCCTTTGATATAGTGAAGGATAGTCACAGAGCTTGTTCCTAGACGATTGAGATTTGAATATCATCTAAGTAAAATGCAAAGAATTCGTCACTTATAGTGTAGAAGAACACCGAGATAAAGATCGCCATGGAGTATACAAGACCCACTATGGAGAATGAGCCTCACCGCCCACGAAACGGGAGAATCGCTATTAGATTGACTTCATTCATTCATCCGAAGTCAGCGACAAGAGAAAATTGGAAAAACAGATTTAAAAAGCATATGTCAGTGACTAATTCCCTTTCGAGTTTCTTGTCTTCCTTCCTCTGCAGTTTATATGGTATCGATCTCTCCTCCAATGGCCGAATTCCGGGGAACACGGCAGGGCAGGCGTGCACTCCAAATCCCCTGCAACCTGCGCTTTGTTCGCACTGGTTGCGAATGCCCCGTGGCGTCAGAGACACGCTCAATATGTACCTTCCCGGTTTGATTCAGCTTTCTGACTCCGACCCGGATGCGATTGGCGTCTGCCGCCGGCTTCATCTTCTTTATTCCCCTCCCCAGCGCATTAACCTGTACTGCCACACACCTTGCCCAAAAACCATGATCACCCCTCTTTCTCGGGGATTTAATTTGCTCTTCCCTTTTCAATTCTCTTTACGAGAGCTTTAATTCTCTTGCAAACCCTTATCATCTCCACATCACCGCCAACATGCCTCCAGTTCGCCGCTCCGGCCGATCACGACGAGCTCAGGATGACCTGTCAGATCATGATGCTAACGTCAGCACCAGATTTACGAGACAAACTCGCTCCACCGTTACCCGGGCCTCAGCTTCAATATCTCCATCCCGATCAAGTTCATCAGGGGACCCACGCAGATCTCTACGTCTTACATTAAAAATGCCCGCGGGGAAATTGCGGGAGGCTACCGGAGGCCGCTCGGCCGGCCGACGGTCCATCAATGTCTTCCAAGAGAACCCTATTGTGTCCGGGCCTCGAACTAGTCGCAACAAAAAGAAGCTTGTGGAGATTGCCACAACGGACGAGGAAATTGAAGACCTAGAGGAAGATGAGGTCGAAGATGAAGACGCTCCCGGAGAAGATGATGAAGATGCCGACGCTGATGGCGATCTCGATATGGATGACACTCCCCCACAACCGCCGGTACGACGGGCCGCTAAACAGGCCACATCTGCTCGTGGCAAAGCCAAAAGCGTGGAAGAAAAAGAAATGGAAATGGAAGATGATGAAGAAGAGGAGGAAGATGATGACGATGACAATGTTTCGGACACTGATTCGGATGCTGAGGGTGAGCCGGATGATATGGACGAAAGTGCCATTCCTGAAGTCAATGTCGATGACATGGATGAGGAGGATGAGGAGGACGAACTAGATGACGACATGGACAGCGATGCATTTGCCATGGATAACGGCAAACAGACCAAACGGCAGCGTGGAAACCTAGGCAATGATTTCCTTCAACTCCCAATGGGTAAGTCAATGTCATTGATTCTTTGGTTTTTAAAGGCTTGAGCTTACGCATGAACAGAACCACAAGTCAAGAAGCATCTGACGGCCGAGGAGCGTGCCATGCGACGAGCTGAAATGGCTCGACGCAGGAAGAACCTGAGTGAGAAGCGAAACGAAGAAGAAAAGGTAACCAATAAACTTGACAGCTCGGTAATCTCGGCAGAATTGACACTGACATTCCCCAGATGGATACAATTAATCGTCTGCTTCGGAAGCAACCTCCCAAGCGCCGCGGTCGACAAGCCGCCGAGGGTGCCGAATCCACGCCGGCCGATCAAGAGGAGGCTGAAAAGGCCGACCCCATCATGCTCCGATGGGTCAGCAATGCGAATGGTTGTAAAGTTGGCGTACCAGAGGAATGGCTTGGTACATCGGCTGGCCGATTGTTTGGAGCGCCTGTCGCCAATGGAAACGGGAAACTTGTGCAGGAACTGTAACCGTATTGAGCTTGACATGAAATGGGGCGCTTAGGGTATGTACTTGGGAAGGAATCGGCATTTGATAAATCGAACAATGTTTGGTTCTATCAGGAATAAGGCGTTACTTTTGTTATCTAGGCCAAAGATACTACATTTCGATAATACCTATGTATGGACAGCGTTGTTCGTTAGACGCTTCTATGATTTAAAATTGCTCTGACTAGTACCTGTGACCTGTGACCTCCCATTGCCGGCGAGGACCAGTTTGTATGGTCTATCGCTGCGGCCAAGCCAGGAAATGCCTGCTGAACGTGTCTTAATTCGCGATGGTCTCTAGCTTTTTTATAGGGGTCTCGGCTCCAATGTTACCTCAACTAATGACGGAGTGCAGTAGAAATTTTTTGGTATTGCGACTGATGCTGCAATTGCTTCTAAGATGGTCTGCGTCGTATTGCTTGATAATTTCACAACCCTACCTACCCCAACGGTGTGCTTAAGGCCCTGGCTTGATTCTTCGATTGCTCATTCACCAGATTGCCCCAGAGGACTGGCCTATAGACTGCCCTTTTTCCTTCTCACCTTTTCAGTCAACTATTATTCTGGAATCATACTGTTTAATGTTAATTGCTACAAATGGAGCTACAGGTGACAGGGAAAACAATGGCTGAGATGTCTAGACACACGCATGAGACCTATATACACGCACTTGATTACATGATCACGGTGTCTGGTCGAGATGGCTGGTCAAACCATACTGTGTAAATACCTTCCACTGTTATATGGAATCCATATAGCATATGGCAAGTCGTGAGCCCCAAAGGTGTTTGAGTTTCCTGGGATGCACAGAAGCTGTGGAGGAGTCGGAGTCAGGCATCTAGACAGTGTCGTTTGCTGTATGCGCGCATGTACTCCAGTTCCAACCAGAGATGCTCCTTTTCGGGCACTATGCTTCGAGAATACTTGAATGACTATCCTTTCCAATTATGGCATTGTAGCCCCAGACTACTTGCTCAGTTCAGACGATTCCGGGGCGACCGGTTTGGAGCTAGCAATTGGGGTGTCTTTGGTAGAAATGCTGGTGTCCTGCTTTGTGGCAGATGCGTCAGGGGAGCTGCCGGGTTGCTGACCATGGGCCTTTTGGACAGCAAACTCCTGTAAGGCCGGCTGGAAGGTGTAGTAACCTGGGAAAAATTTGGTGTTAGCACGGCTCTGCACGCCTTTTTCAATCGAGAATGAAAGTCTAGATACCTGTAAAGACTCCAACGCCGATCGTGACGACAGCCGTAAAGAAATTTCGACTCATTGTGGTGGGGATGAGCAAATCACGAAGGATAGAAGTCAGCTTGGAGTTGGAGATGGAAGTCGGAGAATGCGGGTCTGCCCGTTATCGCACTGATTAGCGTCGCGTTGCCAAATTGAATCTCATCGACGCGTCTCTGCACGAAAACCACTTTATTGATCACGAGTCACGACCCTCATTCTGGTGGTATACAACCTGTGCGGCTTGCCTATGATCCTTCCAACTACGCCGTTTCTATGACTCGCTAAAGATATGGGCGAGCCCCGCCGAGAATGCAAATGGAACCATGGCGGAAACGAGGCTTTGTCCCAGATTCGGACGAAGAGGAGGAACTCGATACCCTTGAAACGAAGGAGGATACTGTCGAAAATGCCAGTGATAACGGTGTTGATCTCGAATACCTGCCAATTCCAACATCAACAGCTGTGGCCGAGTCACAGATCCCAGCGGAGTACCGTACAGACTGTGAGGTCGATTCGATCGCCCCTTCGGATACCGAGAAGACGCGAGCTGGCTCAGTGGAACTGGCGACGAGCCCTACAATTAAGCAACGATCGACAAGAACTTCGGAATCACAAACGAAAGGACCAGTGGAAAATACAAATGATGGGTCAAGCAACTTTGCTGTCCACGTGCAAACGCCCATGCCGAGTCGTGTACTGAAAACATATGGGAAACGATCCTCAGCTACGAAATCAACGAAGCCAAATCAAAACGATGAAAACGAAGTCAAAACAACCTTCCCAAATCAGGATGATGCGATTTGGGATATTCCTAGTTCACCAGTTGCCGATGGTTGGTCTGCCCGCAAATCACGACATCGAGATCGCGAGTCGACACCCCGAGTCTTGACACCTACGAAGCTTTCTCAAACACCTGCTGAGACTATACACAAAGCTATCGACCCACAACAATCGGGTGTTGGGAGCAGATCCAGAAGTTCTTCACTTGACGAGCTAAATCTGGTCGAGCAGCCCGTTGCCAAGCAAGCCCAGTTTAAAGATGCACCGGAGCCAGATGACTCTGAAGATGATTCACCGTTGTCATCGCCGCCATCATCCCTTCATTCACCTGTTCTTGAGGCCGAACAAGAGCTTGCTAATGCCTCGGGATCTCAACAGGATCTTTTGGCGCGGATCCCGCGTGACATTGAGATTCCTCAACAACTTCTGGACCAAATACAGGCTAATCCACCTACGCAAAGAAGTCTTCGAGAGCGCAATGCTATTCAAATACATCCGTATCGCCTCGAAGACGCCACATATCAGAGGTTTATGAAACAAGTAGGCCTTAGGCCAGTGCGCATGGCTCATGAAGAGCAAAGAAAACGGGCTGCACCAAGAACAGATGAAGGCCCAGAACAAGATGAATTCAATCCGGATTTACTTCGTTCAAGTCCGCCCCCAGAAGAGTTCCTCGCTCCTGCGAGACCCGGGCGCCGCCAAGATGAAGAGACGAATGGAAATGGACATCAGAACCACAGGAAGAACCGCTCACCGATTCGACGGACTCCTTCATCCAAACGAAGAAGAAAGTCGGTATCTGGTGCTTGGCTCGGTACTGGGCCGAAGGAGCATGCAATGCCTCAAGTGGTAATCCAAAGGACACCCCCGACTCATCGTAACGATACATCAGCATTTGATTCACTTTTCGATATCCCGTTGAGCAGCCCACCAGATGCTGAAGGTGACTCGTCGGTTACGCAAACACCGCGAGTTTCAGAAGGATTCCGATTTCCACCAGGTTTCACGCCACCTTCAACTACAACCACTGTTGTCCCGTCAAAACCAGCGACTCCGCAGGTAGATATATCCAATACTGAAGGACTAGATTCTGAAATCAGCTCTGAAGATGGTGAAGATTCGGATGCATCTCAATCATCGTCCGCAGAGCCCACGGAAACTGCCGAAGAGCGCGAGATGCGAAGAATACAACGTCAAACCCGCGGAGTTCTTCCAGCGTCTTACATTCGGCTTGCGCAAAATCGATTAGAACGTCAAAAAGCAGTCCATAGCAATCACAACGCAGCTACACAGCGAACAGATAGTAAAGGTGTTGCGCGAAAGATTATTCGAAAGCGCGGCCAGCTCGGAAGACCGATTTCTATGTTCGATTTCGGGGAATCTGACGAGAGCGACGGCGGGAACGAAACCGAGAACCATCAAGCCTCCGAGCAAGAAGTCGACAAAAGACTTGCTCGAGCAACCCAAAATCCATTTGACGATGATCAAGACATCATGGAAGATAATCGAATCGACTACATGCTCCCAACTGTGCCACGTAATACTTCAAGCTCACATGGCTCAAGAAGTCTGAAACGACCAAAGTCGAAAGAAAAATCAAATAAGATCGAAAGACAAGCAAAACGAGCTCGCTTGAAAAGGCAAACCAGAATCACCGATGCTTCATACGGTGGCCATCGAACAAAGCAATCATCCAAAAAGTCGGCGCCAAAATCAGTTTCAAGGTCAGCATCAAGACCAGCGCCAAGGTTGGGCATTCTTGATGCACCTGATGTCACCTCTCGACCACATCATGAGCAACCGCAGTTCCTCAGGATCGCTGCAAGGGGTGCCCGTTCACGTCGAGATGCAGGAAGACAGAGTCCGACTCGGAAGTTCTTTCAATTAGGTTCAAAATTTGATACAGCAGATGCAAACGAGTCGTTGCGGGAATGGAAACGAGGAAATATACGACAGTCTAAAGTTGTTCGACCTCAATCCAAGCCTCGCAAGCGGCAGCCACTTGCACGCCTTTCAAATGGAGGCCATCGAGCAGCGCTATCTGCTCTAAGAGCTCGAGATTCAAACCATGCTCCTAACACAGAGCCTGATGTCATAACGGTAGATGATGAAGGGCCTATCAGCGGAGAAAACGCCCCATCAGGGACCGCTGCATTGCCCACTGCATTACTGCCAGCTCGTAATGCAGCAGCTGTGCAACCGAAGCAACCAGAGAGGCAAGGGAAACAGTGGATTGTTCGTCGAAATTTTGCGATTTCATCTTTGAAACGAAACGACCCTCGCCCTGCTGCGACGAGCTTAGTAGAACGTGAGAGCCAAGCGGCATCCAAAGCCTTCAATCGATCGTTGAGTTTACTCAATCGCAACTACCGGAGAGGGAATAATACTCAGACCTTCCAGCCTAGTCTTCCTCTGAACCGATACATTTCTAGTACTGGATCATTGAGCAATTCTTTAACAACTCTCGCGAGCCCATCACCAAAAGCAAAAGCCAATGACAGTCGTCAGCCAACAATTACCCAACACCTGAAGCAGCGACGTCGTCTGAAGAAGTCCACACCTCATCGAATCAATCTCGATGCAGATGAGTTTGCTCAAGATCAAATCCAGGAGCCGGCCGACGACTTGGATTCTTTCCCCATTGTCCCAGCCACGCCAACCCAACATTCGTCTTTCAACGTAGGAGGACTTTTCAACTGGCAGCCGTCATACTCGCTCGACTTTGGCATAACGCCCTTGCCCGACGGAATTTTCTTTCATGAATCCACATTCATAGGGAGTGGAGAATTCTCTCGGTCGTTACATCTTAAAAATAGAGACCTAGATCGCGAAACGAGGTCATCTTCAATCGTTTTCAAGGACCGGATGTTCCATTGGAGCTCTTGGAATGATACAGTTTCCTCCCAAATAGGATCTGTCTTTGACGCTATGACCATAGAATCCGAGAAATGCTCTGTTTCCTCTCCAATACCGAGCACAGACCATTCGTTAGAATCGGCATCTGTCGTATATCGGTCATTGATTACTTATGTGACTGATCACTTGTCGTTTATCGATCCTGTTGACAGGAAAGCTTTTGTCGAGCGAGCAATGGGGCTGGTGTTCCGGCTCAGAGAACCACTAGCTGCGTTTATAATGAGTGGGGAGTTCACCAACAGTGGTCTGCTGATAATGGCGTCCTACAATCTGGTGTTTGCAAACCAAATACACCAGATCTCTTCTCACCCACTTATTAGCCACGAGCTTGCCAGTGACGCTTTGGATCTCGTCAAGGCTTCTGCCAAAGATGTCACTGCACTGGCATTGAGCGAGGTCGGGATCGCGGAGCTCCACCGTCTGTTGAAGGAGACCAAGAGCTCCGAACGGCGTGAGGCAGGTATTCGTGGTGAATTTCCATCGGCAACTGCTTTAGTTATCTCTATGCAACTTTTACGCAGTTCGGAATCCTTCGGTGGATTGCTTGCTGACTTGCATATTGAGGTCTATACCAAATGCCTTCTTCGAAATCAAAAAGATATCACTGTTCTGGAATTTGCATGGCATGGCCTGTTCACAACTTTACCACTGAATGAGATCGATGAACGAGGCATCTCACGGCGTGAATCTCGATTCAAGAAAGGGAATGACAACTGGAACCTTGTCAAAAAGCTTCTCTCTCCTGTAATGGACAGTTGCGACACGAATTCTGCTACCCAGCCTATATCTTACAATTCATACTGCCGTGTACTTTTTCAGCGATCTCATCGGCTTATCAATGCATGGGGATGGAAGGACTGCAAGCCTATTCTTGACACTCTTTACGATTTCTTCGCTCGCAAGCTTCTCCACAATTTGAAGCTTGAGGAAAGTCGTGGATCTCCGGCCTTCCTTGATGAGCTAGATAAAAAGCCGTCCTTGGAAATTCGAGCTGGAGAGCCGTGCTTTCATACACTGCTCAAGATTATTGCAAGCGGTTTGCGTTTCATGGCTCTGAAGTATGACAAGAAGAAAATTCGAAACTTTGCGTGGCGCCTTCTTCCGAATCATGGTCGCGTTTACCCCAAGGAAATGCCCTTGCGTCACGAAGATTTGGACGCTTTAAGAAACCACCATGATCTGCTCTGTACGTTGTACTGGGCTGTGCCAGATGGCTGTCGGCCTCGATTGGAGGCGATTAGAAATCTTGTTCATCCTGGGAGTTCTCACCGGGAAACATGCAATATCAATCTGAAATCATGGACGAGGCTTATTCGATTCAAGCTGTCTACAAATGAAGATCTGTCAGGACTAGAACCATTTGCGGATTGGCATAGCTATTTCTTGACAGAGCTTGAGCAGCAGCATGCGAATGTTCGGAATGAAATCGAAGCACAAAGCAAAAATGACCAATTTGCTTCCAAAGAGCTTGTTGAGAGCACCATATCACAAAACCAGCGACAGATTGAGGCTTCCCTGAACTTGGCTCTTTCGGGGCTACGTACTGCTGTTGAGCTTGCTCCATCGTTGGAGCATGCATACAAACTGATATCGAAAACTCCCTTTGATTCCATTGCGAGACTTTTCAATGCGAAGCATGCACGAGTCAATAATGTTGTTTCGGAGGCTCTACAAGTGATGGTGGCTTATGTCAAGAAAGATCCCCCCTCACCTGCTACACCAACCCCTGCCCCTGCTCCTCCAGCCATGAATTCGACGGAAGAAGATAGCCAGGAGTTTGAGGGATTCGATGACTGGACTGATCTTGATGCTGTTTTGGTCCAACAAGATACCCCGGCGGAAGAGATCAAGCATGTGCTGACGGCCTTCAATCCAATTGTGTTTCGCCTTGTTTCCAATTGCTTCGGTCAAGAAATTTGCCCTGAGGATGCAATTCTCATGAGTGTTGTTGATTGCTGGGCCTCTGTTGCAAATTTCCTTGTTCAGCATGGCTTGCAAGGCTGGGATAACTACCTAAGTCCGTTCGGAGATCAGTCTTGGTCACAGCTTCGGCGAACAATGCAGACCCGAAAGTATGCCGCCCATTTCTTTGCTGTCTGCATCGAGAGAGACTCCGAAATTCTCACTGAAAGCCGAAATCTTGTCATGGGAACATGGATATCGTCTCTTGCTGAGCGCTCGTCAATGCTCAAGTTCCAACATCGTCTGACAACAGCAATTCTCAATGGCCGACCTCAGGACCCGATGCTTCAAAATCTCCCATTCACAACGGATAAGAGAGATGATAAGTACCACATCACTCTAGAAGATCTCAACCAACGACGAATATTGCTTTTCTCGAGCATTCTCTCAAACATGCGCGAACATGTCCTCCAATTAGAGGCTTCCGGGAGCCGGGACCTGTCTATCACAAAACAAGAGTACTCGGAACTACTTCAACGTTTAATGGCATCCATGAAAGAGAATTACTGTGAGCTTGGCAATGGGACTGCGGAGTCTGCGCAGGGCGCCTATGTCGAATTTGTGCATCGTATCATTAGGTTCCTGCAAGAGCTCACCAGCGATATTAAGCCTGTCGATCCATTCTTCACAGATCCTACCCTGTTCCCTCTACCGACCACAGATCCGCGGTACATCGTCGCAAAGCTGAAGCGCTACGGGCCTAAGCTCACATCCAATAAGGAAGTTCAAACCCTGACAATGTTCATTCAAAGTATTGTCGAAAGAGCAACCGTGGAGTGCCAGCAGAGCCATCTGGTTGGTCAGCTGTACACTGCTATGAAAGATAGCTACGAAGCGGGGCAGTCCGGCAAACCTACCCTCCGAGCTGTCCTCTTCCAATGCGTGTTCCCAGCGTACCTTGAACTGGCTTTCAGTACTCCTGCCGCTTGGCTGCTGAGCCGACCCATCATCCTGAGCATTTCCCTCGTGTTCCAGGATTTGTTACTCAGCCTTGATACCAATGACCCAGCATGTGTGTCTTCTCTGTTGAGGATATACGATGCAATCTTCCAGGCATCGTATCGCGCACTCCGGCCATTGTCTACATACCCACGACGATTCAGGGACTCCACTACCTTGTCCATGCTCGCCGAATTCCTCAAGATGGTGTCTTCGTCTCTTGTTGTGGTGGACTACATCGACCGGGTCGCTGGTGCCGCTGATGGGCTCATCTCTTATATCCAGTGGTTCCACCATCTTTCTACTGCTGTATCATCAGCAGTAGAGGATTCTGAGCCTGGGACAGCATCAGACGCAAGTATTGCGGCCATCCCCACCCCAAGGCAAATCACGGATACCTCTGCGGCTGAAGTCCCGCAACATCTTGTCACGGGGCGACGTCTCGCTTTCGAAGATCACCAGTCTTATCTCAAGTTATGGAGACTTCACGATGGCAAATACTACTACACCCGTCAGGGTCACGACTCTAAGGAGGTGTCTCTGGATCCTGAGATTGCTGCAGTTACACAAGTTGAGACCGCTGCGAAGGAGGCATTCGAAGATGCAAGCGATGAATTTTCGGATCTGTTCGAACATTACGAGTTCTTTGCTGCCTGAGAGGAATAGGGGCAACGAGTTGTTATTTTTATATCTTGTTTCCCCCGGTTTTCTGCATGTTTAGCATTGGCGTTCGGTGGCTTTGATGAAAACTGGATATTATAGACACTTGACACTGCATTATACTGTCCACCCTGTGGCCCATTGATTACTACTACCTTGAAAATCGAATTTATCCCTCCATGACACAGACACAATACCACCCGGGAAATCCCATGTGCAAGAGACTGTACAGTCACACACCACGAACCTCACTAAAGGCCAAATTCAACTTCTCATAATCCCACCTCCCAGCAAACAACAAGAAAACCCCACTGACCACCGGCAAAATCAGTATATCCAAGATCCCAAAAAACACAAAACCACCCGTAACTCCAATATAATTCTCTCCATCACTCAACCCAAACGCAACGGGATACAACAACCAAAGCGCGTTAACAAACCCAGCCATAATAAGATAATCCCTCCCAGCCCCAACCCTAACCGCACCCTCATGGCTCTCATGCAACGTACTCATCGCCAAAATCACCCAACTAAACGTCCCAAACGCAAAGAAACCCTATTTATACACCGTAGTCGTATACGTAGCAGCAAGATACGCCAGCAACCAATACCACGCACAGAAGACATTGCTGCAGATCGTCGTCCAGGATACTCCTGCTAGGAGTCCGAGGGATAACACGAGAGCTGGGAATCCGATAACCCAGTTTATGTAGCGCGCGTAGAAAATCTGGCACGTGATACCGTTGTCAAGATTCTCGGCTTAAAGAACGGTACTCCAGCCTAGATTGGAGGCTTGGGCGAAGTAGGTTGTCGTTCCGGCTAGGAGGGCGAAGGCGAGAATGTAGTGGAAAACTCTTTTTTGGGGGGGCGTAGTGAAGCAGGGAACTAGAATTGCGAGCTGTATTGGATTTTATCTGTTTATGGCCTGGGTAGAACATTGAAAGGTTGAGCAGGGACGTACGAAGGCGAGGTCGTAGATGGCTGTCACAGCGCATAGCCAGTCGGAGCCGTGTTTTGACAGAGATTCGTCAACTCCTATAGGGGGATTGATGCTTAAGGCGTCGTTTCCTCGTTGCAGAAGGCTCATTGTAGTTTCGATCTGAAGTTGCTTAATTTGCGTAGGAAATAAAAGAAGAAATTATCAAGTATATGTAGGATTGTATAGTCAATGTCAAGTGGTCAGGAAAATGATACCAGCAGAAAATTGGTCATTATGATCTAGGGTATTGGGCATTTAAAGTAAAAGGCTTCAGCTACTGCGATCTACGGTGATCGGGAATCAGGCAAACCGCTATCCCAAACCCGTACTTCATAGCATCAGGGGATTAGAAGTTGTATTGTCTTTTCCATGGAAATAAGAATCAAACGTCCTGCGGGATATCGTATTGAAATGATTTGTAAATGTGTTAGGATTTTAGTCTTGATCAGCAAAACGTTTCTCCGAGACGTTTAGCCGGTAAATCTGATTTTATTACTCATTGCTATCAATTGCTGTATACTATTCGATATGCTAATTTTTAAACTTTCGGTTCACAAACCTGTAAATCCATAGCAGAATTTCAAGAAACAGTCCCGAATTTGTAAACCGCCAGATTAACCGCCGGCTCATCCATAGGCCCAAAGACCTGTTCAGATTCTTGCTCCCACTCAGGATGATTAATTCCATCAATCCACCCCTCGGGCTCAATAGCTATACATCCATGGTTGTTCACAACCGTAACACCTTTTTGCTGATTGCGTTTGATTTGTGAAGGCTTGACAGGGAACGGACCGGCCCCATTGCAGGTGTAGATTTGTATAGCTGGTTGGTTACTCATGACCTCCATTGTTATACCTGTCTGATTCGATCTCATGTTGAGAACTGATACGATTTCGGAGGAACTTGTGGCATTCGGACGGTCGATGATCATGCATGTATCATACCCGATACAATTCTGACCACAAAGTCCCTCTGTTTTGTTGATGTCCTTGCCGATAGGTTTTCCTTGGAGGAAATCCGCTGAGCCGTTGAATGATGATGCCACGTCGTAGAGTTGGCCTGTTGGAATTTCGAACTTGTCTATGCCGATGAACCGGCGCGAGAGTGGGAGTTCAAGCCAGAGGTCGGTGATTGTCGAAGTGAGGAATGCGTCTAGGTTCCAGTAGTTGTGGTTTGTGGGCATGATGGGGGTTTTGTGAGTGAGTGATTGAGAGACCACTTTTGTTGTTAGTTCGGGGAGGCCATCGGAAGAGGTGGACACTGTGTAGGTGGCATAGGAGATGACTTTTCCTGGGAATCCTTCAAAGGCATCATCGTATAGAGCGAATGTGACAGAGGACGTCGTATTATCGTATACAGTCCAGTTTCGCTGGTCCCAACCCACTAGGCCGCCGTGGAGGGTGTAGTGATCAATAGGCCTGTTAATTGAGACATTGTATTCTACTCCGTCAATCTTGAAAGTTCCGTTTTGGATGCGGTTGGCGTAGCGTCCTGCCACTGAGCCGAAGTAGGTATGGTCCGTTTCAGTGTCAATTATATATTGTGCGGGGTTATCGTAGCCGAGAACAATATCTTGCTCGTCTCCATGACGGTCTGGGACCAGTAAAGATGTGAGACGAGCTCCATAGGGTATGAACTTGGCGGTGATGTTTGGAGTTTGGATTGTGTAGACCTCCAGCGGGCTGGTTGAAATATTAGGAAACTCTAGAGCATTGCTCACTGTGAGAAGAAATGTGAGAAGCTTCAGACTCATCTTGTGGACTAAACGAAAAATACAACATTGACAGGAATGTATTTCGATATAGTCAACCCTCGCTTATATATCATAGCCTCATATCCTAGGGAATTCTGTGCTGAAAGCGACCAAAGGGTGAATAATGACGTATTTGATTTTTAAACCAACCCTAAGCCCAGTCAACTATTTGGGCTGAAATTCCATCTCCTCCTAGGTCATCTGACGCCTTGCCTGCTATTAAATTCATCCGAATTTTCGTATTAAGGTATGCAGTGTACCATATCCTCTGAAGACTTCGAGTCCTTATTACCAGTATATAGTAACAATCCACGCTTACTATGTCATACGAGGGTGATTTTCGGACATATAGACCCTTAGAGCTTACTTCTGCATATCTGATATGCCTGGTCGACCCTGTTTAAAGTAAATGCACACTTTTTGATAGTCGATCGGATGGTGGGGTTAGGGCGAAGTTCTTGAATTTAGGCATCATGATTGGTCAAAAAGCTTAGTAAGAAGAATGACTCAGCAAGCTTGAGATGAGAAGTTTTGCACCGAGATGAATGATGCTCTTAAGGCCAAGATTGTATGTAACAACGGGTGGAAGTGGGTCGGTCCAAGCCAAGGGCGTACCCAAAGCGACACTCTAACAATGTCGACTTCCGGGCATCCGAGACAATAAATCTACAAGAAGCGGCTGATCTTGTGCACAGGGTATGCGTGTAACATCGGCCATATACCTGGAGACTTCTCAATCAACCAATCGTCGAAGCTCCTGCAGTCTTCAACCTCCGATGTGTCACCATTTTTGGCTTCCGTTAAGCATCCCCCCCCAGCGTGGCTATTCAATACTTCCGTTGTCTTTGATATACATGACTGGGACATCAAATCCATTTAGCTCTGCTCAAGGTTGTTCACATTCTTGAGCCTTTAGCCGACGGCGACGAGGTCACGCAGGTATGAGCCGAACACTTGGTTCTCGGCCACATTATCGTATACCCGTCTACACCGTGACCCCGTGGTCTCTTCTTTATTGATTCTAGAAATATGTATAAAAGAGGATAGGTTTAATTTTTAAGATATGTAAGGTAGATTTATCTATGCTCTATATGTAGTAATCCATAGTCCAGTAGGATATTACTCGACCAAGTCTGGTTGCCTTTAGGATCATAGCCAGGCAATGTTTTCCTAGAGAAAACGCGACTATATACCTATATGCAAAGGCATTATCAGCTAGGGTTATGCAGGCACTACTCTTTTAGACGATAAGATATGGAGAATTGAATCAGACATAATCATATAAACATGAATCATCAAGGCCTGCTTGTGTCGTCCGCAAAAAATAAAACCATTATGTGCGAGCAAACCATGCACATGAATTGTGGGAATCAATGATGATAACCCTGGAATATTTCAATACAAACCTCCATAGACCCAAGATTAACTAAGAAAAAACCCCCAACCTCGAAGAAACACCAAATGCAAATTGCAGGGAATAATATTCCTCCCCATACGGTGGAGACATGATCGTATCGTAGCTGATCATTGATGCAGAAAACCCCCCCGATATGAGCATATCACGATGATACGTCAAGGTAAATAGCGCGCAATGTTCTAAATGGCAGCGCCACCATTCCCACCATCTTGACTGGATCCGCGTCGGTGAAAGGGGTTGGCGCCCATGTGGAACACCTTGCGCATGGCGTTTGTGATACTGTTCTTCCGCCTCGTTTGAGGGGCGTCAGTAGTATCGGAAGTTTTCGGTATCGTCGCATCATCTGCAAGGACAAGGTTTGTCACTGCCGATTTGGGTGGCCATTGTCCATCAGCTTTCCAGCCCTGAACCATTGCTTTAGTCAGGTGGGCCAAGTTGACTGGAACAGTCGGGGTCATCCCCTGTACGACCACTTTGCTATAGATAGAGGGGTAGATGGATGAGTTGATGGTTGCGCGGATGGGATTCTCATGTGAAAGGAAAGGTGGGGCGACCGGGATAAGAGGTTCATCAAGCTCCTCGTCTGTCTCCGGTTCATCGTCGTCGATGGCAGGGAATGTAGTAAAGACAGGACCACTTGCAGAGGCGTCCGGCTCAGTGATACTAGTTTCAGTGGACCCCTTGCGCTTCGTTTCATCCTCCGGCGCGGTAGACTGCTCTTCCTCTTGCTCTTGTCGGCGTAGAGTTTCTTCTGTTTTCTCGCGCTCTGCGATTGCGAGCGACGTGTCCATCTTGGCTGCCAACGACGGAGCCTCAGTGTCATTTTGACTTTGGCGATCCGAGTGCGGGGAAGCGGACCCCGGCCGGGGTGATGCAGCACCTGCGTCCACCCCAGAATCCGCACAACTGTCTGCAGCCTGACCCGGTGCGCCTGCCTGTATTTTCGCAAGTTTGTCTTTTTTCTCCTTAGCACGAATCTGTCGCCGTGTCCTGGCTCCCGACCACACGTCGCGTCTGGCCATGAACATCCGTAGCCCTTCATTCCAAGCCATCTCTTCATCCATCTGGCGCCGGCGTTTGCGTCGCAGCTCGATCTCGGGGTCGCCGATTGTCTTGGAGATATCGCCTTCAGATTCGTCGTCGGATGATTGTGGTGAGAGCTCTGAGCCGGTGCTGTCGAATTCTCTGTGCCGCCACTCCGAGACTTGGCGGTTCTCTAGGAGGGTACCAACTGAGTCCACGTCGACGTGCTCGGTGGGCAGCGCGATATAGCTTGGGCCATTTGGATCGGCGGTGAATTCCCAGTCGTGGCGAACAACGTCGCGAACGAACCGTTTGGCGTCGCGAATGGCTATGTCGCGGGAGTCCATGACGGAAATTTTTGAGGCAATGAGGGTGATTCAGAGGGGTATTCGATTTCTGCTGAGATGCTGGAGTTTTACCCGGTTGGAAAGGGGTGAGGCGCGAGAATCCTCCACCTTTATTCCACACGCGGGGTTATGAGAAATTGAGCTTTGCAAAGTGGCGGGTGGAGACGGATGCGATGTCATCGGGCACGTGCCCCTAGAGCTTTAGGGCTAAATAACGAAACATTCACTCGGGATTTTCTATTAAATAGAATTAGAGAGTATGGAGATTTTTACACTCTAGCGCTTGAGACTATCTTCAAGTGTTTGATGTTAACTATACTTATGGATTGGTGGGATCGTACTACAATTATGTACAGAACATACTAAATATATGGTGCCACATTTGAACTAACATGGCCGTACTTGACAACTCAAAACATGAGTTGGCAGTTGACTGCATAGTGTATGTAGAGAAGCAACTTCGACCAGGCAAGTGGAATGCATTTTGTTTGAAAAGAATGAATTCAATTCATATTCGAGGTATAAGAATGTAGGATTGCTCCAAGGAATCTAATCTGAATACACGGGAATCTAGTGCTCACTCCTCTCCACTTCCATTGCTTCAAGGCATCTCAGCGAACTTGGCCCAGACCACCATTAACAGGAATCAACTGGCTGGTCATGAATGATGAGCAATCAGACATGAGAAAAGCAATGACCGGAGCCAAGTGGCGAGTTGGATCTCCCATTTTACCACCGAGCAAGATTTTCTCAGACATCATCTGATCGAGCCCTCCAAGCATCTCCGGGGAAAGAGAATTCCTGAACTCATCCCACAATTCAGTATGCACCGCTGGAAGAAGTGCATTAACCCGAATATTGTACTTCCCCCATTCTTTCGCAGCCGAACGAGTAAAGCTATGCACCGCGCCTTTGGATGCTCCATAAATCGAGACTCCAGGGAACGGGTCAACCCCCATATCAGACCCAATGTTGAGGATGTTGCCACCAGCATCTTTCATATAAGGAAATACAGCTTGATTCGTGTAGATCGTGCCTTTCAAGTTGACATCTAGCACGAGATCGATATCGGTCTCGCTCAAATCCTCGATACAAGACTGGCTCTCAATTCCTGCTGAATGGATCAGACAGTCAAGACCGCCGAGGATTTTAACGGCTTCTGCAACACCTCTTACGACTTCTGCCTTCTTTGAGACATCAACATGTGCATAGTCAATCTGGGTACACAGCTGGGTAGATAGCTCAGTGATTAAAGCCTTCGCCAAGTCGTCATTGATATCGAGAATGAACACATGGGCGCCTTGCTTAGCGAGAATTTGAGTGGCAGCAGCGCCGATACCGCGCGCACCACCAGTCACGATGATGCGCTTGCCCTTCAGAGATGGGAGGGTGATAGGATCGATCATTTCGATTGGTATAAGAAGAGGTATGGTGAGTTTTCCGCTCCAGCAGCTCTTTCGGTGGGGAATGGCTTGAATTCTGATTTAAGAGATGGAATCAAAGCTAACTTGCCCCATGATATGTAGATATGAGGAGCCCATATTTATATACAGAAATATCTATCAAACTAGGTACTCTCCTTGTCTTGTCCCATACTCCTCCAGAGCCGAGAAGGGCAAATTTTCATGCCAAGGTATTCAATCGATCGATCCGGATCGATGCAGGTAAGATGATAGGGATCGAACGCACAAATCAGAGCGACATGTATGATCCTGCTAGCTACATTATCTCACACGCGCATGCCGCTACCGTTTGTCCCCACCATATTGCTTTTCTCGGTGGGGGCCGAGAACCCAAGCTCTTAAAGAAAAACCAGATTCCCCAAAGGGAGCCCTGTGAGACAAAGAAATAATGATATCATATATGAACAGATTTTTGCGCCAGGTGCACCTGAAAATGCCCAGCCAGGGATAAAAAATGAAAGAAATCTAATTATAGCACTACAGCTACGGTTGTGGTCGTGAGGGGCTAGAAAGTTGCGAGGAAAGTCAGGTTATGGCATGCCCGAACTTGAGGCTTTTACAGTGAGCACTATACCATTATTGGCAAGTTTACATGACTAGTCTCCTGTGATTTTATGGACCCTAAGGTACCTGTTCATGCAATGTGGCATAGGCGGCACGCCAGTGATTACGCGGGTGGACAGCATCGAGGAGATATAGTGTCACGTAGTAGCCCAGCTCCATGTACTTGGTATGGACACAGATTCGATTACAGGTGTCATCAGGGCCTTGGGGTGGCAGGGGTTTCTCCAGGGATCTATATAGGTTTCGGCCTTTGCTCGACATCCGAGTATCAGCACAGCCAAGATTCAGGGGAGTTCAAACACCGAACAAGTCCACGATTCAGACCCACCATCAAGCAGATGACCAAGACTAACTAGCCCACTGAAAAGCGGGCCCACAGCTGCAATGATTTGGAAGAGTGGCTTTGAAAAACAAAGAGCACATTGGATCAGGCTTCTGTGCATGGGGCATATCTGCGCGCTCTCAACCGTTTTCAATCGTGGCGGAAATTGGTTGAGAAAGATGTTGAGATGGTCGGCTAATTGAGGGTCGGTGATCACTTAATAGGTAATATCGTGTGTACACAGTTTCTAGGATGGTACCTAGATATATGGAGTTATCGATCTATTTTGCAAACATTTGAATGGGACGGAATGGCAGCAATAATAATTGTATACAAGAAACAAGTGTGTATATCTACTACTTCAAAATGAAACTATTGGTACATGTCTATCGTATCACTAAAAGTACAAAAGAAAGAGGACGGGCCTGATCACGTTAAGAGTGGTTTGATCACGTCCGCACGCGCACGGATTCAGTGGTTGGTGCATCGGCAGCTGGTCCGAAGCCCCATCCTTTGGATTTCGGGCGCCGACTCCTGCGATCACCGTACTGTTCGTCGAACTTCCGGATGGCAGTCAGGGAAGACATGTCTTCACTGATCGAGGCACTGATCTCTTCCATTCCGCGGTCAAAGTGAGCGCTCGTGAGGATTCGTCGCTTCGGGTATTCGTAGGGCTCATCGCCTTGGTGATTTGCTGCGGCGTCATTCTCCTCCCGCACGCATGCTAGGGCTGCAGCGACTGAGAGGTTTTTCAAGTCGGAGCCAGAGTAAAGTTCTGTGCGTTTGGCTAGCTCGGCCAGGTCGACCGCGGGGTCAAGTTGTTCTTCTTTGAGGTGGATCTTGAGAATAGCGAGACGGTCTGTCTCGGTTGGGAGATCCACGAGGAGTCGTCGGGGTAGACGACGCAGAACTGCGTCATCCAGGTCAAAGGGACGGTTGGTGGCCACCATAATAAATGCGGAGAGGTCGTTCATTCCGTCCCACTCGCGAAGGAACTGGTTGATAAGTTCACGGTGTGACGTGCGACTGCTGGACCCTGTGCGAGAGCAGAAAATGGCGTCTGCTTCATCAATAAATACAACACATGGACTTAATTTTTTGGCGAGTGTAAAGATGGCTTTCACGTTCTTTTCACCTTCACCAACGTACATATCATATACCTCGGAGCCACTCACTTCGAGGACAGTTGCGCCGCTCTCGCGAGCAACTGCCTTGGCGAGCAGTGTTTTTCCTGTGCCGGGAGGACCGTATAGCAGAAGGCCAGGAATCTTGTCCGTAGCCAACACACCATAAGTGAAAGCCTCAGGTCGAACCAGCGATAGAGAAGTGAGGGTTTTTAGTGCATCAATGGTCTCAGGTGGGACCTGGACATCGTTGAAGGTCGTGCGGATACTCTTGGCGTCTACTACGCCATTGAGCAATTTCTTCTCGTGGGGAGTACATGTCTTGCGCAAAGAGCTTAGCAGCTGCTCTCGGGTCTGACCGCTGCTGGAGTCTGTCGCCTTTGGGGATTTTGCCTGCAACCATTCGTTGGTGACTTGGTCCCCCTTGTCCATAAGCTCGATCCCGCGTCGAATATGTTCAAAACCAAAGGATTCACCAGCTTCTATACTGCCCAGTGCTAGGGTTGCAACCCAATGTACCTGGTTGTAGGACCAGAACTTGTCTCTGATGCCCGATTGTTTGATTGTCGTTGGGTCAAGCGACCAGGCACGGTCGCCAAAGATATCATCCTTGACCTCGGAAGCAGTTTCGTTAAGTCTAAACCGTAACATAGTCTGAAGATGGCGGATGTTGATATCCATGGTTCGTTTTTTCTGGTCTTGAGCAAACTTCTTTTCGGCGGCCTTCAATTCCATGGACGGCGTGATTACCAAAGTTTTAGAAAAACCGTCATCGAACACGTTTTGAAGGATTTTCGAACCGTCTTGTGATGGAGCATGACGAAGTTCCTGTGATGTACTCCCAATGAGAATAATCCTGGAGCCGGTTCGTCGCCGTTCCTGGATGACCTTTTGCAGCAATGAGATGACCCTAGAGCCCTCTCTTGTGCTTTGAATATCACGATAGTCCTGGATATGAACAATGGTGTCACGAGAGAGTACAGGAATAGCTACGTCCAGCTCAGCTGACTCCTCTGCCTCCTTGGGAGCGGACTTGGTAGGCTGATCAAGAGAAGATATAATCTCGTTCAGAAGACGGGTCCATCGCTGCTCTGCGCGTTGACCAAAGTGCCGCGTTGAACCAGATTCTTGGTCTCCCTGGCCATTGATGGATGCCACAATTGACTTTAGACCAAGCCAGTTTGGCAGCGGTACATCCCCAGAATCTTTGCTAGCCTCAATAGTAATGAACCTAGGAGTGCTGACTTCGGTACGCACGCCTGGGGGTCCGGCAATATCAGCCATATCATCCTCACCCTCACCTTCCCCGTCAATGGGCTCTGGCCAAGTAGTGACCGGAGGTCGGTGGACATCGTAGCCGAGAGATCGGATGGGAGAGGTGGCACCGGTCTCTGCAAGGTCTTGCTCGCTGAATAGCTGGGCAATATCTTGGGCGTTCAGCGTGATCAGATCGGTGTGGAGATCATTTGACAGCTGTCGTACCACGGCATCTAAGAACGGAATCCCATCATTCCCTGGATATTGAAGAGTGAGGTGTGACTTCTTTGCTGCCGGTTCTTTGGCATACTGCACAGGGGGCAGTCTCAGACCCGCTTTGACTGACGCCCGTAATTCGCCCCATATTTCCTCAGGCACAGCATAGTTGTTTTCCTCATCAGGTTCGGGAGTTTCACTAGATGAAGCAGGATCTTTTCCACCACCTCCAGTCAAGGATTCCTTTTTTTCAACGGTGTTCGAAGTGGATGTTGGTTTCGATACTGTAATTTCGACTTGTTGAGCCTGCGCAGCACCTTCCGAACTCCGAGTGACTATGTTCTGGTCCGAAAACCAGCTGGGAATAGCAGCCACAGGTTCCTTCTGTTTTTCTTGTTCTGATTGGCGGTTCCTCATGGCTCTCCGCAATGCAGAGCCGTATGGCTTGGCGGCAGGTTTGCCAGTCTGGTCTTCGGTAGGTAATGAGGTTTTGCTTGCGATGGCATCTTCGAGTTTCGGGGATTGGCAATTTTCGATCGCATCCGATGGAGTCGATGGGCCGTCATGAGGATCGGGGGATGGAGCCGACCGCCATTGTTGCGACAGATGGAATCGGCGCGAGGGCGTGGCGAGATAGCGGCGACGAGCGATTAAACGACAAGGGCGTACGACGGATAGCCGTGCCTGTTGCATTGACGAAAACATCCAGGGCATAATATGCCACTGGAATTCAAAGCGCAAAGGTCACGGGGAGCAGAATGGCGCATCGATTAAAAGATACGGACGGCAACGTTGATCAGTCTCCGCGGGAGAAATACAACATCACGTGATAAGACCATGTGTCTTCAAGCATTGCATATGCTGTTGAACCTCAAGTTGGAATATTTAAACGGTATTTCAGCTATTATGCACGGGATAAAAACAGTCTCATCGACCAAAATGACAGATTGTAGGCTGGCTCTAGACCTGTCCATTGATTCAATTGATATATCACGCTAAGAGGGATCTTCGGCCAGGATTACAAAGTTTTGGTGGATCAAAGTTAACTACGCCTTAAGATAAAGCACCTCGATATGACTGAAGATTAAGATGTAGAACAGAATATGAGGTTTTCATTGCGAAGACTATCACTACTAACACCTAATATTTCTTAAATCTCTGGTGTGATATGGTGTGACCTAATGAAAATGCAATCAGCCAATGTCTCTTGCAATTCATGATGCAATTCGCATGTATAAAAGTGTTCTCAGACAAAAATTACTGGCAAGTAGCAGATCAACCGGGAAAGGAAGATCCGAAATATCTCGTCATGGTCGATTTGGAAGGTAAAGAAGTGAAAAAGTGTTTGACATCCTTGAACAAAGAGAAAAAAAAAAAAAAAAGGGAAAAGAGAAGAAGTCAAACTCACCAGAGAATTGTATGATCGATGTTTTTTTGCCTCGAACCATTTGCAAGGATGAGGTGACCTGTGTTTAATGACGGAATCGAAGTATCGTAAGACATTATCACGATGCTTTCGATCAATGAGACCTTAGCTGATAGGGAACATGTTAATTGTGAGACAGATATTCCCAAAGGAATAGAGAGAAAGAGATGAAGGTTGAAGCAAGAAGGACAAAACGCAAAAGAGAAAAAAAAGATTGAAATACACAACTACACGTGACCGACCTTTTTAGGGTTAGCGTGGTTTCCCATTGAAATACAGACGAAAAAACGAAAAAGGAAAGGGAAAAAACACAATAATATGGGAAAACTCGGTCAAGAGGTAGGAAGTAGTGCATTTAAAGACCATAGGATCATGATACTTCATTTTATCATCGAATCTATTCAATTCATCTGAATCTGGTGGCGATCTCTTTGTTCTATCTATCGCATCGCGTTATTGCCTGTTCGGTTACATCCTCCACTCTTCGGAGCCGGTTCCTCCGTCCCCAGTTCCCTCTCGCTCCCAACCGGGCGATCATCCTCAAACTCATATGGGCCATCGAGACAGGACCCTGGTTTCTACGATTGGGCTTAATCGCACAGAGAAGAGCACTGTGGTCTTGCGATCGGCGAAGTTAGTAAGTTGATCCTATCTTTGCCCCAGCCCCTCCAACGCCTCCCTATTACTGTACCGTACACAATTACCACCTGCCCCGTTCTCTTCCCGCCTCTTCCCCCCCCAAAAAGAACTCTACCCTCTTATCGACTCCAACCTATAACTCCCCACTAACCCTGTACCCAGGAGAACGAGGCCTGCATTGAGGGCAGGTGACAAAAAAGGCCTCCGATCCATGCTTCGGCCTTTTCCCTCGTCTACAGAAGTCGCCTGGGCCTCCGCACCGAAGCGCTAAGACCGGCTCGTTCCATATCTCAGGCGCGATCCTAGTCTCCGAAATCCACCTCGTCTGCCTCGTCGCGCTTTTTGTTGAATCCTTGCTGGCGGTGACTTCCGCCTGCTAGCAATGATGATGGCGCAACCGTTTCCCGCTCAAGGCATTCCCCAGCACGGTATGCCTCCCGGTCACCACCCGATGGCCGGTCAACACCCAAATGGACACCCTGGCCCTGGAATGGTCCAGCAGATGCATCCTGGAGTTTCGGGACCTGGTCCTCAGGTGAGCCAGGCAGGGCCTATGATGGGAATGCCCCCGGGCAACGCTGGTCAGGGTCCGATGCCAAACGCCCATGCTCTTTCCCATCTGAACCCTGCGCAGGCGCATATCTTCCAGCAACAGGGCTTCCCACAAACCTGTGAGTCTCATCTTTGATCCCAAATCAATCGCGACTCCAGAATGCGCGCAATCCTTCCCGATATGAGATCGATAACCCCTAAAACCTTACCTGGATAGGACCATACATCAAAATTATATACTAACTATATTACCTTTACCCTAGTTGTGAACAATCCTCAGTTCAATCTGCAGCAGCAACATCAACAACAACAACAGCTCGTCCGTCAGCGAATGATGATCCAACACCAGCAGCAGCAGCACCAGCAGCAACAGCAGCAGCAACAACAACAACAACAACAGCACCAGCAGCAACAGCACCAACAACAGCATGGGGGTTTACCTGTATCATTACCCAACGGTACTCAGGGAATAAACGCTGCGCAGCTGGCTGCCATGCAGGCAAATCCAGGCATGCGGCCTGTGAACATGGGAATGCATATGGGTCAACAGGTTCCTCATGGCCAGGCACAAAATCTACAGCAGCAGCAGCAACAGATCTTTGCGATCCAGCAGGCCCAAGTACAGCAGGCTCAACAGGCGCAACAGGCGCAACAGGCGCAACAAGTACAGCAGCAGCAAGCGCAGCAACAGGCAGCAAACAATGCCCAGCAGGGCCAGCATACCCCTCAACGCTCTTCCGTACAACCCCCAAACATGCACGAGCAAGTAGGGACTCCTCAGTCCCAACATGGTCAGGGCGGGACCCCCCAGCCCAATCAATCTCAGCCAGCCTCAACTCAACCTCCCCAGTCGCAGGGTCAGTCCCAAGTGACCCCCAATCCCCAGCCGCAGCAGTTGCCACCCCAGCAACAGCAACAGCAAGGAACCCCTGGTCAGCAACCTACTCCTCAAAACCAACAGGCAATGGCTGCCCAGGAGGCCCAAATTAAAGCGCAACAAAATGCCATCATGATGCAAAGAATGAATCAGCAACAGCAGCAGCAGCAGCAGCAACAGCAACGGCAGGCGAACAGCACGGTAACAGTCCTTGCCCACTACGCCGACAGCTTGAGCTCATTCAAGGTATGCAATAACATCGTTTTATAGTGGGACATTCATATTAATTAAGTAACAGAGCCGTGATGAAACTGCTGATTATGCGTATTGGTCGGCCTTCGTTGATCGGTTCTATGCGCCAGGGGGTGTTTTGCGCCAGGGAGTCTGGAGCAGTCAAACTGGATCAAAACAATTTGAAATTTCAACACCGGCACTGGCACGGTACTATCTTACTCAGTTCACAAGTGGAATTGAGCAGATTCAAATGGTTGTGGATGGCCCCCGTGAGCGCGACAACCCCAATGGCGATGGTGGGCACATCGTTGAAAGTGGACGCACTTCTTTCATTTATTGGTACACGAATGAAAGCCAGGTATGGACCTTCCTAGTCAATTCCCATGGATGTGGCACTAACGACGTCCTCTAGGTTTTCCACAGGGGACATCTACGCGCCCACTTTGATGCGAACAACAAGATTGTGATGCTGGACGTTACTGTCACGAGTCACAATGAATATATTCCCCGCAGTCAGCTCTTGGAGGCCATGGAGCAAAAGCAGAGCCCCAAGCTGGCTAAAAGTGCTGCCAAGCGGGCGCAGAAGCAGGCGCCAATAAATTTGCCAGAGTCTATGGTCACTTCTAATGGTCTCCCTACGACGGTGATCCAATTTTTGGAAGTGGCCGAGACGATGTCACAGATGCAAATCCTTTTCCAATTTTCCGCCCAACATTCACAGTTGTCCGCAACAGACGCGCTCCGAGGTCTTGTCGGCAATCTGAACCAGAACCCCAATGTCGGGTTTCCAGGCCAGATGAACCCCGGCATGCAGCCCATGCCTCGCGGCCCTAATATGGGCCCTCCTTCGCAGTTTGCTTCTCCTGCAATGGCTCATCTTGGCCTTCCGGGGGGCCAAGGTTCGCCTCATCTGACTGGATCAGCCCATGCGAGTCCCGCTCAGAGTCAGCTTGCCGGTCCCCCTGGCATGCAAGTTCAGTCATCTCCGGTCGGGGTGAACAATAGTCCCAACGTTGGTGCTAATAAGCGCCGACGGGCTAGCACTGTTAAGCAGGAGAATGACGATAACGGCTCGGTTGAAGTGAATGGCAATGTGCCAGGATCAGGCAAGGTCAAGAATGCCCGGGTACCTAAGCGTCAGAAGGGAGCTGCAGCCTAATCAGCTGCTGAAATGCTCTATTGCATTCAAATGCTCATATTTTTGTTTTCACTTTTCATCATTTCCAAGAGTTGGGGAAATCGGCGCACGATTGGATACCAGGGCGAGTCATTTTCTCTTCGCCCGCTTCTTGTCTTTCCTGTCCATGTTTTTTTTCCCTCTCCAGGCCTATTTTGGTCTCATCTGCGCGTTTTACTCCTTTTCACTTTCGGTACTCTGACGATCACATCTGCCACCTCCTTTCGATGAGGTTTTAATCGTTTGCCTATCCCATTGTCGACACTTCCAACTGTCAAGTGGTCGATGGCACCCCATACCCCATCGATTTCGACTGCTCCGACCCTAATGTACTCTATCTCCCTTTTCAGCGTTTCTTTTAGTTGGCCCGGAAATCATTGGATTTTTACGCGTGCTATCTTGAGTGGGATGTTCTTTGCCATGCTCGGGGGTTGATGGTTTTTGGGGTGTGTTTATATGGGCGTTTGCCCTTTGCTTCTGGCCTAGATGAATGGCCAAAATCTTGATATCCGTGGCGATCGCACCTGGCGTCAGGCTTTTTGTGTTTTCTGGAAATATGTGCATTTGTGAGCTCGATTTGGTTCTGAGAATCTTAATGACTTCCCTTCGGGGCTCATCGTTTTGCCGTTACATGACGAATCCATATATATATCCCAGCAATCTGCGTGAACAATGACTTCAATGTTTGCAACTTGACCTCAACTGTATATGTCAATTGGTATATTCATGGTCTATTGCCAAGCTCAATATTGACTAACAGTTTCGCCGAATCGGCGAACTCCGTGCCATTCAATGTTGGAACTCGGCATCTTTTTTTCTTGTTATCCATATCAGTTCCCCACCCCTTGCCTTGATTGCCCCTCCAACCCACCAAACTAACTCCGAACTTCTAAACATCCCCAAATTTTCACATTTCAATTATAATGGCTCACTCTCACGATGGCGGCCTCGGCCACTCTCACGACGACCCTTTCAATGGTCACGGTCACTCGCACGACATCCTGGATGGGCCAGGTTCCTACGTTAACCGTGAGATGCCACTGATCGAAGGCCGAGACTGGAAGGACCGCGCCTTCACCATCGGAATTGGAGGGTACGTGACATTCATTCCACCTGAAACACCCAGCTCCTTTCATCTCTATATCAACCTATACAACCCATGTATCCAAACTCTCCTACTAACACCCCATAGACCCGTCGGATCTGGCAAAACAGCTCTCATGCTCGCCCTCTCCCGCGCCCTCCGCGACGAATACAACATCGCAGCTGTAACAAACGACATCTTCACCCGTGAAGATGCCGAATTCCTCACCCGCCACAAAGCCCTCGCTCCCAACCGCATCCGCGCTATTGAAACAGGTGGCTGTCCCCACGCCGCTGTCCGCGAGGATATCAGCGCGAACTTGCTCGCTCTCCAGACGCTACAAAAGCAATTCTCTACTGATCTGCTGCTGATCGAGTCTGGAGGTGATAACCTCGCTGCGAACTATAGCCGTGAGCTAGCGGATTTCATCATCTATGTTATTGACGTTGCTGGTGGTGATAAGGTTCCTCGGAAGGGTGGACCGGGTATCACTGGTAGTGATTTGTTGGTTGTGAATAAGATTGATTTGGCCGAGGCTGTTGGTGCTGATTTGAAGGTCATGGAGAGGGATGCGGCGAAGATGAGAGAGGGGGGTCCGACTGTTTTTGCGGTTGTTAAGCATGGGAAGGGAATGGACCACATCATCAATTTGATTATTAGTGCTTGGAAGGGAAGTGGTGCTTATGATGTTAGTTTGGAGCGGTGGAAGGCGGGTGCTCCTCGTGGTTCAGGGAGTGTGGATGAGTAGATGAATTACTGTAACTACGTTGGCAAACTATCTACTATATATACAAGGTCAAAAGGTTATTCTCATACGAAACTTGCTTTTTCAGCCATAAAGTTCTATACATACATATGATTCGTTCCGTCCCAACGCCTGAAATGCAGGGGGTCACCAAGTTTTCTATGAGTTCGGGTTCTCATAGAATTCCTCGGCTGGGTATCTGGTGGTTGTCCACGACATACAAAGATCTCTTAGCTCGACAAGAGATGCAAGCAATAGAAACACATTAATCCCTCTTGGCAAAGCGAGCAAGAGCAGGTCCCAGATCGTCGCGCTCCCGCTTGAGCTTCTCCTTGTGGCGCTCAGCATGTTCCTTGCGCAATGTCTCGGCCTTAACCCGCTTCTCATCGATAACGTTGGTACGACCCTTCTTGCGAAGATACTTGCGCAGAGCACTGTTACGACCACGACCACGGTTCTTAATCTTCTCCATCGTATCCTCAGGGCGAGCATCGGTGTTCTTCTGCTCTTGCACCTTCTTGTCATTGATAGTATCAAGACGACCAATAACATTAGGATCCAGGGAGATCATATCCGGCTGCAACTTGGTAAGCAGAGCGTGGACCTCAGCCTCCTGTCGCTGCTTGACATTCTCGTAAGGGTTGGCTTCCAGTGAGTCGAAGTTGGGTTCTCCGGCGCCGGGGACGAGGATACTGGCGAAACCTTGGTCGTGGCCTACACCGAGCACATCCTCGTATGGGCACCAGCGTAGGTTCTCGATACGCTGGCCATCGCCACCCCAGGCCATGTAGGGGCTGTTCACCTTGCCTTGGTCTTCTTGGGCGGCGTCGAAAAGCCCGCGCCAGACGCTGGCTTGTGTACCCCAGCCAACGGCCACGAGATTGCGGTCACTGATTGACACAGATGCACCGGGCTGGTAGCATGAGTATGAGTGGACCTCGCGGAACATACGGATATCCCAGATATTCATCCTCTGGTCTTGGCCGGTTGAGACCATGTAACGGCCCAGACGGTCGATGGCCATGGATCGAACAGGTCCACGGTGCACGAGAGCCTTGACAAGGGCGGTCTGGGAGTTGGGCGACCATAAGGTCACGGTTCCGTTCTGGTGTCCAGTGTGGAGGATAGCATTGGATGGGTTCTGGCAGAGGGCGGTTGGGCGTCCAAGGCGAGTAGGAAGTTCAGCAACTGTCTGACCGGTCGAGGTATCGGTATATTTAAGATAACCACTGATTTGCTACAGCAGAAAGAAAAGTCAGTTTTGCGTAGAGAAAAAGGGAAATGAAGCCATAAACTCACAGCACTGGCAAGCAAGAAGTGGTAAGGCAAGAATTCGAGGAAGAGCGGCTCCAGATGCTTATTCAAGCAGTGCAACTCAACACCTTGGTGATCATAGATGTAGACGTATTTTTTCTGCGCAACCGCAAAGAACTGATTATTGTGCAACCAGCGCGCATCCCGAACCGTCTCATTCAGATTCAGCTCACAGCCCAATGTCCCATCACGCCAGTCCATTGTCGCAACATGACCCTTCCGTCCCGCCAGTAAAAGATTGCGACCGTTCCGACTGTAGTCCATACGGTAGGGACCGAAGTCATTGAGCCGGAGCTCAAAGCCTTTCTTCGCCGTCTCGATTCCAATACTTTGCTGGATCTCATCCTGTCGTACTTTGTATGTCTTCTCGAGTTCACCTTCAGGCTCGAGGAATCCCGCATCATGCTCTAGCAGAATCTCCGCATCCTTTGCCTGTAGAATGGCCTGCTTCTGCTTGGCTTCCTGCGCTTTCAGTGTGGCACGGAGCTTCTTGTCGCGGACGTTCTTCGTTGAGGCTGCTTTGCCACGTCCGTATTGTCTTTCGGCTTCAGCGAATCTCAATTTCGCTGCACGGTCTTCGGCCGACATGATGGCCTTGGACGATGGATCAGCCATTGTCGCTTTTGTGGGTGTTGGTCGTGAAAAAATTGGTGTTGCTGTTGGTTATCTGTGGCAGAAAAGAAAATTTCCCGCCTGATGCTGTTCGACGGAAGGCGGTGCGTCTAGGCGGTGAGCCACCAGGTGAGTTGAGTTGGGTTTGGTGACAGCTATCAATGTAAGGCATTTGTTTCTCTAGAGACTTATTCTCTGGGAATCATCCTTGCCTGTGACTCTGATAATTTGCGACTCCGACTTCAAGGGCGATATGTACAGTTGACCCGGGGACATCAATGTCCAGTCCCTAGACTAGATATTGTAAGCATTCTTGTTATGGAACTTTGAATGTTCACAGTAATTTACACGCAATATTGCTGTTGAATTCCAAGCCAATCTGTTGCAGAGGAGCGGTGTGATTACAGTAGTTGATAGTGCAAAGTACATCGCTTTGCTATCAATATAAGGAACCCAACGATAGATACTAAGGCAAGGAATCGATTTTCAAGGGTTCAAAACAAGAGGCAATAGTTCTGAGCTTAGCATACTCGCTACCTGAATCTACTTCGTACTTTTCATGTTAATTGTCCCTCAACATAATACGTCACTTTAAAGGGCTCTAGTTTCCATCTCTTCTCTTGCATGGCCGTGACTTCTCACGAGTCAAAATGTAAATCGTGATACCAGTACGCTTGGGGGCGTGAAAAGATTCTCCACTCTTCCCGATGAATCACCCGAATTGGCAAGCCTCTTGTTGATTTGATAGAGGACTTGAACCGGAGAGGCCAATTGTGACTTTGTAAATGTTCATAATGGCAAACTATTGCTGAACTTTCATCCAATAGGCGGTTTGGCCGAGTGGTCTAAGGCGATTGACTAGAAATCAATTCTCTTCGGAGGCGGCGGTTCAAATCCGCCAGCCGTCGTTTCATTTTTTTTTAAATTTTTTTTTTAAATTTTTTTGATTTTTGTTCGTTCGAATTGTTCGCAGTCTAGGGCTAGTAATTCGAAAGCCCACAGGGCTCGTTTATTGGCTAAACCTAAAGCGGTTGCAAGTGGGGTCTTGTACCGCTTGACTCGACATACATACTTCATGAGGATGGGCTGTGCAAAGAACAGAATTCATATTGAGACTACTTAGCTAATTAGCTCACATCAGTCTGTTCATAAATGGATTCTTCGTTCTGAAATGAATCTACTTTAAAATTGAAGACTGAAGATTGAAGATTGAAGCTACCGATTAGGATGTATTCAAAATGCTGGTCTGAATTTCTAATGTTTGAATCGGGTTTACTTCTGTAGTGATTATTGGGAATTGCTCCACGTACCCCCTGAATTACTTTTGTATACCCTATCTAGCCCGATCAGGAACTTACCCATGGCTTTGGGACAATTAACTAGATCATCTCCCTTGTAGCCTACCCAGGTAGCCTCAAGTTATCTACTCCAGCACTTACCCTTTCAGTTACGGTGTACTATATGAGTACATTGAATGCATAAATAGATGTAAGGATAAGTAGCGGAAAACGAACATTTGAAAGGTGAATATTATATGTAGGGAGGCACTGAATTCGCAGCTATGGGTATGGTCCTGCATATGTATTATGGTGTACAAGACTAATTTGGGGGGCACATGGAGAAATTGCCGATTATCTGACCTTGAAATCCATATAATATGTAAAAAGTGTCATTCTATACGAAGGTTGGGGTACTGTAGACTCGGTAGTAGGGAATCCTTGCAGTATAGGATGGCAAAGCATAGAAGTTGATGCTTGTTGCTTTTATAGTAGATCAAACCAGACCTAAACATTCATTTCCGTAAATATGTGGCACTTGGGCTCAATATGAGAGCCAAAGGGATAAATAAAGCCAATAAAGCCTGTGACCATCATTCACGTCCCTCATGTCAACATCACCCATCTCTTCTCCAATGTAACTACCCCTCCATCACGCTACGCATCTCAACTTGCACTTGACCTCAACTCTGGTAATAATCACCCCAGTCTATCAGTTCTTCACCTCACATCGCTCATTTAATCATCTTCATCAGCTCTATCCATCACTCGAGGCCAGACTCTCGCTACCTTTCCCATAACCATGTCCCTGGAAGGCCTTGATATCACCCAGGAGAGCCTGGATCGAATCCTGAAGGAGTACAACGACGATCTTGTGAACAGGTCCTTGGACATCATTGCCCTCGGTAAGATCAAATCAGGCAAGAGGAACACACAGGAAGAGTCTGAAAGCTATGTTTATGGAAACGTCATCCGTTTGCTGCCTGGAAACTGCCAAATCCGCATCGATCCAACTACAAACTTCATCCCTGGCCCTCCTTTCCCTGCCGCACCTGTCTGGGATGAGATTATCGGACCCCATGAGTTTGTGGGTTTGACTCGCAAGGAAATCCCACTCGCCACCAAGCGCCACAGAGACACTGCACTCAAGAAGCATCCATTAATTTTACCCAGTCAGAAAGAACTACACCTTCGACCCCAGTTGACCAGACCATACTTCGACTTCGATGCCGAAGGGTACCACTTCGACATAAAATACTGGAAGGAAGGATTTTTTTACATCCACCCGGAATATGAGGGAATCGAGGATCTGACCAAGATAGCCCTCGGCCTGCTCAAGAAACGAAAAGTCCTCTTTGAAACCCAGCTGAATAAATTCCGATTCTCTATGCGCAATTGGAGGATTCAGCGCCGGAAGCAGGAATTAACTCTTCTGGAGAATGAATGGTTGTACAAAGAGGAAAGCAATCACCTGCCCCCGGACTTCGGTCACAGCCACCTTATCGGCGCCCGTCGACACATGGTGATTGAAAATGCCAAGGAACGCGCAGGCCTGATCTCGCCCTTTGAAGTTGGGGTTTTGGAAAAGGAACGTGAGGAGAAGATCGCTCAGCCTTTTGAGTGGGTCGTTAAAGAAATGACTGCCATAGACAAAGCTATCGAGGATGTTGAGAAGATTATTGCCATGAAGGACTTTTGAAGTAAATTTGTCCTGTTTTCCATTCAAGCCTACTGTCAGCAGTCCATGTCAATGTTTTCCGTCAAGAATCATGATTTTCGGGCGACTGTTTCAACCCCGCGCTTGTACGGTTCCGAGCTAAGAATTTAAGATAGCAGAATATCAAAGATCTGCTCCAAGCATGAATTATCAAAAAACAATTGACTGGTCTATTGGCCCCGTAGCGGATTAGCCGCATGACTGGTGGTTGGATCAATTTTCGCTGACACGGTCCTCGCTTACATAAACTCTCCACTTTCCACTATCGAATTTTTGTTATCGCGATTTTTTTTTCCTTGTCAGTGCACGTTCGCTTTGATATACCTCTCGAATAACTTTGAAGAGATTCATTTCTCTCTTCAATCTGGACTCCCTCCCATATCGCTTTAAAGGGTCCAGTGCCAATATGGCGCCCACCCAGGTGCACCATCACCGCTCCACCACCAAGAGTGCCAACAAGCCCTACAAGACCAAGCATGCGTCCAAGGGTGCTCTGAAGGAGCAGGCAAAAGGTATGAAAATACCAAAGGCTACTTACATGCTGAAATATTGTTGTCGGCTGCTGACAATCTGACAGGCAAAGTTGAATTGGAGCGGGGCACACGCAAAACCCCCCACCAACAGCTGAAGTCGAAACTCGATCGCCGCAACACAGCTCGCCAAAGACAAGCATTGAAGCACCAGGAAAAGACTCAGGCAAACAGCATCTTCACCGGTCAAAATGGCGCCCCTCGTCATGTCGCCATTATCCCGTTGTCCACCGACATCGATATCGCTGCTGCCATCACCGCATTGAACGAGAGTGTAGACGTCGCTGCCGAGGTTTCCGCCGACAGCATCACCCGTGTCCGAATTGACCGTTTCCGCCAAAGTCTCCTTTACGTTCCCTCGAAATTTGAACTTTTGAATGCGCTGGATGTGTGCCGTATGGCCGACTTTGTGGTCCTGGTTATGTCCCCTGAGGTGGAAGTGGACGAGGAGGGCGAGCTCTTGCTGCGCTCCATTGAGAGCCAGGGTATTTCCAATGTCATGACTGTTGTTCAGGGCCTCGATAAGGTTAACCCACCAAAGAGACGCTCGCAGGTGGCCTCTTCTTTGAAGACTTACATCAACCACTTCTTCCCGGCTGTTGAGAAGGTCATGAACCTGGATTCGCGACAGGAGTGCTCCAACGCCATCCGCTCCCTTTGCACTGCCACCCCGAAGGGTATTCGCTGGCGTGACGAGCGCAGCTGGATGTTCATTGAGAATGTAAAGTGGCCCGATGTCGACACCGAGGTCGTCGACGACGTTGTTATTACCGGTGTCGTCCGTGGAAAGGGCTTGAAGGCCGACCGTATCACCCATATTCCCGGTTGGGGTGATTTCCAGATCGCCTCAATTACTGCTGCTCCCCTGGCAGCTACAAAGAACAAGAGAGACGATTCTATGAATGTCGACACCAACGAAACTACTCAAATACTGGACTCCCCTACCGCCGACCAGGACGATATGGCTGTTATCGCACCCGAAGAGATTGAGATGGAGGACGACGATATGCTCTCTATGGCCGATCCCGAGCGCAAGGGTGTCTTACTCGATGACCACCACTACTTTTCCGATGACGATTCTCACATTCCCTCCAAGCCCAAGCGATTGCCTAAGGGTACCTCTGAGTACCAGTCCGCCTGGTACCTTGCCGATGTTTCCGACTCTGGATCTGACATTGATGATGGAGACGAGGATGAGGATATGGAGATGGACACAGGTGGTGCGCCCGAGGACGGTGTTTTCCCTGATCACGCAGATGCTATGACCGAGGGTGGACCTTCCGAGTACCCCCAGTCAGAGATGTTCCTTGACCCGTCCCCGGAGGACGAGTCACAAGAACTCGCAGACTACCGTGCCAGCCGACGCAACCAGGCCGATGAGGACCTCGAGTTCCCCGACGAGATAGAACTGCACCCCAATGTGCTGGCCAGAGAGCGCTTGGCCCGTTACCGTGGTTTGAAGAACATGAAGGTCAGCCCCTGGGAGACATCCGAGGACCGCCCCTATGAGCCCGAGGACTGGCGCAGACTGTTACAGTTTGGCGACTACAAGGGCACCAAGAACCGCGTCCTGCGCGAGACCTTGGTCGGCGGTGTTAACCCTGGTATCCGCGTGGACGTCCACCTTCGCGCAGTTCCCGCCTCGCTCCGCAACAAGCCTTTGCCTGTCTCGCTCTTCTCGCTGTTGCGCCACGAGCACAAGCACACCGTGGTCAACATCAACATGACCCTCAGCGGAAGACTCGAGGAGCCCATCAAGGCCAAGGAGGAGCTTATCATTCAGTGTGGCCCTCGTCGGATGGTAGTGAACCCCATCTTCTCGTCCTCCGACAACACCCCCAACAACGTGCACAAGTCCGACCGCTTCATGCACCCCGGCCGCAGCGCCATCGCCACCTGGATCGGACCCATGACCTGGGGTGCCGTCCCAGTCCTCGTCTTCAAGCCCAAGCAGGCTGAAGAAGACCCCGAGGTCCTCGACTCCGCAGACGACAAGAAGGAGCCCATCGCCCTGGACCGTCTCGAGCTCATCGGAACCGGTACCGTGGTCGCCCCCGACCCAGCCCGTGTGATTGCCAAGCGTGCTATTCTCGCTGGTCACCCGTACAAGATCCACAAGAACGTTGTTACTGTCCGTTACATGTTCTTCAATCAAGAGGATGTTGCTTGGTTCAAGGCTCTGCAGCTCTGGACCCGTCGTGGTCGCAGTGGATACATCAAGGAGAGTCTTGGTACGCACGGTTACTTCAAGGCTACCTTCGATGCCAAGATCAACCCTCAAGACTCTGTTGGAATCAGTCTGTACAAGCGCGTCTTCCCTCGCAAGGCAAGGACTTTGGAGGAGGTTGCTGCTTAAAGCAGCGCGTTGGATATAGGCGTATAAGATGGATTATGTGATTTCAATTACATGAGATGATGAAAACCGGGTCCTTGCTCGATCAGTCCAGGAACCGGTGGCATGATAGACCCAAAAGTAGATAGGCTTGAGAATTTCATAATGAGTTACGATTTTTCCTTGCATGCATTATTAGTATACGACGAAACAGTAAAGATCGTCTAAACATTCATTTCAAAGGCACTGTCTACTCCAGTGCTAGCTTTATGATTATGTTGATTTGACAACATCTGCAAGGCCTGTGTTCATTTCCAAGCCGGACAAAAACAACTAATGAAAGGCAAAGTCACCAAAGGGAAATCTCAAGACAAAATTCCTGGCACAAAGAGGCGGGGGAATAAGAATCAGAAATAGAATAAACGCAGTCGAAATCACCATCTAGGAGAAGTCCTCCTCATCTTCCTCGATATTACCCTTGACGCGCAAAAGCAAGGTTGTCTTCCACTTATCCAGCTTGCTGAGCTGGTCATACGAAAATAGTTTATCCGCGAACATATCCTGGTCTTTCGCCTCGATAGCCTGAAGCAGATCGACGAGAAGCTGGTGCTCGCGCTCAGAAACGAAAGCGGGGTTAATTTCACGGTAGGATTCGAAAGCTCGATTGGTTTCGACAAGGTCCTACAGGGAATGATTAGCAAGATTCAGAGAATATAGGTATTGCACGCACATTGGTACAGAGGTGACAGATTCCTGCTTTCAAGAAGTAATCCTTCACCGACCACTTCATGAGGTGGTTGTTCATGGATTGCCGGGCAATGCGCTCATAGTGCTTGATGGATGTGTAGTAATCGCCTTCTAGGGCAGCGAGGTCTGCGACTTTGAGGAAGTGCTTGTTTGCGAGACTAGACACCAAAAATAGTTAGTGATTATCCTTTGGGTCGTCAGATAAAGACTTACGCCTCAGCATTATCGCTCTCAAACCATTCCGCCGCCTTCTCATACGCCTCCAGCGCCTTCTTCATATCTCCAAGCTCCATCTCGTAAACCTCAGCCAGGTACTGTTGCTGGGTAGCAGCACGGCGCAAGTTTCCCTTTAGTACGTAATGTTGAATAGCGGTAGACAGCACACGGACCGCATCCTCGGGGTCAGATTTGCGGTAGACCTTGAAAGCTTCCTGGAGAGTGTTGGCCGCATCATCGGGTTCGTTAAGGTTCTGAGTCTGAATAGTAGCGGCACGCTCAAAAGCCTGACCAGCTTCCTTATCTATTGAAGCAGAGCTGTTAGCTTCCAGCGCAAGCAAGATCAAAGCACGAGATGACAGTGACAGTGACGGTGACGGTGACGGTGTGCGGGGGGGCGACTCACTCAACTTCTGTACCCGAAAAGCATTCGCAGCCTGGCTATACAGATCGGCAGCATTTTCGTATTTCTCAGTACGTCCTCCAAACCAGCTGAAGCCTCCTGAGGCGCCAGAGAGCGCCTTGTCGGCCTAGATACTCGGTGGTGGACATGGTCAGCTATCTTCGGGTTTCGTCATTGCCTAGCTTGTCGTCGGGGGGCGAAGAGAAGGGATGAGCTCACTTTCTGGAGAAGAACTCTAGGATCTTGAGTCATAGTGATCTTTGGAGGAATATTTCTATTCCGCCTTGATTTGATTCGGATTGGAGTTGTTGGACAAAAGTGTCGTTGAGGTTGAAGTACAATAGGTTTATCGCATGAAGCGTCGATCGGGCCACCCACCGCCTTTGCCCGCATTTTGGAGCTTTTCCGTTCACAGTTAAGATTGTTTATTTCAAGGACTCACTGGTGGAAGTTGGTGTTTGACTGAACGGAAAAGAAAAAGAAAAGGCTCTCATTCCATTCCAAAGGTCTCATCTCAGTATCTCAAAATGGCATTCTTTCGCGCAGGCTCGCGATTCTCTCACTCCCTTCGACACACAAACATTCTCCGCAGCTACTCCAGCTCACAGACAGCTCAGCTTGAGTCAATTTTGGCAGAGCCAAGCTGGTCTGTAAAATCATTACTTCCTGATGAGGCTTCGGGGCCACCCACACCATCAATCACACGGAAACAACTTCATCACCTCCTCCGTCTATCAGCCCTACCACAACCGACGAGCGCGGAGGAAGAGCAGTCCATGTTGCAAACACTGGAGTCCCAGATTCACTTCGTGAAAGAGATGCAAGGGGTCGATACCACGGGCGTGGAGCCATTGCGCAGCATTCGAGACGAAACTACCGCCGCGAGACAGGAAACAGCTATTGGACTGGAGCAGCTCCGCGATGCACTTGCCAAGGAGCAAGTTAGTGGACGGAGAAGAAGGATACAGCGTGTGCAGGATGAGAAGAATACTCAACCGGATGGATCGGCCTGGGATGGGAACGCGCTTGGTTATGCGTCTAAAACGAAAGGGAAGTACTTTGTTGTTGAGACTGGCAGTAGTTGAGGCTATTTTATTGTGTAAACTCATGTAATATACTTATACCCAGGGAAGTCGATGTTTCTGTACTACTATTCGAATATCTTCCAATCAACGATTGCCATGAACAAACTATACGGGTATCTAGATGAATGGATATGCGGACTATGTACTATTGAAAGTTCAGCCGATCCGCGTTCATTTTACGACTTAGAACTCAACCAAGATAAGGAGGAAAAATGCCCATCACGATTTGATTGTTAAGGTATGTGGTACTCGGATGCGAACCCGGCACTACTAGGGAAGCATGCAAAAGGGGGGAAGAGAGAGGCTCTATCTCCGCAAGCCAGATATCAAGCGCAGCTCGCTCCCCAGCCTTCTTACATGTTCGTATTTATCTATGCATAAAACTCGTATCTCATATCAGCTTTTCGGCCCCTGTGCCGTTCTGATCCCTTTCCTGGACCAGAACACAGATCATCATTTATTCGAATGCCATCCGACCCTGCCACTGTCGCAGCCGCTTTCCGTACATCTGCAAGGAAGCGATTAAAATCAGCGACGCTATGGTAATGGCAGCCTGTATACCGAGGGCCTTCGCAGGGCCAAGGCTCAAGACCCAGCTAATCTGGACATATGTCGCCATGAATCCACCCCAGTTGCGACTCGCCGTAACCCAGGCACCAACCTCCCCTGAGCCTTCAGGGTAAGCGTCCAGCAGGTAGGAATTGATTGCAGTCGTAACGAGCATGACACCAACAGTTTGAATTGCTGCAAATACTGCAATAACCATGTAGTGCCAGTGTCGCTCGAAGGCGAATCCGAGTACTAGTAGACTCACGGCGCAAAGGATCGTAGCTGGGTATGTGAGAATGAGCCGGGCTTCTGGGTGGAGACGACCTGCGTGTCGTTTGGCGTAGTATCGACCCACTGCGTCGTGGAGGAAGTGACCGCTGAACCAGCCGGCGAGTACGCCGACTACGCCGAAGAAGTAGAACAAGCCTGCACAAGTTAGTTTCAAAAAATCGATTGGTTTATTTTGAGTACTTGCCGATGTCTCGAATGGAGAATTCATACTTGTTGCTCAACCAGATGCCGATGGTGGTGTTCACTCCAACAACCCAGGCAGAGTTGAGGAAGTAGTAGATGAGGATTGTCAACACAGGTATTTTGGTGATAGCTACCACTGGGCGGCACATGCACCGAAAGACGCTTTTGTAACGCCAAGCTTGAGCCTGATGAGCTCCAAGGAGACGGGAGACATAGGAACTGCATGTGACCGGCGGGTTCTTGCGATCAAACAGGGTCTCATCAATACTGAGGACCAGAGGCAAGCTAATTGCCGCAAGCATCGTGCACAACCAAAAAGCCCAACGCCATGTCGTCACCGAAACGATAAACGACGTGAACATGGGGCCAATGTATGGGCTGAGAATAATTGAAAACTCCACATAGTTGATGACTTGCGGGTGTTGGTGGAAGAAGTACAGGTCCTTGATCCACATCAACGCACCTCCCTGCCCGGCACTGCAAAAAAAGCCATTGATGGTGCGTGCAGCAAGATAAGATGGAAAGCTGGTAGCGGCAGCGGACCAGATACAAGTTCCCAGCATAAGCAATTGGAAAAACAGTAGCACCGGCCAACGACCGCAGTAACTTGCGAATGGAACGACAAACAATCCACAGGCACCAATGGTAAAGAGGTTACCCGCCACAGCCCTCTGCACGGTTGCCTGAGTGAGACCCCATTCCCTGGATCTAATCAGCAATCTGCAAGGGACAAAAATATAAGATTTCCGAGGTTGTTTTCTACTCACATAGTTTGCGGGAGGATGGTGATGATAGCCGATCCGCCGGTGTAATCAGCCAAGAACGCGATGTAGGCGATGACAGCTACGATCCATCGTTTCTTGCCCACGGACCAGTTCAATGGGTCATGGGGAGAGTCCAATGGCTGGGGAATGAGGACGTACTTGTGATCAGCACTAGTCTTGAGGTTGACGGCGTTATTGGGATAATGACTGGGGTCCACAACATATCCTTCTAGAGCCTCGACTTCCTCATCGATGCCAAGAGGCCCCGGGGACTTTTCGTGCGTGGGATTTGAAGACGTGGGAATTGAAGACATATTTTGCTTGGATGAATGATAAGGTTGAGGGCAAAAAAGCACTCAAAGAGGGTTTGGTTGCATGAGGTCGTACATGCAAGGAAGAGGAAGTTCGAGGATTAAAACTCATCTGACATGGGTTGGACAACCTTGGACAAGTTTGGACAAATTTGAAGGGTCAGAACCAACTGGCTATCAATTTCCACTTTGAAGATAAACAAAATGGAAAAGTGTGTCCCGTGTCAGTTCATTTTTATGCTATGGAAGGTTGCATTTTCCATTATGAACTGAGTGACCCCACCATTTAGGGCATATCTTGACCATGTCATACGCCACTTTATTTTTATGCCCGCGGTGATCATGATACATGCGTGTGATACATCTCGTTTCTCAAGTAAGGAGCCGAATTTTGAGAGCTCTTGTTATAATCAGTATCAATTAGAGAGAGAAAAAAGCCAAAACTCGTCTAAGTCCGAGTCCGAAGATCCACGCGTTCATGCTGATATCGACGCCCGATTCGTGATTCAAAAGGTAAGATTTACTAGGATAAGTTTCATTGTCGGCTTCGACTGAGGAATCGGTCACATTGTCACACAGACCAGTGTTGGCCGGTCATTTCTCCTTTTTGTACGATTATATGTAAAACCACGATACGCTCCCCTTCTTCTTTTTCTTGTGTACTAGTAGATTGGGGTTTATCCCCGTTGTCTCATCTTTCTAGGTTTCTTCTCTTGTCAATATTCACGTCATTTATTTCTATGCAACGCACTCGCTTTCTCCAACTGTACACTTCGCACACTTTTCGGGCCTTTCCAGGTCTATATAACCTCCATGACGGGTGGATTGTCCATGTCCAATGGAGGGAAAGGCTCAGTGGTTCTGGGTGTAACATGGGCAGAAATGGGGTTGGCTCTCATTTTGATCATTCTTCGTGCTAAAACTGCTTCGATTTGTCCTTCGCGACAAATCTCATCGGGCTTGTTCGGTTTACGATGGGACTTCTTGTGGGTGATCATTGCCTTTGTAAGTAAAGCTCGTCCTCATTTTTGTGACTTTCATTCTGACTATGATTCAGGTTTTTGCTTTGGTGGCTCAGAGTATTATGACTGTGAGTGTCCGGTATGGACTCGGCACTCACCAGCATTTGCTTGAACCCGATATGATCGTGCAGACCAATCTGTGGAGCTGGATTGCTCAGGTTACCGCCATTTTGGACTTGGTGATTGCACGCATTGCTGTCATTGCCTTCCTGCTTACCATCCAAAGTGGCACTCGAAGCAAGGGCCGGTACCTTCTGTACGCCGTGGGGGCAACCCAAGCAATCATCAATGTGATCGAGGTGGGCTTGATCTTCAAGCAGTGCTCTCCGACAGCAAAGCTCTGGAATGGCAGTCTACCAGGAACATGCGACGGGGTTGTCCTCTGTTCCCAGGTCGGATTTGCTCAAGGGAGTAAGTGAGCTACATCCGTTTGGTGGTTGCATTACTGACAACTTCAGGCATTGGAGCGTTTTGCGACTTCTTCTTGGCCGGTTATCCGGCGTACGTTATCGGTCGACTTCAAGTGATGAAGCTATCGACTAAAGTCGGTCTCTGTTTAATCATGGGAGGCGGACTAATGTAAGTGTCCGAATCCAGCCCCAACATACCCTGCTAACACATGAATAGTGCAGGGATCGCCGGGATCAACAAAACCATCGCAATCGCCTCGATCACCGAATCAGGGGATTTGACCTATGCCATCTACAAATTGAATACCTGGGTCTTGACCGAAATGTGGTTCATCATCATCTTCGGCTCCGTTCCTACGCTCCGTCCGTTCTTCATCCGATTCACCCAGGATCTCAAGAGCGCCACCGGGTTCTCATTGCGAAGTTCCGGTAAACGCTCCAATGGTCGGGACTATCCGGTCGAATGCCAAGAACAACGCCAGTCGTGGGTGGAGTTGGACCATCGGGCCTCCTGGAATCCACATGTCACCGCTATCACAAGCGCAACCCATGATGGCGAGGATGCTCAACGTAGAGATGAAACGAAGAGGAACGAGCAACAGATACTGGTTACAAAGGACACTTCCGTTGTTTCTGAGGAATGTCAAGTGAAGGGAAGGGAAACTTGTCTCCGTACATGAGACAAATATCAGATTACTTCATAAATTAATTGAACAAAAACTGAACATTTCACCAAGCAAGAACCCGTAAGAATGACCATATCAGTGATGTATCAACTTTGTATGGGAACCTACGTTACACTAACTCCTTACATCGGCAACGTGCATGAAAGCCGATGAGGACAAACTTCCCCAGAACTACTTCGCATCCCCCAACCGTCTTTGCGTAAATCTGATTTCAGAACAACCCAGGATCCATCATGTCTGTATCAGATGCCCTCTCGAAGGTCCAAAAGCTCGTCTCCGAAGAGTCTGCAGGAAATAATAATACCCACGCGGCTCTCCTCAAAGCGATTCGGGAGCTTCAACTTGCGGTGGAGACACCTCTGGAGACAACCTCTCGATTGAACTTTCAGGTGCGTTCCAAATCAACAGAATGTTGACACTTCTTAATCTTTTTTATTCGACAAGATCCTGCAAAACATTTCTATTCGAGTTGCAATTGAGCACAAGTTCCTACATGTCCTCGTTACTCATGGGAAGTCCATTTCCGCTGCGGAACTGGCTCAGGAAACAGGATCGAATCTTTTGTTGATTAGTTGGTGACACCATTCTGTAATCTTGAGAGCTGACAACTGATTCGCCAAACTCTTAGTCCGAGTCATGCGCGTGTTAAGCGCCGTTGGCCTGTGCGATGAAATTGACAATCAACTTTACGCCGCCAACGACAAGACCCGCTTCAAGATCCTTCCAGGATCCATTGCAGCCGAGAAGCATCAGTGAGTGACTTCTTTGAATTAACTGTCGGGTTATGCTACCATGGTGTACGTGACTAATCTTAAATAGCTTCGACCTCGATTTCGGAATGGTAAGAGCACTCCACTGAAATCAAGACACCCATTTTAATGATCACAGGGCGGGCGACTTGTAGACTATATGCGCGGGCCAGGAATCCAACAATTTGCCGATGAACCTGATGCCATCACACTGTTCAAATATGCCTATGGCACCGATGTAATCTTTGGTCTATTGGAGAAGAATCCAGAGCAGAAAGAAGCCTTTGACGATTACATGGCTGCGCGTCGCGTGGATGACATGCCGCAGTGGTTCGAGATCTACCCAATTGCATCAACGCTGCGCTCTCTTCCTTACGACCCCAGTGCAGCTTTGATTGTTGATGTGGGTGGAGGCCCTGGACAAGAACTGATAAGATTCAAGGAGCGGTACCCCGATCTTCCTGGCCGGTTTGTCCTTCAAGATCTTCCAATCACGCTGAACCGCATTGTGGCATTGCCAGAGGGGATCGAAGCTGTGGAATATGACTTTTTCACCCCGCAGCCTGTCAAAGGTATGTATCATGCTTCATCGGTCACACATTTTGCTTACCATGCGTTAGGCTCCCAAATCTACTTCCTGCGGGATGTACTGCATAACTGGTCCGATGCCAAGAGCGCTCTGATTCTGTCTCAGATTGTTGAAGCTATGGACCCGGACTACTCCATTCTTGTCATCGATGATTATGTTCTTCCGGACACTGGGGCTGAGCTTCGAGCTGCGGAAATGGATATTCTCATGTGGCTTCACACGGCAGGACTGGAAAGGACGGTCTCCCAGTGGAAGAACTTGTTTGATAAGGTCGGCCTTGAGCTGGTTGACATCTGGAGTTCTCCTCGTGGAAATGAGTCGGTGCTGGAAACAAGAGTGCGGAAGTAAAAAGCACGACCCCCACAGCCGCAGAGCCGCAGAGCCGCAAAACAGGGGTCTTCCCAAGGTCTCGAGGATCCGCTCTCGCCATAATGACTATTTTGCTTGTATGAAATAGTCCCCAGCTCATGTATCTATTCAATTTATTCCATTTGTAAATTTGCCTGAAAGGAGGATCGTGTGACTGTGTTGTTATTTTTCTATTTCCGGCCTACTGCTGCCTCAGGCAATAACCGGAAGCCAAGCATATGATGGCCCCTCACCTCTGCCAACTTAACTTCCACTTCCTCTCATCTGACTATTTCGATTATCATTGTTTGGAACTAGCCTTGAATTCACAGTAATGTTCAAGAATCTAAAAGAAAAACATGGCCACTTTTTCGAGTCAAAAGAGGCCAATGCACCCACCCCGAGCGAACGCGGTCAAGATCTGACGTCAATACTGGACCGGTCGCAACGGGCTGACCTCACAGTACTCGTCGCGGAGATTGTAGAGTCGATGAGAATTAAGATTGTCGAAACTTTCGAAAACTCCGAAGAAAGCTTGGATAAAAGCCCAACCCTCAACCCAACAGAAGAGGATGGCGATGCAGGACCACCGCTCCCTGCTAGGCCGGGTAGTTCTTCCGAGGCGGATAATAGCCCGCAATCTTCCAGATCTGACATGAAGAAAAATTCATTAAGAGAAAGAGCTAAGAAAATGGCGCTCACTCATTTTGACGATTGGAGGGATACCGTGCTGCTGCGGATCGGCGAGGTGGTCAACAAAGATGACGAGAATCAGACACCGCAAGAGAAAGATGCGGTCATTGCATCTGATGATCTTCCTTTGGGTGAAGATACTCAGCGGATGGAAAAACTCGCGGAATTTTATCACCCTGTGGAAACACCATTGGCGCAGCTACCTAAAGCGAAGAGGCTGCTTATCCTGCACTCTCTTCTTTTATTATTGCTCAGTCTTGAGCATTATAATGCCTATTCGCGTGTTCTTATGCTCCATAGCGCGTCCAGCCTTGATATAGACATCAAAGTGTTGAATGAAGATGAAGTCAAGGTAGCACGTGGGCTTCTCGATAACGCCTTGGCACTCTCAGACCCAGAAGCGAAACAGCCGGCCAAGAAAGACGGTTCCCGCAAATGGAAAGTCGGTATGGCATCCGTTGCCGGTGCCGCTCTGATTGGTATTACTGGTGGTCTGGCTGCTCCATTGGTCGCTGCAGGTATCGGAACTATGATGGGTGGACTTGGACTGGGTGCGACTGCTGCGGCTGGGTACCTCGGTGTTCTGGCCAGTAGCGGTGTGGTGGTTGGTGGACTGTTCGGAGCGTATGGAGGACGCATGACTGGTCGGATGATGGACAAGTATGCGAAGGAGGTTGAAGACTTTGCTTTCATTCCTATCCGAGGCTCAAGGAAGCGCACCGTGAAGGAGAGTGATGCTGCTCGACAGGATCATCGGCTGCGAGTTACCATTGGTGTTACTGGCTGGGTGAGAGATGAATCCAACTTTGTGGTTCCATGGCGAGTCATTGGGGCTGATTCGGAGGTCTTTGCCCTGCGCTGGGAGACGGAATCTCTGATGAAACTCGGGAACGCTATCTCGTCGCTGGTAACTAGTGCGGCGTGGTCGGTTGCGGGAAAGGAAGTTTTGTCTCGGACCATTTTCTCGTCCATCATGAGCGCGGTTATGCTTCCTCTCGGCCTCATCAAGGTTGCTGGGGTCGTTGATAACCCATTCAGCGTTGCGAAGTCCCGAGCCGACAAGGCAGGTGAAGTCCTAGCAGATGCCTTGATCAGCAAAGTCCAGGGAGAGCGACCTGTCACTCTGATTGGATACTCCTTAGGATCACGCCTAATTTTTTCCTGCCTCCAGAATCTGGCTAAGAGAGAAGCCCACGGTCTTGTTGAATCTGTCATCCTAATGGGATCACCAACTCCCTCTGATACCGAGTACTGGCGTCGCATTCGCAGCGTAGTTAGCGGCCGAGTAATCAACGTCTACTCCGAAAATGACTCTGTCCTAGCCTTCCTCTACCGCACAAGCAGTCTCCAACTTGGAATTGCCGGGCTCCAAAAAGTCAAAAATGTTCCCGGTGTTGAGAACGTCAATGTGAGCGAAATGATCAGCGGCCATCTTCGGTACCAGTTCCTACTTGGCAAGATCATTTCGTCCATTGGACTCCAGGACATCGATATCAGTGAAGTGAAACGCGAAGAAGCTGCTTTGGAAGTTGAGGACAAGAAGAAGGAGGAAGAGCTTGCCCATAACGAGCGCGAAGCCGGAGTGACAGATCGGGATTCATCTGTTGCGCGCGATACCCTGAACAGCCAAGATGGGTTTGGGGAGGAGGCGCGGATGCAAAAGCAGGTTCAAACGCAGACAGAGGACCATATGACTAGCCATCGAATTCGAAAGCTGGATTTGGATGATGCAGACTACTCTTCGCCGTTGGCGGATCAACCAGGGAAGCACTCTGCTCTGTGAGATAAGATCTGATATCAGGAATTTTGTATATTTCCCCTATATTGAAAGGATTTTAAGTGACTTCGGATAATTGTGCAAAGTGCCTAGAATACAATGCTAACTGGGGCGGGGGGGGGGGGGGGGCTTTGAATTATCTTTAAGAGCTTCTTAAGATGATTCTACGTCGTATGCACTAAGTAGTTATCCTAGTACATGGGGGTCCTATAAAGTACTGAATATTGAATCTTTCACTGTTGAATTTGCTATCAAATTTACCACTGAATTGGTCATTAGACATATATATTAAATCACTAGTAGTAAACTCCCCAGAATAAGCCATTTTACAAATAATACTGTAAATTTTGGTGATTTTACAAGCGTCGCGCTACATCATTGACGGGCTGGAGTGAGCGGAATTGGCAGAGCTCAATTCGCCGTTATATCATGGTTCACCCGGACTACGCTGACATGACTCCCTGGTGCGGGAGAGAAACGGCCGATACTACTTATGAAGATAGAGCAGGTAATTTCACAGCCTTGCTCATCGACTGTGGGTACCTTGATGCCGAGGAATGGGCGGACGAACGCCCCAAGTATTTCATTGAGGTCAAGGCGACGACAGGGCCTTTGGATCAACCTTTCTTCATGAGCAAGCATCAGTATTAGAGGGTGAGTGCTTTAACTGTTATTAACCATTCATAAATGCTGACATATTCTAGATGAGCGCTATCCATAACAGGAAGGATTATTCAGAGGTATACCTGATTTCCCGAGTGTTCAATATTTGGGGAGGGAATCCTGGAGTGAAAGTGTATCTCGACCTGGAACAGCTAAGACTGGACGAGGGACTTGTTTTTACTGGCGAAAGCTGGTCGGTTGTGCTCGGCCAGTGAAACTTCGTAGAATTCATTTTTTCATTCTATAAACAATATTCAAATATTGACTCCCAAAATGAGGGCATATTTAATGGTATGGTCGCCCATACACCCGAGCCTCTTCCCGCCCATTTTCCCCTTGTCTATCCTGAGCTTGTTCGAATCCCTGTGGTGCATAATGCGACTGAGCTGGATATTGAACTGGGTATTGCACCGCATCAATAAGAGGCTCAACCTGCGAAAGTTGAACCTGCTCAAACGGCTCGTTATGCTCATAAGCAGTCTGCGAACTCAATCTCTGTTCCTGCTCGCTGTTGTCCTCAACATCCTCTTTATAAATCGGCTTCTGGTTCCGCACATGAACATGGTGCAAAGTCCTGTACATGGATCGCACCTCCCGCATATACTCCGTGGGGTTGTAGTATGCGAGCCAGGCGTATATGCCATATGATCCACCTTGATAAGATCGTGGTACGGGTCGTCCGTGCTCGTTGATCTCGGCAAGCTTTTGTTCGGAGTCGCTGGGTGATAGTTTCACACGGTATACTTTTGTGCTGAATGCGTAGCGCATGAAGAATGCGAAGGGGACCATTTGGACACAGATTACCATTGTTGGTATCCCCATGTGGACGTCTGCGTAGCTGAGTTTTGGGGTTTCTTTGAAAATCTTTGAGGATTCTAGGATCATGAAGGCAACCTAATCACTGGTTAGAGTGGAATTTGAGTGATGGACTGGGGGAAAGTGGCATACCTGTTCGATAAAGATAAGACCGACCATCAATTTGAACGATAGAAGCTTCATCAATGGCTTGTGTTCTTGCATATAATCCTTTGTGTTTGCATAAAATCGAATAACAGCATTGATAGCGATGGTTACAGAGACTTCTTGGACAATTTGAAGCTATTTGATTTGTCAGTCGTGAATTTATGCTCATGGGATGAATATTACATACCCAGAGATGGGCAAAGGCCGGCTTATTCGAATCAAGACAGTATCGGTCAAAGGCCGCAGCGACAGACTGAGCGATGGCGACCCAGAAGATAACAATCGGGTACTGCAGTGTTGAATAATAGCTGAGCTATGTCGAGAATATTTGTCAGCGCTTGATCTGGAGAACATCATAGCAACTTACCTTCAGCCACGAAATGCCATCCCTATATTGGTTTCTCCTGAAAATCTTCTTCACTTTAAGCTTCCCAAAGAATTCGTCGCGTTTTCGCTCGGTCGGGGAAACGAAATCAATCAGAAGCATGTGAAATGCATAGAGCGCAACGGCCTGGAATACTTCTGTCCATCCTTCCAAATAGACGTATGAGTTTGGGAAGACGATTGCTAGGTAGGATAGAACGGAAAAGGCAGGAAGCATATGTACGATTCTCATAATTCTGATTTCATTAGCATGAGATGATCTGAGAATAAGTTGTTGCATACTTGATTTGTTCATTGGGAACACTGCAATGACTGGCGTGTTCCGCCATAAGACTAAAGATCAATACACAAGTAATGAAAGTGCATACACCGGAAACGATCATGTTAAAGTGGTAGAAAGTCATGTCCCCTAGGAAGGGTTGCTCCACTGCTACCATTAGCTGGGTTATTCGTCGATTTGGTTCCTGCAACAAACCTTCTGTGAGATGTGCGGGCATGGGACAAGTTTCATTTTTCAAGTAACTCGAGATACCCCGAGGGAGAAGGGAACCCTCGAGTAGACTCATGATTGCAAGAAATGATATGCTAAGCAAAAGCCTATATCACCTTAGAAAGGCAAAATGTTTGTTGAAGGAACTTGCGGAAGTTTCGGGGCGAGTCTTATATGAGAGCCAGACCGTATGTAATGCTATTTATGGATTTTGGCATGTTGGGTCCAATGCTTGTTGATCTTTCCAGTCCTGTGTCCGTAGGCTAATTTCACGGCTGGGATCCATATTTCAGCCCTTTGAGACCCTCAAAAGAATCCTTCGGGGCTAAGTTGGGGTGGGGGCCTAAACTAATCCAAGTATGGTAAACTGTTCGAACTTGTGCATACGCCAAGACCGCTGATCAGTTTTCGATATCCCAACTGATCCTCCAGAACGAATCAATTTTACCCTGACCATTTCTTTGCCAATCAGGGCAGCTTGCTCCTTCACTGATCGTCGTGCCATATCAAATGATATTTTCAGTGCCGAGATCGGGAACTTGGATTTTGAGCCCCCACGTTTTGGTGGCGGTGTGCTGCGTGCAAGGGTAAAGTATTCTGTACAACACAAACACAGAAGGGGAAGGGGCTTTTAATCATTAACTTCGAGCACTTACTTGGAGGGAAGCCGCATTTCACAAATGGCGAGGGTAATGCAGCGTTTATGAGATACAATTATTGAGGGTTTGTTTTCATTCTAGGAGCAGTTGACTAGTAGATTACTCAGCAAGTCACAGCCAATCAAATCACGTTACCCCAAATGCTTGTTATGAACCCCACAAGGAGCTATGACCACCTCTTTGATTTCGATTCTCAACGATGATCTGACAGGGAGTTCACAACAGCACGACCAAAAATACAGTCTCCACACGGCCCATCACTTCCAATACTGAACACACCATTCGATATCGAGATCAAACTACTGTACTATATCACAAATAATTTGAAACCCGAACCCCCTGAAACCAAGACACCGCACTCGACTCATTCGAAAATGGCCACATCGCGCCCCACAATGAAAGCATGGCTGTACAGCCACACAGCAGGCGGTCTAGAAAAAAACATACACCTTGACACATCCGCACGCACACCCTCGCCCCCACGCCCAAATGAAGTCCTCGTCCAAGTCCTCGTCGCATCCCTCAATCCAGCAGACTACAAAGTCCCCGAGATGTTTCTCGGCCTCGCAGCAAAGCTAGTAATCGGCACACCCGCAACACCAGGAATGGACTTCTGCGGACTTGTTATCGCACTCGGTTCTAACGTGACAACGTTCACGACCGGACAGCTCGTTTATGGATGTCCGAGTCGACCGGTGAAGTTCGGGTCGTTGGGCGAGTGTCTATGCATCTCGGCGGATTTGATCGCGCCGGTTCCGGAGGGTGTGGCTGTAGAACAGGCGGCTGGGATTGGGATTGCGGGACAAACAGCGTTGCAGTCGTTAGATGGGTATGTGATGGCTGGTGATAAGGTTTTTATTAATGGTGGATCTGGAGGTTGTGGGGTTTTTGCTATTCAGATTGCGAAGAACATGGGCTGTCATGTTACTGCTACTTGTTCGACGAGGAATGTGGAGCTTTGTCGGGGGCTTGGGGCGGATGAGGTCATTGACTATACTGTTGAAAGGGATTTGAGTGCGACGTTGCAGGAACGGGGCGTGGTTTTTGATCATATTTTGGATCATATTGGCCTTCCTTATGATCTTTACTTTCAGTGTCATCATTTTTTGAAACCTGAGGGTGTATTCTTGCAGGTTGGGGCTAACAGCATGTCTACTCATGTAGGGAGAGTTGGGTGGCCCAGGTTGTTGGGTGGTGGGCGGAGGAAGTACACGATTTTCTTCTTTGCTAATACGCAGGCGCATATTGTTGCGATTGGAAAAATGCTGCAGAAGGGGACTTTGAAGGTGCATGTGGATAGTGAGTACGAGTTTGAAGATGCTGTCAAAGCATTTGATAAGCTGCGTTCGGGGAGGACCAGAGGTAAAGTCTTGGTGCATGTTTCCAAGCAATGACTGATGTTGGTATCCATAATTCAAAATGCTATGTGAATGAATGAATTTTCGAGTATAGTAGATCTCAACGCCAATCTCATATCTCCGCGTTTGCTGAAGTCATGCAGTCCACTGGTTGAGGTCATGCTCATCAAAGACCTATTTCCTCTGCAAAAAAGTCAAGGCCCCCAATGCCATAGCATCCATGCCCGTCTGCAAAGTCGGTTTAATCACCGGTGCAAAGAAAGGCGAGTGATTTGAGGGTAACTCATTAATTGTTCCTTTCTCAACAGCATCATCCCACGTCTTCTCATCAATCCCACCAAACATCCACATCACATAAGGAGCCCCAACTTCCGTCGCCAATAGCGAAAAGTCCTCACTCGCACTCGGCCGCTCCATATCAACCACCCGGTCCTGGAAATAGGACCCAAACGTCTCCCGAAGAGCTCTAACACTCTCCCCATCATTGATAGTCGACGGACACGACGACACAACCTTCACAAGCGGCTTCTCAACCGCACCCCCAGCAACACACTCCGCCTCAACAATCCTCCGAATAGCATCAAGCACCCTCTTCCTCACCTCACCATTAAACGTCCTCACACTAATCTGCAAATCCAAATGATCCGGAATAACATTCGCCGAGTTCCCAGCATGAATACTCCCACAACTCACAACCGCCAATTCACCCGGCGTCACCTCCCTCGACACAATAGTCTGCAACTTCACCACAATTGACGCACCAATCACGACAGGATCAACAGTCGTCTGCGGCGCAGACCCATGCCCTCCCCGTCCAAATACCCGTACTTCAATCGAATCCGCCGCTGTAAGCAGCCTCCCGGCACGAAGATTGACACTCCCCGCTCGCATCCGCGTTACATGCTGCGCGAGCACAAGATCCGGCTTGGGGATTTTCTCATACAATCCATCATCCAGCATTGTGCGTGCACCATCCCCTTGTTCTTCGGCGGGCTGGAAAATGCAAATAAGCGTTCCGCTCCAGTGCTCGCGCGCGGCATGCAACAGTGTCGATGCAGCCATCAAGCTCGTAACGTGAGTATCGTGTCCGCAGGCATGCATAACGGGTTTGATGTTCCCCTGAATGTCTTTGACCGTGCGAGTACTCGCGTACGGCAGGCCGGTCTTTTCCTCTAATGGGAGGGCGTCCATATCCGCCCGGAGAAGAATCTTAGGTCCAGGTCCATTTTGGAGAATTGCGGCGACGCCATGGCCGCCTATATTGCAGTGGACTTCGAAGCCGAGGGCTTGGAGGTGCTTGGATGCTAATTTTGCGGTTTGTTTTTCTTGGCCGGAGAGTTCGGGGTTGGCGTGAATGTGGCGGTAAATTTGTTCGAATTGTTTCAGATCTGGTTGGTATTTTTTAAGTAGATCTTCTAAATGGCTGTTGTCTTTGCTGTTTCCTGTGTGGTGTAAGCGCATGATGAAACGAGTTGGGGGAATCGGTTGATCCGGGGAATCTATATATACCGATGGTGAGTTTCATGTTCATGGTGGGCTAATTTTAATGGCAGTCCGTTCCAAGGTCCAATGGTTGAATGGGGTTTGAGGTTAATTTAACTGTTTGCCGAGCGGTCTGTACCGGGAGCATGGGAATCCAGTTGCACACGTATGCTCGATGTTCTCTAGATAAGCGCCGAACTCCGCTCATAATCCGGAGGAAACGGACTCGAGTCCACTACCATCCAATTATTACAACCGAGAGATGACCATGCATTGATACTCTTTATCTCCGATCTGCCATGCCATTATATAATTATCTAGATCCAAAATGGCCGAGTCCCCACTTCCCCATGCACGAACAATACGTCCCCTTGGGTGTTTATCGGCTGCTGCTTTAGCTCGAGCAGCTGATTGGACACAGCGCTTCCGTTGAATTTCGCTCTATGCTGAGTGCGCAGCGCAGTTTAATTCCAATATTATCTTTGATGATACAGATTGCTAATACCAATGAATTTGTCAAAACATGGGTGGAAGGGAACTCTACGGCTCTTAGATAGGATCCATCTGTTGACACGCTAAATAAAGCACGACAACTAACTACCAAATGACGAAGCGATAAAAGATTAAAAAGAAAGTTTTCATACAAAACATAATGCTTACTAATATTTCTGCTCACAATGTTATTTTCGACGAAGACAAGATGTTGTCCAGGCCCAGCTAATTCCATGACTAGCCCCAAGAGCCCGCAGTACTCTCACGATTCAAAGGAAACCCACAGAACATCGATATCCCTAATCAAGTAGCTGCTATTGGTAGAAAACAAAGCTCCATAGTGACTTGGTGATCTACAAGAGTCATATTTTCTAGAGCGGGGCAGTCATTGTCCAGCGGAGCGCCAACTATACACTGAGCTGTCGGGGACTCGATCTGATCACCGACAACCAATGTGAATCAACCCAAGTGCTTTAACGTTTACGTAGGTGATAAAATTCAACAGGCATCAAGCCAATGCCTATTCTGACAAATTCACTCAGCAGATGATCAGAACCTTCACGTCCGATCGGGAATAATGTACTCTGCCTTGCGCTTGGACCTACATCAGCCACAAACAGGATCTTCTTACGGCGCAAAATATATGCAGACTACACTATAGTTGCTGACCAGTGTCAAACTCTGTTCTATCCTCTGACGTTGTCTTGTCTTTAATAATTTTCTCCCCTTTGGTGTGTGTCACTGGGTCGGTCCATCGAGGAGTTCCCTACGGGCCGGTCCCACTAGTGGAACCCGCGATATGCTTTCAGCCACTCACAACCCATCCACAAAAAAATTCAGCAATGCAAAAAGAGATGCCAGGTTTTCCCTGAAGAGAAACCGAACGCGGGGGTCGAACCCGCAACCTTGAGATTAAGAGTCTCACGCTCTACCGATTGAGCTAGCCCGGCTTGCTTGTTGAAGAGATGTGCCATACATGGACTCATGAAGGCAACATGGACACTCAATGGGAAAAGACAAAAAGAAAACAACTCAGATTGCTCTGAAGAGAACCGAACGCGGGGGTCGAACCCGCAACCTTGAGATTAAGAGTCTCACGCTCTACCGATTGAGCTAGCCCGGCTGGGCTTGTTGGAGAATTGTTCCTAATAGTGTCTCAGATTCGGCGACGAGGATGTTCATCCCCTATTCAAGAATCTGAAGGGAATTGCCAATGGGAAAAGGCTGACAGGAACCCGGGTTAATCCTGTAAGACATATGGATTGGCTTCCTCTATCAACAGCCATTGACCAGTGGTGAAACCTTCGGGCAATGGTCTTGGCGGGGTCTGGACAAATCGCCCGGGTGAAGGTGATGTCAACCTGGAGATATATCGTGGATGCCTAGGTAGCCAGAGTCAAGAATGACCAGAGTCAGAAAATGATGCATGTCGACCATAATGTTTTGCAGCCCTGCTCGTCATTAGTTTCATGCAGCCCTGCTCTGGTGACTTGCATCGGTGGCTGTGTTCAGGAACGAGGACACACTGTCAGCATTGAGAACAATACGAACGACGTGGGTGGCTGGTGTAACGAATCACAAACGTTCATCAGTGGCTTCCTGTGGCTTCTAGTGGCTGAGGCTGTGCGGATTGAGCTCGTATTTTGATCTCATCAGCCTCGTTGTGGCTCAAGAAGTTGATGTTTTGGGGGCCGAAACATGAACAAAATCCCCGACCCAGGGCCTATTCTTAGAGGGCTAAGAATAACGATCATTTCCGGAGCCCCAAATTAATTCAGATCACCATAATGGGAAATTACCAAAAAAGGGAATGAATCTAAATTGGGAATGAGCTTGAAACTTGTCAATGGTGTTGGTTCGCTGTTGGTGTTTCAAGGGTTGCCTCAGTAGACGCTTGATCAGGGGCAGCGTTAACAGAACCAAATGAACATTATGCGCCCAGGCTAGAGCCTCAGGATCATGAAGATGTAAACAACGGGTGGTTATCAATGCAAGATGACAGAATGGCTATTTTCCGATCGTATAATCCTGGTGACTCGGGGACACTTTGCAAGTGACTTGATGCACGAGACGTCCTTCGCGGGCGCAGGAACACGAGAGGCTCAAGCCACAAAGGGAACATTGCTTGATCGAGTAGGCAACAAACATGACGATCGATTCAAAATAAAAATATGAAAACCAATAAAAATAGAAAATAGAAAATAGAAAATAGAAAATTGATGTTTGAGGGTTGAGGTTTGAAAGAAGAAATGGAAGGGGGAAGTCAAAGCGGAGACTGAATTCAGTAACAAAGTGGCCATCGACCCCGCGAGTCTGGAATTCAATCTGCAGTGGAATCTAAACATTCGGACCAATCATGGGCCGGTTCGTCCTGACTGAGCCACATGAGCTAGCGCCGTACAATATACATTGATTTCTATTCTAAAAGGTGGGGGCAGTGGGTACTGAGGAAGTCACTCATACATCCACTTAGCGTTTTGGCCTACGATCCCAGGCTCCAGTGGGCTCAAATCCGCCTTGTGAATCATTAAAAACTATATAACTTACTTCCCCCCACCATGTTCTTTCTCATTTCAATCCATTATATCAAACATCCACATTTGGTCTCATACTCTGAACAACATCCATCTATTTGAGACTTGAGTCACTTGATCATTCTGCTACCCTATCCACTTATCTATCTATACGGTGATCAAACACCGTCTTTACGCGTGACCCCCAAGAAATCAGCCATCGTGTCTCCCAAACGCTCAACCACCTACGTGGTCGACCCCAACACCTTCTCCACTATGGAAAGATCTTCCCGCTCACCATCGCGACGCCAAAGTGTCCGCTACTCCTCGCCAATGCCAGCAGTTATGGTTGAGCCCACCGTCGTGCGTGACCTTTTCGACGACGAGAAGCTCGTCCTCGATGACTTCGAAAGTCACATTGCCCGCTGCACTCCATGCGCCCTAGCCATCGAAACCGGCGAAAGCTACCATTGCGAGCGTGGCTACCTCCTCGCCCTCGACGTGACCAAATACCTATACAGTGAAGGAGGCAAGCCATTTGCAGCAGTGGATAAGGAGAATGGCAAGCCAAGACGAGTGAAGCTGCCTCGAGACTCGAGTGCAACTCGCAGCCTTCTTGAGTCAATCGAGAAGGGAAGACGTCTCCAGTCTCCTCGTCGTGGACGTGCTCCTGCTGTTCGTCCTCCCAGCTCTACCTCCAGCACTCGGCCTGTGATTGAACAGTTCAGGCCTCGCTCTCACACTCCGGAGCCAGTCTCTTCTCCTCTCCAGATCATTGAGCGCTCGCCATCTCTCAGCAAGCGTCACGTTATCGTTTACCCTCGTTCTTCTCGGCAATCTTCTCGATCTTCAAACGCCTCCAGCCGCAGCCCGTCCAACAGAGGCTCGCTCTATGTCCCTGACCATCTGGACCGCGAAGAGCGACGCTACGAATCCAGTAGCCAGCGATACCACCGCTGAGCACCCTGAACACAAAGAGAACAAGAACCCATGTTTATGATTCATCACCTTTGATATTTCACACTCTTTGAAACCAAAGCGTCCCAATCCACTGGGCATAGATTGCCCAGGCTAGCAATTATCTAGTCATTTCGCCACGGCCCGAAACATACGGCCCCAAATTCATTTCCAACAGAAGGGGAAGTGGCTTGCCTGGAGCGCCCACCCTGCAATCTGCAATCTGTTCACTTCAATTCAGCTATCTTCCATTTTGAAGGCGGAATCCCAGATTGGAAACGATCTGGCTTCCATTGGCGTGACTCGACAATCCTATACTTAGTTTTCCGCCCTAGTCCATTATTGGCGAATGCGACCCTTTTTTCCTTCCGACTGCATGGTGGGGAGCCAATAAGAGAGAAGCGGAGATGCCTGATTATGCATGCCGAGAATATTTCTGTGTGTTTTACTGGTTGTTGATACTGTGACTCACTCGTGTCATGTATGGCTTGCTTGGAGGAGGATTGAAAGGTTTTGAGGCTCCGATCGAGATGAATTTCCTTTGTTGATCTGGGACGTTTTATGATAGCTATATGTGATTCTACTGGACTTTGATGTTTTCAGTGACCCGCGATTATGGAGATCAATGCATGCGATGAACCCTGTGAATCCTTTTGCCACTGTAGATTTAGTCTCCAGGCAGAAACTGTTTCCTAATGGGGCCTGGGGCCTAGGTTCTAGAGCGTAGAACCTGAGGCCATTCATAATTGTCCGCTAGTCCAAATTTGATACCCGATTCTTTTTGCCACAGAATTTGAAGCTTTCTCCACCAGTTTGAATGAGTCACTGCGGGGTTGTGGCTGATCTGCCGTGGGGCAAGGCGTACTTGGGCATTATCATTTTGTGTACCCCACTTAATCTTGTTCCATACTCACGAGGTTTTCTATTGAGAAATTACCACTTGAACAGAAGTCAACCTATTCAAGCATTCTTCAAATTAGAGCTCCTGGAGTTTATCCCGCCAGAATCAATGACTGCATGTACAATATCTCCAATGATTAACTGGATTATTTGGGTACACGCTAGAGGGCAATGAATATTTCCCACTACAAAGCCGTTACATGAACTCATGAAGAACAGATTTAGAGAGAGAGAGAGGGAGAGAGAGATGCATTGCACTCGAATATCAGCTACAGTGAGGGGCTTTTCCTGAGTCGATGACGGCCGTAATGGCCCTATCAAGTTGTCTTCATCTGTCTACATGAAGAATGGAGAAAACACTGGGATCATAATGTAGAGAACTCTGACTAATAATATATGGAGGCTTCTCTTAGTCTCTACTTTTTACCGCTGATAATATTGTGCTTGTGTGAATAACGCCTGGAGGCGTGTTTTTATCTGCTTCCTTATTATCTTTAATCTTTCCATGGTCACCCTTAGCTCTTCTTTCTATTCTCAATATCTATGTCAATATGCTTTTGGAAACAAGTGGCTTCCTGGTGGAAGTCTCCAATCAATCTAGACATAAAGCGGTGTGCAATCTCAAGAGAGTAGCAATTCCAAGCAAATATAGCTTCTAGGGTGCAGTATCGTTCAGCTGAGGGGTGATTGAAGATATTGATGTACATCCATCAATACAAAAGAATCTTTAATTATGCATTAGTTGTACGGAGAAAAGTGAGGAGTAAAGTCAGAAAGTGAAAATAACAAGCAAGGTGACATCAGAGAGATGCAAGAGGAAAAAAGCCAAACAGCGGGGACAAGGCCATCTAGGCAATAGAGGGTTCGTTCAAACAGCGTAATTCATGGCGTTTGTGAGCTTCCGTCGGGACTTGCGCTTGGTTTTCGAAAGCGCAGAACTCTCCAAACACCGGTCTTCTTCAATGGTGTTGTCTGAGCTTGAGCTGAGGTTTGTGCTTCTGTTCGAGCCTCCGTTTGCTCAAAAGAAGCAGAAAACTCTTGAGGCACGGGGCATCGCATGAATTGATTATAGGAACGTGATGTGTGTGGGTGTCTGTCACCAAGGACTTGCGATTGGCCCCACCATGTCTCTCGGTATACATCTTTGGCTTCTTTATAATTTTTCTGTTTTTCAAGAGCCAAACCCAGCCAATAAAGAGAATCCAGCGAATGTTGATCCTGTTCACCGACAGTTCGCTTTCGTTGTTTCGAGATATCTCGGAACACAACTTCGGCCTCGGCATACTTTTCTTGTTGATAGAGAGTCTGGCCTAGCCAATAAAGAGAGTCCAGCGTATCTTTGTGGTGTTCACCGAGGGCTCGTTTTCGTCTCTCCCAGACGTTTTGGAATATAGCTTCGGCTTTGACAAACATTTCTTGTTTTTCAAGAGCCAAACCTAGCCAATGAAGCGAATCCAGGGTATGATGATCGTGTTCACCGAGACTTTGCTTTTGTCCGTTCGAGCTATCTCGGAACACAACTTCGGCCTCGGCATACTTTTCTTGTTGATGGAGAGTCCGGCCTAGCCAATAAAGAGAATCCAGCGTATCTTTATGCTCGTCTCCAAGAGCTTGTTTGCGACCTTCCCAGGCGTCCCGGTATATACTTTCCGCTTCAGTGTACCTCCCTTGAATGTAGAAAGTTCTGCCTAGAAGATGAAGAGAGCTAAGCGTCCTTCTATGGTTCTCGCCAAGAGCTCGCTTCCGCGCTAACCAAAGTTCTTGGTCTAAGACTTGTGCGTCAAGGTATTTTTGTTGGCGATAGACAGCATTACCCAATGCCGCAAGGGAATCGAGCGTATCTTCGTGGTCTTCCCCAAGCGTTTTCTTGCGACCTTCCCAAGCGTCTTGGAATATGCGTTCAGCTTCGGTATACTTAACTTGCAAAAATGAAGCTCTACCCTGCCGATATAGAAAGAAAAGTGTATTTTTGTGGTCCTCTCCGAGAACTCGCCTCTGTAATTTCCAGACGTCACGATATACAACTTCGGATTCGGCATATCTTTTCTGATAATAAAGAGCATCGCCTAACCTGCCAAGAGAAATAAGCGTGCCTTCTGAGTAGATACCAAAAGCTCGCTTACGAGTCTCCCAGGCATCCCGAAACATGCTTTCAGCTTCGACATATTTTTCTTCAGCAAATAGAGCTCCACCCAGCTTATGAAGAGATAAAAGCGTATCTTCGTGCTCCTGGCCAAGAACTCTCTTTCGTCTCATCCAGACATCACGATATGCTGATTCGGCTTCTGCGTACTTTTCCTGGCCAAAAAGAGCATCGCCCAATGCACAAAGAGAAGCCAACGTGTCTGCATGATGGGTACCAAGATTATGTTTGCGCAGTTCAAAGGCTTCTCGGAGCATTTCTGTGGCATATGCGTATTGTTGTTGGTCCAGTAGTGATAGCCCTTTGACATGAGATATTCGCAGTTCCTCGGGCAAGTCAGATGTCGAAACCTGTTTGGTAGATGTGGATTGCTGTAGGGCTGGTGATTCTTCCTGCTGTCCCTGTTCGGCCCCAATCGTTTGCTCGTCAACAATTGCCGAAGTAAAGTTTCTGTCATCTTGGTATTTCGAAGTGTCGTGCGGGGTTTCGGTTGAGTGGGAGGTCACTGTTGGTAAAACTTTATTTAGTTATGTTTCATTGGAGTCAGGTTTTCCACTCACCAAACGTGAGATTACCGTGTATCACTGCATGTGTTGCCTGAAATCCAGAGTTCGTACCATTGTGGGAAGTGGTAGTTTCCATAATTAGAGTGGTGGTTTTGAGCAGGCTGACAAGTTCGCGATTGAAATATCGTGATGTTTTCAGTATACCCCGCTTTCAGGTGATCAATGTAGATGTAGAGAAATCGTCTCAACAGACAGTTTCTAGCATCTAGTAGGAGAAACACAACAGTAGACTAAACTGAGAGAAGTCAAGAGAGACGGACGGTATAGATTTTTATATGGTAAGTATGGTATGAAGAAAGAAGAACAGCGCCAGGATGCTGAGTCCTCGTCAGCATTCAGCACTTTAGACAACAGCGCTGGCAACATACAGGGGTCACATGACCCCCAATCTTGAACGATCTACTCCATCTTCACACGTAACTGAATGATTATAGCTATATAATGCATTTTCAACTATCAGTGGGAATTCTCCGATCCAATTAGCGTGATGATTGTTACGATAATTATGGTGTAACAAAAGATCTGTTAATTCAGCGAATGCGCAAACCCATGCGGACCATGTAATTTTACTGATACAAAACATATCGAAATTTAAGAAAGCAAATCTCTGGGCTCCGAGTGCCACCAAGAGACAAAGTCTAAAATAGTAGGATGAGACACATGAGCAGCTGTGTGATATTGTGGGAGGTGTGATAAAGGAAGAGAAGAGAGAGCGCAGTCCATGTGAGATATTCCTAAAAGGGAAGATGCTTTTAAGCCTAAGCGGAACGAGAGCAGAAGCGCTGCCTCAGGCCATATGATCCTGGATTTTACTCTCCAACAAAATCGAAGGAATGTTTTCAAACAATAGAAAGGCGGAAGCTTATTGAGGCCCGGGGCTCTAGTAAGCCTCAGGCATTCATCGCTGGGTGTCACCTCAACGAGAACTTTTCCTCTCCCTCTTGATCCACGTATTACGCATGTCTCTTTCTGAGTGCGTCTCACCAAGCCATCGGAAATACTGATCTCGAGCCCGTCTTGTACAATATTTGTCACTGACTATAGACACAAGATAACGGATGGTGAAGTTTAAAACAACATCTGCATGCTTCAAGACTACGAGAGCCTCGTGGAATGATCACTTGGGGGGCGATTGTTGTTTCTGTATTTGGGGTGATCACCCAGCGAACCTTATACACAGTAACAGATAAAAGTTTTCCTTTTTGATAATTTATGCCGGTCTTTTAAAGGATAGAAAGAAGGGCTGATAAGAGCGAGACAAAGAGTAGGAAGAATTGATGTTATTATCGAGGACCTCAGACCAAGAGCTTCAAAGTCATGTAACATGAGTAATCCATGGCCTTGGGCAAACAACAGCTAGCGTCTTTATTAGAAGTCGAGGAACTTGTTGAGACCGAGTTTGAACTTCCTCTTCCTCTACTTCACAAACAGGAAGTCCAGTCTCAAGACTTTCAGCCCGAATGTGACTTCAAATCAAATAAAAAACCTATTTGACCTGTGTCATGGTGTTCTTCATCTGCTGGAGGAATGGGTTCTTCCACGGGGATGCGCTTCACTCAAAACCAAGCACGTAGACAGGTTTCCGGTTCTGGGACATTTCGCCGTTCATGATCTCGAGGGAATTGAGTAGGTAGCGGTCAGGCTTGTCGTAGAGCTCCAGTTTCCACTGAATGATTTCCATCTTGATCAAAATAGAGACACCCATGGGACTTTTGAGGACATCGAGTTCGGCTTTGATGCCGCGAGAGAAAGGATCAGTGTGGTAGGATCCCACCGTGAAGGGGAAAGAAATGACGTAAGGACCGTGTGATCAAGATCCGCGGTAACGAAAGATGTGGTTGAAATTGTATAAAAGTGCATATAGAGTAGGAACTTACATGAATCCTGGATTAGGTTAGCAGAAAATATCCTTCTTTAGTAACATCCCAGCGCTTACGAGAGGTAGGGAAGGGGAGGGCAAGGGCAAGGGTGAGGGCTCAAGTCCCTCTATAAACCTCAACTTTACTTTTCTTTCGTGAAGCTAATTCTTTTTCCTCCAAAAGGATTTCACGATGTTTTTGAACTTTACCTTTGATTATTTTTCTTCAGATCTCTAGCTTTGCATTTGCTGCTAACTGCGATATAGAAGCTACATGAGTTCCAGGTTTTTAGTGAGGCACTTACCCAACTCCCTTCTATAGCAGATATCCACCTGTCCATATGTATGTCCTACCGGGCTAGAGATAAATTTCAACATCTAAGGATTTCAATATCGCGGATACAAAAAAATGTATATTATGCAGTTACATCATTCACCCGCGCAAAGAAAAAAGAAGTGCAAAGAAAGAAAAGCACACCAAACACTTAAGAGGATGATAAAATGAAATATCACAGTTATCATAAAAAAGCTGCTAGTCAGTCAGCACGCCAGGGGGCCGTGTATATGTAAGCAATGAAGTGGGTCACTAAGCCCCTATGTTTCCATGGTTGGGCCAGCTGATTGGCCAAGCAATGAAATGGATTAGGCCTCGGAACGAGCCGCCGTGCTCCACCTGGACCACAATTAAAGTGTCGTAGGCCTCAGTGCGGCCTGATGAATGACGGACGCCCATTGAGGCTTTCATCGCCTCACAATTAACTTATACTTATTAGTGAGCCTAACCTACCATCCGAAGGAACCAATGTGGGGATAGGTATTATCCTGTTGACCGCCCTGTCCTGTCTACTTATCGGCATCGCCTTCACTAACGATTTGAGTTGGCGACAGTGTATCAAATCAAGCTCTTTATTGGTGATATCATTTGTAGGATGACGGTATAAATCTCACACTTAGAAGCAGAGAAAGAAGATGTGCATTCATCTTATTTCAGTCATTTTATTTACATGGGCTTTTGGGCTTGCTAAAGTCTTGCCTATACCGGGCATGCTCCACCATGAGGAGTCGGATAACCCGCAACGTCCACAACCATTGCCATTCCACTAGCAAGATGCCACAAAATGTGGCAATGAAAGAACCATACTCCAGGATTATCGGCTCGAAAACGCAAAACTGCATAGCCGCGACTAGGAATGTATACGGTATCTCGAAGCATGGCGCGCGAAAGATCGATTCCGTTGGTGTCTGGGTAAGCATCCAGGCTGGCACCGGGGGGATGTGATTCGGTGAATGGGTTGTAAGAGCCCCAACCGATGGGCGCCTTGTATACAGTTAGGATATAAAAATGGTGACCGTGCTGAGTTTGACGGGAAGGGTGAGTAGCTTGCTTCATCAGGGTGGAGAAGGATTATTTACCAAGTGGAAAGGATGACCGGTGTCATCTAGGTTGTTCACAACGAGATCGACCCATATGGGTTCCATGTTTCCTGAGTCGGGAACAGAAAGTAAGAGCTGATTCTTGTCCCATTGCTCTCGTGGAAGGCGGTTGAGAGGCACTGCTGGGTCACTTTGTGGTGCCCAAGAAGTGTGGTTGAAGAAACCGAACGGTACGTTATGGTTGATGGACAACTTCTGGGTTTTCGAGTAGACAACTTCGGTGAGGTTTGCTTGAGGTGCCAGTGGCGATAAAATGTGTTCTGGAGATGAGATATTATGTATGTCCAGAAATGTGTAGTGGGTTATGTTTGGGGAGCTAAGCTGACCACGGAGATGGTTGCCAGAGTTTATTGAGAATTTTTGAGTAGGGGTGAGGGCGGGATTGGGGTATTTGAAGCATCTGGTATTTTTAGTAGGCTTTTTTTGGTATGATCCGGGTTTACTTACTCTGTGTCTAGTTTGATGGTTAAGTCAGATGGCTTCCATTTGCTTGACGCGTCGAAGATGAGATCCATGCGCTGACCGGGATATAGAATCCCGAATGAGTGACTCTCCCGTGGCTCTACCTCCACGCTGTCCACTGCAATAACTGACAATGGATCAGCATCGGAAATAATCGTAAATCCGGCGAGGGATCTAATATGTTAGACATAAGATAAAAAAGCATTTATTTCGAAGACCTACCCTGTGTTCACTATTCGTAACAGGTAAGAAGTATCGTTCGATGAATCAAAGTAGACAGAATCAAGCTCTTTTTGAACACAGTCCACCGGTCTGGCAGGGACTGCCATGGAACAGCTGAATTGGCCAACACCATTGACCAATAAAGAGTCCGGAACAGGCTGTATTCTGTCAGTGTCTCCTGATAGAAGGTCGATTTTACGGACCTACATCATTCCCAAAAGATCCAGCACGCATATACCATGACATGACCTCATCTGCCGATCGGTGATACCAGTCTCCAATCAGAAGTAACACCTCTTTGTCATATGGATGCGAGCCAGAAACTATTGACTTGACTGGTTCATGAACCACCAGTCCACCATATAACCCATCGGCCCTGGCAGAACCTGCATGAGCGTGATACCAAAATGTCCCAAACTGGTCGTTCGGGATGGTGATGTTGTAAACGAATGAAGAACCCGGCGGAATGCCACATTGTGTGACGCCGTAGGCACCATCCATTTCGTCTGGACGGCAGGTTAATTCCAGCCAATATTCAACGAAAATACATGAAAAGCCTATTTTTACTTACTATTTGTATGTAGCCCATGCCAGTGGATTGAGAGAGACTCCTGTACTGTGTTGGTGACATTGATAATCAAAGTGTCACCGGGTCGCGTCTCGATTGTTGGTCCCGGAAAGTGGCCGTTTTCAAGTTAGCGAGGAACAAAATTGACATCAATAATGAGATAGATACCATTTATTAGATAAATCCTTTTCAAGACACCATCAGGGCGCAGATTGTCTGTGCTTAGTACCCAGTCTAAGTGCTGAACTTTAGGGTCCCGATGAACATGATCCTCTGGATGAAGCTGGATACCCGGGGGCGGGGCATCGGTTTCGCCATGGGAATGAGAGATCTTCCCCGGAATTTTTGATCTTAATGAATCTGGGGTAGCGTACTGGCGCCAAAATACTAACAAGATCAAGAGGCTTGTAATCAATGGACTGAGGACGATTCCGCGTGACTTGATCGCTTTGAAAAAAGAGCGCCTTTTCTGCGCTACAATCATCTCTTCATGATTGGGCAGTCTTTGGGGATGAGAAGGGCGTTCCATTTGGAGAAAAGAAAGTTATTAGTCCCTTGACTGCACGTAGACATTATCTATCGGCTTGTGTTGGGGCCAAGTGGGGCAAAGGCATGCAATGCAACCTGGGATGTCAACAGTCGAAATTCCCCCTTATCAAAATTTCTCATGATTCGACATGGGAAACGGCAAAATCGGTTTCGCTCATTTCCCTGGTATTTTCCTTAGGGCCCTTGCAGCGCCACATGAAGTCTGGCGTTTGCTTAAGAATTCTACCAATGAACTGAATTGCCCCTTGCACGAGGGAGGGGCTTCTCCACTTCTATTATGCCGTGCGGCCGCAGCCGATTAGAAATTTGGAAATAGTGGAACCTTTGCATTTCGAGAAGTTAACAGCGATTAGTGCCCTGATACCATGACCTATCTTTCTCTCGAATGGTCCACGTGCGCCCTAGCCTTGCAGCCAAGAACGCGTCCCTGGATGGTTAGGTTTTGTGAATAATCTACTCCATCTTAGTGGTTGCAGTCGGTCTTCATCCCGGTTACATCGCGGCACAACAAGGCCTTTGCTTTGAACATACCGAATCGCCATCGGAGAAATCGGAGCTATTCTTTTAGCGACGCGGTGAACAATCAACATATATATCCCGTGCCCCGCGATATGTAGCTAGAGAAATTAGACTGGAGCTAGTTCACAAAAATACCTGCAAGTCCAAACGTCAAGATGAGTGCCCTCCTGGGTTCTGCTCTGTTGATGCTCCTTGCGAGCAGACCAGCGATCGCTGGCTCGTTGAAAGATATCGAGCATGTGGTGATTTTCATGCAGGAAAACCGATCATGGAACAATGTAAGATTGAACTGGCCTGACAAGAAATGTCAATACTGAGAAAATACAGTATTTTGGCACCATGGCCGGTGTTCGAGGATTCAATGACCCGAATGTTCAGGTTAACTCCGATGGGCTGCCAGTGTACTACCAGTAAGAACTCCCCGTGCTGATCTCGAGCTCAGAAACTTACCTCGCATGTAGACAAGTTGACTCTTCCATGTCTACCAAAACAAAGACTCTTCTCCCTTGGTATCTAGGCTACAAGGGTGGGTCCTCAGTCGATGCTATGCAGTGTATGACGGCCGGAAGCAATGGCTATGAGGATAACCAGGCCGCCCTTAACCACGGCTTGAACAACATGTGGGCGCGCAACAACACCCCTTGGAGCTGGGGATATATGAAGAGAAGCGACATCCCTGTTCACTTTGGTATTGCAGAGGGATGGACTGCGGGAGATATGTACCAGGTGAGCTGAATCTTGACCACAACTCTGAGAAACGACCTAACGGCAATTTAGGAGTCTCAAGTTACTTCGACCAACCCCAATCGTGTTACGTTGGTCAGTGGCTCGATCAATGTACCGGGAGGTCCCCAGAGCCCGGACCAGGGTGGCCCTTATCTTGACAACAACGAAACCCCGGGCTGCGAAGACAACAACATCAATTGTTATCCTCTGAAGTGGAAGACTATCTACGAGATCTACGAGGAAGCTGGTGTCTCGTGGCAGGTGTGGCAAGACTCCGACAACTTTGACGACAACCCCTTGGCATGGTTTGAGCAGTTCCAGAATGCTTCTTCTACCTCACCTCTTGCCAAAAAGGGTCTATCCTATGTCGGCCTTGACAGCTTCTACGAAGCAGCGGCCAATGGAACTCTTCCGGAGATCAGCTTCATCGTCGGCCCTGCTGAGCTGTCCGAACATCCCCCTTACATGCCCAAGGATGGTGCATGGCTTCAAAAAAAGGTCGTGGATGCCGTAACAAGCAGCCCGAAGTATGGCTCCACCTTATTAATGATCAGCTATGACGAGTCCGGTGGTTGGGGCGATCACGTTGTCCCCTTCCACTCCCCCGAAGGCACTGCCGGTGAATGGATGGAGGACCCATACGGACTCTTCGGCAACATCTATTCTGGCCCTGGTGTCCGCGTTCCCTTCTACATGGTCTCTCCCTGGACCCGTGGTGGTCGTGTTTTCACCGAGCGCGCGGATCACAACTCCCAAATCCTCTTCCTCGAGCAATGGCTGGAGGCCCGCGGATACGAGAATGTCCAAACACCCGAGATGGTCCACTGGCGTCGCGAGCACATGTCGAACCTTGTCAACGCTCTTGACTTGGATAACCCTGATACAAGCCTTCCCACCATCCCTGACGCCGAAACCCCCGACATGTCGGCTGGAAAGTATACTGGAACATCCAACTGTGAGGCAACATACCCTTCGCCGCGTCCTACGGTGCCATATGGTCAGCAGAGCAACAAGACCGAGGCGTTGTGGTTCGAAGATGGATACAAGCAGGTTATCGGTTATCTCACCGAGGGTCGCTATCTCACATTTGAAAGCTCCGGAAAGGCGCTCACGAACGCTGGAAACGCCAGCCGCTTGAGCAGTACTGCCGCCCTTGCCGATCACTCGGACAAGCATCAGCGCTGGGTCATTCACTATACCTCGGACGAGGAAAGCCAGATTTTCCAAATCTCCAGTGCTCTTGACAGCAAGTGGATTGGTACCAACGGGTCTCTAGTTTCCAGTCGCAACAAGGCCGCTAACATCACGATAACATTCCTTGGAAATAGCAAGGGCTATTCTCTAAAGTATGAAGATGGAACCACTGTTGGAGGTCTTGAGAACGGTACCAAAATCTGGAGTGTGTCATATCATTAAGCTATGACGGACTAGAGGAAGAAGTTACGAAGCTGTCTTCTTCTGCACCTTTGGGCACAAAGTCGGCTAGAAAATAAAATCCCACGTACATTTAGGGTCTTCTCATCGTTGACAAGAAAATAATTGCAACATATCGGAAATAGAATCATGTTATCCGATGACGTGGAATTCAAATAGATTGGTCTATACGGAGTATTCAGAAGTGGTACGAAAAAGAGAAAGAGAGAGTGGGGATAAACATGCAGCCCTCGGAGCCTCAGCTCCAACACCGCAATTTCTAACTACCGTTGGTAATGTTGAGAGCCGAAACCATTTGTAGATCCAATGATAAGGATCTCGGAATCTTCCAGTGATTTACCAAGCTTTTTGACAGCTGCACGTGTTGAAGATGTTGCACGTGTTGAACGCGTTGTTGTCGCGTTCCTCGCTTGGACCTCCTTTGGGGCCCACTTTCCCCTTATCAGCCATACACTGTCGTTTACATGCGCACGAGGTGAAGATTATCGGACATTTGATCCATTTGTCCACAGCCTAGATTATTAGAACAGTACTCGGCGCTAGCATTTAGCGTCAGCCACCAAATGCAATGCATATAAATTCTTCAAAGAATGCCAAGGTTCTCAGGGATTACAAGTTTCTCCTCAAGTAAGCTTCGATCGGTACAATGGCACGTATTCTGACTGTCTTTGCCCTTTTTGCCTTGCCTTCTCTTCAGAAGGCAGTTACAAAAAGCTTCTCCCCTCTGAAGTTTGCGAAGAATGGAACCTTCCAGATTTCTATTCTTGAAGATTTGCACTTCGGAGAGAGTAAGTTATTTCACGCTAGCTAGCTCTACAATTTGATCTTGCTAACATCGAATTACTAGATGCATGGGATGCGTGGGGCCCTGAGCAGGATGTCAATTCTGTCAAGGTGATCAACGAGGTCTTGGATAAGGAATCGCCAGACCTTGTTGTCCTGAATGGAGATTTGATCACCGGAGACAATGCCTTTCTTCAAAACGCGACCGTCTATATCGACGAAATCGTTGCCCCATTGGTTGAGCGCGGTCTGACATGGGCATCCACTTATGGAAATCACGACAGCCAATACAACCTCTCCCGTGAAGCGATGCTGGCCCGAGAGCAACGCTACCCCAATTCCCGAACAAAGCAAATGGTCTTTGGCAAAGATTCCGGCGTTTCCAACTACTACATTCCCGTCTTTGGTGCTGACAACAACGATTACATTGGAGCCCCTGCTATGCTTTTGTGGTTCTTCGATAGCAGAGGTGGCTATTACTTCCAAGAGCTTGACGAGTCCGGGAATCAAATCGCTCAGCCAAATTGGGTTGATACGAGCGTGGTGACTTGGTTCAAGGAAACCAATACGGCATTGCGAAAGAAATATCACCGCACTATCCCTTCCCTTGTCTTTGTTCATATTCCTACAAACGCGTCGTTAGCCGCGCAGACTGAGGTCGGTATCAGTGACACCCATGAGCCGGGCATCAACGACGATTACACACTGGCTCAACAAGGAGAGGGCTGGTGTGCAAATGACACAACAAGTGACTCGTGCGTTTATGGTGGTCAAGATGTTCCATTCATGGAAGCGCTCGTCAGCACTCCTGGTGTTATTGGTGTTTTCTCGGGTCACGATCACGGCGATACTTGGTGCTACAAGTGGGACAAGTTGCTTCCTGGTATGTCTGTTCACGGCAATGGAATCAATTTGTGTTTTGGTCAGCACTCCGGATATGGCGGATACGGTAGTTGGATTCGAGGATCTCGCCAAGTCCTTGTCACAGAGGCTATGCTTAGCAGGGGAGAAGCTGATACATGGATCCGGTTGGAGTCCGGTGATGTTGTGGGTTCTGTTTCGCTCAATGCGACTTATGGAGAAGATACCTATCCCATTACCCCCGATACCCTGACCTAGATTTGCAAAAGCAGTCTTTGATGGGATATCCATATTATATGGCTCAAAACTGCGAGAAGATATAGTAATAGACTTAATGCAAAATCAAGATCAATTAATGCTTGTACTACTTGGCCAAATGAAATTATCGAAAGGATTCAACGGAGATAAGGTCAGAGATCAAACAATAATGTGCTTATGATTCAACAGGGAATTATGGAACTAACCGGAGATATCGTAGATATCGTAGATAGCGGACTTTGGCGGACTTATTCATAGTGCTGATCTTAAAGAAGAAAGGTTCATATAGAGCCATACTCCTAATATTAATTGAGGTACTAAGAGTCTTGATACCTACCAAGCCATACAATCCCCAAGAAAAGCAGTAAAAACGACCTCCAATCACAGGTCCCAACATCCTGATTATTGGCGGCTCTTCTGGGATTGGAGCAGCGGTAGCTAAGCTGGCCGCCGCTGAGGATGTTCACATCTCTATTGCCTCGTCAAATCTCGCCCGTGTGAAAAATTCCATCCAAAGGATCCGAACAGCGGTACCCAATGCCCAGGTGAAAGGCTACATGGTTGATGTCGGTGGGTGCAGAGTCTATTAGCCGCCACTCCTCGGCCGGGATGAGTCAATTACCATATTGAAATCTGGGATTCTAGGTGGTGATAATGCCGAGTCTCATCTAGAGAGCTATTCACAGATGTGACAGTAGTTAACGGGCTGTCCCCTCGACCATATTATCTTTACTGCCGTCAAGCTCGAGTTGAAATTCCTCCACGATGTGACTATCGACTTTCTGCGCGGCGATGCGCAGTTTTCGGTGTTTGTGCCACTTCTTATTGCTAAGATTGCCCCGCCTTTCATGAACAAAAGCTACCGGTCATCTATCACGCTCACCAGTGGTCGTATTGCAGAGAAACCCATGAAAGGAAAGGCGGTGATGGCGGGTTGGGGCGCAGCCTTATTTGGTGTCACGCGTACCCTTGCGCTTGACTTGGCCCCTATTAGAATCAATCTCGTCAGTCCCGGAACGACGGATACAGAAATCCAAGGGGAGAAATGGGAAATGAAGATGGCGGCTGCTGCGGAAAGAGCGCTCCTAGGGAAGGTGGGAACACCCGAGGAGGTCGCCGTGGCCTTTATATAGCTGATGAAGGACTCCAATAATACGGGAACCTGTGTAAGCACCAGCCGCCGGGGGGGGGGGGAGGATTTCGATTCAGTAGAGAAAGAAGCTTGGAATGACAACTAGTGTAATCTCCTACACAGTCTCTTACTCATATCGTACTCAGACCCCCACTCAGTATCTTACCCGGTATCCTACCCAGTACTCCTCCTTCCCTACCATATTAATTAAGTAGTAGAGCCACTCTACTAAATCATAGGTAGCGGACTGGAAAGAAGAAAAGAGAAGTCTCTATCCAACAAGTCGGCGGTGTACCCAAGTACTGGTGTCAAAGGAAAAGAAAGTGTTTCTTCCTAATTTGGACTGGTGAGGATACGAAATAGGGTTCGTGCAGCAACTGCCAAATATTATACACATGGTTTCTTCGAATGACTAAAATAAAAACAAAAACATACAACAGTCAGGATTCGCATGTGGTCACCCACCATACTACTAACTAACCGGCGTGTGGCTTAAGTACGGCTGAGCGGACGGGAAGCCCTGTTCTCCACACCCTATGGTCGTATGTATTGATAATTGCTTCGAGTTGGACTATATACCGTAGATGATTAGAATATGAGCGAACGGGAATGTGTAATAGAGAGAGAGAGAGAGAGAGAGACTATGTGTGTGTGTGTTTGTTTATGAAGTAAAACTTCCTATGTAACTAATTGACGAAGGTAGGAAAGGACCGACTGCGCAAGAAAGTAGTTGTACGTAGAAGAACGAGAAAATCCGAGCGAAAGGTAGTGATATACCAATGTACATTGGTGCCTAAGGCATGAAAATACAAGCCGCTAACACTATACCTTCTTGGCATCCCAAGTCTTTTTTTCAAATAGTGCCACAGAAGCCGTCTGTTCATGCATCAAGTTTTGAGTGAACGTCTGGATATCCTCAAATTTATCCCTGATAAGCTGAGAGTACTTATAGTCTCTTGTCTCATCATCCTTTTCGTCCATCATTTCTGTCTTGCCTGGTCCAAAGCGCATGAATCTTTTGTCCCTATACTCCTCCCACGGCTCTTTTCCCCACGTGAATGCTGCCAACGCTCTTGCCATGTCTTTTGCGACATTCTGGTCGGCTTCGGGGTAAAGGTCGATTTCGGTCAGGTGAAGGGTGAGAGCACAAAACCCGTGGTATGAACATCCAAAAGTGGGTCCTTCGTATGGTGATGGTACTTCGAAATGATAGTAATACGCTTTACCAACTTGGCTGAATGATTCTGCGAGGAGAATGTTTGGAAACTGGAAGAATGTGACAGAAAGGAAATGGTGCATTGCCGAACGGTACTTTTCGAAGTCCGTTTCATCTTCCTTAAATCCAAAGGATCTGAAGATATTCGTTGCAACCTCCTCGGGGAATGAAGAATAGACACGCTCCTGGAACGCCTCTGGCGAAATGTTCTCGATCAGCTTGTCCATGATGAGTGCTTCATTATTCGTGTCTCCCATAACAATTGATTTGCACCGCGTAGAAGGATGAACCATTTCCCTATTCCACTTCGTTGGTAAGATCTTTCCGTCTCCGAACGGAGATGCAGAGCCTTTGTAAGTTTTGAGTATGTCGGCTACGCTCAGGTCGCGCATCTTATGTAGTCTCACTGCAGGTGCTTCGTCCTGAAAATCAAAAGCCTTACATACATTCTGCCAAGGCTTGTCGAGATCCTCAAGCGTAGTAGCTCCCAATGCCATGCCAGATCCAGACATGAGAAACGCCCTGTCAAACAATGGATCACCGCCAAGGATATGATACGCGCAGCTGTAACTTCCAGCGCTCACGCCGAACACAGTAACATTTGATGGGTCACCGCCAAAGCCAGCAATGTGAGCCTGTACCCATTCAAGGGCGTTACGCTGATCGACGAGGCCGTAATTGCCCAGAATGTCAGGATTTTCAGAAGCGAGGTCCTGAGAAACAGCGAAACCAAAATGACCAAGTCGGTATTGGATCTGAACCAACACAAAAGGAGTCCTCGATTCTTTAGCTAATTTGGAAATCACATGAGGACGATATCGAGATACCGAATTTGCTCCATAGGCAAAGGCCCCACTGTATATGGTATTAGTCGCATATACATGAAATTATCAAAAGGAGGCTATATCATGTACCCATGTATCCAAACCAGAACAGGCAACAAAGATCCGTTTGGAGAGTTTCCATTGGGATCAGGAAGGGATTCTTTGGGAACACAGACGTTCAAATTAAGGCACTTGAATTCATCGTCTCCAGGTGTCGGATCAGTCGTTCCTCCACTAACCAGGACATGACCAGTATTCTGGACACAGCGAGGTCCAAATTTGGTAGCATCAAAAGGTGAATCCAGCGTATGCGTGGTCGTGCTGTGAGTCCAGCGCTTGTTTACAGATGCATATGGGATGCCGCGGAAGAGTGCCAGCTCTGAATCATCAGAGAGCTCTCCGATGAGCTTGGCTTTCAAAGATGGAATTTGCTGTTGTATGGTCCCCATGGTCAAGTCTCAAAACTGAAATGACTGAGCTTAAGCTGGATATTGTGCAGGTTTTGATATGAGCAGGGTAGAAACACGATTTTGAAAAAAGTTATACTACTACCTACACATAAAATTGTGTATTTATACACTATACAGGTTAAGTGCTTTGCCGACTTTTGATCTTATCCCTTCACAGCACCAGTCATCATCGCTTAGAACTTTTACCCAGACGCCCGCAAAACGCCACCCCCTCAATTTAGCCCCTCGAAATGCCCATGGGGAAAAAGGAATAGGTTTCAGCTGTCGAAGTGTGGGTTCCTAATACCTAGGCATATTGGCCGATCGATGTTCCCCAGTGAGTGTCGTGCCGTATTCCGAAATATGCAGGAAAATCAAGGATAAGGCTCAATAATCTTGATATTATGTATCCTTCATAACATTAGCCCGGCCGGTCAGAACCCTTACCCGCATTTGAAAGTCCCCCCAATACTTATGTAGAATTCACATTGCACATGTGGCAAAGAAAAATAATTTCAGCTCTTGCGTTGTGGGATTCCTTAAAATACTGAAGAGGGAAATTGCTCCTTGGTTCCGACGCAATACGAACCGGTCCAGAGATCATACACAATTATCTAAATCGATAAAGTTGATGGGGTACGTAGAAGTAAAAGCGATTCCATAGTGAATAAAAGCTATTGTTTTCTAAACAGTATTGACTGTCCTACGTCCACATATTTTATACAATACAAACATATAAGCTTAGTCACCCAGCTCTTCCCAGGTAAAAGAGTAAGATTTTCCGTGTACCTTCCTCCAGGATCAGCGACATGAATTGAACGAATTCTTGACATTATCCCTTCACACCACTGACACAGACGGGTCGGCCATTTTACCTGCACAGAATGTTTACCCGCAAATTATACTCTCAGTTCAACTAGTTCCCACCTTGAACGAAGTGCTCATGGGGAAGGAATAGAGTTTCACTCCCGGAATGTGGGGGGGGGTTCAAATACCGAGCGGGTCGATCTGAAACCCCTGGAAACAGCTTCTACAACAGTATGTCAACATCAATTGATTCTTTCGCATATACATTTAAGCTACCTCTTTAATTATTCGTGTCTCTATTCTGCTTTTTGAGCCATCCACTTTGCGTTGGATAGCCAGGGTTGACTGGATAAAGTAGCCATATTTTCTCTAGTATGGTCGTTGGTCCGCAATTTCGGAAATTGATGACCTTGTGATATTACTCTTTGATGCCACGAATCCTGTGGGTTAGAATGTTTACCCGCAAAGCATCATCCCCTCATTTTAGTGCATAGAAGTCCCCATGGGGAAGGGAAAATAGAGTTCGGCCTCGAGTCTCTTCGTATCGAGGGATAATTATAAAGGAAATTGTCTTCTTCTATATCTCGATATAATTTACGTTCTGCTCATTCACATCAATTGCTTCAGCCAAGCAGGCTTACCTACTCACAAAAATATCATGGCACGCGATAATTACAAAGACCAAGGGACGGCTATAGAGCTCGAAAACTCTAACCCCCATCAAACAGAAGCCCAAACCCCCCTGAAAATTGCAGATGGCGATGAAGCACTCCAATTTCTCCATGAAGGGTTTGAGCCCTACACTGAAGAGGAGGAGAAACGAATCCGACGCAAGATTGACATGCGATTGGTCAGTCTCATGCTTTTAGTAAATGGTATCCAATTTATCGACAAAAATACCATGTCATCTGCAGGAACATACGGCATCATCGAACAAGCAAACCTCAAAGGGCAGGAATTTAGCCTGCTGACAAGTATTTTCTACATCGGGTATATTCTTGCTCAATACCCGACAAATGTTCTCATGCAGCGCTTCCCAATTGGGAAGTACATTAGCGTGAACTTTTGTCTGTGGGGTACGTATCTTCATATCTAGCTTTTTTTCATCGGACATGTGCTAAGGCTTTCACAGGGGTTGTTCTCGCGACCAGTACTGCTGCCAAAAATTTTGCAGGTCTAGCAGCTGCTAGATTCTTCCTTGGGGTATTCGAGTCATGCCTTAATCCGGGATTTGTTCTCATCACGTCATCTTGGTGGAAACGCGAAGAGCAGGCTAGTCGTCTCGGACTCTGGTACATGGCCAATGGCCTAATTGGTGTTCCATCTGGTTTTATTTTCTATGGAATTGCGCATCTAAATGTACGAAGTATTATCCCTTTTAAGTTGCAGGCCAATGAGCTAAAGTCCATGAACGATAGGTCGATCATATTTATGCGTACCAATGGATGTTCTTAATCTTTGGAGTGGTTACTGTTATCTTTGGAACCTCTCTCTGGTGGATCCTACCCGATTCTCCATTGACAGTTACCTGGTTAAATGACCGAGAACGCTTGATTGCTATCGAACGTCCGAAAAGCAACAAGACTGGAGTCAAGAATAGCCACCACAAACACGAACAAGTCATGGAAGCAATTCTCGATCCCAAAATCTGGTTGCTCGCTCTGGCAATCTTCTTCCACAATATGACAAACAGCTTGCAAACAACCTTCTTGGGAATCCTGATCAAAGGTTTCGGGTATACTACCTATCAGAGTGTGTTGTTGAGCGTCCCCATTGGCGCCATTCTATCCTTCACTATGCTCATTATCGTCGTTGTTCTCAACAAATGGGAAGGAAAGCGGATTTTTGCTATCATCATCTGTTATATCCCCGGCATTGTCGCTTGTGTTATTTTGTACACGGTACCGATCAAGGCGTCAACAAAATCCATTCACTTGTTCGCCATATACATTCTGCCCATCGTGGCTGCTGGGGCCGGTGTCTTATACTCCCTTCTCGCCAGCAATGTTGCTGGATACACGAAGAAAGTTGTATCGGGTACAATTTTTTTCGCGGCTTCCTCTGTGGCTAATATCGTCTCGCCACAGACGTTCATTACACGTGAAGCTCCAAGATACCAGACAGGCATTGCCGTTGCTCTAGCCTCATTCTGTGCTAATGTTGTTTTATTTATTTCCCTTTACGTGATCTATTACAGAATCAACAAAGCGAGGGATAATGACCCTGACGGGGCGATATCCACTGATGCGACCGAGGATCTAATTGAGTCGTTCTCGGACATGACAGACACACAGAACAAGAAGCTACGGTACAAGATGTGAAGGAATGGACTTCAATGCTCAAAAAATTTGATTTTTCATCTGTAATGAGAAACTCCGTTTACGGCTCAACATCAATATCATAAGACCGCAGGATAATGGGTTGCTTCTGTCAGATTGCGCGGATATGGAGGATAAGAGACCAATGTACACGAACAGAGTGGGATACAGAAGATATGGAACTAGGAATGAGCCCAAAAGAAGAATTATGAGAAGGTAATGCGGCAGTGGAGACATTGGCCAGAATATCCGATATCGTTCGTAGCGCCGATTCACCGAGTGCCGATGCGATACTGCTTTTGTCCGGCCCGAACTGTTTTAGGCAAGATCTTCACGTATGACACAATTGTATCGAGTACGCTGCGTTGGATCTGAAACGCCACAATGTGACAAGCCGATTATATTGCCTTGGGTCGCTCTCTAAAGCTCAAGCCTCTAGGTAACTTATAAGATGAACCTTACTATCATTATCACTAAGGGATATCAATGACACGCTGCAAATTGCGACCGCACCTTAGATTTAAGACAAGAATATAACCAAGCATAAAGCGCCAACAAGAAGGCGATTTTTATTACAAAACGATCAAGTCTCCGAACACAAGAACTTCTGACCGGCTACCCAGGTCATTTCAATTGAGCGTGTTGCTCTGATATTATCAATAGAAATTTATCTTACCAAGACGAAATCGGCTCGATAGCCAGGCTTTATGACTACACGGTCGTTTGATCCAAAATGTTTTGCTGGTAGACTTGTCGCAGCGCGAAGAACTTCCGTCGTTGACATCCAGCAACTCACGAGAAGCTCCAGCTCTCGTGAAGGCTGACGCCGTAAGCAACCTGCGATGGTTTGCCGGCCGCCTTATTGATATTAGTGCCGGCGTTGATACTGACACCTGCGAGGCGAAGTGCAGCCATATTTTTATGCGCATTTTCAAACGTCGTCTTTTTTGACCGCGTCACTCCTTTCATCATAGTCAATGTCAGGATACTAATGCGGCATTTGATTTTACGCAATTGGCGTCCACTGCTGTGTTTTTCGATGTTTGAGGGATTCAAACTGTGGCCTAGCCAGTTGACCGGAGTAGAGACTTCAGTTATGTTTTTTTCCTTTAGAAAAGATTATATGTCCGACCGAAAAGAATCGGAGACCTCACTTTCGCGGCATCTAATTTAAACCACTTTGTGGTAACGTTTTTCATAATATTTTTTGAACCCTTCTTGGCACTGGTCAATCGGCAGAGCTAGGCCTAGGTGTTAGATCTTTTGTACTCTTAAAAGATTGAAAATTTCTACCATTGAGGTTACGTTTCGGATTAACCATGCAAGACTGAATGTTGGACTCATAAAGTTGACTCAAAATTATATATTCACTTCTCTGAGGGCCCCGATTCCTCAAGGCGTGTCGTACTATAAACTAGCATTGTAATACCGCTCTAGCGTGAATCTTCATCCGCATTTGCTTCTGGTTGCTCTCCTTGAACAGGCCCAAGAGAAGGAGTCGGCCGTAAACCGTACTAATTAGCGCACTCCAAGGCAAAAGAGCAGCACTTCATATACCAAGATTTGCTCTGGAGGCTCAACTCGATGCAATGCGGAGCCATCGGGATCATCTCACTAGTCACCTTCGGACTAGCTGGGAATGCATCCTTGTAACTCTCCAGTACTTTAGGAGAATTGATCCAAAGCCCATCAAACTCGGCCAACGCATGCATTACAGGAACACTGACATGGCCCGCGTACTTGTGCCAATAGCTTAGCCAAGTCATGTTGATATCATGTAGTTCCCCAGGGGGCACAGGTCGATTAAGGCGGCTTGTATGGCGACGCATTTCATAATCGGTGAGGTTATGCATGGGGATTTGCAGCATTATAGCGTCTTTTGGGCTCGCATCAAACTGAACAGAGCCTGCAGTTTCAGCTAATAAATGAAGCATAGCTTTTCGGGGTCCATCGGCCAATTCGGTGCCTATTCCAGAGGTAATGAGTCCTGCCAATGGATAGCCTTCGGTTCCTTTGTAGCATCCAGCCGAGATAGTGGCGACCATTGCTCCAATAGAATGTGACAAGAGCACAATTGTCGTTGCTCCCGAACGTTCTCTGAATTGTTGCCATAGGCGCGGTAGCACTGTGGAGTTCAGGAACTTTCCCTGAACTTGGCCATAGGTTGCGTCTTCATCGTCGGAATCCATTGGCACAGGAGTGCTTCTGCCATAGCCGGGCCTGGTAAGGGAAACGGTGGGTATTCCTACCCGAGCTGACGTGTTGGCAATTGAATAATTCTCGTCGACATCGAAATATTCAGCATCATAGCTTCCGCCGGGAATGCAGACGATAAGCGGCAAATGGCCTGCATTTTGAGGTGTGGTCGGAAAATTGAACCGACCGGAGATCATACCTCCGTTGGGGAGACAGATCTCAAATTCTTCCATGCTCTTTGGTCGTGTATGAAGGAGCTTGGAGGTGAAAGCGAGGAACTGTCGAAAGGAAGTACCGGGCCAGGACAATGGCGATGGTTAGCCAAAACTGCTTCAGGATGATGGAACTGGTGAAAGTAACACGTATCAAACTAGCGGGTATCTCCATGTAATACTTAAGTTTACTGGCGGCTGGGGTATTTTCGGTACAGAGCACGAACCCGTGCTGATATGCCGTAAGTTGACTAGCATTTCTTGGAATTGAGGGTCAACCAAGATGCTATGTCCGCACGGACTGCCGCAGTACACAAAAAAGCGGGACATCGTATTATTGAGCCGAAGATATCAGTACTTAGAACGCCGAAGCACCGAGTATGGCAGTCTATCGCCAGAAGCTTAAAAGCACATGCCCTATATGGAAAAAACATACCACTCTTCTTGCCGCTGTATATACCTCCTTTCCATGATGGCAGAAATGCATACATGATGAAGCAGTCGAGTTGGTCTAGTCAGTGAGGTGACCCACTTCCTGCTACCTCTAACACCATACTAATTTTGCCTATCTGCTTCTCGCTTTGGACTGCCTGCAGCCACAGATTTCGAGAGAAAGAAAATGGCCAAATGGCTTCGCGCCTGCTCGCTCTTACTGATATTGCTCTCGCAAGAACAATCATAAAGGTCAATATCAGACTTCATTCAATCTCCCAGGCCGGATCCCCCCTTATTTGGGGTGCCGGAAAATACTAAGCAGCCAATACCCCCGACGAAGACAATACTAAGCTAAGAGGATCCATATCGAGTATAAACGGCGACCCTTGAATCCGAATAACTTCGTCCATTTCACCTCTTGATCCTCGTATATTGATACCTCGAAGATTCTTCTCCAACAAAACTTTCTTCTCCATCCACTTCCACAATTACCTTCAATATATAAACAACCTTTTCGCTTTCCCAAGCAATTCAAATTATCTTAATGGCTTCTACTAAGATCCGCAACTCTGCTATGGAACCCCAAAAAACTAGGAAGAAATACTTGGAAACCTTAAAATTAGAATCTCATAGACTTTCTACCGTTACTCCTTTTTTCTGCTACCTTCACTCCGCTTTCTCCAAAATTGGGAAAATTACGAGATGTCAAAAGTTCCACGCGGTCATCGTATTAAACTTTTTCGGCCACTTTTATTGCAACCACAACTATCTAATTATGAGCACAATATTTCATCTCCTATGTAAGCTGCTATTTGAGCGAATTCGAGTCACTATATTACATCAATATATAAATTAACACTTTTAAAGTATTTATTATGTCTAAGTCTACCTTGCTTCCCTCTAAGTTCCCCATGCAGACTTTCAAGTCCCTTATACTCACAATATTGAGTCTATATAGAACCTACTGCTCAGCTGAATTATGTGTGAGGATTCGAAAGTCTGTAAGGGATCTTAAAAACTTCGATAAGGCATTAGTAGACTACGGAGAGTAATGGTGATACCCTTATGTTAAGCCCTATCTTCTAGATTAGGTTGAAATTAGGAAGGTAGACTAGAAAGTCTAAAGATGGAAGACGGCGGCGAAGGTAGTATAAACTTGAGGTTTTGGAAAAATGAAAGTCATTCTACTAACTCTTTAGGGGAGTGACGGTAGGAACTCTCATTCATTGGGTCTAACCCTAGTGATCAAATAACACCTCCTCAACTTGACAATTGACCATCTTGGTTTACAGAACACACTTGGTCGTAAAGCCCAAAGCATACTATAAGATGATTTTTTCAGTTTAATCGGCAGGTAGGAGTGTCTCGGAAGGCTGGGGAGAATAGGCACTCATTACAGTGGTTTTCTGGCTACCATAATGAATAACGGAGTGAAAAGTTTGTCTTCTCCGGCCAGAACGAGGGAGTCAACCAGGATTGCTAGTGTTTCAGCAACTTTTTTGGAACCCGGGGGGGAAATACAAAGCTTTTCCAATAATCCGAATATGAAAGCAAAGACTCCCCAGCGTAATAACACCACTTGTCCAATCCTGAAAACGTCCCAGATTGAATTGAGGTTCTTGAAGCTCCCACCGTTATGATAATACCAAGGGACTTAGTTCGGGAGCTCAGCTAAATCTTTAGCACTTTCTAACACAAAGCCAGCCTTTTTTATAGCTTCAACTGCTGCTCCAGCTGTTGCGATGGTAGAGAGACCTAGGCTTTTTTCCAGACGCAGCCGAATACCACGGTGTTCCAGGTTGTCATCATCATATGAATATGTCAAGACTAACTCATAGACAGAAAATATACCGCCTGGCTTGAGAATCTTGAAAATTTCTGAAGACGTGATCAAAGATGATATCGCTTTGTTCTTGAAACACCGGCTTCAAGAAATACAGAGATTACGTCAGCTACCTCCTGATTGGGTGGGAGAGTTGCTATCCACGACTGGGCTGACATTTCCGTTCCTTTGTTTATTTTCGCAGCTACAGTTTGCCGTATCTTCGAGGACAGAAGGTGGGATCCTCAAGAGACTTTAACTGAGATCCTATCCCATCAAAACGATGAGTCCTTACTTAAAAGCACATACCTTCCTGTTTTCAATCGAATCATTGAAGGCCAGAGCACCAAGAAGAAGGGCCGACTCATCGAAAACTGTTTGGCAGTTATTGGACCAATCGTATTACTGGAAAGTCCACTTTCGGTTAACTCACTCTCCAATCTCCTCTGCCTTTCCAAATCGAAGATCAAAGCGCAACTTGATCTACTCCGCCCAGTACCAGACATTCCGGACGAGGACACTTCACCCATACGACTTTTCCATCTCTCCCTTCGAGACTTTCTACTTGAAAGCAACAGTGGGTCTGTCGAGAGACCATTTTGGGTTGATGAGAGTGAGACACATAAGAAAATGACTGATCTTTGCTTAAAAACTTGTGAGAGTTTGAGAAGAAACATTCGCAACCTATCCGATGATGTGACACAGCGCGTCGAAATTGAGGACCAAGACATCATCGCGTGCATTCCTTCCGGAGTGCAATATGCCTGTCGTTATTGGGCACACCACCTGCTGCGCAGTAATGAAAAACATACTTTGCTACCCAAGGCGCTATCATTTCTGGAGAAACATTTTTTACACTGGGTGGAGGTCATGTCCATCCTGGGCCATGTTTTCGATATCATAGAAATGATTCATAAATTGCAGATGGCAACAGAGGTACGATAAAAGCCCAAAGAGCCCATGAAAACGACCTAACAGAAGAAGGACGATAATTCGTCTACATTATCTCATTTCCTGCATGATGCAAATCGTTTTATTCTCAAAAACCGCCAAATCGCCGATGATACACCTATGCAAATTTACTCCGCAGGCATACTGTTCGCGCCTCAAAGTTCGATAATTCGCCAGAAGTTTGAGTCTGAGGTTCCCCTCTGGGTGCTCCAAATGCCACGAGTTGACGACCGATGGAGTCCTGAATTACAGACTCTTGAGGATCATGAAAGTATAGTAAAGGTGATAGCCTTCTCCCCCAATGGTCGTCTACTGGCCTCCGCCTCTTGGGAATTTCCCGTGATACTCTGGGATCCAAAAACAGGAGCGATACAACAGAGGCTTGAGACAAAATGTCCGACTACTTCAGTGGCTTTCTCGCGGGATAGTCGGCTAGTAGCAGCGGGCTTGCTAGATGGCCAAGTTCGTATTTGGGATATAGCAACGAGCAATATGCTATACAATCTGCAAGATTCAAAGAGAGTATGGTCAGTGGCTTTTTCTCCCAAAGAACAGCTCCTGGCGACGGGGTCATCTGATCACATAATCAAGCTTTGGAATATAGAAAAAGGGATTCTACGAACGACCCTCACAGGACACTCAAAGTCTGTCAGATCAGTTGCTTTCTCACCAGATGGCATGATTCTAGCATCGGGTTCAGATGATCATACAATAAAGCATTGGAACTTGGCGAGTGACAGCTGTATAGGTACCCTCAAGACGCGCTCAATTTCCGCAGTCGCTTTCTCATCGGATGGTCAACTGCTTGCATGGGTGTCTGGGGACTTCATAGAACTGTGGGATATAGACCGGCATAGAATCAGCCAGACTCTCAAGTGTGATCAGGGGGAATGGATGGTCCCCTCAGTGGCCTTTTCTCCCTCAAACCTATCACTAGCATTATCCCGCAACAACGAGGTACAAATTTGGGATTTAAAGAAGGGCTGCCTCCAGCAAACTCTCAGGGGGCATTCCTCAGTCGTTTCATCGGTGGTTTTCTCCCCCAACGGCCAAATCCTAGCTTCCGGTTCAGAAGATCCATCATTGCGGTTATGGGATATGATGGGTACCCTAAAAGGAACTCCTGAAGAACATTCGAGCATGATCACCCTCCTGGCATCCTCACCAGATGGTGAATTGCTTGCATCTGCCTCTCGCGATAAGACTGTGCGAATCTGTAGTGCAGTAACTGGCATTTTGGAGCATTGTCTTGTTGGCCATACGGGTGGGGTTTTATCGGTAGCCTTTTCACCCGACGGCAAGCTCCTGGCATCTAGCTCGGAAGACAAGACTGTACGACTCTGGGATATAGCCACAGGCTCTTCGAAGAAGATTTTGAAAGGCCATTCAAAAACGGTTAGGTTGGTAGTCTTCTCACAGGATGGCCAACTGCTAACTTCTGGCTCCGATGATTTCACAGTACGACTCTGGGACATAGATACCGGTAGTAGCAGGCATGCTCTCCAATGCAGCAACGGGATTGCATCGATAGCTGTCTCGCCTAACGGTCGGTTACTGGCAATCAATTACCGATTGCAAAGCGCAAATCTTTGGATCCTGATGACAAGACTTTGGGAGTATTCCGGCCATGATCCTATCTTCGGATCTGATTTCTCTCTTATTGCCTTTTCGCCAGATAGTCGATCAATGGCATCCTACCACAGAGATGGGAGCCTCCGACTTTGGGACTCGATGACGGGCATGTTGCAAGACACTTTGGTTAAATCGGAGTGCAAAGCAACCCAGACTGGTTCTCGAAAGACCTTATTTCTCAGCAATAAGCTAGGTTCTCGCAAGATTTCGGTCAGGGATGGCAAGATAATTTTCCGATCTCCCAATGAGAGCCCAGAGATATGGCTCACACAAGACGGCTGGTTAGGTCTAAATGACAAAAAGATCTTACGGCTTCTTGCTGATTCTAGACCTTGTCTTTCAGCGTTTAGGCTTGATAAAATTGCCCTAGGCTACCCCTTAGGGCGAGTATCTATAATGAGGTTTGATGTTCAGAATCTTGCAGATGTGGACTTGGCTTGCTCAGAGGTGCAAGAATGCTTGCATGAAGTAAATCCTCAATCAGACCTACAAAGTAGCGGTCCGTCTTTACTACAAAGTAGAGGTCCGCCGTGGTTTATCCGGGAAGGAAGCTGGGAAGGAAGCTGAAAAAGTTTTTGGTGCTTGTTTTCTGTAAGGAGGCAATGCTTTTTCTTTTTTCTAGATTCTTGCAATAAAGCTTAATCACTAGCCAGAAACTCGAAATGGCTCAGATTAAACATACAAGTGTTAAATCTTTTTGCAAAGCATTTCGGTTTTCAAATTTGCGCCGGACTCTTTCCCGTCAACCATGGGATGTGAAGGACGAGACGCATTAGAAGAGTCATAGCTGTTTTAGACAAATCAAGTCTGGAAAAAATGAATTAGATCATCATCCTTCCATGTCGCGCTTTTGTACAATCTCATACTTAGCTGAAAGTCAACAAAAAGCTACATGGACCTCGCAATTGAAAATTCCGAGCGCTAAGCAGTGTCTATAGGGATCTTGATCGAATTTTGAGAGTCTATCCATACTTGTTTCACTTATCTCAGTGTCGACTCCTGATTGTTATATTTGACCGTTTAATCAGTGATAGAAAGGACATATTGAATAAGAAGTTACAACAATGAAAGGACCGAGTGCAGCAAAAGGGGTGAAGTGCCCAAAGCGGGATGCCACCCGAAGAACGCGGGGGATAAGCCTAATAAAACCAGAAAGACTCACCCAATGAGATAGACAAATGAAAACCTCTCTTCTTCTAGTCGGAATATCTGGAGTAAGCTCGTATAGATCAAAAGTTAAATAATCCCAACTAGATTTGTATATAATAGAAAGGTGCCGAATCATTGATGACGTGAGATTATGCGAAGATTTGTAGATGTGTTATTCTTCAATTCGGCCTCGGACCATAGACTTTGTATTGTCATCCGCGTAGTAAATTAATGTGATGGACTGAGTGACTGATGCTCGCCATCATACGGTCGGAACAATTTTATTGTTGACTCATCAGATGTGCGGGAAGTCAAACATAACCGTCCAACGTTGCAAACGTCGGCACGATTAAGTTGTTGAATAATCATTAAATTGTCGGTACTAGAGGAGTTTGATAAAGCTACATAGCTGGAAACTGCTAATGAATAATGATTATGCCAGCAGTCCGGCTCAACAGCCGAGCTGGGAAATCACGCTGCATGTCAGCTCAAACGAGTGCTGTCTATGGGCTAGACCCAAGTAGATTAACCGTGGCTGACATTTAGATGAATCATCGATGCGCGCTGCTGCTTTTTCACAACCCAGGTGCCACGGATAGCAACTGACGCGGCACAGAAAAAACATATATATATATATTGCCCCACCTCCCCTTCGACATCAAATGTTGCTTTTCAATCACGAACAAATATTTGAATATTTAAAAGACCACAACCTTGGAAAATGTCAACTGGAAATACAGTCCTAGTCATCGGCGGCACAGGTGCCCAGGGAATGCCAGTCGTCAAAGGTTTGTCCAACACGATGTTCCTCGGGACGGATAATATTACTAACACAATCTAAAGCTTTGGCATCTGGTTCCAAATACAACGTCCGAGTCCTAAGCAGAAGCTCTTCATCGCCATCGGCAAAAGAACTAAGCGCAATCCCCGGGGTGACGATATTTGAAGGGGAAACTTATCACGAGCCCACCCTTCGGAAGGCATTCGAAGGCGTGTCTTATCTCTTTGCTAATACCAACGGCTTTGCCATTGGTGAGAAGGCTGAGATATATTGGGGCATTCGGCTCTATGAGCTTGCTCGAGAATTTCACCTAAAGCATTTCATCTATGCTGGTCTATATTATGCCTCCAAGCTTGGAAACTTTGACCCCAAATATCGGACCGGGCATCTAGATGGGAAGGGAAAAGTGGTTGACTTTATCTCTGCTCAGCCAACTACCCCGATGGCCTGGTCTGTTGTCACGTCATGCTTATACGTCGAAGGACTTTCCGAGTTCTTACGGCCTTTGCCGGATCCTAAAGACCCCGACACGATGGTCTTCGCAGTACCTCTAGGGGATGCGAAATGCCCTCTTATATACCTTGAGGACTACGGGTCTTACGTGAGATGGAGCATTGATAATCCAACCCGGAGTAACGGCCTCGACCTGCATGTGGGCACGGAGGACATCGCGTGGAAGGATCTTGCTGCAGCTTTCACCGCAGTGACAGGCATCAAGGCGGTTTACAAGGACGTCACTTTGGATGAATATTTCCAATTGGGAATCTGGCCAGACCCGGATGCGATGAAGGTGGGTCATTCTGGCCAGCCGGATGATCCGACAATATTCACGGTGCGGGAAAACTTTTCTGGGTTTTGGAATACCTGGAAAGATAATCTGACGACGAGAGATTACCAACTGCTGGATGAGATTCTACCAACCCGAGTGAAGAGTGTGAGGGAATGGATGGAGAAGACTGGATACACTGGAAAGCCCGTATCGATTCTGAAAGGCTATCATGACAAGGGTAAAGGAGATAGACTCTGATGATTACATCGTCAAATCTTACCTGGAATGATAATTTTCAGAATCCATTTATTTCATTCTTTTGATTTTGCCAGAACCTATCAATGCTCTTTCAACTCTCATACCGCTTCATATCACCTTTCTTTGCTATCATCCTTTGTATGGAGATCTTTAGCCCTCGAAATCTCATGAATTTGGGCCTCGTGAGTTCAGCACATAAACACTATCATATTACTTCGTGCAGGCGGGAAATTGTAACTTTCCAAATGGACAAATATAGATCAACCTTCAAGTGCTGGAGGGGATGGACAGTGGAGAGAAGAAGGAGTGAATTTCAGACCGAGCAGAACTTTGCAGTCGAACATAGAGATGCACGATTCATTGATTGATAATGTCCACGGAGCTCCATCTCTGGGAAATGCCGCCCGTACTCCGAATCAAATCGATACTACCCACTGAGCACCCGGTTATGTCGGGAATAGTTCCTCTGGATTGTATCCCCTTTCGCTTTTCTCCGAAATGATCTTGAGATATCACATCGGAGGTGTTCAGTCTTTTAAGGGATAATTTCAGATCAGAAGGGGTATCACATATGCAGGGGATCTGTCTCGTGCATTTCCTTCAATGTTCGTGAGCGGATTGTTTCACAGGGGTGAACGACTCGGAAGCCAAGCCTCGTGGCGCTAATCAACCTCGGCGGTGGAAAGTAAAATAACAGTCTGTTGAACAGGCTATGTTTTCACGCGGTGCTCCTTGACTCCCACAATATTTAAATTATTGATTATCAAGGCTAAAAATAGTGCGAGTTATACACTGCGCAAACATAGCGCGTCTCGGTTCCAAATCACAGAGATGCGCCAGAACCTTGGAAGGCGGGAAGAGGGAATTTATTACTTGGAAAAAGTAATAGTTGAAGAAGCCATGAACTTTGATCTCTGGAGAATTTAGACATAATACTGAACTCAATGACGCCGCATACTGTGAACTATTCCAAAACTCAAGGGCTATTCAGGTAGACCACGCAATCCTCGGTTCTGGCCGGATCTTCGAGGGCTGGTGCATGTGATCTGTCTCAATAACTTCCAATCTCAGTCAAATTAAATTCTGCACGAGCCTACATAGAAAGGGGTGTTTGCGGCAACGCGCAGCGCGTAGTGGATCCATCCAGTAGGCGTTTATCTCAGGGTTCAATGTGGGGCCGCGATAGCCCTTACCAGCTCCCAAGAAACGTAGTCACCGAACAGAGGGGATGATGTTCATTTCGCTTATTCTCTCCAGGTTGAAAAGAAACATTCATTGTGTGACCCCTGAATAGTTTCATGAGATCCATAATCAGGGAATAAATCATGCATGCAAACCTTGGTCGGGACTCAATCAAAATCCGCACTAGTGGAACTAGCGCATCAGCCGGGGGTGGAGACTTGCATTTCGGCTGCATATTAGCTTTGATCATGAACCATCTAGTCGGTTTTAGCGCAGCCCAAGCCTGTCACGAATCGAGGTACACCAATCGGAATGTCTCTGAAGTGGAAAAAAAGACTGGTCTCGAGCCTTATACTTCGAGGCGCTGTGTATCTATTCAGATGCATGGCGTTTCTGTTTCTGCTGATCGACATCCAATCTCCTTTGTTGGTTGTGGAACCATTGAAGTCGATAAATCTCTTGGGCGTACATTTATATCGCTTCTCCCTTTGAACATCGTCTTTCATTAGCTATTTAAGCCTCGTCACTCATTATTGCTGTCTAACAGCGTCCATTCCTTCTCTATCACGATACGACATATTCATTCACTTAATTTTTAATTCACATACTTTGACGCTGATTCTGACAAGATGAAGCAATCCATTCTCACCCCCCTCATCGCTCTTGCGGCGACTTCAGTTGTGAGTGAGATCTTGATCAGGACTGGAGATATATCGGCATCTAACTCGACTTCTACTTGTATAGGGTGTCCAAGCTCACGAGACTTTGATCAATGTGCCGGTCAATGTATGTGCCGCTGTCTTGGGAGAGGCCGATTGCAAGCAAATCACTTCCCCCAGCTCCGGTGGTTTGATCAATGTGCCTCTTAATGTCTGCGCCGCTGTTCTCGGATCCGTCAAATGCGAAAAGCTGCTTTCTTCTGCCCATGGTATGGTCGGCCGCTCGCTCATTAGCGTCCCAGTCAGTCTCTGCGCTGCTATTCTTGGAGAGGTTGAATGCAAGACCAAGACCGAATCCGACGGCTTGATCAGCGTCCCCGTTGATGCCTGCGTTGCTGTTCTGGGATCCGCTAAGTGCGACCAGCTCACTACTTCTGGCAGCGACAGCAAGGGTAGTGGTAAAGACGTCGGCACGCTCATCAGCGTTCCAGTCAGCCTTTGTGCGGCTATTCTGGGAGAAGCTGAGTGCAAGACCGAGACCTCATCCGATGGCTTGATCAGTGTGCCGGTTGATGCCTGCGTCGCTGTTCTGGGATCCGCTAAATGTGACCAGCTCACTTCTTCTGTCAGTGGCAGCAAGGGCAGTGGCAGTGGTAGTGGCAGCGACAACGGCAGTGGCAAAGACGTCGGCACGCTCATCAGCGTTCCGGTCAGCCTTTGTGCGGCTATTCTGGGAGAAGCTGAGTGCAAGACCGAGACCTCATCCGATGGCTTGATCAGCGTGCCCGTTGATGCTTGTGTTGCTGTTCTGGGATCCGCCAAATGCGATCAGCTCACTTCTTCTGGTAGTGGTAGCAAGGGCAGTGGCAGCGACAGCGGCAGCGGCAGCGGCTCGCTCATTAACGTTCCAGTCGGTCTCTGCGCCGCTATCCTCGGAGAAGTTGAGTGCAAGACCAAGACCTCATCTGGTGGCTTGATCAGCGTCCCCATTGATACCTGCATCGCTGCTCTTGGATCTGCCAAGTGTGACCAGGCCTCCTGCTCCCCCAACGACAGCGGCTCGCTGATCAGCGTTCCTATCAACGTTTGCCTTGCTGTCCTCGGTGAGGCCGAGTGCAACCAAGCCTCCTCCAGCGGTTCCGGCAGCCTGATCAACATCCCCGTCAACATCTGCCTTGCTGTTCTCGGAGAGGCCGAATGCAACAGTCACGCCGCTACCACTGCCGGATCTTCTACTAGCACCCTCACTCTCGGCGCACCTATCCCCACTGGCCCCGCTGGTGGCTCTTCTCCCTCTGGCCCCGCCGGTGGCTCTTCCCCCTCGGGCACCGATGTCATGACCGCCCCCGGCTTCCCCATCTCCTCTGCCACTTCCATGCCCGTTGTCCCCTCAGCCCCCAGCTCTGGCCCCTCTGGCTCTGGTCCCGCTGGTCCCTCCGGCTCTGGTCCCGCTGGCTCCTCCGGCTCTGGCCCCGCTGGCTCTGGCCCCTCTGGCCCGGCTGGCTCTGGCCCCTCCGGAACTGCCGCCGTCACCCCTGGCGGCTTCGGCTACCCCGGTGCTCCCGGCCACCAGGCCAGCTCCACCATGCGCCGTTTGATTCCCACCCCCTCCGCCGGTGTCTCATCGACCAACACTTGGACCACCGCTGTCCCCTCCAGCACCCCAGCCTACAACGCGGCCGGCCGTGCCACCATCTCCGGCATTGGCGCTGTCCTCGGTGCTCTTGCTATCGCCGCTCTGCAGCTGTAAATGTATATCTAAGTTTGTAAGCTACTGGCAGTATGAGGATAGGAACTGTCGCTGATGCGACGTATACTGACTCTCTCTTTGCACTGATACTCCCTTTTTGTTGTTTTCTTTCTATAACCCAGTCTGAACCCATATCCAAATTGTTTACATCTTATATACCGTCAATGTGGAAAGGTGTTTTTTTCTTTCCTTTTTGCGATCAGCGTCTGATGATTTTTGATGAGTTTCAATAAGATGAAGAAATATAATCTTTATTCGAAACGAAGTGTTTCTTGCGCAGCAAAAAATCACCGTAGCCAGTAGAAGACACCTATAATGTAACACTCAAAAGCTTTCGCTGTCAAGATTCTAGTTCCATTTCGGCAATTGAGGAGCCTCTTGGGATCCTTTCGAGAGCCAAAATTCTTTAACATGACCCGTGCGGCTCTGAATCCGTGAGGCTGGCTACCTTATGATGACTAGTGGAGAACATCATAGCTGGCGGCGACTTTCCCATATTTTAAACCTTGAAAACGCGCAAGAAAAATTTTCAAATGGACTCCAATTCGAACGTCTCTGTACTCACTATAGGGGTGCCGGTGGATCACTCGGGCCGCACCGAAAAGCATGACTTGTCATGTTTCCATTTCAGGAACCAAGATCTCATCGCCCCGTATATTTATCTACCCAATTGACAGAAAATTTGAGAATTATCTCAGGTTTCGGTTCTACAAGCTAAAGTTTTCAGCTACTTGTGTGAACTGTCACCTAGTCATCCGACTCTTGCCAAGAAGCGGGGTTAAAACCCCAGAAATTCACCTTCTGGCTCCCCCGAGAATCTGCCTTGACTCTTGAATCAATATTACTAAGTGTCCTTGCTATACTATTCCTCTTACATATTCAAAATTCATAGAGTATTGTTCTCCTACTCAGCCTCAAAGCCCAGCTCTTTCTTGAATATTTAATACGAGATATAATAGTCCCTTGTAGTGTGAGGGTAAAAGATAGGTTACGTGATTCCACACTCTAAGGTAGAGAATTCATGATGATTGGCAAAATTACTGAAGGAACATACTTTGCCGACAGCTGGATGGTATGATCGGCCCGAGGAAGAAGGAACCAGACCGCGTACTGCAACATATTTGATCCACGGAGACATCAAGCCAATTCCTTACGGACGCTGTTGCCTTGTCAGAACTATTCGGGCAACATTCATTTGCTAAGGTACATCAAAAATAACAGAAAGAGCGAAATTAGCCACGAAATTGTAGTGGAAATATCCTGCGAGTCCTAGGGATTAAGACCGATTCTAACCGCTAGCGCTTATTGAACATCTTCCAAATTGGCTTTCAGGCCATGTGCCATGGCTTGCTCTTTTTTTAAGATTACCTGCATGGTAAGCTTTTACAGCCCAGATGAGAAAGCTTTTCTGTCTCGATTGGCAACCGCCCACGAGACCTTATTTTCAGCCTCGTCTGAGTGCCCGTGGCCTTTCAGAAAATTGAAAAGAACGGGTCATCCATTCCCGAGGTCTGTGTCTTTGATCCCAAACTGGGGCTTCGAGTGCTTCCTGTCAGCATTCTAACTTATACATGTATTTAATCTCCCCCACCGGATAACAGACCGGTATATGGGGATGTTTAGAGATCGCTAGACAACTCGCTAAGGTTATCTTTACTTTATCTGGTCCCTGGTATGAAGTATCAAGGCTCGGAGGTCAAGGATCTTTGTCCTAAATAGCTCAAGCGCTTATTGGCGTCCAAGGTGCTAATGCAAAATATGGATATTCCTCTAAACTAAATGGATCACTAAATGGATCAACCTCCAAATTCAACCAGTAAAAAGAGACGAAGAAAAGAAAGAGATTTAACCGATGGGTCGGTTGCAAACATATTAACCGAACTTAGTTGGTAACTTGGTCGCGGAGTTACATTGGTGGCGGTCGGTGGCGCCAGTGCTACAGTAGTCACTCTGCCCAAACCTTGAGTCCTTGGAAATCTCATCGGTCACAGGCTAAAATCAGGCGATCGAAGCCATTTGCAGCAATTCAATGGCAACAGTAATCTGCGTTTCCCCAAGAGCCCCTGAGCGCAAGATAAGCTTTGGTGTACGCGGGGCCCCAGAAAATGAAACCTGGGTCAAAACTACCAAGGTTATCCTAGGTCGAACCTGTGTGGAAAACCTATGAAAGAAAGTGATCAATATTCCCCAGATTCTTCTAAATTCTGGGGGATTCTTGAATTTTAGAGCGACACATCATCACCCGGTCGTAGTGTACGAATTGGGCCAAGGGTTTAATGTGCCCACGGATAATATCCCAAAGCGTTCAAGCGCAGTCAAATCGTATGCCGAGTAAATGATCCGTTTGATGAGACCTCGGCTTTGTCCGTCTTTGTCCGTCTAGAGATACCGGTTTGTCTTGCATCTTGACCCCGAATGGGAAACCCGCTTTTATTACTGGTGGGATTAATGAGTGGAGTACGCCACCCCAGGTTTCCCCGGGTTCGGGGCCGAATTTGTCTGGGGATAGCACTTGGTCACACCACAATTCACTCTCACTTTATTTCCCCCACGTGCCACGCGTGAATGGAAGTCTCGCCCTTACAGATTCTATAAGATCTGTCACTCGCCCCTTCCCCACGTCCTTTTCTTTCTTCCCCGTTTGTTTCTTCCTTCCCTACTGACATCGAGTGAACCACACAACATGTCGACCGGTAGCATTGATCAAAAGGTGGATGTCGAGCCGAAGTCTGAGGCGCATCAGATTGATGTTCTTCATGATGAAGTCTTAAATAGTCAGGATCTTCTTAAAGATGCCTTCGATGCTGAGAACCACGAGCATGAGATGGGAGTCTGGGACAGTATCAAGGCCCACCCCTGGGCCTGCTTGTGGGCCTTCACCATGTGTTTCACCATCGTGAGTCAATCTTTTCAGGACCGCTGATTGACAAATGCTTATGCCCCGCTTAGGTTATGGAGTCATTTGACATGTTCCTCAACACCAATTTTGTCGCCCTCACAGCCTTTAAACGACATTTTGGAGTCAGAACTGGGCCATTGCCCGATGATTATGCTATTCCAACCCGGTGGCAGAGTGCCCTTTTCCAGTCGGGTCAATGTGGTGCTTTTGTGGGCGTGTTCTTAGCAGGTCCCATCACTAACCGCATCGGCTACCGCTGGACAACCATCCTGGGCCTGATTATGATGAATGCCACCATTTTCATTTCCTTCTTTGTGAGTAAGCCCCGACCAGTGCCTTTGACCATGCCGACTAATTGTAACACAAATAGGCCGACTCCCTCACAGTCTTAGTTATCGGCCAAGCATTCGAGGGAGTACCCTGGGGACTCTTCATTGCCAACTCCCCTGCTTATGCCAGTGAGATTGTGCCTATCAATCTCCGTGGTGCCTGTACGGCTACTCTGCAGATGAGTTGGTCCATTGGATCAATCATTGTCGCCGGTGCAACTTATGGCACCAACAACATCGACGGACCATCAGCTTGGAAGATTCCTCTTGGCTTGCAGTGGATTTTCCCCGTAAGTCTTTGATTTCTGATATAACGCACATTTGAGCTAACTTGATCAGACCCCCCTTCTTATCCTTCTCTTCTTCGCCCCCGAATCTCCCTGGTGGCTCATTCGCCGCGGCCGCAAGGAGCAGGCTCTTAAGTCTATCATTCGTCTCGGCAGTAAGCCCGAGGAGGCAGAAAAGAAGCTCGCCATGATGGAGCGAACTGTAGAAATCGAGGCCCAAATGGGTGGCAGTCCTACTCTTCTTGACCTGCTCAAGGGTACTGATTTGAGGCGAACACTCATCACTTGCTTGATGTACGCGTCTCAAAACTTCGCCGGTAACTTGATCGCCAATCAGGCGACCTACTTCTTCGAACGTGAGTACCATCCATGACAGCCTGTCAAGTGTTTCAAGGACGAATCACTAATGTTCCAATTAGAGGCCGGAATGTCGTCTGATATGTCTTTCAAACTCAATTTGATCAACTCGTGCCTTCAATTCATCGCCAACGGATGCTCTTGGTTCCTCAGCTCTTGGTTTGGTCGTCGAACCATCTATCTGTATGGTACAGCTATTAACATTACCTTCCTGATGATCCTCGGAATCTGTGCCTCCGTTCCCCAAAACAGTGGAACCAACTATGCACAGGCCGTTCTCGGTATCCTCATCTCCTTCGTTTTTGCCGGTGCCATGGGTCCGATCTCATACACCATCATTTCCGAAACCTCTTCCGTCCGTCTTCGTGCTCTCAGCACGGGTGTCGGTCGTGCTGCTTACTACGTTGCCGAGATCCCCATGATCTACTTGGCCTCAAAGATGCTCAACACGACCGGATGGAACCTTGCTGGAAAGTGTGGTTACGTCTGGGGAGGCACCGCTATTGTCTGTTGGGTGATGGCCTACTTCTTCCTTCCTGAACTCAAGAACCGTTCTTACCGTGAGAGCGACATTCTGTTCAACCGAAAGATCTCGGCCCGCAAGTTCAAGTCTACCGTTATTGGCGTCCAGGAGAATGACTAAGGGATCATCAATAATGGAAGAACACACCTTGCACTTTTCATGATTGACGGACCCTTCCTTTCGACGGTATCATTCCAATTTTAGACTTTGGAATTTGATTGAAGCTATTACGAGTACCTAGACCTAAATAAATAATACATAATTATGTTTCAACTTCTTGCCTATACGTATTACATCAAATGTTGGAATGCTAGCAATAAGCCTTACTTCAGAATATTTAGGCCTCATCATTATTCTTCCTATCATGATTTAAGACTAGGAATGCCAATGCTTGAAGACCGAAAAGCGTATCGCAAAGGTTTTCCTATGACCGACTGTAGAAGCTGATACATATACATGATTGTCGAGCGTCGACAACAAAAGCAGAGACCACGGGGTTGAATGTCTGCTTGCAGGGATGCAATTTAGAAATTCTAGCTGATATATTAGATAAAATTCGGTCATAAGTAGGGGAGGTGACGAGCGGACTCTGACGCGGGCTCGACCTTGTGGCCTGATATATTGAGGCGTCCTTTAAAGGGGTTGTGCAAATGGGCATGTTCGGCATTCCCCACATTATCGGTATGCCCACATCGTGGTCGGCTGGCTCACGATCTAGCACACCCAATGCGACCGACAGAGGCTTCGGCGCCGACATGAATTAAATAGAGTCGCTATGATTCTTTCCCAGCCCGTAAATACTCTCATATACCGATAATATCTTATTCTATTGACCCGCAAAATGGCTAAAGAGCAACTTCCCGTTCTCGTGGTGGGGGCTGGTCCCGTAGGATGCTTCATCGCCTATCGCCTGGGGAAGGCAGGGATCCCAGTCCAGATCTTTGAGAAAGAGTCCACCCTCCCCTATACACCAAGAGCCGTTGGCTACTATGGTGCAACCCAGGTTGTGTTTCAAGAATCTGGACTGTACGACCTCATTCGGGCGGAGGGGTTCATGACTGCTGGATTATGCTGGCGCACACTTCCTATCAATGACGGCAAGGGAGGCAAGCGCTTGGGCGACCTACTGGCTGCGCAACCACTTTGCGACCCAAGTGATCCTGTCAAGGCCTGCCCGTCCGGCCTCCTTAATCTTCGCCAGTCGGAGCTGACGAAGCTGCTTCTGGAGGAGGCGCAAAAAACCGGATACGTGACGATTCAGTTCAACAGTGAGCTATCCAGCATCCAAGAGGGAGACGGCAAAATTACTATTGATTTCGAAAATCAGAATTTCCCAGCTGTGACGGGTTCGTACCTTGTTGGCGCCGACGGCGGTAGATCAAGAACTCGCAAACTAATTGGAGCACCTTGCGTCGGCCATACTTGGCCTGAGAGACTAGTCTCCACGGACGTTATCCTTATAAACGATGTTGATCCAGTCTGGCATACTTGCTATATTATCGGGACGAAGAACTACACCATCATGACTCCTCTTACCGATCCAATTATTGGCGAAAAGAGCCTGTGGAGGTGTACCATTGCCATTCCTCCGGAGGATGAAAGATCTGACCAGGAGCTACTCCAAGAGGAGGTTATACAAGGTTTCTACGAGGACATCGTCTCTGGTCCACGACCACTTCTAGCTGAGATCAAGGCAAAGGCAGTCTATCGCATTCACCAACGCTTGGTCCCGACGTTGCGCAAAGGCCGATGTGTACTAGCTGGAGATGCAGCGCACATGAACAACGTGAGTAAACCATTCCCTTTTGCTAAATGAAATAATCAAAAGTTCTAATTCATTGCAGCCGTATGGCGCCATGGGGTTGAACACCGGCATTCTGGATGGCGATGCTCTAGCGGAGGCCCTGATCATGGTCCTTAACGAAGGCCGATCGGACAAGATCCTCACAAGTTATTCCGACGCTCGCAGAAAGGTCTTCCGATACTTCGTTGACCCTACTACGACAGCCAATAAACTCCGTCTTCACCTAGAAAGCGACACTGCGGCAGAGGATGATGATTATTTAAGATCTCTGCAGAACCCGACCGCGGAGGAGTTGGAAGAGGGAGCCAAGCCGTACTTTGAGACTTGGAGAACAGACATGAGAGCTTTAGCTAAGGAAGCTGGACTATAAGCGATTCAAGTTAAAAACCTGGAGTGGGCGGAGATCCCGAGTGATCGGTCCTCCCCACATCCCACATTCAAATACTTAACTCAGACATACCCGTATGTAGCAAGTAGTTGTTGACTCAATGGTCCAAATTCATTACAATGACTACGATTCAACACCCTCTTCTAGGCCGTATCAAGGGCAACAAGAAAAATGACCTGGTGGAATTTCTAGGCATTCAGTACGCGACCCTCGCACACCAATTCGCTCCAGCCGTTCCCATCGACCGGAAAGACTCCGATGAATCGATCGACGCTACATCATATGGGTAAGTGAGTCCTTTGTCGTTTTTGATCTATGGTACTCCAAGCTTCTAAGGTAATATGAATATTGTTAACACTTTTCTTCAGGGCAAGTGTGGGAGGTGTCGATGGATGCGACTCAGAATTCGGCCTGATCCAACACAAACTTCCCCGCACGCACTTCGCCAAGTCTGCCACACAGGGATTAAATCTAAATATCACGCTGCCCAGAGTGGATAATTTTTCCAAGAGCCTGCCAGTTCTGGTCTTCCTCCATGGCGGCGGCTTCGGCGTTGGATCTGCTTCATGGCCGCAGAACCAGCTGACCAATTTGGTATCCTTTTCCAGTGAACTGGGGCTTCCTGTGGTCGGAGTTAATATCAAGTAAGTCGCAGTCAGCTACCAATTCGACCTATGATACCGGGCAATTCAGAACTAATGAATGCAGCTACCGGGTTGGCCCAGCTGGATTTTTAACATCCGAAGAGCTGCGCGGCGCCGGGTTTACCCCCAACAACGGTCTTCGAGACCAGCGTGTCGCGCTGCAATGGATAAAAGCTCACATTAAGGGATTTGGTGGTGACTCGGAAAATATCACACTTGTTGGACACAGCGCGGGAGGTGGTAAATATTTTTGAACGGCCCATTCACGGTAGATTCGTGCTAATAGTCGAAGTATCTGCCTCTTTGCATCTTGCCAGTGAAGAGCCACTCTTCAAACGAGTTGCCTGCCTGAGTGGTCAATTACTCGCTGTGAAACCTCTCCCAGATCAGGCTCATGAAAATATATACGCCGAGTCTCTTCGAATCCTCGGCTTAGACAACCTGGCACCTAGTGAGCGAGTGTCTCGCATGCGCGCATTGAGTGCAGATGAGGTGGCTAAAATCTCAGCATTCCCATCCCGTCCAATCGTCGACGGGGACATATGTCTCGAGATGCCTTCTGTGAAGGCTATACTCGATGGTATCCCGACTACGCTACACCGAGGCTGGTGCCAGGACTTGTTTATAGGGGACTGTCAGTTCGACGTGAGTATATTGACTTATATGCCCTCTGACAAGCAACTGACAATCCAAGTAGGGATCTATTATGGCAGGTGCCTTGGATCACAGAAAATCGAGTATCGGCAAAGCATTTGGTGAGTACTTGGCAAAGGAAGTCGAGGACATCGCCGGCTTGGCGAGTAAAATCCTCTCGGCATATAGCATCGACATTGATGGCAATGATGATGACCGAGCATTGTACGGCATTCTTCATCTGTTGAATGACGTGATTTTCTATATTCCGACCGTCTATCTGGCTCAATCATGGAAAGATGGAGCGGCCTACCTCTATCGATTCAATGCACCGAACCCATGGAAAGGGCGCTGGCAAGGCGAAGCTTCGCATCTAACCGACCTGACTATGCTTTTGCATAACTTCGATGAATTTTTGACCGAGGAGCAAAAAAAGACTGGCCAAAAATATACCCGAGACTTACTAGCATTTGTATCTGGCCAGAAACCTTGGCAGGCATTTGATAGACAAGAAGCGTTTGAAAGAGAGTATGGTAATCTTCCGGGTGGTCGCAGGAAGTTTATTTGGGATATAATGACGAAGATTGAGCCCGACCGGCTCGCATTGGTGTTGGAACAGTTCATTGCGGGAGGATAAACAAGAAAGATCGTTCGAAATTTTTCATTCCCCACGAATTTAGTTTTGTGACACATTGCATCAACATGTTGATATACTGAAAGCAATGAAAACAAAGCAATGGTGACCAAGCGACGTTGAGGACCTAATGCAAGGTTATAAAGTGAGAAGAATCAATAGAACGACTTATTTTATGTACATAGTTTGGTCAACCTGTTACACTTCCAACCAGTGACTGCAGGGTAGGGATAAACTTTTTCGCGATCTGCACTGGGGATGCCGTAAGAACATCGATAGCCATATTCAACGAGGCGGCTGCACCGTGCACAGATGCTTGGGACTTCGGATTCTCGGAATTGACAAATAAATATTGCCACTCTGCATACCATAGGATTAAGGCCGAGAAGAAAACACAATAGCTGAAATGAGGGCCTTCTGAGATCGATATGGCATTGGAATTGTTCTGCCTTAGGTTGACAGCCAATTCGATGATTTTTTTGGCGTGCCAAAGCGCATTTCGCCGGTCAATTTTGGACGGAAAAAGATCGGTTGATGACAGCGTGCCAGTACCCATTGATGAGGTGGTCGCAGACGAAAGCCTAGATTCACCACAATACCGGCGCGCTAGATTTTGGATTTTGCTGACGCTCACGTGAAGATTGACACAGACCAAATGGAAGAGCATCAAAGTAGGTATAGGAGTTTGGTCATTGGTGATGGTTAGCCATTTTTGGAGAGCCATCTCGAGGACCTCTCCACGGCGAGAGACGTCAAAGCTTGGTTGGTCATTTTGATCTGTAGTCTTTACCGCAGCCCAAGGTAAAAGTAGTGATAAACAACACAAGGTCCATAGTTCATGTGTCTCGGCGGGATTGAGAGTGTCTTCACGAGATAGCATTCTAGGATTGGTCGACATCATCCGCTGTAATTGTGCCATCAGCGCTCGATCACTTGGACCAGCTTGTCCCTTTGGGACTGCAAGAATATCAATGTCTTCACAGAGGCTTGGAAGCGACACGCTGAAGGTGGCAGAGCCGTGGAGAATAGCTACCCGGTAGCATTCTAAAGTACATATATCTTCGATCGTTCTGGCAACAATGAAAGTTAGTGGGTTTCCGAGTTTCCTTTGCGTGTTGAAAACAATAACAGGGGACCTTACCTTCTGCGCTCGGCTTCCCGCTCAGTGTTTGAAGGCGACCATAACTTAAAGGTACTGATAATCTGCAAGAAAGGTCAATAACTCTTGTGAGGTTAGATAGATAGAGCTTTGATTTTGCAAACCTGGACCATTTCCCAGTGATAAACCTCCGCAATTTCATGGAACCTATCGTCACCACTCAGATATCCGAACAACTCGAGGAGCATGTACTGAGTTTCAATTAATCTGCCATTCCCGAAGTTTTATATAATTTCGAGGATTTGAATTTTGGCTTACCGTCTTCAGGATTCCCAACTGATCATCATCAGGCGAAGGCCGTCTGTGATGTACCTAGGAAGATGGTCAGCTCGGGATTTGTTGGTGATGAAGATTGAATGGTTGTCGTGCCTTGGAGAGAAGAACAATACGTGCGTGGTTATAAAGCGACTTTGCAATCTCTATCGAACCTGGTGTCGTACAAAATAAGGCGCCGACAGATGCCATCGACGTCCAGAGCATGACAGGGGTAGTGTCGGTTACTGCGAAGCCCTCAAAGCATCGGAATATTGTGGCCACATGGACTCGGAAGAGATTGAGAAATACATTTATCACACTTGGGTCGTACTGCACCTTCTGCTTTTCACCTAAGCGATGCAACCAGCTTTCATGATCTGCCCTGGCTGCTGGAGAAGCAGGTCGCGAGAGTTCTGTAGGGGACGAATAAGCTTGAAGCCGAGCATATGCACCTTTTATTCGGGAAAGCTGAGATTCTGGTATCCTTTCAGAGACAGGCGGGGCGGGTAAAAGGTCCAGTGAGGGAAATGGCGGGATTTGGTCCAGGATATTGAAATCAAAGAACGATGCAGTTTGCGTAAAGTCGAAATCTAGTAATCCAGAAGTGAAATCTTCGGGAAAGTTGATATTTTGAAATGACAAGTTGGCATTTGGTGATGAAGGCACAGCCTCTTGTGAAATCCCGCTAATTTCTCGAATCCAAGCCGGATTGTTCGGAGTTTCTTGGAGATCCAGGAACTCCCCATGGGAGCTTAGCTCGGGCATTGAGCCTTGGATGGGGATCGTTTGCGACGAGGCACGGATACTTGGATCACCCGAAGCGCGTGAAAACGTGCAATCTATATCTTCCCGGAGACATCGCTCGCAGGGATACTGAGCCAAGTTGCATTTAACTTTGCGGCTATGGCAGCTGTCGCAGGCGCCTCGTCCCCTCTTCTTGTCGACTGCCAAGAGGGAGGTTTGATCGGGATGCTGGGATCTCAAATGTCGTTGATAGACATCCCGCCGGCCAAATTTCTTCTTGCAAACCTCGCAGGCAAATGGTTTTGTCTTGGTGTCTGACTGGGTTAGCACCAACCGGCCCGGCGACCGGGGATGCACTTACGCGATTGAATATGCCGCTCTCTATGTTCCTGTCGCGTAAATGTTCGATCGCAAAAGGGACATCTAAGTAGTGACGGTCCCGATTTGCGTCTAGACTTCATCTGTGCGAGTGGTTTCGGTGCTTGGTGGTTGAAATTTCACCGAATGTGGGGTTCCCCGCAAAATCAACGATTTGTGGCGTGCCACTCAGGGGACTTCCACCATACGTGAGATTACACCCCCAAGCTAGCTGAGGCATAATGGCCAGTCAAGGTGGGCAGGAAGCCATCCTACTACGTGCTCCATCTGCTCACATGTCTTAGACGGGTATCATCCGCGTTTTTCCGACTCGGCTCGCGCTGGGGCGGCGCTGCCCGACGACTTCCTTAGGACTTTCAAGCAATCTCTGCTCAGGGACTACAAAGGTTTCGTTGAATGTGCAGACTTTGTCTTTTTCACACTTCCAGCTTCAAGTCGTTCAGCAACAAATACACCAGCCTGTCAAGTACAGGTTTCTAGGCAATCACCGTGTGTCAGCCATGAGACTGAAAGCGATGATGAACTTCACCATGAAATCAATGCAATCTCAGGAACTGTTCCTGGAATAGGTTCAATGGGAGTCAGCGATTTGAACTATCCGCTATCCCTCTTTGATGGCTTTCCGGAACTTCCGCCTGCGAGCATCATCGAGGACCTCACCCGGACATTCGAGAACCGCTTCCTGAAGAAAGCGCCCTTTATATCAAGTCTATCAAATCAAGATAGCCCTATCCTTGCTGGATTAACAGGAACAGCTCCAGTTCCTCCATATCTCGCCTTTAGCAGAGCTTTAATTGGTACGCTGGTCTCCGAGCGTCGTGAATGTCGATTATGGGCCCAAAACCTCTACGAAACAACCTTGAAACTATTTGTTGGCTCAGTAGAGCTTGATAATAGGACATCGAGTAATATGCACTGGTATGAAGCGGTAAGTGTGACAATGCACGAAGTCTGATCGAAAAAAATAATTAACGATGAGAAAAAGGGAATACTGTTAGTAATTTATGGTACACTCCACTCTGATGTTGCACTTTGGGAGACAACTACCATGGTGAATGGATATCTCTTGGCGGTAGGCATACCCATCCATTGTAAAAATCCCTTGTTAGCTAGCCATTCTGACAAAATTAGCCATACAAACGCCGGGGTCTTCTGAAGATCGTCGACTCACATTTAACCTTCGACTATCAAGATATCAGTTTGTAAGTTCAACTCACTCAAAGGGAAGCGCCTAGCCAAAAACTGACTAATGAGATAGAATGACCTCATTTTACTTTCTGGTCGACATTTTGCGAGCGATTCATTTAAATGCACCTCCATCCTTCAACCAGACAGACCTATCTTTCCCTCTCATAACATCGTCTGCTGGTAGATTCGAAGATCTTTATAGACAGATCATTGTCAATCGCCAGAGCCTCCATCCATATCTGACTTCAGATGAATATTTGCTGGCCTTGTTGTGCATTCTTTCAGAAACAGTGCAGCTCCTGCGGTTCCTTGGGCCTTTCGCCGACGAAACAATTCAAAATGGTCGAAAGGGCGACGGCGAATCTGACGATTTGTAAGTGGATTGAGGATATAGCGATATATACGTTATCCGAGCTGACTGGCGACACTTATAGCATGGGGGGACCCTATCTTCCATCTTCCGCGAGTCGAGAGTATCTACAGCAATCCGAATCTTTGATACATTCACTTGAAGTATGGTATAAATCTGTCGAAAATAAAAATCTGGCCCAATTCAGCGGGGGCGAATTCCCCATGACTGATTCTCAAGTCGGTTGCAATGAAAACAGGGTGTACGGAAATGTCCTTTCGTTGGGATATTTCTGCCGTATTCTCCTTGAAATTGGCCCGCGGGCGTTGGAACTACCACAAATTGCTGGCTACGATGGATTGGCACCCAGCAGACAGATTCCACTTTCTCCATCCGGCGAAAAGCCCCATCATCTCGGTATCCATGTCAGCGACACTGCCATTGACTACGCATGGAAGGTCCTCGACGCATTGGATGATGACGAGCATGATTCAAATTTCACACGGGCCACAGATAACGATCCTTTGATTCCCCTCTGGCTGCCGCTGGTTGTTTTCTATGCAGGTCTTGCGGTGTGGGCTCGCATGCAGGAGGATCATGACCGGGGAGTTCTTAAAGGGGCTCAGAATTCTATTTCTGCTCGTCGCCGACTTTTGCGATCGTTTCAAAATGAATTACGGAGGATGGGGAAACAGTATAGGAGTGCCTCAAGAATGGCGGACGTCATTAAGAACTTGTGTCCTTAAATGTCGACAAATATTGCTTCCACATATACATGTAATAGTAGGAAGTCGAACAGGAACATTAATGGCCATATGCGCCCGCATACCAACCATTGGCATCCTGACCTTCCACCACGATCTCTCGTACTTCAATCAACCATTGTCCATCTTCAGTTCTACTGAAGACATCCTGCCAATAACCCCAATGATCAATTGTCGACGTAGTAGTCATAGCGAAAAACAGTGATTTTGTCTTTGCCTCCGTCTCATTTGAAAACTCGATATCCACACTGGTGAGATGGTGGCGGATAAAGGCTGGCGGTTTGCCTTGGACGACGGTTCCCATCTCTTGCACGGGAACCCCGGCTCCATTCGGGAGACGGAAAATGCCATTAGAGTGGAATAGTTTCGCCATTTCAGAGAAGGGGGCGTTTTCGCGTGCCATTATGCAGTATTTGTGAAGAATTCGTTCGATCTCAGTGATGGCAGTGACTCGCTCGATGGAGCCAGGCTTGTTTAGGTCAACCATGGTGAAAATGTGCTGGTGGAACTGGTTTTAGATTTGAAGATAATGGTATTGCGAGTGTTAAGAGGCCTGGCTGAAGTTGTCAGAAATAAATATGGCTTGCCTGATATCATCACTCAAAAACCCGGGGGTACTGTTGTGGGGAGCCGAGCAACAAAATGCGGGGGTACACTGTTGGGATAACTACTCTACCGGTGTTGGTCAGGTCATTCATAACATAGGTTTTCGTTCATTGTGTGTGGCTGCTAATTTCACTCCCCCTCCTAAATTAAGTGACTTGTAATTATTCCGGTTTTTTTAAAAAAAAGAAGGACGAATTAAGTCAGATTGCCCCATCGCCGTCTTATCATAGCGCGTAGTCCATCAGTTGCAGGTTACTCGATACGCAAGCGCAACAGACCTCCATAAATTACTCGAACCTTCTCTTAGCGAAACAACCTTTGTAGGAAGAGTTCATTATTCCATCGCCAAAACATCCAAACAGTCGGAGAAGATGCTGTAGGAAAAATTGTACTTGTTGAACTCCAGCGGAGTCCCTAATGGGAAAGTTTCAGCAACTAGTTCATTGTTGGTCCGAACATTGCTTTAGAGACTTACTTGGGATATGGCCTCGTATATAGATAGATGCCTTTTCAATCTTTTGCAACTCGTCTTGTGCCTGATCTTGTGCGACACTTGACAGGATTTGCAAGGCGGCAGTCCGATTCCACCGGGCTTTCTGAAAGCTCTTTAGACGATTTGGTATATCCTTTCCGCTTTCAACCCGAGATAGAAAGACACTGAGAGCACCTGCATCTTCAATTCCTTGGCTTTCACATTGACCTTGGTCTATGTTGATATGTCTCGTCAGATCATGGCTCGAAAAATGAATCTTGGAATAGTTTACTGACGAGGGAGCATAAAATGAGCTGCATTGCCAATTATGACAGCCTTTCCTTTAGTCCAACTTTCTATCGGTGTTTGAAGTGACAGAGATTCGAAGGTGACGGTGTCAATGAGTCTGCTCAGGGATTTTGTTTGTAAGGCACTGGATCTGCTATGCTTCAATGGGGAGTCTGATGATACAAACCTAAATATCTCTAGTATGTTCGGGCTGAATTCTTCATATTCTTTCAGTAGACACTTTTGAGGGTCCGTGTGGTCTTTCCAATTCAATACTTAGTGGTTCCATTGATTTCAAATGTGAAGTTAGGGAGTTTCTCAGGGGCTAGTCCTGGGTTATAACATACCTGCACTGTGTTCATCTCTGGAGGCCATGTGTAAAGCGACAAAATTTTGCTCTGATGCACTATATTAAAACGTTATCCGTCAGCTTCAATGAAATTTTGAAAATGTGTCATGCACTCAAAGACATCAAATGAGGCACGGAAATGGAGATAGGTTTTAACTCGTAGACTGACCTTCGGCACGGATACCAAACCAAACGTTTATTTCCAGAGACCGCGATATTCAGCGCGGGGGGCTTTTCCTCAAACAGCACCCTTGTTTTCTCATTTTGGAGAAGTTTGTCCGTTGGAATGACAAATCGAAAGGTAGTCCTATACGCGATAGGGTCAACCCGCTCATCGATGATATGCTTTGCAACTAGTGACTGCATTCTTAGAAAGATTGCTCAGCAATAAAATCAAACATTAGGTCAACTCACATCAACACCGTCTGCACCAATAATGATGTTTTTCTGTATGCGCGAACCATCCTCCAGGGTGAGAATGCCATTCTCACAGTCGATATTAGTTACCGGTGATTCATAATGAATTTTGACTGAGGAGCGAGTGGATGATTGGAATGAAGCCAGTCTTCTCAATTCTCGACCCAAGTCTCGACGATGGATCACTGCCCATGGGTCACCAAATTCTCGGGCAATATCAGAATATTCCGTCCGACAGTTCAATCGTAGTGTTGAACCGTCCCATATATTCCCCTGGATGAGTTAGATCAACGCAAATATTAAGATACTTAAAGGAGTGGGACAAAAGCAGTCACCTCTTCTAGAATCAGCGCTCTTGCTCGCACAAAATCAAATTCAAGTTGACGCAGTACTCGCATAGCATTTGGCCCTATAGTCACAGCAATATTCTTCTCGTTTAAGGTCGTCCTTTCGTACACCTAAACCATTCAGCAAAATTAGGAAGTTTCTGGAATGAGGTACGCATAGGAATGCTGGGATCCGTGGCTAAGGAATGGTCCTTACGTCAACTCTGTGCCCGCATCGACTCAATGATATGGCAGTTGTGAGACCTGCTATGCCTCCACCAACAATGCCTATGTCGAATGAGATGTTAGGTGAAGTAAAAAATCCGCTCGGGTAATCCTTTATGGTAGACCATATGGGGAGTTTGTGAACGTGCTTTCCGCCAAAATGGTCCATTTTGCTCAGCTCTCAAGCGGAAAGGGCATGACAGAAGGAAGATCTTTCCTGGTCATAGCTTGACATCGTGCCGAGATTCCACTTTCAGGGAAAATTTGCCAATCAAGTTAGTATTTCATGTTGCTGTCATGTGCTGTATCGGCGTCCCCACTGATTGACGGATTCTGTTTCGGCTTTCCCACTTGAGATTATTTTTCGGCGCCCCACCAAAATCATCTGCAGAGCAGGAGCCGCGTATTATGCTCTCCCAAAAGCTGGAAACCTGGGTAAAGTAGTCCAACATCTACTCACCGACCTACGGATCGTGACAGTGCGAACCTGTATTTATTTTCAGCGAAAGCCAGCCAGCGCTGTCGATGAAAGACCTCGAATGAGACGCATCATCATTGAATCTGAGAACGGGTCTGGAAAAGCAAGATGCAGTTATTTTTTTGTCGCCGGCACCAACCAAAATGAACCCTTCACTTTGCTGCAGAATCTGGCTGGGAGCGACTTGTCCAGCGGCTTATCCAACCGCTCAAAAGTCAGAAGCCAAAGACTGTCATAGGCGATCAATGCTACTGTGTGCAGTGGAGGATTCACAGTCCGAAGTGATTTGTACCCTTCCACATGCCGGAGCTTGGGGATACATTGTCAACAATATGCTTTACCCCCATTACGCGTTAGTTGCCAGGGACCTGGCATGAAGGTCGCTTTAGTCAATTTAGATCCGTGAAGAACGACGAGCTCCCCAGTGATACGATATGAAATTTGAGCAGAAGGCGCATGCGCGACGCTGGGACTGGCTGCAATCTCCCTCCTCTTTTTTCTCCGTTTCACAAGTTGATTCTCCTCCGCAGAGGTTTTTCCTTCTTCCTGCTAATACAAATGTCAGCGAAAAGATTTGAGGTTCCATTCCTGACTTTGGAGGCATAGTTGCCGTGCTTGGCTTACATCAGGAGGTTGTAGGCCATCTTTCCGCAGTTCTGCTGGTATGGTTTAAAATGCCATGAATAAGACTGCACGCTCGGCGCCTGCGCTTACAAGGCTTATTCAAAATGGCACTGATACTCATGGGATTGACCGGCCATATGCTTAAGAAAGCTTGAGGTATTCAGGTACTCTCTTCTTGAGCAGGAATAATGTGGCCGACTGCTAAACGGGAAAGCCGAGGGAATATTTGCAAATAGCTTTTTTTCAGTCTCCGACTCTTAGACACCTCTCTCACTTTGACCTTTGTCGAGGGACCCGCTGCTCTCCGAAGGTGACCTTCGCTCGTGGTGAGTTTTGCTTAGTATATCTGATTCGTACGTCAGAGCGTACTGCCATCGAGCGTCCCCCTTTTTAGTAGGTAGATTTTTCCAAATGCAACTTGAGCCATGTGCGGCTATGCCTATGTGCCGACCTAGTCGAATACTGCTCTCTTATAACGAAGAATTCGCCGGAACTTCGGCTTAAAAGTAACATATGATATCTTCAAGCTAACAGATACATCCAATTCTTCATATTTCCTAGTGCCCATGGACCAGAGAGTCTCAACACCCCCCAAAAAAATACAAAAACCGAAAACAAGAACAAGGACAACCCTAGATGCCCAGCTGGGACTCGGGGAGCACGAAGCCGATCTCATGACTAATCAAATCACGTGAAGTCCATCGATTTTCCCGACTCCGCCTCGAATTTCCATCCATCGAACCACCGATCCAGACCCCTCGGGACCTCGAGCAAAAATGGCCAAGAAAGGTATGTGAACACATCTACACCCCTTACACCTGAGCTCAGTCCAGCAGACGAAAATCCAACCCAATTGTTCACGCCAGTGCTGCCACGCCATGCGCGGAAAGGCAACAACCGGGCAACCGGGGACTCCTCGAATCGACGGAAGAAAACACACATGACGTGGATGCAACAGAGCTAATATATATTGTTTAATTATAGCGAAGTCACGCACTATTTCCGTGCGCCTCATCTCGATGGCGATGACGGGTTACTACCGCACGATGATCCGGCCTCGTGTCCACCGACCGCTTTCTATGTTGAAGTACGATCCTGTTGTTAAGAAGACGGTTCTTTTCCTTGAGGCGACCAAAGGTGGAAAGGCGAAATAATTTGTGTCGGCTTTGTTCGATTCGATTTATTGGCTGGCTCGGGTTTACTGGTGCCCTGGCTTCTACGCGCTGCGCTCCGGGTCCGGCTTCGATTCTGGCCTCGAATCTGAATTCGAAAGACGGCGACTTTGACCGATCTCTCTCTCCTTTACTACATCATTCGCCGACCAGATCGAATCGGATACTACGACCGAAATTCGAGAACTTTCGAACAAATGTTGGAAACAATTGCGGTGTGATGGGTTTGAGAAGGACGATGGGCTTGTAATTTTTTTGTGTACATTATATCCTGGGAAGTTTGATTTGACAGCGACGGGGGATGACGCTTCTGTCGGTTGCTCCGTCTATTACTTCCTTTTGATGGAGCATTTGTCTGGCGTTCAAGAGCATTACAGTTTTGGGTACTGAACTGGAAATAAAAAATTATCATTCCGCATCTCTGTCTGGACATCTGTGGGATAATCAATAAACTAGTATTAAGACAATTGCTTGTGTTGGTATGAGTTGTCGAGGTAAGTGACTCAAAGACAAGCTTGCAAGCCATCAGGCAAAGAAATCCCATGACTAGTATGACATTAAAGGAACCGATCATTAAACCTGCATGTGTAAGATCACAAAGATAGCCTGGATCAACAACAATATGATACTGACGGAATTCAAAGATGAAGACTTGGATGGTCACAACTCTTTGCGCTTGGCTGACCTGAATGCCGTTAAACTTCCTGGAAACGCGCATCGTATTGCTGGCCTGTAAATCTCAATTAGCATCCATCTGCAGGACGGCAAAAGAATGTCAACTTTACCTCGACCCTTCCGGCGGCCGCGAGTAGTTCGAGCCTTAGGCTGCGTGACTGCTGGTGCACTGCTTGCGGAGACAAGACTCTTCGGGCTGCTTCGTCGATCGGCTGTGGCGGCATGAGCAGGTACGCCAGTTTGCTCGTGTTGTTTCTCCATGGTTGGGCTTTGGATACGGCTGTAGGTCCACTTGTGAGTGTGCTTAGAGGCTTTGTTAGGGTTTTCCTCCACTTCCTTCTGCGATTGGCTGGCAGCTGGCTGAACATTCAGGGACTCCTTTCCCTTTTTTGTAGCATTACCAGGCTCAAAGTTGACTCCTTTGCGCTTCTTGTTTGGAGAAAGTATCAATTTGTCAGAGCTAATGAGCGACGGATCTTTGCTACTCGGGCCTGGCTGGGGTCCACTGTCAATGTCAAGATTCTCGGGCTGGTCTTGTGGGGGGTCTTGGGTAGTGCCTTTGTTTATTGGTGTTGGACACTGGTCGTCCGACATGAAGAGCATTGTAAAGTCGTACGATTCACCATATTGCGAGGCAGTTTGTTGTCCCAAGAGCTGGCTCTCGATAGTTGCGAAAGGCACTATATGGGTTGGCTGTGGTGCCTTGATGTCTTCCGGTTTGATTGGAAAGCATGGCTGCGCTTCAAGATCATGGATCCTTTGTTGAGCTTGTTCCAGTTGATCTCGAAGATCACTGTTTTCAGCACGAGAAGTAGCGTCGAGCTCCTGAAACTTTTCTATCTCCGTGCGCTGGATTTCCAGTTGAGCCTTGGACTCTACATCGAATTTCTCGAGATTTTCTATCTGCTGTTCTGTCTCCTGGAGCTGCTGGACTTAGTAAGGTCCACTTAAAGTGCAGAACAAACCACTTACCAAAGCCTTGTGCTCCCTTCCTTGCTCATCAAGGAGCCTTTTCGCGTCGATCTTGAAGTTGTTAGCAAATGATACCGCTCTATGCATCCAATACGAACCAGAGAGCTTTGAATCCCGCGAAGCTGATTGATGAGCTTTCCAGACACCTCTTCGATATCTTCCTTTTCCTTTTGAAATCCATTGATTTCCGCTTGATGCTCAGTCCTCATTTGCTCGATCAATTCCGCATTCTGTTTACCGAGCTCTAACCGAATTCTTTTTTCGGTCGCCGCGAACTCCTGTTGCAAGGTCCCTTTTTCGGCTTCTAGCTGTTTTCTTTGACGATCAGCTGTTTCCTGCTTTGCATTGACATCCACCAAGCACCTTTGTGTATCTTGAATCAATGTCTCTTTGTCATCGAGGCTTTTCTGCAGGGCAACAACCTTTGAGCTCAGGTCATGAAGCTGAATCTGCAACCGGGTATTTTCTGAAACCTTATTCGCCAGCTCCAGCTCAAGAACTGGGTTGTTCCTTGGAGCCTGGGTATCTACAAGATTTTTGGAGAAGGTTGCGAGCTCCTGGATAAGAGTGTCTTCTTTCGTAGTCAAGGCTCTGGCGGAAGTACCAAGCGCGTTCAAGGTCGGCTCAAGGGTCTTAAACTTCCCTTTCAGAGCGACATATGAGGTATCATTCTGGCAAAGAAGCTTGAACATTGGTGAGTCAGGACTAAGGTGACACTCAATCTCTTGGAATTTCTTTTGAAGAGTTTTAGCTACCCCATTGTTGATTTTGATACCCCCTTCGATATTCTCGGAAAACCGAGACGATAAGGAGTCAATCCTGATTTGCATAGTTAGTCTCTGGCTTTGAAATTCTGCAAGCCTGGGGCAATTACCGGGAAACCACATCATGAGCTTGAACTGTGAACTCTGCGACATTTTCCTGTTCTTCTGAAAATCTCTCGCTCATTGACAGTATAGAGGAGCGACAATCTTCATATGCGTCTTTGATCGCCAGAAGAACAGCTTCTCTGCTACTGGCGGAATCGCGTGTCACGGTCATCAACCCCGTTGCAAACTTTACCGTTAAACTTTCCTGGTCCTTTTTCATCAGATCCAGCTGCCTTTTGTGGGCCAAAGCGTAGTTTTGAATATACGATTCCAGAGTCACTGTCCGCCTCTTCTGTTCAGATAATTGTGAGTTTGCGCTCTCTTCTGCCACCCGCGAAGCAGACAAGGCATGCTCGAGAGAAGCGATGGTCTTTTCGCTTTCGGATATCTGGTTTTGCTGAGTGACAATCATCCCTTCAGCTTGCGAAATGCGGATCTTGGTCTGATCGATTGCCCTGGTAAGGTCATCCTTCTCCTTGGCCAGTGCCAGGACAGTCTCCCGGTGTCTATTTGCTTCGTCATGAAGGGCATCGTATCCATGTCCCAGCTCATTGACAACTTGTTTGAAGTTGCGGATCTTTGATTTCCATTCGCTCAAAAGACATCGACTCGCTTTTGATTCTTCGGTGCTCTTCTGCAGACGCAACTGAGAGACATGAAGCTGCTGTCGTAGCCCTTGATTTTCATCTTTCAAAGACGTGTTCTCTGTTTCCATCTGGCAATTCATTGCAGCTACAGCAGCTTCTTTCTCTTCCCGCTGTTTCATCTTTCTAATGAGCAACTCAAATAGATTGTCTTCGTTGAGCTGATGGGGTTCGACTTTGCTAAACGAGATTGACCTCTGTCTTCGGGTGGGCATCGTTTTTCGAGTCTGGCCTGGAACTTTTGTAATGAGGAAATCATTCTTTTGTAATTCCTTCTCGTGGAATGCAGGATCAAGTGGAGTCACCGCATCAGCTTTCTCGACCTGGTTATGTGACGACCCGGAGGAAGTCGAATCGGGAACGACCCTCTTTTTGAAAGATCAGTAGGCATACAGTAGTTCAGTCAATTGGACGTACTCCTTTTTCTGGATTTTTGTGGTTGGCAGCTGCGGCAACTTTGCTGGCGTTGTTAGTCACAGGGGTCTGTTGCTGGGTAGTCTCAGCTCTGGGCTTTGGTCGTGGACTTGTAACCTCAGTTCCCACAGGAGAGGATTTTTTTCGACAGAGGATGACAGGGAGGAAGCTATCCGCATTTCCTAAATCGGAGAAATCACTGTTTGGAATTTGGCCCTCGGTATGCTGAGGTCTAGGCTCGACATGGGATAGAATACGGCTACCAATGGCACAAATATATTAGTAAATGTTTCATGGAACATTCGAAGCATACACACGTTCTTTGAAGCTCATCTCTGTGATTCGGTTGACCCAGTGGCGGTTTCGGAAGCTCCAAGGGCAGAGAATGTCCTAGAGGTATAGAGTTGACCGTGGGCAGTCTGGGTGGTTTACTCAAGGTAAAGCTCTGTCGATGAATGGCTGGTTTGGCAAAGGAAAATGCTGTCGTATCGATTCCAGAGCCTTGAGGACGTTGCATAAACCAAGGAGATTGAATACCCGTTTGGGCGTGAGAGGGCAGATTTGGTTTATTCTGGGGGTGCAAGCCAGGGGATGAGACTTTTGGTGGAAGCAAGCTACTATCCCCCATCATGAGATAACAAGTTCAAACTAACAGAAGTTGATTAGAAAGACAAAGTGAGAGAAGAATGCGGATGCATAGGGAGGGAAGTTCAATGGAAAAAGAGAATGGAAGGTACACATCCCGTGACTGTGAATTGTTTCCCCATTATTTGAATTGCTTTATCTATATTTTATGGGTGTAGCTATATAGGTACCTGATCCGAAGGCATGAAATATTTCTGAACAAGTTATGAATATCAACTCTCCCTGTATTTATTTAAATGGTAGTGATCAGCGACATACATTAGTGCTGATGGGACGTGTCTGGCACAGATCGATTTTGTTTAGCTGAAGAATGATGACTATCTGCACAACTTTCAGCAGCAGCGACAATTTGCAGAGGTGTTGTGTTTTAAGCGCGAAGAATTCATTCCTCCTGGTTTTTCCCGTGGTTAGACATAACCACAAAGATTGATGGCGGGTCACTGATCATCACCAATCTCTTCCAGGATTTTCCGATTCTCAAAGATGAACCGACTTCTCCGCAAAAAACTCCACAAAAAAAGACCCTAAAATCATCTGTAATGCACACTTGTTGATCTAGGAACAGCATTAGGTAGCATTACCGATTTACAGTCCGAGAACCACATTCCACCACGGAACCGATGGCAATTTGTGTTTGATCGGCTCGACACTAAAGACCAGAAACTCTGGGCTCAAAACACTATCCTGCCTCAAATTACCAGTATTCAACTTGGAGACTTGCTATCGTCACTTCCTTTTCTGCTACGGTCACTCCCCTTTCTCCAATTGGGAAACCGACGAAATGTCAAAAGTTCCACCCGGTCATCGTATAAATGTTTTTCTGCTCCTTTTGTTGCAACCCATGACTACTTTATTAGATGTCATCTACTTAGTCTCCTCTTCAGTCTCCACTTAGTCTTCTACTTAGTCTCCTACTCGGTATCCTATCCAGTATTCTACCTTCTTTCATGTCGTATTAATCTAACAGTCAAAGGTCTCCCCAAATATATAAATAGCGACATAGAAAAGAAGGAGGGAAAAGAGCAGATAAGAACAATCAAGTGGAAGGAGAAGGGGAAAAAGCAAAAATCCGGTGGAAATTTCGAACGTATGCCCAAAAAGTCTGCGGTGTACCCAAGCAATAGAGGGGTATATAGAGAATGGTGGTAATACCCTCCCTTATCCTAAGCTCTATTTTCTATATGAGGTTGGGGTTGGGTAGGTGGACTCGAAATCTAAGGTTGGAAGGCGCCTGCGAAGGTGGTGTGGACTTGATGTATTGGAAAAATAAAAGTCATTTTACTGATTTTTTAGGGAAGTGACGGTACCAGAAAAGGGAGTGACGGTAGAAAGTCTCTAAGCTTGGAGCATTTCTTTCCACTTCCGTTGATGATATTGAGCCTCCAATGAGCCAGCTCCATTCTGTTCTCAACGTCCCTGAGGACATTCAATCCCCAGTTCGCACTCTACATCTATCATTTCGAGAGTTCCTACTTACAACAAACAGTGTATATTTCATGTGGATGGATGAAGAAGAACACATGCTATGATTGCAGCACATTGTCTTCAAGTCATGAACCGGAAGCTCAGATACAACATTTGCAACCTAGTTGGCCATGGAACTTATCGATCAGATATGGAAAGCGAGATGATTGAACAGTATCTCCCGGCAGAGCTCCATTATTTATGTCATCACCGGGTGTATCATTTAGAGCGGAGCGAAGCTTAAATCTCCGACATGCAGCTTCTCCCGTTCCTGAAGACATTCCTTCGCCGGCTAGATGGGCGCCATATCAGAAGCTTTTAAGATAAATAACTCTCTACGAGATATCAAGGTATGTATCTATAGATCTCACTAACATCAAGTAATCAATTTAATCTAGGAGGTCATGGGTCTGACTCCCCAATTTCTGTTTGGAGCAAATCGATTCATCTGCAAAATCAGCCACATGGCCGATACTGCTCCAACGCAAATTTATTGCTCGGGTCAGGTAAGTTCACCGTTGGAAAGCATTACCCGAAAGACCTTTGGTAACGAACGGTCTAAATGGATAAATTTGCTACTGCAAGTGGAAAAGTCATTGGAGCGCAGACTTGCAGACGCTAGAAGGCCACTTCCATATCGTCTGGTCAATGGTCTTCTCCGATTCCGGACCAAGGGAACTTTTGGCCTCGGGCGCAAAGGATGGGTCCATTAATTTAGCTCTGGGATCTGTAGACTGGCAGAGAGTTCAAGACCCTTGAGGGTCATCCAGGCACAGTTCTCTCCTTCATTCTGCAGCATCAAGTTGCGGGATACCCACACGGGTAAAGAGCTACGTACCTTTCAGGTCCATTCTATTTCAACTAAATATCTGGCATTCTTGATAGGATAATCCAGCAATGGGATGCACAAACTGGTAAAGACCTACTAATCATTAGGTCCAATTCAGGTTCAAAGTCCATGATTGTCTTCTCAATGTATTGGCCTCGGTCGCTTGTGGCTCTGTGGGAAGGTTTTAAGAATTAGCTACCATAAATCCACAAAAGTCCGGACTTTCAGTGCATTGATCGGTTTAGACAATGGAGAACAGTCCCAATTTAATCTATGCACTAACCCAAGGACTGGATGATTCTTATCTCCCGACCTACGAGGTCTGTATACACTTGAACATTCTTGTGCTTTGATCCGTACTGATAGGAGACCTGTGTTTTAAGTTCATATCCACATCCACATCTGTCACTCCACTCAGCTTAGCTTCGGAAGGTTGAAAAAAAGAACGGAGAATCATGCTGATCAATAGGGGCACCCGGAAAGACCAAGCGACCAATCGGTATTGGTGGCCTCAAAGTCAGACCGGAACTCCTGAATCAGCCAAAGTTCAAAGTCAAAAGTACAAATTTGAAACAGGCGGGCAATATTCTTGGTTGCAGCTGAAACGCCTATGGTATGCAGGATGACTAGACTTTGTCCGCCCTGGTCTGATGATCCACTACGCCAGTGCCAAGCAAAACAATCACCTTTCTTTGACTCAAAATATACATGTCCACGATCAATTTTGAATAACGCTCGATCCTAGTGGGGTTTCAAAAACTGAAATGGCGTGATAATACGATCAAATCCGCGCCCGGTGCGCATAGGGATGATCTACCTGTTCGCTAGTGGGTTCGGGACCTGCAAGGGCCGATGGACAGGTCACTTCATCCCTTTTGTATCTTCGAACATTCGAATGTTCTGCAGGCGTTCTACGGCCGTTCCAGTGCGACGGGAGAGTCGAGGCCTGCATCTTAAACAAGGGCGGTCAGTAACGTGGCTGCCACGAGAGATGAGACGTGTTATAAGGATGTCGCGTGGCGACAGGGTGACCAGTCCAATGCAATGCAGGTGCATGATCTGCGCTGTGGTTGGTTCGATTTGGGGGCGAAAACTTATGGACAATCCCTTGCCCGCAATTTGAGACCATTTTCGGCGAGCAAATTGACTTGTCTTGGGCCCCAATCTTCGCCAATGGGTACAGAGCACATTACTACGGCGTAGGGATGATTCAATATCTGACAGGTCAGACTGGAGCAGGAAATCCGCAGATGAGATGGGTTCTGCAGCACTTAACTGGTAATGAACCAGTCTCGTCTAAGACCTGATGCACCTAATACATTATTTCCTATCGAAATCTTCCATTATCGATTGTTTTCTTGGAGATAGGACAACCTTCGACTGCAGAGGTTTTTCTCGCCCTTTTTTTTCCGCCCCCGTGGGTCTAGGTTTGGCGATCACATGGCTAAGTTGGAGGTCCGTGTATTCCATTCCAAGATGATATATAGTAAACCAAACGTAGATATTAGGTACTTGACATCTTAACCTTGGAAAGCTGTTAGTTAATTATGATTAAAAAAGCCCTGAAGTAAATGATTCTTACAAAAATCATGAAAGCCGTGTAGTTCTTCCCCCTTTCTACTTTCCCCGACACGCGAGTCTGATTGGCTCCACTTTTACTGCCATAACCTTTTTGACCGCTCAAACCCTCATCCCCTTTCTTTCAATCTTGACATTCCACGTCTTGATCCAATTTGGTCAAATCTTCAAGCTGCAAGACATTTGTCTCGGTTCTTTGTCGCTTCCCCATTCGATTTCTTTGCGCCTTCGCGATACAGGCTCATCTTGGCTTGTGGCTCCTTTTGGCCCCCCGAAACCCCGACCTCACCCGCTTCCAATCGTGAATACCCTGTCTGACAGCGATACAATTCCTCACAGTGAATTGTTTCAACTTGATCGATCGTCTTAACTGCCTATCCGTCATCCCCGTCGCACTTTCCCTGTCGTTGCGGCTCCCGGTCTTCGCCCGCCGCATTCCATTGCAACACCCCGCTCCGCGATTCTGCCGCCTCTGAACAATTCCCATGGCCCTCCTGCTCTGAAATTCTTATTCACATATTCTCTTCAGTACTTGTTGGATTCTCCAACTTGCACGACGTGATTGATCAGATCCCCCAAGGTTCTTAAGACAAGTGATGTTGCTGGGCAGATCCTAGTCTTCCCCAACCTACGTCCCCGTTTACTTCCGCCAGAATGGGAAATACACAAGGAAAGCCCATTTCTTCTAACGAGGCTGGTACGTGATGATTCTGGAGGACTGAGAAGGCTTGTTGGGGGCCATTAAACCTCTCGTCAAAGCTAGGATGTATATGCTAATCCGTGTCACCCAGTCAACCTCAACCACTTTCGCCTCCTTCGGGTAGTTGGAAAGGGTGCCTTCGGCAAAGTTCGCATCGTTGAGAGGAAAGATACCGGCCTTACTTTCGCCCTAAAATACATTCGAAAAGAAGAGGGTATGCCAACCACTTTTTGGGCCCCCCACCTCAGAAGCTTTGCTAATCTGCTTGTAAGTCGTACGTTCGGAAAGCGTACGGAACATGATTCGTGAACGACGAATGCTCGAACACTTGAACCATCCCTTCCTGTGCAATTTGCGTTATAGTTTCCAGGACATCGAATACATGTGGGTCATAGCAAATCACTTATTCGAGCTTAGTATACTAACCGTCCGCCAGCTACCTCGTTGTCGATCTAATGAATGGTGGCGACCTTCGATTCCATATCTCCCGCAAATGCTTCACCGAAGAAGCAGTGCGCTTTTGGGCCGCAGAACTTGGCTGTGCTTTGAGATATATTCATTCTCAAGGCATCATTCATCGCGACGTTAAGCCGGATAATGTGCTATTGGATTCTGAAGGCCATGTTCACTTGGCAGATTTCGTACGTGACGTGACTTTCATTCGCATTTGTAGCGACTAACGGCAATCTAGAATGTGGCATCGGATTTCCGACCAGGAAAGCCTCTCACAAGCAAGTCGGGAACATTAGCTTACCTGGCCCCAGAAGTGTATGAAGGCGGCGGATATTACTTTGAAGTTGACTGGTGGTCTTTGGGTGTCACGTTTTACGAATGCATTTACAACAAGGTATGTTGTGTTTGCGCATTGCGATGGACTGAGCTGACCATCAATGCAGCGTCCATTCGAGGGCCGCAGCCAGGATACCCTGAGCGAAAACATCAAAAAGGCATCACCGAAATACTATGTCACCAACCCCGCAGTTTCAGTCCCCTGTCTGCGAGCTTTGATGGCCTTGATGGAGCGTGACCGCAGTCGCCGGATTGGTGCCATTAGCTTTGAGAGTTTCACCTCACATGAGTTCTTCGCCGACATCGACTTTGAAGCTCTCGAGCGAAAAGAGATTCCCCCGGTGTTCCGACCGTCTAGCGACAAGACGAACTTCGATGCAACATACGATCTGGAGGAACTCTTGTTGGAGGAGGCGCCCTTGGAAGCCCGGGCCCGTCGACAGAAGCCGCGTGCAGAACTACGTGACGATGCCACGGCCAAGGAAATCCGAGAGGATGAACTTCATCGCTTGATTGAGACCATGTTTGAACCATTCGACTACACCACCGTCGACTACCAAGGCAGTGCCGCCGAAGCCATTGCCGCAGTAATGTAAGCTATTCCATTGGACCCTGCACACTAGTCTTGCTAACATTCCTTTTAGAAACCCCGAAGAATGCCTGCCCAATGCAACCACCAAAATCAATACCTCTCACACCCGACAACCCTCCCAACATGACTCCGCCGTTCGCGTTTCATCTCTAAACGAGGGGGTTGCTCACCCACTACACACGATTGAGCCGACCACACCGGGTAGTGAGAATCTCGACCCGAACGACTCGGCCTCAATCGGCCAACCACCCTCCCCCTCGACTCGGGCATCGGCCTCTCCTCCGCCTCAACCTCCCTCTTTCCACCGCCCCTTACCGCCACCGTCTCGGCGGGCTGGTGCGACACGAAAGATGAGCAAAGGAGGAGGTGTACAAATGGTATTGGAAGAAGCTGGTAGCTGGAGCGAGCTCGCCAATCACAGCTCCACCCTCCCTGCAGAGGGTCTCGACGGTGACGCGGCGAAAGGAAAGGGCTCCAACAGCGGCATGCTCTCGTTCCTGAGTCGTAAGAAGGGTCGTGACCGCAGTCCGAAGCCCACAGAGCCAGGTGTTCTGGGCAAAGAAGGAGCTCGGCAAATCATCAGCTAAAGAGGCTCTAAATACTTCACGCGAGGGAATTGTTTTTCTGCATGTTTGGATGCCAGATATTGGTTATCCTCAAAGTCGTGCCGTTACACATTCCCTTCGCCTACTTGGGCATCACGCCCAAGTATCTATAGCCGAAGCTTTCAATTTGGCATCTCTTGGCGGAATGACCAGTCTTCCTTGCCGTTCTTCCGAGAAACCCCGATGAACCCCAATCAGCCGGCCTGAATGCCGCCAGCTTGATTCATTACGCTTACATGATCCTCCATGCGAGAATCAAGTTCGTTCGGACCTTTATGGATATTTCCATGCAATCTACTCTGCAATGGATTGCAGAAAGGATGAGTCGCCCGTGGCACCACCTCAGTTTTCTTCTTCTAGATTCCCCTGATTCAGCGATAATCTATTTTTTTTTCTTTGTTTCTTTTGTTTGAACTTGTACAGATGATGCATTCAATTAACCCAGGTAGGCTGTCTCCACAGGTATTTATAGCCCGCCATGTTTTCAATTTTGTTCATTGTTTTCATCGGCGTTTCTCATACCCTGTTTTCATTACGGACACGACTTCTCTTTGTTTTTTTATCACATTACACTAGAACGGACTGGAGCTTGCTGCGCTTTATGGAACAGCAGCGGATTATGTGTTCTTGTTTGTGCATCCGGCTTTTCCCGATTTGGGATGTAAATGAATTCATCAATTAATTGATCACATCCTGTCTTTGTATGATTAGGTGCCTTTTGAGTATATGTATATCCTTGGCTCCGTACTCTCTGTTCTATTTTAAGATGGTATGGATCATCCAGATGTCTCCTTCGAACGTTGGAACCTTGTACGTATCGATTTTTACCTGGTCGATGAGCTTCTTGCCTTGCTTGTTATTCAACTTGTCAGACACAATGTCCGCTGTCCGCGGACTACTGAGGAATATAGCCTTTTTTAAAGGGTCCACGCGTTGAAACTAGTGGAACATACAGGGATGCGATAAGAACTCCCAAGCTCTGTTTGAACAGATTTCCACTTGAAACGACCATCTTTGTACACTATCTGCCAAACCAACCGCCCTGTTCCCACATTCCAGGCTGATAGAGCGCGGCATCCCTCCTCTCGGCAGACAAAACCCCATTAAGAAGTAAATGCACACGTTGAAAGTCAATGGGTTTCATAATCCACCCATCGAACCCAGCATCCAAATAAATCTGACGATCTTTTTCGAACAAAGAAGCCGAAACTGCAAAAACTGGAGTCCTCCGATTGGTACTTTGTTGCTCGTATTCACGAATCATCTTGGTGGCACTAAGCCCGTCCACGATAGGCATCTATATAGAACAATCAGTATTGCTGACCAAAAATTGAAATCTATCGTTAGGTTTCATACCTGAAGATCCATAAGAATCACGTCAAAAGAAAACGGACTTTCGCGATGAACGGATGCACATTCCTTTCCATTCCCCGTCATGCAAATCGAATATCCGAATTTCCCAAGCCGCTTCTTGACAATTGAGCTATTGATAGGATCATCTTCGGCGATGAGGATATGAAGTGAATTTCTAGTCATGGACCCTGCCATGCCAATCTCATCCGGTCCGGTCGGTTGGGGAACAGAATCCATGACGGAGTGCTTCCGGTCTTGGCCAGAACGCGAAGGTACTTTCTGCAAAGACAACGTCAGCACCGTCCTAAATGAGTAAAAGAGGCTTGCTAATGCATGCTTACATCTTCGAGCTTCTCACCAGAAGAAAGAACAGTCAGATTTCGCGATTGCCCATTCTTCAATGAGATATCGGCATCTATGAGTGGGTTGTTCACTTTCCCGATGGCTGAGCCGCAATGACAGGGACCCCCGCCTTTCTCGTATTTTGGCTCGTTTTTGTTTTCTTCCCGCTCGGCACTCCTTGATTGATTTCGGTCGCACGGGGCTTCGTTTGATCTTCCAGTGTCACATCCTTGCCTTTTGGACTGGGTATCTGCGTTCGTGATAGATTGTGTGGCGGGTTGGGATGCGTGGCGATCTTCCGGTGGTAGGGAGAATTTTAGACGGATTTTGAAGCAGCTGCCTTTCCCTTCTTCGGATTTTAGGCTTAGTTGGCCGTTCATGTTGCGGACGATTCTTGCAACCAGTGCAAGACCTAGGCCGAGGACACTTTCTGTTTCTGAGGCTGATATGCCGGAGTTTTTCTCGTAGGTTTTGGGGCTTTGTGTGTACTCTTTGTTTGAGACCTGCTCCAATTCGCAGAACAATGTCTCGACTGCCTCTTGGGACATACCAGAGCCTGTATCGTGGATTGCCACTTCAATAGCAGTGTGTCCATCCTCACATGATTCGGTCAGAATGCAGGACTCAATGGTAACCGCGCCGGTTGAGGTGTTTTGAACGGCATTGCTGATAAGGTTGGTGATAACTTGTCGCACTCGACGCTGGTCTCCAAGAACTGTGGGCAATGCCGCATGTTGCACCACTTGAATATTAACATGCTTCTGCCTTGCTTCCTCCCAGAAGATATCAGTTGCCTCGCACAGAGTCTCAGACAGACTAAAGATCTCATCCTTGATTAGATTCTGTCCATTCTCTGCGTTGGTGAGGTCCAGTAAATCATTGATAATGTATACTAGAGACTTCGACGCCGAATGGGATCTGGATAGATTGTCTCGAGTCTCTTGGTTTATTTTTCCATCCAAGGCAATCTCCAGGTAGTTTATTATAGCGTTAAGAGGTGTGCGGAACTCATGAGCAGAGTTAGCGAGTAAGAGTCTCATGAGCTGATTATCCTGCATGGTAGCCTCCTTCTCCTGCCAGATATCGGTGAAGGTCCGGTACAATAAAGACAGTATCGATGCTTTTCCGAGCTCGCCTGCCGACCACTCACCCTGGCCTCTGCCGCTTTCCGTCTCCCCGCGGAAGAGTATGATAAAATGTTGCCCGTCAGCGGAGAGAGGGATGTAAATTAGGCTAGAGAGGTGACGGAATCCGGGGGAATATTCGAGATCTTCGAAGTCAGAAAGAATGTCTGTCGACCAGAGGATAGTATCTAGTTCCTTGGCTCTCAGGAATACCAGCAATGCCAAAGCTTCTTGGGTATCAGGAGGTCTTCCCAGGATCTTTGTCTCTCCAAGTATAAACGCAGCGGCATAATCAGCGCCAAAGATGTCGAGAAGATCACCGGAAGGTGTTTTGATGTCTTGCTTTGTGTCTGACCCGGGATGAACATGTTTTTGTTCGACTTGAAAAGGCAAAGTATATGACAGGCGTTCGATGTTACTGGAGAAAGTTTCACTCAATAACCAGCATGTTCTCTGGACAAGGGGATGAAGTCGTGTGGCGTTGTATGATTGGCAAGATATTAATCCCCACAGTTTTCCAAAAACGTAAATGCCAATCGATATGCAAGCCTGCACAGAATTATTTGGATGCGCTTCGGATGATTCCGGGGCCGCCAACAGATAACAACGAGATAGATCCAATCCAGCCTTGACTGTAGATACCCGGTAAGCCAAGGTTGCAGTGAATTTGCTTTTTCGATAGGCAAAAGTGACTCTATTGCGGAGATATTGCTTCTTCAAGTCCGCTGAGAAGGTTGACTCGGAAAACTCTATGCCATCTAATGAACTCATACCGGAAGATGGATCAACAGAATCTGCAACAACAATGCCGTTCCGGTTACTGTCGAAATGGTACATAGTATTACGATGAGAGCGTATCAAGTGTTTCACACTGACCATGGAGTGCTCAACAACTGTTTCAAGTGTTTGAGCACTTGATATCTGCTGTATAATGCGGGGAAGCGCGTTCAAGAGCCCCGACTCTAGACAATCGGCTCTTTCTGTATGATGGGGTTTAGACTGAAAAGCAGTGGGGCCTGCTCGGGGCGCAGTCGACATTTCATAATCTTCGTGTGATTCCTGAGAACCGACGCCATATCCCTGGGCTTGAATATCTCCAATGTCGAGCTCCAGCTCACAGATGATATAATTCCGGTATACCTTGCTAGTATGCATTGTGCACCAAAGATGTTTGGGGATGCCTCCATAACTTGCAATTTGAAGTGGAAAGACTTCAGGGCCCCATGTTGCCACGTCATAATGATCACTCGAGACATAGTTGATGTGTGAGAAGAACCTGCTTTGTTGTGACTCGGGTAATACCAGGCGAACGGATTCCAGCTCGAAGAGATCATCTGGCGAAAAGCCTAAAATGTCCTTCGAGTTCGAGCTAGCAGCTTGAACAACCATTTTATTGCCCAACTCTGACAGAACAAGCAGTGCGCCAAACGGTTGAACTGCTACATTTCTTTCGTCCTCTGAATATCCCAGTCCTGTCTTTAACTCATTCCTGGTCAACACTTGTCCGCCTTGACGAATGATATCCTGCAGCTGGGCGGAAGGACTTGAGGCTTCGAGGGATTTATCTGACAAGCGAATCGACTCATCGATGGAAGAAAATTCTCCGTTCTCTGCTGATAAACGCGGTAATGATGAAGAAATGTTGGAAAGGCTCAGTTGGTGATGCATTCGTGCTAGGGAATCCGGTCTTCTCGGTGCTGGCTCTCCATCACTGGAATCCCCGGGCGTTTTGCGAATTTCCTCTGATTCATCATTGGGGGATTCTGTCACTCGAAATGTATCTCCGAATGGAAATTGGGGGAATGGACTCTCTAGCTTCTCCAGTGATGGTGTTAAGAGGGCCGGAGAAAGAGTGGGATCAAAGGAAACGACGGATCGAACTGGAAACACTCGCTCGGGACTATCACTTCCGAGATCTGGTAGCTTCATTTTCGGAGATGTGAGTTCGGTGACTGTCGATATCTCGGTCTTTTCGTCGGACAGAATGCACATGGTTTTCGGTATTGAGAGAGTCCGAGATAGAACTCTTCTTCCATCTGACACCTGTTTTTGGTCATCGTTTCCATCGTAGGTGACCTTCCATTCATTCTCATTGGCAGGTAAAGCGGGCGGATTCATTTTCTTTCGGGGAGATCAACACATTTTGATGTGGGGTAACAACAGCGTGGTCTATATCATGAGGAAGTGGCAGTCTCTGATGATAAATGGAAAATACGATGTGATATACAGAAGATCCCACTAGCAAGAACTAATCGCCATGAGAGAATAAAAGCAAAAATCCTTCGGGAAAGAGAGGCAGAGAGGTTGGACAAGGCAGAATAAATGGTAGTAGTTACAAGGATTTACCCGAAGTTTGACCCAAGTTAGATCGGTGATCTAGCCTCTGCGTACCAAACAATTCCTGAACGCTTCTAATCTTTTCTCCCAGTATATGAGCCTATCAGAAGATTCTATCATCTATAACTAAGGTTTCCACACACTATCTCTTTTTGGTTCCCTTGTCTGGTTCGCCAGGGACTCCCACCGGGCAATAGTCTCGCGATGCATGAACCAGAGCTGATGAACCGTGGATTCTATCGAATAACGGTGTATTGAAAGGTGTTCCGAGCTTGCAGAGTCCGCAGGGTCCGAATATCCCAGATGAGGCAAGAAGTCCGAGCGCCTGAGCTCGCAGATTCGTAATAAGTTTGTTTGAATATATTAGATATCACCATTTCTCTTCATTGAATACCCTAAAACAGACATGGTATATAATTGACTTATAGTTCTACTTGGATAATGCGGCTTTCTACCTGTACTCGGAATTGTCAGGCCGGCTCTGATGTTGAATTCCCCGAGTAAGCCGAGTTTTACCATTCTCGGACTGTCCAAGGGCAATAGCTATAATATGGAAATAGCTCTCTTTGGCTGATAGAAAAAATAGACTGGACAGGCTCTAGTCTGTGGGTAATCTAGACAACTATCATGCTACCTTCGTTCCATGGTCCTTGCGGATCAACCGGGTTTCATGCTCGCTGAAATTGCTCTAACATAATATAACTTATTTTGCAAGAAAAGCTGCTCCTTTTTTCCATGGCCACTCATAATAGACATGAATCGATAAAAGACTCTTATGTCTTCAAAAGCTAGCCGAATCAATGAATTCGAAAATATCTGTGCTTTCCTTTCAGCCATAGTGCTGAGTTACTCGGGGTTTGGTTCCGGCCACTCTAACGAAGGCCCGTAACTTGCCTCCTAGAATATCACTCGTGGGCATGCTTTCCGGGGTCGTGGGTAATGTGAGACCTTATGCTGACTCTTGGATTTTTCATTTGGTATTGCTTGTTATCTTGATATCTAGTGGTAGTTTACTGTGAATTCCAGAAACGTGAAGCCTTACATACCTTCGTTAAGTAGTGCTTATTTGATAGACGAGCTCTAGAAAAGTTGCTACCATTGCTAATGCCTCGACTACTGATGTGGACCAAATTTTCTTCCAGGAATAACGTATTCGAAGACGAAACATGCCTCGCCAAATACGCAAATCAAGTATTTACCAGGTTTCGAGCATATTTAGCCGCTTCACTCATATAGTGAACAATTCTCCTAGCAGGTTTCTACTATCAATTCACATTGCTATCAGAGTTTAACGTCCTCTTCTCTACTAATAGCAACAAACAGTAGGAAGCTGTTTATTAGCGAATTAATTTCGGAGATAAAAATTTCACGGTTATAGAAAGCAACAAACAAAAGTGCAAAAAGAAACTGGCGCCACCCGGAATCGAACCGGGGCTAACACAGATTCACTGTGAACTACCACAATGTGTCGTCATACCACTAGACCATGGCACCTTTGGATGAAATTCATGGTTTTATTTGAATTCATGAATGGCTTAATAATGCCTGTATATGATGTTGGACATCAGACAGACGTTGGAGGCGGTCAAGGGAAGGCGGTCAAGCTGGCATCACTGTACTCCTGATAGAGTACGGAGTAGATTACGAATATATGCAGCGTTGTGTAGTCCACAACAGCGATAACCAGAAGCCGTTTGATCGAATTTCAGAGAGATATGTATGTATCAATAATATGGTCGATGAAGAGCAAAAAAATAAGAAATGCAAAAAGAACTGGCGCCACCCGGAATCGAACCGGGGCTAACACAGATTCACTGTGAACTACCACAATGTGTCGTCATACCACTAGACCATGGCACCTATTGATGACATAATACTCCATATTATGATCTATAATCCACAGCCCTAGTGACCAGGAGATATGAAACTGATAGACTATCTGACTGTTTGACTGAGGGGAATAAATACTATTTTTGCCCTGGCCTCTAGCTTTCTCTTTCTCGTTAGCTTCTCTCTATATCCTAAATTTTTTATTGCTGAATAAATTCTTCTCTCAATTATCGTATTGCCTTGTCGAAAGAACTTCAACAGATTGTGGTTCTTTGAGGTTAGTATGTACTAGTGTATTTTGCAGCTCTCTACATCCCCACCCTGCTGACTTCAAGGACAAAGAATTCTGCAATTAAAACCTCCGCGTCTCTGCTCCCAACTGCCATCGACTTCTCTCCTGTCCACTATCTGGAAACGAAAATGGCTAATCTGCCTAACATTTCTCTCGCCGATATTCAGTCATTTACTGAATATCTGAAAGGATGTAGGCGAATCACGGCTTTGGTCGGGGCCGGGCTATCTGCACCCTCTGGCCTACCCACCTTTCGTGGTGCTGGTGGGCTCTGGCGAAAGTACCGCGGCAGCTCACTCGCCACTCCATCCGCTTTCAATGAAAATCCAGGGCTTGTGTGGCAGTTTTATAGCCATCGCCGACATTTGGCTCTCGAAGCAGAGCCAAACAAGGCACATTATGCTCTCGCGGAACTGGCACGGAAGAATAGAGACTTTATCACTATATCTCAGAATGTTGATGGTAGGGATCCCTGTTTGGCTATAGCTTATAATCTGTTGATATGATTCAAGTCTAATGCTCAACCCTGTATTGTTTGTCTAGGTTTGTCGCCAAGAGCGCAGCACCCACCCAGGCAGCTGTATCTACTGCATGGATCTCTGTTCGATGTTAAATGCAACGAGGCCTCTTGCGACTACACGCGTCAAAATGACTTTACCGACCCCATCGTTCCCGCCCTTGCAATCCCCCAAAAGGGGTTGAACTTGCCTGCCTCGAGGGAGAACGAGGTCGATATATCAGATGTTGCGAATTCAGTTCCAGATTTGGAGATTGCTGATCTGCCGCAGTGTCCCAAGTGTGACGGGCTGCTACGACCAGGCGTAGTTTGGTATGAGGAATGTCTTCCTAGCAATATTATCGACGCCGTCGAGGAGTGGTTTGATGAAGGTTACATTGACCTCATGTTGGTTATTGGCACAAGCCTCAGTGTCAGTTCCGCCTCACACTATATCGACACTGCTCGCCATGCCGGTGCCCGCGTGGCCGTGATCAATATGGATGCTGAGGCTGGTGATGTTTTGAAGTATGGAGATTGGTTTTTCCAAGGCGACGCTGCGGTACTGGTTCCAGAGCTTTTGAAGGGCATCATTGGGAAAATTTGATTGTGGCCTAAGAGTCTGATACGGTTGGGAGGGAAGTTTCCAATGTGTGAATATATCTGTGCACGAAAGATACATTTCACAAACATTCAACGCTTTTCATACTATGTGTTGCCCTGTCAACGTTTCAAATTTGAGACATCATATACAATAGTTTGAAACACTTCAATCAAGTCCAATGACAAACAAATCAACTTGTTCGTTGATTGGGATATAAACTGGTGCCTGAGGCAGAAATCGTTGCTAGGGAATCCACCAAAACAAATCTCATATCGATAACGTCGTCGATCCCACTTGTCAACTCCACCCCACATTCGCTTTTCAGAAGGACCTGGACGTGTCAGTCTGAGCCTCAAAGGCGACGTACTAACATATTTAGCTCTTCTTCCTCGGTATGTTTTCGCATTCGTGTGTCCATGATAACACTGTCTACCCCACCCCGCGCCTGCGAGAAAACATCATGTTGATATCAACAAAGACTTTTAAAAAGCTTACAATTGCGCGTCTTTCAGGTCCCATACTGCCGCTTCATTCAGCAAGAGACAGGAACGCAAGACAAAGCCTGTTATACGAACCGGAATCCTTCCCAAACCTTGGCCTGTACACTGCAGAAAACCGAGTCCTTCCCTCGTGGACCCTTTCACCCCACCATGGCTAGAGAAAGTGACGCTCCTAAGGAGCCCCAAACCCCCGCGCGCCCAAAGGAAGCGAAAAAGCATTCTATTTCTCAGGAGCCAGAGTTTGGCAAACCCTCGCCTCTTGGTCAACCTGCTCAGAGATCCAATGCCAATCACCTCTTCAATATTCCCAAGCAAAACCGGGCGCGCCCAGAGCACCATCGACCTTACCAGCACCAGCAACCATATCCCGTCCAACCACATCGAACTCAGCCGGGAGTGCCCAGTGGTCCTTCGGCCACGCCCTCGGCAAACCGACGTGGGCCATTTGACCCTTTCCAGCCCGTCAAACCGTCTGCCTACAATGAGTACCGGTCAGGAATTCCCCCGGGTGCGACTCCGATCAAACGCCCCGAACAAGTGTCGTATGCTACCCCTCGGGCCCCACGGGCACTTTTCACGTCAAAGCCGTCCGCGCCGAAGCCGTCCTACGCCTCGAAAAACCTCCAAGCTTTCATTGATCTTACAAACGATGGATCCTCTTCAAACACCCCGCGCAACACTCAGCAGTATAGCCAGCCGTCCACTTTTGGTTCCGTGGATGTGCACGGTTACGTCGATTCTGCCAAAGCGAATGAAAACATAAAGGCTCTGCTTGAGGGTGCGTTTGAAGATGAAGAAGAAGCGAAAGCAAAGTCTAAGGGAAAGAAGAAGAAGAGCAAGAAGTCTAAGAAGACTGAAAAGAAGGAAGCTTCTCCAATTGTGAAGAGTGGCAGCAGCGACCTCGATGACTTGGCTGCTCAGCTTCAGGGTGTCACCGTCAATGACCCGAAAGATGGCGAAGAAGACTCTACCGAAAATCTCCATGAAAAGAAACCCAAAACATCTGAAGAGGATACGGAAGCTGACGAGACCAAAGAGGACGCTGCAGATGAGGAGGGCGACGAGGCTGAAGCAGAGGACGATGAGGAAGAGGATTCTGATGACGAAGAGGAGTTGATTATCGAGGGACTGAAAGTAACATTACTGCCTCACCAAGTCGAGGGTGTTCGCTGGATGTGCGACAAAGAGACCGGCCGAAACTCGACCAAAGGAATTGTGCCCAAGGGTGGAATCCTTGCAGACGACATGGGCCTGGGTAAAACCGTTCAAGCCATATCCCTACTGCTCAAAAACCGCAAGCCCGAACACGAACACAGCGACGACACCGCCAACAAGAAAGAAGACGAGGAAGATGCACCACCATCCGCCCGCCTTAGCAAGACTACCCTTGTGGTTGCACCCCTAGCACTTATCAAGCAATGGGAAGGTGAGATCGCCGACAAAATCGAGAGATCCCATAAGCTCCGCGTCTGTCTCTATCATGGGACAAACCGTGCAAAGACCGCCAAATCATTGGATGACTACGATGTTGTCATTACCACTTACGGAACTCTTACCTCGGAGTCAAGTACTGCAGCTGCGGATAAGGTCAAGAAGTCAGGCATCTTCTCTGTGTACTGGTATCGAGTAATCCTTGACGAGGCCCACACCATCAAGAATCGGAATGCCAAGGCGACACAAGCTGCTTGTGCTTTGGATGCTAGATATCGGTGGTGCTTGACTGGAACGCCTATGCAAAACAATCTGGATGAGTTGCAGAGTTTGATCAAATTCCTCCGCATCAAACCTTTCAATGACCTTGCAGCTTGGCGCGATCAGATCAGTCGGCCACTAGCAAATGGACGCGGTGGCCTTGCTATCCAACGTCTACAGGTCTACTTGAAGGCTTTCATGAAACGACGCACCAAGGATGTTCTTAGAGGCAATGAGGACGACAAATCCGAAGGACCTGATGGAAAACCGAAAAAGTCCAATGGCTTCAAGATTGTCAAGCGCGAAGTGATTAAGGTGGAAGCAGAGTTCATGGAAGGAGAGATGAACTTTTACAAGCGAATGGAACAACGCACCGAAAACCGCCTTGAGGAGATGATGGGTGGAGCCAAGGTTGACTATGCTGGTGCGCTGGTCTTGCTCTTGCGTCTTCGCCAAGCGTGTAACCATCCTGAGCTGGTCAAGAGTGATCTGGCTGTGGACAAGGATGTTCTGTTGCAGAATGGCAACCCTGGAAGCCAGTCATCCGGATCGAAGAAAGATGATCTAGATGACATGGCCGATCTTTTTGGAGGATTGAGTGTCATGACCAAGAAATGTGATATTTGTCAAGCGGAACTAAGCCAGGCAGAATCAAAGAGCGGGGCCAGCCACTGCAACGAGTGTGAAACCGACTTGAATACTAATTTCATGAGCAAGGACAACAAGAAGAAGTCAAAGAAAACACATAGGCACCATGAGGTCACAACAATTGCAAGCCCCATTGCTACCGCTCGCTCCCGCAAGAACCGCAGAGTAATTCTTGATAGTGACGATGAAGATGAAGAGGAGGGTGAATGGATCGTCTCCGAGGACCAACGCAAGATGCCCAACCTTGGCAAGGCCGGTGGATCAGACGACGAAGACGCCGAAGGTGGCGGAGAGTGGATTGGCTCCGGTGACTCTGATCTGGACTCGCCGTCGGTGAAGAAGTCCCAGCCTATTGTCCTGAGCAGCTCTGAAGATGAATCCGACTCGGACGAAGATATGCCTTATGAAGGCGAAAACGGAGAGCTACCATCAACCAAGATCCGCCACTTGATGAAACTCCTCAACAAAGAATCCGCAGACTACAAATTCATTGTGTTCTCTGTTTTCACTTCGATGCTTGATAAGATTGAGCCATTCTTGAACAGTGCGAACATTGGATTTGCACGTTACGATGGCGCTATGAGAAATGACCACCGTGAGGCCAGTCTCAACAAGTTGAGGAATAACAGTGGCACCCGGGTATTGCTCTGCAGTTTGCGCGCTGGTGCACTGGGCCTCAACCTGACGGCTGCCAGCCGTGTTGTAATCCTGGAGCCATTCTGGAACCCCGTAAGTCGATTCTTCCAAATATTACATGTGGAGCGCATACTAACACGTTGGAACCTAGTTCGTGGAAGAACAAGCCATTGACCGTGTCCACCGTCTCAACCAAACCGTTGATGTGAAAATCTACCGAATGATCATCAAGGGTAGTGTCGAAGAGAGAATCGTTGCGCTACAGGATCGCAAACGAGAACTAGCCAACATGACAATCGAGGGCAAGTCTGGCGCTGGAAAATTGACTATGAATGACATGATGGCCTTGTTTGGTCGTGATGCCGAGTCAAAATACACCCCAACCGACACGCAGGGGAAGCTGGACTTCAATCAGCCAACTCGGTTACTGAACACCACTGAAGACATCGATCCTCCTATGCCGCCTCAGTCTTCAGCACGGACTGACTCCCGTAATCGAGAGCGTCGGCAGCAATCCAATCGGTCCACACCTGAAGATTCCGTGTATGGGCGACGGTGGTAGATGATGTGATATAATGACGAACTCGGATGAGGTGGTTATGGAATAGACACTCTACAGGCGTTTCTTCTGATTCAAATACAATTGGGATTAAGATGAGATGATGGAATTGAGGGAAATGATTTCTTGTCTATTATTTTCATTTGGTACTTATGATAGATAACCAATGTCTTGAATATTTCTTCGTCTGACTTATAGTAGCGTATCTAGACCAAACCGAAAAGTACACGTCCTCCAGATGTAAGTCAATTCATTGAAGTCATGTTCATTGATGATATTATGATACTTTTTTCCAAACATGTACGGGTCTAGCAAACCCTTCCTCATCCCTCTCAACTTGCATTATCCTCTCAAACCCCTGCGCTTTCAACTCATCCTCAAACGGAGGCCTGATCTGGATCGTCTTATACATCTCTCTCAATTCTTTATTCCTCTTTGAAGCTCTTGCATAATTGCTCATAGGCTGCGGCTCCACAACGAGATAACCCCCCTCATTCAGTATGCTTCGTATATGCGCAAACAGCCTCAACATCCCGGAATCTCCATTGTTGAGATGTATCCACTTAGTCACAGAGAGCAGTAGGACAACGTCGAACTTGCCCAGCGCGGTACCCGTGTACGCAGACGCATCCACGAAGTCAAAGTGCTCAAATGTGCACGGCCCGTTCGGGTATGCCGCCTTCGCCTGCTCGACCAGCCACGGATCAATATCGACGCCGACTGAGGCGGCCGCGCCGCAGTGCACTATCGCCTCATAGGTCAGTTTGCCCGCGTTGCAGCCTAGGTCTATGACTCGCGCGTTGCGGAGGATATCTGATGGGAGAATTGAAAGGCGCTCATCCGGAATAGTGGGTGCCCGGAACTTGGCGTAATATTGGTGGTAGTTGCCATGGCGCGCGGCGAGGTGCGTAGCTTTGAAGCGCTCTGCATTGGAGAGTTCTGTTGTGATTGCTTCTGCCATACTTATGAATAGTGCGTTCAGGGGCACTTGTTAGTAATTAAATTGGTTATGTCGAAAGAAAATTGTGTAATGATGTGACTAACGTTAAATTTTAGCACACTAGATAGGCCATACAGGATTCAGTTGGAATTTTGTGATTAAAAATACTCAAATTTTGTTGCGCTCCTGGGAGTTTGTAGGGTTTGCATACTATCGGTGCCTGAGGCAATGACTACTGAGCAAGGCCTAGCAAGTTGTAGTGATCATAGTATAGAAGAAAAGTTTTATTTTAAGGCTAAGTAAGTGCTTCCTTAGTAAATAGCACTATCTGATAGATATCGTACAATGTTTACAAAATCTCATTGTTCTAGAAGATATAAGAGGGCCAATAATCCATACGATCTGAGTCTTAGCCCTGCCCATGGATTCTTGAGGCATAGAGTATCCAATGATTAAATATGAGCAGTAACAAGAATGAAGCAATATTTTCCCCGAAATGAGATGGCAAAAGGGTGTGAAAGGGGATTTAAAGTAGCTTAAGAACTCAAATTCTTTGGGATATCCACAAAATGACGTCGACCTTGCTTACTATTCGATTGTTTCCCCGCATCTTCGCTACTTGTGCAACCATAACATCCATACCAAGGTCATACTCAACATGCCATTCAGACAGGCGTTTCAAGGTATTCTCGATAAGGCAGACAAGGCTTGGGAGGAAATAAGCCATCCGAACCCTCAGCCGGCACCCTCGTACAACAGCCCTCCCCCACCGCCTATTCCAACCTCCACCAAACCACAAGTAGCTTATCAGGAACAGCACTCGCAACCCCAGATCTACTGGCAGCCCAACCTACATCCTCAGGTACCGGTGTCCGCCAACTTTCACCACGAACAGGGTCAACACGGGTGGGGCAACAACGAGTCGCAGAATTATATTGACAGCCCGCAAAACTCATTCCATTCAGCCCAAGGCGATGCGGTGATCGTGCGCGCTCTGATCAACCATGGGCATCCCGACCCTGCCCAGAAATTTACCAGTGCCAGACTATCGAGTCTCCAGACCCTCAGCCGACCACGGGGCTGTCTAACGGCCAGAATCACGGCGCCGGTGGCCCGAGGTATCTGGCCTGCCTTTTGGCTGCTGCCTAAAGATCCATTTAAGTGGCCCGAGGATGGCGAAATCGATATAATGGAGGCGTGGAACGGCAATGCTGTCAACCATACTTGTCTGCATTGGGGCCACTTCAACGGCCAGGATTGGAACAAGCATCGCGTTCTGGAAACCCCCATCCCAAATATTAGCTCGCCGGCGGGGGTGAGGTATGATTTCATCTGGAACGAGGACGAAACAACAGGCAGGGGCCGCTTGGTTTGGTTGATTGATGGCAGAGCTATAATGAGGGCCGAGAAGCCGCCTGGAACGAGGAAGATGAGTGAATTCAGAATTCTCATCAACATTGCTGTTGGAGGAAATGTTTGTCAGGGTAACATGCCCAGCGATGGATGCTACGAAACAGTGGTTCGTGATTTGGCCATGTGGGACGCGCCACCTGGAGGTTGGAACGAATTTGACAGGGCTTGGAGGGATTCCGAAGAGGGCAATACCATGTGATGACGAATGATTAGGAAGGAAATTTAGGTAGATTGCAATCTAAATCAACCACATCTCAGGTGGGCACATCCCCTACTTTCTACAGGAGACCTAGGTACTTTAGGCCAGTAATATGAGCTGATCAGCATTTGAACTCATTTTCTTGTATACATATACCAACTTACAACTGTATATTCTACTTCAGCATTGCTGTTGCCCAATTGGTTGCTCCACATCTCATATATGCTGATAGATATCAAGTTTGGAACGGTATTGACTCTTTAGATTGAAAGAATACCGCTTTTCTCAATTTAATTCAGTCAGATATCGTCTACCATAATTCTTCCACTGACCAAAAAGGTCCACAATCAATGGGCATGATTAAGACTGGATCAGGATTCCAAGATTGAACAGAATTTTCATCCAAAGGTGCCATGGTCTAGTGGTATGACGACACATTGTGGTAATTCGCAATGAATCTGTGTTAGCCCCGGTTCGATTCCGGGTGGCGCCAATTTTTTGCATTTTCTAATCATTGTTAATGAACACCTACCTGGGTATGATGATGAACACTCCATTTTGAATTAAAGGCAAAGGAAATTTTTTTAGCAGGCTGCATAGATAACAATAATGGATTTTCCAGGGCAAAGGATATACATCCATCCCTCGTGCGCGAATTTTGTTAAACGGCACAAGAGAATTGTAGAAAATATGAAAGATGAGATGACCTTCTTATTGAAGTTCTCGGAAGTACAGAATTCCAAGGTTCTTCGTAATTTTCGAAAATAATATTCTTTCCTCTGCAGGGATGAGTCCTGACCCATCTTTGATTACAAGGGTTCGTCTCAGGACATAATAGCTTCAACCTCATCATTGGTAATATCAATTCTGGTCCGTGGTTGCAAATGTATTGAGAAACGCTGAAGAGGAAATATTAAGATTGCCACTCTCCAGTTATGAGATGAAGTGAAGCGTGTGAGCACGCTAAATCTCTTCTTCGCAATAAACCTTCATGGAATCGTTGCCGCACCCAGGGTCCCTGCAGGGACCTTTAGGTATCATTAGGGAAGGTGGGTATCTATTTGACAATTATTTGAGACCATCAAATCATAGAATGGAGAATGGAGAATGGAGCTCCTTGTCGGGGACAGTGCGCGGTAATAAGTTCTCTGCTTAAAGATCATTTGCAGAGTGAATCAATCTTTCACAGGTTGGATGAATGCATTTGATTGGATCTCCGCATGATTTTTCTAACGTAGCAAGGGTCTACCAGGATTTTCTGGGTCAGTGATACATAACGGTCTATCCAGACTTTCTAGCTCAGCGAGTATTTACTTGCGTTTTCTCGCTTGGTGACTTATATTTGTGAGGGTCTATGCTAGTGACAAGTCTAAGGATCAACAAGGATCAACCACTACCAATAAGCGCTACCTACCTGTGTGATTGATATCTATCATCATCCAGTCAAGCTTTCAAAAAATTACGTCTCAAGGTCAAATGTGATGTATTAGAAGCGGAGAGATACTTGTATTATGCAAGTATCAAGGGAAAATTATAGTGGTCCTAATCTAGACAGCTTATGTATACTATATTAAACATTCAATAGCCGTAAATCTTCATCAACAGGTGCCATGGTCTAGTGGTATGACGACACATTGTGGTAATTCACAATGAATCTGTGTTAGCCCCGGTTCGATTCCGGGTGGCGCCAAAATTTTTGCATTTTATTTTTTGGCTCTCTATCAACCAACTATAGCACTGATTGATAAACAACATGCCGTCCTAATGTGAGAATCTCACCAGTGATTTATTTACTGAAGCTAGGTCTTGGTCAGCCAGCAGAATATATTTCTCTTGTATGTGTGATTTAGCTCCAGATTAGCAAGTTAGAACACACCCTAAATAGGAAGACAAGTGTTCCAGGAGCATGCAGCAGTTGGAAAAGAGGTATGGTTACTTCATTTCGCCCTTCGTCGCTTTTCAATTAAATAATTGTTGGTCACGAATTACAATCAGATGGATCATTGCTCCTACATACATTCCAAAATTCTTAAAAATCGTGAAGGGCATAGATCAGATACGCGGATCGGGCCATCGGGCCCAACCTTGCCAACTCTCAAGTGCTTGTGCCGGCAGATCAAGGTGACGATTTGCAGAAGTACCTGCAGTTTCAATACCCTCAATAAGAATACGTCAAGGAATCAATATACTAGATGCTCAAGTCCTTGGAGTGGAACTTTCTGGTCACTTTTCTAGCTTCACAGCGGCAGAATGGTGAATTTTGAAAACAGATTGCTCTCAGGTACTCTGGTGAGGCCGAACATGTTGCTTTTAAGCAACGCAACCTGCAGGAGATAAGTACCGTTTGCACACTCCTTCGGTTAGTAAGTAGACCGCAAGTGATCGCCTGGGCTCGGGTGCAGATCTTCAAGGAAAGGCGCAGTTCTCAGCACTCGATCTTATTCGACACCTTAAAATTGACAAATTGCAAGCCGGAACTTTACGTCATAGAATTTGAATAATCCCATACAAGGGCCTCACCTTCCTTGGAGCCGAGTTTTTCCTGTGTCAATGTTACACGAACCCCACTGGTCCACGTTGACGATTTACACATCAAAAAGGTGTAGCGCAAAGTTAACCACGAAATGGATCGAATTGCGATAGGCGCCATTTGAATAGAACTACCCTAGACTTCTGACGTGACTGCTGAATGGCACATTCATTGATAACGAAAGTATTGTACGTAGGGGGAACTACTATACCTACCAGAGAGGGTACTGTATAGAAGTCGAAGGGTGAGTGCTTAAAACCCAGGTTGAATTTAAAAGGCAGGAGAACACATGCATATACCTGCATGTGTAAAGGTGCAAGTGTGAGGTATCATCAAAATATTTGCTGGCCCTTTCCAAAACACAACCTACCTAGACCGCTTTTTTGCATTAGTATTTCGCTGGCTTGAGTCAATTAATTCGAATATAAATATTGTACCACCGGCCTGACAGTTGATATACTAAAATGACAGTTAAAAGGACTGAAATTTTTCTTGCCTCCTTTTTTTGTTCATTTACTTTAATACCGCCCGTTCTCCTGCAGAGATGGCCATCCCGTACCCCCAGGGAGAATGCTTTTTTAAAAGAAGCTCGCTTACATCTGAAAAACCTGACCGTTTCAACGCAGAAAACCCTGCCCACTTCTACAGTACCCTAATTGTCGAAACTATTTGGAACAAAGAGGCCTATCACGGAGAGAAAAACTGCCAGAATCGTTCTAATCCCCGATCTGATCTCAAGGTTGTCTATGGTGGTGGGGGCTGGAAAACGCACTATGGGAATTGGTCCCATATTCCCTTCACGTACGGGAACTATGCAAAGCCCGAGACAGTCAACAGACGGATTCGGCATGAGCTGTGTACCTGGGGTTATCGGTTCAAGAAAAGAGAATGGGGCGATGCTTACGAGGTATACTTTTACATTCCCGAGTGTCGTTCTCCAGGTAAAGAGAAGCTGTGAAATTGACTTCAGTTCACAACAGGCCTGGTTCATGTTCGTTCCGATGCCCAGAAGGGAAGAGGAATGGATCTACATTGATGTAAGTTCACTTGTGGTTTGTAGAAAGGGTGGAATAGCTAACTGCAAAAAGCGACTTGCGACTATTCGTGCAATTTATATACCTGTTGCCCATCAATCCAGTGAAAAATATCCTGACCTCTGCACGTATGTCCAGTGTCGATTCATCTCCATGAAACAAGTCACAATGGAATACCACAAGTCTACTGGAGAGGGGAAGGATCCGTCTAAAGTCCAGACCACCATTGACTGTGTAACACATTCGGCCTTGATGTTCATGAGAAGACAGCACTCGCTATCAACCCTGCAAAGCTTGTGACCACATTAATCGTTCCGCGAGATTTTCGAAAACTTGATGCATTCACTTCCAATGCTGTTATGTTGGTTGACTCTAGCTTGATCCCCACCGCGCCCCTTCAGCAAACACTGAGCGATCAGTGCATGGCAGATTGGGCTGTAGTCATGGGTGCCAATCAGGGTCTTTCGATAGAGTGGAAAAAAGGAGACTTCAAAGGGCACTGGTTCATCAGTTACTTCAAAAATGCTATGTCTTTTGCCATTGGATACCTTCCTTTAGCAGGGCCATTCTTAGCTATTGGGTGGAATGTTGCCTACACCGCAATCGCTCAGCCCGATGAGTTCTTAGAGCAGCTGCGGGAACAGATTCCTTCGGTAGAACTCATTGAGGGATTTGTGTCTGAAATCAAGAAGATGGCACAAGATGGTGAAGAGGTCCTACAAGACGGGATCGATGTGAAGAAACTCAGTGGTGTCGAGACGAAGATATCGAACGCCAGTCCCCTGGATGATGAGAAAGATGAGGTACAGGCAAAACCTGCCGCTGTGGTGGAGACGCCGACCGGTGAAGGTGAACAGGCCCCCACGACTGAGGAAGACGAAAAGCATCTCACAAAAGTGGATCAAGTTTCTCGAATGATCGGGAAAATGAAGTCGGCATCCATCTCTGAGGTTAGGAAGTGGTTCGATATGAGCCTCAAAACATTGGACAAAATGGGACTGCTGACAGATGAGGTTTGTAATAAACTTGAGCGAGCAAGTGACCCTTTCGATGAACCTTCCGATGATGAGCGATGGGATGAAGATGGAAATTTCATTGAGAATCAGAATATGTCAAGTCCCGATGAAAAGTGGGCCAAGATTGCGCGAGGTTTGTTAGTTCAGATGCTTGAAAGGAGACTCGAGCAGGCCTTAAAGTTTGAGATCTGGCCTGATGACAAGTATGGCGTCGACAGGAACTTCATGAGACGAACTTCTCGTCAATATATGAAGCCAAAAACGGGCTGATAAGTTTTGTATGTCGCTCGCACACTATTTCTAAGTTCCTTATTCTCGGGTTACCCTTTGACAGTTCTTAGCACTATGAAAAAGGAACTGAGTCTGTACAACCAGTAGGGTAAATACTGAGCCGAATGTAGCGATATAAAGATCTTCTATAGATATTAGAGCACTACCGTTACCAGTGGATATGTGTAATATGATATGATGTTATGAAGCATTACTGTACATCAAAGAAAAGTGGTGGGACTGTCCCTGACTAGATTCAGTTTAGCGTGATCTGAGTGGGGCGCTGGGAAAGAAAGCGTGTTGTCGAAGGGGTAATCTGTTTTCGAATTCTACTGTAAATTGATGCGGAGACTGTATGAATTCCTGAAGGGTACTAAGAGGAGTATCTCGACTGGGTATACGTGACTGGAACCAACTGTATCTCGACTGGGAGGAGCGACTGCCCAGTAATAGCCTTTTTGTGCCACGTGGCGAAAATACCGACCTCCCGTATCGAGTGAGTACTGACGGGACGGGCCGCGATGCGAACCCCTGATTCGCCCGACCGCGATGAACGCGAGGATTCGCCACCGCGACTGTCGAGACCGAAGCGCACCACCAAACCACCGAAAAACTATGCTCGAGAGCAAGAGATCGACAACGAGCAGAGGAAGACGCGACCGCTACCAAAGAAGAGAATCGAACCCGAAAACCAGCCTGACGTGGCAACTTCGGACGACTCCGCAACCGAGAGCGACGACCTCGATGTCAGCAATCTGGTGCAAGAGATCGCCAAACTCAGGAGGGAGATCAGACTCCGCGATGAGATATATAAGGAAGAACTACTAAAAGCCCAAGCAGAGTTTGGTGCCGCTCTCGCCGAGGTCCGACACGAGCTACAGAACCTGACTGATAGACCCTTGACACCGCAATGCCACTCCGAGGCATGCTCTCAGAACAACCATGATGCGATTCTCCGCGAGATTCAATCCTTGCGCGAAGAAATCAGCGTCCCCGCTCCCACGAGTGCCCCATCCTATGCAGATGTCGCGCGCACTCCTCCAACCAGTTACCCAAGCAACATACGGACACTGTCAACGCTGGGCACGACACCGACCACCTTTACCGAAACTTTGTACTGTACGATAGACACCTCGAAGATGACCGAAATTGAAAATGAAAAGATATCCGCGGGCTCAATCAGGGCCGCAATCGAGAAAGAGATCCGAACGATGGATGATCACACCCACTGGCGCTGCCGCGCGGTCACCGTGAGTCCAAGAGACCCCAATCGGATCAGGATTGCGTGTCGTGATGAAGCCGAGCACCAGCTGGTCAAGAAAGTGGCGGAAGACAAGATCGGAACAGGATCCCGGGTGCTCCGGGACGAGCTCTACCCGATCAAGGTCGACGGCGTCAAGAGGGCTGCGGTGCTGGATGACAACCATGCCATTCTGGCTGGAGCAACCGTAGCACTGAGTGAAGAAAACGAAAGTACAGTCGCCAAGATGACGTGGCTTAGCAGCAAGGAAGCCGCGAAGCCATATGGCTCGATGGTCGTGTACCTCACTAAAGGCTCCGACGCGCGGAGGCTCCTGGCCGATGGATACTTCCACGTTGGAGGGGAATCCGGGACAACCAGCGTCTTTGAATATCGGCCACGACCGATGCAATGTTATAACTGCCAGGAGATTGGTCACAAGGCATTCCAATGCCGGAAGACCCAGAAGTGCGCAAAGTGCGCCTCGGAGGGTCATCACCACAGTCGCTGCGATCAAGAGGTTCCAAAGTGTGTTCCATGCGGTGGGCCACATGAGTCGTTTAGCAAGAATTGCCGGAAGCTCTACCCACTACGTCATGAATAAAACACTTCGAATAATCCAATTGAATGTGAGGAAGCAGGGTGCCGTGCATGAAAGCTTAATGAACGACGAACAAACCAAGGACGCAGTGGCGTTAGCGATTCAGGAACCCCAGGCGAGGAGGATTCAGGGACGACTCTTGACCACCCCAATGGGACATCACAAATGGACGAAGATGGTACCCTCCACCTGGAGGGAAGGCAGATGGGCGATCCGGAGCATGCTTTGGGTCAACAAAGATGTAGAAGCGGAGCAAGTGGCCATTGAGTCCCCGGATCTGACAGCAGCGGTCATCCGACTACCCGAACGGCTGATCTTTATAGCATCGGTCTACGTCGAAGGGGGAGATTCCTCGGCTCTGGATGACGCGTGTGGTCACCTGAGAAGGGCAATTGCGATGGTGCGGCGAGACACGGGCGCGGTGGTGAACATCATGATTATGGGAGATTTCAACCGCCATGATCAACTCTGGGGCGGAGACGAGGTGTCCTTGGGAAGACAAGGCGAAGCGGATCCAATCATTGACCTCATGAGTGAATTTGCTCTAAGTAGCTTGCTCAAACGAGGCACGAAAACATGGCATGGCGAAGGACAGTACGGGGACTGCGAGTCCACAATTGACCTCGTCCTTGCCTCCGACAATTTGGCAGACCTGATGACCAAATGCGTAATACACGGGACTGAGCACGGCTCGGATCACCGGACGATTGAGACGGTGTTCGATGCACCGTGGTCAGCCCCGAAACATCAGGAACGACTTCTTCTGAAGAACGCGCCATGGAAAGAGATTAATGCTAGAATCGCGAGCACCCTGGCCACCACTCCGTCGGAAGGCACAGTGCAGCAGAAAACCGACCGACTGATGTCCGCAGTCTCGGATGCAGTGCATACTTTAACTCCAAGAGCGAAACCATCGCCACACGCGAAGCGGTGGTGGACAACCGACCTGACACAACTCCGCTACATATACACACACTGGCGCAATCGCGCTCGCTCGGAGCGACGGGCGGGGCGAAAAATACCTCAGCTCGAAAAGATGGCCCAGGATGCGGCAAAACAATACCATGACGCCATCCGCAAGCAAAAGAAGAAGCACTGGAATGAGTTTCTCGCAGACAACGACAATATCTGGAAAGCCGCTAAGTACCTGGAATCGGGAGAAGACGCGGCATTCGGGAAGCTACCACAACTCGTCAGAGCAGATGGGACTACCACCGCTGACCATAAGGAGCAAGCAGAAGAGCTGTTGTCTAAATTCTTTCCCCCTCTACCGGACGTGATTGAAGACGAAGGGACGAGACCACAGAGAGAGCCGGTGAGGATGCCTACGGTTGGCATAGAAGAGATCGAAAGACAGCTTTTTGCGGCTAAATCATGGAAGGCACCGGGTGAAGACGGTCTACCGGCGATAGTCTGGAAGATGACATGGCCGACTGTCAAGCACAGGGTTCTCGATTTATTCCAGGCGTCACTGAGAGAAGGCGCGTTACCGACACAATGGAGACACGCGAAGATCATACCGCTCAAGAAGCCGAATAAAGAAAATTACACCATTGCAAAGGCGTGGAGGCCGATCTCACTCCTAGCGACACTAGGAAAGATACTCGAATCAGTGGTTGCTGAAAGAATCTCACACGCAGTGGAAACGCACGGATTGCTCCCGACCAGCCACTTCGGCGCCCGAAAGCAGCGATCCGCAGAGCAAGCACTGGTGCTCCTGCAGGAGCAGATCTACGCAGCCTGGCGCGGCCGTCGAGTATTGAGCCTGATCAGTTTCGATGTGAAAGGTGCCTACAACGGAGTGTGCAAAGAACGACTGCTCCAGAGGATGAAAGCGCGAGGCATACCAGATGACTTGCTCCGGTGGGTCGAGGCATTCTGCTCAGAGCGAACGGCCACCATCCAGATCAACGGGCAGCTTTCTGAGGCCCGAAGATTGCCCCAAGCTGGCCTGCCTCAGGGCTCACCCCTATCTCCGATCCTATTCCTTTTCTTCAACGCAGACCTCGTGCAAAGACAGATCGACAGCCAAGGAGGAGCGGTCGCTTTTGTGGATGATTTTACCGCATGGGTGACCGGGCCAACCGCGCAGAGTAACCGGCAAGGAATCGAGGCAATTATCAATGAGGCGCTCGATTGGGAAAGGAGAAGTGGAGCAACTTTTGAAGCGGAAAAGACAGCTATCATACACTTTGCTCCCAAGATGCGTAAATCGGACCATGAGTCGTTTATCATCAAGGGACAGACGGTGGTACCCAAAGAGCACGTCAAGATCCTGGGTGTCTTGATGGACACGAGACTGAAATACAAGGAACATATGGCGAGGGCCGCGTCCAAGGGCCTGGAGGCAGCGATGGAGCTTCGGCGACTTCGCGGCCTTTCCCCAGCAACGGCGCGGCAGTTATTTACATCGACGGTGGCGCCAGTTGTGGACTACGCCTCCAATGTCTGGATGCACGCGTGTAAGGACAAGGCCATGGGGCCGATCAATCGAGTCCAAAGAGTTGGAGCACAAGCCATTGTGGGGACATTCCTCACGGTCGCGACCAGCGTAGCGGAGGCGGAGGCCCACATTGCCACCGCGCGGAACCGATTCTGGAGACGGGCCGTGAAAATGTGGACGGACATGCATACCCTTCCTGAAACAAACCCGCTCCGCAGAGGTACAGACCGGATCAGAAAGTTCAGACGATATCATCGCTCGCCGCTGTACCAAGTGGCAGATGCGCTTAGGCACATCGACATGGAGACACTGGAAACAATTGACCCGTTCACGTTGGCCCCATGGGACGAACGCGTACAGACCAATATTGACGGACAACATGAACCCCAGACTGAAGCGGGCGGGTTGATGCAGATCGCGGTCAGCAGCTCGGCACGGAACGAGCTGGTGGGATTTGGAGTCGCAATCGAGAAACAGCCACCTCGAAATCGAAAATTGAAGCTCAAAACGTTTGCTATCACATTGGGCGCGAGGGCAGAGCAGAACCCGTTCTCTGCGGAGCTGGCAGCCATGGCACACGTGTTGAAAATGATAGTGGGAATCAAGGACTACAGGACTACGTTGCTCACAAGCAACAAGGCGGCGGTGCTCACGCTAAGAAACCCCCGACGACCGTCTGGCCAGGAGTTTGTTTGTCAGATGTACAAGTTGATGAGAAGGTTGCGGAGGAATGGAAACCGCATCGAGTTCCACTGGATCCCTACTACCGACGACAACAAGCTGTTAGGTCTGGCTAAAGAACAGGCCAGAACTGCAACTCAAGAAGATGCTCTCCCACAAGAACACGTCTCGAGGATGAAGTCGACAACATTGAACATCGCACGGTCCCAAGCAGTCCCCAGCAGTGAGCTACCAGAGAACATAGGAAGACACGCAAAACGAGTAGATGCCGCACTGCCAGGCAAACACACCCGGCAGTTGTATGATCGCCTCACGTGGAAAGAAGCGAGCGTACTGGCCCAGCTCCGAACCGGCATGGCTAGGCTCAATGGGTATCTCAATCAAATTAATGTAGCAGAGACGGATCAATGCGATTGCGGACAAGCAAGAGAGACCGTGGAGCACTTCCTCTTCCGATGTCGGAAGTGGATGGCGCACCGGACGGAAATGTTACAATGCACGCAGACTCACCGAGGAAACATATCTTTCTTCCTGGGCGGAAAACAGCCTTCTGATGATCAGAAGTGGACGCCAAACCTAGAGGCAGTACAGGCCTCCATACGTTTCGCCATTGCGACGGGCCGACTCGAGGCCACTTGAACATATCGACTAACATAACCCCCACCCCTTCTTCCGACCCTACTTACCCACCACCTCGTGCTACACATGGTAGACGCGCTTCAACTGCCGAAGATAGGATGTTGAACACTTGGAGAAGCACCTTCAAGCCAGCCTACTAACCCACTTACTAACCCACGAGAAACTCGCTGCGATACTGCGTTCTGGAAATGTTATATGTTATAAGGTTTTATGTATGGGCTTTCAGGAGACACAGCATACACAGATGGACATGTACAGTAGATCAGTGATAGTTGCCCTTTCGGCTCAGCCGCCGGGCGTTAATGAATTGTTTGTTTGTTTGTAAATTGATGCGGAGACTGGCCCCACCCAGCAGGTCTCACATCCAGTAGGGACTTGAACCTGAAACAATATTGACCTCATCAAATTGTGGGCAAAGTCTACTCACAATAGTGACATGCATTATGCCAAATTGATATCCGACAATATCCTATCTACCGTGATACAGTATCAGCATGTTAGGAAAAGTTATTAGAACGAGCTTACCTGTTTTGTTACAGCGTGTCCCGAAACTGGTGCAACCACTTACCCCCTTTGATTGTTTTTCTAGCCACACCACCAAGACAAGCTTGTCTACATTCGGGAAAGATCCGGAATATGAAAATTCCTGTACCAGTGCTCTGAAACAAAGGAAGTGAGAGAAAGGGTTTTGATCAACAAGGATGTGCGTGTGCGCAAGACGTTGCAAAAAGACATGGCTTAACTACCTATGGTCCATTTTGCCACGTGCGCCGCCCATTCGCCCTTTCTCGCCCTCGTTCCAGCATTATTCTACCCTCCTTCGGGTTAGATGATCATGGCTTTCGGGTTCTAGGGCTTTGTCTGCATATTTCTGCACATTCTCGTCTTATGGTTGCTACGTTTCCTGCTCCTTGCCCATCGGGTTACTGCAGCGCCTTGCTTTATATCACCACGGATATCTCCTACAGCCGGTGGCGAAACCAGTTCCCGGTCCCTTTCCCGAGGCATCCTAGTATATTTGGTTTAGTCACAGACGTTCCTTTTCTAAGAATAGAGACCGTTTTTATATGATGGTAATATAACCTATGATTAAACATATTTTATAGCAATTACCATATATGTGCGACCTTTCTCTGCCCACGGATCTACGCAGTATGGCACCGAGACTACCTAGCCTTACCCACTTTGTTGCTATATATCATTCGTGATAAAATGTAGAGCTGGTCACTAACGAAATCGCAAGTTGCCGAGGCAACTAAGTGCTAGGGATCACCAAGCTGTAATCACAGTTTTCTATAAGAGAGCGTCGAGCAGAATCAGTATACGGACCAGGAAGATACCAGCTTTGTCACTACTTCTTAATTCTTCGAATTCTGCGAGAATCCAACAAATGCTAACTTTTTGCGACCTTATTGATCTCTGTAATAAGCTTCAACATCCTCCTTTTGCACTAGCAATTCCACAATAGCTTGGCGTCTTGTCACAGCTGCCCATGATAAAGGTGTGCGATGATGTTTGTCTTTGGAATCAGCTTCAACATCCTCCCTTTGCACCAGTAGCTCTACCACAGCTTGGTGTCCTCCCTCAGCTGCCCATGATAAAGGCGTGCGGCCATCTTTGTCTTTGGAATCGGCTTCAACATCCTTCCTTTGCACCAGTAGCTCCACCACAGCTTGGTGTCCCTCCGCAGCTGCCCATGATAAAGGCGTGCGGCCATCTTTGTCTTCGGAATCGGCTTCAACATCCTCCCTTTGCACCAGTAGCTCCACCACAGCTTGGTGTCCTCTCGCAGCTGCCCATGATAAAGGCGTGCGATGATGTTTGTCTTTAGAGTCGGCTTCAATTTCCTCCCTTTGCACTAGTAGCTCCACCACAGCTTGGTGTCCTCTCGCGGCTGCCTGTGATAAAAGGCGTGCGACCCTCTTTATCTTTGTAATCAGCTCCGACATCCTCCCTTTGCACCAGTAGCTCCACCACAGCTTGGTGTCCTCTCGCAGCTGCCCGTGAGAAAGGCGTGCGACCATATTTGTCATAAGAATAAGCTTCAACATCCTCCATTTGCACTAGCAGCTCCACCACAGCAAGATGACCATGTTTTGCTGCCCAGCACAACGGCGTGCGATGGCTATCATCAATTGAATCTGCGTCAACATCGTCTCGCTGCACTAAAAGCTGTACCACTGCAAGATGTCCGTTCCCAGCCGCGAATGACAACGGTGTACGACCACCGTTTGTGGGTAGCCATCTCCCCCCTGCGTCTTGCTCACAATCAGCCGCATCAGCCTCGATATTGTCTTGTTCTAGCAACAGCTTCACCACTGATACATGTCCGTGTTCGGCAGCAAATAATAGCGGTGTGCGATCGTCATAAGCCTTCGAGTTAGGATTTACTATGTCTTGCCGTAGAAGCAAATCCACCACATTTATATGCCCATATTCGGCAGCGAACGACAGCGGCGTGCGATATTCAATGTTCTCCAGGTCAGGCTTAATGTCATCTCTATCGAGCAGTATTTTCACAATGGAATCGTGCCCATATTTAGCAGCCCAATGCAGAGGAGTCGAATTATTGCGATCAAGTTCATTAGGATTGACACTAGCGTAGGCAATGAACCTCGTCCTTGATATATGTCCGAACGTCGCAGTTTGATGCAATTGTGTAATATCATCATGTCCGGCGGCAGGTATCGCCGATTTAGCGAGAAACAATTTCATCATTTTCTCATCTCCATCCCTCGCAATAAGATGCAAAAGTGTTTCGCCATTCTCAACTTTAACGGCAAGATGATGGAATGTGAGAAGTTGATCGAGGCCTTTCGCTGCTTGCAAAAGATTCATAATTTCATCGGGCTGTAGAAACCTCGCGATATATAGAATCAATTCTATGGGGATAAAACCCGCATCTCTGAAATTTACCGGCATATTCGAATAAAGTAGCTATACCAAGGTAGCCTGGTGAATAAACAAAAGGGAGCTGTGGATTTATAAGGGAATGAATGACTTCATGAGAAGTAAGGCCAAGTCTACACGTGACCGGAACTTACCAATGTGGCTAGTTCCGTAGTGGTCTGCAAAGTTGGTTGACGCGGTGTGAACAAATACGATTCTCTCGTTGTTTGGTTTGTTCGCACAAGGATTCTGTACATCTCGGCGAGGGAAAACGGTACTACAACAATGACTCATTCGTAGTCAGTAGACCTCGCCATATTGCTTTTTTGGGTACCCGAAGGAATACCCGCGAACCCGCCAAGAACCCATTTACCTGTATATCACAGTATTACTGTTGAAATACAACCAATACCAGATATAGAGTGATGTAATCAGGTATATGTTACGTGTATTTTAATCTCTTGGCGGGTTTTGGGTCAAGGGTCGAAACCCAACCCGCCCATTTGGCGAGGTCTAGTAGTCAGTAGTCAGTTAGTGCATACGGTTACAGCCCTGTGGGGATAACCAAGCAAAGAGCCTAAATGAGATTCGCGAGTCTCGAGTTAAAAATCGGGCAATAATTCGCGAGTGTGGAGTTAAAACTGATCCTGAAAATGATTATATCACTTACGCCTCTCTAGACTTTACCCATTCACTCTCCTTCGCATCGTTATTCCGCGATGTTATCTAATCGGGTTTGTTGTGATTGTGGCCGACAAGTGCGTCTATGTATAACGACCGTGGTGCTACAGTACCCTTCTGCACTAGCATGTTTGTTCTCTACGCTCGAAAACGCCCCTACTTACGCTGCCATGTTCCAACCCCTGCTCATTACTCTTATATTCACTACGCGAGCTGTAACTCTGCGCCGCCGTACAATCCCTGTTATTCCCTTTATCATAATCTGTCGAATTTAGACGTACGAGGGTCCCAAACACCATAGTAAATGCGATAAATTACGACTCATTATCTCAACAACAGTGGCCTACAGGAGCCTTTCCTTAAAAACTGAGTTCTCTCAATGTGATATCTAGACCCTCTAAGGAGTTTCGAGAATTTTGGTGACTTGATGATTGCATGTGGAGAATATATATATCATCAATTTAACGATGTAATTTTCGGAAATGTTGTAGAAGAAGAGTTTGATTTATTTCAAATTGATATATGCTTCTAAGAATACTTATCAATATCCATCGGCAAGTTATGGAACAGAGTATTGATTATGGTTGTTGAAATATTAGGGTAGTAAACATCGCATTTACTATAGTGTTTGGGGGTGACCGGACCGACCGTGTGACCGCACTGACCGTGAAATACGTTATTGGTCGATGGAACTAACTAGTTAGGGCTTCTATGAATTTTGAATGATACATAGGCGCGGCAAGTCTATTGATATAATCTAATAAGAGAATCTAATTTCATCAAAGGTGCCATGGTCTAGTGGTATGACGACACATTGTGGTAAATCGCAGTGAATCTGTGTTAGCCCCGGTTCGATTCCGGGTGGCGCCAGTTTTTTTTGCATGTCTTTCAATTTATATCTATCTGTTCCCTTCATTGATTTTATGTTTTTTTAATTTTTGATTCACTAAATAGCCACTGACTAACTAAAGGGGAATTTTCGTGTGACAATTTTTATCACCAAGAAGTCCAGGTAGACATGACTGCTTCCATTGCTACACTGTACTATGCTTTTTGTTAGATTTCCTCTATACAGGTCGCCTCATTGTCTGTGAATGAAATAATTATTGCCTCTCCAGGTAGACTATTTCACCCACACTGTACAGAAGCCCAACTGATGTTCAATAAATAGCCTCGAACTACGTAGTATATATCTCGTAAACATGCGATGCCAAACCCGTTAGAGATGATTGGCCCACACCGCCCGCAGCTTCTCCAAGGGTTGCATCACGCTAATGTTCGGAACAAGCTGATACATACAATTGTATTTTCTAAGCTTTTGAGCATGGCCACCTGCAGGTCACTCGTCCGACAATGCGCTCTTCAGCTGCGTCGCACTCCTCGGCTTAGCCGTTCTTCATACCAGACCCTCGGTCGAATCCAGGTCCCTTTCCGCAGGGCATACACTACGTCCGTCGGCGCCGCGGAGCTCAAATTCGGACAGCCGTTGCACGAGACACACCCTCACCTATTGAGCCCAGGAGAGTGTACGTGACATTCTTAAAGTTTTCAATTTCAAAATATTGTCCATGATCCACTGGATACTGATCATTTGTTGAACAGTGACCCCCGGAGTCACGGCTCTTGAATATGCGCTGCGCCGATCGCGACTCGCCAACAAACTCCCCGAAGGAGCAGTCGCTATACTCGCCGCCTCTGAAGTGAAGTACCGTGCGCCCGGTATCTTTCATGAGTATCATCAGGAGTCCAACTTCTTCTATTTAACAGGTAAGCTAGTACATTTACCTTGTCACGAGAACCTCGCTGATCATGTGGTTCAACATGGCAGGCTTCAATGAGCCGAATGCATTGGCAGTTATTGGGAACGACGGGTCTGGCAACAACCATATCTTCCATCTCTATGTTCGGGAGAAGGACCCCAAGGCGGAACTGTGGGATGGTGCGCGGTCTGGCACCCAGGCCGCTACGGACGTCTTTAATGCCGATGAGGTGCGTATTTTTCCTCCCTAACATACCCTTCTGATATCATGCGAAACATCAGATTAATACTGTGAAATATAGACAGGAAATATCGAAGACATTGGAAATATCCTCCCAAAAATTATTGCCAAAGCAACAGAGGTTTACTCCGATATCCCCGCCTTCGATGGGTCCCGATCAACATTGCACCGATACCTATATGGCCCGACAGTTGCTTCAGAGAAACTGAAGAAATTTGTCGACCACCGAAAAGTCAAGTCGTTGAAGCCGCTAATGAACGAGATGAGAGTATTCAAGACGGAGGAGGAAGTCATGCATTTGCGCCGGGTTGGACAAGCTTCCGGGAGAGCATTTACCAACGCCATGCGCCAAAACTTCACCAAGGAGAAAGATTTGAACTCCTTTTTGGAGTACCAGTTCAAAGTTAATGGTTGTGATGGCAGTGCGTTTGTTCCCGTTGTCGCGGGTGGCCAGGTAAGCAATGCTACCCCAATATTCAGCACTTGGCTAACAAAGATAGAATGCTTTGAGCATTCATTACACCAGGAACGATGACGTTCTCAGGTAGGTCAACTCTTGCTTGCTTATATGAATTGTACCTGATGACCTTTAACAGAGACGGAGATTTGGTTCTTGTTGATGGCGGCGGTGTAAGTTCCTTCCCCAAAATATAATCATCCCTAGAGGCTCATAGTGGAATAGGAGATCGGAGGGTACATCTCTGATATTACTAGAACTTGGCCTGTGAATGGCAAGTTCTCGGATCCTCAGCGGGATCTGTACAATGCCGTGCTGAATGTGCATCGGACTTGCCTGGCTCTTTGCCGTGAAAATGCCAACCTGTCCCTCGATAAATTGCACGGTATTGCCGAGAATGGATTGAAGGACCAGCTAAAACAGCTTGGGTTCGACCTTTCTGGAAGTGTATGTCTTGAGGTACCCCGTTATGATATAACAATTTTGCTAACTCTACCAGGCAATGAATGTGTTATTCCCTCACCACCTTGGCCATTATATCGGTTTGGACGTTCACGATTGTCCTGGTTACTCTAGAGGGTACAACTTGAAGGCAGGCCAATGTATCACCATTGAACCGTTTGTCACCCCGGTCTGTCCCTATACCTTGGCATGAACTAATCTGACATCAGTGGCATCTACGTTCCTAACGATGAGCGATGGCCCGCGCACTTCCGCGGCATTGGAATTCGCATCGAAGATAGTGTTTGCGTCGGAGATGAACACCCGATTGTTTTAACCCCTGAAGCCGTCAAGGAGGTAAGTCCTAAAGCCGTATTCTCACCACCACAGCGAGGTTCTGATTATTATAGGTTGATGATATCGAGGCACTGCGTGGTTAAATCGATCACCATATGTATACTACTTGACAAATACCCTCAAAATCCATGTATAATACGGAGTCCTTCGACATAATTTACCGAACGTTACGTTGTTGACCCCCGAAACCTTGTATGTTTGTGGCTGGTCGGAGGTGGCTGGCAATGGCGTAAAAGCTGAGAGACTACTCCATATAAGAATTTTTGAAGTCGAAAGAATGAGAAAGATGAAACTGATAATCCAATAGAAATTTAAGAGATCAGATAAAAAAGAATAAGAATAAGCATATCTGGTCGCGTTAAAAGGAATGTGTTGATGTTCATGCTTCGCGCTGTTGGTTGTCCGGCGTACGCTCAAAACAAACGGAGTCTCCACCACACCACACGACTTTGCCCTTCGATCCTGTTGTCCCTTTCACTTCCAACCCAAGATTTCACCACCACTCCAACCCCCGAGCATCTTGGGGAGCTTGAATTGCTTTCCTCTTTCAACTTGACCTCATTCTTTCGTTTGTGTTACCATGTTCTTCCTTTGACTTCATTAGAAACTTGCAAAGACGTGTAGCACGTCGCGTGCTTGACCTCGAGTACCCCTCCTCGACGACTGGTGATTTCAGCTCAGCGAGCTCTTGACGCGTCCAACCCCGGCAAAGCTGTGACCACATGGCTGCTGTATTCGTCCCACCGTCGCCCAAGACCTCTATGAACATGTCGACCCGTCGTCCATTAGCCAACGTACCGAATGCAACCAATTCTCCCCACAGGACCGGACTCGTGCCGGCCAAACGAGTTCGGTCTAATCAACTCGAGATTTCTTACGGTCAACCACCGCCGAAGAAGCAGGTGATGGAAGCGGCGGAACAAAATCGATCGTCGGTGGTGCAGGGTGCCGACTCGAAGCTCTTCGCCAGAAGGCCAAACAATGCCAACCCAAGTGCCTTTGAAAAGAAGCTCGTTGCTGCCCGCGATAAGGAACGCCAGCCACAAGTTAAAGCTGTGAAGGGCGAGAAGCCGTCCGCTGACACCCTGGACACAATTCGTCAATGGCAACGCCACTACCGCAAAGCTTTCCCACAATTCGTGTTCTACTTCGACAGTGTCCCAGAGGATGCCCGCCGCAAGTTCTCTCGACAAGTCGCTGCCCTTGGAGCTGTAAGTTCTACTAGTTGAATGATGCTTTGTTTTGGGGTCCCTGTGCTTTGAGACAGCTTGGAGACATGTGATAGTTTATTGATGACCCGTATCCGATTTATCAAATGATACTAACTCGCATTGCAGCGTGAGGAGAAATTCTTCTCTCGTCTAGTCACTCACGTTGTTACATCACGTCCTATCCCTGCAGGAGTTTCTGTCACGAGTCCGACCGAAGTGGATGCCGTCGATGGCAATGGCGATGGCAATGTGCAAACCGTCAACCCCTCCTTGCTTGATAAGAGCGCCGACTGGTTGAAGCATGAAATTCGTCGTGACCAAGCAAGCAATGATGTTTTGCAGAGAGCTCGGCAGATGGGCATGAAGATCTGGGCCTTGGAGAAGCTACAACGCATGATCACCACGATCAACGACAACGACCTTGGTGGCCAGAATGATCCTGCTGTTAGGAGCAGGAACGCAGGTGCAAGCACTGCCAACGGTCGGGGTGAAAATGATCTTTCGCGTGTCCTTCGACAGGAGCTGATGAACGGACCTTCTGATCGTGATCCTTTGTCTTCAATGGAAATGATCGTCTTCAAGGGTCCTTTCATCTACATACACGACATGAATGAAAAGACCAAGCCTGTCATGGTGCGAGAATATTCTCGAGTTGCAAAGCGCCAAGATGGAGCCTGGCCGCAGTTCAGGAGCGCCCCCTTGGGCAAATGCCCATTCGTCGATGAACCTCCAAGCCGAAAAGAATACGACAGACACCGCATTCGTCAATCGCAGAAGGAAAAGAAGGCGGCAGCTGTGGCCGAAACCCGTCAGAATGTCCCAAAGACCATCGAACAGGAACAGAAAACCGTGGCCAAGATCGACCCAGACCAAGCAAATGTAGTGTGTGAGAGGGATGAAGAATTCGACAGCAAGCCTCGGGCTGATGAGACTCATGAACGCAAAAGCTCGGAAAGCTTTATTCCGCCACATTTCCCTCGGTCTGGTCCATTTTACACTGGTCGTGAACCAGCAGCATCTGGCGTGCAGCCATCTAACGTTACCTCCGCCATTCGATCTCAAATGATATCATCTACCGCCGCTGCCCCAGGCGCAAGAGCAGGTCTGAGCAAGGAAGTCCATGGACTGAAGCGAAAGGTTCTCGAAAGGGGCACAGGCAACATTGCACATGGATCTATGGCTGCTCCCGAACGCCCCAATGGGTTGGCAATGCATCTCAAGACTCAACACAGCCACGCTACCAACCCCGCCGCAGGAGCGCGTCATAACCCAGAGGACCATAACCAAGAAGGGGCCGGCATAAAGCGCCGTCGGGACGACAGCCATGAAAGCGAACAAAAGAAGCCAGAAAGACGCCGAGATCCTAAGCCAGGGTACTGCGAAAATTGCCGAGATAAATTTGACGACTTTGAAGAACATACCTTAACACGGAAGCACCGCCGATTCGCCCAAAACGCCTCTAACTGGGTGGAACTTGACGCTCTGCTTGCCGAGATCCAACGGCCTCTTAAAAATGATCTCGATCGAATTTCCTGATCTAGAAATGTCGACGACGCCCAAATTCTCGAGTCGGGAATTTATCCTATTGTGATCATTTCCTCATTTCTATTCTTATTTTTCCCTTCATGGTTTTCTGTCACACCCCCGTTTCGTCGATAATCATTGGAATCGATACATCTTGGCTTGTTAGCATTACCAATACCCAGCATCGACATATTTGCATGATCTGGAGTTTGTTTTTTTTTCCGTCGCATTATCAGTGCGGCAAACTGACGGTACTTGAACCGACATTGCAGCCTGCTTGACCTCCTTTGATCGAGGTCGTCCGCTCGTTTACGATCACTTTTCATTCTGGCCCCATTGTATTTGTATCTCAGCTTTCTATTAGCACCATTTTACCCAAAACCCCGATTATGTGCTATGTCAACGGGCAAGGGGATTTTCACAACGACCCGTTTTCTTTCGAGTTCGACAACTAGTGGAGCGTGCCCCCTCATGCCTTGAATGAATCTGCTTTTCATTTTTCTCTCTCTTTTGTGGAGGACCGCAAACCAGTGGTGGTTTGTCGTATGCAGCTGGGATGACCAGCGCTTGAGCATGGAGGACTCTTATTGCATTGCGAGCTTTCGCATTCTGCATTTTTGCGTCCTGTTTGCATTGTCACATCTCTCAACCCAAGCCTACGGGCCTAATTGTTCGTTCATCTACCTCTTCCCCTTACTGTATTGCTTTTCGTTCGAACAAGCCCCTTTTCTGTGGGCTTATGCTCTGTTTTTTTGACAGAGCCGCTTGACTGTTAGCATTGCAGTACTATTAAACAACTAAATGAAATAAACATTATCCTTGGCCCACATGCTTTGTTCATTTAATTAGATTGCAGCCTGCTAGTACATCCAGCCATCTGATACAATGTAACAGATGGGAAGCTGTTCGATATCATAACAGTACACTATAGCTCCAAGATTTTCCAAGGTTTGAATACCTCAACCCCCTATGATTACATCTATTTATTTTTTACATCGAGTTAGGCAGGTATGCAGTGACTTCCGGGTTCCACGGTTCCGGTCTTCGGATTGCGATAACGGCTGAGTCATCGGGCCATCATTGTTCAGTGACTTCTCCCCCTCCTTCTTCTCTGTCCTCCACCTGCTCCTTCTGCTTCAGACCGTTATTAAATTTATTGTGCCAGAATCAGCTTCAAGATTGAGCTAGAAGTCGTTGAATACAGCATCATTTCCTCCGTCCACCAGAATCTCGCTCCCAGTCCTACCCCGCCCTTTACTTCCCCGCTCCGAAGGGGGATAATTGCTAGGTGACCTCATTGAGAGCTTTCAAGGAGCGCTTCTAAGAGCAACAGCACACAAATTACGCGCTAAAATCCTGAGCCGAGCCACCGCGATATTACTACACAACCTTCTACAAACCGCCATCATGAGTAGCCCGAAACGGAGAATCGAGACCGACGTGAGTGCCCCTCACGCCATCCACAGAGGTCCCCGCAATTGCTAATATGATCATTAATTCTCACAGGTCATGAAGTATGGATAAAAACCCAAATTTGGAGTTCCGGGCATATACTGACCATGGCTTAGGATGTACGCAAGCCGACCCCCTTCCCCCTCCGATAATACCGCCACTGTTCCCAGCAGATGATCTCCAGTCTCAATGAAAGGCACCTAGATGTGGGAATATTATGTCTGATGAGTTTGATAGGCTGATGAGTGACTACGAGGTGACTCTGGTAAATGACAACAGTATGTTTTGCGTCTTGGCCGGAGCTTGACAAAGGTACTGACTGAGACCTAGTGTATGTCCCCAACGATCGTGAGCCAGCAGTTTGAAATTTCTCACACCATTTAGGCAAGAATTCTATGTTCGCTTCAAGGGACCGGAAGAGAGTATGAGTATCCTTCCTCATGGGGTTTTTTACTTTATTAACATCGTTCAGCACCATTTACCGGAGGTCACTGGAAAATCCACGTCGAACTACCCGACCAATACCCCTACAAGAGCCCCAGCATTGGATTTGTTAATCGGATTTTTCACCCTAACATCGACGAGCTGTGAGTGTTACGTGCTACTCAGGGTTGAATAATGCTCCGGTATTGATTATATTCTAATATAGGTCTGGGTCCGTTTGCCTGGATGTCATCAACCAAACATGGTCTCCCATGTATGACATGCTCAACATTTTCGAAGTCTTCCTCCCCCAACTCCTGCGGTATCCCAACCCCTCCGATCCACTCAATGGCGAGGCAGCAGCGTTGATGATGCGAGAACCCAAGGCGTATGAGGCCAAAGTTAAGGGTGTGTACTCATGAGCATTAGGTCCTGTCAATCGCTAATGCTTTGCAGAATACGTCGCCAAGTATGCCAGCAAAGAAGCTGTCGACGAGGCTGGAGAAGATACCGAGTCTGAAGATGAACTCAGCTCTGCCGGAAGTTATGAATCCGATGGGGAGGAGCCGGCTGGGGCAATGGACGACGTCTAATTGATGTTCTCCTGACTTGACGTTCTCAATCCGTCTTGATTCAAGATTGGATTTGCACAAACACATTGCATCCCCATTCTTGATTATTATACTCACTCATCAGAACAGGACCAGCGGGCGTTTCGTGAATATTGCGGTGTTTGTTAATTTTCTATTGTATAATTTATTCGCGGTGCACTCAAGCTTGAACATTTTCATGTGGATGGAGCGTGGGGAGCATGCACATGTGCCGGCGAGACATCTCACGGCCCGACGGACGGAGTAGTATCAGTGGGTTACAATTCATCTAAATTCTATAATTGCCCAAACACTCTCTGTAGTCTTCATTGGACCTGAACCCTGATAATATGACAGGATCAGCTTCTCCTCTTCTCTTCCATTGGTCATATATAAATTGCTGACATTGTAATTATTGGATGAGAACCTTTCTCAACGATGACTGAACACTAATTTGGTATCAATTCGCATACAGCCCAACACAACACTTGTGACCTGTGAAGAGTCAACCGCTTTCGAGATGCCTTTTTTGCAGAGGAACTTGATATTGTTGAAAGAGGGGCCTATAATCGTAAATTCGCAACCAGCTCCCAATACAATGACCGTGACATCTTGGGCTGTGCTCTTATCGGCAGCTGAGATCACGGAACCTTTCTTGGGGTTTCTCTCTTCCTCTCCTGATTCCCGGAGGGCACCGATGACAAATATCCCGAAGACTTCACTGTTCATATTGTCCAAAGTGGGGAGGCTTCTTTCCTGTGATAATCTTGATAATGAACGTTACTGCAATTGCGATGATCAATGAGAGAGCATCAAGAACTGTAAGACTACCGCCCTGGTTCAACCACTCGTACAGCTCTTTAACAAAGCCCCAGGTGAGCATATGTAGTGCGCAGTGATTAGCATAATTCCGCTCATTTTCGAGTTTGCAGAACTTCTGTTGAGTTTCAAATGGTCACAAAGAGAACAATCATTTAGATGCAACAGTGACCAGAGTTTGCAGAACCTTCCTGACCACGTCGATGATATTGACGAGCAAGTTCCCACCTGCTTTTGCAAGAAGCTCACCAGCTGAGAGATTGTTGTCCCCGTGAACAACTCGGCGAGATCTATTGCCAGATCTTCAGCAACTTTAGTGAAGCTCATCAGGAATGGCTGAATCCGATCCTCCCAATTTTCACTTCTTCGGCACTACTGAATGCTAACCGGACTTACTTTTCCCAGGGGAGCGCATACTACTACTCCCATTCTTCATCCACTTCCCTATCCATTTTGATTCAGTGCTTGTCTCGAATTCGTCAACTGCTTTTCATCAGTCCAAATGGAAGACCGCAGCTTTCCTCCGCGACCTTTCATTGATACATCCCCCGTCAGTTCGGCGATATCATTTTAAAAAGAACCGAATAAATCCTCAATTTTCCCATACACCCCTTCCATTATCTGGCAGTATACTGCAAACTCATCCATGCTGCACTGATCACCGAGAAGCAATTAGCGGCTGAAATAAGCTCATCCTTGGATGGTGTTTCAACCCCCTCCCAGATGAAAATGCCATCTTTGTCAGTGGTGGCCTCCAATTTCTCTGGAATCAAACATATATGTCCTATATTGAACGTCACAGGTTATATTTTACTCCGGACCGTTGTTGTCTGACTGGGCTTGTGTCAATTCATTTATGCTCAGTGCTGTTTTATTTTTTGCTTGATTTCTTATTCCATATACATACATAGGGATGGTTCAAGACAGATTTTCTTTGCAAGGTCTTCCCTTCAATCAAATTATAAGGAAAGTAAATAAATGCCTAGCGGCAAAAATGAGGGAAATGGAAATTCAAAAAGTGGTCGCATATATCCGGTACGTCAGTTGAGATCAAAGAACCGAGATCTATGAAACGCATGAAATGAAATTCATATTAAAATGACTAAAGAAAAATGAATATTTCATGGGTATAAAGACGCAATATCAGCTCAGCGTAAAAGGCATCGCAAATAATCAACCATCACAAGAAAGCAAAATATAGAAACTCAGAGATGTTGAAGAAAGAATACCGCAATTTTATGCCCTGGGATGTCAAGTCAGTCACTGGTCCTGCTTAGCGCACGGAAGAAACATACCAAAGATCAGAAACAGAAAACTGGTTGCAACTCTTGAATATTGAGCTCCAATAGCAAGGAGCAAGGTCAACATGACTGACCAAGGGGAGAAGCTGCCCAGCTGTGGAACTAGTTGAGCTTTGGTAGATGCTCCCTGAATAGTTGTTTGTAGATTGGCTGCAGTTATGGTGGCTTTTTCCAGTAAAGCCTGGCAGAATTGTGCGGTGAATTGTAGTTCTCGATGTGCGCGAAACTGGGCGGCGAGGGCTTCGGCCTGTTGAAGCTGGGCTGTTTGTAACTCGTTTGCTTTGTGTGTTGATTGTTCCACCAGGTCGCCCATGGTTTTGAGTTTCTGTTGGGGGTTAAAATGGGTAAATTAAAGGAATGGGAACAGAATTTACCTCGGTAAGTTCGGTCTCATGCTCAAGGACACGAATCAGTCTAGATGTGAGCCATTCCTAATACCGTCAGCTTTGATTTGATTGGAAATGAGTTTGACTTACAAGTGACGCGTCGAGATCGGTCATTCTTTGCGAGACTCTTTGCATGTCCGCGCCCACGAGAGAGTTCAAAGAAAGGTGTAAATCCGAGGCGAGGACTTGATATACTGCAGCATTTTCCTCGAATACGCGAAGTGATTGGTCACTCCGCAAGATTGAATCTTCATGCGCTGTCTCAAGAGCCCCATGGAGAGCAATGACTTTATCAGACACGCTCCCGATATCCTGGATAGAGGTTAATATTGGAAACGCCACGAAAGGAAAAATGCACAAACTTTTTCAAGGCTCGCGGTTTCATTCTGCATTCTTCTCAGAGCAGAAGTGGCGGTAATCGCTACGGTATCAATGCCGGCTTTTACATCCTGTAGAAGCTTGCCGAAAATGCGTTGAAAGACGGATTCATTTCGTTCCAGATCCACCAGCAGTCTTTCCTGTAATGCCTGAACTGCTTCGAAGAAAGCTTCATTTTTGACGGAATCCATGGCAGCCTTCTGAAGTGCAAGTTGAAGCCCATCATTGAGCTTGACGTTGCTATGAACAATAGAACGATGAAGATTAAGTAATTCATCCTTCTCAGTCTCCATCCTGGCTGCTTGGCAGATGACCATTGCATTTTGACGATTGTTGCTATAAGAGGTCCACCACTGAGGCCGGGACTCGAGGGTTTTGAGGCAGAGCTCGAGCACTTCTTTGGGATACTCAGCCGCACCAGACTCCGAATGCTTAGCTTTAGCCATGAAGAGAAATCGAGACTTTGTATCGAATGGAGGAGCAGTCAAAGAGCGACACTGAGATGGAGCCGAGGAACCAGCACCCTCAAGCTCGCAGATGGCGAGGCGGGCAGCGTATATAGAGCGTGTTTGATCCAAACCCTCAAATTCATCGCGGCTTGTGGCATCCTTTCCTCCCATCTGTTGACATGAGGTGACTAGCTTGGTTGCTGCAATGCGATGGCAAGAAGGTGATGATTTCATTGAGTCCAGAATCTGGACGGCTTGGGTGAATATTCCATCTTGTTGGGAGGTGTTGGTATCCAGAAGATATTTTGCGTCGTTTCTGTTCTGGATTGAGGAGAAAGCGGATAAAGATCCTTCATTCATCAGCCACGAAGTGAATAGACGCTTCAAATGCGATTTACCCGTATCAGATGCATCAAACAAGCTGGCACTGACAATACTCTGGATGAGAAGCAAGAGTTGGAGAGCGAGAGCAAGCTGAGTTAGGAAAATGGCCATCTTCGTGGATCTCAGAAGATCTTTGGAGGAGCTTCTATTGAAGCTGTCGTGAATCGTGAGACCCGGCGCTGTAAATGTGGCTTAGATGGGTATACTAGTCAAGGTACCTGCCCTGGAGATAGAAGCAAAAAGATAGAAAAAAGTATAAGTTCAAATGGCGGTCATAATGTTCCGGTGGTGAGTGGTAGATGTTGAAGTGAGAAGTGAGAGGGAGAGTTGATGTGGAAGAATTCCAAGCCACGTCCTCAGTACCTCAAGACCTCGATGTGTCTTCGATATCTACAGTTAAAGAACTAGCCCCATGTGTTTCAATGCCAAGTCAAGTACGGGAAAAAATGGCAAACAAGCTGATTAGGTCTATGAAACTTAATGAAACACTATAAACTATAGGAAAATTTAATTGAGTACTTTGACTTATTTCAGAGCAGGGAGAAGTGTATAAAATGAAAGAGGAATTCCCTTTAGTGATTCCCCATATACATCGTCTCCACGCACATCACGTGCACGCTAACCCAATCAAGATCCCCCATTTTACGAACAAAATCATCGTCCGCGACTCCGAAATCAACAACTCAATCATCATGTCGTGTCTACCCCAACGCTGCGCCCGGCAGCTCCTCCGTGAGCCCTTCCAGCGCTCATTACCTCTCTTCCTCACTCCCGCGTTCTCCCCCCGCGCCCAATGCTTCTCGACCACCTCCCCGGCGCAATCCCGTATCGGAGGTTCTGCCATCTCCGTTCCTCCCGAGGTTTCATTGACCATTGTTGACCTGCCCAAGTCCCTGAACCGGGGTCGCGGAAAGGATGTCCCTAAATTTGCTGCGCAGATCAAGGGTCCTAAGGGTATGTTGGTGCTGAATTGCTCTCGGAAGGACAAGGTTGCTAATTTGTTGTAGGCACGATGACCCTCGATATTCCTTCCTTCTTGACTGTGAACCATGATGCTACTACCCAGAAGGCTACTTTGTCTGTTATGGATCCGGAGGAACCTCACCAGCGTGCTATGTGGGGTATGTTGCTCGCTTTATTCGATTTATCTCTCGCATCGTTAGTCTAACTCGTTTTAGGTACTGCTCGTGCTCTTCTCCAGAATCATATCACCGGTGTTTCAGAAGGTCACATCTGTATTCTCTCAATGGTCGGTGTCGGTTACCGTGCTACCATTGAATCTACCGCGACTACCGTCTCCGCTACCTACCCGGGCCAAAAATTTGTCTCCCTCAAGGTTGGATTCTCTCACCCCATTGAACTGGGTATCCCCGAGGGTGTCCAGGCTAGCACACCGCAACCTACCCGCATCCTTCTCGAGAGTGTTGACAAGCGCAAGGTGACACAGTTTGCAGCGGAGATTCGGGAGTGGAGACGGCCGGAGCCGTACAAGGGCAAGGGTATCTTTGTCAACGGAGAGACGATCAAGCTTAAGGCTAAGAAGATCAAATAATCGGTGGGCGCACGTGGCATTTGTGTGTTTTGGTTTGCTTCGGAACATGGCATTTTTGGTTCCCCTGTATTCGTATACTCTATCCTCTGTTCTTATATTTTCAATATGTACTTTTTTTTGGATCCAAAGACCTTCCCGTTCCACGATTCATAAGTGGTATCATAGTTAAACCAATGCAACAACATTACAGCTTCAGCACAGTCTTGACGGCATCAATAACCTGGCCGTGGACGGCCTTAGGGGCCGCAACAACACCCTTGTTAGCAGCCAAGGTCCTGCCCTTGCTGAAGTCCAAGCGGTTGCCGTAGATATCAGAGACCTGACCACCGGCCTCACGGACAATGATGTCACCAGCAGCGTGGTCCCAGATCTTCTCCTGGTAGTCCTTCTTCACGGGCAGACGGAGGTAGATGTCACCAGCACCGCGAGCAATGGAGCAGTACTTGGCCTGTGAGTCTAGTCGCACGCTCGGGGCAGTGATACCCAGAAGGCTAGCAACAGCGGCATTATCGCCCTGAGCAGAGTGGGCGGCCTCAACACCCTCACAGAAGACAGCCTGTGCGATATCGGGGACGGGACGCATGGAGATGGACTTGCTAGCAGCCAGAGCACCGCTCACGAGAGGACGGCTGGTAGCGCCCTCGCCTTGAACAGCGGCGAAAAGAACACCGTTAGCCGACGAATCGGCCTGCTGGGCACCAGTGCTGGCGTCAATGGTGGCAGCATCATCAACGGGCAGGTTGGGGGTACCAATAGCACCGACCTTGACGTCGCCGTCAACAATCAGACCAAGGCAGACAGCGTACTGGCCACCACGGAGGAAACCCTTCGTACCGTCGATAGGGTCAAGAGCCCAGATACGACCGGAAGCACCACCAGCACTGTTACCCTGGTCGATGATCTTCAGCATCTCCTCCTCGCTGGCGAGGGGACCACCGAGGATGCTATCGCTCTCAGCGTCGTCCAGCTTGATGTCCTTGACCAGACGCCAGATCTCAGCGCTCAGAGCTTTGTCCTCGTACAGGGAGCTGGACTCCTCTTCGGCGACGATCTCATCGTTGGGGAAGTTCTTGCGGATGGCCTGGATGATCAGGGCTTGGGCGCCGAAGTCGCCAATGGTGACAGGGGACTTGTCGTCCTTGGAGACGGTACCCTTAGCCTTCTCGAAGAAGACCTTCTGGGTCAGGAGGGAGGCACGCTGGACGGCCAGCTCGGCGATATAGCGTTCTTGTGTGTAGGACATGATTGCGGTGTGATGGGGAGAAGTAAAGGAGGGGAAGAAGGAGAGACGGAAGCGGGTCTTAAGGGCCACACTGAGAGCCAGGATGAGGGTGGAGCAGATCAGAAAGCGGGACAGGACGCGCGCCAAATAAAATCGGGAAGTTGGAGTCATACGCAATGAATTGTAGAGACGGAATGTCTTCACGTATACAATATGTTGTAAATTCCTACAAATTTCGTATTCTCTTAAGATACTCAACTCAGTCGAAATCAGTCCACAGCTTCTATCACCCCGCCCTAGTCCTAATTGAGCGAACATCAGTTGGAGACTTGTGATTCCAAATTCCTCAAAATTCCTGAAATTCATAAAATTCTTTAAATTAAGAAAAGGACAGTAAAGGACAGTGTTTTCGTCAAAATTGGGCAGCGATCTTCTTCTAATTTTACTGAAACCCAAACGATCCACGAGACCGTTGATCTCCGCCAAGACCCCCCCCCTGCCCCGACGTCACCATCTTTCCCCTTATCTGCTCCAGGCAATTCTATTTTTGATAAAGGAACTACGCCTAGGCATCTGCCGGCTGAGTTCTTACTCCCTAGCATCTCCTTGCTTCTATCTGAGCTCCCCAATCCCTAAGACTTCCCGTGGATTTCTCGCGGTGCGGGGTTATACCGAACTGTTGATGCCCGCGGGGTTGTGCAGTAGACCGATTCCAGGTCAGTACACTTCCCAGACAAAGATACATCTGAAGAAATATCCAGATTCTAACTGTGGGAAACTAGTAGACATACTTGATTATTGCCCATCATGTTTCAATCTTCGGTACGGCCCTCTTGAAATCACACGATAACCGTATCGTGTGACGGAACTGACCTCGGCCTACGCGGGCATAGAAACCATATTCGGCCGTGACCGTCCAAATCGAGGTCCTCACGAGTGAAACATATGAAGTAGAAGACTCTAGCGGTATCGTCGATTTGGTAGAGGTCATCCGCATCCAGTCCAGCGGTCCATCGGAAGCAAGTCGTGCGCTACGCAAGAAGCTGTAAGTCAGGAAACACACCCCTGACTAGGAACTTTGGCTGATTTGATGAATAGTAAATACGGAAACCTCCATCGACAGCTCCGAGCCCTTGTCATTCTCGACTTCCTTATTCAAAATGCCGGCGAACGATTCCTGCGCGGTTTCGCAGACGAACCCCTCCTCGAACGACTGCGCATTGCAGCAACAGACCCCGTCTCCGACCCACTTGTCAAGCAGAAGTGCAAGGCCCTCTTTGGACAATGGGCTGTTACATACAAGGATACGCCTGGAATGGGCAAGGTTGCCGCTCTATACAGAGAGCTTCCTAAGCGAAAGCAGCCCGCCACGCAGGCTAAGGCGAAGGTATTGCGTGAAGGGTCAAACCCGCATGAGCAGGCTTTCGGGCATACAGTCTCTGTGTCAGCGGGGAATGGACCCTCCACGCCGCTGAGTGGTCCGAGGCACAAGAGTAAATCGAAGGACAAGAAGAAGGAGAAGAAACTCTCCGTCAGTCTTGGTAGGGGTTTCAATGTGGAAAGAGAGAGACCGGAGATTCTGCAGACAATTGCGTCAGCCTCTGTGGCGAGTACAAATTTGCTAAATGCGCTGAAGCTTGTGAATCGGGAGACGACCCGTGTGAGTGAGGATGCGGAGTGCATTAATCGATTTGAGAAGTGTAAGAAGCTCCGACACCAAATCCTGCGGTATATTCAGCATATCGAGACTGAGGAATTCTTGGGTGGGTTGATTCATGCCAATGAAGAGCTGGTCGAGGCTTTGATGTCATTTGAGGTACTTGATAAGAGTGTCGACTATGACAGTGACAGTGATGACGACGTGCTTGGTGGAAATTGGCGGTCAAAGGCGGAGTTGGAGGATGAGATGAGCCAGAATTTCAATGGATTGAGCGTTAACCCGCCTAAGCCGCCCCGTCCAACTGCTTTGTCAACCTTGCAGGATCTTGAGAGTGAAAGTGAGGAATCAGAAGAAGACGACGAGGACAATCCTTTCGGTGATCGCAATGAGATCAATTCGACGATAGTTGAGAAAGGCGGTTATACCTAGTATGTTGCTCTCTTATACGCATTCAGGACACCTAACTGATATTCCCACAGCAAAGAGGTGTAGGCGTATTACGAGTTGAATGATGAATCATTATTAGCACGCACGAGCTTGAAGAATGTTGTATGAACTGTTATGGCTGTACTTTAGCACTGGAAGACCTACAGTACATAGTCACTAGGCCACCGAATGACAACGTTAACCATGATGATATACCTTTAAGACCCCTAGCAATATTGGAAGACATTTCAAGGAGTTTCGAAAGACGAAAGAGGCACTGAAAGGTGCAGAGATTTAAAAATGTGTAGTTGAAGTGAGAGGAATTCTTAGTTCATTCTTGAATATGTACGTATTTCGGGTACAAAAGGACGACCGCGAATAAAATAAAATGACATGGATGAAAACATTCAAATGGGTATTTATGGGTCATCTCATCATCTGTGTCATGAGTAGAAAGCAGGCATATCAGTCGACTGGGAAAACGAGAAAAGAGCAGAAGAATAGAATGCATCCCATCGCCAGAAATGCATGATCAAAACCCAAGCCCCGGAGCGTATTACTCATAAATGCAAGTTAAAGCACCTTTGGCTTCATCCATTCCCTTGTTCCAAGACCTAGATTGAGGCCATTCCGTTCCCACCAGGCGCGGACGCGGACGTCAGCACCGGAGACTGCGTCCTCTAGAGCTTCTTCAATGTCGCAGGTTTTGAACTCGACACGAAGACCGCAGTCTTTCCACCACTGTAGAACATGATCGTGGCCGTTCTTAGTTGGACCGACAAGGACTTGATTGTCGAAAATCATCTTTGGTCCCTTGAGGCGGTACCAGAAATCGAGCACGTGAACATGGCCATGTGTACTAGCAATCCGGGCAACGTTTTCAGCGTGACTATATGGGATTCCTGACGCATCCCACCATGCTAAAGATGCCGTGCGACCAGATTGCGCTGCGAGAAGAACGGATTTCCCAACTTTCATTGGAAGCTTGAGGCGTGGGGCATTGGCTGATGCTGCTTTCCACCAGTCAAGAACGGCGACCCGGCCCTCGGCACTGGCTGACTCAAGCGCACGTTCGCTGTACCGGAGCGGAAGCCCGGAATGGAGCCACCAGTCTAGCACATGGGTGAACCCAGCTCTGGATGCGCCGTCCATGGCATCGGCCATGTGCTCTTTGTTGGGAAGATCAGGCGTATCGCGCCACCATGTCAAAACTGTCGGATTGCCGTAGATTGCAGATGCGCGATAGGGTATATTGGTGAGGCGTGATGTTGTACATAAAAGATCCAGGTGATTTTCAGTTAGATAAGTGAGGATATCGGTTCGCGAAAATTTCACAATGAGATGGCAGGCAAGGTCTGACAAAGGCTTCCATCGAGGAAGGGCGTCGATACGTTTCTTGATAGCGGCAAAGGAGCCTCGAAGGATTGTATATTCAAGGGAAGCAGGGGTGGACATTTTCAATAAATGGCTTTGCCATTCTTGGGGGGACCGGAAGATGGCTTGTAATTCCCACGGCCTTGGCAGTTTCCCAGTCTCCCAATTGTTCCTCGAAAATATTGAGCCAGATTTCAAGTGGCAAAGACCGAGCTTTAGTTTCGGAGTTTAGCCAGTGGGTCTGCCTATCTTTCAAGGCCGATACACTGTTATTGCCAGATGCCGATGATTGTGGCACTTTCGAGGATTGTTGGGTCGTGGTAGATTTGCCCTTTCCTGAGGATGCGGTAGCCAAACCCGCAGCCATCGAGGGTATTTGAAACGCGAGTTCAATTGTAGTATGTAGGTCTGTCAACCCGTCCCATGGCAAAGTTGTCAGATCCTCAGGCCCGTTAGACTTCCAAAGCACAGGCTTCACTATGTAGACCCATGTCCAATATCGGCTAAGCTCATCGAGCTGTCGGCGAGTCAAGGGATTATCCCATTCTGAGACAGTCATCCCTGGGATGAGAATCACAGGCTTGGTCGAGACCCAGCCACGCAAAAGTGCCAAGGTCAAGGTGTTGGTCAACCCCGCCAACATAGATCCGAGGGCCCCAGCATCGATGGGGGCAACAAGTAGCATATCAGCCCACTCGCAGAGCTCAGCTGTTTTTGCCTTGAGCCATTTCCGTGCACCGGTCTTTTTATCAAAAGTTTGTCCATCCACTGTATCCATGTAATGCGGTATCTTGTTCGTGCCGGCCAGCAGAGCAGAGGGTTCGTCGGTGATCAAGCGCAGCTCGATATATGGATTTTGAACCAGCGAGGGAAGCACGGTATCAGCGAAGGCGCTGTCAGTCGAGAGGAGTAGACGGCGGCGTCGTGAAACAGGTATTGTCGCGCCGTTCATAGGCGGACCGTAGCTAACGCGACAGCCATCTTTATTGTCAATCACTGTATCCTCGCCATCCACCGCCATTTCACTAGTCGACGGCCCCTTTGCAACTCGGGTCGTATGGGTAGTATGTTTTTTTGGTCCGGTCAAAAGCCAACTGCTATATGCAAGGGTAGTTGGATGATAAAATAACGAGGGCCTACACCCAGAATGCGAAAAAAGGATTTGCTGATCGAATCTTGGAAGGGAAAGTATTTCAAGGTGACGGTTCGAGGAAGGGATTTAAAAAGTAGAACTGCTGGACTGGACGAAAAGGCAGATTGAACGGTCTAAAAACGCTTATCCGGCAGACTCTGTGGTTCGTGGTGGAGATCAGGCAATCGGAGCGGTGACTGGGCCCCAATACAGTATGCGGACGGGTATATCTGTACCTTGCACCCTTGGCTTGATCTTTATCGTCGTTCGTAGGAGGCGGTGTAGCTGTGTGGGATATTCTGCGATACGGAAGAGTATTTCGACTCAATCCCCAGTCGCCACGTCTTGCCACCGGCACGAGGTGCTGGCTAGCTTCAGTTGTGGTTTCAGCTATGGATGCTAGAACCACAATAATTGAATCAGGCCCAAGTCTCCTTTCTTCCTGCAGGGAGAACCAAGTCCTGGACCAATCACAAACAGCGCAAAGAGGAGATTCAAGAGACTAGATCAATTGGCGGTTAGAGGCGGGCAGCCGTGCGGCATCGCATGACAGCGATTGGACACTTTGAAGCGGAGGCGGTCAGCCCGTTCCTCATGACTAAGGAAATTAAAGTTACCGCAATCCATTCTATAACTATCTGTTGACCACCAAAGCGAACTATGTCAGGGCAAGAACAAGAGGTAGATATTAGAACTCAAATATGCTCCGATGATATGGCCTGGGAACCAACCGAGAAAACTTCTGACAGATGGCTCATTCAATTCCTTGAACTTGATATAAGACCGATCGCAGATTTCATCCTCAATCACAACAGACGGCAATGCTACCGAGTTTGCCATACTCAGAAAGGCTTCTTATAACATCCCCTAGCGGTTGAAGTATATACTTAAAAAGTGCCATAGTATACTGTTCTCGCAGCGTGGTACTGCTCTTTTTCATGAGGAGAAAATCGAGAATGATGTTGCTGTAATTAATGCGATTTTTTACGGATCAGATATCGATACCTATTCCTTTCATCCTTTACTGCAATTGAAGAGCCGGGAGGTAACGAGAGATGATAATAAGCAAGCAGAGTTCGAGAACATTCCGTTTCTATCTTTCGTTTCCATTTTTAATTTGAATTTTCTTTTCACATAAAGCCCTCTTCTACTTAGTAGTTTCATGTCATCAAGGCGAAAGGGCAATTGTTCGGATTTCTCTTTCAGACTGAAGCCGTCTTACCATACTAGTTGATCCTACGTAATAATATCAGCGCTCAATTCATACTCGATGTATGAATTGAAAAGTCTGTTATGTAGGTCAATATTCTAATATGTGAAATATCTTGACTCCATAATCTTTCACAACCTTCAATCCTCATCGCCGAGACAGGTTGTTGTGTAACTTATGCTCGCGCATGGCAAGACTAGCCAAGGCCCCTAGCACCGTCAATCCCAACAAAGTCAAGAACACTGCCCGTAGAGAGTTCATATACGCATCTAGCACACCTGGGATCCAGTCTTGAGGAAGCTTGCGGATTTCATCGAGGCTGTCTCGGAGCTTTGAGATGAGCTCGGCCGCATTCTTGCGGTCACCAAAGCGGGACCACAGCCCCATCTTCAGAGTATTTTGGAACACGGCCGATGCAATCGTGATTCCAACCGTGCTACCCGTGCTCCGGAAGGCATAGGATGCCGATGTAACCACAGCATGGTGCTCGTGATCTACAGCAGAGATAAGAGCGACAAGCGTGATAGTGAGCATACTGCCATATGCGACCCCGAGGAGGAAGAAATAGAGAAACGGCAGCCATGATGGGGTGGACAAAGTCAAGGTACAGACCAGCGCCCCCGCTGCCATCTGAAGAATCACAGCAGTGGAGTTCAAGAGCTTGTATCGACCGCTAGATCGCATAATAACACCACAACCCAGGGAGCCAATGGACGTACCTATCGCTTGTGGAATCAAACGAAGTCCGGCAGCCGTGGCCGACAGTCCCTGCACTTGGAAATACAGTGGAAGATAAAATAACAAGCCAAAGACTGCCATTGTGGTGAACCAGTTCGTCAAGCAAGCTGCTGCGACCGTGCGATCCAAAAGCAATTTGACAGGGATGACGGGCTCCGATGCCACTCGGGCTTCCACATAAATAAACAAGCCCAGAAACACCGCAGAGAGGGGCAAGGATGTAAGAACAATCGGGTGCGTCCATGGCACTTGGTTCCCGCCAGTATTCAAGCCCATCAGCAGTGTAACAAGTGTCAGTATGAGGGTTATGGCACCGAGGAAATCAACACGCTTGATCCGGGCCTTGTCCGAATTCTTCACTGGAATATTGACCTTGTACGCAACCAATATGCATGAGATCACCAGAAACGGGATCTGAAGCAGGAATGCCCAGCGCCATCCGAGTGTATCGTTGATCCAGCCACCGAAGACACCACCGAGACCGCTTCCAGCTCCGTAGCAGATGTTGCCTACACCCTGCCAGATGCCCCGTTTTCGCAGAGGAACTAGATCCGAGGTCACAAAGGTTGAGATGGCTGTAAGCCCACCGCCTCCAATACCCGCTACGACTCGACCCAAAATGATTGTGGTCTCAGTCTTTGCCAAACCACAGATCAGGTTGCCCAATGCGAAGAATATATTCGAAAAAACCAGACCCCACCGACGCGAATAGATATCGGTCAATCGCCCACTCAAGGGTTGACAAGCGGCATTTGAAATCAGGTAGGAAGTAGCCAGCCATGAAAGCAAAGAGAATGAGTTGAACGAGGAAGAAATGGGAGCAGATAGTGTCGCGACAATCGTTGTATCTGCGGGAAAAATCTAAGTCAGCCCAATATGCACAGCAACGCGTCTTCCTGTCCACTAGGGAAATCAAAAAATACCTAGTGCCGCTAGAAATACTCCAACCCAGATACTGCCCAGGATTATAATCAATTCTTTGGTGCTGACCTCCTCGGCCGCCGGTTGCTCATCTGTCGGGACGGAACCGACGGGGTTGGCATCGCGCAGCAAAGGGGTTTGCTCCGTCGCCGGAACTCCCACAGTGTCATTCTCGTCGATAGACATGGCGATGAGAGCAACTGTGCCGTTCGCCTACCGTTGACACTGAACGGTGTTGACGTGGAGAATAAAACTTTTGGAGTCGCGTTGCGTAAGAATTGTGGAGAGAGTGCGGAGAATTTGCCGCTGTAACCAGTTGACTTCACGTCAGCATAGAGTACCCCAACATGGAAGTAACCAATCAAGTCACTGATACACGTTATAATGAATATCTATCTTATCAATTATCATACCAGATAGGGTGACATCTAAGTCGGCTATCAATTGATTATCGTGTTGCATCGGCTCGATCGGCGCTATTACCGCATCCTTATCTCCTCGATAAGCAAGTAGATAAACAACTTTCAAGGTTGGGCGAAGAACAAGAACAGATGTTCATACTAGTATTTCTCAAAGTTTTCAAAGCTTTTTCAAAATGGCAAAATTTGACTTGATCGTTACCAATGGGCAGGTGGTCACTGCCGCCGATATTAGGTAGACTGACATATCCCGGCTACTTGTACATCACACGGCTAACACAAACCTAACAGTAATTGCTGTATTGGCATCAAAGATGGCAAGATCCGAACGCTAGCAGAAAGCTTCACGGACGATGAGTTGGAGGGCGCCCAAATAATCGATGCCCAGTATGTATGCACTCACATGGTTTCTGATTACCACCCTAACTCCTTTGACAGAGGCGCCTATGTAATGCCAGGCGGCATTGATGCCCATGTGCATCTTTCTCAAGATCTGAAGACAGGAGCTCACGGTCTAGGGGGCGAATGTGCCGATAACTTTGAGACTGGTTCCAAGAGTGCCGCAGCAGGCGGAACCACGACGATGATTACTTTCGCAACTCAAAGTCGAGCAGAAGAAGACAAAAGTCTCATTGGCGTTGTCAAAGCTTATGATGCGCGTGCTGAGGCAACAGGAAGCTATATTGATTATGGATACCACATAATCATCGTTCGGAATGATGCTGATGTGTTGGAAGAGGAGATTCCTATTCTGATGAATGATTGGGGCATCAGCAGTTGCAAGGTCTTCTTGACTTATGAACAACAGCGTATGACGGACTCGCAACTTTTAGATGTTATGTTTGCAGCCAAGAAGAATTCAATGACTACGGTAAGCTTTCCTGGCTTCTTCATTTTGAAAATTTACTTATGTCACAGATGGTCCACGCCGAGAACGGTGATATGATTCAATGGCTGACCGGTAAGATATTGAACACCCACAGCACGAGTCTCAACTAATAATGACAGACAAGCTGGAGAAAAAGGGGATGGTTGGTTCGTTAACCCTTTTCTGACCGATGACTTGCGTCCCTAATTTCGTCTTCAGCTCCATACTACCATGCTCTATCGCGCCCTCCTGGGGTTGAGGGTGAGGCTACCAACAGAGCAATTGCTCTAGCACAACTGGTTCAAAACCCAATCCTCTTCGTTCATGTTGGATCGGCAGTAAGTGTTGAAAAGACCTCAAGTGAAATCGTATATTGACATTATGCAGCTTGGTGCCAGGAATGTTCGCAAAGCGCAAACAATGGGCCTCCCTATTTATGCGGAGACATGCCCACAATATTTCCATTTGACTTGGGAGGACCTGGTAAGATCCATGAATACATACTTGAAAGTTCAAAGTTTAATAAGATAGTAGAAACGGTTCCATTCTCCCACTTGTTTTGAAAACAGCAAGATGATTTGCTCGCCGCCACCACCTCCAGATACAACAGATCAAGAGGAACTATTTGTGTATACTCCCCCTGGTCCTGTTTAATGAGAGAATACCGCTAAATCAAACAGGGGTCTTGAAAACGGAACTTTCACCATCTACTCATCGGATCACTGCCCCTTCCGATACGACGATCCAAGAGGTAAACCAGCAGGTGTGCTCGAACACGCCGAGAGCATGGAAGGCGAGCATCACTGCACAGGTGATGAGTTGCAGAGTCTTCTTAAACGCAAACAAGGCTCGTTCCGCTTGATTCCTAATGGTATTCCCGGCATCGAGACTCGATTGCCACTTCTTCATACTGGAGCATTAGCCACTGGTCGAATCACTCCTCAGAAGTTTGTGGAGCTGACATCTACCAACCCGGCAAAATTGGTAAGACTTTCAGTCCTTCTTGAATAAGAATTACGGGCTGATCAATCAAAGTATGGACTTTATCCCAGAAAGGGTGCAATTATGCCTGGTTCCGATGCCGACTTGGTCATCGTAAGTTTTCATTCATGCAAGCGGTGCTCTAAACTAATCATATTGAAAAAGTGGCATCCAGAAGGTTCCTTTGAGGGATTCGAGCTGACAAACTCTATGCTTCACCATAACGCTGACTGTAAGTTGAAAATACTGTCTGAGCAGCGCTGTTCTATTCTGACTATTTCTGTGTATAGATACTCCTTTTGAGGGAATGAAGTTCTGCAACTGGCCTCGGTATACTATCTTACGAGGTCAAGTCATTTGGGCCGATGGCAAGATCCAAGGCAAGCCGAGGGATGGCCAGTATTTGAAGCGTGGTCCCAGTAAACTGGTACGGGGAGCTTCTAAAGCGACTCAAGATCCTCGACACGTCGCAACATGGCTTTATGAGTAATGATTCAAAGATTGCGCATCAAATCAGCTCACTTTGATGTCGTCCGGAACTTACAGTGTAGAGTCGTGTTTGTGTTTAGCATGGATCCTTGGAATCTTTATAATCATGTCAGTGCTGATGATATGAAAAAATTGAAGATTTTTAGGGTTCATGTGACTACTTTAACTGTATTATTTTTCATAATACTACCTTTGCCATGTAACTCCACCCAAGCCAAACAGCTCCACCAAGTGCTGCCCATGTAACCAGCCCCTTGGTGACCATTATCGCCTTTATCACAATAAATTTCTTTCTCTCATTGACACGTGGAAACAAATTTGCAGGGACATCCGTCTCCAGAAACTCGCACAGTGGTCTCCAACCATCTTCAGCCTTGAACTCCAAGATCTCACGCCCACGTTCCTTAGCTGGGTTGTAGCACTTGAGTCAAAGAAGAAGATAACACACATGCAGGAATGGGGGCCAATTTAGCCCCTAATGGGGGCCAATTTAGCCCCATAGTCTGACATCAGCAAAAGAAAGTTGATCATTCACCGCATCCCCGCATTCTTCAAATAAGGAACAAGTTCCATACATTTGAATCAACTTATTCCAAGACAATGTAATTTATGTATTAGCTATATGGTAAATTTTGGGGCGCACCAAGAACATGGCTAATTGAAAATTTGGCCCGAAATTTAGTCTTGCGATGTCAAGAATGGAGCTGGACTACGGAGGCGAGTAGTGGCCATGAGGACAGAACCTCTAGAATCACATAATAAATGGCAGAAACCATAAACACTACTAAGCTGATCTACCCCTATATCTGCCCCTATATTACTTGGGTACTCTGCAGACTTTTCTCACCTTCTCCTTCCTCTTCTCTTTTTCTCTCTTTCTTTTCTATTCCGCTATGTATGAGATTGGAGAGCCCTTTGACCATTTGACTAATCCGGTACGAAATAAGGTAGAATACTGGATAGAATACCGAGTAGGAGACCAAGCAGGAGATAAAGCAGGAGATATTGTATCATACCTAAGTAGGTGCCGCGTGAATACTCGTCATAGAATAAAAGCTTCTGTCCTCATGGCCGCTACTTGCCCCCGTGCTGGACATGCTAAGAGATCCACATCCACTGAAGCTAAAATAAGCGGGTTAAAAGATATCAAATGCATGTGCAACTTACTAGGCTTGAATATTTTACAAATTCTCTCGGAATCCCTCTCAGCCTTGGAAGCATGATATCTTCCCACTGATTGCAACAATGGTATGTTTTGCTACAATTTCAACCAAAGACAGATTGTTTTGAGAACCTCCATAGTTTCGGACTCAGTTAGGGGAGAAGGGCCAACCACCAACGCCAGAAGTCAGCAGCAATCCAGACTGAATCTGATCAGCCTTGGCCTTGAGTTCCTCCACATCTCAGTTCGCCATCGCGAAACGTCCATTCAGAAACGCGGCCTCGGGGCTTGTTAGCCATACTGCGAACTCAGCAAGAAGATCAACTAGAACATCAATGTTTGAAAATATCAGTGTAACACATATCATTTTTTCTTCTTTACGTACCGGAGTCCATAGGCAGCTTGCTAGCGTCTGCTCCCGAAGCCCGGAAGTTGGCGGTGTCTACCATTCCTGGGTGCAATGCAGCAGCAAAAACGTCCGGGTTCTCAGCAGCCAAGAAATCCATCACCTTGATTCAAGTCAGCTTCGAGCTAACATAACCTGAGAGACCAGTCAACATTGCGGCTAACATGAAGACAGTTGTAGTAAATGCTACTACGGCCGTGCGGGTCGGGTTGGCCGTTGGAAGGAAGGCATGGGTGGTAATCATGGTTCCCTTGACGTTGGTCGATTCGGCGTTAGCATAGTAAGCACAAAATGCCGCTGTAAAACAGGCTGCAATTCAAGTAGCAAACCTCGAAATTCTGCCACCACTCATCCACTGATGCTTCGCGCAGATGAGCCTTGGGAGACATCGACCCGGCAGTCAGGATCGAATCATCCTAAGTGCCTACAACGGCGGCAGTTTCGGTAATAGCGGCATCATCTGTGACGCTAGCAGCATGAACAGAGGTGATATAATCGAACTGCTTCTGTGTAGCTAAGAGGGTCTCTTCTTTGCATCCAATCATGATGATCTTGGCGGCACCGGCACGAGCAAAGGCCAATGCTGTCGCTTGACCAATACCAGTTCCCTTGAAAAAGAATCAAGAAGATTAGAGATGACGTTCAGGTAATGATTCCAAATGCTCTTATGTCATGAGAAGAGCCGGATACTGCGCCGGCAATAATGATTGTTTTGCCTGAGGCGCTCAGCTCCCTCCGGTAGGGAGAGATGGCTGGGTATGGGGCATTGTGCCACACGGACGTCAATGATGGCATCGGAGGTTCCATAGTAAGGGATTGACGTGAAAATACTGTAAAAATGGAATGCACTTTGGGGCCAAATAATCACTGAAAGGTTTCAGTTGCACCTTGACATACACAACACAAGTTAGTTGTATACATGAAAATGGCTGTTTATGTGTACTGTTACTGTCTGTCTACCTATAACGTACATCATTATGCAGGATACACTTGTACTAAGCCATACTCGTTACCATCTCGGACAGAGGAAAAAACCAGGAATATGGATCATTGAATTGATCTACTCCGATACAACACCCCTGGAGAGCATTTGTGATGCCTATGAATTTAACATACATACTATGAAGTATAAGTATACACTTCTCAACTTGAATCTAACCGAATTTATCTTTCAAGGCCCTCGCGACTTGCATAACTTCTTGCGTACTTTGAGCGTTATAACTATTGTTAAATATTCACCGTACTTGATTAGTAGTACTTGATCTTGTTAATTCCAAGGTATAAATGAATACAGCATATAATCATATGGTTCTTAGCAGTTGGGTAGTGTACTGTGAGTTGGAACTCCGTATCTAGTAAGTATTAGGACCTCGCCGTTTACAATCGTGGGATAGTAGTATGTAGTAGTATAAGTAGTACTAGGCAGTACTGGTAGTATGCAATGAAAGAGAGTATCATCATACTTTAGTACGTTTGTCTCGTTTGACGGGATTTCCAAATGAAGGGTCAAAAACAAACATCATAACGTTGAACCTCTATCTTTTGTAGTCGCCCAACCGTGTCGTTTACTCAATTCCCCCACTATTCAAGCAAACCTATTCAACATTGAACTTCACAATGGTTACGATGGATGAAATCTTCAGTCGTTTGGAATATGTCCAGGATCTTTTCGACGCAACCAAAATCCGGCTCCGAGACGCCCTGATCCGACTTCCAATCACCAATCAGGAACCCGGGGGATGTGAAGCTTGGGATGAACTTGAGCAAATCCGCAAAGAACTTGAGGCTTGGGCCATTGAGCTTGTCGAGATTCAAGTACTCTGTATGGATTTCACGGAGTCCCGTAATGAGAGCCTACGTCTGGTGAGTTAACATTTGAAACGAAAGGCATACAAGACGCTTACTGTATACTCTTTACAGTTGCGGGAGTGATGCTAGAATCTGCACGTGCTGACGCTAGGCCCGATTGAGATGTGATTTTTACCACTGAGGTATGAAGCCACTGGCATTTGTTGCGCTTGTGTCGATTCTTTCCATTGTTGATCTAGTCTCTTTCTTTCAGCGCCATTAGCGTCGTCTACTGCTTTCCTCTGATTCCGCCATCGACTACCATCCCTTGCTTTTGTTCTTTTCTACTCGTCACAACCTATTTGCCATCCCCACTCAACTCGGCATTCACTAGGCACCAAGGTTTCTGAGGGAAATGCCGGTATCAATAGCCATTGACCCGATGTGGAATGGTCAACCCCCGCACTTTGTGGAGACCCCGGATTATTTGCAGGGATTGTGGTTTACGGTGGTTTCGTGCTAGTAATGGGTTTAATTTCCGGTTTACACTGATCTACATTCATTTCCCCGCTTTTTGTTCTCACCAGGGCTATGATTGAATCCCTTGCTCCAATTTAATCCACATTTAACTCATTCGTCCAATGTTATCGTAGACCGCTCCGACCGTCGGGTCATCTTCGGCTTTGGCCATGACCCTCTTACCCACTATTTTCTGTTTCTTTCGATCCTAATACCCGGGAAATGCTTGGCTTCCACTTGCCGATCCTGAGCTCATTGAGCCGATGAGGTCACAGGGTAGGAGTTATATAAACCAGCTACCTTCGCAGCTGAAGATCTCTGGAAATAAGCTCGACTGAGAATTGATCAGCATGCCTCGGTTCTCTGCACTCTCCCTGCTGGCTTTGGGCTCCATGGCCCTTGCTAGTCAGGATGACTTCCAGACCAAGTGTGCTCAATTCTCTGACAAGATCAATCTACCTCATGTCAAAGTTAATTTTGTCGAATATATTCAGGGAGGAACCAATCTGTCTTTGCCCGACAATGCACCCAGCTGTGATGCATCATACCAGGCAGTCTCTGTGGACCTTTGTCGCGTTGCAATGGCCGTGAATACCTCTAGCAGTAGTCAAATTACACTAGAAGCCTGGTTCCCTCGTGATTACAAGGGACGCTTCCTCAGTACCGGAAACGGTGGTCTTTCAGGCTGTATGGATTCAAGTTCCGAATTGTCAGACTGTTACTAATAGGAAGTGCTTTCTTAGGCATCCAATATTATGATTTGGCTTACACTGCCCAACTGGGTTTTGCGACGGTTGGAGCGAACAACGGACATAACGGCACCTCTGGAGAACCGTTTTATCATCACCCGCAAGTTCTGGAAGACTTTGCCTATCGGTCTATTCACACTGGGGTTGTGATCGGCAAGGAGTTGACCGATAAGTTCTACGATGAAGGATTCAACAAGAGTTATTATCTTGGATGCTCTACTGGTGGCAGACAAGGATGGAAGTCGGTGCAGAAGTATCCTAATGACTTTGACGGTGTCGTCGCGGGTGCCCCAGCTATCAACTTCATCAACCTGCTTTCCTGGAGTGCACACTTCTACCCCATCACAGGATCTCCGACTTCAGATACATTCATCACTACTGCTGAGTGGGGGCTTGTTCACGACGAGATTCTCCGCCAGTGTGACACACTTGATGGAGCAAAGGACGACATCATCGAGGACCCAGATCTTTGTACACCCATTCTCACGACACTACAGTGTCCTTCAAATGCGACAAACACCAGCAAGTGTCTCAGAAGTCCCCAGATCCAGGCAGCTCAGCTAGTGCTGTCCCCCTTGTATGGAGAAAACGGCGAACTACTATACCGTCGCATGCAACCTGGATCCGAGAATCTGGCCGCACCCATCATGTACAATGGAGAGCCCTTCGAGTACAGCCAAGACTGGTTCCGATACGTTGTTTACAACGATCCAACCTGGAGTGGCAATTTCACCGCGAAGGATGCTGCCGCCGCGTTGGCTCAGAACCCATACAACATTCAAACCTGGGATGGTGATCTGTCTCCTTTCCAAAAGAGCGGTGGAAAGGTTCTTCATTACCATGGCATGATGGATGAGCTAATCAGCTCCGAGGACTCCAAGTGGTACTACTCCCATGTTTCTGAGACCATGAATCTCTCACCCTCCGAATTGGACGAATTCTACCGTTTCTTCACCATCAGCGGCATGGCCCACTGTGGTGATGGAAATGGTGCTAATGGTATTGGCCAGGGCATCGATACATATGCCAGCAGTGATCCGGAGAGCAATGTGCTTATGGCTATGGTCAAGTGGGTTGAGGAAGGCGTGGCACCCGAGACGGTCCGTGGAGCCAAGTTCAAGGATGGGGCTGGTACTCCCGTGGAATACTGGCGCAAGCATTGTCGCTGGCCTCGGCGTAATGTCTTCAAGGGTCCTGGAAACTACACAGATGAGAACTCGTGGGAGTGCATATAGGTTTCTTTTATGATCTATGCATGAACTATTTGTATCCAAAAAAACCATCAAATATGAACATTTTTTTCATCAAATTGATTTTAACATTCAACTTGATCATCTTCGACGGGAAAGGAGCCATGGCTCTACAATAGCCCCCCTCCCCCAAGTTTCACAAAAGAGGCCGCTTAAATCGTCCTCGCAATGCGGGACCCCACCATGCCAACCCCCACCCTATCCGAGATCCCCAATCCCCACCGGAAGGTCCAGCAGACCTGTGTCACCAAGCTCTCGATCCTCAAGGCAGCAGTCCGCCAAGCTGGCGCAACAGCCTAGCTGCATTCAAAGGACGATATATCACATTAATCGTTCTTCCAGCAGCTTCAGCGTTGATAATGACTGCTGTGCCGCGGATCAACAAGAGGCAATACCCTTACACCATGCAGATTGAGATATCGTTCGGGTTTATTTGGAACTAAGAGCTCCGTTGACGTCAGACCTGGGATATTCGCTATTCATACACTTCGGCTGGAAGAAGGGACGCAGGAGGAAGGATGGCGTGCGACTTCTTGCTGAGAACGATTATATTTCGCCTAAGGATATTGTGTATTTTTGTGGTGGTATTCATGCAAAGTGGGCGAGGAGTATGTGAGGCTTGCTGGCCTAGAGAGCATTAGAATTTGTAGTGCAATGGGGGTTGTTAGAAAGAGCTTTTTTGAGAAGAAGGAGAAGCAGATGGACATAATTCGGAATGGTGTCATTGATGTTATGATGAATCTTGGTCATGTTTTGATATCAGCAGGTGGTAGAGGGTCGAAGTATTTGTAGAGGGTCGACGAGGTTAAATGAGTGTAGAAATAACCAGGTGCAGTACAAGCATACTTTGTGAAGTATCTAATGGTTGTCCCCGCGATACCGTGGGGACGTCGATAAGTCGCGGGGGCGTTGTATCAGCTTGAAAAAATGTCTTGATATTGTCTACAACTTGATTGTATATTGTTCTCTCTTTAATATAGTACATTCCATCTATGTACCAGATATCGAGTACGGAGACATGTCTCTTAGCAGAAAATGTCAAGACTTACTACATTGACCGATTTGTTCATGTTTGTTTGGGTTTGTCACCGTTTGTGGATCGATCGGCAAAATAAGCTACAGTTCCATCTCACCGCCTTAGATGGATCAGATTCAAGGAAGGCGGGATTGGTTTCAATTGCTTCAAATCTTCACAAGTTGGACAGCTTCTCTCCTTTGTTTCACTTTTACTATCCTTGGACAATCCCTTGTCTTTTAACCCATTTCTTTGATTCCCAATTTTTTTTTTCACTTCACTTCGCCATTCAGTCTATGACCCACCAGTCTCCAGCCTGGCCACGCTAGTCTCCGCACGGATCACTCTTCTCAGCCCCCAAATAAAGCTACCCCTCAGAACCCACTGCGAAGCCTTTGGATTGTGTTTACTGCAGGAACGACCGCTTTCACAAACTCAATTGTCGCATCAACGCGAAACATATTACCCCATACCCTATACCATGGCAGACATGGACGAGTTCGCCCAGACCCGAGGTGCAGACGACCTTTTCGACGATGAGATCATTCCAGTGTCAGCGGAGGAACAGGATGCACAGACAGAGGTAGTGGTGGTGGTCGAGCCAGAACTCGCGCCTCCACAGGAGAATACCCCGGTTGAGAAGGCGCCTTCTCCTCGTGGGGAGCCTTCGCAGCGGGGTGACTCTTCACAGCGGGGCCGTGGGCGTGGGCGCCCGAAACAAGGACGCAGTCTCCAAGACTCGAGATGGGCGGACCCGAAGCCTGCGGAGAGTGCTCCGCGAAAGAAGACACCTGCCAATGTGGAGAACACCCCGAAGAAGAAGACGCCTGTAAATGTGACGGAACCAAAGGTTAGCTCTGACCCTACCCCGGTCGAGACGGTAGACAAGCGGCCGGAGGAGAAGGCGCAAACCATCGCGGATGAGGAGAGCAAAAAGGAGGCAACCAATGGCCCTGAATCACAGCGAGTGCCTGCTGTCCGCGGGGATCGAAGCGCGACAGGAGGATTAAGAAAGGTTAGTGCAAAAGCCTGCTTTGACCTCAGGAATCTTTATTGACTTGCCTAGGCCAAACTCACAGAGGCTGAATTGTCCAAGCGCATGGCTGCTGCCAAAGAAAACGCCGCCAAGAAAGCTGCAGCGCATGCCCGCGCTGAAGCCGACCAGGCTTCCTTTATGGAGCGTGAACAGGTTGCAGCTAAGAAACGGCGCGAAGAGCTCGCGAGTCGGCGAGTGATGGACAAGGAGCGTGAGCAGAACCGCCAACGCAAACTCAAGGCGCAGACCGGGCGAGAATGGGATTCCGAGAAACGCGAAGATGACTATAATCCTCGTGGCGGTGGAAGCCAATTCCGCCGGGGTATGCACGGTGGTGTATCGGGGGTTGCACGGCGAGATTTTGATGGAGCAGCGGATGACTCTGCTCACGTCACCCCTGGCCGGGGCCGTGGGCGAGGCGGTCGTGGAGGACGTGGCCGTGGTCCTTCGCGTGGTTCACACGAACGTTCATCCTCCAACCAATCCAATCACAAGGAGTCAAAGACACCAGTCGTCAATGATGAAGCCGACTTTCCCTCTCTCCCCGCAGGCAAGACACCAGTAATGGAGAAACCGGCCGCACCGGCAGTCGTCAAGCCACCGCCATCAATGGAAACCCTCGAGTCCACCATGTCTCCAGTATCTGGAAGCTGGGCTGATCAAGTTGAAGAGTGATCTGAGTAAATACTTTACATTTTGGTCTTTCTTTTGCCTTTTGATGACTTTCCATTTTTGCATTGCTCACGACAACGAAAAATCCTTTCGTCTACACTTTGTTCGCAATTTGATATACCCTGGACCAACATACGCTGTTAATAAACTCTGCGACTGCAATACATCAGCCTGAAATCCACCCCTCTATTACTTGGGTACACTGGATCTTTTGGACATGTTCGAAACCACTAGCCCCCGATTTTTCTTTTCTTTTCTTATCTTTTCTTTTCCACTGCTTATAATTTTGGGTAGCCCTTCGACTATTAAACTTATACGACAGGAAAGAAGGTAAAAGACTGGGAGACTGGTATATGACTACTACCTAGGCATACTCCGGGTGACAATTCGACTGCCTACAAACCCGCCAGGATTTTGGGACTTGAGTACGTAGGCAACTTCCACCAACTTTCCACCGATGCTAGGTTGCTCTAGGTGCAGACTGGTGGCTGATACACTTGTCTCCACGGATACAAAAGTGAATTCCGGTCGAAAAGACCTTCAAGTATCACCATAATTTTGATTATCTACTCCAGAGTCCGTACTCAAGCGCCTACTCAATATATATCTATTGCATTCAAATATCTGATCAAGCCAAGTTTAATTAAGTGCCGCGACGGGACTGACATGACGCAAGGAAGGTGCCGAATCAGTGGGACTAAACCCATGTCTAAAGCCTGGAGGACAAGGTGCGTCGCGTCCGGATTAATTTTTTACCCCGTCGCTGGAGCCAGACTTCACCGATACGTCGGCATAGTACTTTCCAATCTACTTAAAGTGTTCGGTGACTATGAATATATTTAGCAGGTGATTATCTGAATAACAAATAGAGACAATCTGTAACAAAATTGATCAAATCTCCGACCATTCGCTTGTGAATAGTGGATGACATTCGCCGGTTCTTAATTATAATTGAACGGAGTCTCGGGCCCGAAAACAAAGGTTTAACTGTCGTGACGCGTCCTAGAGCTCAATACAGTACTTCTTCAAGTTAGACTATGCAGATCCTAAACCAAACCGGGATTAATTTTAACCGATTCGCGTCCATGTACGCCATTAGACTATACTCTAATTTCCATCAGGAACAGATTTACTCCACTTCGATCCTGGTTGAGTTCCCCATTGGTTCATGATCTTCAACAGCTCCACTGAATCACTAACTTACCTCATAGTAAACCACTTTATTTCTCCTGGCGAAAAGAATGCTCTCATCGCCGGGGACGTTTTCTACCCCGGATACCCCGGATACGCAAATATCGGCGAATTTCCTGTTCTATGCCACACGCATGATCCACAGTTGAGGCAGTGGCTGGAAGGGATGACGACGCCAGGACCTTTTGCAGGGCTCACTACCATTAGTTCCACTTTCATGGTTTAGGATCAGTCTATAATTCGGGAGATCAGCGTTGGGTCAAGCAGTCCGCGTACCTGCGCCCCTGAACAGGAAACTTGGCCGTTCTTGGCTTTCCCTGATTGTTTGGAATTGAGAGCTATGAACAACCCGAAGTCTTATAAGACGGGCCTTGCCTTGTCATTTTGATTCATCTTCTCCAATCCACTCTTTCCACTCCATTCATCATGCGTCTCCAGACAGGCGCCTCTGCTGTGGCCTTCGCAGCGGCCGCCAGCGCTACCTCCCTTAGTGATGTGTGCACCCTTTCCAATGTGAAGTCTGCTTTGCCTTCCAACGGCACTATCCTGGGTATCGATGTGGTTCCTTCGTTGTCTACCGCCAATACTGCTACTAGCCAGTCCTACAGCTACTGCAATGTCACTCTGACCTACACTCACCCCGGCAAGGGTGACACTGTTGTCGTCAAGTACGCTCTCCCCGAGCCCTCTGAATACAAGAAGCGTTTCTACGTCGCTGGAGGTGGTGGTTACTCCCTGAACAGTGACTCCACTGGCGGTCTCCAGTATGGTGCTGTCGGAGGTGCTTCCTCTGCCGGCTACGGTGCCTTGGATGGTACCTCCTACGACGACGTTGTCCTTTACGGAAACGGCTCTATCAACTGGGACGCCACCTACATGTTCGGCTACCAAGCCCTCGGGGAGATGACCAAGCTCGGCAAGTACTTCACCAAGGGCTTCTACGGCCAGTCTAGCAGCTCCAAGCTCTACACTTACTATGAGGGTTGCTCCGACGGCGGTCGTGAAGGTATGAGCCAGATTCAGCGCTACGGTGACGAGTACGACGGTGCTATCACTGGTGCCCCTGCCTTCCGCTACGGCCAGCAGCAGGTCAATCACGTCTTCTCCAACGCTGTCGAGCACACCCTCGGCTATTACCCTCCCCCTTGCGCTCTTGCTAAGATCGTCAACGCCACCATCGCCGCCTGCGACCCTCTAGACGGCCGTACCGACGGTGTCATCGCCCGCAGCGACCTCTGCCAACTGAACTTCAACATCTCATCCATAATCGGAGAGAAATACTACTGCGCAGCTGAAACATCCACGTCCCTCGGCTTCGGCTTCAGCAAGCGCGCAGAAGGCAGCACAACCTCCACCACCCCCGCCCAAAACGGAACAGTCAATGCCAAAGACGTCGCAGTTGCCCAGGGAATCCTCAACGGTCTCCACAACAGCAACGGCGAACGCGCCTATGTGTCCTATCAAATCGGGGCCGATTACACCGACGCCCAAACGGAATGGAACAACAACACCAAGACCTGGGAACTAGACATCGCCTCTACCGGAGGCGAATTCGTCGCCAAATTTGTCCAGCTCCTTAACATCGATAACCTCTCCTCTTTCGAAGGCGTTACCTACGACACCCTCGTCGAATGGATGAACACCGCAATGGTCCGCTACATGGATTCCCTCCAAACCACCATTCCGGATCTCACTACGTTCCAAAAGTCTGGCGGCAAACTTATCCACTATCACGGCGAACAGGATCCTAGCATCCCCACCGCTTCCTCGGTGCACTACTGGCAATCTGTTATGAGCGTCATGTACCCTGGCCCCATGAGCTCGAAGACTCTTGCCAAGCTCCAGGATTGGTATCAGCTCTACATGATTCCTGGTGCGGCGCACTGTGGAACAAACAGCCTCCAGCCTGGTCCTTACCCTGAAGATAACATGGAGATCATGATCAACTGGGTTGAGAATGGAGTGAAGCCTTCGCGGTTGAACGCCACTGTTTCCTCTGGCGAATATGCGGGCGAGACTCAGCTGTTGTGTCAGTTCCCGTCGCGGCCCTTGTGGAAGAATAATTCTACTTTTGATTGTGTTTTTGATAAGGCCTCTTATGAGAGTTGGACTTATGAGTTCCCTGCTTTCAAGGTTCCTGTTTACTAGGTCTAGCTTCGGATTGGGGCGGGGTTGGTGGTTGGATGGAGATGTATTTAGGCTTTGAGTTGAGTTGAGTTTCCACTCTATTTACTTAAGTGGTTTAATTGAGGAATTTCGGTGTGTATGTATTCACTGTTCATACAAAATTAATTGTTTTCCGGTATTGTGCGTCAAGGGCCAAAGGGATTGGAATGCTTCTGGATGTCCACATGGAAAGTGGATCCAGGGGTTTAAACCCGACTGGAATGTTATCTAGCCCTAACGGGGAATTTCTCTACGTACTCCCTAAATCTCTCACGTACTCCCTCCAACCCGATTTGGCCACCCCTCTAAGTACCCTTAAAGTACCGATTTTTTGTTCTGCCATAATCTCCGCGGACATACTTTGAACTTCATAAATTAGGGTTACTATATTTGATCAACACTTAAATTACCTATTATTAACACGTTTATTATTCAGACTCTTTATATAACCTCACTGCCTCTAAGTTCCTATATCTAGATTTTAAAACTCGAGGACCCCTGTCATGTCGCGCGGTATATCTAGCACTATGCCTGTGTTTGTAGTACGGAGTCTACTTGGTCCCCGTTTTGTAGGACTCTGCCCCTGCCCCTACCTTTGCTGAGTCCTTGCTTAGGAGAAAAACGTCAGCACTAGCTTTACGCTTGATTCTAACAGGAAATGCATGCAGGACTCGGTTAATTCCGGGCTGAAATAGCCTGGAGACTCTATAGTCTCTAGGGTTATACTCTCGGAGAGTGTAGACCAACTTTGAGTTATCTGGCGGTAATAAAGATAACATTCTTAAGAAAATAAAGCCTGTAAGACTAGTAGTGAGTCTGCATTCTGGTGATACCCCCATTATTTAGCGGTGTCATTTTTATGGAAGGCGGTGAGACAAAATACTTAGGAGTAACTTCGAGGGAATGACCAAATCGGGTTAGAGGGAGTACGTGAGAGATTTAGGTAGTACATGGAGAAATCCTCCCCTAACGGTGATCTAGAACATCTTGGCCTGCATGAATTCAAGTGGCGATTGCAGGATTGAGTTGAAAACGGCGGTCTAGTTCCGATAGGCAAAGGTAACAAAGTTTTCATTTAAACCGAATTTTAAATCAGTGAAATACATGACTGAGACGGTGATCCATTTGAAGCGTAAAGTCATTTCTATTCGTAAGAACGCAGATAAAAGCACTTTTACTTGGAGCCTTTATTCAAGGTGTAAAAACATGTTGTTCAAAAGATAAATCACAAAGAATATGAAGGATCGGCAGGTCAATGTAGGGCAACAGCCGTATGGGATCAAAGTCCAAGGTCGAGGATGAAAGCAGCAGTGGAAACACAGCTGCGGGTGTCAACGTCATCGGGCTGCTGGTAAGACTCCGAGCAATCGCTGTCACCAGCATCACAAGTAACAGTGGAGCAAGAGGCGTCGTTGGAGGTAACGGAGAAACCAGAAGTAACGAAAAGCGAAGTCTTGTCGAGGTTGATGGAAGACATATCCCACCAGATAGTCTCGTCCTCCTTGGTGTACTCGAACTGAAGGACGGAAGACTCATCGGTGGAAGTAGACATCTTGATGGAGATACCACCACCGTCGGAGTTGGTCTGCCAGTTCTCGTAGTAGTGGTCGCCCTCCTCGATGGTGATCATGTCCTCGCTGACATTGGAGGTGGTCCAGAGGTAGACGGTCTGGTCAAGGTTGTTGACGATCTTGACACCGGAGCCGCCGGTAGCAGTGGCGGTCTCGATCACGTCGGAGGTGGAGCTGGCGACAACAGAGGACGAGGTGGTCCAGGTGGGGGTCACGGTGGAGGTGGGGACGACAGTAGCGACCGAGCTGGTGGAGGTGGGGACCTGGACGGCGACCTGAACGACGGCCTCGCTGGTCGAGGTAGCGACGACGGCAGCCTCAGTGGAGGTAGCCTCAGCGACAGCGGCTTCGGGGTGGACGGTGACCCATTCAATCTCGGTGACGATTTCGACGGCGACGGCACGCTTGTTGTGGTGGTGACCGTGGCCGTGGGGCTGAGCCGAGACCATACCGGTCAGGGCAGCAAGGCCGAGAGCAGCGATGACACGCATAGTGGAGATTTGGAGATGTTTTGGTTTGAGATCAACGACAGTTCTGTTTCGAACTGTAGGGGTATCGAGGAAATGGATGGAAGGACCGGTCAGATTTCTGCCTGTTCTACAGACGAGGATAAGGATTGGATATTGAAAGAAGGCACAGCCTCGATTTCAATGATGTAAATGAATGGAGGGGACCGGATTGGATCGAAGGATGGACAGCAGGTGAGGAAGGGAAAAGGAGAGGAGGGAAGTCGTCAGCTCTTTAATGTTTGTGGTGGAGACAAAGACTCCCCTCTGATCCAGTGAAAAGACAATGTGAAACACACAATAGAAAAAAAGGATAAAATTTGGAAAAAAGAAACCAAAAAGGCAAAGTCCGCTCATTCAATCCACTAATAGGCCCCATCACAATCTAGACGCCATAAGCCTTTCTCTACGCCCCATTTTGTTCCTGAATTCCCGAGGTCGCTAGATAATTACAGGTTAGTCCGGACTTTCAGGGGGGGTGCCTGCCTAACGGTCTTCTCGACTCCTATTCGTTGAAAGGGGCGCCAGGAACGAATCTAAATGGAGATGGAGATCGGACCTCCACCTCGTTGGGGGTTTTCGGGTCGTTCAGGAACCACTGAAAATCAGCCTTTCTCGCAGTGGATCCAGTTATGGCTGAGATGACTCGTCATAGTTTGGTCTCGGCTTATCGAATGTCGAGGCCCCCTTTCACTCCTAATATTGTAAGGCATGAACGGGGGATATAAGATAGATTCAATCTGTCAGACGTGTCTCATTCGGACTATACGAAGGTTCAGGTACCGTAATTCTGTTGTCCATGGAAGTTTGTGCGGTGGCAACGTGTGGATCTGCATACAACCAATCAGGGAGAATTTGTTCCTGAATACACACATTTGATCCATGGACTTTTTAACTTTGTCACTGCTTTTTGCCTTCCGTTTTTTGGTTCCTTTGTACAATTGACCACTCACATTAGACTCGCCGACTTGGAACTATGGTAGTGGGAAATTACAAATCAAAACAGAAAACTGCAAAATTGATTGATGAAATGAAAATGAAATGAAAAACTGCAGCAAAAGTCTGAGTCATTCGATTATGTAATATATGCCAAGACTTTGTCACTTTCTAGCTTACAAGTCGCCATACCGAGTACGGAGGACGAGTACGGAGTACAACCTAGCAAGAATACGTAGCCCATGCTTATCGTCATATCCCCTGCCTTAGTCTTGTAGTTAATCTATGGACTTCTGGTATACTCATGGCCACGTCACGAGCGGGAAGTCTGACAGTTCGATCCACTGAATCCATATCCATGTCCGTGTGACCGGGTAGAATCAAGAAAATAACGAATACGAAGTCAAAAGTGTCATCGGTCAGGTAGATGACAACGCATCATTGACGTGGTAAATGCCTCAGATAACAGGGTTGATGCCTGACAGGAAACGGTGAAGGACGGCGAAGACGGTCAAGGACGGCCAAATGGGTTCGGGAGGGGCAGAATCGTTGCCTACCATAGCCACGTATACAGTGGATTCGTAGCACTCGCTTTTGGGTAGATTCAAGTTGCCTTGCCATTTACCCCCCTGAACAGAGGGTTGTTCTATGAAGTGCTTTTCGACTACCCAGGTAGTCCGACGCTTGCCCCTTATCAATGACTCACATTCATTCATCTCATTCCTAGGAGTGAATCTTCTTGCCTTTACTATCACTCATTCCTAGGAATGAATCTCCTTATCTATACTATCACTCATGGCAGTCTCCAGCCGTTATGAGATTTTGGGGAACCATTTTCGCATTTGAAGATCCCCACATTTCCAATGATTTATATCAATGGTCCCGCTACATTTAAACGATAAGGTGATCCAGTGATCTCTTTCTGGCATTATCATGCACTGGGTGTGTCTGAGGATCTCATTACCTCTCCTGCAGACCATATTTGAAAGTAATAGGTCTACAGTCTACGATCTATACATAAAATCCTTCAAACGAGCCTAAGAAACTGAGCCAATCACATGACCTTTTCCAGCCCACCTTCCAGGGGCCAGCGACGATCGCCCCAATTCCTTCACCCAATGACCAGTTTCTCCCGAAAAGACCCCCAACATTAAGGCATTTTGCAGATACCAGAGTCCGAACTGCATGCAGACTCAGTGTATGGAGTATAATCGGAAGCTTGAAGGAAATCATCGTGCTGCGTGCACGGGGCCAAACTTATTATTAGCACACGCTAGCCGCGACCCAACCCACTTTCTTCAGCCTTCTAAGCCTCAGCCATGTGTAGCAGCCTGGCCCTGAAACAAGTGCAAAGTAAAAGCAGTCCCCGAGACATGCTCGGCCGGGACCAATGACCTGAGAATGGCACAACTTCTCACCTGCCAAAATGGTCAAGGATCGTCATGTCTTCCGCACTACCGCCTGTGACGGAAAAATGCTTCCAACAGCGGAACTGCTGAATGCGATCTCTTCGTTGATCGGAATCTAGCGTCGGTGCACGTACTAGGGGTATCTATCGGTTCGCTCGGGAGAGCCGCTGGGCTATGAGGCTCTGATGAATACAATCGGGGGACCAAGAGGTTATGAAAGACGAGTCAGATATCAAAAGTCAGTCCATTGGGCCTTTTTGGTATGAAAAAAATATATTCCTCAATTTGATGCCTACAAACACTACTTTTCCATCTGACACTTCCATCGGAGGTCACCGTTGAGGTCGATCTCATCGGTAGAGCTCGGCTAAGCACTGCCGTGCCAGCCGAACAAGCACCTCATTGCGTGACTAATGGAAACCCCATGGGCAACGGGCCCCCACAGTGGAGGGTCGGGGTAAGTTGACATCTTCAGGGTCCAGTGGTTCTTTATGCTATTCATTGTGATTCGAGGGAAAGATTACGGATATGGCAGAGAAGATAAAGTTGGAGGATAGCCGACAATTTACGGAGCCAACTTGCACTGAACATAATGAAATCGCCAGCCCCAATATCAATGGTGGTTTGCAGGCATGGTTGGCTGTGGTAGCTTTGTTTTGTGTTTTTGTGAATTCATGGTTCGTTCTATTCCCCAAACTGATGCTGTTCTAGCTTGTACTAATCGACTGATAGGGGAATTCTTACAACATATGGGGCTTTCCAGGAGTATTATCAGATTGCATTATTGTCTGACCAATCCCCCTCGGCGATCTCCTGGATAGGAAGTGTTCAAGCAACGCTGATCCCGATGGTCGGAATAGTATCCGGGCCATTGGTCGATTCGGGATATCTGCGCCCGTTGATAGTCACTGGGAGCTTCCTGACAGTTTTCGGGTTGATGATGACCAGTCTAGCGACCCAGTACTACCAGGTAAAGACTTTCTCAGCCCTTCAGCAAATTTCCCCTAACGACGATAGATCCTTCTCGCGCAAGGCTTCTGTATCGGACTGGGTGGTGGCATCTCCTACATCCCAGCCCTAGCAGTAGTCTCCACAAGCTTCACCACCAAGCGCCCAATCGCGATCGGCTGTGCATCAATCGGATCAAGCGTCGGCGCTGTAATTTTCCCCGTGATGTTCCGCCAGCTTCAGCCCCGAATCGGCTTCCCGTGGACAGTGCGATGCATCGCCTTCGTAAGCTTGCTAATGGCCATCATTGCCTGTTCCATTCTGTGCCGTCGACCGGGTCATCAATCTAGCGCACGCAGCCTCATTGACTGGACCGCGTTCAGTGAGCCACCATTCATGCTCTTCTCAGTATCGCTTTCATGCGTTATGCTGGCATACTACGTCCCAATCTTCTATGTTGCTTCTTACGCACGAACAGCCGTGCAAACGACCACCAGTCTTGCATTCTACATGGTCGCTATCGTGAACGGATCATCTGTATTTGGGCGGATTTTCCCCAATCTGCTTGTGCCGTATGTCAAACCAATCCTTATTTTGATGTTTTGTGTTGCGGCCTCGGCGATTGCCATGTTTACGTGGATTGCTGCTGTCGATGTTGCGGGATTTATTGTGTGGGCGTGCTACTGGGGTATATTGAGTGGTGTGCTTGTGACAGCTCCCACTTCTATTGTTGCGCATCCGGTCTTCTGTCCGAATCCTAGTTTTATGGGAACTCGGCTGGGTATGATGTGGGGGATTTCGTCATTTGGGGCGCTGGCGGGGTCACCCATTGCGGGTGCATTAGTTAATCTTGATACGGCGTATTTTCTACGCGCTCAGGTTTTTGCGGGGTGCATGATGGTGGGAGCTGTACTGTTGCAATGTTGGCCGGCATTCAAGGTGATACGGTATGATCGAGATAATCCTCGTTGAAAGCTTCTAAGAGGGAACTACTTAGGTTACATATAAAATCTATCCAACCTGTCTAATCTACCTAGGTAAAGCTATAGAGTAAAATACCGATGAAAGTTCCAAGTTGGGATGCAAAAGAACAGAATGGAAGGTCAAATGATGTTGATAGGTGGCTGAATACTAGAACGTACAAGAACAACAGTGAGAAGAAAAAAAAATCACACAACATTGAGCCTTTTGAAGAATATAAGCAACTGGCCTATCCCAATCTAAAAAAGATCGTTTTGCAGGATTTTGATCGTTCACATTGGCAATATCGTTATTCTGCACCAACTCCGCAAGCGCCTCCGAGAACTCATTCTTCACAAGGACAAGGGCAGTGACAAGGCCGAGAATAAGCAAAGCAATAAAGAAAACAAGAGTTTCATCTCTGTACACCAACCTGACTTCTTTCCGGGACCATTGGGCGTGATAACAGGCTGAGCCTCGATGTCATTGGCCGTCTTGAGCGGGATTTGGGAGTGGGCCTGCTTGGGCAAAGTAGTAAGAGAAAATTGGGACTTGTGTTCGAGACCCATTGTATCGCTATTCTAGATTTGGTGAGCGTTTAGTGTGGTAAAAATTTCAGAGGCAAGTGAGGAGCTGAGGAAGATGAGGTAGAGAACAACAATTGAGAGTGGTATGTATAGGTACAGTTGACTTGAACTTTAAAGTCTAAACTATTCTTTTCTGGAATACTAGCATTCGTATTAGGATTAGCTCACTGAATACTCTACGTCGTCGCCAATTTAAGCTTAGTTATCAACTATTTGGGAATATATGATCTAGAATCTAGCTTCAACCCATTAACTGATTATGTCATTGTCAATGTAGGCGGGGCATTCTCCACTGACGCGGGCCGTTGAAAACATGTAGTTCGCCCCATATTCCATACCAAACATAGTCCGTATGACATATATTAAAACCTAAATTGTCCTTAAATTTAACTCCTAGCCTCAGATGTCATGGCTGCTGACTGAGCTGCCTGAGGTGGGCTTCCAAGGTTTCGGCCAATAATGTCTCAACCCTGGTGCTCATAATGACTTCATCTTCGCATCTTCCCTGAAAAGTGGAACTTTGCCATCGCATATGGACCTTAGATCGTAATATTTATTCCGATCTGTTTCCCCAAAAGACTCATTTTTCCTGTCCTTCATTTTAGAATACTTCAACCGCAATTAAACTTGTATACCATAACATTTAAACGAAACCAGTCAACATCCAACACTCAAAATGCCCGATTCCCACACCAGTTCCGTCCAAGGCGGCACAGGCGCCACACCCACCCCCGCCAACAACGTAGGCGGAGGTGCAGACTGGGGCGATCAGGGCCTCCAAGGAGATTCCCACGATCCCAATGAACCCCGCCAAGGATTTGGCCATGTTGCTGTATGCATACGCCATCTTTTTACTAGCCACATTATACATATTACTAACATCTGATCCCCGAATCTATAGCCTCATAACCCACGAGAGACAATGGGAGAAACGCTTGGTCTGAAAGAACAGAAAGGCCACGCTAAAGACAATTTCCTGCAGCGTGCAGACGAGGCTCGGGGAATTGAGAAACCAACAAGTCTGCATGGAGAGCCAACTTGTGCTACTGAAGATCATAGCTTCATGGCCCATAAGCCTGGTCACTCGGATACTTTGCCTGGGTGGGATACTATGAAGAATGTGCTTGGAGGGTAAGTGTTGCCTATTGATGTTGCCTATTGACTTGGTTGCCTTGCTGACTGTCTGGCATAGTTTGGGTGGAAATTCGAGCTAAAAGCTTTCGCTGGGTGGTACTGGTTTAACCCTGAAATTGTCTGACGAGCAGCTCGTCTGAGCTACATGGTTCTCAGGAATCCTGGCCATTGCTTAACGGCAATCATTGATGTAAGGGGAGGTCTCCCCGTATCTCGGTGTTAATAATTTCCCCATTTAAAAATCTCGAGATGATAATGATCAAAGTTAATGACTTTTAATATTCCAATCTGATGATTCATCCCGATCTCATATTTATTTGCCAAGTCTCTGCCGGATCTCCAGGTCACATGTAAGAACAGGTAAAGGTACCACGCGTCATCCTGAACTTTCAAGCACTAGATTTGTCTTTAAAATCCGGTTCGTTGACTTGCGCTCACCCGAGTACCGGAAATAGAAGATGAGTTTGTCGTTGGGCCCAATGCCGGATCGTGACGAGGAAGGGCCTGGTAACTGTCAAGCGTGGCAGTCGTTGTGTCCACCTGGAAGCGATAACCCTCAGAAGAAGAATGCAATTCATACTCATGCATTTGTTCTTCCGAGTATTCCAGATCGTCGGGGAGATGCTCTTCCGGGAAATTCTGCATATGCATACCCCCATCGAAGGCAGATGGTGATGCGCGTCGATTTTGGTTCTGGGGATCAGCCGCACGCATCCGCCCCCTTAAAGTCGCTCTTTGGAGAATTGTATTTTCACCCTCTTCCATGGCAGGCTGATTGTATGCCGGCGAGGTGCGGTATGGAGTCGGTTCCTGGCCGGCGGCATGGGATGGTACAGAATAGTTGCCCCGTGATGAGCGCATGCTCTGATGGAAGCCTTGTCCTTGCGCCGACGGACCACCTCTTGATACAGTAGCCGATGAGGCGATTCCTCGTCCAGCGGAACGTCCAGGTGAGGGGAATTTTTGTTGGTGATCAGTTCCAAATCCGGCAAAGCCTTGATACGCTACCGGCTCGTGGTTGTTCGCCGCATCGTCGGCCTCATAGTCGTCAACCCGATCGCCAGCCATCCGTGCCATCGCACTATCATCCACAATCTGGGTCTTGGTCATGTACTGATCGAATTCAGTCATGGTCTGGTGGACGGTGCGGAAATGCTGTGCCGTGAGCACCGACGGTAGATTTTTAGGACCGTCCTTCTTGTCAAAGAGAGCGATACATGCGGCAATCTGGACTGCATTGCGAATCTGTCGTCCGTTCCAGGGTCCATGTCGATGGATTTGCGAGTATTTCTTGTACTCCTGCTTCATAAAATCGATGATCTCGTCTTCCATGGCCTGAATATGCGCATTGGTAATAGGCACATTCTCGGGTTGAGCTTCGGCTCTGGGTAGTCGATTCAGGTTCTGTTGCAGGATCTCAATTGTATCATCATAGCTGAGATGGGGATAGTAAAGACTGATATGCACCCGAGATCGGAACGCTTCATCCAATGCCCCTACTCGGTTGGTTGTCAAAAAGAGGATTCCGCTATAGTACTCTAGTACTCTAAGGAAGACTGCCAGGAGAGTTAGTTTCTTCGAAATACAGCGTATTGATTAGGATAACAGATGGGGTGAAATACCTGATACCAGAGCGTTACGTTTCACGTTCGTTCGATCACGTTGAGTAAGAAAGACGTCGGCCTCGTCGAGCAGAAGAATACAATCCCACAGATGTGCGTATCGGAATATATCCTTCAAAGTCTTTTCAACAGTATCGGGTGTGACTCCCAAATCTCCACATGTGATAGGAAATAGAGGCTTCTTGAATTCCTGAGCCACAGCTTCCGCAGTTGCTGTTTTGCCCACGCCCGGAGCTCCGTGGAGGAGAATTACCAAACCCCGCCCTTTCCCTCTAATGATATCGGGATTGTGCATTTGGAAGTCGTCGGTTTTGCTTTGGGTTGCCCTGAGGAAGTGGGTTGAAACGCTCGACCGGATGACTTTCCTATATTCCTCTTTTGTCTGGATGTCGTTTAGCGTGATCCTCTCGCTACCCGCCTTATACTGGAAGCTTTGGACATCGAGGCGCGCAAACTTCCTTTCACGTAGCACATAGCCAGATATTCTTCTGGGTAGCAAGGCGTAGTCCTCATCAGTCAAGACTTTTGACAGTCTGCCGTCTTTTTCGATGTAAGGCATCTTCCGGTTGAACTCCCTAGCCTCTTCAGAGTAGATAAAATCTTCACGAAGGAGCTCATATGCCCTTTCTGCCACATAAGGATCAGAGTCTTCTGTTTTCTCTGAACCCGTTGCTTGCAGATCCCATACTCTATACGTGATGGGAATAGGGTCAGCCTGAAAAGTATAGGTTGAGGCGATTTCCGGCACGTCTCTTTCAGTCCACTCCGGCATGTGACGATCAGCCTCTCTGATGTCAATGATAACCTCACTCTCCACATGCTCTGGCTCGGTAATTTCGGAGTCATCTGTTTCATAAATACCCGTGACCAGGTTCCAGCCAGAGTAGTAAAAGTGGTTGACATCAGCTTGCACGAGCTTGCAGAAAGCCTTTCCTCTTTCAATTTGTTCCTTCAAAATTTGATCCCGTCGAAGATGGAACTTCAATGGAAAGCACTCTAGAGAAGTGATTTCTCGCTCTCCAGGGAAGTATTTGAACCCTACATTGCGCCATAAAGTTCTCAGTTCATCCCCATCGTGGTCAAGACAATAAAGGAAGACCTCGGTAGTATTGTCGGGATCTAACCATTTTTCTCCGTCATGTTCGCAGTTGATATCTAATGGAACACAGGAATACATTCGCCAGACGTTCTGGATGGCGGACTGCCGGTATGCTTTGGTGATCTTTGATGATGAGGGGACGAAAACCAGCTCCCCGGGGCGAAAGAGCAATGGAATCTCTTCGTAGAAAACCTTTTTGGGAGTGCTCTTATCCAACTTGAAATATTGCGCTCGTAAAGGCAGAATTTTCTGCTCAATAAAGGTGACGTAACATCTTAGCTCTTCCAGAGCAGCGACGGAGTCAGGCAATTCATCTTCGTTATTGGTGGGCTCGCTTGGAGAACTCTGATTCTGGTCCGACTCCATCTTTCTCAGTCTTTCCTTCATGGCCTCATGATAAAAAGCGAAAGCAGAGAACGGACGGCAAAATACGAGCTCGACGGTGGTGATGCTTGGGTGATCAGGTTGCCAGCCGAAGAGGTCGAAGAGATGGCGTAAGATCTCCCGTGAACGTATTCTCACGCGAAATAGATGGTGGTTCTGTGCTATCGCACTCGGGTCCTCCTCCATCAAGGGGGGATCACTCTGTGCTGCTTCAACAGGTCTAAAATCGTCCGGACAATCAATCCTCTTTCTTCGCTCTCGTTCTTTATCAATTGTATCTCGCATATTGGTGGTGGTCAACAAACACTCGATGGTATGATCCCAGTTATCTTTCTGGACTCGGTTCATAAACCCACGGTAATTGAAGTATCGTATGCCCAGGTTGACTTTTCGCCTCTCGGGCTCTGCTACATAGATCCCCAGCGGCTGTTCCTCAGTGAGTACCACCACAGACTCCGGCGGGTAAGCCAATTCACTTTCTTCCTGGGAGTCTGAGGTCTGTGTGTTGTTCATGGCTCAGTCAATGAGACGAAGCTGGCTATGGCCTCGTGAAAATGGACAATGGAAAGAAATAGGAAGAGGATGACAATCCCAGCGTTGCTTAAATCAAAAGAGTGATGCAACGGTAGTCTCAAATTTATTAACAAAGATCAATCGGAGGAGTTGTTCACTCCCTTGTTTCCCGGGTGGGATCTAAACATCACCCACAGCCCAAAGTACGGTCGGTAAGCAGAGGCGTAAAATTCTTGATTCATAGGGTCCCGTCCACCGACCTTGATAATCGGACATGCAGCCCTCGGGTCTTTTCACCTATTTTGTGGTAGAATTGCATTCCCAACTGCTTATGCATGATATAGATAGGATAATGGCTCATATGAACGCGCGGTCCGACCCCCCTTGGTCCTGCCCGTGCCGTACCCAGTTTGGCAAGTGACAGCTCTACCGTCTGTTCGAATGATTTTGCGGAGGAAACGCTAGCCAAAGCATGATTTTGCTTTTGACTTGATTAACTCGTCGCCCAAAAATTTCCAAATCAGTTTAGTCTAACCCAGTCATTTTACGCGCTTTATCTGTATGGTATTGTTGACCGACGGGGGTCCCCGGGGCTATGTATCCAAAACATGTACACTTTCTGGTCACATCCGAGGAGACAATACCGCCCAGATCATAATTTATCTCACTGTATTGATATTACCAGCCCATATTTGAAAACTCCTGATCTTATCTTCCTATTGGTTAATATTCAGTTTTCGACGAAGACAAGTGAACATAATGCTAGTATTAGATAATCGTATGTATAGTAAATTTCTGTAAATTCACCAGCATCGCGCTAATGCACCCTTAGCGTGTCTCCTCGGATGTGGCCAGACAGTGTAGATTGAGAGAGATCAGGGTGGGCTGTAACAAATAGCTGAGCAAATATCTTTTAGCCCCGGACAGCTCATCAATCTCCACCACATATGAAGCCAAATCTATGGAATTACGACCAATCACCGGTCCACAGGTCGGTCCCAGAACAAGGCTGATTCTTCATAGTCTCGACGGAATGGTGTACTGTCGTTTGCATGGAGCAATCATGCTAATGCAAGTCAGACACACCTGGACAGAAGGCAACCGAGTAAATAGATTTGCTCCCGGGGTGACTTGGTTTTAATGATAATACCCCGTACCACCCTCCCTTTCTATATCCGGAATTTCAGGGTTCAGCGACAACCCCACAGTGCTGACACTGCTGGGCTAATTAGATGTGACTTTCTTTCTTTCAACATCCATGACACAAAAAGGATGGGGCTTTTTCATACGCAGCCAAGAGCCAAAAGTCGACTGACAGAGCCCCCTGTGGAAACAAAAGTTACGAGATGGATGAGATCTCGCGGCAAGGAAAATCATCCGGTTTTTGGAGTGGAAACTCAATATGATTCGCAGCGAGACAAATACGTTCCTAGCGAGGAGATCGCTATTAGGTACTAGATAGCATTTTCTTGTCTCTTGACTCAAGGGGTAGTAATTGATCAATTTCATAGTCATCTGTCGGAAGTGGTCACTGTCTACGATGCTAACTGCGGTCCCGACGAGCCAACATTCGCCGGCTGTTCATGGGAAACAGTGTTGCAGACACTTGAAGAAGCGAAGGAAGACTACAGGTCTCGAACACATCATGGGTCCTCTGTAATCATGGGAATGGATCTTGCCTCCCAGTTGACTGATGCCCTTCCGGAGGAGCTCGGTCTGGGTGTGATCAAGGGAGTTCTTGGGATAGTATTTGAGGTAGATCTCCCTGTTGAAATTTTATCCTTCTACTTACCAGTCTGCTGACTTCATTCCCTGTGCAGACCGCAAAAAGGCGCGGAGAGAATCGAGCGCGGATTCTGGAAGCATTTGAAAGTATCCCGGTGACATTTCTGACCATCAATCTCTCCTGCAGTCTGTTGAAACCTACTGCCGAGGATATGAAGCTTTGCGAAGACTTTCATCGTGAGCTTTTAAAGCGGATGCCTGAGTTGGTCGATATTCTAATGGGAAATTTACCTTGTACTGAATAGCACAAGTCCCTTATTTTTCAGTGATCAAGAGTTGACTAACTTGTCTCACGATGGCAGGGTACAAGAAGCTTAACAGTTACTTCACACTCAAAATCAGCGAGACCGCCAAGATAGACGAGATACTATCCGACTGGAATCAATACATAGCAGCTCTCAAGGAGCGAGCGGTACAAATGAGGGACAGGCTGCTAAGTGAAACTGCGTACCATAGTGCTGGGGCGCATCAGGTGGGCGTTCAGACTTACAACAAGGTTAACACGCTAGAGAGTGATATAGATAAGATACAATCGATGCTAAAGGCTCTGGGGCCTGAAATCATGTACGAGTTGCAGAAGAGTCGACAGGAGCTTTTACGTCTCTTTGAGACTAAGTATCTGGGAGCACAAGCGCAAACCCTTCTCTTGCAGGGATGGAAAGATTTAGGGTTCACGGCTGGTTTCCCCGGTGGCACTGAAATTTATGGCCTGCAAGATGGTAAATCTACTTCTCTTTCTTCTCTTCTCGCCTTATTTCTTCGGCCGGAAAGCTAAATACGATCCTAGAATCCAGCTGTGAGCTCCAGGAGCTCGGTTGCTCACAACCATATAGACAAGCCGTGCAGAGTGAACCATGCACGACCATCACACCGCTAGAGCTTCTGGGTCTTCTTAGAGTGGGACCATCCGCAGCTCTAGATGCTTTGGAATTAATTCTACAGCAGTCCGTCAAAAAACCCGATTTATCACTCCGGAAAGTTTCGTGGCTCAATCGGATGGAAGAGTTTCGCGCCTGGTGTCACAATCCTTGGTCATCGCTCCTCTTGGTCGAGGGATTCCTCGACACTTCACCCTCAGAACGGATCTCGGCCCTATCCATTTTTAACGCAAGCTTCATACTCAATATCGCCTCGAATCCCTCTTATATTACATTGTTCTTCTTCGCCGGGCTCTACGACTGTACGGGCGCGAGTCGAAATGCGGAGTTCATCGGTCCATGCGGACTCGTTCGCAGCTTGATTGCTCAATTGCTCGCCCATGAAAGCCTTCCTCCACTCGACCTTGGCTTTGTCACGTCGGAGGGAATCGAAGCATGTCAACATAACAACCTTTTGGCTCTGTGCGAGCTATTCAGGCGCCTCATCCTCCAAATCCCCACGGATATGCAGGTCTTTTGCATTCTAGATGGACTGGTAGTCTACGAGTGTGAACCCCGATGGAGCGCGGATATCGATTACGTGGCATCCCTCTTGGAGACACTGGCTGGCAGCACGGGGATTGAGGGAACACCTGTGGTCAAGACAATGCTAACGTTCGTCAATCGAAGCTTGCAGATCTCAAAGCGGGTCAGTAAGCTGCCAGATCTCTGGATACACATTCCGCTGGTGGGTCGCCGGATGTAGGTCATGTCATTGCTACTCTAAGATATACTTTCTCTATTGATATCTTGAGATTTCCTGTCGTAAACAATCCTGAGATAATTCTAATATTACATCTAGATTGATGATCATTCTATTATCAGGTTAAGAGAGTGCAACAAGGCACTAATGGGTTCACCGAACCTCTCCTTAGTTTTTTGTTCTCTTTGTTTCTCTTTCATCTTCAAACGTCCCCTTTTCGGATTTTTCTCGGATTTTTACGACTACGCTAACATGGGCAGATCCCATTTCTCTGTCTAAACTCTCTTCTTTTCTCCTCATACGACTCCATATAACGATTTATCATGCTTTTTTGAGTTTTCGGTTTATGCTACGCATATAATCTCCAGTATTTTCGAAAGAGGTCTACGCCCTTTGGAACGGCTAGTATATGAGATTTCGTAGCAAGAGGCTAACGCGCCGTGTTTCGCTAATATACTTCCTGCTCCTAATCGGAAACATGGAAACAGCTTATATTCGAGCGGAAGTTGCATTAAACCAGCCGCAGTCAGAGAAATAAATAAGATACTGCATACTTATATGAAAAGGAAATCAAGCCCAGGCCGAGAGATATCAGCCCAACACAACGCTGTCCGACCGTCATTTCCTCTGCTATCCACTTGTCCAATTGCAAGTAACCATTTGACTACGCCTTCGTGTCCTTGCTCTGCCGCATACCCCAATGCCACCCGACCTCATCGTTTCCTGAATCAAGGTTTCCCCCCTCCCTTAAGCAGTAATTCTACTCGCTCGCCACGCCTATTTGCCGCATCTTAACAAGGTGGCATCCTTCCTTTATTCACCTAGGTTGACTTGAACTCCATGAACACTCTGTACTTCCTGAGAAGCGGCTTGAATACCTTGCCATAGCCGTTTCTTGTAGCCCATAAAAGCATTGTGCAACGAAGAACTGATCTATCTAATTCTTCATATTGATATGTTACCGTGAGACCCGATCTATCTCTATATTCGGAAACTAAATTCTAGATGTAAATCATACGTCCACTCTTAGTCTATGAAAGGGCCCCTGATCCCTCCTCTTCCCTTGTCAATTGATTCAGCATGCAAAACCCGATTCTGGGAGCTATAAATAATGCCGGCTGGAGTCGCCGCGGACTTTGTTGTCAATGCGGGAAAGCTGTTTCTGTGACCGCCTTGCAGGGCGCCAATAGGGCAGTCAAGTTGCGACTTTCCCATAAGTGCGAAGGCGCCTTATGTTGGGCATCCATCCGCCAGCCATTATGATAGGTCTGCATGTGCTGCTGCCTTCGCTTTTTCATTTGCTGCCTCGCTGAAGAAGACTTCAAAATCGAGGTAAAGAATCTGTCTGCTTGCATGGTTTCTCCCCGAGCGCCTTGCTGAGTCCCATAGCCACTTCGCTGCATAAATATCTCCATTTCCCTCCACTTACTAAAAACTTTCTCAAGGATCTTCATTGCAATATCTGATTGTTGCATTCTGTCACGCTTTCTATCTTTCCGGTTGTCTTTAGCCAAGCATTTCTTATCGCTACCTGCATGTTGTGACAGATATCAGGTACGTTATAGATAGTCTCTGATATTCTTCATTCCCCATTTCTTTTATTCTTCCCTTTCCCTTTCGCTCATCGAGCCTTTCACGCCTCTGAATATTCTGGAACCAATATTACCAAATAATATTGACACCTTGAACTCCTTATGTTCTGCGGCAGCCGCTGCAAGAACGGACTCTCGAGTAATGCTAATGTTGCATACACTTATGGATTATTCGGATCATTGATTGCCTTTCATGATCTACAGCAGCCGCTGTAAGGATGGACTCTCGAGTACTGCTAATGTTGCATACTCTTATGGATTATTCGGATCATGGAATGCCTTCTATGTTCTGTGGCAGCCGCTGCAAGAACGGACTCTCGAGTAATGCTAATGTTGCATACACTTATGGATTATTCGGATCATCGATTGCCTTTCATGATCTACAGCAGCCGCTGTAAGGATGGACTGTCGAGTACTGTTTATGTTGCATACTCTTATGGATTATTCGGATCATTGATTGCCTTTCATGATCTACAGCAGCCGCTGTAAGGATGGACTCTTGAGTACTGTTTATGTTGCATACTCTCATGGATTATTCGGATCATGGATTGCCTTCTATGTCCTGTGGCAGCCGCTGCAAGAACGGACTCTCGAGTAATGCTAATGTTGCATACACTTATGGATTATTCGGATCATTGATTGCCTTTCCTGATCTACAGCAGCCGCTGTAAGGATGGACTCTCGAGTACTGCTTATGTTGCACACTCTCATGATTTACAAAAACCCTTGGAAATCATTTCTCGGGTGTAAAATATTCTAGAATATTCTCTGCATGCCCAAATTGAGTGAAATAATCTGCGGCAGTCGTTGCGAGACTGGCGTTTGCTTGTTCCTCATTATGCACTCGATGGAGGATGTTTGATGAGTATCGATGTATATACCGCAGCTACCCTGGATTCGGCGCTTTCAACCCACCACAGTATCTGATTCGCGGCACTACGCGTCCCAAAAATCCTACACTTATGTGATTCCAAGGCTAACAAGAAGTTATGCAAGCTCTTAGAGTTCATTTCAACGTGAGGCTCTCGCTCTAGTGCATCCGTTCAGAGCAAGGGGGAACTGATGGCGCTCATGAATTCCCAAAATCTTAAATCAACTCATCAGAATAAAATCGCGGCCGACATACGCAAGCTGCATGAGCTCCAGACTTTAGCCTTGCCGTCAACTCCACTGAGCCTGTCTATTAACCCGAGAGCTCAACCCATACCCCCGATTGATTCCAAAGAGCAGCCGGATCCGGAAAATTTGCTGAAAGACGGCGCGTACGGATTGACCGTCATCAGTGATCCGGAAGAGGCCATCATGGATATAGTCCTTGTTCATGGTCTGATGGGAGATGCGTATCGAACATGGCTTCATGAAGGAAGAGGTGTTTATTGGCCAAGAGACCTGCTGTGTTCTGATTTCAAGGACGCTCGCATCATGGTTTTTGGGTACGAAGTGAACGTGTGGCATCCCTGGAGCCAGGTCTCCCAAGGCCGGCTATCCGGTTACGCTTCTCATCTGCTCGGTAGTCTTTCAGGATACCGAACAGGTCATTTGGTATATCAGGCCATGCCCTATGCTTTTTTGCATGCTGACGGATGATATAGAAGAGGCGACCTCTGGTTTTCATTGCTCACAGTCTTGGCGGTTTGGTGGTGCAGCAGGCTTTAATTACCTCACGGGAGAGCCGGATAGACTACTTACGACAGATCGAGACGCACACAAATGGGATCTGCTTTCTGGGGACACCTCATTGCGGTACAAGTCTCGCTACATGGGGAGAACGTGCTGCACGGGTTCTCAACGTCTTCAAGCCTGTCAACCATCAGATCGTCAGCCTGCTAGATCCGCGATCCGAAGCGCTGTATGAGATGCGACGGGCCTTTCATAATGTCCTGGAAAAGCGGAAGGAAGAAGGATCCAGAATCAAAGTTGTTTGCTTCTACGAGACGAAACCGCTATTCCGGTCATGCGTTGTCTCTGAGCAGTCTGCGACGATTGATGGAGAGCCCAGTTTTCCAATATTCTCCAACCATATGGTACGTAGACCTCCTCTGAGGACGGCACTCTTTTGACCTTTCCAGGGCATGGCCAAATTCTCCAATCGCCGAGACGATGGTTACAAAAGCATTGTGCGAGAGATCACTCATATGATTTCCGATAGCGATCACGGACACCTATGTCCTAGATGCGGTAAGCCGAGTTGACCCATGATTCTCTTTATCATAAAATTACACTGTTTGTGTGCCCGGATTTGGAAGTCAGTATTTCCAAAAAACAATTAGCACTACAGCAGGCCGCTAATAACATCCATAGTTTGTGCTTTGATCACTGGTCTATGGCGTCTTCATTTTGTGTCCTTCAGTTCTATATGGTGTGTACAACTGATAATAGAGAAATAGTTCCCAGGATTGCAGTATCTCTTTTCAGGCTTCTGTATACTAGAAATGGGTCTACGGTATCATTTGCGCAGACTAGAGATGGCGAGGAGCTAGATATGTATATTTTCAAGCGGATGGGCTGGGATTGCGCATTTTATTACCTGAGATTGTGGCCTACTGCGGTGAGGAAGAAGGTGGATGTGGCACCGATTAATAAACTTGCAAATTTGAAATATAATTATCGTATGTGTTTGGGAAAAATATTGGGCTACTGATAAGAGAGTCTAAGTGTTTGTCCTTGAATAATATTAATCTTAGGGCGATGTTATGAAATGATAAAGCGCTATCTTGATCCCGCTACTAGATCACTGTATGAATGACTTAAAGTCCCATTTTTTTAGCGCTCAGATATGTTATTTCTTGCTTTAACATTTGACTATTCTAGAAGTCCGAATCTAGCGATAAAGTATCTATTGTTGGTATTTTGAATAGCTAAACCCCATTCTATCGGGCTATTATGGTTAAATATGTAATCGGAACCTATCATTACCCTCTATAGTACAGTAGTTCTGATCAGACTAACGTTGCTGATAAGTTGAACATGGTACTTAAAGTGAGACCGGGCTAGGTTCCGTGATTGCTACTAGATGCTTTGTCAAATATGCAATTTTTCATTAAGGATATGTCGGCTATAACCTTCTATGTTAGTACATATTGAAGTACGCTCGAGCTGACATACCAGGAAATCCCGTGCTAGATCAGACTAAGATATAGGAAAGGACATATGATCCTTGTTAGGACAGAGTTTCATTGGAATTTAGGGTCTCATATGACCATGACGCTCCAACACTTATAGTAAGCTTCTCACCTAACGAAGCACAAGAGCAACGAATCACGAAAAAAACTATGATTTTCGAGAAAGATTTACTTGACCATATATGTGAGTATATTAGGGTAGATGTGAGAATTTATCGGGAAGATAAGAAGACTAAATAACGAGGGTGTTCAACCTGCTCATTGAATGTCATAAGCTTCAGGTCGATTGTCGCGCCTCACCGCCTTCCGTGGCGCCAGCATCAAAAAACCTCCAACTCTCTTCTCAATCCGTCAAAGAGATCTCGTCACCTTGAATTGCTCTATTGTTTGTCACATTCAATCATGGCGGCCGAACAAAGAAAACTGCTGGAGCAGCTTATGGGCGGTATGTCACCCATCTCCCCTTATAATACCTATATTCCAGCTTCAAATACAACCATCTCCGAACCAAGCTAACAGCAACCTTCCTTCCAGCGGACCAACTCATTGGTAGCGGTGCCCAGGGTCGCAATTCTCAGCTTTCCATCACAGATCCCAAGGTCTGCCGTTCCTACCTAGTTGGCACCTGCCCGCACGACCTCTTCACCAACACGAAGCAAGATCTTGGCTCATGCCCGAAAGTACATAGCGAGGGATTGAAGACCGAGTATGAGACAGCATCCTCAGCAGAAAAAGCAAAATGGGGCTTTGAATTCGACTACATGCGCGATATGCAAAAGTACATTGATGATTGTGATCGGAGGATCGACTCAGCCCAGCGCCGTCTGGAGAAAACCCCGGATGAGATTCGACAAACCAATAACCTGGTATGCAAAGTCCCATTATCTTTGTATGCAGTTCTAACTCCGATTCTCGTTTCGCTACAGCTTAAACAAATCGCCGATCTGAACAACACAATCAACACCGGCCTTCTGGAAGTCTCCGTCCTCGGCGAAACTGGATCCGTCGCAATGGCCATGAACGAAATGCACAAAGTCCGAACGACAAAACATCAGAAGGAAAGCGCCGAACGAGACCTCAAGAATTTGCAGGATACATCTGGTCCCTCCGGCCACCAGAAACTACAAGTTTGCGACGTCTGCGGTGCCTACTTGAGTCGACTCGATAATGACCGACGACTGGCCGATCACTTCTTTGGAAAGATGCATATGGGATACTCGGATATGCGCAAGACCTGGAAGAAGCTTAGTGCTGAGCTTAAGGGTCGTGCGCCCCCGGTGCGTCAACATGAAGAAGAGGACCCCTACAGTGCAGGGGGTCGGCCAAATGCTGGCCGTGGTCCGCGGTATGGTGGTGGCGGTGGCGGAGGAGGAGGAGGAGGAGGAGGATACAGACGTCGGGGTGGACGGTGGTGATATGGATCATCTATTTCGGGTCTCGTGGGTTTAAATCTGTTTTTGCATAGCGCAGGCGTTGTTACGTTGGGTCCGTGGAAGATGCTCGGCGATGGGAAGTTATCTGCCATGCGCTCAATATATCCCTGTCTTGTTTCATACATTGTCTTTGAGTTTATGAAATGATATGTTCTCCATTTATGCATCCGTAACTCCTATGCTACGCGTTGTAGGGCTAAGTATGGGCCTTCTAAGCTTTCACCCCATAAAAGTGCCGCTGTGGAATGTGGCGAGGGTATGAATGGGGTGCAACAACTGACAACCATTACTTGGAGGCGTCGCTGGGTCAAATCTACGGTCCACGCTATAAGAAAATTGATTGGCATAGACCAAAAAAATTCATTTCAAGGACACTACATATTCATAGCTATCGAAATTTGGTATCCCCCATAAAACCCCTCAAGGACATGAAGTCCTGAACACCAGATAGGAATAACAATTCCCTGGCCCATAAACTAATCGAAAATCAAAGCTGTACAGTACAAAGGTAATGGCATGATGTCGTAGAAATAAATCAGGCGTGGCCGTTTGCCTGAGTGTCGAAGAGCGCCTGCATCAGCGTTTCATAGTCCGCAGCGGCAGCCGGCTGGCGGATAAGAATGTCGCGGACAACGTTCAACTGTGCCACGTCCACATTTGGCGCAGTCTGGAGGAGTTTTTGAATGGCAGGCGAGTTCACGTTCTGTGCACCAAGAACGTGTAGGGCTGCGGGCATGCCGTGGAGGGAATTTTGGTAATGCGGGAGAGCATGCTGCAGGACCTGGGTATGGGGGACTTGAGGGCCGGTAGAAGTGGAGTTATAGGCGGGATTTTGGCCGGCGGCAAAGGCATGTTGTGGGGTGTTGCCAGCTGCGGTGAGGGGGCTTGCAGATGCTGCAGGCTCCAGGCTGGGCTGGTGAGAGGGAGGTTGAACGGAGGTAGGATTGGAGTCGCCGGTCTTGACGACGAAGACAACGAGGAGAAGACGCTCTTCGATGGGACCATCGCCGAGATTCGTGTTCTCGAGCAGGTTGATGAAGTCGGGAAGTGTGGTTGTGCCCTTTTCGAGAGGAACAATGTAGGTGTCTTTGACAGCGGCAAGAGGGTGCTTGCCAATCACACCGTAGCGTTGGCGGCTGTAAAAGTAGTCAAAGAGTTTATTGAAACCTTCAAGCTCCTGGTCCCCGTTAGGGCTATTGATGCCAATGACAGATACGTCGGTCGATAAGCTCCATCGTAAACCGCAAAGATAGTTATTTGCTCGTGTAACATCAATCCGGCCGTCCACTAACAACGTCTCGGGTGCCAGTTGGCTCCAAGGAATCCGACCGCTGAGTTCAGCACCGCAAACATGTCTCGCAGTGGATGAGAATTCAGCCACAGGCGCCATGGTAACTCTACCGCGCCAGACAACGCCCTCGTCGAATTCTTGGGGTGAATAGGGTGGAGAATCAACCTCATCTTCTTGCAGCATTCGGTCGATCTCCGCATCTGCTTGGATTGTACCACGAGGCATTGGCTCACGGATATTGGTAGCAACCTCTGGGAAAACATGGTCGCCATGGCCGCCGTCAGGGGAGTGGCCTCGACCGTGTCCGTCGCCTCTCTGAGATATCTTCGGGGTAGCTGGGCTTTGGTTTCCTGGGCTGCCCTCGGTATCTGTTGGCCGGCGCGGAACAGTAGAAAAGACCGATTCCGCCGCCACATTGTGGGTTTCATCCTCAATAAGTTCCTCTCCTTTATGTGTCCGACGGATTCGCGGACCTTGCTCCTGAATAATCATGTGCTGTCGCTCTGCCTCTCGCTTAATCTCTGCATCCTTTCGCTGTAACTCCTCGCTGGCCATGTCCTCAGACTTCATCATAGAGAGTGTATCAGATGAGACGCTACCTACGAGTAAGCGATCCCGTAGAGAAGGGTTCTTCTTTACGTTGAACAGGATCGCTCGTAACTGCGATTTGTATGCTTCAGTAGGCTCCCCTGTGCCTTCACAGAGGTTCTGATACATGGCGCCCTCAACAGAGAGACCGAGTAACCGAGCAGTATCGTCTGCCGACTGCCCCTCGGGCAAGGAAAAGGAATGATTCTTTTGGGCAGCAGCAACTTGGTCTACAAAAAATTTGATTAGAGCATTGGCAGCGCTCTTGCGAGCCGGCAGTACGAGCTCTTCCACGGTAGCGACTGCAGGAGACTCGGTCTTGACCTTTGGACCTGCTGCCGGCGGGGAGAACCGTTGCTGTTTCACCTGGGGTCCCTGCATCAAACGAATTAGCATACTCGTGTTTTCAATTAAGGGAGAGCATATTCTTACCGAGTCTGTCTCGGCTTCCGCACTGTCCTCCAACTTGCGCTTGTTGGTGCTAGACCGTCGTGAATCTCCAGTATGTCCATTCTTCTCTGGCTCGGCCGATGCAGATGCAGCAGTGGTGGGGGAATGAGCAGGGCCAGGTGTTGGGCCAGGCGTTGCCGATGTTCCAGCGCGGGCAGGGGTGCTAGCCTCGGTCTTGCTCTCACCTGGTCTGCTCTTCCGGCTACCCTTCTTACCCTTCTTGCGCTTGGATTTCTTCTCCTCCGCTTCCTGTCGTCGCCGCTCTGCAACCTCTTCCCAGGGCTTTTCCCCTTTGGCGATCTTGTCCAGCAGCACTTTGTGATTCTCGGGTCGACATTGTTCGCAGTAGTACTGGTCCGGCTCGGCACCCTTAGGGAAGACCAGACCCATGCAGTCGTTGTGTTGCCATGCTGAGCATTGGTCGCAGCAGATCATATCGCGCTCCACATCCTCTTCCTCTTCGTACTCTCCACAAATGCATCGAATGATCTCCTCTTCGTCTCCATCTTCGCTAGGTCCGGGGGTAGGTTCTGCGGAGGCTTTGCTGCCGGACTTTTCTTTGGGACTTTTGCCCTTGCCTTTCTTGGACGGGGCATCTGGCAGTTCGAGGTTCTTATGCTGGCCTTTGGTGGCTCGGCCCGATCGTCGTGGTTCGTCTGGCATTAATATTAGCCGGTCATTCAGATACTGTCGGTCTCCACTGCTGATCCTCTCCCAATGATGGGCTGTGTATGAGGCGGCAACTGAGAGAAGATTGGTGTACGATTGCTTACCAGCCATGACACAAATGTGGGTGTACTACACGGCGCGCTCAAGAAGGAGACAAGAGAAAGGATAAAAGCTGTTTGTTCAACAGATATGCGCCTGTCCCACCAATCGCGAAAAGTCTCTACGGGCTTCAAAGGGGGCTAAAGTAATACACGATAGAAGGAAGACGCTGCGCAACAGCACACAGTGATCAACGGTATTACTTGATCGCCAAAGTCGATCCTCCAACTCTGTCTCGGAAACCACTGGGTAGCGTGGTGGCGACGCGTGATATGCTGGGATGTGTTGAGATAGGGTTTGACGTAGTCTGCGATCCCTTGTTGCGCGTCAGTCGCGACACCTAAGCTTGAGCGGGGTCGCGTGTGATGCAAGTATTGGCGATTTCGGTGATAAATCAGAAAGAAACACGGGCGCTAAGACCGAAACAGCGACATCCGCGCTCGCAGAGAAAATGCGAGCGATGATATGTTGTTGATGGGAAATAGGAAAGATGGAATGTGGAAGGAACACAAGAGAGATCCGAGGAGAATGAAATCGGTGGCTTTTGCCAAAGTCAGCACATCACGTGATGAACCAGAACATTAACCTGCTTCAAGACCAAAGCTTCTCCAGGTTCCCCACTCTGCGCAAAAGGCAAAATCCACTTTGCAAATCAACTTGAAACCCTTTATAATTCCAACTTTCCTTCCTTGCTTCATTCATTGTGCCCACCGTGTGAACTGTGACCGAACCCTTAGTCATTCCTTCTTTTCATAACCATGGCGGATGTCCGATCACTGCTTCGCAATGAGCTAGCTTCGCGCAAGGGCGCGTCGCCAAACACCACCGGAAATCGCGTCACCAAGAAGCGCAAGGTCGATAACAACGATGGAGTGATGCGAAAGAAACTCCGATCAACAAGTTTGGAATCAGTTACTCCGTCAGATTTGCCAGCGGATCCTTCACCAAGAATTGCCGAGGACCCAGCGACCAGTGAGATATTGGGGCCTGTGGAGGAGGATGGTGTGGCTGGGCCAGAACTTTCGCAAGATTTAGGGGAAGAAGATACTGTATCTGCTCCACAACCGTCGGATCAAGCAGCAATAATCTCAGTTTCAACACCTAACGCACCTGATGCCGTGGATGAAGACGAGTGGGCTGCTTTTGAACGAGAGGTCGCCGAACCAAGCCGAATGCCCCAGCCACTAGCTGCAGTTACTGCGGCAGCCACAATATCTGCCGCACCTATTTCTGTAGATGAACTTGCGGCGCAACAGGAAAGGGATACCGCAACCACATCACGAGCCCGCGAAGAATTGGAAGGTGACCGTGAGGATGCGGCAAGATTTATGGAAGAGGAATTTGATGAAATGGATCAACTTGAAGAACGGGTCCGCAGACTGAAACATATGCGTGAAGAACTGCGAGAGAAACGTGCTCGTGATGAGGCCCAGGACCGGCCTATGGTTTCAGAGGCTCCACACGCAGACGATAGCGACAGTGATGACGATGATGACGATGAAGACTGGGATGACTGGAGATTCAAATGAATTATGTGGAAGGACAAATGACACTTTCTGGACAAAGGGAAATTGGCCTTCTGTTAATCTACAATGATACCCTCAAAATCAAGCACGGCTGTAACTACATACGATCTTAGATGTATAAATCCTTTTAGCTTTCAATTTTCCGCACAAGACTGGGACTTTCAATTGTTCAGGGAAGTGTTGCAGCGTCTCGGACAAACATTTACAAAGAGACCTCGATGGATTCTTCCTAGGTTCTGACTATAACTTATTGGCTAGGTTTCTCTTGCTCCCCAGCTGGTGGTTCATCCACATCCATATAGCTTCGCAGTCCATCCCTATTAACTCTCATGGCTTCTGCAATCTCAGCTTCGCCTTCTTTGAGAAGATGCTTGCCGCGCACAAGCTCATCACGTTGCCTGCGTTTATCTTCTTCAACCCGTTTCTCACGCTCCGCCAGCGCATGTTCTCGCTTCTCCCGCTCCCTCCGCTTCCGATCAAGTACTTCTTGTTGTTCTGGAGTCAACTGGAGTTCTGGTGCCGGGGGCAATGTAGATATGTACGCCCCGATTAAGGGATCACGGACTTTGGGCGGAAGCGCAATGTATCGAACGTCCGTTATAATAACCGTGGGAAGAGTCTCAAGACTGGAAGACTGGTTGAGGGCATGCAAAGGTGCAGATTTGAGTAGGGCAGAGAGGTCTGATTTCCGAGCGCTTTCAGAAGCCTTGAGTCGTGAGATATAGTCACGATATAACTTCTCTCGATCTTTATCTTGAAGCTGCGAGTCCCTCATTTCTGGTTCTTTCCGGAACTTGCGCTTGAACTCGGGCCAGTACAGCTTTGGTGTCGCATTCTCCTGCAGGAAAGTCAGGTACTTGATGCGTGGGTCTTGCTTTTCCTGATTTTTCTTGCGCTCCTGGACCTCCTTGGCACGGTCTTTGCTCCAATTCGAGAATATTTCTCGTCTAGTTTTCATGTTCGAGGGCGCGGTATATCGGGAATCCTCGATGATACGACCTTCCTCAATGATTTTCTCCCAGGTCGTGAATGGGTTGATGTTGTAGTCATCCAGCAAGTCACGGAAAAGGGCTTCAGCGTCTGCCTCGGTCAACGGAAGACCCTGTGTTTCCTCCCAATCGTCTTCTCCTAGCTCGCCGTATTCGCCAGGATCCAATCCGTAATCTTCGCCCATGGCAGCGAGTTGATATGCCATGTCTTCCTCGGTGAATTCGACAGGTTGATTTTGTGCACCTTCGCTGTCGGTGCGCGCACGCTTTGACGGCTGATCCTCACCCTCACTATCGGTCACCTCCACCTCCTCGTACTCATCACTATCTTCTGCGCCCTCTGAAGCTTCCACTGAGGCATGAGACTCTTTCGCGGTTATATTATCGGTGGCGGGAATTGGCTTCGCCTTAGGTGTTTCTGCTTTGCGCGGTGCCTCTAATTCTTCTCCACGCTCGATTCTCGCTTTCTTCTCACGCTCTAGCCGGTCATACTCAGTAACGGCCTTGAGCACTTCCTTCGGAAACTTCCAGAAACTCTCGTTGGTCTCGGTGTTGTGCACAAACCGCCGACCTAACTTGGTTTTTACGAGAACCCACGGCTCACAATCAGGAATGACGTGCTTCGACTTCGGTCGGTCTTGAGGCTCTCGTCGACCACGGTCTTGATATCCCTTCCCACCACGGAATCCACCACGCCCATGGCCGTGTTGTGACTGGTGTTGGCCGTACTGTGCTGGTCCTGGTTGGTAGCCTGCAGGGCCATATGGCGTTGAAGAAAATGCTGGTAATATTTCCGGTGTGTAGGCCGGAGCTGCCGACGATGCTTCGTGGATGATTGGCGCAGGTCTGGTATATGTAGACTGTTTTGTAACGGTGTTATAAAAGTACAAATGACCTACAGATTCAGTTGGATTATTCAAGAGGATTTCAATGCGAACGTACCAGTGGGCGCCCGGTGCTCCGTCCACCCTGGAGGCAGGGGAGGAGGAGGTGTGTATGTTGACTTGAGCATTATTCAGCTACCAAGTTGATCTTGAATTGTGAGAGCGAGCCAAATGCCCTATTTGATGAGTTGGAGTAAAAAGCCGTGATGAAGCTTTGGTGTGGTGAGGTGGTCCGAGCTTGGCGGATGACAAGAGGACGCGCCAGGGCAAGTTGCCTGGGACTTCCTAGAGCTCCATCTGCACCTCCGACCGACCTTCATCCCCACTCCCTTCTTCCACGATTTTCTCTATTCCCTCGTCCTAAGACCTTTTTGTGCTCTTATTATATGCACCATGTCTCGGCGATATGATTCACGGGTGAGTTAAGTTGGGTCTTTCACTGCAGCTCACGCTAACCTATGACGCTGATGGATTAGACTACCATCTTCTCCCCAGAGGGTCGACTCTACCAGGTCGAATATGCTCTAGAGGCCATCTCTCACGCCGGTACTGCCCTTGGTATTTTAGCTAAGGATGGAATTGTCCTCGCTGCGGAGAGAAAGGTGACCAGCAAGCTGCTGGAACAAGATACCTCTGCTGAGAAGCTCTACACAATCAACGAGTAAGTCAGCATCAAACTAGACATATCCTTCCTCTCTCCTTCATACTTATAGTACATGAGCTGATGCCGCTTCCAGTAACATGATTTGCGCCGTGGCTGGTATGAACGCCGATGCGAACATCTTGATCAACTATGCCCGGCAAAACGCCCAACGCTACCTCATCACCTACAACGAAGACATCCCTTGTGAACAGCTTGTGCGCCGACTGTGTGATTTGAAGCAAGGCTATACCCAGCACGGTGGTCTCCGTCCGTTCGGTGTGTCGTTCATCTATGCCGGGTGGGATCACCTCCGTCAATTCCAGCTGTACCAGAGCAACCCCAGCGGAAACTACGGTGGATGGAAGGCCACAAGTGTCGGTGCCAACAATGCTAGCGCACAGAGTCTGCTCAAGCAAGACTACAAGGAGGACCAGACATTGAAGGAAGCCTGCGCCATGGCCGTCAAGGTCCTGAGCAAGACCATGGATTCTACAAAGCTGAGTAGTGAGAAGAGTGAGTCCCCCGCGTCCCTGCATGATTATTTCCTCCGCGCGCATCATTGTCTTGTGTCAGACTAACTCGTATTTCTCTTCCCCAGTCGAGTTTGCAACGGTAGGCAAGACCGAAGATGGAAAGATCTACCACCACCTATGGACTGCGGATGAGATTGATGCGCTTCTCCGGGACCAAGGGCTGGCCAAGGTGGATGATGAGCCTGAGGCTGGTGACATAAAATAGATTAATACCTTCACTTGTGTTTTCAGATAACTTGGAAATCAAGAACGGCACTTCTTACTCGGCTGTTTATCTTTCTTACTTCTTTCATTGACTGTTTTCTGGCCCGATGGGCTGCTGCTGCTGTTACTGCTGCTGCTGATGACTGCAGTAGGTGCTGTCCGTGACGTGGCATACATCCAGCGGCTGGATCTTGAGACCCGATCTGTTGCATACTCCGGGGGAAGTTTGTTGGACCAAACACTGGTACACGTAGCTGGGGCCAGCTAAGACTAGGATGAAGTGTCAGTGTCAAGAAGGTAAATTCTCCGATCATGTGTCGGGGTATGTACTATATAAGTTTCCCAGTCGCCATCTCATCCCCAGGATTTCTTGCCGACCACCCAGCTCCAAGTTCACGGTATCGTGGACCAGACCTGGAGATCTATGCAGATAGACCTCTCCGCGGTAAGAGCCCTATGTATCTGCGAACGTGTTCATCTCCAAGAACATTCCCTTGGAAGCTCCTCACTGAAGACTAAATTATTGATCATTCGACAATATATGCACAAGGTTCAAGTCTAAATTCTGGGACATAGATATGGACCCTCGGGAACCTCAACATACAATGAACAATGCCATTCAGGCTAGATGCTACCTACTCCAACAAGGTATGTAAGAGGAGGTTGATTGTTGCCCAATGGAGTGCTCATGCACATGTGCCTGGCTCATCCGGATACAGCTTACATAATATTTATACTACCCACGTGACTCACCCAAATGAGGGGGTTTCACAGTTCGCGGGGCGAACTATCCTTCTTTTTGACTGCATTGAATTGCATCAATGGGTTTTTCCCCCTCGAGATGGATTGGCAAGCTACTGCCTCCTCTTATTCAGGCTCTTACGATTCATCATTCGGGAATCTGCAGTAGAAGCCCCTCTTTCCTCACCATGAGATTGGGGTTGTCTCAGCGAACCGCTCGCCCAAGGAAATCACGGCGCTTATGGGATGACTAGGCTCCATTGATGTATTCATTGGACATCAAAAGCCTAAAGAATTGAAGAAACAATGCGGATGAACCAATGAAAATTTTCATTAAAATTCTTCAGACCCTCTGGTGTCATACTGCCCATCACATTGCAGAAACTCGATTCAGACTTGATGTCACAGAAGATGCGCTGTACGTGGTGAAACATGAAACACCCCAAAGAAAAGTTCCACCAGCCGATGGGATGAAAAGAAGACGCCAAAAACAAAATGGTAAAAGAAAATCAAGCACGAAACATGAAATCGAAAAGTCCAATCAATACACCTGGTGTTCGCTCAACAAAGACGACCGATGGCCGTCGATCCCCGCCAAGTCCTATCTCAGAAGGGTGCTGCGTCGGTCATCCCGTTCCATTTGCAAGCTGTAAATCTCCTTGTCCAGTTCCTTGATGAGAGCTTTGGACCGATCCATTGATGCAACCAAAGTGGCTCCCTCACGTTTCCACCTTTCGAGCCGGTCGACCTCGGCGCTTCGCCGCCGGAATTTGGTCTCGATTTTCTCGCAAAGGCGGCACTTGCTAGCATCGTTCTCTGTCATGTTGACGAGTTTCATTCCGCATGTCTCGCCGGTGCGGTACTCGTAATTGCATCGATGGGCGAAGCTAGTCCAGCTCCAATCCCCACAGGAGAATCGTTTCTGGTTGTAAAAGCACATGCCTGCCAGATTGCGTTAGTGCTGTTCAATCCTCACGTCCGATCAAACTTACTTGCTCTGAGTACCCAAGCTCTTGTTTCAGGATGATTGGAGGTGCGTGATTGGTCCTTGCCAAATTACCCAAGCTCGCTTGACAGGCTTGATAGGCTAACTTGTGACCCTTTTTATCAAAGGCACTTTGTGAGAGGATCAAAGAGGTTTAAAACAGAATGATTTAAATGAAAAAAAGCTTTCTCCGAGGAAGATCTATGGACCTGAGTTGCTGGCTTGAGACTTTGATTCTGAAACCTGAGGGGATAATTTTGAACCCCACGATCATCTAAGGGATCCGAATGCCCTATTTATGTTTCGGTCAATATTTACATGTCACCAGCTGGGTCTCTCAAAACCGTGGCCCGCCAAAAATCGTGGTCCTCTAGCTGATCGACGCTGACCGGTGCGGGACGGCTTATCGTCCGTGTCTCTCATTCATCAGATTCCCCATCGCAACCTGGTTTTGCTAAATCCGGTTGGCTATCAGCAGTTCTCTTGATAGTGGAGACTGTAAGATGCCCAAGTTTTCTCGGATGGAGCCACACCAAGGATGAACCGTTGCTTCAAGCATGCATGCACCTTTTTTTATTTTTTATTTTTCAATGGCCGTGGCGAATTTTGTTCCCATTATGATGTACGAGGATGGAAAATCCCTCAATCTATGGCTGCGGTCATCCATTTTCCAGTCTCGACTACTGCAACTATGCCGTCGCCAGATTGCCTTTCCCCGCCCTTCATGTGCATGTCGTTCGCATGGAGTCGGGCTCCTGTGATGCTGTTGCGTCCGGCATACACGATCCTGCATGATTGAGGTGCTCTCGGCCGCCGCCAGCTGTCACCTCGATGCGATTATCAGACATATCCACTCAGGGATAACCTTGTTCTACACAGAACGAAAAATTGTTCTGTTTTCCGAATGTGACAGGACTGCACGTCCCCTGTGACTCCACCGGGATGAGATACTCTACTCTCCACCATTCATACCTCATGTCGCCACCCTTGATTGGATGAATACAGCATTTACTATAAGCTTTGACTCGGCCGTCCGTCCGGAAGTCCTCTCCTGTCCACAGAAAATGGCATTCGGCGTGGCCGTCTGTGATTGCATGCGCATGCACACCCGCATTATTGCCTCCACCTCCCCATCCATCCCTGGCCCTTGGCTGATATTAAATATCCTGCATTGGCGCATTGGGCCATGAAGAATAGTACCGGTTTCAGCTTGGGATTGCGACCCGACCTAGTGTTCGCTCTCTATCACCTTGTGGCCGAGCCTTTGTTACAAGGATATCAGAACTGGGACTTGGTCTTTCGTTCCACACCCGCCGCAACTTTACGCTCCGTGCCTGTCAGCCAATGGTCCTTCACCCGGGTGGCAACAGTCGCGTCACTGAGGCTCTATTATTGGTAATTCCTGCATCCAGGGACACGGGCCACAGAATTGGGTTTTCTCTCTCTTTCTGCTCGATGCATTGCCCACTCGGGGTTTGGACGGCGCCGGATTCATATTCGTTCAGCTGATCTTTCATACCTGCAGAGGAGGGATCCTGCATTTGGCCCCGCTCATGTGTATCGCTCATCGTCATACAATTGCTTCTTTGGGGGGGAATGATAGGACCTAGATGCCGTGCGGCGTCCGTCGCAGACACGAACCGTGACACATTCCACATATTGCTGAACCACATGCAGCTGCACCAAAGCTCGGAGACTCTGACGTGGCACATCACTTCTGGCTCGGTGCACTAATTCCTGAAAATGAGGGCTGGCTGGCAGACCGTCGGTCGAAGACCGCAACATCTTTAGAGGCCTCGGCGGAGGCTCCACATGAGAGCCGGGCTTCCATCCCTGTTATTCAAGAAAATGGTGCATGAGTATTGCTTTTCTCGGTCAAAGATGGAAATGACTGCATTGCCTCTACTTGTCGACGCACTGATCCACTCGATGGGATACCCAGCGATACGACGCACAATCATTGGAGACAGCCGCTCAAATTACGTCCCCTGCCTGTTTTTGGGATGGTCATCCATGGCAAAATGTTGAGTTGGCACCCGGAAATCCCTGACCAGCGGCGAACAGCCTCAGCGGGCACAGCCTTGGGGAGCATTAATCCATTTTCTGCAATGAATTGGTTGCGTCAGCCCGAGAATACTCGAATCAGCTTCGCAATACCCCTGCTTGTTGCCCTTCGTTCCGTATCCCTTCCACGATGGTCCTTCTTGAGTTTGTCTTGCGTGGTCCGGGACCTGTCTCTGGCAAGGATCAGAGCCAAAAATAGTGAGAAAATAGTGGGAAAAAATCGTAAGAGGATTTCTGCCCAACGAGCAAAGTTACCGGAAGAATCTCCAAAGAATTCAAGATGGGATTAGTACCATTGTTGACTGGTTTTATGTGCTATAGTCTCCGGTTATCCGTACTACAACGTTGAAATTGGATTCTCGGACCCGCATACATGCTCCCACACTGCTGGGCTCCTCTGATCCCGTGATCTTAAAGTGAACGGATCCCGCACCACATACGCGCATGCTTCCTCTACCAGGTGACAAATGGTGGCCGGCTATGGAAGCTTTGGGGATCCAGAGCAGAAAGACGACCGCTGGAAAGCAGGTCAGCGAATTCAGATTGGACGACCGGACATGGCTTTCTCACTTGCAGCCGAACTTAGCGCCCAATCACAAGCCCTGTCTGATGTCGGTCATCTGCAGCTAACAAGACGATTCTCCACCACGATGTACCTATTGCGAATGGTGCATATCATCGACTCTCATGCCAAGACAGGCAAACCTTGATAGCCCATTGGTCGATTAGGGACGTTCTTGATGCGGGCCCTCGCATCTGCATTCCCCCAGGTGCCATTCTCTCCATGCCGACAGACTTGGAACCCGCATGCCATTTTGGCACATGTCTGCCTTGATGCAGGATCTACATTTCCGTGCTTCTACCATTCTTGGCTGAAGTCTGTCGATCTTCAGGTTCTTTTCCCGTACCTAGGATTAATTAGGCAACTATATAATATCGGTAAGAAACCAGACAGGTATGCCAGTCAAACTTCCCGGCGTTGATTCCGCGGAATTGACTTCGTTATCCATGGTGTATCCTGGCGTACTATAGTCCGAACTTTATCAATCGTACGCAAACAATCGAAGCAAACATTATGCAACCCTTTATTGAGATCAGATGTCGATCCTCGTGTTCAGGTTGTTGACGTGGCAGTGACTCGCCTTGACCGATTAACCGGATTTAGTTTACCATAATCTAACATGCAGATGTAACAGGTCATATTCTTGATTGCAATTTACTTGGGAATTCCCAGATTACTTCTGGGTACATCTTCCAAGCTCATTACCAGATCTGGTTAGGAGTCAGGTGACGTCATCGTGACTCTTTGGAAATGCTCTGAACAGGACCGGTATTGGCACGACAGTACCAGAGAAAATGATCTTTAAGGCTTTCAATTCGACATTATTTCCTTTCTTCCACTTTTTAACACACTCGAATCAAATCACCATATTACCAAATTGCCATATTCAAGTCAAAAACCAAGATCAGCTTTTCAATGTTTAAGAGCCTCATCATCAGCGGCCAACGGGTCGTCAGAACCACTCGCCACCAACCCTCTCCCGGTTTTCTGACACCATTGCTATCCCCAGCAACGCGGATCCCGTTCACTACAACGTCCCGATCTCAGAATGCAGGCGACAAATCCGATTCATCTCTCAAAGATCGCGAGAAGCTAGATCCCGAGCGATCGGAGGGCACAAAGTCCGGCACCGATAGTGAGGTCGCCCATCATGAATCAGCCTATGATCCGCACAACACCGCACCTGAGAGCGAGATGGAGGCTGTGGGAAAGGAAAAACAAAAACATGGCAGGGACGGTAACCCTTTGGACATGAGCGCTGCCAATTCTGATGTTAGTTCGTGGCGAGGACCAGAAGAGGAGGGACCTGTTCGAAATGTTGATAAGCCAACTCATAGTGGGAAAGGAGTAACGCAGAAGAGTCGGTCGATACATGTTAAGGAGGACGGGTCTCATGTTTCATACCAAGACTGAGTTGCTGCTTCTACATAAAGAAACGCAGGGGTTCCTCTCCTCTAATTTTTCTCCACCGATTACTAGACTCTATCAACTCTTCACAACCATGCATTACCCACGCATACTTTCTTAAGAACCCTGGTGTAGCTTCCCAACTATCCATCCTATAGGGTTCTCCCCAAACAATAAGCCCGGCCCGATTTGCAGTAACCTCGTCATCATCCGCATCCGATTCCTCACTCCATCCCATCTGATCAAGGTCTTGATCCATGAATCCCGAACCCTCAGGTTGCGGAAATAATATCAAATCCATTGAATACCCCATTACATCTACCGCAAATTCCGCATGACTGAATGACCCTTCCCACTTAATAAGATTATCCCGCATAGCAGGGAAGGGAAGGGTATTAATCCATGTCGAATGAATAAGACTCCTCTGTGATTCTGTGGGTGTAAGATTTCCCGGAACAACGACGTCTGATGCCCTGGGTAACACGACCGAGAATGTGGGAAATGATTCATCAAATCGTTCCGGGTGGCGACCCGGGCTTAGTGATATGGATGTCTGGCCTAGAATCATCTTGTTTTCGTGCAGGCCGCGGAACGCATTGTATTGGATCAAGTGGAGGAGTTGGTCGGCGGATGGGGCGGGTTTGGGGTAGGATATCGCCGATGCCGACGGGCTTGTGACCAACGCTGACCGGGTGTCTGCATCCGAAGATGGGACTTTTGGCTCTTCGATTTGGAGGAAGGGGGTGATCTTTATCTTGGTCTCACTCTGATATGGATCGTTGGAGTTTATTCTCCAGCGGCGTACTTGGTAGCCGTGCCTCCCTAGGTGATGTTGATTATTTGCTTGAAGCCGATTTCCTATGTTATCATCTTTAGTTTCTAATCAGGGACAAATCCAAGTGTCTATGACCTACTGTGAGCCCTTTGGTTTAGTCGATTTTGGAGTTTCTTTCGTAGCCTTTTCTCTTCAGACTTGGTTTGACTTTGATGTACCGTGGTCTGCATGCTGATGTGATGGAGATGAGCTAGTCAATTCTGTGGAGACTTGTAGGAAAGATGATTCCGAATCCCTAAAGACTCAGATATATGTAGAGGGGAGGTGGTTCGCTCTAGTCCGAAAGAGGAAAAAAGGGTCAGCCATGGGAATAAGCACAGTTGAGCTAACCATAAATGGTGAAAAATGTCAGCCAGTATGTCTTAGTACTAGAACTGAAGTATAGTTAGCGACTATAAAAGTATCCTTGTCTCCAAGCATTCAACTTTGTATAACATTTCATATCAAGGTTTGCAAATCTTCAACATCTATTATACAATGTCTCGCTATGCCGCTGCTCACGCCAATCCCCAAGGTCTTGGTGATGCCCGACCCACAGCAATTCAAATCATCAAAGATGAGGCAATGGAAGGGAGGCTGACCAACAAGGTCATCGTGATAACCGGAACCTCCTCAGGAATCGGCATCGAAACCGTGCGTGCTCTTGGAGCCACGGGAGCACGACTTTTCCTGACAGCCCGAGACCTGGCTAAAGCAAAGACAGCCCTCGGTGACATCTTCGACGCTACCAAGATGGAGCTCATACACCTGGACCAGACCTCGTTCAATAGTGTCCGAGCCGCCGCCGCCGCCATTCTCTCCAAAACAGATCAAATCACAATCCTCATCACCAATGCCGCAATCATGGCTATCCAGGAACGTCAGCTGACGGAGGGTAGCTATGAGCTGCAATTCACAACCAACCATCTGTCCCATTTCCTCTTCTTCAACCTTCTCAAACCTGCTCTACTAGCTGGGTCCTCGGCGGATTTTCAATCTAGGGTCGTTGTGGTCGCTTCTGCTGTGCCCCCTGTCGTCACTCTCAATTCTTCAGACAACTATCATTTCCAGAAGGGTGGTTATACGCCTTGGGGCGCTTATGCTCAGTCGAAGCTTGCAAATATCTACATGGCCAATGAGATTGAGCGTCGTTTTGGCTCGAGTGGGCTGCATGCGACTAGTCTTCATCCTGGTATCATTGCTACAGGCTTGGCGCAGCACTTGCCTGCCGAAGAGCTTGGTGCGATGCTGCAGAATGAGGATATGATCAAAATTCAGAAAAGCGTGGAGCAAGGAGCTGCTACTACAGTGTGGGCTGCAATTTCCAGGGAGTTGGAAGGAAAGGGTGGTCTGTACCTTAATGATTGTGCTGTTGCTAAGTGTGGTGAGGATGATGGTAATCATGCTCTTTGGATGACTTCCAGCTGCACGTACAATGTGGAGGATGAGGCTAGACTTTGGAAGGACTCTTTGGATATGGTCGGACTGTCTGAGGATCACTAAAAGAGGAAATATGATGGCTATTCGTGTTGTATGTACATGATTTCAAGGTCAAAGTGTATCTGATGTCAAACGTCATGAACAAAACATATTATTGAATATGCATTCTGCATACTGCATAGATACTTAACCGTCACTGTTACTTTCAACAAAGGGACCATCAAGTGCTCAAGTCAAAAGACAATAATAAACATTAAATCAGAACTAACCGATCGTATATCTAAAAAAAAACGTACAAAGTCGGACTCAACCCAACTGGCCAGAGCAAGCACTCACTCCTTGGCAATATCAATAATAGACTTCCCCTCAATTAACCAAACCTTCTCACTACCAGCAGGAACATCCCCCTCCAAAGCCTTCAACCCAGCTTTAACAGCCGCCAGTCCAATAACATCCGCCTCCTGAGCCCACGGATCCTTCAGCCCAGAATGAAGCTTCCCCATCCACCCCGCCACGAACCGAGCAGCAGCCTCAACAGGCCGACTCTCTCCACGGGTTCCAGCAATCAAGCCGGGCCGCAGAATAACCGTATGCTCAAACCCAAGCGCCTTCACATCTTCCTCAATCTCGCCCTTCATACGCGAATAAGCGAATGAGGCGGTCTTGCTCGCACCGTTGCTAGAAATAAGCACATAGACCTTGACGCCGGCCTCGCGGGCTGCGCGTGCTAACTCGATGTTCAGACCATGTTCGATTTTGTATTGGTTCTCGAATCCGCCTGCTGCGGCTCTGGTGGTGCCGAAGGCTGAGATGAAGATGTCGGGTGTAGGGGTTAGGGATGAGAGTTGGGCTGCCCACTTTGTGGTGTCGTCGGAGACGAAGGTGGTGAGTTTTGCTGGGGCATCGTTGGCTGCTGCTGGGGTGCGGCGGGAGATGGTGTCGATGCGACTGACGTTGGGGTTGGATATCAGGCTGGTGAGGATGTGGGAGCCCTGGAGGGGTGGTCAATGGTGTTGTCGGGTTGTAGGGGGAATTTGAAACTTACCACCATACCCGTACATCCGAGTAGTGCTATGTTCGCCATTATTGCTCTATAGTTCGAGATTAAAGGTTGGTTGGTAGATAATGGTGGCTTGATAACGTTTTGAGGGTTTCCCTTTCGTCATTGTGGAGCTGGAGCGTCTATCGACACCTAATTTTATAAGGCACCAACTCTTAACTACTAGTTACAATTACCAGATTCGGACAATTGCCCTAACCTCTGACCAATATTTTGTGACCAATAACATTTGAAGAGTTCGCCTAGCTTCCTAATAATTACTTAGAGAGTTCTTAAGATAGTATGTAATTAGTAAGATAGGAGAGGAGGTAAAAGGCTGGATAGAAGACTGAGTGGAAGACCAGGCCCACCTGGGATACTGAAGAGGAGACCAAGTAGGAGACCAAGTAGGAGACAGGGTAGGTAAATGGTATCAGAGGTATAATACAATATTAGTCAAATTTTTTGTTCTAGGGGCAGCGTGAAATGCGCCGCGCAAAGTCTGTAAATATTACAAGCATACGTATGTCCATGGGCAACCTGAATACAATTTCGCCTTGAAGTTGTTCATGGTGAGAGTAACTAGACACTAGGCATGTTGAAAAAAGCTCTTCCCATTTGTATATCTAAATTCTTGAGCTTTGGGAAAGCTTCTTCTCCTGGGCTTGATAAATCTTGACCAACTGACGGACAGACAAGTCAAGGAGGACATCCTCCGAACCACCGGGAATACGAACACCAGGGACATCACGGTAAATAGCTGAAGGGAAGATCAGTTAGCGTCCAAAAAATACACTCGAAAAGTCAAACTTACCCTCCACAAGCTCTCCCTGGCCCGCTTGAGTGAAGCCACTTCCACCAAACAGCAACACAGCAACCTGGGCACACTCATTAAGTACCATGGCAGACTTCGCCTTAGCCAAAGCTGTCAATCCACCGAGCTGGCGATCACCCTCTTCCTTGCTAAGATGGCAAAGTTGATAGAGAATCTGCTCAACCCAGGCCCACATTGATTCGAGTTCGGCGCCAGCCTTGGCGAGTCGGTGCCGCACCACAGGCTGATCCATCAGAGTCTTACCAAAAGCTTCACGCTTAAGGCAGTACGAGAAAGCAGCAGACAAAGCTACACGTGCTTGACGGGTGACACCGACAGAAATGACCAAGCGCTCGTGGTTGAAGTTTGTCATGATAAGGCGCATGCCCTCACCTTCTTTGCCGATGATATTGGATACTGGAACTTTTACATCGTCGAGTTCGATGTATGTTGTTCCACCTGCTTTCTGGCCAGCGACCTTGAGGCGACGCATTGTGACACCGGGGTAGTTTTTAAGGGGCACGACCATGACTGATAGTCCGCTGGGACCTGGGCCGCCAGTACGCACCGCCATGGTTGTGTAGTCGGACCAAATGCCATTGGTGATCCTGATGATGGTAAGCGGAACATGTCTCTGTTTGTTATAAAGAAGAAGTCGACGATAAGGGATTCTACCATTTCTTGGCCCCGTTCAGAATGTAATATTTTCCGTCAGCACTCTTGACAGCAGTGGTGACTATGTTCGCAACATCGCTACCAGCCTCTGGCTCGGTGATGGCGATGCAAGTGCGTTTCTTTCCCGTAAGAAGATCAGGGAGGAATCGCTCTTGTAATTCTTTGCTGCCAAACTTGACAATGGGCGCGATTCCAAAGGCAAATCCTGCGTTCAGAGAACCTCCAGGGCCACTTAGACCTGACCGAGCCAGCTAGGAACGGTTTGTTAGTATTGCAGTATGGAGATCTTTACTGTGATCTGACAACTCACCTCGTCAAGATAGATTCCTGTATAGATATAATCCCAATCCTCGACCTTGACACCGAGAATGTCATTGATGCCAAGACGTTTCAGCCAGTCGACAGGAAGGGGGGCGGGCATGTTGGGCAACAACATGTTGTGTTTGTTGAATGTCTTAAAAACGTGTTCTGGCACTGTGCCCTCCTTCTCCCATTCCATTGCATGTTGAATCAGATTTTCCCACATGAATTTGCGGCACGCTTGCTGGAAGCGACTATGGGCATCGGTGATGTATGGTGAGGGCAGGCCGCGCAAATAAGGCGGTTCGGAGAAAGGAATGGGGTTGATAGAATTAGTTGCCATATTCAGAGATGACAAAAATGAGCTATAGAAAGAAGTTTGATGATTTGCTCTGAGATGCGAAAACCTGGGGAATGCAGGAAAAGGTTGTTTACATAGATAGAGCTTTATCGGAATCTGGGGTCCATAACCTACTCCGCTTTCTCCGCAAAGGGATTTGGCTGGCGACCGAGGCTCGGTTTATAGTACGTCACATGGTCATTTGCTGAGTCATGATCTACATAAGTACTGTGTATAACTTCATGTATTTAGGTTAGCCACTTCAAGGTGCTATACTGACTTAAAACATGAAATCAGGTGAAACCGGTGGTGCAGATAGTGGAGTACCGCGCTTCAAAAAAAGGCCTCCGAGGAAAAAAAATAAGCAGCGACCGTGGTTCGAACACGGGATCTTGAGATGATTTGCAAGTATAATTGCAATCTCACGCGTTACCACTGCGCCACCGCTGCTAATTATTGAAATGTTGATTTAAGATTCATCTCATACTCTACTACGCAAAATAACTGTTCTGTACATCTCTTCAACTCAGTTATCAGTGGATCCTGATGTCCAATCACGTTATAGATACTAAAAACGCGCAAGTTCGAGGCTCGGGCTCTGCATTACGGTGAGGGGCGATGTTACTTTGATAATAAATTCTATCCGTCATGACTCATCCTGGATTTTACATGTTCTAATACACTTCTTTTCTCTCCTTTGGTTTTCGTCTATCAAGATGGCGACCCCTGCGAGTCCCATAATGGGCTATGGATGGCGCTCGTCCCGGTCCTTGATCATAGGGACGGCATGTCTGGCTTTGTTGACTGGTAACCCCACTATACTTTCCTGTCCGGATAGCTTATGCCGAATCTAACATTCCGATCAAGAGGTGTTGCTCTATGGCTTCGTGGTTCCGATCTTGCCTTATATGCTCGAAGTTCGTTTGCGGCAGGATCCGGCTTTGACACAACAATTGACAACGTCGTTGCTGGGAATTCATGGCTTCGCTACACTCTTATCAGCTCCTATTCTGGCCCATTTCATTGATAAGACATCGAATCGACGATCTCCACTTCTTGTTTCTCTCTCGGTCGCGTTGGGAGGAACTATTCTTGTTGCTGCCACGCCGACCTGTAAGTTCTTCAATTAGATTTCCTTGGTTTATGATGTCGCCTCTGACAACTCAATAGATTGGGCTCTGACCCTGGGTCGAGTTATTCAAGGTATCGCAGGAGCGGCAGCATGGATTGTGTGTCTTGCCATATTGACCGAGAATGCCGGAGAGGGAAATGTCGGGAAGATGATGGGACTAAGCATGTCTGTCGTTATGACTGGCACTGTTGGAGGCCCGGCACTATCAGGGGCATTACTAGAGCTGGCTGGGTACTGGCCTGCTTGGTACCTGCCGATAGGGGTTCTCATCTTCAATATTTTCGTATGGTTGATCTTGATTGAACCACAAGGATCACACTCAGACAAGTCTGCTGAGGCGAACGGAGATGACATAAGTACTGCAGAGATCAACAACTCTGAAGCCTCTCCACTGCTTTCACCAATCGTCAAAACTCACTCCAAGGACGGTGATGCCCAGCAGACACCTCCACCATCCAACTTCTACTTTATAATGGCCTCCGACCCCCGCGTCATAGTCAGTTTCGCAAATGTCTTTATCAGCTCTGTACTCACTGCTGCGTTGAATACCACCTTGCCTGTTCACCTTCGCCAAATCTTTGGATGGGGACCTTTGGACGTGGGGACCATGTTCCTACTACTTCGTGTCCCAGCAATTGTCCTTGGTCCTTTCTCAGGCTGGCTTCGAGATCTCGTCGGTCTGCGATACCCTACTACGATTGGATGGGTTCTCCTAAGCCCTCTGTTTGTGATCATGGGTCTTCCTGGCAATGGCATGTCCTGGGCCAGTGGTGAAGACCATGGAAAACCTATCTTTGTTTTTTCAATGATTGGCATTGGAATGATGTTACCCTTGATTCAGGGATCGGGGATGTTGCATGCACTGAGTAAATGAGATCATTTTTCCTTCTATGCTCAATCACTGACAATATTTAGCAATCTTGGAGGAGTTTGAGTCAAAACAGCGCAACATTTTTGGTGCCCATGGTGGACGTTCGAGAGTTTTTGCAATGACCGAGATCTCATTCAATCTCGGTCTTATGCTAGGGCCGCTGTTAGCAGGACTTGTCTCAGAGAATTCTGGCTTTGATGTTATGAGTATGACGTTAGGTGAGTCCCGATTCCAAGATGACTTCTTTTTAGAATGTATTTGCTTAGATATTTTGATCTAGCTTCTCTCTGCTTGGTCATTGCCCTGTTAACCCATCGGTTTTTTGTGTCGGGACGTCAGCCGACAGAGGGTGGTACTTCGGCATGAAATGTTTACCAACGTACTTGATATGTGAGTACATATGCAAGGTTTGTCCGTGGAGAAACTCATACGGATTTGTGAAGGACATATGTTTAGAACCCCCCAAGAAACGGATTCGGAAGGGAACGATGCATTCAATGTTGAAGTCGAGTTGATTTTGATCACGTAGATTGTCACTTCAAAGCTTTCACGAACATTTTGAGCGCATAACTTTTCAATGCTACTTATTTCAAGATACTACTGGTGTCAGCTATTTTTTACAATAAGAAAGAGTCTTAGAGTTTGCAACATTAAGGTTAATTGTCCCATGGGACATTGATAACTGCCTCAGGCACAGTGGCCAATTGTGCTGAGTCATCAACCTAAAGCGGAACTTTTCTGCTGAATTTTTAGAGTTTTTGCCATCGGAGGCCGCCCGAGTTCTTATCGATAAGAAAATTCGTGATTGCGTGATTGCGTGATTGGCACTATCCCCGATAAGGCAAGTTGCCCTGGGCTTTTCTATACTTTGCGGGCATTCGGACGAGATCTCCCCTCCTTCTCTCCACACTTCTCTTATTTGGGGTGATTTCTTTCTTGTCATTTATTTGTGATATCGGTGTTTTGCATCCCGGTATCTAGACAAGATTCAAAATCACAATGGGCGCTACAAACCCTGCCCTTTCTGCCCTCTCGGGCCCGACATATGTCACTGCCCAGACCCTGATTCAGCAGGTTGCATACTTGCTCAGTGACAAGATCTTCTCGTACTCCCCCGAGACCTTCGACCTTGATGCTGCCCTCCAGCAATGGTCTGCGGCACAAGAGAAAAATACCAGTGGAGAGTCTCCTGTGGTTAAGACCATGGAGACCCGTCAGGGCGCTGGAAACATGGCTCTCGGTTACCTCTTCTCCCAGGACTTTGACCTGAAGAAACGCCATGTTCCCCAGGGAATTGTGGCTTCTTCTGCCACTCTGCCCTACATGCGCGCTGCTCTTGAGCAGCTCTCTCTGCTGTACTCTGTGGCGAGTCCGGTGGCGGCCCATGTCGCTGCTGCCGACTATGCCGGAGAGGAGGGACTCGTGTCTGACTACGCTTCCGCTCTTTCTCTGGCTGAGGACCTCGGTCTTGGTCTCGTATCCAGTGCCTCTGCTCACGAGTCTCAACACATGGCTCTGTTCACCACTCTGCTGGCTTCTGTCCTGCCCTCCATCCACATCTATGATGGTGTTCGCGTTGGACGCGAGACCACTCGCGTCATTGATGTCCTTGACAAAGAGGGCTTGGCCCGCGCTTATGAGACCGTTCGCAAGACACTTGATGATTCTCGCAACCGTCACCTTGATTCCGAGGGCAAGGTTTTGGATCTGCTCAAGAGCCTGAACGGCGAACTTGGCACCGACTACGGTGCCTTTGAGTACCACGGACACTCGGAACCTAGCTCCGTCTTGGTCGTCTTTGGTACCGTGGAGGCTACTCTCGCGGCCCAGGTTGCTCGCTCCCTGGCCAAGAGTGGTGTTAAGATTGGTGTCGTCAACGTCCGCGTTTACCGTCCCTTCATCGAGGAGGAGTTCCTGCGTGTCCTGCCCCAGTCTGTGAAGACTGTTGGCGTCCTCGGACAGGTTGCCAATGAGCAAGCTGTCCAAGAGGAGAGCGTTCACTCCGCTCTCTATGACGACGTGCTGGCCGCTTTGACCTTTGCCACTGGCCGTGAGCACAATCCCGGTTGTGTTGAGCTCAAGTACCCCCGCTCTCAAATCTGGAACCAGATCACCACTGCTGCTGCATTCCAGCGCATCTTCGACCAGCCGATTCTCTCTATCGACACTGTGACTGATGAGGCCGCTCCTCTGCAGTTGCTGGACTCCACCGTCCAGGAATACACCTTCTGGGATGTCGACAGCTCAGTCACTGAGTCTGCCACTCAAACCTTGAGCCAGGCCCTTGCTGCTGATTCTGCAAGCAATGTCACCACCAGCAAAATCCACGATAACCTTGTGCAAGGTGGTGCTATTCGCGTTGATATCCGCAAGAGCGCCAAGATCGTTGACGCTCCCTACTCCGTCACCGCCGCTGACGTTTCCTACGTTGGAAACGTTGCACTGCTTAACGATGTCGATGTTCTTGCATCTGTCAAAGACAATGCTAAGATCATTGTGAGCGCTCCTGGTGTCAAGGATGAGGATCTCGAAAAGAAGCTGCCCGCTGCCTTCAAGCAGGCCATTGCTCAGCGCGGTGTCTCGCTCTTTGTGGTCGATTCGTCAGCCATTGAAGGTGCCTCTCTCGATGCCCTCATCCTCCAGGCTGCCTTCTTCCGCGTTGCCCTTCCCTCCCAGGAAGCCGTTGCCACGAAGAAGCTGGCTTCTATTTTGGGTAATGCTGAGGCCTTGGACAACGTCAGCAAGGATCTTGACAAGGTCCTTCGCCAGATTGAGATCCCCGAGGCTTGGAAGGAGCCTGAAGGTGTCAGCGAGGCACCCCAGCTCCCCAAGGACATTTCCGCCAACAGCTTCGTTTCCTTCGACAAGGAGGAGACCGAGCAGCCAAGCGTACTTCGGGACTGGCAAACCGCTGCCCAGGGTTTGGCATTCAAGGAGGCCTTCGGCACCAGAAATGCTCTCCGCCCCGACTTGGCTACGAAGACTTTCACCGTTCACGTTAAGGAGAACCGTCGTCTTACTCCCGTCACCTACGACCGTAACATCTTCCACATTGAGTTCGATCTTGGTAACACTGGTCTCACTTACGACATTGGTGAGGCTCTTGGTGTCCACGCCGAGAATGACCCCAAGGATGTTTCGGACTTCATCGCCTTTTACGGACTGAACCCCGACTCCATCGTCGAGGTTCCCAGCCGCGAGGACCCCAACGTCTTTGAGAACCGTACTGTTTACCAGGCCCTGGTTCAAAACGTCGATATCTTCGGTCGCCCTCCTAAGCGCTTCTACGAGGCCCTCGCCGAGTTCGCCTCCGACGAGAAGGAGAAGACCGATCTGAAGACCCTCGGTGGCCCCGATGGTGCTGCCGAATTCAAGCGCCGCGCCGAAGTCGACACTGTCACCTTCGCCGACATCCTCCTCGACTACCCATCCGCCCACCCCGACTTCCACGAGATTGTCCGCATCGTCGGTCCCCTGAAGCGTCGCGAGTACTCTATCGCATCGTGCCAGAAGGTCACCCCCAATACCGTCGCCCTGATGATCGTCGCCGTCAACTGGGTCGCCCCCAACGGCAAGGATCGTTTCGGTCTTGCAACCCGCTACCTGAGCAGACTGCAGGTCGGCTCCCCGATCACCGTCAGTGTCAAGTCCAGTGTGATGAAGCTGCCGCCCAAGTCTACCCAGCCCCTTATCATGGCTGGCTTGGGTACTGGTCTCGCTCCTTTCCGCGCTTTCGTGCAGCACCGTGCTCTCGAGAAGGCCCAGGGCAAGGAGATTGGTGCCGTTCTCCTGTACATGGGCTCCCGTCACCAGCGTGAGGAGTACTGCTACGGTGAGGAGTGGGAGGCTTACCAGGAGGCTGGTGTCATCACCCTTCTTGGCGCTGCCTTCTCCCGTGATCAGCCTCAGAAGATCTACATCCAGGATCGTATGCGCGAGAGCTTGGCTGAAATCCGGAAGGCTTACATCCAGGAGGAAGGTGCTTTCTACCTCTGCGGTCCCACTTGGCCCGTGCCCGATGTTACTGCCGTCCTTGAGGAGGCTATTGGTGCTGAGGCCAAGGCTAGCGGCAAGAAGGTTGATACTCGCAAGGAGATTGAGAAATTGAAGGATGAGGAGCGCTATGTTCTGGAGGTGTACTAGAGTTGAGCTGTGGCTTGACATGATCTGTGATGATTGGCATTTTTGTTTAGGCTATTCCCCCTCTTTAGACCGTCTTAATTCGGCCTAGCGCTATTTGCATATAGATCTCAAAATGCATTTATCTGTTTCATGAAATTCATCTATGAAATTCAAGTGTTTATTTGTAATATGTTCTTTATTTTGTCGTCTGAAGACCGTCTGTATATGGGTATCGACTCTAACAGCTAGGTCTTTCACGTTGACCTCTATAACATCGTACCTACTACCTGTACATCATAATCGGTCGTCTATCCGTTAAATCCATTGATCATTGCATGTTTTAGCACATCTCGAAAACAGATCATGCTAGGGCCGTCTTAGTCGACTTGAAGTATTTAGTCTTGCCGTAAGCACCGCCCATTTTCTTCCTCAACTCCAAAGCCTTGCGATATGGCGGCGCAGTCGGAGGTTGAACAGGGTCCAGGCTGACATAGTCCGGCGGAAGAGCGTATGATGCATCAGAATCCCAAGCAGAGAGATCTCCACAAGCAATGAACGAAGGAATCCACCGGTTCTCCTCGGAAAATTTAGGAGAGGGCTTCTGTGTTGATGGGGGGTCCATTGGCGGGGAAGTGGGGTGTAGGAAATTGGTTTTTGTGGAATGATTTGGATCAGAGACTTTGTCATCACCAGATGTGGCTTCCCTAAGGATAGCCTGTGACTGAGCGTTCTCGTCTTCCTCGGGCACCTCAACAGCGAGGTTGCCATCCTCCGATACAGGTCTCGGCGCCGCCGCACCGCCGAAAAGAGGGTTCTTCAATGCCGCCGTTCCAACGACCCCATTGTTGCTCACAGGAGGAATGAATCCCTCGCACACGACGAATGCTTCTAAACTGCTAGCGCGACTACTCCGAGGTTTGGCAACGCTGACTCGCTCGAAGACGGTGCGCAGCTGGGCATAGAGGAGGTCCACATCACGGGCGCGGAAGATTTTAGCAACGAATTTACCGCCTGGGCGAAGGACACCCATGGCAAGGTTGAGGGCCGCATATAGAAGTTGAGATTGGATGTAAATGTCGAGATCGTGGAGGCCGGTGACATCTGGTGCACCATCGGAAATGACTAGATCGACGGGGTGCGGTTGCCGGATAGCCGCAGGAGTATTCGATGGCGAGTCGGAGGTGGTTGACGAAGACTCATATGCTTCGGGGTCCAGTGCGCGCAGCAGCAGAGGAATGGTGGAGGGGTGGGTAATATCGGCTTTGAGAGTGGTGATGCCCTCGAGTGGCGCCATGGGCTGGAGATCGATGGAAACAATCTTGACGTTCTTACGAGGCTTCAATTCTGCGCTGGGATCGGCCTCTCCAATTTCATAGTGATCGTCGGTATCATTCTCGTCACTGGAAGGCTGACCGGAACCCCGCTGTAGGGCCTGCTGCTCCTTGCGCTTTTTTTCGAGCCATGCTCTCCGCCCGAAACTTTCGCCTTTGATCAAGACACGACTGAGGACCTGACTCCAACTTCCTGGCGCAGCACAAAGATCCACCACTCTTGTCACTTTATCCGGGTTCTCGTGCTCGAAGAGGTCGAATTGTTCGTCAATTTGGATCAACTTGAAGGCGGACCGGGCGCGCCAATTTTGCTCTTTTGCAAGACGGTAGTACGCATCGCGCTTGTCTTTGGACGACTTACCCATCTTGATGAAAGGCAGGCGACGTTATTGAAATTGAGAGTTTGTCGCGGAAATTCCAACGTGGGGAGCCAAGCGATAAGATTTCAAGGCGGACTTTTTCTGCCGCTTTTTTTTCTTTGCAATTCTTTACATCGGCCTCTCTGCGCATCTTGTTCATACTCGCAAACCTGAATATTTCGAAGCAGGTTTCATTGTCATTATGGGTCAGAAAAGAGCGCGCGATCCCAAGACACAGGTCATTGAGGCCAAAAAGCGCAAGAAGGGCGCTAAGGTCGCAGAGGCTCCGGAAGAGGAATCATGGGATGCGGTTGGAGTTGATGATCTGAACTGGAAAGAGGTGGCTATGCCTGACAGAATGGAAGATGCGGAAGGTTTCTTCGGACTGGAGGAGATTGACGGCGTGGATATCATTCGTCCCCAAGGCAATGGCACGGTTCAATTCAAGGTATGAATAGCTATCGGGTATCAACTGGGGTTTTACTTGTATACTAATGCAAAATGGTAATAGGCAAAGTCAGGCAAATCTACGAAGTCCATCTTAAGAACCCCAACGGCCGAAGAGACTGCATTTGAAGAATGGTCAGGGTTCAGCGATGGCGAGTCGACCGAAAAGGCAACCACCACAGCGAACGAGGTCCCAGAGCCGAAGGAAGATAATCAGAAGTCGAAGAAAAGTAAGGAGACCAAGGAGACTAAGAAGACCAAGGAGACCAAGGAGACCAAGGAGACCAAGGAGACTAAGAAGACCAAGGAGGCTAAGGAGGCTAAGGCCAAAGAGACCAATGAAGCCAAAAAGAAGGAGGCCAAACCAAAGGATGGCAAGAACAAGAACGCAAAGTCTGCTCAAGATTCCAAGTTCAAGGCCAATCTTTCCTTTGAAGCTCTCGAAGAGGCCGATAGTGATGACGAAGTGGATGTATCAGGCTGGGACGAACTTGGCCTATCTCCTGAGATCCTTACTAGTCTCTCCAAGTTGAAGTTTGGTACTCCCAGTGCCATTCAAAAAGCTTCCATCCCTCCTATTCTTGATGGTCACGACGTCATTGGAAAGGCATCAACAGGTTCCGGCAAAACCCTTGCCTTTGGTATTCCAATTCTTGAACATTATCTGGAAAAGCGAGGAAAGAAGATCGAATCTGCTCAGAAGCCATCAACAGCCCCAATGGCTCTCATCCTTTCGCCAACTCGAGAGCTGGCTGTTCAATTAAGCAAGCACATCGGGAACTTGATCACGAATGCCCCAGATATCAATGCACGAATTGCCCTTGTCACAGGTGGTCTGGCCATTCAAAAGCAGCAAAGACAACTTGCCACTGCTGATATTGTTATTGGTACACCGGGTCGTGTGTGGGAGATCTTGAGCACTGGGTCAGGTTTGATCAAAAAAATGAAGAAGATTCGCTTCCTAGTTGTGGATGAAGCGGATCGATTGCTCAGTCAAGGAAATTTCAAGGAAGTGGAAGAAATCATTGCCGCCTTGGATCGTCAGGAACACAACGACTTCCCAGAAAACGAAGAAGAGGATGAAAAAGAACATGATGTACTCAAGGCCCGTCAGACTCTTGTTTTCTCGGCTACATTCCACAAGGATCTCCAGCAAAAGCTTGCTGGAAAGAGTCGTTGGACAGGAGGAGATCTCATGGACAACAAAGAATCGATGGAGTACTTGCTTAAGAAGCTCAACTTCCGGGAAGAGAAGCCCAGGTTCATCGACGTGAACCCTGTTCAGCAAATGGCAGAGGGACTCAAGGAGGGAATTGTTGAATGCCCTGCAATGGAGAAGGTCAATAAACCACATTCACTGTTCATTTGAGATAACATCACTGACCGGTCCAAATCAGGATCTCTACCTTTACGCACTTTTGCTCTACTATCCTAAACACCGGACACTTGTCTTTACCAACTCTATTTCCGCCGTCCGCCGTGTTACTCAGCTGCTGCAAGCATTGGGACTCCCCGCTCTGGGCCTTCATTCTAGCATGGCACAGAAGGCTCGACTTCGCTCCGTGGAGCGCTTCTCCTCGCCAACCGCAGACCCCAGCTCTATCCTCGTCGCGACCGATGTCGCTGCCAGAGGTCTCGATATCAAGGGCATCGAACTTGTCGTCCATTACCACGCACCCCGTGCAGCTGATTCCTACGTTCACAGATCTGGCCGTACTGCCCGTGCTGGTGCTGTGGGTAAGAGTGTTATTATTTGTTCTCCAGATGAGGTCGTCAGCGTAGCTCGTCTCGCTGCCAAGGTCCACGCTCGGAACCCTAACGTCAGTGCCAAGAAACTACCGTTGGAGTCTCTCGAGATCGACCGCCGTGTTGTCGCTCGTGTGAAACCACGTATCACTTTAGCCAAAAAGATCACCGACGCCAATCTCGCCAAGGAGAAGGTTTCTGCAGAGGACAATTGGATGCGTTCCGCAGCCGAAGATCTTGGTGTTGAATATGACAGTGATGACTTCGATGACTCCAAGGGCCGAGGTCGCGGTCGTGGTGGTGGTCGAGAGCGCCGTGAAAAGGAGGCCAGTGGTATCAGCAAGGCCGAGCTGGGTGCGCTTCGAGCCGAGTTGAAAGGCCTACTCTCGCAGCGCATCAATATCGGTGTTAGCGAGCGTTATCTCACCGCTGGTCGTGTTGACATTGAGGCTCTGCTCCGTGGCGAGGGTAACAAATCCTTCCTCGGTCACCTTGATCCTCTGAGCTTCTAAACAGCTTATTGGTTCTATTTATGTTGCATGATATGGACCTATCCAATACCAACGAGGATGTTTGATCTGTAAATTGTACCCTCAATATAGCATAACCATTTTTCATTAAGAAAATTTCCATCAATTATATACCTACAATTCCAGCATTATTGAAGCAGCTAAGAGCATATTTCTGAAATGTAAAGACCTGAAACATTGAAGTGGACAGATCTTATCGGCATACCGAGATCTCCCATTCGGCAGCATTCCGACCCGCCGAAAACCGGGACTTTCTCGCCCCACTGGGTCCAGGAGAAAAAAATTCCAACAATGATGAAGTCGGATGGAGGATCCATTTAATCTCCTAGTGGATCAAGCTCGGAATCCCTGTTCTTTAAATATCCAGGACACCTGCATATCCAATCCACTCGACCAAGAAGTACCCGAACAACTCGGCCTGATATACAACCTACATTAAGTAGCAAGTGCCGAGTTTCCACTTAGCCGCATATAATTGTGCGTTAGTTCATCGGCTACGTATACGAGGTATGTAAAAACCCCATAGCAAGCCTATATCATCATCTCACGCCTTCATCCATCTCTACAGACCAATATAAGCCACAATGTCCGGACTTCCTCTAGCGACAAGATGGCTCACACGCCCATCGCTCTCAATCACCAGAATCTTCTCACCCACAGGCCTGGGCTCAATTGCCAATCTTCACCAAGGAGGACCGTCACGATCAGCTGTGGTCCACGAACAAGCTCTTCCTCAAAGCCAAACACAAGAAGCCCCATTCCTCCATACCAAGCCCACCAAGAAGCCTCAATCTCAATGTCAATCCAACCCTAACGAACCCACAAGCCTGGACACCATTATCTCCCAGATGCCTCTCGTGCAATCCCTCCGCCAATCTCACCAGAACTACAAAGAATCACGCCCGCACCTCGCCATCCCGCCTGCAATCCGACAACATCATTTCGTGGGCGGGAGTCTAGCGGGCCAAGGCAAGATAGCCCTCGCACCGTATATGTGGACCTCTTCACAGACGCAGAAGAACGGATCCTCGAAAAGCAAGGCGAGCAGCGTTGTTTCTGTTTTCCATATTGGTCGGGATCTGTGCGGACATCCTGGTTTCGTGCATGGGGGGTTACTCTCTGTTTTGTTTGATGAGGTGTTTGCTAGATGTGTCTCTGCTGCGTTTCCTAGTGGGCTTGGAATGACTGCGAATCTGAACGTGGATTTCAGAAAGCCTGCTCTGCCGGATCGGATGTATGTGCTGCGGGCTGAAACTACTAAGGTTGAGGGACGGAAGGCATGGGTGGAGGGGCGGATGTTCTGTCTTCCGTTGGCTTTGCCTATGGCTCATGGTGGGCCTGGGTTCACTTCGGATACCAGTCTGTTGAGGGAAGATAGTGAGGGGGCGGTTATGGTTGCCGAAGCTAAGGCTTTGTTTGTGGAGCCCAAGTTTGCAGATGTGAGTTTATTGACATGATGGTTATCAGGATCTGAAGTACTAACTGGTTCTAGTCTATGGTGTCGGTTTACCGTACCTGATCTTTGCAAGCCTTCCAACTCGTTTCTTACGATAATGCTGGTTCGTTTGATAGACATAGACATAGACATAGAATAGATAGACTCAAATTAATTCCGAAGGTATTACACCTTCATACACCCAGAACCTACGATACACAGAGGATTAAGATTGAGAGCGGGAGCCAGATAGAAAACAGTTTCCATTGCTATCTAATATCACTAGGAAAAGGGGGAATCCACCTTGACGCCCCTTGACTCAAAAGGAATAAAGAAAGAATCAGCCCAGCCGAAAAGTAAAGTTGAGAATTGGGGGATCAAGGATAAATCAGCAAATTGCACATCATCGCGTCGTTAAAAAGGTCCAGTTCCTGATGGGAGAGACGGGGCAAGAGTACTGCGCCGGCATTGCCGGCGCTGCGGGTCAGTAGAATGCAGAGAGACCGGGAATTGCGAGGGAAGGGTTGGTGCATGGAAAATAAGTCCATCTAAGACAAGTGGAAGGCGCCCTGTCCTTCCTTGATGGCAACAGACAGTCGGCTCTTGAGATCTTCCAGAGTGCTGTAGTCGGGGAGTTTGAGATAGTTCACACAGGTCATGACACTAGGCAGGTAATCATCCGGTGTGTATGGGGGATCGCTCGGACGACACACGACCGTAAAGATTGGAGTAAGAGATTTGAAGCCTGTAAGAAAACGTTAGCATGATTTTTATAGATGAGGATTGAGAAGACAACGCTTACCACCAATAGGGAGTTTCGGGCTACCAGTAACAAACTGAAGAAAATCGCGGCGCTGCTGCTTATCCATTTCGCTCATGGTCTGCAGCAAGTTCCGGACACTTCTGCTGTCCATATTGAACCCATGATCTGCCTTGATAGAATCCATCAACGTTTCAATGGACCAGTCTTCCTCGGCCTGACCAAACAGCATAACCAATTCATTGGGAGTGAAAGCACGAAGAGCAGAGAATGGGAAGACCTGAGAGAATCCAACACGGAAAGCCTCGACTTGGTGACGAACACCGCTACCCAAGGTCATGTCAATAACTCGTTCAATATATTGATCAACGTTCTCGATGGTCAATGAGACATCAGAGCCACCTGGAACTAGCTCGATCGACGGGTAACCGGGCAAGGTGAAATCCAGGCCCAAGTCCTCGACCCGAACACCATCCACCACGATGTTTTGAATGGCTTTGGTCTTTTCGTGTTGAGAAAGAGTGTGGTCCTCCTGGATTGCGTTCTTAGCATTAACAAATTGCTTCAGCATACCAAGAGACTTGGCCAAGCCTTCATCCACAGCTTTGATTGTTCCGAGGGATGGGGCGACCGAAGACAGTGTGTCAGCAATGCGGAAAAATGCCGGATTGAAAGACACGTCGATGATTCTCGAGTCAAGCATAGAACGAGCGACAAACTTTCCAAGAACCTTGAAAATATTCAACAGTTTCTTGCCAGAATCCTGGGATGCTTGTTCTTCACTCATTGGAGCCGGGAAAAGTCCACGTTTGCCGAAAGCATAGTCGGCAGAAGAGGAACCGTCGGTATCACGCCAAATCTTTAGCTTCTTCTTGGAGAACTCCTTCGAAACAGTGGAGTAAAACTCTAGAGTGGGACCCAGTCCAGTTCCAACCTCTTCGAAGTATTCCACCTCAAGGACACTTGGGGACGACCCGTAAAGCTCCATGACTTTCATGGCAGATTCCAAGATACGAGCTCGAGAAATACGCACCTTCTGGCGTTGAAGCCGACCGAGGAACGGCCGATCATCGCGTCTGTCACGTCGACTATCCTCTGCGCTTTGTGAGTTTTGCCACCTCGTCATAGCACGGGAGTAGCCGAATGAGGTTGACTGCAAGAAGAGGTGTCTCGTCTCAAATGGAAATAGGAATGAGAACAACCGAGCCAAATCTTCACTCCAGCTTGGAAGGCAACTGCTTGCCACTATTAACGGTTCTTCCAGCTGGCGGTTCACCTTGGCAGTAAGCTTGGTATTGATAAACTGGGCCAAGGGTTCCGGGGTGATCTTGGCACGATCACGAGCATCCATCAGTATGTCATCGATGGTTGCATTCATCTCGTGCAGAACACGAAGCAGGCGCAAAATAGATGCAGTCGTAGCATCTCTGCTCAAAGAGGAAGGCATTTCAAGGCCGTCAGCATTAGAAGAAGCTTCTTGTCCAGAAGCAGCAAGGGTAGACGGCTCTGGTGGCGGTGGGCCAGGAACACGTCTGTAAGTGACAGTATGAACAGCAGACCAGACATTCTTGACTTTTGCCTCATCAATGTGCTCACGGTTGTGATGGACAGCACGATATACGGTAGTATCGCTAGAGATTGGCTTTCCATCAACACAGAACTCAATGTGCCAATCCTGAGGAATCGAGGCCATGGCTGCTGCATAGGACGAGAATGGACGCCCGGCAGTGGCCAGCGAGCTTTGTGCAGTGGGGCTGGGCCCTGCTGCCGAAGTAGAAGGCTTAGAAGACGGGGTAGAATGCGACGGGGTGCCAACTCGAGTACCATCCTCCTTTCGTGCGGTGACCTTGCCAGAGGAGGCGACCTCCATATTCACGGCAGTCGGGTCATGCACGGTATCGTCTTCGAGGTCATCATCGAGGTCATCAACAATTGCATTGAGCTCCTCGTCCTCTTCCGCATCCTCGGCGTCTTCGTCTTCATCATCAGTGATTTGTCTCTCATCGGCGCACTCCAGGGGCTCGTCTTCATGCTCATCATCTTCTTGGAATGGCTGAGGTGGGAATCCTGGGACCCCCTGAGCGCTGCTTCTTTCAAGGGCCTCATTTGTATGTCCACTGGCTCCTATGGTGCGAGTGGGTCGGTCCCCAGATGTTGGGGTCTGGGGGGAGGCTTCTGAAGTGAGTTGATCACGCATGCGCGCTGCTTGAGCAATTTGGGAGAGAATCGCATCCCTAGTGCGAGACTGGCGTGGACGATCCGAGGCCGCAATTCGCGGCTGGAGGAAATCATCCAGGGCCTTGAACGTGGCAATAGCGTGAATCGACACCATGAGGTTTTTGTAAGGGCGAGGAACCTCAGTCCCGTCTTCAGCAACGAGTTTCAACCTAAGCTGCTTTCCAAGCATGTATGTAGCATTGGTGCGAGTATTCTCGAGAGAGTTATGGCTGACAGTAAGCACCTCAAAATGCTCAGTCCGGCTAAGCAAATCCTGAAGCTTGCGAATCAACACGCTGAATGGCGTGGTTGCGGTGCTCTGGCTCTGAGCCTTCTCCGAAATTCTTGCACCCATGAAGGCCTGCAAAAAGGCCGACCGTGCATACCTAATACACGGTGCCTTGAAGTCCGTCAGGACGTCTAGAAGAACATCGATAATTCCCGAATTCAAAAGTTCGGAACTAGTTATGCTCTCCAGCGCATCTCCGTCAAAGTAAGAAGCCAGGCTTTGGAAGAGAGACAGTCCGTTATTGTCTCCACGAGTGGAGTAACACTTGCGAATCTTGGTCGCTAAGGATTGAAGGTCATTGAGGATCTTCTGGGCTTCATTTCGCACTGAATCTCCATGCCCCTCTTCGTAGATCTTAATAAAGTCTTGAGCATCTCGAATAACAAGGTCATTGAGAGCACCGTCGAGCTTTTCCAAGGATTGATGACCAGAGATGGACGAGCTCTCGGAATCTGAGAGATCATCACCGTCTTCGTCACCATCCTCTTCATCCTCATTCTCCAACTCGTCTTCTGAATCCTCGTTCTTATCATTGCTGCCAGGTGCATCACCTGCTTCCATGTCAACATCAGCAGATGCTCCAGCAGCGTCCTTGCTACCACTGCTTGTCTGTTGGCCTTCCTCCTCGGGGGTGAGCTTTCCATCAGCTAGCTTGACAATTTCTGAGATGACACCCTCCCGGTGGAATTGATGTTGATAGACGTGTTCGAGGCGCTGGAATAAAAGCTCTGCACATCGCAGGGCCAAAGAGACCAGAGACGGATGGTCCTTTTGGGAGAGAATGGAGGCCAGGAATGAGGCATATGGTACTGTTCGCAGGGCATCCTCAATCAAGCTTGGCTCAAGAATATGAAGCATTTTCAAGTGCGCAATCAGAACTTTCTGGCGAACATGCAGGTTGACTGTACTCGAGTATGCATCTGTCAGGGTAGGAAATAAGATCGTTGCAAAACGTTTGAGCTCTGGTTTGCAGCCTTCCAAAAGTTCCCGTCTTTCGACGGGATTCTCTTTCGCTTTCGCAGACTTCAAGCCGATGGACATACTGTTGTCAAAGTACGCACTGAGCAGATTATCGGATCGAGAAGCCTCGCGACTTCGAGCACCTGGGAGTAATTCACAAATGACATTCAGTGCCTCAAAAACCTGCTCGCGAGGTCGGTGGATCAATGCCTGCATGACCAGGACGCTGTCCATCTTTACTGCTGTGCTATCGACGTCCTCTGGGGGCGATACACCGGTCAATATCTGGTACAGGGTGTCGACGACGTCCATCTTCAGAAGCTCAATAGACAGCCGAGGGCTGGCCTTGCACACAATTGCCAACACACGGAGGAATTGGGTGTGGATGTGGGAGCCAATCATGTTAGTAGTCCCGGGAAGCAAAAGACGAAGAACGGCCTTGAGCATGGCAGGCTCAATCAGCTCCTCCAGATTTTGAGGGCGGTATTTGAAGCTTTCCACAATGCGTGAAACACACAAACATCCCTGCTCAACCACTTTAGGATCATTGCTGGACAATACATTCAATAAGGTCGGCATCACATCCCTCACGACAGGGAAAGAGTCATGAGGAAGATTGCGACAACAGTTCGCGGCAGTCGTAACAGCGGTGCGCTGAGTGCTTGTAGCGAAGAAATCCAAGTATGTCAGGCATGCCGTCAGACCTCCCTCTCGCACGATCGAAGCCGGGAAATCTACTGAAATCTTCGCCAATGTCTGGGCAACAATTCGTTAGTGTCGAATCCACAATATATATATATAGAAATGCACAATATGTAGAAGCAAAGGAACGACGTACACTGAGAGCTTGTTCAGCGAGATCAATAAACTGAATGTCCAGGAGCTTCTGGCACAGGATGGGAACAGCACCCCCATAGACAACATTGGCTACAGATCCTCGAAGGGCCTCCATGAGATTGGCAAGGCAACGGCACGCAAGAAGCATGATTTCTGCGTTCTCTTCACCGAATTGGTTTGGCTGCATTAAGGTGACCAGCTCCTTCACGTATGGGTCAGGAGAAAACTGGCCGGAGAGGTTGTCTTCGTTGGAGACGAGCAAGAGGTCTGACAGCTCTTGGAGGGCGATCAATTGGATTGAGGGGTTATCCTTCTCTCTCAGATTACAGAGCATATCTCGAAGTCGCGAGGACATGCCAGACATCATGCCGGTGAGAGCACGAAGGGTACTTTGTAGGCCCATGGTACCTCGGCCGCCGAAAAGGCTGCTATGGAATGAATCCAAATCCTCATCGTCAAAGGCCGATGGGTTAGTTCCATCATTGCTATCGCCCGTAGGGGATCCTTCCTGCTCTTCCTTGTTATCTTGCTCTCCAAGTTCTTCCTCCGCATCTCGCATTACGACATCGGGATTTGATTTCGCGGAGCGCTTCTTTTGTCGGCGTGGGGGTGGAGACTGTGCCGTTGCAGGGTGATCTAGATGGAAATAACTTTGTTAAACAGCGCAACAACCCATTTGTGATTTTAAGTCGTGACCTACCATTTCGACCGGATCTCCGCCTCGAGGGAGGCGGTGGGGTGGTGGATTTTAAATCCTCTGATGGACGAGAAGATGGTCTTATAAGAACAGAAGAGATCAGTTGTGTTCACATCCTCGATTGATTGAATCAACTCACCCAGGTTGTGACATGTTTGAGCGACGAGAGCCTCGACGTGGCGTAGGGGCAGCAGGGGCAGCAGGAGCTGGCTGAGATGCTGCAGTTCGTTGTCGCTTTGATCGTCGTGGGGGCGAGAGGTCCGTAGACGGGATTGGGGCGTCTGGTTGTGGATCTCGACGCGTCGGTGCTTTGCGTTTGCGAGAAGCCAAACCAGCAGGATTTAATGGACCGGAGTCAGTAGGAGGAGGGTCTGTGGCAAGCCTTGCAGCTGAGCGAGTGATTCTGGAAGACATAATAAGAAAGTGATTTGCTTGATGTGATGATGAAATTATGAGGGAAGACGAAAAAAAAAGAGAATGGGGGAAAGTTCCAAAATGTTTAGAGGGGCAAAAGCGACATGAAAGGTGGAAAAGAATAAATGATGGGATGTTTTGAGTGTTTGAGTGTTCAGTGGTTAGGTATGAAGATTCCCCGCAGCCCGAATGACGTTTGGGAAATTTGACCTGAGGAATACAGAATGAAGACGAAGTAATCCAGAATAACAGGCGTCATCGGTTCTATTCTCCTGAAAAATGCCTCAGGAACTCCCAGGCAGGATCACGACGAGGCTCCAATTGGGGGCGGTGGACTAAGTGGTGAAGGGAATTGGGTGGGAAGTACCTCAGGGCAGAAGAGGTGGCAGCTCCTGCGGGGGAGACGGAATAATCCTCGAGAGGGTCCTGACGGTTGATGGGCCTTTGTCTGGCCATAAGTTACCGGGTCAGGAGTCGGAATAGAGTAGATAGACGTTGGCACCGCTTCAACCCGCCATCCGTACACCTATAAGCTGGCCGAGAAGCGGGTGAAAGGGCGAGCAATGGGGGGAACTTGGAGGGGGGACCGGCGGTAGATGCGTTGGGGCTATAATGACGAACCAGCGAATAACTAAAAGAAAGTTGACATATACCCGATAGAAAAGGACGAGGGTTGATGAAAAACAAGATGGGTGATGTTTAGGGGGGAGGGGAAGAGAAGGGAAGTTTGTGGTTTGTGACGATTGGATTCGGAGAGCGTCAGGCGGCGGAAGTGCAACATTCGTGATGAGATAAGATAACTAGGTCACCACGCAGTGTTATTTCGCCTAAAATGGGCACGGATAGCCTTGCAAAATATTAATCCGTATATATTGTATCCATATATAATTACAGAAACACCTTCAGGTTCTATTCCGAGCTTGATATAGCGGCAAAAGACATATCATCCAACGTTGACAAGTGACAGGGCTTGTTCGGGTAGAGACTGGGTGCCGCTCTAACCACTTCACTTCTTACAATACTCACAGAAACGCGTTTCTACTTCTATACCATTCTTCTGTCAACTGTTTTCGAGACATTGCAAAAAAAATCATAGGGTTCTTTTGTCCTCGTTGCCTAATATCAAATAAATCCGATTCCTACTATCAACATTTGCTTCCAAGTTCCATCTTCAAAAGACTTGGATAAGTAGACCCATCTCAAGTAACAGAGCTGAATATAGTCTATCCTTAAAAATTACACTAAAACATATTGGCTATCTTTTTAAAACAATTTACTGCTGATGACCTTGAAATGGCTATTAAATTGGCAATAGTGCGATATAGCGGATCCATGCAATAGTTGCTGCCATCTGTGGAGCATTACTCTCCTGACCTGTTTGACCGCAACATTGAAAGTCAGATAAGATAGTCTTTCGGCCCTTTCCTTTTTAGAATATTTCTGCTTGTCCCAATCCTTCATATACTTTTTTTCCGTACGGTTCATTCCGGAACTTGCGGTAGGGCAATCCGCCCGGCCAATAGTGTAGGATTACGCAGGCATCTGGTGAATAGGATGGGACAATCGTGATGTTTCGGGCCAAAGAAAAATAAATGATACTCAGTGCTTGTAATTGAGCGATTTTGGGAATCAACATGTTACAAGGTGTCCGAGGTGTATCATTGGTCGCTTACGTAGAGATTATAGAGCAAAGGGAGCTACAAAAACTGAAATTTCACCTTTATAGTACATGCATCAATGGAGAACAAATATAGTTCAGATGTCAGCTGGCTGAAATAGCAACTCAAGATTCACCTCTTTCTTAGCCACTCAGTATTTAAACTACATCTTCAAAGATGGAAATGTTCACGAATATGCTGCTCCTAACCTCGCCTTCATATCCTCTAATCGGATTCGTCATTGACAGTGCCCTTGTCGTCGTCATTCTTCTGGAGACGGGTCTCTACCTTCGTCACTCTGCATCCTGGCGGTGAGTCAGGGTAGTGCGTTCATCTTCAGCCGACTCATCCTGGCGGCGAGTTAGGGCAGTGCGTTCATCCCCGCCTGCATCACCCCCGGACTCCCCATCCTGCCGGCGATTCAGGGCAGTGCGTGCCTCTTCCTTCTCCTCCTCCCCGTCCTCCTGCCGGCGATTCAGGGCAGTGCGCTCTCCTCCCCTCTCCTCCTCCTCGTCCTCCTGCCGGCGATTTAGAGCAGTACGTTCCTCCTCGAGCTGTCGATAGGTCAGACTGCGCCCCATGGTATCATGACCGGATTCTGTCGTGACGCCATGCTTTTCCATGCCGCCGTTGAAATGGCCAGGCGCACTCATAGTGGGCGCAGCAAGGGACAGGCCAGCTGCCATTGCAAGGGTGATCAAAGAGATTTTCATGTTGACAAGGTTAAACTAAATGAAGAACCAGGATTAGTAACTAAATTTGGAGATCTTTAGCCTTGAGTCTGAACACACTTGAAGGTAGTTTGTTCGACTGTTGGGTGGATATTTGAAATCAAGTTGCAAGGGCTCAGATAGATCTGAAGCCAGGTATTTATAGACTGGCAAGGACTCACTGAAGGACCTATGTCTCAGAGGGCCTTGGGATTTCTTTCCTAGAGAAAGTTGTGTAATGCGGCATATTTGCCCTTATCAGTGGCGCGCAGAGAACATACCAGCAGAGACGAAATGTGGTCGTTCACCTATAATGTGGCACGGATAATCCCTCGACGCTTTGCAGCATGCTGGGATTCACCTTAAGGTTTGAGGAATGAAGATCCCGTTGTCTTTTGAAGATAGATGATATCATTTTCACAGGAATAGTAGACCGATACCATCCCTTGATTGGTGTCATCGGCCCTTGCTTCGGTCTAATCGTGGAGATGCCCGGGTATCGAGAGCTTATCCATCACTTATTGTCTTCGGCCATAGCTGGTGACGTATGTAATTTATACCAGAATTGAACATCTTTGATCGTTGATCACTCTTTTTACGTCAACCTTCACGAACCGTAAGTAGCCATAGTAAATCCGCTCGGTGGATCTGAAATTTGATTTTCAACGTGAGTTCTTCACGATACCATGGTCGACTAGACATAGCAAAAACAGTTCGAAATTCTTCCGCTCATTTTTAGCACCTCGCGAAAAATAGAACCTGACAGCTATCAGCTGGTAGTCAACTAAGTCAAACTAGATCGTTTGTAACTAGTATATGTGATGACTCAGCTTTCAAAGTGGCGTCCTAAATAACCGTTTTCGGTGGTTAGTTAGGGTGCAGTATATTTGACGGATCTGACCCTTACGGATGATAAACTTGCTTCCAAGATTTGATCAATTCTAGCATGGTTAGCCTTCCAAGGCCTTTCAAGGTTGGAGATAACAATGAAATCTTTATGAAGCTGAATTTCGTAGCTTACGCGTAAAGTTATCGTAGTGCGGCACAGTGCGGGCTTATGGCGATGACCTCGACATTGCGGGCCTGATTGCGACCGTCACCGGAGACGATAGATAGATTGACTCACCGAGACCTTATTAATCAAATCGGAATTTACCTACACAAATTTGAATACAAAGTGATTGATTTCTTTCTCTTTAACCCGGCCCATTTATTTCCGCGTCCCGTTCGCCCCCCGCGTTTCCTTTCCAGAGTTTAGAGAAAGGTAGTTAAAAACTTCGTTCTTCCCTCCCCACTTCCCCGACTCATAACGCCCCCCTCTTTCCGACCCCTCCAACTACCTCGGAACAACGCCTCGCTACCCGTCAAACAGCCACACTTATATCACTCCAGCGATGGCAACCGAAATGGTTGGAGGCCAGAGTGACGACGTTCACCAGGCTCCAGCCCACATCCCTCCCCCGATGGACGACTACATATTTCCGGATTTACGCCTCAAGCGCAAGATGACCGACCCGGAGAAGACACCGCTCTTGTTGGTCGCTTGTGGTTCCTTCTCACCTATCACATACCTGCACTTGCGGATGTTTGAAATGGCGGCGGATTACGTCAAATTCAGCACTGAGTTCGAACTCCTTGGTGGTTATCTGTCACCTGTATCGGACTCCTACCGCAAGGCAGGTCTCGCCAGCGCAGAAGATCGGTAAATACCCGTTGTTTCGCTACGAGGACTATGCAGATGCTAATTGGAAAACAACAGTGTCGCGATGTGTCAACTGGCAGTTGACCAAACCTCCGACTGGTTGATGGTGGATACATGGGAGCCTACTCAAAAAGCTTACCAGCCGACCGCTGTCGTCCTGGATCATTTCTACCACGAGATTAATACGGTTCGTGGCGGCGTTGAGGCCGCGGATGGAACCCGGAAGCCTGTTCGGATTGCCTTGCTGGCAGGAGCCGATTTGATTCACACCATGTCCACCCCCGGTGTCTGGAGTGAAAAGGATCTGGATCACATTCTCGGAAAATATGGCGTAAGTAGCGTTTGAATCTTTTAAATTGGATATAGCCACTAACGCTCTTTCCAAGTCATTTATTGTGGAACGCAGCGGAACGGATATTGACGAGGCTCTGGCCAGCTTGCAGCCCTGGAAGGACAACATCTACGTGATTCAACAGCTCATTCAAAATGACGTTAGCAGCACCAAGATCCGTCTGTTCTTAAGGCGTGAAATGAGCGTCCGATATCTCATCCCAGTTCCTGTCATCCATTATATTGAGCAGCATCATCTCTACGAAGATGATGGCACTGCCAACGAAAAAGGCAAGGAAAGACAGGACGCTGGAAAGTCAGGGTGATATGGTTCCAGGCAACCCCAAAGCCGCGAGGCCATGATGCCAATTTACGACCCTGATAAGATACCCCCATTTTGTGCTGTCTCTACCTTGAATATGGAGTTCAAATTCAATCTGAATCACCTGGCCAGAGCGTGGGTTCTTCCCAGTAGTTTTGGTCCCCCATTCTACCCGGGCCAATACCAGCTTGACCCGTCCAGGTATACTCTGGTGCTGTACGAGGAGGTGATTTATGTTTGTTTTATGTTTGTTTTATGTTTGTTTTGTTTTGTTTTATTTTTCTTTGGCGTTAAGAAAGGCTTTTGCCCTGCTTGTTAGAATCTCTGGGTTTGAAATGTGTTTTTATTTGTCCAATCTGAATTCACCAGTGCAGCTCACTGGGCTTTCGTTGGACCAGAATCAGCCGACTGTACATAATGGCCCTGCACTTTCTTATTAGGTCTGTACATATGACTCCTATAGACCTCTAGCTATACCAGCAATGAGGATCTCGCAAGAATCGAAGATATAAGTGATAGATGACATCTATGATCTTACAAATAAACCCCGGAGTTCTCGGATTTACCGAATCCGGAAACTGATCGACTAGTAAGCTTATGCATCATTATCACATTTGATGACACCACCTCGGGTTTACATGCAGGTGTTGAATCCCATGCATGCGTAAACCTAATTAAGCCAAAAAGGAATATGCGGTTACATTGATTACCTTGGATTTAATAAAGTATGAATAAGTTGAAAGAGGAGAAAGGAAGAAAAAACGGGTTTTTTGACTAAAGTCCGATCGACCGATCTCACTTGTCCCGCCCTGTTATCTTGCGTTATCGACTTTCTTATTCCTCCACATTTTCCCGCTCCTATTCCAGGCCCGGCTTGGCTCCTAGGAGGGGATTACTTACATCCTTTCACTCGTCTCCTAATGATTTACGAACCCATTGCTATCTCCCTTCCCTCCATGGCCCCTCGCGCAATGCTCACCCCACCTTGGCCACTCACCCCTCCAGATGTCTCCGACTCCCCACCAACAGCCGACAAAGATGTCTCCTCCATTGTAACCGCAATCCATGTCATGTCCACCGAGCGCGCTGCGCTCACTCATCTCGAAAGACTGTATCAAACAGATGCTCGAGCGCAGCAAGAACTTGCGCGTGCAGTGGATCAGATCGCGCGCAGTGTACGCGATGGAGGTAAATTGGTGGTTTGCGGGGTGGGCAAAAGTGGCAAGATCGGGCGCAAGATGGAGGCAACTATGAACAGCCTAGGTATATACTGTGCATTTTTGCATCCCACGGAAGCTTTGCATGGGGATTTGGGATTGGTCCGGCCGGTAAGCTATATGTCCTTACCGCATGGTCTGCATTGTATCCCCTGAGATGCAGCCTGATTGATTCGGGGAATATTTTTCCTTACTGATTCATTGGATGATTTTGGGCTTAGAATGATACAATGCTTCTCATATCGTTCTCTGGTCGATCTCCGGAGCTACTATCTTTGCTCCCGCATATCCCCGCTTCGGTCCCTATCATCGCCTTGACCTCACATACAGACCCTTCGGAATGTCCATTATTAGCTTTACATTGGCCTTTGGGCTTGGGAATTCTTCTTCCAGCTCCTATTCATGAGGGCGAAGAAGCTTCACTGGGTGTTAGCGCTCCGACGTCATCTACAACTGTAGCCTTGTGCCTGGGAGATGCATTGGCTATTGCGACAGCACGCAAACTACACACTGCACCAGGCAAAGGACCTGCAGAGGTGTTTCGAAGCCATCACCCTGGAGGTGCAATTGGGGCTGCAGCTGCAGCTGCAACGATGACAGGGACCCCATGGACGACCCCATCAAGTGCTGTTTCAACGACAACATTCGATTCCCCACCTTCATCTATCTCTTCACAATGGGAGGATCTCAACAACAGCGCATCCATCCCGCCCTTTAATCTTCAATCACCACCAGAAAATCACCTCATCCCTTCCAATCTACTCGTCCCCCTCGACCAAATTCCCACCGTGTCATCAGCCAAAGCATCAAGCCCCGGTGACGTTCGACTGCTTGATATTCTTCTAGCGGCCATTCAGCACCCTAATGCAAAGTCATGGGTATTTCTTTCACCCAATGAAATTGCCCCACCTCGGATGATTCGGTCATTTCTGTCCCGGCAGACTGATGTGGACTTGTGCGTGGTCGACGCCTTGGCTAAAGACCCTGACCAGCCACTCACCGTGGCCCGTGCCGACTGGTGTCTAGTGCCAAAATCAACCCCGCTAGCTGAGCTGCGGCGTTTGGTCTCCACATCCCGAGATGGATCATCTCCAATCACTGTAGTTGCTGTGATGAAAGATATCACCCGCCCTAGCACCTGTATAGGGTTGATAGAAGCAGAGGATCTATGGGGTGAATAATATAGGATCATAACACTTGCATTTTATTCGCAACTGTATTTAGTTCGTTTTCAGCATGTCTACTGGATTTCTCATCTTCTGCACATTTTTGACGATATTACGTTCGTCTTTCTCTTCTCCGGATTCTCATCCGCAGAGATTCATCAGGTCTCCTGAAAATACATATTACGCCCGATATCTCGGGCATCTCTACTCTTCACTTGAAACATTCCACAATTAAAACCTTCTAGCGATTCATGATAATACAATACAAAAGACAAATGCAAGTATAATACAGTGCTGAGAATCTCTAACTCAAGCCTTAAGAGGCTTAATACCCTTGTGAATAGCCGCAATACCACCAGTCAGGTTCTCATACCCACGACCAGGGATCATAAATCCAGCCTTCTGAATCATTCCCCGGAACTCCTCCTGGCTAGGGAACTTCTCAATACTCTCAACAAGATATTGATAGCTATCCCGATCCCCAGCAACAAGCTGTCCAATAAGAGGAATAGCACTGAAATTCCACCTCTTGTAAACCGCGTCAAACACGGGGTTATCAACCTTGCTAAACTCCATGCAAGCAAACACACCACCAGGCTTCAACACCCGGAACGCCTCATCGAGCGCAGCCTGTTTATCCGTGAAATTGCGGATACCAAACACAACGGTGTACAAGTCGATCGACCCAGATGGGATATGAGGCATGGACTGGGCGTTCGCCTCAACAAATGACAACCGGGGAGTATTGTAGTACGGTGTCTGGATAGAACGCTTGCGGCCCTCAGCGAGCATATCAGCATTGATATCGCTGATTGTCACGCGGGTCTCGACATCGTGGTTAATGTTCGTAGCGTGGTCGAGCATGCGGAACGCGATATCACCGGTCCCGCCGGCAATGTCGAGAATGTTCCAGCCTTTTTGGTTAGGGTTGTTGATGCGGGCGCTGAGGGGGGATCCGGGGTTTAGAGAGCGGACAAAGTGATCTTTCCAGAGGCGGTGGATTCCTAGGGACATCAGGTCGTTCATTGTGTCGTAGGAAGAGGCTACGGAGCTGAAGACTGCGCCGACTGTTTCCGGGTTTGTTAGCTTTGTGGCTGCCCGGGGAGGGATATGGGGGGTAGGTGTGTTGCTTTTGTTCAATTGGGTTGGAGGAAGGCTTACCTCGCGACTCCTTGTCTGATTCGGGCACATTGGTGAAGCCGAAGTGTGTCATGCGCTCTGGGCCCTGCTTTGGGTCTTGGGCGGCGTGGGTGCAGGAGAAGCAGCGGTAGGGGGTTGTGGGCTGGAAGGCACGGCGCTTTGCGCTATAGTGCAGAGTACGCCAGGCAGAGCGAGTTGACGCCATGATTATGATTGAGTTGGGAGTGGGTGTCTAGCTCAAGTTGCTGAGATATTCAACAACTTTTCCGGGAGAAAATGGGGATCCACTTGCATTTCCCCTAACCGCGATTCCGCAACCAATCAGATCGCGTAGTTTGCGAGCCATCCAGTAGAACAAATGATTACCTGCGTGTTATGTTCATTTACATTTGTTTGAAGGATTTGACGGAATTTACGGATATAATAGAGTTCCAAGGTCGATGATATCTTTATCTCCACTTTATGACCGAACATATGTTGAAGCAACAAATATATATATGAGGTTGGTGCTCATGATGAACTATATATATTGTCTGCTTCTCAATCACTTCAACTTGAGCACAGCATCCATTAGAATATTGGGAATTCCTTGTAACCACTTGAAATAATCAAAAATGGCTTCAAATCAGCTCTCCAACTGCTGCATAACTGGCTCGCTCCACGAAGGAGACGCTAAAGGTTCACTTCAAGACATCCAAAACAGTCTGTTCAAACCTCCAGCACTAAGATACCCTCAGGACTCTACCAACGTTGAACTACAAGCCTGGAGGAAAAAGAGAAACTGATTTTAGAAATTCATATGGAATAGTCTCGACCTACATCGCCTATCCACCAGATAAATCCACCAAAAACGCCATCCTCATAATCACCGATGTGATCGGCCACAAACTCATCAACGCCCAGCTAATCGCCGACCAATTCGCCGCCAAAGGATATTTTGTCGTCATGCCTGACATGTTCAACGGTGACTCGGTACCCCTCAATCGGCCGGAGGGGTTCAACATCATGGATTGGGTGAGGAATCACTCGCCTTTACAGACGGAGCCTATCATCAACACAGTGCTTGAGGAGATGCGTGGGAAATTAGGATGTCAGCGGATTGGAGGTGTGGGATACTGTTTTGGTGGGAAGTATGTTTGTCGGTATCTTAGGGCCGGGCTATTGGATGTTGGCTATATTGCGCATCCGACTATGTTAGAGGGAGATGAGTTGAGGGGTGTTGAGGGACCGTTGAGTATTACAGCCGCTGGTGGGTTTTCCTTTTCGGATGGGTCAGCTGGTGATCTCGGTAAGAAAACCGTGCTAATGGTTTACAGTTCGGGATTTTGTCTTTGTTACGGCTAAGCGTCATGAGAGTGAGGAGATCTTGGACAAATTGGAAGTGGTTCATCAGGTTTATTTGTTTTCGGAGGTGGAACATGGTTTTGCTGTTCGCTGTGATTTGTCTAAGCCTCGTCAGAGATTCGCGAAGGAGCAAGCTTTTTGTCAAGCCGTTGCTTGGTTTGACCATTATCTCAAGGAGTGAGATGGTCGAGTCTTCCTTGAGTGACATTAATAGAAAGGGGCTCGGGAGATCAGAATGATAATTCATGATTGGCATTATTCAAGATGTAAATGACATATTAGATATTACTATACTTTCTATTTGTAGATCATTCAAAGGCCAATGGCAAAAAGCCCTCGGAGTGAGAATTGTCCAGCGACCATGGCCAGCCTGTCAGCAGCTCTGGCGGTAATTGGAACTGCAGCATGTGGTTGTTGATCGGCCCCGCCGATACAACCGGTTGTGGTGCTGAGAGATACCCCGAGGAATGAATCACGGGCTTTACGTCGATCGGAACAAGGGTTTCATTCGGCCCATTCGATGATGGGGGAATATCAGAGACACCGACTAATCTTGAAGTGCGCATGTAGCCATCTATTCGGTCCACTTGTGACCGGAGACGTTCACTGGCACCAGCGGCACGATGCAGACCAACTTCGAGGCGGTGGAGAAGACTGGCCATTTCAAGACTTCAGAGGATATCAGTACTGCAAATGTTTGCTACGGGTACGGAGACTCACAGTAAGCTACGGACGCGTTGGTACGATGCGTCTGATAGACTGCCTTCCATGACTGACCCGAGAATATATCCGATTCCTCCCAAATGATGGAGCTAAGCAGTGATTAGTCTCAGTAGGATGTAAAGGGAGACTGAACATACCAAAGGAGAGCTGATGGCTCTCAAATATTCCACCGGCACGTTCGAAAACACATTCAACAACTCGCCAGCCACATCACACTTCCTGTCCACTCCGACCTCCTCAGCTGACAAAAGAACCATCCGAAGAAGCTGTAAAGTCGCCTGGATGTTTGCAGATTGGAAGCCGAACAGATCGTGACTCTCATCACCAGTGGTGGGAGGTGTCTCTCGGAAATGTGGGGGCAGTGCAGCATACATGGAAAGCACTCGCTCCATGACTGTCGGCTCTGACATATAAGCCGGACTGAAAAGCGACCACACTTCCTGGGTACCATTAGCGGAGGACAACTTGCGGCGAGTGCCGTCAACAACGTGTTCCAGAATGCGATAAAGATCGGTGGTAAAATTCCACCCATGCATCCAAGATACGGGCTGCCGAGAAACAATAGGCACCTCACCCTGCCTGGGGGCAGATTCCTGGAAAACAGAGGGCGTTCCGTAGCCGTGTTGGGTGATGAATTCGTCGTCCACCTCACTAGGGTATCGAACGAGAGAATGGGCCTCTCGGTATCGAATCACACCTCCCCATACAATCGTGGAGTAAATATCCAGGGTATAAATAGACCAGAACTGTTTCTATTAGTTAAACTTCAGATTACAAGGTTCCCTGGTACACACCAATCTTCGACGTTCTTCAATATCGATGGGACTGATGTCCTTTGGCCACAGCTTCTCATCATGGAAGCCTTCCATTGTTGTTAAAGTATGATACATGCCGGAATATTTCTGCATATTTTTAATTTTGCCGTTTTGAATGCTGGCGATCGCAAGTATCGCACAAGCACGCATGTAATTGAATTCCTTAGCAGCAGCAAGATCCCGAGGAAGGGAATCTTTGGCAGCTGCAAAGAAAGCCTCCGAGGGTGGTTTTGATAGTTCCTCTCGATGCCATCGGTTGGTGTACAATGCTCCATCACGGACTCGAGCGGATACCAACGAACAAACCGCCATTGTTGAGGCAAATAAGCTCTGGTTCTGAAGATGTTCCTGGTTGTTGATTCTTTCTATAAATGATGGTTTATGAAACAAGGGAAATCTGAAGGTGATTAGCTAAATTCCATACGGATAGATCCAAGCCCAGACCTACATTGGATAAACAATCTCGAAATAAACTTGAACGAGATTGCGAATCTGTTGGTCACAAGAAATGGCAAAAGCTTTCCAAGAATTGCGCAGTGCGCCATCATCATCATATCCTTCGGTCGTTGACCATCCACTGTTGAAAGAAGACCAGGGGTCCCCTGTAAACAACGGGCGCGACACGGAGTCAGCAGTAAACGAGCTCCTAGAAGCTGAAGAATCCGATGCCCTCTCTGGAGGGTTCCCGCTACTCATTGAAGCTCGATCGATAACCGGGTGTGCGATTGGCGTATCTCGGGTGTTCACCCTTGTACCAGCCTTCACTCCACGGCGTTTAGCCGGGCGATCAAAAGTGCACGGAACATCGAAATCCACACAATTTTGACAACGACCCAGCGGATCCCCACTGCTGCCACATTTGATGCTGCGTCTATTGCAGAAGTCGCCTGCATGCTATCATGTTAGCCTTCCGATACTCAACCCCGGGTCCCACAAATGAAGTGGAGAACTCGGATGGGAGCATGGGGGTCAACCTACAAGCCTTGGAGACTCGTTGGAGTTTTCGCGGTTTTTGCGACATTCATCCGAAAATCTTACAAATAGGGACTTTGCGCTTAAACGGCTAGTGTTGATCAATTGAGCCGAGAATTCAAGCTCGGGTGTCCGACTTTCCGGGATGTAGATTATAGATTATGGCTTGCTTCGTTTGAAAACAAGGATATGATGAAAGGGAAAAAGGTCTTAATGAGCAGGATTTAACCGACACCATGACCTTCCTTATTGAATCGATCAGGAAAGAAGGCCGAGAACGCCCATGGAGGCTTGCTGACTCATCGTCGTGTCATCGACTTTTTAGTGTTGGCGAACCATCGCGGTCTACCCAAGCAATAGAGGCGTTGATGAAGCATTTGAAGGCAGAAAGGTCGCCTTCAAGATTATTAACTGGTATATTATCTAGTAATATTCGTAAATACCCAGTGTTTTAGGTGATGTCGGAAGTAAGTAAAATACATATAGTGCTCGCAGTAGTGATGCCCTCGCAAAGAATCCCGAAACCTAATATCTATTCAATCATTGAACGCCTGGAATGATATCTCATATCCTGCTTTCAGCAGATGTACAGTCTAGTTTATCAGATGTCACTTCAGCCTTATTAATACTATAGGTTTCGCTCCTGGTGACCCCATGCTCCGTAAGGACGTCGCCGCGGAGTTTGTAAGCCTGCTCCATCTTCCAATGGAATGTACTGGATTTTGAGAAAAGGTCAAATATCATTTTTGAAGAATGGCAATAATTATATTGGTTCGAGCTGGAATCGAACGAGTGATCTCGCAATTTGCCTTTTTTCACCGAGTACACGGGGCACTGTGAATAGCCTCATTTGCACCACCCACTAATTCAGCCGACTGCCACTGTACCGCACCCCACACATCCTTTGGGATAAATTTGACTGAATATTTGAAGTCCGAGACTATATAACATATGTAAAGGATATTAATAAACATATAACCCCGAGGACTCCTCCTATGCCTTTGTTGTTCACTTGGGAGGAGTGCTCTGAGTTGATGTTTCCCGGTACAAGTTGACAACACCATTCAAGTCCCGTGAGCTGACGTGTTTAGTCACATATGGTGCCAACTGTTATGAGTGTTTACCACTCGACCACTCGGAGGTCAATTGTTCATTCGTTATAACCCAACTCGCTAACTTTCACCTTTTCTGTACTGCATCATGCATGTTGTACTAGTTCCTTTTTCCCCCCGCACTCGGGAAAATATAAAGCTCTTCAGCTGCGCCTTCTCCCGTAAACATTTTCAATCCATCTCACAAATCGCTCCTAATGAAGTTCCAATTCTGGGCATTGCTTGCCCTAGTACCCGGTCTCGTCGATTCTACCGCCATTGGGTATTCAACCACAACCCCTTCTACAGTCACCAACTCTTCATTGAGTTTTGGATCTCACTATGCTGTCCTAAATCTGGATTTGGTCAACGCCGTAATGGAAATCATCAACACAACCTCCCAAGGAAAAGCGTTCATCAAGAACACAGCTAAGTGGATTGACGCGTAAGCCATTCTCACAGCATTAGTTTCCCTTAGCATTAGTCCGCCACTTACCGATCAGTGTTCACAAACAATCCCCTCCTCCGATCAGCATCTTCAGTCGCGTATATGCTTCGAATAGCCTTATGCCTGAGATCGCCCCTTCTGTACCATTTTACAGCGCCATTGCTACCATCGGCAACCTCACAGAGTCTGACGTAGCGTCGCAACTCTACCCAGCATTTAAGCCGTTGCCCGATTACGATGTTGTCCTTCAAAAAACACGTTATTATGCAGGGACAGGCAACACGCTAGTTCAGATTCTGCGAAATCAAAATATCGACACGGTTATCCTGGTATGCATTCCCTGTACCCATGGCAACAATAGTCCGATGATTTCTAACAGCGAAAAATGAATAGTCTGGTATTCGAACATCTGGTGTGATGCTTGCGACCGCTATGCGGCTTTTTGATCTCGACTTCAATGTGTGAGTACTGAATTTAGCTCTGCTCGAATTCTGTATAGTGCTAATCGAGGATAGGTATGTTATCGCGAACAACACTATTGAGGTGGGAGAAGATGCAGCCAAAGTCAACGATGCGATTTTGCAGGGCATTCTTCCAAAGATGCCACTCAATGTCATTACCATTGAGCAGGCTATCGATGCTCTGTCTCGGTCAAAGGCAACATACTACTAGTCCCGTTATCATATGCACTCGGCTCTCTTCCACGGTTGCCGAGGTGTATAGGTTACTATACGTGATAATGGCCATTAAATACCTACAAATTAAAACTTGGCAGGTTTCAAAATAGGAAGCTCTCTTCTTTCGTGGCTTGTAAAATGGGTCCCCGATCTTGGTAGAATCGGCCCACTGCGGCTCTGCCTTATGCTCCACACTGGGCAGCCGACCGTAGCTCAGCCCGAAGTAGCAGCTTTCCAATCGAAAATGTTTTGTGCAGAAAGAGGAAAAGAAGATCATTGAAATTATAATGATGTAGTTTAGCTCGCAAGAAATGTTTGTGGGTTACACAATATTAGGAATGTGGCCAATTTCATGCAACGTCAGGCGCACAGCAGCATGCAAGATGGAATTTATCGCGCATGAAAATCTCTGTAGATACACTAGCTATGTTGGGCCTATTGGGCTTCATTGAATTGCAGATCCCTGACTCAATCCTCGATGAGCCCAACTCAAGTCAAATCTATACCTTTAGATATGATCAGTGCCGGCATGCCGAGCACGACCAATGACAGTTCGGTAATATCTCGGCACCGAGTTTGTACCGAAGGAGGTACCGAAGTATATGCGAAAACTTTCTATTCACGATAAGTAAGGGATCTAAATTTTAGCCAATCATTTCAAGTTCCCCTTTGACCCCAAAGCTGGAAATATCTCGGAGATCGATCGGACACTAATTGTATCTATACCCTCATTCTTACCTCATAAGGATGAAAGCTACAGTATAAGTATCTTGGTACCCGCCACCTTTTATCGAGGAATCATTCAGATATTGAAAGTCTTACAAATCCCCAAAATGCCTGATTCAATACCCTCTCATTCACCCATGACCAGAGTCGAAACCCGAGAAACCCTTCGCGATGAAGGGATTTCAGGAACTCCCCCACCCGTGGACTACAACTATGCCGACTTCGAACGTCAAGATCATCCCGAGTTCCCTGAAGAATATGTCGTCGAAACAAGGACCGGTGTAGTTCCCCAAACAGCCTTGCACCAAGCACGATCCAGCACTTCAACAAAACCTACACCGAGTGACGGTCGAGACTTTGATATCGAGAAAGGACCCAAAGAGCCGGTCGACTATGTGACATTCACAATCGACGATCCGGAAAACCCACATAATTGGTCCCGCAAATACCGCTGGTATACTACCATCGTGGCAGCATCCGTCGTGGTCTGCGTGGCCTACGGCTCAGCTGTCGTCACCGGTGGCCTAGGTCTCATCGAGGCCAAATACCACGTCTCATTAGAGGTTGCTATCCTCACCTGCTCAATCATGGTCTGCGGATTCGCCGTAGGACCTTTACTCTGGTCTCCACTCTCGGAGATCATCGGCCGTCGACCCGTCTACATCATCTCATTTGCTCTCTACACCATCTTCAACATCCCATGTGCCTTGTCCCCAAATATCGGTGGCTTACTAGCGTGTCGATTCCTATGTGGCGTCTTCGCCAGTTCCGGACTCTCCCTCGCCGGTGGAACCATTGCTGATATCTGGAATATTGAGGAGCGCGGCATGGCCATCGCCTATTTTGCCGCAGCCCCCTACTGCGGACCCGTCCTAGGCCCAATCGTTGCTGGCTGGATCAATGTCGGCACTGGCCGTCTGGACCTCTTCTTCTGGACCAACATGGGTTTTGCAGGTGTTCTCATGATCATGATTGGTCTAATTCCTGAGACATATGCACCGGTCATTCTCAAACGACGCGCGGTGAAACTTCGCAAGGAAACAGGGAACCAGAATATCATCACTGAGCAAGACAATGCCAAACTTACCCTGAAGGACGTCATTCGGACAAACCTAGTCCGTCCAATCGCCATGATCATGACTGAGCCAGTCCTTGACCTGATGTGCCTCTACGTTATGCTGATTTACTCCATGCTGTACGCGTTCTTCTTCGCCTACCCCGTTATCTTCGGCAAGTTGTACGGTTACAACGACGGTCAAATCGGTTTGATGTTTATCCCGATCTTGATCGGAGCCGGTTTTGCCCTACTTGTTACCCCGATTCTGGAAAAGGATTTCAAGCGCATCTGCGCAATGCGCGCGCCAACGCCCGAGGATCGATTGAAGGCTGCGATGTGTGGAGCGCCTTTCGTCCCGATTGCATTGTTCATCCTCGGTGCTACTTCCTATAAGCATATTATCTGGGTTGGGCCTGCATCTTCCGGTCTATCTTTCGGCTTTGGAATGGTCCTATGTTATTATGGTGTGAATGCCTATATCATCGACTCTTATCAAAAATATGCGGCGTCAGCTTTGGCTGCGAAGGTTTTTCTGCGATCTGGTGGCGGTGCTGCCTTCCCGTTGTTTATTACACAGATGTATAACCGTCTGGGATTGCAGTGGGCTTCTTGGCTTCTGGCTTTCATTGGCATTGGAATGGTGTTCATTCCCTATATTTTCTATTTCTTTGGTGCGCAACTCAGGGCAAGACTGAATCACAAGTGAGACATGTAGGGGAGATGTTGATCGATAGAGGAAACTAATAGATTAAAAAGTGATTAGATAGATTTATACATACCTAATGTTGATTTGTTTCAATTTACTCTAACCTCCCACTCGAGTCTATTTACTACCTCTGCTGACGTTGGATTGGTCCACATAAGCCCCACCGTTCGGCTCCCCTCACCACATGGCACAAGGTACAAGCTCGTATACCTGTACGCTGTGGCTTAAAGACAGAAGTCACATGGACTCCGACCTCCCATTTCTCACATTCCCCTCCCCGGCACGCGTTCAAGATGCCTCTCGACGGCAAGCGCATCATATTATGTCTAGATGGCACCTGGGTCAACAGCGATAAGGGATACAACCGCCCGACCGCACAAGACCCAAACGACACACTAGCCGTCCCCACAAATGTGACTCGCGTGTACCGGTCACTGAGAAAACGGGGTTTTGATGGGGAGAGCCAGGTCATGTACTACCATCCCGGTGTAGGTAGTACTGGCGGCATCGAGGACTCAATTGCCGGTGGGGTCTTTGGCACCGGAGTGGCCGAAGTGCGTCCGAAGTCGCCCAACTAGCGCATTCCAGGCTGACGTGATGATAGAACATTAGGGAAGCATACAGTTTCGTCGCAACGAATTATGAGCCCGGCGATGAGATTATCTTATTGGGTTTCTCGCGTGGTGCGTTTACTGCACGGGGTGTGGCTGTATGTGAGATCTAGTAAGCTTTGTTTACGTTTCTATCTAATGTTGTCTTAGTCGTTGATCGATGCGATTGGGCTTTTGAATTCTGATGGGATGGAAATGCTCTATCCTATCTTTAAAGATGCGGAGAATTTTGAGAATCCGGATTACAAGGATAAATTTCCTACAATTCCTTTTCGGAATAAGCCTCGTCGACCGAACAATGGAAAAGAGTACAAGCGTCGGTTGGAAGAAGTATCATGACAAGAATTCTCCATTTGACAGATTGATCACTGACATAGTATAGGTGGGATTGACAAGAGTTTTCAACCCAGATGGGCGCCGCATCAAGATACGCTGCATTGCGGTCTGGGAGACCGTAGGAAGTCTAGGTACGCTATTTACTGTATCCAACTGGATTTATTGATCTGACATCTCCCAGGCATCCCAGATACAAACCTAGGGAAACGATTGCACGTCCCCCGCTCCACAAAAGAATAAGTACAACCACCCCTAAAAATTGCTCTTGTACTGACCAGATCATACGTGCCAATTCTACGACACCCGCCTCTCAAATACAACCGAATACGCCTTCCAAGCCCTAGCACTAGACGAAGATCGCACATCATTTGCCCCGGCTGTCTGGGAACGCCCCGACGGCGTTAATACTGATCTCCGCCAAGTCTGGTTCTGCGGAGCCCATTCTAATGTCGGCGGTGGACTCCCAGACCAAGAACTCGCCAATATCTCCCTAGCCTGGATGATGGACCAACTAACATCAATTGGCGTCGCGTTCTACGACGACACAATTGACAAGATCTTCGCGAGAAGTGTACGCTACTTCTTCGATCATCCCCACGGGTCCGATGCTGATTCGTCCTCCAATTCCGAACAATGGAGACAGTGGGCGGATTTGTCCGTATATGAAGAGCACAAGCCAGTCAGGCCTTGGGGTTTGGGTGAGATTGTCCAGCCTGATACGGGGTATTATCACCTTGCTGGGAAGACGACGAGGACACCTGGGCAGTATCGGCGTATTGATCCTGAGACTGGACGGGTGACGTCGCGGTTCTTGGTCAATACGAATGAGAGGATTCACCGTAGTGTGAGGATTAGGCTTGATCTTGGTGGGTTGGGGTTTGATGATGTTGGGCTGTATAAGTGTAAGGCGCTGTTGAAGAAGGGGCCTTGGGACCTACAGAAGGTCAGGGCTGTGGTTAGTCGAAAAGTCCAGGATATTGATGGGGATATGGGGGATGTTATTGAGAAGTTTGAGGATGATCGGTGGGGGTGGATTTATGCTGGGCCGAAGGACGATGCGCCTTTAGAGATGATCTTGATGGAGGAGCCGCTGGGGCCGTATGAGAAACGGCTACTTCGTCTTAACAAAGGTGACTATGCTTATGCAAATGCAGAGAAAATGTTGCTGATTATGGTCGACATCTAGGCCGTCCGTTTTACAAAGCTCTGCTAGAGCAAACTAGACGATTTTAAGGAAAATGTGGTTTCAGTACATCCCTGCAGAATGACCATCTGAATGAGAAACGAAGATTTAATTGGTAATCTCTATGGTGCTGAACTTTTCATCCAGGAATAGATAAGTGTAGACAACGTTAGTTTGTCGACTGATCCCAAAGACTCTCAACTGTCACACCATCAACCCACTTCCCATCTGTTTCGTCCTTCTGAACAGTGAAACCGATCTGCCTCTTCTCCCCAGGAATTAAAGTGAAAGAATTGTCATCAAAGTACCCAACAACCCCAGCCGGATAATCCAACCAAGTATAAAGGGAAACACCACTCTTAGCCTCAACCGTAAACAGGCCTGTTTCCGCATCATGAGATACCTCAATCTTAGGATCAACAAGCGCAAGCTCGTTGGGGAAAACAGGTGTGAATTGGTTGCGATGCATAAAGGTAGACACGGTCTGATTTTGTGCATTTGGGAGCTGACCCTGAGCACTAACCGACATCACAAGAACAGCATTCGTCTTATCTGCAAGATCCAGATCCTCAATCGTCGTATCGAAAATCTTCGTTGTATTAAGTCCACCAACGGTAAACCGTGTAGATGTGGGAGTGTTAGCATTGCCCGGAATGGGCTTCCCAGAGAAATCGACCCAGGTTAGGTTCACTGTTCCACGCGCCGTTTCCCATAGATCAGAGGTAACGTATATGGAAAGATCTCCTGTGGTGTAGGTCCAGTATGGCGCAACGATTATAGGCTTGTAGATATCCCGAGCAGCGTAGTGAAGAACTTTCCAGCGACCATCATATTCGATGCCAGCCCAGGTGGGAGCTTGCCAGATATCTTCGAGCTGCCAGTACAGTGATCCAAGCTGGCGCTCGGGCATTCCGCTGCCGCGACGGTAGAATTGGATTTCGCTCTTGTACATATCCGCTTGGAATATCTGGGTGGCGTGGCACCAGGCGCTGAAATTGGCGACAGAATCCTGTTTTCGTGGGATGGGGTAGTAGCGTTCTACTGCCATAGTCATCTCGCCCATTCCCATCGAGGAGTTCTTGTAGTTATGTGTCTCGGTGCCACCGGGTGGGTAGTGATGGTTTCGAAGCTGGACCGTGCTGCTGTTGAAGTGGAGGTCTTTTTCGTCGACAGCCTGGCGCCAGGTTTGTAGACTTGGCATGCTGTGGAAGCCGAATTCATTGGCGAAACGACCAACGGGGTAGCTGCCGAGATCAAACGCGACGCTGCTGTCGTAGTTGTAGTGGTCTGTATCGGAATAGTAGGCTCCAGCGGTCGTGTTGTCGTAGCGCTCAGCCATTGGAACCGGTGCTGAGAGATTGACGTATAAGAAGCCGTTGTTTGTGCTACTGGGCATGTAGGAGATGGACCGCGAGTTCTCGTAGACGAGTGGGAGGATTAGGCTGATGAAAAGCTGCTCGTACTGTCCGACCCAGTAGGAATATTGGTCTGGATCTGCGTCTTGCACCAGAGGTAGCTCGAGACTTTCGATTTCGTTGCCACCGGCCCATAACGCGAGGGAAGGGTGGTGATTCACTCGTCTTACGTTGTAGGAGACCTCAGCTGCGACATCTTCGAGGAAGTCTTCATTGACCGGGTAAAGAGCGTCACTGAATTGAAACTCGCTCCATAAAAGAACGCCGCGCTCGTCGGCAATGTCGTAGATGAAATCTGGCGAGTAGGCACCGGATGCCCACACGCGAAGCATGTTCTGGTTTCCAGCCACAACGGCATCGAAGAGTCGTTGCATTTTTTCTTCAGTCACTCTGGGCCAGAACGCGTCTGGCGGAATAAAGTTTGAGCCCTTGGCATAGAACTCCTGACCGTTGATTTCAAAGTGCCAGTTCGCGCCCGGTGCGATGCCTTGGGCCAATTGCTCATCTGTGATGTTCAGACGGTTGAGGAAGATTGTGCGAAATCCAGTACGCTTAGTGACAGTAGCGAGAGTTTCCCCTGCGGCATTGACAGTGATGGTAGTATAGTAGAGATTTTGCTTCCCCATGCCGGTTGGCCACCACAGATTGGGCGCATCAGCACCGACGGAGATGCTTCCGGTGATGCTTTGACCAGTAATCTGAACATTCTCGAGGGCTCCAGACTTGATAACCTTTCCTGATTCGACATCTTTGATCTCAATGTGCATTGAAGTGTGACTTGGAAGTGAACCAAGGAAGTCAATACTGGCATTCACAACCCATGGTTTGCTCTGATCTGGGGCAAGGTGATTAATCTGGCCCTGACGGAAAATATCGAGATCGGTGTTCAGGACAGAGATACTCTCCTCCTTGTCAAATTGTACCAGATAGGCGTCTCGCCATGGACCAGCAGGAGCAAAAGCTGGGCCCCAATCCCATCCGAAGTCGGATTGCTCCTTGCGAATGTACCAACGATTTGGGAATTCGTAAATTTGTTGGGGACCATACGGCCACTCTGCAAAAGTCAGAAATATAAAGGACAGACACTTGATGACAGCTTACTTTGAGAAGACGGATCCTCGGCAATCTTATTAGCGATTTGAGGCGCGCTACCAAAGTTAAGCGACAATGTGGGATGATTCTTGCAGTTGTTGACAATTTTGGTTACGTCGAACGTGTATTGACGGAATTGATTTTCAGTTGTACCGACGAATTGCCCGCATAGCTCAATTGTGGTAAAGGTATCCAGGCCATTGAAAACAAGCCACGAGGCCTTGGAGTTGGTAGATCTGCATTTTATGTTTAGTCGCATATTCAACAAATTTCACGTCATTGTACATACAATTCACCCAATGGATGACTTGTATAAGTCCAGTTGTTGTCCGGGATCCACCGCAGGTCGAAATCATTTAGACCGTAGTACCTGTGGTATGAAAATTAGTATGTGATTCCAGGTCCCTGAAGCTCGAAATAGTACTAACGGATCATCTATCAATGGTCAGTCAGGATCCTCTTCAACTCAATCCCCATACTCACCAATAACGTTAGCCGCATAAAGATCCAGATGTACCTGCGAAGGCAAATTACCCGGAACTGAAATATTCAACGCCTTGCTGCTTACAGTCCAGCCATCTCCAGTGAGATCAACTACATGCTGACCCAGCACAGACTGAACCGTCACTGGGAGAACAGCCAGTGCCAACTTCCACAAATGCATGGTGACACCAATGGAGATAATAAGAGTTGAAAGGGTGACAAAGCTCAACTTGGGGTGATTGCCCGATTTATCCTACAAAGCTTGCCTGGTGAGCTCGGTCAAACATGAAAACAAGTGGAGACGTGAAGACTGTGGCTGGATCCTTTAATGAATCATATGGGCCGTGCCATTGTTGTTCTTACGAGGATAACCTCGCAAATCCACTAGCGAAGCCCCCTCACATGCGGGGGAAAGCAACGGTAGCAATGCTGCGTAGCGGACGAGGATGATCTCGGGGAAATTATAATCTGAAATCTCCAGCTCTGGACCTGATGGCGGTAGAAAGCGATGATCAGCACTGTGGAGCTCGAGAGGGGTAAATGAAGTGACTCTGGGCCCAGCAGATTGGTCAATTGTCGACAATACGGCTAAATGTGAACATTGGACAATGAAAATTGAATGGCTTTGAGGAATCTTTGTGCCTATCTAAATCATTTCAGTGTGTAGAGTGTATGGAATGAATCCCTTGATTTCAGCCACATTGGTCATTCCCAGCCATCACGTGTATTGAGGCCAAAACTATTGTAAAATCTCTAGTTCTATCCTCATTTCCCATCTATCATCTATACATGAAATATGCTTAATATTGAGTCAAGTTCTTGCGCATGAGTGTCATATCATCGTAAGAGAAGCCAAGTTGGGTGTTCAAATATCCTTCGACGCCGTTGTAAGTGGCCTCGAAAGTCTTGAGGAACGCCTGCATAGCCGACCCCCGAACGCCACTCAGCTCGAGCATACCATTCGCCTCCGCGCTTAAATGATCGGTGCCAACATGGAGAGAAAAAGCATGACTCAAATTCTCCCGTACACCCTCCAGTCCCACGCGTGTATATAGGTAGTCGTTGATTATTTCATCATGAGGCCGCCCAATAAGGAGGAGGATAAGAGCGGAAAGGACTCCCGTCCGGTCTTTTCCAGCTAGAAGGACCCAAGAGTGGTTAGCCAAGTCGTTTCATTTCGATATCCCCACTCATAATAGACGCGCGACTTGACTTGGCAGAGGGGGTACTCACCAGAACAATGGAAAATAAAGGGGTCGTTAGGTTCGTCTCTGATATGACTGAAAACTTCAGTGAATATGGGTGTTGCCGCATTCAAAATGCCCATGTACATCTTCACGAATCCAGTCGCAGATGGGTCATCTTGGGAGAAATCCTTCAGGTTCAGCGAGGCTGGTCTGGCTCCGTAGGGCATCCATATGGTTTCGATTCCAACAATCTCTGGGCTGGGAGCCCGCTCCCGTTCCCCTTCATTGCGAAGGTCGAATATCGTGGTGATGCCAAGATCTTCCACTAAGATTGACTTTCCCTTCTCTTCGATATCTGATAGGTTAGCTGAGCGGTAGGCGTACCCGGGGCGGAGTTCGTTATCGTGGCTTAAATCTCGGAAGTTCGATACGCCAGGAACAATCACAAAAGGAGGCAAAGTGATAATTTTCGAAACAATTGATTTCGGAATGGGTGTTCGGATATCAGTATTCAATACGTCGGTGACATTGTCGGCGTCAATCATGGTGCAGGATATTGAATGCTTAATGAAAGGGAGAGGGAAAAGATAGATCCAAGTTACTCCTTTGTCGATCTGGAGAAATGTCGTTGGCAGGGACATCCCCGACATAACCAGCATTGGACGTTATGTCATCGTACCCATACCGTTTTCCCTGGCAGGGAAAGCGCGAAAGGTGGAGTTGAAAACCTCAATGATGTAGCCGGGGAACGATGTCATCGCTCGGTGGGTCCGGTTATCGGAAGGGACAGCACCCTGGAAGGCATCCGATGACGTTCAGATATTGCACAGGTTCTCTGCAACAAAATTATCCGATATACCATAACTCCATAGACGCTCATATTCATGTGAAAATGTGGAGGGCATTAATTTCCAAGGTTAAGGTTGTTAGGCATCTCAGCCTTCCATTGGTATCACAGAATTCTACCTCGGTTTTCTGTATGTTTATGGATTCAAAAGATTCTTGCGAGGGCTCACATACATTCCCTCATTTTTTTTATCGCGAGTCGGATCAGGAATGACTTCAGCTTGCCACCGTCAAAGCACGAATTCTGTAAACCATCCAAAGTGGTGCAAAACAACAGTCTAACTACTGAAACGCGATAGGTCCTTGTGTCACGATTGAATATGCACTTGGTTCTCGTATCTGTACAATGTATGAGCTATCACACATGTTCAAGAGTGGGGGTAAGACCTGTGTCAGGCCAAGTATTGTCTTGTCTTTTTCTCGATTTAGACCCGTCATATGCAAACTTCAAATACTCGTTCTTACTGTACTGGATCATCGGAAAACCCAGTACATACGAATAAAATTTCGAGTATCGCTGAGCTGCCTGCAAGAGTGGGGAAGGACATTCCAGTTAAAAACCTCTTATCAATCCTTCCATTTCATAGACAAGTTTCTTTCATTGCTATGTCTTCGACGGAGCGAGTTTCAAAGCGAAGACGGCCAGCGCGATCATCTGAGTCGGTCAAACCTAGTAAAGTGCGCTCATGTGAGGCTTGTCGGCGATTAAAAACACGATGTGAAGTTAATTCCACCTTTGATGGATGTCATCGGTGTGGAACACTTGGGTAAATCAATTCAGTAAAGCCATCGCAGGATTCAAGCACTGATCGCTACGTAGGATAAAGTGTTCGTTTCATGTCGTCCGCAACAATGCATCAACTATACCAACAGTCGGCGATGACACGGGAAATAATTATCACAATAGGTGTGTCCTCCTTGTGACTTTACAACCAATTGCTTATTTACAAAGTAGACTCCGTGCTGTTGAGACATCGTTGGCACGTATACAAGCTTCGCTGTCTATGCAACCTATCAATCTAAGCCAAAGCCAAAGACCAGAGGTCGACATCTTCATATCGAATAAGGTATTCTAGCTGACCGACTACCCAGACGCAATCCAATGCCGAGCGAACTGCCCGCGATGCGCCCATGAGCCTAATCCAAGAAATCAGAGAGAACATAACCTTACACCGACAGCCACGACAAATCCAGGATCTATTAGAGGATGTCATCATAAATGGCATAGTATCAGAAAGCACAGCTTTTACACTTCTCAAGGGGTAGGATCTCGCGCTAGAGATACCGCAGACACATCAAAGCTGATCATGTCAGATTCTCAAAATTATCCAGTCGCTGGCTATTCTTAAGCACTGAACTCACTGATCTACGAGCCAAATCACCTCTTCTTTTCGGCACTTGTATTCTCGCCGGTCTACACATCACCCCATCACTCCATGGCTCCTCCACACACCACGCATTGTACCGCCATATTCACGGACTGCTAGGCCGGTCCCAATTTGCCTCCACGATATCCCCAGATACCATTCAATCTATGTTAATATGCGCTATGTGGGACTTGAGACCGACACGAGACCACGATCATGGGAACTCATGGCTTTTGAGCGGCACAGCGGCGATGCAAGTCATGATTACTACATCTTTTGGGCAGCTTGTGCAGGTAGAGAGTACTCAGGAACAGGCGCGAGCGCGGGGAATACTGCGGACCTGGAACTTGATTTGTCTGTGCCAGTTACAGTATGTTTCCTCTCTGTCTACCACCTACGTGTGTATGCTAATGGCTTTAGATTCTCCGTTGGCTCCGGGCGGCCACCCGTCATCGCGAGCCAATACTTCGATCAATGCGCAAAGGTTCTCGAATTCCCCTCTTATAACTCCCGTGACGAGTTGGTGTTGGCAGGAGTTTACCTTTATCGCACCTTGTGGGAGTTGGTCAGTTCCAATGTGATCCAAAAGGAGATTCCTGTCTGGCCTGAGATTGAACAGCTCTGCAAGTCACAGGAACATATCTATAGTAAGCTTCAAATGTTTCTTTGGAGTAGATTGGAACTGATGTGGGAACACTATAGATCTTGATTCTTCGGAGCCTTTGCGCTTTGCCTATTCATGTGCTTACCTGATACTCGCTCGTCGTACACTGCAGCACATACATGAATCTCAGCCTGGGAAGAAAAGCTCCAGAACACGACCGGAAACAGACAATGGTCTTCAATTTATCAGATTTGCCATTCATCACGCAAACCAGATCTTGGTCCTTTTTCTGTCCATGTCGGATCTTACAACATGTGTTCACCCTGCATATGAGAACCTCTTATGTTCCTTTGCCATGGTAACCCTAGCCGAGTTTGTCAGCCATGTGACCAATGTTAGCGAGGTGATCAGACGTATGGAGCGGGCTATTTCTCATATCCAGCGTGGAGGTAAAGCCGAACCAGTGAGTCGGTGGTCGTTGAATGTCATCAGACAGTATGTCAATGGGAGTGATTTGGATACTTTGACAGGAAGTGAGAGTACTGAGACATTTATTCCACCTGTAATGGATACTACAAAGTCCTGGGTGGAAAGTGAATGGAACATGAACGTGGATCAAGAATTTCCATCTCTTGAAGACATGTTCTTTGGGCATGCGGTTTGAAAAGATAGAATATGTCGTCAGAATCGTTAATGAATAGCATTTCCTAAACCTCGCTCCTCAATCTGATCCCAGCAAAACACTCTTTAGGCTTCTTCGAAAATCCTTCATGGGAATCCATCTTCGGCTGATATAACATAAACTCATACCGACGAAACAGCGTCCCAATAATCAATTGCAACTCCATAATTGCAACATTCTGCCCAACGCACGCACGAGGACCATAAGAAAAAGGATTAAATCCAATCTTCTGTCTCGGCGTAAGATTCAACCAGCGATCCGGCTTGAACTCTTCAACATCATCACCCCAAATCTCCGCCATATGATGAATCGTGTAGGAGGGAACAGACAACACCGTCCCCGGCGGGAAATAATATCCATCAAACTTCACCCCCGAGCCACTATCCGTAACAAGACGAGGAAGTCCAATAGCAGAAGTAGAATGCAACCTCATCCCCTCATCAATACATCGACGCAAGAAAGGCAAATCCCTCACCTGACTATAAGCCGCAATCTCCGTCTCCGATCCAATGCTCGCGTCCAACTCCTCTTGCAGCCGTGGAAGAACACTCCCAGGTGCACATCGCTCCCCGTGAAGAATCCAATAAAACACCGCACAAGCTGTATTAGAAATCGTATCGGATCCCGCTATCAGCTGCGTCAGTGCTTCCGAGGTTAATTCCTCTCTCCCCATGGGATTTCCGTTGGCATCCTTAGCCTGCAGCAAGCGAGAGAGAATGTCATTCCGTGTATCGATAACGCCCTTCTCCGCTGCATCTATCCGAGATGAAACAGCCGCAACTGCGATCCCGGTAAGGTTCTCAACGGCCGCGATACCCTGCGTAAAGAATGGATCCGGAAGATAGCGCGCATATGGACGTAAAGCTGGAAGAAGGCCTAATGTAGAAGAAACCTCTCCACGCCGATTCAGGACTTCGACGGCTGGAGCGGTGGAGATGGGTCCACCCGGTACGAGTTGCACTTCTGTCTCGTCTTTGCCTTTGTCTACCATTCCGAATGGAGATCCAAATGCTAGATCACCGATTATGTCAAAGGCGAGATAGCTAAACCAAGGCATGGCGTTGAACTTGGTGAAACCGTCACCGGGTTGTGGCTGCCGAGACTGGGCTGTGGCGATACGGTCCAACTGATTCACCCATCGCTGGAGATTTGCGGCCATATGTGGCTCGAAAGCAGCGACAGATTTGGGGGAAAACGCATGCGAGATAATCTTTCTTTTGCGCGTATGTTCGGCCCGGTCGCGGACGTTGAACATACCAGGTGTTCTTGCGATGAAAGCTTCATAATAATGACTGAATGGATGTTAGTATGGGTTTGCCCTGGAAGAGGTACCACATACTCCTTGAGAAATCCATTTCCATGCCCATATACGACATTGAGGGCGCGTTCGTCTGCGATGGAGATATGGTTGAAACCGATTCGTACAACCTTGCCATATTTTCGGTGTGCGGTGTCAACAGCAGCGAATTTCTGGCCTCGTCTTGCGCTGAGTCCCACCCATATATTGCTGAATTTAGCCCAGAATGGGCCTGGGATGCGAGACAGAGATTTGTAGGTTGTGAAGTATGGGATTGAGTAGTATAGTATGAACCACACTGGGATTGTACAGGCCAGCCATGGCGATACGAAAAATGTTAGAAGAGCCATGTTTCAAGTATGAAGAATAGTGATTTGGAACTGGGCTTTGACATGTTCACGATCCATTTAAATAGTATACTAGACTCCATTGCGGCTGCATGTTGGATTCATCTCCGGCGGAGTTGATGGGACACCCCGTCGGAGATGGGGTGCAGATACGAGATCAAGAGTGGGGGAAATCAAATAACCATCCTATACGCATATTTGATTTGCCAAAAAAGTCTAGCGATCATTTTGAATCTCTTCCAATGACAGCCAGAATTTACGAAATATAACATTTAGTCCAAGATTACTCCGACGCCTGAACCATAGCAGCCGCAACCTTGAGAATGGTATCAGCAGACTTATAATCGTCAGTGTTAGTCAGGTATGCAGCGCCCAGACCCATCTTCTTCACTTCAGCAATGACAGACTCGTAGTTGGCACTACTAGGCACACTGTAGAGAAGAACAGCATCCTTGGAATAATCCTCCACAGAGGAGAACTCGTCTGCTGGCACAGCGGTGATCCAGGTCTCGTACGAGTTTTCAAACTCGACGATCAAGTCCGCAGCATCAAAGTATCCATTCACAGCTCCTTCTTCCAGCTTGGTACCGGGATTGAAGACGACAGTGTTCAGACTGTGAGATCGGGCGTTATCCGCGACCTCGGTCATGTAGGAAATCAGGGAGGTGTCATCGGTGCGTGGTGCTTCATCGAAGAAGATTCCGGAGACGGCGATGTTCTTCTCAGTGTAGGCGGCCCAACCACTGTAGGTAGAGATGTCACTCTCAACATCTGAGATATCACGGGTGGCGTACTCTGTCGGGATATATCCGAGGACCACGACGTTGTCGTAGCTGTTTAATTGTGCAATGCCTGCAATGTATGCTGCCTCCGGGTAAGCTAGAGATGGTCATGTTAGCAAATGTAGTGTGTATGTTTTTCGATGGTCTCTTACTGGTATCGCCTGGGCCGCTGGAAGGATTGACAATGACCTGAAACTCGATGTCGGGGTTTCCAGCTGCGGCCTCATAGACGGGGCCCCAGGTGGTGTTATCGGTGGGCCAGATGTAGAGAGGCAGCAGGATAGAAGTGGATCCTGTAGATGAAGCGGTCGAAGAAGATGCTGCAGAAGATGCCGTAGAGGAAGAAGATGTTGAGGTAGAGCCAATAGAGGTATAGATGGAGGGAGACACGGTAGTAGTAGAGGTGGGAGAGGAAGACACTGTGGAGAACGTAGAATATTCCGTCGAGGTGGATGAGACCACCGTAGAAATTTCCGTGGAGAAAGTAGAAGCCGCCGTCGGGGTGGATGAGACCACCGTAGAAAAAGTAGAAAATTCCGTGGAGAAAGTAGGAGCTGCCGTCGGCGTAGACGAAACAACCGTCGTGAAGCTAGAATAAACCGTAGCGAAGCTAGTCTCATATACCGTGACGAATGTAGTAGAAGTCGAAGTCAACCCAGAGGAGACCTCCAGAGACACCGTAGAGACCTCAGGAGATGGCACAGAGGAGGGGGTTAAAACCGGCGACGGCCGATGAGAGTGCCCATGTCGAGGATGTCCATGAGCGTGTCCAAAGGGCAAAACGTCAACAATAACGTCAGAAACAGAAACCTCGGTAACAGAAACATCCCGTAAACAAGCACCGGAAAAAACAACAGAAGCCATAGTCAGGGCACTGCCCACAACGAAGGAAAAACGCATTCTGATCAAAGGAGGGAAAGAATGGAAATAAAAAGGAGTGTAATGATCAATCAACCACCAGGGCCGTATGATCTGGGAATCAAAGGAGCGACGAACGACAATCCACAGGACCGACGAAGAGAGAGGATGACGATCTCGAGTATAGGGAACATAGTGTATACTTATAAGCCCTTAACAAGATCCGAAGATCCGATCCAGACCCTCGAAAGATCCACCATGGAATCCACAAGTCCACAACTCACAAAGAGAAAACGGTGTGAGCAGCCACCAGGAGCGGAATGGCTTGAGAAGGAATGACCAGGTAATCTGCCGGAACACATGGCATCGAATGAAAGCCAGCCACTTGTTTCAGGACCCAGTCAAATCAGACAGATTAGATGTAAATTCAGGGCGAAATTGACCGAGAAATTGACATTGGCCAAGCATCGATCGATCAAACGAACCACTGTGGATCCACTTGGGAGATTCGAGTAGGGCAAAACACACGGATCATTGATGTCAGAAATGTTCCGATCGAGTGCCACCGGCGCGAACTGAGACGATCCTCATGCTTGGCTCTGCAGTGGAATCGTTAGGGGATTCTCGGACATTTGGATTGCAGATCTGACATGTTTGATGTTTGTGGGAAAAGGGCATTGGAGAAAGGGCAATATTGACCGCATTTTTGGCTAAGCGCCACCAGGGACAGGTCGGGCGGATCACAAAGAATTGAGCGCCACAAGGGCCAAATAGTCCCCGCTTTAATCTTTCTCGTTTCAGATTTTCACACTAAGGATGAAGGATGCAAAGGCAAGAAATTGCCTCATCCCTTGAGATGTGAAATCCATGATTACTTTTCTATGAGATACTTGTACAATTGAGACTACGGCTGAAACTTGCCCAGGTTGAAAGTAAACAAAGTAGGGAAACGACGGAAATACTGGAGAGAGACTTCCATAGTGGGAAAATAATAGATTTTCGCTAATCATACATACCGTCAAGTCTATTCCCGGAACAGGTACTAATAATCCTGTTGGTGTGGAATAGAGTCATTCGGCCTGGTTCACGTAGAAATGGTCATACAAATACAAAACCTTTACAGAAACTTTAGTGCAGGTTCACCCCATATGCCAGAGCCTGGCTCTGAATCTTCTTGTTGCGGCGAAGAAGACCGGTAAACTTCTTGTCCAGCATTTCCATCTCCTTCCGAGTGGTTTCCAGGTCCTTCTGCGACTTTGCGGTAAATTCATGCAGCTCCTCATCGGTCATTGCAGCAACATCGTCGAGGGTAGGGTTGGTGGGAGGGAGGCCAGCTGAGCCGAGCATCTGTTTGGCAGTGGCGGCTGCGAAGGATCGGACTGCGGCCGTGGTGGTTTGAAGAACCTCGGCAGAGTGAGCGACGGCCCAGTCATGGGTGCGGGTGCTATCTGCCTCCATGGCGGAAAGGACATTGGGCGGGATAATGGAATCTGTGCTCTCGAGAACGGGAGAGCCTCCCATCGGGGGGGCAACGTCGTCCACCCAGAGAATGCGGTATTTCTCGGGGTTCACAAAAAGCGCTTCCAGGCCACCATTGATGTTGCTAGAGTCGTCACCGACCGGGCGGGGATCCACCCTACCCCGGCGATTCTTCTCCAGTTGCAGGTATCGCTCTTCCTCCTCGGGGTCGAGGTGGCGAAGCACGCAACCGAGAGGAGTGATAAGACAGCGAGTCTTGAGCTCCTCAGTGCCTATCCGAACAGGCTCACCTCGCAGGAGGGCCTTCCGATGTTCTTCGGTAAGTTCGGTAGGTTTCTTCAGGGTTTCGTAGTCCGCAGCACTGTACTTCATATCAACGCGTAGGTTGATGTTGGCAGGGTTAAAAAATGAGCTTTTGTTCAGGTCAATATCGCCGTCCCGGTGCATCTCCGCAAGCAGAATATGCAGAGGCTTGGTCCGTTCCAGGAACAGCTCTTTGATCGAACGGCCAGTCTCCTCGGTATCCCGGAGCAATTGATCAACGGTGTTGTGGGTGCGCCAAGCCTCAGAGGGGGTCTGTTCATTGGGCTTGTCGCCGACAGAGGGAGGCCTGTTGATCTCTTCCATCACTGGCTCCTTGGGCTGAACCTCTTTGGGGGGTTCGGCTTTGGGCTCTGCCTTCGGGGGTTCATCCACGGTCTTGACAGGACTCACTGTCTCGGTGGGTAGTGGATCGGTATCGGCTGTCTCGTGGGTAGTCGAGGGTGCCTTCTCCTTCTTGGTCTTGCGTTTTCGGCCCATGATGGGGGCTTGGACAGGTTCTTCAGGCACGGAGATGACTTCGGCTTTTTTGGCCTCAGCTTCCTTGGCCTTCTGTCTTCGGTCTTTCTTGGCTTGACTCTTGGTAACCGTACGAACCGGGGCAGAGCCGATGCGACTGGGAACAGGAGGGGAGTTTGAGCGAGATACGGGTCCGGAGGGGTAAGGGTCGATCTCAGATCCAAAATCTCCCGGAGTATCTGGTCTGCTTAGAGAGGAGACGCTGTGTCTTGGTGAACCCAGCTTACCTGTACCCGTGACTGAAGTGGTAACCGATGGTGCGGTTCCAACAGGACGCGTTTCAGATTTTGGGGTATCAACGACACGTAGGATGCGTGTTTGGCGGGGGACCGGAGAATCAGAAAGGCGTGAAGTTGTGGTGAGCGGCGTATTGGACCGTGAATTAAAAGCGGAGACAGCGGAGCCTGATGGTGCAGTAGAAGCAAATGTCCCAGAAGCACGTTCGTCCTGAACAGAAGAACCCTCTTGGGAATACGCCGGCATGCTTAGGCTCGCCTTGTCGCCCACAGCCAGGCTATCCGACCCAACTACCTCTTTCTCATCCCCAAAGGAAGAAATGTCTATTTTGGTATGAGTTCGAGGCTTACGGAGTGGCTTAGCAACGGGCGATCCCAGAGAGATCTGGGAGGCATCCTTGGTGCGTGCCGGGGTGGACCTGCCCAACTCGGGGCTTATTGGCCGAGAGTGAGATGGAGTGCCCCCTAGACCAGGAGGCACCATCGGAGCCGGGGAGGATGGGTTAGATGAACCCCTTTGTTCTTGGAAGATGGCAGAAGCTGGGTGAGCGTGAGGTAGAGGAAGACCTGGCGGGAGGGTTGGTGTCCCAGCACGGCCTGCGGAGTCACTGGGAAGTTGAGATTTCAGGAAACCAAATGTATCGACTGGCTGACTATCCTTCAGCTGATTGCTGAGAGGAGGGAAGTCATCATCCACTATTGGTTACTGGTCAGCATCCAGTCCCGTAGCAAAGCAACGTGTGATAGGCGGCGGGGAATGTCATAGAGGGTCAAGTGAAGGGCAAAGACTATGCAAAACGATTATCCAGGCAGCTATGCAAGATCCAAGAGTGCCAACAGATAATTACACGACGGGCACTGACAAATAAGGGTCAGATACAGTGTAGGGCAAAAGGGTCTATGTTGACGGCAGCAGTGAGACAAACTGGTTTCGAATAAGACCCTGTTCCAGCTGGTGATATCAGGGCAGGGAGGTCTTAACGTACACTAATCCATGCGCAAACCACCCACAGTGTTCACAGTACTGTAGATGGCTGCATGCGAAGATCCGGATGCAAGAAAAACATAAAAGGGAAACACCGGCCGCCAACAAAAAAAAAGAAAACCCAGACATGAGATATGTCCACAAAATGCAACAAATAGAACACCATAATCCAGAATAAGACGGGAAGCCGGGAGAAAAAGCATGCATAAACAATGATAGGAAAATCAAGGGCCATCACAATACGCCACTAGCACGCCCGCCAGTCGTATTGATCAAGCGCCACCTTCTGGCTGTGATGAATAAAAAAAGCATTATGCAATCCCGGCACATGATAGGGAGAAAAGTAAAGGGGAATTCAAATCATATCATCAGAGGGGATACAAGCCCGTTAAACGCACAGAGATAAAGGATCATGGAGAGGGGATACAGAAAATGCAGTTATGAGTGATGGGAAGTGTAGGGGAGGAAGTAAGGAAATGACATTTAGGATCACCAGCGGCTCAGCCCGCCGCCGTACATCATCGAGGGGTTGTACCCACCTTGACCCTGACTCCCATACAACGCTTGTCCAGCAGTAGCATTCGCACCGATCTGCTGCATTCTCGCCTGTAAAATGCTCGGGTCTGCAAGATCTACTACACCACCTCCACCGGAGGAAGTGTTAGCGTGTCTGTGCTTTTTTCCTTTCTTCTTTTGCTTCTGTGAGCCACCAGAGTCAGGTGGAGTACCTGTCTGGGGCCCATAGAAAGAGTTGAGAAGGCCATTGACGGGAGTCAGGGGAGGTGGGGTTGGGTGCTGTTGAAGGAAGGGGAACATGAACTCACGCTTTGCAGCCTCCTGACCTTGTCCACCACCAATATTCGCACCAGTTCGTGCCCGTAATAATTCACGCATCGTTTCCGGTGTCGCCTCATGCTTTGCAACGTTTGATCCCAGCCCGATGTTGGTGTTTGAGGTAAAGCCGTGTCCCTGAGCAAACATCCCACCACCACTAATGGGAGGAGTTCCTGCTGCCTTTAAGCCGGGAGGTGGGCCCTGAACGCCACTTGGATAAAAGCTACTGCCAAGAGTGTGTTGAGGACTCGGCGCAGAGAGTGGATTCGGGGTGCCAGGCTGTTGCATTTGATTCAACATTCGTGCATTGCTGATATTCTTGGTGTTGACTTCGTTGGTGAAGGCAAAACGAGAGGATTGTCTGCCCTGAGCTTGAAGAGCATATTGGGCGGCCAATTGGTTTTGCAGAGCACCCTGCCGGGCCAGTGCAGCTTGATCCAGAGCTGCAGAGCTCACGGGGTCCGACAGACCAGCCTGCTGGTTACCCGCAGACTTGAGGAGCATCAACTGCTGCTGCTGCAGGGGAGTCAAGCTACGACCAGCCAGGTTGAGTCCATGGAACTGGTGGCTTGTGGCTGAAACGGGAGATCCAACAGTAGAGTTATCGGCTGTGCCTTGCTGGGACGGAGGTTGAATAGCACCATGGGACTCACGGGTTTGACGACCACGAGGAGGATTAGCATCTTCTGGCTCTCCACCAAGCTGCAGGCTGCCAGCTTCCCTACTATCTTCTTCTGCTGCTGCGGACTGGGCGGCGGCGGCTGCGGATTGGGCGGCGGATTGGGCGGTTTCTAAGATCTCATGCTCACGACTAGCGCGCTCTTGGTCTGCCTTCTCGCGCATAGCCCGACGCTTCACACCACCGTAAGGATCAATGAAGGAGGGGTAATTCTGAATATGTTTCACTTCATCCACTGAGAGGTCGGAGGGTGAAAATACAAATCGGAATTCTGGGGACATCATATCTTCGATGAGAGTGTCGAAGGCGCTTGGCGTCTCAATAACAGGCTTCTCGACAGGTTCAGGTGGAGTGATTGGAGACCGTGTATCAGACTGAGGGGAGGTTTGCTGTGCAGTCCGGACAGTGGGTGAAGGCTTCTCGATGCGCTTGGGTTCCTCGGCGGCGACGGCAACAGATACGCTAGCGGGGCGGGGGCTTTGAGATGCTTGACTGCCAGCTAAACTGGCTCGTCGAGCTCTTGATGTAGGATCCTTATTAGCCCAGCTGGCGGATGATGGAAGCGCGGGCCCATCAGGGACACCTGAGCGTCCACTGAGGGAGTCATCCTTGCTCGGTTGCCGGCGCATTGTGTGTGTGATTGGTTGGGTAGGGCGGGGTTGAGAGATATTCGGCTGATGCGGTTGTTGATGCTGCTGCTGCTGCTGGTGCTGGCGCTGACTGGACAGTGTATTCATGGAAGAAAGGTCGGAGCGGCTGTAACTCTCGCTGTCCTCACCAGTCTCATGTAAGAACGTGCAGTTGCGGTTGTTACACGGCTCATTCCGAAGAAAAGACGAGCAATACTTGGTGGTTCCATACTGAGCCCTCAAAACACGATCGCCGTTAGATGAACCATCCACAGCGGTGATGCAACTGGCAGCATCGAACTTCCGGGAGAAGGTCACATAAACGCCAATCCCCTGGTGCGGGTTGCCACCGGGCTTCGCCTTGCTGACCACGATCTTCTCAATTTCACCATATTGTCCGAAATATTCCTTGCCTCGAAGCGTTTGCAGCAACTGGTTCTCGTCGCGGATTGTCGGGTTGAGGCCTATGACATAAACGAGGTTCTTCTGCACAACACGGACACCTGCCAAGTTCTTCCGGCTCGAGGCTTCTATTTCCCGCCTTTCAGCTTCCTTCTTCTTGGCCGCTGCTGCCTTGCGGTGCTTCAATGCAAGATCTGCTTTGAATCTATGTGGCGAAATGACGGGGTCAGTGCAACGAACATAAGCAGAATGGAGATATGTGGGGCACTCACTCCTCTGCGTCGGGAATCTTATATTGAATCGTGCTCTCATCATAAGGACGGCGACAGTTCGGGCATCGACCTTCTTCGCTGTGCGTTTTGATATTGTTGTAGCAGAATTGGCAAATCTGCAAGACAGATAATGGTAAGTAGGAAGGAAAATGCGGGGAAAGGGTCGTCGGCGGAATATGGCTAAGAATATAGCGTTGGAGAGCGGCGTACCTGATATCCACATGGACATGGTTTGAAGTTCTTGTCGGAGAGGTCGAATTCTTCGATACAAAGGGGGCTGTGAAATGTGTTGAGGTTAGGCGCTGAGGATTCTGACAACATAGGGGATCGTATCATACCAGAACTCATCATCGTCGTCGATGACAGAGTCAATTTGTTGGCGACTAGACATGGTCGCGGTGAAAACTGTGCGAACGGGGAATGGCGACAAGTGAATCTCAACGCCGGTACCCAATCTAATCAGGTACACAAAGAGAAAAGAGACAAGAAGACGGTACTCCGGGGCCCGAAAAAAGGAAAAAAGAAGGAAGAATTAATAAAAGGAAAATCGGGGGAGGGGAAAGGAGGAAGAGAAGTGGATCGTGGGGAGATGGTCGGCGTGGGAGAAGGAAGGGAAGGAAATTGAAGCGCGGCTTCATTTTGCTGGCATTACTATATTGGGCTTAGCGCCAGCATCGATTATGTAATAGTCACATGACTGGCAAGGTTCGACCAACCTCGATCCTCACAATCCGCCTTACGTGCCTTTTCGTCCCCCTCCCTGCCCGCAGCCATTGCTCCCTCACCACAATGGCATCTGCACGCTCTTTGATGCGCCTGGGAACTGGCCGATCGATGGCCTCGGCCTCGAGGTCCATGGGCCCTCGCGCTTTTTCCTCCTCTTCTTTGCAATACGCTGCTAAGGCCTCTACACAACCGGGGGCGCCGGAGCCCGAGAACATGCGCCAGGCGCAACGGCCTCGTACGTGGTTGCCTCTGGTCAATTGAAACCGATTCAATTTAGCTAACCTGCTCGTTCCATATTTAAAGCCCAGGGTCCCCTTCGTGCACCCATCGTCAACCCGGCCGATAAGTGGCAGGAAAAGGCCGATAGCTTGCACACCTACGGACAGTACATCATGTCCTGCCTTCCTAAATACGTCCAGCAGTTCACCGTCTGGAAGGACGAGTTGACCGTGTATACCGCTCCCGCCGGTGTCGTCCCCGTCATGAGCTTCCTCAAGAACCACACCTCCGCCGAGTTCACCCAGATTTCCGATATCACCGCTGTCGATTTTCCTACCCGCGATCAGCGCTTTGAGGTCGTTTACAACCTGCTTAGTGTTCGCTACAACTCCCGTATCCGTGTCAAGACCTACGCCGACGAGGCTACCCCGGTTCCCAGTGTGACTGGCCTTTTCGAGGGCGCCCTGTGGTACGAGCGTGAGGTTTACGACATGTTTGGTGTTTTCTTCAGCGGTCACCCCGATCTGCGCCGTATCATGACCGACTACGGTTTCGATGGTCACCCTCTCCGCAAGGACTTCCCCCTGACTGGATACACCGAGCTGCGCTACGACGAGGAGAAGAAACGAATTGTCATTGAGCCTCTCGAGCTGACCCAGGCTTTCCGTAACTTCGATGGCGGATCTACTGCCTGGGAGCCTGTTGGTGCTGGTCAGAACCGGACACCTGATTCCGTAAGTGAATTGTTTCCTAAAGCTCCGAGCAGTCGCTAACCATTCGCCTATAGTTCAAGCTCCCTACCCCCAAGCCTGAGCCGCCGAAGGACGAGGAGAAGAAATAGAAAAGGTCTGTACGCGTATTAGTTTTCTTTGCCATGCCTGTATGTACATATCATTCCAAGTAATTGATGCATGTTTATTTGCCTCGCCAATAAATTGCGCACGGTCGGTCCCTGTAGAACTTAAGAAATATATAGCTTCAGAGCTCCACTAGGTCATCTTGCATGCGCACCTGGGCACAGACAACCTTAGAACCTTGAACACTTCCAAGGTTGAAGTCAAATGCTTATTTGCTTTATGCTAAAGAGCTTGAAACACTACAGACTTTGATACATTAAATTCAACGTACTTTAATGTCCTACATAATTTACTGTTTCGGAATTCAAATGAATCTACGGAGTAAAGAGTGAAAGACTGGCCGGGATGACAGGCGGAAAGACTTGGCAAATGATCCGCCCAGAAAAAAAAAAGTCCGGACCACCGCCGAGATTCAAACTGAGCGACACATCTTTCACTGCACATTCTTAGAACCATATCGCATTCAAATTTCCCAACATGCCTAAACGCAAGCTCGCCGAGTTCAAGGGTCCCGGATCGACAGATACCCGCAAGCTTTCAATGAAAGCCACCCGACTCACCTTCAAGTTCGAACAAAGCGTCCAAATCATAATTAAAGGCCTGAAGACTGCACGTGGATTCGAACGACAAAAGCTCAGCCGTCGAGAGAAAACCGCCAGATCCCCATATGACTCAGTAACCTTGGCGCGGTTGGCAGAGGAAGTGGAGGCATTAAAGGTACGGACCAAGTTACTGATCGATTTGGAATTACAGAAGTTGGAATGCTAACAATATTGCGCAACAGAAACTCGATTACCAGACTACCGCCGAGCGATACTTGTACAAGCAGCTTTCTAAGATGAAGCGGATTACGGAGAACCCGATCTTCAAGGAATTCCAAGAGGCAAAGAATGTTTCCACTCAGGGTCCCAAGAGTACTGCGGAGGCCAATATTCTGGCGCGACTGTTCAAATCCACTCCGGTAAAGAATGTTACGACTACCGTCATTTCTGAGATTCGGAAATTGATGGGAGTAGAGGATTTGCCTGCCGGAAAGCAAGACAAGAGCAAGGCGAAGAAGGATGCGACTACGAAAGAGAAGGCCGAAAAGCCTGCGCGCAAGCAAAAACAGGAGTTTGTATCAGGCTCTGAGTCTGAAGGAGAAGGAAAGCGGGCTTCTCGTGCTGATGACATGGATATCTCGGGTGACGATGAATCAGGCGTTGAAGATTTCTCTGAATTCGACGGACGGTTAGCCCCAGGTTCTGGCTCCGAAGGTGAAGAGTCAGACGATGAAGAGGCGGAGGCGAACAATAATCGCATCGCAGACGACATCTCCGACTCCGTTTTTTCACGTTCGCCATCCCCCGACTTTTCAGGAGAAGACTCAGTAGAAGAATCCTCACCACCACCTAAAAAGACCAAGGCGAGCAAGGCCCCGCCACAGACCACAACATTCCTGCCATCTCTCATGAACGGTGGTTATTGGTCTGGCTCTGAAGAAGACGCAACAGACGACGAACAAGCTGCTGCTCCGCCGAAGCGCAAAAACCGCATGGGTCAACAAGCGCGGCGTGCGTTGTGGGAGAAGAAATTCGGTCAGCAGGCGAACCACGTAGTGGCGGAACAGAAAAATCAAAAACGGAACAGGGATAGCGGATGGGATACCAAGAGGGGAGCTACCGGTGCTGCGGGCGGTGCTGGAGGTTCACGGGCTCGACGTGATGCACCTGCGGCACCGCAGAATCGAGCACAACGCCGCGCCGCTGGTGATTTCTCTAGCCACAAGGAGAAGAAAGCAGATGACACAGGACCTCTTCACCCTTCTTGGGAAGCAAAGAAGAAGCAAAAGGAACAAGCTGCTGCTGTCTTCTCTGGAAAGAAGGTTACATTCGATTAAGAAGATCCTTATGGCTTATTATCAATGCAATCAAGGCTCTATCAACAGCAGATTCATGGAAATAGTTACAACTACATAAAACACTGAATAGCATAGGAATATGACCAGGTAAGATCATATTTAGTCATTGTTCATAGCCTGATGAAATATAAACACGCCCGAACGCATGAAATAACAAGTAATCACTGCCTTGCAGCACATGGTATCTCAAATAAAAAGGTAATCCAATGCATATGAACATCGCTGGGTGAAACAGCAAGGCCAACATACTAGCCTATTGCTCATTCATAAAATGCAACCAAGAATCCGCACCACCCGTGGAAGTTTTCATTTCCGCGCCAACCATAGAAGAATTGCCCTGGGCATCCGGCTCAAAACAAGGAAGAGCAGTGAACTCCCCAAGCTCCTGTGGGAAATTTGAGACAAAATGGTCGAACCCAAAATGGGACATCTGCGAAAGCGGCTGATGGGATAAAGAGAAGTTATCCGGAGAAACACCAGAAGCAGGAATACCAGTATCCAGGATTTCATGCCCCCGTCCGCCAATCGCATGGTCAGATCCATTGTTGGTGTTTGGTAAAGTAGAAGTGGAGGGCGTGATAGGCATGCTGGAGATAAGAGAGTCAATACCAAGGGGAGCTGGGGTGTGAGAGGTTAGGCTTTGGGGTAAGCCGAGACCGTCATCGGGACGAGTATCCTTTTGTCCCCAAGACGATGCTGTAGCAGGCGAGATAGGTCCTGTTTTCCAAAGCATCTCCCAGCTCTTGAACCGATCGTAGGCCGATTCGAGACTTCCGCCATTACTCTGTGCTTGCTGGGACTCATTCCACATTTCAAGGCGACGGATTGCACGTTCCAGTGCTTCGATGACGCTGACAGCTGAGCGGGCAGAGCCAACGCCCATTGACATAATCTTAATCAAGGATATACCCTGTTCCAAAGCTGCTCCAAGTCGTTCCGTGCACTTCGTTAAGCCCTGAGCCAATATGACCAATAGTGCCGCACGGCATGAGCTGAACTCGGTGAACGATGAGCGAGCAAGGCCCGTCTCATCTCGAAGGAGACGACACAAATCAATGATCTCCAAGGCTGCTTCTACAGAATCGGCGACAAGGGCAGTTCGAATCTTAGAAATCCCAGAGGGGCCTTTGAATGTTTGATGATTAGGTGTTTGAAGGCCCTTGATGTTGCTGAATAGAAATGGCCGTCCAATGAAAATCCGAGTCAGGCAATAGTCAAGCTTGAGGTGTACGTTTGAGCGGAACAGTGGCCCTCCAGGATTGAGATCTCGACAGCTTGTTTCCTCTGGTAACGAGGACCACCACTCAATGAGGGTCTTGCGAAGGTTGAGCAACCGTTCTAAGCAATCTTGTTGTTGACCCTTCCGGCAAGTTCGCAAAGAGGATATTTCATTCGACACTTGCCCAAGTTTCAAGGTTAATGTGATCAAAGTTACCATATTGGTGTGGTTTGATGGTTGTGTCGCTGGCATTAACCCAGGGAAATCGACAGGGAACGGGGCATCAACATCTGCATCTGTCAAAGATGCAGGCCTGCCATGTAGAATGCTAATGCGTCTATTCGTTTGTTAGAATAGTGATCTAGGACATAATCAAGGGTGACTGACTTTTCGAGGGTGTAAGATGTCCAGAAGACTCGATTGCGAGTTTCGATCATCCGGGGCGAGAGCCCTTCTCCATGATATCTTCGGTGCATTCCATTCTGAATGGCCAGCTTGAGAGCCAAGCCAAAATATGTGTAACACAGACCAGAAGTATCAAGTGGGAGCAGATATGTCCCAATCAAGAGGCAAGCTTGTACACTTCGCACAGATGCCGTGGCGATGATATCTGGTAGTAATTTTGAGGCGAACTGATAAAATGTTAGACCAACCTCATCTTCTGAGAAATGATGATCTTGATTAGCTGCAGAATCAATGGGTAAGCAATTGACCGGAGTGGGCGACTCCATATGTGCAAATTGCGTGCCAACAGCCAAGACCATCAGAATCGCACAGACAGCGCCGGCATCATCGGATGACAAGCTGGAAGGATTGTTGTAGCAAATATTCAATTTATCACAAAGCCAATCCTCCTCGACGTAGAAGTTGTTGGTCTGTGCATATTTAAAAAACATTTGTACCAAGAACTCAGCCACATAGCGGGGAGGAAGACAAGTAATGGATGATGATACTAAGGATGACCCTGATTGAAGCTGGGTGGCCCGCCATCGATCCTCAAATGGTTCCACTTCTGAAGTAGCCTGAACGGATATATTAGAGGATTCTCTTTTATGATTGCTGGAGATTTCTCGACTTACATCTGGTGCTGCGGTCTTCATCCATTCATCGATCTTCTTCCGAATCTTCATGGAGAAGTTCAGATATGAGAATTCACCAGAGTACTCTGTTCGATAGGTTAGCGACAAGCCACAGCTATAAGTTAGGACACTTACGAGCTGTGTTATTGGGAAGCGCCTTAATTGTGAAATCCTCTTCATCAATAGCCAAATCTTCCAGCTCATCGGCATCAACTTTTGTTGAAATCGCATCTGACTCCGAGTCCCGGTGTTTATTCTTCAGATCCTCGGCGGCCTGGCGCAGGGATTCGATATCGAAAGAGAGACCAGGTGCATAATATGACAAGATACGTTCCATGTAGCGTACACGCTCTGCTTCGATGATTTCATGGCGGCTTACCGAAGCGGCACGGTCAAGTAATCTGTCCCACATTCCGATGTCAGCACATGGCTGCCAGGAGTCCATTTCCACACCGCCACAACTCACGAGACAGAGGTTGATCGGCCCTTCTCAATCGGATCAATGTGAGTGAAATTGCATTGTCTGCGATAGCGAAGACATCGACGACACGGTACGCCTCCTTCGCATTTTTCTTTTACTCTGCGACAGCCGTCACATCTGTAGTACCCAGGTGATGTTAGCGGGTTGGGGTCTTTGGTCCACTCTCAACAGCGGTTCAAGGGATTGGCGTACGCTCTGACTGCTCGTTTGCGATTCTCTTCGGCCACGCGCTGGCGTTTCTGCTGCGGGGCAGGAGTCGAAGTCGAGTCATTCATGCCAGGCGTTATTAACGAGGTCGAAGTCGGCCAGGCATCATCTGCGGAGGTGGCGTAGAAAGCGGAAACAAATCGCGGATCAAACTCAAGGATTTTGAGCTACCCAATATTATTGGACGTGATTCGATTCACGGAAGAAATTGGGCAAACTAATCGGAGAGAAAGAGGAAAGTCGGAAAAGGGACAGTGAACAGTTATCGGTGCAAGATAACGATTTCCACGGTCATCGGCCCCGCATGCAAACTTTGCCCTTTCAAGCACTGTCTCCACTGACCCCCAAGCCGGCTGACTGCCGGTCTATACTTAGCCTTCAACCCCTCGAAATCAATTGATATCTTGAATTTTTTTATTTTTTTATTATAAAATCTCCGATGCCAGCAGAAACTATCAATGTTCACATGTCGTCTATTGTGAAACGCTGCACGTAACATCGGAATATATAATTCGTAATACTACGATCCACATGTATTCCGTATGAGGGACTAAGATTGATCATTATCCATAGCAAACAATGTACAATGATAGCATAAAACTGGCGCCTATCATATACATCGATGTGCAGGTCTAAATCTTCTATCAGGGGGTAATATGTGGAGATAAGAGGCTTAGAAACCATCGACATGTGTTCCCAGCCCCTGCTCGCTTCCGATCTCAAGTAGCTGCTTGCCAACCACAAGATCCATCAATCCCATTCCCACGCACTTGTAGAGGACATTACAACCATCTGGAATCTCAAGATCCCCTGACAAACTCTGTTCTCCAAGCATATCTCCCATCTCGATCAACTGATCTTCTGTCATCTTCGCCGTAATTAATTCGCCCGACTCCTCCAAACAAGCCGATTTAGAATCGACATAGACTTTCCCTCCACCCGAAAACAACGTCTCAGTATCAATCTCCTTCATATGCGGCTTGTAAGATCCAATCAGAGAAATGAAACGCTGCTTGGGAACAGACTGCAGCGCCTCAAATGTGAAGTTCGGTTCCGTCGCCGGTGTACAGCTAAAGATCGCATCAGAAGCCTGCAGCTCACGAAGAAGTCTCCCATCATAATCCTCCGCTCCTTCCTTGGCAAATACACTAAAAGAAACACTAGGATACCGCTCCCGCAGTTCACCCAGCACATCGCGCTCCATATCATCAAGTCGTTGACGACCTCGATTAATAAAAGTCACCCGCCGAATCAGATCGGGGTAAAGTAGTAAGGCGAGTCTGGCATGCCACTCAGCTTGACGACCCGATCCCATCACGAGAACATTCTCTTTGCGTAGCGTAGTGCATCGTACAAATAAGGTCATTGATGCAAGGGCCGTTCGGAATGCTGTTACCTCTGCAGCGGCGAGAAGACCCTGTAGTCGACCATCGGGTAAGAATATGTTGATTGTCCCTTGGATACCGCTTTTCCCGACTGTGACTACTTTCACGGCGCTAGTGGCTGTATCTGAGACTGGCATGAAAATGCATGAATTATTTGCTTTTGTTGTGAAGACGGTGCGCAACGGCTGATGGATCAGCTTCTCTGATTCTGGGACTGTTGGCTTGGATTCGGCGCTGTACCCCACTAGTGCGGAGCCTAGGATGCTGATAAAGTCGTGGCATTGCTTCTGTGTCAAGCTGCGGAAGATGTGCGATACATTTGGCTCGGAAAGAATATGCATTGTGAGATTTGGGATGTTAAGGACTGTGAGGTGATGAGTTCTGGTGGAGTTTGTTTATTTGAAACCCTTGAGCGAAGGCCCCGGATAACCGCAATTTAGGGGAAGTCGGGTGGCATCCCCGATTACGGAGGTCGACCCCGATAATGCGGCGACTCCTTCCTACATAACAGACAGGAAGTTCCGAATACCAAATTCTGGCATTACCCCCAGGAGTCATACTTTACTTGCGATTCCAATGATTAAGATAAGAATTTTCTATTCTAGTAACCGCCATGAACAGGAGACGTGGCTCATGAAACGTAAACGCCCTTCATAAATGCATCACAGCACGCGCAAAGGCAGTGGACAAAACCCTGGAACTAAGAGGCAACCAGACAAAATGAGAAAACAAACAAAAGAAAGCAGATGGCCCGCTAACAAAGAAGCTATGCAAATAGAACCATTCAAACCAGAAGCTACGGGGTATCTCTATTTGCTGTCGCCAATTATCCGGCGCTTCAATTCACTGATCATAGCCAGCTGAGAGTCCTTGGTCCGTCCAACAGCCTCGGTGTTCTCAATGGCACGGCGCAAGAGGAAACCCATACACTCCTTGACCGAACCCCAAGTCAAAAGCTTGAAAACGTTGGGTGCCGCCATAGGTGTCACACCTACGCTGGCCTCGGCACTCTCGAAGCCCTGAAGAAGTTCACAGCTGACTTCGTCAGCCATTCCCTGCAGTTGTGCGTAGCTCAGATCAACACCATAGTCTTCTCCACGGGCAGCCTGCTGCACACGGATCGCATGAGCCTTGCGCACGGATTCGCGGTTGTGAGTGGCGATGATCACGTTAACAGGTGGCAAGGTGAGAGACGAGTCCTTCGAGGGGTGCTGCAGCATAGAGTTATACTTGCGAGTCAAGAGAGCCTCGACAACCTCATCGTAGCACTGGTCGGTCTCTTCTTTCTTGTCCCAAATCAAGTGGCGAGGTTCCGTCTTCATGTAAGCACCGCGAACCAGCTTGACACCCAATGTGTAGCCCTCGCTACGAGAAATCTCAAGATGACGCGCCAGAGTAGCAGGGGTTGACCGAAGATATCCCTGGTAGGTACCGTAGAAGATGGCGCGGCCCGGGGTCTGTGAGTTGCAGTACTTTTGGTATTTCATGATCCATGCCTCAATACCAGGCTGGACAGCCTGCTCTTCGGCATCGACGAGCAAACGAACACCGCGAGAGATTGCCAAGTCGCACACTTTCTGGATAGAAGTGTTCATGAATTCAGTTGGAGGAGCTTGCTTCTGGAGGAGGCGAAGAGCATCGGTACCCATGCCGGTGAATCTAATATATGTTACAATATGCAACCAAGAAGATGAACTAGAAATACTTACTTGAGAGCAACAAAGTCTCCCTCCTGAGCCATATCAACTGTGCGCATAGTGCCATCAAACCACATTTGGATCTCAGCAAGCGCAGCCTTCGCGTCATATGCGGCATCGTCGTTCTCCCCAACCAAGACCTCCCGAGCATAGCCAAGCAACACACCTCGACATCCTAAATCCTTGATACTCTGAATAGACTTCTGAACCTCAACTTTGTTTTCTCCGGCGTTGAATTGCTTGTAAATGGTATGCTTCACCATGAAGTTCAGCAATGGGTTCTTGGAGACATCCCATAATGCGGAGCGAGGGTGCGCCAACAATGAAAGAGTGTAGATGCAGGGCTTGAGCAAGAGTGGAGAGGATGAGACCGATAACACCAATAGCGAGCGCAAGACAGACGATAAGGGAAGCTTGGAAAGAGGAGCGTTCAACGCCTTGCGTGGCGTTGCCGCTGGCGAGAGTGGCTGCCAGACATCGCTTGCTGCAACAGAAGACTTGACGTTGCCAGTACCGCTGACAAGTCGAGTGTTGACGCGGCTGGTAACCTGTGTGCGGGGCACCCGCACTGCCCGAGCAGCTTTCATTGATATCACTGTGGCGAAGTTGGATTATTAAATGTGTGGTGGTGGTAAAGGGAGGAAAGCAGAGGTAGAGATTAGAGGACAAGATCAAGGAAGAAAAGTATTTGCTTGGGTGAAGTGATCAGATCCAAAGTTGAAGGTAGAGGGGCTTGAAGATAATGATCAATAGATAACTCATACTATTAAATTAGTACTAGTATGCTACACTGGAAAGAGCCGGTGGCAAGCGCCTGCGACCGGTACGGTGCTAGTAACATGACCAACCGGCAGTAAGTATCCGTAAATGGATTTTAGGAGACCATATCCATGAGTAATGGATTGATGAAGACAGTCCATCCCGGTCTGAATAGCTCCACTTGATAGTCAGTTCTTGAGATTCGATCTACTTTGGACCGGGGTAGCTAATTTGCATCATGATCGCCACCGAGATACAAAAGGCCCTTGAGTGAACTCTAACTCGCAGGAACTCATCATGTGGCCTTCGAATCCCTGTAGATGTTCAACGCAGTTCACTGGGTCGCCTGATCAAATGATAACGGGCCGGTTTGATGCTGGAATGGGACCCGCACGTACCATTGACCAACGATGTGACCGGCCCGGTCAAGTAGAGTCACGTGTACGGCTAGCTCCGGTGGCGTCTCCGTGATATTTAGCCTGAATTTCAAGGCACAAATAGGTTTGCAATTTGCAGTTTCTATTACTTCATAGTAATTCCCCATGCAATTGATCCCCATTTTCCACCACGTTGCTCCATATCCACATATTTATCATGGATCCACAGGAATCCCCAGAAGGCGATCTGCGGCCGCAACCTTCATGGGTCATCTCTAAATGCGCCAAGCTGAGTTTAAAATATTCCTTGAGGTTGAACCTAAAACCTACAATTGATCGCTTAAATTTTGAGCAATTCTTATTTGGCATGTTGACTTATGATAACCTTATCGATGCCTCCATCCTGGCCCGATAACTAGCCAACAACCCTCTCAGCCGGAGATTAAATGGATATTTGGAGCTGATAACAGAACGAACCGGCCCGGCTTCTGGACCATGTTGTGCCGTTCTATATACAAAGGCGTGACTTCATATGATTCTCACCATGGCAATTAGCCAATTGACTTCCTAGGCTGCTCCTAATCGGTAGAATTTTCCAATTCCCCGCATGTTAGAAAAATGCCAAGACTTCTCAGGGTCTTCTTATCGCCTAGTGTCCATCTTAAGTCCTAGTGTCCATGTATCTGAGACATCCAGGGGTTCATGACATATATTTATATGTAAACCGTATTCCTCACTAGACAAAAGTCGGTAGTATTAGTCAAACGGCGAGTGCTCATTTAGACTGGACCACTTATATCTGACGGTCTAATTCTTTGTGTTTTTCTTTTCTATTGTAAATTACCTCGTTTATCTGTGGCACCATCATGCATCCATCGCCTAAGGTGATGGAGGAGGGCAAGTCCCAACTGGACGTCCATGAGGAAGCGAAGGCCTTGCCGGGCGAGATGGAAGGACTCGACCGTGGAGAGACGCATCGTGGATTGAGCTCACGTCATATTCAATTCCTTGCTCTGGGTGGGTGCATTGGCACAGGTTTGTTTGTTGGAAGTGGACAGGCTTTGTCGACTGTTGGACCGGGTAAGTGGATGAGATGGATCAGGGAACGATGTCTACCAGCCTTGGAAACAAGATCTAACTTGAAGATTTTAGCACCACTTCTCATGGGATACATCGTCATGTCGACTGTTGTCTACTTCATAATGAACATCCTGGGTGAAATGACGACTTATTTGCCAGTGCGCGGTGTTTCCGTGCCATATTTGATCAACCGATTTACGGAGCCAAGTATAGGATTTGCTGTTGGTATGTATCACCATTGTCTCTAATGATAACTACTAACAAACTATCTCACAGGATACAACTACTGGTAATTAGATGGTCCGGCAATGAAGTCAAGGCTCAGCTAATTAGGTCTTCAGGTATTCATTCTCGATGTTAATCGCATCAGAGGTCACAGCAGCAGGACTTGTCATAGAATATTGGAAGGTTGACGTTAGCGTTGGTGTGTGGATCGCGGTCATTCTTCTTGGTTAGTGAATGCTCCATCGCGACCCATGTTTCCTAGACAAGTTCCCCACTAACTATCAGACCCACAGTTATCCTCGTCCTAAACATCGTTGCTGTTTCCTGGTATGGTGAAGCTGAGTTTTGGTTTGCATCGTTGAAAATTATCGCCATCCTTGGCCTTATCATCCTCGGCGTCGTTCTTTTCTTTGGTGGCGGTCCAAACCACGATCGACTTGGATTCCGATACTGGCAGCACCCAGGTGCCTTCGTGGAGCCATATCTGGTCTCAAATGTGAATACTGGCCGATTCCTGGCATTTTGGACCGCTCTGCTCAAATCCGGTTTCTCGTTCATCTTCTCTCCGGAGTTGATCACCACCGCTGCCGGTGAGGCTGTCGCACCCCGTCGCAATATCCCCAAGGCTACCAACCGTTTCATCTACCGTCTATTCGCGTTTTATGTTCTCGGGGTCTTGGTCATCGGCGTGACTGTTGCATACAATGATAAGAATCTTCTTCAGGGTATTGCCAGTAGTAGTTCGGGTGCTGGTGCCAGTCCCTTTGTGATTGGCATTCAGAATGCTGGTATCCATGGCCTGAACCATGTTATCAACGCTGCCATCCTTACTTCTGCTTGGTCCTCAGGAAATTCTTGGGTCTACGCGGGCTCGCGAACACTCTACTCGCTCGCTTGCGAAGGTCAAGCGCCCAAGATCTTCACTCGCTGTAACAAAAATGGTGTCCCCTACCCTGCAGTACTGGTGACATGGGCGATTGGACTGCTCGCCTTTCTGAACCTATCAAGCTCGGGATCTGATGTGTTTTATTGGTTCACCAATATTACCACAATCGGAGGTTTTATTTCTTGGACTTTTGTCGGTCTGGCATACCTGGTTAGTGTTCTATCCCTTAAATATTCCTGAGCGCGACTGCTGACATACCTTCAGCGCTTTCGTCGGGCCCTTGGCTTCCATGAACTACTAGACTCACGGCCATTCAAAACTCCGTTCCAACCCTACGGCACTTACTATGCTGTGATTGTTGTCTCGCTCCTGGCGATCACCAATGGATACACCATTTTCTTCCCTGGATCCTTTACAGCTTCCGGTTTCCTGGTGTCTTACATCGTGTTCGTCATCTTTTTCCTCTTGTACTTTGGGCATAAGCTGTGGTACCGAACACCCTGGATTGTCCCAGTTGCGGATGTCGACATCTTCTCTGGAAAAGAGGAAATTGATCGGATGTGCGAGCTAGAGGTCGAAGAGGTACCTCGCAACTGGCTGGAGCGGGTCTGGTGGTGGATTGCGTAGACTGTTATGCACCAGGCGCCACTCAAGTACATCGCCGAAAGGATTTGGGCACAGGGAGATGGTGGTATATAGAATATTGTCCTGTCTATACTGTGATAAGAGCAAGGAATAAATGTGCCTTGGTTTTCTTTAATTCTTAGCTTATATATTTGCTACGAAAGTTTGTCTAATGAACTCTATTAGATCTATACTACTGTATCACATCAATTATATGCACTTCCAAGGTTATGGTCTTTCCCAGGGTTTGAGTGAATTAGATGGATAGACCATGTTAAAATCCTTATCGATAGAAATTCCCTTCTCCAAGGACTCCCTCTGACTGATCTTCTCCACTTTTCTCTTGATTATCCAATAATTTGTTGTTATGTTAAGCTCCGGCCCGGTCGCCCCACTACCGGGACTGGATGCCGGCCATTTCTTATTCGCTGCCGGTCAATGCAGCTTTACATGCTCACGGGCAGCTTCGCGGTCGATAGCTACCGCCGGTAGCCGAACCCCGCGTTCTACCTTTTTTTACTGGAATTCCATCTTAAATCTTTGGAATCTCAACACGGCTTCTTGGATTTTATCTTCTCTTCATAGTCTTTTGATCGCAATGCAGTCGATTCTCTTGCGTGCCAGGGCGCAGCCGCTGTCTCGCTGGCAGTCGCTCGCATGCCGCGTTCCTAGCTCAAGCTCCCGTTCGCTGGGCACTTACGCGACATTCAAGGTCCCCCAGATAAACAACGAGCCGAACGTGAGTCGAAGTTTGCGAGCAGTCTGGGAAGCAAATTGACTAATAAGGACATTTAGAAACACTACACCCCCGGTTCTCCAGATCGCAAAGCTTTGGAAGAGGCTTTGGCTTCGGTGAACAAGAAGGCTCCGTTCAACATCCCTCTTGTCGTTGCTGGGAAAGTGGTATGCTGCATTTGATTATCCAGGAGAGCGAATATGCTAATATCAAATAGACCAAGCACTCCCAGACATTCACCCAGAGCAACCCCGCCTCTCACGCGCCTCTTGCAACCTACTCCAATGCCTCCAAGACCGATGTCGATGCTGCTATCAGATCAGCTCTGGCTGCTCGCAAATCATGGGCGGCGACTCCGTTCGCCGAACGTGCTAGCATTTTTCTGAAGGCCGCCGATTTGATTTCGACCAAGTACCGTTATGAGATTATGGCGTTGACTATGCAGGGACAAGGAAAGAATGCATGGCAGGCGGAGATCGACTCGGCTGCTGAGCTGATTGACTTCTTCCGCTTTGGCGTCAAGTATGCCGAGGAGGTTTACGCACAGCAGCCCGTCCACCACTCCCCTGGTGTTTGGAAGTAAGCTATCTTCGCGATGTGACTATTTCGAGAGAGATGTTGACCGTTTCTAGCCGCCTTGAGTACCGCCCCCTTGAAGGTTTTGTCTACGCAATCAGCCCCTTCAACTTCACTGCCATTGGTGGCAACCTAGCTGGCGCACCTGCTCTGATGGGTAATGTCGTGCTTTGGAAGCCCTCACCCTCTGCTATTGCCTCCAACTGGCTCGTTCACCAGATTCTTCTTGAGGCCGGTCTGCCCAAGAATGTCATCCAGTTTGTGCCTGGTGATGCCGAGGAGGTTACTAGCTCTGTCCTCGACCACCCCGAATTTGCCGCTCTCCACTTCACTGGTAGCACTGATGTGTTCCGTATGCTCTATGGCAAGATATCTCAGGGTGTGGCGGATGGCAAATACCGCAGCTATCCTCGCATTGTGGGCGAGACCGGTGGCAAGAACTTCCACCTGATTCACAAGTCGGCCGATGTGCGTAACGCCGTGGTCCAAACTGTGCGTGGTGCCTTTGAGTTCCAGGGCCAGAAGTGCAGCGCCACTTCTCGTGCCTATGTTGCATCTTCAATTGCCGACGAGTTTGCAACTCAGCTTGCCGCTGAGGTCCAGCAGTTGAAGATTGGTGAGCCATCAGACTTTACCAACTTCTGCGGCCCGGTCATTCACGAGGGATCTTTCAACAAGCTGGCTGGTGTTATCGATGAGGCAAAGAATGACCCCGAGCTTGAGCTCCTCGCCGGAGGAACCTACGACTCCTCCAAGGGCTGGTACATCTCTCCCACTGTTTACCGTACCTCCAATCCCGACCACCCCCTCCTGTCGCGTGAGCTTTTTGGCCCGATAATTGTTATTCACTCGTACAATGATGCTACTGAGGCAGACTTCCTGAAGATCTGCGAGAAGATCGACACTACTGGTACTTACGGCTTGACTGGATCCATTTTCGCTCAGGACCGTGAGGCTATTCGCGTGGCTGATGACGCCCTTCGCAATGCTGCTGGTAACTTCTACATCAACTGCAAGAGCACCGGTGCTGTTGTTGGTCAGCAGCCATTCGGTGGTGGCCGTGCCAGTGGTACCAATGACAAGGCTGGCAGCGCTAACTTGCTGTCTCGCTTTGTGAGCTTGCGGTCTGTCAAGGAGGAGTTTGTCCCCACCTACACCGTTGCCTATCCCAGCAACGCAAACTAGATTGAGATTTTGCTTTTCAAATTTCCGCTTCTAGCACTGCATGCCTTATGACATCACGGCGCACACTTGCATTTCATAATTGGGGTTAATTTTTTCTTTTTCTTTTCTTTTTTTTTTTTGGACCAAGTCCTCTCCAGACTTTCTCGGGTTGTTCAAATTGCAAGACGGTCTCGTCTAGTGTACATCACATTTTAAAAAATCAACATTTCATCATATTTCAACCTATCAACCATTATTCAGTAGCGCAATTGTCTAGCAACTTCTGCATATTTTCCATTGCCTGCTTCGCAAAGTCATTCACCTCATATTCCCTCCCCTTCCCATCAGGTCCCCTATCAAAGATTTCCATGGAGAACCACCCCCTAAATCCAGTCTGCAACACCGCTCTCGCAAAGTCCTCAATAGGCAAGTACCCACCATCATAAGGCATAGGCCTGAAATCATGACTCCACCGACCACGCGGCCGTAATCCTCCAATGACCTCATTTTCCAGCGGAGGCGACACTTTATACGCATCCGAGATCTGCAGCAAATAGATCTTATCCCCAGGAACCGTAGCCGCCAGCTCCTGCATACTCGAATGCCAATTTTTTTGCAGCTGCTCGGGCGAGACGCTTTCAATCATCCCTGACGATGTGGTCGGATCACCCCATTCGCTTCCACACGATTGGAACGTATCGAGACAAAGGCCGACATTTGGGAGATTGACATCCCGCACAATTTCCCACGCCTCTTTCCAGCCCGGTGCGTGTGTAGACCAGCACCAGTTCTCGTAGGCGAGTCGAAAGTTGTTCTCCGCTAGCATACCTCCTAGTTCACGTAGATCGGAGACGACAGTGTCGCGCGCGGTGGAAATCTTCTCTTTAGGTGTATCTGTAGCTCCAACCTAATATATTATCCAGTCAGCTTGTACATTTCGTTTATTCTCAGGGCCTTGGTTATTCTCAGGGCCTTGGTGTCACAAATACCTGCAAAAGATCAGTCCCAACAATCTTCATAATCTCAATCCAACCCTTCGCCCGCGTAAACGCCTCTTCTCTCTCCTTTGATCCCTGTGGCCATCCTTCGAAATTTGCAAATGGCTGTAATATCATCACGGTCAATGCGTTGGCATCGCATAATCGACGAATATCCTGAGCGACCCCCTTAAGCACGGAGTAACTATCGGGTTGGACGGGATAACCAAGGACCTGGGATCCGAATTCGAGAATGTCAGGGAATGACAATTCAATTGAGATGAATCCTGCGTTGCTGATTGCTTCCAGTCTGCGGGCGAGGGTATCCTCGGGTCTGCAGCCGATGGAGCAGGAAGCGTATGAAAGGGGGATCTTTTGGAGGGATTGGCGGCTTATAGGGGACATTTTGCTGATTGAAACTTTTTGATACAGATGGAGGGCATTTCTTATCATTGAAAATTTTTTATTAGTTGGAGATGTTGGTTTGATAGAATTAGATTGAATTTGGGTGTTGATTATGACGCAAGGCAAGGCAAGTTCCGTCACGGATACATCATCGTAAAACACGCTTATTCTTAATCAATGTTTCCAATACATGTATATAGTAACTGGACTCTGGTGCTATAGTTCAAATGTTCAAAGGGTTGATATATGTGGGGTGGCACAAGTCTGCCGTACATAACAGTAATATCAAAGAAAGCATAAAGAACTTAAGAGCTGGCAGTTCATCCTTGATGTTTCGTTAAATACTGAGTCTTTTTACATGAACTGCAAGTATGGCTGAGTGGTTAAGGCGATACGGTTAGGTATAACTACTGATCCGTATTGGGCGACCGACAATGTTATTTCAATCTATTCATCTGAAGATTTGTTTTATATCAACTATTATTCTAAGGTTTTCATCCTAACTACTTTTGCAAGTGTGGCCGAGTGGTTAAGGCGCTGTGTTTAGGTTTAGTTCTTGTCTTTAGAGCAAAATACCCAATCCGCAGTTCGAAAGATCGCGAGTTCGAATCTCGTCGCTTGCATTATCTTTTTATTTTTATCATCCTCCTACCGTTTTTGCCTTCTTATCAAACTGCCGATCATGCAACCACCTAAGCACATAAACATACCCGTATAGTAAGAATTTTTTTTCGTTCACTTAACATGATTATATGTAGTTTGAATAGAAAAATGTCTTTTTACATAATCAGCAAGTGTGGCCGAGTGGTTAAGGCGCTGTGTTTAGGTCCGGTTCTTCTCTTTAGAGCAAAATACCCAATCCGCAGTTCGAAAGATCGCGAGTTCGAATCTCGTCGCTTGCAATTCTTTTTATTGTTGTGTATTTTTTTTTTCCACTCCGATTGTATGCTTCCTTTGGGCCCCCTGATTGTATTATTAAAGCATAGGAAGAGAATATGATATAATTATCCATATAAAGTGTTTAGAGAGGTATATGTTGATATATCATTTTAGGGTGGATCCTTTCACACATCCTGCAAGTGTGGCCGAGTGGTTAAGGCGATACGTTTGGGTATAACTACTGATCCGTATTGGGCGACCGCGCGAGTTGGTCTCGTCGCTTGCAATTTCATTTTTTACTCTTTCGTCATCTTTCCCGACTCCGTGATTCCCCTTGACCTGGTTGATTCTATCAAGAATCACCCCTTGCCTACAGGTATGCTTATGTCCTTTTCACTTCTTGTGAAGGAAAAACAGTCCACCGTCATACATAGATTTGTTATTGCTATCCAATTCTCAGCCTTGGCCATCCTGAATGTAAAATGGGATTTTTTCTTTTGAAAGGAAAGAATATAAATAGATCAGGCCCAAGTGCGGTTCTCATAAGAAAAAGGCGAGATCAAAAGTATACAACAGATAAACCATACAAAACTTTTGGGGGCAATAGAGGTAATCACAAATGCGGCCATGATTGATCTGTTTCTATGATTTCATGCCAGGGAAGATGGTTCGCCTTCATAGTCGCCGCTGACCACATGTTGACATGCATTTTGCCCCGGACTCCAATCTTCATTGCCACAATATGTTGTTCAAAAACGCGAATTGAGAGCTTCATTTTTTAATGTAATATTTTCTCATTTTGACTTTCAAACTAAATAACTTTGATATTCATCGACATGGCGAATATGGATCCTATTAAGAAATTCAAGCGCATCGGAGTTGTGGGTGTTGGCAGTATGGGCTCAATGATGACCTTCGCCTTCTCCGAAATGGGGCTCGACGTCTCAATCTTCGACGTTGACAGGACCAATGTCGACAAAGTAACGAACTGGGCCAAGAGTGCCCCCAATGTCAAGGGCAAGATCACTGAATTCTACAACATCAAAGAGTTCATTAAAAGCCTCGAGGGAGGAGAACGCAAATTGTTCATGTTTTCCATCACACATGGTGAACCCGCAGATCAGGTTCTGAGCATGATCATGCCCGACCTGAAGAAGGGCGATATCGTCCTGGATGGTGGAAACGAGAATTATCGCCGCACCGAACGCCGTCAAAAAGAATGTGCGGAAATCGGTGTCTCCTGGATCGGCGTTGGTGTCTCTGGTGGTTACCAGTCTGCTCGTCGTGGACCAAGTCTCTCCCCGAGTGGAGATGCAAAGGCACTTGAACTAGTCATGCCGTTGCTCCAGAGATACGCAGCCAAGGATCCCAAGACTGGTACCCCATGTGTTACTCGCATTGGCCCTGGCGGATCCGGACACTTTGTGAAGATGGTCCACAACGGCATTGAAGGTGGAATGTTATCTGCCCTTGCCGAGGCATGGTCTTTTATGCATTATGGCCTAGGTATGGGCTACGAGGAGATTGGAGATGTCTTCGCGAAATGGAACTCCGAGGGTGAACTGCGCGGCAACTTCTTGATCAACATCGGCGCTGACATCCTGAGAACGAAGAGGACCATGAAAGGTGATGGAAATGGAGAAGGAATTGGCAACAATGGATTCGTTCTCGACGATGTTCTCGATAAGGTCGTTCAGGACGACGATGGTACCGAGGGAACACCTCTCTGGTCGCTCATGGAGTCCGCCGCGCGACATGTCTCCTGCCCCACTCTAGCAGCTGCTCACTACATGCGCATTGCGAGTGGAAACCGTCAGGAGCGGGTCCAAGTCTCGAAGAAGCTACAAATGCCCTCACCTCGACCCATCATAAACTCCCAGAGCTCCAATGAGGCGATCATTGAAAAATTGCGCCTGGCGGTATATAGCTCTTTCCTATCGTCCTTCTGCCAGGGACTCGAGTTGATTTCCAGAGCATCTGACGATGAAAGCTGGAACATTGATCTGGGCAAATGCCTTCAAATCTGGCGCGCGGGCTGCATTATCAAATCTGGCGCGCGGGCTGCATTATCAAATCTGACTACATTGCCGATCTGTTACAGCCGCCGCTTTCAGGCAAGACTAGCATGTCGAATATGAAATTCATCGACGCGGTCTCAACTGAGCTACACAACAGCTTCGGTGCCTTGAAGGATATTGTTATTGAGGGCACCAAGAGTGATCAGTATATGCCGGCGATCTCTGCGACATTGGATTATCTGAAGTATGAGAGTGGACTTGTACTGCCGACCAAGTTTATGGAGGCCCAGATGGATTATTTTGGTGCACACTGTTACAACAAGCCGGGTGTTGCCGGAGAGGATCCTGGTCCCGTTATGAAAGGACCTCACCACTATGAATGGAAGGTGGCTTAATGGATCAAGTCCCATTGCTGAGCCAGGGTGGATATAGATTGGAATCCTGTGTATAAGATTGGTTTAGAAATTCATATTTCAAACGAGTTGCATATATCGAGGAAACGAGTAAAATGCAGATATGACCAGTATTCGCATTAGACTGATTTCAAATCCAAAGTTGATAGATCTGATTCGTGATCCCCAACCAGTTGAAAAGCGGTAAAGTTTGCGGCCTCAGGAACAAGATAGTGGGGCGTCCAATGATATCCCTCAGCGGGGCACGAGATTTAATGGCTATGAGGATGCGCTTCTTAGGATTTCGTCAATTCTCCTCAATCTCAAAACCTTCTCGTCGAATCGAGTCCCCGAGGCAATTTGCTAAAAGAATGGCTTCTCTTCCCACTACCTACGAGGGTATGTATTCTCCCAAATCCTACCCCTCAGGGTCTCAAGCGCCGGCCCCTCACCCCACTTCGTTACAAAAGCTGACAATCACAAATTCTCCAGGCTCTGTCCCAATTGCCGTCATCGGTGGCACTGGATTGCGTGAGCTCCCTGGATTCACCCAGGTTGCTTCGTTGTCGATTTCCACCCCCTGGGGCGAACCATCCTCCCCCATCACCATCTTACACCACCAGTGCAAGCACAATGACAAGGTTGTCGCTATTGCCTTCCTGAGCCGCCACGGCCCGCACCACCAGATTGCGCCCCACGAGGTTCCTGCCCGCGCCAACATTGCCGCTTTGCGCTCCATCGGTGTTCGTAGCATCATTGCTTTCTCCGCCGTCGGTAGTCTGCAGGAGGCTATTAAGCCCCGCGACTTCGTTATCCCCGACCAGATCATTGACCGTACCAAGGGTGTGCGGCCATGGACCTACTTTGAGGGTGGTATGGTTGCTCACGTTCCCTTCGGTGATCCCTTCGACGAGGGCATTGCCAAGGTCGTGCGTGAGTGTGGACACAGCTTGGAGGGTGATGGTGTGGTTCTGCACGACCGCGGTACCATTGTCTGCATGGGTATGTAGATAAATGTCTTAAGATGGCAATCGTTTACTGATAGTTTCTTGTACAGAGGGTCCCCAGTTTTCCACTCGTGCCGAGAGCAAGATGTACCGCTCTTGGGGCGGCAGCGTCATCAACATGTCTGTCCTCCCGGAGGCTAAGCTCGCCCGTGAGGCTGAGATTGCCTATCAGATGATCTGCATGTCTACTGACTACGACTGCTGGCACGAGTCTACCGCTGATGTGACTGTTGAGATGGTCATGGGCCACATGAAGGCTAACGCCGAAAACGCTCGCCGCTTTATCTCCGCCGTTCTCGACGCTCTGGCTAGCGACGAGCACTCTGACTTGATTCACGCTAAGCACTTGGCTGGCTCCGTTAAGTTTGGGATCAGTACTTCTCAGTCAAACTGGGGTCCTGAGGCCAAGAAGAAGCTTAACTGGCTCTTCCCCGGCTACTTCGAATAGAGAATAGACGAGCTTTCCTCTAAGGGTTAGTTCACGCATTGATGATCGCATTTCGGTACATATATTAGGAATTTATAAGACATGAATCATATTGACATTGATCTCCATGTGTAAAATAGTTCTCTAGTTTTATCTGTTCTACGCTATCTATGCTTGTTATTGCCCTCGAAATACTTAATTAAATACATAATCATAGTAATAGCACCGTAGCCTTACGTAACACATCTGCGTGTTTGGCCGAGCGGTTAAGGCGCTGGAGTATGTATCACTCGCTGAACATCAGTTCGAATCTCAGTACTAACAAAATATCACAGTTCAAGCAAAGCTTAGCTTCGTACAACGGAGTTGGAAATCCCAGTAACGAAAGTTGCGCAGGTTCGAGTCCTGCAGCACGCATTATCTTTTTCCTTTTTTTTTTTCTTTTTCTAATTTTTTGCGCTTCACTGCTGGGCATTTTGTCAACGTCCGAATATCTGATAATAATCTCATTTCAATAAGTAGATAAGAGATCGACAACAATCTCCACCCATGGCAATCATGTGCGAATAACAATTAAGCATGGGTTAAGATCCTCCAATATGCGCAAGTAGCAGGATGTCCTCGAGAGAATCATGCATTCCAAACCGAGAGTTGGGAAGAAGAAAATTACTATACATTTCCTCCGAATGAAGCTCCCGTGGTGGGAAGTTCGGCAGTTGCATTGACGACGGCGTGTGGGCCTCCAGGGGAGGCATATCCTCAGTTGGCTGCCAATTATTTTTACGACCTACTGAAGCCTCTTGATCACAAAAAGACTGGACTAGTCCACGGATATCCCACGAAGAAGATAACTTCCCTCTGTCCTGTTCAAGCTGGAGCAACAAGCGCAGTATCTTGACGCCCCGAGCAGCAATCATACTTGTATCGCTCTGGGACAAAATCGCAATTGTGTCAGTGGCAAGTGTGCGATTATCCCGTTGGTCAGAGTCGGGAAGTGGATCGAAGAAAAGATCCAAGCAGAGGATGATCTAGAACAAAGATTAGCCGGTGCGGCTCGAGGCACAGATCGAAATATTTGAACCCACACTAGCTGCAACGCTGAATGCATGATAAATCCAAAGTGTTGGTCCATTTTCTTTGACCAGCTGTTTCAGTTCTCGGATTATGGTTTTGGCCGCCGCGATGCATGTTTTCCGGGTGAAATTGAATGCCGAGTTAGTAAAACTGGACCAAAGGAATTTGCGATGGATCATGATTATTTTGTGCGCGGAGCTGATTGTCAGGCAATGTCGTGCCCAGGGTATGTATCGTGGCCATGAGGGATCGAGAGATATATTTCGAAGACATGAAGGGACATATTTGCTAACAAGTGAGCGCATCTGCTTGTCATAGCGAATGACATGCTCATATTTGGCATAAAGTGTGTGCGAAGCAGATATATCGTCCTGGAGCTGAGGCATGATAGTTGCGATTTCGTACAAAAACCGATGATAAGACACAGGTGTAGGCACATTATCAGAAACTGGACTTGCGTCATTATCGTCCATGCAATTTGTAGGCTTGCTTGTATTAAAGTCTCTGTGATGAATGATATAGCTTTCTGAAAAGGGTATCGAGAACCAATCCTGGATACATAGTTCTGCCCAGAGACGTCGGCCGATCTGTCTTCGTGCTCGATTTGATGGATTGTCATCAGACTCTGAGCCAAGTTGGTGCATTCCCAGACTTTGAGCGATCCGCACAGCAGATGCTAGCTTGACAGAATGACTGTTGGAGTGACCGAGCAAATGTGCGCTTATGGTCATAGTGGCGATACATTGTATACCATATAGGGAGTGGCGAGCAGTATAGTCTGCTAAATTCAGGCAGACCAATGCTGCCTTGAAAAATCGGTGAGCCAGCTTTATACGCTCTGGGTCTTCAAATCCCCAAGAAACAGCTGTTGAGCGCGGCGTACATGTCATGCTTCCTGCGAGAATAGCAAAGAGAAGTGCAACCCATTGAAGATCGACCAGGTTGGTATCAATACGGCCGTGATGCCGTTTTAAGAAGCTTTCAGTTTCTTGTTGGAATATGCGCCCATGGAACGATGCATGGTACCACAAGAGACACTCGCAGTGATATTTTACCATTCGAAGTAGAACCATCGGCTCGGGAAGTAAGAGCTGTAAGACTGGAAGTGAGGACTGATCATCACTTATGAGTAACTGAGAGTGGTCGGCAAGGCCTCCAGGCTCAGAAATATCCCCAGGAGACTGCCCCTGTAACCCATTATGGTCCCCAGCTAAGCTATCAAAATCAGGAACTTTCCTCCGACCCCACGCCAAAAACTCCAATATTGTTGCAGCATCCTCAACCTCTGCGGAATCTCGGCCGGGACTTGTGTCTCCCACCACTGAGGTAACCCGCGTTGAAGGGGTTTGCCCTGCAGATGCGGAAATTGCACTATGGTTCAAACTTGGACTAAAGCCTTCGCGTTCTTTCACCGATTGAAGTGTCGCTTGCAATTCGTTTAAACACGCAGCAAGAGTTCCAGTACGGTCTGTGAGGTGGGATAAATTGGGATCTGGGGGTTCTGCAGTGACTCGTGGATTGGATAAAGATTGCGGGGTACGATAACAAGAACTTCCTCTAAAAATGGCTGTCAGAGGCTGACATAGCTAAGCAAGGGACTTCACGCCCACCTATGGCGACAATTGCGACACGGCAACACCTTATCGCACTTGATTTTTCGACGCGTACATTCTGCACATGCCAATCGCTTTCTTCTCAACGAGTTCATGATAATCAAAGTTGCAACACGGGTGAGAGACGGGTTGGGTGATTCTTGGCTTTATATGTTATCTTCTCGGCCGACGCTAGGATTTGACTGACCCGTGATAGCAGATAAGCGATATGCGATGTCATTCACAGCTAATAGGTCAAACACGGAATGCGGGGAACAAACATGATGAGAATGCCTCAGGTTGTGATATCACCTTACAAGGCTATTCGCCGCTTTGTGTAACCTTCAAGTTCCGCTATCAAGGAGAACTCAATGGCTTTTCCTTATCACTTCTTCAACAACCCCTCAAAAGAACAATGTCGCCCCCTGAACCGACACATTGTCAATAATGATGCGTCTGCGTACCAGCCGTAAGGCCTGGGCCTTACCCAAACAAGAAAGCAGTATAGCTCCACCACATGTGTGGAGTAATGCCGATCAAGACCCAGTACCCCCAGAGAAGTGGACTTGGACTGGTTGGACTTTCACGCAATACTGGCTTTCGGATCTAGTCACTGTCTCAACATGGTCCGCAGCTAGTTCAGCATATGCATCTGGTCTATCGGCCACAGACACAGTGACTTTGACATTGGTCGCCGCTCTGTGTAATGCCATCCCAACAGTCCTCAATGGAGCTGTGGGTGCTGATCTACACATTGCATTTCCTGTCGCCATTCGTGCCAGCTATGGCACATATTTCGCATATTTCTGTGTAGCTTCGCGTGCTATGTTGGCCCTGTTCTGGTTCGGCATTCAGAGCTCGTATGGAGGGCAATGCGTGACTGCAGTTAGTGTACTTCTATTTCTATTGGAACACTCAAGCTGACAATGAAGCCAGATAATTACCGCTATATGGCCCAGTTACACAAATCTTCCGAATCATCTGCCCAAGTCAGCGGCCATCACGACGCAAGGAATGGTGTCATATGCTGTCTACCACGTCATCCAAACACCATTTCTCTTCATTCCTACACATAAGTTACAGTATATGTTTATTTTCAAGTCTATGCTCGTGCCACCAATGGCATTGGCTATGGTGATTTGGATATCTGTGAAGGCGGGAGGCGGTGATGCTATATTCAAGCAGCCGCCTACTGTTCATGGCTCGGAGCGAGCATGGTTATGGCTTATGAATATGACTTCAATCACAGGTAAGGAATAATACTTCTCAATTTTAGAATGCAACTGACAATTTCAAGGTGGCTTCTCAACTTTGGCAGTCAATATTTCAGATTTTTCACGCTTTAGTAAGAAGCCTGGAAGCCCGGTTTGGCAACTACCGATGATCCCCCTGTTCAAAGTTATCACCGGTCTGTTCGGTATTATAGCTGCTGGTGCATCCAAAAACCTATACGGTACCATCTTATGGAGCCCCTTGGAAATCATTGCTCAATGGCAAGGGTCTTCGGGTGGCAGAGCCGCGGCCTTTTTCTGTGGGTCATTATGGTTACTCGCTCAAATCTGCAACAATGTCTCAGCAAACTCCGTATCATTTGCAAACGGTCAGTGCTATTAAGCCAATAAATACATCAAGGCTAATATCTTCCCAGATGCGGTGACCATATTGCCCAAATGGATCAACATCAAGCGTGGAATGATCATGTGTATTCTCCTAGGCGGATGGGCGCTATGCCCATGGATCATCATCGAGAGTGGAACGACATTCTTAAGCTTTATGGGTGCATATGCAATTTTCATGGCGCCCATTGCGGGCATTCTTTGCTGTGATTACTGGATCATCAAAAAACGCAAATATGACGTTCCGGCTCTTTTTGATCCTAAAGGAATATATTACTACAAGGTACGTTCCTTTTCTCAACCTCGACCCTTGAATTATGGCTAAGTTATCATTTCAATGTTTAGCTTGGCACTAATTGGCGAGCTCTTCTCTGTAATCTCCTGGTAATTGTGCCTCTTCTCCCAGGGCTGGCACATGCCGTGACGCCAGATAATGTCAGCATTGACACGGGCCTGCAGCATTTATATGCAATCAACTATCTTTATGGGTTCAGTCTTTCATTCGTTCTCTACTTTGCTTTGAATTACTTCTGGCCTGACAGAGAAACACTGGTGCCTGCAGTTGTTCCAGGTGTTGTTTCTCATTTCAATGCAATTGATTCGGATTTAGAGGCAGATGTGAGCTCGGAGGGTTTGAAGCAATTTTCCACCACTCCAAAGATTTAATTTCGTGAAGACCATTTCTATCTTGTCTTACGCTTATTACAGTTAATGAATTGCTACTCTTTGCTTCTTTGAAATGCTCAATTTTGCATGATTCTACTTGAAAATAAACTAAAAGCCCAGGATTTTCCAGGTCGAAAGAGCCAAACAGAATTCTATATCCTAACAGCACCAGTCCTAACAGCACCAGAGCAAATAGGTTGGTTTAGTGAAGTGAAATTTACGCACCCTTCTATTCTTGGCCACACCGCTGACTTTTTGAATACTATGTTTCCACTTCATTTATTTTCAGTTCTTTTCCTTTTCACTTCACTTTCCTATTACAGTACATATAAACAGGGTCCTTTGACTATTTGACTTATCTGGTAGAAAAGAAGGTAAGATACTGAGTAGGAGACTAAGTAGGAGATATGGTATAACACGTAGGTAGGCGCCGCACTTTTCGTCTGGCGGAAAGCCTCAAGTTCAATGTAGCACTTGGGACTAGAGAACAGGAAATTTTCCAAACTTGATTCTTACTGATACTATATTAAAATTTACCGCTGTTTGCAGGTGCCTTAGAAACGAGAATATACCTAGAACTGAAACATCCTATCTGCATTGATGGCTTCCTAATCATTCAAAATATCACAATTGCACCCTAAATCGATGGGTGATCCGATGCTGCAATGTTGCACTGATGCATGATTCGCGGTCCATATGATTCAGGGAACTCAGTCTGTAGAACGTTAGAATGCGTAGTCAATTTGGGAGGGTAAAATTTTACAATGCTATGCCATAACGCCCGGTTATACCAGAGAATGACATCTTGTTCCTCATGAGGATGCGCATAAATATTGCTTGGTGACAGAACGGGACTCATAATTCTGCGGGCACGGGTTAGTCAACTGAAATATTGAGATCAAAAGGGGGAGAAAGACATACTTGTCCATGAAAGCGCGAACTTCTTTCAAGTCTGTCACAACGGTTTCCTCGTCATCGGCTTTGCTTCTTAGATACAGCTTGAATACACCTTGGCCATGAACCTGGAGCGACTTCTCTCCGGTAACCGGATTTGTCCAAACCATTGGATAGATACAGATTTCATCCTTCGTCCACGGCGAAAGCTTATCTAGCGGCATCTCACGCCCTTCAGTCTCAATGAGATGACCAAGCCGAGTGCTACGCGCCGTTGACATCCACTGGAATGCGTGGGGCGCATACTCAATACGACTGTTCAGAACAATCTCACGCAACTCTGGATCCAGCAATTGTAGTGCCCTTGATCCGGCGACCATGGCAGTTGCACCTGGCGCGATTTTCATTGTTCTCCCGGTCCCATCGCCCCAGTGAACGGTAACATCAGGGCCTTTGGGCGTGCGCACTGCCAGAAGACAGCCCACTCGCGGCGGAGGGATCTTGTAAAGTGATCCATCCCAGTGCCACTGGTAGAAGCGACTGGATCCTGCATCTCGTTCCTCCTGTGGAGTGTGTGGTGGAAGATGAAAGCTGACGTGGTCAATGCCCTTCACTTTGAACCCTGGCGGAAAATCGAAATGACCCTCGGGAACTTCACCACGTCCTAGAATGTGTACTTGGGGTTGAGCGTTGATGGCTGGTCGATTCGGCAGTCCGTATATTGTAATTCCCTTGTCTGACAGAAGGACTGGGTCAGCGCCGTGGGCAAACCCACCCGTTTTCTCGTCGGGGTCAAAGCTATTGAAGAAGACATTATCAGCAAGATAATTTGAATTGTGGCAATAGGCATACCATGAAGTCAACCGATATTGCTGTTGAGGTGTCAGCATCTGTGGCTGCTCTTTAAATACAAGGAGCTTGTGGCGATGGAGAGCATCAGAGATGAGATCGAAATCGGCGGAGGTGAAGTTGTTCAAATCGATACCGTAGATCTCAGCACCGAAATCTGCATCATTGTTGTGTTTAATTGGCACCACGCGTCCATTGCTGTGGCTTGCTAATGGAGGCTGATAAACTTCCCGAACAGTCAAGATCTTTGGGGCCTCGCCCTCGGTAGCAGTGGTAGAAACAGCGAATACCATGATAGCTATTGTGGAAAATTTCCTGATCCTCGATCCCAATCATTTTAAGTGTCTTTTTATCATACCAAAACTTTCACTGTATGAATCAATGTGACGGAAGGCGCATGCCATCGGCCGGATTATACGGATAGGCATGCACAACTCACTTCGGCCGTGTTCGGATCCGCTGATCGGGTTACTGAATTGGTACCATCACTATTTGATTTATTAGGTGTCTTGGGGGTAAATTGGGCAACCAACCGCTTCGGCTGAATTTGCAGAGAGAACAATTTCAATCCAATCGTCAAAGCCGAAGAAATGGACTTTCCTTCATCATTTTTCTACCGAACGCCCAACGGCACGAATGTGCACTATACACAGATCGGAAACAAATCAGGTCCATTGGTCATTCTTCTTCATGGACTGGGCGGATCAAACAAGACATTCGAATCACTGCTATCGTACCTTTCGCCGCACGAGAACCGCTTAGTCTCCGTCGACTTGGAGGGATTTGGTCAAACCGCTTTGTCTTCACCAGATACTACTCTCTCCATCATACGCTATGTCAATGACCTGGAACATCTCGTAGCATCTCTGCAAAGCTCTTCGCCGGACACACCTGTAAGCACAATCACCCTCATCGGCCATAGTCTCGGGGCCATCGTCTCAATGCATTACGCCTCCAAGCACCCATCACAAATTCGCAGGCTTGTTTTACTTGGTTCTGGACGATCAATTGCCCATATTCCACCTGCGAGAGAAAGAATGCTAGGAATGGCCGCAAAAACACGCAAAGAGGGTATCCAAGCCGCAGCGGATATGGCCGCAAGCACCAACTTTCCACTCCAGGGGTCAGTGGCCCCTGAGATTCGAGAGTCTGTCCGAGAAGCTGTAAGCAGCTGTGATGCCGAGGCATATGCTAGGGCGTGTGAAGCAGTTGCAGATCTGAATCATGTTGATCCGTGTTACAGCCTCATTGAAGCGCCAACTTTGTTGCTTGCAGGAAGTGAAGATATCATCTCTCCCGTGGAGAGATCTTTGGGATTGAAAGAGCTCATTGGGGATAATGCTTCTGTGAAGGTGCTTGAAGGCGTTGGCCATCAGATGATTCTACAGGACTTGACCGGATCGGCCGAGGCAATTCAAGATCTCATGAGCATGTAATTAAGACAATGCTTCCGGCTCTGAAGAGTTGAATGAGCATGTCTCTACCAAGTCTGTCATATGTATTTTGTTTTAACGCCCATAAAGCGACGCGATACTAGAATTGTCAGTATTCACAACCATTATGCAAAATTTTTATCATGGCCCTGGAGGTACTAGTATCAGTTCCAGAGTGCACTTGAAATATTCATCTAGCTACCACTAGCAACTCTGCACATATGATCGCTATGGGACACGTGCTGGTCATCCCTAGTTGAGCAACACAGCCGCAGTAGTTTTCACATTGATTATGCGTTATAACGCCTGTCTAGATTATTTATTCTTCAGTAGGAAATTAAGATTTAGATTTTGACTAGGTAACGAGTGCGTCATCAGTCGCTGACATTATCGACCGATCTTTACGGCCGGGTTGTTTCCGTTTGTACTTGACTTTTATGTCGCTATCCACAAGGCGATCCGAATGCTTATTGATCCTTATATTTTTTTAAATTTGATCTCATAAGGAACTGTCTCCAGTGGTGTGGGAGATAGCACAGCCCGTAAAAATCAGGAGGTCTGTGAGTATCTGCAGAACTTCCACTCCAGCCCGGCCGACCGCGGCCGAGCACAACAGATAGGCTAAGCCAATAAGAAGCAGTGTTACCTTGGGAGTGATAAGCATCCCCTCAGACTCCGGGGAAATGGGTGCTTGGTTGAGGTTGTTTTTGAATAAATAACATCCCCGCTTCTCGGACATCGTGCTCAGTACAGCATCCAAAGTTACAAAATGCTCGGATCTACTTTTACCGTGACCCCAATCGAACGAACTCTGGAGCAGAAGTTCAATGTGAGCCATGGCTCCACCACCTTGAGAGAGGGATTCAGAGTTAATGATATGACAGTTCGGAGCCCGAGTGACCGGTGTGGATCTAAATAACATCTCTGGTGGATCTTCCCGCCTGACCACAGTCATACAAAGTTTTTTCTAACACAATATACAGACGAGGATGTCGATCGTCTAAAGGATGCTGTCTGGCGTCACAAGGTTATCATTGTAAAAGCTCAACACAATCTGGATCCCAAAAAGCAATGGGAGCTAGTGACTCGGCTCGATCCAAACGCACGCGATGGTCACAGTCATGGTGATCTAAAGACATTCCGAGCTAAGGGAGGACTTCTCGCAGTAAGTCTCTCTCAGTGATAAATTCACGAAACATTCCGAATTCTAACTATGGCCTTTCAGCAAGAAAGAGAGGTAGTCGGAATTCCTGGCGCGGAAAATGTTCGCCTAATTGGCAAGGGCTTCCAAGGAGAGAACCACTTTGGAATTGAAAATCACACCATTGAGCGTGGACTCAGCAACGACTTCCATGCCCTTCCGCCATCGATCGCAGATTTTGAAAGGGGTATCACACGTTTCCAGCGCTGGCACATTGATGCCCCGTTGTATGGGAAAGATCCGGCGTGGTTCACTACCCTACGTTGCATTACGCTCCCCAAAGGACCCGATGTTACCATCGAGTGGGCTGACGGGTCAGGCCAAACTATGAAATCATCACCTGGACAGACTGCATACTTCAGTACTACTCAGTTGTACCAACTGCTTTCTCCGGAGGAACAAGCGCTGGCTGATCATAGCTGGGTTGAATACGCACCATATCCATACAAGTGGGTCGGGAATTGCAAGGGAAATTCAAATGGTCTAGGTCTGGCAGAAGGAGGTGAGCGCTTAACGATGGAAGAGCTTGGAGAATATGATCCGAGCGCAGTGAAGAAGGTACGAAATGAATCTCTCGAGTTCTTTTCCTTCGAAAAAAAGTTTGCTAAACTCACTATGCAGTACCCTTTGGTCTGGGTGAATCCTCTTACTGGCGAGAAGGCCTTTCAGGTACATGGTATATGTGCTCAAAAGCTTTATTTGCGTCGGTCACTGGACGAAGAGCCTCGAGTTATAGAAGATATTACCGAGATCCGGAAGTTCCTCTTGGAGATCCAAAATCGAGTCTTGAAGCCGGAGTATATTCTGTTAGCACCAGTCGAAGAAGGGGATATGGCTATTTGGGATAATTATGGACTTTTTCACTCGGCTGTTGACTACCCTATCAGTATGGGTCCAAGATCAATGCATCAGGCAAACATCAGTGGCAGCATTGGTCCGAAAGGTCCTGTGCCGATCCCAATGATGGCTTAACTGATACTTCGTTGACAGGACACATGGGGCTTGGATTTATCGTTGTGGAAATTCTCTCCTTCTCCTTTCGCCTTTCTCCATTCTCCTTTCTCCATAGCCATCGCAACATCACATACTATTCTGTGTGCTCCTTTCATACTGTCGTACTCTTCCCCTCTCTTGCCCGTGTACACACCAAGAGGTTAAAGAAAACACAGGATGATAAAGTAAAATCACTTGATTCAACTTCTGTATTAAAAAGAAATTAATAACTTTTGGTGTTTGACTCTGGTTTTTGAAATTTTGTTGACTGCTAGGTAGAAGACAGGCGAAAACTTGTATATGATAATAAGATTATATATGGAGTTTTGTGCGTGCCCTTACATCAGCAGGCAAGATGGCCGAGTTGGTCTAAGGCGTCAGGTTAAGGTCCACCTTGACATCATTTCCTGATCTACGTTTGTAGGCGTGGGTTCAAATCCCACTCTTGTCATATCTTTTTGTTTCTTTTTTTTCCCTTATTTCTCACTCTTTGTCTCTCATACAACACTTTTTTTTTTTTTTTTTTCTATAAAAAAACCACCTGTTTGCCGCTGTTCGATGACAGTCCATTGCATTGTCAGATATTTCTCACCTAATGTTCCAGAATTTCTGATTGATACTAGTCCAATTTATGAAATATTCACGATCATCACTCCGCCTAAATAAACAATGATACAAAACTTTAAATATCGGCCGATAGGCTCATATTCTTGAACTTGAGGTGGGGGTTATCAACTGTATTCCTATCGCGCGATCGGAGACTCTAACCATTGATAGCTACCCCGCAGCATTGACTACTCTAATTGGGTTCTGATTTCGGCCGCAAGGGCTTGAGATTGAATACATATAAGCTAAGGGCACTCCCGCTGTCTAGAAATGACTATTTGTCTGATTTGTATATCCAAGAACCAAGAATGGGCAGCGCTATCACTCACAAGTATCGCATTGGCGTTGATGTAGGGGGTACGTTCCATCTCATGAAGAAATTACCAGATTCAGCCTACAATAACTAGATTTATAGTTAGAAGCTGACACGCTATACCCCCAGGAACGAACACAGATGCTGCTCTCATCTCCCTCGACCCAATCTCCGTCATTGCCTCCCACAAAGCGCCGACGACACCGGATGTTACAACTGGCATCACAAAGGCCGTTCAAGCAGTTATCCACCAATCAAACATATCGCTCTCTTCTATCGGATGTGTGATTGTCGGTACGACTCATTTTGTAAATGCTGTTGTTCAACGTGCGCCTTCATTAAGACGCGTCGCAGTCATAAGACTATGTGGCGGTGCAGAAGAGGGATTCGGCCGGGGCATCCGTCCCTTCATCGACTTTCCTTCGGATCTTCGCGCCTGTATTGACTCGTCTCAGATATTTTTCTGCAATGGAGGATATCAAATTTCGGGAACAGAGATCAGTCCGTTGGATGAGATGGAGATCAAACGTATAGCCGTCGATCTGGTAAATAAAAATGTCTATAATGTTGTGATTTCGGGGATGTATTCTCCATTGAACAACACCCAGGAGATCAGAGCTGGTGAAATCTTGCTGAATGCCATGGCTAAAGTCGGACAATCAAAGCCCCGAGTCACACTTTCCCACAAAGTATCTGGTCTCGGGTTTCTCGCACGAGAAAATGCAGCTATCCTAAATTCCACCTTACGCCCATTGGCTGAGAAGACCATCTATGGCTTTCAGAAGGCAATGCAAGACATTTTCCAAGGGAGTCGGTATACACTTTACTTGACGCAGAATGATGGAAGTGTTTTGGGTGCATCGGAAGCCATTGAACTCCCTATTCGGACGTTCAATTCCGGTCCGACGAATTCAATTCGTGGTGGCGAGCTTCTTTGGAGGGCTGCATCCGATGTGGACGGAATCAAGCAGCACAAACGGACCGAGCCCTTAGTTGTCATTGATATCGGGGGAACAACATCCGACAGTGGACTGTTGCTTCCAAACGGTCTACCTCAAATGAGCTCTGTCATGAGTCTAGTTGGTGGAGTCCGTACAAACTTTGCTCTCCCTGCAGTGGAGAGTATTGGACTCGGGGGTGGTTCAATCATCCGCATGAAGAATGGCGATATTTCCGTTGGTCCCGACAGCGTGGCCCTAGAGCTTCTTACAAAGGCAACGCTCTTCGGAGGGGAGTATCTCACCTCCACTGATATTGTCGCGGCTTCTGAGATACACTCGCCCACCGGAAACAACCCTTTCGAAGGTATGGGTCAACCCGAGCGTCTCATCGATGTCACATCCGAGGTAGTGAGAAAAGCGCAGATTGTGATGCGAAAGAAGATCGAGGAGCTTGTTGATAGAACAAAAATTCAAAAGGGCGATATTGACGTCTTGATTGTCGGTGGTGGTGCACCCATCATTCAGACCGATGAGCCACTTGCGGGTGTCCGCATGGTTCGAACGGTCAAAGGCGGCGAGGTAGCCAATGCGGTTGGAGCTGCCATTTCACGCGTTTCGGGTGTTATTGATACTGTCGTCGATACCTCCAATCAGACAATCAAGGAGGCTCAAGACGTTGTTGTCGCACTCGCCATCCAGAAGGCCATTAAGAATGGAGCGAGGTCGGATACCATACAAGTTGCTGAAATTACCATGCTACCCATTCAATATGTGGATGCTAAAGCTCGTATTGTTGTTGGAGCGGTAGGAGAGTTGGATGCAGTTCCTGAGGAACAGTCATTGAAGGAGATTATTAGCGTTACAACCTCAGAGGATTCGCAAGAACCGGACCTCAAGCCAGACAATCTGTCATATGTCGAGGAACAGGTCGATTTCCATGCTTATCATCCCGAAGTGAAGGATAAACAGTGGATAATCTCTTCCACGGATCTCTTATTCATTGCCCAGGGGTGTAAGATTCTTGGCTGCGGCGGGGGCGGCGATCCCTATCAGGAATACCTCAAAGCGAGGGCGACAATCCGTTCTAGACCTGGAACTGTCAGAGTTGTTTCAATCAACTATCTTCCCGATGAATCGCTCGTGGGCTGGACAGGGTGCATGGGAAGCCCAGAGGTCAGCATGGAGAGGCTGGAGAACGACGAGTGCTTAAAAGCACATGACGAGCTCATGCGTGTCACCAAAAGCCCGCCAGTCTCCGGCTTCCTGGCACTGGAAATTGGGGGCGGAAATGGAATTCTTAATTTGGGTGTTTCAGCGCATTACGGTGTTCCTTGTTTGGATGCAGATTATATGGGACGGGCTTATCCGACGTTCTGGCAAGTCACGCCCAACGTGTACGGCTCTCCTAGCGGCGAGGCCTTGGTCCCGGCCACTATTGCCAGTGGGGATGGGACATTTATCACCATGACAAAATCTCGTACGGACAGGTTGGTTGACAAGGCTTTGAGAGCTGCCTGTGTCGAGATGGGATGCCGTGCCGGCAAAGCTGGACCACCGAAAGCTGCGCGAGATGTGAGGGAACAAGCGATTTCTGGCACTGTTTCCCTCGCTTGGTGGATCGGGCGGGCTGTTACTCTGGAGAAAAACATCAATGATAAGGCACAGCGTATCGTTGATGAGGTTGGCTCTGAGAGTGCGGCGATCCTTGGCCAAGGCAAGATCATAAGTGTTGAGAGGGTGCTAAAGACTGGACATACCTATGGTGTTTTGAATATCGACGGGGAATTGAACGATGGAACAAAGGCCAATATTAAGATCCCATTCAAAAATGAGAATGCATTCGTTGAGGCAGTTTCCAATGGCGATTCGAGGATGTTGGCATCGGTGCCTGATCTTATTGCTGTCATTGATGCTGAGACCGGTGCTGGACTTGGCACTCCCGAATATAAGTATGGATTGAAGGTGGTCGTAATAGCCATTGCGGCCTCACCTCGCTGGACAGATACGGAGAGAGGCATGGAGCTGGGAGGTCCAGAGTCAATGGGATTTGGTGAGGTGAAGTATGTCCCTATTGGGAGATACAGCACGCCTCGAAGTGTCATTGATGTCTTTGGCTAATGGTCACAGCTGAGAATGCGTGAGATACTCTACTATTACCTACTTGAGAGCACTTGATGACTGTAGAGATCACAGGTAAATACAACTTAAGAAGATAGACACCTATGACCTCGGGTGTCTCCTGCCCATTCCTATATTCACTTTTAAGCATGGTGTATACCAGATCGTAATAGACGCCTTGCCCTTGATATTCTCATTTACCTACCCAGTCTTCTACCTTGTGTTGGTATAGTAGAAAAAGTATTGTTTTAGGCGCTGCGCGAAAGCGCGACGAAAAGCCCAGCTGTCTAGTTATTCATTACAAGGGCCAACACGGACGCTCTATATCATTAATATAGACCTATGTAACTGCACCACATGGTTGTATCTTAAACGTGCTGCAAAGTACAGGATCATAATCACCAGATCTTCTTGGCAACCATCTCATACCTCTGAACATGATCAATCTTCAGGTCCTTGTCCTTATTTTTATCCTTGTCTTCCTTCTCCTTCACCCGCCGAAGACCCTCGGCATCGTCACCATAGATCAACCTTCGTTTTTCGTCGCCAACCTCAACCATCCCCCAGAGCCCAGAGCGGCGGCCTCCCTCAACGCTGAAATCATCCTTCCGGGGTGCACTAGAAGGGTCGCTGGAGTTATCCACCTGGGAATGTTCGTGCCCTGAAGTACGTGATGATTTGCGTTGCTCGAATTCTTTGCGCTTCATTGTCCGATAACGGGAGCGAGCGAAAGCGAGCAAGCCCATGCCCAATATAAGCTTGAGAATCAAGAGCACAATGAATGCGGTGAGAATAAGGACAACAGTGAAGATTTGCACGGACTGAGCGGGAGAGGGAATTGCGTTTTCCAGGACCTTGCGGAAGAGGATGTTAACGTTTGGTAGGATTGTTGCGAAGCTCAACGGTGGGGCGGATGGAAGAGGCGCGGGTATATGGCGATTTTGAATTGTGGATAAACTCGAAATCACTGCAGTGGATGATGGGTATTGGGGAAGCAAAGAGGCCAGGAACATCTGGTAGGTTTGCACAGACACACGGAAGAAAATGCAGGAAAGAGGTATGACTGGCAATCCGAGACGGCGAGTAATGTTGTGGTCGCCACCTGCAAATGCGTTGGTGTAGTAATCCTTCGCGAGCACATCAAGAAAGCGACCGTATAATGCAGGCCGGTAGTTGTTGAATTTGCTGATGTAGGCATGTTTGAGCCAGTCGACAAACATCTCCGATCCCAGGACAATGAGGAAAGGGCCTAAGACCTGCGCCAAAGTGGGAATGAAAGAGTTCATGTGACTAAGGGATAGGATGGATGATGGGAAGAACGTGAATGACTGAGGGAGGATGGATGACGCGGTGCGAGGAGGAGTGGATAAGGGTGTGCTATTGGTGCTCGTAGACTGTCTGGAGAAGCTGGGGGCCAAACCAAGACCTATGAAGTTGAAAGCGCCTGTTTCCACAATGTTGCGCGATGCAATGATAGTCAGCATTAGCCAAAGCTGAAATCGCTCGACCACATCAGAGCAAGTGAGCTGGAACAGGTTCTCTTTCTCGAATTTGCGGAAAACAGTTGACTTGATTTCCACAAACTGGTTCGATAGTAGCAGTGTAATCAAGGCGTTCGAATACGAGTTTACGGCAACATTGAGTGTCATCACCTGCAAGCCATGAGTTTAGCCGAAAAATATGAAACTAGCTTTGCTCGTTGACTGACCTGATAAAAGAGGGATATGGAATGGGAAACTGTGTAGACCAACGCCAATAAAAAGAGCCAAAATGGGCGGAAAACTTTGCTTCGCCCATTTGGCCGACGCTCAAGGGCTTCTCTGGAGAACAGACACTCAAGAACATCCTGTCCCAGCGCTGCCAAAAGTTTATCAAGTACTTCAAGAACGTTGTAAATCACGTATAATTTGATCGCTGCCTGTCCGCGAATCCAATGATACATCCGACTAGCATCAAAGTACATTAAGGCGCAGCAGGTCGCAATCATAAGAAGGCCGGTAAGGATATCAGCCTTATCGTCAGGAAGAAGAGCCGAGGGTGTGGACTTCTTTCTTCGGTGAGATCTGCGAGATTCAGAGGTCCGATGTCTTCTCTTTGATGGCTCTGGGTGACGTTGTGATTCTTGGGAAGTCGCGCCATTTGGCAAGCGAGGAGTGACATCCGATTCGCTTCCACGTCTATCACGCACTCCATCTGGTAGGTACTTCCTCCTTCGCCATACTCGCCCAGCTCCATTGATGACGAATTTCCATAATAAACGAGCCTCCGCTGCTAGGTTGAGAACCCATGATTCACATAGAATGTACAAAGCTTTAATGAAACGCAGAGGTAAAATTGTGAAGGAGTAAAGCCATGCGTCCAGGCATGCGAGACTTCCAAAGCCAATGGCCTGCTCCAGCACAGGCGGAAGAAGCAGGAAATTCATCAGTCGTTCTATTTTCGCGCTTGATGACTCATAAGGGAATTCATTCTCATTGCCGTGAATGTACAGCGGCGATGGACGACCAGAGGCCAGCTCAAGTTGAAGGTATGTTGGTATCGAGGCGGGAGGCAGAGGGACCGATGGAATGGGAGAGATCAAGGGTGTTTCCGTAATATGAGGTGATGCAGCGAGCTGGATTTTTAGATCACGATCGTGCTTCGAACGAGATGCCCATGTTTGTGAGAGCCTCTCGTTGCTGGGTGTGGAGAGTGTTGGGTGCCGAGACACAGGAGTAGAAAACGTTCTGGATGGTTGTGGTCGACTCCGAAGGTTACCGCTCAGCTGCCGTAGGTTGACATTGTCATGCAGCTCATCCGAATTTGGATCTTTGCTAGACCGTCTAATCCGAAGAGGTCCATCCAGAGACGAAGGTACCTCGCTCAAAGGTCGCAGAGTCCCGTTTGTGGTCTCCAACGGCCGGTCAGCTAGACCCTGCAACGAACGGGGATTATCCGACATTATCCTCCTTCCACTGGTTGTGTCCGGAACTTCAGCACGATACGGTATCGACTCGGGTGACGATGTGAGCTCTTGGATCTTCTCGGGTGACAGTTTCAACACCTTTTCTTCGGTCGGGCGCTGAGACGCGTCTTCGGCGAGCTCTGCGAGAGCAGCTTTGACTTTCGGACCTTCAAAAACATTCACGACAGAAATACGACCAGTTCCAGTTCCATCATCTTGCGAGTGTTCGACTAGAATCCCGAGACCTTGCTCTGATGATCCAGGTGCCAAGCTGTACGTATCATCAAGCTCGCCATTTTGTGCCCCTGCTGGTGGCCCGTCCCCGGTTGGTCTGTGTTTCCCATTGACCCCGGCTTGGCTTGGAGCGGGTCCATTGTTCTCCACCGGCGGACTCATTATGTTCAATGTTGGAAGCCCGTGTCAAAGAACAGGTATTTTCTTCGTTTTGTGTGGTGGCTTGTTTCATGTCAGTCGAAGAGGCATTTTCGAGAGCTGGTGTACGAGCTAAGGCGCAATCGGACTAAAGGCTGGGACTGGATGAAAGGGCGGTCAAAACGCTAGAAGCCAAATCAATTAATTCTGAATGGTGGTCTGCCCATGTGGATAATAGCATAGACCCATTTCACATTCAAATGTCAAATGCAATCCTTGGAAGTGAAAATGGTGCATGCGATAATTGGAGATAGATAAGAGAGTTTACTATCTGTCATCGCTGCAGCCGTTGTTTACACCTCAGGCAGGCGTTATTCATCACATGACCTACCACATGATATCTTTTGCCTGATTCTGTAGTAAACTCTACATGGCTTTGTCACAAAAAATAATTCCAATGTTCCGACACTCCAACATCTGAAGGTTCTTCCAACTTCCAAGGTTTGTTCCAAGCAGTTGAACACTCGTGGCAAGTTATATATATCCGTTGTGGGTCTATAGTCCAGCGACGTAGATCTTCCATTGTTCCAAATGTTGACTATGTGTCGAACTTCTATATGTAGCTCTGGAGAAGCTTTGAATATTTGTATGTTTGATTGATGAAGTGCTCAAGTGCTGTTTATCTGATGTCTCAAATTATTGCCATCAAGTAGGTACTAAGTACAACCTTGATAAGACAACCTTGAAAATTAACGAAGGGGTTGTTGAACTAAGGTATTCCAGGCAGACCTGTTGCATATATGAATCGTCGCATTACATCAAGCGAGACAGCATTCAATAAGCTGTGCCGAGCCTTCACTTACATTGCTGAAAGCATGCTATTTCTTGTAATGTCAGTCAACACAGCCTTTTCTGAGCCCAATAAGCCGGTCATACGCACATCGGCTTTAACCAGGCTACCACGAAGCGCGCCATGTCCAGTGGATTCAAAGATCCGAGAATTATTGAAAATGATTCAGCCTCCAAGGCGTCAACATATTTGACCACCACCGAAAGCTCTACGAGGCAAAAAGTGCGAAGGAAGGCCAAGCTCCGAGCCCGATCGGACGTGTTGTTCGACCGATCACCCATAAGGCTAAAATTTCGGACATACCGGAGTTACCCGATTCGATAAATATGTCCTTTCATCATGAGGCGAGATGAATATAAAACGGGCAAGTAAGCCTCACTATGAAGCATCAAGCAATCAAAAAAATCTCATTACAAATTATTGAACATCATTGACTACAGTTTTCTCAACTCGAATCGTTTTAAATCGCCACAATGACCCAACTCAACACTGACGACTCCAAAACTACCTCATACTCGGTCTCCATCGAGTCTACTGAATTCAATAAGCCGGAGAAGGACGAACATGAAAGGTGAGTACCCGTTTTCATCTGTTCATGCTATTTACCAAACACTAATTGTTCACCAGTATTAGCCCCAAGGCACCATGCCCAACACACGGTCCAAGCCAGTCTGCGCTTTTCGATCGTGAGTTGCAAAAACCACAAGCACAGGAAATTATTCGTGCTTTGACAAAGGCGTTGAATGATATCAATGATACTGAGCAGTGCACCAAGTGTGCAGTGCAGAATGCCTCAACTCTTCTTACCACCCATGTGCGCGAGATCAAGATTGCAAAGCGGAATGGCGAGTGGACCAAGGAAGAACGAAAGGCGCTCAAGGCAGAGGTCAAGGGAGTGTTCAAGCCTGTGAAGAAGGCCGTCAAAGCCCTGTGGAAGGAGCAATGATGAATGTCAGTGTATTTGATTTTGAATGGGGATTACTACGTGCGTATACGTAGCTCGATATAAGGTTTCCTTTATGTTTGTGTGCGCTCGCGTGGGAGAATGTATTGGAACGATCATTTTACGTAACAATTATGTACCTAGATAACTGGCTAGACAATATCTGCTCTTATGAACTTAATTCTCCAAGCTCAAAACTTCTCCAGTACCTTCTCAGTCCAATCCCATAACTGTCCTGCTAACTGATCGTCCTTCGCAGTTTTATCCAACCGATCTTCATTCTGCCTCCCAACAGGCTCATAATACTTTCCACTCTTAACATCCCCACGCGCAGCCGTCGCCGCCCAACACTGATTATAAGCACCCTCCTCCGGCTTTAGCAGTTTCCCAGCGTTAGTGACATAAATAAGAGCCCTATCAAAAAACCCTTGCTTCCCCACCAAATCCGTCGCCACGACACCTGGATGAACAGGCACAGACAGTATACCCGGATACCTACGTGCCAGTTCACGCGCATAAAGCAGATTCGCAAGCTTACTCTGTCCATACCTGCGCCAAGGACCTGGAAATAGATGACTCTGGACAGTTTTCAAGTCATCGAAACCGACCCCTCCACTCGGATGGAGAAGAAGGCCCTGGGACGTGAGGATGATTATGCGCGCATCACCACCTCCTTTGGCAGTGTTTTCGAGCAGAGGGAGGAACTTGCGGATGAGAAGTGTGTGGCCAAGATGATTTGTCCCGAATTGCACTTCATATCCATCTACCGTGAGGCCAGGTGGTGACGCCATGATGCCGGCGTTGCACATCAAGATATCGAGGCGAGTTGTTTGGGAGGTGAATTTTTCGGCAGCTTCTTTTACGGACTGTAGGGATGCGAGATCACATTGGATGATTGTGAGTTCGGTTTTTGATCCGCTGGCGCGGATCTGATTTATGATTTTCTCGGCACTTTGAACATTTCGGCCGCTGATGTAGATGTGGGCGGCATTGTGCTTAGATAGATGGATTGCTGACTGAGCACCCAGGCCATTTGTTCCTGATTGTGTTAGATTAGTCTGTCGATTCTTGTGACTTTGTAGCTGTAGGTTGTTGGGCTTCATACCTCCAGTTATGAAGATTGTCTTGCCCGTGAGGTCAGGAATGTCATTCTGCGGATTGAAATTGAGGTCTGGCATTTTCTAAACACTTCATGTAATATTTTTATAGTATTATTTCAGTACTCTGTGATAATTTATGGATTCTTCTGTGATGAAGGGACGGAGTGGTTTGTCGAGTTAATCCGACGGCCATCCGTTGAACCGCATCCGGTCGCTAGGCCGACCTCTCAAGCATTTCCTATCTCAGTTAGGGTATATGTATCTTTACAAATTCTTTTGACCAAATCTTCGGAGCTTGAAGAGATTTTCTACCGTCACTCCCCTCCCTCCAAATTGGGAATCTGACGAAATGTTAAGAGTTCCACCCCGTCATCGTACAAATAATTTTCTGCGACTTTTATTGCAACCCATGACAACTTTTTCAAATATCTTCTACTTATTCTCCTACTCGGTGTCCTATCCAGTATTTTCGTATTAATCCAACGGTCAAAGGTCTCCCTAAATATTTAAACAGTAATATAGAAAAGAAAGAGAAAAAAAGAGAAGAAAAGTCAACTGGTAGGAGAAGGGGAAAAAGCAAAAATCCGGTGGAGGTTTTGAACGTATGCCGAAAAGTCTGCGGTGTACCCAAGTAATAGAGGGGTAGATAGAGAGTGGTGGTAATACCCTCCCTTATGTTAAGTCCTATCTTCTACATTAGGTTGGGGTTGGGTAGGTAGACTAGGAAACCTAATCTAAGATAGAAGACTTATTAAAGCTTATATAAGTGATAGAGATCCCTAAGAAGGGTAAAATAGCTTCGATCTCAAGTAAGATAGAAGAGATAGAAGAGATTAAGCCTATTAGTTATACTAAGGAAGGTAAAGAGGAACTTAGGTAATTAGTAAGGGCTAGGTAGAGACGAAAGAGTGTTTTATCTGATGTTGACGAGGATAATAATAAAGATAATAATAGATTACCTATAATATAGCGCTAGATATATCAATTTAGACAGATAAGAAAGCGTCTAACGGTGTTGGACTACGAGATTAGGATTAGTTCGAACGTAATTAAATGAATGCTCACTTTTACTAAGGCATTACTAGATAAATACTAGAATTACTACATAAAAAAGCATTAATTATACTCCTAGTATTATAGGAATCTTGGCGGTAGACGGGTTCCCATAGGAGGGAATGGGAATTCCTATAGGAATACAGATGTCTAAACATACTAGTTGATAACATACCAGGTTCGAACTATGCTAATGAATACCTATTATTCCCGCATTCGGGACAAAAGTGGCGGTAGAGCATGACCAACAAAGTATTTGGGAATGTGAGAGTTAGAAAGGCCGATTAAGTCTCGATGACCTACCCACCACTAGCACGATAATAACTCAGTAGACGGGAAAAAAATATTGAATGACTAGCTAGTACAGCCTGAATCACACTCGTGAAGAGGAGCACGTGGAGCTCATCTTAACTACGTATAAGAGGTAAGGGCCGAAAGGATCAATAGGCTAGTAGTAGGAAGTATGATTTAATGAGATATGGTGAACTGAGTTGGTTGGGCGTTTAGGACAGAAGGAGGAAAGTCATGGGACAAATGAACATAGCTTTCTCATCTTGGTGAGTGGACGGTGTGAATAACTGAGAATGTATAATGAAGCCACCATTATATTGGAATGAAGGAATTTAAAGTATCCGTTGGAATAATGAGCCCTTATATGACAGCGGGATTGATTGATAGGCCGGTCGGTGCCGCGGAGAAGCGAGAATCCGATGCATTCCTGAAGTAAAGAATGGAGCGGGCAGTTAAATCTTTGAGACAAACTTTAGACTAACCTGCATGTGGCCGACCCATGCAACTATAAAAGGCGACCAACTTTCCACAGTCAGGCTTTAACAGTACATTTTATCCAGTGCCTTGGTCCAAAGAACGAAAATCACCTTCCTCCACTTGCTTTTGCCTGGGTGCCTACCACAAAGCCCTTCTTTTTCCAACAACAATGCATTTCTCAGCCGAGGTCCTCTCTCTCCTGACCCTAGGCACCATGGTTGCAGCCCAAGGAGCAGCCTGGACCAATCGCTGGGGGTATATCGGGTGCTACCCGTATTCATTCACCGGCTCGATCACCACCGCCGGCCCTAACGTCACTACTATTAACGAATGCGCAACCTACTGCGATAGCCTGCAAGGAAACCCCTTCGGCCCTTATTACTACTTTGGCGTTTCGACTCCGCTCGGAAACTTCACCCAAGGGGGTGAATTCTGCATATGCACCAGCAGCCCGAGTTCGTTGAGCCCAATGGACAATGGGCTTTGCAATAGTACTTGTCCTGGGCATACGGCAAAGAGGCCTCCGTATTGTGGTGGGTCCAACGGGGCGGATTATTTCTACCTGTCGATGTTTGCGTCAGTCTAAGTATGAGTAAGGAATAGTGAGTAAGGAATAGTTGGGAATGTATGTGAAAATTTTGATAGTTTCTTGCAGGTGGTAGGGAGTTGATCGAGATCGAGAATGATGGCTGGAATGGTTGATGGTATTTGTCTAATGTAACATGGCTTCTTTGTGTTCGTGATTTAAGTCTCGTTAAACAAACTCGAACTGGATGCGTTGGTTGGGGTTAGTTGGGGTGGTGCTGGCGTGGTGCTGACGTGCTGATGCCACCGGGGTTAAGGCTGCTTTCTCTCTATCTTATAGATCGGAAATGTAGAAGAAGTGGGAAGTGCATTATTCAGCGAGGAATCCATACAGCTTATAACAAAATATGACGAGCTAAGCGAATCAAAGAGCTGTTCGATTTCTACAATCAGGAAGAACTGTTCAAGCGCCTACTAACTGATAATTCATATCAACGCGTGCCGGCTTTATTGATATGTAACCATTTCCTATAGATAAGTCGACAATGAACGATAGAATATTAAATGCCAAACATAATTTATAGGAATGAAGAATGATATAATTTCTATTAGCGTAAATTCCTTAAGCATAGAGGGTAAAATTAGGGCGATAACTTGGAGCAGATTACTACCTATATAACGGTAAAGGTATCGAATAATAGATCTGAAGATTAGTCTGCGCCAAAACCCGCGAATAGGTTCTAGAATCAAAACCTAACCTAACCCAACGTGAGTTTTAGGTTTTGCTAGACTTTATCATAGGCCTATCTATAGATAAAGTCCCCTATCCATGGACCATTATCCACTATAGATAGGAACCTTTATCTATAATCTATAACTGGCATGCCTATAGGCCTTAAAAAGCCTATAGATACCTAAATTTACTAGTTTCTACCTGATTTTCTCCATATCTATAATTAATTCTATTATTTACCCCTATTTTAGTTAAAATGTATACTCTTACTACTATTCCAGTTATACTATCTTTAGTACTAAATTTACCTAAATAGTAAATTTTTAACTAATTCTAAGGTTGGAAGGCGTCCGCGAAGGTGGTATGGACTTGATGTATTGGAAAAATGAAAGTCATTCTACTGATTTTCCAGGGGGGTGACGGTAGAAAGTCTCAGCTTGAATACATCTCAGCTTGAATACAAGAAAGCCATAGGCAAAATTTGAATTGTGAAGAGAGAATATCCCCCCTTATGCCTCAGGCCAACATCCAGATATGCAATGTATGCATCCCCCCTACAACCACGAAATTGATTCCACTATTTTGAGTGCTTTGGCGGCCTACATAGATTCTGTCAACATAGTTTTATTGCAATAGATTTTATAGAGAATCACATTCTCTCTTATCAGTAGAAGGTGAAAGGTGTGTTTCGCACGCGCTTGCCAAAGATTCTTGGCTGGTGCTGCGCAGAATTGGTAATATCCACGTTTATAGCTCAGAATACAGAATTTTGTATTGCTAACCTAAAGTCCGGCGTGTCTTGGAGATGAAGACTTGTCATAGACAAGGATGACCATCTCTATACAGAGGTGGAAGCAGAAAAATAACGATAAAATAGAACATGACCGTGATACGAAAAAGAGAAAAAGGAAAAGAGAGCTAACATAACTATGTGAATCGGCGAAGAGTTGCCATCATTTCATCTGACAGCCTGCCACGAATGTGCTTCAACAAAAGGTCTGCGTGGGAATTCGGAGGTAGTCCCTCAAGGTCAAATATGTTAGACTCCTCATCACGCGCAACCTCCCACCTGGCCAGATCGTCCGCCATCTCACCGAGAGTAAGACTGGGTGGTATGCTTTCCCAATGGGGATACTTATCGTCCAGCCATTCTTCCGCTCTATGCTCCGGGAAACGGTGGTAATACTCCATGTGTTCACATGAGCAAATGTCATAGCTGGGTATAAAGTCCAGGTAACAAACATCGGGGACGTGGAGATGGACTCCTCGTCTTTCGAACCTCTCGTTAAAAAGGTTAAAGCTGTCTTCGTCGATGCACTCCATAGGGTAATCGTAGTGAGAAGAGAGCAGGGGTAGCTCGATAGTGAAATCTTTAAGGTTCGGAAGGTGACCGTTGTCGAGCTTTTCGAGCATCTGTGAAAATGGCTCCTCTGTCCCTTCATCCTCCTCCCAACGAAGTGTGAAGTTCTCAAGACTATACGGGAATGTGACATCATCGAGGGATGTAAATATGTGCTCTCCTTCCCAGGAGCCCGTCAAAGTATACGGCGTCACTGTAAGACAAGTCAGAGAGGTAAAGGATCTCAGATTGCTCCAGGTTTCATCTCCCCAGTAAATGTCCATATCAATAGACTCCAGGGAAGATTTTTGTGGCGCTAAAGCGTCTGAGAAGTCATTAACATCGCTAGCCTGGTCTTGTGGCCATTGTTTGGCTGAGATGCCTCTGTATGTGAAATTTTTCAATGCCCTCGGGAACTGGAAGCTTATGGAGATCCGAAGGATGAATTCTTGTGTTCAAGAGAACAAGTTCCTGTAATGATGTTGACCGGCGGTGTGGCCTCAGTTTCGACCGCCATATCAAAGTCTCGCTTTCGAAAACGCTATTTGTGATGCAAATCTTCTCCAGGGCTGGGTGCCAAAAGAGTGGCTCTATAAAAACGGCTTCTCCAATCTGGGCCTGGTCAGACAGGTAGTCACTCCCGATATGGCCTAAGCAACGTTAGAGTCAGTACTTAAGCCATGTGAAAAAGGAAAAGAAGAACACAGAGGTATAGACCTACAAGACCGAAGTGCTGGAAGAGCTAGAACATCAGGAAGGCGAGATTGGAACCACAGCGCTTGTTTCAGATCCTCAAAAACAAGCCCATCCGTGATACTCTGCGGGAAGAGGAATTTCCCCCATTTGGGCGGGAGTTCACCATGCCCGGTCTTTCGCATCAGAAACTCAAAAGGCTTGACTCGGTCCAATTCGTCCAAGTCTTCCTTGCAAGCACTCGTGCGCATTCTCATAACAAGAGACTCCAAATTCGGTAGCTGTGACAATACCTGATAGAACGCCACCGAGTCATCCGAGTATATTTTACAGCCTGTGTCATCGTCGTGGCGCACTTCCTGGACCAACGTACGGAGATGTGGACGCTCTTGCAGGGTGCGGGTAAACAGAGCACTTTCATGCGACGAGAAGAGCAGAACGGTCTTGTAAAGCATCCAATTAAGCCGTTTGTAAAAGGCGCGCGCTACACATGCCAGACCCTGGAGCCCGCGCGGATGTAGATCAATCAGGAGGTAATTGATGATCATCTCCCATATTTCCGGTGGGAGATTTGGGCAGCGTGGTGACTCATGTTGTATTTCGGACTTCATTTTGGACTTCATTGTGAAAGATTGTAAGAAAAAAATTGACAATTGGTGGGTAGTTGGCTTGTTTATTACCTAGGACCACCTTGTCTGCGACGCGTTTGTTTCCATCAATTCCAGATTCACAGCTCATCGCGGCAGGATACATACGAGCAAACGATTCGATGTATCACAATCGCTGGTTGCAATGAAAATGTACGGCAATTCGAGTTCTATTCTCCCTTTTGATTGGACATTTAAGTTTAATCAAACAGACTAGTATCTACCCAATACCCTTGGGCACTGCATCTAAAGCATCACGTTTGTACCGAGTAAGTTCGCGACCAGAGAGGCCATATTCTAGCCTGGAAAATGGGAAGTCCATGAGTTGAGAACAAAACTGCCCTGGCCGGATTTCTGAGTTTCTGTTTGAGCATTATGAGTCAGGGATCAAGGGTGAATAATTGCCAATTGGCAAGATGTTTGTTGTCGTCCCAGATGGAACTAGCTCGGAAATCATTCCTGTATGATATGGAGAAGAGATGAAATCTATTGAGTAGATGATACGGGCAATTGAGTGAATCACAAAAGTGGGTCAAAATATGTACAGATCATGATGCATCAGAGAGAAGACCGAATTACCATCCATCCAACGGAGTAAACTTCGCTTGAACACCATCCTTTGGTGAACTTGTCGCACCCATCTTCAACTCTAACTTGGCATCGGGGTATTTCAGCTCAAACTTAAAGCTGCCAACAAGCACAGCAATTAGACAAGCAAGTTCGGCCTTAGAAAATCCTTGCCCAATACAGGCACGGGGCCCGTGAAGGAAACTCAAGAATGCATAGTTGCTTGTAGCCCCACCAGTATTTGCTTTACCTGGACCCATCCATCGATCCGGATTGAACTTATCCGCATCAGGTCCCCAGAGCTCAGGCAAATGGTTCAGAAGCTCGGGTGAAAGAATTAGGATTGTGCCTTTAGGAATCGGCTGGCCGACCACTGATGTATCCTTGGTCGCTTCACGAACAGTGTTGGGGACAGATGGGTAGAACCGAAGTACCTCGTTGCAGACGGCATTCAGATAAGCGAGGTTGTCAATAGCAGCAGCGTCAATAGGTTCGGGATCTTCGACATTAATAGGGGGGAGATGAGTGCGAACTTCCTCGCGTAGGCGTTCTTGGACTTCGGGATTTTTACATAAAGCATAAACGGCCCACTGAAGAGCGCTTGCTGTGGTTTCGTGTCCCGCGGCCAAGAATGTCATCAATTGATCCAGGAGATTTTCTTCTTCAAAATTCCCACTTCGCATCGCGACCGAGATAATGTCAATGCCGGTGTTCTTCTTTTCATCCTCCACGTCGGCTTCCTTCTCCCGCAGCATTTGGCGGGCAGTCTCACGAATAACAAATCGACCTTCGGCGAAGGTCTTGTTTCGCGCGGTGGGGATTTTGTGAATGATCTTCATGTCTCCGAGCATCACACCGACCAGGAATAGGACGCGGGTGAAAGTACTCGGGCTGGTGAAGATCTTTTGGTAAGATTTGTAAAGGCGATTTTCTGGATTTTGTAGGGAATCAAAGTCGTGACCCATCCCAGCCAACCCGATAATGTCTAGGGTGGCGCGACTGGCATAGGTTCGCACTGTGATGGTATTGTCCTCATTTGGTCCTTTGGTTTCGACGTCACGGCGGATCAATTTGGCCATTTCAGTGCTCTTTTCCCAAAAAATGGGGTAGAGATCTTTGATGTGGCGGTAAGAAAATGCGGGCAATAGATTCTTGCGTTGGAACTATGTGATGATTAGATTTAGTCCCACATGAAAGGCTTTGGGGTGACATACCTTATGATCGTCGCCCTCGGCAAGTAGCACACCATCTCCAACAACGCGGCGCAAGTTTTGTTGTACAATGTTGGGTTTGGCAAAATCATACACCTTGGAATTCAGAACTTCGCTCAAGGCCTTAGGATTTGTTAAGACGACCCGCTCGAGCTGACCAACAATGTAGAATCGAAGCAGTCCGTCATTTGGAATGGTGGTGGCCCACTCATGAATCTGCTCGTGTGGAGTGTCAATCAAGCCTGAAGTTGAATTTCCCTTAAACCAGTGACGTTCCTAGAAGACGTTAGACAGACGGACAGAACCGACGCAGTGGAATTTACAAACTTACCGAGGGTGTGGGTAATTGTTTCAAAGGGGTGAAAAATCGAGGGTAAAGAAATAATTGATAAATGAGCTTGGATACTGTAATGATGGCGAAGAAGATGGCAAGTGTAATAGTTCTGGAGTTGTTGATGGTATAATCAGGCTTGAAGTAAACAGCAGCTGCCACGCCAAGGTACAGGATCTTGAAACCGTCGTTCAAGCCGGCCATTATGCTGATCGTTTAGAGCAAACACTGGCGGAATCCCAAGCCCACACTGATTGATCTAACTTCGCAAAGGTAATATGAGATGCTGCGATCTAGCCAGTTGGCCCCCAAATCAATGTCCCAAAACGTATGATGCGGCGCGAAGCAAGTGGGCCTGTCAAAAATGCAGGTCAAGCCTGAAAGAACAATTCGCTTGCAAGTTGTTTTTGCTGAGGCCTCAGACCGAGTGAAAAGCAAATTCAAAGGGCATTCATGTATGTTATAGGAATGAGCTTGAAGGCAGCGATATTTGAGGGAATCGTCATCGGCACGGGGACGGGATTGGTTCATCCCGAGACTCGCAATCTATACCCGATTGGGTTAGTACTACGTGGGGCTTGCGATCTAACGAATCTGCTGCCTCATTAAGCCAGGATTTTCCACCTTCCGCGAATCATTTAGAGTCCATTTCTGGCCCAATGTCCATTGAGGTTTCGTGTTGATACATAACTCATGGGATTAAAATTGTTATAGTGCACAGATCCAGTTTTCTTTATGGACGCAGAATTAAATGAAAAACCTTGCGACACTATACTAACATTCGCTACATAACTCGGCACATCGGCAACAGCCTCTAATTGACTAACCCCACTGTCTCGCCGCGCCCGAGCGTAAAGACCTGTCGTTAACTTTGTCACTCGGCTTCAAATCATGTTCAAATTATAGATCCCAGGAACTTCACTGCACCGACATCAGCACCAACACCAAACTCCATAAATCGTATTTAATAATCAAGTCCCATAAGACGATCGAATTCTCGAACAATTTCTTGCTTCATCTCCTCCGACAACTGCATTTTAATAGTCTGAGCATACCCATCTATAAGGCGAGCAATAACAATCGCCTTGCGAGTCTTTGCTCGAAACTTTGCTTCAATACTTCTCGCAATACCCTGCGACGGGTAAGCCCAGATCCCGATTCCGGCTGAAAGATTAATTATCAGTATGCGCGACAACATTCACTTTGATTGGTATCAATCGCGAAACACTTACCAGATGGGGCTTTTGTGGCAAGCCCAATAGCCCCTTTGGCTAATCCCCTCAACGCGCCCTGTCGTCCATCCTCTTGATATCCTTTCCAAGGATGCTTAACAAGGCCTGTGATACCTTCTTTCATACCACCCACGAAGTTCTTGGTACCGACTTTGGCTCCGGACTTCCAATCTGTAACGGTGCCGTAGTCTTTGGGCTTATCTCCGTAGACTTGTGATGCATTTCGGAATCCATCTGCCGCTGCAGTGGGGATATCGACGAGGACACCTTTGAAGTATCCCGTTGTGAATTTGCCGAAACTATTTAGTGACGCGCCTGCCATGTCTCCTGCTGTTGTTAACGGGCTTCTTGGACTGGCGGGGCGGTTGCTCTCAGTTTGATTTGTTGTGGATCTGGACCTTAGTGATGGAGTGCTCTCTGTTGATCCCCGTCGGTTTTGCTCAGATGCGGGCGATGATTTTGCACGCGTAAGCTCTTTGAACGGCTCGTATATCATTCCTGTGCTTGTTTTCAACATTCGAGTTCCTGTGGATATACCCGCGGATATCACGCCGGTTAATGGATCCCAACGACGGTTTTCGATAGTTATTGGGTTTATATCATGGCTGCCGAGTTGTCAGACAAGTCGGTGATTTCTAAGATATGGACATACCATTGGAGATTGTCGGTGTCTATCTTGGAGTACTCGATCAATGTCTGTACAGCCATCTTTGACAGATTCAGACTCCGTTTGCCCTTTCTATAGTTCCAGACTGCTACCTGATCTGGCAGGATCCTACAGCGCATCCGTTCCAAGGGAAGATTGCGGTGAAATGACTTCACAGCCTCATCGACACCGCATTCAGTATGCATCTTATTGGCCAGCTTTTGGGCAGCAGCTGCGGCCTCTGGTGTAAGGCAAAACTTGATAGCAGCAGTAAGATTATGAATTGTAAGAATCTCATGGGGAATAGGCTTCGGTCCTGCACCGGCGTTGGCGACCATGTCACCCCAGAAAGGTTGACTATAGTATATGAAATCAGTATCGGGATAATATAGGAGGGAGGGCGGATCGTACTCTCCAAAAAATGGCACAATGGCTGTCGGCTTTGCGTTTATCAAGCCACATGCCGTGGTACCAGCTCCGCCGTGATGAACAACCGCAGCCACATGCTGAAACAGCCATTCGTGTGGACAGTCACCAATATAGAAAATATTTTCGTCCTCCCCTCCATTCATATTACTCCAGCCTTTGGAGATAACAGCTCGCGCACCGCTGGCTCTGACTGCTTCTAGAACAGTGTCTATTAGGACTTCAGGCTCGTCCACCACGATACTTCCAAATCCAATGTATATTGGAGGAGATCCCAATAGCAGGAATTCTTGCAGTTCAGGGGATGGGTCGTATTGTGGAGGATCCCTAAAGAAGAATCCACAGACATCTGTGCAACTATTAATAACACTAGGAGGAGAGAAAAGAGTAGAATCATACATACCAACATAGGCTGGCCAATCCTGTGGCTTCGGTACCAAAGCAGGCGACCAACAGTAAGTAAATGGTATCTTCAATGATTCATGTAGCCCTGGGCCCTCCGTTGTCGGGATTGGGCCCAGGTCTATTGAAGCACGCCAGTTATTGACAACATCCGCCAGTCTAACCAAACAATGAGCATGATATCTCACTTCTCAAGGGTCCAGAAACAAGAACCCACCCTTGCCATGTAAGCCATTCCACCACGCCATAAGAAACCCAGCAATCAAGCCCTTTGTACTCCGGATCTGCAGTCAAGCTAGAGAGAGGATGTGGGAAAGACTTGGTACTGCTCCAGGGCATCGTAAACATCAAATGAACAGGAATACTTAGCGCCTGAGCGCAATGAATATGGGCAAAGCTGGGCGGATTAGCGATAATAGCATCCGCCACAAATGGTTCTTGAGTGTATGGATCATGTTCGATACAAGATCTCCAACAGCCTTCAAGCATTTCGCCCACCATAATCTTCTTTTTGCAAATTTCTCCCTCTCGCAAAGTTTGCATTTGAGGAAGAAGACCGGGATTTTTTACCATATATGCCATCAGATCTGCTGGGTTTCCTCCAATAGGGAAGAATTCAAGTCCGGAGCTGTGGATGAAATCGGCAAAGACACCATGTGTCGCGATGCGAACCCGGTGGCCATGTCTCTGTAAGGCATTGCCTAATGCGACAAATGGTTGTACATCTCCACGACTGCCCACTATTTGAATGACTATATTTAGTTTTAAATCAAATGGTGTTGATTGTGCAACTCTCTCGCGGTAATCACTGGATTCGCGACGAAGTTCTTGCTGATAATTGATGCTTTCAACAATTGCTCTGGCGACTGTTGATTCGAGGTTGACGTTGACACGACCGTTAGCTATGATGATTGTCAGTATTCAAATTTCAATATCCATGCGGCTAGATTGGAACCTGCCCTGGACAGACCCTGAGTCAGTGATTAGTTCGTTCTCCAAGGGTGAATACGGCGTAATTTCGGCCTCCCCTGACTCGTATTTTTCTCGTGAGCGATCTGACATCTTTGACTCTCAATTTTATATCGGAACACTCAATGAAGCATTGAAATGGGCCCAAACGATTAGAAACAAAACATCAGACGTCAACCTTGGATCAATCTCCCCGCAGCGATGTCATCGTGCATATTCTTAGTCAGCGAGAGCTTCGCCCCACGCTGAAGCTTGGGAAGGTTTGGCTGAACCAGTAAGAAGCAATTTACCATCTTATCATATCATGAGTCTTGGCGATTGAGCTTCTGTTCCGTCGTGTATCCGAATTCTACATGTAGCATTTATTTCCTTGCAGTCGATAAGAATTCAATCATTATGATAAACCAAACTTTCTCGATCATGCCTCATCACTGACTGAATATCTTGCTATATAGTGGGTCTACGCCATAGACCCTCGCTTCTTCAAGTAAACCCCGCCACCACGACTGCTAAATCCCCAGCGAATCTGGTTAGCCATAGAGATTTCAACATCTAGCTCATCAGCCCAAGCCCAAACCAGACTCGGATTCCTCTGGAATCCTCGACCAATGAGGACGAAATCCAGACCATCATTTTCCAAAAGACTATTCGCCAGGTGACCCGAGTCGATCATGCCTACCGAGCCGACCTTGAGCTTGTCTCCAACAGCTTCCTTCACCTTGATGGCAAAAGGTGCCTGGAAAGCCGGCTTAGCATGGATATGCTGCTTCTGATGATTTCCTCCGCTGCTAATATCCAGCACATCAACATTGCCACTGTCCGCCAGAGCTTTAGCAAGACGAACAGTATCCTCCACGCGCCAGCTAGGCTGGTCAGGCAAAGATTCTTCCAGCCAGTCCGTAGCCGAAATACGCAAAAAAACAGGCATATCTTTCGGAACATTGTCGCGAGTCAACTTCGCGGTCTCCAATGTCAATCGAATCCGATTCTCAAAGCTACCGCCATATTCATCAGTACGATGATTAGTGGCCGGCGACACAAAGCTCATGAGAAGATATCCATGCGCATTATGAATCTCAACAAAATCCACACCCGCTTTCACCGCTCGCTTAACGGCGGCCACCCAGTCCTTCTTGAACTGCTCAATATCATCCTTCGTCATGGCCTTGGGCGTGGGGAACCTGTCATTGAAGGGAACATCGCTCGGACCGATCACTTTATCCGGCCAACCACCCACTGCCTCTGTAGCTGTATCGGCCGCGCTCAACCAGGGAGCCACAGTGCTTGCCTTGCGTCCCGCATGGCCGACCTGGAGCCCTATGACGCCGTTCTGACTGTGGACAAATTCGACCACGCGGCTGAGCGGGGCGATCTGCGAGTCTTTCCAGAGACCGTGGTCTTGGGGCGTGATGCGGCCTTCGGGCTGAACTGCTGTTGCTTCGACCATCAGGAATCCTGGCCCGCGTTGGGCGATGCCGCCCAGGTGGGCCATGTGCCAGTCTGTCATGTGGCCATCATCGGCGCTGTATTGACATAGCGGTGAGAGCTATTGTAAATTTGGCATTAGAAACCCTTAAGAAAAAAAAAAAGATCGGAAAACAAGTTTACCCCGATGCGATTGTGGAAGGTCACGCCCCGCACTTTGAAGGGCTGGAAGAGCTTTGGTGGCTGTGTTCCATCGGACTGGGGAATCGCTGCGGATCCGGCGGGTGGGACTTGAGCGGGGGTGAAGTAGGAAATGCCCTCGGCGGGCTTGTTAACGATATCGGGAAGAGTGGATTGCGACATTTTGGTGGAGATCAAAAGGAAACTAGAAGATATTCCAATGTTGAAGATCAATTTTCAATGTTAGAAAGATGTGATAGAACGTCAATCGGCATTTTGTTCACTTTCTGCACGAGGCCAATGCTCCACCGGCTTATAAATGCAAAGCTCACCATCCCACATAACGTCTATTCAACGTCAATGAAACGTCAATTTATCGTCATTAAACTATGAGAGGTTACATGGTACCCTCGAGGCCTCGGATGAAAGCTGGAGCTTCAGCAGATGTGTGGGGTTTCTCGCAGAGGTTTACTAGTCTCATCCACGGTTTCGAGTCACGACCATACCCAGGGGTTAGATTGTGGAAGCACCGGAATTAAAGGTCAAGCAGCGACTTCGCTAGAATCTTCCAATATTTCTAATAAAATGACGACGACATAACCTCCGTACTTTTCTCTGTCAAAATTGAATGGACCTGCTAATTTCAATCCCTCGCCAATGGAAGTGACCTGCATTTACTCTGCCGTTACTTCCATACCATATTTTCCTCTACTCGCTGAAGTCCGACGGAGATGAAGGGGTTGGAAGTACCAGCACAATAAATACTAAGTCACTTAATTTAGTGGGTCCCAAATTGAATCACAAAGGTGGAGTCAAACAATGCCCTCAATTACATTCCAGTAGGTCACAATAATTACGTGTGATAACACCAGAATCTAGAGAAACTAACCCAACTGGTCGAAGTGATCCTTTGGGAATCATCACCCCTAAACCACAGCCACATTTTCCTCTACGTGTGTAGGATCAGTTGGGCGGCTACAGTGTGCCGTGGGTCAAGTTTCGGCGCTAACTTGTCCCTGAGTGAATGGTTGACAGAGTGCGCCGAGCGTTCGGCCCCATAATATTTGTGGGACATCAAGAAGAACTGGAGTTATCAGTTGGTTACCGCCAAACAGCTGCAGATCCAGTTTCAAAGACAAGTATAATTATAGATATTAAAAGAAAGGAAGAAAGAAGCGAAGTCAGCCATAGAGTACTTGGTTGAGTTCCCGTTTTGCTCCACCACCCGAGCCCTTTAGCAGATGTTTCATCTTCCCCCCCCCTTTACCCTTTCAATCTTTCAATCTCTGGATTTCTTCAATTCATTCACTGTCCTTTCACTTATTCCATTGTATTACCCTGTAGCCTCGCCTTGTTCGAGTCTGCCCATTCATTCATTCCAACCTTTTAAGCGCGCATTCTTTCTCCGCAATCCGATCGACGGCTGATCCTAATCCACCCCCTTTCTTGGCGCCATCACAGAGCGATTCGAACAATCCCACTTGGCGATCAACGCCCCGTGCTCATTGCTTCTAGGGCTGGATTGAATGCCATCCTGAAACACGTTTGCTTTGTCATTTCTACACCCGCCGTCGTTGTAGCCTCGCCAGCCCCCTAGCCTCTTTCAGACATGCGCCCTCCACGCGGTTAAGACACTCCCAGTCCCTCCTTTTCGCATCTGTGTCTTTTTTTCTATTCTCGATTTATCCTCTCCAGTGACTTCGCCCGGCTGGCCCGAGGAAGTCTACCCGCAAATCAGTCAATCTGCACCTTCGTTTCAACATCGCTCTTTGATTGCTTCCTGGCTGGTCCGGCTCCCCAAGTACAATGGGTTGCTCTGGTGATCGCGAAAAGGGTCCTGTAAAGCTGGAGGAGCAATGGGACTATGTGGTATGTCGCCTACCAAACCCCAACGAAGTCGATCTATATTGACCATTCTTAGAATCTTGATGACTTCAAATCCGATTCATGCTGGACACCTTTCTCATACATTTTTCTATGGATAATGCTCATCGTGTCGGTATCAGTCTATGGTGTCGACATTTTTACCGCTGTCAATCTTCTGGCATTTTCCCGTTGGTCTGGCCGCGTCGAACCTGCCATCCCCTTCAGAATCTCCCGTTGGATCTTTGCCGTATGCATCTTAGTGTCGCTCGCTCTTTTGGTGTACCGATGGATATTTGCAATCCGAGCAATGCGCTCTGGCAGTATTACCAAAAGTTACCTTGACCCGCTTGCCGTCCGCATTCAAAGTTTCCGTGTCATTGAAAAAAACGGCCGTGGATGGAAAAGGTTTCTGGTCTTTGCTGAGTTGACAAAAAGTAAGAAGGGAGCTGAGATTGTCGCCTTGTATACCTATTTCTCCTTCCAGTTCTGGATGAACACGATTTTTGCGGATGGGCCACGTCAAGTTCTCAATGCTATCACTCTGTACTCTGTCATGAAGCTGGATCTTCTTCCGGGAGGGAAGAACACCACAAGTGATGACAACAGCTCTGCCATTTTGCAATTCTTCAACAATATCAAGATTCTTGCTGAGGATAACAATCTCCAAGCTGTGGTCTTGTTTGGTATGCTCTTTACATTGATCATCTGGGTGCTGTCTGTTTTGAAGCTCGCCTCAGCAGTCATCCTTTACTTGATCTTTTTGTTTCACCACATCCCAGCCGAGGACGGATCCCTCAAGGCGTATTGCCGACGCAAGATTAGCACACGACTAACAGGAATTGTACGGCGCAAAGTCGACAAAGCCTTGGCAAAAGGTCTGCAACTACAAGACCGTGTACCGACCCGACCAGGTCTGGCAACCGCAGACTCCAAACCTACCCTGCCTACTATCGATATGGACAAGACCCCGGTTGTGACTACATTGTCGCGCAGCACTACCGAAACGACATTGCCTCCTTATACGCGCTCGAACTCCACTCGAACAGAAAGAATGCCAACTTTGCCGAATCTCGAAATGGACATCAAACCACCACTGACTCGGACTACGACCAAGTCCTCGGCCATATCGACCGACTCGGCCCCTTTGACTGCGAATGCGGCTCCAATGGGATACAGTCCTTTCGATCGCCAGCCAGCTCCAATACCCCCGGTTCCACCATTGCCTACCAGTGTACCGTCAAGGATGGGCTCTCACTCGCACCCCAACGGTAACCCTCCATACGCAAACGAACCTGATTACCCGTCTGGGTACCGGAATTTGACAGACTTCGGAGCACAGCCACCTCGCACGTACACTCCTGCTGATCCTTATGGCACATCGCCTCCCCACGTTGATACCTCCCATGGCTATTATGATCACTCGGATTCTGCTGGACATTACGATCGATACGGAGCTTCTGGTGATGTCTACGAAGATGACGAATTTGACAGCTATGCCACGCCTCCCATCCATGGACACAACCTTGCACAGCAAGGGTATCCTCAAGACGGATATCAAGCGAGATCCTATACTCCAGCCTCCGCTGCTGCGGACCGCTCTCAGGATCCATACCAGGCTAGATCATACACCCCCGCAAGCACAGGGGGAACATACCGCTCTGAGGATCCATATCAGGCTAGATCTTATACTCCGGCAAGCTCCACTGCGACTCGTCCGCCGGATGGATATCAGTCATATAGTCCTATCAATGCAACAGTGGGATCACAGTCCCAAGACGGATACCAGAATAGATCCTACACTCCTGCTAGTACGAGCTTACCCGACCCCCAAGATGCATGGCAGGATCGATCATACACTCCTGCAATCACCGCGGCAACGCCTCACCCAAGGAGTGCTCCACCACTTCGTACAATGACCCCAGCCAGCAGAACCACACCGGCTCCACAAACGGACCAGTCTATGCGACCGCCGCGAACGTTCAATCCCATGAGTTCAGAGAGCTCTGTACCTCCAACTACCGGGTACAAGGCCTTTAATCCCTCAACTTCACAAACACCCCAGCCTCGCATGCCCCGTGTTCCACCACCTGCAGGCTACCTGCCATTTACCCGAGCCAACACTGCGTCGCCATCGACAATGAACCGGAATGGCTCTCCTGCCGGATACTCATTTAATCGATCACACACCGACCAGTTCTGATGTCCCATATCAGAAGCCTATTACTACAAACTCTATTGCCCTCTTCATGATTAACTGCGGAATAGCTGGCTCTTCTGCACCTGATGACCGGGTTGCTTTTAATACCGTTCATGACTCGAGCTAGTCTCTTACAATGTTGCACATACCCCCTTATGATTCTGGCATATGCCTTGAGTCTTGTTAGATATGAAATAAATAAACTTGATCTATTGTTCACCAGTTCTTCTTTGAGAAAACTTCAGTCATAGACTTCGATGTCGTAATTGGCAGGAAACGACTGATGACCGACTAGAAAGTAACTATTCATCGCTGATCATCGCTAAATGTGCAGTTCTGATGTTAATATTAGTACGCTTAGTGAAATAATATATACTTTAGGCCAGGTGAAAATGGGCCAAAGTATTGAATGAATAACTTCCATCTTCTTTTAGTTATACCCAAGTAGATTGATACAGGTTGGTAGCCAGCGGCAGTTCTAACCCGCATCCCATTTCTACACGCTTTCCAGGATGTCCAATATCAATATCAAGTAATATAGGGCCTAAAACTCCATTACAGTCACTCAGAAACATTATAACTGTCGCGATAAGTTAATGGAAAAAATAGTAAGACGTATATAACACAAAGGAGAGTATTGGAAAGATGATAGAGAAAACGACAGAATTTCTTGAGCCTTGATTGGCGTGTTTGCAGTCGGAGCCGTGGCATGATTTACTTGATCCTCCTTTGCTTGCAGAACAGAAATCATTGGGACAGAATCCATAGTAGCACGCAAAGGAACACAGTCCAGTATAACTTTGGAGGTCATTTTTGGGGTGTCCCTCATCTTTTGTAGGCTTTGGTTTCTTGTTGGCGGCACCCATTGCACTACAGTAACATGTGTCCATGGGACAATAACCGTATTGGCAGGTAAACTCACAAAGGTCTGTAAAATCTGAGCTACCCGATCCCTTGACGCACACTTGCTCAGAAAGTGACATATTTGGTGAAGTCACGGGCATAGTGCTTCCCGAGGTAGCACTTCCCACCCAAGCATTGAGGTTCACAAAACCCTGGGTGCAACTCGCCGTGAGAGAGCGACCATCCAGGTGAACCGTCCTTTGGTCATCGCGTGAGATACTCACAGCGATGTTCCCAAGGTGGCCTTTATTCAAGCCAAAGTTGCCATGATAGATGCCTATGCCCCCGTAAGGCTCGTACTCCCACCGAGCGTCATATTCCTGACCCGCTATGTTGACTGAAACTGAGGCATTGGATGCCAAGAGTGCCGAGAAGAAGATTTTGTCCTGAAGCCAATCCTCGGTGGCGATTTGCAGCCCAGAAAACGTGAACCCAGTAGTATTCCCATTGGAGCAGGAACGCCCAGTCTCTACTCGATACCAAACAACCAAGCTTTCCTCTGTCATAGACGCTGTGCCTGTTCTGTACAGGTCAATGACAAAAGGCAGATGAAGTCGCCAGCCGTCGTGTGGCATGCCTCGAGCGTAATTGTAGGGTGCCTTACCTGATGTGAACACACCGTAGCCTTTATCGTCAAGTGGTCCAATATAATGTGACTCGCCGTAATCATTCCAGGAGATTATCTCAACCCATTCGGGCTCGAGATAGGCAATCTCCACCCATCGGTTGTACCACAAGTCGCCCCCTTGCACAGCCCAATTCTTGTTGTACCCCGGCATATTGGTGTAGAACCAAGGAGATGCCGGCATCATATAAGGCTTGCCGGATTTTTTGAGAGAGTCGAGATACGACGCATCGGCATAGGTGTTCATTTCTTCAGTGTTTGTTGGCCAGGCCGCCCACGAGAACAGTCCATCAACCACGCCAGCAGCGAGCTTGAGAGCAGATGTGGGCTCAACAGATGACCAGTCTGGAACGAAGAAGCAATTCGTTCTGTTTTTTATAGCAACCCAGTCATCGGCACTTTCCGGTCCTTCAAACGTAGACACAAAAGTCTTGCCTTTATAGTTGTAATAGGCTGAACTAGGGGCATATTTCTGCAGGTAACTGATGATCTGGTCTTGTGGCCAAGTTCCATTTCCTTCGTAATCGAAGGAAAAGAAGAGGAGAAATCCCAGATCTTCTGCGGTGGCAAAGGCATCGGCGGTCGCTCTTTCCATGTGTGGCGTAGCGTAGGCAATGTTCAGGGCAAAGGCGTCAATGTGGGCTGCTTGAGCCAGCGAAATGTCTTGTTTCCAATCGGATATTTCGTACTGCTCGGTATTTGCCATCTAATTAGGCAATTCCGAGATGGTCAGTTTTAAGACTGCACCTCTGATCATGAATGACGAGCTTCGTACCATGAAATGAGCGAACACTGCCTTGGTTGTGGCCCGAGTGGTTAGGCTTAGCACCTGTAGCAGGAAGACAGATCGACCTATAACTCCCATAATGATAATGGACAGAACTATAACTTTCTATCTGGTCGGTTGGTTTGGATTATTACATTTAGACGTAATAAGGATTGTGGAGGGAATGACAAGGAAGTACGATAACCAGACACAATACAATGCCAGATTCCCAGCTATTTATATATCTGTAGTTGCACGAAAAACTAATCTCTTTTCTCTGTCGTACTATCTATCTGGATCTGAATGTACCTAGACTAGCAAACATGGTTCAGTTACACACGACCATTTGGGAATACAGTCAAATGGCACCTTCCGATGTAAAATAAACAAGATATTGGATGTTTACTACCTTATTAATCATGACAGAAATTTTGAAGAATCACTATCAAGCACTTAAGCATCAAAAGATAAGAGAGTTCTATGTAGAGCATGTCGTGCTAAGAAGCTGTAGTAGGCTTACAATAGCTCAAAATACTCTGAGACAAGGTGGTCTTGCTCGGGTTCCCATAGATGAGTTCCCAGAGGGTCCGGTAAAATCCGATCCGGCAACCTAGGAGCTTTCTTACGACTAGTATGGAATGATTCGGGCGCTTGTGAACTCTTGAATTATGTTACACTCGCCTACCTCTAGTAAATTGATCGGGTTTGGCTCTTTCTCCACGTGATCTGTTTCTCTAAAATTACTGAAACGGTAATATGGTATGGATCTTGCTTGTATGACCTTGAGAAGTTCCGAATATGAAGCATATACGCATATCTACCTAAGTAAGTATGGTCCAAGTATTTTTGAATTCAGCTACAATTGAAGAATATGCATTATCTTTGCTAGTCTTTTTATTTTGGTTACGACCAGTCAACGGATCCTATAGCCAAGTGTGAATAGCCATGGATATCCATAAGTCTGTCGAAAGGTCTGTATGACCATATATACACATCTAGATACAATTCCATTGGTGTCGCTAACAGAACGTCAGAGCCAAGGGAAAAGATTAAAAGGCTGTAAGAATCTGCACTCTGTGTCCCTGGGTTCCAAATTTCCCAGGAGAAAAAGAATATTAATTGCATATTTGTCCTTAGCAACGGTTATCTTTCTTGGCAAGAAAATAGTACCTGATTGAATACGTTGCCAAGTCCGGTACAGTTTCACTAGAACGAAGGGGAAAAACGGCACAGAGAGTTAAGTTCCTCAAATCGGTGTGTTCTGGCATACACGAAGCATGAACCCGTCTGTCGTGGCGTTCCACCGAGATGAGTGAGGCGAAAACCCGCCAGCTCACATATATGAGAAAAATTTCTATGAAATATTCTCGGGCTTGTCACGAGAAACTGGTCCCAGCCCCAAGAGTTTCAGTGTCGGACATCACCTTGATAGCAGATATTAATACCCCGAGAGAGTTCATCTACTTGCAAGCCTATCATCCGCATCTTCCGATGCAGTAGACTGCATTTTTTTTGTAACAGCGGAATCTTCTTTCCCCGAAGTTGTACAAAGGTTCACACTCAGGAAGTAATCATAAACTGTTTCCACTTAACTGATATAGATGTTGCAGATCCAATCTTTTAAAAAACAATTGTCAAGGATGACTTGCGTATTCTACGAGGGAAAATCTTGGATATGAATGTGAAGCCTGGGGCATTAGAAGTTCCACGTATTGTACCTACTGTTGGCCAGAAGACGACTGAGATTGGCATTTTATGAGAACTTCTCACTATTTGAACTTTGAAAGATATATAAAGGAAAGTAACAGTCACTTTGCTGCTGATTTAGTCATTGGTAGAATTCATATTGTCTAAAAGGCATAAGTGTACAAGTAAAAAGCTCAATTTCGTTATAGTCTCTCTCGCATGAAACCCTGAACCGTAATGGTGTATGATGTCTATGAAATAAAGATCCGAGATATGGAGAAGGTACTCGCCGCATGCCAAATCGCTACTTGGTGTGGACTTTGGCTTTCCGAAGATAGGAGCGATTGAAGAAGGACACGAAAAGATAGATCAGTGGAACAAGATAAAGGGCCGTCAGCCACACCGTAAATGCCTGATGATTGTTCTGCAAACACTTGGTCCTTTCAACTTGATGATGCTCGTAAGGAATGATTCCATCGTGATGTGTGGAGCGCTGAACAGGAGTATCAAATTCAACGAACATATAGGCCCATCCAAACAGCCAGACAAAGAGGAATTGTGAGATTTGCAAAGTTGTCAAGGTTTGCTTGACGAATTTGGAAACTGGTAGGTCAAGAGATGTCCATACAAAGTAGGTGTACTAAAAGGAACAGTCAGTGTCTTGGTCCATGGATCAGTTTCGGTAAACCCTAAGATGCATACCATCATAGTGTGAACCCCTGCGTTCAGAACCATAGGAATAATCCCAGCAGGGGAGATAAATCGGACCGCCGCCCATACACACAGTATCACACCTGTATGATGATACATTTGAAGCATTGAGCTTCGTTTTCCCTTCATGAGTATAATGAACGTATCAACCACTTCGTACAACTTCGAGAGGTAGAACAGCCAGCCGAAATAGGCATAGCCTTGACTCCAGAGTCTGCTGGAGCTGGGACGGTGAAAGAATTCGCTGTCCACAGACAGGGTCTCAACATGCGGCAGGTTTATTCCGTGAGGATGGTCATCGCTGGTGATCCGACAAAGGGCATCGGCGACTTGAGCGGAGAATTTGAACTCCGTGTTCGATGGCAAGCTGGTCGCGATGGAACAGCAGACGCCGTAGAGTGTCCACGCAGAAAACAAGGTGAGGAGCAGGTTGTGGAAAAGCACTAGCCACTTGAAGGTTGAAGTTCTGGCAATTTTCCAAGCTACATTGTGTCGTTGTTGGTTCACTCGATTGAGGGTGGTCACGGCGATCAGGTAGATGGAGGCTGTAGTTATAGGAACTCTAGGGCTTAGAGCCGCTTGGAAAGTCGAGTCAGAAATTGCGAATGGCTGTAGCCATGTCGATTGGATTGAAGGGGGTGGGAATGCTGCTGGAGCATTACCAAGCTGCCAGCTGAAAAGCTCGAGAGGTGGCAATCGAAAGTGGATGGACAAATGTTGGAAGACCATCTGGTGCGGTTGAAAGATGGATGTGTGGTGGAGTGGGCTGCAGGGTTCGGCCTTGAACGAGACTGAGCAAGAGACTGAGATGAAATACGATGAGATGATTCACTGTAGACGAGTGGAAATATCAGGTATATTTCATCATCTCTAGTCTGTGGATGGCCAGTGCAACCAGGGAACTACAGGAATCAGAAGTAAGCAGTTCAAATAAGTGAAAAAGATCAGGAGAAATCCCAACTTGATTTGTTTGACATTTCTGTGTCACATTTGAATTTACTTAACAAATTAGTCCCTTTGATTGAGCCTAAATAATGGATCTTTTACGTTTTAATTTGTGTGATTAGCCTGTATATTCACGACCCAAGAAACCATTCAGCCTTATGTTTTCGTTCCTACTACTTATAAACTGTCATGAATATTGATTGGAAGTTAGTGTTATAGTCATTACCGGCTGGTGCATCTGTAGGGTGCGTGTAGTAAGGGTAATGTCATACTAACTTGATTCCAATAGCTTTGTCGGACTGATCGCTATTGCCCTAGTACAATACAATACGGAATTAGCAAGGGCGTTGATCATACTTTTCGTAATTCGACCTACACTGGATCCACCGATGACTATAGAATGAAGGGCCTCTGTACTGAATTGGGTCTAGTTAATTTCATAACGCCTTAGAGAGTCTGATGAATGATTTATTTACATTCAGTACTCAAAAAGTCGTTTTAATCAGAAATTACTTATTGCTACTAATTGGAGATGGAGACTGCTAATGACGAACGGACAAACGAACCGAGCTAATACAGAGTTTATTCCTGGCAACTTCTCATTTTCCCTCCTGACAGCACTCCCACCTTGACTCTCGAAACCCGTGACATATTCTCCAGAACAGGGGTTTCCATGCGAAGGATCGTTTCTCGATAGCATGTTCCCGTTGTCCTCTGATACGAACAGGCAATAGCTCGCTGCATGCCTCCCTCCGATGCGCACAGAAGAACAACAGTCGGTGGCCTTACTGCTTCGAACAATGTAACGGTCATTGTGTTGGTATCCACCAGTGTGAATATTCGATTCCATCTGGACTCGTGCATTCGCGCACTGTCCGACTTTGCGTTCGATTTCAGGATCTGTGGTTGGATCGACAGCGACACACTCGACAGACGACAGATCAGTCGTGTGACGAGAGAGGGATGAGCCAAAGGCGCTCCAGCGCAGGCGACGCATTCTCGCTCCAAACATTTGACTTTTAATCGTTTTCAGGTCTGCGTATCTCTCAAACCCGAAGAGCCAAGCTTGGGAGCCCCCTATTAGGAGAATTCGTTAGCTTGGCAAACAAAACAATGTGCCTGAATGGAGTGGACTTACAGAACTTTCCGCGATATAACAGACGGGTGAGGTATGGTGAGGCGACAAATGCTACCAGCGCGAGAATCCAAAGCAGGTAACCGATTGCTTCAAAGAAGATCATCCAATATCGGAGAGCATTGACTTTATTCAATGATTTGCACCAGCAACAATAGTCAAGAATACAACTGGCACGGGAACATTGAAAATGCGGCCCAAAGCCGCAACATACGCTGCAATTACCTTGTCACGTAAATCGCCCTTTTCCAGCTCCCATACTGCGTCAACGGACAATTTCACTGCGAAGAAGAATCTCTGTGTGCAAGTGGTGAAAATAATTTCGATCCTCTCTGTACATGAGACGCAGCATTGATTCGTTGAATATCATAGAGCGGGTAGTATATTTGGGCCCATTTTAGACTAGCGCTAGGTAAGTAGATCAATCCGGCGTGCTGACTGCTTATTTGCTTACTCTCCTCAATCATCTTCCTGACATCTTCTCAATTTCCTTTAGCAAGATTGAAGCGACCATATATTTGCAACATGTCGTCTCACAACAATATCCTCGTCACTTGCGCAACAGGAAATCAAGGCCGAGGTGTTGTACGCCACTGCCTCGCTGCTGGACACCGCGTCTACGCCTACCTTCGCGACCCCACTACACCCGCGGCAAAGGATATCGAACAATCGGGAGCTACACTCGTCCAAGGTGACCTCAACAACGTTGAGGAAGTGCGTGCGGCCATTCAAGGCATGGATGCGGTATTCCACACAGAAGTACTGACAGGAGACTGGGCAAAAGACTTGGAACGCAGCATCCACATAATTGAGGCGGCTCGTGCCTCGCCAACAGTTTCCTGTATGCTTGTGTCAACATCGATCAAGACAGGTCAACACGAGTCTTTCCCGGGTTGGGGCCCCGAATATTCGATGCGACAATACTGGCTGAATAAAAACGCCATTGAGAACTATGTTCGTGATGCTGGGTTCCAGCACTGGACAATAGTGAGATTAGGTCACTTTTTGCAGAATTTGAAGGCGCCCGTGAACGCGATCACTTTTCCTGGTTTTGCGGATGACAGAGTTCTACGTGTTGCTTGGAGGCCGGACACAAAGCTTCCTTGGATAGACGCGGCAGATGTGGGATCCGTTGTTGCGGCGGCAGTATCGGATATGAAGAAGTATTCTGGCAAAGAAATAGACCTTGCGGTTGAAGCGCTCACTGTTGAGCAGCTGGCCGCCAAGCTAGGCAGGACACTGGGAGCAAATGTGAAGGTACATTATTTGTCGGATGAAGAGACCGAGGATTTAATCAACCTAGGAAGCCCCACTCCAGCAGCGCACCAGTGGGCTAACCAGGTACCGGGGGATGATGCGGTGGGGAGGGTGAAAGGACTATCTTTGACATCTGTCGATACATTTCTGGCACAGAATGCGACTCAGATTTGACTGCCTCGTCGCATCTGCCGTATTGCGAGATTCAGATCAAATATTGAAGTTACAAACAATTTTTTCAAGCTGGAACGCCTTCAGATTCGATAAACATAAATGCGAGCTTGAATCTTACAACCTCATCAATACATGTTTGGTTCCATACTTTGAGCCATAAAAATAACTCTTTTATACTTCATCCCGTTTTCTCACGCACTTGGGACTCCATATTCCAACAGTCTCATCCAACTAACGAGATGCCAATCTTGGTCGTTAGCCATCAAGTCAGCAACATTAGCTGACCGGTTGTCAACGGCTGACGGGAAGACAAATGCACAAGTTGCTGATCCATCAGGGGAAAAATTGACCATACTGGACCGCAGAATTCGGAGGGCTATATATGATCGGTCTCCTTGGTTCTTAGCTCATGAGGAAGACGAATCAACGCTTGACTGATCAACACGCTCCAGTAATGGCGAAATACATCTCCCCATTGATGACGAAGACCGAACCATTATTCATCCCAGTGACAGTTGGCAATTTGGTAAAGTCGAGCACGTGGCTGGGGCCCAGAGAACGCCATAAGCCAATCTAGACGCTTCTTTGTCTCGCTGAGTGGTGTCGTATTTTTGGTCATATTATATGTGTCTGCGGCCATCTCAACCAGAGGCTCCACGATAGCTTGCTCGTAGCTGACTTCCGACGTGGGAATGTCTTGTCCCTTGTTTATAAAACTCATGGTGATATTCACGATCTTGTTTTTGAATTCGACACTTTCGTTGTGACGTCCGAGATTGTCGAGACTCTTGCAGAGATCAAGCACAGCCTGTGAGAAGAAGATGGTCGGGGCTTTCGCCACGCCTCCAACCTCCAACACTTTATTAAGTAAGATCACCGCTGTATCAATGTCACTGCTGTTGCCGAGCCAATTGTATCTGTCATTGAAAAACATCACAAGCCATATGGCATTGTACGGTCTCTGAGTGGAAGTGCATCCTGTGCAACGGCGGGTGTTTCCCTCGGCATCGAATAGAGAGCTACTAGCAAACTTCACCCAGTTTTCTAAAGGAGTCTGCACCATTTCAGCCGATATCCATCTACACATAACTGCTAATTGGAGGAGCGTTGGCATGGCAATTTGTTCTGAACCATCATCCCAATCAGACCATGTGCTTGACACAACCGTACTAAGATTTTGAGTGTCAATGGCAACAAAAGTGGCGCTGAGAATTTCCGGATGTTCCAGTGGCCGCAGATGCGCCAGAATGTAATGAGCCCTCTCTCGCACAAATGTTTGGAGCGGTAGATGAAAAGACACTTCGGTCCGAGAATCTCCACTGTCAGAGCCTATAGCCATTTCCAGACCTCTTTATCTGTAGATCAGAAGACTGAGAGGTTGGTTCAACTGATGACTTCAGAGTGATTGGCTGGTCCAGAGGAGCCGCATACGCTGAAAATATTGCTCGGGATTCCGTTGCCTTTACGAAATCGCTGACACTATCCCACTCCGGAGTATATGATTTCCCAAGTCAATATAGACCACCGGTCGGCCACTGAAGCCGTCTAGGTCCCTGATTCTGTCCGTAACCTGAAGGACTATATGACCCCGGATGTTGGAGTTTGTGGCTGACTCGAGCGAATAGCTCCATAGATGGCCTTTCCGAACAATGAGACCTAGTGACCGACCTACACCAGACATAGATTCCGCCAGGACCCATGCCCACGCCCCTCCAGTGAAAATATGGGCATTTTCGGCAGATGAAAGAGACCATAGTGCCGAATCATAGAGGTCGTTAAAGGGGGTGTCTGTATTCGTAATCCTGTCACCGCGACCTTTTCCGGCGAGTTGTTTTCGAACCTATAGGTTTCCGTGAGTACTCGCCCCAGAGATCGCGTTATCTTTAGTCGTAAGCCCTCATCTAAGGGAATGTCGTAAGGTCCGGTGAAGTTATTGCTGGGTATAGAGTGTAAATTCCATGATCCTTCCCCGGAAATGGTGAAATGCTTTCCACACCCCAGGAATAATTGCGAGTATGGAAGTGGCCGTTGTTTCATTCAAAAGGAACTCACGTCCGGGGTCACCGCTGTCGACAAATTGAGCGATTGCGCTTGAATTTGAATAAAGCAGGGCATGTCCAGATGAAAAATTGTATCTTGGAGAGCTAGTGAATGCTATTGTCATTTGTAACACAGAGACTCTTTGATTTGGTCAGGAAATTCTCTAGTAAAATCTTGCTTTCGGATGACAAAAGTTATGCCCTCTCAAGTGACCTACGCGTCTTTATGACTAAGGGGAATGATTAGGTATTATTGATCATTAAGACGGTGTGGCCCTAGAGGTCCGTAATATTATCTAGGAGGAAGATAGAGAGGGATATAAATATCAATAAGGTTAAATGATTAGTGATGGTTGCCCCGGGCGAAGGCCTGATCCACCAGGTAGGTGGGTATATAGGCTGGTATGGTGGGTTCTTAACCGTGATTCCTAAACTAGATTATGTCGCTGATGCGAAGTGGCTATCAAGGCTCAGAAATATTTTATAATTCTACTATGACTAGATATGTTTTTATAGTTTCATAAGTAAATTTCTCTTTACTTATTGTGGGTATTGCCTTTAAGCGAATTAAGTGTTTCTTTCTTACACTTAATTTCGCTATATTTCTATTTTCGTCCTACTCACTAGATCAGGATAATATCTTAAAGTTAGAATAATTCATATGAGGGAGTTCAATATTAATCATACTTAGGTTAAAAATGGGAAGTTTCATTTCTATTTATAAAGAATCTCACTACGTCCTTGGTAAAACATTACCCATGCCAGATCAAATAGTAGTGACTGTAACAATACACCTGCAAAGAGAAAGTTAGTATGGGATGGTAACGCCAACTCAGCGCCTCAAGGACGTGCAGGATATTCAGGTGCTAAATAGTAGTGTTCAGGGCATTCAGGTGAAGGGCCTGAAGGGACTAAAGCTTAGGGCGGCAAGGGCATTTCCCCTACGAGCTGAAAGTGTGATAGAAAAATAAAATACAACAGCCAAAAGTATGGCCGACCTCACTTGGCGCGCACCTTTCGGTCGTGAGCGACTCGCCGCTGTATTCAGGAGGCTTCAGGCAGCAGTTCACTCAACGTGGTTTCTTCACCCAAGGACCGCCGAAGGTGTAGGACACGCAGACAAGAGGAGCATTTGCACATTTTGGCACAGGGTCAGATTTCTCGAGCTGCCAATGCGGAGAGCGACGAAGGATAATTTATAAAGAGGCCCTGGGAGCGTTCAGCGGTGTCCTCTCACCATTCAGCCACCCCGCTCACCTCGTCCTAGACTAACAATTAACATTTTTCCTGAAAGTGACCGAAAGCAAGGATCAGGCTGCCAATTTTGCCCCTGTCATGAATTTGAATGAGTATGATTACTCAGAGATCCACGTGCCACCCTTCCGAGGACTAAGGGAGACTACCCGCGTGCGCTCTGTATATTTGACAAGTTAGCGCCTCAGTAAATCTGTCTCCCACCCGAATTTAGCCTGGAAAATTTTCAGAGAAATGATTCCCTCCAGAATAACTAAGAGTTTTGCTTAGTGATTTGGAGAATCTCACAGACCGTCAATCGAGCATCGGTACTCGCAGCAACCTCTATCCTCTGTGTTCCCTCAAGCCCGATCTGAGCCACAAAGGCGTCCTTCTCAATTGATATATGGTGTCCGAATATCTCGTATTATATTACTTGGGCATCCAGAGAGAGAGAGAGTGATCTGAGCAAGCAGAATATATGTGACCTCGACATTCACCCAGCATTGTCGGCCCGACCTGCATTCTGCTCTTTTACCGTATCCCCTGAGTTAATCTGCGGTCGGCTTCTTGTCCAATATGCTTGCAGTTCATTTTTCTCACGAATTTTACCTGTGGAGACAAGAAGAGCGCAATTGGATCAAGTGAAAGAAAGCAGAGTTTTAGGGAAATGCTCTAATACACTCAAACTTACGAGAAATCACGCCGCAACCTGCGCGATCCCTGCAAGGACTGTTCAGTTGAATCTGTTCGAACCGACCAATATAATCTCATAATTCTTCAACATCTTGTTGCGGGGAATACTAGTTGACAGTAGATTCTGACGAACCTGACTGATCCATGTTCGTGTTTTGCTTGTTACTCAAAAGGGCAATTCCTCGAAATGAGTGGAGGAGACCCTTGTTTCAAGTTAATTGCTTCTGAAACATCTTCATAACCTCTCGACTTAGCATTACGTAGTATTAAGCCTACTGGTCTCAACGAATCTAGGCAATGGCGCTTGAGAATTAGCAGGCTAACTCGAAATCTGGTGGTGTTACCCCTGGCGCCGTTGACCCACGCTGATTCAAGAGCATGAAATGACCCACTCACAGTAAGCGCATAGCTTCGGGCTTGAAGCTTAGACTAAGATTGACATCTAACTTCCCTCATCGAAGGAAACTGTTGAGCGAGCCCAATCTATCGTAAACAGATTCGGAAATCACGATAGGGGATATGTGAATCTATATAATACAGAACATTCATCTTACACTCTTTCTTTTGTGTTTAGTCGTTCCCCAAAGTCTTCCATTCACTGCTCTCACGGGTCTGGTCACTCACGAGCTCATTCATTTTCCTCGCTGACATTCCTTACACTACTTATCAGCTGTGGTGGTCCCTTTCTTTCATTGATTTCACGGTGTACTTCGCCTGAATTATACGAAGATGCATTTCAAAGCTACAGCTATTCATTTGGCTGCCCTTTCTGCGACAGCATTTGCCAAGGACTCTCGAACATTCGCTGTGAACCACTTCTATGGCCAGGGTCCGCTAACAATGGGCCGTATGGATCCCATCATCAGTCCCGGTACTGCATCAAGTCATGTGCACGCGATCCAGGGCGGTAGTAACTTCAATTTGACTATGGGCAACGATATTCTGTTAGAGTCGCGCTGCACTTCTTCCCTCGTGGAGGCGGATAAGAGCAATTACTGGACTCCGGCATTATACTTCCAAGATCCGGCAAATGGAAGCTTCATCTCGGTTCCCATGTTTTACATGAATGTCTACTACTTGTGCGTAGTTTTTACGTCCCACACTTTTGAGGGATCAAGTTGCTGACTAGTAAAGAACAGTTTCGAACCGACCGATGATGATATCAAAGCCTTCCCTGTCGGCCTCCGCATGGTCAGTGGGAACAATAGCCTTCGAACTCCCCCACCGGGCGGGGCTGCCAATGTTCTAGACACGAATGAAGGCGACATTCAACCAGTTCAGTGGACATGCCCACGGACTTCCTACGATCCTCCCTCGTATCCTGCAGATTCCGATGGATTGCATGGTGTGGGGATTCAAGACCCGAATAATGCTGGGGCTGGGGCTGGCTTCCCAGATATGAACTGTGACGGATATGCGTCCCCTCTGCGTGCTGATATTCACTTTCCTTCTTGTTATAACCCCGAGGCTGGCCTCGATGACTTCAAGAGGAATACGGTGTTCCCAAGCAGCAAAGGAACCACAGGGGGCAAAGCGAATTGTCCGACAGGATGGACTCACCTCCCCCATATCTTCTACGAAGTTTACTGGAACACCCCTTTGTTTGTGGACATGTGGGAGCAAGGAAATGGCACGCAACCATTTATTTTGGCAAATGGAGACCGCACTGGGTACTCCCTTCATGGGGATTTTGTTGGTTTTGTAATCCCGATCAGTCCTTGGTACTATAGCTAATAAGTCTGACTAGATCTCTGGCTGGGATGTGGACGTCTTGCAAAAGATTATTGATAACTGTGATGCCGGCGATTCAGGCATGGACAAGTGCGCTGACGCTGGCCCAATCAACGACTCTTCGGACAGCTGCAACATCGCCAACCTAGTCCCCGAGGAGATTTCCGGTGTTCTCGAGAAGCTGCCAGGCAAAAATTCCCCAACTGGATGGGGTCAAGGCGAGAGCGCATTTTCTAGTTCATCCGATCTAGAAAGTACCTCGACTACCACTAGCATACTGTCTGCATCTCAGACCTTGTCTACCACACATACTGAAGTCTATACTACAGACAACAGTGTCATCGGCTGGTCATATCTTGGCTGCTATTCCGACAATGAGTCTACTCGTGCCCTCACTGGGGTCCAATTTGCGGATCTGGGCGTTGGCAATGTGACTTCAACTGGCTGTATGGAGTTTTGCGGAAACGCAGGCTTTAGCCTGGCAGGCACTGAGTACGCTGGACAATGCTTCTGTGGTGACAAGATGGTGGGCAGCTCTAAGATCGCGGCAAACGAATGCGATATGAAATGCGAGGGTGACACCTCTCAGATTTGCGGTGGCAGCTTGGCATTGAGCGTATTTGAGAAGGCTACGAAGACTGCATCGAAGAGATCTCGTAGCCACGTTCTTCAACATGTACACGGCAAACATGTTTGATTTCAGTTTTGCGTGAGCGAGTGTCCGGTATGCTACAGTAGGTAGGTAGCAAAGAAGAGAAGCCCAGGGCAGTTCGGTCAGCACGGACAGGTCGAGGTACGAGAAAGATATGGCAGGCAAAGAAGACCACCAACAGCAAAGCTGTGAGCAATTAGGATACCTCAGTGTAGCGAGAAAGACAAGTACAGTAGGAATCTTATAACAAGAAAGTCTTTTCCATGACTTCGAACAGTCAGCTCAAAGTTGATAGTAGAATGGTGGTGTGTTCGGTAATGACTGAACTACTCTACATATTCCATAAAAGACGAGGATCTTATATGAAATCCTTCAAGGCAAACAGTGCAAACTAAACGAAGAACTCTTAATGACCAATTCAAAATGTCACTACATGCCACACTACAGTGGGTAGGTAGATAGATTTCATTGCCCTGAAATGATCCTGAAATGAAGGAACGGCGTGAAAGGGTTTACTAACCCCAGGGCTGCCCGAAGCTGACGCTGACGCTGCCAGAAACAAGACGAGAAAGGCACAGCCTACTGATTGAAGGGTAAAGATATTAGAATAAAATTCATGAACAAAAACATACAGCAGTCAGGATTCGCATGTGGTCACCCACCATACTACTAACTAACCGGCGTGTGGCTTAAGTACGGCTGAGCGGACGGGAAGCCCTGTTCTCCACACCCTATGGTCGTATGTATTTCGAGTTAGATAGACATGCCAATATATGTATTGGAGTATAGGGTCAGCTGAGCCCCTCCGTTTGTCAGCGCTTGCATGCCTTTAGCTAGATTTCTCTTTCTCTCTCTTTCTCTTTCTCTCCTGCATACCTCTCAGAATACAGATCTTGTCCCTTTCTTCCGTTTCCACGCTACTATGTAGCCCTTCCCCTAGACAGCAGATCAGCTGTCGACAATATGGAACATGATCTGAGGCCGCGTGTGCGGATAGATGGGATGTATATAATGCTGCTCAAAACCCTATGTTCTCGGTTTCAATACCTTCGCTAGTAGTGTGAAGATATTAGAGGCGGCGATTCAGGGTCAAAAGAGTAGATTGATTCTGATCATCATCACCGATTTTGTCGAGATGCTAGCTCCTCTCCTAAGTATCTCATTTGTTCTCCATTTGAACTATTATCTTTTTCTGATCACAAACGATTCGCCAGCTACATGTTCCGAGTCTAGTGCCTGCTCAGAATTCAACAAGAGACCAGACGATTGTGTGAAAATATTCGAGACCAGATTATGCAGAACGATACGACGGGCGTGGAACGCAAAGTCACCCAACATCGTGATTCGGTTGTTGAAGTGAAATTAAAATATCTCTTTAAGGGCAATAGCGACGAACAATTCATCACAGGCTTGAGCTATTGACTCTTGCTGCTATTTTAGGTAAAGAAAATGTCGTCAGAATCCCTTTAGGGAAAGGAGCTAATGCCCTGAGCTACACTAATTCAAGACGGTCAACTGCTTTTCATCTCGCTGCTGAATTTGGGCTCCTTGAGTTTATCAGGCTATAATTCTAACAATCAGGTCCCAATTAGTGGAGAAGAAAAAACGGTATAGCGAGACTGCTTTGCTTAGAGCTTCCGGGAGAAAGCAACTCAGTATCGTTCGATTTCTCATCTTCTAGGGGGCAGATGTCTTGACTGAGGATGAGGATGGAAGAACTTGTTTTATATAGGCAGCCTCTCCGGGAGAATATGATGTTTTTGAGCATTTGCTTGAAAATAAAGTAAACATTCTAGCAGTCATAATATAGTATTATAATATCTCTATTTTTGTACTGTATCACAGTCTGTATATCATAATAAATATATAACTACCATATTAAAAACAGTTGGGGCTAGAGCGTCCCAAAGCGGAATAACGAGCATTATTAAGTCATATAATTGATATGCTTTATATGTTGTTAAACAGGTTTCGTTTATCATTGATAGATCAAGGTATGTATTAACCTATCACGTAGAGTTAAAACATTATGGAAAGCTACTATAGTAAGCTATGAGAATAGAAAAATCGAATTAGAAAACTAACAGTACTTGGCTAAAGAAGAAATGAAAAGAGGGAAACCAAAAATAAGAATTGAAGGGAAAACAAAGTAAGCTGACCCAGCTTCACTAAACAACAAGTCTCTACTAAGCCCTCAACCAATCACCGATTTCACATGTGCAAGGAGGTCAGCCTTTTGGAATGAATACTTATTAGTCCATCACATAAAGATAAATGACAAGGTATGTCTTTCTTATGCTTGGCTAACTTCTCGTCATATCGTTTGTGCGTTTACTAGGACGTTCGATGCAACGGGAAGTCTCGAATTGAGCCCCCTAGCCACTTCGGGGGCTCGATCTGCTTCAGCAGCCTCATCATCCGGTGCAACGACAGTCTGCGAGTCTCTTTTTATATCATTTACTTGTTCAAGAATCTTTTGTCGGAGAAAGCGCAGCTGCTCAGAAACAACCTCGCTATAGTCCGCCTTGGCACGGCTTAGGTAAATACCAAATAGACCGGGGTTTCTCAGGTGATTTCTCATGATGTCTTTACGTCTCCTGTCGCTTCCGGTCCCTAGAAATATCAAGTCAGATGTAAACCACGCAAGCGTGCTCAAAAGCTAACCTCCTTCCATACTGCAGGCTGCGTAGGCCGGGCGTATGAGATCTCCAATATAAGAGCTGTCGTGTCCTTCGAGCATGTCGCGTCTCATTATCCTAGTGATATTATAAGTCAATAGACCATTTCTCACTTTCGGAGTCTAGACTGATCCTATGTTGTCAATAGTCTTGCTGAAATAATCCTGGACATGATGCATGATACAGCTCTGGCGAAACTCCATATTGTCCAGAAAATTCTGCATGCTTTGGGGGGCCAAAGAGACGTGCTCTAAAGTGTCTATCAGCATGTGTTTCATTTCATCCCTGTCATTAGGAATCTTACGGCGTAATGTCCCACAGACATTGGTGAACACCGATACGATTACCTCTGACAGTATATCAGCCTGTGATTCTAGGCAAGCCATAATAGCTTCCCATCCCGGGCTGAGATCGTGTCTGGGTTTTTGAACCAGCTCATCGTTCCAGCAATGAAACCCGCCGGCTGCTTTGGTGCTATGGGTTCCATTATTGCGACAAAACGCAGCATATGTACTATGATGCCACTAAATTTTTGCCGTTAAACTGCGTTCAATTTGATGAAATTTGTAACATGAGGACTTACAGATGACCATTTTCCACTAACATTGAGACAACTATGCATCCACTCGGATCTGGAAATTGCTATTTCAGAGTTGAAAATTCAGAAATTCAGATCAGTAGGAAAATTCCGGTTGAGGGAACTCACAGATGATATGGAAGATGTATTGAGAAAATAGGGTATGCATTGTTTCTTGAAAACGACGTATCTCTGATTGGTTTGAGACCAGATCCTATCAATCATTAGAAAGCTATTCTTGTATTAGACCCCTTACAGAGATCCTTCGTTGTTTTGATCCCTATGCCGTACGTTATGGAGAGTTGTTTCCACGTATTTCAAAGCGCGACTGAGCGTAGCTGCTTTCTCCGCTGTAATCGCATCAGACCCCGCAAGTAACCATTGGCGAATAGAGCCCAGGAGGGATGGAACTTGGTGGGTCAGAAATGCCCATGTTGCACGTAATCCAGCCTCTGCTGGGACTAATTGGCAATAACGTCTCATGTCCAAGATCCCAATGAGCTTAAGGTAAGCTTCTGCTGAGTCTGGCGGATCTTCGCGGTGATCTCTGTATAGTGTGTTACTGATACAGAAGACTTGGATATCTTTGTACTTGGCAGCGAGCTGTCGTCTTGTGTTCTCGTTCCGCCGATTCATCGGAAACGCTTGGATTCTAGTAGCATCATCAGTATTTAAAACCTTTTCGGATTTTCGGATGCTCTACTCTAGCCTTAGTTCACTTTCTTGTCGCCTGTCACTGTGTCAGCCAGTTGATTCGGCTATTCAGCGTATTACTATACTAACTGAAGCTCATATAGTCGGAGCGCATTCTTCCCTTGATCTCTGGAAAATGCTTTCACAATTCGCTTCTTCGCTTTTTTGATCTTATCCTTCAGCTCCGTTGTTCTTTCGCTGAACTGTTGCATAATTCGGGCAGTCGGGTCCTTCTCGAGAATTGCCTCTTCAAGTGAAACTTCCTTCATGAAAGTCAGTCTCGAAATCTTTTGTATACAAATGGATAGATACCTCGGATTGGGTGCAAACGATTCTTTTATGTTGGTCCGGCCTCCATCTTCGGATGATATCGAGCACTGATTCGTCTGTTACGCATCGCCTTATGGCTGCCACTATGAACACTTCATCGCAATTGTGGGCCATGTACTTTTCTGTGGCTCTCACTCTGGCAAAATCGAGATCTCGTAGGCCTTTTAAAATTTTAGATTCGATATACACGTGGGTATTCTGACCCCCCAATCCTACCTGGCAGGTCGGCTAGTACTAGACCGGTTCGCAGTATCGAGGAGTCAAGGTAGACCCTATATGCTTTAGCGTGGTCTTTTGCCAAGGTATTCCTCTTATCAAACCTTAAAATTTTGAGGAGCGGCCAAAGCGCTGGTCGCTCTTCATCAAGCGAATCTGCTGTAAAAAAATCAAGATTCTCTCTACACTCCTTCAGGTTTCTTGCGAGCTTCATGTAATGCATGGTATTTAAACCGCCGGGCTTTTTCGCTAGTTCAGCGTTGGTTCATTCTTCAAGCTGTGCTTGAATGGTGCCTTCAGCACCTTCCTCTTCTTTGGCAAGGAACTCAATTCCCATGTCTGGTTTGTTCTGGAAAACTGTTTGGAGAGTCTTCAGTGCTTTGGTCGCCGAATTTTGAAGTTGCTGTTGCTCTTGAAAAGAGGTGACATCACGACAAGCTGATGTTTAAAACTGTCTAACACTCCGTAGAAGTTCTTGAAGAAGCTCGCTTCTTTCTTCGGTATTCATGTAATCAGCTTCTACTGTGAACGGTTCTTGGTGGTCATCATCCACGTTTCTGAACTCAGTCACCACACAGGTGCAAGCAGATCCTTCGCCACTCTATAGCACCTCGTTAGAATATGTTAAATTCAATTAAACGAGATATAATGTGAGTTAAATACCGATTTTGCAAGGTTGATCTGGTCCAGAAGACAGTTTATCAAAGAGCTCTTTCCTATTTTAGGTTATCAACTATTATATAGACTTGGAAAGCGATATTCAGAAACATACCGACTCCAGAATCCCCAATGAACCCAACAGTACGCTTTTCAGGATATTGAAACTCGCTCATGATCTTGGCATCACTGCGTAGTTTGTGCAAGCTAGAGTTTGGGTCGTGGGCTAGATCAGAAGCTCCCATTGCATGCACTAGATCTGCTAAGTGGCTCTTCGCATCTTTCAGGCCGGTTTGTAGACGCTGGTCATATAATGGTGCCGAAGGGAGAGATTATTGGTGCAATTTATATCGTTCATCATCAGTATCATCAGAGCTTTCCTCGGACTCGCTCTCCACTGTTTCGATTTCAGGTGTTTTCGGTCGCGTCCCAGAGATGTGCCTGGTGGAACTCGCTCCTACAGTGTAAGAAGATAGCGACAGGTCTTCCTGTAGAGCATTATCAAAGTCCTCTTGATCCACAATAGTGGCGGAAGCAGTAGGAGATCTGCTCAACGAGCCCATTTTGCGAGAAACTGGAATGATGATGCGCTTTGGACTAGGTGTAGCAGTATGTAAATTTGCATATGTAGAAGACACGTGAAGGGGAGTTGAGTTCTCAGCATGAAAAAATATTGCGTATTTCTTCTAGGTGAGGATGTTCTCGTCGCTGTCATCGTTTCTGTTGAAGATGGCCGGTGGTAGTTTCGCAGGGATTCTGCCTGGCTGCCATCCTGAGATGATGTTGGGGTGAAATTGCCCCCATACAAGTCCGTATCGGAATCGAGTCTGGATACCATTTTGGAATATGATCCTTAAAAAGAAACGAAAGCCAAGGAATCGCAGACAAGCGGTGCCCTTTATGTGTCCTCGTCTTCAGAACTCCCACATTCCGCCTCATGTGCTGTTTCTAAACCACGCGCTACGCTAGGGGATCGCTACTGCAAGCTGCTGTGCCCCGTTGTTTCATTTCAGCCTAGCTTCGATAAAGCGCTTAATGATAGGAAGAAAAAAGGCTGTCTCTCAAAGGTAGAAACCGACCGGTCTTTTTAAAAGCGGCTATGTGAGCGTGTTTGAAACATAGGCCGTTACCGAATTTTATGGAGAATAATCATTCATCGATTGTTCAAATGTGCATTTTGGCCCCCAAAATTTGACTGAAGTTGGCTACATCTTGATCACTTGGAATCTGGGTTGGCTAAAGCCGCATCGTACTTTTGTGCCTACGACCACCCGAACGCGAAGAAACCCCTCCCGTTTTCTCCTCCTTCTCCCCTCACGCTACGTGTTTTTGAAATATAGCTTGATAATTGATTTTATTGCATCCTACATGTTTTTGGGAGCACGAAGACTTTGCGTCGAAATTCTAAGAAGCGTTAGATGTATGCATTCCTTTCGTTGGTGTACTGCCGGTTTGTTAGCTAAGGGATCTACTTGTTACGGACCCATAGAGCGGCATCGCCCACGGAGCAACGATCATTTCTCCGGGGCTATCACAGCACGCAAGTCACGCTAGGGGCATGATATCCAGAAACTCGGCAATTTAGGATTGAATCTTTCTTATGAGTTATCTTAGTCCTAAATTTGGTAGAATCAGAGTGATTGGGCGAAGTAGTCTTATGGACAGTTCCGCTAAGATCCTAGAACGGTCCCAAAATATCGTGAGACGCAACTGAGACAAATGAGATATATGGGAGGGGCGAAAAGTGATTTTATTGACGAATAAACGAAATCAGAAATTTGGTTTAGACACTACACAGGCACAGCTTTTGTCATGTAATACGTATGTCGATTTCGTTGATAACAGGTAAAACATCGCCTTGTCTTGATGAGTGTGTGATGTAGATCAATATTACCGAAATAAATAAAACCTCGTCGGTGCACAGCAAGGTGGTATTAGGAAGATCAAAGACTATGCACACAGAGGTACGCACTAGGCTTGAGCGCGAAACCGCTTTAGCAACGTTATATATTTAGAAATGCTCCAACAACTCACAACTGTCCGATATAGTATAATCCGCGGGGAACAGCAAAAGACCATCTTAAAAGAATAGGCCTCTTACGGATACTACTAAATGGTAGGCATTTGTTTACTCATTAGAATAGAATGTAGTAACAGCAATGATGTGGGCATCTGGGCATCTATAACATAGATTTGCAGACTAGACATTGTGGGACACACATGTCCGGTGCTAAGGTCATCGGTGACGCAGTCTTAGCAGCTAAAAGATCACCCGAAGCAAGGCTTTGAGAAACCCATCTTTCTTAGCAGCCGACTTGGGAAATATTTTTCCAGTTCCAGTTGTATAGTCCCTAAGTGCTTTCTGACTTGCGAAATGTTTGAATTTCTTTCCTGTTCTTCGGGAGTCGACCAAGTCGACCAGATTCACGTGCACCTTTGCAAGGGCCTGAGAAAATCAGCTTTGGAAGAAATTGGAGAGCTTTCAAGACATAAATCTCACCTTTCGACATTGACTGATAGTCTGGATCGGACCTTGAATCTCTAATTCAAGACATAGGGCCTGCCAATTCTCTAACTTGGTCGCATCGGTGCCAAAATGGATACCAAATTCACATTCCAGAAATTTAGACCGTTCACTTTTATACTTCTTTGAGCCTCCCTTCCATTTCATCTCACGTGCTAGACGGTTGAAATCGTCGATTGCAGATTTATTGGTTCGGACTTCAAAGGCAGGGAAACGAGAGAAATAATTTAGGCTCTCCATAGTGAGCTTGGCTGCCTTAGAATTTGCAGGCGTAATAGTTGACAAGAAAAGTATGGCTTACTAGCTCAGGGATGTAGATTGAGGATAGCAAAGGCACGGTCTATAGCTTTAAGTATTTAGAGAGGCACAACCTGGATCTATTATATATTGGGAATAGGTAAACTTGCGCCCCGCGCCAAAATACCTATCTGCCTCACTATCCAAAGCTCATGCATGCAGGTTAAGGTAACAGGGGTCTATGGCCACTTATGAAAGCCACACTCATCGGGGATATTGACGGTTATGATTATTCTAGAGATTTTGATTGGCTGGTCGCAGTTGGCCCATGAGACGAGAAAACGCGATCATGGAGAAAACACACCCAACCAATGGCCTGTAGTGTGTATAGGACTCTATTAAATGCTAGGATACCATTTATCGAACGAGCTTTCCCGAATTTGTGGGAAGGAGGAAAGATGAGCCTCTCCCCAATTTAGAACATACTGCGGCAAGGCGGAGCTACATCTCTGCCTTGTCATAACCCACACAGCCATGCATCTGTGACGTGGCACAGCATTCCAAGCGCCTCAAGTGATTCATGAATATGCCAGGGAAAAAATAGAGAAAAGAGCAAAGGAGGATAATCTTTCCCAATAATAGTCAAGGGCAGAAAATGTAGTTTTTCAAGGAACATCATTCCATGAATATTTTGTCTTGGGGTGGTTGAGAAGAAGAGAATAGTGGAGAGACAACGCGTAGTAGTAATAAGACCCGAGATAAATCCATCTTCAATGGCGTAATACTTAAGTGGTCGATCGATCAACAGAAAGTAACGGTTCGAATTCAAGGGTGACGTCAACTGGCGCTTTTTTTTGCATGTCTAAGAGCTGGAAGGTTGAGGCAAGGTCTTGACATAATTAATTCCAACAGCCCAGTATTTCACGCGCTCGCTTTTCACTACCGATAAGTCCCTGGACCCAGGGTCTGGACTCTCCAATCATGTCCAGTCTTCACGAGCTCCTTCTTCATCGACAGCGACCAGGACGATGGCAAAGATTCTGCGCCCGGCCTTGTGTCTTCCTCGCAAAACTTCTTTATAGTTGGTACGAGTCTATTCCAGCTACTCCACTCACAAAACCTATCGCGGTTGTCTGTATCTCGGATACCCACAACACACAAATTGACGTCTATGATGGGAACATCCTCATCCATGCTGGTGATCTCACATAAACTGGATTCATTCAGGAACTTCAGGATGCGATCACCTGGCTACACAGCCTTCTTCATCCTACCAAAATTGTGATTATTGGCAATCATGAACTGTTACTTGATTCAGCGCGGGATGATTTGTCTGGCCGAGCAGCCTACGAGAGCTCAAATCGACTGGGGAGATATCATCTACCTAGAACATGAGGAAGTAACAATTTCTTGCCCAAATGGTCGCCAACTTAGGATCTATGGAAGTCCTTACTCTAGCCGCCATGGCAACTGGGCGTTTCAATATCCCCGAAAGCAAGATGTATGGGCTGGCTCAGTACCAGATAGAATTGATGTGCTTGTTACTCATAGTCCACCACTTGCTCATGTTGACTTACTGAAGTTTGGCTGTCCTTATTTGCTACAGACCCTATGGATGGTTCGGCCAAGGCTACATGTATTTGGCCATATACATGAGGGTTCAGGAACTGACTTGATGCTGTTCAACGGGCTTCAGGAGGCGCTTGAGCCCGCTGTCGCTGCTGGAGGGGCTTCAAAATCTACTGCTTACAGCTTGGAACTTTGCTAAGGGTATCCTGCGCGTACCCATGGAAGCAAAATGTTTACTTGTAACTCCTGCCATTGTTAAGGGGTTACGCGATAATGAACGAAGGCAGTTCATCAAAGTTTTGATCTAGTATTACAATCTTTCTGATAATGAATCCTAACTTAGCTATGCATGCTTCCTTGCCCCTATTCCATGGACTCATCACTTCTTCGTCTCTGGTTCCTGGAACCCACATATCAGTGTGTGAACAGCGTCAGTCAGAATTGCGTTTGATGTTTACATAAATGTCTAATTTGATTATGCACTAGCTCTATAATAGCATGAGGTATGTTTACAAATAAATTAAGAAGCATTGATGGTTATAAATAAATCTTAAGAATTGATTATTTATCGCAGAAAGCGCAAGTGAAAGAGAGAGTAAAATTTGACCTCATACAAGCTCCAAGCCCATGCTTCAATGGCGGCTTCCGGTCTCTATTAACTGACCTATCAGCACCAAACGATTTATCATTTACTATGGTGTTTCAAAATGGGCGGCTCGATAGTGCATTACGTTATCATGCTAAATAACCGCAGTAGTGAGTCTTGACCCTTCCGCGTCTGGTCAGAAAATATACCCTCATCCCAACATGACTCTAACCTAAATCCAATCATGCCTTTCTACCCAGATGGCTGGACATATGACCGGCTCCTCGACGCCAGCTCAGAGGAGCTTATGGGTCTCTCAGACACTCAACGCACCACTCTCTTCGACGGTCTGAAGGCTATCCACGGCGAAGATGGCTTCCACGGAATATTGCAGGAAATGAGTCGCCGCTACCGGGCCCGCGTCGAGGCCACTAAGTCAGAGGAGACTAAGCAGCAGGAGCAAGAGCTCCTCGCACCTTTTGTCCAGGTCCTGAATTCTGTCTTCAGGTTCCAAGGCGCAGAGACTGAAGGTTGGGGGAAATGGGGATTTGTTGTGTTCCGCACGACTCACTATGGGGGTGAGCATGAGACGCAATGGGCGGAATTTCGAAAACGTTGGGATGCGGTGATCGAGGAGGGGCTGGCCCCGCATCGCGGCTCGTTGCCGAAGGTAGACCGAGCGATTGAATTATTGGAGTTTCAGTGGGTTGAAGATCCGGAATTAGAAGGCGCAGATGCAGTGGATGTCGCTAGGTAAGGTCCCTTTAGCTTATGCTTCCCGATTTATATTTTCACTGGACTGATTTCTCATACAAAGACGCTTCAATGAAATGGCCTTGCCACATGGACTCAACACGTCCGCTTGTCTGATGATAACACCAGCCTCTATGGAGTCTGTTCTCTCCTCACCATTTCCTTCTTCTGCGCCGCGGCGTGAGCGCCAAATGATTCCTTTTGTTGTTTCGGTATCTAAGGGAGCGAGTGCCTCACGTCTTCCACCTTTCCTAGGCCTAGGTGATGAGGATGTGGCTGGCGCTGACTTTAAGGGGTATCTTAATGTGGCCGTGGAGAGTATCTTGGATGAGTTTTACCCTATTGTCGCGTTGCAGATGATGGATCTACATGAACTGGTAGCGAAATTCCGACACGATAATGATATCTGGTGTTCGACTGATCAGTGGGGGATACACCATTACGAGGAATCCTAATTTATGGTATTAGTCCGCCGATAATTGAACATATTGTTGGCAGTATTTTTTTACTCTACTTCGACTGTGGATAAAAGCGAAGGCTTTCAAGTTCTGATGTCCAATTGGGGCTCTCTGTGAACCCACACTAAATGAATCTCAAATTTGAATCTCAAATTATTGGTCCCAATATGCTGCCTCATTGCTGCTTCATCCCCCTGTTCGTCCTAACCAGGCCATATTTTGCGTCGCCGCTGCATAAGTTCTTGCCAGATTTGGTGCCTATAACCCAGGCCACCCATAAGGCACACTACCAGCCTGGAAAACCACAGTTTTTTAAGACACTATAGTAGCTGCACATTTAGGGACGAGACATCTGTTTTCGCCACATTCATAGCAGTCGCCGGCACTGCCACTGGGGTGAATACTGCGCACTCACCCTCCTCACCCCTAGTCACGCGACCCTAAAGGGGTAGGATCTGAAGTAGATACAGGAGTAGACACACATGACGCTATAAAGTACTTTCAGAGGGGTGTTATAGGTGACAATCTTGCAGACTAGGGGGCAGAGGTGAGAACAAGATAATATTTCTCACCCAGGGGAATGATCAGAGCTAGCGCACATGGGCACAGATCATCTTCTCGGCCTGCGAATTAACACACGTGGATCTGGGAAATCTATGCACAGATATATTTATTAGCCAGGAGTCTGGGGCCTTTCTCCCGGTCTATCACAGCTTCTTTGATTATCTAAAATAGATTGTTTCATGTCCCGTAACTCCACAATCTGAACATGTTGGCAATGCTCTCGTACGTGGTTGTAAATTTTTAACTTTTGAAGGTTTGTTATGGCTAGATAGCCGGACAGGAGACTGGGATCAATTGATATCAGATTGCGTCCCCGCCCCATCAATCCAACTCGAACCCTTAAGCCGATTATTTATTTTTGATCACCTTCGGACCAAAATAACCAAGTACCACCACGAAGAAAACAATGGTCGGCCCCGCAGCCAGCCAGAAATGAATACCAAGCGCAAAAATCACGAGCCCATGTACACTCAGCAGATAGATTTCCTTCGGAAGTAGATTGTGTACTACTTCAAACCCTTGCAATAGAGAAACGAGACCAAGCATGACGGAGGTCACAAAGGCCAACTCATTTCCGTAAGCCTGTCCTGCTTGCAGGCGCACGAAACTGAGGAAGTAGAGAGCACTAAAGAACAGGCTCATTGCCAAAGAGAAAAAGGTGTTTCTGCGCACATAATGTATCAAACAGCCGAGTAGTACTAGCAGGGAGTTGGCTAGTGCTATATTTGTTGCATGCTCTGTTTCGGAGGGCTTCAGGGTGCCTGTACGGCCGTATCCAATTATGCATGTGAGCACCTCGGGCCCTAGGAAGACCATGAGCTGAACGATGAGCTGATCTGCCTATGGGATCCTTGTTAACTTTTTGTTCTTCTTGATTCAAAGCTCTAGGTAGCATACCATTTTCCCTTTTAATTCAAGAAAGTCACGGTTGTTCCAAGGTTGGTGATAATTGAGAAAAATCAACAGGCTGGCACGTGGTCACAAACTCCTACGTATGCACGTAGTTACTAACCGACGTGGTATTCACGGTCGCGTATGTTATGTGTGTCACTGTGTGTGCATATATTGAAGTCGTTTGGCCCGAGCGAGGGTGGGAGTCGGGACCGACAGCTACGTAAGTCAAAGAACGCGTGGACTGGGCCGAAGTGGATCCGGCAACTTATTAGGTGGGGCCATGAGTGAGATTGAGAAGCTTGGCCGGACTCTGCAGGTCGTCTCTCCGCGTCGTATAGCGTTCTATGCCTCATTATTTTTTGACATCTTTGTTGATGACAAATGATGACATGATCAACCAACTGGCTCTTGTAAATACTCAGGGAAATTAGGGTATAAGTACAGGTAATTATGGTAGATATATCGAGTGTTTGCCTGCGTGTGCCTGCATGAAACGCCAGTTCCGGATTTTCAATTTTCGCTTCTGTTCCCTTCGCATTCCCCGAGCCAGATCCGTACTAGTCAATAGCACTCCTCCCCAAAGGCAAGCATGCATATTGCATGGTATTCATCGTAACGCTACCTAGCCTGGTGGTAACCGATGAAAAAACAAGACTCTTACATCTATTAAACTCATGAGTTAATTAAATGTATTACAGAATAGCCCTGGAGATCTTTCGCGACCCGTACTTGCTATTGGGCGATGTAGATTTAGTACTCGAAAAAAATCGACCCTAATGAACTTTCGCCTTCCAACTTTTCATTCCACGTTCGTAGGAGCCTTATTGGATGACAGAAATTTCATATGGCCTACTACTGAGGGAGCTAACTGACAGCACTGATTTCAAATCCGAAGAAGTATGTGGAGATCGTTGTTGAGAGTGTCTCTTAGCCAGAGAGGCTAGTATTGATATGTGTTGGCAGCTGATCTGCCGTTCAGGGGAAGGGCTACATAGTAGCATGAAAACAGAAGAAAGGGACAAGACCTGTATTCCGAGAGAGATGGAGGAGAGAGAGAGAGAGAGAGAGAGGTCTAGCTAAAGACAAGCACGCGCTGACAAACGGAGGGGGTCAGCTGGCCCCATACTCCAATAACATGTCGTGGGCCTTGACCAGAAAATTTGTTGGGTCAATGGAGCTGAAATCCTACGTAGAATTAAGTGACAAAGCTGTAAAAGCCTTGATCAATCTGCGAATATGAAGGAGTTTTGTATTCTCCTCAATCTACTACTTATCTTGGGTTTCCTCAAGTGGTTCTTCTTTGCTATCGAGACATCGCAATTACATCAATAAACCCCGACATTTTTTTCGGATTTCTGAACTCAAGGCTCAGGATTTGATCTCATCACCTTGGTCTTCTACCGCAGCTCACAAGTCTTTATCCAGAAAACCTTCATCTCTCTTGGCCTCCACTTCGATACAATGGTGAAGCGCACTATAGATAAGGCCAGGCAGCCGATCATCAGATAGGCACCATATTGCTCGGGTGAAAGATTAGGAGCTCTGACTTAATATTGCGTGTCTAGAATACTTCTCACCTAAAAATCCGACATGGCATTATTCGAGTAATGGTGGAAACACCACCGTGATGTATGGGTTAAGATGATAAATCAAAGTGCATCCAGCCAGTAGCTGGATCCATCAGATTTATCGATATACATACACTATCATGATTTTGTGCTCACTCAATTTTGTTTTCAGTAAAGCCTAACTCTTCCCAAATTAAAGTCATTGCGTTGATTTATTAAGCTAAACCATGGCTTCACAGTACATGGCTTTCACAAGATCCGTTCGCCGGCCAAGGAAGAAGGCTATATCTAAATGAAGTATAGTTGGAGTCTTGTATATTGGATTAAATTGGGTCGGAAAAATAACACTCACATTTAGAAAACTCATCCTCTACGCCTCCAAGCTCAAGATCCACAGTCTGTTTGGTGAAGTCTTGGTCGTCAAATTTGCTCATATTGCGTGAGATCTTCAAATACAGCCACACCCTTTCGGGAGGAAACGTCATGAAGAAACCATGTAGATTTATTCGAACACCGAGTATTGCTTCATGCGAGAGACATGAATCTGTCATGGCTTGATCAAGTTTGGTCCTAAGCATTATCATAAACCCGGCTTGACGAGCATGATCCCAAAACACATTTTTGTTTGCTTCTGTACCTCAACAAGCTAGTATAGATATATTTCAAATAGCCTTGTTTAGCATACCTGACTTCATCAGCGAACAAGCTTGGGGTAGCGTATCTGTCTCCTCGTTTTTTAGAAGCTCAGTTGCAACTTTTAAGGCCACAAATTGCGTCATGAGTATCGGGAGCGATGAAGAAACCACTTTAGGAATACGCATCTTGCAACCGACAGAGCTCCCAAGATCATGGGCAACTTTCTCAAGCGTTTTCAAATATAGATGACGTTTTTAATGGAGATCATAAACAGCTTTCATGCCATCGGTCTCCGCTTAGAAATAATTTTCTAAAATTGATTTCAGCGACTTTGGAGAATGATAAACGATTGATGAGGTAACATGGGCTTCTTCCAGGAATATGTTGTTAATAGTTGTCGTGATGGGGTGAAATTTTGAAGCACTGAAACCGAAATCTATCAGTGTCACGGAAAGAGGCTGATGAAGTAATATCCGACGCAGTATAGAAAGTCTCGCATGGCCTAACTTTAAGATCATGCAGGTTTGATCCTGCTTTATCTGGGTTGAGATGATGAGACCGAACTACTGTCGCGAATCGATTCCGTACTTCCTGGAGCAACTCGTCCGATTGTCCTTCTGAATGAAGAAGATGACTTCGTAAGACGATGATGAGCCTTGGGGATATGGGGGCAAAATTGTGGTACTCAGTATAAGAGATTGTCTCCACCTTTCGGGTAATGACGTTATATCTCGTTGTCGACGGACCTTCAGAAATGGAGTACGCGTTTTGAGTCAGGAGGAACTCATCCCCTGGGTCTATCGGCTCACAAAATGCTAGAAAGCTCCATAAAAGATGCAGTTCCATCATCATAGCATCATCGGGGTATATTTGCGTTTTGAGAGTGTCCATCCAGGTCCCCTCGGGGTCCATATTAAGATCCAAGAACCGACGCAGGTTATCAAACCACACATCACGCGGTCTCGTAAATTCTCTTGACCGCATATAAGTCAACATCCTTTCCCGGTCGTCAGCCTCGTACTGATGAATCTGGTCATGATTTTATCGGTCGAACATTCCAGAATTTCGATGTTTCATTAGAAAAAGGAATTTGCGGAGCCTGTCAAGCTCAGTCCGATTGAGTTCAAGGGGTAGGCCTTGAGAGAACATGGTACATGCGCGATGGGTAATATTGCTCTCTTGAGACTCGAGACTTGAAAGCTTCTCTTCGAGATCGTACGGATAATCGTCGAAACCAGGATCACGATACAAGTCCACGAGGGAAAACTCCGTCGAAACAGGCCGCTGACTGAGGACACATGTTTTAAGATCGATCTTATTCAAAGGAAATCACGGCCACGACGTTGGCTTTTTTTGTTTTTCTAGTTTCCGCAGTTGGTGCTGCTGGAGGTTGATTTCCGGGTGCAAAATTTCTCAAGATGAATTGGGGGATGAAGTGGTGGTTCTGCTTTGATGGCTTCATCTTGGGCGTTGACTTGGTTTTTTCACTTCCTCTGAACATTATTGATAAAGAAGCAATTTCAGTCCATTCTAGAATATATAAGCACACTATGCGCATCTGTTTTTTGCATATTAGCCTCATATAAGCTAATCGAATTTTCTTTCACTTCAAACAATTGTTCTCATCAGCCCCGCTTTCCACATCTTCGGGCGGTTGTTAATTGGATCATGTTGTTTGCGCAGGACTTACATCAACATCTAGCACATACTATCTAACAAAAAATACAAGTTACGCCACTGTATAAGATAATTCCTGCATCTACCAATCCATAAATGCCACGAGAGCAATGCATAGGATGCCTTGTGATATACTGGTAGTGCTGTTGGTTGAGTCGAATATTCGATAACAAGGATTATGGAGCTCTCTCGTCCGGATCAATAGCAAAAAGGCCTCGTCTACAATGCTCATCAGGGCGACATAATATAAAGAAAGAAGGCAAAAAAGGATGCTTGTCCAAGGGGACCAACTGGGGGCTACATCCCACCACATACGGCGAGGCAAAAAAAACCATGACGCTAGGCAACACTTGATATCTAGTAATTTACCGAACCGCTGTATCTAAATTCGATAAGGTGTAAATCAGGGAGACAGTGAAAATACCATCGTTGTGCGTAGAGTTTTGAAGGTATAATCATGGTCTTTTCGTCTAAAGCTTGGTATGTTTCCTGGCAGAATTTCAATTTATGAGGTAAAATACTAACTGCCCGTTGTTTTTCGAATATGAGATTAACGTTGAAATAGTAGGGTGACTTCAAAGGTTTTTTTTTTTTTTCTTTTCAAGAAATACTTTCATAACATACCTATTATGAGCGAGACGTGACTTGATATTGTTACGTCGTAATATTTAATGGCCCCCGCTACAGATAAGGCAGAATAGTAGATTTTTATTAACCTGGGGTGGGTGCTTGATGGAAACTGATGGAACAATTTAAACGAATCGACCATCGAAAGCCAACCGTTGCCCAGTCATTATGTAGCTCGCCAGGTTATGTCCATTTCCGAAGCACCACCCTTAGCAGCTATACGGTCATGCTCTAAGATCTCAGTTACCTCGATATTGAGACTGGGCGCAGTAACTGCTAGTACTTGAAACGCGTAATAAAGAGCTAATAATTTACTATCGCCCATAATACAACCCGCAGGGCGTAATTATGCGCGGGTCTCGGTCTATCTCGAATGAAATGTACACTAATTATGAGTAATCTTACAATACATTCCTAGAAATAAAGTGCCATTTGTACCGTTATCTTCTGTCAGCAATTACCAGCTGTCGCAGCCTACCAAGGCTGACGGGCTCACGTATGTTAGAAGATCGTCGTTTACCCCTCCTATTTGCCCCAGCTTACTCTCACTCTACTCTTCTTCTCCCACTATATTGAATTGTATCTTGATATGGACTTCTTCATAAGCGATGTAGTTCCCCTCCGACGTGACATCCAATTCGGGAAAGATTGGTACTGTGTGAGTGGCCTCTTGAGTTCTTTCGTCACATGAATTCAGTACTAATCGGTATTAGTGCCTAGAAAAATGCAAATCATACAATAAGTCAGACGCAAAAGAATGTGTTAAATGTCAACATAAAAAATGTGCGCAATGCCAAGGTCCAACTCATGGAATATCTCAAATGACATACCTATATATCTGTGTAAGGAAGCCACTACCCACTCGATGATTGAAAATCTAGGTACTGACAATATTGGAGTTCAGTGTATGTGCGGTAGTGGTCCAAATGTGTTTAACATGCAGCCACAGTGTATTAATTGTGCCCATGTGGCTTGCTCTAACTGCATCACTGTTAAGTGAATTCAAGCATGCGCAATTTCAAAGGTTCTCTTGCCCATGTCTCCACCAAGGGATTATTCTCTGTAGCCCAATGGTCACAGTGATGGTACCACTCGTGAGACAGAAGACACAAAGCCAGTACTTCCACCAGGCGCTCTCGCTGCTGACTTGGTTCATACCGAAGATGCTCTGTTTAGTGAATTTAGCAAATGAATCTGTGTTTTGTAACTAGATGTATAACGCACTGTGACCAAGCCCAGGGGAAGATATATCTAAATATTTATTAGCTCAGCTCGGCAGGAAAGCAAGGAGACTCACGATACTGATATACGTTAGAAGGCGGATATTGTCTCCCTGGTGAGTGGCCATCATGCTCTCCGCAAGTGAGGAAGCATTCACCAGCTTGAGATATGTTAGAAAAATATATCAGAGCGAATCGTATCCAATATAAATGACATACCACATCAGACATTTTTTCTAATGTTTCGATCTGTTGCTCTAGGACCATTCTGGTGGTGGCCAGCTCAGCTGTGAATTGGCGCACCTGGTCGAAACATTCGCGGAATCGATCGTACAGGGCGCCGTCGGTTTCGAGGTCAAAGTAAACACCATTGTTTGCATCAAAGGAGACAAGAGTAGCGATCACTCGGGCTAGTAGGTTACGGAGCCTTCGTAGTGTGCCTAGGGTCCAGGTATATTCCTTTGTCTTTTTCAAAGGCGGCTCATCTTCGCGGAAGACGTCATCCTAGTTAGTGATTCAGATTATTAGTATATTGAAATTCCAAATAGGACCGAATGATGTGCATTTACGTGTTTCTCAAGGTCATCGGTAATGATCTCCATCAAGACTGCCCATTCCATGGTGATCTGACTCGTGCGAATGACTAGAATGGAGAGAAAATAGTATCGCGGGTCCCAAATAGGAAATTGGCTCATCCGCAAGCCTGACGAAGGTCCATCTACTTCATCCTGAAGGTACTCTGCAATGGGGTTGTTGGCTCGGAGGTAAGCGTCTTCGCAAAAATAGGCGGTCCAGAAGAATTCATCGACACCGAACACGATCAGGGAAAGTTGTGCCTCATAGATGGCATCCTGGCCTAGAAGGCGAAATAGACGGTGTTTCCGAAGTTTTCGACCATCTCGGAGTGGTTGGTTGTTCTTTCTAAGGGCGTAATGGGGCAGGTGAAATTCCAGGGTGAACCCACGGGTCTAGAATTCAATTAGCGATTCTCTTGCTTTCCATTTCCACTGCGCTAATACCTGCGAGACCCCCATGTATGAATCAAACGCCACGTGTCGTGACAAAAATGATCGAACCTGGGGAAGATGCATATAATTGACGTTTGAAATTAATGCAAGGCCCATCAGAGGTGTCAAATCGACAAGATATCTTTTAGATTAGCTATAATCAATCGATGATGATAGAGACATACATTATTCGACGCTCTGCAAATCCTGTCCTCTACGATCATCAGTAGCAGAACTCGTGCTTTAAATGGAAAACGTACCTACATCCTGATTAAGATGCGTGTAGAGCATCTTCGCATCCGCACCGCAAACGCGAACATTCAACCCCTCAGGCGGCCGTCGCATATATTCCTCGGACTCCCATTGTCGAACAGGTAGAAAAGCCGCGCTTTCTGGGATACTCGTAAACTTCAAACAGGGATCACACCGGTCATCGATTATGGCAAGCACCCTCCTGTCCCCTGGTGAGCCTTGGCCCCTGATAATATCCTGAAATAAGTGTGTGGCTCCGGTCTGCCCTAGGAAGTTCTTCAACAGCTCATGGCGGCGGGGCGGGGACAGATCGGGATTATAGCTGCGGAAGAATTCATCGATTACTGATCCGCCGTTAGGGACACGCAATCGGTTATCCTGGCCGTGGTAAAGAGTCGTCTGGCGGGTGGAAAAATCTTTACGCCATTGGAGAGAGTGTAGGGGGGGGCGCAGAGAGCTGATTAGGGCATTCATGAAGTGAGAGTTGAGAGGCAGATTTAGAAATTTAGAAGAGCCTCATATTACGGGGTGCTAACTGCATAGCCTGCCTAGCGTCGTGCAGCGGGTTTTGGGCACATTTTGCTGTTTTAGGCATCTAGGCAGCTTCGGTCAGTCTGAATAAGCAAACGACAACACTAAAAACATATAAAGTACATATAAAGCCACTTTGCATATCCCAAGAACTGACTAGTGTTATTTTCGTAATCTTGGCAAATAATCAGGAAAAGACGGGCAACTGACTATTTGAACTGCCTTTTAACACCTTGGTGACCACTAATGACAAAAGAATGTTGGGACAAGCTATCAATAAAGCCTCCATCTGAGGAACTCGGACAGCTCTTATTGGATGTGCTGAAGTCCTAAACCTAGTACGTCCTTCGAAGAGGGGGCGGAGCGGGGTTCAGTCGAGGGCTATGCACGGCGAGGCAAAAGGACTATTAACCCTAAAACAGGTAATTCGGCCTATTTTTGGGAGCGCTATAATTTACCACCCTAAGATTCTGTTGAATACAACACTGTACGTTTTATGTATGCTGCAATGTTCGCATGTCAGAGTAATATCAGTACAAGTGCCTACTTACCAATGTACTGCTCGCTCACATAACTCCTTAGACTACCCAGAAATGCGAATATGATTAAGGCCATGGCCAGTAATCCTAGTATTTGCTATTTCCTCTAGATTGCTAGTCTTATATATCACCTTTCTACGCATCTCTTACCTTCTTATTATGCTCCCGGTCCTATGCACTGGAAAAAGGTGCTGGGGTGTGGTTTTGCTACATGCTGGATAGACGCGCATATCTGCGGCCTTTGAGCATTCACGTCTTCAGTATCTGTTCATTGTTAGCGGGTTGTGGTCCAATGGGTACCTACCAGTAGCAATGGGCCCTCGAGATTTCAAATAGCCGAACACAACCGCTTGAATTTTCACTAGGTGGTAGCGAAGCTCGGGAGTTCAGTGCTCCGGATCGTTAGAGAAAATATCTCAGCTGTAACGTGTAAGGGTTGGGTGGGATTTGAACGAAAAAAAAAAAATGAAAATGGGATGCCGTGGCTCTATTCAGCCATGCACAGGGCTGTCTCGAGACCGGTGAGGCTAGAAATTTGTTTATATAACGTAAAATTATTATCTTTGGTATCTAAGATCCGATATGGTGTAGTGGCTAACATCGTCGTCTCTCACACGACAGCCGGGGGTTCGATTCCCCCTATCGGAGTTACTTTTTTCTCTCTTCAATATTTTTCTTAATTGCTCTTCTTTTGTTAGTGAAACCTATAAATCAAAAATGGATGTTAGAACAATTCTCTCTGAATCTAGATGGTTATTTTGTATTCTCGTCACCTGACACTTCTTATCGTGCCTATCTAATCGTAAATTCGGGGAAAAAAAAATTGAGATGCGGGACCTTGCAAAATCACGAACCCCCACCGTTAGCTTCCTCAGTTGAATAGAAAGATTCCTACTGAATTTTCTCGGAGTTTCCTTCATCAATATTCACATCGTTCTTAAATCCTGGTTGACTTCCTCCCAAATCAAATCTCTACTTTTTCCACCCCCACTCGACCTGCGGGGTATCAACAAGACACAATCGTGAACGACATCAGACTCACCAAAATCCCAAACATCAATACTTCTTCTTGAAATTTACCCTTCCTACAAAATACATACAATGGACCCACAAGCAACCGCCCCACCGGCCACCGATGCGGCCTCCTACCTCGACTTGGGCATCACACTCGCCCTGAACAACTGGCCCTCACTTACACTCGCCGTGCAATCAAACTGGGGCGGTCCGACCTCAGATGACAAGCGCGCTTGGCTCTGCGGAGCTATCTCCGAGATGCTGGTCGATCGACCCGAAACCGACGCTGAGGATATTGAGGACGTGCTGATCCAGGTCATGAATGATGAATTTGACGTTGTGATCGATGATGAGAGCGCTGGCAATGTCGCGGTTCAGATTATGGAGTTCAAGGAGCAGACTGAGGCTGGACAATTCAGCGCTATTCGGGAGATGTGGGAAGCGTGGCAGCAGAAGAGTCAGCAGAGGTCTGCGGCGGCCAACATGTTCAAGCAGGTTGAGTCTAGGGATGAAGATCAGGAGACCGATGACGACAGTGATGAAGATGCTATGGATGTGGAGATGGGAGATGCTCCGGCTTTGGTGAGAGCGCCGAGGGAGAAAGCCGAGCCCGAGATCGATGACGATGGATTTACCAAGGTTGTGGGAAGGAAGCGGTAAATACATATATGACTTCATGTTTCTTTTTTCATGTCCTGGGGACGAATATATCCATGGATTTACTACCTACAATAGATCAAAAGCAATTGCAAAATGCCGTCAAACAGGCTTCCTTAAGGGGGTATTACGAGTACTGAAGATGGAATTGCAACAGGGCAATTGTCTTTTCAAAATTCAAAGACAGCTAATGTGGAATCTATAACGTAAAGGGGTAAATTTTCATCATCGTCACTTGAAGTGGACTGGCTGTGTGTATCTTGGCTCGGGCTCTACCCACCCAAGCCTGCTGGTCTAGAGTTTCACCTCGGCTCCAGCGAACTTGCTCTGGGGGTGAAGAAAATCACCCTAGCACTACGCCGATCCTTTTTTAGATCTTCTTCCCATCACTGGGAGCAAATATCCCGATAAATATTTCCAAAAGTCATTTAAGCGTCAGTCTCGGAGTGAATGAGCTTGGTAACCATACCAATGGCGATGGTTTGACCCTAGTAGATTCAAGAATTAGCAAATGTAACCTGAGATAAATGGAAGAGAAATCATACCTGGTCACGAAGAGTGAATCGTCCAAGCTGCTGGTAGTCATCGTATTTCTCGACACACACAGCACCGGCAGTGGACGTAACTTCAAGGCGGGCAATGATGGTCTGACCCTTGTTGACAAAAGCCGGAGGACGCTTGCTCTTACGACCAGTACCAGGCTCAAGCTTGTGGAGAAGAGCGGCAAAGGTGACCTCCTCAACAGCAGAGTGCACGTGAAGCACACAGTTGAAACCGGCCGTAAGAATGTTCTTAAGGTCCAAAATACGAATCTTGGCTTCGAAAGCAGACACGCAGTGGACGGGACGCTTTGCAGAGCAAAGAACAAAGCCAGGGAAGAATTCATCTTCTTCCACACCGCGCAGACGAAGGCGAACTTGGTCACCGACCTTGGCATTGGGAATTTCATCTTCGGTTTCACCATAAAGAGCAGATACCGAGACCTCGGTCCTGTTGGGCATCATGAGATAATTGCCGTTCTTCTTGATAATTCCAGATTCAATGCGGCCCTCGGCCATGGTACCCATGTCACGGTACTTGGCGGTGATGGGCATCATGAAAGGTGCGTTCACCTTGCGCTCTGGTAGCTTGAAGTCTGTCAAGTACTCAAGCAGAGATGGTCCATCATACCAAGGGCAGACGTCCTTGGTGAGGCGGTCCTTAATATTGAGAGTACGCTGAGCGGAGATAGGCATACAGAAGATGTCGCTCTTCTTGTAGCCAAGAGCTTCAAGGAATTTAATGACCTTGATAGTACACTCGTCGAAACGGGCCTTGCTCCATTCGACGGTAGGGTCGTCCATCTATTTTTTGAAAAATACATTAGTTGGGTAGCTTGACAGACAGAAAGACGGAAACTAACCTTATTCACAACTAGGCAAAGCTGTGTCACACCCGTGTTACGTGCAAGCAGGGCGTGCTCACGAGTCTGACCACCCTTTTCGAAACCGGTTTCATACTCACCCTTACGGGCAGAAATGACAAGAACACCCAAGTCTGCTTGGGAAGCTCCACCGATCATGTGAGGAACATAAGACTTGTGACCGGGGGCATCCAAAATAGAGAACTGTCGCTCAATAGGGCCTTCCGGGGTGGGAATATCGACCTTGAAGAATGCTCGGCCAACCTCGACGGTCTTACCCTTGGAACGCTCCTCGGCAGTCAGATCCAGGGCCCATGACAGGTACCAGGTCTCTCGGCCAGCTTCTTTGGCTTCCTTCTTGTACTTCTCCATCGTTCGGTCATCCACCATGCCAGTGCAGTACAGAAGCGAACCACCCAGGGTAGACTTTCCAGCATCAACGTGACCGATGAAGACAACGTTAACGTGCTCACGGCGCTCACCGTAAATTTCCTTCAGGGTAGCGTCATCAACATCGGCTTGCTGAGCCTTGGCGACGGCATCTGCGGCACGGGCCTGCTTGGCAGCTTCGACGCCAGTACGAGCAGGGCTCGAACGGCCAGAGGATGACGGTGTAGGGGAGGTTCTGCCGCTGGAAGCAGCTTTTGAATCCGTCTTTTCGATGGCCTTGCTGGCGGTCACCTTTGCGCCAGCTTCGGCAGCCGCGGTGCCCTTCGAGTCACCCTTCGAGAGCTCCGATTTGGCGGCAGCAGGAGCGGCAGCGGGAGTGGGAGTGGAAGTAGGAGTAGGGGTACCGATGGAGAGAACCTTGGTCTTGGGAGCAGACGCCGAGGAGGTAGCGCCAATCGAGAGGACCTTAGCCTTGGGTGGAGCGGCAGAGGCAGGCGCAGCGGGCTTGGGGGCGGCGGGGGCCTGCTGATAGGCAGCGGAAGCATTCTGGCGGGGCTGCTGGGCAAAGCCACCAGGCTGCTGGTTGTAGTATTGGTTGTAACCGCCGGGCTGTTGCGCATATGCGCCGTACTGGCTGTAAGCCTGCTGCTGCGGCTGTTGCTGCTGCTGGGGGTATCCGTAGGCTTGCTGACCGTACTGGCCGTAAGGGTAGCCACCGCCGTACTGCTGAAATTGTTGGCCGGGAGTGAAAGAGGCGGCACCGGGGGTGAAAGACGCAGCGCCGGGCTGGAATGAAGGCGCCTGAGGTTGAGGACGGCTTTGTCCATTCAGGTTAACACCCTCAGCCTGCCGGGAAAGCTCATCCTCCCAAGATTCGGGGGTTTGGTTCGACATCGTGAGAGAGGATCCGAGACACAGTCAAGGACACGGGAGATACGACACGAGAGTCAAAGGTGGAGGAGCGACAATGAGGGGCTCGCGGTTTTTGATTTTGCAACCCGCAAACGATGACTCAGCAATCGATTAGAGTTGTCACGTGGTAGGATATGCAGAAAAAAAGAAATGAAAACAATCGCATTTGTCCGGTTTTGCAATTGATTTAAATGAAATTTGAGACTTAGGTTCTATGTCTGACGAAACAAGAATCTTTTGGAATCCTTTCTTGTCAATGACTTTGTAAGTGTGCGCATTCTCTTTACGTCTTTGCATCATCTTCGACTGTTGGGCATGACCCGACACTATCGATAAGCAACACCCCTCCATGCTTGATTGCTCACAGGCTCTATAGCAGCCCCAATCCATACAGCGTGCCTGAGACTGCCTAGCTGGCTGTTTCCTCGAAATGGACGTCTTCCTAACTCGGGTATGTTCTTATGCTATGTCGCAATTCTGTGGGGACGGTAATCTAAACGGGCAATATGGCAGCTCACGCAGCAGGCGATGAACTATGCGATTCGGTAAGTTGGCACCATTCCAGGGGAAACATGTAATAGAATGCTGACGGTTCTCTACAGCTCTGGGATAGCAGTCACAGCTTCCTATGCGATAAGACAATCATCGCGACTGCTCAGAGTACGTTGGATCACTTACTGAAGTCATAGACTGCGCTGATGTCTTTGTGGGACCAGAATGTAGATGGTGAGGACCGTACAGAGCTACTGTCATTGCAGCGAAGACTGGAAAGCAAGATACAGGTCATCTCCCCGTCAATTGATATGATCGAAATGATGTGAGTTGGCCATCATTGGGGCTTGGAGTCGAATTCTAACCGAATGTTCAGCGCCGCTCGAGGAAACACGTCTCTTGAGTCTGCCGTTGCTCTCACAAAATCTCTGAGATGGGATATACAGGCACTTGGGCAGCGACTGGCAAAAGCAGCATCCTCTGAAGAGTGTTCACGCAAGGGTTCTAGATCGCCAAAGAATCGGGGAAGCATTGATGCCGAAATAAAATTCATCATTCAAGATATCAAGGATTTGTTAACTCGGATTGAAGATGCGGTGCCTCTTATGAATTTGGCCATCACTACCTCGGGGGCTAAATTATCTACAACTCTTCCCTCGTCGATATCACCATCTCGACTTCTTCAGGCCAGCACATTCCTGACCGCTGGAGATTCACAATATGGCATATGTCACCCCCAGCCGGTCCAAATTGGACCTACATTTACGCTTTCAATGTACATGCTTTTCTCTGGTCATGTGCGCCCACATGATGAAGAATCAGTCCGTTCGACGACCTGGAAAGAAGTTATGCACAAGGCCTGTGTGAAACTGCGACGTGTGCCTATCAATTTAAACTATTCGGATGGTCAAAATAAAGCACCGCAGCTTCCAGGACAAGCAGAAGACGAAGAGTATGCGTACCAATTGATGATTATCGAGGACCTGGATGATGGACGAGTTCATACATTTGAAGACGATGAGCCTCGGCCGCACAGCTATGATGGCATTGCTACCGCTGGTATGCGCGAAATTCTGCCAGTCCATCAGATCTCCAGGATTTTCTACGCCGATACCGGTCGAGTTCTCAACATCAATACCGAAGGGGAGACAAATCACCCTGTTCTTTTGTTGAAAAGAGACCCGAATGCTCTACCACCACGTCGGATGATGGAGAGTGAAGGTGTTGACGACCAGTACGCCTCCGACAACTCCGAGGACTCCACAGACGAAGCTCAAGCTCAACTTGATGCCCAATTACATGGCGCTGACGCTTCCGCGCAACTGAATTTCGACTCCCTCCACGAGAACGCCATTCCCGAAGAATGGCGTCTACCTCCTGGCCTAGATCCAGAATGGATAGCACTCGAAGTTTACACCGAAGATGAAAGCTCTGACTCAGAGTCAGAAGCAGACAACACTCCACACAGCCCAACAAACCAATCATCAATCGACCCAAATGTGCTAGCAAAGCTATCTCTCAACGACCAGAAATCGCCCTCATCGCTATCACCTAGTCAATTCACAAGAACATTGTCGAATCCCCATTTCCAAAATATTCGCACAACCCTTTCCCTCCTCGAGACTCTCATCCGCCTATCTTCCCTCCAACAAGTCCAACAAAAGTCGCACCTCGCCATCACTGACGAAATGCTCAATTTCTTCCTCGAATCATCAACCACCGGTGCAGGCGGCGACGAACAGCACCGCCAGCAGCTCCGCTCTGAAGCCCGTCGCCGTGTGGGCTGGGATCCTTACGGGGAAAGCCCTATTAAGCATCGCAGTGAAGAGTATCAGCATAGCAGTCCTTCTGCTTCTCATAGCGACGGAGACGACATTAATTTTCCCGTTGGAACTCCACAGAACTTCTATCCTCGTTCTAGAGAAAATACGCCAAAGACTCCTTCGCAACGGGGTTCGCCTTTTACTCGCTACGATCAAGCACGGCCTAGCGGCTTGAGGGGAATGACGCCGGCCTACACGAGCAATGGTTCTGCGCAGGGCTCGCCACTGGCTAGAAAGATTGGACCACCGAATGATGGAGATGCTGGGCCCAGGACAGCATAATAGCTTTGACTTCGGTAGGAGAGTGTATGATCATGGCCTTGATAAGCGAATCTTTGAAAGATACCATAGCAAACTCATTCTCATAGTGGCAATACTTTATGATTGAGAAATCAAATGTCTTTAAATGTTCGAGTAGTTGAGGATAAGAACCAGACATTAAAGTCGCTGGCCAGAAAGTCTGATAATTCTACGCGAGAGACACCGTATAACACCACCGGGTATGGTAAGGGGCGATGCACGTGAGTGCACTTAATTCCAGAGGATATGCAAGTAGAGCAAGCAATGTGCATGTTCAAAAATGAACCAAAAAAAGACTAGACATCAATCGCTGAAGCCAAGTTACAAGAACAAATCGGGAATAAGAAGGATGAAGTCCTCTAACGCCTATACAGCAACAATTACAACCGGACTCCAGAAAGTTAAGAAACGCGAATTTCACGGACAAATCATTTCCGGGCCAAAAGAGGCAAGCTGAGCACTCACGGGATGGAATCAGTTTGTCCTTGGCCCTATTTGAGGAAGAGATTATTCCCAGTCCTCATCGCTGTCCTCTGCTTTCGAGTTGGTAGTTGAGCCCTTCTCTTTCGGTGAACTAGGGGCCCGACTAGCAGCTCCGCTCACGACATCGTAGCTTGATTCGCTATCAGCTTGGGATTGCTGGTCGTTGGATCGGCGAGGTTCAGCCTTCTGGGCTTCAGGGGCGAGGCTTTTAGCTCCAGCACGGACTTGGGGAGTAGCAGGAGACCCGGATTCCGAGTCAGAATCATCATCCCAGCCAACCTCTTCATCATCAGCGTTGGCACCTGTAAATTATAGCCATCAGTCAAGTGTATCGAGAATCTAGACAAGTCACAATATACCCTTCAGGAGTTCCTTGCGCTTCTGCTCCTCGGTCTCAATGACAAGTCGCAGGAAGTAGTACCGAGTCCAGAAGTCCACATATTCCACCGTCTCAGGAACAAGCTTCTCCATGGCAGATCGCAATTCGGGGTACTTCTCCAGGTGAGAAGCGATCTCGTCTGTTTTGGCATCGACACTGAAGTTCTTATTAAATTCCGAGAATTGGTCGCTGGCAGGGTCCTTGGTAAAGCTCTCCAAGTTCGAGTGAATGACGTGTAGCTGAGCATCGAACCGAGTGGCATGAATAACCCGCTTGCCATCCGCATCCTTACTCTCAAAAAGAAGTTTGCCCGACTCGTCCGCTTCAGGAGGCACAATGCTGACAGCCTCGCGCAGCTTCTGGCTGATGTTCAGCCCGAACCGCAAGATTGCTTCGTCAGCCGCTTCCTCGGCCTTTTCGATTTCCTTGAGTCGTCGAGCGGCTTCGGCCTTCAAACGAGACATAAAGCCCTCGCCACTTGCCTCGCCCTGTCCCTTAGATTCCCCCTCCGTCGAGGCGGTTGGTGTGGAAGCATCGTCCTTTAAGCTTTCGTTGCCACTGGTCAACGTCGCGGTGCTGAGAGACAGCCCCTTTGTCCGATCGGCGATGGTGTCTCTCAGGCCGGAGAAGCCCTTCACAGCCTCCTCGCTAGCTGCGGCATATTCTTGTCGGGCGCCTTCGTAGTAGCTCTCGCCCTGTTTGCGGACGTTGTCCCAAAGTCCTCCAATCCGGGTACCCCATGGACTGGCGGAGAAGGCACGGAAGGTCTCTTGGAACTCGGTATTCAAGTTGGGGTTGGAGTTGGAGGAGTCGGAGGACCCGTCCTCTTTGCTGGAGGTTAGGATCTCCTCCTGGATGTGGTCGTAAGGGATATCCATGGTGAGGGGTTGAGGAAGTAAAGTTACAATTCCGAACAAACACTTTTTGAGGTTGCACCTCCGCGTTCGTTCCAATGGGCCGACCGCCCCGCTTCTGCAGATCAAAAACCACATGTCAACAACTCATACTCCGTAGATCAATTTAACATGTCTTTGCAGCCTTTCAGCCTTTCAGCCCTCCAGCCCCTGTATTCTCATATCTTTATTCAACTTTCTTCGCATTACTTCTAGTAGGGCATATGCGAGGGTCAGCAGCTCGCTATCTTTATGGCCAATCATGTTTCCCAAGTGTTTGATCTAGATGACCTCAAGATAAAAATCAAGTAAGCATATCGTTTGAATATCCATTAATTATATAGATAGTCATAATTCATTCATGATTCATTAAAATTCCACATATGTACAATCAAGCTAACTATAAGGTTCTCCCACACTATCCTGACTCCCCATCCAGAAGTTAGGTAAAGGCACACTCTCCATAACGCTTGACGTCAGAAGCTGACTTCGTGATAAAGCATTGCCCCTTTCGGCGTGAGCCTGCGCAACGGGTTGGGATGATTCAACTTGAACCGACTCCGGGACGCGAGGTCGCTGAAATACCACCTGACTTTCTTCCATGCTGTTCTCCTGTCCTCGAACAGGAGACGATTCTGGCACAATTTCAGGCTCTTCTCCCTCTTGAGACTGTGTCTGGGTTTGCAAGAATGGCCCGGGGAATTTTTGACCTGAAAGTGAAGGTGCAGCAGGTATAGGTGCAGACTTGACATATTGTGTGGACCCTTCGTTCGGGAATAGTTCAGATAGTCTTTGGGTATTGAGTGACGGAATGGATCCATGTGGATACTGTGTAGCCGGTTGCATTCTCTGGTAGTACAATGAAGCATCCGACATTGGGGCTTCAGACGCTGGGTCATCATCTTGATTGTCTGAGGATTGGACATTCGGCAAAGGAAGTTCTTGCGAGTCATCGACGAGAGACGACCATGGAATATGGTTGCTTATAAGGGTGTCATGGACTTGACATTCATCTGATCGAGACGGTGTTGTAGGGCCATCGTTCGCGTTATCCTCCGAGCCGCTTTGGTCAGTTTCAGCATCAGTTTCATAAACCACTGTCCTCTGTCGTTCGGTTCTTTTTGACTGTTGGACATTTGATGTCGGTCTGGGAGTGGCCATCGATTCAGTAGATGGTGCACATGAAGCCAGCCTCTCTGCAAATGTAGGACGTTGGCTGGCGCCAGCTGTGGGGGTTTTCTCAGGAGATCCATGTCCCTGGCCCTGCGAGTCCTCCACTCGTTGTGGAGACTTGGGAGATTCTTCCTTTATGTGATTATCTTGTCCATATGCGAAATTTCGAATCTTTTGTTTCGAGGTCGAATGGGTCGCAGTTCGAAATTGGGATGATGTAATAATGGCCAGCCCAGGGCTTTCTGGCGATTGAGAAGATGGAATCTCGATTTTTCGCTTTTGTGGCGTTACCGGGCCATCAACCATCGCCCCATCATGCAGAATGTTGCCATTTTCTGCCGCTTGACTGGTTCCCGAATCGGATATGGGCTCCCCTGTTGAAAGATCCAGCTCTACTTCTGGGAATCGGCGGTTGCGTTTAACGGAGCTAGGCGTTGGTCGACTCTCATTATCGGTAATTTTTTGTTTGCCTTTCGTTTTAATATCCTTGGGTATGTTTCTCTGGAACGTGGGTTGTATATATCCCATATTCATGTCGTTGTCATCGTCATCATCAATCGGGATATAGCGTCGCACAAAATCCATTTGCGTAAGGGTCTTATCGCGCTTCGCGGTCGGCTTTTCTGAAGATTTTCGCTTCTTGTTGGGCCCAACGCTGGATTGAGGGGTCTGGTTCTTGCGTACGCTGTTCCCTTGCTCCGATCCCCTTCCATTCACTCCAACACTTTTTCGTCGCCTCTTGGGATTATCATTATCCGTTCCGAATGTCGAGCGACCCGGTCGGGATCGCAATGATGATCTGTGGTCGGGACCATCATCACTATCTTCGTTTATGAGCACAGGTTGGTCGTTTGTATTGGGACACGGTCCAGAATCCTCGAGGTAATCGAGTGCTTCATCGTCCGGCTGTGTTGTTTGTGTCACAAAGTCGATCTGTGTGAGAGTGGATTGTGCTAGCGAACTAGACAACGAGTCTCTTTTTCGGGGATTTGTTGATCCCAATATGTGAGGAGACGCAGTCCTCTTCGATGTGGTACTTTTCGAGACCCTTGTCGTTGGCCGACTCGGAGTTTTAAACTGGGCTTGGGGTGTTTCCAGCGGTCTATTGGGGCCCTGATGACGTTTCATCGCAGCTCTAATGGAGAAGACATAAGTATTTCATGGACGGCGTGAGAAGACGGAAGGTCGATGGTGAGACCATGACGTTCTGACAAGTGGAGCAACGCGTCGTTGAACGCGCTGCGGCGTCTCGCTCAGTCACGCGATCACGTGGTTTATATAGATATGGATTCATCTTAAATCTTAGATTCAATTTCTTGGAACCATTTTTATCTGAGTATGTTCCTGTATATGTATTCTATTTATAAGATGCTTCAAACTAGCCAGTCAGGAATTGCATCCTCATCATCAGGGTCTTCGGACAGCAAAGATCCTTTCTCAATCTCACTGTCCGAGTCCTGCGCAGGCGGCGAGCGACCAGAGGCTTGTGGAGGCGACGTTGGCCTTGAGACAACTTCTAGACTAACAGATTCTGAGTCACCATTTGCTGGAGAGTCCACACTTATAGGAACTTTCTCAGATCCCTCGGGCTCTTTGGAAGCTCCACTCCCAGAAGCGAACCACGGCTCCTCCGATACAGTATTTGACTTGTGGGGCACCACAACTAACTCATAGCGCGGTGCACCTGAGCTATTCCATTTGGGCTTTCTTTGCGTGGTTGGTGGAAGTTGTGAGATACTCGGCTCAGTGGTCAGATCCGCTTTCCCAGGCTCTTCGATAGGTTCCTCTGGGAAGAACCCGCCACCAAAATGGTCTTCTTGCTGCTCAGAGACACCTGCTGGGTTGGAAATGACAGGTTCATCTTCTCCAGTGTCCATTGATTGCCCTTGACTCCAAAGTTCGTGGGGTGAGCTTCTCGTGGGTTGATCTGACTCTGGGAAAAACCCTCCACCTCCTTCAGCTGGATCGACACTCGTCTCTCTCGGGTTTGATTCGGCAGTACTCTCATTTTCATTCGCATAGCCTTGAACCCTTTCTGCGATCCTAAGTTTGAGTAGGAAAAGTCGCCACATTCCAAGAGCTTCCGCACTTCTTGCCTCGAAGGCCGCGCGTTGTCTTTCGTCCTCCAAACCTCTCAAGACCTCCTCCAAAGCCTCCTGGTATTCGACAGCAATTACTATACCTCCGAAGACAGCGGTTCCACGGCGCCCTCTGAACTCAAATCCAGTTACTGCATCTGCAAAGTCAATCCCGAGAATTCGTGCCGCTCGAGACGCCTCTGTGCGCTTTATATGAACTGCCCCAGGTGGCACCATGCTTGGGACATATACATCCAGATTTCCATATGCGTTTTTGGGGATTCGACCTCCTACTACCGGTGGTGGCGTGTAAATTTCGGTCTGGAATTCTGCATAGAGAGGGGTATGCTCGGATTCCTCTCCCTCTTCGTCACTCGCGAATCCACTTTTAGGGCGTGTAGCAGGAACATGTTTGAGCGGATGTTCCCCCACCTTGACGTCCCTTCCCATCCGATACCATTTGTCAGCACTGCGCACCACGTGCACATCTGACCGACGATAGACTGGCTCCAAGTTGTCGCTTTTGGATGTCGTTTTGCTTAGTCCAACATGGCCAATGACACGTTCAGGATAGACCACCTCATTACGACGCAAATGTCTATGAATGGCGTAAATGGGGTGATCTTTGAAGTCTTGGATATTTCGCGGCATAGGTTCGGCAGCAGACTTGGAGGTAAGTTCACTAATTTCCGCCTCATCCCGATCCTCAAGAAACGGCTTTTCGTAGGCCATCATTGCCTTGTCCCACCAGTTTTCTCCATTTCGGGTAGACTCAACCCGAATCTTGCGTGTTTTTGCGTTGAATGCTTTGGCATACCGCCTCGTCACGTCTCTCACGGAAGCGTCGTCTTCAAAAGCAACCACATAACTCATGCTGTTGTACGGGTCACTTGCTGGGGGTTCAAATTTGGAAGGTTTTGCCAAAGATTTGGTCACTATAGGATCAACGGCAACCCATTTTTGGACTGCTTCATTGAAGACCTCCACCCAGAACACCGGGTGCGCAGACTCTTGAAGGAGTGGACGGGGCCCTTTAAGAAGGTCAGTTGCAATTCTGATGAGTAATGGGTAAGATCGCGGACCTGGACTTATGGAAGATTGCGCTGGTCGTGAAACAAGTTCAGGACGTCCAATTCGTCGCGGCCTCGTTGGAGTAGAAGAGCCTGTAGATTTCTGCCGCTCATCCGTAGATGTGTCATGATCATCAGAAGATATGACAATATATTTTGCTGCTGCTTTAGACGGCGTCATGTCCTTCACCGTACCTGAGAATGGTAGTGGTTGAAGAGAGCATACTAGTCTCGCGTCAAGAGCGACCGAGCGTAGTAAAGCACAAAATAGCTGCGCTCCAAAGTCTCGTGAGCCTTGCATCAATTTCGCCTGAGCCCGAAAATCTGCCAGCGATAAGAACACCTCGGCATCTGACATGATTGATTCCTATAGACGTGTCAGAAATCATTCAATACCACCTAGACAGATTTGTAGGTCAATACCACTCTCTGCTTCAACCGAGTTTGATCTTCAGCCCAGTGTGCTCGTTTCAATCCAGGTTTGATGACCCGAAACTTCCGATTGAAAATATCGGCTACTTGATTGAGGCCGTCGATGAACGTCGTTGACCGTGTGTACTGCTGTTTGTCCTCGTCTGGGTGCAGCAAGGCGATTATTTTCTTTGGAAGCATTTTTTTTAAACAGCTCTGGGTACATGTTAGACATTTTGACCACAATTTAGGTTCTTGGCACACACCTGTATCTCAGGGTCATTACACCACCGATTCCGCAGGTTCACATGGGCCAATAGAGAAAGGAGATGGGTCTTGTGGATATCTAGACGTAACTTTTTCTCCGTTGCAGTGACCGGCTTTCTTCTGGCTACAGTCTTCTTTTGGGCCTCGGGCTCCTTTTCAAGGATGATATGAAGGGTCTCGTCTCCTCCCTCCGAAAGGGCACTTGCACTGGGAGGCTCCTGTGCCGCTTGTTGGATATCAACATCCTCCCACTCAATATCTGATTCGTCCTCTGTAGTTGAGTCATAAACGGTTTGTATTTGTTGGGTATCGGTTTGACCTGAAGCTGACTTTTCCACGGTGTTCTGGTCCGATGATGGTGGGTTTACAGGAATGGCTTTTGTATCGCCAACTCTGCGTCTCTTGGTCGGCCTATCCTGGAACTGCTCGGGGTCTCGCGCCTCAGCTTCATCCAACATTTCTTGGTACACCTCTGAAGTCTGATATTCACTTGATGTGTCTTTCTTAGGCTGACGACCACGGGTGACCTTGCCCCGAGTGGAGCGGACTGGGGTTTGGCGTGCCATGCCTAGCTAGTGCTTGGACGCGCATCAAGAAGCTATATTCGGGTCGACAATGGATAATCAAGCTCTACGCGCCTCTTTGTGAGATATGACGCGTTTTTCGGATGCACCATGTAAGCATCAAGGACGAAAGCTCGAATATCCAAGCAGTAATGCAGCTTTTGTCAGATCAAAAGGGTTTAATTGCTCTGTTGATTGGTGGGGCCGCGATGCGTCATTGCGGCGACCGGGTTTATCCGGTCGCTCAGACCCACCTGCACAGATATACAATTAAGTGATTCTACTAGTGACTACTGGAAAAAATACAGGTGCTAGTATGTAATTATCGTTTAATATAGCCGCAGTGGAATGATTTCACCCGATGCAAATTATTCCCAATGTAATGATCTCACGGATGTCGACCTGGGGTCGTACGGTTTCTTGAACCACCCGACGGACACTTGTATATATTTTACAGTATGACCGGTCAATGCCTATCAATATAGTATATACTGTACAGTATTTACTTCAGCCTTACAAGGTTTGAAAGGTACACTTTGGACTTTGAGACACGTGCTCGAGCCCGCAGCCCCTGACATTTCCTATCTGTTACTTCAAGTTCGCTACTAGTACTTGATATTTTGGAGAGCCCTTCGACTATTCACCTGATATAGTAGGAAAGAAGGTAGAAGATATGGTAGGATACTAAGTGGAAGGCTGAGTGGGAGACTGGGTAGGTAAATGGTATGAGAGGGAGGTATTGTAGAAATTCGAACTGTTCTAGGCGCCTCACAATTCACAGCTGAAAGTATCAGCACTCGAGTTACATTAATTTTTAATAACCGCTAGCTTCCTGGATCCAGCACCATAGAAGAATGGAACAACTCTGGAATGACCCTATTGAGTCAATCAATTGAAATATACTTATATACATGTGTGATTTCAAAGTCATTATGTTAAAAAGTTGTGGACCTATTGTTGACTGATGCCGGGGTCTGTATATAATATTCACAGTGGGTTCCCGAGGTATTAGGAAAAGTGGCTTGGCTGATGAATTTAGGCCAGTCATACTTCAGCAAGGGACAACAATGCCCAAGCAGATATTTACATTTAGACTAAGTATGTATGCATAATTTATTATTCCGATCCCGATCGAGATCCCCGGGGACTCCGAAGAACAAGATCAAATTCTTGAACAGAAGCCTGGGATGAAGGAATTGTAAGGAGGTCAAACATTCAAATGTTTGTCTTGGTGGTAACATGTAGGTATTGTGAGCCACCTAGTCACCGGGCAATCAATCAAGTAAGGAGGATCTTTCCGAGGGGATTATCTTATAAGTCAAATGTTGACTGTGACTGGTCTTTTTCAATTCAAATGTTTTTGGTGAGGTTGGTCGCTTAATTTCGTTGACTATTGGCTGACCCCGGTCGTCATCGGCGGGGACAACTGACCCAAGCGACTTGAAAAGTACATATGGCCCCAAACAATGACAAATTATTTCCAGGTCTCTATAGGTATCATTGGCTCCCATAGAGCCGCCCGAGGCCCCTCTGTTCCATCCACCTGGGTACATAGCGGGTCTTGTTCGGAAGAGTTCCTCGATCTTGAAATTGAAAGTTGCAAACCACCAATGTCATTGTTTACCGAATCGCGATTCTGTATTAATCCGTAGTGCCGATTCCAAAGTTTTATTCCATTGTATTTTGTTTTATATTATATATTTTATATTTCCGCTGACAGCGAACGACCCGTGTCACTTATGCATGACTTCGCTGTCCAGTCTGCCGATTGGTCCTCGGCTCCACATGGGGTGATCCGCATACATCGTATACTGATAGAGTTGCGGCATAACCAATTCCAAATTCCAAATCAAATATGGGTCGCTCCCATCCCCTTGGGTCTCACGGAAAGCCTCTAGCGAGATGACGGGATCTACACCGATATTTAGCTTGTGTGTCTCTTCAAAACGTTTCCCATAGGCCCAGCTGAAACGTGCTTGCTATCCGAGATAGCTAGTGAATTAACTAAACATGTTCCGCGCATGTGGGCCTCTCCAGCTGATCGTCGACCCCGCAGCAAGAGGTTTTCGCGAGGATATCCAGAACCACGGTTGTAGTCTGACATTGTAGACTAGTTCTGTTTGACGTCAAGTGAGGATTGAAGTATTGGTGATTTCTTTGGTTGAATGACGGGCTGAAATGTGGGGGACTGGTATTTGTCAATGAAAGTGATCTACTCCGTACTAAGCAACGAAAATAATTCCTGTCACCGAGGGGTATTCGTTCATTTATTCAATTACTTATTTTTAATTTCATCTTTTAATTTAGGAGCCACGTAGCCTTAGATCAAGTATTTATGAAGAGGGCTTGAGGCTTGCATCGTTCGGCCGAAGGATAACTGGAAAATCCAGTGTTTCAGAGAGCTCAAAAGGGTAAATAAACAAGCTGTTGGCGTCGCTAGATCTCGGTTGAAATGCTCGCCTAAGCGCATCTACGAAATCATTGGATACTCTCAAGGCTAAATGCTCCGTAATCTGCTAGACGCATGGCAAGGTAGTATTGCTATATGATCCTTTTCTCAGCCTCCTCGATCTGCAGGGAGTCATCTGGTCGCAAGGGCCCGGAGCCGGGAGTGAGTGTAACATGTTGAAGTCTCAGCTGGTATTCCCATTGCTGTGAACGGGAACGAGACGGAACGGATCGGAGAATCTTTTCATTTCCATAAGGCAGTACCTGGTATCAATTCGGAGTCAGATCAGATCTACCCCGTAGACAATCATGCACACTCAACCCAGGCTTCAATTGGGGGGCAAAATCAAAATCAAAACAAAATAATTCTTCAAACATGACTAGGGTTGGATCCTGCGGCGGTCCCGACGCGTTGGAACCCGAACACTTTCCCAGCCGTCGGGTCAGCCAGAAGGATTTTCACTCGTCCATTTTCTAACAAAGCTCCATCCTTTTGAATGGAATCCCAGCGCCATGGGAATTGTCTACTATTTCTGGAACTATTACCGGGTTCTCATAGGCAGGGCTATTTATTTTGATTTATTTTTATTTTTATTTTTTTTACTACATATTTCCCTTTCCCTTTGTTTACGTAGATTTTCGGTTCGTTTTTACCCTGACTTCGGAGTACTCCGAAGTACAGATACATAGGTTAACAGAAATTGCTCGCATCTGTGGTAGATCGTCGTCGTCGATATCTCGTATAACTAATTTACCAGATACTTATCTAGATAGTAGGAACCTTCTATGTACTTTTTATCCTTGATACCCTATGGTGACGAGGCTTGGGGGCCCAAAAGATCGGAGCATTTCACTGTCTGTCAATGCAGATTTCAGATCCCGAATGAAAAAAAAAACCCCCGCCTTACGTGGTCCGTGAGTTTCCCCGAGCTTGAGAATGTTTAATTTCTATAGAATTACAAGCTTCTTTCTTTCACTCGCTTTTATTCTTCTATGCATTCGAAATTGTATGAATAATTTTAAGGGAAAAAAGAAAAGAAAAGAAGAAAACAAATAACGTTATATGATCGCAGTATTAATCACCAAGTCGAGTGCAGGGGTCAAGTGTCTAGATTCAAGTCCGCACGAGACGCTAATTCTGACCGATCAACTTGCCCACCGCTAGAGAAAGAAAAAAAATGGTGGCACTAAGTAGCAGGCGAAGCGCTTGGTCTTCTGAGCAAATCAAAATTGGCTACGATATCAGCTAAGCTAGTTCCATGTTAGTTCTGTTGCCTTGTTCCATACCGCCACATGGGTAATGCCAGGGTACTCCCTTCTATGGAACCGAGAATTAGGTACAAAGAAAAAAAGACCATGCTGGGGATAGATGTCACAACGAGGCTATCATTTTGTAAGATTTTGCCAAATCAACTCCTCTCCTTGGAGTTCGGAGTATGAATTGGAATTCCTGACAGCTCCACTGGGGCTTTTTCTTGCCCATCGCTAACTGCGGGGCTGGGAGGGTTCCCAGTGGTCGATCAGAGGAGTTTGTTATCTCCTTGGGTCATACCCGCTCGATCTAGTAAGGGCCTGGTACCGAGAAGAAAAAAATAATTAATTGAATTTTTCTTCTATTTCACGGAGGAACCGAACTGTCGGAAACGAATGGCGACTAGGATCAACCATGCAGCGTTCATGCACACATGTATTTTTTCTTTTCTTTAGCCAGATTTTCGGAGATTCCCAGAGCAAAGGGTACAGTGGTCCTTGACTAGTTCAGTTGCCAATTCCCAGGAAACTGGAACCGTTGATAATTGGATGACCTGGTCCTGCGAGTTCAAGTCCTGGGAACTTGATTTTCCTGCCTGAGAAGTCAAGAAAATAAAATCTTAAACATGTCTGAAATTATAAAAATCAGGAAAGGGTCCACGTCCACGGGCAGAGCAAAAGTTTAGCGGAAAATGTACCCAATGTATGAAAATGCCGGACTCTCTTGAATTAAAAAAAAAAAAAAAACATTAATCAACTGTAAAATCCGAATGCTGGGATCGACTTACGCTCGAACCACCAATTGACCAAAACAGGGAAAGGATTTGGGGCGTTTTATATGCGTATTGTATTTTCTTCTCCGCTTTCCGTGAACTGCATGTCGTTTTCTAGTTTTATTTTCTCTTCTGGGAAAAAAGATTATATTATCCTTTTTAAATTTCTCTTTCTAAACCGGTCATCTCGCAGATTTTATCCCTAGCAAAATTTCAAAATTGGAATTACATGGCTGCCCGCCCGAAGCGCTTCCCCGCTAAAAACTCTCAGCCCGACTCTGACGTCCATGTCCATAAGTCTGGCTCAACTTTGTACCCCATCCATGCACGCCCTTGTACTCCACTCACCCCCCTGCGGGCCTTGGTTGTTGCGACATTTCTAATGTCGATCCCACTCCGACAGCTTGCCCATTATTTGATTTATAGTTGTCCGGATCGTCTTCCCGTCCTGCCAAATTATAACTTAACCCGAGCTGTCGGGCTCGGCGATGAACTGACAACTTGCTCCAAATCCATTCCGCCTTGTTCCAAGTTTTATTTTTATTTTTATTTTTATTATTTCTTTTGGACTCTGAATTTACTTCCCTCTCACTCCCCTGGATAATATCCGTCAATATCCATCTAGTGTGGGACCGGAAATGGAGTATCGCTAAATTCCCTGCTTCCTCCCAATTCGTTCCAGTGCTAGCTCCCCCGCCATTGTGTACTATAGAGCTCGCGCTTCTCCTGACTGTAGCGAGTATAAGCGCTCGCTTCCCACGGTTTCTCGTGTGGTTGTGTTGTTCGTCTCCTCTCTCTTCTCTTTTCTGCACTGGAGTTGAGAATTACCGGTTTGGAGCCACTCTGCATCCTTCCTGTTCCACCTTCGTTAGGGTTGGCCTTCAAACTCTCACCTACCTCGGTTAATCCTACTGAGTACGGACCTGAGGCAGTCATGATGAGTCCTAAGTCTTCTGTAAGCACTTGTTCATTGACTACATGGCTTCACGAGAAGTGCGGCTTTCTACCCATGAGCTGCCATTTCTGTTGCTATCCTTTATACGCCAAACGCTAACGGAGATTATTTAGGAACCAAAAAGTGAATGGTATGCCATCTTGTCTAGCTGGGATGTTTCTACCGGCTTCCGAAGATTGACTAACGAAACGATGATAGTGACACGCAGTCTTTGACGGACAGTGTAACAGATTATCCCGTTGAGAATGGGAGACGGTATCACAAATACCATGAAGGAGGTTTGTGACTCAATTTCACCTAAACGTATTCTGGGGCACTCCTAACTTTAACTTCAGCATATTTGTATCCCAATGACGAACAGGAACTTGACCGTCTGGACCTTGCACATCATATGTTCAAAATGGTCATGAAAGACAAATTATTCCATGTTCCTCTGGAAAAGCCCCAACAAATTCTCGATGTTGGCACCGGTTCTGGTATATGGCCAATAGAGATGGGTATGAAGTTCCAATCCTCGCTTAAGTATGTCATGTGTTACATCGATAGCTAATGTTCTTTCTACCGCAGCATCATTATTCCCCAACGCCACCATCACAGGAACAGATCTCTCTCCAGTTCAGCCCACAGAGGTCCCAGAGAATGTTCATTTTTTGATCGACGACGCCGCAGAAGAAGAATGGCTCTGGGACGCAGATCATTTCGACTTCATTCACATCGGACACATGTCAGGCGCCATGTCATCCTTCATAGACGTATTACGGCAATCCTTCAAACATCTCAAACCCGGCGCATATATAGAATGTCAGGAACTGGACCCGAAACCAAAATGTGACGACGGCACCATGCCACCAGAGAACCCAGATGGGTACAGTACTTACGCTCTGCACGACTGGTTCGATTTGAACATGCGCTCCAGCCAAGATGTTGAGCCATGTCGACAATTTCGAATTGCCCATCGTATTCAGCGCTGGATGAAGGAAGTGGGCTTCGTGGATATTGAGCAACGAAAATTCAAAGTCCCCACGAATACTTGGCCGACAGATGAGCATTTGAAGGCCATTGGAAAATGGAGTGAGAGCAATTGGCTGGAGGCCTTGTCTGGCTGGTCTTACAAACCCTTTCTTGCTCTGGGCTGGTCGAAACCTGAGATTGAAGTCTTCCTGGTTGATGTCAGGAAGAGCATACAGGATCGGAGTGTCCATGCCTACATGGATTACTATGTGGTGACGGGCCGAAAACCGCTCGCCACGAAAACATGATGAACTTCAGAGGAGATGAGACTGATCCCCTTTATGATGATATGGCCTATACACCGTTCGAAAATGTCTTCGCTGGGATGATAAGCATGATATACCATTGGCGGGCGAACAGCATGTTTTATGCATTACACTGGCGTCAGGTTTTGTTTTTTATCCAAATTTATGGATTCTCTTTTATCATCCATCTTACATTTGTTGCTTTATTCCCATTCATGAACCAGACCTGTACTTACGCATTTTGTGTTGCATTGTTCGGATTCCATTAGCTCTTCAGGCACAAAGACAAAATAGCTGGTGGACTTTATATTTTACGCATCACAAACAATAAAATAGAAATTGAACATTTCGTATCAAAATTCGAAGTTACTGTGATACTTCATGCTCATAAATTGGTGGAGTCTGATTGGTCAGTATGATTAGTCAGAAACGCCAAGAAATACGCTCGAAGCTGCATCCAAATGTTAAACGACCGTACATGATCCAAACACTGCAATTGGCTCGCGTATGCCATACCACGATCCATGTCTTTTAGTAGGCATGCCTACAGGCATGCTCTAAAAACCCCCTCGGCTCCGACTCTCGATCATCCCTGGGTCAGTGATGATCTGCTTGCAGCAACTTTCCGTCGCTTCGCCAACGGTCAACGACGACATGGCAGCTGCGTCCCCGGCCCACTGGAGGCGCGAAGACGACTTGCTCGGCGCCGGAATACAGCACTGGCTGGCTTTGGGGTATCTCCAGCGGAGGATATCGCGTGTCTATTTGGGCGAAATGGGAGAGAACATATGAAGTGGACTGACCACCCGTGGCAGAGATCGCATGTCGATACTCAAGGTATGTGGGACCGAAGCCAACGAGTCCAGCAGAATTAAGTTACTAACTACTTGAAAGATTTGAGTAGCTATGCTTTCGCAACCGCCGAGACTGCGCTACTCTTCTACGACCATAATCCCAGCATTGACCCGCGTATCCCGAAAGAACAAATTTTGACTTCGCGGCAAGAAAGTGAACCAACACAGGCGCAAATATTCGAAAAGTTCCTGGAAGGGAAAGATTGGGGAATTGAGGATGCTCGAGACTTCGCCCGTCGGTTGAGAATTGACCTCCACCGAGAGCCGGAATACAGTCGTCGGATTTTCGACAGTTTGCTTATGCGCTCAACGAAGGATTTGACGCAAGCAATAAAATTCCTGGATGACCCGTTTTTGAACGTTTGGGGAGCCGGTAACTACCTTGTCGCAGTGAATTTGTTTTTGCGAACGAAAACAAGGCGATCAAACCGGACCGCCGTGCTGAACGCAGTCTCCCGTGCCCTCGAGCTGGGATTGCTTGCATCGGATGAACTCTGTTCGATCTTAAAGGCTTTGCCGCATATCCTTGTTGAGCGAAACAAGACTCTGGCATCATGGGACCAGAAAGCATTGCTAAAGCACTACCGTGCTATGTGGCAGGCCATCGGACGTTGCAACATTCTGGGATATAGTGAATTAGAGAAAGAAATTGTTGATTCATGGCTTGAAGAACTCATGAGCATCGGCGACTTTCGTTTCGCGGGCGAAATTATTGTTGCAACTCACACTGCCAGGCACGATGTTCATTGGCCCTCGACCTTTATTTTGACATGGCTGGACAAATTCAGTGAAAATTTTTCGACGAAATCTAGCCAGTTCCCTGTGTCTTTGTTACAACGACTCGACCCTGACTGTGCAACTAATTGTCTTATCGACGTCACCGAACGCCTGGCCGCTGTTGAGCAGAAGCAGGATCGAGATCGACAGCTTGAGCAATGGAGAGATTGCCTATTGAACATGACTGACGCTTCGTCAATTGCACGTTCCCAAGTATGGTCAGATCTGACGCAGGCCTTCACCCAAAACCTCGAGGGGGTATTAACTGCCCTCCCTACGAATTCCAATCTACCTGTCCAACAGCAAATTGTACTTCGCTTATGGGTCTTGCGCACGTTGAGTCGATCTATGGGGCCCATGTATCACTCGCATGCCAGAGCAACTGATCGCTCTATCTATTTGTTGCTCAATCTGTACGAAACCACTATTTCGCAGACGGAAGGAGCTTTCCTTGCAGACCTATTGCATGGCATTCACATTCTGAACCTTCCATATAACGGCCTTCTTCTGCTCGCAGTTGACCTCAAGTTAAGGAAACTGGTCACCAAAACCACCCGCCACACCCTCGAACGACTTGAAACCTCTCAGGTCTCTTTGGCAGATCTCTGGACAGACCCAGCCACCTACAACGGAGTCAAGACCCTTTTCTACGGTTACTTTGAACGAATGTTCAATCGGCTGGATCTCTTGAGTCCTGAAACCACAGAAGAATGTCTTCGCCTCGCCAGAGTAGGTGACTCAAAAAGCATCTGGTCGATCACCAGGCTCCTGCGCAACCATACGCCATTCAAACTTTGTCTCCACAAGGCCTGGGTGCCCATGCCACATGCGGATGAGAAAGTTCTCGTCCGCTACCACCCCGGACCACGAGACAGCAGATGCCCTGATCCTTATGCTGCCGTTGAATTCATCCACCAGCTGGCTGTCGCATTCTCCTGCTGCCAGCAGTTGACTCCCTCTCGCTCCTTTCACCTTATCCACTGGCTTTACGACTACCTTCGCAAACATGGTGGGCCTGTCTACCCGTCTTTGGTACGGGCAATGTACCATGCTGGTGTGGTGCGGTATCGTCGTGAAGGACGACGCATTTCGCCTACTCAGTATGAGTATATCATGTGGATCATTGAGAAGTTTGAAGGACAGGATGTTGTTCGAGAGCTTCATGAGGGACCGCAGATTGGCCGGTCGAGTGCTGGTTCATATCATGAATAGATTCCTCGGATCCTTATGGCTGCTTTTGTACATTTAATAGATTTGTAAATTAGAGATACCATATCATCCGTTGGGACGACTGAATACATAGTACCATATACCATATCCAACTATTACTGTCATACGTGCTTCTCATTCCGAGTAAGTTGTGGATATAAAGAAATTTGATTGATTTCATTGATCGACTCGAATACTTCAGGTGTAGAGGCGTATCATTCCACAACCAGATCGAGCCAATCGTCTTTCATGAATACAACGACGGCAATGAGACACAAGCCCAGTGTATATTAAATCGCCCCAGGAAAATAAGACCACTAGCGTGAACATCACCTGAACCCTAACCCTCAACTCTCTAAACGTCAATATCCATATCTCCTGCAAGGTTGGAGTCCCCAGAAAGAGTCTCAATTGTCACATATTTCTTCATATCTTCCTTTGTGATGACCTTCTGGTTCAACCAAGCAGTAGTACCACGAGGGAAGCGGTAGTTCCGCTCCTTCTGTCCACGCTCGTTTGGCTTCTCATAATTGCGCATCAACTTAGTTGGCTTGTCGTTCTCAATGACGCAGACATCAACGTTGCTACCGGATCCCAGGTCATTGAAGATACCGGCCTTGATGGCCTCTGCACACAATTCAATAGCCTCCTGCTTGTTCAGATCGGGCTTCCACGTCGACTCAAACACCGACATAGCAGCCAAAGATCCGGATCCCATCGTCACATACGGCAGCTTATCTGTGGAACCGTGCGCGTGCACAGTGTACAGACCAACTCCGGTTGGGTCAACACCCGCGACAACCAGGTACGCGCCAATGTGACCTTGGTACCGGAAGAGGTGCTGCTTCAGCATGGTCATGCAGGTGATCACACGGGGGTCGCGGCCTGTCGATAGGGAGTGGAGTTCGACGTTCGAGCTGATCAGCGCGGTGGTAAATTCAGTGTCAGCGGCGGTACCGGCACCGGCACACCAGATCTTCGGGGCGATGTAGTGGAGCTTCTCGCAGTTCTATATTCCAGTGGCGGCGCTTTGTTAGCGGGGTGTAATCCGAGAGGCTTTCTGGTGTCATTTGACATTGTTTTTCGTACCTTGTCTGCTACTATGGGTCCGCTGGTGGCTCTGGTATCTGCTGCAATCTGTAGTTCCCCACAATATCATGTCAGCTTGCGGTCCGCCATTCCTGTCTTCGTTGGATTCTGGATTCTGGATCCTGGGTGACCGTACCACAACACCATTATCGAAAATGCATCCCACGATTGTTGTACCCGTACTGGTGGCTTTAGGGAGGGGAACGCCCCTGGCGTGAAGAGCCGCGTTGCGGTTGTAGTTGGAGAAGTCGAAACCTGGCATCGTGAAAATGCAGGGGTGGACCGTTTGGGAAAGGTATGGCTAGTTGACGTGTAGTAAGGAGATGTTTGCTGTATTCAATTTGGGAGGAGCAGATGGGGATAGGTAGGGGAGAGGAATCGATGAGAGCAAGCTGAGGAAGTTGAGAGCTGTTTGAAGTGACGAAGCTCCCGCAGCCTAGTTTACCTGAGTGGAGGGAAGGCGGTGAGGGGGCTTCAAACTATAGTCAAATTGACTATGTAATTACAATCTAAACACAAATAGAGACGTAAGAAATGGCAAAGAATTCTGTTTCTTTTATCTATAGAAATGGAAATCTGCAAGTATGCTCTTATACTATGCGCTTCAGACTGATTCCTCAAACCATGAAGATATTAAAGCTGTTGAAGCTCGTTGGTGCCTGACCCGCAAGGCAACACATAAGCAACCGCGTGTTTTTGCCTTCAACATTTTCGGGCATTCAGCATCTTCTCCGAGATCTGGCAGCTTTACTCTTCCTCCCATCGCGGACTCACAAGACCCTCACTCCTCTCTCTTGGTTTGGGGAGAGACTGCGTCACGATTTTTACGCGTACTCTACAGCTTTTCAACCGGAGTCCACAGGCACTCCCCCGACGCTCTTTCTCATCCACGCCTCCGAGCTCACCATCGCTCAATGCTTCCAGGACCAACTCACCTTTAGGCGACTCTCCTCGTACAGTATCCGCCGATCATCAGCGACTCAAAATGGCTTTCAATATTGTGCAATCTCACACTGGAGCCGAGCTGGGACCGGAGTTATCCGATGTCTTTACAGATGTATGTCTTCCATACAAGCTTTGATGACCCATGGTGGGTTATGGCTAACATTACATTTAGGAAGTCGGCTTCAAGGGCCTCTCTGGCGATGCGAACATTCGGTTCCTACCCACCCCTTGGTCCGAAGACTCCCTTCCCTCCCCGACCTCTTCTCTCCTAGCTGTCGCTCAGACTCAAGGACTGGTTGTTGGCGCCGGCCCTGACGCGCTTGTGATCGCAAGCACCGAGTCAGTCAGAAAGGCCATCCAGGTACCGGCAGGAGAGGATCAACAAAAAACGAAGCCGTTTCAGCCGCAAGCTACTATCCCTCTTCCCGCGCGGCCTACACATGTGGCTTTTACCGCGAATGACGATGCTTTGATCCTGGCCACAGAAAATGGCTCCCAATTATCCGTTTTCAAGACCTCAGACATTGTGCAAGGGAATGCGCAGCCGGCCATATCTATTCCTACCAACGGCGCATCGATTCGGGCACTTGCGCCGAACCCAGACCCAAACTCTACTCTTGTTGCTCTCGTCACTGCCAATGGCGAGCTGTTGGTCGCGGACCTGAAAGCTGGAAACCTAGTTTCAGGCGCCAACGGTCCATTACTGAGAAATGGAGTTAGCAGCGTTGCGTGGAGCAACAAGGGGAAGCAACTCGTGGCTGGTTTGGTGGATGGAACGGCGGACCAGATGACCCCCGATGGAACATCGAAGGCAACAGTTCCTCGTCCATCCGATTTGGAGGGCGATTGTCATGGTAATTCTTGATCTATTCCTCCCTCCCTTGGATATAGTTGCTAACAAGGGCCCAGTTTCCTCTGTCGCATGGCTTGAGAACGACGTGTTTTTCATGGTCTACACCCCGAGTGCTACTGACGATGGCAATGGACAGAACCCGCCATCATTTTACTACATAATTACGAGACGAAAGCAAGCACCTTTCCTCATTCAGAAACTCCCCGAAATTTGCTCCACCATGGGCTTCGGGATGAAGCGCTCACCTGCATACAATTTCACTGTCCGACTGCGAGACTATAAACCTGCTTTGAAGGACGTCTTGATCGTCTCGTCTACTGCATCTGCCGATGTTGGCCTTATAACCCGGTCTGAACAGCCCCTTGCCAGTGACGACACTTCCAAGGCACTTGTTGGCCAATTTACAACCACAGAAGTTAATGATGATGCCAAAAGAGCTTCTGTCCCATTGAAGGATTCTGTCGACGAAACTTCTGTGATTGGTCTTGCTGCAGACCTTTCTTGTAGTGAGAATGTCAATTCACCCATCGCGGGTGAGGAAATTCCAGAAAGCTCAACCCCTCTCCCTGGGCTTCTTCTTCTCAACAATGACGGCATGCTTTCCCACTGGTGGTTCATTTACTCTGATGCTATTCGTCAGAAAATTCCGTATGCTGGTCTAGTTTCAGGTGCTCAGACAACACCGGCAACCTCTCAAATTCAACCCCCTGCTGTTACCCCTGCCCCGGCACAGCAGCAATCCGCCTTTGGACAATCTTCGTTTGGCACTTCATCGGCTATGGGCTCATCTACCTTCGGTAACCAAGCAGGCGGTGCTGGCGGTACATCCTTTGGAAGCCCATCCGCCATGGGGTCGTCTACCATGGGCGCAACGGCATTTGGGAAGCCATCGTTTGGTACCCCGTCTCAAATGACTGGGGGGTCAACCCCAGCCTTTGGCAAGCCATCGTTCGGAACTCCTTCTCAGCCTGGTATTGGATTTGGCTCTGTGAGTACACCGGGTCAGGCGCAGTTCGGCAAGCCTGGATTCGGTGCCACAGGTGCCGCGGCGTCTCCTTTCGGACAGCCCAGCACCCCCGGGAAGTCACTCCTCGGAACGGGGGCTGGCACTGCTGGAGGCGGTTTCAGCGCATTCTCTGGTGGTGGCGGTGGAGGATTTAGTAGTTTGGCTGCATCCAAATCCACTGAGTCGCCGTTTGGTAAGCCTGCGGGACAGAGTGCCTTTGCCGCTACGCCAACGTCTTCGCCGTTTGGAGCCAAGCCACAAACCGACACAGCTTTCCTTCCCTCTTCCAAAGAGGTGAAGAATCCCTTTGGTGGTGGTGCTTCGGGCTTCACGCTTGGTTCCTCCTTTAAACCCGATGGCACGGCTGCTACCGATTTACCCAAGTCTGACACCAAGTCTTCGGGAGCGTTCTCCTTTGGTGGATCTTTCGATGATATGGTCTCATCATCCGATAAGACAAGCCCCCAGGCAGAGTCCATGGACGACGTTGAGGATTCTACTGTTGAAGCCCCTGCGCCGCCGGTAAAGACTGAACCGAAGACTATTTTCGGCAAGCCAGCTCCCTCAGCTCCCACTATGTTTGGGAAGCCGACGCCGGCCACAACATCGCCCTTTGGGAAGCCGGCGACGTCCACAACGTCCCCGTTCGGAAACCCACCGTCCACCACATCGCCATTCGGGAAGCCAACGTCTACCACCTCGCCATTCGGCAAACCGACGTCTACAGCATCTCCATTTGCAAAGACGGAAAGTAAAACTTCGTCGCCATTTGGCAATGCAGCCGCCAACGCTCCATCGCTATTTGGTAAGCCGACGTCTGAGCCTGCACCGAAGCCTACCAGCCCCGTCGAGACGAAGAAGCCGAGTTTCTCCTTGTTTGGAAACAATACATCCACTCAGAACACCACTCAGTTGTCCTCTCAAACAGAAATAACAAGCCCTCTTTCTGCGCCTTCTGACAAGACCGCGACACCGAAGAGAGAGCAGTCTGTTTCTACACCTACTTTCTCCTCGTCCTTTGATGCGCCCCTACCTCCTGATCCTACCAGCAGGGATAGTTACGGCCCAGGCGACACATCGGCGTCCTCCAATGTTTCTAAGAGCTCCATTGATGATGCACCACTCCCACCCGATTTCACTGTTTCAAAGAAACTCCCCCAGAAAGACGATGTGGCCGATGCACCACTTCCACCGGATTTCCTGACTCAAAAGAAATCCCAGAAAGTTGATGTCAGTGATGCACCACTCCCACCGGACTTCCTTTCCCAGAAAAAGCCTTCTCCCAAGGCTGAGGAAGCCCCGCTTCCTCCAGACTTTTTGAGCAAGCCCAAAAAGGCCGATGACAAGCCGTCTGTTCCTGAGGATGCCCCATTACCCCCAGACTTCATGAAATTGAAGCCTAAATTTGGCTCCGCGGAGGAGACTGTGCCCGTTCCGGATGAGTCGGAAGCAGAATCAGATGTCGTATCAGAGGCAGAATCAGAGGCAGAATCAGAGGCAGAATCAGAGGCAGAATCAGAGGCAGAATCAGGGGAGGGAGAATCAGGGGAGGGAGAATCAGAGGACGATGCCGAATTAGATGCAGAGGAATCGGACTTCACGGATAGTGGTGAAGAAATCACGCACGACGAGACAGAAATGCCAAGTCCTAAACACTCAGCACAGAGTTCTTTCGGAGGATTTTCCGACAAAAGCTCCCTCACTGGAGGCCTCTTCGGAGGAGGGTTCTCAAAGGCTGCCCCGAAACAAGCACAGCCTAAAAGTACACTGTTTGGAGAAATTCCGAAGCAACCTCTTCTTCCACCCCCTGGGCGCGCCGCTCCAAATACTCGTGAGCCTTATCGATCGCCAAGCCCTACCCGTGCCAAGCCGCAGAAGAGCACTTTGTTCAAAAACCGAAGTGAGAAGCCAGCTGGAAGCGCCTTGCATGCCCGCAAGACTTCCTTGACCCAGTTCGCTCAACGCCGTGGTGAACATTCGAGAAAGGCCAGTGATATTGCCCAAGAGGAGCAGCTTCGCAAACAGCAGGCTGTGCAACAACGCCATGAAGAAGAGGAGGCCTTGTCTCTTTCTGAAGATGATGAGGACGAGAGACTTCGTGCGGATCTTTCTCGGCCAATTGAACCTGCGTCTACACTTGATCCATTCCTCCCACACCAAAATTATATGGGTGAGACGGCCAAGCCGGGTATTCCAGGCATGATCGAACGACTTTACCGCGATATCAATTCTATGGTTGATACATTGGGTATCAATTCTCGATCCATGGAATCCTATCTCTTATATCAACAAAGCTCCCAAGCCCTAGGTGTTGACAAATTAGTGGATATTCTGCAAAGCGACCAGCCCGCCGATATTCTGGATCAAAAGCTGTTTTTGCAAGATATTAATAAACTTGACGAGATTGTCGCTTCCCTTGTTCGCTATCTCAGTGAGCGGCGTGTGCAAGGAGTGGAGGAGAAGCTTGACCAATGTCGTGAGCTACTGGCCAAAGATATTGTCACCCTTCGTGGACAATGCGCCAGTATTCGTAAGACTTTAGACGCACACACAGACACTGGTGCCATCCTCGCTGCACCACTCTCTGCGGAACACGCTACCCTGCAGCACGATCTGCGAACAACCTTCACAGACATTCAGAGCAAGATGGCAGATCTGGAGCAGGGCGTTTCTTTGTTGCGAGCCAAGATTGCTGATATTCCCCGTGCCAACAACAACGCACGGCAGTCGAAGCGACCAACGGTGGAAGCTGTTACTAAGACCATCGCCACTATGATGAGCATGGCTGAGAACAAGAGCAGTGACATCGATGTCCTAGAGGCTCAGATGCGGAATCTCGGTATTGACTTAACCACTGCTGGCACCAGCAGCCGTGAGGGATCGCCCTTTACTACCCCCCGCAAGAATACCGTTCGATTCCCCAATACGCCTGGCTCGGGCTCAATCGATAACAGCGCCTATCACACCCCTGAGTCTGCTTCTCGCGGTGTCAATTTCCGCACCAGCATCAATGGCTCTGCGAGACACAGCCGTCTTCGCAGCGTTGAAAGCTTCGCTCCTGTGCTTGTCCAGGAAGAGAGTGCTCGCTGGAAGGTGAAGACACAACGGCGTCAACAGCTTGTTGGTAACCTGAAGGCGGCCATTGAAAAGAAAGAGATCAAAGTCCGAGGCGTGGATGACCTTTAGGAAGGGTACTGATCTTTGGTTTATCGGAGCGAAGGGAAGAATTGGGCATTTTTCTACTTTAATTTTTTTTCTGTGCTAGCGTGGTTTACTGGGTACGGGAGGGTTTGAAATGAAAGAACCTCGATCCCCCCAAGGGAGTGTACATAGTTTGTCAGCTATTTCTATTTCCTGCAGTTCATGATATGCGTTGACATGTTTTCCGGCATGCTTAATGATGATGAAGACCGGAAAGCCTTGACATCATTTTTCCGTGTGACATCACGTTTAGTTCAACAGTAAGCTTCGAAACAATTACATCTGCATTTACAATCATTACGTGTCAGCACTTCCTCTCTATTCCATTCCTCGCTACGGACCCATGTCTCAAACAATCAGCGAGTTCATCTTCTTCAAGCTTAAGCTATCCGTCCGGCCTGAAGACCCGAGTAACGAGGACGGCCAAAAGCTACTGACTATATTTCGCAACACCCAACACGAAAGCGGGCACCAAAGTTCCGCATGGGGTCGTGCAGTTGAGGATGAACATACCATGGTATGGGCAATAAGTGAGTAATCTAGAATCATGATTTGAGAAGAAAATAACATTGATATTATCAAACACATCTACGTCTCTACACATGGGAGATCAGCTGATTGGATTATAAGATTGGACCGACGCTCGTGGCTCCGCAAGCACGGAAGTCCTCACCCCATACCTTGAACCAGATTCTCAGCCGCCAACGGCAATCTACGCAACTCTCAGCCCATCCCTCTGCAGCGCCGAAGCACTAACCGACGGTCCAGTAACAGAGCTATGCGCATTACCATTCGCGAGCTCGCTGTCCGTTCCTGAGAAAAAGCAGCTCAATGCAGATTTTATCAATTTCCGCAAAGCATTGGTCGAGCAGCTACCAGAGGGGTCAGGCCCAAGGTCATGGTCGATGGGGCATGTGGATCGACCAAGTGTGGTACAACATGCGAAAAGTCCAAGCGGGCAAGCAGTGCTCCATTTCCTGGTCATTGGATGGGAGTCTGTTGATGCGCACAAGAAAGCTACAGAGACGGAGCTGTTTGTCTCCACTATCTCGCCTATTCGTGAAAAGTTGTTGGGACCTATCCCCGGGCTGGAGATGAAGCATGTCAGTTTTCATAAGATCAAGAAGTGACGGACTGATTTGTTGAGGGCTTGATGGAGAGGGGCATGTGAATTAGATAAAGCAAAGTTTTGGATTTCATATGAATGAAAGTGCTGCCTTTGGGTTTCTTGACAATTCAATGTCTCCGGGAGTCAACTGGGAGTGGGTTGGTGATGGTAAAAGCAAGTTCAGGGCTACGGGTATAAAGGGGATGGTGATGGGGCCAAATTCGTGGGATTGGTAATTAATAGGCAAGGTTTCAATCACACGCCTCGAATAAGATACAGCGAGAAAAAAAGGGGAAAGAAAAACGTCAACACCCGTGTGAGTTTGAAGATAAGAAAGGAAAACACAGCGATAGGAAGAGAATCATCGTAAACCACCGTGGACTTTTTGGGCTTGACATTGGCCAAGCTCCCAAGGTAGAAGAGGAAAATATTCGGACTTAGACGCGGTGCTTCTCGCTCTCTGGATCGGGGGTCAGACAAAACATCTATAATTTGGGGTTGGAGGTTTACGCACCAAGTCGGGAATAAAGCATGTACAGAGCCATCTGGTTGCACTCCTGAGTGCCAGTAATGGTCACCAGACGCTCATTGCTGCTCTCTTGCGGCTCGTTGATCTTAATCACACTGCCACTGAGATGGCGTATTTCATTAATCTTAGCGCCGCCCTTTCCAATTATGGCTCCCACCATATCGTTAGGAATGAAAATCTGCTGTGTCATTGGCTGACCGGGCATAGCCGCACCCACCGGAGCTGGTGCAGGCGGGCCTCCACGACCAGGAGTAGGCTGAGGACCACCCACGTAAGGAGTAGGCTGGTGAGGAGCACCTCCAGCGTAGGGAGCTGGCGCAGCACCATAAGGCATGGCAGGTTGGACAGGTGCCGGAGTCGGTTGCATATACGGAACGCCGTAGGCACCTGCTTGAGCACGGTTGGCGTGGGGGTTGTGACGTCTCAAGGTTTCAGGGTGTCCGTACTGGCCACCGGTGGGCTGGGGAACATAGGGGGCGACCTGCATGCCACCAGGGACAGCACCGGCGGGACCACCGCTGCGGGTAGCGTATGCCGAAGCAGCAGGGCCGTTGAACCGCTCAGTCAGTTGCTCCACGAGTGTGACGGCAACGTAGTAGGTCGCAATGTGCACAGCATCCGCAACACCCAGGATAACGAGGGAGCGCTCGGTCGAAAGAGGCAAGCAGCTATCCGAAGCGTTGAGACGCGCGCCAGATGCCTCCTGGATCTCACGAATGCGGCTGCCACCTTTACCAATAATGGAGCCAATGAGAATGTGCGGGATTAGCAAACGCAGCGGGTAGGTCTTGGACTGAGCAGTGGAAGCTGCCTCGAGGGGTTCATTGTTCAGGGTACGAATGATCAGTCCAAATGCCTAGTATAATCAGCATCAAGTTCGGAAATTGAGAATGGAACCAGAACCTACCTTGGCCACCGCATCCTGGAGGCCGCTCACGGTCAAAATCCGCTCGACGGCCCCCCGAGAATAATCGCTGACGGTGCACTTGGCACCAGACAGACGGCGAATTTGGGAAACGTTCTCACCTCCCTTTCCAATCACTGTAGCTGCCTCCTGGCTGGAAATCACGGCCCGGATGTGAATCCAGTTCGACTCATCTTGTGGGGTATGCTGCTCGGACTGGGAGCCAGCCCGTTCACCGTGAGATGCAGTGGACTGGATAGGCTGAGTCTCAGAGTGATCCTTGCCGTTGGGCGCATCGGGGACGACCGTGTCGCCTTGGGTGTCCTTGGAACCATCGATGGTTGGAATCTGATTGCTTGACACGTCCGTCTCGGCTTCGGCATCGCTGCGCACTACTTTGTCCAAGGCGGGTCGCTTGGCCTCGGGTTGGTCGTTGGGGGCCGAGGGGGAGGAAGGGTCCTCGAGAGGACGCTTGGTCGACTGAAGGTTGGAAGGAGAAGCCGACATGATGTTGATAGTACAATCTGCTGTACTGTCTTCACTTACGTGAAAGAAGTCGAGTGTCACGAATGAAATCTGTTTTCTTTTTTATGGATCGTCTATTTACACCAGAGGTTCCCACGGAAAACGTGCTGGTGCTGGTGCTGGCGATCGGGGAAGGGGAGCGGGTGCTTATGAGGTTTGAGTGGAAAAGATGTGCTGTAGAGTCGACGACAAAGTGCAGATCAATGGTGGTGGGGCCTTCCAAAATCCAAGGGAAGCGTCTTCTTTCCTTTTTGCTCTAGATTCCCTTCCGGTGACAATGGAAGCTGTCGGGGGCTGGGGAAATATTTGAGGGGATGGAAGCGAAAAACGGTGAAGGGAGGTGTAGTAGGGCCGTGGATGCGACGGGGGTTGTGCAAGGATAGGGCGAAACTAGGAAAAACCAGGCAATAAAGAGCTGTGCCACTCCAAACCAGTGTCGCCTTAAAGAGAATAAGAAGACACGAAATGAAAAAAAGGAGACCAGAAAAGCTTTGGGGGAGTGACGGGCGTGGGGAGAAGGGGGTGAGGATGATGGAGAGAGATGAAGCGGAGAGAGATGAGCTTACTTGTTACTCGAGCTAATCCCAAAACAGCCAGATCACGTGGTATCAACGCGACGCGAGTTTGTACTTATCTTAATCTACTTTAATACTCTAATCTTTCATAAATCTCTTCAAGTCTACAAGAAACGAAAAAATGGAAGTCTCCGAAGAAACCGTGCGGAAGATCCAGAAATTCGCTGCCAATCGTTCAGCAGCGGAAAAAGAGTCCACAAGCCAAACTCTTCCTGCAACGGCCCTGCATGCCTACGCACGACGTTTAGATGGGACCCTGCGAGAGCTCCAGGAGCAGGTTCGGCGCCAGGAAGATGATCTCAAGAAGGTAGCATTGATGTGCAGTGCTTAGTTTTAAGTCAGTCAGTTAATATCTTTCTAGCTTCGGGAGATTCGTTCGCATGGCCTCTTAGAAGACGAGAACGACCCTTGGGCACGTGTCTCCCATGCACGACGGGCCAAAAAGGCATATGATTCATTGCTCCAAACTGAAGAAGAGCTTCCAGTTACAGACTCTGCTCTGCCTTCGCTGATGGCTACCGAGGAGACATCCAGACTCATTAAAGATAGCAAGGTCTCCGTCTTCGTAACGGCACAGAAGCTATCTGAAGATCGTGAGCAGCTTCGGATCGAGGAGGCTAATTTACGAGATTCTCGCGCGATTTCAAAAGGACTGCGAGAACGACTCCAACGGATCCGCAGTGCCAATGACCGAAAGCAAGAACAAACGCCTTCACAAGTAGCCCAAGAAGTGCTAAGGGAGCAGAAAAAGAAAAATAAGGAGCTGGAACGGGAATCTGAAAGCCTCACAGACTCATTGAACTCTTTTATTGACGAGACCTTGGCGCCTATGCTTGCTGCGGAGGATCTTGGCGGCCCGACAGTGGGGGATGCCTTGGAGGTATCTGACGCAACACTCAACGCGGGTTATACCGCCCATGGGAAACCAAAGAAACAGAAAGTGTCAACAGAGAATGACGGGCAGCAGCGGATCGATAAGTTTGTGCGACGCAACAATGATGGTTCGAAGCCGACGAAGAAACGGGAAGCGGCTGCAGCCGAGGTCCATGAACTTTTGGATGCTCTGCTGGAAGCGGGCACATCCTATGTGGTTTTGGAACGGGACTCGGCTATTTCGCGGTTTCTTGTGAGAGCTAAAGTGGCCCAATTTCATCCACGAGATGCACGGCGCCTGCGGTTGATAGACTTCGGGCGCTCGTTGGCCGGATAGTTGGAAATGGGAGCATGAAAAAATTTTAAGAGGGGGAAAGAAGATGGCATTATGTCTACTTATATCCTAAGGGTAGGTGTACAAAAGAAATGGAACGTGCCTAGTGCCTCGTGCCTTATTCCATGGACAAAATAACACGTTCTGGGGAATGAAACGCCTATAAATGCTTCCTGCACGTAACGCCAAATCATGAAAACTCCACAGAAAATACAAGTTCAAACAGGCATCATTCCAATCGTAGATTTCGGTGTCTTGGCTTTCGTAGAGGTTTTTCGAGGGGCAGCAGAGGCTCGGCCTGCACCACGACTGCCACCCGCGGGGGTCTTGGATCTGGCGCCTTTCGCTTTCCAGCTTCCTGTGGAGCCGCCACCATTTTTCCGGCGAGGCTTTTTGGTGAATGGGCGTTTGCGGCCTCTGGAGCTAGAATCAGCTGGCCCATCGTCATCACCAGGGTCAAAGCCCGGGGATGGCGGAGGTGGAAAATATCGGCTGGTAATATCCTCGGTGGACTCCTCGGGGTGCTGGCCGATATCAGAAGTAGATGCTTGGTCTGCGAAAAGATCGTCACCGTCGCTGTATTCATCGCTGCTGCTGAGGTTGATGACATTGTGGTGGTTGGGATCAGGAACGACACCATTGGACTCGGCCTCTTGTGTCAATTCCTGGTAACGCCGTTTTGCATTGTCTATCAGTCTTAGGATCTGGCGACCATATCGTTTGACTTTGTCTTGGTCGATGCCCGGGAGAGCAGCAAGCTCTGAGGGGTCTAGTGCAAGCATTGGTTAGAAATTTCTCAAAAATTTGGCCTGGGGTCGAAGGTTACCTTTAGGAAATGAGATAGCCATGTCGCGCAAAATGTGATCCGGGAATGGCTGGGTACGAAGACCTTTCTCAACAACGACCTTCCAAAAGTGGTGAGCAGCTGGTTTTGATGAGAAACTTTGGGGGAACTTACATCTTGGAGATACCTCTTGGCAGTAACCTCGAAATCCTCGACAACAGCACGATGAAGATGATCGAGCCGATCCATCTTCTGGTCAGTAGTAATAGGTGGGCCTAATTCACGCACGTTGCCATGTCGCTGCTTTCCAGTTACTCGGATCGGCTCGAAACCATCACTCTCTTCCCCTTCCGAGGAGTCAAGGCGCACCCCGCGTTGAGAGCGGGCCTGTCGACGGTCATTGGCAGATTGGATGGGTGATGACACCATTGTGGATTGAGGGTGGCCAGCCTTCGCTCTCGCGGTTGGCCGTATCGCTGGAGCTTTACCATTGGGAGAGACGCGCACTTGTAGCTTCATTTTGCGCTGGCCACTCTCGAATTCGGTAGCACGGCGGCCAAGTTTGAGATATTGAACCGCGAAGTCCTTGCCATTGATGACATTGTCTTCTGCGAGGGCGTCTTCGCCCAATAAACGATAGAAAAGTCGTTCTGCTTCTCCCCTGTCAAGAGCAGATCCCTTTCCATATCCAGGACATTGTCGATGTGAAGGTGACTTGGGTCTTTTCAAATCGCCACGAAGGACGTCAACACAGTAGAGAATAGTAACCTTTTCACTTAGGTTGACACTGAAATTTCGCACAATCTTGATTGCCCATGATGCGTATTCTGAAAAGTCATGCTCTTCAAAAACAAGATCGGACTTGCAATTATCACACGTATCCCCACAGTCCTCCCGACGAAATTGTTCGTTGAAATAAGCGAGCACTTGTACACGCCTGCAGTCACTGCGGTTTTCACAAAATTGGACAACGTTACGAAGCATGTGCTTTTGTCGAGCCTTTTGTTCATAACTCCCTTCGCCTGAATCAATCATCCGCTTGAGCAACATTGTGTCTTTGTAACCATAATAAAGATAGCATCCGGAGCGTTTCCCATCGCGGCCAGCACGACCAGTCTCCTGGTAGTATCCTTCGAGGCTTTTTGGAATACTGTGATGGATCACGAATCGCACATCGGGTTTATCGATTCCCATTCCAAAGGCGATGGTGGCAACAATAACATGGCATCTGCCCATTTGCCACTGGTTCTGTACCTCCGCTTTCTTCTTCGATGCCAAGAGGGCATGGTAGTGTTGAGCTTTGATCTTGTACTTTGTGGTGAGTTCCGCTGCCACAGTTTCGCACGTCTTGCGCGAGAGGCAATAAATGATACCGCATTGGTTTCGATACGAGCCAGTGATTGTCTCGGCAATGCTAGCCAAGAGTTCATCATTCTTCTTCTTTGGCCGTACCTCGTAGGTCAAATTAGGACGATTAAAGCTTTGTAGGAACACCTCGCATCCGCTCATCTTCAGATTATGCATGACATCCACCTTCACATTTTCCGTCGCGGTAGCAGTCAAGGCCATGATTGGTACACCAGGAAGTTTTGCTCGAACTTCACCTAATTCCTTGTAGTCTGGTCGAAAATCGTGTCCCCATTGGCTAACACAGTGCGCCTCGTCAATGACCAAGCGCGCAAGCCTGTTTCGATGATTGAGTTTCTCGAGTGCTTTAACAAGTATCTGGTTCTTGCTAAGCATTTCCGGTGTGATGTATAACAGCTCAATACCCTCCCCGCCATTTGACAATTGATCAATAATATGAGATCGCTCAGCCTTGTCGGTGTCGCCATTGATCAAGAGGGCGTTGATATTCAGCTTCTTCAGGTGGAACACCTGATCTTGCATCAAACTCAATAGGGGAGAAACAACAATGGTCACGCCCCTTGTGCGACCGGTCTGAACAACTGAGGGAAGCTGATAACACAACGACTTCCCTCCGCCGGTAGGCATCAGTATGAACGTGTCTTTTCCACCGAGGGTTGCGTCAATGGCCTCAAGCTGGTTTGGCCGGAAGCCACGAAGGTGGAACTTATCCTTGAGAACAGTTCTCACTTCGTGGGACCAAGCATAATTAGACCAGAAACTGCTTCGGGCGGGTGACTTCATTGGCGGGGGCATCCGAGAGGTGTTCCCAGAGGTCTCGGCAAATACTGGACGATCCTGGATGTTTCTGTTACTGAAAGACGTCGGCGTTTCTTTGTTAAAGCTTCCAGCAACCTCCAGCATATCATCATCGCTCTCATCCCAATCGAAATCATCCAGGTCCATTGATGGTGAGCCCATGTTTCGAGAAACACGGCTATTGTCGCCACTTCGCGCGGCAACGCTCTGCCCAACCCGGGGAAGAAATTTGTCGCTGCTCGCTTTAGGGCTAACGAAAGAGGTGTGCTGTTTTGGGGGTGAAGAGCCCCTGGTAAACTCGAAGTCTTCAAACTGGTTCTTGAAACTATGAGGGTCGGAATGAAGGTCACTGGACGTTGGGGTATCACGATCTGAAGCCGTGACCAAATCAAATATCTTGGCCCGGGGAAGAAGCTCGTGAATCTTCGTCTCAATTTTTTCCAGCTCTGACTCAACAGCTCGACTTTGTGATAGCTCCGGCATGCTTGTTGGATCAAGGCCCTTGGAGATCAGGCCGATGATTTTCTGCTTTAATTTTTCTTTTCGCGAAACGCAGCTATTGTATGCCCCCTGTTGGTTCTGCAAAGCCTCAATGGCTTGGATTCGTGAGACAAGCATTTTGTTCTCTGCGATGAGATCTGGAGCGGGCTGGCCTTCCATTGCCTGCTGATATACAATCTCGGAGTTCTTTTGCAGTGTCTGTCTCAGCTGCCGAATGGAATCCCCGATAGAAGTTGATGAAAGGGCTACAAACTTCAGAATAGTCTGGTCTTTGGGCTGTGAGCTGGGGGCCTTGAGCGGAGTGGATGACTGAGAAGCTTTCGTGGCTTTAGATAGATTCGTTCGTTCCATTCGAGTCTCCGTCTGCGAATTTTGTGACAACTTGCGACTTGGTGGGCGTTCAAGGAGTGGCCCTCCCGTGCAGTTGCGCTTCTCATTTTCTGCCGGGCTAATCTGAGGTAGTTTGGGATACAGTACTGGATCAGCGTCCAAAATCATATCATCCGCATCCTCTCCCCATGTTTCAAATAGATCATCATCGTCGTCAGAGCCGGCAATGACATGCTTCCGGCGGCTATTCGTAGGAGACGGAGAATCGGTTTTGAACTGTTTGGCACTATTCAAAGGTTTTGTCCGGTTTGACGTCGGAGGGAATTCAGAGATCGAGCCTTTCGGGGCGGTTCGCACTTTAGAAGCATTTTTCGAGAGTGAGTGAAGGTCTGATGTGTATTCATCGCTCTTCCGCTTCTTTCCACGCTTTTCGCCAGGTGGTTCACATGCTGCAGCTGCAGAGTCTCCATCCCATAGTCGGCGTGATTCTCCAACATCTGTTACCGAGGATGAAACGAATCTCACCGGGTCTCCTGTGAGATCAATGGCTTCCACCGTGTCAAAGGAAGGTGTTTCTGGCTTTCGGTTCGATCGAAGTGGGGTTGTTTTGAGTTTCGACGCGAAAGAGGAACGCGGTGGCTCTAGATGGGACTCTATGTGTACCAATGGTTGTTAGAAAGCTTGTGCAGTTTCCTTATCATCATAACCACGCGTACCTGGCACCAGGGCTGTTGTCAAGAACGCCTTTTTCGATGTTGAAGGAGGCTCGTCTTTCCATGTTTCCGGACGGCTGAATAACCGAGGTGTCCTTGTTGACAATGAAGATTGCAGTTTTGCCATATCTTCAATTATAACATCGTCAATTTCCTCGGCATCCTCAATAATCGCATCCAAGAACCGGTTTTCGTCGGAGGTCAGAGGGGGCTGTTGGGAGACACGCTCGTGTTGTATGGGAGCAGATTCAGTTGACAACGACGGGTGCAAGCAGGGGCCTTGAGTAAGCAGCCATTTGAGATGTACAGCAAGATTATTCTTCGTCATGGGGGCGTAATAATCTCATGGCGTTATGGCGATTTCACGGTTTTCGACTGAACAGTTGATCGTCGCGAAACGCCGGAGCGACGCGTCTTGCACGTGAGCGGTCAGAGCTTATCGCATTATCACATTGAAGTCACCATCACAATGCCAAATTCCTAATATTGGGATGATTATGTTTTGATTTTTGATAATTTTGATAAATTATTATAACTCAATAACTAACGTGTATTATGAAAATACGTCTTTTAATTCCAATGGTTATGTTTCGTATAGTAATCAGCACTTACTAGGAACTAGATCTGGCGGGATATTGTATGTGGGGAAAAACCTTTTTTTTTCTATGCCCCGCCAGGACCTGCACGCCTGCAAAAAACCCGTGCAAAAAGTCCAATCCCAGCATGGGCAAGAAAGACAAAAAGTCCGCCGAGCATAAAGCTCGAGTGGCGGCTAAGCAGTCTAAAAAAACCGCTCAAAAGGAAAAGAAGTCCAAAGTTAAAGGCAAAGATGTGGACAGTGACGCCGAGGACGCCGATCTGGATGCCATCTTGGCTCAGTACGCCGAAGAACAAGCCAGGTTTTTGAAGGTTACGGAGATTCCCTCGGAGCCTCCTGCGCCACGCTCGTCGGCCACCGTCCTTGCGTCCCCGTCTAATCGAAATGAATTGTTGCTCTTTGGCGGCGAGTACTTCGATGGAACACATGCAACTTTCTTCAATAACCTCTTCGTTTATTTGATTGATCGTGGTGAATGGAGGGAGGTGACTAGTCCTAATAGTCCTTTACCTCGAAGTGGACATGCATGGTGCCGTGGAGGTAACTCTGGAGGTGTATACCTGTTTGGAGGTAAGATAATCCAAATTTACATATATGCCTTTCCCTGTGCTGTGGCTAAAACATCTTTGCAGGTGAATTTTCATCGCCCAAGCAGGGAACATTCTACCACTACAATGACTTTTGGCATTTAGATACGGTCACTAGGGAATGGACCCGCCTTGAGACCAAGGGCAAAGGCCCTCCGGCTCGAAGTGGTCATCGAATGACTTACTACAAGGTACTGCGAAGCTGATATATCTCTATAGCACAGAAGAGGCTAATCGATGTATAGAACTACATCATCTTGTTTGGTGGATTCCAAGACACTTCCCAGCAGACCAAGTACCTGCAGGATCTGTGGATCTACGATTGCCAGAAATACACTTGGTTCAATCCAACTTTGACAACGGCATCGCAGAAGCCCGACCCGCGATCTTCATTCTCTTTTCTTCCGCATGAAACTGGTGCCGTGATCTACGGTGGCTACTCTCGAGTTAAGGCAACCAGCGGCGGTGGAGGCGGCAAACAAGTCAAGGGTGGTGCTCAAAAAATGGTGTTGCGCCCCATGGTTCATCAAGACACCTGGTTCCTTAGAATCACACCTCCAGCACCAGAGGCACCGGCAGCTGCTGGTCCGACAATCCGCTGGGAGCGGAGAAAGAAGCCCGCCAACACACCAAACCCGGCTCGTGCTGGAACAACGATGGCGTACCACAAGGGGCGCGGTATAATGTTTGGTGGGGTGCATGATGTCGAACTTAGTGAAGAGGGCATTGACAGCGAGTTCTTTGATTTGTTGTTTGCATGGAACACAGACCGAAATCGATTCTTCCCCCTGAGTCTGCGACGACCACGTGCCCCTGGCAAGAAACAACAGGCGAACCAAGGTGCGAAGTCGCGAAACAGAGGCAAGGCTGACGAGGAAGAACTTCTAAGAAACCTCAAAGCACTCGAGGCTAAGGGGGGAATTCCTGATGATGACGACGATGATGAGATTATGCAATTGAGCACACCTAAAGAGGAACCTGTCGAGCCTGCCAAACCCGCAGTAGTCCGCTTCGAGATGCCCCACAGGCGCTTCAACGCACAACTTGCGGTGCAAGATGACACCCTATTTATCTATGGCGGTACATTTGAAAAGGGCGATAAGGAGTTCACATTCGATGACATGTACTCTATTGATCTCGTCAAGCTGGATGGCGTCAAGGAATGCTTCTATAGGGAGCCTGTCAACTGGAACCTCATGGATGATGAAGAGGATAGTGATGAAGATATGGACGACGATGATGAGGAGGATGAGGAGATGGACGACGAAGAAGGCGATTCTATGTCTCTTGATGCCCCATCGACTGCCCCAACTGACGTGACTGTGCCGTCAGTTACCCAAGATATGCAGCAACTTGACGTCGAGGAACAAGAAACCGACGCCCAACCCGACGACAGCCGGCCATTGCCTCGACCTTTCGAGAGTCTCCGTGAATTCTTCAGCCGTACGTCAGAAGAATGGCAGAACCTGCTCATCGAAGCAATGAGGATGAAAGGTCAGGGTGATGAGAAGAGTATCAAGGAGTTGCGGAAAGCTGCATTCGATATGGCAGAGGAGAAATGGTGGGATAGTCGAGAAGAGATCATGGCTCTTGAGGATGAACAAGAAGCAGCCGGTATCGGAGAGGTGGTTAGCATGGCTGATCGGGCTGAGAATGCGGGAGGAGCTGGTCGCCGTCGGTGATAAACTCAGAATAAAAGTATGCGCATTAGTAGAAATTTTGAAGCTTTAAACATTCATTGCCTTCAAGAATGGTTGTTCTGTCTGTGCCAACTAATAAGTTATGTTTATTTTTGGACCACTTATCTCCGAATGCGAATGCACTGTAATGTAGATTGACCCTCGACCATAATTAGCACAATTAACAGGAGGCTAGCCAAGTCTCGATTTAATAGAGAAAAAGCGCCGTACTGGCGGTAGACAACATCGACGTAGGGCTCGTTGTAGGATGGTCCGAAGCTGGACGTTTGCGGCGCGTGGATTTATCGTACTTGCTTCATGGGAAGTATAGTCAGATTAAAAATGATAAAGAATATTCCTCAGTCCGCTTGTTCGGTGTCCCAATTAGGTTCTAAAGACGTTGTGGTCGGTGTTGATGTTGACATTGACGTCGGTCGGCGAGTCGGAGCTCCCCAAAGGCGGACAAAACATTGAATGTGTCCGCCTGCGTGGCCCTTCCAACCATCTTCAACGTTCAACTTCCCCTCCCCCTTTGGATCATTTTTCGATGTCCTAAATATGATGAGATGCAGCCTGCAGTCTTTGTATCAATTTGACGTCCGACATTGGCACCATGAGCCTTGATCCAAGTGCCTTTCCGAGGTCGAATTCCCCCGCAAGCTCCGAGAGCTCCTTGACGCGCACGCGCTTACAGGGAAAGGAAGGTTGGCATTTCCTACCAGAAGACTATGATGTAGCGCAATATTTATCTGATATTGTCATTAAACTCTAGGATCCCTCAAGAAGGACAAAAACTATCGCCGCTATGCATCAAGTGTCGAACGAGCGCTATCATTATTCGACAACGCCCTCCAAGAATGGGCCGACTACATCTCTTTCCTGAGTCGCCTGTTGAAGGTGAGGCATGAGACCTACACAACTGTACTGTACTCGATGACTGACCATGGAATAGGCACTCCAAACACACCCGCCAGATCAACCTGTTGTACCCCATAAGGTGCTAGTTTCGAAGCGACTTGCGCAATGCTTGAATCCGGCATTACCGTCCGGAGTCCACCAAAAGGCTCTCGAAGTATATACCTACATATTTGGGCTGATTAAGGTATGTGCCGCGGAAGATTGAATCATGAAAGCATTGTTGACTAACTGTCGGGATGTCTATCTTAGCTTGAGGGACTGTCGCACGACCTGCCTTTGTACTTGCCTGGTCTTGCGCCAACCCTGACTTTTGCCTCGCTCACCGTTCGTCCGCTTTTTCTGTCATTAGTGGAGGGCTACATTGTCGATTTGGAACCATGGGCCATTCGACCAGCCCTGAAAGCAATTCTCTTGGCCTTGCTCCCTGGCCTGGAAGAGGAGACAAGTGACGATTTCGAGCCGACGCTGCGAATCATCAACAAGCTTCGTGAAGTCGGTGGGCGGCTTGAGACTCAAAAAACATCCGAAACCGGGGCTTCTGGGCAGTACTTTTGGCAATGTCTGTTCCTCGCATCGATTACGAATCCGAGCCGACGACTTGGTGTCCTGGCCTATTTAAACCGCTACCTACCTAAATTGGGCACTGCGAGCCGTCGTCAGAGCACGGCCGATGCTAGCGGTGCTAGCGATATACCTCCCGAGATGCTAGCAGCAGCTGACTCCGTCATACTCCCGGAGCCAGGCTTGTTGATCCGTTGTTTTGCATCAGGTTTGTCCGATGAACAACTCCTGGTCCAGCGAAATTTTCTCGATCTTCTTGTAACTCATTTACCATTGAATTCCCCGATCTTACAGTCTCGAATCACGGCCCGTGACCTCGAAACTTTGATCGTCGCTGCAGTGGGTGTGGTTACTCGAAGGGATATGGGGCTAAACCGCCGACTCTGGGCATGGTTCCTTGGCCCTGAGCCTACAAGTGACCGTGAGCGTTCATCTGTCGATGGCCAGAAGGGCTCGGAGATAAGCCACGTTTCCGACGCTAAGGAGCTTTCACAGTCTCAATATTTCAGTCACGTGGGGCTGCAGCCATTGGTAAATGGTCTTCTCAAGATGATAAAAAATGGGTCTCAGGTTCCTTCTGAGAGGACGAAGCCCTTCCGTATCGCTCTGTCCTTGATGGACCGCTGGGAAATCGGGGGTTATATCGTGCCTGCAGTATTTCTTCCCACGATTCGCAGTGTTCAGACATTCGAAAACGAAGCCCCCAGGAACCAATTCGAGGAAGTGTTCCGCAGCGCTAGTGCCTTTTTTGATGGCGTGGAAAGTAGTGTCATCTTCTCGGAGCTCTTGGGCTTGGTTGATTTCCGCTCGAACGATGTGGAGCGTGACCCCGACCAAGTCTTGCGAAACCTTGATCTAGCTCGGTTTATCATTGATAATTTCAATGTGCGAGAAGAAGACATGCTTCAGATACACGTTCCTTTGTTAACGCTGTCAGTGCTCGTTAGAATGCGGGAAATCTCTTTGCATATGCCCTCGCCGGGAGCCAGCATTGATAAGCAAGCCGTGTCGCTTGCGCTGAATGGTGTGCTGAAGTCATTGATTCCACTACTCACCGAGAGAGTATTCTCCAGAAAGACAGGCCATGAGAAATCCGCTGCTGATACCAAGACTCGAAATCATGACATTTTGAAAAAAATCCATAGCTTCTATGAGAGCAGCAAACACAGTCTCGATCTACCTCCTCTCCCATTTGCCCCGAAGCAGATCAGTGAGATGATCATACGCGAAGCTCATGATTTATCTGTTGAAGCCCTCGAAAGCGACGATAACACATCATGCCTCCACGACAAAGTCGACATCCTTGTAAAATTGCTTATGAAGCTGCCAAAGTCGCGTGTGCTCCGCGATAGGCGGCTCTACGGGGCACTGTCTCGAAAATTAAGCGACAAGAACAATACTCCGACCACTGCCGCTTTCGCAGTCATCTCTACCGTTGCTTCTGCACTGACGAACTTGTTCTTCATTCATAGCCTTGGCTTCTACGTCAGCTATGAGGATGCCTGTGGTCTAATCCCCAGCTTAGTCGAACAAATCTGGCAATACTTATCGCCGTTGAGTCCGAAATTCCATGTTGAGGCCGTACGGTGCTTATGGTCACTCCACTCGATTTCTTGGGTTGATCATCTTGTCGAGGCATCGATTACCTCTTTATTGATCAATTCATCAACTACTGCCACATACCATCTCTCATCAGAGGACCAAGCCGAGAGATTCTATGTACTATGGAATCATAGCCATCATGGCACTCACGAACAGCCTCCAAAGCAAGTTCTTGATGTTGGGGGAACATCATTCTCTTACCAGTGTTCGATGCTCGAACGTCCGCTGTTCATTGTCCTCGACCTTCTATCCCAAGAACCTGGAGATGTGTCTCGGAATGTTCAACAGTGGCTCCAAGACCTTAATTCCATTCATAGGTGCGTCACCTTCATGCACGATTCGGGCTTAACATCACTAACCGGGTCTTAGAATTTTCCATGTCGTCAGTTTGAAACTCGAGGAGTTGTTTGACCATGATACGTCCGGTGCAGGCACCGAGCAAGACCAGTCAATCTCCCTGGATGATTACAAAGAGTGCACCTATCTGCTGAGAACAGCTTCAAACATCATCTCGTCACTTTCCCACAGCGGATGGATTACACTTCTTACCCATACATTGGGCCAGACTGAGAAGCGTCCAGATGCGCCCAAGTCTGAAGGTAAGTCATCTTTCCAACGAATGAAGAATTTTCATTAATTCATGATTTTGAAACAGACAATGCAAATGTGAAGAGTTTTCATGCGACAATATTTGAGGCCTGTCACAGAATAATCAGCGACCGAGTGTTATCATCAGTAGAGTGCAACCTAGAGGGAGAGCGATTGCAAAGAGAAGCTCTTCATCTCATGCGACAACTCCTTCTGGGGCCTGGTGCAGAGGACCTGGTGGAATCCGGCATTGACGACTTCTTGGTGGATCGACTTCTGATAGCATCGGATGAAGGCAGCAGTATTGCAGTGCAAAGCGCACTCATCGATGCACTCCTTGCAGCTCTGAAGGTTCGGTTTGCCCAGGTATATGCACCCGTACCACCCCCTAGGCCGAAGCATCAACGAGCCGGCTCTCGTGAGCGTTTGACCAGCCCTTCAATCTTATCTTTCACAAGTGAGAAGGCAGACAGACGCCAGTCCTTGCCTCAAATCCCTCGCCCCCCCGAGCGACTTCTGGACTGTCTGCTCAAAGGCATTAGCTCAACAAAATCCCACGAAATCGTGGACAAGTGGATTGGACTCCTTTGCGAGGTGCTTCCACTTTACTCGGCATCGCTTTTCCAAATTCTTCTCATGTTGGTGGAATGTTTCTGTAGAGAGATCAAAGCATCTTTTGGAAGACTTCAGCTCGCATTCCAACAAACGGAAGACTGGCCGCAAGACCGATCCGAACAAGTTACTATTGCTTTACTCACTGGTCTTGAAACATGCATCGCCAACGCCCATGAACGCCTCCTTGTAGAGGAATCCAACGTTCCAGCTGCTAAGAGTCCAGATCAACCTCAAGGCTTTTTCGGGAACATGGTGTCTGGCGTGTTCAACTCGGAAACCAACCAAGGGCGTTCCAATACCGCCAATGATCGGCTGACTGTTCTTCTCTGCTTCCAAGATGCCGTTCGCCTTTGTTTCTCGATTTGGGCATGGGGTGCGGGAGATCGAAGTGACTCTCCAGATGTCGAGTCAATCGCATCTTTCCAGTACACGTCCTTGCGAATGAGAAACCGATCAAGGCGGATTTTAGAGCACCTTTTCACTGCCGAAGCGCTTGAATGTCTTGAGACGCTGGTTGAATTGTGGACCAAATCTGACACGGATACTGCAGCGCTTATCTTCAACCTTCTGCATACTCTTGACGGCTCAAGTCCGAAGATCACTATTCCTGCCGTATTCAATGCGATTTACACACGAACAAACCCTAACGCATTGGACAACCACCGCAAGTCATCTTTAACCACCAGTCTGTCTGAGTCGGAATTAGCGAGTTTCCTGGTTGCCTATGCTCGCTCTTTGGATGACGATGTTCTTGACGAAATCTGGGCCGATTGTACAATATTCCTACGTGATGTACTCAGCAATCCTTTTCCTCATCGCCAAATTCTGCCGCGACTTATTGAATTCGCCGCTATCCTGGGTGCGAAGTTGGAGAACACGACATTCGGTGAAGACCGTCGCATGCGCAAGGAGCTTGGGGTTCGTCATCCACCCCTGACCCCAATATTGAGTTTTGTTTACTGACTATTTTTCTACAGGATGTCGTTCTTCGTCTTCTTACTGCTGTCTTCGCTAGCAAACCATTAGGTCTCAACCAGGATGCTGGTCTCCTAGCGAGATCTTCTCTCGACTATGATCGTACAGCGGTGTCCCACACTGGACCTGATGATATGTTGAGCATTCTTGCTGCCTCCATGCCGTCCTTCATCACAACTCTGGGTGACTCTGATCGTATCAACACAGCCATCAATAGTGTGTCAACCAATGTTGTCGGTCCTCTGATTCGCTCTCGACTATTCCCCAACAACCTCAATCGCAATGTCATGGTCCTATTGCAGCAAATGGCCAAAGTTCCTGCAGCGGCAAAAGTATGGAAGAAGGACATTGCTGATGCGTTCAATGATCCACGCTTCTTTGGGTTGCAGGTGGATCTAATCAAAGACAATTGGATGGATCTGCTACGACAGTGGGCCATCGCAGATAAGGACCGCTTGGGAGAGCTCCTGGGTCGTCTTCCGCCGCCCAGCGCAGCCGGGATCATGTTCGGCGTGGGGGCTTCTGCAGCACGATTAGAAGCAGATCGTCGGGCGCAACTCAATCTGCGTCGCATTGCGGTTCTCCTTCTATCTGCCAATACCGATTACTTCGTGGGCGAATTGCCAGGCTTGCTTCAGAAGCTGGAAGATCTTCTCGCGGCTACCAGCTCCTCTTCCCCATCCTCTGCAACACGGGCAGAGATTTTCATGGTTCTCCGTGCCCTCGTTCTCAAAACGTCTGCTTCTACTATGGCGCCCTTCTGGCCTCTGATCAATGCAGAGCTACAAGAAGCTCTTTCTGCTGTTCCACGAGGCCTGCAATCAGAGGTTTACAGCCCTTACTCCCTACTCCAGGCATGCAAGCTCCTTGACACGCTTCTCGTCATCGCCCCAGACGACTTTCAGCTCTTGGAATGGCTATTTGTAACCGACACCATCGATGCAGTCTACCCGCCTAATCGTTGGGAGCCGATTGCTCTCGCTGACGAGGTATCCCAAAGCTTTGGAGCACGAAATTCGCTCACACCAACGGTTTCTCACGAGCCCACGGAGTCCGTGGCACGCGGTGGTCTTAAGCGGCCATGGCTTATCTCAGACTACATTCGAGAGACGGCCAAGGACGAGATTGTCGAGCGGGTTCTGCGACCATTCTTTGACCGACTAAGTATCTACGTATTCGAGAGTACGTACAGCATGGAAGGTGCCGATCTAAGTGTATGCCGGGATGATCTGTTGGAGGATCTGTTCAATGAGAGCACGATGGCAAACTGAGTTCCATAGGCTGTTTGTTTTATCATCCATTATGTAAAATCGGATTAGCCCATAGCGATCATTTCTATCGAAAGTTTGCATGTCATAGCGGAATTTTTATTAACTACCATATAAGTTTTCATTCTGCAAATAACAGGTATAGACTATAGTACCGAGTTCCGACGCCGCCCGGGCCACCGTCCGGCAACGTCACCGGGTCTCTTTCACTTGCCTCACCAAACAACTTAACTTGTAAGAACATTTCCATATTTTTCGATATCATTTATTGATGAAACGGATCTTTCAATCATGACTGTACGCTCGAAGATTTTCTTGCCGCTACGTGGACGCGTCGTCTCCCGACCATTCTCCGTGTCCCGTCCCCGCTGGGAGGCCGCGCCACTGCCTACAAGCAAGCCCGTTGGTGCTTTCCGTGGAGGGTAAGTCTTGAAATGTCATCGTCAGATACAGTTCTCTACTTCCAGACCTTATTTGAGATCTGATTTACTAAAATTGTGCAGAGTCTTCGGTTTCCTATCTGGCGCTGTTGTTGCCGGCGCGTCGGTATACTACTACATCCTAGGGGATTACCGAGTCGCGAATGAGATGTTGACGGATGACATTTCGGTATGTTAACATCGTTATCAGGTTATTATGGTTTTCTTGGACTAACTGTCTCGCGCTTTCCCCGTTCCTGGGGAGAGCTCTCTTGCGACGCAGGCACTTCAGTCCGCTACACTCAAACTCCAGTCTTACATTAATGAGCTGGAGTCTAAAGTCAACCAGCTTCACAAGAAGTAAACGTTGAATTGTTTACTGTATCTCAACTATGTACTTTCTGTCTCACATTGGTGTTAGTGGTGTCTTTCTGCATTTGGTTTTGCACAAATATCAATTTGACCCGACATTCCTGCCTATGAAATAATATATTTATTTCAAGTTGCATCATAAGACTCAAATCCAAGAAACAATCAATCCAGGCCTTTACAATAGACCGTTTAATTGACCATAAAACCCAAGAACCATATTTGATAAAGACCGCTGCAAACACACCAAACGCCTTATCAACCCATCAACTTTCACATCTTCAACTCCTCCTCTTTCCTCAACACCTACGAACAAAACCAAGAAAGACAAAGAATAAAACAATGTTCCGCGTCGAACTCCTCCAACACAAAGGCGCAGCGCCAGCCCCAGGCTGGAGCTACGTCGCCGACCGACCCTTCAACCCAGCCCAAGCCGCCATGGCCCCAACACTAAGCCGCAAGCGCGGAATCCGCGACGCCGGTAAAGGCGGCGACATGTCCTCACGACGAGCGAACGCCATAGTCCGCCACCTAGCCGAGCTAGATCGCGAAAACCAGCGCGACGTAGCGATCCCCGTCCCGGTGAAACAAGCCAAAGAAGCCGGAGCACGCGGCACACGCGCGAAGACAACATCCAACGTGCGTCGAATCCTACAATCCCAAAAGACATTCCGGAATCATCTCGACGACGAGGAAGCAGCGATTCAAAACAGTGCGGCCAGTGGTATCGGGACAGGGGCTGGAAATGCAGGCGCAGCGGCTGTGATGGCGAAGGGGAGTAAAGCTGCAACTGCTGCTGCGGCGAGGAGGAGCTCAACGCCTGTTGTGGCGGGCTCTGTGGCTGCGAAGAGAAAATTGGCTTCGGCTGTTGGGACGGCTGCTTCTACGCCTACGCCTGCGCCTTCGGGCCCTGGGACGCCTGCTACAATTGTGGAGGATGTGGAAGTGGAGGAGGAGAAGAGGCCGAAGCTTTTGAAGACAGAGCATGATAATGATCCTCTCTTGCGCTCTTACGCGCCGAGTATGCCTTCTGATCGCATTATTCAGCTTCTACTGGCTGAGCCGCCTTTGTCTTATAATGCGTCGCGGGTGGGCCCGCCGATGTCGTCTCAGTCGTCGCGGCATTTCTGCTGTATGTGTGGGTATTGGGGGAAGATTCGGTGCAAGAGCTGTCATCTGCGGACTTGTGGGTTAGATTGTTACCGGGTACATGAGGATTCGAGGTGTGGTGCGTTCTTCTAGAACCGCCGATGCGTGTGTTGGGCTGTATACTATTCAGAAGGGGGCTTGTTCATCCCCTTTCTCTTCTAACGACTGTATGAATCTAATGGAAACCTGTATCATACCATATTATCAATCATTCAATTAATTTTCCCATTCTTAAGAGGAGTTGGAATTGTCATCGGTATATTCCGTACTTTGAACATGATCAACATTTCAAGTTGATGCCCATTCGCAGTTCGTCTTCGCGAATCTCAAACATAACTTGAATCCCGACAAATAACACCGCGCAGCACGAAATCATGTATGCCACTCCAGAATATGACCCCGTGAGGCTAGCCAATAAGTCCTTGAGCCCATCCAGGCCGAGCGCAAAGCCAACGAGATTCGCAATCATCATCATGAGGACGTTACCCACAGACCCAATGCCAGTGAGCCACCGGTAAGCGGTGGGATGCGAACGCCAGCGTCGAGCAGGGAAGAGCATACCGCCCAGGACTTCAGGTAGAACGAAGAGTGTGATGAGCCAACCCCACATGAGCAGACGAAGGTTAATATCGTGCCACAAGGCCACGAATGTAAATACCATCAAAAAATTTCGGATCTGCAAGAATTTGCTCCAGAAACCAGATGATGCAGGCGAGTTCTGCTTTGTACCAGCTGGGCCTCGGCTACTGCCACCTCCACCCAATGGGATGTAGATATAGCGCACAATCCAGCGGTTGTAAGAACGGTGCCAGCCACGCCAGAAGGCGAAAGCAGAATAGTTGTTAGACATGCAGCGAACCATGTTCTCTGGAGGATCAATTCCATCAATCAGAGCCCAGAGGCGGAAAAATCGCCACGGGATAAGCAATTTAAGCCAGATGATATGCAGGTTGAAGAAAGCAAGCATGCTTAGCTGTCCTGGGGTGAAGAGTGACCAATCTGGTGATGCTTTGGAGATGGCCACCGCGTAAATGTAATGGAGGATCAACTCCATACACATTAGAGTCAAAAAGAAGCGGATGCCGTAGAGGATGGTGCGGGTTCGTGTCCGCGAGAGAGGTGTGTATCGCTGCTGGGAGACATAGTCGTTGAAGGTCAAGATGGGGCCGGCCAGGTACAATGGTGAGTAGAGCACGTAGGCGATATAGTTGCGCCCACTGAAGGCGGCCCGTTCTGCGGGTATTTTGACACGCTCTCGGTCAGAAAGAGCCGCGGGGTCGAGTTGCTTCTTCTTGTGGAATTCGGTCAGTTCTATATCCAGGCGAGAAATTGGAAGTTTGGAACCAAACACGGTAGGAGAACATACTTCAATAGGGCTCGCGGAAAGATAGTCCAGGCTCCAGTAATAATCCATGTTGAAACTAATCAGACGCAACACTGTGACTTTGAAGAGGACCTCCCACCGGGGCATAATGCCTCCGAAGTTGTCAAGTGTTTGCGCCCATTGGACCAGCAAGGATCCTTTATCTCCCGATGCGCCAGATCCCGGAGTCAAGAACATGGCAATCTTTTCTAACGGGTATCCTTCACATAGCTCATTGGCAAACAGAATGCAGATATTGAACGTCCATGTTGCAGCCGGAATGTAAGATCGAGGGAGATTCTTGCTGATGCGATAATTAATGAGTAGAACGGAGAGCACCTTGATCGCAGAAACTCCATGAAGGGCCGTGATAAAGATAAGACCAAACACGAAGTCAAAGCGCATCCGCTGTTCGAGCTGTGCATCTCCTGCAGCCGCCGTGGACGAGCTGGAGGGTTTTGTTGTGGTACTCGTGCGTGAGCACGAGCTATAGATCCGGCGGACCAGCGGATGTGCAATGAGAAGCAAAACTAAGTATGGAATGTTGTCACGAAAACTGGCGTATTGTGAATCGGAGTTGTCCTGTGTCATTCGGGCACGGTCAGCCGTGTCTGTTTTTAAGGTCGATTAAAAGCATTCTATGAGACAAAAGACTCACGACTAAACGGCCAGGGATCCATCCCGGGGATAGGAGGTCTGAGTAGGTAGGGTAAATCGGGTGGCTTTCTATAACATTTGAAGATCCTCGTCAGCGTCTCAACGCCACTCCAGCGTTTCGGGGACCACTCACCCTTAGAAGCATCCACCACGGTTTTGAACATCAGAGGAACGAGGGTAATGAAGAAAAGATAGTAAATGAAGAATTCCGGCGTACGCCAGAGCGGAGCGCGAGCATTTTGGGCAATTGCTTGAGCGCGGGCATCTTTGGCGGAGCCAGGTCGCGTGTCGGGCGTAGCGGAGGAGGTAAAGCGAGTGTCAAGGGTGTCGAGCGAGTAAATCCGCCGCAGCCAGGAGAAAGGAGAAGTCATTTTGATCGCAGTAGCATGGCGCAGGTGAAGCGCTGAAGTGTCCAATGTTTACTCAGGGGGCCGAGGTTGACGTTCCAAATCCAATGGCGATCACGCGCCCAATCAGCGCCCGTTAATTATCATGATCTATATCACAAGCTCAACAATAGGAAGTCTAGTTAGTGCGGCATTTAAGTGATGCAAATATATGGCTTTCTATTGGTTTCTTACTGTCTCAGCAAATAATAAAATTCATAGCAGATACTATAGGTACAAGCAGTCATATCAGAGCTATGTTCCTGCTATAGTACACACTCAGTTGGTACTTGTAGGCTGTTTAATGGAGATAAATTCTGCATCAAAATAATCATAGATATAAGTAGCTCATCCCACATTGGAGATCAAATAATTGAGTCATGCTTCACCATCAATTCAATACCTGAGGTTGGTTCGGACTTCGCCACGGTGATCGTCGTCTTCTTTCCGCCAAATTTTTCGGGGGTAAACTTGGTGAAAACCTCCAGCATGTTGTAAGAAACCAGGATAGTCATTGGTGTGTCCATTGGAAATGCGGCCTGAGCATCTTCTTCATGCTCTTGAAACCTAAATCGAGGAGTCTTAAGGGGAACCAGAGCGACTAAGCATGCAGCGAGGATTATTAGCACTGAGGTTCCAAACAATAGAGAGACGGAGACAATCACAGGGCAATACCACTCCAGGGTGTTTTCATCAATCGCCTTCTTGCATACAGCTTGTGTATTCTCGCAGCTCAAACGCCAACTCAAAGTCTGCTCAGTCATATAGGAGTTCGTCACTGCCACGAATTCGTTACAGCTCGCTCCGACTGTATTTGAGCCCAGTTTAGAAAACCTCCGCAAAGTAGAATTCATTCTACTTGCCTCATCGTGGAATAGGAAACGTAAATGTATGTCAGCCTTGTGAGGTATATCGGATCCAGGGCCATTGGTGTAAAGTTCCCATACGATAGATGAGTAATAATTGGGCATTGAACTAATGTAGTGGCACATGTCATTGACGCCCGAATATGACAGGCCCTCACAGGTCCGCTGGGGTCTTTTCCCTCTCGGGATCTGTAGGCAAGTATAGGCCATGGAGAAATGCATTTTCTGATTCGATCATCATATCATACTTGGGTGACCTGGTAACAATTGCATTGGGTTGACATTCGTCTTGAAGCTCTTGATATAATATGTCAATTCAGGCGATCTATAACGATCTTAGAAATATAGACAAGTGATGAATTGTTCAGCCTCACCTTGCTCAGTCAGTGCGACAGCGGCTCGAGGTTCAGGGGCGCAGTCTCCATGCTGCTGGAAGATGTATGCCCCAAGCACTCTTTCAGAGAGCGCAACATCTGCCAGCAATAATAACGCGATAATGAGTAGTTGTAAACCCATGATGAAGTGACACGCTGGAAGCGACGTATAGATGAATGTGGAAATCTGACCTCTGGGAGCATTAATACATTTTTGAGGATATACAATACGTCAATGTTCCTCATAGAGTATGGGTAACTTTGTAAGTTCAAATCACTACAGCGGTTCTACATTGGGCGAGTATAATTAGATGAGGATTAGATCAGCAGCCCGCTGAGGTCATGAAATCGTCCTTCACCTCCATACAACAACCACTTCATATTCAACATGTCCTCCAAACGGGTAGGTGATCCTGAAATTATAAAATTCTGAATGAACTCACGGTGTTCATCGATGACTCTCATCACGGTATGGCTAACCAGCTACGCTAGGTTGCGTTCCAAGTTGAAGGCACTGTACAAGGTAAACACTTCAACACTTTCAACCCACCGGGCCAACTCTATCACTATGCATGCTCTGAATATCAGAATAGCTCTCTTACTGACTCATCGCTAGGTGTCGGCTTCCGGTAAGGCTTCGATCTCCCATGATCGATGACATCATATCACCTCCGCGACCAAATTTGACGTGTTCCAGTGCTTTTGCTCAGAAATGTGCTAGAGGCTTCGGGCTAATCGGCTGGACCAAGAACACCATCCATGGAAAAGTGTGTACCTTTGCGCTTTATCAAACAACCAGTCCTGAGTTCTAAATATTTGCACAGGTCGAAGGTGAAGTCCAGGGCGATGCAGAGACGATTGAGAAATTCATGCAGCAGATCGAGAAAGGACCTTCAATGGCACATGTTATCAAGTTAGAGACGCGTGAGATGGAACCTCTGGAGGGTGAATCTCATTTCGCGGTTAGGAAGACGTGAGCGTCTCAACTTGACTCCGAGTCTGATTATGGATGTCCCGACCTTTATAATGATTAACAAAGAGAGCATTCCAACATTATTATCATTCTTAAATTTTATGTTGGGTGTAATCTGATAGACCCACATCTACACTGTATTTTCCTTTCAATCTTCTCAAACTCCCTCCATTGATGTCCATGTTCGGCAAGGATCGGAAAAATTTGTGTACTCGTGACCTTACAAACAAGAAAATTCAGGCCCTCCAATTTCCAGTGACACCGGTGAAAATCCAGCGATATTTTCTCGGGATCGGTGACTCAAAAAAGCGAATGTATAGAGTCCGAGCTGAATTCGGGGCAAATCCCGACTCATCCCGAGGTCACCTGCCCGTGGCGAATTGTGATCATCAACATCAAAGACTGCCTACATGAATAATGGGAAGGGTAATTTGATTACTTCTTGTTCGAGGGTATTAAGTTAAATCTGCTATTGTATGATTTTGAGACTTAATCACTGTTGATGGAATAGAGCAAGTGTGGACAATAGGTGGGGCGGGACTGCATTATAAAATCTTTATATGGAGCCAATGAGCATTCCGTCATGTCAGCAACAGATCCTGATGTATACAACCTTTGGAACCCAGGCACAGCCGTGTTTCTGATGTTTATACATGTTCATCCTCTGGTCCGGGATTTGTTCGGGGATCGTTGAAATTCGGGATGCCAAACATATAAAAGGTTCAGATCTTCATAGTTGAGATCGTTCCAAATCATTCAGTGCAAATCAAAACTTCTATATTCTTACTCCTACTTTACCATCTCACTATGAATTCGGTTTCAGTATTATCAACTTCGTCCTTACGAACAGCCACACGACCACATACTTACATTCATCTGGTGGCGCGAAGTTATTCAGGGTTGACGGTCACCAAACGCGGCAGCTCCCATGATATACGCGGACAAACTTCTTCATTCACCTACACTCCCAGGCGCTCCATTTCCTCAACTCCACAGAACTCTAGCATCATCAACGACCTTCGAAAGCAAACCAATTTTACGACGAACCAGATCAAAGAGTTTTTTCCACCACCGCAAAACCGAGGGGTCAAGGAAGTGGAATCAGCATGGGCACATCCTGTGTGAGCTACCAACCCCCCGGGTGCTCACAACCTGACAGAAGTCTAATGTCCCTAGATATTCTGAATCCGAAATGAAAAATGTCGCAATTGCACACCGAAACGCCGCAAATTGGTCCGACTGGGTTGCTCTGGGCACTGTCCGCGTCTTTCGATGGGGCATGGACCTTGTAACAGGGTACAAGCACCCAGAACCCGGCGAGGAACTGGCTCCCAGATTCAAGATGACGGAGACAAAATGGATGCATCGGTTCATCTTCTTAGAGACTGTCGCTGGCGTTCCCGGGATGGTTGGGGGCATGCTCCGTCACCTGCGCAGTCTTCGACGCATGAAGAGAGATAATGGATGGTACGCATAACAGTACAACTCAGATTCACCATGATGTACTAACCACTTATTGGACTTAGGATCGAAACCCTTCTAGAAGAAGCCTTCAACGAACGCATGCACCTCTTGACATTCCTTAAACTTGCCGAGCCCGGATGGTTCATGCGGCTGATGGTTCTCGGCGCACAAGGCGTCTTTTTCAATGGATTCTTCATAGCTTACCTCCTATCCCCTCGCATATGCCACCGGTTCGTTGGATATTTGGAGGAAGAGGCGGTCATCACATACACTCGTGCCATCGAAGAACTTGAAACGGGCAAACTGCCGGAGTGGGAGACTCTTGAAGCGCCCCAAATCGCGGTGCAGTACTGGAAGATGCCGGAGGGTCAGCGCACCATGAAGGATTTACTGATGTATATTCGAGCCGACGAGGCCAAGCACCGCGAGGTCAACCATACACTTGGCAATTTGCAACAGGCGATCGATCCCAATCCCTACCAGACTCGGTACCGTGATCCGAGCCGGGAGCATCCGAGCAAGGGACTTTCAAATTTGAAGGGTACAGGCTGGGAGCGGGAAGACATTTTCTGATTTTTAGATGAAAAAGTGAGGGCATCTTTGTATCATTATCATTTTTTTTTAGCGCATGGCAAATCTCTCATCTCTTAATCCAATTAGAGGCACGGACGCGGACCGTTAAATGGAAATCCTTGGGACGCGGGGCCAAATAACATTGATCAAGCTAAACCTAACTTGGTAATTAGAAACCAAAAAAAAGAGAATGAGACGAATATGAATCTATAGTTTATAAACAAATGGATAAAGAAGATGAAAACTAGAATCTGAGTCAAGTACTATTGCATCTTTCAATGTCAATGTTATCAGTAAATGATACAATTTGTTCTTTCAATCAATAATCTGCCCCTTTAGCGTGCCCGTTGGGTTTTATTAGTTAAAGGCGGGAACCAACACCCCTTTTAAACCCAAAGGAGATTCTCGGCCGGCGATCGTTCACGTTTCATTAAACCTCCATTGCGGTCCTCAGTTCGGAGACGTGTCTACAGATCTGCGACTCGATGTTATCTTATGTGTTGTGATTATTCGTCCTAACTTATATCCGACATTCTTCATATCAAACACATCTCGCCGATCCCATCACATTGTGGACAACTGGTGCGACAAGAGTTTCAGTAACCCAATTCCGCCACAAGAATGGAGGAGCCACAGTTCATAGACCCTGAAGTGACATCGCCAACTATTCGGTCCTCATCACCTTCGCCTTCTATTCCTGCCACGCCGGCTATCTCTTCATACTCCTCCCCGGATCGCTCTTTCTCCTCCGTCTCCTCCCTCTCTGCCTCCTCCGCGACCTCTGCCGATGCTCGGTCTACCGTCTCAACTTCTTCCCGTCGCCATGGATACACTCGTGCGCTCGGTGCTGAGTTCGCCGAGTCAGCTCGGCACCGAGACAGTGTCATGAGCCTGGGCAGCATTGCTCATCTACAATACTACTTCGCTCGGACGGGTCTGCTGGACGGGAAGACGGGCCGAGGCAAGGAGTTTAAGAAAAAGAATAGCGAGAATGTGCCCCGGTTGTTGATCACCCCGAATCAGGCACATATAGACGATTTCGTCGCCAGTCCGTCTGATATAACCGAATCACCAGAGTTTGATCCCAATGAGGACGAGGAGGGGGAGTTTATGCTGCCACCTACCGTCAGCACGTACAGCATTAAAACACATCACATTCCGCCACCGCCGGACCTGATATCGTTACGCCGCGATCTACAGGTTGCGCTACAAAAAGCAGACAGTAATATTCAGGCGGTTGAAGAGGGGATCGACCCTCCTCCTCGCGAACCATTCCGTTCCAGTCTTTCTCCTAGTGATGTTCCGGAGACGGAGGACGACCCGTCGCGACAAATTCCGACACCACTGAATAAGGAAGAGGCACAGGGCATGGGTATCCTGGATGATGTGACTATGGCAATTCGTGCTGCCAAAATCTACTACACTACTCACCCGTACCCGGATCGGCTCGCATCTATCAAGAGTGAGCGGGAGATCCGAAAGGACCTCTTCCACGTTCTGGATGTGCTGAAGCGATGGGCAGCCCGGCATTTTGCCTGTGGATTGCGACCTGAAGAACGCGATATAATCCAGGGATGGATGGCCGGGATACGAACCATGTTAGTCAGGGAGAAAGCTCTAGAAGACCTCGAGGCCCAAGAACGAGAAAACTGGGACTGGGCCCAAGGCGACTGGACCGGACGAGAGCGGTCCCGAGAGGAATCTTTCCTCCGCAGCCTAATGCCTGAGGGTCATACCCTGCCAGAGTGGACACCGATTGAGGAAGATGCCAGCATCGAGAACCTCCCCACTCCGTTTCTGGATCGTTTCAGAGACGGTCGCATCCTAATCCAGTCACACAACATTGCCGTCAAAAAGTCCAAGCAACCTTTTGGCGAGATTAAGGCTTTCCATGAGGATATCGCGAAGCCATACCGACAAGCCGATAACCTACGCTACTGGATCAAAGCTGCAGAATTGCGCTGGGAGCTCCGGTTCCAAGTGGACGTGATGGGCGTGGTACAGAACAGCAGTATTTCAGCCTGGAGGGAGTTTGACGCCGCGATGCTAGCGTGGTGCAAAACAGTCCGCGAGCAACTGGTCCGAGATTGGCAAGCAGCCAATCCGGGGCGGCCGCCAAGTGCCGGATTGATTTAATGGGTGGTTGGATTGACAGTTGACGTAGATATGCCTCTCGGCTTTTTTACTATTTCGTGTTTGTTTTAACTCCTGGGCACTTGGCTAGATACCCCTGAATTGCCTCTGTCTACGGTGTTGGTTTCCTGTTTGACCTCCGAATCTCTTGGTTAATTTCGGAATCTGTTCAAATGTCGCATCTTTTTTTCCCGAAAGGGAATATTTCTTGGATATGTTGCATTGAAGGGCAAACATAATAATTGGGTATCTTTTCCTGTTTGCCTTTGTCTAGGTGAGAGGTTGTCTAAGTATGGTTGTTTAGCTCCAAGAGCCTATCCATTTTAAGGCCCTAGTGGACCTGGTGATCAGTTGAAAGGATTTAAACTCAACTGAATATATGTATAACATTTGAATCTAAGTATATGCGACCTCGATTTTCCCTATACTTATGTGTAATGAACCTTGGACAGTACAACCGTGGATATGGACGCTAGGAGCACATGGTCGTGGATCCTCCCCCTTGATAATGATTAATGATATACGTAATTCGTCTATTCATTAGGAAACCTTGGAATCATTGAAGCTTAGATCAAAACCATCTTTGTATTATCCATTTAAATATTTATTCATCTGAAAGACCTATCTAGCTACCTCTTAGAGACATTGGAAGCTTGTGAAATGATTTCATGGGGTGTGTCGATCCCTTGAATTACATGAAGGTAAATGATGCCCCATAGTAAAGTGGGTGCCGACCCAAGTACCCTGCACAGTACAACGACCTTTATCCCTCTTCTTGTCTCAAAGTGATTGCTGCCCAATTTATTGCTTATGACTCTTTTGAACTAAAAAAACACCTTACATCCTTCTTTTTATATGACTCTTGTCATGTAGCGCCTTCTTATCCTCAAATTTGATCTAATCCGCGACCGTGAGAAGGGGGCTTTCTCTCCCAAAATCTTGTCTCCCCCGACCGAACCAGAACGAAACATTCCATTGTTCATCCCTGCCTTTGAATCACCTTTCAAATTCGCCCCCCGGGCTTGCACCCATGCATGCCACAGTCATCGATCCACCTGCCGCGACTGACATCGCGTACCCCGTGTCCGTTCAGTCCGCATCTCCTCCCCCCGCGGAAGGCTCCCCCAATGAACACGGGCCCTCCCCTCTCCGCCGGTTGAAGTCCAAGTCGTCTCTGTGGAGTATTGGCAGCAGCAATCACGAAGACGAGCCTACTTCCGAACCATCCAGCGCCGAGAAAAGTAGTGGAAAGCAATCTATCTTTCGCCGCCTGTCTCCCGCCCTAGCGGCCCGAGTGAAGCTGCTCGACGGCAGTAACAAGGTGACCAGCGCACCCCGGAACGCCAACAACGTCGGTCGGATCCCTGAAGAACACCTCAATCAACTTGATAGCCTTCATAAAGACCTCTCGATCAAGGTTGAGAGGAAAGGCCAGACGTGGAATGGTGTGGCCTTCACATCCCCAGGTTCAGCAACGTCACAGTCAACAAAACGGAGCGCGTCGAATAGGCTCGAAGTACCCAACCAGGATTTTCTGCAGACACTCTCCGACACACGCGAGCAAGGGTTAGATTTCACCGACGCGGTTGTCGACGGCCTAGAATCGCCTGTTCTGGCCGTTGCTCATCCCCCGGCGACTACCCCAGACAAGACTTGCGCTCCGCCAACATCCATGTCTGTGGTGGAACCAGCTCCTGCGCCGCTGCGCGCTGACCCGGAACCTGAATCCCTGCCCGTTGATAAGGCTCAGGATAATCGGACTGACTTTGAGAAGTATGTTGACGATACCAAGCGGAGCGAGGAGCAAGCCGATTCCGCTCCCGAACCACCCCCGAAAGATGAAGCTCCTGCATCCCCCACATACGCCGTATCTTCATCCTCAAACACACAGTCATACTTTAATCCGAGGGACTTGCAGCGTGCTGAGTCTATCTACTCTTTCTCCCGCGCCTCTTTCAGCAACCAGCTATCTCAACTTACATCCATTCCCCTTCCCCAGCCAGGGGCCCTTCAGACAAGCATCGCAAACATTTCAACGGCTCTCGCCGCCGTTCGTGCGTTGAATGGTGCTGCAGAGCAGATTCAAATCTGGATCAGGAAGGCGTCCGATGTGCTCAGCGGCTTGGATGCTGAGGATGATGTTGAGTGGGCTGCAGCAGGTGGCCGCGAGGGACTGGAGGGGGTTGATAAGGCCATTACACGATTTGAGTCCTTGGTGAACGTATACGTGACAGCTATTGAGAAAGTACAGCTTCGAGCGGATATCGCCAATGTCGATTCCGAGAGCCTGAAAACAATCGTCAGCCAGATGGAGAGTATCCTGCATAACTGGGCACAAATAAAGAACAAGCTCAGAGGTGTAAAAGAACAGGTGGAGCTGGCGATGGAATGGGAAGAGCTTTGGTCCAATGTTTTGGGTGATGTGGGAATGGAGATCGAAAACCTCAGCGGCATGATCTTCGAGATGGAAGAGAAGAGGCATCAGGCTCTTTTGGATACGGGCGAGTCTACTGGAGGGCTTGATATTAACGAGCTTGAAACTATAGTGGAGGAATCCCCCATCAAGGGGCGTTCGCCTGCGACTAGTCGGCTAAGCATTGGACCGCTCCTGGCCGCGGCCTCGGGCACTCCTGTTATAAAGACACCTCAGGACGACTCAAGTCATTCCAATCTCATGGCTTTGTTTGCGCGGATGCAGCCCCTTCGAGCATCTTTGGATTTCTTGCCCATGAGACTCTCCATGTTCCAGTCTCGTGCCGAGAGAGTCCTTCCTAGTGCGTGTGAGGAACTTGATGAACGACGAAGTCGATTGGAAAAGAGTTATAAGGTGCTTGAGCAGGATGCGGAGGCCTTGCGAAAAGAGCTGGGTGAAGACAAGTGGATTATCGTTTTCCGCAACGCCGGTAGCCAAGCGCAGAAGATGTTTGATTCGGTCGAGCGCAGCATTTCCAAACTGCAGGAAGGCTTGGAGACAAACGCACAGCTCAACAATCCAGCAACGCTGACGAAGCGAATTGAAAACTATGAAGCGAAGAAGATGCACTACGTGCCCGCTATCGAACGTGTGGTTTCAATCATCCAGAAGGGAGTAAATGACCGCCTGACGGTTAATGGTGAAGTTTTGCGATTATTGTCTGATATGACATCGCGGACGAATGCTTTGAAGGCTAGCCTGAAGGTGATGGATGCGTCGCTTGAAGATGTGCAGATCTTCAAGGGCCAGCAATTACGGGATTCCATCTCTAGCATTATGACGATGGATAGCCCAGCCACGGGTAGTGCGGTCGATACACCTGGAAGCTCACCTGCATCTTCGGTGGTTCTTAACGGCGGCAGCGGCTATAAGAGTAGTTCGACACCCCTGGGCTCTAGTCGCCGTGAAAGCTCCGCTGGTACCACAGCTCGTTCAACCATGCCCAACGTCCGACGGTTCTCCGGCGTGCCACAACCGGTAACTGGCCGGAAATCTTCCATTCCCAAGCCGTCAGGACTCACGTCTCCAACACCAGGGAGGACAAATCCCGCTGTCACACCCACACCATCTGAAAGACGGATGTCTCGTGTTCCACAGCCATCTCCCATCCTCAATCGACCTAGGTGGAATGCCAGTACCAACACAAATGACCTAAATGTCGGCCACACTTACCCGCCTCTCAGCGCCATCACTCCTAATGGATATCGCAACTCTTCCGCCCCGGTGCGAACACCAAGGCCATCATCGACAGTCCCTTTCCGACGGGATATGTCTGCCTCGCCGGCACCCAGTCCTGGTCGGTCTATGAGCCGCTTGTCAGCCCGATTCGCATCCACGTCTCGGAGCCCCGTGCGCAACATGTCTCCTACACCCCTACGACCATCTTTGCTAGATCCACCTCCGTACAGCCGGCTTCATAGGCCGTCAAATGTCTCCACTTCCGGAACTGCAGGCATGGTGAACACCCCTCGAAGTCGGCAGAGTTTTGCTGGCGTGAGCTCTTCATTTAGTCGCAGCGTCTCACACAACCAAGGCGGAAATGAGAGCCCAACCAAACCCATGCGTCCTGGCACTTCACTGGGACATTCTACAAACCGAAGAATCAGTCTGCTTCCTTTACCAAAGCGGAACGAGAAGACGCCTGCACAACAGAAGTTGGAATCTCGGCCGCGCTGGAGAGGAGCCGGAGCAGGCGCATGATGATCCTCCTCGCTTTTTCCATATATCCTCTTACCTATCTCTTCTCCGATCGCCTCCCCTAGCAAATATTCTCTCCCCCTCCCTTTCTACCGACCTGTCTTATGGCTTGTTTTCTCCACCTCTGCATTGCGCCTTGTGCTTTTGGACTCAGTACCACGGTCTATTGAGTATGAAGAGCTGAACATGATATTGAAGGTTAGGTTTTGCGTGATATCCCCCTGTTGCATGGTATGGTTTGAGCGTTGGGTTTTCATTTTCCATCCGGCTTCTTGTTCTCTTCCACCGATGTGAATACTACCTATATCTTGTAGTTTTATACTTTTTTTTTTGTACGGAAATGGAACTTTGTTTTAGATTTCGTTTATACCTACTCTAGGGCTCTGTACCGTTGCCCGGTGAATATGCTAGTCAACACTGAAACCTGAAATTCAATTTATTAAATCACTTGTTTATACATTTCCCCATATTTCCAATATTCTGTTCAAAAAAGTAGTCCCTGTATAAACACTCTACAAACAATTCTTTCGAACATGAATTCATCTAGATGCCCATGCAAAATCCCCAGACAGCCGTGGAAGTATAGTCTAATTACCCAACTCCCGTCCAAAAATCAGTGCATCCACCAATTCCTCACTGTTTTCCAACCGTCCCGCCTTGGGCACCCGTCCAATAATGCTGAAGCCCAGCTTCTCCCAGATTCGAATAGAAGCAGGGTTATTCGCAAAGACCAGGTTGAAGACCGAGTACTTGTATCCCTGAGGACGGTGTTAGAATCTTACGCAGTGGTATGCACTGCTAAATATGCTGTACAAAAAAGAGAAACTTACCAATTTCGGCGCAAATTCCAGATAAGTCTCGCCCATCGCATAGCCAACGCCCTTACCGCGGGCTACGCTAGTTGTGATGAAGCCAGCGTTACAGATGTGAGAACAGCGACCTAAATCAATGATACGACCGTCAGCGAGTTCCGGTCATATCAATGCCCCGCATGCATATGCATTTGGAATGCAAGCGCTTGCTGAAGTACATAAATCTTTATATGTATAGGTATCCAGGCGCCTGTCAATTTGAGGGTTTGAACACTTGAACATACCAGGATAATTCGGCTTAACATAAAAAGTCCCCAAGCAAAGCTTCTCCCAATCCCGTCCCTCCCTTAACCCATTGACACCAGCGGCATCACTCTCGTCGTCCATAACAGCCACAACTGCAAACGTGCCGAACCAGTACTCTGCAAATTGCTGAAGATCTAGCGCCTGCTCCATGGGATATGTGGTGCCGCGCTCGATCTCTGCGCTAAACTCCGCATGCAGGTACTTGATTAGGTCCTGGGGGATGCTGGAGGGGCCATTGGTGATTGGGTATAGGGTTACAGCTGCTGAGCCGGATTTGGGGAGGGTTGTGTGGCGGGGAATTAGTGTGCTTGCTGCTTGGATGTGTGCTTGGGGTGGGGGGTTGCGCGATGAGGGGTCTTCTAGTAAGGCGGGCATTTTGAAATGGGTTCCAAGAAATGAGATCTCAGTATGGCACCCGTGTTCCAATTGGGGTGTTATATATATGAGGAAAGGGACAGGGATCAATTGAAGATTGAGAGTGATTTCTGAGAATGTAGAATATTCCAAGATCATAGTTATATATCGGTTCTTTATAGCTGAGTCATGTCATTTGAAGGGCGTGGTCATGTGACCTGTTTTGGTTATGGAATTGAATGACTTGATCGTCACTGGAGATATTGAATTCTAGAGAGAAATGAAAGGTTCAATTGAATGTGTCCAGATGTGGGTGCTTACATACCTCTAGTCCTCAAATGCTCCAACTAGGACATATCCGAGGTGATTATTTCGGAAGCCAATATTTCCAAAGACCATATTGTCTACGGAGCAGTTATACCGAAGTAATAGTAGTCCATTGAAGGTTTGATCAATGTTTAAGCAAATCTACTTTCCTCTAATATAATGCGCTTAAATCCAAATATATATTGTACACAGGACCATGCAAGCATCGAGAGATGCCAGCATCTCCCGGCGAATCCCACAACTACCCAAAGCTCAAGCCTTCCATTCATTGTTTCTCGCCTTCGCCTTCGCCCTCGCCCTCACCCTTACCCTCAGCGGTCGGGTTACGAATAGCCTCCATAAGCTCAAAGAGCTGACCAAGTTGTTGATCTGCGACACAGGTCAGCGAACGTGCACTCCATACCAACGACACTACCCCCAGGAATTCATTCAACCATACCACTCATCTTGTCCAGCTTGGACTTATCCAACTTCTCACCAGCCCAGTTATCGCCTTCCATCTTCTGCGCGTAGAGCTGCCACTCAGTCAAGAATCCGATCTGCATCCGCGGTTAGTCCCGGTTGCAAGTTCCTCGTTTCCTTCGGTAAAACAGGACGAATCTCAACATACAATGTGCAATGGGTTCTCAGCAGTCCGATGCGCCCGGAATTCCTTTTTCACGTATGAGTCGCCGAGCACCCGCATCTCCGGGTCAAGTTTGCGGTGGACGCGCAAGATGCGGCGATAGAGCTGGAGCGGCGGGAGGAGGGCGAGCGCTTCGCTGAGGCTGGATTTGGAGCCGATTGAGGCCGGCGTGGCCATAAGGAGACGTTGGGCGATACGCATGATGTGGATGTTGGAGGGGGATTTACTGAGGTTTGAATGACATAATTTCCTGGGGAAGGCTTAAAGGCTTTTCCTCTTGGAGCGGAAGGCGGCGAGGGGGAACTTTAATCGTCGGAATTCTGAGTTTCGCCTTTTTGTAATTTAACGATCAAGATCATTTTGCGATTTCACGAGTTGCAACATATTTGATTTGGTTCCTTAGTGCTTTTCTGTCCATTTCAGCAACATAAGTGCTTGCTTTGACTGGTTTGGCGGAAGTCTCTGCAGTTTTATATTGATGCAATCAGCAACCACCTCAAGAACACCCCAATTGGAGGAAACTACATTATTGCGTTGCAAGAACATTGACGAAACCATTTGAATCAAGCATTGGATTATCGGGATTCAAATTGCATAGGTGTTATCAAAGGACATACAATATGTTGCCTACACCCGACACCTCGCACGTCTCCTTTGACACTATCTACGAACCATCTGAAGATTCATATCTCTTTTTGGACACCCTGTCATCAGCATCAGAATCAAAATGGCTATCTGAGAGATTTAAAAAAGGCAGCAGCCCCTCAGATAAAATCGCAGATGCCGTGCCCTTGGTTGTGGAAGCAGGCACAGGATCCGGCGTCGTGCTGGGATTTGTAGCAGCCCATTCTCAAGACATCTTCGGACGCCGGGATATCCTCACACTGGGAACCGACGTCAACCGGAATGCTTGTCTTGCGACCCGGGAAACAGTGTCCACAGCCATCCAGTCAATTCAAAAAGAAGAAAGCACCGAGACCAGCTCGAGCCTACAGAGCGTTCACATCTCCTCGTTGACCGCAGACCTGTGCACATCCTTACGCCCTGGCAGCGTAGATGTCCTTCTCTTCAACCCACCTTATGTACCCAGCGAGGATCTCCCCCGGTTACCGACCGCATCGGAGAATGATCCAGCGGTGGCCCAGGCCATGTCTCGTTCGGCCAAGTTCGAGAGCGACTCGTACTTCCTGTCGCTGACCTATGCGGGTGGCGTGGATGGCATGGAGACGACAAACCGATTATTAGATGCCATTCCTGACATCCTATCGACACGGGGAGTGGCCTATGTTCTTCTGTGCAAGCAGAACCGACCGGACGAGGTTATGGCGCGCATTCGCGGATGGGGTGGTTGGTGTGCCGAAAGCGTGGGATCGAGTGGCATGCAAGCTGGCTGGGAGAAATTAGTGATTGTTCGGATATGGAGAGAGGGCAGCTAAGTTTGAGTTTTGTGGGAGATTAAGAATGATGGAAAGACTTTTGCATTTCATAGATGGGCATTAGATGAGAGAAAAAATACCAAGACCATGTTCTCACTGCTAAGTCTCGCATGTCAGATAATGACCTAGACATTTGCATTTTTCAACCTTGGCACTACAACTAACTCCAAAGCGACAGGCTTCTGACCCAATGTTTCTACAACCCATAGGTATTTCGAGAAAATTACCAAGTCACGGCCTTGTTGACATTGCCGACTCACGGGTCTATCCGGAAGGCAACGTCCGTGTGCAGTGCAATCTGCAAGGCATCACACGACGCATAAATCCAATGCATACTCACCATCTTGTAGACCATGACGACGGCCCCCAAGCTAGTGCATTCGCAGTACCATGGAATGGCCGCCCCAAGCCAAGCAAACGTGAAACTAAACCCGTTGCATGTTTAGCCCCGTGTCTAGTTTGCAGCCGATAGACGAAACAGGAACACAACGTGGCATCCCCGGCTATGGGGCCCCCGAGGGAGCCACGTGGATATTCTGGAGACTTCAGGATGATCTATATTAGCGCTTGGTCTTATGGGGGTTTCGACCTATAACATCATAGGCGTTCGTGCACCGTACCGCATGTCCACATTCGTCAATTTGTCTCGATTTGGACATTGGGAACGACAAGCATGAACATTAGATCTGAAACCTGTTAGAAATATCAATTAGACCTAATATTAGATCTCGGGAATTCTCGCTCCAGATCCATCTTATCTAGGGATCGACATTTACTGGTAAGCACTCTGCAACTAGTCCTTGACCGATAATAACGTGTGGAATCTGATATCATTGTTATCAGAGTTGCGGTGTAGAATAGATTCAAATATTTTCATTTGATTATTTGTCTTTTTCTTTAGATTGGCCCCATGGTTTGAACGGTATCGGAATGGACTAACTTTCACTAATATGGTGGCTGATGGGCTCGGGGACTCGGGGACTCGGAGTGTTAGGCTCGGCAAATGGTTAATGAGGGATTCAGGAGGCTGCCACTTAAAGCTGCGAAGATCTATCCTCCGAGCATTTGAGTAGCGGCTGTGCGTTAAATAAATATTCAAATACTCTGTGCAGTGGAGCATCGACGGGAAGGAGCCGTTCAGGCGGAGATTTTATGAATCCAAGAAGTTCATATAAGTTATACAGAACAGTATAGACATAGACCCTTGGATTAGTCTAATCTGTACCAGGGAGTAAGCAGAGCGCCAAGTAGCCTCAAATGACCGACTATGTAATAAGAAGAAAAATGCTCATAGTGAAACCCTTGATACAGCACAGGCACCTGAGTGGTCAACTGAGCATAGTTTCCCAAAACATGAACTGATGCAGGAGTCCGAATAGAATCATGAAACCTGAAACATAATATCATTTTCACGCTGGAAGAATGAGAGACTGAGTATTTCCACGGAATAATATTATCGGCCATTAGATGGGATTCGGCCGATGGGGTCCACTGATCAAAACAGTCTCACATTGAAGGTCCAGACCCCAAACCCCTATTGATCCAAAAGCTTGGAAGTGAAAGAAGACAGGGGAACGGATTGGGCACGGCATATATTTGGGCGTCCGCTATACAACAACAATACATAGGATTGGCACAGATTTTACTTTAATTAGCGATCACGTCGGAGACACACCGAGCTGATTTGACTTGAACCCACTTCTAGCCCCATTCATCGGTATTGGGCCCCTTGTGATAGGTCAGCGGTACGAGCCGGGGTTAAAGAACGTTCTCGGCAGCATTAATTTCAAGTCAGATGCCAAGCCAATCAAGGTTCATCATTCTATATTCCGTAGAGTGCATTGGCTTAGGAGCTAGGGAAGTAAGGGGCTAAGGATTCAGTCTACATGACTTATCGGCTGTTCGGAATGGAAAATCAAGTGATAAACTTGTTTGTATACTGCTTCATTCACATGGGCCCCATTTTGACATTTGTGGCCCCGGGGTCCCTATGTATGCCGCGTAGTTGACACGCAACCCCCCTGTCGATGGAGATCATCTCGCACGAATTCGGTCAAAGTGGGGGTGCGAGATCGCTAACGCACTGCTTACTAGATTGGATATAGTGACTTTGATTACTATTTTTTCCACACTAGACAAAGAAAAGCCATGATTTTTTAATAATTACAAGATATTTTGTAAGAATCCACTCGACTCTGACACTTCATATTTCCCATCGACTTTAATGCGGCTCGGAAACACTTCATGCATGAGTACTAGTAGGCTCAATTTGTCAGAAAGTAGCTGAGCAGCTTAGTGATAGAGCAGGGTCTATGAATTTATGTGGGCTATCACATGTATGACGGTTAGTCGAGTGTCAAATAAACCAGTTAGTGGTTAGTGCATAACTATAGCCGGGAGGCTTAAGGGTCTGCAAAGTAACTCCACCTCGAACCTGACTTCTGAGTTCGTCGACAATCACCGGGGCCTCCGATGTTATTGTTTGGTGTTCGACAATACCTGGCTTTACTAACGTTACAACCATTGACTTACCCAAATGGACCGGAGTGGCAAAGACCCGGAGCAGGGCACGAGGGGCAAAGCATGCAAGGCTGATCTTGTTGGTTGAATGTTGGGGAATTGGGAACCTGTCAGTGGTTAACGCATGTCGGGTTACGTTCAAGAGAAGTATTCCTACACTAAATGTTAGTGTCGGAGTCGGAGACACCGTGGGTGGCACACTTGCGTGGCAATCTGAAATTCAGCTTAGTTTCTCTTGGACCTGGACCCCAAGGGCTATTTTTTGAACCGTAACAGAAAAAGAGACCTGTATCTCGGTCTTTTTCTGGTACTATGCACAAACAAGACTGGCCGCCAGGCTAGGGTAAATCTCATAAAGAGTGAGATCGTCACAGATACTTCCATCCCTGTAGAATGCAGATCTACAAGAAACCCAAGGTAAGCCTCTCAAGTCCTCGTGGCAATCATGAAGAATTAGATGGCAGGGAAATTAGGGCACGCTTGCATGCTTAACCTTGAACTACTGCATGGGGTGTCACGTGTGATGTAACAGGGATTACAGTCAGGTGATGACTGCTGAAAAAGAATCGTCGAAGAAGTTGAATAATTTCATACGGAATACCGAGATACATAACCATATTTTTTTTTAGTTTCAACCAAGATTAGAGAGCCTCAGGTTTCTTTTGCGGGTAAACACACGTAGCACAACTTTACATGCTTAACGGATTCTGGATTCGCGGCTCGTAGCTTAAATCCACCAATCTAGAGCCAAGGATGATCCTCCGATCCTGGCATTCTTGCTATTATACCTAGCAGGTCCAACAGAATGAAGCTGCGTATAGGGGATCTCCAGAATTGCAATGCTTGCCCAGAATGGATCTATTAAATCAAGAGCACCAAATTTGGAAAATAAAAAGAAATTGCTTTTTCTTTCAACCTCCAAATTTTAGAAAGAAGCTTCGGGGTTGGGTAACAAGATGACATCCCATGATCATGCAAAGAAAAAAAAAGAACCAGTTGGAAGACAGAAACAAACGCCAGTTTGTACTCTTGGAGAGAAGCAAAACACTTAGAAACCACGCCCCCGGCCACGGCCACCACCACGAGGACCACCACGGCCTCTGCCACCACCGCCGCGGGGACCTCCACGGCCACCACGACCACGGTCTGCTTCCTTGCGGGCCTTGTTCTTAGGCTTGGGCGCATCGTCAACAAGCAGAGTATCAAGCGGCAAGCTATCGGGGAGGATATAGTAACGGATTGTGGAGCCACGAATGTTGATGGTGTCGAGCGAGATGGGATCACGGCCCTTGGGGGTCATCTTCACGGTGCGGAGAGATGTGTTCATTTGCGGGGATACCGCAGTAATTGTGCCGTGGAGAATTGTGCCTAGGCGGGGTTGAATCCGTGTTAGAAGCTATAGCGGTCTAGGATTGTGAGGAGATGTGGGTGGTCATTCAGACGCGCAAGGCAGTCCTGAATTGATAACGCTGACACTCACCATTCTTGAGCTCAACAGTCACCGTCTCATTGGCGCATTTCATCAAAAAACTAGATGGCTTGTCAGCTCTGATCTTCAGAAAGATATTTCGCGGTGGAATGCGCGTAGCAGCTTGGCTGACCGCGCAGGCGTTGAATTGACGTACCGGACGAGCTTCATTGTGGATATGTCGGACACGCAGTCACGGAGTCAGGATGAATGTGTTAAGGTTCCAGTAGCTTTGCAGGGTCTTGGTGGGGAAAGATCTGTTAGCAAACCATCGCGGGCTGTCGATGCGGTCGGATTACAGTGCAGTCTCAGCCAGAATCACGTGACCAGGAGCAAGAGCTATGTCATGTGACGTGTATGTGTGGATGTTATCTGCTCCAAGATTGAATTGCTTCTATTGCGTCGCACTTCCATCAATGATTACATTCCGATAGCTCTTCTTCAATACCAGATGTCTTCTCCTTCTGAAGTCAACATCTGTTCAGACCACCCAGATCAGTGATCACTTATCACGGGTGATCTCCCCATTGGGGCCCTCCAGCAATGTGGACCTCGGAAAGCATCGATCTGCCACAGTGCATTTTACCAAGTCCTGCAAAGGCCATCCATAGGTAGAGGCAATTCAACTTCCTACTTGCTCAGTTTCAAAAGTCAGCTTCGGCCCTCCAAACTTGGCGACAAACGCCACAGTTGCCATTTCTTCATCCAGCTCCTCAAAGCTGCATGGCACAATGAATGCCGTTTTTGGAATGCAGCAAGTTGCATTGTATTTTATTTCTTGGGTATGTAATCCGTAAGTTGGTAAGCTCGGCTTGTTTATGTCCAATCTCATCTCCACTTTTGCAAGCTGGGCGGACCCACGCCTCACCTTTCTGGGAGTCGCAGTCTGGAAGATCGAAATACGAAGCCTTTCATTATACGATTTGAATTTGCCCCCGAACAATAGCGGCTTGGAAGCTAAATAGCTCAATCAATTGATCTTGTGCAGATCAGGCCTTTCTTACCCAGGCTTGACGATACCGATTCAGTACAAAGACCGTGCACCGGTGTGCCGAGTTCGGTTTCTGTTTCTTGGTGCCCCTACCATTTTCAAGGGCCAACCAGAAAAGCTCAAAACAGAGGTACGGTACACAGATCCTACTGGGTGACATTTGAGATTTGCAATGCAGAGAAAAAAGGACCTATTCCTACAGAGTACTTGTCAGGATCTGTTTACACTTGCGGATCCCAAGCCCTGAATGTGGAGAGAGCCGGTCGATCTCGAGTTGGCCCGGGATCACTCCCGGGGATCACTCCCGGAGGCGCCAATCCCCCGGGTCATGACATGACAAATTTCGAAGGCGCTAAGAGTAATTGTGCGTCCACCCCGGCCCCTTTGACCCTCCTGACAATGGCCTTTTTCGTCCTCAGGCTCGCTACTATCCTGTTGGTTGCTTATGCTTGGGATCCACCTTGGCGTTACACGGGTGGACGCAGTAAACCACATGGCCTCCGGGATACTGGGATCCTGCATCTGTGGCTCAACTTTGACGCCATGTGCTAAACGATAAAATTGTGAACCCAGCCACTAGTCCCCGATTTGTGTTGCTTTAGCTCGAGGCCGCGTACCCATTTATACGAACTACGAACAAGGCTGGACGTGACCGTATCGTTGTTCATACCATCCGCAGTGTTTAGAGCCCGCAGTGTTTAGAGCCCGCAGTGTTTAGAGCCCGCAGTGTTTAGAGCCCGCATTGATTCCGAAAATGCAGCCGAATTCGGAAAATCTGCAAATAGAAACAATTATACTCCATACTTCAGATCAGATTCTTCGGTGAATTCAGGGTGCATCCCTGGTGATCAGATTCTACTTCTCTAACGGTGCGTTCATGGGGGCCAAGTCTTGCAACTAGAGCACGGAACCAAGCACACCGCAATCCGTCGGGGGTTGTTTCCCCCTGGGAAGGACATTTTGCTTTTTTGATTATTTGTGCAGCCACGACGAATTGGCGGCTTGCATCGAAAGCGACTAACTTTTCTCGATCTTCTTGTCAGCCACCTAAAAGGCCAGTGTCATGGCCCCCAAATCAACCAAGGCCGCCCCATTTTGTTGAATGGGGCTAAAAACCCACTTTTCTTTTGCTGGGAGAAGCTCCCCTATACTGCTCAAGGATCATTACACGCCCTGGCCCCATGGGTCAACCCGTCCGCTATTTTTCTCAATGTATGCTTTGGCCTAGGAACGGAGGTTCCGGTGTTACCTTGTGGGGGTCGAAAACCAGGTCTTCTTTCTCTCCTCGTACAATAGGATAGCACGATAGAATTTGGGATCCACTGCTTGAAGATCATAGGATCATACGCCTCCTTACTCATTCACACTATATCAGATAGGCAACGATTACAGGCCATATTTCCCGAGAATTCGCGCCAGTGTGAAATTGCCCAAAGTGTTTCAGGGACAACTTTCCCACCCAACCTGTGGCTACGAACTATTGGCAAAGAAGTTCTAGAAGCTATGAGTTTTTGGATCAAAGTCTGTACCCAACTGGATGATTTATGATTGCGGGGGCATTGTTTTTCTCTTGTAACGACTCTCCCTGTACGGTCCAAAAGGTTTTCTTTCTGAAATTTTTGGAAATTCCAATTTCATTTCTCGCCATCGAATTTGCGAAACCTTTTGCAAAAATCCGCAAGATTTGCTATTGCGCCCGTCGCTCACTCCGATAGTAGAATCACTAAGTCGGAAACGAACTCGATATTGCCATCCACCAGCGCAAAAGCTATATTGTATGTCACTGTTTCTCATTTATTCTTTCCCATTCCCACAAGATTATCGCCCCTGTTTCCCTATTTCACCTCTATGTGTCGCCGGCCCTTTTCTGGCCCCCTCGTTCAGTTGCAGTTTTGCGCTAGACCGAAGCCGAAAAGCCCCAATGTCGTCCGAGCCTTCACAGTCAAACTCACAAGATTACTCCAATCACCGCAGGAAGTCTGATCAGTCTAAGGACCCAGCCTTGCCGCAGCAAATTAGCATTTTGCCCACTCCTATCGAGTTTGTGCAGCCGCCAGCGTTTCAAGGCGCCTTTGACAACTCGACCGCCTGGCCATTTATTACTAGTCCAGTGCCGACTCTAGAAACTGTATCTTTACCTTCGAATTTTCACATCTCACCTCCTTTAGAAGGCTCCACTATTCTCTTACGCCCTAATTCCTTCACAGAATCATTTTTGGGTCAAGATCCATATTCTACACACTCTCATTCCGAATCTTCATACTCCGAGGAATATCTTGAACAAAGTATCCAATCATCTACTGAACACGCCAATTGCAAAGAGAACTTGCCTACGGAGCATCCACGGTAAGCCTTGATTCCTGAATCTAAGGACATCTATAAACAACCGAAGGAAGCATACAATAGAAAGAATACACTAATGAACCCTATGCCAGTGGTCTTGCTATTACACCGTACCCTATGTCCGTTGCATCAGACACCTACTTTGCTGGCCCAATGCAGCCAAATTCTTACCGTAAGGAGCATATAGTGTTCCTGTATGAGAGCAACCACTAATGATACCCAGAATATGGCTATGCCAACCGCCAAATTCAACCACAACAACATGCATCAGGGAATATGTACCAGCAGTTCCCTCCGCCACAGCCGTATCCTTCATCTGGTCTTTCTGCTACCTACGGTAGCCCTTCCAACGGAACCATGCCCAATTACCACCATGAGTCGCACGCGCCACCTTCATACCTTCCTGGAGTACCTGGTAGCGCTCGTCAAAGTCATTCCCGCAGGTATGAACGAACCCAGAAAACGCAGAAACGTCGGCTGATTCTTGGTTTAGTCCTTCAATGACTCGTTCTTTCCCTCCTCACTCAGCCGCTAGTCTTTCTGAGCAGCCTCTCATGACCTCGTAAGACCTTTGTAATCAATTTCTTCCGGGAAAAAGCACAAGTCACTAATCCATTCTTCTAGCTCCCCTCCTTATCTGATGAATCAACCTGCTTATTATCTTCCGGAAGCACCTCCAATCCCGTGAGTCGAGATGACTATCACTACCCCGGCAATATACTTACCCTCGCAAATAGTTCTTCTCACCCCTCATCTTCAATGGCTGCTGAACCCGTTTTCTCTCCATCCGACTCTATCCCTGGATCAGACAATGAGCGCCAAGTTCGTGTCGTTAGTTCGAGGCCCCGACCACAATGCTGGGACCACGGATGCAATGGCCGTGAGTTTTCGACCTTCAGCAACCTTTTACGACACCAACGTGAAAAGTCAGGAGTTGTTGCTAAAGCCGAATGTCCTGTATGCGGAGCAGTGTTTACTCGAACAACTGCACGAAATATCCATGTGGCACAGGGGAAATGCAAAGGAGCGAGTAGAGACCCGTCGGCCGAGTAGGATCATTTAACAGTGCAATATAGTTCAATTCTTGGGTGTTTTGATATCTCTTTTTTTGTCATGTCATTCATTGTGGATTTTACGTTCTTTTTTTGGACAAATACACATTTCTCTGTGAGAAACACATTTTCATAATTCTCATACGCTAACATTCTCCGCCATGTATACTCTTGCGTTGTCCAGTTTGTGACTGACTGAACGAAGTACATTATCAATGTATTCCATCTTTTGCCTTCTCACTACTAAGTGATCGTCTTTTTCGTTACCCTTGGCGCTATTACTTCGCACTGATTACCTACTTCCAGCCTGGCCAGACCAGCCAAGTCTGGAAGCTGAGATCCAATCCCCCTTCCCTAAAAATGGATAAGCTGTTCGACTGTGCGGTGTACATTATCCAGAAGACAATGTTTCAGTCGATCTGGGCTGAAAATTGACCAGCGGATTTGGGTTCTTCTGGTGACATTCGCGCAGATAGAATACCAGAAGACCCAGCCCCGAGCTGGAGGGTCGACGCATACCCTTTTGGATGAGATATGAGGAATACTACCTGTTATGCGGACGGGCTGTATGTAGCAATGGCATAAAATAGATATCGCTGATAGCACTCGATGTTATCTAACTATGCGTCGAATGGACCCTTCAACTGATAGGGTAGGAGAAAAAGTATAAGATATAGACAGGGTAAAAGACAGGGTAAATATGGTATGCTTTTGCCTCCTAAAATGACAATAATCGCAAAATTTCAACCATCTTTTCTAGAATTCTAGAGATAGGTTGAAACCCTTGCAAATATATAAAGAAGTATCCTCAGACAGAAGATTGGAATATCAATACCGAAGAAATAAATGCCGCCTAAATAAAATTTCAAATCGGCGAGGAAAACACAAGAGAAGAACACACCGATCCGTCATTCATTCCCCACGCTTCTCCCCGGAACCACTTCACAGACCGTCCCCACAAATCCTTCGAGTCCGGATACCATCATGGTTCCAGCATTGGTAGTAGACACTGCCACACTGGAAGACGCCCCTATCGACGCCCCCGGCATAACAAGGACTTGTGAGCCAAGCTCAATCCACTCGACAGACGTGACAAGGGAGAATGTAATCTGCACATCTTCTTTGAATGCCTCTGTCCTCTCTCCTGGAAAGGCATTTGAAGTGCCGGAGACGACTTTGCTGATGTCCGTAGGGGATGGACGACGCCGGACAGGAAAGTCAGGGGCGCTGTTGTTGCTACCGCCTTTGTCTCCATGACTAGGGGGCTGGGGATCCCCATCGAAGCTGAAGAATTCTGGTTCATCGGGTGATGATGGCTCGGAGGTAGGCTCCTCATTTGTCCCTGCAAGCTCCATGCAGATGACACGGACAGTTGTGCGGATATTGGCTATGTAAACGATGGAGTTACCGCCTAGAAGTAGGGGAGGTGAGTTAAGAGCCGAGAATTCGGATGCGGGGAATGTGGCCATGAAGCCTGTGTGAAATGGTAGGGGTAATGTCGATGGGAGTTGAGTTGTAGTGCTGGAAAAGGTAGAAGAGGTCGAAACTGGCGAGTTTTGGTGAAGGTTTGTCAGAACCATGCCCTTGCGGATGCGGCTGAGGCGAGGAAGTCGGTCTTCATCTGGAGACACGAGGAGCTCGATACCAATGGTGCCTACTTGGTCCCTCATGAGACGGCGAACAGAGAGACGAAGGTTACGAACGCTGACGACGCGTACGCGCTGCCACTTTGCTTGTGTTGTCGAGGCATCTTTTCCGGGTAAGAAGCTCTGCGGGAAAGAGGCAGGGAAGTCGCTTGAGAGACCTGGTCCGCTGCTGCGAGAGAGCATGTTCAAGGGCGCATTATCATTGCTGTCTGCTGAAGTGTCGACAAGAAGAGGGCCGATGGTCATTTCGTCACCAATGGAGATGCTGCCGTGACGAACTAGGCCACATAAAACCATTCCACGGCTTTCTTCATTCGTCTTCTCGTCTATCGAGTATACTTTGGAAGGTGGAATAGCGAAGACCTCATCCACGTCGAAAACATTCGTGGTGAATTGTCGAGGCACTGGCTGTTTGTGTAGATGCAGTGCTCTTTGGCGTGGCACCAATGGGATAGGCAGATATCGAAGGCAAGCATGCAGCTTGCCTATACCTGATCCATCGACCGCACTAGAAAGAATTATCGGTACGGTAAGAGCCCAGTTCCCATCGGCTGCTGAAATAAGGTCTTGTGCAGACTTGCTGTCTAATGCGCTGATCTGTTGGAGATCAGGTATCCTATCCCCCGTTGGCGATGCAGGGAGCATCGCGGGCTTGCGGTTTGCTGTTTTTAGGGCAGACAAGACTTTAGCAAGATTCTCTCGTAACCGGCTTCGAGAAGCAATGTCTAACTTCGTGATGACAACTAAGAATGGAACATCCAATTTCAGACACAGGTCCAAGTAGGCCAGACTGAGATCAATCTCAGCAGCATGCTCATTACGACTTTCAGTCTCTGTCGTCTCATCACCGCAGTTGGCTGGAATACAAAGCATAACATAATGAGGAGCCCAGCTGACAAGACCCCGTAATGTAGACTTCACATATCGAATTGAACCTGGAAGATCGGATACAAAAGCCAGGCGACCGCCACGCGAAGTAGCATGGATATCATCCCACCCAGCGACATTTCCAGAGGCGTAATTGACCACACTTGTGGGCGTATCGTCTGCATACCCAATCAGCTCCTGGGCGACGGAGCTAGTAATACCAGAGGATATCTCGTGTCGGTGTTTGAGAAGGCTGAGTCGACTCTTGCCTCTCCCATTATCTAGTTGAGACGAAGTCAAAGCTCCCAGTAATGACGATTTCCCTGCAGTACTGGGGCCGGTAATAGATATTCGAATTTGCTCGGTGTGAGAGTAATCTTCTTCCGAGACAGAGTACGCTCCAGGATCTGGATTGGAAACGTTATCGCCATTCCGGCCTGGCCGACTAATTGCGTAGAAATCCAGGTCTGGAGTAACTAAGACTTCTGCGACCCAAAGCCTTTCTGTGTGGCCTTTGGTTGGATCAAGTTCGTCCGATGGTAAGTCCTCCATCCATTCGCATTTCCCGACGATGACTCGGCGCAGAATTTCAACTTTACAACCGAGAGTCGCCGCCATGGCCTGTAGATTGGTCACACTTTCATCGAGCTCATCCTGTGTTAAGCCTACAAAGGTACCGTCGTCGGCAACACCAATCTCGTAGAGTGCACCCTGGCTTTCTTCTAGGCCGGGAAGCAGGCGAGCTGGCTTGGGAGGTACACCTAACTGTGGAGTCGCATCTGGAAACACGGGAACTATCAAGTTCGCCGTCGTAGAGGAATGAAATGGCGAAGACTGCTGCAACCGCCATAGCAGCTGTGTCGTCAACCCCTGTAACCGTTGTTGCCGGCTTTGAGACGACTTGGCTTGCATGGGCTTTGGGGTTGTCACGACATCCTGAGATGGAGATGCAGAAGTTGAAGCCGCGACTAGATTAGTACGAGAATGGTTGTATGAACCTGCAACGACATGGCCGGTGGACATAGAAAGGTAAGGCCGCCGTGGACGGAGTAGCAGGTGCAGCTTGTACTCGGTGGGGCCCTCTTGAGGTTCCGGCTCCAACTTGGTGATGCCATAGTCGGACAGAAAATCAGCAACCGCAGATTGCAATGCTGAGCTAGACCGCGTTCGAATGGCTAGCCCTCTTGCAGATACATTGACCTGGGGTGTCGATGATCCTGAGTTCGACCATGGGGACGAAACTCGGGGTGGGTCAGGATCATAAGTGAAGATGGATGCCATAGCCGTCGTAGTCACGGTGAAACAGATTTACAATTCACCTCGGTAATAGAGGTATTAGGAAGACTGAATAGATTTGACACAGTACCAAGGCAGATGCAGTAACAGAGGGCATTCTTGCGTGAAATATAGAGTGAAATGAAGGATGAATGACCTTGATGATCGGGCTTGAGTCACCAGTTCTGCCTGAGGCAGCAACTTTCCCCACTTGAGTTTACCAGACTTCCTACAACTATACCCTCTTTCTTACTGTATCAGGTGAAAAGTCCATTCGATCTATAGTCTAGGTCTACAAGAAGCCGTCGAAGTGGAATATAAATGCTGGAACGATCCAATTTGGATCTATTCATTTGCAGCTATTGGGCTCGTCATTGACCCAAACTCATTTCATCACTTAAAAGGGGTATTTTCCATGAAGGATACATCAAACTTGGAATAACATGCCATACCCTGGCCATGTTACTTGAACAAGCTCAATGGGAATTGAGATTAAACACATTTCACCATATTTCCGAGACGCTGACATTTCACGAGAGCAACCGATCATTCCGAATGGGTTGCTTCAATATAAATGAGATAAAAAGCTGATCTATCCGCCTTTGCGCTGGTCGCCTGAATTCCGGGAGAAAGTACTAGTTGAGCCAATAGTGGCGCTAGCATTGCGGAGCTCGATTTTCTTGCGTTCCATCTCGAGCTAGACAAACAATATTCACGGATCAGTAAACTCGGACGAATGAGAGGGGCAATAAAAAGAAGTCAAAAGTCACTCACCACTTTGCGTACGTGGGCAAGAGCAGCCGTGTCGCCCTCGACAAGTGGGCGACACTCATCAACCCGGTACGGCGCCGCAATGGTAACGGCATCAGCAACGATGATATTCGGTCCATCCCACCGGGCGGGCATGGTTCGACTAAACGCATCAAAAATATCCTGCGCTTCACGGGTAACACCCTTTCCGCGTCGCGCTTCCCGGTCCAGAATCTCGCTGACGGCCTTGATCTCGCGCGCCTTCAGCGCACGGGTGTCAAGTGCCTGAATGGTGGGCTGTGCATCGGTAAAGGAAGGCGAGTCCGAGGTATTGGATGGGAGGGAGATGAGCTGAAATGACTGGATGCGAGAAACAGGAATAACGTGGTAATCGCCGCTCTGTGCCTGCTTGGAGTCTGTGGAGGTGGTGACGGGGGATGTGTTGACAGCGACGAGGTTAGTGATAGGGCACACGGTGAAGAGGGTTCCCTCGAAGGTGGAAGTGGTTGGTGCAGCAGTAGTAATGCGGACGCTATGGAAGAAGGGCAATGTATTAGCGCACTTGCTCGATGGCGATCGGCTTTTTGAATGCGCCCCAGCCATTGCAGGCGGCATAGTCATTTCGAGGACTCATGGTTCATATCACTCACCGAGCACCGATCGCACCGCTCAAAGCAGCTTCGTGGGGCACCATGTTGGTTGCCATACCAGGACCAGAGGCCTTCGCACTCGAGTTCTGGCGCTTATTCTCCGCCATGCAGCGTGTGACGTGGGCGGGCGGTGTGATTCAATCGTCCACTTGCGCACAAGTGGTTCTTTAAATGGATTCGTTTGAAGGAAGGAAATGTCGAGTTGCGTCAAACTCGGGACATTTGAAACAGATAAAAGTCTCAATTGATGCCTGTCTGCAGGCCGTTGGGAGCTTGGGAGCTGCCGGACCCTTTTGTTTCCTGTATAGGTTGTGGGGGTTTTCCGAACCCTTGATTTGAGGGTCTTAACGAATATCGGAGAAAATATATTTCCCCGGATTCCTAGATCGTGGAAGGTAACAGAAGGGGAGAAGAAGGGGGAAGGAAGGAAGGGAAAACAGCCTCACACCCCAGGGAATTGGTGGAGGAAGGAGGGGAGACGCGATAAGATGGCGACAAGGTCGACGTTGCTCGATACCCGATCTGGTTTAGCGTGAATGGACCAGTTTCCAGGCGCTAAGGCATCAATAGTTATACCTCAGAACTACGACAAGAAGAATTTGAACACTCAGCACTCTCTGATTATTTCTTTGGTATTAAACCATATTCATTGAAACAAATTCATTACGTTCCATTCATGGTGGCATCTAAATACATAAAACCCAATTTTTTATCCTTATATCTTCAACCTTACGCGATGTAAGTCGAGGCAGACACATCACCACCACGGCCGGTCCAGTTGACGTGGATGTCCTTGCCCTCGGGGAAGGTCTCACTGGCGAATTCGGGCTTGATGCGGAAGGTGTGGGCACCGAAGTAGTCACGCTGGGCCTGCAGCAGGTTGGCGGGCAGGTCCTTGGTGCGGTAGCCGTCGTAGAAGCTGAGGGCGGTGGAGAAGGCAGGCAGAGGGATACCCCAGAGGGCGGACTTGCTGACAACGTTACGCCAGCCGCTCTGGGCCTTGTGGATGGCCTTGGTGAAGAAATCATCAAACAGCAAGTTCTCGAGCTCGGGGTTGTTGCGGTAAGCGTTGGTGATGTCCTTGAGGAAGACGGAGCGAATAATGCAGCCACCGCGCCACATGAGGGCGATGGAAGGCTTGTTCAGCTTCCAGCCGTACTCCTTAGCGGCCTATGTAAACTAGTTAGCCGGAATTCGTATCAAGTAGAAGTAAAAGAATGCAGCTTACGTTCTGGATGAGCATGAAGCCCTGGGCGTAAGAGATGATCTTAGAGGCGTACAGAGCCTGCTCGAGGTCATCGACGAAGGCAGCCTTGTCACCCTCGAACTTGGGGGTGGGGCCGCTGAGGATGGTGGCGGCACGAGTGCGCTCATCCTTGAGAGCACTGAGGCAACGGGAGAAGACAGCCTCGCCGATCAGGGTGACGGGCATACCAAGGTCAAGAGCGTTAATGGCGGTCCACTTGCCGGTACCCTTCTGACCGGCCTTATCGAGGATCTTCTCAACGAGAGGAGTGCCATCGTTGTCGTTGTAGTAAAGAATATCGCGAGTGATCTCAATAAGGAAGGAGTCCAGAACACCAGTGTTCCACTTGGCGAAGATGTCACCAATTTCCTTGCCGGAAAGACCGAGACCACGCTTCAGGATATCGTAGGCCTTTTCAAATGTTAGTACGTCGCCTTTTTATAGCAGTGAGAGGGAAGAAGGAAGGACCAACCTCGCAAATCAACTGCATGTCACCGTACTCAATACCGTTGTGGACCATCTTGACGTAGTGACCGGCACCCTCGTCACCGACCCAGTCGCAGCAGGACTCACCGTCGCTCTTGGCGGCGATGCTCTGGAAAATGTCCTTGATGTGGGGCCAGGCAGCCTCGTTACCACCGGGCATGAGAGAGGGACCGTAACGGGCACCCTCCTCACCACCGGAAACACCGCTGCCGACAAAGCTGATGCCCTTCTCGGCAAGGTAGCGGGTGCGGCGGTTGCTGTCAGGGTAGTGGGAGTTACCACCGTCAATGATGATGTCACCCTTCTCGAGGAAGGGCAGGAGGGACTCGATGAAGGCATCGACAGGCTTGCCGGCCATGACGAGGAGCATGATACGGCGGGGGCGCTTGAGCTGAGCAATGAACTCCTGGATGGAGTGGGCACCAATGATGGACTTGCCTAGAAGCCACCAGTCAGTCTTGCGCACGCTGACAATTCTTTACCTCTATGAGGCGAGTCAAGAAGCTTACCCTTGGCCTCGTTCTCAAGGAAGCGGTCGACCTTGGAGGTTGTGCGGTTGTAGGCGCAGACGGTGAAGCCGTGGTCTGCGGCATTGAGAATCAGGTTCTGGCCCATGACGGCCAGACCGATGAGGCCGAAATCAGCGGTAGGACTATAATCAAGATGCGCGGGACCACCGACATTGATGCCGGCGAGACGGGCGCTATAGTCAGCGACGGGATTCTCTTGTCAATAAGGTAAAAGCAGATGATATATCTAAAAGAGGAGAAACAGCCCGACAATCCCGAGGGATGGAGATCCGCGAGGTTCCTACAATGCGCGCAACAACATGCATGAAGCTTGATCGGCGACATCATAGCAGGTCCCGAAGAAGAACCTCGCAGGTCTTCATGGCCCTCAGAGCTCTAAGAGCTCTGCAAGCTCTGCAATCATAGCTCGTGTACGGCAGAATTGACCGGACCAGGAATTGGCGGGGACCCGTTGGGGCACCCCGAGTCTGGAGAGGGCTTTTTTGAGGGGCAAAGAAGGGGGGGGAGGGGGAGCAAGCAAAGAGAAACTTACACAACGTCAGCCATGGTGAATGCGAATTGAAGAAAGAAAGTAAAGCCGGGAGTGGGTATCTACAACTGAAGAGAGTTGAAGAAGGGAAGAATGGATGAGGAGGGGGGGAAGGAGCGAGAAGAAGTAACCCGGCTGACGGAGCAACTCTTCCGTCATAGTGGTGGGATGTATCCGCCGGCGGGGATTCTTTGTACCAAGAATACTCAAAATACTTAGAATACTGTAATAAATGTACCTTATACGGGGCCGTTGAGCTATTTTCCTGTTACTATTGCCGGTGTCGCGCCAAGTATTCGGTACAGGAGCACAGTCGCCCGGTCATCCCACTCGGGTTCTTGTTTGACTCGGACCTATTATTATGAGGGCGGAATGTTGGAAGTAATATCTGACCCGACTATTCGTCCACTTATCCACCCGTTGCCGGCGAGGATACGTTGGATTTGGGGGCCTGCATATGGGGTGCTTCCTGTACTATCAAACCCGCCGCGGGGCAGATTATGGCAGATGGAGGGGTATTCTTCAGATACTACCATGTACTTTACAGCGCATCTTACAGGCAAGAAGTTCCATGACCTTGGACGCATTCATAAGGGGAATAATACACGGTACCTGATAATCCCATGGGATCCCCCATTCATCGGTGAACTGTTCAGGATAAATGGACGGAGAAACTGCATTTTACTTACCGTGAAAACCCACTCGAATCCGGTCAAGTTGGTTTTACGCTAGTCTTATTCCGGTCTAGAGTGGGGGTGACCTCATACTTGATTATCTAATCTCGGTTATGTAAGGACCTTAGTTACAGCAACTTAGTTCTAGATCCCACTATCGTAGCCTCAGGCCATCAATCTTTATTTTTTAGTCTAATCCAGGTGTCGAAAGGGACCAAGTGTGCATTTCTTTTTTGCGATCGCAATCGCGTTCTTTATCTCTTGGTATCAAAGTTTCAATCACTCCCTTCACCACTCCAACAATCACTTTTGTCCAATCTCTTTCTTACTCTCAAAGTACCATTTCTTTGTCCCTAATTGACCCCACCTCCTTTTACTCGAACAGGGTTCGAGTCCTCAGGTGTGACGTCTGGTGGAAATAGACTACCCTGAAGGTACGTTGTGGCTGCTACTCTACAACAGCTCAACCGTTTCTCCTGTCGGACTCTCCATTCATCATGTCCTTTCCACCTCCTCCAGGTCTTAAAAAGGCGCCCTCGTCTCTTCCTCCTCGACCACCTCCATCCAGCAATGCTGCGCAGCCACCGGGCTATGGGAACCCACGCCCAGCTATTACGGCTTTCCAACCGCGTTCCGTAGCCTCTAGTCAACCATACCGCGCCAGCCCGACGATCTCAGCCCCACCTGTCTCGTCCGCTGGGTATGCGTCCAACTACCCTACTTATTACCAACAACCACAACCTCAAACCTACCAGAGCGATCCCTCCTCCTACTACGGCGCCCCCTACAATGAAAGCACATATGGCCCAACCGTCCCCCACATCCAGAATCCATTCGGTTCGACTCCTGGCCAGGCATATGGTGGTGGACGCCCAGGTCGCGATGGCGTAGATGCAGAGACCGAGGCCCAGATCGCCCAGTGGCAAACTGCTTATGCTAAGCAGGATGACTCCGCCGCTCACACATACGGTGCCCAGTCTACCGCTCCCAGCAGAGGTACCGGAACCCCAAATACTGGAGCGGCCGGCGCTGGCACCCCACTACCTCAACCTGAACCTCAAAAGACAGTTCCTCGCTCCGGTGGTGGACAAGAGTGGACCGACCCGACACTACTGGAGTGGGACCCGGCTCATTTCCGTCTGTTCGTGGGCAATTTGGCTGGCGAAGTCACTGATGAATCTTTGTTGAAGGCTTTTGCGCGATACACGTCCGTGCAAAAGGCGCGTGTGATTCGGGAGAAGCGCACCCAGAAGAGTAAAGGTTACGGGTTCGTCAGCTTCAGTGATGGCGATGATTATTTCTTGGCTGCACGTGAGATGCAGGGCAAGTACATTGGCTCCCATCCAGTTCTCTTGCGAAGAGCTGTTACCGAAGTTAAGCCGGTCTCGAATGTTAAGAGCCACAAGAAGGGTGGAGGCGGTGCCCGAGGCGGGAATTCGGGAGCCAAGGTGAAGCATGACGGAGTGAAGAAATCTGGAAAGACCAAGGGAGGATTGAAGATTCTTGGCTAGATATGGTGGGTTCAGAATCTATATGTACGTTATCCAATTTCAATACCACAAAATCCATGCCAAAGAGCCACATTAATCATTAACTTTAATCCTACGAAGACCTCGTACACCTTCAGATATCGATAGCACAAAGCATCAATGGATTGGTGAAATGGGGGGGAATGCATTGACGAAACCACCGTCAATCTATGCTTGTTGACTACCTACTAGTAATCGAGACTGCATTGATAAGAAAAATAATTAGGCAATTAATTAAGGGTGCAACAACGGGTGTTTCTCTCCCACTGAGCTTTAACTAATGTAATTCATAAGCGGGTCGCGCACCCCCAAACACAATGGTAAATGCGATCAATTACAACTTATTATCTCAACAATCATATATAGACTGTAGAAACTTTTCCTTGAAGCTTACTTCAATTATTATGTGATACTTAGGTACTTTAGGGAGTTTGGATCATTTAATTGATCTAATGACTATACTATATATAATTTCCCAGTAGAGGGGCGTAATTTTTCGTAGCGTGATAATATAAGTATTGGAATTTTTTTTTTTTTTTTTTGAAATTGATATACGCGTCTAGAAATTCTTCTCAATGTCTATCGGTAATACTGTTAAGAATATGACTGTTAAGATATTAGGGTAGTAAATATCGCATTTACTATAGCGTTTGGGGGTGCGCGACCCGCCTATGTGCGCGACCCGCTTGTGAAATACGTTTAACTAGTAGATGGTTAGTCACTATGATCGTGCGAATTTTTGCGAACAATTATTAAGGATTTCCAATTTCTATATACTACATATATTAATATTACTACTTTATGTGAAAATATAAAAGATAAAAATTGCTCACACTTAATCTGGTTTGGTGATATGTGAGCTTAAAGACCCTGACTGTGGAACCGATTACGCCAATGAGCGTCAACCTCCACCACCTCCTTCACTTGTTCAACCTTGAGGTTCACAGGAACCCTAGAATCTCCACATATTTGCACGACATTGCTGCATCGAATACAAAAAATTATCTAAACTAATTTTCATGCTGCACGGACTTTTCCCACCTCGTCCCAAAGTTGGTGTGGATGCGTCATGGAAAGCCGCGAACCTGCGGCTAATCTTGAAAAAACAGCCCAATCTCGGTCTTCTGCGCCGAGGGTCCGCCTGAGCTGTGAAGCATGCCGTCAGCGAAAAGTGAAATGCGATAAACTGAGTCCATGCACTAGTTGTCAGCGACTCGGTTTTCAATGTGTTCCTGTAGAGCGAGCCCGTCTACCGCGGGGTCGTACGCGCAAGGCTCCCGAGCGAGCTGGCGGCTCGGACAGGGAACTCGCTGAACGGGTCGCAAAGCTTGAACAACTTCTGCGGCGAGTTGCTGCAGAGCGTAATTCTCCATTTCAACCTCAGGTCGAGACGCATTCTTCCAATGATCCTGCTCCAGAATATAAACCTGATATGCAGGAGGTGGTTGATGCTGAGACCTGGCAAGAGCAGAATGCCCAGCTGGGCGACACACAACTGCCATCATCGGCAAACCTGACACATCGGCCTCGTCCAGCGGTCACTTATCTAGGTAGCTCGTTTTGGGAGGATATTATGCACCAGGTGCGACTTTCTCCCCTCTTCGCCGCCTTCGCTTGAATGAACTCTAATTTGATTGATAAACAGACGCAAGAGCTGCGGACGGTGCTTGATAGCCGTGTTGAAAATGATCAACTTGAACTCAAGAGTCCAACTGGTTTTGGCTCTTCTTTTGTCGGCTCTGAGGGCTCTGAGAGCGTCGCTACTTCGCCCCAATCCCTGAAAGGGATCAACATCTCACCTCAGACACGCCGCACTCTCTGTGGTATTTACCTTCGCAATGTGGACCCTCTATTCAAGGTTCTACACCGACCTTCATTACGAGCATTTCTTCATGACGACCAGCCTTATCTTGATTATGATCATGATCACCAGGCCCCGATTACGTTGGCATTTGCCGTTTTTTCTGCCGCCGTCTGTACGATTGATGATTCCCAATGTCAGCTACTATTGGGCCTAGACCAGAAAAATGCATTTGCCAAGCTCCAAAAAGAGACAGAAGCTGCGCTGGTCAAGGCAGATTTTGTGACTACAAATGATTTAACTGTTTTGCAAGCCTTTGTAATCTCACTGGTGAGTTCTTCATTGGCATACCATCCCAAAGATCAAGTAAATGGAGACGAAGCTGACGGTATATAGCTAGCGGCTCGTTGCCAAGACCAAAGCCGGCGTGTTTGGACCATGTCAGCCATGGCTCTTCGCGTAGCTCAAGCACAGTGTCTTCATATGGCCGACCCGCCCTTCCGAGTCAGTCCATTCGAGCAAGAACTGCGTCGACGTTGTTGGCTGGGAATTGGGATGCTTGATGTCGCAGCCTCGTTAGACAGAGCATCTGAACCAATGATGCAAGCCGCATGGGTAGACTCGATTCTTCCATCAAACATAAACGACGAAGATATTTGGTTTGACATGGAGGGTCCTGTCCAGGAACCACCGGAAGGGACCTTCACCGACTTCACGCTCCCATTGGTCGTCGCAGCAGCCCAGTCTGTCTGTCGATCTATCGCCTTTGCCGATTTCATGGAAGCATCAGTAAAGTCGATGAGTGTGCGCCAACAAATTCTATTAGACTTCCAGAATACAGCTTCTACCCTTCTGAGTGGATGCCGACCAGATATCAACCCCTTTCATCTATACGCAAAATGCACGGCGAATTCAATCAATGGCTGGCTACAACTTGGCTGTCTCCGCCCGCTTCAACGAAGCACAAACTTTACTCCCCCCTCCGTCCAAGGAGATATTCTTCTCAAACTGGCCGCTGAGAATCTTCAAATGGCATCAGAAGTCTACTGTAACCCAGCCATGACGCAGTGGTCATGGTTCGGCTCAATGTGGGTTCCATGGCATGGGCTTGCGGTAGCTCTTGCCGAACTCTGTGTCTGCAAAGAAGCAGAAACCATGTCAAAGTACTGGCCCGTGGTATGGCAAGTGTATCACCGAACGAGCTCTATTATTGCAGACTCACAGCACGGAATGCTATGGCGACCACTCGAAAAACTCATGAAACAAGCATTCAATCGAAAACAAGAGCTGCTAGGTAGCCAGAGCTCAAATGATGCTATCGATCAGGTGTCTCTGAGCGAAGGAAGTTCTGTGAATCCTGCTCAGCAGTTGAATCCTCATCCTCTGACAGACTTCTCGTTAGAGGGTATGGGAACTATACCTCCTAGCGTGCAAGTTAATCTGCCCATTGTAATGCCGACAAACATGGGACTTGAGTCTGGCCTTGAATTATGGCCCAATGTCTGGGATGCCATGGATTTAAGTGCCAGCGGGGCCCAAGATTGCGATGTTGCTTGGGCCAATTATACGAACTTCATTGGAGATGTGTATGATAGTGCAGACTCTATCTTCCTGCCACGATGATTATGAGATTAATGTCTCTCACAACTGTACGCGAATATCTCCACTTTAATCAACGATATCTCCATTCCAGCCTCCTGAGGTTCACTTATAATAAAAAAATCACGTTTTAAGTACATCTTATAAGTTGAATCATCTTATCCATAGAGTAGAATTGAAACAAACAACTTTGGAAGTACATACAGTCAAGTTCTGATCTACAAAGTCTACCCTTCCTCGAGATCGGTAGGACAACCATCTTCCTGCTGACACTCCAGTGTCGTACTCATATAAACAGAATCCACAGAATTCATAGAAACACGGCGTATCTTCCATAGAATAGAAGAAGCATTGTTAATGTCTTTTAAGGATTTTCATCGTTACTTGGAGTCGAAAGCCAATTGAAAAGCCTCTGCATGACACTTGTTCAACGTTAATGCTAAAGGTATTGGGAAGGCCAGCCAGGATGTCCCAATTTTCTTGAAAAGGCTGTTGGATACTTGAAACAGGCTTAGATGTGAAAATCCACTCTGCTATCTCTCTTTTTCAAAGAATCAGTCTCCTCGTAAGGCCCTCAATATAATTCGAATCCCGAAGTCTTGCCTCTTCTGGCTCATTCCTGGAAACTTCAGGCCATTCATCTAGATTCCAAACTTTTTCCTGTGGGCATAAACTCTCTTCCTCGTTTCCGCCGTTGGAAAGTAGGTTTGAAGCCCCAAATCCCAGGATGGATGAATACCAGGATCTTCCATTGTCTCTGGGTGATCAAAGATCAAATTTGAATTCCCCCGTTCCATCTGTGTCGATACGTGGCTGTCGTCATCTTCGTGAAGCCGTTGGTAGGTACACTGTCGTGCGCGGTTTCGGCATTCTGCACAAGGAGTATCTCCATTGCAGGCCTTTCTGAGACTTGCACAGCTATCACAAGCCCGCTTGTGTTTGCCACCTCGTTGAATCTCGGGGATTCCTTGGCCGCTCTCTATGCGAGTCTTGCATGATTTCCAATGTCTCCGCAAGACGTCTCTTCAAGCCTCTGTTAGTCTTTACTTCATGGAAAGTATTGCTTCATAGTAACGAGATACCTACCCTCGACCAAATACAGCACCACAAAATCGGCAAACATGTCCTTTTTCGGTATTGTCTAGTATATATTTAGTAACAAGCCCAGGGTTTAAAACTTCCAAACATACGAGTCGCCGTATGTCGCTTCAAATGATTGAGTCGCCCAAATGCAGCAGGGCACTGATCACATCTCCACTCCTTGATCACATGAGCTTGTAGCGATGAGTCTTCCATCCGGACTGCTCCAGAAAGTCCGGGGGTTTAATCAACAACTTATGCCGAGATGGCGGGTGAATCCCGGCCCACCGCGCGACGTCAGAAGCGGATGTGGTGGGTCTGTATAGCCTGGTGGTCAAGAGTCAAGACTTTGCTTAGAAGGCTCATAGACAAAGAAATTCGGCCTCACTATTAACCGACTGAGTCTAAGAAATTGATCCGCGCCCGAGTTGCAGTTGCTCAGTGCAGGGAAGATGGTGACAGAAGGTTGGCGGATCCACTAGTTCCGTCGCGATTCCCCCACATGATCTTCGTATTCATACTTCCATGTATGCGCAGGCTTCAAATCAATGTTTTCTCTAATTAGAGAGATAAATTTCTTCTTCACTTATAAAAAGGTCATCTCTCCCCGTCAAAATATCCTATTCCTTCCATCTATCTTCACGCCACTCTAATTCATCATGCCTTCCGTCACAGAATCACCTCTCACCGAGCACTGGAACAACTGGCCAAATGAGAAAGGGGTATGCACTCAGTTCATCATAATATGAAAACATACTAACAGCCCAGTTTGACCCTGAGTACGAAGAACGTACTCCAGTCGAGCTTTCGGTAACCGGGAATGTTCCTGCCTATGCCGCAGGTATTCTTTACCGCACAGGCCCAGGGAAGAGCCAAGTCGAGACTGAAGATGGGCAACTGTTCCAACTATCACACTGGTTTGACGGCTTCAGCCAAACGCACCGATTCCAAATCATTGCGTCAGATGATCCCGATTCTTCAATTCGAGTATTGTACAATTCCCGCTTTTCTACCGATGCCTTGATCGAAAAGGTCCGGAAGGAAGGATATCATATAGGCTTTGCCGACAGACGCGACCCCTGCAAAGAAGCCTTCAACCAATTCCAAACCGAATACGTTCCCTCCAACCCATCGGAGGTGAATATCGGCGTGACACTATCTGTCAACATGCCGGGTCTCGATGCCCAATCTGAAGAGTCGACGGAGCGCTGGTCTAAATCAAAGGGTGTCCAGACTCTATATGCGAAAACCGATCGCAACGTTTTCAAGAAACTTGATCCAGAATCGCTGGAGCCAATTGGCCTGGCTTCCCAGACAGATCTTCACCCAGACCTGGGCGGCCCATTGTCTGCTGCGCATCCCCGTTCGGACCCTGCGACTGGTGATGTATTTAATTTTAATCTCACCCCGGGCCCAACTTCTACCTATCGCGTGTTCCATGTCTCGGCTTCAACTGGCAAGACTTCCATATTGGCTACATTCCCAGGCACGCCTGCGTATATACACTCTCTTAACATTACCGAGGACTATGTCGTTCTGTGTGTCTGGAACTCACATGTAAATGTGCAGATGCTTAGCCAGGGATCTTTTAAAGATACAATCATGCCCACCGATCCGACCCAACCAGCGACGTGGTATGTGATCGATCGCAAGCACGGACGAGGCCTGGTTGCAACCTACGAGAGCCCCGCGTTCTTCTGCTTCCACACGGTCAACGCTTTCCAGGAACAGTCCAAGGAAGATCCGACTAAGATCGACATAGTTGCTGATCTTGTTCGGATTGACTCCTCTAACTTCTTGGATTTCGTCCTTTACGAAAATATGAAATCGTCCCTACCTACTGCGAAGGCATTCGCCAACAACAGAGGCGATGATATGCGCACCGCTTTCTCTCAATTCCGTCTCCCTAATCTGCCATCAGAGCCTAACTCGGAGATTCTGAGGGCCACGATGGAGTGGTCTTCAGGCAAAGCCTTCTCGCCCGAATTGCCTACCATGAACCCCAAGTTCGCCACGAAGAAGCATCGATATACGTATGCCACATCTTTCCGTGGAGAGTCAACTTTGACAGATGGCATTGTCAAGTTTGATAGTGAAAATCAAGAGACTAGTCTGTGGGCGCATCATGGCCAGTCACCCGGTGAGCCGATTTTCGTCGCAAACCCCGCCGGGGTAGATGAAGATGACGGCGTGCTTCTCAGTGTGGTCTTGGATGGTTCCAGAAACCATAGCTACCTACTTTGTCTTGATGCTCGGAACATGACTGAACTTGGTCGGGCTACTATGAAAGGAGCGGTTGGATTCGGATTCCACGGCCAGCATGTTTCCACACATGGCATGCCTACAGGAGATTATTGAGTGCTTTGTTTCTCCTAAATTGGATGGATTTCATTTAATTAATAATGCTTCTATTCGGCAATTCCTCCACGTACTCCCAAAATCACTCTTGTACACCCTAACCCCTATACAGGAACATACCCATGGCTCCGAATTCAGTGGCACCCTACAATATCGCTTTGCCTACGCAGTTTTACATATATATATTCTTTCGATATATTCGTATACTACACCGTAGCTTACAGGTAGGTACTGGAGTGGGTACTGGAGTGGGTACTGGAGTAGGTACTAGGGTAGATACACTTGATGCTACCTGGGTAGGCCATAGGGAATATGAATATCGTTAGTTGATTCGAAGCCGTAGCCCATGGGTACATATGTTTCTGATCGAGTTACACAAGAGGTACAAGAGTAATTTATGGAGTAGGTGGAGCAACTCCCATCTATTTGTTCAAGGCTGCTGAATTTTATAAGCCTTTTTGTGGGTCAGATACGCCCTGCGGGTGACATTTCTTATACATAACCACAATTCCATCCCTCATTCATGTTGTCATTTTCATTCTCCCACTTCAATCAATCCCCTTCAAAATCTCAACCGAATACACATCAGTTCCAAGTCAAAATGGCCGGCGAAGAAAACCTCACAACCCTCCTCTCAACAATGGAACCATTCCTAGATCCACAAACCTACGTCTTCATCACCACAACGCAACCCCTCGCCTCACTCCCGCTTTCCACGCTGAACCCACAGCTGATCGCCCAAGAAGCTGAGGGTACAACGATAGTCACAACGGAAGATCTAGCCATATTCCACGGATTCAAGGCCATGGTTTTCCCGTGCCGCAAAATCTCGCTGACGATCCACTCCAGTCTTGAGGCGGTCGGACTAATTGCGGCGATTACTGATCGGCTCAAGGATCATAAAATCAGTACGAATGTTGTTAGTGGGTTTTTTCATGATCATATTTATGTTCCTGCTGGACGGGCGGAGGATGCGATGAGGGTTTTGGGGGAATTGGCGGAGGATGCGAAGGGCAGGTGATTTGGATGTAAGGTCAAGTGTGTACTATAATGGAGTTTTTCTATGGTTTTTAAATCAAAATCAACTCAATTGAGGCCTCTCAATCCAGTAATCTCCTTACTCCCCGGATATTCATACATCGTTGCGGAAGACATAAAAACAAGGAAATCCAGACAAAACACCGAGCCCGGTATGAAATAGTCAACATTTAAAAAGTTGCAACGTTGTTCTTCGTCCATTGGAAGGATGCAAGACGGACAGGGTATTACTGGTACAAAGAAATCGATGCTCACAGGTGAAAAGCGATGGTTACAAAGTCGTATCGGATCAATAATCATCCTCCTTTTCCATGATCATGATCAACTCGGTCAGCTCCTTGCGCAAAGCACGGTTTCGATCCCACACTTCTACAATTTTCGGGCGCTGGCCTACGAAACAAGCCTTCTTCCAAGACACACCGCCATATTTTGTAGCGACCCGGTTAGGGACACCCTTGGCAATGTTGCGCAGCACCAGCGCAGCCTTGTATGCCACACCGAAAGGTTCGCCCTTCTCATTGACTGGGGTGTCCATGTAGTACCACTTGCGGACGATTCGCTCCTGAAGAACAAGACGCTTCGTGCTTGGGGGCGGCGCGTCAGCAGGACGGTCCTCTGGCAGGTGGGAAGAAACATGGCCAGCTACCATGGCAGTGTTGGCACTGGGTCCAGATGCCCGGAACCGTGTGCATTTATCCCACTGACAGGTGTGGATAGGAGTCTCTGCTGTCTCCAGCTTGAATTGACCTGGCTTTTCTTCAGCTTCAAGATTCATGTGGTCTGCAAAGACATGGCTGCGGAGATCTGTAGGAGAACTGAAGGCACGCTGGCACATCTTGGAAGGTTTTGAGTTGTCAGCCCATTTGCAGTACACATAAGGGAAGCCTTCAACGGTGTAGGCAGTTTCCAAAGGTCGAATTCCCTTAATAATGAACTTGGTTGTGCCTCCCGGGCCGTTGATCACTTGTGCTTGAGCATTTGTGAAAGTATTGCTGACGTTTTTAATGAATTCTGCGGCAGGGAGGACACCTCCGCCTGGCACCCGAGAGTCTGCAAATCGGCTCTGGTAAGCTTGCCAAAGAGCAATCTGGGTAATCTCACATTCCGCATCTTCAACAAAGCAGCATCGAAGCCACTGTGAGCTGCGCTCTGGTTCTGTCAACTCCATCAACTTCTCTAAGAGCTCAGGTGGCACACGGGGGATTTCAGATGGCGGTGGTGCAACTTTTTCCTCCTGCAAGACTGTTTCTTTCTTGGTTGGACGCGCCTCATATGTAAGCAGCGCGATCATGCGGGGTACAAAGACGCTGGGGAAGTTGATGACATCCATCAGGGTCTCGATATTGTCAGGGCCGAGAGTATACTGGTACCAGAAATCCAATGACCCACTCAGAATTCCTTTGTCGAGGTCCAGAAGTGTGTGATAGTACAGCTGTTGAAGGGTTGCCTTCGGAAGGCTCTCCATGGCGCGATTACTATCAGCATCTTCCAACTCAGTAGAGAAATGGGTTAATGCCCAAAGACCCCTCATAATGTGGGCACGATCCGTCGAGTGTAGGCAATTGACCAGAGAAATCCAAAGTGGGTCTTGAGGGTCAGTCCTCATGAACTTGGTCACTTCTTCAGCAATATCAAGTGCATCATTCTTGATTTCATTCAAACGAGACTGATTTGGAAGGTTCATTAGTATGACCAGGAAATCTCTCAGAAGGCCACATGCATAGCGCGAAACATAGAAGGCATTTTCTCTCAACAAGACCATGTTTCTCAACACCAAGGTGGCTTCTTCGACGTTTCGAAGAAGGTGTGAGAACTCGTCTGTTTCAAGGCTGTCGGTTGGCAAATTAACAGGGATTTTTCGGATTTTGTCGAGGATGTCCCGTGTTCCGTGCAAGGAGTTTAAAACATTTACCCGATCCGATGGGAAACGAGGGTCGTATTCAAACTCCCACCGGATCCCAGTGCAGAGATAGGTAACGTCCAACGCCTTCTGCATAAGAGTTTCGGCAAGCAATGGGAATCCTTCAAACTTGAACTTATCACATCTTTGGTTCGAAATCTGGACCAGATGGTACAAAGCGAAATCCACCTCGTCTGGGATATCGGACTGGAGCCCATAGTGAGCGCGCTTGTAGATGTGGTCCGCTGTTATCCATTAGCTTTTTTGCTCGTGTCTAGGCTCTGGGTGAAAAACTTACTCCGCGGGACTTCAAGGAACCTCAATGGAAAATATGGGTCATAGAAATCCGGTTGCCTCGCGACTTTGGTCCGATCAGTAAGACTAGCGAATAGCGCAGGTCGATTTCCAGGTGTGAGGACCTCCCGAGTTGACATTGGGAGCTGTGTTTGGTTTTTTCCTTCCCAGCTATCAACCGCAAATTGAGCGCTGTTTGGGTTGGCCGCGGGGTTCATATTCACATGGGGAGACATCTGAGGCTGTGGCGATCCAAAGCCTTGGCCGTGGTGTTTTTGACGTGCTGGGGTCGTGTCTGGGATGAAGGGTTGGTTGATTTTGGGTGCTTGACGAAGACCCTCTGGTCATTATTAGAATGGTCAAGGTGGTGGCGGGGAAATGGAGGGGTTCTTACGTCGCAAGGATGTCCTTTGAGGTGTAGATGCCGACATTTTGGCTACCTAGACTATCGGCTAGTCCAATATCAGCTCTTTTGTTTGGCGCAGGATTTGGTATCTGCGTTGTTGCGATCCCTCCCTTGTAAGTCAGGTCCGGGTATCGCACTGTTCAATCAACCGTGGTGGCAATCTCCTTCCAGTTTGCAGTATCAGGCCTTGAAGGCGGCAACTGGTCAAAGATACAGGTCTTTCGAGCTGCACGACAAAATAACGAAGTATCTGAAAATGCAGATCGCAAGGAGGCGTATTGGTGGTTTCAGTGGTCTCTGCCGTGGAGTGGAAAGAGTGTCAAAGAAATTTCTTGACTCAATGCCACTATTTGTCGAATGCTGCACAAATGGTGACCTGTGACAGAACGGAGTCAAAGGCGCGCGTTCGAGTGGAAGGAAGGATGCGCAACGAGAATGCAAGGTCGAACACGTCTGAAAATAACTAGGCCAGCTCCAGATGTGTCGAAAATTGGCGCAACTTTTAGAGGATTGAGCGACCAGTGTCAATTAGTGGATGATTTTCAATGCCTTGAATGTCGCGGGGAGGGCAATGAGGAACAAGCTGGACTTGCGATCAGCCGGGCTGATCAGCCAAAAGTCCGCGCCTTCTGGTGGAGCGCGTTTTCGGGGCAGAGTTCTTCCGATACGAGAAAGTTATTCCGAGATTTTGTCAGCTTTGATTAGATACACGCTAGGCTACTTTGGGGCTAAATGCCTCAGGTGCCAACCTGCATAGACTCATCTCAGGGTCTAATTCACGTTGAGCGAAGTAGCTCTCCACATACTATTAGGAATGTAAAAATATGAATGATCAGACACATAAAAATTACCCGTATCAAGCCAGGGTAATTTGTTCAAATCACAGATGTCCAAACCTCGAGTAGACAAGGTTTTTGTGCATCGTTGTGTTCATCAAGTGATTGAACGTTTTCTTTCGTATTTTTGCAAAGTATTTCTTCTTTTCATCTCCAAAGTCCCTCATCTCATCTAATTCAAATAAACAATGCCTTTGCACCTCCTGTTCTTTTATACTGAAAGCTAAATCTATCAATGTCACTTCAAATTGCCCCCCAGAGGACCTGTCTCCCGCTCACCAAGTTCTCTCACACAACCACAACCATCAACCATGGTGGCCCATTGGCCTGGACCCATGTGAATAGTGATGTTGATCTTGTCTGCATCCTCGAGCAGATCTCTGGGGAGCGCTCTGTTCCACCAAGGCTCCTTCTGAGGGTGGCTCGGAATGATGGCATCCTCGTATGGCTCTACCATTCCCTACTGGACACTTCGACCTACTGACAATGAATTGTGCTACCAATTAGGAGCAAATTGATCTGGCACACTTTGCTCGCATGTCAGCAGTTCAGAATGGCAATGTCCAGTTAAAAGCCCCTTTCGCGGTCGTGGTCAAGTCACCTTGTCTTGCAGTGAAGTATCCTCAAAGCAGTATGCATGTATGTCTATATCCAAAAAGACACCATAGCAGAATGTGCCTATTCAATGCTAACAAGTCACCAGATTCGACGATTCCAGATCAAGTTCTTGCGGAACACCGATTATTTTACAGCCCTCGCTCTTCTAAGTGATATCAACTGCCCGTTGACGGAGGGAAGTACGTCAAGTCTGCAACCACAAAGACTGCCTTCAGCCTCATCATGGGCCTCTTTCCAAGTACCAACACCAGGATCTAAGGAGCCAAGTACTGTGGCGACCTCAGACAATGAAGCGACCATCCCTTTTTTCCCTATGTCGGGACATATACACAGTGGGATGACATGTGCATACCTCATACAATCCGGAATCAATAATCTAATACCCATGTCTGTAGCACCCAATCCACCCTCTTCAGCGTCAAGCATTGTCTACAATCTAGCCGGACAAGCTGTGCCTATTGCCCAGAATCCGTTCGAGCTCACAACAACCCGACAAAACAAGGGACTTCCCTCGTCACACCCAAAACATGAAACCCCCCAAGGACCGAAAATGCGTCCTGCAACCGTGCCAGCCTATTATGGAGACCAGCTTGACCAGATGCTACCTCCAAAACGAGATCTTCCCTTCCTAAAGCCAAGCCAGAAGAGGCCTCGAAGGGAAGGAATCGAGACGCCAACGGACTCCCAGCTCGCATCCACAAGCCAACCGCCAATTAATACCACTGTGAACCAGAGCTTATTTCCGCTGACAGATCATGATCGCATTTCTGTGCCCCATTGTTCTCAAGTATCCGACTCACAGTCACAATCTCAGTCTCAAATCCCAGCACAGCCTCTTCTCGATACTCTCCCAATGGGACGACCTCTTTCACAGCCTCAGGCTTCTGACCATGGAGCATACCCTGTATTGGATCCTATAAGTAAGCAGCCACCCAGTGCCCCGGGACATGATAGTGTGGCATTTATACAAGTTGATCCAGGAGACGCGGGCAAAGCTGCACAGCCGACTGCTATCTCAAAAGATCAGCTGTCGGCTTACCTTGGTGCGCCAACACCTGCAAGAACTGCGTTCCTGGAGAATTGGATATGCGAGTTGATCGAGGATGATGGGTTTATGGCTCTCTGTCAAGATGTTGAGGTGACATGGAGGCGGTTTGCGTTTGGTGTTGAGAAGTAGGAGAGATGATTCAGGGAAGCATAGGATGATCAAACCAACTACCAATGAAGGTGGTTTGCCGTATGTATACTTTTATTTTGAGGGCTTCTATTCACGTTTTGTCACTCGGTGTTATTGAATGAAATTAGGGGTACATAAATATCAGTTTCAATCGATATCTTTTGATAACAGCGAGTTCTATATTGCATTATTCATATCAAGATGGGAAAAACCTTATCACGAGTTTCTGTCTCAATCCAGTTCGTTATGTAAACTTCAGGACAGGTAAGTAATCTCGTGTTGCCACACCTGAGCATACATGAAGCCCTTATATCCTCATAAAAAGTGCCCACCGAATGCCCTCAAGATTACCTCGAACTCAGTCAATCTCTTGCAACAAACATTGAAGTAGCCTGAGCCCACCTTCCAGCCAAATTACTCCCCCGTCAAACCAAAAATGTCCATAACCTAGGTCAATGACTGCAGCCCACGATGGATCGTCCTGTTCTTCCTTGCGTTCTTTGACCCTCGCAATATTGGGGAATACTGGATCCGAACATTTTTTCAGCAGCGCGGGCTTACCTTGGGACCGCGCATAATCTATTTGCTACTGGTGACATTTTGGCCATCAGTCTACATCGTTTATGCAATAGTTGGACTGTGTCGATCAATAATCTCGCTTCAGGTCACAGGTGGTATGATTTTGATACCTTCAATCCGCAGTCGGCGGCTACGATGGCTTATCTTGGGTGTGCGGGTGGGCGGCTTGGTTATGTGGGTTGTTGGGAATCTGATGATCATTGGAATGATATCATTGTTGCCATGTGTGGGCTTTATTGAACGAAATTGGTTTAGGAGAGGTTGTGTAGACATTTGAACGAACTTGATTCTTTAGAAGAAAGCGGTATCCTAAAAAATTGAACTAATTATGCCGAGTCAACTGCCGGACAGAATAGTAAAGAGAAAATAAATGAACGGGTTAAATAAGAAGAAAAGCCATAGCAGACGAAAACATATTTTCCTATAGAACCAAACCGGACTCCGATATTGAAACAGCAGAAAATAATTAGTCGAGACTTGCGAAGTCTTTAGCGAGAACGTTTGTTGTAAATCAATCCAGAGAACACATTCAAATATCCTTCCTTCGTAAGCATAGTGAAGTCAACCACGGTACGGCCAGCGCCATTATGCGACTGAGCCAGCTGTGGTGCAAGAGTCGGCGATGTGTCGTTCTGCTCGCCGAGGCCAGGAGGCGGGGTTGCGGAGGTGCCTTGGCCAACAGAGCCTTCGGCACCGACTGCCAGGTCAGCCAGATGCTGCAGAGATCGCTGCTCATTCGGACCCATGACGGGTGGTTGCAGACCAGAGCCGACCTTACCAACAGACTCGTGGAGCTGGCTTTCTTGAGATTTGGCACGGCGCCATTCAAGGAAGACGCGGATCTTCGCATCCCAGCCGGGAGTGCCCATAATGTTATTAAATTCGCCCATCTCATTCGTGCGGTTGTCACGATGGTCCAGGATTTCTTCCACGCGGGCCAGTGAGTCCCAGCAGTCATCTGCATGTTCGGGGAGGACTGTAGCCTCGAGCAAGGTCATAGATGCGAGGGCCAAACTGTGCAAATCGAACGGCGTCGGAGGCCGGGCCTGCAGACTGGCTTTATATAACTCGTTGACTAGCTCCTGAGCGCAGTAAATGATCTCATAAGGGCTGTAGACGAACACATGGCGCTTGATGAGAAGGCGAACTGTCCAGTAAAGCTGAGCCTGGAGGCTCTCGAAAAGCATGCGAGTGCTGGTGTTCTCTGGAAGCTCATGGACTTTGAATACATCTTCCATCTCTGATAGGCGCTCAAGGGAAGCAACCAAGTTAGCTCCGACCATTCGGCCGAGCCCAGTATTGGTCTGGCAGACATTGTGCTCCACTGTGGCCAAAGTGACCATCTCTGAAAGGAACGTTGAAAATGCTAAAGAGTGGTCAGAAAGGCTCTCCAATGTGAAAATGATCTCAACTTACAAGCAATACCAGTCGTGATATGGCCAACAACTCTCTCGTCCTCACGGCCACCAATCTCATGACCAGCAATAACAGTCGCATCGGCAACACTAATGGCATACCAGCGGGTCAGAATAATCAATGAAACCCAGTTACGTCGAGTCAAATTAGCATCCGAGTCAACATCAGGATCAGATGGTCGCTTGTTCTTTAGCTGGCCCTGGTTCTTCGCCAGATCATATCCAAGCTTGCTGGCAGCTTGAACAAGAGTGTGCTTGGGAATACCGTCCTTGAGAACGAAGTTATCAGGACCCCGCTGGTCACAGTCTATAATCATCAAAAGAAGGGTTTGGAGCCAGATAAGGTTGACTGCGGTCGAGTGAACAATCAATGGCTGGCGGGTGTGGTACAGAACAAGGTCCTGAGCATTGTCAAACGATGTGATACGTTCAAAGTTACCTGCAACGCGAGACAAATCGGTGCGAGTAACGGTGTATAGTGCGTAGCAAAATATTTCCTGTGCCTCCCGATTGCACTGGTGAAGAAGTTCCAAGGTTCGCTCCCTAGTGTGAGGTAGGATAGGCAGAAGAGTATGCACTTTTTGATAGTACCTGCATGATGTTAGATCCAAATTCTGGAGGGAATGGGCATTTTTCTGGGACATACGCATCAAGAGCCCCCTCGTCAAGAATGACTGGAGACATGTCATCATCACCTTCATGCTTGTGCAAGTCCGCCATTTCAAGTCCACTTGGCAAGTCCTGCTCATGACCAGTTGGATTCCAGAACAGGTTGCCCGGTTTCGGTGCGCCACCACTGGCGACTGTCGGGTTATATGGGTCTGCTGTGGAATCTGTTGCATCGAAAGCACTCTGCGATCCGCGCGCATTAAACGACGGCTGCGCAAATGAAGAGCTTGGAAGTCCCTCAAACACGGAGTATGTTCTCTTGCGATTGGCAGAGCCGGAATCCACCGGAGAAGCGAAGTCCTGGTATGCCCTGGGTAGGGACACCTCGTTCATGGACTGGTATGGCACGTCAGGCTGCACGATGCCCGGCTGCATCTGATTCTCGAGAGTATGAAGTCGCTCGGCAAGTTCCTTGATATAACTATTGTCCTTCATTAGCCTCAATTTCCATACGCGACGACGCGTGTATTTTACCTACCCTTTGCTGGGCCCACGTTTCATCGGAACGCGACTGAACTGACACACAACCCCCAATCGGCGACAATTTGAGCATGTCTCAAGACCAGTTTCCGAACTCGCATCGCATCGCACCTGTTTTTAAAGAATTGAGACGTCAACGACTAAACTTGACGCGTTCTACCCGGGGTCCAGGTCTCGGCATACCTTCTTGCGCCGACACTCGTCGCAGGCTCTTGAAATTTTCGATCGCTTACGCGCACTCTGTTCACCATAGCTCAGGTCATGGTTTGGATCGACGCCTACTTGCTGGCCAGGTGGGAATTGCAGCATGTGTTGATGCTGGTGATCCTCGGACGAAGGACGACCCATATCACCTGCATTTGAAGAGCCCAACACCATGCCTTGGCCATGATGCACACCATTACTTGATCCATCTCCCATTCCAGGGCCCGAGGCTTCACGCGACAATTCAGCGGAGAGGAGCTCGTCAGTGGTCAGCTGGCGATTGCTGTAGTACGGCATGGCCCCCTGGGCCATTTGCGCAGCATTCGGGGAGGGATAAGAGTTGGTCGGAGCCATGTCAGATTGCTCGCGAGAGTTCATTGTGCGGAATTAACCCCACAAAGATGTGAGGAGTGATTGTTTTGATGGAAAGCGGACTTCCGGGGGTGGTGGTGGAAGGGTGGAAGACGCGAAGTGCCAGAGGCAAGGTTTTTTTTTTTTTTACAGGCTAAGTTTTGCGGGGAGGCAGTTTGGCAGGGGCTAGTGCCGCCGTATTGCACAACACCAACATTATTCGAGACTTTGAAGGCAATTCAATTTTGAATCCAATGTTTTTTTATTTTTAACTTCTATATAGTTCTTCGGGATGATCCCACGGAGGACGGCCTTTTGTTTCTGCGTGTGGACGGATTAACACCTTTTCCCATCGGCCCCGTTCTCCCGACCCGAACTTGGATTTGATAAATCGGTGCTTACGTACAGCGACATAATACCTGCGACATATACCTGTGGTAGATGCCGTGTCTTTCGAGATGTAGATTCTACCGATTGCCTGTGGCTATATTTAGCCAGATGTATATCTAGGCGTGTCATACCATCTGTTAGCACTTCGGGAGTACGTAATTAACATTACATGTATGTGTCCCGTATATGTTGACACTAGGCAATCCCCGAGCTCTGTATATACATGCATAGTTCAAGATCAGACTTCTCGACACTTTTAAGAGATATAATTCCACTTTCAAGCCTAACTCACTAATGGCGCTCAGTATCTCAAGTCTAAGTAGTGTTTGGAGGAACAGTTACATGCTGCTTTTAGTGTGAAGTCGGAGATGGCCGTTCATGGCAATACCTACATATACGTACCCCCACGTGAGTGGTATCACCTGGGCTCCCTGGAATATTCAAAAATGGTGAATAATAATCTATAGATTTCGCCTTCTCTTGTAGACGGATGCTGGCATCTACCAAGGTAGGACCTAGGACCCTATTGCAACGTGGTGACCTCGGAGTCCGAATTCACCTGCCACCTAGGATCGAAATAACTTGAACTTATAAAAGAAAAGAAACTTTGCTTGCGAATATTCTCCCGCTAAAGATTCAAACTTGAATCTTCGACTTTCCCGGTCAGTGCTAACGCATTTGGTCAAGTCCATCCCGATCGTATTTCGTGCCTTAATTTAGATTTCACCCGAGACGGCACATAATTGGATTAGGCGGTAAGGCCCCCTCCTGTGTATAATACCAGGAACCTTGGAAGGTCAGGTAAACCGGAATCCACATCCTCGACAATAGCGATTGGCCCTCGTCTACTGCTATTGCATACGCAGATCAGGGCCCACCCGATGGCCGGCGCCAAAACCCTCTGCAGCCCGCCCGAAACAGGAAAAGTGACGCCATTGACCCGCACCCAACAACGCTATGACATGCAGTACCGTACGGTGTTGTAAAAGTGTTGCAACCTTTTCGTTGGATATTGCTCTTTTTGCGCTCAATCATAAAAGGCAGGAGACGATTATCTTGCAACGCCTTTAGCCTTATCGCGGTGCCGTAGGTTTTCCGAGGCGACTTTTGCCAATCGAATGACATGGCCCTGCAGGGATCGTGGAAATTCCGAACCCTGTACCTGAATCTGTGGGATTAGAGATTAGGGATTAGCGCCATTCATTTTGACGAAACCCTGAAGCCCGCATAGGGTTTGGGGCACGACACAAGAGCGAAAACCAAAGACAATGTGAGGTGAGGAGGCAGAAAGGCTGGGATGTGCGGCCCCAGATTTCACTAGCGAGATCCATAGTGGTGGGGGTCGAGTTCGTTATGAAAGGCCGTGCTCGATTTCGCCGCATCAGCTTCCCCCATACATAAAATTTCTATCTTCCCGCACATAGTTCAGCGCTTCTGATCTACATTGCAGCGGACATGCTTCTGCGACAGCTGGAATTGTTGCCTCGTGGAAAATTCCGGCGAAACGGCGATCGGAGCGAATCATAATAAAGAAAAGATGTCAGCTTCTGAAAGGTCTATAGAATGTTTCGTTATGGGTTTCACTTGGACAATAAGGGTTCTTATATCCTATGATTATTCTTTTTTTTTCTGGCCGCACAGGACTCAAGAATTACTAACACAAACCCTAACCTGGACCGTACAATAGTTACGTAGAATCCCGGGTTCCTGGTGGGACCGCCACGTCGCTGGACTTGGTGGATACGCAACCCTCGATGCGAAAAAAGGGGGTTTTTTTACTAGTCAGAGTCACGATAAACCTTTAAAAACAAGAACCAAGAATAAAACGACGCAGGGATAATCTAACGTGCATATGAAATTCCAATTTACCAGAAATTCCGAGAATGTTACTGTATGTAGAAAGAGAACCCCCCCCCCCCCCAAAACTTATGTAACGGTATGGTAAAATCAGGTCCCCCAGTCATCGGTAACCAAAGGGGGGAGAGAACAGAGGTATGAAAGTCGTATTGACAAGGTAAATCTAGGCTAAAAGCGGACGAAAGGATGTAACATCATTGTAAATGACTGCGGCTGGTAACATACTACAGTTTACCACAAAGACCAAATAGGCAGCTAAAATCCCAACTTTCCCTCAATACCGTTATTAACCCTCGCCTCCCTTCTTCCTTCCTCTTCTTCCTCCGCATAGGGTGTTCTCCAACTCTCTATATCGAACGCTTTTTTCTTGGCCGCCACTACCGGTACTTGGTGTCCTGTCTCACGGCCGGCGCCAAACGGTGCGTAGGCTTGGTCCCCCCCCTTTTGGTTTATTATTCCAAAAAACCTTGCCTCGATATACCCATTTGATTTTCTTTGATTCGGCTCCCTTTGCCCCTCTCAGTACGACCCTCAGTTGCTTTGTATACTGCTGGATCGGCGTTCTGTGACCTTGCGCATTGGGAGATTTATTTTGCCTGAGATACCCTTTTGTTCTTTTGGTTCAATTCGGCCTTCTCGACGAAGCGGCTGAATAGCCTTTTGCCTTGACGGCCATTTGCGGTTCTACTTGGGAACATACCGCACCATTTTCACCCTATTTTTCAATTTATTACTTCCCAAAACCACTCGCGATTATCGCATGTGTGCCTCGCAGTAACCCGCCACCATGATCATTGAAGGTGAGAAGTGGGCGTGTGAAGCTTGCGTCCGAGGTCACCGGGTTAGCAGCTGTCACCACAGTGGTACGTCAATCTGTCTGAAGATTAGTCTATACCCGATCACTTTTTAACTTGAAACGTCTAGACCGCCCTTTGACCCATATCAACAAAAAAGGCCGCCCAGTCTCTCAATGTACCCACTGTCGCGGCCTACGCAAGTCTCGAACAACGCACGTCAGGTGCGAGTGTGGCGACAAGAAAAAGAAATCCGATTCGGACTGCCATGGTGATAAGCGAGATCTGAGTGAGCAATGGCGCAGGCTTTTCCCAATTCCCCCTTTCTGATCGTGAATTACAGAGGACTCCCATCGCTGTGGCTGCTGCCATGGCCAGCGCTGTACTTGCGCGCTGAAAAAGGAATCTCATCTTGACCCCGTGCCAGAGGCAGGCTTACCTGTGTCTCTGCCGTCCATCCCGGCTGAACATCCACGGAAGCCCCTGCTCACGTCAACCAAATCCGAGTCAACCTTGACTGGAATGACGATCTTCCGGGATGGTCACCACAAGCCCGCCCATAAGCACAATGACATGGCCCACAAGTGTGGATTGCCGTACACAATCCCACGATCACATACCATTCACCATCCGTCCGACATGCCTCGTAGGTCGGTGGACCACCTGCCGTTGACCCAATCCGCTTTTATTCAGGAGCCGCTCTCGCTGTCGATGGAACCTATGTCTCTTTCTCAGCACACATCGCACGAGGGATCACCTCACAGTGCCCCTGCAGCTAGCTCAGAAGATATTCCACCAATGGGCCCTCTCGATGAATCATTCCTCGACAAGTTTCCGACTGCAACAATGGAGAAGCCGACGGACGGTACCACCAATCCCGCGTCTGCTCCGGCCAGCATGGACAAATTTCCTCTGGAGCAAATTATCACCAGTGTACCCCCTCTCGATGTCTCGTCTTTCGCCTCCTTTCCGAATACATCATCTAATTCCCCGATTACGTGCATGGCCTTCCAAGATCACTACCAAGATCACTACCAAGACCAGTACTTTACGTCCCCAGATTCAGAATTTCCGCTGGGATCTGCCGGTACAGGTGCACCATCGGTCGACTGGTCAAGTTTCCCGCTGTACTCCGACGCCCCTGCTACCACCAGCACCCAGGCTCCGTCATACGCCAGTTTCGATTACAACTCATATCCCTCGGGCCTTCCGCCGCCATCGTCCTCCGGCGATATCTCCGAAGTCGACGAGTTTGGGCCACTTCCCGGTCTGGGGCATACTGGTAATGACATGCACGATCTCCACAGCGTGAGCGAAGCGTCAGAAATGGACCATCTTCGGATTAGCTCTGCGTCGTCATTGGTTGGACTACCCCAGGCGCGACTCTTGTCATCCAATGACCTTGCATCGATCAACATTGATGATTTCCTCAAGTCCGCCAATGAATCCACCGCTGCGCTCGAGCACCAGCTTCAAGCAAGCATGGGATTCGAGGCCAAGGCAATCCCGGCGCAGGACATGTACTCCATGGCTCCCTCGCAGGATGTGGTGCCCACTTGGCCGGCCAATCTCTTCAACGATGACTCGACTCCACCCATGGACGATGACTACTTCCGTCATTCCTGGGCTCAATAACCATGTCACCTCAAAATCTTTTACTTCTTCTATAACTTCCTAGGGTCTCCGCTACCTGCGGCACCTTACCACCACCTCTACACCGTCTTTATGACCTTGATGAGAGATGATGACAAATGCCTTTGCCTTTTTAACTAGCCAGTTCTAGATCTCCTGATAGTATTGAATCTAGAGGGGTTTTTGTGATTTTTCGATAGAACCACGTGCTCATACACGGTCACGTACATGGACTCGCACTGTTTCGCTGTATAGACGTCTTCTGTGTACAATTGAGGCCATATCTAAATACCAAATCTGACAAGGCGATCCTGATCGTTGGTATCGTAAGATTGTATCCACTCGGGATGCTTAGCGCTCGAAAAGTGATCTATCCGACCAGCTGACCATCAGCAATGCACCATACTCCACAAGCTTGTACCTCAACACCAGCTCTGCGGATCGGACGTTCGGCTGAGATACCCCGATTCAACATCATTCCATCCGAGTAAAGGGTCACAAAAATGTAGCGGTGAGTCCCATCTCCGCACGAACCAAACTGTCTCATCGGGACAAAGCAGGTTTTCGCCCAATCTGCATCTTTAGAACTCTATGATCGATCTCGGGCTGCAGCTTGCTACTACCTACAGGAGATCCGGGTCAGGTGTGAAACCCCACCATGATGACTTGGCCCCTGTGACCACATATTCAACCTCAGTCAAAGTACTAGTTACGTCGGTCTATCAGCTAGGCAGTTACTGGAATATGGTAGGAGGTACGTGAATACGTACGCGGTATGTACAAGTTGATCAGCAAGTAGCGGTGTGTATCTGTGTCAATGTACTATTGACCACAGCTGCTTTCCACGCAAAACGCCGGAATTTTGAATATCCATCTCTTTGATCCAATTTCATGTTAAATTCGTGTCCATTCCGGCCAATCTCATTTCAGCTGCCCGGAAATCCCGGTGTCCAATTGTTCATACGCCGGTTACACATACTCGATGAAGGGCCGCATACCAAGCCTTTCCGGATCGTACATGGTACAGCCCGCTAATCCTGCCACACATGCCGTCGGTACCTTTCGAGCCTTACATGGCGTCTGGCTCGCGATACAAGCCTTTAATGCATGGCCTTGGCTATTGCTTAGTTCTGCACGGGCCTTGTCGCGTGCAAGGGTGCCCTTGGTAGTTTCGTCTGACGTGTTGAGACGGGGTAATAAATAAATACTAATGGATACATTGAGGCGTTAGGTTGCCTTGGAAATATGAGGAAACATCGGCGGATGCTTCATTAATCTAGTTTTCGTCTTCCTTTGTAATTCAATCTATCTTCTTCATATTGTCTATAGATTTGAAGTGCCTAGTTTCTTGGACTTTTGGGCAATTGCTTGGTTATTTATAAAAAGAAAGAAACTTCTACATGAAACCATATATTGATGTCGCGACGTAAATTCTCAGACATTGTAATTGCGAAGATCAAGATTCGTGGCTGACGCAAGGGAGAACTACATTGTCCGTATTGCGGCTGGAGATTGTCATTCCGATCGGCTTCGGGGCTGTATGACTTTCTCGGATAATTCGGCATCTTTGATGTGTTTCTTCCTGAATTTCAGGACATACATGGAAGAAGGCAGCAAGGAGGTATGCATTCTTTACCTATGATCTATAACATTTGAATGATGTAACTGGGGTTGACTAAAATGAACCCAAATTAAGTAACGTCAGAATATTTGAAAGATACAGCTTCTGTTACATAAGATGCTTGGACTTGAATTGATTGAGTGTCAACTATATTGTGATCTATCAAGTTCAAGAAGCTGATATTGGCCGCTTCTGAGGCTAACATGAGGTCTTCGTCAACACCAATTGCCCACATCACTAAACGCCCCATCGAATGAGAGCGACTTGACACTGTATGTAAATGATGCCGAGGATAAGGCTTGATCGAGTAATTCCAAGCATAATTCACTAGCCCACATTAGACAAGAACCTGGCCGGCAAGCAATGTCGTAGCAAACAAGAGTTGTAAGCACTCGTTTCCGAACGTCTGTTGAAGTACTGAAATACAAGGCTGAATGAGAAGTCTTTACATCCATGTGGCAGACAGCACAATGTGTATCTCAGCTATCGGATAGTCTTTTCTCTCTTGAACTATTAATGGGCTAAGCAAAATCGGCAGAGCGCGACCGAGCTTCGGCCGCTTTTGACGGTGCCAAATTTCCTCATCCTATTCAAGATATGAAGATCCCATACATCAGTTTCAAGCCAAGGGCCCGGGCTACTGGGCTCCTGATTCCTTTCTTTCGTCGCTGTATCCGGTGATACTGCCTTGGGAATCGATCAATGTTCTTTGTATATGGGACGAAGAGGGAATTTCAATGAACGAGAGGAGCCCTGATGTACACCAGTATCATATAGTACTTATCTAATAAGGCTTTCTGGCCCTTAGAAAGGGCCTTCAGATAGTATATCATTTCATTCATCTCTACATGCTCAACACATCTGGCCAGTATGCCAGTTCTCTATTCTTGCCAAAGGTCGTACCTTCAACTAAGCAGCTTAAGTTCTTAAACCGTCAAGACCAAATGAACATTCTAGGAAAAGGCCAATTGAAACCCCCCTAAGTCAATGATGTCTTAACTCCTCCCAGAACCCCTCAGCCGTCCAACAAGCCATTCGATTCCCTCATTAATACCTTCCCAAATCAAAACCGACCCCTCAAAGACCTTAAACTCCTTCATACCAACCTCCTCGAGCCTCAATACCCCCAGAATCTCTTCCAACGAACACAGCCCTTCACCATCTCGCTGATTAACAAGAACAAGCCAGGGCACCTCATCAAACTTTGTAGGAACCAGCTTCGCAAGACCTTCCTCTTCAACATCAACGTCTTTGCCCTCCTGCTTTTTCTTCAGGATCTGTTCCTCAGTCATCCTCCTCTCTTTGCCGGTCATTTCCATCGAAATAAAATCAGGTGATTCATACCAATCCTCTTTGGAGCGAGAATTCACCACCCAGATTGCTGCGTCGGCATCCTTGTAGAAGTTTCGTCGAAAGATCTTGTGTCTAGGCGATTCGCTGTATCCGATGTCACTGACGATGAATGTGATGTTCAAGGCTGTATTGTGGCCGATATGGACTTTGACATTGTCGGGAGATCTAGAGGCGATGTCGCGGTGGGTTGTTATTGGGGCGCCTTTATCTGTAAGGCCTCTAAGGAGGGACTGTTTGCCTCCGCGGTAATAGCCGAGGATGGCAATTTTGTAGGTTGGTTGTGGGGGTCGAGTGAGCAAGCTTGTGAGATAGGATAACAGGGACATTTTGGTGCTGGGGACTCGGAGGTTAATTGGAGGTTCCAAGGTTCTGAGGTAGGGCTTTTGTGGCTTTTATAGTTCAAGCTTGGATTGGAAGCCTAATGGTTAGATGTGGGTCTAGCGCGATGGCTGATTACTGTGGAGTATCTAAGCTACCTATAGGCTTATGATCTAATGACATTTCGTGTCTAAATTTATGGTGTATAGGCAGATGGGTTTCCAATGCTTCCGCTAGTCCCAGTATATTCGTTCTATATGGTATCAAATCAAATCCCCATTCGCATGCACAATAAGCAAAAATGACGGACACGGGATGAGGCGGGACGACTCGTCTCACATGGTATTGAGGAGTAGACGCAAAGAGAAGTAGATATAGTATCGCGGTACTGCTTCCGCTATATGATTCGCTTTTCACAGTTAATGGCGTCCTTACCGGTACTTCTCCAAGAACTCAGAGTGGAACTTCACGATGCGCTCGACCCAGTCAGTGCCTGGTGCAAGGAAGGTTGTGCGGAAGTGCAATGTGTTTTCCTTCTGACCGAAGCCAGAGCCAGGGACGACGCACACACCCGTGGCGTCGAGCATGGCCAGACAGTAGAACTCGTCGGCAGCACGGCCCTCAGCCTTGGCAGCCTCAACGGCCTTTGCAGGGAGGTTGATGGTGGGGAAGAGGTACATGGCACCCTGGAAATGATAATTAGCAGAAGTTGTAGGGGGTAGCGTTGATGATGCTTACCTGAGGCTCCTGGCACTCAACGCCCTCCATGCGCTGGAAGGCATCGTACAAGGCAAGAGCACGCTTGTGCAGGCCATCCCGGATGCCGTTGAACTCCTTCTTGTAGAGCTCGAAGCTAGGCTCGCCCTCGCGAGGCGGGTTGACCATGGTCTCGAGCAGGCACTGCGAAACGACCGGAGGGCACAAAGCGATACTGACAAGCTTGTAAATCTGCTCCTGGACCAAGGGATCGAAGCCGACCAGCTCAAAGTAACCACCTCGGTGACCACACTCGCCAACCATACCCTTGGAAGTACTGTGCAGAGAAACCAGCTCCACGTCGTCGTACTTGCCGGGGTGCTCCTGCTGGAGCTGGCGCAGGCGCTTCTTGAATGAGACAAACTCGCCAGTGAAGACGTTAGTCTGATACACCTCATCGGCAATGACGACAAGATGCTCCTCGGCGGCGATTTCAAGGACCGCCTTAATATCGTCGGCGCTCAGCGAGGCACCGGTAGGGTTACCGGGGTTAATAACTGCGACGGAGCGCACATTAATGTTCTTAGCCCGGGCGTCCTTGATTGACTGCTTAATTGCGTTGACGTTGGTGCTCCACGCCTTTTGTTCTTCCAAGTAGTAAGGCACGCAGTGCGCATTCAACAGTGACAATGTGGCAGTGTAAAGTGGGTATTGGGGAATGGGAACCAAAACACCGGCATTTGAGTCATTGCAAATAACATTCAGCAGGGTGCTCACACCAGCCGAGGCACCTCCAGTCAAGAATAAGTCCTGCGGGTTGGCAGGAAATCCATCACGCTCCTCAATGAACTTGGCCACACTCTCCCGGATTCCCAGAGCACCCTGGCTGTGGCTGTATGCACCAACACTCTGCACATTGGCTAACAGCGCCTTGGCCCGGTCAATCACATCTTGCTTGTATCCAAATGAAGACTTGAGCGCCTCGGAGTTCTCCAATAGTAAAGGGTTTTCGACGAGACTGAGGACTTGACGGAAGAAGGTAATTGGCTTCTGATCGAGTTGCTGTGGGTTACCAATGTTCGCAAAAATGACGCTCTCAAAGGGTAATGACTTATCACCCTCAGTCAGGCGCTGACGGTAGGTCTCGGCCTTGACGGCCAGCTCACCTCGCACAGCATACTTGGCCGCGCGAACGTTCTGGTTGATGTTGTCAAGATTCAGGCATTTCTTTGACTGGGTGGAGGTGGATAAGGTCCGCTTGGTGTAGGCGACGCTGGTTTGAGTCATAGTGGGCTCTGAGGATCAACCCAGGCGTTAGTAAGATATCAAAATATGAGTAATGGTCAAATAGTAATGAATAGTATAGATGAGAGTGAAGAAAGCAGAGTGAGACGAGATGGGACTATATAAGGTAGGGAAACAACCCCTCTCTCCACGGTAGTTCGCGAACTATATATCGCGCAGCATATGATCCCACGTACCTGACCAGGCGGAGAACCTCCCCGCAGCACCAACAGTCGGGCGAAGTAGGAGACCATTCGGCCGGGTAGTAAGCGCACGCAGCGGAGATGCCCGTACACTGAGCTTAAATTGCCAGGACATTATAATCAGCGGTTCGTTCTGGGCCTCTTTGACCCTTTTCAAATAATATGATCGGACAAAACGGTTACAGCGCATGAGAAAAAAGGATCCAAGGACCGATTGGGCGGTGTGTGAGTCAGCATTGAGTTTCCCCACATTCGGTGAACCCAAGTTAGAAATGATTCGACCGAAATGTAATCTGTTTACCGGACGAGAGTACCAATGGTTATACGCGGCATCTACGATAATAAAGTACGGTGCATGGTTCATCACGCTTTAAGCGCATTAACCTCGGACTGGCGCCCCTTGGGCTGGTGTTAGGTCGATCTTCCCTCGGAAAGGCTTGCCCCGGCCCCCAGTGGACTCCTCCGTGGGCCCGTCGTCAGACTCCGGAGCCGCCCGATGCGGGGATGTATATCGCTTCGTCATGTTTCAGGATTGGACGAATTATTGAAGAATCATGGATAGAGTATAATATCCAGCTATCGACTGGAAGTCTAGGAACAGGCTACGATGCTAGTTTAAATCGAACCACGGTGACATGGACTGGTTTCTTTGGTTCATACCTAGGTATCAGAAGTACATTTATCTTTCCTCTATTTAGCTGCGCTCACTACCCCGAAGACGGACAGCTTGTCCATACTTCTGGAGCTTGGTGATCAGGGCATCACCGTGCTTCACCACGTCCGCATACTGCTTGTTCTTATCGTCGGGTCGGTTGGTTTCAATAATTCCGTTGACACGGTCGATAGTGCAAGCAATGCGGTTGCTGGAGATGAACTTGGCCAAATCCCTATATCTAGATTAGTGACGTGCGTAGATTGGAAGTGTGGGAGGAAATACATACCGGTCCAGGTAATCCACAGTCACACCAAAGTCATTGGCCATAGTGTTCAGGCCGACCACCCGGTAGCTCTGAAGTAGCTGCTGGTAGGCGCGTAGTCGCATTTCCCGAACAAACCATGCGCGGTGCTCGTGCAAGTAGTGGTCCTGGGTCAAGAATTGGTCCTCCACACCAGCAAGAGCCACGAAGAAAGTACTGTAGTTGCCATTGTACAGGCTGTTCACCAGGTTTGCTAGGGGCGAGAAATCAACCGGAGCCTCATTTTCTGCTTGTTCGCTAGAGCCGGTTCCCAATGTGGTCAGGTTGATAACAGTGGTGGCACCGGCAGCGGGAGTGGATCGTGACACAGTCGCATCCTTCATCTCCTCGTCCTGAGCACCGGGACCCGCTGAGATCTCGCCAGAGAGGGCAGCCAGTTGGTCCTCTCCGGAACCCAGGATGGCCTTGATCTCTGGTGCATCCACCACCTTGGCCTTGAAGTCCACCCGCTTTAGGGACAAGGATCCCGCAAGGACTGAGTAGATAACGAGCGAAGAGTAGCTGCAGAGTTCATAGCTGGTAAATGTTGACAAACTATCAAGGAGAAGAGGGGCGGCCAAGCTGTACGAGCGGATGGTAAGCAGGTGTAATCCCTTGTATGCCTTGAGGCGGTTTCTCCGGTCCCAGTCACCACCACTCTCAACCAGGGTCTCTGCGCGTTCGATCGTCTTCTTCACAAACAGAGCATCGCCGAAGAACAGTCCGATGCGGATCATGGCCAAGGCCAGGTCGATCTTAGTTCCAAGGAAACCAATCTTCTCAAGGAGGTCATCGTAGGACTCGATGGCTTTGTCCTGTGTGAGAATGGCGTTAGAGGTCATTCTCTCACATGGAAATGGGTATTTTCCCCTACCTTATCACCAACACGAGCCCAGAATTCCGCCCGTTTGCCCTGAGCAGCCTGTACCTCCGTTTCACCCGCAGCCTCCTTTGCGTCATCCTCCTCCTTCTGGAAAGTCTCCAGCTCCTTCTTATTATCGTCAAGCAAAGACTGGTAGAGTTTCTCGTCCCATGGGAAATCGATGTTTTGGGGCGACTTTTGGGAGGCGAGCATGTTGGAGGTGATGAGAGGCTTGGAGGTCGCGGCATGAGAATGTTGTGTGACACCCTCCCCAGCATTATTCAAGATACCCTCAGTAGGGTGAGCCAGGTGGCGGTAGAAGGGGGCCATCTTGCGCTCGGCGATGGCATCTTGCAGCTTCTTTAACGAGGACTGGCGGATGGATGAGGCGCATGCAGGGTTGGAGATGTTAAAGACATGTTGGGCGAGAATGAGATCAGGGTACTTGATGTACTGAGGATCAGACCCCATGATTGCGGATCAGTACTGATAAATGATAGGAGAGAATTAGAAAACCAGGGTGCGAGATAGAGATTGTCTTGATGAGATGGGACTGGGAGGAAGCGATACATCACGTAGCTGGACCCAAGCTCAGCTGGCGGAATGTTTATCCGGACCGGTCCCTTTCTGCCTCAGGCTTTGAGATGTTCATTGTGCAAAACGGTCAACATCTCATATTCCCCATTTCTAGACATTATGAATCCGTTTGCCAATCGATCTGGTTCATAGGAAGTTCCTTTATCCTCATGCTGATCCACAAATTGGGTGATGCTCATTCGATGTCTTTGGCAACGAGATTATGAGCTCTTCCAAACGGCATGTTATTCTATGAAACCCGATCTTATCCCTGCTAGTTCAGTACCCCTATGTACTAGCTATAGCGCTATGCGTTGGGCAAACCATTTTCCAGATACGAAACCTGCTAGCTCCTTCCACCTTCAACCACCAAGGTGCACATAGCCAAGGCAGAGATCTAATTCCCAATCATTAGGATACGAAGATGGCGATATCTTCAATTTTTCAATTATAGGAAACTTCATATCCTAGGCCCCAGGAACTCTTCCAAAATCTTCAAAGCTGAACCTCCTAGCACTCCATCTATAACTTGGATCGGACCCCTTATCTCCATTACCACGCCGGACATTGAACGTCCGGGGGCGAGAATACTTCCTATCGAGAAACTATCATCAAGATGTCCAGAAAAACTTTTACCACGGAGATTATGAATCATGTCTGTAGTTGTCTCGAGCTGCCGGACTCGCGCGCAATTCGCAGTATTTGCAGCGCCCCCTACACTAATTCGAAGGAGGCATTTGCTGCTGCTCGAGACAACTACAGATATGATTCAAACGAGAAAGTCTGAAAAAGTTGGAAGAATTTGCTGCGAATGAATACGAGCCCATGAGCTATTGATTGTCCTACTCATATTTGAGGAGGAAGAAAGAATATACATTGGAGACTGTAAGCGCATTGGGCATGCAGATGATTGAATTGAACAATAGCATTCGGAAGTAGCGGATTATCGCCGCATTTTGGAGTCCGAAGGTTTTCAAGACACCCTCACTTGACGTGTCGCACAATCTAAAAACATGTCTACAATCGGATTGCAGTCTCTAACGATAACCAACTTGATAGTAAGCCAACGTCGCCCTTGGTCCCTCCTAAGGGCGGTGGCATCAAATGGACTAATGCCATTGAGAAACGAGATAATTCAAGCTTGGCGAGGGGTCTGGAATATCATCCGAGATCTATTACCGCTGGATTCTTTTTCCCTTAATAAGCTCGGATTTTGTGGTCATGGGATTCGGATCAGAGACACCTTGAGTCACATCAGTGGGATGCCAAGGGCCGTCAAAAGACTTTACACTTTTTACAACGATGCACAGGCTTGTGTTTCCTTCCATGAATGGATCAACAATCTGAAACAGAGCCGTCTCGAAAGAGAGGCAAGAGCTTGCCTGGAGGTAAGGCTTGCTCCGATTAAACCCCACCTGTATGTCAGCGCAGTATTCTGATACGATTTTCATAACCTCCGTAATTGCCGATTTTCCTCTATCTAGTCCAGGGAGTCCTAGTCCCCAAATATCGGGCCGACGGATTAGACGTCAATTTGAAATATGGCAGCAACGTATACAACGGCAGATCAGAAATCGTGTGTTATAGAGGAATCCGGTTGGTCAGTTGAACAGCTTCAAGGTAACGCTTCAAGGATCTCAAGGACTTTCTTAAATCTACCTAGGTGTATACATCAATTCATTCCGTTATAGCCGCTTTTTTCTTCAAAGTTTGGAATAAAATCTTACCTCCAGCTCTCTACTCTACCCGGTCGCGTGACCGGATGCACCTAATCCACTTTTAGTGGGTTTGGCCCAAAGCAACCGCACGTGCATCCCTTCATAGGGCAAGAGATATAATGTCGAACCCTTGTCACAATGAAGATCGACACTTACGCGTTCAAGTTTGATTATCTCTCAAGCACAAGCTTTTCGGTGACGCCGGTTGGACACGGTACAACGGAAGAGACCGAGGATACCGTGGACCCCGCCTGAGGGTGATAGAAAAAAAAGCTTTCATTGGTCTTTGCCCCATCTGGGAAGGTTTATGCTTAGCGCATGGGCAAAAATGTGGAAAACTACCCCACCCTTGCAGCATCCCGCTTCGTTTATTGGTGTGTCCCTTTCGACTTAGATGAACATGGCAGGCCGAAGCTGATTCGGGATGATTCTCGGGCAAGGCAAGGAATTTTCATTTTAGCGTCGTTTTCTTCCTATGCTACTTGTTTTGCTTTTCTCTTTATCCTCTCCCTCAGCTTGAATCTTACCAACCCGGTGGTAAAGTATTGTGATATTGCATCACGAATCCTTTAGCTTGTCCACGGTGAGTGATAGTCCATAACACCTCGCGGAGATGGCTTACTAAATTTGCTTAGGACCTCTACAACGGTGACCCGCAAACATGAGCTCCAAGGAAATCGAACCCCAGACATACTCGGAGAAGGACCCTGGTCCACTGGAAGAAGCTGCCCCACACGGCCTGCCACCTCTTGAGGATGCGACAAAGGGTCGCTGGGAGCGCAGCTGGCCTACTATTGCTTGTGGTGCAGGTCTCTTTTCCGATGGTTACCTCAATGGTGTAAGTGCATGAAAAAGACTAGCCGCTGATGTGTGCGCCTGTACATATTATTTTTTGGGGAAAGCAGGGTTCCTGACAGCTTCTACTTTAGGTCATTGGCCAAGTCAATACGATGCTTGACTACCTCTATCCGACTGCATATGCCAACTCTACAGCAAGCCAGAACGTCTCATCGATCGCCTTTGTCGGAACTGTGGTCGGCATGCTTATCTTTGGCTACACGAGTGACCACTGGTCGCGCAAGTGGTCCCTGATGATTTCGACCATTATTTTGTTTGTATTTGCGGCTCTTTGCGCAGGGTCGTATGGATACCACGACAGTACGTATGGGATGTTCGCAGCTCTCACTGCTTACCGGTTTTTCATCGGAATTGGCATTGGTGGTGAATACCCAGCCGGCTCGGTCGCTTGTGCAGAGAATACCGGCGAGCTGAAGAGTGGCCATCGCAACCGGTGGTTCATCATGTTCACCAACTTTCAAATCGACTTTGGGTTCGTTGTGTCGGCTCTTGTGCCCACGATTGTATGTGCTATCTGTACTCAAGATCACCTTCGAGTGGCCTGGCGTATCTGCTTGGGGCTGGGTGTTATTCCTCCCTTGAGTCTCGTCTACCTCAGATACAAGATGAATGAGCCAGAAGAATTCAACCGTCAGCGCATGCACGTCTTTCCGGTTAAGCTGATCTTCAAGTTCTACTGGAAGCGCCTGGTAAGAACTCACCACACTGACCATGAGGCCTTTTCCTTCTAACAAATGTATAGTTTACCGTGTCTTTGATCTGGTTCATCTATGACTTTTCGTCCTACTCCTTCGGTTTGTACTCTTCGGAGTTCTTGGCTTTGATCCTGCCCTCGACCGCACCACTTTGGAAGAACTTCGGCTGGACCACTGTGATCTACCTCTTCTACATCCCCGGATCTAGCCTGGGAGCTTTTGCCAGTGACTGGCTTGGCCCAAAGCAGACACTGGCCATCGGAGTTTTCGCACAGGGGGTAGTTGGATTCCTCATGTCCGGGTGCTACGGTTGGCTTGCCACTGAGAAGTATATGGGTGCTTTTATCGTGGTTTACGGGTAAGTCCTTTGGCTTCCCTAGTCGGACCTAGTCGGATTTTCACTAATCAGCATAGTGTCTTTTTGGCTCTGGGCGAGTTTGGTCCTGGTGACAACATTGGTCTGATCGCGGCCAAGACCAGCGCTACCGCCATCCGTGGACAGTACTACTCTTATGCTGCAGCCATTGGAAAGATCGGTGCCTTTGTGGGTACTTACGTCCTTCCTATTGCTAAAAAAAATGCCCCCAACAAGGTCCGCGCTGGCCAGGATCCCTTCTTCATTTCCAGCTCTCTCTGCATTCTCAGCGCTGTCCTCGCCTGGTTCCTTCTCCCCCAAATCAACCAGGTACACTGCCCATTCACAGCAATATTCCAGACTCGAATCTAATCCACACTAGGACACAATCACTTACGAGGATGAAAGATTCCGCGAGTTTCTGGCCGAACAGGGCTATGATACGTCGACCCTGGGTACTGATCTAGAAGCCCGAACCCAGCTCCCCCATGCGCCTTAATCTTCGCCAGCCCCTACGCCGGTACTGACCCGCTTATCATCAATCGCCCACAAATCCCTGCTGTATGTTTCACGATGAATGTGCTCTGCACTTGACACCCTACGCGATAATCCATGGCCCAGTAATCAACCACTCAACGATAATACGACAAGACCTTGCGACGATCCGGCCACATGACCCCATTGCGACGTGAACCCCTTGAGAAATCCCTTGCGACGAAATCTGTTATTATGGTGAGCATTTTCCGAGCTGATCTGGCGGTGATCTGCCTCGGCGATGCATTTCCGAAACATTCTATTGCTCTTGTATGTGTATGTAACCCGCTTGATTTGTGACTAGCGGGTTTATCATTATAATAATAGTGTGAAATCAAGCTTCTAGCCCCAGCTTGGTAAATCTGCCTATTCAAATAAGTAAATGTTAATGATAGATGTCAATATAGACTAGCAAGCCTGTGACATAGTTACGAGAACCGATCGGAAGATTAACCACGAATCCAATAAACAACGAGCCACATACAGACTAGTGTCTACGGAGTGAATTGAAGGCAATAGAAATGAATCTCAAGCTGAATTTAGATGAAATAAACAAATCACCCAATATAAGACTTTCACATGGAATGCGGCAGATGAAAGACGTCAGATCGGGGAAAGAGACGGAGTTCACTCCACACTTTTCCCTCAACCGAGGCCCATCGGCGGCTCCAGACGCCGGTCAATTACCGGTCCTCCCTTTTACCCCGGTATTATTACAACCTTCTCTTTTAAACCATCCATCCTATTTTGGCTTGTGACCTCTTTTCATCTCCCTCGCTGAACTCCCGACCCCCCGAACCCACCCCGGAGTCTACGCGTGATCGTTAAATCAGGAATCATGGTCGCCGACGCTCTCGTTTACCACCCTGCGCTGGCGCACTGGCTGCGCTTCGTCGCGACAACAGGTATGTAGATACTCCAAGATACCCTGGGACTACCTGTGTTCATCCACATCAAAACGAGAGTCAAATCGAGCACAGTGCAATGCACTCGCTGCACGATGATACCCCTCCCGCGAATCGAATCCGATCGAATCCACCGGGTAGATGGAACAGCGAACATGCTCACCTCCATCCCACTCATTTACATTGAAGATAATCCAGCTAACGATAGCTTTCCCATAATTTAGTCGGTCGCGACAAGCTCCTCCGAACCATCCAATACTTCTCCCGCTTCTACGCCTGGTACCTATTCCGCACCAACAAGCCGCAATCCGCAATCGACCCGTACAATGCCGTTAAGAAGCAGCTCGGCACAACGCGCAAGCTTATGCGTATTGGCAAGTTCCTCGAACACCTCAAGGCTGCCTCCGTCGCTCTGGATAACAAGGGTCCCGTGGACCCTGTCCTGCGCTACTTGAGTGTCGGTCGCCAGCTCGGTTACGCGGGCTACCTAACCCTTGACATGGTGACTGTTGTTGATGCGATCGGGTTCCGCAAGCTAGAGTCTGCGAAGCGGTTGCAGGAGAGTGCGTACCGGTCTTGGGCGGCTGGTCTGATGTGCAGTGCTGTTGCGGGTCTTTACACTCTTTTCATGTTGCGTGAGAAGGAGAAGACTATTGACCGGAAAGAGGGTGAGGGTGTTGTGGAGGCGAAGAAAATTGAGAAGTATGATTTCTTTTTGTCTGGTCATCGGGGAATAGATTTGCTAATGTTTCATACAGGGAGCGCTCTGCTGCTCGGGTACAACTCGTCTCTGATCTGTGTGATCTTGCGGCCCCGTTGTCTGCGATTGGTATTGTCAACCTTGATGATGGCCTGGTCGGTATTGCTGGTACCGTTAGCTCTTTGATCGGTGTCTGGTCTCAGTGGCGCAAGACCGCATAAATTCGGACTGCGGCCGTTTTCCAATAAGTCAGGCTGAGCGAGTACGACAGACTCGGTTATACCTGGAACCTGTATGCTGGTATGAAGGAGACGCAGGGGCTGGTTCTGACTGCCCCTAGGTTCTCAGTTTGATAGTTTCCGCGTTTATATCCTTATATGTTCATGAACAACTTGTATCTCTTTTTTGGAGCGGAAACGTCTAGATGCACCATTTTTCGAGTATATAGCAAATTGTATTTCGTCTTCTCTGAACTAAGCTTGAGTAGGACGTATGCATGAAGTTTTACATATACTTTGTTTTAGAAATTCAACGTCGTACTCATTCTGCTAATAAAAAGCTTGGATATCATTGTCATCAAGACCATAGCCCCATATCCTTCTCATATCTCATCTTCCATTCCAAAAACATCTATAGCTCGGCATCGCGGTAGGCTTAAACAGGGCAAGTCTGAGAAACGTTAGCAATCCGCACTCCAGATACAACGAAGGATCAACGAACCGCGCCACACGATCCACAGGTCTTAGAACCACCAGTCATAGTGGCAGCGCATTTGGGGCAGCTAGAGTGTCCAGACATGATGTGCAAGGAATCGGGATATTTTGATCTATCGACTAGTCAGAAGTAAGCTCTCCTCTGGAACACATGCAAGCAAAGCCGGGTACCAGGATATGCGAATACCATACCTGAAGAGGATGAACTGGCTACCAAGGTAGAATCTGATGTTTCGAAATAGGCGAGTGATCGTTAGGGAAAATGTCAGCGAGGGGCAGAAGAAATAATCCACTTTGTGTATTACCCCGCCGTGCCCAATGGCCCCGCTTTGTGATAAGCAGAGGATGTTGCACATGTGCATATATCATTACATAGTTGGCATTTTACCATGGCTTGACCACATGTTCATTAAACAAATGCTTATGGGTATGGAAAAGACAAGGTATGATCCATACGTCAAGAGAGTATACTGGCCAAGACTCTCGAGTACGTAGAACTATAATACCTCAGTCAAAGCCCATTTCAGTCTCCAAATCATCACGCGTCCACATAATCTCCAACTCCATATTCGCATCCGCATACATCCTATCCCGAACCTTATCCCCCAAACAAAAAGTCGGCCGTTTATCAAACCCATGAATCACATCCTCAATCACAAATCCCCCACAACGCCTCATCCTCCCCTCATCTACAAACTGACAAATCCTCTCCCTCAACGCATTCCCCTCCACAAGCAACTGATCCCACCCACGAGTATAAATAGCAACAGCCGGCGGAAACGCCTCAAGAACCAGTTCCATCGGCGCCAACCCAGGCGACAAATACGGATGCGCCATATTAACACTCTTCCCATCCACACCCTTTGGCAAATTCTCGCTTACAATATAAGACTCATCAAAGAATGTTAAGACACTCTGCGGGATCCACGATCGTTCCGCCGCAATGGGATTCGTAGCATCCCGCTCCGAGCGAGTCCGCGTCCAGTCCACGCTGGGATAAAAAGCCAATGACCCAGAAAGTTTAATCTCATTCTCCGTTTCGAGCCGGTTGCGCTTTTCGAGTTCTTCATGCAGACGTAACGGGACTGTTAATGAGAGATTCCCGCCTGCGCTAAAGCCGCAGAGAACGAAGCGGTCGCGGTCAAGATTGTAGTTCTCGGCGTGGTCCCAGAGCCAGAGGATGGCGTCGACGCCGTCTTCGATTGCGGTGGGGAATGGGTTTTCCGGGGCGAGTCGGTAGTTTACACTTAAGAATATGCTGTCTGGGTGGGCTTTGGTGACGGAGTGGGCCCAGCGTGCGTCGTCGATGGCGTGCCCGATGGAGAAACCGCCGCCGTGGAAGTTGATTAGCACTGGGCGTCTGTGGGAGTCGATGTCGCGGGTTAAGGAGATTGTTGAGCTGGGTTTTTGGTTTGGTGCCGTGAAGAGGTACAGTTCTATTGAGCCAGGAGTTTTGCTGACTGTTGTTGGGATGGTTATCTCGAGGCTGGGATTTGGGGGGAGTGGCCAGGAGAGGTAGCGGTCTAACCAGGACACAACTCTTTGCCAGAAGCGTAGCTTTTTGGCTTGTTTTATGAGGGAGTCACGGGATGATTGCATGCTGATTTTTGTCTTTAGCTTAGGATGACTATGTTGGTATTCATATTGAGGTGTTTGTAAGTTGTAACTTTATAGAAGCTTACTTACCAATGACGTAGGGAAGGTGTAAGACAGGCGAGTTGCCTTCTTACGTCTTTGTTTGAATTTGCACATAGCATTTTTTCTAGATCTCATTCTGGTCCTAATTGAATATGCCAAGTTTATGGGCTATTGACTTATCGGCAAAGGCGTAAGTAAATGTTCATAGTATTAATAACTGCTATGCAAGATCCTTGCCGATGATCTGCAGCCGCCCGAAAGATCACCAACTAATGTGGAGCGAATTACTCCACACTTAGATGTAGGCACTTAGAGTACCGGCTCATATATGTCTGTGACGATGATCAAGTCTAAAAACCAGAAAGAGCTTGCGAAGATAAAGGGGCCGTAATGATGGCGAACAGGTGCATGTTAGCCACCCTCGCAAGTTCTAACCACCACTACAGTCGGTCTTTGGCATTACTTCAAATGTTTAACATGCTCTCATTCTACCTGCGCCACTCGAAGGCTCAATGCTCTATAAAATAGTTACTTTGAAAATGAGGGTGGGTTTACCAGGGCTAAATGATTACTTACCTCACCAACCTCGTATAAAAAGAGAACTTCTCCCCTAGTGAAGAATAAACCAAGCTTAGTCCTCCTCTCGTCCGAAACCACTTATCATCCAAAAATGGTTCATCTTCCTCATCCCCTACCCGTGATCGTATGCGGTCGATCAGCCGCAGTCGGAAAGCCCGTAGCAGAGGCTCTACTCCCCGAACTCGAAGGTAGGGTTCAGCAAGCCTCAAGCCAAAAACCAAATAATTCCAACACTGAATCAAATACTAAATCTAGCCAGTGGTCCACTTTATTCAAACCAATGATGCGGCTCTAGCGGAGATTCCCCACCTTCTCGCCGGGCGGGATCCTAAATCCCCCCACGAGAACGGGGTGGGCTCAGGGAATTACAGCCAGCCAGCCCGGGCTGTCATTTTTGGTCGAGGATACTCTGAATCTGAGGTTGAGTCGTTTCGAGCTGTGTGTAAACATGTAAATCGGGATCCGGTGCTTTGGGTTGTTGGGGATCCTTCGAAGAGACAGCCTGGCCCGCCACCTCCGGGATATGCTAAGATCGCTGCTCAGAATACCAAGGATGTCGTGATGAAATGGAAGGAAAATGGAGCTAACAAGGAGGAGATTATTCTTTACTGAGTAGTTCGGTAATATATATTCCGCTTTAAAATGTTTGAGATTCAAAGGTTAGCTTGACTGTTACTTGAAGATGGAGCACATATATATATATGATGTAAGTCTGTGGGTAACAAATATATATATTCAAAGAGGATCATTATGCGTTTTATGGTAATCTGCGGTCCTAGATGAACAATCCTTTTCTATATATGTAGGAGATCATTTAAATATGTCTGCTATTTGTTTCTGAACTTTCTGTTTTCAAGGTTGTTTGGTGCGGGTTTTCTGAATGGATTGCCGACAGGCTGATGCCTTCCCACAACGTAGAACATGGAACTAAGCAAGTCGCTACTTGCTGCTATCAAAATAACCAATACTTCAATTTCTTACAAGTTTCGCCTTTAGATGTTTCTTCGAATGTTAAGATGAGGAGACGATGCTCCAGGGCTGGACTATATTTTGCAGATGATATGATGTATGCCCCCGCATTATGGAATTTAGGATGACGTCCAAACATTCAATATTCCCATGACATGAGTGAGCTACGGCTAGGCTCTCGAGTGTAGATAAAACCTGAGCTGTGTTGTTACTTCCCGATGTTTCCTTAAACGGTCGGACATGCATGTATCACGGATAGCTACGGCCTGAGCAAACGAAAAGAAGTCTGCGTTTGTCCCAAGGATGATGCAAGTCGCTAGGTGGAGGAACCCTCCACGCTATACCCCGCATCCGTGGAAGCCACGCGACCGGCTTCCCCATACAGCCAAGGCTTGCCAAGCGCTTTCAATCCAACGTGAAGTACGGAGTACTCTGAGTACTCTGTACTCCATATGAAGTATGTGTGTATTGGCAGCAGCTTTTCGCAGATTGAACTCGGGTCATTGATGAGCGAAGGTGTCACAAGGCGGCAATTCTATTCAAGAGAGCCGGGCAGTAAGGCAGCGATGACGTGCAGGATCGGGTCGGAGAAAATAGGAGACGATTGATCTACGTGCGTCACTTTCTTCCCGCACCAGGCCGTTTTAGAAACCGGAGTGACAAGACCAGGGAGGTTTTTGATAGGTTGAATTGCAATAAGAAACTCGATGTCACGGGTGAATTAGGAAAAGGGAAGGGAATGTGATTGGTGAGTATATGTTGATAATCGTTAAGCCGGGATGGGTGATAAGGGAAGAGTTCCGGGGGTGAACCCGGGGAGACCGGGGGAGAAGACTCGGGACTTCCATGGTATTTTTCCTTTTTCCTGGAGAGAACGAACCTTTACCCCACTTGAAACGAAAACTAAATTAGCTAGTTTGAAACCGAAGTTATTATTAAAATGTGCTCCGTAAACAGCCTCGTTCCAGACCTTAGAACTCGGGGTTCACGGGTTCACGTGTTCATTTTCAAGTCACGCGTGAGAGTGAGTTTTGTAACTAATTTACTCAGCTGATTGTTTCTATCTCTAGGCTATCCCTAGCGACAAAAATAGCATAATAGCAATTTGATACGTAAGCTTTTGAAACAAAATCGCGCAAAGAAGGCATTGGTTTCACCTCCCGAGATCAGAATCCGTTCGGCAGCCCACCACCGGGATGATCTGGGGTTGGGATCGAACAGGGCCATTGGGCTTCTCAAGCCGAAAGGATGCAAACATGGAGCATGAAATGACGACCGAATAAGAAAGGAGGAAAATAGTAAAACCAGGATCCATTTTTCGGGACCCTAACGCCTTCACGGGATGTTCCATGCCTCAATTCGTGAGCTGGGCCGAGACCGAGAATCCCCAGTACTGAGATCTTTTTCTAATTGAACAGTGAACACCGCACAAGAAATTCCAGAAAACCCTACCAAGCGGCAATATCTTCTGCCCACCGGACTATCCCTGGTAGATGGAAATATACGAGCTCTGATTGGTTCGGGCCGCCGGGGCTCCATTTTGATGATACATCATCCTCGGCTGGTTAAACGCCGTTATTGGAGAAGATCTCGGAGCATGGGAATAAAATAAAAATGAAAAAAAAATCAACTTCGTTCCGACCCCGATGACGATCGGGGTTCCAGATTCTCTAATGTATTCGCAATCAATAATTTTCATGCAATCCGAATTGAAATCGGCGAAGAAAGCCGAAAAGCATCAAGAGAATTCGTAGCCGATAGAGAGAGACTTCCGTGATCGACCTAATTATGTCAGCTTTTCCCCCGCGAATTGCTTGGATTCGGACTAGTGGAGAAAACAACAATCTTGGTTAACTTTGGCTTCAACCTGGTGAGATCATTGCGCGTCATTCTTTAGTTCATACTTGTAGTAACTTTGGCTTTTCACGAGCTTTAGAAACCTAGGTAAAAGTGATGCTCATAGATAAATTTGAAACCTTGACCACATTCCTGCTTGAACTTCTACATCTCCTCTCTACAGAAAGAGACAGATCTATACTCTGTAACAAATTTGAGAACTCCACAATACTGCGGCTTTTTTCTCTTGCATACCAACGTATCCACCTGGTCATTTCCACTCCTTACTTTTCCGGTTCATCATCCGTTCCCCGGGTGCATTTCGTGTCCACTTACAACCTTTCGGGTCAAGTCGGACTTTGCCTCCCCAGGTATTTGCAGTCGGCAACGCTTCACACATCACCAACCGTCCGTCTCAGCTCGGCCCTCCGCCCCGACATCACCCGTGCAACTGTGGAGAAGCACAGGGGCAAAGGACGAGAACACATCTGAAAGTAATGGCCCCGCCTGAAAAGAATTATATAGACCCCAACCGCCCCAGCTCTCCAGGTCCCTTAGCATCAGATTTCTTCCAACAACAAGTCGCAAAGCAACGAAACAATAACTATCATTCTACTTCACTCAGAAAAATGGTTGCTACATCTGTGAATCGCACTGCCCTCCACCCTGGCGGTGTCCAGTATGTTTTCCCTTCCTTCTATCCTTTTGATCACTGTCGCTAACTACCTTGAATAGGCCTGGCAAGGGTCACACCGAGTTGGAGGAGGAGCTGCACGAGACTGCCCACATTGACTACGACCGTGTTGCCATTATTGCCAACCCCGCTGTCCCTGCTCTGTACGAAGATGCCCTTGTTTACGAGACCGGTACCGCCATTACTTCCAGCGGTGCTTTGAGCGCCTACTCTGGTGCTAAGACTGGCCGTTCCCCCTCCGACAAGCGTATTGTCAAGGAGGAGTCCTCCGAGAATGAGATCTGGTGGGGACCTGTCAACAAGCCCATGACTCCTGATGTAAGTTTGAGTCTTTTTTTCTTGCTTTGCTATGAGTGATTTTCCATTGTTACATATTTGTCGGGACTATGCGGTCTGAGGACCGCCCCTGCAGATGGCCCGCTGGCTCCACTCCACCCTGGGATCCCTTGCATATGCAGTCCAGGATCAAGCTTTTCTGGAACTTGCGTCTGCAATTTTCCAATCTTGGTTCCCTGTGATCTTTTGCTGTTTTGGGATCTCTTTTTATTTTGTTGCCCGCTTTGGGACTTCATTGGCATGACGTCAGACTAACAAATCCATCTTAGGTCTGGCGCATCAACCGTGAGCGTGCTGTTGACTACTTGAACACTCGCAACCGTATCTACGTTATCGATGGTTTCGCCGGCTGGGACGAGCGTTACCGCATCAGCGTTCGCGTTGTCTGTGCCCGTGCCTACCACGCTCTGTTCATGCGCAACATGCTTATCCGCCCCTCCGCTGAGGAGCTCAAGAACTTCCACCCCGACTATGTTATCTACAACGCTGGCTCTTTCCCCGCCAACCGCTTCACTGAGGGTATGACCTCCGCTACCTCCGTTGCCATCAACTTTGCCGATAAGGAGATGGTTATCCTGGGTACTGAGTACGCTGGTGAGATGAAGAAGGGTGTCTTCACTGTCCTCTTCTACGAGATGCCCGTCAAGCACAACGTCCTGACCCTTCACTCCTCTGCCAACGAGGGTGAGAACGGTGATGTCACCGTCTTCTTCGGTCTGTCCGGTACCGGAAAGACCACTCTGTCTGCCGACCCCAAGCGTAAGCTGATCGGTGACGACGAGCACTGCTGGACCGACACCGGTGTCTTCAACATTGAGGGTGGTTGCTACGCCAAGTGCATCGGCCTCTCCGGCGAGAAGGAGCCCGATATTTTCAACGCCATCCAGTTCGGTTCCGTCCTTGAGAACGTTGTCTTCGACCCCATCACCCGTGTTGTCGACTACGACGACGTTACCCTCACCGAGAACACCCGTTGCGCCTACCCCATCGAGTACATTGAGAACGCCAAGATCCCCTGCAAGAGCGACAGCCACCCCTCCAACATCATCCTCCTCACCTGTGATGCCCGCGGTGTCCTGCCCCCCATCTCCAAGCTCACCCCGGAGCAGGCCATGTTCCACTTCATCTCCGGTTACACCTCCAAGATGGCCGGTACCGAGGACGGTATCACCGAGCCCCAGGCCACCTTCTCCTCTTGCTTCGCCCAGCCCTTCCTCGCCCTCCACCCCATGCGCTACGCCCACATGCTCGCCGACAAGATCAAGGAGCACAAGGCCGATGTCTGGCTCCTCAACACCGGCTGGGTCGGTGCTGGTGCCACCACCGGCGGCAAGCGTTGCCCCCTCAAGTACACCCGTGCCATCCTCGACTCCATCCACAGCGGCCACCTCGCCACTGTCGAGTACGAGAACTACGATGTCTTCAACCTGCCCGTCCCCAAGTCCTGCCCCGGTGTCCCCGACGAGCTCCTCAACCCCAAGACCAGCTGGACTGCCTCTACTCCCTTCGTCGACGAGGTCTCCAAGTTGGCCAACCTGTTCAACGAGAACTTCAAGAAGTACTCCGACCAGGCCACTCCCGAGGTCATGGCTGCTGCTCCCCGCGTTTAAGCGTGCCCGGGAACGGTTTCAAAATTGGCATTTTGGTTTTGGTTTTGATTTTTCAGACTTTTATAAGTCATTTGCATGGCGTGCTGCGTTGGCTTGATCTATTCCCCTGGATCTCGACCTTCTCACTTGAATCGGCCCAAGTGGGAGGTATATTCCTTTGATTCCATTTTTATTTTGATATCTCTTTATTTCTTATGTACTCTGTCATCTTGATGGACATGTTCGACGACTGGCTCAATCGAAGTTCCATCTCGATTACCTTTAACGATAGCCAATGAATCAGATATTTAAAACAACTTTCTTCCTTGTAACCTCCGTAATTTATTCAAATGGATTACATGTCGGCGAATCATTCGATTTGCATATTTCAACTTCCAGCCTTTTATTTTGATTAACTAACCAGACGCTGATAGTATCGAACCAAAGCGCCCAGCATGAGAATATCGCCGAGAAATGTCTAAAAAGCCGTGGAGGACTTTGTTCATTAATATCCCGTGCCCTCACGTTGCACATCTTCATCATTCGATGGATAGTATGGAAATGTGCGAGCATCATAACGCATCCTAGATTGACAGGCATGTCGAAGTAGTGTCCCCAGAATTACAAAAGGTGATCAAAGATTTCCCTCAAAGTTTCCTATCCAGCACCACAGATTCTTCCAACTCTAATTACATTTCCTCTTGGCCTTCTGGCTATTACTGGTATGAGGCTGAATCAAGCACCCGTGACCGCAAATGGCTTTATCCGTTCATGCAACTACATTCAATACATCACACCCTACCTAGAGGTACATGAGGCACACCTGACGGTCACCCAATAAGATCAAGAGTGAATTTGAGCAACTGCGTTACCAACTGAAATAGATCACTGGTTTTAGGGCTCCCTTCCCTCTGAAGGGATGATAGGTTACTAATTATATGGAACTCTAGTTCATACCACGGTGATAAAATAAGAATTGTCCAGCAAATTAAGAAAAACACAATATGTTCTAGTGTCTTTCTAGTGGAAACTTCAGTCTGTCCTGTATGCGATCCATGATAGGCTCAGATGGTATGTTGGTTGCTAATTGTAGGAACATTGATGGGTGGTGGGTGAATTCCACAAGGCTTCAACTAGGTAAGTCCATACCGGGATGAGATTCGGTTTGTGATTTTGCTGATATTGAGTCTTTAGTCAAGTCAGATACTGGAGTGACTAATCGACTCGGGACACTGTTCTGTGATAATTCCCTGTGGGCTAAGAAGGTCTCTGGATGTAACAGTGGATGTCAACGTCCTTCAGTACTGTTGAGGGGAACAACTCTAGTCATAAGCATGTAACATGGAATCATGAATATTGTGATATCCAGCTCCAGTCTCATGTAAATCTTCCTTTAAAATATCAGTTAGTATTGTTTTGCTGCTCATGAAAATAATTGAGTTGATCAAAGAGGTACAACGGAGCACTGTTAAATCCGACAACTATTCAATTTTAAGGAAAGCTTGTGATACTGGTCTATTGTGATTTCGGATATATCATTGTACGGTGATTTTTAACGTTTTGATTATCATGTACTCCGTGCCCCATATCCCACTCCTATTGCCGAATCACCCCACCGATCCCGTCTTTACATCCCGATCCACCATAATTATCCTCGGCTCCCGAATATCTTGCCGGGCTCGGATCACCGTGTTCCTAGACCTTAATGCCTAGTGCATTTTCCGCGGAGAGTTCCACTTAGCTGAGGTCATGCTTAGAGTGCAGACTATTGTTGGGGTAGATTCCACTTTTCTATTGGTTTCTTGCTTAATCAGGCTGGGATTTTCGACAGGATGACATTAAGGGTACAGTATTTGTTGGGGCCATTGGATTTGCTTGGCAGTGGCCTAGTGGGGCTAGATGTTCTGGATCTGAGATCGACTTGAAACCATGCATAGTCCAAATTCGATGTAGAAAGTGATTTGACCATATTGTTCTATGTTTTAGCAGCAAGTATTCGGATGATAACCATGGACGGTCGTCGTCTGTATACAATATTTTTCTGTATGGGTGAACTGGTGTTCGAACCCGTGGACGTTCATGGATCATTGGCTAATCAGCTCCCTTCGTATTAGCACGCGCAAATTACCAGGAATACAACGAAGCATGGCTTATAGATTGTCAATTGTGTAGTAAAGACTTCGGAAATGGCCGTGGGGAACTTGTTGTAGTCATTGCTATTGTTATCAAGTGGCTCCACGGGAAAGAGTATCTGATCTACGTAGTAAATCAAGGTCCAGGACGGGATAGTCGCTGAGTATCACTGCAATTTCATTAAACAGTGGAGACCTCGTATTTTAGGTCGAGTCCCATGTTGAGGTAGATGTCTAGCATGTCATTTCGAGGTGATGTCAACTCGTCAAGTTTCCGACAGCCATAGCCGAGTGAGTCCCGCGGGGCGGTCTCAACTGCTAGCCGATAATGATTTGCCACGGCGTCAAATTATTGAAACCAGCTTCAATGGCCAGATGGACAAGGCGGAGTCCTGTCCTCCGCGATGATAACCGCTCCACAGACGTACCGCTATGATGGCTATAGCTCCGATAATGGATCTGGGGTGAGTATTGGAACTCCAGAACTCCCAGGGACCAATCACTTCACCTGAAATATACGGTCGTGCAGGAAAGCGCCGGTCTTCGGCGGAATAGATTCCCCTGGACATACGGGTGGGACTAATATTTTGCCTCAACAAAGCCGGTTCGTGTCAGGGGCAGATCCCATTGGCATTGTCAGTAGTGTCATTGGTCCATGAAAATTAGGCGGGGCTTGCTGAGAGTGTCAAAGCTGGCGACCCACAGTTAGTTGATATCCCCTCGGTACGGGAAGCGGAAGCGGGATAATATTACTGAGGAATAGCCGATCAATAGGTAGAGATCCGTCCCACCGAGACAAGTAAGAAATGAATCCGTGACTTTGGTATGTCTGTTGTAGTTTCCCTCGGGCGGGTACCCGACCGATTCTCGTACAAAGTGGGGTTCCGAGTCTACTAGTGGACTCTGGGGTGACGTGGAGAATATCAGATCTGATAGTCGATGATAGTGTAGTTGGATAATAGAATATGTAGGGAGGGGGAAAAGGGAAGAGAAGTAGAGATATCATCCTCTATATAAGTTGAAATGCCTCTCTCTTCTAATGTTCTGTACACATGACAAGCTTTAACCCCCGCAATCTCAATGTAGATCGACGTAATTGGTCTTCACCCCACAATTTCACTTTTACGGATAACCTAACGGGTCTAGAGTCGACCCGGTTGAGAATTCGGTTGTTCGCGGGGTGGATTCCTTCCTATAAGTCCCGCTTTTCCTATATAGTACCGAGTAGATACAAGGTTATATAGCTCAGACCCCTCCCGGTTAAGTATTATTGAGTCTCACTAAGTATAACTGGTGTTTCCAAGGTTTCCCCCCACACTCTTGAGTCTCCTCTTCTCTCCCGTGGATTCATTTCCAAAGACAAATCCAGTGCAACGTCATAGGTAAGTTCCATGTTTCCACGGCACGAGACTACCGTGGCTTCTGAATTCGCAACTAAAGAAAGAACAGCAGAACAACCTCGATCGGAACCCTTGAATTTTTTTTGAATCTCCTGGTAAGCTAGAAGTATTGAGCTAGCAAGAGTCAGAACTAACCACCTCCAAGGCATCATGGCTTCCAACTCCATCAAAGATTCCAGTGCGGTCTCCAGCACAGCAATCCTCCAAAACCCCTACATCCGCGCCGCCCTTCCCTTCATCAACGGCGGCCTCTCTGGCATGACTGCCACGGCCGTAATCCAACCAGTCGATATGGTAAAAGTCCGACTCCAACTAGCCGGCGAAGGAGCAAAGACAGGACCCCGCCCCTCCGCCTTCGGAATCACCCGCGACATAATCGCAACCGGCAAAGTCCTCGACCTCTACACAGGCCTTTCAGCCGGTCTCCTCCGCCAAGCAGTCTACACAACCGCTCGCCTCGGCCTCTTCGACACATTCATGCAAACTCTCAACGCAAAAGCAGACTCCGCAAACACAAAAGTCACCTTTGCCGAACGCGCCGCCGCAGGCCTCTCAGCCGGCGGTATCGCCGCCATGATAGGAAACCCCGCCGACCTCGCCCTCGTGCGGATGCAATCCGATGGACTGAAGCCCGTCGCTGCACGGGCCAACTACCGTTCCGTCTTTGATGCGCTGGCTCGCATCCCGAAGAGTGAGGGCATAGGCGCGCTGTGGGCTGGTGCCCTTCCTACGGTTATCCGTGCGATGGCGCTGAACATGGGCCAGTTGACTTTCTTTGCGGAGTCCAAGGCTCAGCTTAAGCAGCATACGAATTTGTCGGCGCAGAACCAGACGTTCGCTGCTTCTGCGATCGCGGGTTTCTTTGCTAGTTTCCTTTCTTTGCCGTTTGACTTTATCAAGACGAGATTGCAGAAGCAGCAGAAGGATCCGAAGACGGGACAGGTTCCTTACCGGGGCGTTATGGATTGCGCACGTAAGGTTATTGCTGAGGAGGGCTGGATGAGATTCTATCGTGGCTTTGGTACTTATTACGTTCGGATCGCTCCTCATGCGTTAGTTTGCCCCCACTTTAGCTTCATGGACCCACAGCTAACTGATCTGCAGTATGGTGACCCTCATCGTGGCCGATTACCTCAACTTGATTACCAAATAGATCGCTTTTTTTTTAAACCCTGCATGCTACAGTTTTTCGATCAAAACTGTTCTCGTGTCAGCGGATTTTTTTCATCGGCTCCGTTATGATGTGTTGGAACGAACTACTTGCCCCGTATTTCTCCGAGTAAGGGGGTAAAGGACGGATATCAAGTTCCCCGCGGAAAAGGGAACACAAAATCCAGTTATTGATGATCAGTCTCTATCTTCGCGTCTATTGTTATTGTTGCGTTGCTTGTTTGTTTTGACAAGCCAATACCCTACACACATGTCTGTCTATGTTATCCTTTTCGTGAGGTCGTGGTAATGGATTAATATTTGAATTTGAGTATACTTTTCTTCACATACCTAGTTAGGCTTGCCTAGGTAGTACTGTAAAAGATATGAAAGGCCTCCTACCTAATGTAGATGTCGGGACTGTTCCAAAAAAAAATTCTGTCTTCGTACATGGATCCCATGACTGGTAGTACCGTGGCGCGGCAAACCTTGATGGTACACAAATGAGGAAGCTTGGGGAGGATTATTAAGTATGAGTCAAAGGGAAAGGATGTACTGTTTGAAATGGTAACGCAGAGATGGGGACACTTGGTATTGACGCACTACGTGAAGAATAGGCTCTAACCTATGGTAATAAGAGCCATGTCCCATGATTAATAAGTGTGAAAGACTACGAGTAGTCAAAAAATCGAAAGCACAGAATGTCCTAGCCCGAGGGTGTATCCCCTGGAGATAAATCTCCCATTAATAAGAAATGCCGTTGTAAATCGCCGATCCTCGCGTCCCCGAAACAAAGTAACTCTGATTGGCTCAGTTGTGCATGGCCTTCTTCTCAATCGCACCAGGCGGAAGAACATCCTCAAGAGTCTCACCGGTACCCTCGAGATCCTCCTCGATCGGAACCGAGTCCTTGATCTTGAAGATGATAACCGGTGCAGCAAACAGAAGCGAGCCACAGAGGAGACCCCAGTTGGAAGCAAACTCGCTCATGTAGGGGATTTTTTGCTGTCCATCCAGGGACCACATCACGGCGGCACCGGCAGACTGCAGACCCTTGTAGAAACCGGCCAAATTAGCGAGCTTGCGACCGGAGTTACCAAGAGCGCCCATCAGCCAGTACACGGTACCCTGCCAAACTGCATCGTAGAACCCGTAGAAGAAATACAAGAACATGGGGCCCTCAAATCCGGGGGTCGTCCAGTCCCAGGCCTTGAAGTTGACATCGGCAACGGTCTCACGGGTGTACCCCTTCTGCCAGACATAGCCACCGCCCCAGATAGCCATGGTAAGAACAAACAAAACAACAAGGGCAATACGCGCACGGGTACTGCGGCGAACAGACTTGATGTCAAGCAGCGGCCCGATAATGGCAGCCGCCACAATCTGGGCAAACCAATACAGGAAATTGTTGAGAGACTTGGTGCGAGTGTTGAAATAGGCACTGTTGACGCTGTTCATCTGGTAGGTGTAGAACCAGTTGGAGGACCAGAACATCGGGAAGAGCAGGACAATGAACGGCTGATGGCTAATAGTCTCCCACAGACCGATAATCTCTGTTTTCCAGGTGGGGCTCTTCATCAGAATCACGCGAGAGCCATCTGGGCGCACGATCTTGTCTGCATCGCAAATAAACAGGGCGAGGACAGCGCCGAAAGCCATGAGCACGATGAATCCGATGTAGGTACCATCGTTAACGTCTTTCTTAACCGTGACATGGATATTCTGGCCAAGGGGGATCTGGAAAAATATGCGTCAGAACTGCGATTTGCGTATGAAGTGAGAAATCCTTACCAAGGCTCCAATACATGCGCCAACGTTGAAGATCGCCCAAAACCACGCAAAGTAATGGCCCTTCTTTTGCTCAGGAGGATAAGACATCATGATGGCACCCTGAGCAGCCCACAGCAAACCAGCGCAAACACCCAGTAGAGCACCCGCAAAGATATTGAACCCATCGACATTTTTATGCATGGACACCAGCAGACTGATAGCATAAATACAATAACCAATGCCACCAAACGAAAGAGCGAAGCGAACGCCAATGCGATTGACGAAAGTTCCCGCGAAGAAGCCAATGACGGCAAAAGTACTGTAGAGTGCAGTGTTCTAAAGAGAAAGACGTTAGTGACAGCCGAACTGGAGTGTGGAGTGCGGGTCGATCACTTACCATGTTATCACCCAAAGTGGGATCAATCCTTCCACCTCCACCGAGGCCACCAAGCGCATTAAACATTCCTGGACACATGAAGCATACAAAGGCGACCATTACCAGCTGGAAGCCAGGAGAGGCATACCAAGTGGTGAATCCACCAATGCGTAGAGGTCTGTACATCCATCCAGCGGGACGAGGGGGCTCATCGACAGAGTAAGTAGCAGAGCGAACTTCCAGGCCATCCTGGGCAGACTTTGAGTTCTCCATATCAGCCATGATAAAAGAGTTCACAGATGATGTGGAGAAGAGGATGTGAAAAGGTTGATGAAGATCAAAACGAGGGAAGGAGGGGAAGTTAAGAGGTTAAGAGGTTAAGAGGTTAAGAGGTTAAGAGGTTAAGAGGTTAAGAGGTTTAGAGATTTAGAGGAAGGAACAACAAACAAAACGAACGTGAAGTTTTGACAGGAAAGGAAATTCTAAAAAAAATAAGAAAAATAAGAAAATACGACCACGAGTGAAGGTAGCATCAAGATCCCGGGTTTCCCCAAACTTATGAGAATCCACTTTAGCTTGGTTATGCGGGGATCAGAGTCATGATTGGGTTAACATAATAGATGGATCTCCGCTTTATGTAGAGTGACACCTGATGAATAACTATGTCGCGTGATAAGAATATGAAAACGTAGTATCGAGTCGCATGGCTTAAACTTCACTTTAATACAAATCTCGACTCTTTACCACATGAAAATCTGATGCAGTAACTTAACAATGTGGGGATGTCCACTTAGTCAGCATAGCAGCCAATGGAGGGAAAGGGATTTGGTACAGCTTTAACTCTTTTAGTCTAGAGTGATTCTTTCTTCGTATACTTGACAAGGCGCATGAAAGATCCTAGGGCTTGACATTAGTAAAAATACTGTAGTATTGCCAACATATCATATGGTGACACTGTAGATAGTGATATAGTCAACGTTACCTAACGGCGAGCTTGCAGTGGAACATGGGAACCTCGTATAAATTCACATAGTGAAAGTTTAAAAAGGTTAAAAATAAGCTAAAATAACCGAGGTTAAATGACAGGCTAGAATGGACATGTCTTATCTCCACAATTAATGAGACTCTCGCTTATCAAACTACCTCTATGCTACTCTTCTTCTGATTCTTCTTTCCCTTCTGATTCATCGGACTCATCGTCCGCCGTCTCCTCACTACCAGTAGACATGGCTCTGTCCATGGGCTCACTCTTGACCCGTGCACTAGGGACTGGCGCTTCTTCCTCATCCACATCCACATCGACGTCCACGTCCATGTCACTATCAATCGCATCACTTGCCAAGGTAACCTCGTTGGGTCGACGCACCGAATGAGAATGTTCCTCCATATTATCTTCGGCTTCCCGTGCAGCCAGCTCCTCTGCGCGCTTCACCCGACGTAGCAGAACTGGATCAGGTCGCAGGTCATTCGCACTGAACACAGTCGAGCAGACTGGACATTTGACTGCACGTATACGCCGAGTCCCGCGGTCAGGTCCACCGGGAATCGTCAACGAGCTGCCCGCAATCATACTGTGAATAGCCTCACTTTCGAAACTATGCGAACACTTCTCGCTGGTGACTGGTTCTCGGTAGGGCAACAATGTAAGCGGACACTTCAGGGAGATACGCTCTCGCTGGATAACAATATCGTCATCGGGTTCAGGTTCGGGGTTGCGTCGACTGCGCGTAGACTGATTCCGTGACCCGGATGCATTGCGTGACCCTTCCAAATGCTCAAACCAAGTAGAAGAGTGTGGTAATGGCGGAGCCTCCTCGTTGGGGAACTTGGCATTGTGCACCATACGGTAAAACCCAACGTAAGAATTGTGGCTGGCATATCTATAGCCCATAATTAGCACGCTGAACCTATTCGTAAGGGCCAGAATTCAACATACCTGTCAGTCAACGACAGCTCCTTCCAATTCTCAGCCTCAGTCGCAAGACTCTCTTTCAGTTTTTGAGATACCGATTCCCGAGCACTTCGCCCCTCCGCCCCTCGCGAAGGAGTCCCCTCAAAATCTTCATCCGCAGAATCATCCCCATCCATCCCGTCCTCCCCATCCACCTCCTGCCTCGCTTGTCTCCTTGTCCTCCTCGGCCCCAAAGCTGCACGCTGTGCCTCCTCCTCTTCCTTCGAAATCCGTTTAATAGACTCATCCCACCGCTGCAGCTTAGTCTCCAAATCAATCATCCCTCGCACCTTCTCATCCATTTGTCCCGTCACTGCACCGGTACTGCGTTCAAGAGCACCAAGTCTCTCGGTCTCCTCATTTTCGTACTCGTCGGAATCGTATTCTTTGCCTTCAGCGGCACTCTCATTCCTTCGCTTTTCTTTGGCTCTCTCGCAGCGAATCTGCGCATCACATAGTCTTTCGTTGACTTCACCAGCTGATTCGGTGAGTTGAATGATCGCATGATCTATGTGGGTCTTGAGGGCCTTGTATTGAGGGTCTTCGAGGAGTTTTGCTAGCATTCTGCTGGATTCGCCTGTGAGGGGGCCTTCGGAGGCTTCGTAGGGGGGTAGTTCTGGGATCTCAATCTCTTCGAATGTCTGTCTTTGTTGTGTGCTTGTGGAGGCTCGAGACTGAGTGCGAGACTGAGCGCTTGATGGAGCGCGTGATTGTGATACCCGCTGGCGCGCGGGGGTTGAGTACATCATGATTGGGCTCAGTGCTGTTGTGTGGGTTGAAAGGTTTATGAGGGCCAAATTAGGAGTAAATCAAAGAATGAGATGTTGAGATAAATAAAAGAAAGTGAATGGAGATATTTGATACAAAGAACTGCACTTCCAAAGATTCGAAATCCAAACGCGTCGCGATCTGCACTAGGCCCAATTGGGGGTATAAGTGGGAGCGATAAGCTTATCGTTTAACGCTTATCGTCTATCTATAATATAGGCAAGTAGGATGAAAACATACTAGTACAATTAACAGATGCAATATCTATGAAAGTCTACATTTTACAAAGCAATATTTACTACCCCTCAGACCTTGTAGAAACAGAAGGCATGATAGAAACCCATGAAAAGTTAGTAGCTGTGATAGCACATGATCAAGGATGTTACTCACTAACTGCGTCCTTCTCCTCCTCGGTCATAGCGAGAGCACCCGTAGCCCGGTCTCGAACTCCCATACGCTCGCTGAGTGGTCCCAACTCGCGGTCGTTCTTTTCGTCCTCCCAAATATCCAGGAAGGGCTTGCGGTACTGCAGTTCAAGGTTATAGTCCTCGGTCAGGCTGGAATCGAAGGTTAGTGATACAAATACAACACGGCATATAGAATACTCACGCGCGGAATGCCTCCCAAGGAACAACGTATTCAGGCACCTCTTCGACGGCTTCACGCATGAAGTAGGTATATCTCCATCCAAAGGGCGGGCGGAAGACACCGTCCTCAGGCGTCGGGCCAGGGAACCGGACGCGATAGATATCATTTCCCCATTCGCACTTCTCATCCTCCTCAACCTCGCCATCTTCCGGAGCCTCGGGCTGAGAGCCCTTGGCAGCCTCACGCTCCCGACGCTTTTCATGGAACGCACTGACACGGCTAGTGATCATATCTGAGTTCGGGCACACGCCAATGAAGCGACCACCTTTCTTGAGACAACCAGCGACGTTGCTAAGCATCTGACGCGTCTTCTCCTCGCTCTCAAATGCGTAGTGGATCGCAAACATGGATGTAACAACATCAAAACCACCTCCTGGACCCCATCGCGATGCCATCAAGTTCGCGCCGGGACCCGCATTGGGATCAAAGCCGACCTGCTGGATGATCCGAACATCGCCCAGCGACTCGCCAAAGCAATCCTTCGTCTGGAACTCCCCATGGAACAACGCCGGAGGTGGTCGTCGACCCCGCTGTCCACGCCCAGATCGCATAGAAGCATACCGATCCCGTGCCTGCTCAATAGAGACATTGGCCGGGTCCAGTCCAACATAGAGCTCCACCTTCTGCGGTGCAAGCTGCCATTTCCCCAAATCACCACCCTTTCCACAACCCAGATCAAGCACAAGAAGCTTTTTATCATCCATAGGAGGCGGACCCATACTATCCTCCGCCCAATTCTTGCTATCTTCGAACCGCGCCCCAAACTCCTCATCAGGCGCGAATTTCTGAATCAACGTACTCTTCACCCAGTTATTGAAGCTGCGCAGCCCCTTGATCTTACTCTCTGTCTTGCGCCACTCGCGGCCACGCTCAGGGACCGCATTGTAGTGCTGCCGCACGACGTCCGTCACGCCACGGTCTCGGGACATTCGCTCCGCATCTTCCATTTCTTGCCGGTCGCGATCCTCCTGTCTCCGTCTCATGGTCTCGCGGTCGACGATTCCCATGCGGGCACCGCCGCCTGGGCGCTTGCGCTGCTTGGGCGGGTCATCGGCGGGTGGAGGGCTGCGAGGTTGCAAGGGAGAGCGAGATCGTCGGGGGCCTTCGCGGGAGGCGTTGTGAGGGCTGCGGGAGCGGTCACGACGTGAGAAGACTGAAGGAGGTGTGCGGCCGCGCTTTCGGTTTTGTTGGCTTTCCATTCGTCTGCGTTTGGAAACGGGTCCTGATGGGGCTTGCTGGTTGTCGGTTCCTGTGTTGTCCTCGTTTGGCCTGCGCTCCGATGCGCCTGGTGAGGCTGAGGCCCCATTCTTGTTTCCTTCGTAATTAACGGTTGCATTGGGCACCTTCGGAGCTCCTGAGCCGAGTGAAGAGTCCATTTCGTGGAGAGGAAAGGTGTGACTTGTTGAGTTAAGCTGAAAGGATTGACCCAAGGTTTGGGATTTTGAGACTTAAAATTTCGGTGGGCTGATATCCCCCTAGGACTCGGAATATAAGAAGAGAGCGATGAAGACTTGTAAATAGAAAAGCAGTCAAAGGAATCAAGTCAAATCCAGGTGAGAAGAGTCGAGAGTTTGATTTGGGAAGGAAGCTCCGCGTGGATCTGAACAAATTAGGGAACCAATCAACTCTTAGTTCATCACTACAGACTACAGTATAGGGAATTTTTTCAACCCTTTATACCTACTATCTTCTTTGAATACTTTAATAACCTTATATACAAATGATTTGAATAAAGTCTTTATAAATTCGTGACTTTGGCTTTACTTTCACGTCACTTAATGTTCACAGATTTAATAGTCAGTGCTGATTCTGCTGACTGTATAACATCAAAGACTTTTTTTATATGTGTATTCTTTATACTAGGCAAGACCAAATGAGAGGCAGTATTAAAGAAGAACAATGCTAGCTCAACTTTACATGCTGTTCTCAGACGCTTGGTGGCCGAAATAATCCCAAATAGTTGAAGCCACTCCCAAAATTCATGTTAAATTTGTGAACGGCCGATTCGTGGGGGCCCCTAACCAACTTGATGAACAAGCATCTTGTGTCGTGGTTATGAAACTTCTGGGCACATTTCGAGAATGATTTCTCCGCAACACTAGGTGGAGCATTGGTGAATCTTAAGTATTGCAGCACGTCTCAAATGTCCATCGGTGGTAAATGCCGTCCTGAACTGACTCCGCACAATCCCACCAACAAGAATCCCATCGTCCTCGATGAGGATAGAAAAATGTGAAGAAATTGGGAAACCATACGTGTGAGAAACCGACCTAAACCTTCTCGACTGTGGTGCCAACGTCGAGGAGCCATGTCTGGAACCGGGTCAGCGCTGATGATACCTGCGGCTTGGATTTCCGAGGGCTCATCAACCAGGAATCTCGTGCGTTTGAAGTTGAGTTCGGATGATCCCGAATGTCAAATATTCCTTCAAAATTTCTTTTGATCCTAAAAATGGACCGTGATGTGATTTAGGCCACATGATTCTGGATGTCAAATATTTCTTGAAGGTCACTCTCGATCCGGGATATTGGCTGTGAAGTCTTCTGCAGCCTTTTATCCTATCTAAAACCTTTGGTATCCTGCCACAGATATCAAAGAAGTCACACACACGAGAAGGGTCCATAGTCAAAGGGTCCATGTGGCTCTCCTCAACCGTATCGAGGATATGGTACCCTAGTCGTTGAGCCTCAGTGAGTAGGGTCTGTGTTTATCGAAGGAAGTTTTGATTTAAACAAGAACTGAGCCCAGTTCCACAAATGTTTGAGGTTTGATATGAAATGCTCGCAGCATTAGCCATGGTAGTGAGAAGAAGTAAGAAGGTGAACCCACATCAAATACAGATCTTGAGATCCCTTGGCTAGAGATCATTGTAGACAACAGAGAGTATGTGACTGAAAGACATCATCGACTTCACCATTGTGGGATGAGGTATCACCAAGTCTTATGCCCATCGTTGACAGACGTTAAGGAAAAGAAGAAGATAGGATAGAAAGAAGGCTGATAAGATCTGCGATGGAATAGTCATCAAGATGGTTAAGAACAAAAGCAGAGATTGCATGTGGGTGGTTGAAGGAAAAATGGTCTGGTTCATTGCGAGTATGTAACGGGCATCGCAGGACTTGAGATAATGCCACATTATCCACAGCCATACTACGTTACTTTCCCATTAGTTCCTCATTAGTTTTACGTCTCTTCCAACTGTTGACAGAAGCTTACAAGACTGTACTTGGGATGTAATTATAGGAGGCAGCTTGGTATACATACTACCATCTTACAGCTTGGAAAAGTGCCGCGCATAATGATGAGAACTATGTATAAAAAATTCTCATAAGACACATTGAAGCACAGGCGCAAAATCATGTTCCGGAGTTCAGCACTCTTACCCCCCTACTGGAGGCTCTTCAGCTTCACAAATTTAGCGCGAAGCTGGTACAGAGCGATTATGACATCCGCGATGCCTTTTTGATAACGGGCGCCTGCCCCAGAGGGCGCTGCGTCCACAAGGATGCGGTTGATTCGCAGAGTCTGTCCATCGATGTAGCATATGAGGGGGGCAGTATTACTAGGGTGTAATTGGCCATTGAAAGCTGCATCATATATTTGGTATCTTGTAGTCAATTCTGTAGCAAAAGCTTCATCCGTCGGCTCAAGGGTGAAAGGCGAGAATTTAAGCGCAGAGAAAACAACTGCAAGGTTAGCCTTGAGACTTGGGATTTCCTCGGGTTGTGTAGACTTATCCAACATCTTGGCCTTCTTGGATTGGGGGTCAGTCATGTCCGTTGAGCTTTGCTTCTGTTCTCGCTTCCGTGGTTTCGGTGCCAAGTTTGAATCTGCCTGGTCATTCGACGTAGAGGCTTCGTCCGATGAGCCGTTATTATTAGTATACAAGTATAATTTTCTTCAATGGTGGAAGTGGTAGCAACTTTAGTTATACAAATGGCAACCATTGCAATGATTGCAACGTCGGCAACAGAAACAACGTCATCAATGGCGGTAGGGCTGTTGGTGATATCAGCTTCGTTCATGGGGGCATTGCAATGTAGCAAATTCTTTTCAGCTACCTTATGCGCAGATTTTAGTTGGAAGCCATCTTACTAGTGTGGATAGCAAGTAGATTTAATTGGTGAAAGCTTGGAACGCTGCGAAAAGAAAAAAGCGTGCGGAAAGTAGAAAAGTGTTCGGGTGGGAGAAGGAACGTAACTGGAAGGGGAGAAGAAGAAATTGAAGAAAATGATTCTAGCAAATTAGAGTGGAAGCAAAAGGTAGTGGCAAGAAGCTTTATTGTACAAGGGAATAAGTGTGATGTGAATTCGAAAGAGTTCAGCTGCCTATGCAAATTTCAATCATAAAACGCTGGGGAAATGATACATGATAGGGAATCAAAGTGCTAAACGTGGTGTAAAAGAAAGAACAATGACATTATTTCGGAGGCGGGGGAGCAGAGTTCCGGGGTGCTGGTTTGGATTTCAAGGATTGTCGTACCCGTCGGAGCTTGGCCCACCACTCGCGGTCTGCAGTTTTCCGGGTCTCCTCATCTTCCTCATCGGGAGCCGAGTCATGCATGGGCGTACTGGGTCGGCTATTAATCGTATCCATGGATGCCACAGATCGCAATCTTCGACGATGCTTCACCTTGCATGCCTCAGCCACCACTTGCCATCCACTACGCAGGCTATCTATCCTTTGATTTGGTTTCCCAGATCCACTTTGTGCCACCGGGTCAATCCACGGACAGTATTCCATGTGCTCTGAAGCCACATCTAATGATGTATAAACTGGGACGTCTCCGTTCTCCTTTGGCTTGTACATCCATAGACCTAGGCGGCGGAAGCAGGCTTTGCACCCGACTAACCCTGCAGCTCCGTCTGCCACGGAATCCCACCCAAAGAGAGCCAACGCAAGCGCTGCACGGTTGAGTGATGTTGGCTCTGCTGAGGGCTGTAGAACAGGGGCCTCTCCGTTGGATTCAGTTGGTACATTTGTTGCTTCCGGGGCTTTCTCGGTGTCTTTGAACCACTCCACAGGTAAAGTTTTGATGAGGCCATCCATATCGAATCCCTGGGGAGTTTCAATGGCACTTTCAGCGGGTAATTTGTCACCCATCTTCAAAACATTTATATAGCGATCATGCAGCCTAGCAATAGCCGTGTCTGTATTCACCAATTGCAAATGTTGGATTGTAGCTAAAAGGGAATCAGAAGTGAAACAATAACACAAGAGAATTCTAAACATACCGTCACAGCCTTTGTTCCTCCACGGACAGTTTTCAGCGTGGGCATTACTTAGCTGCTTCGCATACTCGTCCACCAGTCTTGTGCCTATGTATCATTAGTATCAGAAAAAGAAAGAAAGAAACGCAAAATGGTAACATACGGACTTCCTTGCGCTCCTGTACCTTCTCCGCATCGTATCCGTCTAGCTCATCGATTTCATCGGGCAACTTCACAACCACAGAGCCGCCACAGCCACTGACACAGCTCACTCGCATGGTATCAGTGCATATCCATCCGCGCTTGGCCCACTGCACTTCATTGATCGGGGCAGGTTTTGAAGTCCATCGGTCCACGCGACGAAAAGTCTCCAGTCGCTCGAGGAAGACATCGCGGTCCCAAGGGACAAAAGTTGGGCGTTTCGACGAAGATGTTGAGGACGTCCGAGATTTAGAGCCAGAGAGCTTTGTTAAAGAATTTCGTATAGTGATCGGGTTTGAATTGTCGTTGCTGGTCAGACGGACCTTCTTGATGGAGAGGTTGACGAGTGGACGGTCTTGCGCGCTTGCGGTTGCAGGTGTTGACGTTGACGTCCAGGGTTTGGGCGCATTGTCAAGATTGAGGGGTTTAGATATGGACTCTAAAACCCGGTGGAATTTCCGTTTCTTTGATTCCACGGCGTATGACATTGTGGGGTTGAGAGATGGAGTTCTGTCAGACAAGTTTCGCGATCTCGAGCTACGGATGAATGAGATAGTTAACACGATAGGGCGATAGGTGCCTTAGGCATTCAAAGTTCATGTCTAGACTACAAACACGGCAAAATCACTAAATGAAGATAATTTTGATGACCAAGTCACTAGATGGAGTCTTTTGTTATTTATTGAGATCTCACTGGGGTATAATCAAATCAGCGTCTCATTCAAGGTTCAATGTGAATACTCCATAGTCTGGCAGCAAATCCCTCATTCCTGATTGGTCGTAGCTAAAGACCCGCAACAATCGCATGATCTCCAATCGAGTGTTCGCCATTTTCTTCTTCTCCGATCCCCCATTCACCTTTGCCATGGCTTCTCTAGGCACGTCTCTGCCGTTATGGCGGGGTCTTGCGCCTCATTTATCCAAGGACCTATTTAAATGTCATCAATGCCTTCGAAACCAGGGCTACGCCGCCAAATCCATCCGCCGATATGGTGCAATGCCTCCGCCCCAGCCGAACAAGGTCCGCTCGTCTCTGTTTACCGACAAGAACCGTCAATTCTTTACCCACAGTCTTCGTCAGTCTGCTGCTGCACCCTTGGTTGCAGATGCAGTTGCAGAGACCTCCACGAAGGCCAAGTCGAGCATGCCTAAGATCAGCTCCAAGTCCGTTGCATACTGGCTTCTGGGTAGCGCAGCGAGTGTCTTTGGTATTGTGGTTTTTGGTGGTTTGACTCGTCTTACTGAATCTGGGTTAGTTGTTTTATCACATTCTCTGTTGATTGAATTGGGTGACTTGGGAGCTGACAGGATAAACCTTTACAGTTTGAGTATTACCGAATGGCGACCTGTGACTGGCTCTCTGCCACCCTTGAACGCAGAGGACTGGGAGTCCGAGTTCGCGAAATACCGTGCATCCCCTGAATTCCAACTTTTGAACCCGCATATGACTCTGTCCGAATTCAAGTCGATCTACTATATGGAATGGATCCACCGGCTCTGGGGCCGTTTCGTGGGTCTATCGTTTGTCCTGCCCGCTGCATACTTCGTCGCCCGAAAGAAGATCTCCGCGCCTATGGCTTGGCGTGTCTTTGGTATCTCTGGTCTGATTGCATTCCAAGGTTTCTTGGGTTGGTGGATGGTCAAGTCTGGATTGAAGGATGACCTTTTCGCTCCTGGAAGCAACCCCCGTGTGAGCCAGTACCGATTGACAGCTCACTTGGGTGCTGCCTTTATCTGCTACGTCTCTATGCTGTGGAATGGTCTCGCTATTTTGCGCTCTCACAGACTGATGAAGGATCCCGTGGCTGGGCTGAAGCAGCTCGAGGCGCTGCGTGACCCTCGCCTGGCGATCTTCCGTCGTTGCGTCGCCGGTCTCGCTCTCCTGGTCTTCACTACTGCCATGTCTGGTGCTCTTGTCGCCGGTCTGGATGCCGGTCTTATCTATAATGAGTTCCCCTACATGGGTAAGGGTTTCGCACCTCCCACCCCTGAGCTGTTTGATGAGCGCTACTCCCGTCACGAGGATCGCTCTGACCTCTGGTGGCGCAACATGCTTGAGAACCCTTCTCTTGTCCAACTCGATCACCGGATTCTCGCTATGACCACTTTCACCTCTATCATGGCTCTGTGGGCCTACAGTCGCCGCTCGCCTACTGTGAAGCGCCTGTTGCCCGCTCCTGCACGCAAGGGTATGCACGGTGTCGTGGGCTTTGCCTGCATGCAGGTTGCCCTCGGTATCACCACTTTGCTCTACCTCGTTCCTGTCCCGCTTGCCTCCGCCCACCAGGCTGGCAGTGTGTTGCTTTTGACCTGGGTTATGGTGCTGGGTAGCCGCGTGTGGAACCCGTCTCGCACCGCGAAGCTGTTGCAGATTGCTGCCAAGGGTCGGGGCCAGCCAGTCTCTTTCTCGCACGCCTATGCTTCGCGTTCGGCCGCATCCTCTACCGTGAAGCAACTGTAAGAGATTTGCTTACATGTATGAGTACGTTGACCAAGGCAAAATTCCGTTCATCTCCGCCTTACTGTCCTGATACCATCTCCATTCCTGCTCTGTGGATCTCAATCATTCACCTGTATTAGTCACCATTGTACAATATCAATATTTATAACATTTTCAATTAAAACAAACTAGTTTGATAGCCTGAGGCACATTTTCACCTTTAACCTTTGAATACAGTAAGCCACAAATTCATCGCATCGCATCAAACTTTACTCTGGAAGTCCTACATTCCTCATTCCGCCAAATCAATCGGCCTCGCCCGCCGAGACGGATTTCGTCTTGGATTTCCAAACTCCTCGCCCTCCATCTGCTCATCCACCGTCCATTCACCACGCAATCTAGATTGCCCCACAGAATGACCAGCTCTACTCTGATCCTCTTCGGCAGTAGCATCCGAAGCGGCAGAAGGATTAGAACCAGCACGCGCGTTATCCGAGCGCCCTTCTCCGCGGTCATTCCGAGTAGAAGATTCGAACGAGATGTCCACCAATGCGTTAGCCGCCTCGCGATCCTCTGCCGTGCTCACCATTCCCCTTCCGCCATGGGCAGGAGCAGGGACAGAACCAGGAGTAAGACCAGGCATAGATCTGCTTCCTACCATTGCACGTCCACTGGAAGCAAGTCTGGGAGCTGGCGTGGGAGTATCGGTGACAGGTGTAGAGGGTAGGGATCGCCTCTCATCAGAGGGTACATGAGTAGACGTGAAGGACTGGTGGCTTCGGTTCCCACCTCGTTCTCCAAGACACTTGCGACAGCATTGCCAGCCGCATGAAGTGCAGCGAGTCATTCCATCCCGGTTGCGATTGTTGCATGTATCGCATTTGGCGGTGTGGGCGGCTACGTCGCTGAACTCGACGAGGACGTCTTGTTTGGCGTTGTTTCGGAGACGGAGGGGAATTCCGTTGAATGAGACTCTTCGAGTAGAGTCTGAGCTCCGTTCCGTGGCCTTGGGTTGTTGGGGTCCACGAGACAAGAATCTCGTGGATTCTTTGGCCCTTTCGCGCATTTTTGATGGAGGTGTACTGGCGGCGCTGCTAGTAAGTTTTCTTCCAGACTCGGGTGAAATTGACGGGAGGGGACTTGAACTGTTGTTGTTCACAGTGGGGTTTAGTAGGTTAGGGATAGAGATGGGGGAATAGGGAGGTAACGGTTGGTAGCCCTATTCATCTTTCAGTTAGTGAAATGATGACTAGATATCAGTTGAAATGGTGAGATATAAACCCATGTAGCCGTAGGCAACGGCAAACGACGTAATCGATAGAGGCTCTAATAAATGTAAGTTTTTAACCTTTGAAATAATAGCACTTTAATCACAAAGTGAATCAAACCAGGTAAAAGAACTGACTGGATCGCTGGGAGTAGCTAACGGTATTCCTTGCATCGGATTCCAAGTTCTTTCATTGTAGTGTTCTTGGGAATCTTGTGCAGGACTGCCGCCAAATATGGGCGCAAGGATCGTATTTTGAGGTGGAAGCGATGGAGTCCAGGGATCATGATCATGATGCGGACATCCATGAGGGCAGGTTTGCCCATGTCTTGGAGGAACTATGGAATCGTAACTGGAACGGTTTCTTTTGTCAGGCCTATCCTGCGGTGGATCGGAAGCTGATCTTTTGCTCATGGCTAATGAGTGATAGACGTTGATAAGATGGGTAGCAGATGAGAGAAATATGATAGGTCTATGGAAATAATGATGGGAAGATAGAGAGTGATGGAAAATATAGGTAGAGATTGAAAAAGTATGCCCTTTTATGCACGAATTATCGGCGTCTTCCATCAAAAATTCAGCTTCGGGATGATTCTATAGATAGTGAGCATTATATAGCCATTCTATTGGAGAATCGAAACGAATAGATGGTCTATGAATGAATTAAAGCAGCACAACTTGAAAGCTTCACATATTTTGAAATACCTAATTTGTTCTTATCTGATGCATTCGTAAAAAAAATTGTATTCGGCAAGGCCAAAAGATCTCATCTCCGAAATACACGTTCCGACTCAAACATTCATTTATTTATGGGCTGCAGATTGCATGTTAGTGAAATTGGCTCGTGGAAATTACAGGATACTAATAACATACGGATTCCCTCCTCGGGCTGGGGCTCAATTCCAGCAATCTCGGCAGCGGACTTGGCCTCGGGGGCAGTCTTGTCCTCCTTCATGAAGGGGAAGGTGAGGACCTCCTTGATACTGTAGTTGTTGGTGAGGAACATGACCAGACGATCGATACCCAAGCCCCAACCACCAGTCGGAGGCAGTCCGTACTCGAGAGAGGTGCAGAAAGTCTCATCAACCAATTGCGCCTCGTCATCTCCCTGGTCCTTCTGGCGGGCTTGCTCCTCGAAGCGCAGACGCTGGTCGAAGGGATCGTTCAACTCGGTGTAAGAGTTACAGATCTCCTTTCCGATACAGAAAGCCTCGAAACGCTCACAGATACCGGGCTTGGTGCGGTCATACTTGGCCAAGGGGGACATCATCTGGGGGTGGCCGAAAATGAAGGTGGGGTTGATGCAGGTATCTTCGATGAATTCACCAACCATCTTGTCCAGCATGCGGGCGTTGGTGAGGGGCGGTGAGCAGTCGAGGTTCATCTTCTTGAGCATCTTCTTGAGGAACTCGTTGGTCTCCTGGGTGTGGAGTTGATCACTGGGTGGGAACTTCTCCCCGCAGGCCTCCTCCAGGGCCGGCATCATCTCCACTCGCCGCCAAGGAGCCTTCCAGTTAACATTGTACTCTTTACCATCCTGGCTGTGGAAGACAGTCTCATATCCACCGGTGAGCTCCTTGACCAAGCCAGAAACCAGCTCCTCGGTCATGTTCATCAGGTCGTACATATCGGCGTAGGCCATGTAAAATTCGCAAGTGGTGAATTCAGGGTTGTGGGTCAGATCAATACCCTCGTTGCGGAATTGCCGTCCCATCTCGTAAACTCTCTCAAGTCCACCAACAATCAGCTGCTTCAGGTACAGCTCCGGGGCAATACGCATGAAGAGGTTCATGTCATGCTCGTTGTGGTGGGTGACGAAGGGCTTGGCGGTAGCACCACCGGCAATGGCATTCATCATAGGAGTCTCGACCTCGGTGAAGTCACGAGAATCGAGGTAGTGGCGGATGTAGCTGACGATCTTGGCACGGGTGCGGAAGATGTTACGAGAGCGGTCGTTCATGATCAGGTCCAGGTAGCGTTGACGGTAACGCTGCTCCTTGTCCTGGAAACCGTAGTGCTCGGAGGGAATAGCGTGCAAGCAGGGCGACAGGAGAATGACCTCGGTGGCGAAGATGGACAGCTCACCATCGGGGCGATTCTTCGGGGCGGTACGACCGGGGAAACCGACGATACCGACGATATCACCACGGCGAAGAAGCTCGTGCTGGTCCTCGAAAGGCACATTTCCGGTGGCGTTCTGAGCCTGGCAGAAGACCTGGATCTTGACACCCTCGGCGCGAATGTCGTAGAAGTACAGTTTGGGACCAGAAGAGCGCTTGGTGTAAATACGACCGGCGATGCGGATAGGGATTTCGGGCTTCTGCTCGCCCTTCTGGAGACCCTCGTACTCCTTGACGAACTCGCGCAGATCATTGGTGACGTGGAACTTGTGGGGGTAGGGATCCGGGTTCTTGGTCTCGCGCAACTTGTTGATTCTCTTGCTGCGGATCTCGAAGTATTGCTGTGAAAAGGAAAAGTTAGAATGCCAATTGAAGATTTACAGAGGTTGCGCTTACGTTGGGAGTCAAATTTGACTCCTCGTCCTCGGCGGAAACCTTCTTCTCAGCCTTGGGAGGAGCAGCGGCTTCCTTTTCCTTCTTCTTGTTCTCCTTCTCACGCAGCTTCTGGCGTCTCTTCAATTCAGACTTGGACACCTTCTCGCCGGTGACCTCATCAAGCAGAAGGTTGGCCATGGAGACCTCGGCCTCCTTAACAGGGTTGGAATCCGCCATGATGTATGTTGGTTGACAGATCAAAAGTGGATGGTGGGATAAAGAAGGAGGGGCAAACGAAATTTTGGGCGTGACTCAACCCAGTCGCTTCTGATTGGCTGCAACCCAACTACAGGCGCATTGCCTCCATGACTCGATGATAAGCATGATCGTGCAACCTAATGATCTTGATAGAAATATAAATGCTGAATATATTTAACACTCTTGATTTTCATTCCATTCTATGCTCTAGATTTATAACATTCTCAATCATAGTGATACTAGATTGGGAGCTTAGGGCTTAGGGCAGGTCGGTGGGGCTTTACCCCGCTGTCCCGTCTGGAGGAAGTATAGAAAAGTGTCACAGTGAAATGAAGCATGGGAATCGAATATATCATTTACTGCGGATGTCAATATTATAGAATGAGCTAGCCTTTTGGTGGTGGCATGTACCTAATTGTGATTGACAGCTTTCATGGAATGAGAGATTATGTGATGGAGCTCCTCAAGGCCTTGAATCACAGTATCGAATTCCAGTATAGTTTGCGATGCTCTAAATGCACGTTATAAGCTTCATGTTCAACTTCTTAGAGTATCTAAAAGCCTATTGTATTATGCTGAGGCTCCAATGAATGTAAAGTGGTCGAGTATCAGAGGGATACCAGGACATCTAATAAGGACATGTCAAGACACCTCAGAGGCGCCAGCCAAAGCAAGAATCTCGAAAACCTCCAGAGTCTCTCACTTTTTGTTTGCCTCTATCTCTGTCTCCCTCTCCTTCTTCTTCTTCCTCTACCTCTACCTCTACCTCTACCTCTACCTCTACCTCTACCTCTACCTCTTTCTCTTCCTCCTTCCACTTCCCTTCTTCACTTCTTCCATCCTCCACCCTTCTCCTTTCATTACCTTTTCCCCATCCTTCCATCTTCCATTTTCCATTTTCCATTTTCCATCTTCCATCTCCATCATTCACATTTTTGTATTTTGTATTCTATCATCATCGCCCTTCTACAACATCGTCTTGAAGCGTTTCAGCTTCCTGGGTGTTTTAGCTTCCAGGAAATTCATCGATTATGCGCGCTCGTCGCGATTTCCACAGCCTCAAACCTGAGAACACCCCATTTTTCACATCGTCTGCCACGCTAAGTCTCCCCAGCCAACCAGCTCCAGCCCAGATGGCATCACCTAAACGACCTCCCACCCAGACCCATCTCTATCAAAACCTCGCAACTGGTCATCCAGTGAGCTCAGATATGGCGTTTCAAAATCCAGATCCACCAGCTTTCAGCCCCCAGTCACCAGCAACACTTGATCAAATGACCCTCGATATGAGGGACTTGGTCAAGAAGGTGCAGAAGCTGAGCCATTTGGGCATTGAAGACAACCGCATCGCCCTTCCAAAAGTTTGCGTCGTTGGAGACCAGAGCACGGGAAAAAGTTCCCTCATTGAAGCCATCTCAGGCATTCGAGTCCCAAGAAGTGCTGGGACCTGCACTAGGTGCCCTATGGAGATCATTCTCCGGGAGAGCGAGGCCGACCAGGCCTGGAAGTGTACAATCTCCTTGGTGCGAGGATCCCTTTACGACCCTCACAAAACCCTAAAAGGCATGCTCCCCAAGACCGAGAAGTCTGAATATCTTGGGCCCTGGCTTCGAAGAAATAACCAAGACGAAGAAGATTTCGTCACTCTGTTCGAGAAAAGCGAGGTACAGAATGCGAGAATGTGGGCCCAATTGGCCATCTTGAACCCGACTTCGGATTCCCAGGAGTACGTTCCGGGGAAAAACACAGACACTCTGCCCACAAACGAGGTCAAATTTTCGCCAAACATCGTCCGGTTAGACATTTCAGCCCCGGATTTCCCAAATTTATCGTTTTACGATCTGCCCGGAGTCATCAACCAAGCCGACATCGACAGCGAGAAGTATTTAGTCACCCTCGTTGAAAAGCTCGTGAAACAATACATTTCGCAAGAGAACTGCATAGTTCTCTTGACGATGTCGATGACAGATGATGTCTCGAACTCAACGGCAGCCCGCATCATGCATGCGGTAAAAGGCGCAAAAGACCGCACTGTTGGCGTGTTGACGAAGCCTGATCGTCTACATATCACTTCAGAAACATACCACCAATGGGCAGAAATACTTGATGGGCACAGTTCAGCCTGGGACACGGGTATTACGTGGTCCTCAACAATCCTAATCCCAATGTCGATCATCTGGTTGCCCGACGTGAGGAAGACTCGTTCTTCGGACAGCCATTCTGGTCGGGCAATATGGCGGCGTATCAAGACCGCTTTGGAGTTCAAACCCTCCAAACGGCCCTTTCTAACATGCTCATGGCGCAAATTCAAAAGTGCCTACCATCTATCATCAAGCAGATTGATGAGAAAGCAGCAAGAATCGATATGGAGTTGAAGACACTCCCAGATCCCCCGGCCGACAACGTGCAAAGAATTTTAATTGAAAAGGTTGTGACATTGAAAGTACAATTCGATGCCTTATTCAGCGACGGCAATGAGAGCAGACTGTTGCAGCAGGCCTGGAACAAGCTTGTGCTGGATTTTCAGAAAGCGCTGGAAATCACCCAGCCCCGACTTCGGCTTATCGCCGTAACCGATGGTGCTCATTTCAAAGAGAGATTGGAACACGAAGACATGCCAGGACCTGGCTCACCGCGGGCGAAAAGAAAAGCGGCAGCTGTGGAGGAGCCGTCGCGAAGCATCGAGCCACAAGCACAGCAGCCTGCCGCCACTCGACCAGAATTCTTGACCAATCACTTCGCTAGGTGGGAAGTCGCGGCCCGTATCGAGTTGGAAGACATCCGGCGGATGAAGCAGGAGTGCCAGCGTGCTGGCATTCCCAATCAGATCGAGCCAAGCGCAATCCAAACCCTCTATCAAGAGATGGTCAAGCACTGGGGCGCGATCACAAATGATTTCGTGCGTGCTCTGCACCGTGTCGTCCACAAGGCCATACTCATGACCTTGGACGACGTCATGGCCATGTACCAGCAGACTGGTCTTTACAGGGAGCTGCAGAAGGTCATCACCGAGCTTTTAGACTTGATCGAGGCCCAATTCTTGGGTCACGTAATGGAATACTTCAAGATGGAGCATGGGAGCACGCTCACAATGGCCCAAGCAGAGCATAAGGAACGGTCGAATCGATCTTTGAAGCTTCTGACCGAGCGACGCGAGCTAGCACGAGCCAGATGTTTCCAGAGAATTCGTGGTCGACCAGATGAGGACCTATCCAAGGTCACCGCTGCGGAACTCGGTCCTGATCAGTTCGCACAAGAAATCGAAATGATGGCAGTAAGTCAACCTTCAGAACTTTGTTTACTTTCAGATACTAATTTTTTGCAGAGCGCCCGAGGTTACTACGAGATCGCAAGAATGCGATTCACCGACATGGTTTGCCTGTTCGCCGAGTCCAAGGTGAAGTGGAAGTGCCGGGACCAGCTCAACGAGACTCTGGACGTGCAGCTGAAGGCTGCAACTTTGGACCGATCTAGCAAGTTGATGGCGGAGGACCCCGAGCGTGAGGCTCGTCGAAGCGATCTCACCAAGCAACGGAAGAAGCTGACCCAGGCCCAAGAACGGTTGGCGGCTGTTCACAAAGTGGAGGGCGAGGAGGAGGCGCCATCAGATGCTACCATGGGTGGCCCCGATGTGTTGACCGATTGGGACGACATCTGAGACTGTGTGTCAGGTTGTTTGCGTCGGAGTATTAATGTGCCAAGAAAATACTGTCTGCTACCAGTTTTTATCATGTCAAGATTGATCTATGCGCAGGTGTGCCTCGGGATAATTTGTAAAGTTGAACAATATTCAGATGACGAGAAAAGAATAAAAAAAAGAATGAGGAAAACAAGTTTGAATTTGCATTCAGGTAGATGATACTAGTACTATTGAAGGTCTACCGCTTGGTACTTCTTGAATCTTGGATTCGTGTCCGGAGGTCCTTATCTGCGGCAAGTCCCTCTAGTCGACGAAGACTGTCTTTCTTGACGAAAGTGCAGATACTTTTGTTACAACGAATAGTAAATGCCTGTCATGAATTTTTGTATAGTGCGTCACAAGTGGTCCAAAGTGATCACCAAACCGACAGCTCAAGGGAGCCCCAGATTTCATTCACCAGTTCTGTGGGGATCGTAGCGATGGACATTCTGTTATCTGATGAAGAGTCTCTACTCGAAGAAAAGAGTCTTCCCCCTTCCATTTCAGGACGATATGCCAGGTGCAATGCAAGGAGAAAAGAAGTACCGAGGGGTTGAGGAAACATGGAGCCATTCCTACTTGGGTAAGAACCTGCATTGATTCTGCATTGGATCATTTAGAAATTTTGTTAGCAAAATACCCCTCACACCAAGAATAGTTTCTGAACATCGATGAGATGAAACGTCGCGGTGGATAAGCCTACTTCAAAGTTACAATGAAGTAATCCAATATTTTCACTAACTTAGTCAAGAAGCGTGTGGAGTCTAGATTGTTGTTCCAGTCGATCATCCGTGTCACCTGAGCCGAATGCGTTTGTCTTGGCAGACGGAGCTCTCTCGCTGATTCCGGCCACCTGGTCTTGGTCTCCTTTAATTGTTTCTCATTTCTACAATCATGCTTCAAGTGCCCATTCGGGATCATTCTAACATGGCCTCTACTAAGGCTGTGGTTCTGGTATGTCATCATACCTGAAACCCCTGATTGTTTACTGACATTAATAGGTCGGAGGTCCCTCGCGGGGCACTCGTTTCCGCCCATTGTCCCTCGATGTGCCCAAGGTACGTGCTTGACTTTCGGTCAATTCCTTGTGATCATAAGCAGCCGAGATTTCCTGGGTCCTGACGCTTTTTTTTTGTTGGTTAGCCCCTTTTCGAAGTCGCCGGCCACCCGATCATCCACCACTGCTTCACCGCACTCGCCAAGGTCCCGGACGTGCGCGAGGTCATTCTGGTTGGTTACTACGACGAGACTGTCTTCCGGGACTTCATCAAGGATGCCGCAAAGGAGTTTCCTCAGTTCCGCATCCAGTACCTGCGGGAATACACTGCGTTGGGCACCGCCGGTGGTCTGTACCACTTCCGTGATGCGATCCTCAAGGGCAAGCCGGAGCGCTTGCTCGTGTTGAACGCTGACGTCTGCTGTTCGTTCCCTCTGGGAGAGATGCTGCGTCTGTTCGAGGAGAAGGACGCGGAGGCCGTTATCCTGGGTACGCGGGTGAGCAACGATGCCGCCACCAACTTTGGTTGCATCGTTTCCGACTCGCATACCAAGCGTGTTCTGCATTACGTCGAGAAGCCCGAATCGCACATTTCCAACTTGATCAACTGCGGTGTGTACCTGTTCGCCACCGAGTGCATCTTCCCCGCCATTCGTAGCGCCATCAAGCGCCGCACTACCCGTCCCCGCATGCTCTCCTACCCCTCCTCCGATAACCTGGAGTCATCCTTTATGGCTTCCCACGGCGATGACGATGATGCTGAGAAGAGCGAGATGCTACGTCTGGAGCAGGACATTCTTTCGGATCTCGCAGACAGCAACCGCTTCTTCGTTCATGAGACCAAGGACTTCTGGCGCCAGATCAAGACTGCTGGTTCGGCCGTGCCCGCCAACGCACTGTACCTCCAGAAGGCATTCCAGGCTCAGTCGGAGGAGCTTAGCCCGCCGTCTGCTATGATTGTGCCTCCGGTCTTCATCCACCCCACTGCCACGGTGGATCCGACAGCCAAGCTCGGGCCGAACGTCTCCATTGGTCCCCGTGTGGTTGTTGGCGCTGGCGCCCGTATCAAGGACTCCATTGTTCTCGAGGATGCTGAGATCCGTCACGATGCCTGTGTCATGCACTCGATCATTGGCTGGAGCAGCCGCGTTGGCGCTTGGGCCCGTGTGGAGGGTACCCCCATTCCCATTGGCAGTCACTCTACTAGCATCGTCAAGCAGGGCATCAAGGTCCAGAGCATCACTATCCTCGGTAAGGAGTGCGGTGTTGGCGATGAAGTCCGTGTGCAAAACTGTGTTTGCCTCCCGTACAAGGAGCTTAAGCGGGTAAGTTTCCATCCGACTGATGCAAATTCCATACTAATGTTTCTAGGACGTTGCCAACGAGGTTATCATGTAAACACCAAATTTGGTCTTTGGTTCTTGCTTCAAAAATACCACCCCTGCCTATCTTGTCCATATCGAGCGGCCTTTTATTTGTCTTTACGTGTCATGGGCTGGTCATTTGCTTTGGCACCGTTCATACTTTTTCTATTTCCGCTAGAATGTAGCACATTGAAGTCCTTAGACATAATTTCTATCTAACCTCCCCATACCACCTTTTTATATAATCGTAACGACATCATGCCCCATAATCAATAAGTCCCTTCTATCAAGCCTTGGAAAGCACCAAACAAAATCCATCAAGAGATCCCTCAAATCACCGATGCATAATAGGATCATACCCTACCTGCCCCCTCCTGACAGGGACAGAATCATAATACTCCGCCGCCTCACCGGCATGATGCTGCTCAACAACATGCGCATAAGAAGTATTCTGCCCATTCCCATTCCTATACCCATACCCCCCACCAGCCATGATCGGCGGTACAGCCTCATAACCTTGGCCAACAGAAGCATCCCTCTCCCCGGTCAACTTAAGCTCCATGTGATCGTCGGGCCCCGCAAGTCCATACGCACCCAGTCTAATCTGGCGCCGACGGACGACGCCATCTAGAGCTAGTAGTGCGATGTAGGATGCTGTAGCGAGGATGGTGAAAGCGAACAGAGCCTTGTACATTCTGCAGACGTTTTCGCCGGTCGAGTTTCCCCAGTATTGGGCTGTGCAGGAGGTGAGGATTGTGTGGGCCATGTTGTAGCTTAGGAGGGCTAAACCGAGGGCCCAGAGGAGGAGAAAGAGGATGTTTAGTAAAAGTGAGAATTTGGTGTTGAGGCTGCAGGTGCAGTTCATTATTGATGAGAGGATGATGTTCAGGAGGGAGAGGAGGGAGACGATAAGAAGCTGTGGATGAAATTAGTATATACTAGTAGTACATGGTTCATGGTTCGTGGCTTCAATGTATGGGCTTCAAGTTTGTTGATGTTGATGTTGATGTTGATGGTTGCTGTGGAGAACTTACAATAAGAAAGGCAAAGGGTAATTTGTATCCATCTGAGTGGAGATGATAGATAAACACGGCGAGAATGATACCAACTATAAGGGACGATAAGAAACTGAGTATACGGATTCCATGGAAAGGAAGAGCCGGATAATCAGATGGTTTAGATCGCATGATGGAATAGATGTGAGGAAGAAGTTCTGTTGCCCCCTTGATTATTTGTATACGTTGATCGGCGTTCCGACACGTTTGGTGTGTGCGTCACGGCTATTTTTATCCTGTTACCCGTGGCTTGGCTAGGCTTTGTGCTTGGTGTTTAAGGTTAATTAATTCCATAGAAAAATAGGAAAATTGAAAATCGAAAATCGAAAATCGAAACTAGTCCTAATAATTAAAGTCTTCATAGACAACATTTTTCCCCTCCAACCAGCCTAAAACTCGTCGCTGTAATCCAGTTCCTGCACATAGATACCAAGTATCGGCCAGCGAACGATCCAGATCATTATCTTGCATCCTACGTCGCTCGATCCGTGCACGGGACTCCTGAATCAAGTCATAGACAGAGCGAGCACGATTATCCATATGGTCAGTGATTCCCGTAACAAAAAGAGTAGTAGATGCAGCCAACCGAGGCCATCTTTGAAATAAGTCTTGCACCAATTCCAGATCAGAAACCGATATCGACCAAAATAGTCGCAGTCGATCGAGATTGAGATCTGGAAGCTGCCCGATAAGAGGTGTTATACCGATCCCACCCGCGACGAATGGTATTATGCCGTCGTCCATAGACAAGCGAAACGTGCCTCCAAATCCCTTCAGAGGCACTTCCAATCCCGCCTGGACGTTCGTGCGAAAAAGATAATCGGTCACATTCCCATGCAAGCGGATCATAAGCTCAAATTCATTCGGTACCTCGCGATCTGGGGAGGAGGAGACGGTGAATGTTCGAATAAAGTCATCGTTCAAACTGGTCGGGTCATCATCGCGCATATGACTATATCCCATATTCAGCTCCTCTTCAAATGAAAGAGTAGCATATTGTCCTGGAATCCATGATATAGGATCAGAGCTGGAAATCCGGAATCGGAATCTTTTTATCGTTGGCGTAATGTTTTCTTTCTTGATGAGGGTCGCGGTCATATTCCCTGCTGTCTCGGTAGAAGGGATATCTTTCTCGGATGAGAGAAAGCGGACCGCTGGGTTGTATGGAGATGGTTCGCCTGGCTCGCCGCGGAAGCATAATCCGTTTCGCACGTATCTTGCCGCTGTTATGGTCACTCGCACGGCAAGATTGGATCGGGGGAGTACTTCCGCGGCTTCTTTTCCAATGAGCATCTGCGTGTTGCCTGTGATGTAGAGTACGTCTCCAGACTCGAAGTCTGGAACTACATATCCCGCGCGGGGATTGACTTGCAGGTTCCCTAGAGTCTGGTAGAGTCTGTTTCCGGAGTACTCGGGGTAGACGAGAACTGCGCCACTTGAGTTGTTGGATTCGACTCGTACGAAGCCTGCAGGCCCACCACGGATATTGGTATCCATGTCTATTTTGCCGTGCGCCGAAGAGACGAAAATCGTATCTGCGTGGGACAGTAGTTCGAGAGCTGGTTGAGTTAGTTGCGGTATATCGGAGAGAATGGTTGGAGTTGATTGAGCGGGAATAATGTGCTTCTTGTTCAGATACTTGGGACAGTTCCCAAGGCTTTCTTCAATCTTGACGACTAGCTGTGCCTGTGCCACGTCACCCTTATCCAGAGATCCTGCCAACATTCGACCAAATAGTTTCACTCTCTGTCGATTTTCCAGATCAATAGCTAAGCCGGACACCATTTTGTTTCGTGTATCCGTAACGTCGTGCTTGCCGAGTAGCTCCTTGACTACGGGGTCACCCTTACTGTCGACTAGTGCGCGAAGTCCAATGATGGACTCGGCTATGGGGCTTGCAAAACCTGCTTGGCCACCCCAGAGTGTTGACCATGGGCGCCCCTCTGCGTCCAACGTACCGAGTGCAACAAGAGGTGCTCGTTGTAGGAAACCAGCCGCTCTTTCACTCAAGTATGGTACCGAGGGGTTATCGCCGTGAGGCGCGTGAAGTAGATCATGTACCCTCTCTTCGCCATCGTGCCAGGGCATTGGGCCGGTAATTAAAGGCATCGTCAAATTTATTATGAATTATGGATGACATGAGTCAATCTGGAACGATGATGTTTTTGTATCTCGTTTCGTTGATTAGTAAGTGTCCCATTTTGGCAGGATACGAAAGCCGAAGGTTATTGGTAGAATCGTCTTTCATACATAGGCTATGGTCGTGGACTTAGTCAGAGCACGTCCAAATTCCATGCCCATTAGCTGGAGCTGATTTGCTAGCTTATTTTGCCCCGGTCGGAGAGACCTTTGGCCGTGTCAGTGCATTCTCGCAATTATTTACTGTCTGTTCTCACCTTCGGCCCACCTTTTAGTTGACGATACATCGAAATAAAAATTTCTTTATTTTTGTGCAATATTTCCGAGCAGATAAGGGAGAATGATTGGCCTAAACCATTTGCGAGTCCCAAAATCGTGGTTTAGAACTATTTAAAAGGACGGTTCCCTCCTTTGCACATTTAAATGCAAACATTGACAATTTTATGATCACATTAAACCGAGTGTTTTTTCCCATTCACTTCTTCAACCAGAAATATCTATCTGCGTAGTCAAGATAATGGTGAGAATTTCAGAAGAACCAAGAACTTCAGAGTGAAGAGAAACTACTCCAATAGAGGAGAGACCGGCATATGTCATGCCTGGAGAAAAAGGCGCAGAGTATAGCGAAATGTGCAGGGCAAATTTCTGCTTGGGTATACGTATTTGATAGTCATAGAAAATCTTGTTTTTTGGCAGACCTCCCGGGTTTGGTCGTTCCTTAGCTCTCTCATTTAGTAATTGTAGGTGGGATTTTGCGATAACAAAATTTCCGACTCTCTTAGGGCTCTTACTATCCAAAGCCACGCGTGAGAGGAATGGAAAGAGCCTATATGAGCGAATATCGAATATCGTTGCGAATGGACTACTATTGATTTCCCCTGTACTTTTACTGGCTCGTGTGAGCTGATTTTGAAGGCGGGATAAGGTAGCATAAAATAGCCAGCAGCAATTTACAAAGCCGCGATGGCAGTGTTCAAGAACCTGAGCTTTAGAATATTTATTCCACTAAGGCAGTGCAATGTGGGAAGAGCCTCAACCCTGAATATGGCTTTAACGACTGACCGGCAACTGATCAGGAAGACTGGGAGAACCAGCTTAGTTACATTGAGAAATTAGGGGCGGAATATGCAAGCTGTGTGTGTTTTAGGAAATTCTGATAGAATACATCTATTTTTGGCACAAGTGATCTGCAGCTAGATTTAATATAGACTCAGTTCCGGAAATAATGAAATTAGCACTGCTGATATCCGTCTTTGAACAGATCGTTCGCAAATTACTGCATTAGGAATATTCATTGATCAGCGAATCCGAGTGATTCCAGTGCCCTATACTCAGAAGACGATGTAGGATAGGTATGGGCCCCCAGAAAACAGTAAAAATATACAGGAAAATGGACAATCAAGAGTGAGAGATTTCTAGCTTGATCTGTATTCCGCTATTCTTGAGAGTGTGCACATGGGCACAAAATCCTGATAAATTAAATTATCGATCATGTGCTGCTCTTTCATCATCACAATGGTTCATAGAGATCGGCCTTGGGGGCTAGATCTTTCAGGAAACCGGGGCCTGCGGGGACCCCAATGGCCCCAATGTGGGGAGCCTTATACTCCAACTATGGATTATCAAGTCTCATATCTGTCCACTTGTCAGATCGTTTATAACTGTCGTTGCATGAAAATTTGTCTTTAATTTTACTGTGTATCTTGTAAATCACAGGACGTTTCTGACTCTAGAATCAAAGTCGATTAAGCTGTTCTGTTCATCATCATGACCATTGACAATAAACCCACGCCTTTTGGAAAGCCCATGCGGGAGCATTGGACGTTCTCCCCGGATTACCATCCAATCAACAATGGTCAGTCCTATTTTCGGTCAAAGTAAAACATTTGCTGATATTCAAACTTGATTATTAGGTTCTCTTGGGGCCATTCCCAGAGTAGTACAAGAGAAACGAATTGAGTTGCTAGATCGCTGCGAGCAACGACCCGACCCTTACTATCGGTTTACAAATACCGAACTCGTTTATAAATCAAAGGCAGAGGCTGCGAAGATCATCAATGCACCGGCAGAAGAATGTGTATTTGTGAAGAATACGACAACTGGAATATGCATCGCGCTCTATAACCTCCATTTTAAGGAGAATGACTCTCTGATCCATTTCGATGGTCTTTATGGGGCTCTAGAAAACTGTGTCACCTCTTTGGAGGAACACACTCCTTTGAAGGCGCGCAAAGTGTCCATAGAATTCCCTATTGACGAAGATGAATTAGAACGCCGATTCCGCGAGACTATTCGACAGACACGAGCTGAAGGCCTCAATATACGCGCTGCTCTCTACGGTACAATTATCAGCAGACCTACTTTTCGCTTTCCATTCGAGCGACTCACTGCTATCTGCCGTGAAGAGGGTATTCTCAGTATCATTGATGGAGCTCATGGAATTGGAATGATTCCTCTTGATATGCAGCAGCTTCAGCCCGACTTCTTCATAACAAATTGCAACAAGTAAGCATTCTTCCTTGGCTTATCAAATTGTTTCCATCATTGACACTCAACCAGATGGCTCTACGCCCCGCGCCCCTGCTCTTTGATGTACTGCCCGAAACGTAATCAACCTTACATCCGCACACTCCTGCCCACATCTTGGGGCTTTATTCCCGCATCAACACCTGCAGAAGCTTTTTCAGCCCGCCAAAGCTCGTTTTCCCCAAACACTTTGTTTGAAGAAATATTTTCATACGGCTCAGGAACAACTGATGACTCCCAAACCACCTGCATTCCTACCGCATTGAAATTTCGCCAAGAAGTCTGTGGCGGCGAAGAAGCTATCATGACCTATTCTCGTGAACTTGTCAACAAAGCGGCAGATATGCTCGCGGAGTCTCTTGGTACGGAAGTTCTCCAAGAAAAGAACCTGAAGCCAGGTGAAAAGAGTAAAATGCGTGATTGTTGTATGGTCACTTTGCGCTTGCCTATCGGTTATGTAAAAGGAGATGATGAGACAAATCTGCCGGGTGCATGGGGCACAATATTGGCGAAGGATTGGAACCGTGTTTCGGGCTACTTGCAGAAAAGGTTAATGGCTGACCATAAGACCTTTGTTCCTATCTTTCCATATGGAACATGGCTATGGGTTCGTGTCTGTGGTCAGGTATATTTGGACATGAGTGATTTCGAGTGGTTCAAAGATGTTCTATGTACCTTGTGCGAGGAAGTTGCTCGCAAGAAGTATTAGACTTGAGTCTCGTCAATACAAAACACTTCCTTGACTCTGTCGTCTCTCGTAGAACAAACGGTACCCTGGCATATATTTAAAAGACCTTCCCGACTCTGTCTGCTATCTCGATATTGAACTCTTCTACCTGAAAGACCATCAGAGTAAATGTGATATCCTCTGTGACATAATAGATTTTAAATTTGAAAGGCCCACTGGAAGGTAATGATGGGTAGGAGGACTTCTAGCCCACTGATTTACATGCTAAACATTTAATGCTCGTACTTACTATCAGCACATGGATTTTCTATATATGATGATTACTATTCAAATGTTGAGTTATCCAATTACTCAAATCATTAATTTACTTTCTACAATGGAGTATTTATCAATATTCATCTTATGTCTTACCATATTTGGCGGCTATAAGTTCCTAAATACTATTTCACTAATCCTTCCTCTCTAGTAGAAGCTCCGGATAGCAGATGAAAGGGCAGGACGAGCTTTTTATACCAGAGAAACAGAAGGCGAAGCTTAAAGAACGAGGCATTGAGGCGCTGAACTAAAGAGAGCAAAGATAAGTATTACAGAATGGATGTCAACACCAGGCAAGATCACGTGAACGGGATGGAAAGGGGCAGGGGGCATGTCATGCGTATTTCTGATTCCTGACCGACTTCACTGCGGGAAATCATCAAGCCAGAAGTCTTAGAGATTACCTTGACAAACTCCTTGGCTGCCTCAATCAGCTTCTCCCATCCCTCTTTCCTGAATCGGCGCTTGGGCGGGGTATATCCGCTAAACCCAGATAGGTGGAAATACTTTTAGATCTGCAGTTTTAGCTCAACCTTGGAACTCGGCAAACTTCCAGCTGCGGGGAGCCAGACGTTTTTGGCGAGGTGACCGGCGAACCCGGCGAAGACGGTGATTCAAGATAAGCGATTCAAATAAGCATCTTCCCTTGCAGAAACAGATAAGCAATGCCAGCTTCAAGCTAATCATATTTGGAAGCTTTTTAGCGGAACCAGCAAATCCAAATCGCAGAATCTGTGGAGTAGAGACTATCACATCGGGGAATCCGGCGAAATTCGGACGGCGCTGTTCCGACTTAGCGGACATTCTTCGGTGCTACAAATGATTGACCCATATTGAGAACGGGGAGAAGATAGTGGGGATTAATTAGGTACATAGAGAGTTCAGAGCGCTCCCATCTTTTCTCAACTTGTCATTCACACGACCTATTCAACCCAGAGTATATAATCTGAGGCATCACAATGAAACTAATAGCCACTATCTTGGGATACAATGTAGCCCTTCTCGCTACAATGGCAACAGCCATGCCATCCAATGTCCAGCGTACCGATTCAACATATGCAGATGACATGTTCAATACTGCAATTGAGTGGAACGATGGCTACTGGGACGAAGAAGCAGGCTACTTGATTGCAGCAGCTAGCAATGACGGTCTTTACGACACTCGACACAGTGGTTGGTATGCAACTCAGTTACTGGCTAGAAATGGGCCTGGAGATGTTGCGAGAGCCGTTCGCATCTTTGACAATGTGATCTCAGGGCAATACCTTAACCCTGCTTGGCAATGGTATGGGGATTACCAAGACTCGCCGTCGCAGCCTCTACCTGGAACGCCTGAATACGTCAATGGTGGTCCGTATTCCTCGGTAGGTTGTTCTCACTCTATCTGATTTATGCCAACTAACCAAGAGGTGCTAGTGGGATCCTAATGTTCGGGACTTCATAGGCTGCGCTTGGGTTGTGGCTCTCAATGATTACGACCATTTACTTCCAGCAGCAACAATTGCCAAGATTGAGAAATCGCTTCACATTGCAGCAAAGGGAGATTTATACCGCGTTGGTGGAGTTGACGGCGACAACCTCTACCCTTGCTATTCGAACCCGTGGTTAATGGGGACTATCCTTCTAAGCTGGGTTGGTGCTCGGGTAGGGGATCAAAATTTGACTCAGGCGGGCGAAAAAAATGCACAGGAGTTTTATGAACTCTGGAGTCAGCATCGTACTCTTTCCGAGTTCAACTCCCCCACTTATGCTGGTGTCTCGATGTGGGCGTTGTCCCTATGGAGCAAATACGCAGCCGAGGATAGTCTACTGAAGAAATACGCGCCGGAGGTCTTGACAACGACGTGGAACGATATTGCGCAACTCTACAATGCGAACATGAAGAATCTGGCTGGTCCTTGGGACCGCACTTATGGTTACAACATGAAGGCATATACATCTCTAGTTGCTGCCGTGATCTGGGGAGCCGTTGGACGCGAGCATGCTCCATTCCCGAAAAAGACATCGGGCATGTATCATCAAGATGACTTTGCCTTCTACCCGCTCTTTGCGCTCAGCATGCCAGAGATGCTGAAGTATCTGTCCGCAGAATCAAAGTCAAGCTTGATCACGTTCCCTGGCGAGCACTTCTTTACAGGCCAGGCTTATTCTCCACCATTTGATACCTATCCACGGAACATCACGACTTGGATGTCTGAGAATATCACCATTGGTGCTGAAACTGTCGCAGAGCATGTCATTGGAGGGCCAGCGAAGAGCACCTCTGCGTTCAGCCCTGCCGTCATCCAGTGGACGATTGACGACTATCAAATTGGATGCGTTTCACACTGGGTGAGCGAGTCCTCAATTCATGCTGTGGCTTCTCCAAAAGCCTTGAAAATCTCCTATCCCAATGCCACTGCATCGGATGGCCCAGTGTCCTTTAACTTTTTGTTCAGTGGACTTAATGTGCGAAATGGCTTTAACGTGACTGGACTAGAAGGCTTGCCTGGTCTATCTCTAGAGGTCAAGACTAACGCTGCTGCAAACTATAGTATTGTCTATGATACAGACCAGACTGTGAATGACTTTATCTTCTACAACATTACTTATACGATGCCAGAGCATTTCACGGAGGAGCCTTATATTTCTTTACTTGTGGTTTAGGAATATAGTTCGAAACAATTGTTTTATTTTATAAACACAATGAGTAATCAAGATAAGTAAATCAGAGGCATCTTATCAGTGTGAATAAACATATAAATCGAAAGAGAATGATGGAATGACGAAGCTCAACGAAGCTCTACGCACGGCCCAATCACGAATCACGTTTCCCCCCCGCGCCGCCGCGTTATCGCTTTGCTGCCTCACCCCATTCACCTTCAGTTATTATTTCTCTTCATTCCCTTCCATTCACTTGTCACACCGAGTATTCAAAAGCAAACAACTCGGTGTCACAATCTTTCAATCTTGGAAGCGGCATCTCCCTGCATATTTTTCCCTCCGCAATCCAACCAAACCCCCCAGAAAACACATCATGTCTACCTACGAAGGTAAGAAACTCCATACCACCTAACAAGATTCAAACTAATAAATTCTTCTTCACAGTTGAACACGGCACAGAAGACCCTGCCACAAACCCCCAATCCACCACCCGTCGCCGTCGCCCTGATCTCTCTACCTTCTTCGCAACACTCTCTGAAATCTCCCCAGACCCAGAACACCCCGACCACCGTCCCCATGCAATCCCTGTACCAGGCGACGTGAGCGCTGCCTTCTATTCACTCGCCGAAGCGCTGGAAATGATGCGCCGCGAAGCCTCAACTGGAGGACAAGAAGGCGAGGATCTCCTGACAACGATGATCCAGAACTTGCTTAGCCAGGCCGATATGCCACCTCGGGAGGTAGAGGGTGTGAGTGAAGAATTCTGCGAAGGTAAGTCCCCTCCCTGCATAGAATGCGCATGGAACGAATTCTAACTTGGAATCTATTAGGGCTCGATCGTGTCCCCAAATCTTCGCTCAAGCCTGATCAGACCTGTCCTATTTGCAACAATCCTTTCTTGGAGGATGAGTACCCTCTTGTTGTTCGGCTGCCTTGTCACCCTACTCACATTTTTGATATGGAGTGTGTCCGGCCTTGGTTGCGGTTGCGAGGTACTTGCCCGCTCGATCGAGTGGATTTCGCTAAGCAATTACGGGAGAAGGAAGAGGCGAGGGAAAAGCTTGTGGAAGAGGATGAAGAGGAGGAGTGGGATGGGATGTATGGTTGAAGCATAGTTTGCAATTAATATGGAGCAGTTGAGTTGCTGAGACGAGCATGATGATTGAATGCATTTACGGGAAGCATACCATCTATGGACATTTCACTGAATACATTGTAGTTTTATCATTGATGCAGCTATAGGAATGATAATCGCATTCAGGAAGATACTGTCCACTGTGTGCTCATGTTCTCGTGAGAGTTACTATGGACCTGTAATGTAGCAGTCTGGCCATCAATTACACATCAATCATAGAATGCCGAAACATTGTACATGTGGATCCACTGGATCGTACTGGTTTTAAAAGAATAAGGGAGCATATGGAATTAGAGTACGGAGGACATTGACGCTATGGCAAAGGAGAAAGATACATGTGCGTCAGCGGAATTCTTGTTCTTCGTTTGTTCATCGCCTATTTGTTGGATCCATGGATGAATACTTGAGGCGAAAGAAAAGGGCCTGGAACGAACGAGAGAAATAGAATTAAGTAGTTATGAACTGTGGATTCAGAGAGTATACTATAATAGCAGAGTTCTTAACGCTTAGACCTCGACACGATATATATGATGGTTTCCCACTTTTTGTTAAATGGGGCCCGCTATTTACATATTTATTTAAGGCCGTGTGTTAACTAGGCCGTCCACTCGCTTACAGGCATCATGGTACGCCTCTCGTTCCTTCTCGCCTTAGTGGCCAGCACCGCGGCTTTGCCTACATCTGATCCCGTCTTTGAGGAGGAGGACTGCAGTTATGAAGAGGACCAAGTCGACCTTCTCTACTGGCTACCCAGTGGAAATGCCTTTTGTCGAGATCTTCTTCATATTTCTGCCGATGTGGCGTACATCACTCAAGCAAAAACTGTGACAGTCGCGCAATCCACCAGCACAATAACCGAGTCGATCACATCCACATCCACCACCACTTTGGAAGCAGAAACTGGCTATGTTAACATCACCGGCACTGATGACTCCTTTGTGAGCCTCACCGATGTCCAGACAGTACTTGTTACCGACGTGCTTGCCACTATTGCCCTGACCGACATAGTCACCGAGACCATTACAAAGGATACAACCAGTGTGGCCACAGACACCTTGACTTATTTGACCACCGACACGGTGACGGACTTTGCGACCGAAACTATCACCCAGGCCTTCACGAACACTGTCACTCAATACTCAACAATCTTTGTGATTGACTCCATCCCCGCCACTATGACGGATATCTTCACACAGTCCTACACCAACTACCACACTGAGACCTATGTTATTTCTTTTACGGAAACCATCTTTGCCACGGAAAGTGACGATGTCACTACGACTCAAACCTATGTCTCTACTGCTACTCAAACCAACTGGGAAACAGTTACAGACGTAGCTACAACGACCGACATATCTTCTGTTTCTTCGACGACAACCACCATCCTCACTGATGCAACAACCGCAACGATTACGGACGTTGTCTCTGCTGCCAAGCGAGATCTCGCTGCAGCAGCTACTGAGATTTTCACCCCAGAAGCCTTGGCTGCCTATTCCCCCACGAATTGTCTAGTGCCTGCTCCGAACTAGACCTCCGACCCGAGACATCTACGAAGCTCGTCACCACGACTGAAATGACCACCGTCTACCCCACTGCTGCTGGAGGCTCGCCGGCTTATATTACACACCTTGTTACCGTCTGGGAGACCTTCACTGCCACCGCCCCTGAAAGTACAATGACCTTGACCGAGATTGCGACAGACAATCCTTCTACCACGACTCTAGATTTCTTCTCTACAATTGTCACTGATATCACGTCGATTGAATTAGACACTTTCACAGCTACCGCTACCGAAGATCATAAAACTACGGTGACAGAGTCCGCCACCGTCGACATCACTGCCTGGGCAACAACTGTTTTGACTGAAGATGTCACAACTGATCAGACTTTGACCGCGACCAGCGAGGTCTCCACGGCGCTGACAAACAGCGAGTTCATCACAGTGACTCTGGATGAGACTACTGCAGTCACCGCAGATGTCACTGCTTCCAGCACGCAGTCGACCACTCAAGACATCACCGACATTTTGACTGTCAATTCCACCTCATCCCTGACCGTGACCGTGCCTACCATTGTCAAAACAACAGTCACTAGTACCATCTCTGTAACCTATACAGCAGTGGTAACTGCAGTGGTAGATGTCACTGCCACGCAAACAACATCAACCACCACAACTGTGACCGTGACCGCAACTGCGACCTGTGGCGTCAACCTCGTGCAGAATCCAGATTTTGAAGTGAATAACGCTTTTCTCTCGCCGGCTGGACGACCTCTGGTACCGGCAGTTTAATTCACGTCTTCTGGTGGCTCATCAATTGGGACTACCTATGTATTTTATTATGTTGGCATCAGCCCGCAGACATACAGCATCACTCAGTCGCTAGCCACTGTCGCGGGAACTACTTACACCGTGTCATTCTGGTGGAGAGCGGGCGCTACAACCGCGTCATTGATAGCTCAACTGGGATCTGACAGCCATACCTACAAAGTTACAACGGGTCAGCTCGCCGTCTGTCTTGTGGAGACATTTACCTATGAGGCTACCTGCTCATCCTCGGAGCTTTTGTTTGAGTTTGCTCCTGGGTCTAGCTTGGTAGGAATGCAGCTCGGCTTGATCACCGTTCAATGCTGAGAGAGAGAGAGAGAGAGAGAGAGAGAGAGAGAGAGAGAGCATTTAGTTTTAACTGAAATAATAATTTTCATAAGCAAGAGTCTTTGTTGTTGTCTTTCCCCTCGTTATATATAATGAACGGCTTGATTATTCCTCTTCTAAAATCATCATCCCATAGTTTCTCGAGGTCGGCAGTGCCAAGCCTAAAACGACGCAAAAATGGTCACTCCGAAGTGGAATTTAATCTAGTGTAGAGCTGAAATGAATCCTACGATGGCATACCTATTTTGGTCCCACGGCTTTTGGTTTGGTGCAACCATAACCTAGTTAGAGTGACGCAATGGCGGCGTCCAATTTGGCGAATCCAAAAATTCAATGCCCATTTAAGAATCGTCATTATTGTCAGAGACATCAATCTCTCTACCATGTACATAGCAATTCAATGTTGCTCAGGATCCATTGGAATCGTAAAAATGTCCTTTTTCACGCTATGCACTGTAAATTTAAAATGTGAGCCCAATTGAAGATCAACGACAATCACCTAGTTGTTGTTCTCCTTGGATCGAAGGGCAAGTTTACCAGCCTGGTTAATCATGGCTTCGTACCCGTTCTTCTCTAGAATGCCACCGTCATCCTTGACAACCTCCCGAGCCTCCAGCTCCTCTACTAGTCGCTGGTTCTCGCGGTTTCCTTCCAGCAAGAACTTCAAGCACATGACAGCATGCTCCTTGATGTACAGGTTATTGGTATCGAAATTGGTGCATGATAAGATGGCCTCAACACCACCGTAGCGGCGTATTTGTTCCTGGACCTCGGGGCATTTCCAGACCAACGACGAAAGAACCAAGACAACCAGCTTCTTGAGGTTCCGCCACTCGAACTCAGATGGATCGTCAGCGATTGGAGGAGACTCGGGGCGTGAGTCGACGCTGCCAGCAACATTATCGATCGGGTCTGCATCACCTGGGTCATAGGGACGTTCGACTGCAACGGGAGCCGGTGATGAAGGCGACTCGTCATCCGGTGAGGTGCCACGAGGCGGGGGCGGTGGCGGGGGAACGGAACCATAGGACATGGAATTGAGTTGACCCTTGGGGATGCTGGCATCTAGCTCTTTGATCAAGGTGACCAAGTCATAGACAATCTCCCATTTCACCAGTAGATTTTTCCAGTCATTGTTCTCGGTAAGGACGGCGAAGAATTCAAGGAACTGATACACACCCTCGTAGACCCGCTCCATATCCCACAAGTTGAGAGGGAAGTCTTCGGGGAGAGCACGCTCGGCACGGATCTGACCTTGGAGATATATCAGAGCACATGTTTCTGGGATGATGTTGCCACGGAATATGGTAAAAATGTATCGAACGGTAAGGATATCAACACGACTGAGCGGCGATGGGGTTCGAGAAGTGTTGTTTTGAGGCGAGCCTGTCACCGAGGCCGGGGAGTATTTAGCACGGAAAATGTGCGTGAGAATCTTAATAACCACTGCCTGGGCTGGCGAAATGATATCTTTAGGCTGACCGAAGTCAGAGTAGGCATGCGACATGAGTCCGTTACGGAGCACGGCTTCCATAATCTGAACCATCATTTTGAAATAGAGCTCGTCATCTGGGAGGTCCCAGGCTGCAATGAAAATCAGAAGCTCACGGAGCAAGTTGCGACCCGTCTCCTGCGCAAGAAGAATATGGCACCGGAGGGCCTGCATGTTCCGCGAACCATTCCTTTCCCCACCTTTGAGACCAAAGCTGTCCACAATTCCTGCCTGAACAATCATTGGCAGCGCTTCAATCTCAGCGGGGCCCAGAACAAGAGGAATATCAGTCAAGAGACCCCGTTGTTGATCACCGGGGCGACCACGGTAGTCGTCATCGTCATCGTCTTCTTCATCATCCACTTCTGCACCGTCATCGGGACCATCAACGTCATCTCCCTCGTCGTCTTCGTCCCCTTCAATGCTTCCATCTGCATGGCCTTCTAGGCTGTGCGAGTCATCATCACCCACTGTTCCCGCATCAGCTGTATCGTAGTCGGCATCACCATCGCCGAGGTGAGATGACTCCTGCAGGCGGGCCATCAATTCATCCTTCGCCTCCTGCAATGTCTCCGCGGCGGATTGAGACGAACGAGGCATGCTGGTGTCATCCTCTGTCACAACAGCATCGACCGCGTAATCGTTGACCTCGGGCAAATCAGACCAGCACAAACGTGGAAACCCAGCGGTCATGCTACGGTCTATTGTTAGAATGGTTTTCTTTTTAGTTGCCCCTTGCTCGTCTTCCTCGGTCAATGCAGGTGGCATTTCCCGGGCTCGGTCCTGGAGATCAGACCATCCATCCACTTTAGCACCGAGGATTGAGGTCAGCGCAGCCCGTATATATTTGACCTGTTCTGGATCTCTACCCATCTCTTGAATATCAGTAAGGTCCCGCCCCAAGATCTTCTCCATGTGGTCCTTGATATTTGCCAAAAGTAGCATAGCAGCTTCTTCTTTGATTGTCGAGGGCTCCCGTGGGAACTTGGCGATCGTTTCCAAAAGCAAGTCTTCGGCAGTTTGGTCATACAATGCCCGGATTGGTGGGTTGATTACGCGCTCTCCAATTTTCACAACGGGTGCAACCCCTTCAGCCCGAGCAGTAGGATCCAACGCGTCCTTTGGTTTGATGATATTTGTGTCGGCCGTAGAATGGTATCCGAAAAGATCCAACCATAGCACCATCTTTCGCTGCTCATTGTGCATGACAAAGTTGTGCAGATATTGAAGGCAGGTTATCAGCAGGCGCTTGTAAAGATTGACCACCTTCTGCCACCGCTCCTCGTTGCGGGCATTGGTCTCGCCGTCGAATCCTCTAGCCGTCACTCGCACACAAGTATCAATCAAAGCGAGGATACGCTGGTCAAAGCCCTTCGCAGCTGCCAGATTTTGTGCCTTCTTGGTTGTGGCGAGCAAATTTCGTGCAATTGTGCATAGGTCGTTCAGACGTTCAATATCCTTTACCAACGAAAAATAATTGTATGCGATGAGGTTTGACGAGGAATGTTCATAAGTAGCGGATGGGCTCTTCCATGCGAAAGACTGCGACTCGAGGACCGGAATCGCCTTTGTCAAGACATCGGTAAGGCCCTGCCAGATGTCTGGAGACATACCGAGGTTATGCCTGGAAAAAAAAATACAATAAGCACACCTCTAAGTTGTGTTCACTCGAAATCCACATACCGAACTTCGCTTTCCTGGTGCGTCTTGTACAGGATTTGCTTTCCAGCAGCCAGCATGTGCTCCAGGCGTTTGTCATCAATCATGCCCCGGGCTTCGTAGTGGCTCAAAGTCCCAGCTAGTATGACCTTGAGCATCAGCTCTGGGGGTGTACATAATGGTTTGGGGTCGGCCATGTTGGCGTCGAAATGTATCAGTAAGCACCGTAGAACCCACGGTGGGATGTAATCATTTTGATTTAAAGATCTTATTTCCTACCGCCGCGTTCACCGCCCGCGGGGTATAAAATGCCTGATCTCTACTAGTTCAGTTCAGGCTTAGCGTGTGGAGAGTGTAAGGCGGTAAAGCTTTTGATCCATTTCGTCCCAAAATGTGCGTCTGACTAACCAATGTTATGTACAAGTCTTATGCCGGACCGAGATCCCCATGGCGTCTTTGAAATTCCCCCAAAACCCGACATCATAAATGTTATCCAGCTCTTTCAGGCTGTACACGGGCTTCCACCGTGGATCAATTGGCACTTCTCCACTGCAATTGTAATAAACACGGTTTGAATCCTCTGCCAGGATATAACCCTCCATTGGCGGATCATCATCTGTGATCAAAATTTGGTCACTTTGTACCGGCCAAGGCTCGTCGCCTAAATCCGTATAGAGTGGTGCATTCTCGATCTGACTTCGCTTTGCTTTGAACACAAACCCATCCTCAATGTCGTCTTTCAAATCCGACCATTTGGCACTTTCGTTGGTTGTGGTACCCGCCCAAACCAAATAGCTATGGTAAATCAAGAAGGCCGCCGCCAGCGGCGCCGTCATGAGCATCAACAATGTCACAGTTCCAATTTTGTAATCGGCGGTGATCACAAGTCCCCAAATTTGGAAGTACATCGTCCAGCCTTGCATGGCTGCTTTTCCCTCTACGGTCACCCGTGTCTCTAGGGTCTGGTAGAGGAGTTGGTAACCTACATAGGTTCCATAAATCAGTAACACTGTCAAGGACAATAGCAGCGACATGAAATAAACATAGTTATTGGCCCCAACACAATTCATCAGCCAGACACAGTGGTGGTCATGTCGAGAAACGCATCCCTTGCAGATATTGCAGTGCTTGCTGCGTGGTGGTTTGGGCAGATCACAAGTTCGACAACGATGCCCCGGATGAAAAAGCACCCGATCATATGGGTACCGCTTCATCTCTTGATCATGATTGTCAGGTGTGATGAACGACTTGGTCGTCACACACTTGTAGAGCAAGATATATGGTAGGATAACAACCATGGGAACCCACGTTTTATGGACACTCGGCATCCGAGGCCATGCCGGTGGAAGAAAGACAGCTTCCCCTATGGCGAGCAGGCCCACAAAAAAGATCTAGACTGCAGGGTTAGAAACAAGCAGCCGCTAGTAAGTTTGACATTGACTGCTCACCAGGATCACCGGGTGGTTTTCATTCCACATATAGCTACCTGATCGATTCCATGTTCGCACAAGACGCCCACCAAACAGATGCGAATCGAGAAAGGAAACTCCGTTAGGAACATGTACCCACACTACTTGGTGTAAATAGGCAATGGGGGTTTTCCTTCATAAAACTATAAGCTGTAGCCTCATGATTTCACGTGTTTTACTCACCTGAATGCGGGTAATCGCCCAAAAAGTGTGATAAAAACAAAGGCTGAGATACCCAGGACCGTCAGCGCAATAGTGCGGACGACCCCCATTATGGCGCCGATTGGACTCTGAATCTGATGGCCTCCTCAAGAATCCCGGAGCAGGTGAAAAGCAAGAATCAGAGTTTAGTTATTGCAGTTTCATTATTGGCGCTCATGAAATCTGACCCTGCTCCACCTTGGGGTAAAAGTGCATGAATGTTGATTTGACAGTGTTTCGCGGCTTGCGGTTGGCTGTGAGGTCACGTGAATTCATCACAAGCGCGCCCCGGGGGCGGATCTAGACTTTCACATCTTCTCAGCTTCAGGACCTGGAAGGAGAATTTGAAACTTGACTTGGGGTTTGATCATCCAACACTGTGCTATAACACTGTGCTATTTTATTCTTCGCTCATACTCATTTGATCAACCAGGTGACTTCTCCTTCAACGGAATGCCAATCCTGACACGTTGACACGTGATAGCGCGTCAAAGAGCCTTTGATAGCTCTCACATGTACAAAGAAACCCGAAATCCGCGACATCCAATCTCAAACACTTCGCGTGATACCCTCGTAGCAATATCATGGCTCCAAATCTACCAGATCCAGATACAATGACGCCCAAGCTCTTCCAGAACTCGAAGTTTTGGGTCTCATATCATGTCCCTCAACGTACTAAAATACAAAAAATGATCAAGGTATGTATTTTTTTAGTCCCTAATCAAATGATTTTTTTCTAACAGCTGTCGTAGGATAATGGTGGCCTGATTACCTTAAGAGAGCAGGAGGCAGATATCAACATAGTCGATCATACGAAAAAGAATCTCCCTGATAATGCGTATGACACACACCACGCCTTGGACAGAAGCACACAATTGACATTTCCGCAGTTACTCCTATCAATACGTGGAACGCTCTGTGCGAAACGGAAAACTCGAGGATCTTGAGCCTTATCTGGCTGGTCCTTCGGCTCAAAGATCCGTTGGCGCCTCGCACATCCCAAAAAAGGGTACCAGAACGGAGTATACCTTGAAGGATGACCAGATTCTTTATGACTGGTTGCACCATTACCAGCAAGAAGACAACGCAAAGGTTGGTGGTAACAATATCTACAAGGAACTCGCAGAAAAGGTATGCTTTATGGTCGCTATAATCCTTTTACTGTCTGGAAGCATTCAGCTAATCTCCAACACAGTTCCCCAGACATACATGGCAATCATGGCGCGCGAGGTACATCAACAAAATCAGTGGAAAGCCACGTCCTGGTGGTGGAGAACCTGAGCCAGATTTGCTCTCGAAACCTCAACTGCAACTACGCCCTGCAACAGGACCAGCATCCAAACCTAGAACGGTAGCATCACGCATTCCTGCAGCCGCAGAAAAGCCAGGTCCATCCAGATCTCTCCAATCAGGACGACGTGACCCAGACCTACTCCATGAGGCAGTACCAGCACCAAAACGCACAACGGTACCATCACGCACTCCTGCACCTAAACAATTAAATCCCTCCAAATCTCCGGAATCACGACGACGTGACCCAAATCTAGTCCATGTGGTAGTGCCATCACCAAAACCTAAAACGGCACCATCACCTATTCCTGCTGCAGCCAGACAACTGAACCTCTCAAAATCCCCGGAGTCACAATCGAGTGATCCGAGCCACGTGAAAAGAAAGCGTGAATCCACCGGTGAATCAACTTCAAGCCGTCATGAAAGGGAAATGTTTCCTGCAAAAAAAAGGTTAATTGAAACCTCCGAAGCCATGGATGCCATGGCTCTTTATATTTCACACAAACATCGTCCAATTCCCGCCGGATCACCATCGAATCTAAGAAGTCAGCTTACAAGTCCAGCGACGCCCTCACGTATCAGCCAACCATCACTGCCACCGAAGGAAACAGAGCCAGAGCAGAACCAAGCAGCCCATGTTCGAAATGGGACCAGCAACTCGAAGCTTTTGGACACACCAATTCCACCAGTCTCCGAGCCCAAGCAAAATCAGGCTACTCGATCTCAAGATGAGACCAACTTGATCAACATGCTGCTTCTGGAGATGCCATTTCTACCGTCTAGCCCAGAACCAGAGTCAGGTGAAGATGAATATGAAGACGATCATGAAAGTCATCCAGATATTGACAGTTGGATTGATGCTCGACTAGCCAGAGGTGATGTGGAATTACCAATCGTACTTGAAGCATTGCAATGCACAAGTATGAACCCAGAATACGCCGAAAAGGTGATAGAGCAATGCGCAGCTGGGAAGGGGATTCCTCATGATATGCCGGGAGTATGGACTGCTGAGGATGACAAACGCTTGGAAGGTGAAGATCAACGTGACATCCAAAGCTTGTTTGACAAGCATGGCGAAGATGCATGCGAGGCTAGATTCGAGTTTCTTGACCTTATGCGAAGTTAGATTCGAGATTTTAGTCTAGCCTGAGCAAGAGGCACTTGAATATGACGATACCCACGGCTTCCTAATGACTCCTACGAGCCAGAGTTTGAATTTTGGAAAACGAAGAATCATATTGTAGATTACATGAGATTTCCTAATTACATTAGCATCCAAGAAAGGTCTCTCGAATCACACCGAGATAAAATAAGAAATCGCGAATAGACCCTTAAGTGACACAAGATTCATGGCTGAAGAACTCCAAGTAATGGACATCGGTAAGACCGGTCTCCGATGCAAAAAATGAAAAAATGGCCGTGATGAAAATGAAAAATGGACAAAGCCCCAACTCCTGATAAAACTCCTTTCCTTGGGAGGATGATCTTCAGACAAACCCCGAGGGTCTGCCATTTCCGCTCTGAACTAGCAAACAACAATGTGACTTATTTAGTTATCCTTGAACACTAGGTGCTGCTCATAGAACTCAAGCATCTGAAAACATATTAGCATACCGACACTATCTGCAGAGAGGGGGATTGACTAACTTTCCGGGGGCACCTCTCGTAACACGTCTCAGCGGCAACCCGCGATAACTTTCCATTCTTCCACTTCAACAATGCGAAAAGCACCTCGGTCTCTGGATCCCGGCTGAGAGTATCAACGAGATCTACTTCTTTGTCCCAATTTTTTCCCTTGGGAACCCAAGTAGCTTCATCTTCACTTTCACTTTCCGCCTTTTTGGGAGTCTCATCAGGGGTCTCTGCGATTGCCGACTTTCGTCGCCTCTTGATCTCAGGCTTCGGGGCAGGCGATGCTTTTGCTTCGCCCATTGACTTGCGCTTGCGGCCCGGGCCTGATTTTGCCGGTGTTTTGATAGGCTTCTTAGGACGTCCGCCGATTTTCCGGTAGTACGCTGCTAACACATCGTGCGCGCCATCCCTAAAGTCATGCATTAGTATTTGCGCAATCGCCTCAATCAAATATATCCAGATATTCATCGGCATACTTCAGATTTTCCTCGGGTTCCCAGGTCATATCCTTCTCATCTTCATATCCTTTCCATTTCACATGCAGCGTGAGAGTTCCCTGATATAAAATTAGTGAGATCATTAGAATCAGTGTATCAGCGTGCATACATCATCAAGAAAGTCATGTGTGGCGATCGATTCGACAACATAACTACCATAATCAGATAAAATGCACCGTGCAAGATCTGGGGTTAGCTTACATTCCCTCCTCTTCCTCGTCATCATCATCTTGATCACTGGTCTGATCTCCATTCTGATCTCGGGTTTCTGTTTTCGCAGTGCTGAAGGGAATATCTCCTCCTGATTCATCACCAGAAGTATCTTCGACGGGAGCTATTGGGGTTAGGTTATTTAGATGCGCGCAACGGGATCGAACAAAGCGCGTCCAACTTACGGGGCATTTTTGACTTAGGAGAATTGCGACCAAAAATACGTGAAAACAGTTTGACGGTAGTCGGCGCAGTGTCTGCGCAAAATGATTCGAGCAGGAATCAATTGGTTTGTGCAAAGAATGCAAAGAAGGTGGAGGTAGATTGAAAGCACGCGTGGAGAAGCTGGGAAGGCGGACAACATAACGCTAAGCCTGATTGAGCGACCCGAATTAATTTGTGATGAGCATTTCACCGCAGAGCTTCACAAACCTCCTCCGCATTTTGTCATCATCAGTCGAAGTTTGCTTAGAACTTCGTCTTCTCGTTTTTTCATTTTCTTAAAGCCTCTAGGTTATTTCCTTGAGGGCTGTTTACCGTCAAGATGGCGATGCGTGAGTTCTCTCTTTTTGTCTTGTCCCTCCGGGATGCCCCTCACTATTTGTGCTGGTTACTGACTTGGACTTTTTACTCCCACAGAGCTTGATCTTTCTCAAGGTGATTACTTTTCGATTGATTCTCATGCCAACACGGAATCCCTGGGTACTAATACTTGACGGTAGCTTCGGTGTTGAAGGATGAGCAGGGTCGTCCGTTTATCGTCGTTCGCGAGTACGTTTCCGATATACCCCCTATACGCCTGGATGTTTGAATCGTTCGAACTGTGGAATAAAGAAGATGGAAACTGACGATTGGACTTTGTCTTATTCAGCCAAGGAAAGAGGAAGAGACAACATGGCACTGAGGCTGTGAAGGCGCACATTGTGGCCGCTAAGACTGTTGCCAACATTGTCAAGACTTCTCTGGTATGGGCATCGCAAATCGACAACCAGATCCCGTACTAATGATTTTCTAGGGTCCCCGTGGCTTGGACAAGATTCTCATCTCCCCCGACGGCGATATCACAGTCACCAACGATGGCGCAACCATTCTCGGCCAGGTCCGCTTCCCCGACCCCTATTATACGAATCGACCAATGGGCACTAATGCGGCGAGATATACAGATGGATATTACAAACAACGTGGCCAAGCTGCTTGTTGAACTGTCAAAGTCACAGGATGAGGAAATTGGTGATGGCACAACTGGCGTTGTGGTGTTAGCTGCGGCCATGCTGGAGCAGGCTTCGGATTTGATTGATAAGGGAATCCACCCCATTCGGATAGCCGACGGTTATGACCAAGCCTGCGAGATTGCCCTTGCCGAACTCGAGAAAATCAGTGACTACATTACCTTCTCCAAGGATGATACCACCAACCTGCTCAAGGTTGCCAAGACCAGCTTGGGCAGCAAGATGTGTGTTTCAACCACCTCCAGCTTTTATTGCGCCTCAACTAACACCCCTGCAGTGTCTCCAAGTTTCATGACCAGTTCGCCCAGATTGCTGTGGACGCTGTCCTCTCCGTTGCTGACTTCGAGCACAAGGACGTTGACTTCGAGTTGATTAAGGTGGATGGCAAGGTCGGTGGATCCCTTGAGGACTCTCTCCTTGTCAAGGGTGTGATCGTCGACAAGGACTTCTCTCACCCCCAGATGCCCGATGAGGTCCGTGACGCCAAGCTGGCTATCCTGACCTGCCCGTTCGAGCCCCCGAAGCCCAAGACCAAGCACAAGCTTGACATTACCTCGGTCGAGGAGTTCAAGAAGCTCCAGGATTATGAGCACGAGAAATTCACGGAGATGATTCAGCAGCTCAAGGACTCAGGCGCCAACCTGGTCATCTGTCAGTGGGGTTTCGATGATGAGGCCAACCACTTGCTCCTCCAGAACAAGCTCCCCGCCGTCCGATGGGTTGGTGGTCCCGAGATTGAGCTGATTGCTATCGCCACAAATGGTCGTATTGTGCCCCGTTTCGAGGATCTGACCGCCGACAAGCTGGGTACCGCCGGTGTTGTTCGTGAGATGACTTTCGGCACCACAAGAGAGAAGATGCTGGTTATTGAAGAGTGCGCCAACACCCGGGCGGTTACTGTCTTTATCCGTGGTAGCAACAAGATGGTAAGTCACTCTCCTCATTGATGCAGGTGCTGTTACTAACCAAGCTTGCAGATCATCGATGAGGCCAAGCGGTCACTACACGATGCCCTCTGTGTGGTGCGCAACTTGGTTCGTGATAACCGTGTTGTTTACGGTGGTGGTGCTGCCGAGATTGCTTGCTCGATCGCCGTTGAGGATGCGGCTGCTAAGGTTCGTTGCTTTCATCTACTATAATATGGACCGAACTAATCATGGATCTACAGAGTCCCGGCATTGAGCAGTACGCTATGCGTGCCTTTGCTGATGCACTTGACGCTGTGCCCTTGGCGCTGTCTGCGAACTCTGGTCTGAGCCCTATTGAGACCCTTGCCTCTGTCAAGTCTCGTCAGATCAAGGAGAAGAACTCCCGCCTTGGTGTGGACTGCATGCAAACCGGTAGCAACGGTAAGCCAAATTCATCGTCCATGACGTGTTTAGCAGCTAATTTAATTCTCGCAGACATGAGAGAGCACTTCGCCATTGATCCCCTGATTGGTAAGCGCCAGCAGCTTATGCTCGCTACTCAGCTTTGCCGCATGGTTCTCAAGGTATTTCTATCGTCTCATCTCTCACCCAAATACTGCTAATATATCTCTAGATCAACAACGTTATCATCTCTGGCGATGATGAATCTGAATTTTAGATTACCCGCACATAATCCCCGATAGCACTGAGGTCTTTGTGGTCTGTCGGAAAACAAAAAAAAAATTAAGAAACCGCTTGGACTCCACTGTAAAACATAGTCCCTTAGAACATTCTGAGTCGCAATGAGAAAAAGACTTATGATACATTCCATGGTAGCCCTGGCTCTCACACATCAGCTTCCATCGAACTGTTTTTAGTATCAACTAGATCGTAGACTCGATGGATTTTTTACAAGGTACAAAACGCGTGTCTCCCGCCAAAGCCTCGGAACAAAACGGACAATCTGATGCATGTTCCCTTGAATTTTCCATATTTAGCGACCAAAAGTTTGAAAGTGCACAGGACCTCTTGTGACTTCATAGAAGGCAGCAATTGCTAGTTTGTACCCCTCCAAAATCCATCTCCACAGGATATACACATCAGATCCCATTACACAAGGACAGAACGTGGGGGTCCGTGTTCCTCGGTATTCGCATGTATAAACCCAGCGTTCACGAGGATATAAGAAATGCCGAGGGACCACGGCAAATACGAAAAGCACACGATCCATTTACCCACGAGGTGATCTTAATAGATGACTTTATTTATGACGCGTCTCTGACCTGGAAGAAGTATGGCTTAGTCTCGTGAGGAGTTGGGCACCTCTTGTGTTACTCTGTAACTTATAGTGTAAAAAGGCTCAGTAATTTTCGTTGTCTCTTTATTCGCTAGATCGGGATCTGAGGATAGTTCATTCACATGTTGAGACCTTTTCTCCTTGTCCGGACCCCGTGGGATTTAATTTTGGGAAATATTGCTTGAACAGGGTACCTGCTTTTTGTTTAGATGTTGTCTGAGGAACTTATATGAGGTAAAGGGGTGTCACAAGCCTGGAGCTTGCATGTGGCAGGTAATTTTATAGGCAGAAAAGGAATTCTAGGTCAACGATGACTGTGTTGCAGAGATTTATGTAAATGGGGTCTGACAATGAGTAGCTGTTTAAGAAGCTCCACCGTGTAATGCGTGTGTTTGGAGCCATCTAATATGGTATTCGATGCCGGGCCTATGGGAGTGAGTGGAGTAGTCTACTGAGTGGTATAACCATACATTGTCGGTTGACCAGGACGTCCGAATTACAATATCACGGTGGTTTGATCACCAGAAGAAGGATAGCATGTGTTTCCCACCTCCTTTGAGAAGGATAGACCGATTTTTGACTGCTTCGGAATCTTCCAATAGAAAGTATGAGCAAAATCTAATACAGACTTTTCCCCATGCCATAATAGATTCAGGGTTTAATCTCGCCTGGAATGGGTGACACAGCGCGTGGGAGTATGACCCCAGTTCCCCGCGACTCGTGGTTCACAGAGTTTGAAAACCCGCCATCACTGCATCCCGCTCATTCTTTGATTTTCTCCAAAATGTGGCATTGTGAAACCGGTCTGTAGTTCTAGATCAGGCGTTCCTATTATCCATTCTCATGTCAATCAATATCTGTAAAGAATTCGATGTAGATTGATTTGGAGCGATCGAGTTATGCGCAAAGATGCACATTCAGTGTAAACAATTTAATTTTATAGTATGTCTGGAGCGAAGCGTCTCCCGGATCTTAAGACATCAGATGAATCTGATCTGAATCATGTCATCTCACGTGGAAATGACCTTATCATAATCTCGATTCTCCATATCCCGCGCCAAAAACATCTCGGCAATGGCGGATCAAATAAAAGTAGACCAGGACATGTGGTAGGTTGGGCTGAAAGGGCTGCAGACGATGGGCGCCACGAATAATTTCAGTCGATGTATGCATTAATGCATTAATAGATTGGAGTTGAAGCTCCATCGGACCAGATGTAAAACTCCTCCTCCGGTATGACCGCACTGACAGGTACGGGCAAATCTGATCTGGTGAGCCAGTTTCTCTTTTTTTATCTCTTCCTCTCTTTTAGTCGGGGTGAGATTGGAATCCGTGAGACCTGCTTCTCCGATTATTGGAGATACGTGGCTGTTGCAGTCTAGATGCTGGGGAAGTTTATGAGAGGAGCCGGTGAGCAAGTTGCCAAATTTCGAATGCAACTACTCTTGGTTGGACTCATCCCTTTTCTTTCGTTTCTCTTCGTTCTTTTCCTTTCCCTTCCTCTATGGTGGTCGACATAGCCGCGCTGGATTCATTTGGTACACAAACCGCGGGTTCAGATGACCTGATAGATGTCGTGTAAACCCAGTCCTGGGTGAGACAGAGAGACAAATATGGCCAGAATCGTTATGCCTGAGAAGCTCATCAGTTTTCCGCTACCCTCACATGGACGACCCGATTGACGTGGCATCGATCTGTTCGCGGCAATCAAATCGTTAGGTCTTAAGGTCTTCCTTGTCTCTCGTGACGTTTTACTTT